CGCAGAGACATGTTGCACATCGGTGTGCACTGGTGCCTGCGTCTCGAGATGGGCGATGGCATCTTTCTGGTCATAAGAGAGCTCCTTGGAGAGTACCATCTTGGCTGGGGATGGGAAGATATTCTTCTCATCGACCGCTTTAAGAATACTTCGCCAGGTCCTTGCGCCGTGAGTTGCCGTCTGTTGCCGTCCATCATTAGATGTAATTGGAAGATAAAGGGCCGAAGAAATCGCCGATCAAGGATGCGTTAGGTCGGCGCATTACAAGATTAGTCTCCAATTTAATCGACCAGGTGTTAACCCCCGTGGGGGGGCAGTCAACTGAAACGCCACCCACGTTAGCTCGCAGTTTCATTAGTCCTAGCCGAATTTTCTCGGTGCATTTGCGGTTAAAAGGACATCCGTGATCGGGGTGTGTAACCGACATCTATGAAGTGGAGTCAACGACGGGGCGACGGCCCGCGCGGACCGACACCGCCGATTTTGAGCCAACATCAAGGCCCATAACGGCGCAAACGTCTCTTGCCGTTTGGCGAATGTTTGGGCTGAAGCCGGTGTATCACAGAAGGCGCCGATCAGTCACCTCAAGAGCAAAGTCCCGTGCTGCAACCTCCTTTGTGCCCGACCTGCGGACCCGCCGCACAGTGCATCAACGGTGAAAAATGTTTGGATAGACGTCCAGGACAACCACTTATTTATCGAGCAGATCGTAAATCCGCTTCACACTCGGCACCTTGTTCGTGAACTCTGCCTGCGTCTCCTCCCAGACTCTCCGCTGCGCTGCCGTTCCACTGGATCGATTCATGAAGGGAGGATATCTGATATCAGAGTCGGCCCATCAAAAGCGGAACTCACGAGGCGGTGTCAAAGTCTTGCATGATCTTGCCGTGTGACTCGGGACCAGCAGACGCGCCGTTTGTGAGAGCCACAGCTCCATAGTGCGGATCCCTAGCACCAAAGTCCATGATGAGTCGAGGAATGAGCATGGTCCGCTGGACGTTTGTCAAGGGGGTCCAAGCAGAGCCAGGATCTGCGCTGTTGACTGTGATAGGTCCCAGTCGTTTGTCGGCACTCGCATGTGAGACTCGAGCAGCGAGTTCCCGGCCAAAGTAGAGCAAGAGCGCTTTGGACCTGCCATATTGGTGCCCTTGAGCCATGCCGTCCTTGTTGTTCGACAGGCGCTTGAGGTAAGAGCCAGTCTTTGGAACGCCCATCGTGGGAGATGCCGGGTATATCCCAAACGTCGTGACGAAGGTCAAGGTCGGAGGATTGGGGTTGCCAGACGAAGCTTTGAGGTGGGGGAGCATGAGGAGGGACACAAGGGCTGTTGACAGATAGTTGACTTGAATAGACGTTTCCCAACCTTCAGGCGATTCCTTCCTTTTGAACGAAAGTATACCGGCCGTCAACAAGGCATGGTCTAGGTGGCCGAGCGTCTCGAGCTTGGCACCGAGCGCTTCGCATCCGGCGAAAGTCATCAGATCCACCTGCCAGACCAGCACGTCTGGGACGGGCTTCTTCTCCGCCTTTAGTTCCTCCTCGATTTCTCGCTTCAATCGCTCGCAATCCATCACATCTACCATGACCAGTGTCTTGATACCTCTCGATGCGAATAGTTTGCACGCTCTTGAGCCGTATGCGCCATTGGCGCCGGTGACCAGCGCGCAGCGACCGACATACGATTCGGTCAACAACTGTGGACGGCCGTGTCGCTGCTTGTACAAGCTTTGCCAAGGGAAAACTTCGGCAAAGAGCCAAGGCAGACCATAGGTCAGGAGGATAATCGCGAGCGCGACACCAACAAGGATGCTCGCAGCTACCATTGCGCAAGGTGCAAAGGACTACGGTAGTGATGGGGTTCCTGACATTGCTTGTTAGCGGGAATGGATATTTCCGGAATCCCGATGCATGTGGCATCCGCGAGCTTCGGACTCGGTCTCTGCCGCTGCCATGTCTCTGGTTTGGTCTAGTCTCGCGGCGGACTCCTCACGTCATACATGCCATGTGCCGTGTCATTGACCCGTCCGCTCAGCCCACACGTCGTGCCCTAGTCCACCGGCGTGGTATTGCTAGTGATCAAGGTATTGGCTATGCCAGCGGCCCAAGAAACGGCCGCAGGCAAGGCACCCGCATCGAGCAATGGCAACACTGTCGTCGCTAGAAGAGTCAGACCGAACTATCTCCACATACTCACTGATCTGGCAGCCGACCGGCGGCGCTGTCCCATTCATTCTCGAGTTGACCCAGTTGAACACATTGGCCAGCTGTAATATCTCTTCTGTGCCATGTTCAGATGCCCCTTCATCCGTTTCGAATATCAAAGACTTGATCCCATTGGCGCACCACGAGTTGACCATCTTCTGGACGGTGGCATACGGTATCACCTCGTCATGCAGGGCATGGAAGACACGGATTGGGGCGACTGGCACCAGATTGGGATCCTGTCCCAACAGCTGCTGCGACAAAGGGCCAGCAAAGGCTGGCTGATATACCAGCTGACTCCCGTAGGATTGGTACTCTGTGCTGAGAAAGTGTTGAAAGGCAAAATCTAGGGCGACCGTCGGTGATTTGCAACCGTTGAAAGTGGTGTTCCGCGCAGATAGTCCGATAGACGTCAGAGACGCAGAGAGCAAGTCTGCGATCGCTTGGTATGCTTGGGACTGGCCAAAGATGCCTCCGATGGCGAGTCGCGCGTAGGGTCCTCCATCCAGATTCTGAATACACGCTAACAGGTCCGCAGGGGTTCCACCGACGGACCACGCTACCACATTGATGGAAGGTGCATAAGATGCATGCAGTGCGGCGGCCCAGCCCGTAGCGATCGCGCCTCCAGAATATCCGACCCCGGCCACTTGGGTGTTGGCATTTAAGCCTATGGGACCATAGCTGAGAACCGCTCGCACGCTATCCAGCACGGCATGGCCGCTGAGGATACCGGCAGAGTATGCCGAGTCGGGACCCTCGTAATCGGGCGAGTTGACGATATAGCCCTGATCCAGAAATCCGATCATGTACAGTGTCTCGTCATCCGAGGTCGTGCTCCACCCACCCCCGAGATATGCTGCGGACGGTGCGCATGCGGTCGAGTCGGCGTCATATGGCTCCGCGTACGTGATGAGGTTACCGTTCGGCTGCGTCGGCTTGAAGATGGTAGTGGTGGCGGCGAATTTGGTGGTATTGGCCCCTTGGGTGACGTACAGTAGCTGATATCCCGTGGCATTAAGTGGCCTATCGTTGTAGATCGGCTGAAAGGTCCGTGATCGCAACACTGTACCCAATGGCGAGCCTTGAACGTTCCCAGGTGAGATGTAGAAGGGATCTAGGGGGGATGCTTGACCGCCTCGCGCGAACAAGCCCGTGACCGGAAGGGCGGATGCAGTTGCCCATAGCGTCTGGAGCAGGTACGGCAGTATCATTCCTCGAGATGGTGGGGCGACTGACGGTCAAACATGCTGGAACGAGCATATATCAGGTTGAAATTCTTGGGCCAATGGTGCTGTAGGTTCGGCCAAGTTTTCGGAGAATTGCTCGGGAATGGTTTCGGTGCGGTGATCGGAATGTAATGAGCTTGTTCCGACGCCCCAGCTGCCTCGGCGTCGTGCACGCTTGCGTTACTTACCGATGCTGGGGGATGGGCAGTACTGCAGCCAGAAGCTATTGCCGTATGGCGCGAGGTCTGCCCGGCACATACGCGTGAATACACTCGACAGTAGCCTGGATACAACGGGATTAACCAGATCTACAACCATACCAGGCCAGTGGGTCTAAATAAAATACACACAGACAAGAAAAAGCCCAGAATCCACAACGCACTGCTTTGTCATACCGCCTCCTCATCCACGTGTTCGCTGACCAGTGCCGTGATCTCCACATCCTTAAAGAGGTGTGCAGCATAAGACGGCGCAAACAGGTCGGAATACTTTTGTTCGTAATCGCCCTGTATCACACAATGGGCCAATCCGAGAACCACAGATTGATAATCGGGGTTTTCGATGCCAAAAACGCTCGCACATTGATGGAACGTCATGACGTTTCGGGCGATCGCAGTCAGTTTTGCCAGGCCGATGATCCTTAGCGATCCTACCGGGATCGCGAGTGTCCAGCCCAGCGCTTCGAGTGAACGCCTGCACAGCACGTTGAAGATATCTGCGACGCTCATGCCCTCTCTGGCTAAAGATGAGATAGTGTGATGCGAGGTGAACAGATTGGACAGCTGCCACAGAGCTGTGACTTTGCAGTCGACGAACTGGGTTCGCACCGCATCTTCGACCACATCATAACCTGTTGCTGAGCTTGAATCCACGACGTCATCCTGAATTACACGTTCCAATATCTGCACAGCTCCGTCCATACCCGTCGCAGCGTTGTATACTTGAGACAGGCGGATGACCACATTCAAAGACTGACGCTCACTGGCCGATAAGACAATCTCGTCGGCCCCAGCCCCGACCTCCTCAAGGAGAGCTTCCAAAGAACTGGGCACTACCGGCGCCCGATGAATGGTCGACCGACGTTGTGCGCTGACGTAGAGAGGAATGGTGGCCATCTCAGTGTTGAAAATGGCCAACTCTGCACAACGAGCGGAGAAGCGATCGGCGGCGGTTGCGTTAGAGGGCAGAAGGCTGTTCAGAGCGACGGCCTCGGACAGGTACAGCAGGGCTCGATTCTGCTCGTCCAGCACACTGTGAGCGATGAACAAGACGACGGCGACGTAGACGCAGTATACGTTCGGCGAGGCGGAATAGTCGCAGGACGAGCGAATGTCCAATGTCTCGCGAACAGACTCGCGAAGGAGATGAGTACCCTGATGAGGGTTTTCCCTGTATGCAACGGCTTGACTGGCGATCCGCAGGGCGGAGACGAACGTCTGCAACTGTTGAGAATGGTACTGTTCTTCAAAGTCACGCTTGAATCGGTCCAAAGTGATGAGAGGATATATAGCGACCATGCGGCGAAAGGCGGCATACATATCATCATCGCGCCAGCTCTGAGTCGGTGAGCTGGCCTCAGCCTGGAAGAGCGGTTCGGACTGAGACGGGTCGGTCAAGAAGTCCTGAAGCCAGTTCGTTTCTGGTGCTAGTCTGTGAATTAACGCAGGATCTGCGAAGATTCCAGCGTAGTCATCGGAGGCAGCGTGTTCAGCGGTGTCAGATGGCAGCAACGCATGACCGCTGCTGGAAGAAGACAACAGCGACAGTGGAGGACTCTGCTCCAGGCTCAAGGCTAAGCTGGTGCCGGCGTTTTCACGAGTAGTGACGGGCGGCGGTGAAGCGGGATGAGTCTCTTGAACAGGCGGTGGATGCCTGGTCGGCTGCAGACGCCGTAGTAGGTCGAATCGTCTTGCGAGTCAGTCCCGCAACACATATGACACTCACTTGCCCTTGCCTTTGGGGCCACGACGCGCCCTAGGCAGATTGAATGTACACCAGAAACCTTGTTGGGCGCAGCCTATGCAGCAGCCAACTGCTTCGGGCGACGGACAGCACTGGGACCGGTCAGCGCTGCGAGACCTGGCTGTGCCTTACTTTCACCTTGCGATACCGGCAGGCATCGCAGGCTGTCTTTGATCTGGCCGATACCATGATGGTGGATGAAGAATAACGACGAGACGCCCCGCCCCGGTCCCGTGGGACTCCGGGAAAAAAAACAGGGCATCGGCATTGCCGGGGACCTTTCAAATGGACGATCGTTTTGATTCCGGAGCTTTGCCTCAGTGGCAATGAAAATACAATGCATGGACCCCACATCCTACCAGCAGACCCTCGATTCATCGCGACACTTCCTCGACCTGGAGACCCTCCCCTGTGCCCTTCTCTCCGCTACCCTCTCCCATGTGTCGGGACTCGCATTCGCATTGATGATCTGTAAAGTCAGCTAAATACGCTAGATATTACTCACTGCGCCACTTTGACGCTGGCAGGTTGATACTGTACATCTCATCAATCTCGGACATGGATCGTCCCTTGGTCTCGGGAAGGTACAAGTATGTGACAACCAGGGTGATTGCCATGCAGCCGCCGAAGATGAAATCAGTCTTTGCGCCCAGCATTGGAGGTCCAGAGGCGAGTTGAGGCACGGCAAATGTGGTGACAATTGCGGTGACATAGGACCAGAACAATGTCCAAGAGAGCGTGGCTTCACGCAGGCGGGCGGTGGGGATCTCAGTGGGAAGCAGGAATGCCCTGCATTTGGGTCAGCCCACGTGTCAACCTCGGTGACGATTGACTCACAAGGATGAGAACGACATTGAGTTAACGAATCCGAAAACAATACAGAGTGCTGCCAACGCGCTACGAGCAGATGCACTGGCGAGATCGGTGGCGAGTCCGGCGATGGCAAAGTCGAGTATCATGAGAAGTGTGAACCCGAATAAGGCTGTCGGGCGTCGGCCGAGTTTGTCCACCAACGTGGGACCAACGAGGATTCCAGCAAATTGGACGGTAAAGATCAGAATCGTGATCTTGAAAGGATCGGCGACGCCACTCTGAGTCAAGATGACGGTGGCATAGGCGAGGACAAGAATCTGGCCACCAACTTGACTGGCAGCAATCATGTAACTGGCCGTCAGTGTTCTTCTGATGTTGGTTCGGTTGAGAATCTCCCAGAAACGGACGTCTTGTTGTCTCTGTTGAGTCTCTGCCAAGCTCTGTGCCATGTCCGCCAGTTCTTGTTGGACCAGTGCGTGCTGATCTGGGGAGACAGGTCGTAGTGAAGTCAGAGTCTTCTTCGCCTCTTCCTGTCGGCCCTTTGAGAGCAGCCACAGGGGACTCTCCGTAGCGAGGAGGGTGAGACAACCGAATGCAACGGCCAGGGCAGCTTGAAGGGCCAGAGGGATCTTGTACGAGCGAGAATCAAGGAGGGTAGAGGTCCCCCAGACCGTCGTAACGGCGAGGATGGACACTCCCTGGCTGATGCAGACCGCAAGTCCAACAGCCCTGCCACGGACTCTAGGTGGTACCAGGTCTGCCATGTAAAGGGGTCCCACAGTCGTCAGGATCCCGATACCAGAGTCTGACTTATCAGCAAGCTTCAGACCATCGCGTTGCTCACTGTTCCAGAGCCTTCCAACTACCAGTGCTGCCATGTTCGGTGAAAAGAGCTGCAGGATACTTCCTGGGATGCAGAGAAGAAAGTACGCTGCCAGGAGGGACTTTTTACGCCCGATGCGTTGCTGCATCGGCGTACCAGCAACCACACCCAATGCCGCACCGATCAAAGGCACACACACGAGGAGATCGAGATTATCGGCCGTGAAGATAGGGCCTGCTCCACCTTGATACTTGAGAACCAAGAGTGGAAGTGATACAAGGGGCGACGTAAAACTGTTGTCATACGCGAAGAGTGCAAACGCCATACCGACGATTGCGACTGGGACCTGTCAGTAGGCGGCCGTGCTCGAGGAAACTAACCGTTCAAGGCCAGTCTGGCATTGAGCCACTTGGCATGCGCCAGATCAGGAGCGCCGGGGCTCGTCGACTCGTTGATAGATCCATTCACTGTGGCTGAAGTCATGTTGCTAGACTGAAATCGATGAAGACGACAGGACCCATGCTCCGTGGCGCGAGGTATCCTTTTAAGGTGTTTCCCCGCTACAGCGATCGGCAATTGAGCATATTTTTGCCGAAGACAGCACCGAGATCAAGACATAGAACCGAAAACTGCTCCGAAAACTGCGCCGAGAGATGTGTCCAAGGATGATGACCTTTATAGCCCATCGATGTTCCTCATCCTGCTCGCCTCGGTGCATAACTGTTCTTGATCATGACGAACTCACAGCAGTCCGCTACCAATGGCTACACGCATATGGCCAATGGCGCAAAGCTCAAGCCGACCCCAGCCGAGAGGGAGGTGATGGAGGCCCAGGCCCTGTCGGAGAAGGCGACGAGCATGGTCGAAGCGCCTGATAGAGATTGGATCAAGGTGAGCCAGCACCAGATTTACAGTGTTTAATGTCAGTCTCTGGCTGCTCTCAACATTGATTTCAAAGCCATACCGTCCGGCTTGGACTACGTTGGTATGCGTCGTTGGCTCAAAGACTCGTATGAAAAGGTGGACAGAAAGTTCAATCACCATTCCTGGCGAACACCGACTCGGGTCTCGAAGAGCGAGGTCATGCTGGAGAACGGAGACGATGAAGGATCATTCCGGTGTGTCATATGGGAGCCGGAAGAGGTCGCCACCGACGAAACTTCTCGGCCTGTCATCCTTATGTACCATGGAGGGGGCTTCATTCACGGCTTTCCCGAGTTGGACGAGGGTGAGGAGGAAATCGCTTTAACTCTCATGCTCACACCTTGCAGACCTCGCTGTAGTATTGGCATCGGATCTGCGAGCCGTAGTGGTCGGCGTGGATTACCGTCTGGCTCCTGAGCACAAATTCTCCACCATTTTGAACGACTGTCGTTCTGCCGTCGAATGGATCATCGAACATGCTGATCGGTACAATGTGGACGCCAAACGCATCGGGTTGTGGGGAGCATCTGCTGGGGCACATCTCGCCGCCAATGTTGCCATGCTCGAAGCTCTCGCCCATGAGCCCAGTCGGATCTGTCAAGCATCCTTGGTCGTTCCTCTGCTCTGTCACGTCGACGAGTGCCCTAATCCGTTGAGTGATGTACAGGCCGAAGCCCGGCAAAGAATGGACGACGGACCGAAACAGGCTCTGGACATGGCGATGATCGGGGCCAGAGAGCTATTTAGTGAGCTGGTTGGACAAGTCTCACGCTGACGCCCCAGACTTTATGCGCCCAGACGGAGTCCGAGATGATGACCCCGAAATATCCCCTTTGAGACGCCCAGGTCCCTGGCCAAGTCATCATGCTGCCGTGCATGTGACTGTTGGCGGCTGTGATCTGCTCCGAGATCAGGGCATTGCATATTACATGGCACTACAAGATAATGGGATCGAAGCCGAGCTTCAGCTCATCCCTGGCGTTCCACACGGATTCACATGGGCAAGTCGATCACGAGCAGTTTCTCAATGGTTGGATGGGCAGATCAAGGTGTTCGAGTTGGCTTTCCGAGGTAGTCGATCATGACGCGTATGCATGAGGGTCCAAGATGCCATCAGCCCTGTCTGGTGCGTTCTTTGCAAATGCTGGACCTCCAGCGATAAATGAACGCAATTCGGGTATGGGTTGAGCTTTGGCGTCGCAGAAACGGCTGTGCCGATTTTGGCGTCGGAGATGACGGTTGTTACAGAGATTGAACCCAACAGAGAAACAAACATGGGAGGAGACAATCAAAGGCTTACGGAGCGCTGACATTAGTCACCATATGAGGATGTGCTGCTTTTCAAGTACTTGTGTCGACCAAATTGATATTGTGCATTTGTCTACACCTCAGAAAGGCCTGGCGTAGTCGCGCAACTAAACATCACCACAAGCAATTCCTACTTTCCAAGAAACGAGTCTCATTGTCCATGTCAATTATAAACTATCATTGTCCGTTCGCCCGATCGAAAACTAGGCGGGTCCGGCAGATGCCCAGTGTTGGTGAACATCAGGGCCGCTGCATTGCCAGCCTTGAACATTCTGGGTGCCAGCCTTCACGTCGAGACACTGGTTACCGTTGTACACGGCGATGTGGTTGTCCTGAGTGTAGTACATGGTCTGCTGGAAGAGACCAGGGTAGCATTGCCAGATCTTCATCGGGACTCCGTCGTATCCGCCATTGTCACCAAAGTCGATGCAGTAGTTCTGTCCGGCGACCTGAATGGACGTGACACCGGGGTCACTGTAGACCCACATTTGATTGGCGGTCCATGCGCAGGGAGCGATGCCGACGGGAGAGCCGTCGTAGAACTGACCGTTGGTGACGGTCAGACATTGAGAATAGTCCTGTCCATTCTGCCAGTAGATGACCTTTCCGGTCGCGGCAGGCGCCGAAGAAGAGGTGGAACTGGGAGCCATTGTCGAAGTGGGGGTCATGCTCGAGGTGCTCGCCATAGAAGTGGACGAAGCGCTACCAACAGCCATAAGAGTGAACGACTGGATGTCCCCATTATTGTAGTTGGAACCACAAGCGACAAAGTTGGTGCCCGCCGAGCTGCTGTAGTCGAGACAAGGCGTGTACCCTGTCACCGCGATATGATCGGTGTCAGTGTAGTAAAACTGCTGCTGCGCGAGTCCGGGGTAGCATTGCCAGACCTTGGCAGGCACGGATGGATCGGATCCGGGGTTTGTACCAGCATCCAAGCAATAGTTGGTTCCTACAAGCTGGACACTGAGTTGGTTACCAGGCTGGATATTCCACAAGCCGTACAGGGCGTTGGTAGGGGAGAGAGTCTGGACCGAGTGGCAGTCGACGAAACCGACGGGTGTGCCGTCTCCGAGCCCACCGGCACCAGTAGGGTTGGTAGCCAAACAGAGGTTCGAGGCACCGTAAGGACTGGTTGGAGTGACAGGCAACTGGATCAGGTACCCGGATGTGTTGCCCAGATCTTGTCTCTTGGCCGGAGCCGCAGAAACTGTAAGTGCGGAGAGGAGCAGGGATGAGAGCATTTTGGATGAGTCGACAGGATCGGGGGGCTAGCAGGGGCTATAGGCATTCATATGTACGCTATTTATCCATCTGGCTCTTTCCGTTGGCTCCATAAATCGGGCGCCGCCTACGCCATTTGGAAATCGCCGAAGAGCCCGGATGTTTGTTGAAAACTTCCGCAAATGGCAGAGCCACTTTGTTTGCTGTGCCCAGCCCCGCGTGTACACATGTTGCGCCCCAGCTGGGCTGAGGGCAGCTGCAGAGCGGAACTTCACACCGCTTCATGATGGTAACCGCCTCTGCTCGAAGTGGGAAGTTCGGCAGTTGTGGCTTCTTCGCCCAGGTACATGTGCTCTAACCATTGGGACATTTCACTCGGCACGGATGCTAGATCTCCTCGAGAAAATGAATGCTTTGTTTATTGCGCCCTGCCATTCAACCATTCACCGAAACTCAAATGAGCCCCTCTGCCGCATCTGGCAGCTCAGCCATCTGATGCAGCTCCAACCAATGTGGTACTCTGCCCATTCAGAGCGCAATTCTCGTTTGCCATCATGACCCCATCCATCGGGATGCAAGTGCGATGCTCTTCAGACGGTCCAGCCCTTCCGCCGCCGTAGACATGCCCTTTCCAAGAATCAGTACAGCAGGCTAAGCACTCCAGTCCTCTTGGGACATCTTTTGAATGTTCCAGACGCTGCAAGCAGCGATCATCCGAACAATCACTGCATTGTACCAAGCCCTGCTCTATAGTCTACAACTTGTCGTCCCTCTCCTCAAACTCGCCGGCCTTCTCACTGAGAACTTCGACCTGTGCCAGTTTCTCCGTGTTCTGCGATTCAGCGTCTGCAGGCACAGCAGTACCAGGACCAGCTCTCAATTGTCGGCCGTCCTTGTTCCAGACCCACAGAGCCCATCCGCAGATGTAGACAAAGCATGGTATGACGAGGTAGTACGATGTTCGAGTGGAGAACTTGTCGGCAATGGCACCTTGAATGGGAGGGAAGACGGCACCACCGCTGGCACAAGTGTCAGTCAAGTCGCTTTACCATGTCTCTCTCAAAAACTCACGCAACACCCATGACAAGGAGAGCGGACGCTCGACGGGTGTGTCGTCCAGCGCCTGATGTTCCCAGGACGAAGATGACGGGGTACATCTAGGTTGTTAGCGAGGCGCTAAGCTCATATAACTCACGATCGACTCAAAGAACATGATGATGATGAGGCAGACGACGCCGGGCATACCACGAAGACTTCCAATCAAGACAGCCAGTACTGTGCACACTGCCGCATAGACGGCCAGCATGAGGGGAGCGGAGATGTAAGAGAGCAAAGCAGTTCCGATGAAGCGGGCAACGGTGAAGGTGATCAGTCCGTAGGACAAGAGCTGAGAGCCACGGGCATCTGGAATGTTGGCATTGGAGTACGAGTAGTTGAGGAAGAACGATCCAATGGTGACCTGGGCGCCGACGTACAGGAACTGAGCCACAAATCCAGTGATGGCCCTGTACTGTTTGTAGAATGGCTCCAAGGCCGTCACGTGACCATTTCCATCGAGAGAGTTCTGGTGAGCGATTGCCTCCGCTTGGGCTTGCAGATCCGCTTCGGACACCTCAGGGAGTTTGGTGAAGACGAAAGCGAGGGCGATGGCGACACCCATTCCGGCGACGGCAAGATAGACCCATTGCACATTGTTCAAGTTGTTCGCGTTCTCCCCGCTGAAGAAGTATTTGGAGGCGATCAAGGGTCCAGAGAAGGATGCGACACCGTTGAATGACTGGGAGAATTGGAGTCTGAAGTTGGCAAAACCTCGAGGTGGCATGACTGAGACATAAGAGTTGGCCGCGACCTCGAGTGTGGCGAGACCGCAAGCAATGACCGCAGTGCAGACGACGAATCCACCAAAGATGGCATGAGGGTTCTTGGTGTTGACACTGTACTTGGCAACGGGCCAGAAAAGGATCGCACCGAGCGAGTACAAGCAGAGTCCCATGATGATTGCGGTTTTGTATCCTCTGCGCTTCAAAACTTCACCAGCGACGGGCGAGTAGGCAAAGTATCCGATACCGAAGTAAGCCACTTGAAGACCGGTTGATTGAAGCTTGGTGATGTGCAGGACATTTTGGAAGTGCTTGTTGAGTACGTCGAGCAGTCCGTAGGCAAATCCCCAGAGGAAGAAGAGAGAGGTGACGAGGATGAAAGACCACACTGGAATGTGAGCCGAGTCCAAAGGGCAGCACACTCACAATAATCTCGCTTCACGAAACCTCGTTTGAGAGGGTTACCTCCACCGATGTCCTCTCCGGGGACGAGATGTGTTAGGGCAAGAACGGCTCCAGGCATGTTGGCTGAGTATTGGATTGATTTGTGCTAGACTTTTGATGGGCCAGAGACACCTTCAGACGTCTGTCTTATATAGTGCACGAATGATGATGTGCGCGTGCCTGAAACCAGCATCCGACGCTAAAGACGGTCCAGATTGCCCCGCGAGAGCGTCTCAAAAATTCCCTCGTGTGCCCCAGAATAGGCCGCCACACCCTAGCTCGATGCAATGAGCGTAAGAATGAGAGGTTCCATGACCAATATTTTTAGCGTGCGACGCCTTGCGCGCAACATTTTCGTATAAAATTTTCTGAGAATCGAACTTTCAGCCATATGCCGGTGGGCAGGAGAATCAATCTTACTGGGGCGAACATAGTTCTTGGCTCATGGGAAACTAGAGATTTGGGGACGAGAAGTGGACAGTTGGACCGAGTTCCACCGAAGCTAGTGCATTTGAAATACATTCAGCACACCTTCCGTCCAGGTTCGATCGGATTGGGTTTGGCGAGGCCCGTTGGAGGCATCTGCAAGCCATTGGAACAATCTCATTCGGAGCTATAATTTGGGGCACAAAACCAATCTCGCACGGTGGGCGGGGGCGTTGTTGGGGTATTTGAATGGGCAACTGTATTGAGGGAGTTGACACGCATCACGTGCATGATGAGCTTTGCAAAAAAGCTTCCGGCGGGCTTCGCTTTACGCCCGTCGGCCGCGGTCGTCGCCGGTGACATCATTTCTTAGTTCTTCATTGGCTTGGGACCACGATACCCGGCTCAATGTTCAACTTGTTCATGCTTGTATCCGCTATCCTCAGGCTACAATGCGATCCTTACACGTCAGAACATGGAGCTGGCAAATGTAGGTCGCCTCAAGACCATTCAGAACTGAAAATCAACAGGTTCAACGTGAATCTTGGGACGGGCGGATGTGAGTGGATAATCGTATTCGAGAACCAACCCCTCCATCAGTCGCCATTGTGCTCGCCTCGATTCCCCACAAGTTCCGAGGTCAACATGCCATCGGTAAGCTCATAGATACACCTGAGCCAACGACCTAGGTACCGTCTTCTTCATCATCGACATTGTGGTATTCATCGTCAACGTTGTCATGCTCTCCCTCCGAGCGATCCATTTTCCCCATCTCTTCGCCCTCAGCTTCAAGAGTCATTCAGAGGGAGTGTGGACGCCCGTCTCGGCCGTTGCCCTCTCTACCCTTCTGACTAACACCATGCTGTATGGCATTCCCTATTGTGGGCCTTGGTTGCTCATCGTTTGCGAAGTATGGTATTGGGTTTACATGTTCTTGGCACTGTGCCTCACGCTTGCATACAAGCGGAATTTGTGGGTACCTGTGACGACAAAACTCATCACAAAGCCGTACAATCTCTCGCAAACTGTCTGAGATCAGTCCACCCGACGCCCTGGAAGTGTACCCACTAATGTTCTGCGGTGTGGTGGGAGCGACCTTGGCCACGAAACTTGCCGAACGCTACGCACGCAGAGCATTTACGGTAGCCATTTTCTCATACGTCGTATCAGGTACGCCACGTCCATTTGGCAATGTGCTCATAGCATCTGGTCTCGGGTTTTTCAACGGCCTATTGATACTCAGTGTATATGTGGCCCACGATTTGATGATCAAAAACACGTCCAGCTCGGTCCTTCCCTCACACCTGATATCGGTCGGCGTGCCAGGCTTTACAGCCTACACGACTATCAATCTCGGACACGCAGCTTTGACACTATGGCGGGAGAACGACATTTTTGCCGGAGCGGGCGAGGGTGGACCAGATCCTCAACTCGCGGGTCAGATCTTTTTCTGCATCAGTATATGGTTCTGCCTTTTACTCGTGGTGAGTTGCCGTTGCCGGTCCACCTTCCTGATCCTTCAGGGAATGGGCGGTAGGTGAATCATCTTGACTGTCTCTAACGGCAGCTTGGTTGCTCATGGGCTTCTCCTGGAACGCATTTTGGTCATGGACGACGAATCCCAGGAGACCGATCTTCAGGCGTTGGCACTACGTGAGTTGAGCCAACGAGCTCAGCTGACGCACCCCAGACCTGGTGGGGCTGGACGTTCCCACTGAGTGAGCCTATGGAGTTACCGATCTCCTGACCCTTTCAGCCGGTTTTGTCGGTTCTCTCGGTCGATTGGGCTCTTACCTTCCCTCAAGAGCATTTTCCATCCTCAATATCATTCTCGTCTGCTTCATGGGCTTGATGTAAGTTGGTATGCGAATCCACCTGACTATCAGGTGGCTCTTCAACATTGTTGGTACCATTGTCATCATCTGGAAAGGTGAACTGCCTGGTGGTGAGGAGACCATCGAAATGACCCGTCGCCAAAGCGACTCGGATGATGAGGGCGGCATACCCTCGTGAGGTGTTCTGGAGATCACTCCATGTCGGCAATACGCAGCTACGAGGCGCAGCTCGCGAATCGGTGATCGCGAAGTGCTTCTCCCCGCACTGTGGAGGGCTCTCGACGTTGCTCAGCGTGGCGAGACTTTCAAGGGAGGTTCTTGAAGGCAGGTTCTTCATGCCATGTGATGTCCCACAGCCAGTCAAGCCAGGTGCAGACTGCATGCGACGGCAATCAATGGGAGAAGGTCTAAAAGTGGCGTATCTATCAATGATTGCTGTAACTCATTACACGAACAGCTGTTGTCCATACCGTTCGTTGTCCTCATCACATGCATGTATCGAGGGCTCAGCATTTGTCGGCGATTCGGCAACATCCGCTTGGGTCTCGGCAGCAATTCAAGTCTCATCCGCTAGAATGGGATTCTATTGGGCGACGACCGTCGTTTGCTAGCAACTATCGCCGCCAAAAAGACGTACACTCCAGTTCAAGCAGTGTTCGACATGGTGATTCCGAACCCCTATCAGACTCCTCCGGATACGCCACCAGTCGGTCAATCCCCGAACGCGGCCTCGTCCAAGGCACCAGCGCGCCTGTCTAAGCCCAAGATCTGCTGTAACGGTCCCAAGCGACGAGCCTATGAGTACAATCACGAGCCCGGAAATCCCGTCATCACCCTTCATCCTCAAGGCGCCAGCTCCGTCACCCTGCATCTAGACGAGTACTGGGTCTTCCTGTTCTTCCGTTTCTGCGCAGAGCGGCATCGTATGCAGGTGCGGCGGACATACGAAGGTGTTGCTAGAGAAGCCTTGAGTCAAGATGAGACTATGCAGAAGACATTCGTCGGGAACGTGTTCCGCGAGCTTGACGCAGGAAGTGTGCGTAATCGTGAACTCATCATAGGCAAGGGTGACCAGAGTCACGAGGAGATCTGCTGTGAGGGCGTCCTCTAGCTCGAAGCTGACAACTGTCCCAGTCAGGATCTTCCTTTTCTGTGCCTTTTACAAGATGGAGACTTGGAATGCTCTGGAAGGTGCTCTTGGCCATGTCCCTCGATATTCGACATTCGAGAAGGATCTGCCGATCTACGAGGCTACTATCTCCGACTTGTCTCGTCGGCGTCGAAAGATCTACACCGGTGCCTTTCAGCTGGTCCCCCCCACACCCTATTTTGGCGCTCCTCACTTTGCAGCTTCGCTTCGATTTGTACTGGCATTGATGCAGATGGGCTTGCCTGCCAAGCTATTGTCATGCCATTACGCAGTCGACGCGTCCAACATCCTCCGGACGGTGCCGACATTGGGCGGCTTTCTCTCTCTCAACATGCTTTGCTACCTAAACGACTCGCCGCACTTGTCATTCAGCTACCGCAACTTTGCCTCCTGTGGTCCGGGATCTAGGGCGTTTCTTCGCGCAATGTTCGGCCCATGCATCAACTCAACAGCTTACGAGGAAGCTGGACTGCACTGGCTACAGAAGAATCAATGGCAATACTGGGCAGCCCTGGGGGAGGATCCTCCACATGCCTGGGAGCTAGGCGTACGGCCCGGCGTCAGGGTCTTGGATATTGAGAACGCTCTGTGTTGGTGTCACCGCTACGTCAAAGACTATCTCCGGCTCGGCTACGGCTCTGTTGCGGACTCAACAATGCCCGTCGTCAAGCCCGAAGCTTTTGCACCCGCCTGGTGCGACGAGGAGAAAAACGCCTTGAATCAAAGCAAAGCAGTCTTCGATGATGACTACGAAGAGGCCGCAGCAAAGACGAGACCGGTGAAGGAAGGTGTATGGGAGGTGGAACGGGTTGTTGGCAGGAAAGGCAATAGAACTGACCCGGATGGCCTTTTCAGAGTTCGCTGGGCAGGCTGGCCGCCGGAAGATGACACATACGAGCGAGCGTCGACCCTGAGAGACGGTTCAGCCGACGCCTTGGCCGAATGGCTGGAATGGGAGGGGACCGTGTGGTCATCGATCGCTCAAGTCAAAGAGAAGCACTTGTATAGCGAAGTCAAGGCAGAGCTGGACGAGGACATGTCAATCAAGGTCGAATCAAGTCCGCATAGGAGAACGAGGAAGCGGCAGAAAACAATGTAGCATGCGGCTGTCCATCTATATGACGAGGGCTGCTCTTGGATATCATGTATGGTACAAATCAGACAACAATGGCAGGATACCGTTCAAGACAAGATCAGAATATTGCCTCCCTCGCAAACATCAGATACACCGACGCCGCCCACGTATAGCACGAGTCCCTGTTGCCCGTTCCTTTCTGAGCATCATAATTCTCTGCAAAACCCGAAACATCACACATCGCCATGAATCTTGCCCTGATCGTGTCCGCTGTGGCCAAATGCCCACTTTTGCGGAGGCCCGACTCGATCAAAGCCGTTACAGGAGCCCAAATGGGACCTCTCCAGTAGCCATCGGGCTCGTATAGGGGCGAATCGAGAGCCTCGGTTGCTAGACCGTGCTGTGTCGTAAACTGGTCCAGCAGACCCACCATCCGGGTCACGATAGGCTTGGGGAGATAAGGGGCCGCCACGAGAGGGATCAGTGTCAAAAGCGAGCTGCTCTTGATCAGCTTTCCCGTTCGAGCTGACTTGACCACGAAACCGTCATCTGTCCAGAGCTCATCGACGAGGTCATGCGCCAGGCGATCGCGGGTGGAGACCCATTGTTCAGACTCGTTCCCCCTGCGGAGATTTGCCGCAGTGACTGCCAGCCAGTCAGCCTGTATAATGAGAAATGCCGCTAGGTCGGGAGACACGATGACTGGATCTTCATCGAAGCAGGTCGCATTGTCCCACCCTGAATCGTTCCCATGGATGTAATGACAGAGCTCAGAATGGGAACTGGTCCGATTGACCAGCCAAAAATTTGTAAAGCGAGAGACCTGTTGTCAGTCAGATCGCGCTGTTGCTCACCTTTTCGTATAGCGGCTCGAGACTCCTTCTGTCAATCTTTGCAACCTCTTGTATCTTGAACAACGCCCAGCCGTAGATAGGAGGTTTAGCAAAGTCGTACAAAATCTGATCGTCAGCTCGTTCGGACAATCACCCACCTCGCACTGAGTGACTGAGTCTGGAAGGCGTCCCTGTGGGGTCTGAAAATCGTATGGAATCAAGATATTGTCCAGGGCTGGGCGTAGACCTAGCGATGCCAGAGCGACGGCGTTGAAACAATTGTCCCATGACCAAATCTTGTCCATCCAGAGTTTGGACATGAGTACGCCCTCACGCTTCAGTAGACCCATGGGTCGGACAGTCGAGGTCCACATGGCAAAGGCGGCATATGTCTCGGTCGACGAGGCATTGCTGGTCCAAGGCAGGAGCGCTTTAGCGTATTCGCTGAAACGTGCATGAGCGTGCGACTTGACGTCTTCAAAGCAGACGGTCGATAGTGCCGCAACCACGTCGGGCAGGGTTTCGAATCGCTCTGAGCCCTCATCAGAAACCAGACTCGTCTCACGCTCGATAATGGCCAACTCCCAGTCTCCCCCCTCGCTGGATTTGATGGTGATCCTACGATTCCCATCGTCGGCGGTCAGAATGTTGACGCACGTGAATTCGCCTTTGAGTGCGACAAGATACATCCCCTGGTAGCCAAAGGTCGTAAATTCGAGCATACTCGGAAGCTTGTGTCGGCTCTGAACCGGTGCGATGTAGGAGGAATATCCGCCCCCTAGGACCGAGGCATCCGTGTCAAGATTGAGCGGGATAGTCCCCCGAACGCGAAGTATTCTCGCGTCTTGAAAGACTGCCTCGGCTACGGTTCTATCATGGAGCTTCCAGTGCAAAGTATCCGCACTCGCGCCAAACGTGGTCGGTGAGTCTGTAGTCAAAAATCCCTGAGGCGGGGGAAGCTCTTCGACTGACGGTCTCAGCGCAAACATGGGTCTGCCGATGGGAATCTGATGAGTCGACAAGTAGAGGTCAGTGTGTGGACACTGGCCTCCCCCCGGTCCTGCCAGAGTGCACAGGGAGAGGTATGAGCCACGGCACGACCATGGCACTTTGTGTAAGTCGACTGAGAGCTCGTGCATGACGAGTTTATGACATCAAAAGGTGTGGGACCCTTGCAGCGGCGAGACCCGTTAAATGTCCCGAAGTGTCGATGATGTTTTAACACCCGTGGGAAACTTGAGAGTTTCCGCCTATCGATACTGATGAAACCGCATGCATGCTTCATGAGAAGCTGCTCTCGTTCGGCCCGGTCACTCGTTCCGCTTGTCAGCGATCGATTCAGCTCCTCGGACCGACCCTTTTGAATGGTTTGCAACTGGGTAAGAGATCTCGATGAGAACGGGAATATCATCCAGCCCCATTTCTCGTCGGAACTCGGTCCTCCACTCGGCAATATCGGAGGCCGAGATCGGGGGCCAGAAGGCGGGGGCACCGAACTGCTTGCTTTATAGCAGCTGCTCTGGGTCCTATCACCTCCTACATTCGAATCTCTCGAATCATGCATCAGCCATCCAAGATGATTACAGGTGAGTTTAGCACTACTCCGACCATCCGCTCACATGCAGGCATCGTCGTCGACGGTCAATCATTCGCGATCCACACGACTTCCACCTCGTACCGCTTCCATGTGGATGAAGAAGGAGACCTTGTCACGGACCACTTTGGAGCCTTCAGCCCCGAGACTGTCCCTCCTCCCCCCTTCAAGATATCCGGATGGGTCAACAAGCATTCACGTCAGCGCCGCGAATACCCCGATTTCGGGCGAGGTGACTTGAGACTACCAGCCGTCCGCATTCAACATTCCAACGGAAGCGTGGTCTGCCAATTCAAATACGTCTCTCACGAGATCCGAAAGGGCAAGCCAGAGGTCGCCGCTCTTCCTACAGCATATGGCGGAGAGGATGATGTGGAGGTCCTAACCCTGCATCTCAAGGACGAATTGGCCAATGTGGAGCTGGAGCTGGCGTACTCTGTCTTCCCAGCTGACAATGTCATTGTTCGAGCTGCCAAAATCACCAACAAGGGCTCCGAGAGGGTGGTGGTGGAGAAAGCAGCGAGTTGGAGTGTCGATCTCCCAGCCGGAGAGTACGAGATGCTCAGTCTCCGTGGAGATCACAACAGGGAGGCCATCCGAGCGAGGCGACGGGTCGAATATGGCGTCCAGAGGTAGGCACTGCCCACGAGCAACAGCTGACGAGATTCAGTATCGGAAGCAATCATGGATATTCTTCTCATGTTCACAACCCTTACGTCGCTCTGTTCCCTCCTCACACGACTGAGACTCAAGGCGAAGCATGGGCTTTCAACCTCATCTACACTGGCTCTCACTCTATCGAGGTGGAAAAAGTGACTGATGGACAAACCCGAGTCGTCGTTGGTACCAACCCCCTTCATATGTCCTACCCTCTTGCTCAAGGTGAAAGTTTCCTCACTCCAGAATGCGTGGCAACCTTCTCCATAAATGGCCTCGGAACGACTTCACGGAATCTTCACCGCTTCTATCGAAAACACCTCATGCGAGGACCTACCGCGGTCGCTGACCGAGCTGTCCTTCTGAACAGCTGGGAAGGTCTCTATTTCAACTTTGATCACGCTCGCATTGCGACGCTTGCCAAGCACACGGCTGACCTCGGTATTAAGCTCTTCGTCCTGGATGATGGATGGTTTGGAAACAAATACCCTCGAATCAATGATCAAGCTGGTCTAGGCGATTGGGTCGCCAATCGAGAGAGATTCCCAGATGGTATGCCCAAATTTGTTGACAAGGTCGCGGGAATTCCCGTGGCCCACTCGGATGACAAGCTTCGATTTGGAATCTGGGTCGAACCAGAGATGGTCAATCCAAAGTCTGAATTGTACGACGCGCACCCCGATTGGATTTTACATTCTGGCGACTACCCAAGGACCGTGACACGAAATCAGCTGGTGCTCGACTTGTCGAAGAAGCCCGTTCAGGACTACATCATTGATGCCTTGTCCAAGGTTCTCAGCGAGGCCAATATCACCTACATCAAATGGGATAACAATCGAGCGATGCACGAGATGACCACGCCTGCCACGGCACACGATTACATTCTTGGGTTGTATCGAGTTTTACACACCTTGACCACACGATTCCCTCATGTCCTATGGGAAGGCTGTGCCTCTGGTGGAGGCCGATTCGACGCTGGATTGTTGCCTTACTTCCCAGTCAGCTGGACTTCGGACAACACCGATGCCTTGGATCGCATCTTCATCCAGTTCGGCACCTCTCTTGCCTACCCTGCTGCCTCGATGGGATGTCACGTTTCCGCTGTGCCTAATCACTCGACGTTCAGGACAACATCACTAGAGTTCAGGGCGCACGTCGCGATGATGGGTGGATCCTTTGGATTCGAACTGGACCCCGCTCAAATGACCAAAGAGGAACAAGAAGTCATTCCTCAGCTGGTCAAACTCGCCGAGCGTGTCAACCCGTTGATCGTCCGAGGCGATCAGTATCGCTTGGCACTGCCCGATGAGAGCAATCAGCCAGCCGTCATGTACCTCTCGGAAGATGGTTCTCAAGGCGTCTTATTCGTCTACCAGATGCAATCTGTCCTCAACTATGCCTCTCAACCTATCCGCTTCCAGGGTTTAGAGCCAGAAGCGAAATACAAGTTGGAAACGGGTGAAACGTGGACCGGATCAACATTGATGAATGCGGGACTGTATTTTGCCATGAGGGGCGATTACCAAAGTAAAATGGTCTTCTTTCAGAGAGTGTAGGGATAGAAAACATGCATCGCTTTGGCTGTGTCATTTGCATGTCATCCTCAACGCCATTCCGCCACGTACAGTCATGTTACCAGAGCCGTGTTCTCCTTCTCAATCTGAGAAAGTGGCGCCCTCGGCTTCAGCCTAATTTATTAACCTGATCTCAGAATAGCCATCTTTGAAAGCATATAAGGTATACGTCTCGTGGGATGGCATCGTGTCACTGTCCGCGCCACAAGGAAACCACTCACCTACATCATGGGCATTAAAGATCTTGTCTTCTCCATCCCCTCCAGTCGTGGAGGCGCTCCTGGATGTTCAGCCTGCGACTTTGTCATGACCGCTTCAACTTCCGCCTCAACAGGCGTGACCAAACTTCCCGAGCTACCGCATGCGGAGAAACGAGCGAGGGAGGCGAATGTAGCGTCCTGTAATAAGGTAGTCAAATCGATGGACACAGAGGTGCGCTCATGGCCCCTAGGAATCATGCTGACGCCAAAGTCAACCAAATCAAGGGGCTTGTTTTCACTCCGCAAGTCTCGGCAATAGACGTTTGAGGATCTGTTCAAGTTGTACTTAGGCTGACAATGCCGGCGTGGGATAATGTATTTGGCTTTGCCGGAGGAACACTAGTTCGGCTCATGAGCGTGCTGCGCTGCTGATTAGACCAGGCCCTGTTGAACTGTCACCGTCATGGGGACTACAGCATTCAAGAAACAGCCTGCTGCTGCTTCATAGATTGTTTCGGGCTGCACAAGGGCCAACAAGAGTCATCGCAGCCGGACCGCGAGTCTCAGATTGAATAGAATGCGGATTCAAACAGCACCCGGTCATCCACTCAAGTTGGCTGTATACAAGTCGCCCGCTTGAGATTATCGATACACGCCCTCAGAGTACCGCGCGGACAGCTATCTGATGCATCAAGACATCTTCTTACTTGCCGTGGTTGGCAATGCTACCGGCGTCAGAAGATCCAGACGGCGTCACTTACAGGTCGCCGAATAATTTCCATAGAACACTGAACAAAAGTCCTTGAAGACCGTTGGTCAAAATTCTCGTCCTCAATCCACGGCCAAAGAGCCCAATGAGACCCTCAGATGCGACAATCTCCTTGGCGGCGGTCACTGTCACCATCAGCAGAGTCTCTGGCGCTGTGACTCACTGTACGGGACGTCACCTTCGTGTACTTGTCGATAGGTCTTGACGACTCGTAACGAGTTGCTAACAGTGTCAGAAACGACGGATGCGACAAAGCCGATGAATGCTTGACGCTGCAACGTCAGCCGTGTCCTTGAGGACGACGTACGAAGAGCTTTTGCACGATGGTGTGCGCCACGGGCAAAGCCTCTTGAAGAAAATTGTAAGTACCGAACCATGGATCTGGACGAGTCAGTGACTGGTCACACAACGCACTCACAGTTTCCGACAAATGTCGCTGCAGCCGTGGCCAAGGCGCCGTACCACAAACAGCCGATGCCCTTCTCCTTGACTCTATCGCGAAGCAATTTGAGACCAGCTTTGCCGCCCTTGGTCTGTTGGGTCGTCTTGAGCGTATCGATGGGCGTTAACACCATCCGGAAACAAGCAGCCGCCACAGATCCAGCGACAGTCTTGACGAGCACAGGCCAAGTCAGCGAGTCGAGCAAGGCGAGAATACCGGCATTGGCCGCAGTGTCTCCGAAACGGGAAAAAGGACCTTGGAAACTGACTTTCAGCCGAGATGCTTTGACATTGGCTTACATGGCTGCTCCGAGTCCGGCGTAGAATCGCTTGAATCCTCCGTCTCCCCAGAGATGTTTGACGCTGTCTCTGAATCCACCTCCATAGCGATATTGATAGTTCATCACAGTTCGTAGCGGCATTAACGCTAGCACCTGAACGACCATTGCCGCTGCTCCTGCCAGTCCACCGCCTCCGGCAGACTTGAGAGCTCGAACGATGTCAAAGTTGAGCTCATAAGATACGCCTCGACCGGCAAAGGCCACCGCCGCGGCGATGGGGACGGACGCGAGGATGGAGGTATAAAAGGTCGAGAACAGGACCGAGGAGGAGTAAGGGGTCATGAGAGAACCGGGCAGAGGTGGTGCAAAGGATGTCAAGGAGAGAACAAAGCCCTGGAGGGTCAGTTCGACACTCGTCACCCACTCACGAAAGCTGGATCCTGGAGGTAAGCCTTGGTGGAGGGGATCTTCTGGAAAGCTCGGATCATTGGTATCACAATGGCAGGAACCACACCATATCGCCAGAGGACGACGGTCAGGACATTTCCTAGTGTAGGTGGAATCCTCTCCTCAGTTCTGCCCTGGTCAGCTTAGGGTCGCGGTGCAGAACCCACCGATGGACTTCCCCAGCTTTAACAGCAGCTCCTTGTCCAACAATATCGATAGCGACAAACGCTAAAGCTAGGACCTGAAGACCTGAGCCGAACGAGCGCCACGCCCAATTGCCTCGAGTCTGCTCGATGGAGAGGCCGAAAATGGCCCTCTGCACTGGCTTAATGAGACCGATGACCAGTCCAAAGACCGACGCGATGACGAGCGGGGAGAGCAAGCTCGCTCGAGAGATCTTGGAAGCAGGCTTGGTGTCTGATGGTCTGACCAAGGGGGTTCGTTCAGTAGCTTCCTCCGCGTCGATGGGCTCCACTTCGGATTCATCGTCAGCAGGAGGCTGTGGCTTAGGTGTGGGTCGAGGAATGATGAGGACGAGCACAAATCTAGCGTCAGCGGGAGGGGTTACGGGTACACTCACCGGGCGATCTCGACCACTAGGAGATTGATCACGATGTACAGAACGGCATGTGAGACGATGTCACTGGTAGAGTCCATGGTATGCCACACGAGGTGGTTCAGACCGGCATCTCCGCTCGAAATAAAGCCAAGGACTTGGACGATGAGCAGAGGGTAAGAGGAGACACTGACGTGAGCGATTTGCCCGTCCATAGTCTCACTTGTTATAGAGGACATTGTCCAGAAGCCAGGCCGGCGCACTAGAGAACCGATTCACAAGAAGGCCAAAGAGGACAGACGCGATGTGCGAGGTAATATTGACGACGAGCACAGGCCAGACTGTTGTAAGCTGAGCTCGAGGAATCTGCTCACCGATCTGCAGGATGCGGAACCATGTGAGGTACGTGGAACCAGCCAAGGTGAGAAAGACCAAGCAAGGCAAAAAGATGCGACGCGATAGAGGGCTCGCCGCCTGGCACCGTCAGCGGATCTCCGAATAAAAGGCGGCTCACCTTTTGGATCGCCGTGGCTCGCTCCTCATTATTGGCGTAACCTGCTGTGAAGACGACTGCTCCGGCTACGGTAGCCTGGAAGACTGTGGTCACTACGTCTACGAGGGACTCCATGGCTGCTTGAAGAGGAAGATTGACAGTATGGAGAGGATCTCAGTGACACACGGTCATGATCGGCATCGGCTGATTTCCCGTCGGACATCGCCGCTATTGCTGTTTGCGGGTGGGGTGGAGGTTTGGGTGGAGGGAGGACATGAGGATGACCCTCAAATTCGGTGTACATCCCATCGCACATCGTACTTACGCCTACGACACACTCCACAATGCCATTCAAGCCAGTTCAGCTCAACGACGGCAGATATCTGCCCACTATCGGATTTGGTACCTGGAAGATCCCCAAGGAGAATTGTGCCAGTCAGGTCGATCAGGCCGTGGATGTTGGCTTCGATCACATCGATACCGCCCAAGGTGAGTCGAGATCGGGCTGACATCAGGCTGACAATTTGCAGCTTATCGAAATGAGGAAGAGGTCGGACAGGCTATCAAGGAGCAAGGACTCGCTCGCAAGGACTTTTGGCTGACCACCAAGTGGAGTGGAGTCGATGGAAAGCAACCAAAGCAATCTTGTGAAGAATCTCTGGAGAAGTTGGGCGTAGAGTACCTCGACCTCTACCTCATCCACAGCCCTCGACTCTGTCAGGGTGACATTCCCGGATCTTGGAAGCAGATGGAAGATCTATACCGTGAAGGTAAAGTCAAGTCCATTGGAGTGTCCAAGTGAGTCTAGTAGTCCATCTTTTTCGCTGACTGTTAGCTTCTCCGTCGAAGACCTGCAGACTCTCCTCGCCAGCTGCTCCATCAAGCCCGTCGTCAACCAGATCCTCCTCCATCCTTACGTCATTGGAAGGACCGAGCCATTGCTCGAGTTCCATGCTGCTCAGCACATTGTGACTGAAGCTTACTCGGCTCTCTTCCCCTTGACCAGTCAGCCCGGAGGACCCGTCGACAAGCCCCTCAACAAGATTGCCGAGAAACACGGAGTCAAGCCTGAGCAGGTCTTGATCGCTTGGGCCAGTGCCAAGAAGTGAGTCAGTCTATGGGAGACTTGCTGACAAGTCAGGGCGGTCGTCCTCACCACCTCGCGAACCAAGGAGCGCTTGGAGGGATACCTCGCCGCAGGGGACATCACCCTCAGCGAGGATGACATTGCCGAGCTGGACAAAGCTGGTAAAAAAGGTGAACAAAAGCAAGTGATGGTCAAAAAGGCTCGCACTGTGGGTCGTGTGGTCTTGGCTGGAGCTGCAGTGTATGCTGCTCTGAGACTGTTGGGCCTCTAAGTTTGATGTTGCAAACATGAGCATGCATCAGCCACTGATTAGGAATTCCGGGTCCAATGACCATATCGGACCAATTACTAATTACTCTTCGGGTTTCCCTCCTCGTGATCTGCGTGAGGCGTTCCTCTTGAGCGAGTCGCGGCGACGGTCGCTCGTCTCACCTCCATTATCTACTTATCCGTTCGCTAGCTGCCTCTGCAACATCCAAGCTCATCATGGCCCCCTACGGTGCGTGCTTGACCACGAATACTGGCTCACGCTGTAGCCGAAGGAAGTCTCTTCTGGTACTCACCAAATCAGGGCGCGCCCATCGCCTTTGCTGTCTTGTTCTTCTGTTCTGGTCTGGTCCACCTCTACGAGTGCATGTAAGTGTCAAGCACCGTTGAGGCATTGACGCCAGCCGGTTCAAGTCATTCAAGGTGACCTTTCTTCTGGTCTGGGCACCCATCCTGTTCACTACCGGCTTCACCCTCCGTGCCATCTGCGCTTGGAACTATGACAACACCTCCCTTTTCATCGCTGAGAACGTACTGCTTCTTCTCGCTCCACCTGTGTATGAGGGGGCCAACTTCATCATCCTCGGTCGAATCCTCTATTACGTGCCCTACCTGTCCCCGATACACCCAGGGCGTGTAGTGACGACCTTCCTCGGCTTTGACCTGGTTGTGGGCGCCCTCACCGGTAACGGGGCATCGAGAATAAGCAGTCGTGACTCGGCTTCCACCCGCAGAGTAGGAGAGGCCTTGCTCAAAGCCGCCCTGATCACCCAGCTGGTCTGTATGGTTTGCTTTATCGCCTTGACGGCGGTTTATCATCGTCGCGTTTCGCACGAAAGTCTCATGCGTCCCAAACTTCTCAAGCCTATTCGAGTGCTCTATGTCAGCTGTACACTCATTAGCGTCCGCACGATCTATCGCATCGTCGAATACTTTGCTTCAACCCGTTCGATCCACCTGCTCTATTCAGGTCAAGTCAACGAGCAGTCCCAGCTCTCCGCCATGTTCACCAACGAGTGGTTTTTCTGGGTGTTTGAAGCTTCGGTTATGCTCATCAACTCGGTCATACTTAACGCATTCCATCCCATGCGATATCTCCCGGAGAGCAACAAGATCTACCTTGACCGGGATGGAGCAACAGAGGTTGAGGGACCCGGCATTCAGGACAAACGACACTTTCTGTTGACCATCATCGACCCGTTCGACATCGCAGGTTTGATTGCAGGGCGGGACAAGGAGGCTCAGTTTTGGGAGAATCATGAGCGAGGTTAGCCCACAGCAGCGAGAGAGGCCTCAGGGAAGTGAGGGATCGGTATGAGTGCTTGCATTGTGTATGTAATTGCCTTATGATGATGCATGGCTACGCGTCTGATGGCAGCTTGGGGTCGGGAAAGTCTGTCGTCATGTGCTCATCCTGTCTTGTCAGCCTCGCCTTTAAGGGCACCCACCCATTGCCTGAAGTGAACCTTCTGGCCGACCCGATCAATCTCCTCAATCTCTTCCTTGGTTAGATCCCTGACTTTTTCCGTCGCGGCCATGTTGCGAATCCTCTCCTCGTTGCCCGAGCTCGTGACACACACGAACCCTTTGCAGACCGTCCAGAGAATGAGAACACCAGCAGCGTCAATCTCCACGCCGCTCTCCTTGCTGAGCTTTTCGGCAAGCTTGGTGAGGATTGGCTTCAGAGGCCCTCCTGTAGGATGCGAGTGGACAGGTGTCAACGCGGCGTAGGACTGGGTCACAATTCCGTGTTTGGTCTGGATGTCCAAGACGGGTTGAATATGGGCCAAGACATATGGATGGCACTCGATTTCTGAGAATGTCAGAGAGAGTCGGTAGGATCGACTCACGATTGACCACTGGCTTGATCTTGGCCACCTTGACAATCTCCTCAATGTCTACGGGTCTGAAGTTGGAAAGACCGATGGAGCACCCCTTGAGGGTACCGTCCTCGACCAGAGCTTCAAGATGGCCCCAGAACTCGCCTAACGACATGCCGGCTTTGGTCGGAATGAATGGGTTGTGAATAAGCACCAAGTTTGGGACGAAGCCGAGGCGGTCCAGAGAACCTTGGACAGAGGCCCGAATGTCATCGGCAGAAATGGGGTTTTCTGGACGTGAGTGGGGGAAAGATTGTTGGGTAACTCACTGTTGAAACTGAAAACTGCAGGTCAGCGGCAGCCAATCTAGCACGGGCTCACTCTTCGTGGTGACATAGATATCATCACGCTTGTGTCCAGCCTTTTCAATTGCCTGAATGACCTCTCGCTCAGTGCCATAGATCTGTGCACTGTCAATGTGGACTATCCCAGCCTTCACGGCAGCCGCGCCGGCGTTTATGGCTTTCGCAGAGCCTCCCATGTTGCTAAGGCTGTCAGCACGAGCCGGTAGCCTTCAACATACCCCCAGCCCAGGGCAGGGATCGAAGTCCCATCGTTGAGCTTGATAGTTCGCACCATGTTGGATGGTCAATGTCAAGAGTAGGACGAGTGGGGCTCTTGGCTTTTCTTTTCGTCTTCAGGTGGAGGTGGAGGTCGGATACCCCTTAGGCGAGAAATATTCGTCATCTCGATGCATTCGTCTACGATAACCCTTTTCACTTCATCAACTGCTTGGCCTTCAACAAGATATCTCCCGGAGCCAGCCCTTGGTACGGAATTTGCTCGCTGCGATGTCAGTATACAGACCACCTAGACGCTCACCCTAATCCGCCACAACCCTCCTTGTTTGTACCCATGTAGCCGTATCGCGGGTGCAGGTCTCGCTCAAGGAGCCAAGTACCGTACTGCTCATCAGCCAAGTCCTCTAGCCTAACCCACTTTGCTTCCCAGTCCGGTTCGTTGGTTCAAGCTCTCAACGACAAGGACGAATGGCGATGATCCAATTTCTTTGATGATCTGCTCATCGACAACGTTGAGAGTGCTCTTGTTGATCAGTCCTACATCAACACCTTCCTTCTTTAGCCGCTCAACGGCGTCCAAGGATCGGTAGAGCATGTCTCCATACGAGACAATGTAACCTGCGGTACCCTTCCGGATCACCTCGTCCTTTCCGGGAACAAACTTGTAGTCGCCAGAGAAGAATTTGGATCCGTCTTCTTTGAGAATCCAAGGCACCTTGGCTCGGGTAGAAAAGACGAATCGGATGCCCTTGTCATAGAAGACTTTGTCAATGATGCTAAATGTCAGCAGTATACACGCGTCTGACATACGCGTCCATTTGGTCCTGCTGGTCAGCTCGCGTCGCGTCGCGCCTCGCTCAACTCACTGCATCAGCTGGGAAGTACAACTTGGTCTCGTAGCTATCCTCCAGTCCATTGTCCAGGAAGAATTGATTGATACCAAAGTGACTGGCGTCAGTGACGTAAGCTCGGGCTGTCTTACCAAGTATTGTCGGCCATTTCGTCCACACCCGAGTGCGAAAAGTGGGTGAGCACGTTCGCAAAGTTGAGACGGGCCATGGTGAGTTCGGAGATGATCATTTCGGAGAAGGCGGAAAAGGTACTGAAGACGCCCTGACGGTAATCATTGTACGCTCCGAAACCGGCCGCAGCTGAAAAGTTGCCTCTCTCCATAATTCCACTCGAGACAAATACCCTGAAGTCAGCCGAGAGCCGGGATCAATTTCCTCACTCAGGATGCTTCTTGTGAATGACGCTCAGCCCAGTCGATCCCTCGAGATCCGAGTCAATGACGCAAACCCGCTTGGCATTCTCATCCTTGCCAGACTTGTCGAGCACAGTGCTGACCGCCTCGCCGAATTGGACTCGGACGGCGCCGCGTTCCTTAGTACTGCCAAGCAGGATGTCCGAGCTCTCGGTGGGCTTGATGGCGCGAAGAATGGCTGCGCATTTCTTGTGGCCCTTACTGTCGAGATACTTGATCGCGGGTTCCCTGAGCGATGAGCAACGTCGGTCATGCGCGACTCACACTTTGATCACATCGTGGGCGTGAGGACTGCCCTCGAGGTCGGGGATGCCGACGGCCATCTTTCGCTTGGCTACGACGGCGAATGGTCCATGTGTGGTCACGGCTTCGACCATGGCGGGATACAGAGCGTCAAGATCCTCTCCGTCCACCTCTAGGACCTTCATCCCGTGTCCCTCCAAAGTGGTTTTGACACTGTACCCTTTGAGGTAGTCGGAGGGATGTCCACTATACGTCAATATTGGTGGACGTTAGTTCACTCACGCAATGGTCACATTGTTATCGTCGATAAAGAGCTTGACGTTGAGATTCTTGGCGACGGCGAGACGGGCAGCCTCGGAATCATCTCCTTCCTGTTCTGAACCATCCGAGCCGAGACAGAAAACGACCTTGTCAGGGTTTCCCATAGCGACACCATTGACCAAAGGCCACATGTGTCCTAATCGACCGGAGGAGAACTTGACACCGGGTGTCAAGCCGAGCTCTGGGTGACCGGGAAGCTTTGAGTTGGCAGCTCGGTAATGCAGCAGCTGCTCTACAGGAATCGCCCCATCGAGGGCGGACAGAAGGTATTGAGTAGCAACACGGTGACCAGCTTCGTCGAAAAAGGTGTCGTAGAACTTGGATCCATCTTTATCTCCAGCAAGGAATGAGAGCAGAATGGCTACTTCTGGGACAGTGTCATAAGGTCCACTGATTGTCAGTGCGAGTTCCGGCTTCGGTCTCACCCAGAGTGTCCAGCAGCGCCTCGCGCAGCGCCGGTGGCAGTGAAGAAGATGATGGTGTCTCGTAAGAGCTGGATGTTGGCTTGCTGATGGTCAGCGCCGTTCACATAGAGGAAGCTCACCAGGTGAGCCTTCTGTTCCGCAGACAGCTTCTTATCCTTGGACGGGTCCAGGGCAAGAGGCTTATACGCCTTCAAGTCGATGGGGAACTTTTCAAAATCGTAGTCTTGAACTTTCTGAGACGAGTCAGGTGGGGATGGCCAAGTCTGCTCACGTTGTAGGACATGGTGAATGTGAGTATATGTCAGAACAGGTATGATGATGATGACGGAGGGGTGGATAGGGTATCGAGGGTAAATTATTCGACCCTCCCCCCAAGATCAAGAACTCGGTGGCACCTCGTCTTTGTGGCACCTCATTGACCTTTAACATTTCCGATACTCTTCGTCTTCAACGATACATTCTGTGCTACAATGTACGAGTGGACTGCACACGAGGCTTCCCACGGGTCTGTTCACCGCTTGAAGAGGTCCTGAGGGTATTGAATATCAAGGTTGAGCCTTGTGTTGTGCGGCAAACTCTTCGTCTCCCGTGGCAATGAATTCGGCCCCTTGTCTTCGTTGTTCTTGAGAATACATTTCTTGCGCTTCTCTTTCCAGGTATGCGGCATTGTCCAGTTTAGCCTGGTCGGTATTAACCTGCCACAAGACGGTAACGCCGATTGTACCGAGAGCGAATAAAAACCAGAATGCCGCGTTTGTGTTACCGTGAGCTCTTTCTATGATTGCGGATGTGATAAATGGACCCCTACGTCAAGTCAGCGACCACGGGACGATGCGAGAGGATGCACTGACAGAAACCCGCTGGTCTTCCCCCAGATATTGAACATCGCAAAGAACAGCATGAGCTTGGGAGCGGGCACGACTTCGGAAATCATGCTGACAGAATAAGCTCCCCAACATCCTGTCATGAAATTCCAGGAGCTAGCAATCCAAAATTCCCATGAGTGATGGAAGCCAAAGGCATGCGTAAACATGCCGATTCCACCGTATAGACATGGGAGGACGGTCATGATTGCACCATAGCGCAGAGCCGTTTGAATAGAAAATCGATATCTCTTCTGCAAAAGATACATCATGACGGTTCCCGAGCCGCCACCCAGATCCGCCACCATGGAGAGGGCATTGAGCTTGAGCGGCGAGTAGTCGATGACTTCGTTTTGCAGGATACCAACAATGGTGTACCATGTTCCCCAGGATTCCTGAAGACAGCACCAGGCGACGAGGTAGAGCATGCAGTGTTTGAGATGACGAGCGTGCTTCGTGGCGGACCAGACTTGTCTCGGTCCGGCGGTCCAAAACGAAACCCCTTCTGGCAGAGCTTGTCCAGGGCGGTGCTACAAAGTCAGTTTGATCTCTACTGTACACATACCTTTTGGAGGATCAAGAACGGAAGAGTACAGAGGACTGTAATGGCACCAAAGTATGCCAGCAGGATGTTGTACGAGTGAATCAGAGTGGCATCGGACCCGTAGCCGAGAGCGTAAGAGATACCGATTGAGATAGCGTACGTGACCACGACAAGCGCGGACCCGGTGATGTTGCTCATGTTGTAGAGCTGTGCTCGCTCGTATTGGTCCAGTCTCTCGTGCTCCTCGGGGGACTTCAAACCTTGTCTAACCTCATTCTCTGACTGGATGATCTTGGGTAAATCGCGGACGAGAGCGGGGCTGAGACTCAGCCTCTAAAATATTAGGCGGACTCACAATGTGGCCTGATAAAAGGCAACGGAGATGTTTGCGGCCAAACTACCGACGATGTAGATGCCGTTGGCAATCTGCCACTGACTCGGCTTGTGAATCCCGACGAGAGAGAATTGCATGATCCACAAAATGACTTGGGCGACCGTCAGAATGTATCCTCGCCATCGACCATAATCGGCAAATGGACCAATCTGCAGTCAGCCGTAATTCGACGTGTCACTCACGAAGAGGAGGATGAAAGCTTGCACTGCAAATAATATTCCGCTAATATCGAGCAAAAGAGCATTCAACGTTAGGACCTGTCCACCCCAGTGGACTATGCCAGATGGGTTTGCCTGAGACAGCAGAGCCTGACGCAAGGCTCCTCCATTTCCGCCGATGGGTGCACCATTGTTGGCGAAGTCTGCGTTTTAGGCACGGCGAGAATGATGGCTCGCTCACAATATAGACAGAACGTAATATACTCCCATCGGCTCGTAGGAATTCGCTTTCCCGTCTTGGGGATTACTTGGATCTGCTCGATGACGGCCAAACCGGCGCTGCGAGATCCGTCGACAATAATGTCGTTCTTGTCTACACTCAGGGCGTTGACATCGTGCTCAAGGTGTTTCTCATCGATTTTCGATTCGCCAGTGGCTTCGAGGACAGGAGCCGCGGCAGCGGGCTCTGCATATGGTTGACCGGACATGGCGGTGTACGCTACAGGATGCCGGGGCACTCTGGGGTCATCAACCCTTTATAAACCATGCATATTGCGGTACCCCACTGATGCGGAAATTGAGAACGGAACGATGGAGTCAGGTCTCTGCACCAGGCTAATTTGAGGATACCCGCTTCCCCAACACCGCTTGGCTCTTTCAGCGATTGTCCTCATTTCCCCCACTCTGACCTAATTTCATTTGGCAATTCCGCAGGCTTGGCGGGGGGGGAGGGCCGCGGGGGGGTGGCGAAGGGGCCAACGGGGGAGCGCCACTTACACCGAGAATCGGTCAAATCACCGCGTCCCCCGACAGTGGACCACGTAGGGGTCCCAGGGAGTTTCCGGGCGTATGCGAATGTTGGAGAGTTGGGCAAAGAACCTGTGATCGGATCCGGCAGCATGGATCCGAGATCTGTGGCGTGGGTGTGACAAGAGTGGCGAAAAGCAACTGGATGTACAGTATCACAATGCCCGGCTGCCACAACCCAGGACGGACAACCCTCCACAACCTGAATTGAGGGCTCTCTGATCTGATCACAGAGAGGCAGTAACGATGTCCTGCGCCCGGAGTCAAATGCGACCCTTCTCAGGGTACAAAGAATGCTCCTCTATCCCGAACAAGCTTGTCAGACAACCGATCACTGGCTTGGCGCGGGTATGCAAGACGTCTAAACTTGTGCTTCTTCGTGGTTGTGGACAATGCATCGGGGAAACCGGGCCGACTTCGTGATAAGGATCTTCAGGATGATGGGCTCCCAGTGTTATGTCTGCGCCAGAATAATGCTATTTCCGAAGCTCACCGCCAGATTCATCACATTCATCAAACCTTCCATATTGTCTGAAAAACGCGACCCTAGAGCTGCGTCAAGCATCTGTCTTCCACCCTCGTGCATATGCCGTCGTGATAAACCTACAATATTTTCCACCAAGTTAATAAGCGTGTGATGATAATAATGTGTTCAGAATTACAAGGCCAGGGTGAGAGCCACGTGGTATCCACGTGAGTTCAGTCTACTTACCTTCGACCTTGTCTCTGAATGCACAGATGGGAAATCAGGCGCAATGAGTTCTATTGGTCCTAGACGCACACTACCATGCGTGCCCTCCTCGCCCTTCACGCCCTTACGGGCGTGATGCTGACCACTCGCGCATCTGCTGCTTCCTCCTCCTCTTATCCTCTCTACCACCGCTTCATCCCTTCTTCTGCGGCCTCTGTCCCTGAATTTGAGCCCTACGGCGATATCACTCTAGACTTTGATCAACAGCCAGTAGGACGGTTCGAGCCGTTTGGCTCCAGAGCGCCACTGACCGACGATGGAGCGGGAACGTACCAGCTGGGATTGAAAGTGGGAGAAGACATGTTGATGACTTCGACTAAGTCGGTGAGACAGCTGCAGCTTGTCTGGCATCAATGACACTTTTGCTCATCCTTCACTCTCAGTGCTACACGTCCGCTCCGCAGGTCTACACTTTTTCCCTGAGCCTTCCAGATCCTGAATCACCACCTCAATCACTCAATCTCAAATTGGCCAACATCCCAGCTTCTGGAGAATGCCCGAAGGGCTGGTACGCTGCAGGAGACCGCTTGACTCTGCCAGGAGGCATCGCAACAGGCGTCGAGATCAATTTGCCGACCAAGGTTCAGGGGTGAGAGATCTCAACTACATGTACAGTTCCGAGAAATCCGCTTATCTCCCGCTCATCAGACCGTCTCTCTCTCCACCACCGTCACTCGACAAAGCCACTGGTAAAGTCAAAGAGCCGGAACCCGAAAAGACATTCTTCCAAAAGTATTGGCTGGCAATCGTTGGAATAGGTTTCTTTGCTTTCTCATTGCTGGGTCCAGCTCCACCCGAGGGCAGATGATGCATGTGCGTGTGGATCATGCGTTGCGGCAACGGTCTCGGCTCCTGGTATTTGGTTCAAAGCGACCCGACGCATGCTCTATCGTTACAACTTTGCCTCTCGCCACGGTGACATGTTCCCCTTGACCCATGGTCCTGCAGGCCCAACCATTTCAGGTTTCAGATCCGCAATGGTCTTTGCACCGCAATTCCGCATCGTATTGGTGATCTCCTCCTCGAGAACTGATGAATGCTGATTCAGCGACGGCTCTCGAGGCGAGCATCGTTGCTCACTCTCGCAAACCCTCTCGACTCCTTCTTGTCCATGTGTGCCATTGGCATACAAGAACGGCCTGCCCAATCCGACGGCTTTGGCACCCAGTGCCAAGGCTTTTACAACGTCTGCTCCTGATCTGACACCTCCGTCCATCATGACTTCAATTTTGTCAAACAAGTCAGGGCGGTTCGCCCTCAGCTCATACAGGACGTCAATAGGTGCGGGGGCACTGACCGTATCAGTCGCATGGCAAAACTCGTCAACTCACTAGTCACATTGTCGACCACCGTGATTGGACTGAGAACGAGTGAGAACTGCCCGTGACTATCCACTCACAATGATGACTCCCTGGACGCCGGCCTTGACGCATTCCTCAACATCCTCCACGCACTGGACTCCCTTGACGATGATGGGGAGATTCGTGTGTTTCTACACCCTCAGCGATGAGTTCAGGCACTCTCTCACCTTGATAAAAGGGATGTCGCTCCACGTAAGATCTCGATCCTGGTAGCCACTGATGGCTTTACTGACGCCTAACGGCGCTTTCGACGAACCAGACGAGGCATTACCAGCAGGCACATCGAGCTGGGCCTGAGACGTTCAGCTGAATGCAAACATTTCAAGCTCACTTTCTTTGCCCTGTCGTCCATGGTCCGTTTAGACGGCCACGCCGCATCGACCGTGAAGATGATAGCGGACGCTCCGAGATCCGTCACCTTTTTCAATAGGGCTTCTGAAGCTTTACGATCCTTATTGAGGTAGATCTTGGTGACCATAAGCAATGATACGAGGATTCCAACCTACCTGAAACATGACCTTCTGTCCGTCTTTCCTGGCATTCATTATCTCGTCCAAACCACAACTGGCATTGATGGAGATCTGGTGTACGTTAGCTATGCGAGGCTATGTAGTGACTCACTCCCTGAATGATTCCGCACTCTCCTGCGCCTTTAGTCAAATTGACTTCGCCTAATGGATGACCCAACTTGGCCATGGCAGCGGGAGAAATGAAGATGGGAATGGTCGACTTGAGGCCCATGAACGTGGCTTCTGTGGATCCTGCTCCGACGCCTGACAAGATGCGCGGACGGAAGAAGTATCGCCTGAACGCATCGACGTTCTCCTCAGCAGCTGTTGAAAGACTCAGCGATGCCCATAGAATGCCCTTAGCCGCTCACTTATTTCACGATCCGCTGGAGAGGAATCAGTGCTGCACTTCGGACTATGACCCACCTGCACTCTTATAATACGCCCAGGCCGTCGTGCTCATGACCTTTTCTGCCCATCGCTCAAAGTCATCGATGAGAAGCATAGACTCTGCCGGTGGTAGCTTCTTCCTTGCCTCTTCTATCCGCTTCTCCTCCTCTGTCGGCTCAGTCTTCTCTGGCTTAGGCACTGTGGTCGGATCCACCGGTCCAAGGTAAGCGGACGGATCGAGTTGGTCTAACGCGTCGGGTGGGTGCAATGGTTGAAAGATCTTCCTGGCGTTCTCGTGTCAGCCAAGAAAGGTATCGCCAGTGTCACACCCACGTCGCATCTTTCCCTGCATTTTGGAGGATAACGCCTGCACCGCCTGGGTGTTGTTCGAGGAAGTCAGTGACGTTGTATATTTTGCCCTGAGGATGTCAGTGAGAATACTTTGGCAGATCTCGGAACTCACCTCTATGATGACCCAGCAATCATCACTTGACGTGTGCTTTGCGACTTCTTGAAAGCTGATGAGCTTCTGACCACCAGGTTGTTTGGTCCCTGGCAGATGATCGACCCGTGACGACAATCCCTTGTCTTTGTCTTCCAGAAGTACAGTGCGGGAGGTGTATGCGATGGTCTAAGAATGTCAACAGAGCAGCTGTTGAAGATGCTCACAAGCAATGCAGCAGCTCCGACCGCTACCGTAGCTGCAGCATTGACGCTGAAAGAGGATGACGAGTTGGTCAATGGCCGACTTGGAATTGTTCGGCGAGGGACCTGACGAGCGGTGAGTCTAGTGAGCTTGAAAGCAGTTGAGCGGAGTGACATGACAAGCGGTGGGTTGTGACGACTCCGAGGACCTGTTCTGCGAGCAGGACGCTGTGGTATGTAGAGCTGCAACAACTTTTGAGGCAGAGATGCATGTATGCGGAGACTCCGGTCCGGTCCGTCCGCTTCGAACAGAATAATGCCACGTCAGAACTGGCATGATCACCGTATCAGCGGACCTCTAAATGTGGCACTCTAGCGGTGATCGATCGGAGAATGCACCATACCATTCCACTGGAACCCCGAGTGATCAAAACGATTTTTGTGGTCTAACCCATTACAAAGTATGCGAGCGACTGAATGTATGCTCTTACACATATCTCAGAGTGTGATGTAGATCCGACACATCCATGGAACGAGAGCCAGTACATGGTATACGTTGATGATTTTGGTTTATACAAACCTGGGCTGCTGCTAATCGAAATGGTGGATGACGTTATTTATATATCCCCCCTTTATAGCTATTATATGAGAGATCGGGAGCGAGGGGATCGCCGATTTATCTTTGATGAGTTATGCAGTCGTAGTGAACGTACATAGGTCGAAGGAGCTCGTCAAGAGGGTGCGTGTGAATCCTGGAGCTCCTGTCCAAATGTGTATGCATACATTGTATGTTGAGGGCTGCCATTTGACACCGATCTCTGCTCCTGCGGGTGGGTGCAATTTTAGGAGTTGAGGCAGGGAGGAGTCTGTGATCATCGTGAATTTTATTATTATTCTCTATTAATCAGTTAGTTATTATTCTTCATCTTTCCTTCTGCTGCTACTGCTGCTTGTCTTCTTGACCATCGACCATCGCTGGCATACCAATCACACTGGTCCTCGATGTGTTTAGCTACAGACACACATCATACATGATCACGCAGTGGACCCTTGCCTGAGTGGCCCAATCCCCCCCCTCTCTTACTAAACCTGCCAACACACAAATCAAAGACCCGGCTTCGATCTCTGCAGACTTTTTTGGGCCAAACGTCATGTCCACCCCGGCATCACCGACTCTGTCCATCTCTTCTACACCTTTGGCCTCATTTCAACATGCATCGGTGTCTACACCTTCGATAGGAGCAGGATCTGGATCCATGTCAACTGCGCCTCATACAGCAGGAGGACAACATCGTCGACAAAATGGTGGCATTCCTCCTCCTCCTCCAGCTTATTCGACGGTCCATTCACCGACTCGATCATCATCCTTAAATCGTCTACAACCCAGATCCACACCTCCTCCCCCGTCGAGTGCTTCCTCTTCACACACACCTGCCCTGTCATCCACGCCAGTCCCGCCTACCGATCCACCACAGACACCTCTCTCCACTTCCAGTACCGCTTCTTCCTACTCTCGCCGGGTTTGGGTACCCACACCCAATGTCCCGATGAGATTACAAGATCGACATCATGTACATCGTGTCTCGCCACTCACAGGACAAGATGAAGAGAGAAATCGATGGTTATCGGAGGACGAAGGGGCAAACAGTGGTGTGGAAGGTGGATCAAGTCGGAGAAGGCGAAGGAGGCAACGATCGATACCCGATCAATCAGCGTGTCATGACGAGCCTTCCAATACACACATTCCCCCTGGTCTCCCAGCCGCTTCTCTAGACCTTCGTCGCCCAGCCTTCGATGCTCGTGATAGGATCAAGAATCAGATCGCTGCATCATCTTCCCCATCAACCTCTCCGAAACCTGCTGCCAATCGATCGTCCCGACCCATAATCCGTCGTGCTATGTCTCACGAACCTCAAGTGTCTCGTTCGTTGACCCCAGCAACGCCGATCGGCGCAGTCGATGTCACGGTAGGAGCATTCCCTCCTCAGATTCAAGACATCGTGCCTACACCAGGTTCGCCCGTCCGTCGATTCAGTGTGGAAACGAAAATATCGCCTTCTGCAAGAGGATCGCTGCAATCAGCAGAGCTTGTGGCCTCTACATCAGGTGTGCAACAGACGACAGAATCAGACGGAGACGATCTCATGTCAGAACGCGAGAGGCGTCGTGCAGCACGACATTCGACTTTGGAGACATTGCAAAGGATATTGAGCTGGCGAGTTTTGCATTTGCCTCTTCGTACCAGATACTGATTGTCCACCCTAGCCCTTTGTGTTCGCCGTCCGATGGCCAATCGCCCACGCTCCACCATCCTGTCACGCTCCCCTGCGGACATACCATGTCGTCCTCTCATATTCACTTCCCAGCCGTGCCGCCCCTCGAGTCCATCTCCGATCTCCCGCATGAGATCTACGCCGCCCAGCAGCGTCAACATCAACAACGCCTCAATCACTGGTCAAGCGTCATGTGCCCCATACCGACCTGTAAACGATACAGTCCCATCGCGGCCGATACGATCCTCCGATCCGATGTATCTGTCAGATCGGATGATTCAAACCGTTCCCGATCATCGGGCTCTCCAGCCGAGACATTGGCGTCCGGTGTTTTGTATTATCCTCCTCCATCGGCACTACCGGCGTACACGGCTGAAATTCCGATTCGGATGGAACCCAACACCCTGCTGCTCGATATCACCGTGGACAAGATACTCAATCTCGTGAAAACCGAGCTCAAGACGCCTTTTTCCGAGGACGCGTACGATCGATCCTCGCACCGGTCACATGCAGAGTATGAAGATGATAGCGATGATAGTGAGGCTGAAGCTGGCCCATCTGGATCTGCCGCGATGCACACATCCCTATCCCGAGACATGTCAAATTTGGGTCAACCTAGCGGGACATCATCTTCTCATCGAAACAAACGCCAACGAGGAGCGCTTCGTCCAGTTGGATCACCAGACGAATGGCCGTTCCGCCGAGATCTCCAAAGCGTCATTGAATGCGATGTGTGCGCCATGATGCTGTTTGATCCGGTCACCACGCCTTGTCAACATTCATTCTGTTACAAGTGTCTCTCGCGGTCTCTGGATCACTCCAATCGGTGTCCCGTCTGTCGACAAGACTTGCCTGGATTCGCATTCTTCCAGGATCACAGCGTCAATCGGGTCCTCCTTGCTGTCATCAAGACAGTCTTCAAAGACGCATACGCCGAAAGACAACTCGCTATCGAACGCGAAGAGCGTGATGCGCTGCTCGATACGCCAATCTTTGTTTGTACGCTCGCTTTCCCAGGTATGCCGACCATTCTACACGTCTTTGAACCGAGATATCGGTTGATGATCCGACGGTGTATCGAATCGTCATCCCCTCGGTTCGGCATGGTTCTCCCATCACATGGAACCGGTCAACCGGGTACGCAGGGCGTCATGGAGTATGGTACAATGCTGGAGATTCAGAGCGTACAAATGCTGCCTGATGGTCGTAGCATGGTGGAGACAGTCGGATCGTACCGTTTCAAACTGTTGGAAAAGGGTAATTTGGATGGGTATACTGTTGGTCGAATCGAGAGGTGAGTAAAGATTATATCTAATGGACATTTGCTGACCTCGTCTTCAGGATTGATGACATTACTCCTGCAGAGGAACTGGCTCTGGAACAATCCTCTCTGGCCAGCTCCTCAGAAGATCACACTGCCCTCGGCCTCGCTACAGATGCGATTCTCGATGCCGGCGGACCCACGACTACACCCGCATTCGGTCTTGCAAGCAGTGGAGGAGCCATTCCTATGCCTCCATTGACTCAAAGCGCTATAGACGATGAGACGAGGTCGACCGAAGAATACATGACAATCTGTCGATCATTCATCGATCAACTCAGGAGTGGTTCAGCCCCTTGGCTACTTCAGCGACTGAACAACACTTACGGGACAATGCCGACGGATCCTAGCGAATTTTCCTACTGGATGGCTTTGGTGAGTAGGGCGCATCCTGGACGCCGCTGATGGTCTCCAGGTCATGCCGATTGACGAGTACGAAAAGGCAAAGCTTCTGCCGATCCGATCGCCAAGATTGAGGCTGAAGTTGATCGTTCATTGGGTCGAATCGCTTCGATCTTCTTGGTGGTGAGTCAATGTAAGCGCAAAACGAATGTCATACTGACCGTGCCTTCTTCTTTTCATTGCTTCCTTCCTGCAGGTTTTCAAGCGGGTAAGCTGAATATCGTTCGTCTCAAACCACCCCCGCTGACCCCTTGCCCAGGTGTGTCGTTGGCTGACTACCTTTTCTCTCGCGTTAGAGGTTGACCTCTATGCTTTTTCTGTGCATTCTTCACCTTTTGTGGCCATGCCTGTCCATCTCGTCGATCCTGGTCTGCCCTGCTGTTCGGCAAATCATCAAAATACTCCCCCTCGCCCAAATCACACCGACAGTGAACGTAGCTATCTCGGGACTTTAATGAGACTGTTTGGACGTTGAGACGGAATTGGGCTAGATCGGCCTCAGGCGGGGCAGAATAGCTCCGTCATCATGTAGCTTGAAACGTTTTTAGGACGGCTATGCAGCCATGTATCATTCAGTCTGCTCAGCTCAGCTCCGTTCACGTCGACAACAAGTCATATTCCGGAAAATCGGAGAGTTTGAAAAATTTCAAAAGCGTTCGTGTAACTTTTGCGCCAGTCTTCTCAACCTCTCACCTCCCCTTACCATGAGCAAACCCAAGTCCATCCTGAAGAAGCCGTCAGGATCAGCCAGCCATTCGGTGACGAAGGCTCAGGCGCCGGATCGCAGCATTCTTGCCCTGACGGACAAAGGCAAAGGAAAAGCTGGAGCGCCAAAACTCCGTCAATCCATTCCCGTCAAGCGAGCGAGGAACAATGAGGACGACGAGGACGACGAAGAGGAGGACGAGGCCTCCGATGGCATGGATGAGTCTGGAGATGAGTTCGACGAGAGTGAGGAGTTAGATACGGACGAGGAGATCAGCAGGTCAAAAAGTGACAAGGGGTCAAGGCCCATCAAAAGTAGGTATCGAGAGATCTTCAGTATTGGCTGCAGCTGATCGACTATCTCGTTGCAGAAAAGAAGGGTCCCACTTCCGCCGAGACATTCGGATCGACTCTTACGTCGCTGTTGTCCGAACCAGGCCCTTCCAAACGGAGCAGAGCCACGATTGAGGACTCCAAGCCGTCCACAAAGCAACCATCATCGATCAGTGTCAAATCGACCCCGAAAGCCAATCCTATCCTTTCGTTATCTCATATCAAGCTTCCGCCTTCTAAAGCTACTCTTTCGCTTGAACGTAGAGCCGCAAGGAAAGTCAAACAGGAGAAAGAGGAGAAAGAGGACAGAGCCAGAGTGAGGGATGTGGTGGAAGGGTGGACAGCAGCGGATGGAACAGGCGGTATGGAGTTCGAAAAGGGTTTGAGAAAGGTAGCACAAAAGGGTGGTGAGTCACGTCGAGGCTCGAGCAGAGCCAGGATCTGCGCTGTCCTTCGGATCTCGCTGACGCATGTGCTTTTCTGCCCCTCCCCCCCTTGCTGTAGTGATCAAACTGTTTAACGCCATCCTGGCCGCTTCCAAAGCTTCCGAATCAGCGCCTTTGACACTCGCAGCGAAAGCAGGTGTCAAGGAGGACAAGGGGAGAAGGAAGGAAAAGGACAATGTGTTGGGACGAGGGGGCAAGATTGGAGAAGGCAAAGGGTTGACGAGTGAGAGCTTCTTGGACATGGTCAGGAATGGATGAGCTGGTGCATGTGTGCGTGTGGGTGAGAGTCATGGTAATGGGCAGGGCAGAGCAGACCAGTGTCCATGCAGCACTTCACAACAGACAGACGTACTGTAGCTGCAGCTATCTTTTCAGACACCCGGTAGCAATTGTTGTCATACAGATAGACGCCTTGTGCCGGGATCCAGGTTTATTATACTTCGGCGCCACGGTCCTGAGACACGTTCATCTTCTACAACGACCACGACAGGTCATGCCCTACCAATGATCTTCTTGATGTCCCGTACGGCTTCTCCTCTTGCGCACAGCTCCAACATGGACTTGTATACACCTTCACGGCACAGCCGCCTCCCCTAGCATCGATCCCTTCATCGAGTTCAATGTCTCGACCAGCGTCTCCATCCACATCCTCTGTCGCGCCGGAATGCCCGAACGGTCTTCTCAACTTTGATGAGCGATGCGTCCAGGTCACGGACGCAGATGAAGAGGTTAGCATAAGTCGAGCTCCGCAAACTGACTTGGCTTAGATTCTCGAGCTGTACATGGACTTGGCATCCACATCGTCACCCGAGACTGTCAAAACACACCTTGACGATCGTGATGACAGCGATACATTTGAGCGAACTCCCGAAGGTCTGGGCTTCATGGATGCGTCAAAGTCTGTCCTTGAGCTCTCCTGGGAGCTGTTCCCACCTGGACATAGTAGCCTCTCCCCATCCATCGCTCCCAGACGTCGTAGAGGGACTGTTCGGTCCGAGGCTGTCAAGCCGATCCAAGTTCAAGTCAACCTTCAACAGGATCTGGGATTACTCAAGGCGAGTAAAGGCGATACAGGGAGTGTACTTTGGCGAAGCTCGTACGTATCAAGCTGCTGTATCTGCACCGATGCTTGTTCACTGACGTACTCGCAAGGTATTACCTTGCCCACAATATCCTGCGTCAGCATCATTTTGCCCCGAGTTCATCCTCCTTGCCCCTGATCAACGCTGCGACCCTGGCGAAGACTCGTATTCTGGAGCTTGGATCTGGGACTGGGCTCTTGGCGATTGTTCTGCAGAATCTCTGCGGTCAATTCACAGCGAGTGATAGATGGGAGAACCTCAAGCTTATCAAGCGTAACCTGGAGCTGAACAAGGTCAAAGCGAGGGATTTGGACGAAGGAGGTCAGCGAAGTCCCACGAGCCTCAAATCGACAAGGAAGCCGTCACTCGCGCGGCATACAAGTCACGATCGACACAAGTTCCAAGATGATTCGAATGGCGGGTCACAAGCGAAACACGATCAGATCCTATTGGAGGAGATTGATTGGCTTGCTATCTCGCAGGAGAGAAAGTCGGACCAGAAGTCCTCGTCTCAAGCTCAGGCTCGACCTATGCCTGCTTACGACTTGATCCTATGCGTCGACTGCATATTCAATGAACATCTTGCTCAGCCTCTGGTGGACACCCTGGTCAAGTACTGTCCGAAAGGAGGTCAGACGATAGTATGGGTCATTGTCGAGCTCAGGAGCTCTGACGTGGTATGTCCCCTTTAGCCTATTGAGCAGCAGAAGGTGCTTACAGCCTCGACCAGCTGTCAAAGTTTCTAGAGACCTGGTTTAATGACCCCTCGGGACCTTGGACTATTGTCCGCTTGTCTCACGCCTCAATGGGCGACTGGAATGGGAGACGACCCCGATGGGTCGGATGGGTCGGATGGCGGTAGCTGGTTCAATGACAGACTACCAACCGATATCGGACTGCATGACTCGTGACACATCTATGGGTGGCGGGTCACCTATGGGTACCCAACAGATCAGTCTTGGCGCCGCCGCCAATTTCCCGTCATCCACCTGGGCTCTGCATGGCCTCCCTTTCGCCAATTGGGTGTCATCCATCTCGGCTTTGCATCACCGGATGTCGTTTCAGCAGTTTGACCTCTGCTTCGCCAAGTGAGATCAGAGCTTGGTGTACCTATCCCGCCGGAAATTGGCTCGCTGGGCTTGGCATCCGATGCCCCTTCCTTAGTTCCCTTCGAAGCCAACTTCGAGACCAATCTGAGCTTACACCTACCGGTGCCGCGAGTCTCCACGACCGTATTCTTGGATTGCTCTTCTGTCACCGTAAAGACCTTCCTGATGGCTTCAGCGTATGCTCTTGAGTTCTCGTTCTCAGTTACTATCGTTGTATCGGCTTGGCTTCCTTCATCTTGATCACCATCTGCGCCGTGGCCATCCTCCTCGTCTTGGTCTTGGTCGTCCGCATGTTCGCCTTGACCAACCCTATCTCCATGCGCGTCATCGTTGGGAGTTCTGGTCGTTTCGGTCTGAGTTGGGACCACAATCACCCTCTTCACAGCGACTGCGCACGATGTGTCGCCGCTCGCACCCTCCTTCTGACTCTCCGTCGAAGATTCAGTCAGTTCGCCAGCCCGCTGCCCTTTTCCTCGGTCATCTTCCTCGCACTTTGAGGAAGGCCTTTCGGACCGGAAATCTGTCCCTTCAGCGAGAGAGTCCTGTCCTGCACTCTGGGTCTCCGACGTCGGGACAACCGTTTTCACTGGACTACTGGCAGCCCTACGAGCGATATACGCCCGTCGCTGATCTTCCAAGCCAGATGGCACCGAGGCTTGCTCGAAGGTGCTCTGAAGCGTCCCGGTATCACCGTGACTAGAGCTCACAGTGTTCGCTGCAACTCGGCGCTTGACAATGTCTACCTTGCCTTCCGCCCAGGATTCGACGGCGTCATTCGAGGTCAGGGCTTTGCCCAACTCGCTGGCACCTTCTGGAGCTGAAAAGGTGTTGAGCGTCGAATCTCCTGGATCGGCCTCGCCTTGACTATCTGTATCTTCCTATGTTGTCCAGAGAGGCAAGTAAGGAACGGGTGTTTTATCGGACAGTGAGGTCCGCACTCACCACTTTATCGACGATCTCACTCGCCGTTTCGACCACCGCTTCGATCTCAGCTTGTGGATCTTCGTCATGAAAATGACTTGAGTTATTGGCGAATAGGAGGCCCTTGGTGCTTTGCATGGTGATATGTTTCTCGGTACGGAAATGCAGAAAGACAAAGCGTCTAGTTTGCGACGTTGTTGCGGAGGAGCACTCTCATCGCTCCTTATAGCTTGTCAGCCGCTCTCGGCCTGGTTCCTTCTTTGGCCTTCGAATTCTTCCTGGGAGAAAGGATCAACGGTCCTTCTCCGTCTTCTTCGCTATTTGGCGCCTTCTGGCATCTCATGTCTCCTGTAGTTAGCCATAAGAATATTAAGCACAGTCTCGGTCAGGCAGGAACATGCTATGGGGTTGGTCCTGGTGAAACGAACCCTTTCCTCATATACTAATGGATTAACATGGCACGAGCACTTCAAAGCTGTCGCCGCCCGCTGCCGTTCTATCTATATAAGGTACGTGTCACCTGCAGCACTCTTTCCCCCTGAGCGATGCCAAACGCTATAATTTCATGCATTCCGCCTCTATGAGATAAGAACTTGGACTGGGCATATACTGTGCGCTGGTAGGCGAATAGATCACCTGCGCCAAGATCCAGCATTCGGGCCAGAACTTTGAAAAGGGTCTTCGCCCCTTCTGCGGGTAGTCTCAATACTGTTCGATCCTGCAGAAGCCATGTCCGTTCCCAGAGGCTTCGCACTTCGCCTCCATTCGGGTACCGTTGACTCCTCCTTGGAGACGTTGGGTCGAGCATCGCCATGCTGATCCCCGGCGGCTGTTCGCCTCCATGCCTTAGTCAATTTGGGATGTGCTTGAACCGGCGAAAAAGTTTCCTTTAGAGGTCTTGTTATCAACGTCAGCAAGGTCAGAGCTAGCCTCTATGCTCCCGCGCGAACTCTGGGTGATAGCGTTTGATCCCTCGGTGCTATTCCCCTTAAATCTATGTGGTGGGACGTATTTGGCAAAGTTTTGCTCTTCGCTGTTCTTCGCCTCCTGTATATCGACCTGACTCTCTGGGATCGTCGTCAATAGGGACTGTGACTGGCTGCGGCTAGCATTGGATCGCTGATCTGACATCTTTCACTAACTTCCTAGAAACTCACTGTCAGTCTGGTGATATTGCCGAAACCTGGAAGGATGGGAGTAGTGGGGGCAATGTCAACAACGATAATCGACCCGTCTAGCTATCTTGACAAGGTGAACACCCGCGCCGCTCACCGCCCCTCCTTTGACACCTTCTCAATCTCTCCGTGAGGATAGCTCTGACGCCATCTCATTCCACCCTTGCTCACACCCTTTGTGACAGTTCCAACAAGGGTTGTGGACATCCTCCTCGAATCCCTCCTTGCGGTGCTGCTTGGGGTTTCCAGAGTCTTCGAGACCCCATGAGAGCTTTGTACGAGGACAAGAAAGCTGCTTTGCGTCCATCCGCGATTGTATCACGTCGGCTCGCCGAGCCGACAACGAGGTCATAGTCATTCATGTCCTCCATGCCCAGCAAGGCCTCGCTGTAACGCACTTTCTACTGTATAGTGGCACCGACAAAAAGTGCCTCGTTCGTCGCGGAAAACGTTTCGCTGTGTGTCTTTCTTCCCCTGTGCATGCTTAGTCCATTTGAGGGTCACCACGCCATCGTTGAGTCGCTTACTGGGAGTTCTGACAGCTTATCACCCGCCTTGGGAGACTCATAAGCCTCGTATAGCAATGCATTCAAGCGTATGAGACAGACTATCGGACTGGAAGCTCACGTTTCATCCTCTGAAAATTGACAATCTGCTATGCATCTGTTTTGTGGAACCCATCAGCCCCGATGCCCTGAGCCCTGAAACCGAGGGATCAGGTTCTTCTCGTTGGTGGATCAGATGTGCCTGTTGTCTGCTGAGACTGTCTGGCCATACTGAGGGCAAGCGAGATCGCCGGGAGCATGGACGAAGGTGTGAAGCTTGGGAATGAACCCGCCAAATTTCCTGTAGCCGTGGACACCGTCGAAGCCTTTCCACTGGTCTGATGAGATGAAGCAATGCTTTGCGTGAGTATATCACACTGTCCCGTATGCCCGTTGCAACCTGAGCAATGCGAGCATCGAATCTCCGACATGTCTGTGAAGTTTTGCAACTATAACAAACTAGTGATTGATGAGATGAAGTTTCTGTGTGGGGATTGGAGAAGCAGCGAGGTATGGATTGCAGTCTTTATAGACAGAGGCGATGAATCACGTCTTCATCACTCCGCTCTCAAGAACGGAGTCCCACGCTGTATCCTTTGTCAGGCGGTGAATGGCTATCCGGCATCGTATGACTCCTTCACACTCAGGTGAGACGAAACACATAGACTGGGGGTCACTCCTCCGTTCGGCCCAATGGTCCCACTCTGTTGTGTCGGTCTCCTTTAATGGCTAGTCATCGCCGTGAGATCTCTGACCGAAGAACCGACGGCGTCGTTGGGCCCCCGTTCTGACATGCCGCGCTGCCAGACTCTTGCCTCGCCTCGTTCGGGAATCGAATTCCGTTCGGGCCGGCTTCGACCGGATCGCCCGACGAAATGCCCAACGAGACTTAGGATCATCGGTATGCAACAGGGATCTGCTGCTCAATCGCATTGACCGCTTCGTCGAAGGAGTTTAGGGTGACTGAATTTCAGAATCTGTCTATTCAAGCATTTTCATAATGCCCGCCACCCTGCCACCATTCTCCGACCTACCGATACAGCGCCCAGGACCGCCTTTGAACGCTTGGGGTCTCTACGGTCAAGATGACGAGTTGGGTCGATTGAACCTCATCACTCCTGAAGCGAGATTAAAGGGTGCAAAAGCTGTCAAACATGGTATTGCCATCAACTTGAAGTGAGTATAGCGAGCTTTGTTCTCGTGTGCACCTGGCTCTGCCGTTCTGCTGCTGCTGCTGCTGCTGTTGTCGTTCCTCGAGGTATCACCCGCTGACATCAGACAGCATGCCTCTGGACTTCCCAAAACTTCACGCTGAGCGAGGTGCGCTGGAACATACCATGTGAGTGAAAAGGTGTATGGACGAGTTTGGGACAAGTCTGGCTGATTCGAGTCCTTTTCCAGAAATCACCGTAAACATGCAAACGATGATATCTTGACGTTCAATACCCAAGGATCTTCTCAATGGGATGGGTTCAGACATTATCCCTACCAACATTATCCTGAGAAGGGACAGTACAGGTACTATGGTGATCAGACGACAGAGGAAGCGAGGGATAAGTCAGTCCTACGAAATGGTACTCAGAGTAAGGCGCAATCGTCTTTCTCTTTCCGATTTCGGCTTGTCAATCACCATTTCCCTGACTTCGAGTACAGACTTTGTCCATCACCCAATCTCCTCTCGAGCTCACTTACTTGACATTGAACGGTATATCAACCGACACAACCTGAAGCCCCTCACCTATTTTGCCGAATCGTCAGGGATACCCGTAGAATACCTCGAGGACTGTGCAAAGGAGTCCAATGTGGATATCCAACCTGGAGATATCTTGATCGTCAGGATAGGCTACATTGACGCGTTGATGAATCTCCCGGAAACAGAGAGGAACACACTGGTCGAACGAGAGGTCAGAGCTTGGCCCGGGGTAGAACCTAGCGAGGAGATGATGAAGTGGCATTGGGAGAAAGGGATAGCAGCGGTCGTCACGGACGGGTGGGTCCCGCCGTCAGCACGCCGTCGTCTCCAGTCGTGTGACTGACGACTTTTCCCTGCAGCGTGGCCTATGAGAAGATACCGTTTCCACCTGATAAGCTCTCATTACATCAAGTGTTCTTGGCCGGTTGGGGTTTACCCATTGGCGAGTTGTTCGATCTGCGCAAACTCGGAGAAGAGTGTGCGAGATTGAATCAGTACACTTTCTTGTTCACCAGTATGCCATTATACGTCAATGGTGGGATCGCCAGTCCCCCGAACGCTCAGGCAATCTTGTAAGAGGCGTCGGTCAGATAGATGGAAGCAGTCGGTGTCATAGAAGTACATTGTTCGAAGTATAAGAAAGAGTTGATCATTCAAGATTACGAAGAAGCCTCGCAGACCGTGCTAGTAGAATAGAATCCATGTCCATCTGTGGAAGGCCCGGGACGCGAAATGATGAGATGAGGCGGGGAGGGATGAGGAGCAAGTATACTGAGGACAACAAGGGTGCTCCCCTCCACGTCGTTCCTTGCCTGCCTGAAAGGGCTATCACCTTATTGATATTCAGGGATGGGGGACACCTGGTACAAGCTCGACCTTCGTTGCGACATGTTGGTGAGGGCGCCCTCGGAAGCGCTTCAGACGGTGTCAGTGAATGCAGTCCAGAAATTCTTTGACGGCGCTCATCTCACCTCGGTACAATGCCATTGTTGGCATTGTCATCCCATGGTTCGAGACAGCTGACGGGTACGACGCCTCTGTTCTGCGCTTGGTCTTCGCATAGACACCAGCCATCATCGTAAGAAGTGTGAAGATAGAGCTGTTGACCAGGAGTGATGGCTGATTATCCAGGTCAGTTCAGCTCAGCGGAGGGTTGGGGCCTTTGTCTCATTTTGACTGACCAAGTTCATCCTCGAGACTTCTGACAAATCCAACTTTGACTCTGACCATCATGTTGTCCTGAAGTCCAGCTTCGGCACCTGGTCCAGTAGCCACTCCAGCAACGGCGGCCGCACCGGCTCCCATTCCAGCAGCTCCAGCGATACCTGCGTCCATGTATGGTTGCTGACCATACGGTTGAGTCGCTTGGCCATATTGATCGTAAGCAGGGTAAGCTTGACTTGCACCATAGGCAGGGTAAGATCCATCGTGGTATCCGTCCGTGTTGGTATCTTGCATCGGGTAACTTTGAGCAGTGTCTGCGTACTGTCCAGTTTCAGCAATCAGATTCAAAGTCTCGATCTCACGCTTGGCTTCTCGTATGGCTCGTCCTCGAGAGCGACTGGAGCAGGCCATGGCTCGAACATTGAGCTTCTGTGCGCTGTCCTTCTCTCCCTTGCTCGCTTCCTGACGGTACGTGTAGCCAAGATGGCGATGATGGCAATGACCACCAGACCGCCAATGACGATTCCAACGACCTAAGCACATTCAGCACGAATGTTAGACGAGATGCTTACAGCTCCGAGTGGGAGGCCCGATCCGCCTACACCGCCTTTGCCTTCGCTGTTATCGGCTATGGAAGATCCGGTGGGTCGGCTCGCGGAGATACTGAGTAGGCCGGGCACAGAGACGGTACCACTGGCTACGACGACAACGGTTCTCGTGCTCTGCTCGATAGGTGTAGCGGTCGTAGTGGTACTTGATGATGGTACATCGATGATGGTTGGCGCATTGTTGACCGTGGTTGTGGAAGAAGAAGAGGACGGTGTGACTACAGCGGAGGACGATGCAACAGGAGGGGCTGAACTTGAAGATTGAGGAGGAGGAGAAGCAGCCGGGGTCGAAGACGACGTAGTAGTGGAGCTGGTGGTGGGTTCTAGAGGGAGGGGTTATAGATGTCAGCTGATTGTTGCTCCGTGTAAAAGGCTTATTGTGCTCACGCGTCGTTGTCTGAGGTTGTTGTTGCTGCTGCTGAGTAGACGTTGTGGTCGGCGAGGTGGTAGGTTGAGTCGACGTGTCGGGTTGATTCTGCACAGCACTGGTGGTCGCAATGGTCGAGGAAGAAGGAGCGATGGGGCCCTCCTTGGGAGGTTCTTGAGCCATGTTGGATGGTCGAGTCTGATCATCCGAATCACCGGGTCCAAAGATGGGGTCCAAGAGGCCAGACATGGTGGAGGAGAGGGGGCAGGGGGGCGAGGAGCAAAGGAAGGAGAGAGAGAGGCGCGCGAGAGAGAGAGGGCGATCAAAGAGTGAATGAGTGTGCGTTGAAGAGGCAAAGAGGGAGAGAGGGGCAATATGTGAATGTCAGCAAGGGAGGGGTTTCCCAAAAAGACTTGGTCCAGCCAGTGAGAGTGTATGCGGTACAGCGGGAGGAGGGTGATGAATGGTGATGGAGCATGGAGCAAGGGAGGGAGAGAGGGAGCGATGAAACTTACCTGATTGAGCTCGACTCCCCTTTCCTTCCACAGATATGGGATTGAAGGTCAAAGAGCGAAACGAGGGAGAGAAAGGAACGAGGACAGTGCGCAATGTCCAACACTGATCAGAGAGCGATGTGCCCTGCTAATACTACTACGACGACGAAAGTGTTTTGCTCTCGATTGATATCCCCCCTGCCGTGTAATCGAACCTGTTGAGACCTGATTCGATCAGCCTCGTCTGTGGATCAAAGTAAACGGCGAAGAATCCAAAGGAAGATGAAAGGGGGACCTTTTGGTGGGATTACAAGAGTCGAATGAGCAAACACCAATTGCTGGATCGGATGGTCGAGTGGCTCCTCCCCGGAGATCGACAGGATTGAGAGACACTGGAATGAAAGGATGAGACGGATGAGGAGGATGATGAGGAGAGATGCAGGATTGCAGGATGGCAGACCCAGGGGGGTGGACGATGAAACACGCTAAAATAATGATAATATGTGTACTCACCCGTCCGTCTTTTCTGGCGCACGCGACTTTTGGATGAACGAGGGCGATACAAAGTGGTAGTAGATGTCCAGTGCTTTCAAGTCTTTGTGTACATGCATATCCATCCCAAGCTCGCACCCACTCCTCCTCCTCCCTCCATAGTCCAGGGGGACTCGAGGCGAGAGCAGATCCCATCCAATGTAACCCCGTTCTTTCTTTTCTTTTTCTTTTTCCTCTTTTTTGTCTTTTTCGGTTGTTGACGCGCGTCCCGAAAAATGTCAACAACAGCCACGCAACACGGCACTGGCTTGGAAATGGGAGATACACTCATTGGATGAGGGAGCTTGTCCAATGGAGAGATGAGGGGGGGGGGGGGGAAGTGTACCACACCCTGCGAGCAAGGTAAAGGCGAGATACCTCGTCAGACGGGGGCAGAGGGGGCATCAGTGGCTGCTGAGCGGCGAGTCGTGCTCAGTCCAGACACAGACCGAGAAAGGATGGTCAGGGAGAAGGACGAATCCTGGGTGTGGCACCTGACTGCGACCTGGAGCGAGTGGCACCAGATTGTGGTGGCAGTTTGTTCAAGATAGGTCCTTGGGGTGCAGCCGAGACTGTCTGACCACGCCGGCGACGACGACGACGACGATTTCAGCAGCCACAGACGAGCACAAACCATCCCTCCCGCCCGGCCGATCTCATATACACACCTCCCAATGCATGATTTCTTCACTCGCTTGCTCGCTCGGTCGCAAGCTTCAATCTTCGATACGCATCGCCATTCATTCGTGTTTCGTCTACCGTCTCCCGTCTCCTGTCCCTGTCCCCGTTCCCGACCCGACGCAAGTATGTTCTATAATGTTGATTCTATATACAAATAGTTTACCAAGAAACCTACGGTACAAGTAGGAAAAACCTCACCTCCTCTCTCAGGACTGCACACGCACAGACGCACGCACACGCCCTGGACTGACTCGCTAGAGCTTTTACTCTCACTGCCGCCTCCGACTGCTACTCGCCTCTCTCGTCTCGGCCGTACTCTCCGCAGGGTTCCCACCTATCGGAGATAGCTTTGCACCGTACTTGATCGCCAGCGGATCATCAGGATCCGTATTGGGGTGTACTTGGATTTTACCCGAAGCGAGTTCAGCGGATGACTGAGAAGGATCTTGGGCGGGATTATGGAGACCGAGCGAATTGGCATTTTGAGAAACCCAGTTCCCACCGGCACTGGGAAAACAAAGTCAGCAACCAATGGTTCGAGGATCTATGTTTATTTCCTTTTCGACTCACCCGACAGTTCCAGCAATGACAGTGGGAACCATGGTCAACAAGGTCGGGAACCTCACATCGGCTTTACGCAGCTGAGCGTGGCGGGATCGTCCGACGATACTGGATGCTCTGACACGTCCACCCCGAATGCCAGCATAGATGTTGAGGTTGTCCTTGACCTGTAGCACACACATGAGCCATAGTAGACGAGACCGGCGACACGGCGCCACCCACCTTGGTCAACGCCGGGTTGTAGTCGTACTTCTCCTCCTCTTCCTCAACGTTGCTCGTAGGCAACTTGTTGGGATCAGGATACATCTTGTACTTGACCAAGAATCGACCGAATGGTTCCGTAGGCATCAACCTGACCAAAGCGCCGAGGGGTATGGCCAGTAGTCCGACAATAATTGAGATACCCCAATCGCGACCGTAAAGCTCAGTAACGGAGAATGCAGCGCCTCCCACTTCCACAATGAGGATCTGACCACCGACCACTGCGCGGGGAGTGTTGTCAGTGAAAGCGTCCTCCTCCTCCTCCTCATCGTCTGGTGCTGGTGAAACTCACTGATGAGGAAGATTCCCATAAAGTAGTAATTGCGGAAAAACCCTTCAAGGACGTTGAATTTGCGATCCAATCGACGACAGTTGAGTTGGTTGACTGAGAGACGGATCAGATAAGATCTTCCAGAGCCGGCCGAAAGCCCCCGCCAATGCTCCACTCACAAATCTGACAAAAGACGAAACAATTAAACACCAACGTCCTCAAATTGCCCTCGTTGCTAGGCGTATCCTCCAGTCCGAGGATCCGCAAACCGAGGAAATGGAGGACGAGACAGACGACGATCTGATACAAGGCCTGAACCAGAATCATCTTGATCATTTCGACCGTGATCAATGGGGCGTGAAGCTTGTCGGGTTGACGGTCAAGAAGGACGGGTCGAGCGGGATCCGTAGCGAGAGCGAGCGCGGCAAAGGTGTCCATGATTCTATGGTGGTAGAGACGTCAGGCAAGACCATCCGTAAGCTTGGAGTGACTTACAGGTTGACCCAGAGCAATTGGACCGCAGACAGGACAGACTCTTCAGAGTTGGATGCGACGGCAGAGACAAAGGTGATGACCACGGCGGTGATGTTGACGCTGAGAGGTGGTGCAAGTGAGCATGTCTCGCTGCGCTCGTAGGCGTAGGCCCTCAAAGACTCACGAGATCTGGAATTGCAAAAACTTCTTGACGCTGTCATTGACACATCGACCCCACATGATGGCAAGGACAATGTTAGAGAACGCATCATCCATGAGGATAATATCTGAGGCTTCCTTGGCGACTTCGGTACCCCTGAGGCGTACGTCAGTGGACTGTAGACGTTTGCGTCCGGTGTCAACTCACGCAATGCCCATGGCGAATCCGACATTTGCCAATTTCAAAGCAGGTCCATCGTTTGTTCCGTCCCCAGTGACTCCAACGACCTCGCCCATAGACTTGAGGGTAGCGACGAGCAATCGCTTGTCTTCGGGCGAAGAACGAGCCAGGATCTGGAGTCTGGGGACAATTTCAAGTCGGTCGTGATCGGATAGCTGACGCATGAGTCAGCATGGTCTTCTGTTTGACATGAAAAGGTCTCGCTCGCCCTCGCACTCACCTTTCGGAACACTGGTCCTTCCATGATGATACCTCCCGACGTGAAGATGCCACATTGATTGGCGATACTTCTCGCCGTGAGGACATTATCACCCGTACACATTTTGATTGCCACTCCCGCCTTCTGACATTTTTCCACGGCCTCTCGAACACCTGGTCGAAGAGGATCCTCAATACCGGTGATGGCAATCAAGGTCAAGTCCCTAGCGATCAAAGCGTACGGCACATCGTCTGAAGCTGAACCTTCCGCTTCTTTTGGAGGCCACGATTCAAAGTCTCGATAGCAAAGCGCGATAGTTCTCAATGATTGGTTCGCGTAAAAGATGATGGTCTTTTGGATGTTTGCCAATGTGCTAGGCTCGAACGGAGCAGTCGTCACATCGTCGCTCTTGACCGAAGGCGAAACCACCACGTGTTTGGCGCAAGCCTTGGTGAGGATTTCACTTGCTCCCTTGAGGTACAATCGCCAACCGCTTCCATCGGATCGTTTGATAACGACTCCCATGGCTTTGAGTTCCGAGCTGAACGGGATCATCTGAACGACTTGAGCGGAATCTCGAACTTGTTTGTAGTGTTCCCATTCGAGATCCTTGGCGAATCGGAGGAGCGCCGTTTCCGTCTTGCTACCGACAAATTCAGAGGTTCCATCTTCGGCAGTATCCTCAAATGCGGTCGAGTTGACACAGATGGACTCGTTGAACAGCTTCAAGAGCTGGGGCGATGCCACTTCGTTCATTTTGGCCATGTCAAAGGAAAAATCGTCGCGGATCTTGTCGCCTTCGACTTCGTTCGCATTGGATCGAGAGGCGTTCTCAGAAAGCTCGCGAACGAATTTGCCGCGGACACCGAGAGAACCGGCGACAATAGACATGACGTTTTGGGTGAGGGTGCCTGCAGCGCACATCAGCCTACGCATTCACGACGTTGTGGTGGCAAACTGACCCGTCTTGTCGGTACAGACCACCGTGGCATTTGCCATAGTCTCACAAGATCCAAGCACTCGAACGAGCAAGTTTTGTTTCGTCATCCGTTTCGTCGCAAAGGCCAAAGCGAGCGTGACAGCCAGAGGAAGACCTTCAGGCACAGCGACGACGATCAACGTCACGGAAATGATGAGGATCTTGATGAAGCCTTGTGCCTTGTCGTTGGGAGTTCGATCCGGATCGGTCTTGAGTTGGACAAAGAATCGAATCATGAGAGCGGTGAAGAGGAGAAGTCCTGCACCTGAACCAGCTTTGGCGATGAGCTCGGCGAGGTTATTGAGTTTGGACTGGAGTGGTGTGACTTCGCTGTCGCCTCGCATAGCTGTACAGAGGGTCAGTCGATTCAATCGAGAGGACAGCGTCGACAACAAAAACTCACACATCATGATCCTACCGTTGAAACTGTTTTTTCCGACCGCAATGACGACGTACTCGCCGACACCCTCGAGGACTTTTGCACCAGAGACCAAGAAACAATCCTTTTTGGCCCTTTGACCAGGCTGAAGATTATCCCTCTCGGCGATGCACTCGGCGTAGGAGAACTTTTTGATAGCGTCGGATTCACCAGTGGCTCCTGACTCATCACATCGGACATTGTGACCTCGTAAAAAGACTCCATCGACGGGGACGATTTCACCAGGCTCCAGGAGACAGATATCACCCACGACGACGTCTTGAACATTGATGATCATTTCTTTACCGGATCGGATACACTTGACAGTTCGGTCGTCTCGCTTTTCGTTGAGCTTTTTGAACTGTTTCTCCTTTTGCCAATCGTTGACTGATCCGACGAGGACGACGATGAGAATGGCGACGCAGATGGCGACGCCTTCGACCCAGTCAACGTGAGGAAGTTCACATCCCTGAGGACATTCGGCAGAGTATTGAATCTCTGGTGGAGCACCGACATCTTGGTATATACCAAGAGCGAGAGACACGACCGCAGCCACCGTCAAGAGAATCTGCCTTGTTAGCGAAAAGGTGTTGCGAAGTTGAGACTCACCAGAACCTTGTCCTTGAAAGCGATCCACATGAGGAGCAACAGACTTTTGCTCTTTCTCTCTGGAAGATCGTTACGTCCGTAGACTCGGCGTCTCTCCTCCAAATTGGCTTTCCATTCGGGTCCGCTCTTGTTTGCCGATGGAGCCGCCTCAATGGCAGCTTCTTCATCGACACGTCTGGTTTCTCCGACTTGAGCCTCATCGGCTCCGGCTTGTAGACCTCGAGTGGGGTCTACACCGAGTCCAGCCAAAAGCCCAGCGCTTCCGCCAATCTTTTCGAGGGATTCGAGCGACTTTGGATCCACGAGGACCGCCAAGGTAGAGGGCTTCTCTTTGAACGGTGTGGGATCCGTGGTATCTTTTTCCGGGTCTAGATGATTCATCAGTGCCGCTTGATCCTTCTTCTTGCTGCCTCCTGTTTTCTCATCCATCTCCTCGTCATCCTCATCACCGTGTTTGCCGAGTCCTAAACGATCCTTGAACGAGTACCAAGATCGATGGCTCGTGGCTCGACTGAGATCCGATTTTTTATGCGTATCTTCTGTGCCTGCGGCGGTGGACCAAGTCCCAACAGACCATCCACGTCGATGGCCTCCTTGAGATCCACCGAGGGAGGAAGCGCCGTCTCCACCCTGTTCGCCCACGACACGGAGTGTATCCATACCATCTTGAGCGGTGGGATTATTCCCTCTCAAGGCCATAGACGTGGACGGTACGGGCGTCAAAGGAGATTGATCCTCAAAGTGAACGGACGAGGAATTGGTCAATGTCGGTGAAGGAGGTGTGAGACCGGAAGACCATGATGGCGTAGGGGAGCCGTGAATCAGCGGCGTATGCGAGTTGGGTGATCTCCCAGATGGACTGAGATGGGTATGATCTTGAGGGTTGAGTGTTCCTCCTCTCGGTGGCGTGTGCGGAGGAGGAAGCGGGTTGGATGATGATGCATGGGAATCATCGCTGGACGGGATGTTGAGTCTGGGTGGTGAGGGTCGTGTGGTGGAGGAGGATGAAAAAGTGGATGATTCGGCGGTGTGCGGCGTGATAGGGAATGAATCGGGTGAATCCGAATCCGTCGTGATGATGACGGGTGGTCGGGATGTCATGGCGGGGGACGGGAGGGGTTTCCCCTGGATGAATGATCTAGAGCGCTGCACGTAGGTGAGGAAGGATGTGTCAGTGGCGAGGGATGTACGAGTCAGTCAGGAAGTCCAGCTCACCTATCCCTCTCTCTATGTATATATATCTCTGTGTGGAATGGGAACTGAACACGAGGGGGGTGGTGGATGGAAGGATTGCTGTGCAGAACGTGATACTATAACATGGTCGGCGTCGTTGCCGTCTCTTGGCCTCTTTCTCTCGAGATGTGAACAAGAAGTGAGTGAGTGTTCTTGGCAGCGAGATCCCCCTAATTCGACCAACGCGTTGGAGTCAAAGGGGCAGAGGGGCAGAAGGGGACGGTGTAACCGAAAGTGGCGAAAATATGTATGGGATATATGATCGGTCAGGTGCGAATTGAGCATGTGATTGTAACGCCATGTCCCCTGTGTCCCTCTCTCTCTCTCTCACACTGTCTCTCTCTCTCTCACATGCTGCCTCTCACATCTCTCTCTCTCTCTGCTGCTACTGCTACTGCTGCTGCTGCTGCATAGCCAGCTAGCCAGCTTCGCTGCAACCTCCTCTTCCCCCTGCCCAACGCCACGTAACCTATTTATTTTCCCCCCTTTTCTGTGCCAAGGCTTGGCGACGAGGAAAGGTATTAGGGCGACATGACGTATTAGTAAAGAAGGAGGGGATTTTCTTAATAAACCATTAGAAAATGTTACGACCTGGGTGGTTGACGCCGCCGCCGCTCAACGGTGCCCTCCGCCCAGCTCATAGGTGATCATACGGGGTACATTCGTTGCGAGCATGTACCAGACTCGGATCTACAGGAAGAAACGGGGCACACACTGTTGCCCCCCTGGTCCCCTATCGTCGGGTCCTCCGGAACCCCCGGTCGGTCCATCCCAACTCCAGACATCTAGATGACCTCCTGGACGACCGTCGTGCGCTCAGTAGTGTACACTGAGAAGAGGAAGAGATACACATCAGCGAGACATTCTTAACTTGTGGCCCCTCCCCCAAACATGGTGGTGACGCCGCTTCAAGTACTCACCTCCGTCCAAGAATTTACGGATATCCTTGTTCTTGACTCGGCACACATCGGTAATGGAAGAAGCGGATTGAGAGACGTTTTGAACATCGTTGCCTTGGAGAATGAGCTCATCCTTGACGTCGGATGTGGAAATCTTGACTCCTTCAAGCATGGGAACGTTTCGGATGTACTTCTCGCCCACTGATGACAACGACAAGTATCAGCCAAAAAATGATCCTTTGCACCAGGGGCGGGGGGAACCCCCCCTCCTGACCGTGTGTCGGTCACTCACAAAAGTTTCTGATCTGAAGAGCAGCTCCGTCGTTCTCTGGGATGGCGTTGATGGGGAAATGGGCGTAGACGAGCTTCATCTTGTAGAGGAAACCCTGGAGTAGAGAGGGTCAGCGGCGGGTAAATATGCAAGAAGAGAGGGGCAAAAACACAGGTCGTGTGCCGTTGGCTCTGCAGAACCTCACTCACCTTGGTCACTCCAGTGATCATGTTCTCAACCAATGACTTGATTGTCCTCAAGCAAGCAACGTGTTTACGAGCTCCGTGCCAAACAGTGAAGACAATGACCTTTTTGCCAGCTCGCGGGACCTAGAAACGGGGAATGTTAGCTATCTGACTCGTCGCACAGTATCAGAGTCCGAGCGGAACGAAGCGGAGCGAGGCAGACGACTATGGATTGAGGGCTAGTTGGGGGCCGTGTGGAGTGATCAGTGTCACGACTGGGGATGACTGCTAGCTCGTGAGAGCTAGTCCATCTCCATTTCCCGTTCCGACTTGGCCCTTTTGCCTGCCACCAGCCCCATTGATCCCTCCATACTATGCTTCAGAGTCACCCATGACCGCAGGCCCTCTCCGTCCGAACAGGGAGAGGAACACCGGCAGGCGATCCAGTGAGAAGATCTCTTCAATCTCCATCTCCAAGGCCTGTCTCTCGAATGATCTGCCCGTAAATGCCCCACAGCACTCTCTCTGCCTCCAAGCCACCTCGACGTCCGCACAGTCTCGCTCGATTCGCTTGGCCCCCTCTTGCATCGCAAGGCATCGCTCCGCTCCGCTCTGCTTCTTCCCCTCCAAACTCACGATCTGAATGTCCATAGCAACGTGTCCGACATCCTTGGTCAAAGTTCCTCTCGGTCCCTCAACGGTCACTTTCCTAGCTTTGATAGTGACGGTGACTCCCTCCGGGATGGTGAGCGTCTCGACGGATGTGATGTCCTTCATTGTACTATAGGAGGGGCGGAGCAAAACGAGCAGAATGTCAGCGAAAAAGCGAGCTCCAAACGATAAGGCCAGAAGAAGGAATCTCTCCCAGAGCTGTCGGCGTGGATCGAATCGAATCGAATCGAATCGAATCGAATCAGACCGCGATCCCAGCCTCGTCGATCCTTGAATCCATAGACCCAACACTCACAATGTATACCACTTTTCGGTTGTTGAAGAGTATACAAAATCCGCACTCAGATGCCTTGTATCCCACTTTGAGCTGCCGTCTCGAAAACCTCAAAAGTCCCACAATGGTACAACTTCGGGATTATGAATATATCGCCGACAATGGCAGATGGTGAGGGCTGGGTGTGGCACTCTTATCACCGATTTATGCGATGGAGCGACTTTATTGTTATGCATAATTTGTCACTCGAGATTCGGTCGAGGTGATCGCCAAGTGAGAGATCGACACGACATGCCCCGGACTGCTCAAGCTAGCTAGCTGCCCGCACTTGCACACGATCCAAGATGGATGAGACCTACTCACTGTCATCCTCTCAAGAGCTGTCAGAGCTCTCAGAGCAGGACAACATCCTCGACAATGAAAAGGTACCACAAAACAAACGCCACGACGCTCTCGGATCGCTCTGGTCTCTCAACTCAGATTTCCCTCCCATGCAATCGTGCTCGTATACGGCAGTCTATGGACGTGGGTTCGGCCTCTGCGTCTCAGACGTCTAGACGTCAGACTCATAAGAGACTGGATCGTTTGGACCCCGTCATCATGCAACGAAACCTAACCTATTCCGTGACACTCCCGCTAATGCGAATCGACCTCGCACAGACCACCATAGGGTACCGCATTGAGAGGACGAGCAAGACGAGAAGGAGGCAAGTCGGCCCCCCTTCCCCGGACGACGCAACATTGAGCTTGGACTATTGGCTTCGAGAACCCCTGACGTATCAGTTATGAATCTGACCTGGCTCCCAGCCCGCCTTTTTGTATGAACCAATGACCCTATCAATGCTTGCTGTCCTTACTCGCCGATTCGAAGCCCTTCGATACCTCGTCGAGAGTGGCGTCGACTTACATATCGAGGCGGATACAAGGACAGGGGACCGAGAAGAGAGAGACGCAAGACAAAGCGATAGACGGCGGATACAGATGCTCAGGTGTTGAAGGCTCACTCACTCTACTTGTACCCAGGCAGCAAGAGTCAAAGCACAAGCTCATCGCTCAATCCCCACGACCTGTTCGCTCGAAGACTCGACTGAGATCTTCTTCCTATCCATCGTTGGTCTCCCCGACACCTGACTAGAACGTCATAGGTCACAGCTAAACTCATCAGATCCGATACATCATCTCGTGCTCTACCCCAGGCATCCATCATCACCATCATCATCATCATCATCTTCATCAGATCTTACAACCCCCTCTCCCCTCAAACCGACAAATCATCAAACGTATCTACCCCTCTTCAGTCGAGACGACCCCTTAAAACTGGATTCACAGAACAAGGGTGAGTCGCCTGGACGACCAGCCATAATCTTAGAGGCATTGCTAAAGGGGGGGAAGTTGGCAGAGAAAAAGTTTGTCGTGAGTAGACGTTGAAGTGTTTACATCCTGAGCTGACTCTGCTCTCTGGCCTATAGCCCGAGGGCTTCAAGGTCCTCGGCTCGTCCTCTGATACCCATCAACAACATCTCTCTTCCCTCTCTCCCCCTCCCTCTCGCTCTCGCTCTCTCTCCACCGCCACCTCTAGCAACACCCTTGCCCCCTCCACTCGCCTTCACCAGCTCATCGTTGTTAATCTTTGGGACCACACCCTCTCCATCCTTCGACACTCGACTGTTCTTCTTCTTCTTCTTTTTCTTCCTCCTGGACCCCCTGACCTATACAAACCCCCTCCCCCCTTGATGTTCCGACATCGAACACCGACATCATCCCTGGCATAAACGTCTCTAACCCGAGTATCTACATATATAAGGTGAGATCAACTTTTTCTAAATCAATCAACTATCCTCTACGCACAATCTTGATCACCAGATAGATCGTATCAGGACTCTTCGACCTTATTCTTGACCTTGATCTCTCATCGATCTGATTGTCGATCTTTTGACGATAGTATCTTTGGGTGAGTGGACACTGCCTCGTTCGCTAAAAATGACATGCTGACATGGCCGATAGCCTATGACGAGAACCTGAAGAGCATCTTTTCTGACTGTGAGTTACCATGATTCTGGCCTGGTCTAGACTCTCCTATGCCTTCTTGCCTTTCGATCCCCATCCACCATCTCATCTCATCCCCCATCCCCATTCCCATCCCTTTGACCTGTGTCACCCTTAATTACGATCCTATGCTCTTCCCGCCTCTGCTCCTTTGGAAGTTTTGGAACACATCACATACTCTTCGCCAAAGGGATAGGCTGGAGGTCAAGGGCGTCTTGCTCAATCTTCCATGGTTCATCGGGCTATCTATCGATGCCCAGTCTCCGTGCTCGCTCTCTTGTCTGGCTGATTGTCGAGACCCCGCCCCGTTACACACCAGGGGGTCCCTTTCGATCCTCTTACCATATCCCCCTTGCATTGCTTCGACGGCGTTTGACGCGAGCGTACAGCAGCAGACAATAGACACACCTCACCTTGACTCGTCCTTTTATCGTGATCTTCTCAATCGCCAGCATCATCACCAGCATCATCATCACCACCATCATCATCATACATGTCGTGCTGACCTAGCCTCCCTTCGTCAGGTCTACTCAACTCCTCTCGCTCCTTGGCTAGGCAGGCGAGAACCTTCCCTCAGGAAACATATCGCCAGGTCTAGTCTGGTCATCGGTCCCCGCCACTGGGTCGTTTCGGCACCACAGATTCGTCGACCCTCCAACCCTTCGTCCCTCCGTCCCTGCAGCCCTCCTGCTCTCGTTCATGGACCTGACACTGGACTCACTGTGTGACTTTTTGACGACTCCTTGTGTATCACCCGTTATACACCATTCGACAGTGTGCAAAGATTCACCATCACCACCTTTCACCCCATCAGACTCTGTCTATAGTCCTTCAGGCTCCGTATCTAATCACACGAGTCTCGCCGCCTCCGCCTCCGCCTCCTTCTCATCGCAGAAACCCACTACAACCACCACCATTGATACTCCTGGAACCACTTGCCTTCCTCTGACATTGTCTATACCCATCTCTTGTCATCTCCAGTGGGCTAATTATCCACTTCCTCCTCCCACTTTGACCATCTACTCCCCAAAGTCTCGGTCCGATACCTGCTTCTCGCCTCTCAGAACGACAACACGCTCCGCCACACCGACAACGACAAGCAGCTTCGACGACCTCATCACTCCCTCGACGACTGAGCTTCCGAGCGATACATCCGTGGATATCGGCAAACTGCTTGAATCGGCTGCTTTGGAGATCCTCACTCCGACCTCAAAAGTGTTTGAACTGCTGGAATCCTCGTTCCACAGCCCAGATAGGACCACGCCAATGGGAGACATCAAAGCGCCATCTTTGGCAGCGGCGTCAACGGCGACGACGACGAGGACGTCGTATTCTGAGCAGCAGACTGAAGTTTATGACTCGCCAACGTTTGTAGACCCCTTAGATGAGTAAGTTGCAGCCGGGACGCCTTCAAACGACTTCGAAATTGACGAAGTACAGGCGACGTACTTCTCTAGTTCAGTCCGAGTCCAGTGGAGAGAACATGATGTGAGTGCTTTCCGTCACATGCTTACAGATCTCGCTGCTGATGATCGTTGCCACAGTGCACCCCATGTCCCGACCATGTTACCTCCTTTGCGATCTCACGAGGTATCGCCTCACATTTCGGCATACCATTCGACGGCAGGCTACGCGCACAATGGTCAATACTATTATTCGAATCATTCTATGGGGCATCCCGGGTCCTACACGTACCAATCTTCCAACTCCTCTGCCTACACTCAGCCGAAATATCATACTAGTCTATACTATGGCAGTATGACGACCCCGACGACTCAGTCCACTCAATCCACCCATTCCGACCTTGGCACGCCTCTGACGGATCATCATGGCCCAGATAGTATGAACGGCAGCGGTAGCGTTGGCGGAGGGTACGCCTACTCTTCGTCGCAGATTTACGGGACGATTCAACCTTCTGCGATTCAGTCATGGGATCAGACATCTCGATCGAGATTGGAGCTAGGAACAGGCGTATCAAATACAAGTGGCATGTTGTCAGCACCATCCCCGAGGTTCGGTAATGATCGCAAGACAATCTCGCCAGGATCGATACGGAGCGACAGTAAAGTATCCAGTGGCGGGCCAATGGCGGCGGCTGGGGCAGGGGCAGATTGGACCAGACCGAGCTCAGCCATGTCAGGATTGTCTGTCGATGGAGATCATGTTGGATCTACAGGTATATCAGGGGCGGAAAGTACTTTGATCGGATTGGGCATCGTTCCTGGGACGGTTCAGTACACTTCGGAAGCGGAGATTAAGCAGACAGACGATGTGAGTGAAGCCGAGTGACATCCAGGCCAATGCACTATCTCTACGAGCTTTCTGAATGCGCCCCGCCCGGTTTGGCTGACATGGTCTAGCTCAAACGCATGTGCTTTAATTGCCGTGCGATCCAACCTCCAAGTTGGCGCAAATCGGTTCTCTACCTTGGCAAGATTGTGAGTGTGGCGGGCGCCGCGCCCGTGTTCCCCAATGCGAGATGAGGGAGGTGACGCTGACTCCATCTCTATAGCTATGCAACAGTGAGTTGTACAAACTCCCCGTACCTTTTTCTCGCAGTGGCCTGGTGCCGTTGTGTGGGGCCTCTCTTAGACAACGCTGATCCGGGTCTCCCTCTAGAATGCGGGATATACGAACGGACACATCGTCGACCTCGTCCGCCTCAAAATGACGAGCAAAAGCTTCGTCGGGGATCCGTCTCTGCGGCTCAGATCCAGGATCTCGGAGTCGATGGACGATCAGCCAAGATGCCTTCTGCTCGATTAGCGGTGATGCGTGAAAATGGGGACGAGGATGGAGATTCAGGCCAGGATAGTCCGTGTGAGTCCTCTTGCACTTATTGCTCCCCACAATGAATTCACTCACTCATCGTTGATTTGCATCTCTCCTTATCCAGATTCTACCGTTCCGAGCTTAGAATCCTATCTCGCGCCTGTCCACCGGTATCATCCTTCTCCCTATACCGGCAAGAACGGACTGGACCAATGGGCTGGGGTTCCGAGCGGGACTGCATCGATCTATCGTAGACACTCTCAAGCGGCTTCAAAGCGGAAAACGAACAAACACCTGGATCATCGCGCTCGACGTCCTCATCATTCCATGTCGGCCAGCCAATCTCGACCGTCACCTTCATCGTCGACTGCCTTCCTCCGAGATGGAGCTTCTCAAGACTCTGACGTCCACGTACATGGACACGGACACGAACACGGCGTCGGACACGGTTACGGTCACAGCAGTCCTTACGCTCATGCGTATGCTCGAAGATCAGGCTACATCTCTACTTCTTCTCACGGCCTGAAATCCCGGTTTGACCACTCGGCTTCGTTGACGCTTGGCGGCGAGAGTAACGCGAGTGTGTCACATATGGGACGATCGATCTATTCCGCCTCGACCTCGACTTTAGCTTACGACCGTCCTTCCCTTCACGCTTCATCCTCTATGTGGGAGAATGGCTCGAGAAGGTTCAGCGATGGTCAAGTCATGTTACCCCAGCCGTCCATCTTGGATTCGATGGACCAAAGTCAATACTATCAGCTTCCCTACGGTACAACCACGAGGATGATGCAGGATGACACTGGGTACGGCAACACAACAACGGTGACAGGACATTCGGGGACTTCTTCCAAGATGAGGGATCAAGCTAGCGATGACGATGAGCCGGATCGACAAGAGTATCAGAGACGAGATGATGGTGGTCGAATCAGGGACGTGAACGAGAACGAGAACGAGGACGATGGCGACGACGCTGACGAGGACAATGACGAAGAGGATGACGAGGAAGAGGATGAAGAGGAATCAGATTTCCCAGATGAAGATGATGGAGGGGAGTACATCCCTCGAGGCAGGGCATGAGAGGTTCAGGCGACGATTGACGGGACAGGAATTGTACAAGAGCGCGCATTTCATTTCAATGGACCTCACCTGGTCCTTCTTTAGTTCTAATTTCTGCGACACGAAAACCTAAAACACACGGCATCTTCTTCATCAATATCACATCAAACACATCTCTCAATCTTCATTGCATCTAAACGATCCACCGATTTTCCGTATGGCTATCTGGACTTTTTATTACTTTGCATCCATTTGTGCGACGTCTGAAGGAGATGAATGCAACGATGGCGAACTCGTCCTAGTGTCCACTGTCAATCGGTTTCTAACTGAAAATTGCATTTCGAGGCAAAAGATGGAAACTAGGACATTATCACAGATGTCGTTCTCTCGAACATCTAAGACCGAACGAGGGGACAACTGGCTCCGGCGGACGCGTACTGTACTGCCTCTCTCCTCCACATTCGAGGACGGGGACAGTCATGATCCCGCCATCCTAAGATGCAGGAGCACCAGGAGTGGCCGTCACGGCCGGTGTGGATCCCGCACCAGCAGCGCCACTGGCAAAGGCGCCCACATCTGCACTTCTGTTCCAAGGTCCAGCGTTCGAGTTCATACATCCATTCTTGCATCGGTCGCATCGACCTCCAATCTCTTTAGGAAGGTTGTCCAGGTCAATGTATTGATCCAATTCATTCTTGTACCCTTTTCCCAGGATGTGAATCTTTCGCACGGTCGCTTCATCGAGCCAGGGTTTGATAAGGGACCAGATGGTGGAGAATAGGTAGGGGGCCTGAGCGGAGAGTGCAAGGGTCAGCGAGCTTCGAGGTGTGTCTGCAGACGGCAAGAGTACCCACATTGATGATGAACATGTGTCCCATAGTTTCGGGCTAAAAAGCAGGGTCAACAAGGCCTGCATGCTGTGTCGGATCCTCGACGATATACTCACATCTGAGAGAATGTCAGCCGAGAAAACATGGGCAATGGCTCAACTTACAGTGGTTCTGGCCAATGGCACTGGCAGCGGACACGTAATCCTTCACTGTATGGACCAGGTCAGCTGTGGATTATCTGATGCCCCGTCGACATCCCACTCACCCCTGTAGAAACTACTGATTCCCGCATTGTGCAGGTCCAAAATGGTACAACTCGTCTCGACCAACTCTCCCTTCTCCTTTGAACATGCTGGCAATCGATCCTTGAGGAATTTTTCGTATTCGTCCACGAGATGTTTGAGCTGTCTATCCTGATTTGTCAAGGCTCCAATCTTTGCGACGTCGATGGCTCCGAGTCGTTCAATGTAGATGGGTCGACCTTCACGATCTATACGGTGGTAGAATTGAGGGTAGTACTTGTTGACTTCGGGTCCTTCGTGGTAATCGAAACCGTGCCTGTGACAGCGGGCGAGGGAGGAACATCGTAGTATAGCAACGTTAGAACGAGATTGAGGATGTGAGAGTGAGTACAGCGCAGGACGAGGCGAGTGAAGATTATCAAACACCGGACAACAAGGAAAACAGGCATATCATGAGCGTTCCTCCTTTCACACTACTGTGCCACTTCACTCACGCCGCAATCTCATCCGTACCAAACTCTTTCCTCCACTTCTCATTGTTCTCCCACATCAATCTGGCTTTGGGAATATCAAATTTCCTTGCACGTAGGAATCGCAAGAGCGTTTGATCATCATATCGGTCGTAACCAAGTTCTTTGGTCATGATATCGCGGTTCTCAGGGATCAATCCGGCCGAAGTAAGTTCAGATCGAAACGCCTCGAGTGTTTGAGTCTGATGCTCGTCCCTGCTCGACAGGCGGATGTTTGAATAGACGTCGTGGTCCGGGAGCGACCAACAAGTGAAATGCAAGATTGTCGGGAAGGCGGGAGACCAAGGAGGGGTTGTGGGAATGACAGCATTAGTCAGGCTTTGTATAGCCTCAACAGTCACTCACAAATGTCCTGGGTGTCCAGAGAGAGGGTCTTTGGTGGTCTATTCACCGCACGAATGGAGTCAGCAAGATACACTGTTACTTGCTTCACGTGTGTACAGGGATAGTCGACTCACTGCCATGATGCTGGGGAGCGGGATGCGGGAGATCTCGGTTGGGGCGTTTCTTTGAGAGAATAGTATCGATGACCAGCTGCTCCCTTGCTATGCTAGATGACAGATATCCAGTGCAATTCTCAATCGTGCAAAAGATGAAGAAGATGTGTGCGTGATGAGTATAAGATCAATGGATGATTACTCCCTTTGGCCTCCGTTCGCGTTTTATAAACTGACGTATTTGTGAACCAGAGACGGAATCTAATTTCTCTGAATGGGATAACGTACTTGTGGCGGATGATCATGAACAGCATTCACATGACAGGATGGTCACAGATTGGAGGATGAAAGGGGGAGGAGCTGCTTCGATCGGTCGTATATAGGACAGCGAGCTTTCCGCGACGTATCAGCGAGACTGGGAAAAGAAATCTACAGGTAGGTCTTCACGGTGATTCACTAAACTCCAAGAGTGGTATGATCTCAATGCTCTGCTTGTGACGGGATTGCACGAAAAGATGAGCATCTCGCCCATTGTCTTTGTTGATGTTCACTGTTCGCCAGACACATCAAAACGAGGCTCTGACCCTTATGTGATCCATTGTCGTTCATTATCTGTACCGGAACTTCCTCCGACTTTAGCCCATCAGACGGCACCACAATATGATGATCATCATCACCGCATCGGAGCCTAGAGTATGCGTTGGGAGCCCCGTCGTCCGCCAGACCAGGTTAAGATCAGGTTCAACAACTGTTTGATGAGCCTGTGATCAAGGGACAGCCCCAGGCGTGGACGCCTGACTCTGTGGCCGTCAACGTACCGATTCTAAACGAGAGCAGTGACAAGCAGGATCAGCCAGCTGGTTCAGTTGGACGCCTTTCGAGTGGGCTGAGAAGCATCGTAGGGGTACAGTCATGCAATTGGAGTTTGTGACAGCTATTATTCGCTTATGATGCCACATCGCTTGATAACGACAAGGCCCTTTCTATCAATGCCATGTCTGCCAGCAGCTTCTCTTCCTGTAGTCTTCTTCCGACAAGTTGGAGACCGACCGGGGCATCAGTATACCAATTTGGATCCCACTCTGACCACACAGTTTGTTCCAAGGTCGACCTGGGTGCATGAGGCGGCCAAGGTGAGGAGGTGGAGGAGGTGACGGTCGTATGACGAGTTGGGAACGTGATGGCCGGCCAATCGTACAAGTTCCAGATAGCAGTATACATCCAGTGTCTCGATCTGTCATGTCGTGGCGCAAGGCTCGGAGCCCCAGGACACAGGATTGCGTCGACCGGGCGTCCTATCGATTCTTCCAGATCTGTCCACCTGTCCACGGCTGCCTGCCTAAAGTACTCTCTGAGGCGCACAAGCGGCCAAACATCATTCGGTTTGTTCAAACCCATCAAAGGGGCCTTTTCTGTCAACAGCCACTCGATGGACGGGACCGCCGGTTCTCCGGACAAAGCCAAATGATCTCTGTATTCTTGTCCTTGATCCTGGAGGAAGAGGGTGAAGAGTAATTCGTCTGATTCTTTCGTAGCGTAAGGTTTCCAACGGACAATCTCATGTCCTTGCGTTTTGAGTCTCCTCACACTCTCCTCCATTGCCGCGAGGATCGGCGGATGAGGTAAAACGACTCCATCATCCATCATGATGGCGATGGTGAGTCTTTTATCTGACGGATGATCGATTCGACGCCAAGGGTGGTACAACGTCTGGGCTTCCATGTTCCACGGTGCCATCTGCTCTGACAGGATAGAATCACAGAATAAGGATAGGTCCTCCAAGCATGGCGCGAGGGGACCGACACATCCTAAGATTGCGTCCATTCCTTCGTGTGGACCTTGAAGACCGGTATGTGGTAGTCGACCCACGCTGGGTTTCAGACCCCATATATCGTTCCAAAGAGCAGGAATCCTGGTCCATGTCAGGGCCTTGCAATTATGGTATGACGCACCTGATACTACCTGCTATGTCTGTGCCGACTCCAAGTGGGCTGCCTCGCATAGCGATCAAGGCGCCTTCCCCGCCTGAGCTCCCCCCAGCACTGAGATCACGATTATAAGGATTCGTGGTCCGACCATAGATGTTGTTGTTCGTCTCGATGGCCTGAGGGACGATCAGTCTCCAGGCCTATGCAAGCCACAAGCAGACTCACTAAAAGCGACTGAGGGTTCGATGTCTTGCCATAGATTACTCCGCCAGCCTTTCGGATACACCGAACAATCACTGCATCCTTCGCCGCGATTCGATTGTACGCCCATCCGACAAATCCACTCGCCCCGTCCGTACCTCTAACATCTATATGATCCTTGATACTGACTGGGAGACCGTGCAGCGGACCAACCGTGCGTCCAGTGCGATTCTGATAATCGTCTAGTTCTTGAGCTCGTGCCAAGCCTTCTTGAAAACAGATTTCCGTGAGACAATTGGTCGTATCTTGTGCGATGACCGCTGCTCGGATGAACGCAGTGACGACTTCAACGGAAGTATACACTCTGCCCGCGATAGCCTTGACGATTTGGTGTGCGGGCAACGAGGTGATCTCGATCTGGTGAGGCGTGAGGATGGTAAGACGCGTTATGGAGCCATTGGATGGAGCCGGTTCGAGGGCTCTGCTGTCGGCCCAATGAGACAAGAGCACTTCGCGATCGTGCCGCTTTCGAGCCGCGATTTCCTCCCAGGACGCAGCCACAGTGTGGCTTCCATTGCCGTTCAGCATGGCGAGCTTAGCCTTGGAGGCGTTGCCACAGGCTGGATGAATAGAGCTAGAAGGATAGGTGCCTGTTGCCATGATGAGCGATGCTGATATGAACAAGCGGTGATTAACAGTAGAATGACCGAAGGGAATCTCGTCGCATGAGGATCCGTCCCAAGCGCACGTCGGAGGAGATCGATTCTTTGGTAAATGTCACTGGTAATAAGCCAAGAAGGAATGGCGTCCGGGCAATGGACCGGTTATGCGCCCTGATCCTATGCTCAGATGCTATTGGCTTGCTCATCTGACCAAGGGCGTCCACTGCACGAGGAGCACAAACATATTCGGCCGATTCAATCCATACATGTCAAGATTCGCGGCGCCTGTTGGCGTTTTAAGCGCTAGCCGGAATTAAGGGGTGAGATGACGACGCCTTGCTGGACTTGTGGGATCTGGAGATCTTGGGAGGGCGTCTAACTTTCGCCGCAGACAACTGGCTCGGCGAACGCGGAGCAATGCATGACTGTCAAGCTCTATCTGATAGGAAGATGATTGGCATTACCCCTATCTATTCAAAAGAGATGCACAAGACACGCCAATACGCCCCGAACCAATCTGATTGACAGATCAGACGATGAACGATCTTCACGATGACGCTCGATCCGAGAAGGATCTAGATATCGGCTTCGATCCTACACATCTACTTGAGAAGGGAGACAAGCTCGCCAATGTCACTAGCGAGGAGGTTGCAGCTCCTTTGTATCGCGATGCCCCACCAGAAGTCAAGGCCTGCGTACCTGAGGTCGACGATGTCGATACACCTTGTGAGACGTTTAGGGCGTATATCCTGGGAACTATCTGTGCAGTTGTAGGCACTGGCTTAAACACATGGTGAGCTTCTTCCCAGGATCTCAGGCTGATGCCTCGTCACAAGGTTCGGATCGCGACAGCCCGGTGTCTATGTCAGCCCGCTTCTCGCCCAATTCATCGTTCATCCTGTGGGGGTGTTCATGGCCAAGCTCTTGCCCACCCGTCGATTCAATCTGATGGGTCACGAGATGACTCTCAATCCCGGACCATGGAATACCAAAGAACACACGATCGTCACTCTGATGGCTACCGTTTCTTTCCCTACCGCCACTGCCATTGACATTATCATCGCCACGAAGCTTCCAGTGTTCTTCAATGATCCAGAATTGGGCGGCAACTTGGGATATCAATTCCTCATCGTCCTCTCCACTCAGTTCCTCGGTTTTGGCCTTGCAGGGATGGCAAGAGAGTATCTTGTTTTTCCTCCCGCTATGATCTGGCCTCTGAATCTGGCCAAAGTATCGCTGTTCAATGCTCTGCACAGAAGGCGATTCGACGAGCATGGCGAAGTGGTCGTCGATCAGGAGGCAGATCGAGATCCACCTGTACATGGATGGAGGATCTCTGGATTCAGGTTCTGTCTCTACGTCACCATGGGCAGTTTTGCTTGGTTCTTCGTCACTGCTTTCTTGTGTCCTTTCTTGACCTATTTCAATTGGCCAACCTGGATCGCCCCAACGAACAAGAAACTCGCAATCATCATGGGCTCGTTCACCGGTCTTGTGAGTGCCTCAAGAGACTCCCTCGACTGATTCGTACGTCAGGGAATCAATCCAGTCCCAACTTTTGACTGGACCTTCATTTCTGGAGCGGGTTTGACTCCCCTTATCACACCATGGTGGGCTACTCTGCAGATCTTCAGTGAGTCCGCATGACACATGATGACACATGTCCTTTTTGCGTGCCGGCACCTCTGCTGAACCAATGTCAGTCGGCGCCTCACTCGGAGTTTTGATCATTATCGCTCTCTACTTTTCCAACACTTGGTATACCTCTTATCTCCTACCTAACTCAAACGCCGCGTTTGACCGTTTCGGACATTCTTACAATGTCTCACGAGTCCTCAATCCGGACCACACAATCAACGAGGTCAGCTACCGAGCATACTCACCATTGTACTACTCGGCAGGGTATAATCTCGTCTTTGGTGCCTACTTCGCTCAGTATTCGGCTGCCATCGTTTACGCCGTTCTAGATCACGGAGAACAGCTCAAAATTGGATTCACAGTCGGGTACCGCCAAATGAGAGCATTGTTCTCCAAAAGACATGGCAAGAGCGAAGTGGAGGAAGCGAGGGAGATGATGGATTACGACATCCACTATCGGCTGATGAAGGCCTATCCAGATGCCCCTCAGTGGTGGTTCGGTCTCATCTGTCTGGCTGCCTTGATCATGGGCATCGTGGCCTGCGAGGTCTACAAGAACACTATGCCGATCTGGGGTATTTTTGTTTGTTTGGCGATGGCAGCAGTCTTCTTGGTACCATCAGGTATCATCATGGCTATAAGTGTGAGTGGGGCATCATCCTCGGTATTACGTATGTACTGTGTACTCCCCCTGACATCTGGCCACAGAATGTTCAGATCATCCTCGTCGTTTTAGCAGAGATTATTCCCGGTGCAGCTATACCTGGAAGGTGGGCATCATCAGTCAAGACAACGAGCTGAAAACCTTGCAGACCTTATGCAAACATGGTTTTCAAGATCTACGGCTGGGTTGCTCTGATCCAAGCTTTACTCTACGTACAAGATCAAAAGCTCGCACACTACATGCACGTCCCGCCCAGAGCTACGTTCCGGGCACAAATGTGGGGCGTGCTCATCGGGACATTCGTCACGCTGGGAGTTATCAACTGGCAAATGAGCGTCGTACCAGATCTTTGTGTACCGGGTCAGAAGGACCTTCTGACCTGTCCTTACTACGTGAGCCACCTCTTAATGTACTGCATCTGACATAGAACAGACTACCTTCTTCTCTTCGGCTTTGTTATTCGGGGTACTGGGACCCAAGAGAGTGTACGGATCCAAAGGATTGTACAAGAATCTTCTCTGGGCATTCTTTGTCGGTGCAGCTCTGACAATCATCGCGAGTCTAGCCAAGAGGAAGTGGCCGAAGAACAAGTACATCCAAGGTGAATAAAACTTCACGGACATGTCTCTGATCCGACTGATGAGCGCAGCGATCAATATCCCCGTTATCATTTCCGGAGCGCAATATTTTGCCCCTTACAATTGGGCCTTCGTCTATGCTGGGGTACCTCTTGCTTGGACATTTATGCGCTACCTATACCGTCATTATCACAGTTGGTGGTCCAAGTACTGCTGTGAGTCCGAAATTGGGGAGGCACGAGCTAGCCCAAGGTTGACCTACACAAGATATCCTGTCGATTGGCTTGACTGTCGGTGCTGCTCTATCCGGTATAATTCAGTTCTTCTGTATCACCTACCCTGGAGCTAGTCTCAACTGGTGGGGTACTGAGTTTTATGTCAGTGGGTGTGATGGGCTTGGATGTCCCCTGAAAGAGCTGCCTGAAGTGGGATACTTTGGTCCTGGGGTAGGTCCAGCCGCCATCATCGGGGGAACCATCCGCTGACGTCGTGTTCAGCCCGGACAATTTGACTGAGCAATCAACGTCTCTCCTCATGATTACGATGTGTAGGCAGAGGATCTACGATCATCTGCGATTTGGTAGTCAGCATGATAGTTGTGATGCGTCTGTACAATATGCAACCTTGGCCAAGTTGGATTTTTGCCACTCGCTAGGAATCTGAAAACCCGGGGAACCCGACTTCGGGATCTGGAACGGATTCTCATCCCGCATCAGCCGATAAGGACAAGTCTTCAACACTATCCATCTGGTCACATGTGAACCTTTGATCATTGGTCCAGCCGTCCAGGGTGTCAAGTGTGATACGATGGAGTCTGGTCCGAGCCGAATCTCAGAAGCCCCCTTTGGCGAGTCAACGTCAATGGCGGTCGGCGCGTCTACTCGTCGGAGCAAAACTGGGTGTATAACCTGTCGTATCCGCAAAAAGGTCAGTGTGCTGATGTATCTCCCTGCATCTCAACAAGCTGATGACCTGGCACCTTGCGATAGAGGTGTGATGAAGCCAAGCCTCTTTGCCGGACCTGTACCCGATTGGGCATAGAGTGCTTGGGATACGGCGCCAAGCGGCCTAAATGGTTGAGCGAGAAGAGCAAAGCGGATCAATGGCGTCGACATATGTGCGCGACATTTCTCTCGGCTCCGCTGAGAGCGCATACTCACCTATGCACAGACATGAAGCGATACAAGTGCAGAAGACCAAGAGGGCGAGAGAAGAGTCGACGCAGTCGCCAGAATCTGACGGTGACTTGTCTCCGGTGGAAACGCATGACAGATCTTCGTGGCTATCGGCTTTCGACGGTAGCTCCGAATCGATCCCTCCGACTAGGTCTGGGAGACCTAGCGCTCATGATGGTCCTCCATGGAAGACACCTGCTCCGTTCGAGCAGGTGGCCGGGGCGGAACTCCTAAACGATTGGGACACAACCTTCGCTCGACCCAATGGCGTACCCAATGGTTTCCGAGATGACCCCACTCATGGTCAATCCGTCTTGCTACCAAATGATGACATGACCGTCACGATTCATCGGACCTCACCTCAATCCCAGAGCGCAGACGCCGCCATTCAGGACATGTGGAAAATCCTCTTTGGTCCCGATACACCTCCACCTCCGCTTCCAGCTTCCTCGCCAATCCATCAGGCGCCTCCTCCTGCGACCCACTCAGAGCTTACTTTTCCCCTCACGATTTTCAGACCCATGCCAGCAGCTTCGGTGGCACCGTTGATGGCGGCCAGCTCTTCCGAAATCCCTGACTTAGGATATCTTCACCACTATCTCAACGTCGTGCTTCCCCTGCAGTATCGCTTCGCTTTCAAGTCGATGGCTGAGCTAGTAACTCCTTTAGCAATGTCCAACCCTCAAGTTATGAGCTCGACTTCCTCCCTCGCTGCTCTCCACCTCTCTGCTCAACGTACGAATACCCCTTTTACAATGCTCACTTCGGAGACCGACGCTTCCTTCAACGATGTCGATGCGATCGTTGCGTTGACTTCCCACAAAGATGCCACGGATAGGCTAAATTTCCTGTCTAGTAGTGATCTCACGAGTGAGGACGTCATTGTCTCGGCGCTCTTCGCCATATCCTTCCACTTGTTCTGCGGCGGAACCTCCAGGGAATGGGTAGATGTTCTTGCCACGGCTCGGCGGTGTCTTGCATCGGCCCTCGCGTCATCTCCAGAGGTGACGCCAAGCAGAGCAGCGTGAGTCGAGCCTTTTGGACCTTTGTCTTATGTGCCTCAGTCCCGCAAATGGGGTCTCAAGTCCATGGCAGCGTTATAGACCTCTCATCGCCGTGATGGTATGGATGGATATCCTTGGCTCCGTCACTCAGAACAAGGCATCGCCCATATTGCCAACGTACATGCGCCTTCTCGATCGTACACCGATGCAGAGACATACAGATGCCAGGCTGGACATGGAGAATGTGATGGGTTGTGATGATACGACGGTGAGGCTGGACACTGTGAGTTTGCTGATGAAGACAGTTATTGGCCCTTGCAAGGACGATAGCGTTATCGGAATGGAAGGAACATGCTGAGAAAGCGGGGTGTCTGTCGATCAAAGAGCTTGTTCAGCGAGCGGCATCCATAGAGAAGCTCCTGGCGGAGAGATCATGGCGTCAATCACATCTCGACGAAACGCCAGACTCGTCATCATCCCGCAGGGACGGCGAGAGGACGGGATTAATACGTTTCATCAGTGACATATTTCACTCGGCGACTCAAGTGCTTCTGGCAACAGTAGTCAATGGACCATACCCACGGGGTGAGCAATTGGACATCGTTCAGCTCTGATCTGCTTCTAGTTGCCGAAGTGTCGATAGCTGTCCAAGACACCATTGCTGCCTTGACACTTCTGGACATCAGTTACCCTCAAGCGGACATCACTCGTGCCCTCATATTACCGATCACCATAGCCGGCTGTCATTGCGAGACGTTGGCTCAGCGTGACTTTTTCAGAAAGCGATACAGTAGTCTGGGACCTGACGCAGCAGCGTTTGGCAATTCAAGTCAAGCTTTGGCTCTGATGGAAGAAGTGTGGAGACAACGTGATCTACCAGAGATTGGCCCGAGGTCAAAAGTGGACTTTAGGCAGACAATGCGGGACCTGGGCTGGACCGCTGGCATCTTGTTGATATGATACATGCGTCGTTATCATTCTTCCGAACCGGCTTTACCTTTTCAGTCTCTTGCCTAGCCCTTCGAGCTTGGAATTTTCATTGGCGTACAAGCTTCCCACAGCCAACTCTTGTCCTCTTCTTGACCGCTCTGCAAAGAGCGTTTTCAGCTCCTCGCCATCCCGTCCATAGCCAGCTAGATCACCCCACTGAGTCCAACATGGTATGCCGCCTTTCCATCCATGCCCGTTGCCCTCGTCTCCATCTATTGCAGGCTCTTTGCCCGAATCCCAACCTCCACATCTCTGTTTACATGAGACGCTGACAATCTTGCATCGTATCACAGTCGTCCGCTCGACAGCGGGGTCCATTGGCTGACCCACAATATCTGTCCTGGTGTATCCCGCAACGGTGTCTGTGACTACACCCAGCGAATGACGCTTCTCCTCGTGGTCTGTCACGAGGGAGGGAGATGAGAGATGCAAGGTAGCCGAACGATAGTTGAGTGAGTGATCGTGAGCTGTAGGCGAGAGTACAAGTCCATCGACTGCAAAATCTCAGTACGGGGAAGCGAAGAGTGCGCGAGAGATCTCACTGATGGTCGTGGTAGCGGTGAATGAAGTTGACCCCCTCTCCACTGCCTCTACCAGACCAGAGTTTCGATGCCTGTCGAGGCGAAGTCAATTATCGAAACCAGTCAGAACCATTTCACACACGTATGGAAGTAGACATTCCAGCCATTGAAATCGCCAGATTCGTCTTCATCATCCTCGGGCACGATCACAGTGATCAAAGGCAGATTCATCACTGTTTCTGCCCTCTTTGTCTTGCCCTCATGGCGAGATTCATCATCTCCTGGATGAACAAAGGCGACGTGAGCTACTGGGCTCGAGCGAAAGATCTCTCGCGCTGCAGTGACTTCGTACGATGCTCGCTGTCGATACAGTCTGATCTGGGTCTGGGGCCCGGGACTTCCATTCGTGTCTGCCATGGCTTCGAGACTATGTCACACGTACAATCGAATGCTAATGAGCGAGTCAACGCGGTCGGGTGTCCCCCGGCCGGTATCTCGGATCAGCCGAAAAGATGGGGTATCACGTGACAGATCTTCCGAGCCAAGCTTTTAGCGCCCGGTCAAAGAATGTGGCAATGAGGCAGATCCAGCGTCAAAATAAGCGCCCCGATAACACGGTCCTGACCGAGAGACAGCCAAAAATAATCCGCTCGGGCGAGATCCCTCAGACCCCCCGCCCCCCACCTATCTATGTTGGCAGTCTGAAAGCCTCATGCTGCTGCTGGTGCTCCGCTCTGATACTTAGACGCTGCGTCTAATGAGGCTCCGTATGATTCATCATGGAGCTCAATAGGAGTCGATGAGGTTTAAGAGAAAGCACCACATTTCCGACTGTTCACGTTAGCATTCCTCAGCGATATAGATCTGAACATGTCTACCACGCGACTTGCTCCTTCTGTTAATCACAGCGGCAGGACTGGGTCAAGAGTCTCTGTTGATAAGACCTCTATCCCTGTCAATGGTCACACGACTTCCAAGTCCCCTGCTCTCGCCCTCACCGGCCAGTCACGCTGGGCCGGTTGGTCGTATCCTCAGCCACCGAACGTTGGTGGAGCGACCGAGGTTATACATGGGGTGGAGATCAAAGATCCGTGGAGGGAGCTCGAAGACCCCGAGAAGGACGAAACCAAGCGGTTCGTACGCGAGCAGAACGAAGTGAGTCCAAGTGCCACGGTGGGATACGAGCTGATATTGTCTTCAGCTTAGTATTCCCCTTCTCCGGTCGCACCCTCACCGCCAGTTGCTGGAAGACGCCGTACGACAGGTCTGTACATATGAACGAACATCAGTACCGAGTCTGATGGGCGATGGGTACTACTATTGGACGTATAACCAAGGCAGCTGGAGCAGGGACATAGTCGTCCGCTCCAAAGACCTTCAACAAGATTTTGGCCGACTTCCAGAGGGCATCCAGAGTCCAGATCCAGTCGAGACCACAGATGTAGCGACCAAAGAACATCGGCCCGGACCAGAGGTGGTGTTCAATCCAAATCAGGAAGATATGATCTCCATCTATGCGGAGTCTTGGAGCCCGTGTGGCAGATTCTACTGTGTCATTTTGCAAGAGGCAGGGTGAGCATACATACTCTCTCCCAGCACCACGACGTGCTCACTGTGAAATGACAGGAGCGATTGGCAGAAGATTCGGACCCTGGATACTACCACTAGACAGCCCATCGAAGACGACCTCATCGAATCCAAGTTTACCTTTGGAACCAGCTGGATAGGTTCCAACGGCTTCATCTACAAGAAGCCAATCAGAGCGTTGGATATCAACGGAAACGCGTCAGCCTCCTCTGCAGCCCTTGCAGAAGCCGACGGTCAATACGCCATGTTCTATCATCATTTGAAAACACCTCAATGCGAAGATGTCATGGTATGGTATGGAACAGGTCCGAACGCCAGAAATTTGATCACTGGTCGACCGATAGATTGCTCGTGGGATCTTCGAGGGGATCAAAAAGGTCGGAGATGGGTCTTTTGGGACATTCACCGAAGTGCCAGCGCAGAGACCGAGTCTTTCATCTTTGAGCTGCCCCTAAACCTAGACGGGATGTCGGGGCGAGAGACTGGAATGCAACTGAAGAGGCTGATCGGTCAGGGCAAGTGGTTGAGTCGAGGCTTCACCGGATCCTTGCATTGTCAGTCTGAGAGCGATCAAGAGATGGGATGCTGATTGATTTCACAGATATTGGCACCCTATCCAATGACACTCATCTTTTTGAGGGAACCGCCAATGGCTACACGTTGGGCCGCATAGTCGCCATCACCGCTGCAGACATTGATCAGACCGTCCCGGGAGGCGACGTGCCATTCACTCAGCTGATCCCTTCTCATCCATCTGGCTTCAATCTCCTCAGCGCCAATCTCGTCAAGGACTCCGTCCTTGTCCTCGTCTACTTAAGAGACGCATGCGCAGCCGTCGTCTTCGCGGATGCACGCACAGGCGACATTATCGGAGCTTCAGATCAACATGGAACTCTGGGTCACGCCATGACAACGCCTAGTCTAGAGATTCCTGTCCCAGCTGAAGAACTGGACAGAAGACTCGACGCAAAGCACGCAGTTGCTATTCCTGCCCACGCAACCATCTCCAGCGTCTCTTCGAGATCCGACTCGGCAGATTTTTACTTCTCAGTCGATACGTTCGTGGCTCCCCCTTACGTTCTCAGCGGGGTCATATTACCTGGTGTAGGAGAGCCGGATATCAAGCTGTCAAGGATCGATCATGCTCCGGCGCCAGAGGAAGATCTCGTCTGTACGCAAACCTTCTACGAGTCTTTTGACGGGGTGAAGATCCCCTTGTTCATCTCCCACGCCAGAGACCTTGATCTCACTCGTCCACAGCCCACTTTGGTTCATGCTTATGGAGGTTTCGGAGTGTGCAGCACGCCACAATACAATCATCAGTTTACGACGTTTATGCGGCATGTACGTGGAATGTGAGTGCTTCCTATTCCTCGAGTAGAACCTGCCTAACCCCACGTTGACCAGCGTCGCCGTCGCTTGTATTCGCGGTGGCGGGGAGTACGGAGCAGATTGGCACGAATGTGCTCGACAGATCAACCGCTTCATCTGCTATGAGGATTTCTCACATGCGGCCAAATACCTCCACGCCGTCGGTCTCACTACACCGGCTCTGACGGCGTCTTACGGCGTATCGAATGGAGGAACCCTCGTAGCGGCAAGTATGAACAGAGATCCCCATCTGTGGCGAGCGGTCTGTCCAGATGTAGGGGTGTTCGACTCGACAAGATTCCATCTTTTCGTGAGCGAATCGATCGAGTTGCTCTGCCTAACCCATACTGTAGACCATCGGTCGACTATGGAAAGCTGAAGCTGGGGATCCTGAAGATCCGATGCAATTGCAATACATTCATGCCATGTCACCTCTACACTCTGTCAAGGCGGACGACGACATTGTCTATCCCGCAGTGTTCCTCACAACAGCCGATCACGATGTCAGAGTGATACCGGGACACACGCTAAAAATGCTCGCCGAGCTACAAGCAAAAAGGAAGAACAATCCAAACATCTTGTGAGCAGTCTCTGTCAAGCGGAGACTCAATTTCAAACTAACATCCTGCTCAGCCTTGGGAGGATCTATGAGAATGCAGGACACGAGGGTAAGAATTGGAACATGCTCGCGGAGCAAAACGCTGACCAAATATCAGTGACGAGTAAATCTACCGAACAAAAGGTCGAAGAGGCAGTAGATCGACTTGTATTCATCATTTCAGCTATAGGTTTGTAGTGTGCTTGTTTCTCTCTTGATGACAATGACGACCATGTATGAGGACTGAACACTGAATCACCACGGTCTTTGGGATTCTAAAGATTTACCCTGGGGAATGGTTGAGCGCAGTTATTATTCAGCTACTTACGCCCTGCTCTAGGTCGAGTCCTTCTCTGAACCCCTGTGATTCATCTGTATCAGGCATCTGAAGCACCTGGTGAAGCTTTTCGGGTTCAGAGACGGCTCCACAGCGCAGCATCGGACTCACCCAGTCCGTGGAACGAGGCAACACATCAGGTACGTTTGGTGCTTCCTGACCTGATACCAGACTCTCCCACCAATTCTGGTCCATCAACGAGCCAGTGTCCATGGAACCCTTTCGAGAGGAAGAATACTCCTCGAATTCTTGGCTGTTTGACATCTTGTGGAGGCGATACATCCAGGCGGCTGTTTGTGCTGACCATTCTGATGCAGTTTCATGCGCTACATGCTCATGCGTAGCTTTGGAGGGCGGTCTCGATCGATAGGATTCCATGGCGGCTCGTGCATTGTCATGCAGAACAGTGAGCCATTCGACATCGTGCTTCGATCCTTCGCAAGGGATAGAGTCTCGGAAATTGGGCAGGAGGATCAGAAAGCCTTCAAGAGACTCCATGGCCAGAGGTGCGACTGGACAGCCCGGCGCGATGACACAAATCGATGCTAGGCATGCACCGGCCGAGAGGCCATCAGACTAGCGGATGAGCACCTCACCGAGGATTAGATTGACAGACATACCCAGAAGTACCAGTGGCGAGCACTGACAAGGGGCGAGAGCGAGTACAGGCTTTGTAATGTGGCAATGATCATCTAGCGAGACATCAGCCGAGACTCCGAGGCCTAGCGCGTGGCAATCAGCTCACAATCAGTCGCTCGACAGCAGCTAAGAAAGGCGCCGCGAAAGGCGAATGCGTCGGATCTGCTGGTGCAGCTCGCAAAGCAGTGACAAAGTATGGTCGCAGTAGTGCGTATATAGTGCTACTGATCTTGAGGGCCAAGTAATGTTGCTACACATGAGCACCGAGACCTTGCGCGTTTGACTTACTTGGAAGAGCAGAGCCACATCAGTCGCAATTGGCGCCGGACTAGCTTCATCGGCTTCGCGTTGACTGCCGTACTTTGAGACCGTGACTCGCATAGAAGCTCGGCAGCGAAGCCTCAGCGGTGTTTCATCCTCGAGAGCAGATCTACAAAGTAAGTGGTCGGCTCTGAGAAATCTCTCACAATCGGCGCCAGATATTTATTATTCTTGTCCATTGAGGAGCAGAGACGCGGTGTGTCTCGTCCAAACGCCTGGGAGACTCGTCAGTGAGAGTGTTGAGATAGACACGTGCTCTTTAGCCAAGCTTGCTAATCTGGAGTGTATGTAGTCAAATGTCACGGTTGGCTGGGAGAACGACTCTGGAAGCATAGTGTCGAGGTAATCAGGACTCAATCCAGTCCTAGCAAGATTTAGCAATTCAATGGAATAATGCCTAAACAGCTCACATCCGGTCCCAAGTAGCCGACTGAATGATGCATTAGCTTTCAAGTCCCCGTTCCAAGGCCTAAGCTTACCATGAATACATCCGACCCGTAAATATACCAGAACAGTCTGCGCCGACGATCTACCTCTTGCGCATCAAGACCCCAAAGACTACCATCACGATGAAGACCCATCTATTGTGGTAAGTCTTAGTGGACTAGACGAAAGGCCTCACCGCTTGCATCATCCGGTTCGCAGTGCCTAGCAATTGCCAAGCATAATCCCAGCGAGACGAAAGATCCACATAAGGCAACGCTGTGCATATGAGAGACTGTTCAGCGTGTCAGTGTGGGATCGAGCACACGGTCCACCCACAAGTGTCTGCAGCCCAGTGGTGGTCGTGCTTAACATGAATTTCCCACTGAGTAGACACGACTGAGCGATGGAAAGGTATGTGACGGCTTGCGAGGACAATGGCGGAATCTCCATGTTCATGATCATGCCAAAGGCCAGGACGGCAGATACCAGGCCGAGCTGCTGATAGGCAAGAGGTGAACGCTGAGCACTACTCGACCGTCGCTCGATATAGACCGATTCGAGAATTTGGTCAAAGTCGGCCGACGTGATCGGGGTTCCGATCCAAGCGATGCGACGGAAATACGACTGAGAGAGGATGCGAGCTTCTTCCATGTTGGGTAATTGGCTGAATAGCTTGCTATACGGCTGAGAGGTAGCGTTCGGCAGGTTGGCTAGTGCTGCAAAATCTGCGGTATCACGATCGATAGGGTATGCCGGGATATGGGCGTGATCGCTTCTGAGTGTATCCTGTGAACAGTGTCAGTCCGACAGCCGGTGTCAAGGTTTTTGACCTACATCGCGAAGCCATTGCATGCCTGCAGCTGGTCCGGCGTAGGTTGATCGGTCTGCATCTACTTGGAGGGTGCCGAGCTCGTTTCTCTGACTCGACTCTGCACTGGATAGCGTGTGAGGAGCCTCAATCGGATCAGGTCCGATTACGTGTGGTGAGCGCGAGGCTACGGAAGCGAGCGCGTCCATTGCAGTGACATCGTTGAGGTATGCAGAGCTCTTCCTGACTGTCACAGGTGATAGTCCACCAGACGTAGGATTCGCAGGGGATGTCGTGTGGAACGCCAAGTGAGGAGCAGCCGTGTTCCCGAGCATTGATTCCAGTTCATGAACTCTTGAGGCGAGGTCATCCCGTTCTCGGATCCTACAGCCAGCACGTCAGCTTCTAGTTAATTGTATCAATCCAGTATACTTACAAACCCTTGAGTCCACCCAACGCACGATCAGGACATAGCTCTGGGTAGCCTCTCTTAATACATCCGTTGCACGGCACTGTATTTCTTCCATCAGCGCGGGGATTCGTTAAATTCCGCCAAGATGGACATGGTGAGAAAGTACATCCCTCACCTTGACGATCACACTTGATCTTGAGACGACGACATTCTGAACATCATGAGTATCAGTGGGTCCCTTCAAGCCTCATGCACTGGTTCTGTACCCGATGAAGGCACCTCTAGACTCACCAGCACAATTCAGACTTTTCGACTTTCGCCCCGTCCCGGACGGACCTGATTGATAACCATCTCCGTTTTCTGGGGAGGGTGATGACCAAGGTCTTCTAGCTGCAGATCCTGGCATGGCTCAAGGAGAGGGGAATAGCTCGTTGCAAGTCCGAAAGTGCCATGTACTAGGCTCAGGGGATTGACCACAACGATAGGATCACCGGGGATTTTCAATCCGTTCATCGGTGTCCTGAGCGGAGAACGGAATCAAATCTCAATCTAGTGTGGCGTGCAGCAGCAGCACCTGCAGGGATGCATATGGAATGGTGTCAAGCAGCTGACTGTGAACTACTACAGACGCCTCAGTGGAAGAACGAGGCATAAGTTCGCTGCTTGGAGGTCTCAGATGCTCCGTTCACAGCATCAGCTTCTCCCTGCTGCGTGTCGGTGAGCTCATCAGCTTTTTGGGTCTCAGCCACGCTTGGAGGCTCGGCGTCCGATTCAATTGTCGACCCAGCGATGCTGCTGCTCTGCTCCGTGTCGCCTGTCTGGGACGGCGTGCCATTCTCTTCCCCAGATCGCTCTTCAGCGTCCACAAAATTCTCAGGCTCAGAAGGTGGGGTCTCAGTATAGTCCTTCTTACCTACTTCCACCCAGGACTGGTCGTCGAATTCATGACTAGATTCCGAGCTCATGGTGGTTGTTCTAGGTCAGGCCTGATAGTGATGCTGTGATGTTTCTAAGGCTGTAGACTGCTATGCAGGAAAAGAGTGGCGAAGGCTTCTTATCGTGTCGAATTATGTATTCTTCCAGGGTACGGCGGACGGCAGCCTGCGACCTGTGAATCGAGGGGTTACAGCGTCATCTCGCCCCAAATTCGATGAAAGGAGAGTAGTGAGATGCCACAGTGGACACGGACGAGATCGATCGGGGCTGGATTGGACAGTAAACCAAGCATGATTGCCCGCCGAAGTACCGGCTTCAGTTTTCCAGTATGAGATGGGTTCAGTTTATACCTGCTAAACGACATGCGAAAGGCATCTTGTGGTTGAGAGCCATCAGATCGTCAGGGCTTCACTCTAGGTTCAGATCTCTGATGGAATGCGTCAAATGCACAGACTTTGGTCCCATGAGCAAGCTCGCTTCACGCTCCAGATAGATCCATGCATGGACATCGAACGACTGCGAGCGAAGACTGCGGGACTGATAAGAATGCATTACGGATGCTTGAGAGCGGAAGGGATCGTGAAAGACCAAGGCTGACCGCAGTTGGATCACTTGGGTCCATTGATGATGCATTTGATGACGGTCTGTAGGAGATCAGCTAGGATCCCTCACTTGTGACAGTCGACACGACACCACACCCACCTTGCCATTGGCATCCTTGCCCTTCTTGGTCGCTTCGAAAGCCTCCATGGCGTGATCGAATTCGTACTGTTGGGTCTTGATGGGTTTGAGGTCGACCAAGCCTCGCTCAACGAGGGAGATGGCAAGCTCGTAATCGCCTGTACCGTATCGGAAAGATCCGATCATCTTCAATTGCTTGTTGATCAATGGGAAGAAGGGGACGTTGATGTTCATGTTGTGACCCATACCGACACCGACGAACGTGCCTCTGTCAATTGTGTCAGGGCTGACAGATCGGGTGAAAATGGGAAAACTCACGCTGGCTTGAGGAGGTGGAGTGACATTTGGATACAAGACGGGGCGCCAGTACAGTCCACGGCGAGGTCGATCGAGCCACGTCCGAGTTGAGGAACACCGAGAGCTTCACGGAGCTCTTTGGCAGCTCGAACAGAGTAGTCATCGTCACTTTCGCCTTCATTCTTCTTGCCCTGAGGATAGAGCGTGAGCGAACTCTTGATCGGATTTGTGACAAAACTCACCGGTTTGTAGACATCTGTAGCGGCGTAAGACTTGGCAAACTTCAATCTGTCATCATTGATGTCGACAGCGATGACCTTTCTTGAGCCCAAAGCTCTGGCGACGGCCATGCACATGAGTCCAACGGGACCAGCACCAAAGATGACGACGATTTCGTTGGACTTGAGTTGTCCAAGAGTGGAGACGGAGTGAACACCGACCGAGAGAGGCTCGACCATGGCTCCGTCCTCAAACGTCACGGAATCAGGGATAGGGTGGGCAAGGTCGGCAGGAAGGGCTAAGCGAGACGTTGTATCAGCCGAGTCCCCATCGTGAGGGACGAAAGAGGTGTCAACATACCATAGTACCTGGCAAGAGTGCCGTAGATGGAAGGAGGCGTGGCCGCAAAGTCCATGAATTGGCAGAGCTGAGAGAGGTGTCAGGCTATAACCGGACTCGCGCTCGCTTGAGCTCGCTTGCGCCAGCTCGCTGACAAACCCACCTCGTACTTGCCCTTCTTACACTCTGGACACTTTCTGCAGCTTCTACCAGGTTCCAAAGCGACTCTGTCACCGACTTTGAGGCCCATCTCGGGCTTGACAGCAGCGCCAATTTTTGCAATGACTCCACTGGACTCGTGCCCCAGACACATGGGCTTCTCGAGGACGTAGTCCCCTATACGCCCATGGGTGAGGTAATGGACATCAGATCCACAGATTCCAGTTCGTCTGACTTCCACGAGGACCTGATCGTCTTGAATCTCAGGGACAGGTCGCTTCAGGAGGAAACCGAGCGTCAATCACAAGCTACCAGTCAAAGCGATTGGGCATCGCTCACCTCTTCAAATTTGACATTCTCGATACCGTGCAGGACGAAGCTCGGGTTATCATGTTTCATCTGAACTTGTGCCATCTTGCTAGCTGTAGCTGCAGTGTATGATCTGTTGTTGATAGTCGCAGGGCTGATAATTTTTCTCGCTACAACGTTTGTGACAGTCGACCGAAAGTTTCCGCCGAGGACGGCCCGAAGAGGCGTTGCGGGTAGCATGAGGGCGAAAGAATAATTGGGAATTTTGGCTCTGGTGGGTGAGCGTGCGTGCAAGGATAGACGTATCCCGGTGACTGTTCACACTAGAACTCTTGTTTGATATGCTGCTTCGAGTGTGGTTGTTGTTGTTGAAGATATGAACGAAAGATGAAAGAAAGAATAGAAGATGGACAAAGGTACACACTCAGGCGTCTTTAAGGTTCATCTCGGCGCAAACTCGGCGATTTACATATCTCTACACCAATACACTGCTGCCACCACCACCACCACCGTTGGTCATGCCTCTGAGCACACCTGTACTCCGTTTGGCATCGAGGAACAATCCTTCCAGTTCACCGATCTGATCTAATCCAACTTCAGTCTGACCCATCGTCTTGGCGAGGATGGAGGCTGGGGTGAGAAGCTGGAGGGCGAATCTCAGACTGGTCTTTTCACCTTCGTCGGCTAATCTGTCCAAAGCTTCTTGACGGAGAACGATGCCTTCGATCTTGCTCCTGATCTCGAGCACTTTTCGAATCTCGTCTCGACTGTAAAGGCTCGTCTTGACGATCATGCAGCGGTCCAAGAGGTCCACAGGTATACCGTGAGGAGATCGAATGCCTTCACCGGATCCACCAACGACCCCATCGTATTCGGTTCCTCGGATAGTCGTCATGCCACGGTTGGATGCCAAAACGACGTAGGGAGACATGGGCGATTCGAGAGCTCGGTTCAGATAGGTAAAGCATTCCATGTCGAGCATGTGGACCTGGCAGACGGACGTCAGTCAAGCGCACACGTCGTACATCGCAGCACGCCTTGCACTCACCTCATCGATGAACAAGACTCCTGGGACGAGCTCCGCGACTCCCTGCTCGATATATCTATCCACGACTTTGTTGATCTCTCTCCGTAATTTGTCCGTGACCTCTGTTCTCCCACCCTTGACCAACTGCCCCATTACACTCATGATATCCTGTCCACCCTGCGGTCTAGCATTCGCCATGTCCAAATCATGCAGCGTCACATCCTGAACCAGCTCCTTTCGTTTATGCACATCTCCCTTTGGCAACGGGACGTATTCCTCCGCCTCGAGATCGAATTCCGAGGCATAGGCATCTGATCTTCCAACTCGCTTCACCGCTCCAGTATTCGCCTCGATATAGATGACATCTCCAACCACCACACGTTCCTTCTGAATCGCTTCATAGACGGATGGGTCGAGTCGTAATTGTTTGGTCCCTTTGACCGTTTTCAACCCCACAATGACATGAGAGATGGTCTTGCCATAACCAGATAACGGGTTCTCAGCTTCGGATGGCGTGAGTTCAGTGACTTCTCCTTCGTAAACCTCTTTCGTCTCTTTGATACGGAGGCCTGGGACGAATCAGCTACGATTCCTCCCCGGAAATGGCGCTGACGCTCACCTATTGCTCGTCGGAAGGAGCTGCCCAAGACTTCTGTTTTCTTAACTTCGCCAGAATACACCTCTGAACCGACCATCGCGCAGAAAGGGACTTTCGAGCCGAGCTCTTGACTCATGGCCAGGGCCATAGCCGTCTACTCTCAAACGTTATTCTCGGCTCCTAGCTCATTGAGTTCAATTCCAACTCACCTTGCCTGTGCCCGGTGGACCGACCAATAGTAATGGCCTGCCAGAATGTCTCCCCATCCTCAACAGCTGTAAATGCAGACCCAGAGCTTCTCTCGCTGTACGCTGTCCCACGAATCCCTGTGACATCTCCATAGCTGTGCCATCATCTGCCAATCCCAGTCCTTTGATATGCGAGTGAGTTGCTATCCTCGACTCGCGTGTCGCAGTCGGTGGAGGTGGCTGAGTGATGATTCCGTTACCTGAATTCGTACCTGCCGGTGCAGCAGAAGATGACGCGGTAGGCTGAGCAAGGGACATGGTCGCGGGATAGCTGCACGAAAGAGTCTTAGCTGAGGAGACAGTACACAGTAGTAGCTCTTGACTGCTGACCTTCCTCGAGGACTTTTTTGGAATATTTATCTTGGCTGTGAATTATCGATCCAATTTATCCCATTTTATACCGTTTCAAACCAGTTTCCATCGTAGAATTCACAGTATTGCATTCCAACGACAGCAAGCAACGAAGACGAGCACGAGCGATAGCAGCTGAAGGGGAGAACATAAAGCAAGAAGCAGATCTCACTTCGTCACAACGTCATGCCTCGACTGTCTCGCTCCGTTTGGAGTCAATTCTCCAGGGCTCGGACAACGATCCCTGTTTCCACCTTGAGCCAATCATCAGCATCATCCATCGCCTCGAGCTCGAAGCATGTTCTCCCGACGCAGAACACACAGCGCCTCTCCAATACCTTACTATCCACCTGGCAGTACTCATCATCCACACTTCGAGCTTCTCTCATCCCCCGTATAACCTCGCTCCTCCGCCCAACACTCTCATCACCTATCCCCTCCGCCCTTTTACCACACAACTCCCCTCTCGACCTTGGACAAGTCCGATTCGGATCAAAAGGTGGAAACACGTATCAGCCTTCACAGAGGAAACGGAAGCGCAAGCATGGATTCTTGAGCAGAATCAAGACGGCAAAGGGGAGGAAAATTCTCACGAGGAGGATGGTGAAGGGCAGGAAGTTTTTGAGTCATTGAGAGGGAATGGGTCACGCTTCGTATCAACAGCATGCAGTCACAGTCTGCGATACCATTCGACAGTATGGTGAGGTGCTGTGGGTTTCGGCCAGCCACTGGAGTCGGCGGGTAGCCATGCAGTGATACGAGGATGTTGGACCCCTGGATTCGTCCAAAAGGAGACACGCCCACTAACCAGCATTGCATTCTGACGTCTGGCAGCTTCGAGCTTTGGAAGTATGGCATTGACTCCTCAACGTCGCAAGATTAGGAGTAAGTAGGCACCCCAAATCAAGCTCTTGTCTATTCAAGCTTCTTAATGCCAGCTCATTCCGACATATGCGTCACGCTGTCATGCTCTCCATGCGAATCTTGCCCCTTCTCCTCCTCCGCTTCGACGCCCGTCTCAGCATCCTGGCCAGGCCTCCCGTGCCTCTCAGGGTGAAGGTAATGACCAGTTGGGCCCGCCTGACCTTTCCCTTCGGCCGATGATGCTCCCGTCATTGACGTCCCGATCCGGCCCGTTGATCGATTGAACATTGCTGATCGAGCTTTGTGCCCATACTCAATGAGCGAAATCAGATCGCTCTTCGTCGTGTCGGTGAACCCGCTGGAAGCGTAAACGTTTACTGCTGCATGGAGTCTCTCTCGTTCAGCCTCCGAATCATTCATGATCGGTGGTAGACCGGTTGGGATGCTCGTGGACTGGGGTCGGTAACAAGAGTTCTTCCATGCCTTCTCTGATGTCTCCAGGGGCTCGGTATAAAACGCTTGTAAGCTCCCCCTGACGTCCGCCCAGGGGATGCGGGGTTCTCGCTCGTAAGACGATGCAATGTATTCCGTTTGATAGTCTTCCAACCTCCGCTTCTCCTGCAGATATTCTTCCTCTGTGACATCTGTTAAGCCATCCGTAGTTTCGACGGCGGATCCGCTTTGGCTCATAACGATGATTTCTAACTGGTAAGTGGCGAGGATTGACTTGCTATATGCGTACGGGGAGCTTCGAGGGAACAGTGTTCAACATTTATAGAGTATAACAACCGGCGGTGTGTCCTCCGAGAAATGTGTGAGAGATTGATTGCTGAAAGGATGTGCTTATGAAAGGTCGACGGGGCGTATTTTGCCTAAAGGCTCATACAAGGGGTGAACGGCCCAATCCTCGCGATATCGAAGAAGAAGCATGAAGGGATGACCGAGTTATTGGATGAGCGGGCTCGTTCTTTGTCAAGTGACACGCCACACTCGAGGCGGAGTGACTTATTGGCCGGGTTCAGGCTGTCTTGTCCAGTCTGGAAATTGGACCGTCAGCGTGTGCAGTGTGAGGATGTCTCTTCAGAGAACGACCAAGAGAACTGCAATTTGGATGCCCATTGCTCGAAACACCTATCTCATTTCTGTTGAGGAAGTGAGAAAGGAGCAGGATCCACATTGGAGCAACCGAGTCAAGAGTCAAATGAAGACTGCCACTGTAAATAACTGAGAACGTCTCAGACAGCCTATAGCCGACATGCACAACAGAGTATGTCATTAATCTTGATCCAAAAGCGCTTCTAGAATCTACTCTGGGAGCCCTGTGTATGTACAAATAATCTTCACCTCGAGTACACCGCTATCTATCTCGCGTGGACATATGCCCCTCTGTTGCTCTGAAGAGGCACCTGTCTGGACTGTTGCTGCGACGACGAGGCTGTCGCTTGCGATACTTGGGCGTGCCAGTCTGCAATGGACCGACGACGTCTCAGTTCTTCCGGTGGAGGTCCGACCAATTTATCAATAAGGTGAGGTAATCTACCGGTTGGAGAGGCTGCTCGAAGGTGAGCCACATAGCGAGAGAGTTCTAGGTGCAGTGTGGGGTAATATGTCGTGGACGCCTTGCGCATTGTCTGGGAACCATGTCAGTTCAAGCGATAGGCGGGTTGGGAGATCCGCTCACCACCAGGATACGATCAAGACCAGACATCAGTAGCTCGCCATGCAGATGAGTTGCCTTTTCAGGGTCTTCTCGAGCCATTTGTGAACAAAAACGGTTCAACAGGCGGAAGTGTACAATCTGACCTGCTTAGCGTCGAACACGTCCTTCTGGCTCACGACATAGTTGACAGCCTCGAACTCGACTCCTCCGGTCGCCCCTCCAGGAGCTACTGGCTTCTCGACCAAGGATTCGTCGACTTCTTCCAGAGCCCACAGCGTGTTGTTGCCATGACACATTATCCTGTAGTTGTCAGAAGGCCAGAAGACTGTTCAAAAAAGCTCACCAGAAGTAGTCCCGACAAATATCACTGAGTTCTTGAACCCAAGCTTTGAAGATCCTTGGGCGATGCGCTTGTGTGATGAACGAATGATGATCCTTGGTTTTGTCCGCGGAATCGGGTAGCAAGAGACCACGGATTGCAGCTGAAACGTCGACGGATGGCCCAGATGGATTGTCGAATCTGGTCGGACTTGGCCGACCATTGACATTGCGGCAGTTCGGATAGAGGTCGTATAGGAATAGCCAGAGCTCGATGATGATCTGACGGGTTGCGATATCCCCTGGTTTCTTCTCCGAAAATATCAGAGCAGACAATGCAGGAAATGGTTTTGGGTACGATCTACGAATGGCTGCTTTGCCGACCTACGCTCTGTCAGTTGGGACGACGTGATCCTGCCTCACATCTGATGTCGATAGCGCCTTGATACAGCGCAGTATCTCGTATAACATCTGATCGTCATGCTGCTCTTCCCTGCGAAAGGCTTAGAAACTGGGAATTCCTCCAAGAAGTGATTAGCTTACCTCCACTCCACGTCCAGCAGATCTTGCAATCTTGCCAGTATCAGATCATATCCTCCTTGGTCGATGAACGATCCGACCCAAGTCGTACTTTCGTGTCTCAACAACATCCTCAGCTTTTTACACCTTGCCACATCCATATTCAAGTCTGTAGCTTTGTACGCCTGCAACCAAGAGATGAAATTTTCCGATCCTTCGCCCATGGCGATACCCAGCCCTTTTCCTCCATTCTTGCCGACCGAAGGAACGCTATTGGATGAGGCTGATGGCCCGAAGATGGCCAAAGACAGCGGACGAGGCGCAGTGTTGCGACGGGAGTGATGCGGGGGTCTCGTTGACTCTGAAGAGCCTTTACGACTGGGTGGTGGAGGCTTTCTAGTTGAACTTGGGGATGCGACAATGACAAATGCGTCTCCATCCACAGCATAGGTTTTTCCGATTTGAGGATCTTGACCTGGACTCTCAAGGTTTGACGAGGACTTGGTACGCCTCAATCCTGCAGACAGGCGTCGTTTGGCTTTCGGCGTCTTCTGTGGAGCCACAGATAGGGGAGCGGACAGACCTAGGGAAGCGAGGATGGCAGGGTTGGAGGATAGCGTGGAGCTGAGAATGGAATTTTTCACGTCCTGAGAGACCGCTGAGAATTTGATCCGGACAGAGGAGGGCACCTGGAGTGAATCCTGAGACGTGTGAGCTTGCGATCGGATCAATAGCTCACCAAGAGATGCTCGAACTGCGACTCGACATCGTCATGTATCCCAACATGCGGGATATATTGCTCCTTTGGCGTCACCAAGTCTGGTTCTACGGGTGATCTTGCACCCTCTGCACTCCTTGACGTTCCACTTCCCAAACTCCTCATACTGGCGTGAACGTTCAATGTCGAGGAACCGATGCTATCGCTCTCAACGCTGGAGTCATAAGATGAATCGGGGGACTCGTTCTCAGGGATCGGCGGATGTGACTGAAGTAGTTGTTGTTGTGGTGGTTGTTGTTTAGATCCAGGTGATATTTGATTGGTCAAGCTATGCGTAGATGCACTGGATGGTTGACGGGTAGGCAGATGTGGTCGGTTCTTGCCTCCCAAGTCACCTGGTGAATCTGATGCTAATAATGACCTAGATGACAATTGAGACTTGAAAGTATCTAAATGACCAGACTTGACTGGCATGCCGGGAGGGATCATCGGTGGTCCTCGGCTCGCGGCCGGTCTAGAAGGAGACTGCATCGGAGGGACGTGGCGCAGGGCAGAGGTGAACGAGGGGGGTAAGAAAGAGAAGGGAGGGGATATTCCAGATCACAGTCAACGGTGGCTTGGACAGGGAAGGGCTGTCGCTGTCGCTGCTGCTGCTGCTGCTGCTGTCGCTATCACAAGAGAGAAGAGGAGGAGGAGGGCAACAGGGGAAGGGTTTATTTCAACGCCACAGCTTGTTGATGACGAGCCATTTCAGAGCACCACGTGGCAGAATTAAAAAGCAGTCACGGTAACGGAATCAAATTCAATGGGGTGGGCTGCCTGTCAATGTTATAATGCCGAAACGCCGATGATGTGGCACTTCTGACTCCGTTGGACTTTTTGAGAATTGCTCACGTCCTCCTCTTAGTTCGGTTGGTGTGTCGCATACCATACCTCGTGTTCGCCAACATGGCCACTCTCAATCTTCCAAAACCAGTGAACTCGTACGCTGGCGAGGATGAGCTGAGAAACGTTCCCAATGGCGGTTCGTCAACCGCCAAGGGGAACGGAGTCAACGGCCATGCGGAGGATGATGCCGATATGGGAGAATACAGACCGCCAAAGCCGAGTGACAAGTTGAAAGCCGGCATGATCTATCCTCCCAGAGAGATCAGAGGTGAGTGACACGGGTAAGCCTGTTCTTGGAGAGAGCTGACATGACATGACACAGCTATCATCGACAAGACTGCTAATCATATCTCCAAGTCACCTACACCGCTGCTGCTCGAGGAAAAGATTCGAGAATCTCAAAAGACCGATCCAAAGTTTGCTTTTTTGAACGATGAGGACCCGTACCACCAGTACTACCGTTACATGATCGAGGTGATCAGAGAAGGAGGAATTGAAGCGATCAAACCGTCGGCTGCGCCAGCCGCGCCTCAGCTAAAGAAGGAGGAACAAGTTACAGCTTATGAGCCAAAACCATTCGAGTTCAAGGTGGACTTGCCTGGTGTCACAGCCATGGATCTGTGAGTTTAGGTACTGAAAGCTTCATCAAGCTGACCATCCTTCCAGGGACATTCTCCGCCTAACAGCCTTGTTTCATGCTCGACGTGGTCGATCTTTCCTCTCATCTTTGTCAGTTCGTGAGGGACGAAACTACCAGTTTGATTTTCTTCGGCCCACCCATTCATTGTATGGATACTACAATCGGATGGTGGAATCATATACAAAGATCATGCAGCCACCTCCTGGCTTGATCGAGGGATTGATCAAGGAGGCATCGGATCCCGAAGCGAAATGGAAAACGTTGGAAGAGGCTAGGAATCGGGCAGAATGGGAGAGAGGGAGACGGAAGCGAGAAGGAGAAGAGGCGAAGGAGAAGGAAGAGGAGCAGAAGGCTTTTGCTGCGATTGACTGGCAGGACTTTGTGGTGGTCGAGACCATCGAGTTCACGCAGAACGATGTCGAGTTGGATCTCCCGCCACCCACCTCATCTGAGAAGCTCAAGTCAATGAGTATGGCCGAGAAGAGAATGGCATCGATGGTCATGGAAGAGCCCGGGGCAGAGATGAATAAGGGAGGCTTCAATCCGTCCGCCGCTGCAGACGGAGCTGCCGTCGAGGAGATGGATATGGAGGACGAGGAAGAGGAGGAGGCGAGGTTACAGCGGATCAAGGCAGAGCAGGAGCAAGCGAGGGCGAGGGATATCCAAAAGGCGGCGATGGCTCAAAAGGGAGTCAAGATCAGGAGCGACTACGTACCCAAGGGTGAGCATAATCTTCTCCTCATAAAGTGGGGACTCATGCAATGTCACAGGTTTACAAAAATCGACGTCTGTGGCCACTCAGAAGTGTCCTTACTGTGGACAAATGATCGCCGAAAGCGAATTGACAGAACATATCCGAATCGAATTATTGGATCCGAAGTGGAAAGAGCAGAAGAGACAATTGGAAATGCGTCGGACCCAAGCTCAACAGCTTCAGCAGGGTGCAGATGTTACTGCTTCGCTTCGAAACTTGGCGAGCGCACGTACAGACTTGTTTGGCGATGATATGGATGAAGAAGCCCGTAAACAAAAGGAGAAGGAGGACAAGGCGAGGAGGAAGGAGAGGGAAAAGCTCGGTTGGGATGGACATATCTCCTCGGCTCAAAAGACGACGGATACCTTTCAGTCTCAGTTCAACCTTGACGATCAGATCAAAAAGATCCACTCAAGGTCTGGTGTTGCGTGAGTCTCCTGATCTATCAATTGCAAGGTGCTAATGAATGGCAGAGACGGTCCTCAGGGTCCAACAGCTGGACCGCAAGCTGGACCCGGTATCATGCCTTACAATCACCCTCCGGCCCTCGCTGCCAGCCTGCCGAACGGCGGATCGACCTTCTCCGGAGCCACCATTTCAGCCGGCCCCACAGGTCCCTCTCAACGAGAATACGTATCATATGACCCTGGTTTCACCCAGGCTTCCGTCCCATCATCCTCTTCCGGACCTAGCGTCCATCCTTCACGTATGGCTCAAATGGGTCCCGGAGGTCCAGTCGCTGGTCAAGTCCATCCGCGAGAGGATGAGGCGCCTAAGGAGCGACCGGTATTCAAACGTCCAAAAATTGAAAAATTGCCATATGGACAATTGTATTCTGTACGTGGACCCACCTTGCCTGCCGTTGTCGTTGTGCGCTGATCTTTTTCGTGTCTAGGAAATTGACTGGATGTCACTCCACCCCGACCCGATAATGATCTCTGTTCAACTTCCAAGTATGCCTGAAAAACCTGAATGGAAACTCGATGGCAGCGTCATCTCCGTCCCAGACCTTCCCGTCAATACCTTGTTCTCGACACTGCGAGAGCGTATTAAACGTGTGGTTGACGCTGATTTACCAATCTCGAGATTACGTCTCGATTATAATGGCAAAGTCATGACGAATAACGCGACCATGGCTAGCGTCAACTTGGACGAGGATGACACGTTAGTCTTGTCAGTGAGGAAGAAGTAGATCCATGCCCAGGATAGGCAGCCACGTACGGGCGGGCGCTCCTCCCAATGTATGTATCGAATATACGATCAAGTGTAAGCGGTGAATAATTCCCGCCCTGCCCCATACATCAACGCTTGCGTACAGAGCAGGCACAGAGCCTTATCGAACCAGCGGTGTGATGTCGACACGCCGCCCGGCTCAACAGGTCGAGGTGATTGACAGCTCGGCTCGCTCATGAATCGTAAATGAAACGATGCAAGCACGCAGGGCTTTCCGCGATCGCTGGACCCGAATGCGCCGTCTGTCACGAATGACGAGAAAAAAGATCCACCCAAAGTCAGGAGATCGGGCACGCTGGCAAAAGGAAACGCGTACACTGTGGTTGTGATTTGGCGATCCACTCTGTGATTTGGCAATGAGCTCTTCTCTTTTTGTATGAACACAGAAACGGTCGGATCAGCCCCGCGGCGACGAGCTGTCTCGATATGAGGCGACCTGGCTCCGTGGATACTTCGCAGATGTGCAAATAACAAATAAGGTTGAATCATCCCCCAAGCCCATTCAGACGCAGCAATATGATGCATGGAAGCAACCGCCAAGAGAGACCTGCTCCACACTTATGCTACGCCCAATCTCTTCAACATCCTCTCCACCTGAGCCCCGCGTCCTTTGACAGGAGCCTGCTTGACGCCAAATAGCCTGACCTTCGTATCTCGCCATATACCTCCTGAGAGACCAGCGACATAGATATCGCCCCACAGAAGGGACGTCAACCAGATGCACGAGGCGGAAGACCATTGAAACTTCCTCGGAACGATGGGACCATTGGGAGGTAAGACTTCAGATATCGAAGCACCCTTGAGAATGTTGAAGACTTTAGACGAGGGAGCGCCTGTTCGGGATTGTGTATCTTGGACCTTAGGCAGGAGTTCGGAAATAGCAACGAGTACGGGGTCTAACGGCAGCCTGGGGAGGGAGGTCAGGTTGACAATGGCTCACTCGGATCTCAAGTGCCGCTCACCCTTTTTGCCAGCTCGACACCCATTCCTGAGTCGGAACAAATCCATTAGGACCGACTCCAGCCTGACCGACTCCAGCCTCCGCAATGCGCAGTAGGTCTTCATCTGGCACGTCCGGCGCGCTCAAATCTGGGTTAGTGAGGGACGAGATAGAATCTCTGGCTCTCATCTTGCCGCGGGCCTTCTCGCTCAACACTGGAGCAAATGGTGGCTCGGGTATTTCGACGGTAGGCGTACTGGAAAGAGGGTCCATTGTTGGGCCGTCACCAGGTGTTGTGAGTGGGTGTATGGTCGGCGGGGCGCTCAAGTCGATAGGCGGGCTCGGGAGTGGAGGAGATGCCTGCCTAGATTGGCCTCGGGATGATGAACGAGCTTCGTCCTCGTGCTCCTCATCCTCTTTGCCAAGCAACGCAGCCTTTTCAGCGAGCATCTCGAGCTCTGAATTCGTCCGTCGGATGCCAGGACGTGTATCTCCCGCAGTCGTCTCAGCCGCCACTATACGGTCATCATCTCGTCTGACCAGCCAGATGAAGTCAACTCACATTTCGCCTTCATGGCTTGCCGCCGCTTGATCTCCCGAAGACCAGACATCAAGGTAAAGTTCGCCAGAGTGTTGAAATCGTTATGGGCTCGTAGGATCGCATAGACAAGATGTGGATTCTCTGCCTGTAAGTAGAGCTGCCAGCTTTACACTCACCATTCAGCTGATGGTAAAGTACGTGATTGAACGTCTCCAGTCTGGAATGGTTAGTTCAAGTGACATCGGACAACTCACAGATAATACACCAACCGCGGATGTCCATCATCCGCCAGTAGGAAGTTTGGACTGGAAAACGCCTTGAAAAGCTGGAGAAGCCTCGTCGAAGCCTGCACCCCGATGTTCTGGAGATACGGTGCGGCATTGGCAATGCTGATGGTCAAAGCAGGGAACAAGGGGTTCAAGCCGGGAGTTGTAGCGATAGAGTATATGGACTGCGAGCGCAATGAGCATGGAGATGCTGGAAGCGCATACTCAACTCACGACGATGAAAAAGTCCGCAAGACTACCAGATACGGCCCATTTGGCGGGAATGGCGACTCGCGGCGTCTGATTCAGAGCTCCTGCGAATGCTGAATCCGCCGACAGTGTTTGAAGCAGGTACGACAAGAGTCTCAAAAGACCATGATGAGCGGGATCTTCCTTCATCTCGAGACAGGTGAGCAAGATGCAAGCGATGACGTCGGGCGCTTTGCCACTGTCAAATACGTGCGTCCGGAATCGCTGAAATAGGTCAGAAGAGTCATCGTCAAAACCATGGGGGCCCACCTTGTTCAGGTCAACCATCCGCCAAAGGAGCATATCTGCGAAGTGTCGTGAGCAGAAGTCCGGACCGGAACCAGCAACGTACAAGCCTCCAGGATATAGGGTATAGGCTTCTGACTTCCGGGTAAGAAGCCATTTTGTATAGCCAAATGCTCCTCCAGGATAGCGGTGATCCCACCAAGGACGAATGAGAAGTCTTCCTTCCGATGCTGAAGGTCTTGTCAGCATGTACTGGGCCATAACTGGGCCATAAACGGATTAACTCGCCAACTTGGAGACGAAATACCTGAAAGCGTTCTCGTCCTTGCCCTCTCCCATCTGAGTCTGGCTCTCTGGGACCCGGTAATCCAAAGCGACGAGCAGCGTCGTCAAACAACTTCTGACCAGTGTCCTCCGCTCTTCCTCAGCTTTAGATATCAAGTGGTTGTAGGGCAATTGATTGCCTATACTACTGATCGTGCTGCTCGCTTTGGACCGAGTGAGCGAGGTGTTGAGGAACGAGCACAAGAGTGATAAGACGAGTCGCCGTTCGAGCGAGTGAGTCAGATGCTCCAAGGCGAGATTTGGAGTTGACAAGACAGTATTGGGAGGAGAATAGATGGTCGTTGAGAGGAGGATCGTGAGGAATCTCAGAACTTCAGACTTGTTCCGGTCGAGATCCGCACTAGATCCAATGCTGACGGTACTTCCAACTCCCTTCTCCCAGATCACATACTGAGACACCGTCAGCGATCATGTCCATTCGGCGTGGCGACTTCTTACATTGACTTTCTCCTGTGTACTTGACTGGCTTCTGACGCTTTCTGGGACCGTGAATCCAGCGCAGAACAACAGGTCAATGGTGCAGCTGAATAGCCTGTCCACCAGGCAGGGTCTGAGCGGTTCCTCTTCATCGATAGCAGCAGCGTCGCCGTCAGGTCTCGAAAGAGGATCATCTACGGGTCCGTCCATCTGCTTGGAGTCGGTCTTCGGCGGCTTCCCGACGGTAGCTTTGAATGCCCTAGCACCCTCGTCTATTGATTCTTTCTCCTCTTCGCTATCTGAATCTTCAATCTTGAATTGCTCGCCGGCGTCCGATTCGGATTGACCATTTATCTCCGCTCGTCCCTCTGCGATGGCTGAAGCCTCATCTACTGCTAATACCGGATCCACGGCATCTCGAGACCACAAGTATTTTTGTGCAAAACTTTGACCTCTATCTGCTCCTGTTGCTGTGGCATCCCGATGATCCGCTTCCGCTTCATACACTACCACTAGGATCCTTCCGAGAACTCGGAGGCAGTTCAGCGCTTGCCGAGTAGGATCCTGAGGAGACGAATTGTTAGCGGTAGTGGGAAACAGCGGGGATGGTAGAAGTGTGAAGAGATGACTGGAGAGGATGGAAATGAGGTTGGCGAGATTCGTAGGTTGATTGGTCAGTGCTTGGCGTACTACGGGAGAGTCAGATACAAGATACAGAGCTAGTAGCCATATCAGTACCTACCGTCTTGAACCGAAATAAGAGAGTAGACATCGGCCGCACTGCCAAATAAGCTGTAGAATTGAGACCAATATTCGACATCAGATACAGGAATGATCTACAGCAATCGTCAGCCGACAGTGATTATGACGATCCTCTCTTCGAGCGATGTTCTTGCCGCAGCACGGCTGATAGGGTCAAGACCCACCTCATCTCCATAGAGCCTTTTTATACCGCTGCTCTCTGACTTGAATCTGAGCTGAGCATCTTCTTGGGTTGAAAGAAATGGGAGACCAATCGCTTGAGGCAGAGACTTGAGCGTCGGTAGTGCTGGAAGCTTGCGAAACATGGTGAGTATGCAGAGCTCGCTCGATCCCTGGCCTGAGGTTGTCCAGACTCTGTGATCCTCGCCTCTACTTCGATCTGACAGATACCCCTGCTCGACGTCGCTCGCGGTCAAAGGAGCGCTGTGTGACTTGCAATTCGCGCTGCTCGGAACGACGGAGCGGTTTGAAAATTTGGTTCCGTTGGTCAGGTGTGTGGCTAGAAGTATCTAATAAGGAGGGAGTGATTACTGGCAGCTCATTGAATCTGCAGCATGCATACCTGATTCGAGGTACCTACTGCACAGATCGATTACGACTAGGAAATGACATGAGAGGATACCACGATTCATATCTTCGTCGAGGACAATGCCAGTCCTCAGACTCGGGTGGGTTTCTCCTTTCCGAGATACGCCACAGTGATCTTTCGCCCGTTCAGTCCATCCACTCTGATCCTGTAATCATCGCCGGGGAAGACGTCAAACTGGTATACAGTCAGCTCCTATCTGAATCTTGAGAGTATGGGTCTGGGCTCACTCCATTGTCTGACCACTCTAGCCCGTCATTGTCACCTTCAACATCCAACCAAACTCCTTTGCAGGGCTTCTCACTGGACAACGTGATCTGATCACCTTGAACCTTGACTTGGAGGCCTGGGTCAGGGATGTCCAGCAATTTATAAGGTTCTGGCCAGTTTGAAGTCCTCGATAGGACAGTACCGTCTTCCGAGCTCAGGACCGCGTAAAGGACGATGCTACCGCTGGGGGCGTATCTGTCATAGGCTTCTTCCTCCGAAGGCGCAGGACATTCCCCTTTCCAGACTTCTGTAGATCGGTTCTCTCCGAGCTCGACAGCGTACTTCTTCGTCTGCCCTTTCCAGCCCGTACACAGATCCATAGCATGGACCTCGATATTGACTTTTGTCTCTGAGCCAAAGTTTGATGCCCATAGCTCGACGGTGACTTCCCGAGATTGGAAAGCGCCGTATTCGTAGAATGTTCTCGGTCGATCTGTTTCTCTGTTCTTGGCGACTGTCCTTCTAAGACCCACATTGATACGTGATGAAGCCCGAGAAATGGCGAAATAGGCAGGTTTAGGACGATAAAAGTAATCAATGATTGCCCAACTGGTTACAGGCCAACAATCGTTCAGCTGCCACACCAAAACACCTGCGCACTACTCTGTCAGCTACACACAGGGATAATAGCTCACGGATTCCTTCCTCGGGCCTTGCCATGCTCGTCGCCATAAACTGTAGGACAGTCCAATCGCCTCAGACTGCATCAATCGAGTCAGGTAGGCGTATCTGCATCGCATCAGCAAGTTTTCAAGCCACAAATTGGGCTCACCTTTCTAGATCCTCAGCGTATCTAAAGTTCTCGTTCATGTATATCGCCAGTCGTCGCTCATGGCTTCCAGCCTTATTATGCTGTTGCATGAGTCGACTCTGAGGGTACCGTTGAGTCTCGTCTCCATCAAGCCAAAAGTCGATTGTCCGAATATCAGGCAACGAAGGGATACCGAATTCGCTAGGAAACTGTCAGAGTTGTCCAGTCGCGTTTGCCTCACGACACAAATCGACCTCCAAGGATGTCCCAATCCTGGTAGTATTTCTCTTTCCCGCCCCAGACGTCCCACTGATGCTATGAGAATGAGTCGATGTCGCATGTGCGACGCTCACCACATCGCCTATTGTCGGATCTGCTGTATCCCAGCCCTTCCCACCATAAGGTGACCCGCGATGATACGGGATCTCAGGGTCCGTCAACCGAGTGACAGTCTCTGGCAAAAGATGCTCGTAGATCTTTCTGGCGGGAAGTGGATCGCCTTTCTGGTCAATGTCCCACTGAAGAATCATTTGGTCTGCACCACCTGAGTCAGAGTAACTCGTCGAGTGGGTGGTGAAAACTCACAATCCTCATTGTTACCACAAAACAGCGCCATGGACGGGTGATGCCTCAGACGTTTGACGTTGCATTCAGCCTCTTTCCGCACAGATTCCATGAAGTCAGGGAAGATAGGGTATACACCGCAGGCGAACATGACTTGCTCTCAGCACATGAGTCTCGATCGTCCACTTACAATCCTGCCACACCATGACGCCGAGCTCATCGCAAAGATCGTAAAAGATGTCGGGCTCATATACGCCACCTCCCCACACTCGGATCATGTTCTGATTTCCCTTGACCTACAGCACGGTAAGATCAGCCTTTATAACGTTTGAACACCCGAACGGCGGGCGGTCAATGGCAATATTTACCAGCAGCTCTATCCATTTTCTGTATCTCTCGTCAGTGCCAGAAGGGAGGGTGTTGTCGATGGGGATCCAGTTGCTCCCTGCTGCGAAGATGGGTCGATTATTGACTTTGAAGAAGAAGCTCGTGCCTTCTTGTCCGTCGAGTGGACGTTGGACAAGCTCGACTCGGCGGAATCCAATCTTGCGGGTCAAGGTGTCTATCACTTCACCGGCCTGGATGGGCTTAGTGGTATACTCAAAGCTTCATGATAAAGAGTAAACTTGCCTCTGAGAGAAGCTCGACCTTGACTTGGTACCTCGTCTGATTGCCTTCCCTGACAGGCCACCAGAGATCAACCTCGTCTCCGAAGATCCATTCAACGCCACCAAGAGTGACTTCGTTCTTGATAACTTTAGTATCCTGAGTCTTGATGACCTGTAGTAGATGAGCAGGATTATCACCTGGCGCGTCGACTTGTGCTTACGGTTCCATTCAAGCTGCTCAGCTCCACTCTAATATTCCTGTCCTTCCCCTCCGTTATGACTTCCACTTTCAAGGTTTTCTTGAGCCCCTCATCGACCCTCGCACAAGTGTTGACCTCCTTCAAGCGTGAGGCGAACAGGTGAAGGTGAATCGGTCGGTCTGGGCCAACGCATACGAGTTCAGGTCCCCAATCCCATCGAAAGTGGTATTGTGACTTGCGGATACCCATTCTTGATCGGTCTCCAAGATTGCAGGAACCTCCCCGGAACTGAGTTCCATATCAGTGCCGGCGCGCTCAAGTACAGACCTGGCGGCGCAGCTGTTCGCACCCCACTCACTGGACCATACTTCTTGGCGACCTCTCGAGCGATCGGTTCGGGAGGCTTGAAAGTGATAACGAGCTCGTTCGAAGGCTTCAGGCTTTCCAACGGGACTGAGACCTGACAAAGGGGTCAGCCATTTTCTGGGGGCTTTCACATTCCGCACAGTGTGGATCGTGAAATGATTGTCCGTCTGAAGAATCTCTGTGCCGTTCTGAGTTATTCAGTCAGCGCCAAAGTCTAAGCTCGTCAGGCTCAACCTCACCAGGTAGACCGTTGCAAATGTATCGAGACTTTCAAATTCCAGCTCCGCATACTCCATCCCTCGTAGTTTGGCTTCGGGCACCTTGAGCTCGCTTCGGAATGCCCAATATTGTTTGGAAACCCCTAATGTATGATCAGTGACCTTGTGACTCCCGGCCGGCCCCTTCCCCCTTTCCCAGCTGATCTCTTGAGTCGATACCGAGCCGTCATATCTACTTGCACCAGAGTAACGCTCCCGACGTTACGGTGTCTCACGCTACGATACCAAGCGACAATGGTAGACCGCCAACTTACACTGCACATCATGCTCTATGCGTCCCTTGTTCCAATCTCCTATCTTTCCGGCTTCTCGTAACTCCAAATGAACCTCTGTAGGAAATTGAGAGCACACCGACCATGCCACCGAGTTAGAAGGCAGCGCAGCAGATTCCACTTGAGCGTATGTCCATTTTGTCGGGTCAATAATTTCATGGGCCATCTTGACGAACATGTACGAGTTCAAACCAGGGGACGAGCAGCGAAGAGAAGAACTGACTTCACCTTCGCACTCGCCTAGGTCTTGGTACGGGCTTGGTATTTTCGGGTACACTGATCGTTGTGACATTCGAAGACGGTTGCAGCCGGGTGAGCGGCCCGAAAATGTGGGGGGAGGTGGGGGAGCCGTTTCTAACCGTTCGCCTTCCCGGCTATAAGGAATCTGAGATCGACATGTATACAACGCACAGAACGCCTGAAGCTCGGTGCAGATTGGCCCAGCCACAAGTAATAAAGAGCTCATGCTGCAATGCATGCAAGCGCTGCGGCTTCAAGCCGGAGACATTGGAGCAAAGCCTACTGACAGCATACTATCCTGATTGAATCCATTTGACAGGCTGAACGAAAAGTCTAGAGGATTTGCCTCGAGGCCAAATTGAGCGAGCCAATCCATGGGATCATTGGTCGAGTTCGCCTTGTGCGCTGGTCAGACAGATCTCTCGCCTCGAGTCGGCACAGTCGACTCACCTCAGCTGGAGTGGTATCCTCGACACCAAGCAGGGAGTTCGTGAGATTCGTGACGGCGACAAGTATGCGATTTACCTCTGGCCATACTCGTTGAAGTGACGAGAGACTACGTGAGACAGCGCTGAGTTGCCGTACGGTCCTGCTCGTCCATCGTCAGTCATATCAGCACACGATCGTGTACACAACATACCCTGACTGGCCACCTCCGACACTCAATGTCGCCGCGTAGGCAAATAACAACGCAGCATCTAGTAGCATGTCCGCATACCCCGGCCACTTGAAATATTGTTGGTCATTGGTCAATCCTGATTCAAGACACGTTGCAATGGCTTTGGCGGCAATGACGGTCGATTGCAGGGCGTGGCGATGATGTATGGAAGTAGCGGGCAGCGACAAAGAGTGTCGGTTGATGCGGATGAGTTGTTGATGGTAGAGGCATTGAAAGAGAACGATGTGAGGGCCAAGGGGATCCGAAGAAGGCTATCGAGTCAGCAGAACGTGAAAGCTGCCTGCTTACGTGAGTGTCCACTGAGCTTCGATCGAGCTCAAGCCACCAATCATCGAGTTCTGTGCGTATCCGTAGGGCATCCTCGGCTACCGGATCGTCAGAAGGCGAGAAAAGATCATTTCGGAAGGGACGTACGATCAGCTGTTCTCCATCGTCGTGACCGGTTAAACGTCTCAACGATCCGACCAACGAGGATGGCAAACTTTGCCATGGTCCTAGCCGGCAATAATCTGTCCTTTGCTGCAGGAGCTTTCTGTGGAGTTCTAGCTGGACTTGTTTCGCTATATGTTCCTTCAGGGTTCGAAGGGTAGACATCTATTGGCGTGTTGGTGGTCTGCTGGCCACTTCGTTTCCTTTTCTGACCTGCCGAGGAGGGTGACTCAGCGTCGACTTCCTTACGTCCATCACTTGGAGGCGTGTTGCCGTGCAATTCCACAGCGCCTGGTAGGCAGACGTCGATATCTGTCTGCCTCATGAGTAGAGGTAAACCAAAATCAGCGGATAGGATTCTGTCGAGCACAAAGACTGAGAAGAATATTCGTTTTCTGAGATCCCTCAGGGCATCAGATTGGAATGTGGATGGGTAACGACATGGACATCGATGTAGGCCAGCTTCAAGCATGATTTCTGCTCCATCATCAATTCCGAGACAGACCCAACCACTCACTGATAGTGATGGCCGACAATCTCGCAGCGGGTCGGTACCATCCCCTGGCGTACATGGTCAACTGCAGAGCGAATAGAGCTTGGACAGTGACCACATCGTCTATGGTCGAAGCATCGTTCGCGTCGAGAACCAAATATGCCAAACTCATGGCTTCGCCTGCCCTCTCGATGGTGGAGATGCCAGACTTTGTCGGTCTCCCGAGTCCACCGATGGTCCGGATGACCCGAAGCAAGATCATCCATACCAATCCATTGACGTCGTCCATGGAGTCGAATGTAAGATTGAAGCCTGCGGAGCTCGATTCTGCCCTCTGGAGAATGTTTTCAAGTCTGTTGTGCACTGCTTTCCCATCGAGAAACGGGAACAAGGGGTGCCAATGACGAAAGTAGATGTTGAATCTGGCTCGAATCTCCGCGATGTCTGAGCAAGCTATGGGTTGCAAGAGGGAACGATAGTCTCCGTGCACATCCTGTGAGCCTCCACTCGTCGTCTCAAACTTTGATAGAAAGGCCTCTAGAATCCCATTGACTCGGTGGTTTGAAGTTGTCAACTCGTTTCGGATCGTGTCCATGAGGTAGACTCCAGAGGCTGATCCAGCAAATCTGGGATGCCCATTCTGACTGGGTGAGCTAAGGGCGTGGACGAGTGGCTCACAAGTCCAGTGTAGAATCTGCCATGTTCGTGGGTCTTCACATTCATCTGTCCCGTAAACTGAGCAATTGGTCTGAGGCCTTGTGCTTCACGACGAGACGATGCAGCAAAAGATTCATCCTGTTCACTCGGCCGAGGTGGTCATGGAAATATTTCTCCGAGGCAATCCAGGTTCCTCGGGCGGAAATTTATTCTTCCATACTGCTTGCATTCCCATGGCGGGCATGAGATCATTCAGCAGCGGCTCTTCGCGAGCTTGTATCAGGTGCTCTGGCAGGAAGAGGAAGGTGCATACTGCGATCATCTTTATCCTCGCAAGGAGGGATCGCTGACCGTACGCAGTGTGATAGGGTTCGACCGGCCTGCGGAGAATGCGTCGCTTCGAAACACATCTGCGAATACTCCTCTTCAGATCGGAGACGGTCAGTCTACTGATGTTCAGCTGGTCGCTCACTCTGCTTCAGCGGTCCGCCAGCTGGTCAAGCCAGAGCAATCGAAGCTAGAGTCAAGGATTGCGAACGAGTCATCTGGCATCTTCTTCAGCTCGAGGGGGTGATCCAGGCTCTTAAATCGCAAGATGCAGTGAGCATGCGGTGTCATTGCTTGTCGAGGTCGGGCATGCTGACTCTGGGAAGAATGGGGAGACATTGTCAGGTTGTCCTCTGCATCGTCATCATCGTTTGACATCGGAGTATTTCTCGACACACCCGCTTCAAACGCCGAGCGACTTGCGCCAATTCTATCAGGCATGTCTCAACGCTCCCCAGGGGGAATCTGAACGCGGAGCCAGGTTGAGCCCAGATTTCGAAAGATCAAGGGCTAGCTCTGCTTTCAATCAGCTTGACAGACCCGTTCTTGAACATCATCCCCAAATCTCAAATGGACACCTATCAACGGAAGATTTCCCTGGAATACAATGTATAGATCACAGCCCTCCGACCCACTGCTGCAACGATGATCTTCCGAGTGTGTTGAGGCCCTTGTCAGACCGTCAGACATTCCAATGGCCGACTATGACGGTGCCTCATACAGGCAGATCTCACTGGACGCGCTCAAGCCCACAGTCTCCCGCTCGTCCATTTCCAGGGACGACAACACCGCTCCAGGCTATGGACTACACAGCTGGCAGATATGATCTGAGTATTGGTTCATCTCTCAACGGCATCATTCAAACAAGTGGACCTGGAATTGTAGAACCGTCAGGCCTTCAAACCGACAATTTCGCCTCGACACTGCAGATCAGACGGTACGACGGTTCAAGCGCTGACAACAATGCACTGTGCAACGAGGATCCGGAGATCTACTGGTAGACTGGACTGTGGGCATTTTGCATGCAGCCTCCTCTTACGTGACATGAATCAGTTTATGTCGCAGTTGACCAGCGTCAGAGGTATCTCGGATCTATTCAACGTCTGCCGGATGCCTTTGCACATGTTGCGGACTTTCAAAACCGCGGGCGGGCTTGTTATCCTTCGAGTCACACCTTTGCGGAGAAAGCGGAGAAACCTTTTCCCGCGAAAAGAGCATCGGATCCTTGCTCCGATCTCGAGACAACGGTCTTGCAAACTCAAGCAGGACAGGAATGTCGGACAAATGTCAAAAGAGCTGCATGCATTCCTCATTTCATCTGCATCTAGCAAAGCGACTTGCTCACCATGGCGCCGGGATCGAACAGTCTTGTGGCAGGCGGTGTCCTGGCCGTAGCTCAAGGCAAGCCTGTCTAAAGTGCTATAATATAGAACGTGGCATCTGACCTCCTCATCCAGTATCGACCTTGGGCCAGCCCTTTGAAGTTCTAAAAACTCATTTAGCAGCGAATCGTCATGATACACTTCGCCAAGCGATCAGTAAGACTTGGGCTAGAGGCGGAATACAAGGATTCTACCAGGGACTGTTACCTTGGGTGAGTCCCTCGAGGTGTTTGTGCAAAGACTGATTTTGAAACTTTTTGCAGGGAGCAATCGAGGCGTCTACAAAAGGAGCTATCCTCTTGTTCAGTGCACATATCGCAGAAGACTTTGTCCTCCGATATTTTCCGGGACAAACAACCCTGGCCAACACTGCTGGGGGGATGATAGGCGGGATGACTCAAGCTTACGCCGTAATGGGCTTGACAACGACTATGGTGATTCGGCATCATCTCGCAGCCAATGGGGCAGGACTGACGCCCAAGTTTAGAAAACGATAGAGATCACACGGAGTAAAGCTTCTGGTAGCACGAATAGAGGGCCGAGCACCTTAGAGATCTGCAAAGAGATCTATGCGCGAGACGGACTCAAGGGATTAAATAAAGGCTTGAACGCGGTGGCATTGAGGCAGATGACGACTTGGGCCAGTAGAATGGGTATCACGAGGTTCATTGAGGGCTCTATTCGCCGAATCTCTGGGAAATCGAACGATTCTAGGCTTGGCCCGATACAGAAGATCCTTGCGAGTAGTGGTGGAGGAGCGTTGAGTTGCTGGAATCAACCCTTCGAGGTAAGCGTGGCAGTGTTTGCTTTCACCTCAGACAGTTGTCATGTTCTGACCGAATGAACCAACCTACATACAGGTCCTACGTATCGAAATGCAATCTGCCAAGCCTTCCGCTCTGAGAGCAAGCAGGAACCGACCGACAATGCTCCAAACAGCTCGATATATCTATCAGACAGACGGCGTATTGGCATTCTATCGAGGTGTCATGCCGAGGATGATGTTGGCCGCCAGTGTGACAACATTCATGGTCGCTGGCGGTGATTGGATCGTGGGAATGCTCCCCAAGGCTTGATTTCTAGATACATACATACATAGAGGTTTTCTTGCAATTCAGTTTTGTTGTTACTGAGTGTACAAGGATGCAGTCACGGGCAAGGAGGGAAGTGACGCCGCGCAGAGCTGTCATCTCAACTAGACAGGATCTCATCACATATGACATAACTTACAGGTACAGGATAGTCTGATGCCAACGTCCACTACAAGTCGCAGAGCAATGTCTGAGACGACAAACGGGGCGCACGTCATGCGAGATGGCAGCTCTGTTTGCGAACAGCTTGAGATACGTATAGTAAGGGTTGAAGTCGCGACAGTAAGTCCCGCGTCATCATTCTCCACTTGTGGAAGAATAGACCGACAATGCCGCGCTGGTGGTCTCAGCGGTCGGAGGTCGTGAACTGAATGATCGGATGAATCGGTCCGGATACCCGCGGGATTTCATAGATGGCGGAGATACGTTCTCCCGACCTGAAATCAAAGAAAACCTTCCCGCTGTACCGATAGGTGTTCACGGCCGAGAGCGCTTGGGTTGCTCCAGTCAAGGATGGCGGAGAAAGTCATGACCGATGGGGGCGAGCTTTCAGGCCACATATATTTTGAGCAAATGAGGAGAAGAAAGGGGGGCACCATGGGTCTCTCTCGTCTCTGACTGATTCAATTATTTCACTTCGAGACACCATGTCGACTGTAGACCACCATCTCACTTCTGTCCCTTCGGGATCATTCAATGTTGACACTTTGTCAGAAGAGGAAAGACAGACTCGATATCGTAAAGTTGTACGAAAATTGGACGTGAGTAGTGACTCACACGGACGTGTGGTTGACGCTTCAGTGTATCATCCTCCCCCTCACCGCTGCATTGTACCTCTGTGCTGCGTGAGTCGAAATTACCTCCCAGTAGCCCAAGGAAGAACGATGACCAATCCTGTATCAGTCTTGATCGAGGTAACATCGGAAATGCCAAACTTCAAGGTCTTCAAGACATCCTTGGAGGCAACACGACGGCTGAAAAGTCAACCCATTTCTCAATCGCTCTGATGTCGTTCTACGTCACATATATTGTGAGTTTGGCCACATCCAAGACAAACATCAGGGGGGGAGGAGGGGCCTGATCTATGAATGTGTAGCTTTTCAATGTACCTGGAAATATTCTCGCTACCATGATTACACCGAACAAATCATTGGCCCTTGGAGCCATCGTGTGGGGTGTCGCCTCAACTGCTCAAGCAGGATGCACAAGTTTAGCTGGGATCGTCGTCTGCCGTCTATTCATTGGTATTGGGGAATCCGCCTTTGGAGTCGCCGTGGCTCTATACTATTCCCTGTGGTATACCCGCGATCAATTAGCCAAGCGTTTATCCCTGTACATCGGTATGGGATCCATTGCTGGAGCGTGAGTCTATCCATCATACCTGCCTTCTGATGTATGGCAGATTTGGAGGTCTCATTGCCTATGGCGTGTCTTTCATCAAGACTAGCAAACCCGCTCATTGGCAGATCCTATTCATCATTGAGGGTCTGCCATCCGTCATCTTGTCTGTGGTCATCTTCTTTTTCCTACCTTCAGTACCTGAATCATCCAAGTGTATGTCAAGAGACGTCAAGCACCGAGATCCATGCTTACTGCTCATTTCAGACCTCTCGACTGAAGAACGAGCCATCTTGGCGCATTTCCTCAAAGACCCAGGATACGCTAGAAAACATCACTTTGATCGTACTGCTTTCAAGAGAGTCTTTACGACACCCACGACGTATCTCAATTGTCTCGTTTACATGGGTGCGTTTACACGTTTTTCTGACGCCGCCCACCGAGATGATCGTTCTTGGCCTGACACTCGCATGATCAGGTCTCTCCCTATCGCTCGGCTCGGTTTCTGGATTCCTCCCTACTATCATCAAATCTCTCGGATACAGTGCTGCTCAAGCTCAGCTGTTCACCGTCCCTCCGTATGCCGTCGCTTTCGTCGGAACCCTCTCCGTCTCTTTCCTCTCTGATCGATACCGATCTCGAGGTATCCCCATTGCTGGATTGGCAATCGCATCCGCAGTCGGCTTTGCGATCCTCATTGCCGTACCTCACAATATGGCCGTAAGGTATTTCGCTGTATTCCCGACGGTCTTAGGAGTGTTCTCCGTCGGTCCATTGATGGTGAGCATGGACTTTCTGTTTTTTGGGCACACTTTCTCTGTTTTTAGCGCTTACAACTTCACTCAGATGACCTGGGCTACGAACACCGCTGGAAGTCATTCAGCAGCTGCTATCCGATTGGGTTTCATGAATGGCGTCGGGCAATCTTTCTCAAGTAGGTTTCAAAGATAACGATCGTGAGATTGACCAATTTAGTCTTGTCATCCTTCATGTTCCCCGCTGAAGAAGGGCCTCATTGGTACAAAGGTTTCAGTCTGAATATCGCGTTCAATATCGTGAGACCTCTTTCTCCTGTCCATGGCGCAAGTTCGTGTTTATGCTGACCATTGACTGCTTAGGTCATGGTCTGTGCTGCCTTGACCTTGACGACCATTTATCGACGTGAAAACGCTCGAAGGGATAACGAGCAGCTGGGTGAAGCTGCCATCTCCGGAAATCCAGAACAAGAAAAGGCCAATATGGAGCATATTGAGGACGACGAAGAGGACAGCCCCGATGCTCATCTTCACGACCTGTCGCCCAACTTCCGATACATTGTCTGAGCATCATAGGATCAAAAGGCCTGCAGGGTCAGGAGAGATACATAGATAGTCGCTGAGGTACATCGCGAATTTTGTATGATTAGTAGATGCATTACCATCTTTAAATGCACCAGAACGCTGCAAGGCAGTACCTGTATGGCATGGCGCAGGTCAATCTCGTCCACTTCATGGCTCATCAAGATGCACAATTACTGTCGGAAAATCATGTATTTCGGGACTCGAGCAGATAAGATACAGACAAATATTCCATCCTTTCCCAGTCTCAAGATCAGCCCTGCATTCACCCAGTTGCGCCTTCCCCTGAAGCACATCCTGCGAGGAACGCCGTGTTGGATCCCTTTTGTAGGAGTCAGTGATGCACTGCGGGAGGCTTTCTGACAAGTCGGCCACTCACGGGATAGTACCAGAACGAAACGGCAATGATGAGGTAGAGGAACATCAACACGAGGCCTTCCATCCAGCTGCATCGGGAATTAGTAATTAGTCATCGAGTTCAACCGATAGATTGCACGTACTTTGATCGACCGTCCGACAGAGTCTGGTTCACGATCAAGACGGATAAGAAAAGGACAACGGACTCGAAAGCTGAGCGGGCAGGGAAAATTAGCATAGAAGGACCGTCAGTCTGATGAATGACGACATACGATCGAATAGAAGGCTGGAGAGTAATATTAGCATAGGGTCCAGCCAAAATCGCTCGCACTCACGTCAGGGGCTTGCTGATACACCAAGCGAGAAGCTCGATTACAGGAATGACAAAAAGAGCGATTTGAATCGAAGAGCCGACCTAGAGGTCGCTCAGTCAACTTGCAAACAAAAGAGAAAACTCGTTGACGTACCGCAACTGAGATTGAGAGATCTAACTTGTCCTTGACGGAGACAGATACAGCTGTGAAATGTTCCGCGGCATTTCCAACCTGAGATCTGGTCAGGCATGTGGCCATGGTGCAACGGTGTATGAGAGAAACGTACGATGGGAAGGAGGATCAACCCGACCCATTCAGCGGATAGTGACGGATTCGAAGCGACAAGACCGTTGATACTGTCGACGAGGAATTCGGCTGTGACACCAACGAGGACGGTGTCGAGAACCATGACTGCCTAAGCAAAGAGTCATCCTGTCATTCTTCTACTCGGAACTATCCACTTACAATGGTCACGACGATGTTCATTTCCGGCTGCTGTTCTTCCTCATCATCCTCGCCGTGCCTCACTTGTGGGTCTGTTTCCTGGATGGCTTCGCTCTGTGCTACGGCGGCATTGGGATGGTCCTCTCGGGACGTGCTCGAGCTGTCGGTAGGAGAGATAGGATTTTCCTCGTCATGCTTCTTCTTGCGGTGTGGCAAGTGCAATTTTTCGCCGATATTGGTGACTTCAGGAGGGTATGTCGTAGATTGGGAGACTGGTTCGTCAGAGTAAAAGTGCTGAGATGAGGACCGTAAACTTAGATGTTCCTTGTGGAAAACAAGGCACACGACTCACTGCGTGAGTCCACATCTGGAATGTCAAGTAGCCAAGGTACAGCACTAACAACAAGACCGCGACTCCGTGGCTCATGGCCAAGAGATCGGTTCTTTCGGTGTCATCGGTGAGACTGTAGCCTTTAGGAGCGTCAGCAGGAGTTGAATGAGATAGGACTCCCTCACCTTCGCCGTTATTGGTCGTAGTGATACTGAAGTGGAATGCCGATGGGATCAGGACAGCAATGACGGCGATCAACAACAATGACGAGTTGAGCTGCGCGGCAGTCGATTTGATGGCTTGTTCTGAGAATCGCACACCACCGGCAAAGAAGCACCTGCAAGACATGTGCGTCAGGATGACGGCTCGGAACAACCTCGATACCTACATGCCCAAAACCAAGAGGATGTTGGATAGGATCGAGCCCACGAGAGACGATTGTACGACGGAAAGCTCACACTGGGACGTGTCAGCTTCATTGCACAGTCCGTAGCCGCATACTCACCTTGATTAAAGCCAGAATAGCGACGATCAATTCGACGGCGTTTCCTAACGTGGCGTTGAGTAATCCACCAAGTGTCTGACCCATTCGAAGTGCCGCTTCTTCAGTTGCGAAGCCCAGGAGGCCGGCTGTTCGACTGTGAGCTTGACCGTAGCTTGCGCAGGATTGCGCTCACCTAGGGGGATGATGGCGATGAAGGTCGTGCAGAACACAGCGGTGTCCGAGATTTTATCATTGCCCCCGGATTTGACAAAATGAAGAGCCCAGCCTGAGTCTGGTTAGAAGAAATCTGAAAAAATCAGGAGGCATGACTCACCGATAGGGATGAAGACGAGAAGAATATTCCTGGAAAATCAGGTCAGCAATGGTGACTGATCGGTGAAGAGTGCACTGCAAGAGGTCCTGCCTCGCGGGAGTCATCACTCACAACCATGAACTCGTCACCGCCGCCTTGATACTCTGCCCATAAGTCGGTGCTTTGCCAATCTTCCGATCAGGCGTCAACAGTCCCGTCGTCATCCGCCTTAGGATTCCAACACTTGGCTCTCCATTATTACTCCCCCTTCTGGATGAAGCACCTGATCTAGCAGAACTCGAAGTGTTTTGTCGGGCATTATTCCCAGGTGTGGAGCCAGGTATAGACCCCGCAATAGCTGGATCGACGGTCACGTTTCGGCCCGTTCGACGACGTGGTCCATCTGTTTTGGAGTTGACAGAATCAGATTTGCGGTCGGGAGGTGCATGGCGGTCAAACGTGTTCTCGGATTGAGAGTCCATCGGTGGCGATGACGCAGGGGATGTGGTCGCTGCAAGGGCAAGGGTGGTGTCAGCGTGGGACGATGGAGTGCCAGAGTACTATCAACGGAGCCTCGAGCATGGGGGTTGTAGCAAAAGAGGGTGGGAAAGCGGAGGACAACGGTAGTCAGGGCTCATGGATATAGACAGAGCGATCCGTTCGGACACAAGCGAGGAATGGGATAAACGCACTCTGAGGCATGTTGCCTGTGGTCAGTTTCCAAGGACTTTATCTATTTACTGTTTCCGAAGCGATTGGAGTCCTTTTTCAGGTCTGTCCAACAGGAGTGCTCCTAGCACCAGAGCGGCTCTGATGCTTTCGCCGTATCCAAATATGACCTGTCAAGTGGTGGTGCGATCGCAGCTGATACACAGATGTTAAAAAAGAAGGTTGAAACCCCGAAGTGTTGAAAGGGATTGTCTTGTCGTGTGTCTCGCCCGTGCTTGAGACAGTCCACGGTATGAGCTGTCCAACGGAGAGGACTTCCAATGGGAAGGATGATCAGCCTTGTCGCTATGGAGTCTGTCTACTCGAATAGGAGATGCCAGTGTCGTCGTAGCAAAAGACGAGCAAGCTGCTTGGGCTGGAACCATCATCGCCCCTTTGGAGTGGCTGCTGTTATGCCGTAATTTCTCAGTTACCCAGACGTCATGTGCCCAATTCCATTTATAGACACTGCACTTGGCGGGGAGTGTTGGTAGCGTAGCAGCAGCAGCAGCAGCCGTAGTGACGATGACATGGTATTGCAGCATACATAGAAGGTATATCATACTGTCGATGCTCATACAGTGCCAATACGTCGCACAACGTAGTCCATCAACAAGGCTGGACCACAGCTTTTGGCCTCAACAGATTCCTCTGTCTCAACCGACTCTGCACCAAGGATGATCTGAATCTCAGCCTTGCGATCGAGGTGAAGCATGTGTACGAGCTCGCGTCTGGGAGTATAAAATCAGACATGTACACTGCGGCTTTGAAGTCTGACTTGCTTGCAATCGTCTCGCAGCAACGGATGTCGAAGCATGGCATTGGCCTGATAATGTGAGATCGTGGCGTCAGGGAGCTTCTGATCTTACGTACCTTTTGAACATCTTTCTCAGTGAGAGGAATCAGGTCGTCATGCTTGAGTCCCATGCTAGATCCGATCGCGTCAGCAAAATTGATAGTTGTCCGGAGCGCGTCGATCACAGCGTACCTGATCAATTCGCTCGACTTGACACCGATCCACCTCAGGCGATCTCCAAGGGGTAGATCCGAATGATCGTGTGAATATCGACTGGCCTATGGAGCAACAATAGCACTTGTACCTGTTCTTAACACGAGACCAGACTGACCTGTGAGCCATGCGTATATATCGAGAGGATGTCAAGACCATGAGGATCAGCATCGAATAAGCCATAAAATTTGGTTCTGTCTTGGGGATCAGCCATGATTCGCAGCAAGATTCGTCCAGCTCACGCAGGGTAATGATCTGCGATGAGTGCAAGTAGCTGAAGCGTGGCGAGGTCGGGGTAGCCTTTGCCCTGCGGATGTCTGAGCTAAAAGCGTTGCTTCGGTAGAAACGAGCTCACCGTGACAATGACTCCCGGTCCAAGTAGGTCGAGCAATTTCATAGCACACAGAGGTTGAAAGATAGCCTGAAATAGGATGAGCCATCGTCTGCCTCAGAGTTCCGTCCCTCACGTCCTTCTCCACGATGAGCACCCACTTTGGGGGACTCGTCGCTTCAATTCGTTCAACGCGTTCCACCGGTACAATCAGAGCAGCCTGGGGTCCGGTCAGTTGCGTTTCAGCAGATCATGAGGGAACAGACAGTGCGTCCGCACACATACAGTTGTGCCTGAACATGGCAGTCTGTCGCCAGATTTGAGCATGATCTCGAGACAATTCGTGACGATCAGCCCCTTAGACGCGGCGCACTATGACTGTGAGCCGACTGGATCTCGAGTCAGAGCCGACTGACGACGTTGAAGTGCCTCCTTTTGAGACCTGCGGTAGCGACAATGTCGTCGACTATCTGCATTTTCGGCGAATTGGTCAGTCCAAAGAGTCCACGCCCTGCTCAGCTTGCATTGTCAACCACTGCCTGATTGCCAAATAGTCTGACGTCCTTGTAGAAAATGTCTCTGTGAATAAGTGAGATGACACGTGTCGTACTGAGCAGAGATCCAAATTCACCGCTTGGTCGTAGTCACACCTGTGAGACACGCCTCGTACAGCAACGAAGCGACACACAAGATTCTAGCTGAGGAGGTGAGCTTTACCTGCTCCTGCTGAAGCTCACCCAGCCGAAGCATACTCCTCCCTAGTTGGTTCTCCTTCGCGAGAGTGAGGTCGTCTGGAAAGCTCACACAGTGATAACCTCTGCGATCTGCAGATCAGTCGATGTGGCGGACAGAATTCCCTCCGCAGCTGAGACCCGACCAGAAGCCACCCACCCAGTCTTGCGATTCTTCAGAGACAGGCTCACTTCCAGTTTGCGATCTGCGTACTCATCTGCACTTGCTTCACCCTCCTCAAATTCTCTCTTCCTCGATCCACTCTTCTTCCTATTTTTCTTGGTCATCCGTGAGAGCTTATGACGGGAATCAATAGCCCGTTGAGAAGTGTACACCTGCTCGAGAAAGTCCAAGCAGAGGGCTTCGAGGAACTTGGCCGCCTTCCGACTAAAGCAGTAAATCAGAATGGTACACGATAAGGGTTGAGGACGCAGACCTTGACTCTTGATCCTCCTTCGATCGCGATTCCCTCCTTATCCGACTTGCCTCTTCTTGATCAACTTCATGGTTTGCGTTCTGCCTCTCGCGAGCTTGCGCCATGAGTCTTTGCATGATGGCGTCGTCGTCTTCGTCTTCGTCTTCATTGAAAGGACTGTTGCTTGGGCCAAGTGCTCGAGGGATCGAATGAGATGAACTTCGAGAGTGAGGCAGATTGGATACGGCCCTGGGATTATGTGAGCAGCTGCCGAGCTGGTGATCAGTGAGCTGGAGGAAAACGTTGGAGACATGGCCGTTGAGCCAACGTCTGTCTTCAATGGGGCGCTTCTCTGGGTAGCTTCTACCTGAGGTAACATCTTGTCTAGATCTGTGTGAGGGTTGATGGTCATCTTGTTCAAGCGATGAACATTTCGACTTGGATTCATCCTCCTCCTCCACTTCTTCATCGCCACCGTCATCGGTCAGGACGATGTAATCTTCCTCGTCTTGCGACTCGTATCCCTCATGGTCTTGGTGGGAGTGGACCGTGGCAGGACATGACGAGGTCACCACGGCATCCTGCGCCACATCCGTTTCAGTATCCTCATTCAGTATCGACCAGTAAGGTGGAAATCGCTGTGTGACTGGGTTGACATGGATGTTTGTGTCCTGCATGAAGAGATAGGTAGGTGTTGGTGGTGGTGGTGGTGGTGGTGGAATGTTGGAATGTGGATTCAAGTGAAATCTCACAGGATATGTGTTCGGCAACAGCCGGCGGTCCGAGCGGGGGATCCCCCGGCGGGCTGATTTTCTAATGATCATTAGAAAATCGAATTGCTAATGCATTTTCTAATACAAGATTGATCTTCGTTCGACTCGCCCGAAATATATATATATCCACCAATCTCTCTCTCTCATCTCCATCTTTCATCTCTTGGCGACAGCGAGCAGCCAACAGCGAGCAGCGACGATATTCCCTGTGGACTCCTATAAGGTCGAGAACATGTGGGCATCCTCAGCTTCTTTATCAGACTCGCACAGCTCACGCCTGACCCTCTCTCAGCTTCACTCAAATTATCCGGCTCATTCCTCATCCCTCACAATCTCGTCAGCGATTGAATGCCTGTCGCCAGATCCATCGCATCGATCTCTAAACCCTATCTGGCCGCCCTCGCTTCAAGACACCTGAACGCATCTCTCAGGTCCTTTGCTACCTCCACCATCATGGCCACTTCCCGCGATGCGCTTATCCCTCAGGCGGATAGAATGTTTGACGGTGCAACGCACAAGTTGGACGTATGGAGTATCTTCACGTGAGTGGAGCTCAGCCAGCGAAGCTAGATCGAGCATCATGGGGACTTTCTTAATGCTGACTCCTCGTGCTTCTGCTTCGTTCGCTCTATCTACCTCTCATCGGTTCCCACCATCTCACCGGCTTCAATCATCAACCCAATTCCATTCGTCCGTCACTCATCGCTACGCCTCCGGTTCTCAGCCCCAACAACCTCCCTCCAGATACACTGAATCTTGGTCAGGGATTCATGAACTGGGCTCCTCCCGAATGGGTCAGAGAAGAACAACACAGGATCATGGACACCGATGTCATGTCGAATCACTATTCCCAAACCCGAGGCAGACCACGACTTCTGAAAGCGATCAGCAAGCAATACTCCAAGACGTTTGGGAATCTTGTCAAGGAGGGCAGAGAATTGACGATGGAGGAGATCGTTGTGACCGCGGGTGCAAACTGTGGTCAGTGCTCTTCCTCATCTGAGGCATCGATATAAGCTCACGCCGACACGTAGGCACCTTTGCCGCACTCGTCGCCCACATCCAACCTGGAGAAGAAGTCATCGTTATCGAACCCTACTTTGACCAATACTTTGCTTCCATACATTTCCAAGGTGGAAAACCCGTCATGGTCCCTCTGCATCCTCCGACTGGATCGGGAGAGAAAACAGGCGCAGATTGGACCCTGGACATTGAAGAGTTCCGAGCGGCATTCACGTCAAAGACAAAAGCAGTCATCGTCAATACGCCCCATAATCCTACTGGAAAAGTCTTCTCGCGTCAAGAACTGGAAGAGATTGCAAAGATCTGCGTGGAGAAGAAGGTCTTGGTTCTCTCCGATGAGGTTTACGATTGTCTCCTATACGACGGCACAAAGCACGTGAGGATCGCAGAGTTGCCAGGCATGTGGGAGAGGACCTTGACCATTGCATCGGCTGGGAGTGAGTGGATGTCAGCTTTTTCTTTGATTGATCCTCGTTGATCTGTTCCGCAGAGTCATTTGCCTGTACTGGATGGCGTGTAGGTGAGTAGTAGGCTACACTTCCCATTCAGGTCTCGCCTGACATTCCCAGGCTGGGTCATTGGACCGCCTGCACTATGTGCCGCCACGCTCGCTGCTCACTCCCGAATCGTCTTCTGCACCAACACACCCCTCCAAGAGGCCGTAGCGTATGCCTTGGAAACGGAGACTGAACACAACTTCTTCGCCGATCAGCTCGCAGCATACACTGAACGACGTGATATTCTTTGCGGAATCTTTGACGAGATTGGATTGTCATACACCAAGCCTCAGGGCGCATACTACCTCATGGTCGACTTCAGTCCAGTGAAGATCCCGAAAGACTACGCTGTACCACCCACTTGTCAGGGAAGAGGAGAGGACTTCAAGAAGGCATGGTGGTTGGCTCAGGAAATCAAGGTCGCGTCCATCCCCATCTCCGAGGTGAGTTCCGCTTAGGCCGTGACGGTCCGAGGTCAATCTCGTCCGCTTGCAACCAAATTGGCCATCTACTGCTCCCCCTCGCGGTGTTCATGCTGACGACACGCAGTTCTACGCCGCAGAGCATGCCAATATAGGGGAACGATTCCTCCGATTCTCCTTCTGCAAGGATCCGCCTCTGCTCCGTGCCGCTGGCGAGAGGTTGCTCAAGTTGAAGGAGTACATGAAATAGGCGAGGTCTCATCAGAGTATGTGGCACGTAGGGGAGGCAAGAGACGTACTATTAGAGGAATCATCGACAACCGATAAGCAATCGGTAATCTGGAGGCGGAGGAGAGCGACGACGGCGAGTCGTTGGAGATCACACGACGAGATCATACGATTAGATTGTGCACATAGATATCATGCATCATATATTATGAGCAGGTGCCAGATGTCGGAACATTTCTATTCACGTCAACAGTACAGCGAGATGCGGAAGGCTCTTCGTCTCTGCGCGGGAACATTTGGGATGTGTCTGAGCATGGGCCGGCGTTTCATGAAGTTGGCCTGGTATCCCACCAATCTGTCTGCACTGAGCCATATCATGCATGCTGTAGTCACGAATCGTCAAAAGGTGATACAAGAGTCGTTTGGCATCGCTTAACTCGTCGTAAATGTCATCTAGCTGGGAGATTCAAGGATGATATCCATCTAGGACCAATCAGTCACTGCATGTCGGTTGAAACCTCACATATTGGTTGTAGTCCAACGTAATGCGCCCACTACCAGATACGTCGGTTCTGTGTACCAGATTAGTGTCCACGACGTCTGCTCTACTAACCTCCGGAAAGCCTCGGTATAGTGCTTGACAGTCACGCAAGCCATCAAGAATCGATCAAAGCTGATTCCTTTTCTGGGTGGATGACCAGGTTTAGGAGGAGGTGCAAACCGCTTTTCGAGCTTGCGGACCATATCCAATGGGAGGGAGAAGCCGAAGCCAAGTAGGGCTTGATGCAGCTCCTTACGGTCGATCAAGCCTGAACCATCACGATCAAAGCGGAGGAAGATGCCGTGCCAGTCCTGTAAGTGTTAGAGGGAGATTAGAGAGCGGCTCACCTGGATGTATCTGTACAGACCCTCAAATTCTTGAAAGTTGATACTGCCAGATCTATCCGTATCAAAGATATCTGTGAATGTCAGCAAAGCGGTGGCAGGAAGCGATCGACGCACTCATGAGCTAGACGTCAGCGATGATCGCACAGTACTGGTCTCACCATTTTCACACAGTCTTCCCTGGCTTCCATCGTCTCGTCCTTCGCCAACAGTCTCTCGAGATCATACGAATTGAGCGAGCCGGAACGAGACGAGTCGAATTGAGAGAAGCTGAGGAGATCAGTATGAACCTGACGTGCTCCACCTACAGAGTCCTAAGCACGGCATCTTCAGCTCGTGGCGGCTCAGCGATGGGAGGCGGAGGTGGAGGAGGTGACTTGGGTTGAGGATTCCACTGTTGGCTCGGAGGAGGGACAGCATTCGCTGACCATTGCATGCGCCCAGCTGGAGGTGGATTGTGACCTCCTTGATGCGATCCTCCGTACCCTGGTCCTCCATGTCCCTGCTGAGAGCCTCCATATCCGTGTCCTTGATTGGAAGAGGGTCTGCTGCCATGTCCTTGTGATCCTCCGAAACCAGCCTGTTGGGGCTGAGGTGAGAGTCCACCTCCGCCGGGCAGATTCGGGTTTGACCATCGCTGAGGTGGCTGTTGGAGATTTGGAGAGTATGGTCCAGGGTTAGGTTGAAGAGAAGGAGGACGTTGACCGTTGTGATAGGATTGTTGCTGCTGCTGCTGCTGCGGAGGAGGAAGTTGTCCATACCCTGAGGACTGACGAGGAGGCGGATCGAAAAATTGTTGAGGAGGTCCATTGAAGCCCTGAGGAGGTCCACCATACCCTTGTTGACCTCCCTGTGGTCTCTGCGCAGCTGCCTGAGCCTGACGTTCCTTCTCTTCCGCTTCTCTAGCTTCTGCTTCGGCCTTTGCAGCTTCCTCTGCCTTTTTCTTTGCGTATCGCTCTTCGTACCTCCTTCTCGCTTCGTCACTCACGCTCCCATAAGGACTAGGGGTGGCCATGAATGCTGCACCACCACCACCTCCTCCACCACCACCACCACTACCTGCTCCTCCGGGACCGGCTCCAGCTGGATGTCCGTCGACCGAAGCGCGTTGACCCGGATTCTTCCTGGGCGTAGGATTTCGTTGAGCAGGGGGTTGAGGAGACGAATGATCTCTTAGTGCTCTGTCGCCGATGGCGAATGGAGAATCGCCTCCTGATGGTCGTCCAAGAAAGGCCATGAGATGACAAAGGGGAGCGTAGATGTAATAATAATGGTGCTGAGTGAGCGATCAACACGGATCGCGCGTCGCCAAGTGCTCTTGGGCGTTTGTGGCGATAGGGTTATTATGAAAGAATCGAATGTGGCGGGTGGCATGAATGTAGGGCACGAGGCTTTGTAGCCGACACGAAGGCGGTGTGGAGTATCCCAGTCACGGTGCCAGAGGCTGGGAGACACCCCAAGCTCACTTGAAATCGTCAAGATGGTGTAGATAGCCTCAATACCAGTCACTCGCCCAGCGATCCAACTTGACTTGCCAAGCAGATGGTGAAAACTCTCGCATTGTTCCCCTTCCCTGCCAAGTGTCGCAGCATTCGTAGAACCCGGTGCGAGGCTCTCACACGAGTGCTGCATAGACCCACGCGGCCGACACATACGACTGCACACCGAGCACATGCTGTTCAGAGTGAGAGAGTATCGCTAGACTCGTTACATGGCCAAAAAGCCGAAAAGGGCCGGGTTGAGAAAAGAGGGAGAAAGGTTGAGCAAAAAGCTGCATCCACTGATTTTGACCCATTCCAACCAGTTGTACATATGACCTTTAACGAAAATATGTAGCATAGCATCCTCACGAAACAGTAGCACATCATCCATGCATGTACATGACTATGAAAGGGCCGAGCATTTGACCATACCATCAAAAAGGCGAAGCAGGATATTCGGATGGGCGGAGACCAAAAAAAAAAGGTTAGAGCCCCAAGGGCGATTCGAACGCCCGATCTCTCCCTAGATCCTTACGAAGGGAACGCATTAACCAAAACTATGCTATTGGGGCAGGCAGCGTACGACCGTTGAGACAGGCCGCAAAAACGCAGCAGATGGGGTTTTGCTCATATACAAAACAAGCTACAGCCCCCGCAGGGACGAGTCAAGTGACTTCAAGTTGTCTTCCACATTCCTTGTCCGATTCGAGTCTGCACCACAAAGCTCTTTCTTTGATCTGTACATGTCCCGCCACGGAGGATATGAACCCCTCTGAAACCACTGCCTAACCGTCATTCTAGTGGCGAGAGTGCCGGTGCCTTAAAACTCGTGAATGCTTGAATGGTTGCCTGGGCGTTTTGCTCACCTCTCGGCAAACTCAGCGAGGCCTTACTCTGTGACGATGTACTCGCTGCTCGTACCGTCTTGACTATTGTCGTATCTTAGCAGCATCGACGCCTGTCAGCAGACGGACTCACTGGTACTCTATGCAGTGCAGGAGTGTCTTTGGAACTTCGCTGGTGCCTGTGTTCGGACCAGGCGGAGGAACGTAGCTTGATGTGTCAACAGCTGCTCAAACTCCCAAAACACCGATGGCTCACCCGAAAGACAATGATCCATGAGTCTTCAAGGCCGACTCCACCCACTGCCTTACAGCGTTCGATGCGGTCCCTTCGATTACCGACCGGAGATGGTCGGCGCTCTCGATCTCCCCATCAGGGAACACAATGCACGGCCGGAAAATGGAACCGCCCGACCGTCTATCGTATGTGTAGACCGGTCTGAGACCTTTCTGTGGACAAGTTCCTGTGATGAAGTCGTTCAAAGTAGGGGTCGATCCACTTTGTCTGGCCCCTTCATAAGCATTGAATAATGGGTGTCTCCAACCGATCTTCTGGATAAATTCATCGGCTGAGGAGACTTGGTCATCGACGTCAGTCATTCTGTTGTATGCGCCCGCGAACCAGAGGTTCTTCACTTCCTCGAGCTTGGACAAGAAGTCGTTGGTATCGGAGATGAGCCCCGCGTTAACGTTGTCATCTCCTACCTCAGTAACTTCTTCCACAGCAATTGGGTCTCTTTGGGAGGACTCAGACATTTCTGCGGATATCTCCTTGTCGTCAGAGCCATCCAGGGATTTTGGACCCGGCTCCGATTCGTCCTTGCCTCTGGCCAACCATTTAGAGGACAGACCAGGTGGTTGGCTACACTGCGAGGTCAATTCTTCTAGAAGGGCACTCATACGCGAGATAACGAGTGTCTCAGGAATGGTCGTACTGGTATCGATAGGTTCAGACATGATGAAGTGTTCTTGTTTGCTGAGTGGACCGCTTCCCGGCACCGCTTACGGCTTCTTGTACAATATACGACAGCCTTCGCATCTGCGCCCAGCTACAAAGACCTTTTCTCACCAGAGAAATTATCTAGGTAGATTGAGAGATAGTATCAAAGGGTGTCTCAATCGCAAGAAGCACTCGTCAATCATTGGCAAATCGGCTACTGGATGCAGTTTCATGCTTCCGATCCGAAGTGGCCCGGATATGCACAGTTCATGTATTGACGACAGCCTCAAAATTCATGGCTGATCTATAAGTCGCGATAGCGAAACATCGATGCTATAGTTAAGCAGATCTCGCGGGATCATAAAGAGTACTGGATGAGAGACCCGCCCCCTGCGGATCACCTGACGACTCTGGCAGAAAATAGCTAAGGGGGTGAGGGTTCACGGGAGCCATGTACTGATGAAGAGCGGTCGACTCCCCCCTCGCCCAGCCGCCCTCCTTCCTAGGAGACTGATCAGCATAGATCCCAACACATGTGATCTTACATGAAGTGCGTATAGGTAATTGGAGTCAAACCGGAGGGTGTGGTATCCTCGCTAGCAGTGACAGTGCTGTTCATGGCGTGAGCACGGCTTTGTCCCTTGACGACTCACCCAAACATGACACCGTCGATGTCGTGCAACTCGAAGCATTGAAGCATCCACATGGAAAAGTCACTGCCTTCAACCTCGTCGTTGTGGTAAACATCGTGCCACTCCTTGGTCGCAGATTCCAGATCTGATGCCTGTTCGGAAGGAACTAGGAAGAAAGCTCGGGGTCCAGCAGTGTGATGTTCAGTAGGCGCTGCAGGATCTCGCACGAGCGTTCTGACAGTCAATCCTGACCAAGGACAGTCTCCTTGTTCGGCCAAAAAGGCGAGCTTTTGACCTTGGGGGCCTTTTTGTGTCTCTTTGCTGATTCTACACAGCATATCACGGTCTGAAATCTGCTGAATCGAATGCACTCGATTTTCAACTGCTGCCGAGTCGTTGTATGTACAAATCACCTTCAAGATAGGAAGTTCTGTCCCACATGACGCCATGAACTGTCTTGCGTGGTTGATCCAGTCGGATGTGTCGAGCTTTCCTGTCTCGTCTTCCGACGGCCATGAGACGAAATTTTCGATGGGCACTGAGGTCACTGGGACCTCTGTTGAGAAGTTTGTCAGCTCTTGGTGCTCTGCCGTGTTGCCCATGGTCGATGCTTGGTCCGTCCGCTTCCGAAGCTCGGTTTCACACCGTGCCAATCCCATATTCAGATTCTTGATACGCTCGCTGATCGAGGCGTAGCGTTGGGTGTCGGAGGCGCTCATGATAACCAATATTCGTTGCAGAAAAGCCAGCAGGTCGATATGCGAGTGCGTATTCGTTTGATGATGAGGGGAAAAATGACCTGGATGAGACTTCTCAACGAATTCCAGCTCGACTGCCGGAGATTGGATATCGAAACGGTCAGCTTACAAAGGAGTTTCATTGCTCGACAGGACCTCGATATCTCTTCTTTTCATACCCTTTCTCTACGTCATATAGTCTTAGGGATCAACATGCGCTCCAAGACGAGACTGACCACGTATGAGAAGACACTGCACAGTTAACTGTCTGTGCAGTGTCGCAACCGAATGTATCTTCAAGCTCCCTCACAAAGAATTCCCCTGACAGGGGCCTGTGATCGATGGGTCGCAGCCCGCGTCTGCTCTTGGATGACATGCGATTGCGTTGCCCTTGGACGCCCTTCTGGCGAGTGGTAGTTACCTTGACAAGTTCATGAGGCGGACCCATGCTTCGCTTGCCACCGCCACACTCGCTGGTCGGGTCGTTTCACGCGGGAGACTGACTTTTTTGTCTTTTGCGCGTCTTTGGACAGACATTCGGAGAATCTGCCTAGCTACACTCGACATGGCGAGCTCGGTTCGAGCACTCCCCTCAAGCTTCTCGGATGGTCCTGAAGCATCATTGGAGAGCCATTTTTCAGATGGAATGAAAAGCGAGCTCGAGCGGGATGAGACGCCAGTCGCTGGTCCATCACGTCTGACACCATCAAAATCGTCTGTCGAAGAATCACTCATCGCAAAGGGAGGAAGTATCGTTCCTGGGACAAGTGATGGCAAGGACTGCGGCGATGAATGCTTCCTATGGACAGATCTAGTCATGAACAAACCTGGCAGTGGGTCATACTCTGACGTTTGGGGAGCTGATCACTAGGCTTCCGATACGCCTTCTGCGGTCCATCTCCTACTCAATCTCCTTCGCACCTATTCCCCTTTTACCGCACTGTCCCATCACCGCCGCCGTGTCCCTTGGTCCACCTTTCCCTACTTGATCGGTCGAGCTTCCTCCGCATCTCTTCTAACGGCCTCACCATCACTTCCGACAAAGGCTTTCGATCTGCCAGGAGCAATATCAGCGTGAGACAGGGATCATGGTATTTTGAGGTTTTGATCCTCCGCGGACATGGCACAGAGGGAGGAGGCGGGACTACGGGTGGTGATATCGGGAACGCTCACGTGCGAATAGGCTGGGCGAGGAGAGAAGCGAGTACCGACGGTCCCGTGGGGATGGACGGCTATTCGTATGGGATCAGAGATGTAGGCGGAGAGAAAGTGCACATTTCAAGACCGAAGCCGTACGGACAGAGTTTCAAGTCTGGAGATGTCGTGGGATGCCTGATCACTCTACCATCAAGAACGGAAGACTTGTCGAAACTCAAACGATCCCGCTTGCCTCTACGGTATAAAGGTCAACGGTACTTTGAAATGGAGGAATACTCCGCTCAGAAGGAGATGGAGGCGCTGGTCGATCGCGAAGGCAAGGTCGCATTGGCTGCCAAGGCAGCTGCAGAGGCTGCTAGAGAAGCTGCAGAGGAGGACAAGATCAAAGTCAAGAAAGGAGCGACTGCTAAAGCCGTAAAGAGAGGCAAGAAGGACATTATTCAACCTGCTGGACCGGTCGCCAGGGATTTACCTGTCTTGGCAGATTCTAAGATTGAATTCTTCCTCAACGGCCAGAGCTTAGGAACGGCCTTTGAAGACCTGTACGACTTCTCGCCTCTTCCTCCCATCGCCCATCCCACCACACCGTCGTCGAAGAAGGCTCAGGATGCGGCGAAGGATACCCAATACGATGACGGGACAATGGGGTATTTCGCCATGGTCTCATGCTTCGGCCGAGGCAAGATACAAGCCAATTTTGGACCGACATGGCAATACCCTCCTCCTGGTCTGGACGCAAGACCGATGTGTGATCGATGGGCCGAGTTCAGAGAAGAGGAGAGGATTCTGGACGAGAGGGACGAGGAGGAGACTTCGGAGCGGCTGTTAAAGGAGATTGCGGCGGAGGAGGCTAGAAAAAAGGCAGCAGCGGAGCGCGCTGCCTCCATGTTGAAGAATGGAGTCAAGAAGGAAATGCCGCTGAGGAAGAAGAGAAAGGGAACGGATACCCCTGGCGATACGCCAGGAGCTACCCCTACTCCAGTCGCGGAATCGGGTTCTGGGCGAGGGACGCCAATACCTTCCGAGGTGAAAACGGAAGATGCGTTACCTGATTTCAGGGATATCAAGATGGAGGAAGCGGACAGCATTCAGCTGCATCCAGCTTCGGATGACATTATGGTTGTAGAGTCCCAACAGTCGGATCGCGTCGACTCAGAAGCTACATAATATATGTATGCATGGAATGTGGGGCCTCGACCGGATCTCCCGGCCCGGTCAGTCGGATATGACCTTGTCCTCAGTCAATAATGTCCGAAGTGTCTTATTAGCTGTGGCTCATCAACCATGTCGCCAACATATGATGCTCTCAAGCTACCATCGCACATCAAGACGATTCTTGTATCAGGTGCAGGAGGTGAATGAGACAACGTACCGTACCGTTCTAACAGCGTAGGATTTGTCGGTCAAGAGCTCGTCAAATTGCTGCTTGAACTCTTTCCTGACGTCAAGCTCATCGCAACGGACATTATCGAGCCGCCAAGATTGATAGACGATGAGAAGCGTTTCAAAGCCATCAAGGCGGATCTTGGTCATACCTCTCAGGTCGAAGCCTTGTTCGAAGGCGAGCAGATCGGAGGTGTCTTCGCTCTCCAGTAGGTTGCTTATTTGCTGCCTCTACCTGACTCGCTTAGCGGTATCATGTCGGGCGGCGCAGAGGCCAACTTCGATCTGGGCTACGCTGTCAATGTCGACTCAAACTTGAATCTCTTGAAACAGGCTCATAGCCATGCGAACGAGCACGCATTCAAACCGACCTACGTGTTCGTATCCAGTCTGGCTGTGTATGGAGGGCCAAAGGCTGTCCCCGAGAGTCGGGTTATACCTCAGTACGTCTTGCACGTCGAGCGATGAAGAGGGAGCTTAACCTTGCAAGGGACACACCTGTCATTGCAAAGACTAGTTATGGGATCCAGAAGCAGATTATGGAGATGTATGTGTACGACTACGGACGAAAGGGTGAGCTAGGGGCTATGTTGGCCATTTTCTGACTGTTCAGGTTACCTCGACACTCGGTCTATTCGCTTGCCTTCAGTGACGATAAGGCCTGGAGCTGTGAGTCAGATACCAATTCTCGCACGACTGACCTTTTTTTGCCAAGCCCTCTACCGCCGCCTCATCTTTCCTCTCTGGAATCGTTAGGGAGCCACTCCAAGGTGTCGAATCGATCTGTCCCATCGCCTCTTCTATCGATGATCCAATCTTGGACTCTATGCCTTGGTACTGTACACGGACGAAGACACTGGTTCGAAATGTTGCGTATGCCATGTGTATGCCTGAGACAGAATTTAAAAAGTACGAAGGGTTAGGCAGGAGCATCAATCTGCCGGGAATCAAGGTCATGCCGAGGCAGATGATCGATGCTCTGTGAGTCAAAGCTTGGGGGTTGATTGAGAATCTGATGAGTCAGGGTTGAACATGGTGGTAAGGACAAGCTCAAGCTTGTCAAGTTTGAGAAGGACCAAGCGGTTATCGATATAGCTAGTACATGGGCAGGAGACTACGACAGCAGTCCGTCTGAATCAATGGGTTTTGAGAATGATGATCCCGCAACTGGCTATTCAATGGCCGTCAAGGATTTCAAGGAGTTACTCGAAGCTCAGGGCAAGTTAGCGTGAGACAGTTTCTGACGTACGAGATGCATAGTCTGGTCAAAAGTAGGTGATGGTGGTCCCTAACTGCCATATGCCTACAAACTTACGAGCCCACCAGCGCAAGACCAACCAAAGCCATTGCATCAAACCTCGTCGGCGAGCTAATGCGAGTCTTGCCCTTACATCTTCCAAGCTAGATTCAGCAGCAGCCACAGGGACGACGTTTCTAACAGCCCGATTCCGTAATCGTTTCAGTAGCAAGACAAGAGCCAGTATAATTGTCGCGGGGAACACCACAGAAACACCTAGTAGTTTGAGCGCAAGCACCGAATTGAGCCTGGATTTGAGCCAAGGTGGAATTCCTGCCTGTACTAGCGAGTCTACAGTCCGGGCAACTTTGTCATAGCTCGATTCGCTAGCCTCGGCTGTACCGTGATTGACCTCGATGTGCTTTGGTACACTGCCAACACTGTCCGTGGTTGACGATGCTCTCCCTTTACCCTTGCGGTCCGCAGCTGACGGCGTTCGCTTCGTCATGGGCTGCTGAACATTTCCTGGCCTAGCGGTACGTTCTGAAGAGCTCGAGCTGCTCGATAATGATCGTGTCCTGGATCCACTGGGACTCGGAGAATCTGGGGCGGAGATGGACTCAGAGCTACTTGCCGGTGGAAGGAATCCACTCGCAGCGGGGGAATTGGGATTAGACTTGCCCCTGGACTGTATGGACCGCAAATGTCGATAAAGTTCCTGAATGGTCAGTCTAAATTCTGGTCCACATCCTCACCTCCTTTCGCTTTGAGCCCATAACATTTTCACCGTCTAAGAAGCCTCTGGCCATGTCCCATTCCCCTTCTCTCGCTAAGACTTCTCCGACGAATAGTTCCACGACTTTGAGGTATGCTTCTCTCGCACTTTCCACCCGTTTCCTCAATTGAACATCCTTGGATTTCTGATGACTGGCGATGGCCCCGATGAACTCCGGGGGTAGATCCGCGAGCCAATCCTCCGTTAGCTGGTGTGTGAATGACTGAGCTGGTTCGGCTGGCTTGAGCTTCAACGAAGCGAGAATGAAAGTGGATATGATCTGAGGGGGCAAAGGGGTGTCACAGTGCGCAGTGCAGATGTCAAGTGCCTGCGCTAAGATCTTGTCTGGCGGAGTGGAAGGGAGCAGGAGGACAAGAGAGGCGTCCAATGAGGAAGTCGAAGAGGGTGGGTCGGCATACAAGCTCGCATGAGACGTGATGACTAGCTTCAAGACTTTGATTGTCCACTCGTCAGTCCTGGAAGGGGATCCGTTGCCATGTGTGTGAGGATTCTCTCCAATCTCGTACCATCTTCTGCGTGTCTTTGTCGGGGAGCCATTCCTAAGCAGCAGCTGAAGTAGACGAGAGAGCGTTGCCTGAGTCTTGACATGATCTCTGCGTACAAAAGCTTGAACGGCGGTATTGTACAAGATATCGAATTGCGATTCCAAAGGACGTAAGGGCGATGAGCCGTTCGGAGAGGTGTGAGGATGACTTGGAGGGGACGAGCTCGCCGCTTTGGGGAAAGCGGCTGTACGATGAGGCATCCGGCTGGGGAGCTTCAGTGTCTTCTTCTTCAGACTCTGCTCGAGCAAGGTATAATAACAATGTCCATTTGAGAACATGGAATTCGCTTTTGAACGGCACCGGCTAATCGGAGCATCCGGTCAATAAGCGGAATCAAAATTTTGTGCTGGCAGTCAAGGATGCTTGCATACAACATTGTCATGGGTGTATGAGATGGCTGTCACGGTATCAAGGAGACTGTCCGCATGCCTATGGGAGAGATCTAGACTTTTGCTGCACGCCAAAATCGTCCTTGAATAACTCGTAAACCTCCTCCAATGACAGCCTAGAGGAGAGTCAACCAGGAGCGCAACGCGTCAACAACTCACCCCGAAGTCTCTGGATAGAGAAGCAGGCAGAAAGTCCATCCGACGAGACAGATCACAGCGTACAAGATGAACGCTCCGCTAGGCGTAGCAACCCTCAGGAGAGACAAGAATGTAGCTGCTACAAGGAGGTTGCAAGACCTGCGCCATATCAGAGATGGATAAAACTTGCAGACTTGCCAATTCGTCGCAGTACAGATGCTCGTGCCTAGTCCTCTGACGTCGAGTCGGAAGAGTTCGCCCTGCTGCCACGGTATATTGCCCATACCGATGGCGTAGAACGATACGTAAATGAGCATGGCTGCAACGATGAGGCCTGGAGCGAATGACGAGCTGTCAGTCGAGGGTTGGCTATCTCCCCTCGTAGGCAGATCTGGGTTCAGCCAATCGTCTACGCACGATCATCTCACAATGAAAGAATGCGGCCATCAGTATCAGACCTGACGCCATGCCGGAGAGCGAATACAGCATGGTTTTTCGGCGACCGAGCGAATCCACGAGCTGACTCGGTGTCAGTGAAAGGGAGGGAGAGCCCTTCGCCGTTCTCACCCTAAGTGCAACCAGGGTGAAGGCAAAGTTGGCCAGGGCGACCACACATCCTACACCTATGGCATTGCGAAAGCCAAGACTCGCAAACAAAGTCGCGGAATAGTACAGAGCCGTGTTGATCCCCGTAAGCTGTTGAAAGGCTTGTAGACCCGATCCAATGACTGTGTGTAAGCATGCATCTTGGTCCGAGACTCACCCAGAGCTCTCCTATTTGGCCCCTCGTTCAACAAGCTCCGGAGTCGATTCAGCCATGTGGACGATTGTGCGAGGACAGTGCTCTGACGGACTCCTGCCATCATCAAGGATAGTCTGGCATCTACTTGTTCGTCGTCCGCATAGGGGTAAATCTTAACGAGGACCGCGCGAGCCTCAGTCCGACGCGATTGAAGTAGGAGATACCGTGCTGGCACGATCAGTGAAGTCGCATTCGTCGAATGACTCACGCGACTCGGGTAGCACTGCCAGAGAGAACAGCTGGATCATGGCTGGAATTGCTCCAAGTCCCAGCATCCATCGCCATCCCCCCGGGGTATATTGATAGATCATCCCGATGACTGCAAGCTTGAGCGGTGAAATTCTCCTGAAACGCACGATATGCAATGACTTGACCTAGTGTGATCATGACGCAATTCACAGTCACCAGTCTACCTCTCAGCCGGCTTGGACCCAGCTCGCCAATGTACAAAGGGACGATGCAGCTAGCCTGCCCTACCCCGAGACCCACGATCAATCTCCCCAAGCACATTGACCAAACGGAGCCACTCCACGCTTGTTGGACTGCACCAAGGATGAACAGGGCTGACGCGATCCCAATGAGAGGTTTCCTCCCGGTGTAGTCTGACAGCGCACCGGATCCAAGTCCCCCGATGAGTGCACCGAGCGTAGTGGACGAGGTGATCTGCTCTTTTTGCCAGTCGCTCAGAGCTCCAAGATCATCCTGGATATTCACCAGAGCTCCGCTGATGGCAGACGTATCATAGCCGAACAATAACCCTGAAATAGCGGCTACAGTGACCAGCTTGACGGTGAAGAATGTCAAGCGCTGTTCACCTTCGTCTTGCGGTTCAGAGATTTCATTCACTCCCTCGTTTGAGAGTGAACCATTTTCTCCAGCTCCGGCATCGTCTCGTGATGACTGAAGCGGGGCAAGCTGGATGTTTTCTTCGTCACGAAGTCTAGTACGAGCGGCCGGTGAATATTGCCCATCCTGCAGATCCACGCTCATGCCAACACAGGGCTATAATGAAGAAGATCTCATCGTGATCGGCGGTAGCGTCTCGCCTCCGATATTTCGGCTCAAGCGGTTTCCCCGGAACGAATTATGAAAACGGCGCAGCCTGTGTACGAAACAAATCCTCCAAGCTTGAATATGTATGATGCATCTGGATCTCATGCTGGTAATCTGCTTCGCTCCGTCTCCCCTTCCCTGCTCTAGCGTGTACGGATGATACCTTGTGATCATCAGCCTGGTGGCCACGCGAAAGGACGCTGAACTCACCCGCGTTGACAAGCTTCTGAACCTTCTTGGCGATCAACGGGTTCTTCATGTGACTGACGGACGATCAGCACGATCCAGACTGCCGACTCACTCTTGCAGCGCCTTTGGATTGGTCTGACTGTCCTGAAGAATTTGCCTCATCTAATTGACGGATGTCAGTGAAGCCAGGTCGATCATGAAGGTCACTCACCACTGGGTCGCTCATGATCTCTGCAATCTCGGGGCTGTGACAGGTCAGCTCGTCAGCGCAACGGTCAGCTCACTCTCTCATCGCTCTGCAGATATCAGCTTCGCTCCGGTATAAGATCACTCACCTCTCAAACGTCTGCTCATCTGTCTCGCCAGCTCGCTGAGATTCCATCTCCATTACGACCTTTGCCATGTTCGTCTCAATCTCACGAGTGTGCTTGGTCGATGAGCTAAGATCCCGCGAATATTTCACTCACCGCCTTGGCAGTATCCTTCTCCGTAGCCAACTGGAACGTCTCCAATGCACCCGAATGGTCCTTCATCGCTTGTTGAGTCAAACCCTTGCGTATATACGCTTTGACAAAGTTGGGATCCAGCTTGATCGCTGCGTCGGCATCCTTCAGCGCTTCAGGTAGAGCGAGAAGCTTAGTGTATGCCGAGGATCGGTTCGTGTAGAGATTGGCCTGGGTGGGATTTCGCTTAATCGCTTCGGTGTAATGCGACACGGCTTCTGGCCATTTACCAGCCTAACATTTTCAGCTAGATTTTCTCGCCAGACCCACCTTGAACGCTGCATTGCCCTCTTGCTTGGCTGCTTCTGCCTTCTCTGGATCCACGTACGCCGCTTTCTCCTTTTCTACCTTGGCCTTTTCGGCCGCCCGAAGCTTTGTCAGGACGTCCGGTGTTCTGTGTTCTGTCAAGCTCTTGCCGAGATACTTGATGGCATTGTCCAAGTCCTCCTTCTTGGTGTAGGCTGATCCCATTCGAGCGTAGATTTTGGCATACATCTTGAAATCAATTCGAATTTCATGCGCTTCCTCAATTGCCTTTTCACACGTCTCGAGGCACTTGTCATAGTCTCCCTGCTCAAAGTAGACCGCTGGTGTGTTAGCCGAGCCAAGGGGACGCGACCCACCACTGAGATTGGACAAGTAGGTAATGTCCTTGGGGTAGACCTCCCAAGCCTTTTGATACAGCTCAATAGCTTCGTCGAATTTCCTCGCCTTGTACGCGGTATTGCCCTTGGCCTTGAGCTCCTCTGCCTCCTTTTTTCCATCCGCCTCGGTAGAGTCGACCTCCATCGCCTCTGGCTCTGGTTCTGGCTCTTTCGGTTTTGGCTGTTCAGGTGCGGGATGAGAGGGAGCAGAAGAGGAGGAAGGTGGTTCAGATGGGAAAGATCGGGTAGCACCGGCAGAGGATCCGCCCATTCCGGGTGGCATCTCATGGGATCCCTCGGGACGTTCCATCGCATCAATGTCTATGCCCATGGCGACGCCAAGTACAGTGAGCATCCGAGGACTACAGTGAGCGACATGCTGATCTTCGATTTCGACTTACTCTGCCATCATGACTTGGATTTCAGCACCCTTTGTACCGGATTGCAAAGCCATGACGCGTGTCCTGAACGTCGGGTCCTTCATCATGCTTGATGTTTTTGGGTGTGATTCCAACTTGCTGATCAACGCTGGATCCTTGAATAGCTTGCCCAAGCCCATGTCTCCGCCCGGTCCAAATGGACTGCCAGGGTCCGAATCCATGGCCTTTTTGACATCTGCCAGGCCCTTCTTCAGTACGTCCGAGCTCGGATCCTTCTCCAAGCCCGAATCGTAAGCCATCACTGCCTCAGGGTACTGCCTAAGACCATGATATGCAGCTCCCTTTCGAGCGTACCCTTTGGAGAAGTCGGGATTGAGCTCGATGCACTGCCAAGGTCAGCTCGAGGCAATGGTCCAAGTCTACTGCACCTTTTCGGCGTCTTCCAAAGCTCCCTGGTAATCTCTCAGACCAGCTTTTGAAGCTGATCGGTTGGAGAAGAGGACATGGTTGGAGGGGTCGAGAGCGATGGCATCAGAATAGAGTTTGGATGCTTCCGTGTAGTTCTTAGCTGCGAACGCCTTGTTGGCTTCTGCTTTGATTGCCGCTGCGTCTGACATGGTCGTGTGGGTGGTAAGGATGTTGGAATGCTATCCCTCATTCAACCGAGGATTCTAGAAATCTCCTGGACGACCAAGACGGTGTGTAGGGCAGCATTGAGTGAGTGATAAGGGCATGGCAAAATAATGACGTGGCATAGATCAATGAATTTTGATTCCGTTCCGCCGTCGGCCATGATCCCCTGCGACTCAAAAATCCCCCTATGGTCTAGCTACCTATCTAATAATCATCCATCTCCAGCATGTCTGCACCAGCCAGTAACGCAGCGGCAGCTGCTGCTTCGACATCGAGGCTCACTCGATTTATGAACTCTGACGTTGGACCGAAAACAATCTTCTTTTGGGCTCCATTAGCGAAGTGGGGAGTGAGTGCTGCTTTCTCTCTCTTTTCACGGTCCAGAAGATGGCGACTGACCCTTGCGCTTTTTAAAGCTCGTGGCTGCCGGTGTCAAGGACTTGGGTCGACCCGCTGAGAAGCTATCTGTATCTCAGAACGTGGCTCTGATGGCTACAGGTTTCATATGGTGAGGACTCCTTGAGAGAATTAGCACTCTGCTGACTCGTGTTCTACAGGGTCAGATACAGGTACGAATAGATCCACTGATACATCTGTCTCTCCTAACCTTCTACAGTTTCGTCATCACGCCCGTCAACTACTCGCTTGCCGCTGTCAACGCTTGTGTTGGCCTTACTGGACTCGGACAATTGTACAGAATCTGGGATTGGAGAAGGAGCAACCCCGAGGCTGCCAAGCTCGCGGACGCAGCCCGTGCGACTTAGGGGTTCGATTGTTATACTGGGACAGGGATGCATGAAGATGTAGCAATGGGTAGGACTGAGAACGTCCTGAGACGACGAGAAAGCACCTTCTTGGTACTTGACGGCAGAGGGATAAGGAGAGGACGCGAAGGTTCACATGCCATGCCTTGGCGGTAGACGGCGGACTTGGTAGTCCAGCGTCGATCCGAGATACATTGCCCTTTGGACTGACTGGCCCCTTGAGTGACGATGACCATTGGTAGCCTCCAAGGTGGCTTGAGAGACCACGGCCAGCACGCTGCTCGGCTCGACCCCAGCGAGAGGCTGCAGGCTCACGACCGATCTAGCATTTGTAGCCTGAAATTTACTTCCGTCGGAGATCTCCTCGCTTCGTCCATTGCCACCAGCTGAAATACCTGATACAGAACATTGTCAAATTGAACCTTTGACATGTCTGGACGCTGCTGAAGTGATCCATTCGAGCGCTGTATATCGAGGACAATGATAACTCGAATCCTTCTGGCCTCTTGTCTGTGGACCTCAAGCTTGGCAGCTTCGATCGTCAGCCGAGATCAATTGGTCCTGTCTACTATAGAAACGAAGCATCGTCCGCTGGTGATCTGGTGCGTGCGTCCGATGAAGCGAGAGCCATTCCAGCCCTGACGATGCCCATCAGGCATGGTCTAGGGGATACTGCTTTGTCCGATGGTATCTCTGAGTTTATAGACGATATCAAGACGCTTTATCCAGGTATCTATGTCCATAGTGTACAGGTACCGGAAGGAGGTACGCCCGATGAGGAGAAGAAGGCGGGTTTCGTGAGTATCAACCGATATTCCCATATAGCTCCTTTATCTTCTCTGACACTTGCGCAGTACGGTAATGCGACGGAGCAAGGTGAATCGGGATGTGAACAATTAGCCAATATCCCAGAATTGTCCAACGGCGTGAGCACTCATTCGGTTCTACCCCCCTTTGGACACAGGCTGCTCTGACCAATGTTCAAGTTCGATGCCATGGGCTTCTCCCAAGGAGGTCTCTTCCTTCGATATTACGCTCAATACTGTAATGACCCACCGATCAAGAATCTCATCACGTTCGGGACACCGCACTACGGCATCGCAGCTTTGATCCCTTGTCCCACACCGCCCAGTCTGACATGCTTGCTCGCAGCGAGGGCGGCACGTGCTGGAATCTACTCTACATGGGCCCAGTCTCACCTCGTACAAGCCGCTTATTTTAGAGATCCAGCGAGATTTGACGAATTTCTATCGACAAATACCTTCTTGCGGAACTTGAACGGAGAAGGCAGGTTGGTAGATGGTTCAGGACAAGTCGGTCAAGGTGGACAAGGGTTGTCTCACTTGGAAAACTTTATCCCGGTCATGTTTGATGCAGATCGTAAGTCTTACGTCGTCCAAAGAGTTCAACAGTCCACTTCGACTGACGCGTGTGCTTTGCCGCAGGTACCGTTTCGCCTGCTCAATCCGCTCATTTCTGGACATACGATTTCGACGACAAGACATTACTCGTACCGATAGAAAAGCAAAAGCTCTACACTCAAGATTGGATCGGTCTCAAATCTCTTGATGAAGCTGGCAAGCTGCACCTTGAGCATTGTCCCGGCGAACATATGGACCTGGGAACAGGCGATTGCGCCATGAACCTGGTCAAGAAATGGGTTGGAGACATGTAGCCCGGTGGCGAAGTCACACTCAGCACGTTGTATTATCATGTTTGAGCCAAAGCAATGCACGTAGTACCGAAAATTAAAACACAGGCATATCAGACTACACTCGATACACGGTCCCCTCTGTAAACATGATCTCGTTCCTCTCGTTCATCTTCTCCGCTGCTTGACGAGCCTCGCGACTTCCAAATAGATCTTGTGTCTCCATTCCCTCATTGACGAGCGGTAACAGGTCAGATAGGTCCATCATACCCTCAGCCCCGAGTTGAGAGTTGAAGACGTGATCAAGGCGTGATCTGAACAAGTCGAGTCTGTCACGAATTCCGTGAGTATCACTGACATTGCACGGAATGAGAGACAAACTCACCGTTCAGCCGAAATCTCTGCGCCTTCTTCCTCCTCCAACAAGGCCAAAGCCTCTGCACCATCCATATCAATATCATCTTGGTCCTCTTCCTGTGGATCTCTCTGTCGAGGTTGACTTGGTCCAGCACTGCCTTCAATCTCTCGAGCCTTTTCTCGCGCTTTGTCCCGTTGACTGATGGTCACTCCCTCTAGCTCCTCAGCCACATCCTCCGCATCGTCTTCCTCCTGATCCTCATCCTCATCCTCATCTGAGGCCATGTCGACCACTTGACCATTGTTTAACCTCCTCTTCTTCTTTCGCTGTGCTTTGAGCACCTCTTTGAAAAGGGCAAACCGGAGGATCTCTTCCGCAGCCATAGCATCGCGCTCCTCCACGTGAGGGCTGAGGCGAGCTTTGGCGTGGGCAGTTGACAATCGAATGAGGGTCTCAAGTGTACGAGCGGTGAGAGGCGATGTCTGATGGGTCAGCAGCCATCATCACAAGCGAGACCTTACCCTCTTTTGGTTCCCAGCGAGATCATCGTTCCTCAAGGCAGAGTAAACCCCTACGATCCAATCTGAGGCTCCTTGCGTCAGAACCGGATGACATCTACTCTTGGCGTATTGGATGTATTTTTTGATAAATGCTATGCTGAGCACCTCTTTCCGCTTGTTGGCTCCTCGTCCAGATGTCGTAGAAACACCGCCGTGTAAGAGAGGATTGAATTTCTCGTACACCGGTGTCTCGGTCGTTCGTGATTCAATCTCATCACCACCGACATCGAGATTTTGAACGAGATTTTCAATGGCAGGAGCACCTGGTGATTGGATAAGTATCGCCTCCCTGTGCTTTCACTCACCCTCTTCCACTCCAGGTTGGAGATAGCGATGCATTCGCAGTACGTGTTCTGAGATTTGCCGATCTCGTTGCTCCGAGACATCATCTGTAATGACAAAGAGCAGATCGAAACGAGACAACAAAGAGTCCGGCAAGGCAATGTTCTTGTGGGGATCCTTGTGAACATCGTATTGACCATAGACCGGGTTCGCAGCCGCAAATACACTGCATCTGGCGTTCAATGTCGTGTGAATTCCAGCTTTGGCAATGGTGACAGTTTGCTGTTCCATGACTTCGTGGATGGCAACTCGGTCGACCTCGCTCATCTTGTCGAATTCATCAATGCACACCACTCCACGGTCTGAAACGCGTCAGCTGGTTGGCCCCAACCACAGGCATTGCTTTACTAACCCGCGAGGACCATTGCTCCAGCCTCGAGTCTCCTCTCTCCCGTGTCCTTGTCTTGTGTGATAGCGGCAGTGAGACCAACTCCAGATGATCCTCGCTACACGGCGTCAGTATAGTATACGAGATACGGTCCGGTCGACTCACTCCCGTCGTGGCAATAGCCAAAGGAGCAATGTTGAGGACGAATCTCAACAGCTGACTCTTTGCAGTACTCGGATCTCCGACCATCAGACAATTGATATCTCCTCTGATATGTGTTCCATTCTTCAAATTCTTCTCCTCTCCCCCCAAAAGCATCAACAAGACTGCCTGCTTGACATAATCTGATCCATATATAGACGGCGCAAGGGATTGAGACAGCAAATTGAAGACATTGCGTCGTTTTGACAATTTATTGATGTTTCGAATATCCGTATCTGTCAATGGAGTCTGGGCGATGCCTCCACCTTGTTTGGAAGAGAGGAGGATGACGTTGATGGCGATGATCTGGGTGATGAATCCACGTGTCGATCCACCACCACCTGAACTCTTGTAGACTCCAACGAGTTGAATTCGATCTCCAGGTTTACAGCTGTCCACCAGGTCATCCGCAAGGACGACTTCAACACCTCGAGGGAGCTGTCCTGCTGGCGCTCGTTCTGGCATCTCTTGTATGCTGATAGATTGGTGATCGCGAAAGGTTGAAAGACCATATTCCATCAGGAGCGGGTGACCTTCACCATCTGGAGAAAAGGGATGAGGGACTGTACATGCTCAGTCGGCTGAGAACTCACCATCTTTAGGAACGACGGTAGTGTTCCCAGTCAGAGAAGTCGAAGGAGCGACCATTGTGGCGTCGTGGTAAGTCCGACTGTGGAATTTTTGGGTCGCTGGCGCGTAATGAACAGATTTGAGCATCTTTGGTCTGACTAGGGAACAGCGAGTGACGATTCCTTCGAGACTGATCATTTTCCCAATTTGACTACTTCGTAATGTCCGAGGGTTCACATGATTCTGACCGAACGATCCTCGGAGTCCGATATGATCTGTGACACACACACACACGTCAGCTTTGACAGTCGTTTTCCAAGGGATTCTATAGCTCACAGTCGATGCCTGCGATTTTGTGCTTGATGGGATCGTGCAAACTCTGAACGAGCTGCAGCAAAGCCGCATCGAAGGCAGGGAGAAAAGAAGTCGGTTGGAGGAGGAGCCTATGACACTGTTTTAGACGGAAGCTTTGTAGGACCTGCCTTCCGGACGGACGTACCCATCGGCGATACCCCTGTTGTAGTCTCTGATATCATCTATATTGACGATGAGCCTGTTTTGCTCATTGTCCAACATCTTCTTTAACCCATCCCTATAATTGTAGTTGGCCTGCGTGTCATCGTCGAGAAATTCCACAAATTGTCTCGCTCTGTCTCTCATCAAGTCATCTTGCAGGATGACTCCTGCCTCTTGAGTCGAAGGAAAGTCCGCCATGTTGCGTACAGCGCGGTGGTCGATCGCTGGCGGATGCCCACTGTATATGTATGTCAAGGTGGTCTGGAGCTAGAGGTAGAGACAGAAGAGTGGGACGCAACATTTTATTACTTTTGAATCTAATGTTCGAGACGCGTCTACGTGTCGAGGCGCGTGTCTCCTTATCAACCACCGATAAAATACCACGTCATGTCAACACACCGCACTCAGATACATCCTCAAGCTCTAAAAGGTCTATATGGTCGTGAATAATCTCAAAAGATACAACATGGATGAGAGAGCCAACTTCCGAATGAGCATAAGGTAGAGGAACATGGCCTGAACACGTTCAGACTTAATCAGACTCTTCCGTGTCTGGCTCTCGCTCTGTAAGAGAGCAATCGTCAGCCATAGCTATTGGTCGAAATCCGGAGGAACGACTCACCTCCTCCGTAGCTGAGCCAGTTCGCCTTTCTTATCCTCTTTCTCTCCTCTGAAGCCTTGATCTCATTTCTCGTCTTCTTCTTCTTCTTTTTAGGCTTGAGTGCCAATCTGGCCAAACCATCCGCCACGCCATCTTCTGCTTCCGAGTTCACAGCTGATCCCGTAGCACTCGTCATCCCACTGGTGAGTCCCGGTGTAACAGGGAGCGGCGTCCCCGTCCTCGGCGTACCAGCTTTTGAAGTTGTTCTCGAAGCCGGTCGAGAAGGATCGTCCCCGAAGCCATCATCGACTTGGCCGACCTTGCCCTTGTGTGTCATTCGTCCGCCATCGACGTGCCATATCTCGGGACATAGAGCCGAGACAAACTCTTGAGAATGAGAGATAATACACACGGCTCCAGTCCATTCTTTGATAGCCCCTGCTAATCCTCCGAGGGCCTCTCGATCCAAGAAATTGGTCGGTTCGTCAAGGAACAGACATTGAGGTCTGTTGAACATGGAGGCGGCGATAACAACTTTGACTTTCTGTCCACCTGACAAACCACTCATCTCGTTATACTGGGCGATATCTCCATCCAGACCAACAGCTTCAAGAACCTCTCGAACGGCTTTTCCACTGGTATCTCGCATTCCAGCTCCTTCTCTCGACGACTCCAGATCATCAAATTGGCCGACAAGCTTGGTGAAGCCCTTCTCCAGCAAGACATCTCGAGGTATCCAAGCGTTATACTTGTGATCGTAACCTTTAAATTTGATCTCGTACTGGAAACTCTTCTTGAGCTTTTGCCGACCAAGAATGAATTCAATCTTCCGAAGCTCTCCATTCCGACCTTCGATCGGCCTCTCCATCATCTCTCGATCCTCATCCGTCAAGACGCGAGTCGCTTTCTCGTTCATCTCCTTGTCCCATCCGCCTTCGTATCGCCATTGAATGTATTGTACGGCAGTTTTGTCAAGATGCTGGTTGATATGGTGGAATGCGTGCTGAGCGACGTATCCTACACGCAACGCGGGGTGCTTAAAGACTTGTCCAGAATCAGGAATCGTCTCTCCCGTCAACAACTTGATCAGGGTCGATTTTCCAGCTCCATTAGGACCGACAATGCCGACTCGAGAAGACAGCGACAGCGCACAAGACACGTCCACGAGTGATGGTTTTGACATGCCTGGGTAGGTGAACGTACAATTGGACAGTTTCATGATCGCCCGCGTGTTGGATCGAACTCCCATCAGTGATCCAGGAGGGGGAAAGGTGAATTTGATCGATGTCGCGGCGAGGGTATAGTACGATTTGGCCGAAGGGACCTTTTCGACAAATTTGGACAAGTTTCCAGGGTAGTAGGCCAACTTTTTCGACTCGTAGTGGATGATCTGGGTACACACATTGTCCAAGAAACCAGAGTCGTGGGAGACGATCAGGCACGTAACGTGGGACAAGTTGCAGATGTATTGTTCGAGCCAAGCGACCGTCTCAACATCCAAGTGATTCGTCGGTTCGTCTAATAGCAGAATGTCTGCTCCGAAAAGCATTGCTCGCGCCAGTTCGAGCTTCATTTTCCATCCCCCAGAGAGCGAGGCGACGGGGTCTTGTTGTTTTTCTTCCGAGAACCCAACAGAGAACAACATGGCGGCGATATCAGCTCTGGGCGTTTTTGCGAGTTTGGGGTCCGAAGCGATGAAGTCGAGAATGGTCATAGACGTGTCTTCGCCCTGCAACGCGTGTTCCACCATGATACACTTGAGCTCGTCTTGGCTTGGAAAGCCTTCGACCTGACTGTCAGCAGAGTTGACTACTGGTTGGACTCACCTTGCCATCCCGAATAGCTTTCATCAAGGTCGATTTGCCCGCTCCGTTCGCGGCGCAGATACCGTATCGTTGTCCCCTCCGGAGCTTGAGCTGGGTGTGATTGAGCAGCAACAGACCACCATAAGCCAAAGAGAATTGAATATCGCACAGCAATTCTCCACCCTCTCCATCGTCCTCCACGCCTGTCGAATACTTTTGTCTGTCAATGTCCAGGAACGCCTTTCGAATGGCGGCTGTTCCCGTTGCACCCTGCTCCGACCCAAGCAAAAGCTTCATGAACGATCCGAGACCCTTGCCCTCCCAAATCTCTGCATCCCATTTTCGCTGATCCACGAGATCCGCGACGATGTTGGCCTGGTGCTCGATCACCTGAGCGATGATCGGTGAGTCAGGCATAGACGCAGCAAGAGGGAGCGAAGGGTGAGGAGGAAGGTCTGGGGTGTCCAAATAAGGAACCATGACCGTCAAAGCTTCCGTGACTGATAAGACGACATCGCGTGGTGGGGCAGGTGTGGCAGATGCGGAGGCTCCGGCGTTGGTAAGAATGTCCAGGGCGGTTTGAGCGAATGCACGGATCTCTGGAAACGCTGCACCTTTTGCGATGAGATCCACACCATGGACTAATGGCGAGAGGTATCTTGCGGCGACAGTCGGATCCCTGACCAATTTGACGAGGTTGCCGATGACGATACAGGTCATTCGTTGAGTATCGGTAGACCGTTCCTTTAAAGCTCGAGTCAAGAGAGGCACGAGCACCGCGAGAGTTGGTCCAGTGACTTCAGCCACGAAAGTGGTGGATGACAGGCCCTTGATGGTCCCTGGGACAGCTGCGGGAGACGCCATGGCGGAGACGAGGAGGGAGATGTGTTGTAAGACATCGGGATTTGGCAAAGTTCCGCAGAGCGTGGTAGCTGCTTTGATGGCTGCACTGGAGACCTGAAAAGTCAGTCAAAGCCGAATGCAGTATATACTCACCTCTGCCTTGGTGTCGTGCATGGCATGCTCGACGGCGGGGATGACCCGACCTAATTCCGCTGCGACCCATTCCTCAGCACCGGGTTTTACCAGATTCTCCATCGCTTTCAAGCTCGCAACTTTTGTCTTCCACCCTTTGGCATCTTCCAAGGTCCTGCACAGAGCGTCAAAAGCCACTCTGGACCCCTCGACGGGGGTCGCTTTGATCAAAGCGTTCATGGCGGATGTGACGGCACTTCGGACAGGTTGTCCCTTGTCCATCGCGAGGGATAAAAGAGCAGGTACGAGAGGTAAGAATATCCCCTCCACACCTGTCCCTAGTGACTTGCATATCCTTTCGACGAGGACAGCCGCAGATTCTCGCTCGTATCCCGAGGAAGATCCAGCCCAGATCAAGACGACATCGACGATGCGTGCTTCTTGAATAGCACCGATGGTTCTAGGCGCTTTCTTGAGTGACAGTGCGATGCTGTCTGCTATGGACTTGGCCTCGACATTGGATGGGGCGGTGGCCAAAGACGTGAGGAGGTCGCCTATGGGAGATGGGGGAATAGGGGTGAGAGCAGGCGCTGCCACGGGAGACATGGTGACACGATAGGAAGATCAGGTGCGGAGCTTATGGTGAGGCTCGGGGAGCTCTCTTGAGCTCGGATCTCCCAGCAGAGCGTGTAGATGGGCTAGTTGAAGCTCTTTGTAGCAGTATATGATCTCTTTTGCTGCGTCAAAGAGTCGCTGCTCACCACTTGCGAGCTCTTGATGAACGAGAACAAAGCGTGTCCTGGATTGTTGAAAACGAAAACTTTTTTTTTGGTATGATAGACGCCAGGCTCGGCTTGACGCACGTGGCTGCTTTATCAGGAGCGGGTGGCAAAAAAGGGCGATGGCAGGTGACAGATTGCCACGTCATGTAGCCGTTCAGGGGGTGGCTATGTGGCGATCAAGCATCGTGATAGATATACCACCACACGGGCTCCTCGCCATGTCTGACTAGCTGGATCGGGATAGCACAACACGTTGGCATGCATTGCCCGTCATCAAGCTGTTCATCCCGCTAGACTAGACTAGCTCAAGGATGAGAATCAGCGTGACATTATCAGCAGAACGAGAGGCATGCACATGTCGCAGTTCCCGTTCATTAATGAGCCATGTGCCATGGACGTCATTTTGCCATGTGGGATGGATCATCATCATCATCATCATTACCACCACCGGGTCATCTGCAAAAAAGGACTATATATAGAGTGAGAGGGATTGCGTGGAGATCCTTTACAACTGCACATCAATCCACATCTTTCACATCCTACACTCATAAACTCATCACAATGGCACAAGAAGCAAACAAGGTCGAGACCTACTTCTCCGGTGGACCCGGTACAACAGGTCAGTGATAGATCATCATGGCGCCAAGACGCTAAGATCCAATAGGCCGAGAGCCATTCGAGGACTCTACGGGTGCTGGTGCTGTCCCTATTGGTCAGACTGCCTCTGGAGCAGTCCCAGGAGAGCTGGGCGCACACGGTACAGAGCACCACCATCATTCCCATCATCACCACCACCACCAACACCGTGAGCATGAGGATGATCATCCTCACGAGCACGGCGCAACGGTGCGTCCATGACGTGGTCGAAACTGCTATACTTATTCGTACAGAGTGGCGCTCACCAAGTGACTGGCGATCATGGCAACCGTGTCGGTGCGCTAAGTCAAGAAGCTCACAAGTACGAAGGAGACAACGCTGGACCTGTGACTGGAGGAGCACCTGGAACGGACCGATTCGACACAACGACATCCAGTGGAGCCCAACACCCAGGATACGAGCCACACGAGGCGACAGAAAGGGCGGAAGGGAAAAGCAAGGGAGGTATCGCTGGCGTGGTGAGTTCCCCCCAAAGGCGACCGTCTCCACCATCTCACTTGCCTTGCTACAGCTCGGAACTTCCGACAAGGACTTTACAGGTCGAGATCGTCTTGGAAAGGGAGCTTATGAGGACGAACAAGCGCACTATCAAAGCAACACCTCCGGTCCCAGCGGACATTCTGCATTGACCGGTCGAGAAGGGGATATCAGCAACAATCCCGTCGCTCAGGCTAAAGGGCTGGATCGGGATGCCCACGCGGCTGAGGAGGGACAGGAGAAGAAGAGCATTGTAGACAAGGTCAAGGATGTGCTGAAGTAGTCAGGCATAGGTCGAGGTGGTGGTGATGGTCCATTGTAGCCGTATACACGTCATAACGAGGAGCTCGATGCAACGAATGCAAACCGGCAATTGAAGGCCGTTCCCACGTGGCAGGTGGAACGTGATGTCACGATTCTATGCGATCGTCAGTCACTGAATTCGACTCTGATACCCACACGAGGGCCATCCTTACCAGCATGTCAAGCTCGTACAATCGCATGGGCGGTCCTCAGACACCCGAAGGGATGATGGGGTCCCAGCAGAATGGTAGCGCCGATGACATGGGCGATTTCGTATCGGATCAAATGGACAAACGATCGACGGGCGCTTTCCCCCGGCTAGAGAATAACCTGTTGATCCAGCAGGCCATTGACAATGGTGGGTAGACCATGGGTCCGAGACATGCTGATGGGCTGTCTCAGGGGAGATCAGTCGGGCTGATGTAGAGCTCTTGAACAAAGCGCAACAATTCGCAGGCTTTGGTCAATCGGTAAGGCTCTTGCCGACGTCAATGTGATCTGACCTCTAGGCTGGATTCTTGATTGGTAGTGTGGGTGGATTCTACTTCGTCAGAAGACGTAGACCCCCAGCGGGACCCCTGGCTCGAGTAGCTGGTCTATTCGGTGGCGGATTAATGGGATCATTCGTCGGCTTCATATCTGGTAGTATGATGGCTGCATTGGAAGTCAAGTCGAAAATGACGGATGCACCAAGGTGAGCAAGCTGAGCTTTGTTGCAGGTGTGACTGGGAACGGTCGACTCATGAGATCTCTCAAGGAAACTCGCCAAGATCGCCGAGATCACAGAACAAACTCGATCCATGACCCGAGAGCAGAGACGACAAGTCATGCAGGGGCAAGCTTTCCCCCAACCTCCTGGAGGGTCAAATGTTCCGAATCAAATCCCCAGATCCTTTCCTCCAACGACCGGTCAATCGCAGAATCAACCTCGACAATCGTACTCTGGATCGACTACCACCTCAGACTATAGCTCTCGGCCTGCGCCTGCTACCTCCACCTCTCCTTGGTCCTCGGCATCATCATTTGAATCAGAGGACAACGCTGTGAACCGTCGTGAACAACGCGCAGAATTGGAACGTGAGAGATTGTTCGGATTAGAAGACCGACAGATCCAACGAGACGCCGAGATGGCACGCCCATCGGCATTCGACCGTGACCCACCCCCTTCAGGTTCAGCCTACGGATCATCGCCGTCACCGCCAACACCGGAGTCTACAGGTCAAAGCCCTTCCTCTGGACGTCGGGTATCCGCATGGGACAAGATCAGATCTCAGACGTACCAAGCTGTCGGGAAGAAGGCAGCGGAAGATGATGCGCCTTCTCAAATCCCACCTGTTGATCAACAGCGAAGTAAGGAGCAGAGGGAATTCGACGCAATGCTCGAAAGGGAGAGAAGGGGAGTCGGGGACAACGAGACGTGGAAGTAACGTATCAACACCAAGAAGCAACTGGAATGAAGGTGATTTGTATGCAGGTCTACCTGCGATCTAATCTAGGGAGATATCTGCAGGTTTGCACACTGCTCACTGGCAATCATCTGCCTGTGATACTCATCGCCTATCACCCTACTGACCTACTATGACCATCCTCGTGCCTTTGTCGTCTGACTCCTGGAGGAACATAAAGGAGGGGTTGGGTTTCGCGAGAGGAGCCTCGCCAAGATCTTCAAGGATCGCGTGTCGATCACTTGTCACACGCAGAGCAGCGTAGCGTCTATCGTTCTCAAAGGATGAACGTGGTCAGGGCTGGGTCGAGCACAGGGAGTCCTAGGAGACTCTTGAAGGGAACACTGGCCTACTGGAGGGTCGGACTGTTGGTCTTTACTGCGCAACACAAACTACTGTTCGCTCACTTTTCAGAACTGACTCGACTACAGCTCAATTCTACAGCTTCTAACTCGTGAAGATGTGGATTCCTCAGGACACCGCTGCGCCTATCACTGCGGTCCCGAGTTTCAGATTCACCTCAGACCCGTCTTGTAAATTTTCGTTCTGCATCACCTTGAGGTATGCTGACAGTCATCTTAGCCGTCTCCTCTGTTCCCCTTCTAAGGCGACAAGAACCCGATGTATCATTCTCCAGACTTCCAGCCCCAGCGCAATTCTCACTGTCGTTCAACCAGGGTTCAGACGCTCAAGTCGATTCCTCTTCAGTCACCTCACCTCCCTCTCCAACTTCATCATCTTTACCATCCTCATTCTCACCTTCAACGTCTTCGAGTCCGTCGATCTCTTCGGCCCCTGACGCCGTAGGATTCCATCTTAATGCCGCTCCTTCTTTCGCTCCATCCTCACCACCATCCAGGACGGTCCGTACGCTCATGGGGCCAATATACACGGATGGATCCCCGACAGTCTCCATCGTCAATGGGGAGCAAACGACATTTGTGAGGTTCAAGAGCGGGTCAGGTAGGAGGTTAGACCGTGACAGGGCTCCGAGTTGGGCCAAGCGGAGTATAGCGTTGAGCCTGATGATGATTGTTAGTATATCATGCACGTAGATCTGGGATCCCTTCTTCCTTTGAATGGCTACGTGCAATGGCCAAAGTGCCACACTCGAGTTTGTCCTTGACCGATAGATATCTCTTTCACCTCTTTACAAATAGATCCCAGCTTTCTACTTTCCTCACCTTTGCGCCCATCCGCCAACTGTCCCTCCCTGACCATGGCGGCAGCAGCGACGACCATTTTGCCGCTGGAACTGGTGGATAGGTGTATAGGATCCAAAATATGGGTTGTGATGAAGAACGAGAGGGAATTTACTGGCACTTTGAGAGGGTTTGACGACTATGTCAGTGAGTTGACCGTGCGTTCGGCTCCAGCCCCGAGCTCGTCGAGAAGCTCGAGCTCGTAGTGACGATGCCTTGCTGGTGGCATGGTCACGTTCCAGTATCTGCGTGTGCCCTGGGATCCGAGGATCCTCTAGAGAGCTAGGAGGCTGATGCGGTTGTCTGCATGGTTCCCCCTATACGGATGATTGGCCACGACGAAGGTGGACGTAAACGCTGACCATCCATAGACATGGTTCTGAGCGATGTCAAGGAGTAGTAAGTCGTCTAAGGGCTACCTACGTAGCTCGTCTCAGGTTGGATCTGACCGGGTTCCGCCCTCTAGCGAAGTCACGTCGAATGGAGTCACATCAACGGACCTTGGGGAGACTTTACTCAACGGGAACAACATTGCCATGGTGAGTCTGATATTCAGTGAGGGATTGGTCACACATTGGCTGACGCAAATGCAGCTCGTACCTGGGGGCAAGGGACCAGAGGCATGACCCTGATGTTCAAGGCATAAATGTAGCATGCAGAGCGATCCGCCTGGGTCGGGATTAATGGCTACTCGTCCGGAAAACCAGCCGTCAGGATCAGATACGTCCTCGAGCCGCCTTGCCTTGCCTCTGGCGACTGTTCACACCGGCCGTCATACCATGAGAGCACCATGTCATGCACGTCTATCTTTCTCGAGCAATCGCAGCTCAGACATTGATCGCCCATGTTCCGATGGGCTGCGCTGTGGATGGAAGATTGGAGACAAAGAAAGACGATTCATTATATCCTGATAAACCCTCTAATTTACAGTGATTCCCAAAGCTCGCAGATCCCCACCTAGATCCAATACCTCATCCTCACCCACCACTTCGACCTCTCCATCCTCATTCTGATTCTGCCCATCCAACGTCTTCAACGACCCCATGTTGATGGCACCTGATCTTCTCGCCCGCCTTAAATTCTTGATCCTCTCGATCTCACCATCTCTATCCGATTTCCAAGTCATCTCGATGCTGTCTCTACGCGAGTCGACCGGTGAACCAAAGTGAATGCCGGGTTCCTGAGCGTCCGGTACAGTTCCCTCTGCATTCTCTCTTGGTGTTTCGCGAACGCCAGGCATGGGAGGTGCAAAGTCGAGCATGGAGTTGAATGATGGTCGATGGACAGGAGGAGGAGCTTCACCAGGTTCATAATGGACCCATTCGAGTCTGACCCCAGCTTCCGCACAGACATCTCGGATCGGTGCGTGACTTCGTGTGGTCGTCATACGATGAGCGTATGTACAGTTGAGCGCTCCGTCAAAGATGAATTCTCCGCCCAGTTGAGTGAAATGACCAGGATTTCGAAGTGGCATCATGGTCGCTCGCTTGACTGTCGATACGGTCTGTTGCATGACGGACTGGACGAGGTAGTCTCCAGCATCTTCATCTGCGCCAGCATCGCCACTTTGTCTGGTCTGACCAAGCGCTCGATACAGCTCGAGCGAGGGATCGGTGTACATGGGGAAAGGGCAGTTGAAGGCTTTGTCTGAAGGTGAGAATCAGCGAGTGCCAGACGTCGTACTTGATGATTTAACTCACTCTTGTAACCAGGCAACATTTTCACAGAGCCATTTCCAATGATGATGAGGTTGACATCTGCTGCTTCCAGAGCTTCCGGCCGGACTTGACTGACGATTGACTGCATGTACTGTGCACATAAGGAGCAGAACCCTGAGGTATTGTCAGATAGATTGTACTTGGCCTCACAAAGAGAGCTACTCACAATGCCTGATAAAGATGACAATAGTCTTTCTATCCCTAACCAGGTTTCCGAATCGGACACGCTCGCCGTCCTCCGCAATCACTTCCAGGTTGCCAGCATCGTACAGGCTTCTCATAGAGGGCAAAGCGAATTCGTCGAAAGCTTGTGCTTCCGCCTTTCGCCTGGCTTTGCGTTGTTTCCTCGACTCCTTGATTTTTGGTCTGGAGCCGGAAGCGACAGGCGATTCCATATTGTGCTCTGGTTCTGCCCACGCTCGGTGAAAATCGTCAAACTCGCAAAAGTTGGCGGTAGAGCAAGTGGATTCCGTCGATCGGAGCATAGACGTCCCAGGTGTGACGAGGTTCGTAGAAGCACTCGATGAAGAGGATGGGGCCCAACTTGATCGATTACCAGTGGGTCCATACTTGACCGGCTTTCGGGTGGTTTTGCCCTTGACGGGTACCCTTGTACGATTGAGGGAGCTCATCGATCGCTTTGACTCCATTTTGGGCAGCTCCACCCTGTGCATTGGGAGGATCTCATTGCTTGGATTGGCCGGGATGTCGGGCAAGGATTTGTCGACATCGAGCTGATAGATAGGAGACATTTCCAGCACGATACTGGGTCGCTTGAATGTCAAAGCACGCGATGGCGGACTGATGGACAAGGAAAGATTTTCCAAAGACTCTGTGAGCCTAGGTGGCAATTTCCTAGCGTTCCTTTTGGAGTTGATGGATTTGGGAGATGATCTAGGCGAAGGCGGGTGTTGATCTTCGTATCGGAAAGACTCGATGGACGATTGACGCTCAAATACGGTCAAAGTCTTTTCACAAGATGCACTGAGAGGTGTGATGGGTTCTTCGTCCGGTTGAGAAGTATTGGCGGTGCTGGTCAAGGACTCGCGGGATCGATACGACGAGATGGAGCCTCGGAGAGTCTTTGGCGTACTGAGTGGACTGAGCTCGTTGGACCAAGTAGGTTGAAGATCGTCGTCTTCCTCCACAGCCGTGATCGCAGATCCTTTGGTGATGATGAAATGTCGAGAAGAGTGATGAATTGATGGCTCCAGCTCCATACTTGCTAGGTACCCGGGAAGAGGGGGGTGATCAATTTTGAAGCTCCGGAGGGTCACAATTGCGTAATTCCCCTTGCCTCCTCTGTCACTCTTTTTTTAGAATTTTGGCTGCAGCGCACGGGAAATCGACAGGGTGGAGGACTAGACGGGATCGATGATGTTGGATGGACGATGATATGGTGTGAACAAGTTGGATGGCAAATATCGAAAAGAGATAGAGATGGACGTATCTCTCTCTCTTATAACAATCCATCGAACCATTTTGAGAGTTGGGAACTCGCCCGACGCCGCTGACCCCCCGACATACCGCTTCATGATACGAGAGTTCTGCGTCTCTTTCGCGTGCTGATATTATTAAAATTCAATTCAATTCATAACCGGAAATGGGGGGGGGGGGGGGGGGTTTGTGGGCCGATCGAAGAGGCTTCAAAAGTGGTCTCACATCTGGGAATAATAATTAGGCTTTGGAATAGTCTCGGTGTGGTTGTCTCTCTCTCTCTTCATGCATCTCTCTCTCTCTCTCGTGCCGTGCGTCCCTCTCTTCTTATACCTGAATATCTAGGTTTTCCCGCGTGCCGAGCAACTTTCAATACGTCTGTCTGTATGAACAAGCAACCCTTCTTCACCTTTTGCATATCTTGAACATTGCTGGATCCACGAGAGTTGGCTTAGGTTACATTTTGCGGCCCAACTCTATGCATGCAATAATGAAAGTGGAGTGGTATGAATCCTCACGAGCTCGTGGACTCGGAACGGCGAGCTCCCCCTGACCCTCTTTCCCCCATCCTCGTTCATCCGAAATGGTCATCCGTTGCTGCAGTCCGAAGCAAGCAGCATATATCAGGCGAGAGAGGGGAGGGGAGGGCGAGAGAGTGGGAGACAGAGACAGAGAGGGCGAGTTGCTTGAGGCGCCCCCGTCTGCCATCCTTTGTAAAACTGCCACTTTTGGAAATTTATCGCCACACTTTAAGGCTGCGTCCCGGTTTCACTCTTTTATAATCCGGGATCGTATCAGGCGAAGAGGTGGGCAAGGAAGATGGATGGCTATGGGCAGGCAACTTTTCTGGGATGTCTTACATTCTTGTTCGCCTTCCTGTCGTCGATCTCCTGAACTTTATTGTCCCCCTCCCTGCCTCCCTCCCTCCCTCCCTCTCGTGGCTAACCCCCCTTGACTGATCCCGCGCTCTCATTTCTCGTTCTGAGACATGATCCACCTTCGGATGATAGACCTCCCGTTAGTCCTTGGGGATTCTCCGCGGGGTGGCTGGCAGAGGCGAACAAGAACGGGGAGGCCTGATCCTGATCGTTCAGAGACCTGTTTGAAACATGTCATATGAAGGTAGAAGGTACATCACGAAAACAAAGACACAACAGATGAACACAGGCACCGCTGTGGGGCCGTTGGATGTCAATGAGATCTGATTTATGCAACATTCCCGCCTGTTTCACTGATATCTTGCTGGGTTCGGACTGCGATGGCTATTCTAGGTGTTAGTGTTGAATGCATGTCATTTTCACATATCGCCTCGTTATGGTAGTCTGAGAGACCGCTGAGCAGGGGCGGGCAGCCCCTTGCACCTTGCATTACTCTACTAAGTCGGGAGTCGAACTTTAAGCCATTGCCGCCGATAGCGTCGTTCCAATCGGAGACACGCCTCAGACACCCCCCGCTGCTGCACCTCCGATAGACACGTCAGGGGCACGTGCGGACGTCTGGAGAGCGCGTTGGAGCACTTGATGCTCTGGCTTTGGCTGTCAGGTTATGCCATTGAGGGCTCGTCACACTGGCACAGGGATGATCCTCTTGAGTGCCAAGCTAGCAAAGAATCCAAATGCCAGCCCGCCAAACCGGCCGATATGCTTGATTCTGTTGTCCTTTGAGCTCTTGACAAGCTGCCATGCTTCGTACTGATCGAGAAAGGGGAGTGGAGTTCATCGTCAGCCGCTGAGCTTGTGGCCACGACCCAATGAGAGTACTCACAAGAACAAGCAGCCTCAACGCGAGAACGGATCTCCTGAGCGGGACGCGGAGTCCGATGAGCTGACCTAGCCGCCCCGGTGGTCGAGCTATTCCTCTGTGCGAGCCAAAGTTGGCAATACCAGCTGAGATCCGCCGATCAACTGTGCTTGCATCGTCATAACGCCTTCAATGGAACCTACCGAAAACGGAGCAGATGAATCCTGGGAGTAGCAGAGGATCAGCTGTCGTTTGATGCTGTGAGCTGCGACTCACCGGAAGCACCTTGATATGTCTTCGTTCTCCCTTTGGGTCCATCACGAGGCACAGGAGCAAGGTAGAGAACCGCCGCTGAAGCTGCGAGCGCTCCTGAGTCTCATCAGCTCACGAGCCAGTAGCATTGTGACTCACCGCCGATCCCCAGGCCCAGGAATACAGAGACGGCATTTCTAGAGGTCCAGTGGAGTGGTATTGTCCTGTTGGAAAATAGAGAAACAGCAGCAACATCAGCAGCGTCTAGCAGGACGGACAAAGGAGACTTGCTCAGCAAGAAGGAACGATATACCGAGCAGGCCTAGACAGTTGGCCAGGAGTGACATAGTATCTCGATGAGATACGATGGAAGTGAAGATTGTCCACCTACAGAATCATTATGAGTATCAAGTGTACATATGCGTGTTTGAACAGCAGACTTACACTCTTCCTTCTTGTAAGTTTTCTCGAGAGATCGTGAAATGAGCTTGCATGACTTTGACCATATCACCATATCCAAAGAACTAGAGGCACATGTCGGGGTTCAGCTGTGTACTGGAGAAGGATTTGTGATTGTACTCACCGACAATGTATCGGCGACTGCCCAAGCGACACCGATACCGAGAATGAAGATGATCATGCGTCGAATCTGAGTCTCAGTAGAGATCCCGGCCCAGACTTCTCTCACCAAGCTCCCAAGCGCGTAGCTTGGTGTGTTGCGGAGAAGGATATTCGCTTCAGATTTGGTCTTTGACCCTTCCAATGTCGAGTTCATTAATGCCTTTTTGAACTCGGAGTGAACGGGGTACTGGTTTCCATTCGGACCGGAAGGTCCAAACCATAAGGAGGATACGGAGGATGTCGATAGTGATCGGCGTATAGGTGCCGTAGAAGGAGTCCATGATCGCCAAAGAGCACCATGTTGAGGTCTAGGATCAGATCTGGCCGAGAAGGTTGGTTGGACTTGAAATGAAGATGTACAAAAGGTTCGGATTGCTGGCTTTGTGCTAATGTGACACGGAGCAACCTTCCACCACTCCCGGGATAGACCTCTCGAGCTTCTCCCAAGTGAACCAGTCACCAACAGGCCCCAAGGCATGTTGGGGAATCGTTGCAAGATACATGGACTGAACATGCGGACTAAAGAAATGACTTCATCGGATATGCCGTAACGCGTTTTGGCTGAACAGCGAACGGAGGATCCATAGACATATATTATGAGAAGATTAAGAGCAAGTGGAATACGATCCGCTGCGAGCACACTACTAGTTTGAAGACTGAATGTCTTTGGAGAACGATGCCATCACGGCCAAACGGTCAGTTCCGCGGGACACCCTGAACGACTTGAGGATAGGTCTGTCGGATGAGCTCGAAAAGGCCTGGGCTGCGTTGTTGGAGAACCCTGTGGAGTCATCAGCACTTCTTGTCGGTCACATTTCTTACATTGGATCCTCTCCCAGACCGACAAAGATGGTTGATACTCCTGACTCGATAGCGGAACTGAGGGTAAATCCAATGTTCAGTCCGATCAAGAAGGAGTACAGTATGATGGGCCTAAGGACGACTTCAGCGGATTCAAAAGGGTGTCAAGGTCAACTCACGCAGAGTATTGTCCTTGATCATTGTATGCTGGATTTGTATCTGTAAGATTAGCTTTCGTTCCCGTCGCCTCAACATACATCTCAAGTAGATGTATCCGAAAACCGCACAGAGGAAACCGTTGATGTAAGCGCCCCACATCAGAGTGGTGCCAACTAGTGAGTCGTTGACCAGAGCATCGATACCTGGAGGAGGGATCAGATGGACCCGCGAAAATACGTGACGAGCTCACCTCGGTCCTTGAGCAAGCGCCAAGTGTCCTTGGCAGCTGAATAGAGGTCAGTTGGAAGCTATCCGCCCAGACTACGCACCTGGGATATAGGCTTTTCCGTACAGAGCTGGACATGTGTGAGCTGGGCAGGACGTATGACGTGGGATGGCTCACAAATTTCGATGCTATGGGACGCCCCATCGTCAGATGGACCCTGTATAGAGCGCACACAAGACTTACTAGGCATCTATGAGGCTCGTCAGCTGAACGCAGCAAGATGCCGACTTCGCACTCACACTTGTTGAAATACTCGACTAGAGACTGGATACAGCCGACACAACACGCCGCCTATCACTGGTGAGGGTTGCGGATCGAATTAGTTCGATAAGACTCACGCAGCATCCAATGATGGCGCCGACCACTGAGACGCGTCAGCTGATGGTGAAGATGCACCGCAAACGCACTGTCTCCCTGACCCGCTTCGTACTGCGAAAATGCCTGAATAATCAACCTCAAGAGCTCCAGAATGGTCACGATGAGACTGCCAAAAGCGATAGAGCCAAGCGACAGCGTGCTGGCTCGGACAAATGCTTTGAGCGAAGCGCGTTTAGGGAGACCTGAATTCTCCGCACGGGGACCGTACTGCTCTTTCAGCAATGAGCCACCGACGTTCTTACGCACATAGTACCATCCTCCAAAGATACCTCCGCTCAGTGTGCACAGAATGACATTGGCAATGACTTGACTGGTCCAATAGTAGACAAATGTCGCGAAAAAGATGAGTCCAGCAACTTTACCAGAGGAACAAGAATTTGTGCCGCAGGATGGGGACCCTGGGGTCCATCGGACGTAGATGGCGACGCAGGTGAAAGCGTACCATATGCTCCAGGCTGTCTGGAGGATAAGTCCGAGCAGAACAATGAGGTAGACCACCGGGTGGTGTTTGGTAATATCCATGGTCGTTTGAAGGAGCAGTCGGGCGAGGGGAATTCTTCGGTGAATGGGTGAGCTGAGGAGGAGTAAGGCTCTCGAACGACATACCTTCGACGCATGGTCCAGTAGAAAAATGCTGAAAGGAGGGCACTTTAGAGGTGAGCGAATGGCGCTCAGGCAAGGCTCACATCACGACAAAGATGATTGCGCCGCTATAGTCTGAAGGGGCCGAGTCAGGGATACATAGATCAAAAGGACGTACATTTGATGATGAAATAGTCTGTGAATAGGTCAGCGCGGTTGAGAGTTTAGATTGAAAGGGGACTCTGCTCACAGATACAGATTCCGATATTGAGAATGACGGTCAAGATCATCGTCAATGGGATGATGATGCTGGTAAATGCGCGAACGATCTACCGTGAGCTTCTTGCTGAAGAATCCTACTCACCATGAGGTACACTGCGGCAATGACTAAGGCGATGGCTGAGACAATGAGCAGTAGATAAACTGTATGGCTGAGGAACCGTCAATACACGTGCAAGCCCAACATGACCCACTAATCCAGAGTTGCCGATTGTCCACCAGTATCTTGACCGAACCCGCCGCCCAGTCCGTTCTGATTGATGAATGTCGAGATGGCGAGCGCACTGACGGCGCAGAAGCCTGCAAATGAAGCGATGAACAAGACCAAGAATATTGGATCGTTGAGTCTTGTTTTCGGTTTGAACCTCGCGCCGGTCTTCTCATTGGCTTGAGAGAAAGGTGCTGTATCTCCTGTATATTGTTGACCATTTCCATTCTCCGTTTGACCATAAGATGGCGCATAGCTCGTGTTGTTCTGTGCTGATGGATAGGGTTGTGAGGAAGGTGGAGCATAGGGCTGTGAAGCGTTCATCGAATACCCTCCAGAGGGTTGTTGACCATATTGTTGATGGGATGGCGGGGGCGGTAGAGGTGGACCAGGCTGATATCCTCTGTCCTGTTGAGGCTGCCCACCATTATAGTACTGAGCTGCGCTCATGATGTTGCAAAGCTGCTCTGAGCTGGTCGTGGCCAGCAGATGGATATGGGTCGAGTGTTCAAATGATTGAACAAGATCGCAGACCCAAAAATACCGGGATCTTTGAGTGAGTGCCAAGGGGGGAATTGTAACTAATTTGTTTGTGGCTTGAGATCGTCAGAATTACGTCATACACAAAGGATAGCACGTGGCGGCTGGCGGGGCGCGTATAGCGTGTAGCGTGTAATGATAGGCAGGGGATGAGCAACTGCCGGGGCACTGGTCAGTCTATATACAGAGAATGCGATCTCTACTCGCAGTCTCCAACTCAGCTGAAGGGGAGGGGGGAGTCTTTTGTTACTCATCATGCCAAGACCTGGAAGCCGGAACAAATCAGGCCAGCTGTGACACGCTCAGTGTCTTTGAGGAGTTCAAGCCAGGGCCCTTCATAGACCAGCCTCTGCCGTTGAGTATACTCGTTGAGAAAATGATAGAGTCTCCTGCCCCTCCATCGTAGCTCCAGGACGATCTCGACAAGACTGGCTGACTCACGGCGTCCATCATAGCGTCAATACGCCCAGCGACCCTGACAAGTGCCACATTCACCATCTGACCTGTACCACCCCCCGCCAAAACCAAAACGCCGAATAACGCCGCCGCTGGAATCTGCACTTCTGAGAACGGAATCAAATTTAACTAAAAGGGATCACCAGGGGCGGCATCATACGACAACGGAGTCATCGTTGAGAGCAATGGTGGTGACGAAGAGGCCTCACTCATTGGCGAGAAGAGCATAGACGTCTAGACACTTTTGGAGCGCAGAATCACGACACCCTACTGCCGCTGTCAGCCAATCCTCACGTATGACTCGTGGGAGCCACAGCAGCTGAGAGCGGACTCCACCAATCCTCTCGGATTTTGTCTGAGCGCGCGCCACGACCCACGCCCCGACCAGGTCATTTTGGGAGGGAACACTTTCATTCGTCGTGGCGATAACAACTCGGAACGAGTAGAAGAGGTCATTCGATCCGGCCGAAAAGCTTCATAGCGTCAGCCTGCCCTCTCGCCCCCCCAATCCGTCGTTGACTCAAAGCTCGACTCTTCCAGACCCAAGCACTCGTCAGCCCTACTCGCCGCCCTATCATGCTCCGCCCAGTACATCAACGTCCTGGCGGATACCTTCAGAACAACTATCAATCAGATCAGCAGAATGGCTCATATCACTATTCTCAGTTCAACAATCAGCAGCAGCAGCAACAGCCACAGCAGCAACAGCACCAGCCTCAACAACAGTCACAGCAGCAACTATCACAGAACCAACAGCAACAGCAACAACAGACAAGTATGGATGGTCAATCCAACGCTGCGAGTGGAAGTGGACCGTCTGGAGGCCCAGAGATGAGTCTGGCTGGCGTTTTACATTACCTCCAGAGTGAATGGCGAAGGTGGGAGAGGGACAGAAATGAATGGGAGATTGAGCGAGCGGAGATGAGGGTGAGTTCAGCTTTTGTGTTGTGGTGGTGTAAGTCTTCGCTGACTCTTATTGGCATCAAGGCGCGCATCGCTTTACTGGAAGGGCAGAGGAGATCTGCTGAGAATCTCAAGGTTGATCTCTTGAGGCGTGTCAAGATGTTGGAGTATGCCTTGAGGCAAGAGCGGTGAGCTAAGAAGTCTCATAGCCCTTGGGCATGAAGCTCATCGCCATGGCGGTGTGCAGGACGAAATCGATGAGTACAGCTGGCAAATCTTCGACTCTTGCTCCCTCTCGTCTGTCTGCCATTCAGGACGAGGATAAGGTGTCAAATCGTGATGAAAAGGAAGCGAGTCCAATGAGTGAAGGGAGTGAAGAGGGTGAGTTGATATTGCTCGCGTCCGCTCGCTAACCGTATTTCAGGGGACCGAGTTAAGATGAACGGTCCGAGGTCTATCGCGGCGTCGAGCAAACTGTCGTCTGTTCGGAACGGTGACAATCCATGGAAGAACGTTGGAAGCGTATCGAGGGATCCAAAAGCACGAGCGAGGAGTAGAGAGTATCTCAAACAGTACGTCGTGGCCACTCGGGCCTACGTGCTGATCTGAATCCCTAGGTGCTTGCAAGAAATTACCTATCTGACCTCTCCCGGTGCCTTGAATCCTCTCCCTCCCCGACCTCCCATCAATATCGATGCTCAGTCATCCAATCGATCCTCTGAACCAGAACAGGCCGCTCTCAATCACTCTGAGCAATTCCGACCACCTACAAAGACTTTACCAGATGACGGTCAAGTGATCGACTTGTTTCCAAAAGAGGAACCTCAAACAACCTCTTCCCTCGAGCCAGTCACTGCGCCACAGGCCCCAAATGGAGAAGCGTCCGCTTCTGAAGTCAAGGCCGACAGCGACCCTGTCGACGCTCAACCCACAAAGACCGTAGAATCTCGTGCCATGGCCCCAAACGCTACGGCTAGACCACCTCACTCTCCATCACCTAAACCAGTTGCGTTACCCGACGCCAATGGTCCTTCTGCTAGTAGCGAACTTAACGGCGAGGAGCACCAGTTGTTGACGGCCATCTACCGACCCGAATCGAAAACAGCTTGGAGAGAGGAGTTGCAAGCTGCAAATGACAAGGCAGAGCAGGTGAGGATCAAGTTATGGTTCCAATGCTCATTGGATCAGGCTCGTCTAGGCAGATCTCCGTCTGAGCAAAGCGATGAAGAGCAATTGGCCAATCTGACCCTGAACATCGAGGACGAAGACGCGAAGCCGGAACCATCCAACGCGCCAGGAAGGTTTTGGGCGGGTAAAAAATATCTCAGATCGCATATGGATATAGTTCGTGCCGTTGCGATTGTCCGCGGACGAGGCAGTGATCTCTTGCTGGTTTCTGCGGGAGATGACAATGTTGTCAAAGTCTGGTCATTAGACGCCTACAAGATTTGGAGCACCAGGTGAGTCAGGCATTCTCCGCTTGAGAGACTGACCATGCGGCAGGCGTAATGATCCTGAAATTGAGCCCCTCCTGACGTATCGTGGTCACACGGCTCCTGTCACCTCTGTCGTCGTTGATTCCGATAGCAAGACGATTTTCTCCGCATCTCTAGACTCGACGATCAGAGTATGGAGAATGCCGGGGCCAAGGCAGAACCAATACACATCTTATGATCCCGGTATGGCGGTTCAGACCCTAGAAGGGCACACCAATGCAGTCTGGGATCTGCTTCTCCGTCAGGACCGAGACGTTGGACCTCGCCTGTTCAGCATCTCATCCGACAAGACGTTGCGAATGTGGGTAAAATCAGCGAACGGACTGTGGACAGCGGAACGCTCGCTCACCCTTGACGGGACACCAACCTGTCTGGGATATCTCCCTTATCCCGTCATTTCGACGCGTGTCCTCGTAGGGTTCGCGGACGGCCGAGTGAAGTGGATTGAAGGGGAGCTTGGCGAGACCATCTTGACTTGGCAAGATCAGGGTGAGTGAAAATCTTCGTTTATGACCTGCCACTGACACTTTGACTCTTTGAACAGAACCAGAGGGTCGAGCCTCTCAGGTGAACTCCATTATCAGTGATCTGACACTCAATATGGTCGCTTTTGGTCACGAGGACGGCAGCCTGAGAGTTTACGAACTTGGAGGTGAGCTCGCATCCTCGCGATCATCTCTGATGGTGATCAGGTTCAAGAACGGTCCCAAAACATCATGTCGTCGCCCATTCTTCACCCGTGACCTCGCTATGTCTCTCACCTATCAGCCCCATGGCCATCCTGACTGCATCGACAGACTGCAGAATCAGAGTGTGGGATGTAGAGAAGAAAGTCTTCGTGCAAGATCTGACAGGTCATCGCCCAAGGTCAGATGAGGGCGTTTGTGCGCTGGCTGTGACCACCGACGTGCCTGTACTATCTTCGGCGGGTGCAGATGGGATCATCAGGATATGGGCGTGGGGTGGTCTTCCCAACGCATCGTGGAAAAGCGAGCATACAGGTCCGTAATCTTGCTGGTCGTGTCAAAGTGATTCTGGCATTCCCCCGCTCGCTCCTCAAGCAAGCATCAATCGAATTTCTCCGTGTTTCTTTCTTCTGCACATATAGCATGTGTCTCTGTGATTATGATGATATGCAACGACCAGATGAACCAGAATTTCACGCCGCTCCAGTATGGATACTGAGAAAAAAAAAAATGCATCGAGGTACTCAAATGACCCGTTTGACCTCGAAAAAGCTCTTGAGGTAATGTACGTTCCATGCGCAAACGGCAAAGAGGATGATAGTCTGAGCGATTGCCCACCATTTGACTCTGGAATTCTGGGACACATCAAGTTTTGAGCACGGTGTTTATTCAGGTGTAAATGAATCAGCTTACAGTGGATTCGGCGGCTGACAGAATGAGGTCAGTGACGGCACGGTTGATGTCAAGACTGGATCGGGCGAACGACTCACTATTCCTATGTATCTTTTCTCTTTGAACAAGATACGCCTGTTCATCCTTGACGAGCTGGAGGCTGTTTCCCAAATTTCTAATCTCTCTTTCGACTGGAGCAATCTGCTCTTCATCCTCGGAGAAAAGCGTTCCGTGAACGCTGAAACTGTGGTCCGAATCAGCGGCTTGGATCTATCCCTTCTGAGAATAGAGCAATTGGAAGCAGAAGCATCGGAAAGTGGATGCGGCGCATGCTCGCTCGCTCGCTCGCTCGCTCGCTTGCTTGCTTGCTTGCTTGCCAGAGCTGGCTAGCTACCCACCTCAACGTTTTGGTGGAAAATGTCGACATGGTATTATCAAAGCAGTATTCATATTTTCCACTCGATGCTGCTTCCATCGATAATGATCCAGTAGGTTGCTTGTATTGAGAGTAGAAAGTCTTCCCCGTAGGGTCCGAGGCCTAAAAGCACAAGATGTTCTCATCAGTTATGATCCTCGCTCAGTTTACAAAGCGAGATTGGCTACACTCACGTAGAAATCGATATCTAAATGCCCACCTGCAGTCGCTCCTCCCACTTCGTACGTAACAGACATCTACGTCAACGCCGTCAGCGATGGGGCCCGCTGCGTCACGTTGCGTTGCGTTGCGCTCTAAACGACCCACCCTGTCTTTATGTTGGAGTTGTTCATAAAAGCATGCTTTTTCACCCGGATCAATCTCTATTCTGTGCGCTGTGATTTCATTGCAGATCCAACACAGGGCCAAAATCACTGCTAGTGGGTGAACTGATCTCAGTATCATGGTTGTTTCGGTCGTCAACAGTCGATATGACCTTGGGATGAGTATTCACTGACTTGCATGACACGCGACTGTACAAAGATAGGCGCAATGTCCCCGCAAATTGATTTCCGCCTATTTCTGCCCCGTCTGCAACGTCGCGGAGTATCTAGAGACAGTTCGTCTGTTTCTCACTCTTCAACTCTCCCCTGCTTTACTCGATTGACCCATCCGCAATCGTCACAGGTGAGCAGCGAGGTGTCGTCAAGCTCTTAGACTCTCAAACTCTGGAGTCTTAGAAAGTGGCTTGGAGAATCACTCACACCTCGTGCAGATACAATCATGTCAGACCCCAAAGAGCCCGTCAACCCTGTGAGTAGTGTTCAAGTGCAAGCCTTTCGAGTGTCAAAGCGGCGTGCTTGAGATCAGCTGCACCCGAGCAATGATCATATTTGCTACGTTGACAGTCGCTGACGCTCTGATACAGGAGGGAACCCAGGAGGAAGAAGCCGATGTCCACTTTGAACCCGTCGTCAAATTGACAGAACAAGTCGAAGCTAAGACTCACGAGGAAGATGAGGAGGTCTTATTTACTATGTGAGTTGTGGGAGGCTCTTGATCTTGATTTTGCAAGAGGATGCAAAGGAGCTCTGCTGGTTTGGGGCAAGCGCGGAATGCCTAGATCTGAACGATATGTGGTACCCAAATGATCGCATTTTTTCTGACTCGCTTACTTCAGGCGGGCCAAGCTTTTCAGATTCGCCAAAGCTGAGCTCGAGTGGAAAGAGCGTGGAACGGGTGATGTCCGACTCCTCAAACACAAGTCTACAAATAAGATTAGATTGGTCATGAGGAGAGATAAGACCCACAAGGTCTGTGCGAACCATATCGGTGAGCTGTTGTCTCTTTCTCTCTATCTACCAGGAAGCAACCGAAATTGAATCCGTTTAGTCACCTCCGACATGAAGCTCTCTCCTAACATTGGATCTGATCGATCATGGGTTTGGAACGTCGCGGCCGATTATGCCGATGGAGAATCCACAGCTGAGACACTTGCCATCCGGTTCGGCAACGCGGACAGTGAGTCTTTCCTTTTTGTTGAGTTGTCGAACCCAGTTAGGCTGACTCGGGGGCAGACGCCAACCTGTTCAAGAAGGCTTTCGAGGATGCTCAAGAATCAAACTCTGGGCTTGGTGGATCGACTGCCGAGTCTGGCGCTACAGAGACTGTTCCCGAGCCCGTCAACGTGAGTCAAGGGTGTTCTTCTCATCTAACAAAGCTCACAACCCTTTCACAGGAGACCTCCACTACTGCCGAAAAGGAAGCACCAAAGGAGGAGAAGGAAGGGTGAGTGTCATCTTCCACGAGCAAGCTCTGATCCAGCAGTGACACCGCTGGCGCTCCATCTACCCACGTCCCTCAGGAGAGCACCGGAACAGAGGCTGTTACTGGAACTGACAAGGATGCCACCGCCGCTGAAGTCAAAGAGGAGGCAGTGGCTACGGAAGCCGAGAAGAAGGCTGACACCACAGAGGAGGCCAAGGCGTAGAAGTCTCATCGAGGAACTGCGTAGGGACGATCCATATGATTGATAGAGCTTGGCGGGAATGGAAAGACCTCGTTGAGGTGGATGAAACAACTCTGAGATGTCATGACATAGCGATGAGCGTGATGTAATCCAGTTCTGGAAGCCTCTGCACTACAGGGACACTCGCCGAGTCAGAGGCACAGCCAGCCTCTGCAAGGCATCCACAGCCTGAAGAAAATCCTCCGGCTGCTCTCATGAAATGTGATTGCATCATTCATCATTTACAAGGACTTTCTTACGCCTGAGGAGTAGTGGGCACCTGAATCAAAAGATTGCCACTGCTAGCAGGGACATAGGACACATTTCTCGAGCCAGAAAGCGAGGCGGCTGGAAGAAGCGAGTGAGTTTGCCTTCTTTCGACACGACTCTAACGAGGTCTCTCAACTCACCAATTTCTCGACTACTTTCAATCTTTTTGAACGCTACGAAAGCATCTCCAGCCTTGTTTAAAGCTCTGGAAATGGTTGCTGCGGCTTCTGCCTCTCCCTCTGCGCGAATGACTGCAGCTTGACGTTCTTGCTCTGCTTTCTCGACGACGAATTTGGCTCGCTCGGCATCTTGTTGAGCGATCTGCTTCTGCTCAACGGCTCGTGTGAATTCAGGTCCGAATGTCATGTGGGTCTGACGATCACATCAGTGCTGTCTCATTAGAAACAGGTCTGATCAATCTCACGATGGAGACATCTTCCAGCATGATACCGAATTCTCTCGCTCGGTTCAAAAGGTCATCACGGATTCGAGCGGAAACCTTTGAAAAAGTCAGCGGGTAAAACGAGGAATAGAATTCACAATCTCTCGGTTGGTGATCAGTTCGGAAGCTGTGACTTGATCAGCAATGCGAAACGAAGATGCGCGACAAACACTCTCACCATCGAATTGAGCAACGGTGGCTTTGAGCACTTCGTTTCCGATAGATGGCAGGACACGCTCATCGTAGCTGAATCACTGGTCAGGACGAGGTCCCTGCGGCTCGCGCAGTGCCGGCGGGACTCACTCGAGACCCAAGTTTTGATAAATCTTGGGAAGCTGGTTCATATCTGGTCGAGACATGACTCGAAGTGTCAATGAGACCATCTGCATATCTTTGGAAACAACGTCAGCTTGACATCTGACGGTACCAGCAGAGGAGCTGACCTTTGGACCCGGTGGTCGTAGAAATATTCTATCACCAATCCCCATCAGTATCGAGCGACTTGAGCACCATGAACACTGATGACTCACCCTCGGCTTGATCCTCACATCATACAGGATGGATCGTTGGAGCCACGGAATCAAGAAATGTGTTCCCTCGCCGCTTGCCTGGCCGCACGACAAGTCAGTATCAGAATAGGGCATTTCTGTCCCATTCGTTTCGATTTTGACATACAGTTGGCTTGACTCCTGAGAATCTGTCGAAAAGAACTGCACGATATCCTCCCGGAACATCATATATAGCACTTTGTACCACGGCTGTACCCACAGCAGCGCCGACTGTAGGGATACATGTTAGCCCCGATTCCTGCCTAACGAGTGTCGATGGTAGTGTGGATCCGAGACGGATTGATGCAATACCATCGCCATCTGCCGTGCATTGCCACAGCACCCGCTACTCACTCAATAACCTCGTTGCGTTCTGACTGAGACCATTGAAGAAGTTCATGATGTCGTTGTCGTGAACGTGATCAAGCCAGTGATAGATGTTGTCACGAGTCCCGATGATCTATCTGTACAGGCCAGTAGTTGCCGATGAGCTGACGAACCAATTTTGGGTGTAGACGACCGTGGGAAACTTAGGGACCCCGGACCTCCACTTTCTCAACACGACTCTTCTTTGTACATTTTGTACATCCTCCACCTCTGGCCTCCGAAGGTCTAGCTAGGCAACATGGTCAACGGCGAAGTTGTGGCCTACAACTTTGCCTCGTTGATATGCGCTCTCTTCGTTCTCGAGAAAGGCGCAGACATCTTTATAGATCATACGGCCATCGTGGCACTTAGGACGGGCATACCCAAATCAGCCATTGCGTTGTTAACAGCAGGCGCAGAGTGGGAGGAGGTGAGTCCAGCGTTACAAGGTGCACCTGCTGATTTACCCCCTCCACGGCTCTCAGCTCGCAGTAGTGGTCATCTCGCTTGCTCGGAATCGCTCTTCACTCGCCATAGGCAATGTCGTCGGCTCTGCCATCGCCAATATTCTAGGCGCATTCTCACTCGGGCTCATTTTTTACCGCAATCCATCTGGTAATCCAGTCCTGTTTGAGCGAAGTTCAGTCGTTTACTCTGTGGCTCTGTTGGGACTTACGGCTATCGCTTCCGCTCTTCTGGCATTCGGAGGGCATGTTCAGTTCAAAGCTGCTGGCGGAGCTTTTATCGCTCTATTTGTCGTCTACCTCTCGTCCATCTCATGGCTCATCTTCAAAGGTGTTACGAAGGCTCCTGAAGAATTGTCAGATAGTGATAGTGATTCGGACGATGGGTCCTCCGATACGACTTCGGAGAACGGGGTTAATGAGGAGAGGCAAACGAGGTCTAGGAGAGGAGACCTACGACCTCCATCTCAAAATACCGGATCACGGTTCCACGAAGAGCTCGATGTCGCTCCGTTGACGGTAGGCCAAGCGACCACTGTAGTCGAGGCATCCACTTCGAAAGGTATCAATCCACCTATACCGAACAGTTCAGAGACTGCCGAAGAGACGATCGCGCGACTTCGTCGAGGATCTTCTCGTCGGTCCAACGTAACTAATACGACCACCTCTGGCGCTTCTTCCAACCCTGATCGGTCACCCAAAGCTGGTAAAGCAAGGAGTCTAGCATACCACTTTACCGTCCTACTCGCCGGATTCTTAGCGGTCGTCTTATCCGGCTATGTCATCTCAAACGCAGCTTCCAACGTCGTCGATGAACTAGGCTTGTCTGACGTCCTGGGAGGCGTTGTCATCTTGTCCATCGCGACGACTATCCCAGAAAAGCTCGTGGCGGTCCTGAGCGGCTATAAAGGACACATGGATATCATGCTCGCCAATACAGTCGGAAGTAACATGTTCTTGCTGACTTTGTGCCTCGGTATCATTTGGGCAGCTACGGGTGGATCGTATAGTGGAGGCGATGTCAAACCGGCGGAAATCATCACCATGTTTGCCTCGACCGTGGTCCTCGCCGTCACTGTGCTCCTCAGGGGCAAGCTACCTAGAGCGGTCGGGGTGATCATGCTCATGGGCTATATAACGTTCTTGGTGCTCGAGTTCACGGTCATTCACAAGGTCTAGCCTGGCAAAGCAGAGGACGCTATGGACGGCCCGTGATTATCAGGAAAGCGCCGAGACTTGTACGTTGGCCATGTCGTTCCTAAGAGCAGCCACTGCACGAGAAGATGTTGGCGCACACGATCTCGTCCCGCTTCGATATCTACGGACGGCTATCCTTGGAGCCTCGGGCCATTACGCCAGGTTTCCGAAGCGTATTCACTGACAATACATATAACGTATCCCCTATTTATACATCAACCGCGGTCGCAATGCTCATAGAGTCTCCCATCTCTGGCGTCCCATAGAAATGAGCCTGAGAGAGGACTCGGTTAAGCGGGACAATGTGACATGGTAACCAAAGACGCTTACCGGACGAACAGCTGCTCTCTCCTGCCTACTCGAGTGAAATGAAGCGTCTTTCCCTCTGCCTTTTCACCACCTTGAGCCTCGATGATCTGCTGTTGAACATCCTTGAATCGCAGTGTCAAGCCAAGTCCTTCGACATCCGCGCCCGATGCCCAGCCGAGAGCGATCCGTGGCATCGATACATGAGACTAATGCATGTTCAGCGGAAACACAACAGATACACACACCTTTTTCATCTCCACGATATCGTCAACGGGGAGAACGAATTTCGGTTTGGAACCTGTCAGGGGCACAAACGAGATTTGTGGGGACTTGAGTGTTTCGGAAACTCCTTCTAGGATAATATGACCAGAGTCGCCCTCCAATTTGGCAGGATAGGCTGAGCGTCAGTCATAGCCTGCTGCAGTAGACCTACATGCCAGAGTCTTGTTGTCTTTGACTAGACCTCTGAAAAGGTACTTGTCAATTGTAGTACCAATCTGATGAATCCAATCAGTCCTCCTTCTTCGATCACGCAACATCTTTTACTTACTTGCTTCTTTGCTCCGTCCACAGAGACGTCACCGTGGAACCCTGCCAGCTTCTTCCCAGCTTTTTGAAACGCAGTGATGATGTGTGATTTGGTCTTCACTTTAGCCTTTTCAGCCGGCTTCATCCCGCTGTCCTTGTCCGCTTCCAACAAGACGGCTTCCTCTTCCGGATCCATAGATGCAGGAGTGGTCTCTTTGATCGCTTCCTAAAGATGGAGTCAGCGGAGCCATATTATGCAAGGGGAAGCGCACCTTGGGTGTACCCTTGAGAGGTGGAGGAGGCGGACGAGGCAGAGGGGTCTGGAGTGCTTCAGCCACACGCAGAAGATGGAGGGTGAGCTGCTGATCGGTCGGCACGCCACTGAGAATAGAGCTGTGACGAGTGAGTAATCGTAATAGTCCCTGACCCACTTCCGAATATCCAGCAGGACGAGATAGTCACGCCAATTTGGAACCAGGTGAACGAATTTATCTGCGCTCCACTTGAAGATTGGCTGGCCCCACAAGCCGGCGCCAAGCATAAATGTCACCGCGCGGCCAAAGATCCAAGCTGGGACAAATGTGAGGATCAATCCCGGAGGGACAAGGAATGCAGCTGCGATCTTGAAGCGAGCGTATCGATCGGGATATGGTCCAGGAGGCGACAGTGCGCTACGTAGATCAGCCGCAAGATGCCCGAAGCACCCACTTTGTGAGCCGTTCCATGGTATCTGCAATCGAGCCTAGGGCATTCTCCGTCGCTTTTGTCATCTTGGACACCATCTCATCTCGCTTCCTCTTAGCTTCTCTCTGAGCCAGCTTTTTCTTCTCCTTCTCTGACATTTCTGTCTTGGGGACCACTTGCTCCCCTCCAACAACGACAGCGGCAGATTCGACACCCTGAGCACCCTCCTCCGTCGGCTTGTTGACGATCTCTTCACTGCCAGAGTCCGAGCTTTCACTGTCAGAGTAGACCTCCTTTTCTCCAACTTCAGAGTTGCCCGCCGCTTTGCCCTTTTTGCGTCCGTCCTGAATCCATTCAGCACACTGTACGACATGACCAACTCACGAATATCAATTTGGCCGTGTATGCCTGCACGATCGCAGCGGCCTCAAAGGCTTGTTCTTCAGCTTGTTCCGCCTTGCTTCGGTGGACTGCTTTATTGTCGACGTTGCCAATCAGACTCTCATCGCCCTTCTTGTTAGTGGGATCAGTCGCCGAAGGAGGCGTAAATGGTGGAGGAGGGATCTAACATCAGCTTGAGCTTTCATCGATGACTCACAGGCGGGAAGAGCCATCTCCGAGTGTGAGGGAAGCACACGAGCACAACGAGAAAGACAGATATGCTCATGACCGCATATCCGAATGCCCAGGCGATGAAATATGTGGCACAGTATGAAGCTGTCCGAACTCTCTCCTGCGGACCCCAGTCGCACAGCCGCTGAATTTCTCTCGCACCTCGAACGGACGACGGACCGATCGCAGCGATCACTCGCTCGAGATTAGACTTGAGCATCTCGGAGTGCGAAGGTAGGTTTGGCAGAGTGGACGGACGAAGATCCGGCTCTGATGATGGGAGATCAGATGCAGGATGCAGAACATGGGTGATTTGCTGACACCAGTGTCAGCTTTGTGATACCACGCCCCTCGCCCATCATACAGTATCGACTTACCACGTCGAAACGTCTAAGCATGGCCCAAAGCCTATCATCCTCCAATCCAGCTACGACTGTCCCCTTCGGAGGCTTTCCTTTGAGCTCCCTCTGCTCAGCTTTGGTCTTTTCAACTTCTCTCGCTACGACGGCAGGATGACTCTTCTTCGCTGCTTGTTTGGCCTCTGCGGGACTCGTCGAGGGATTTGTAGGTATCGCTCGAGCAGTGTCATGCTTTCCAGGCTGCTTGCCATCGTTCGGCGAGACTATAGCCACGCCTCCCAGGTTGATCTGTGATGCTGATTTGGAAGGTTGAGAGGCTACGGGTGCTGACACGGGTGGGCCAGGCTGCGTCACCTGAGCGCCGTGCTCGTCCTCTACCTGCGCCATCTTGTCGGGAGAGCCCAATTGCGTATACCAAGGTATTGAAGGTTACTCTTCGCGGCTCAAAGCTCGCTGCGTGGTCTTCAGCCAAGAGGGGTCGAGTCTATGGTTGTATGAACGATGGAAATCTTTGACGATAACAAACAGTCCAGGAGGTTGAATGGGCGGTGGGAATTTTAAGCTTAAATTGCTTGGGAATCTTTCATTGACGTCATCGCTGGGTGGGCGTGTCGATCATCTCATGACTGTTGGTGGCATTTGGCTTAGGGCAAGATGCTTGCATGAGGAAGAAGCTCCGTCCCCCATCCATAGATAGCTCTCAGAGGTAGCTGAGTAGCGCTGGGCATCTCATCACTGATGGTGGCACGTGTAAGAGACTTGTCCAACCGAGACATACTGTGCCGTGCTGCTTCTGCACACACGGACGTGTGTGTCACCTCGGCCTCTTGGGATGATGTTCGATCATCAACATGCTCAACTCGACGCACGTGCGATGCCTCAGAGCTTCTTTAGCTGTTCAGCTGTAGAGATGTCACGTACTACTTCTGAAATGCATATGTAGCGAGCGAGAGAAGCTTGGGAGAAGTAGTCTTTGTTAGCTAGGGAACTTATCATGCCGAAATTCGACCCTTATCTGAGTGTCGGGTAAGTGGCGGGACCGGACACCAGCGACTTTGATTGACGCCCATCTGAAGTCCGTATAAAGCAGGACAACATACAGGCGTGACTCTTTCCTATGTCCAAGCTGCAAGACTTGACCGTCCATTGGGGATCCACCCGTTGTTGGCTTGTGTTACCTGGGACCCCAGTAAGTCTGGGGATCGCGAGTCGTGACTGACAACGCCTAGAGCCATACGGAGTATGTAAGCTCCCGAGCTGAATGAAGGCCCCTGTCTAGGTCGGACGCTGACATACTTCTTGGCCTTCTTAAGAAATACATCTCATGGAATGTCGTAGAATTCCCAGCTCTTGCTTGCGTCTACATCGACTATGATGAGATGCCAACTGGTGAGTCTGTCTAAGATACCCGAACGTCAGACATGAAATTGACGAGTAGCAGAGTAAGCCAGCACCTGGTCTGAGGCGTCGACTGAGCCCTGCTTGCGTACGTACACTGATACCGGTCATTCCCCCCGCCTGCAGACTCATCAAGGAGCGTTGGCAGCCTGCCACATCGCCGAAAGTCGAAGAGCTGCATCTGTTGCACGATGTCTCTGGGTGAGTGTCTATGAAATAGCATCCGATCAGCTTAATACTTCAAAGATGGACAATGAGAATAGCCAACACCTTGGGCGTGAAGTGAGTCTATCAGATCATATCGGGATCTCTGAACTGAACTGAACCGCCCCTCTCCACAGCGTGACCGACGTGCTCACTGGAATCTTCGACTGTCAGTAATCACTCGTACCGCTTGGCGTCTGACGATCTCACAGTCTTTGCTGCTCCCCTGTATGTCGACGAGCTTGGCGAGATGCATCCAAGGTGAGTTCTGAACAACGTCTCATACCTTTTTGGCTCATCGACCGCTTCTAGAGCCGTTCGCGTCATGTGAGTACAGTATCTGTCACCAAGACCGCCACCACATCTAACCGAGGATACAGGGAGCAGCAATACTTTGAAAAAAGGCAACAAGGCTTTGCAGACTCTTTCTTGGGCTACAGGAAGTCTGACGCAGTGAGCAAGGCTCGATCTAGGTTGATCTCTTCCGACTTGCTCACTGCCCCGCTTCGACCGCCTAGCTCCTCAACATGACTTATTTCAAAGGCATTCGATATGACCTAGACTTGGCTTTTCTCAAGCTCAACTTTCGAGCTACAAACGTGTTCATACTCAGTCTCGGTAACTGCTGAACAATGCACAACATGCATACAGCAGTATTGCACAACATGCATGCAGCAGTATTGCATCCATGCCACGGCGTTAAGATGATCCCGCCACGTGGTGTTCATCAATCCCTTTCAGGATATCATAGTGTGATTCAGTCGTGTATGCCACCATGTCCTTCATCACAGTTTAACTCCCTGACAATGCATAAGCACGCAACAAGGGCGCTCTCGGGAGGCATGACACCATCTTATCACCGCATCTGTTGACTTGGCTTTAGACAATTCTTTGCTTCATCTTATGCTCCATCGTTCCCAGGTCTCGACACAAGGACTGCGATGTGCTCAGAGACAGAGACATTGACAGAGCGTACTGATCTAAAGAGCATCATTCTCAATAGGTGTCACAGTGATGCCGCGTAAGTGGGAAGAGGTCTGGGAGACAGAGTTAGCCCCAGTGGAGAAGTACATCGAGATCGGGTGAGCTGGACGTTTCTGGTCCACCTCCCCAAAGCTGACCCATTGATAGACCATTCAAGGGCGGTCAAAATGTCGGCGTGACTATCCCATATATTCAGGCCGCGACGTTATCCCTACCCCTGAGGATACACCCACTACTCGAGTGTATGCCGTGGATGCCGAGTGAGTGTGAAGCCTTGATTTCTAAAATTGGATGGGTTGATTTAATGATTGCAGAGATTACCTACCCTGTGTGTCCGGACTCCAGGTCTTTACAAGTGCTGAGCCGCACAGCGTTACATCTCTTGGAACGTCGTGGAGTTTCCAGTGACTGCGTGTGTCTACATCGACGAGGATCACATACCAACGGGTTAGTCAAGACATCCACAGCAGGAGCCCAAGCCGATTCTGACCCCTCTCTCTAGAGTGAGCGGAATGCTAGGAGTCACATTTGAACGCGTCATAGGATGATTAAGGAACGCTTCCAACCTGCGACATCCCCCAAAGTGGAGGAGCTACACCTGTTACATGATGAGACGGGGTATGTGTAGCCGTCGGAAGCCTCGGCAAAGAGACTGAGCCTGTGTTTCAGATGGTCAATACGCATCGCAAATCGGCTAGGCGTAAAGTGAGCTGAAGTCAGTGAACAGTGTATGCCCATATGCTCATGGACGCCAATCAGCGTCACCGATGTCCTCACAGGCATCTTCGACTGTGAGACGGCCTGCCCTTCGCGGCCGCTCAGCTTACAATATTCAGTCTTCGCGTCACCGTTGTACGTCGATGAACTTGGCGAGATGCATCCAAGGCGAGTCAGCAACCGACCATCATCTCCTCATGTACTGAAGAATGCAACAGAGCGGTCAGGGTCATGTACGTCTCATAAAATTGCGGTGTCGCTCATTGCCGACCTATAGGGAGCAACAATATTTCGAGAAAAGGGAGTATGGATTCTACGATACTTTTCTAGGTTACAGAAAGTCAGACGCGGTAAGGCCTTTTGTACCAGAGACGCTTCTCCTGAAAATCGTCAGGCTGACGGTACCACCCAGTTGCTCAACAAGACTTACTTTGACGGAATTCGATACGATCCCGACGAGGCTTTCAAGCGACTCAATTATCGCGCAACGAATGTCATGGTTTTGAGTTTGAACAATTGCTAGCGGAGCTGGAATCAGATAGGGAATCTATAACGAGACACTGGGACAACGATACATCATCATGGTCACCATGTCTCACCATGTCATCGAGATGACCGAACACTATGGCGAGGCATAATGAATCGGAAACGGACGAGGCGGGAAATGTCTCTCTTTATTGATTTCACTGCACGCGACTGACTTTGAGGCAGAAATGCATGCTGATCCCTCTACTACCCACTCCAGGGCTCCGCAAGCCAAGCGATCCTCGGATCGATCCTTGCATGGTTGAAAATCTCCCCTGCCCCTCAACATGAGCGAAGACACCAAAATCCACCCATCTCCGACGATAGTCTGGGCAGGAGGACCTTCACTTCCGGCTGCGACTCTGGGAATCCAAGCTTCGACTTCGGTTGGACCTCCAGCAAAAGGCATGCACATTGCTGCTATCGTCTCGCTCATTCTGACCCTTTTCATCTTCGTCGGTGCGAGTACATGCGTCTTCAGGACCAGCTTGTCCCTCAACAAGCTGCTACAAAGACATCGAGGTCATCCGGAAGAGAGTGAAGGGAGAAAAGGAGGAGCCAGAAAGCTCAGGAAGATGCTCGTCATCGGGTTGCTGCTCTCAGATTGTATGATTGCGTAGGTCGATGCCAACTTTCTGCTTCGACTTCACTGACCTGAATCTTCAGGGTCGGTTCCTTCTGGCCAGCTGTGACAGTTTTAGCTCATAAGAGTCTGGGAGGGAGCGAATGTGATCTGCCAGGTTTCCTGTTAGCCTCGGCTCTGTGGTGGTGGGTTGAAGGCATCCAGATGAAAGCGACTGATACGCTGACAATCAGGCAATACGGCTTCTCACTCGTACGCAGATCGTCTAAGGGGCATTCGACTGACTTGCAGACCATAGCCGTTACAACCTATGTGGCTCTTCGTCATCCTCTTTCGCTGGCCAAAGATCTCGCAGAACGAGGGGCCACACCGATAGTCGCTATGATCATTGTTGTCGGAGGTGTACAGGCGATCACATGGCGGGTTGTTAACGGAGTAAGTCGCCCAGTCGTATATCGTGTCGTCACAGACTCTAACGCATTTACGTCAGTTCCATGCGTGGCGGTGAGTGTCAGATGTGACCATCGGTAACTCATGTCCATGCACACAGAGATACATGCTACTATGGTGAGGCACATTTTTGTTCGTCCTCAAAACATCAATGCTTACCATCACTCAGCTCCCCCATCCTTTGTTTCTGCAGAACTCATCCAGTTCCTACCCAGGTGAGCGCTAGTTCCAGCTCAAGACCTCACACATACCTATGCCCAGGCTCATTACCTCTCTCGTCATAACGATGATCTACATCCCTCTGATCCACTTTCTACGCCGGCCTGACATGACTTCGTTATATCTATCGCCTCGACCAGCATCGACCCTCCCACATCCACCGACGATCGATGATCCTACACCACCTGGACAGACTCCACCCTGGGAAAAATTGACATTCCCCACGTTCCATCTGGAAGATTCCTCCAAGGATTCGTCTGGGATCCTAGGACCAGGTCTAGGCTTCGCTAATGCTTTCTTACCTTCGAAATCGCGTTCAAGACCGTCAACCCCGCAAAAAGGCCTGCGAGGCGGTTTGAGACGATTGACAATCTCCGACTCGCCAACCTTGATTCAAGATGGCTCACCCTCCGGTCGACTCTTCGCTGCGAGGGTAAAACGCTCCAGACCTTCCACTGCGCCGTCCTGTCCGACTGAGAAACTGCAGACAACAATGGAAGCGCCCAGTCTCTCCGTTGGATCGCCTGGCCTCCGGCCACCATCTCCGTTACAAGTGATCAAATTACCCTTGACCTTTGACAAAGACCTTCGCCCTCCGCATCAACGCCCTAGTTTTGACTCCCAGGCAACGAAGTACGAGAATTTACACGATTTGTACGCTGTCGCGGCGGAGGATCGAAAGGCGGACATTCCTTTCCATCAAGCGAAGCTACCAGAGACACCGGCGTATGATGGTCAGCCGAGGGATCATTCTCCTGCTGGTCCTCGACCTGCGGTGGATACGGTCGATTTTCCTACTTCGCCCATCAATCAACGCTTAAACAAGGCGGCGTTGTCCAATAATCACTTCGACTGGCAAAGATCGCCTACCAAAGACTCTCGGCATGAAACAGGTCACAGTCGACAACTACAAGTTACCATGCTCCGACCGACATTGACCATGGGCAGTGAAGCCTCGGCTAGAGACTGTGCTTCATTCAGAGGGATGCTCGAGATGTCTCCTGGTGGTTATGCGGATCTCGAAGCAAGTGAACCGAAATCGACAAGCAATCAGGTAAAGAGTCTGGCGAGCATTATGAATAGGAGCGCGTCTAGCTTTCTGTTGTGGTTTCCTTTGACAGTGAGTGATCAGATGATACGATGCCGGACACAAATGATCCCCTGACCGCTATGACTAGCACTTGGTGATCTGTGCCTTGACCATGTGAGCCGGTGTGGAGTACTGGTCGAACTATACTGACCCGAATGCTCGCAGAGCCCGATATGCCGGTTATGCCGCGACGAGGGACGATGGTCCGGCTTTAGAAGCTCTGACGACCTTGGTGGTTCTAGGTCAAAGCACGGCAGATGTGGTCATATTTGGTGAGCGATGGGAGACCCTTTTCGGATGTGATGCTAATTGCGCTGCGCAGGGTTCGTAGAAAGACGGTAGGGTTCCAACGTTCAGTGATGCAGAGCAGAGACTCATGTTACGCCCAGGACGCGACACAAGTACCGGAACAAGGTCGACGAATGTACTCAGGTTGCTGAGAATCGCAGAACGTAGATACGCATCGTCAAAAAAAGGTTATTGGATACATTCATATTCTACAAGTGCGAGTTCAGGGTAGAGCTTCCTGTGGACAGCCGATGTATTACTTCTTCAAGTCCTTGCCAGACTTTGCGGTGCTATCACCAGCTTGCTGAGCCGTGCCTCCGATGGATCCATCAGCAGTGAACCTGTAGTTGTTAGCATCTATCCGTCTAAGCCGTTCAAACAGCCTCACTGCTTGCCGATGGCACCGTCCGCCGAGAAGGGACCTCCGACTGAAAAGACGTCAGCCTCATTTTCAGTCTACAAAACTTGAGCTCACCGGCTTGCGCAGTACCACCGATCGCTCCGTTTGCATTGAACTCCTTGCCAATGGCCCCGTCTTTCTACGATTAAGGTAAGCTGATACTCGCCCCTCTGGCCGACAGACCCACCTTGAAAGCCTCGCCTGCCTTCTTGATGCCCTCTCCAACAGTCTCAGCCATTCCCTTAGGCTCCTTGGGCTCGCTGGGTTTGGTCGCGTAAGGTCTGGCGAATCGTGCAATGGGTGCGAGGGAACGGTAGAGCGAAGTTCGGGCGAGAGACATGATGACAGAGTGAGGGGGACTGTGAATGGAGAACTGGATACGGTTATATATCTCGCTGCGGCCTAGTATTATCTAGTCTTGTGTGTGTGAGAGAGAGAGTGAGCTTGTCAGATCGATCAAGATGCATTATCCTGTTGATGTCCAATGAAGCTATGATGATGATGACACTCGAGGGGGAATCGTCAATTGGTCGATCTTCGTGGCGGAAATCGTCGATCATCAGACCCAGGGGAGTACGTACTGTACTGTATTCATGGTGGCATCGTTTGGCAAAGTGCAAGCACCCGTTTCGTTTAGACAATGTCCAATCAAAGCTTACAACGTATACGTCCCTGTCCAAGTAGAGAAGAGGAAATGCATTGATCTCGTTTGAGATGAAGAGCCTCTATATATCATCAGGGACTGGTCCACGGCGTCTCCGCATCCAACATGGTCCTCATTGTTCTATAAGCTCGGCCAAGACTATCGCCGGACGGGACGGTTGAGCCATTCGACACGGCAGCGGCTATCTCGAGAGAGATCAAGCAGATGTAAAAGGCTGCGAGAATGCAATGAGCTGTGCGCTTTACGCGTGACTCCCGGCTGTCTTCAGATGCTGCTTCGAGATCGGTGTCGAATCCGGTGCTTGAACAGTCACTTGTCGAGACACTCTCGCCTCCAAACGACAGCTCACTCACTTCCTCGTCGAATGTCAGGTTCGGATCATTTGAGGATAGCGATTGCCATAAGTCTCGCTGTGAGGGGTGAAGTTGATGATCACCGAGATTCATTGTGAAGAAGGATTACTGCAAAGGCGGCTCCTTCTCCCTCTTGTCAAATGAACATAGTAGGTAAGTGGATGCAATAGGGAAGGGTGGGAAAGAGAGCGCGAAACAATGGACTGTTGTACGGGCGTTTGGGATTCAGGGTTAATGAGCCGTCAGTATACTGTATCTCATCAAAGGATCGACTCTTTTGGCTCGATGAGTGTTTTAATCCCCTGTGATCCAATGGCATCTGCAACCGTTTCGCAATAACTTGTCGATTTCGTGGATCACAGAAGTGAAGGCAATCATGCTATGTACTATCCAGTAGAGCTCCAAGAGCCGCCTGGAGTTTGCTGATATCGGTATGAATACATAGCGTCCCTGCCTGGGCTACCTACTGACTGGTCCCTCAGTCACATTCATGATGGCACTTCAGGTTTTCAAGCTGGTCGGAAAACTTCTTGCAACTCTCATACGCCGACTTCGACCCGCTCCTGAGACCTGACCCAATACAGAGACTGTACGAGTCCCGAAGAGCGAGTCTCCTATCTAGGCAATCATCCCGTTCCTCAGTAGTCAGCTCGGATTTGCATGGCGTCGTCCCCTCCGTCGGCAATGGCGAAGTTGACCATAGAGAGCAGGCTAGTCCAGTGGCACACAAAACAGCGCCACCCGTCATGGCAATCTTCGCCCATCGAGGAACTCGACTGCTCCATCGGCTCACAAAGCTCTGGGCCTCGGTGCTGTCACCAGCTGTTTCGCGTGAAAGGGGCAGCAATGTCGACTTCTCGTTGGTGTTCATGGCGATATGACTAGTCTCGATGTGAAGGATGCTGGCGTGCTTGAACGCGATGGATTCGGAGGATGCCAAAGAGTGTAGTACCATCAAATCGTCTAACACGAACCCGAATTGCAGACCAATCTGAGCCGAAGAGCAATCCTGCCAAAGGAAGGTGTACTCATTGGCGAGAACATAATGGAGGAAGACATTGGGAGGGGTGAATTGCAGTCTTGTCTCATGGCTCTTAAAGGATGTGGCAGTTGCAGCAATCCCACTACTGTACTTTCTCAATTAAGCCTCCCGCCAGTCATGGATCACGTAAGCGTAGAATGTCGTTGAAGGAGTTGAATGATCACTGCTATCACCATCATCTCTACCTCAACCTACGCTCGACGACATCCAACGTCTAGGCCACAGACTATCTTTACCACCCTGCCCTAGCCCAATTTCTGATAGATAGGCACGCAATTTTGTAGTTTCAGGCGCCCTGAGCGGACCAGCACGCCCAGCGGACGCGTATGCATCCTCGCATAGGCCCAGTACTAGAATAGATCGAGGGACGAAGACGATCGCCATTCTGACCGCAGCATCGGAGACCGGAAGAATCCTTTGCAGCGTGCGTTTTCTCCAGCTTTGATAGATATGCCATCAAGCGGATCCCAATTCGGAGCCACTTGTCCCGGCACCGAAGTACTGGACCGTTAGAGCCTTCTCGTTGGTCCTCACTCAAAGAGATGGACGTCCTGAAGTGTTAAGGATCAAGCTGCGAGTCGCAGTGGCGCTGTTTGAATCTGAGAGAAAGGATGAGGCGCAGGATGAGCTTTCTTACCCGTGTCATCGACCTCTTCATGGTTCAGAATAAGCACCTCATACGGAGGAACAATGGATCGCGATCACTCTCTTGTTACGTAGGCATGCAATCTTTCTCATCAAGCAACTCAAAAGAATTGGCGCGCATTAGGCAAGCTTGTCGTCAGTGTTCCACATTCTGCACGAAAAGAGGTCTCGGCCAATGTCATGGTATGTTTCATTGCCACAAAGCGCATACGTTCCAATGCAGAGATGAAGCTCCCTGCCAGTCACATGGTCCTAGTCTATTACCCACGATTGTTAACGGTCCAACGGGATCCGAGGCAGGAAAAGTGCCTTTATTTACTTGGTGGACAAGATCCACTTGCTCTGTCCCCTCTTCTTGAAAGTGACATAGCCGTTGAGAGGGAGTACGATCATGGTCTGACGATGAACGTATCAGCTGACGTTGCAGAGATAGCGGCTCGAATTGCACTTACGTTGTAGTTGGTTTGAGGGAAAGCTCCCAACAGCTGAATATCATAGTTCCTGACAATGTACGACATGATGACCGACAATTGTAAATAGGCGAATTGTTCTCCTACACAACGATGTCGACCAGCTCCGAAAGGCATGTATGGCGATTCGGTACCCTTGCTGACTTGACCGAAACCGTAATCAATCTGCTCAGACGTTGCGCCAGAGTATGAATCCAAGGCCTCTTGTGCCATACCCTTGTCTTCGAGCCATCTGAAAGGGTCCCATTTGTCTGCATCGGGCCAGACCTTCGGGTCCATGGCGGACACACCAGGAGCAGCGACAACAAAGTGACCCTTGGGAACCACGTAAGGACGGGATCCGTTTCCACCAGCGGCAAGGGCCGGAGGGACCTCGAGATCCTGGAGAACTTTTCGATAGATCGAGCTGCAGAGTGTCAGTCAGATCGGCAACGTACTGCCACAGAAGCCTGAGGGTTCTCACTGGATAGGAGCATGCTAAGTCCAGGAGATAAGCAGTCATCTTTGCAGGTCTGACTCTACGCACCATTCGGAGAGTTTCACGGATGACAGCGGCCATGAGTGGCATTTCCTTGGTGCTCTCGTATGTCACATCTTCCCAAGTGCCGTCCTCATTCTGGAACAAGTCTCTGTGCTCCTCAAAGAGCGCTTTGCTGGGCGAAAGAGTCAGGCTGGAGATCATTTACCATCGGAGACTCACAAGATGAGGGGCTTCTGGGCAAGATGAAGCAGTGTCCAGGATGAGGTAGCCGAAGAGGTGTGTTGACCAGCCATCAAGATGGCAATCATCATGTGGGCGACATCTCGGTCCGTCAATGGGGTGCCGTCCTTGTATTCATTTCCGGTGAGCGCGGCAATCATGTCGTGCTCATCCTGCGTGTACACATAAGCAAGCTGTGTCCAGATCATGGCCTTTCAACCTACTACATCGCTCTCTCCCTCTCTCCTCTTGCGCATGATCTCCAAGTAAAAGTCCGACATGGCCTTTTGAGCCTTGTCACGTTTCCTGTAGCTGGGTAGAGGGAGGTTGGGGAACAGAAAGTTGATGGGAGTGAAACCCTTGTCAAGGTGCTCAAAGTGCTTTGCCGCGCTAGACGTGAGACCCGCCCGTACTTCTTTCCCTTGGAGAGTTCGGGAAGCAGTGAGGATGATGAGCTCAGAGAAGAATTTGATGGCTTCGTAGGATTTTGGACCGGGATAGACATTGAAACCTTTTTCTTGCTCGAAAAATTGGTGGGTCTCTTGCCATATGAGCGGCGCGTAAGTCTGGAAGGCCTGAGGCGTGAGTCCGTGCTTGATCTGTGATAGCGAGGTCAGCTAGCAGAACGGGATGGCAGGCGCCAGACTTACGAATTTCTTTTGTTGCATCAGCATTTCATTCGGGCAATCGTAAACGACCCCCTTGCCGAAGACAGGAGTGGTGAGGTGCTGTAACGTTCATTAGCAAGGTCCCAAGAAGAAACGCATTGCTCACCGTGTACGCATCCTCAGCAGATACATGAGAGACCTTACCCCCGAGCGACAAGTTGTTACCCTTGGGTCCGAGCGCGACAGTCATCTTTCGTCCAAACATGATGAAGGTGAAGACATCGCCGTACTGGGGGGTCTAGTCAGGACTTGACTCGTCATATTTGGCTCACCTTTGCTCTGCACTTGAAGAGGAACTTGTAAGGGTCCGTTCCGTAAGAGTAGGCAGACCCGAACCAGGGAAAGTAGTGCAAGACGACAGGAGGATGAGACGGGTCACGCGGTGCTAACTGAGCGGCGTGTCAGTCTGGAATTCATGAACACACCGGGGTCGCTACACGAACAAATTGCTGCATGAGGTTGGACCCCACCACGGTGAAGAGCAAGATGGCGATAGATGACAAGATATAGAGAGGGATGGTCGGGTCAATTGGTTGGATCTTGCCCTCTCTGAAGTTTCGCGCAAACTCTCTTTGCGCTTCAGTCGGCTGACGATTGAATCCTCTGCCAGTATTCATCATCATATTGGCCACGAAGGGGTTATTGAAGACGTCCATGGTGATTGACTTGGACTCCTGTGAGCTACCTCAAGAGAGAAGGAGAGACGGACACAGTATAATTACTAGAGATCGAACGAGAATGTCCCACTTTTGGGTTCCGTGTTTTCCCCGCGGAGATGTGGACCGGATCTCCGCCCCCCCCTCAACCCGCCAATTCAGCCTGATATTCTATTATCATGGCTTTGGAACCTTCGAGCAGGGGAGATTACATGTGAAGATGGAGGCTGAGGGACGTGAGCGATATGCATAGATTCTGAGCACGATGTACATTGTTCGCACATCATGGACGCTGCCGCTCCCTGCGTGCTGCACTCAGACGGTTCCATAGACATGGTCTCGAGCTACAGTACTGCCACGTGGTAGCTCATTACGTAACCTTGATCCGGCCGCCATCATCTATCGCGCCTACTCGATAACAATTTCAACTCTAGTGTAACATTATCATCTCAGCATCGCATAGCTCGACGTGAGGATAAAACGTTGCAGCATCATGCCACCAAAAGCAACAATCAATAGTCCAGAAGTGGAAGCTCTCGCGTCAGTCTTTGTATCCCTGGGGCTGGCTCCAAAGACAGCTACAGAACTAGCTCGACAGCCCAAATCTGGAGGTCCTTTCAAGGCGTTGATAGATGAGTACGGGCTAGAGGGCAAAAGTCTGGGCGAGAAGCCTGCTTCTGCGCTGGTCAAATTGTCCTCAAGTAAAGGCAAGATTGGACCGGGGGAAGAGGGTTTTATCGTACAGAAGATCATCAAAGGGGATATCAAGTCGCCTGATCAAGTGACGGGTGAGTCAATCTGCAAACCGCGGGTCGTCGCGAGCATTGACTCGATGCGACTGTGTTCCAGCTGCCGTCAAGTTTGTCGAAGGCAATTCAGCAGGGACTCCAATAAACGAGGAAGCCTTTGACAAAGCTTGTGGAGTCGGTGAGTAGATGCATGACCAAACCATTCCACTCGCTCACCAATTGATTCAGGTGTGGATATCTCTACGTCTGACTTGCCAGACCTGCTCAGGTCGTACATCTCCTCGCTTCCGTCTCCTCCAGATAGCTGGACGAGTCTCGGACCTGTCCTTGGGGGCATCAGGAGCAGCGTATCGGATCTGAGGTGAGCTTGGTTAGCTCGACGAACAGCAAACGTCGCTGATATGCCTCCCCTCAGATGGGCAGATGCAGGACAAGTCAAAACGTCCTTGGAGACGCTCTTTACAGAACTATTCGGTTCGAAGGAGGAGGCTGCCAAAGCTCGTGCGGAAGCATCAGCAGCGGCCTCGAAAGCGGCCAAACCTGCCAAAGGCAAACCCGTCACATCGGATCCCTCTGCCGAAGCTTCTTCGTCCTCTTCTCCCGTCATTCCCACGAACATTTTCCGAGAGGGCTTTCTTTCAGAGTTTCATAAACCTGGAGAGAACCCTCAGAGCGAAGCGAGGCTTAAGGCGCAACATCTGGATTGGACAAAGGGCAAGGTGTACACTCGTTTCCCGCCTGAGCCGAACGGGTATTTACACATCGGTGAGTGTCTGAGTAATGAGCTTACCCTCCCTGACGCCCCACAGGCCACGTCAAGGCCATCATGATTGATTTCGGCTATGCTAAGTTTCACGGCGGAAGATGTTATCTAAGGTGAGCGGAATTACTGGCACACTGGATCTCTCACTGACTGACGAGAATAGATTCGACGATACCAACCCGGAAGCCGAGGAAGGCAAATTCTTCCAATCGATCTTGGAGACCGTCAGATGGCTCGGCTTCGAGCCTTGGAAAATCACTTATTCCTCTGACAATTTTGATCGGCTGTACGAACTTGCGGTGGAGCTGATTCGAAGGGGCAAGGCATACGTCTGTACATGTGATGGTGAGCTTGATCTACCTTCTAGACTTCATCTCGGCTCACACGATTCAGTCGAAAAGGTCAAGGAGGATCGAGGCGGAGGGAAAGGCAATCCTGTCGCATGCGAGCATCGCAATAGACCCGTCGAGGAGAGCTTGCATGAGTTTGACCGCATGAAGAATGGAGAGTATCCTGAGAAGAAAGCCGTGCTGCGGATGAAGATGGATCTGGATAGTGGCAACCCTTACATGTGGGACACAATTGCCTATCGAGTCAAGCTGGCGCCGCATCACAGAACGGCGGACAAGTGGAGTGAGTTGCTGGGGCCAAAGGTGATTACAGGGTTTGACCTGTTGCAGAAATATACCCCACGTACGACTTCACACATTGTCTTTGCGATTCCTTCGAGAACATTTCGTGAGTGTTTGTAGATTGGGTCGCATCGCCAGATGCTGATCATATCAGCCACTCACTCTGCACTGTCGAGTTCATCCCCGCTCGAGAGTCCTACGAATGGCTCTGTGATGCCTTGTCGGTCTACAAACCACGACAGTACGAATTTGCTCGACTCAATCTTCAGGGAACCTTCCTGTCTAAACGGAAGATTGCCCGACTAGTTTCCAGAGGCCTGGTCAAGGACTGGGACGATCCAAGACTGTACACGATCGTCGCTCTCCGCCGTCGCGGTGTTCCGCCTGGTGCGCTGTTGGCCTTTGTTAGCGAGCTTGGAGTTACGACGGTCCAGTCAACGACAGAGTTGCAAAAGTTTGAAAGTTGTCTGAGGGCGTATCTCGAAGAATCAGCACCGAGATTGATGATGGTCTTGAATCCCATCAAGGTGGTCATCGATAACGTCCCGGACGATTACCGTGTTCCTGTCGAAGTGCCACTCCATCCCAAGATTCCAGCCATGGGCACAGTCACGACATCCTTCACCAAAGAGCTGTACATTGACGCAGACGATTTCAGAGAGGTTGACAGTCCCGACTACTTCCGATTGGCTCCTGGCAAGACGGTTGGCCTGTTTAAAGCTCCACACCCCGTTACCTACCTCTCTCACTCGACGGAGAACGGGAGAATCACACAGATCAGAGTCAAGTTGGAAAATGACGGCAAAGCAAAGAAGGCCAAAGCGTACATTCAATGGGTCAGCGGCCCGGATGCCGTCCGTGTGGAAGAGGTCCGATATTTCCATCCATTGTTTAAATCAGATCCGCCACCGTCAGATTTCGAATCAGACGTGGACCCGAAATCTCTTGAAATATTCACCGACGCACTCATCGAGCCTGCCTTTTATTCTTTGGCAAAGAAGGCCATTTTGAATGCGAGGAAAGAATCGGAAGAAAGGTTGAAAAAGGCCAAGGAGGAATCTGCTGTGCCGTCGATCTCTAGCGCTTCGGCACCTGTGGAGGGATCCGAAGCTGCGGGAGAGGATGAACCTGTCGCCACGGCTGAACAATTGGTCGGTATGGAGAACATCAGGTTCCAAGGGATGCGTTTGGCGTACTTCGCTGTCGATCGGGAAAGCAAGCTTGGATGTTTGGAAGAGAGCGAGGGAGAGAAGCCTGGCAAGAAATCAGGGGATAAGATCATCCTCAATCGGATCGTCAGTCTCAAAGAAGATTCGGGGAAGAAGGCGTGAGGCGAAGCCAGCGGATTATTGGATTGGCATATAAGACCAAGCTCGCAGTCACACTTGCATTTACTAGTTAACGCTCACGGGCGAGCGACGCAGACTTGATTTGAGGCGACGAGCGCTCCCGACCTGTCCCAGTATAATATACATGACATGGATGCGAGATCATGGTTTGACATTTTTCTCCCGGTCGGCTGACCAGCGGGGTGTAGTGTTACAATCCAAGTCGTCGTTCTATTGCGGCGTATAACTCCAATCGCAAGACAACTAATCGTTCCTCGCTACGTGACACTCAAAATGGTCACGCGACCATCTCCACGTCCATCCCTCCTCCATGCCCTGATGCGTGCCCATTAGAAATACCAGAGCCGAAACCGTTATTGTGATCTGACCCATTACCCCCACTCATATCGGATTCCTCGGCTGAGGGAAGCGCCGGGGCAGCTTTGGTGACTGGCGGCGGCAATGGAGCACTGTCCAACATGTAATTTGATCCGCCTCCGCTGGACGATTGTCCAGCTTCCTGTTGCAGCGGGGCATCAAATGGAGAGGCGGCACCGGTGTCCCAAGGATTTTGGAATCTGGTAAACCGAGGTCAGCTAGGGTCCTCCGACTGGACGCGACGTGACTTATGGTATCTCACCTGGTGACTTTTGGACGAGCGATGAGTACACTGTAGGCGGGAACAGTGCGTCAGCCCAGGAAAGGAGATCATTCTAAAGCATACTTTCTGTACAGCTTGTCCCATTCTACAGTGGCCGGTGGAGTCTCCATCATCGCCTCGTCCTCATAGTACGTATTAACGTAGTATCCGACTCTGACAAACTCCTTGTCCCTGTATGAAGCGGTGATGATGATGACTGTCACACCGAGTATCTCCTCAGGTTCGACAGACGGTAAGAGGTGGTGAGCGGGAGCAGGAGCCAGAAAGTCGAAAGCGTTGATCCCGGCTGGTATTGGACCGACTGGAGTGGGGTGTCAATTTAGCGAGGGAGAGCGAAAAAAAGGGACAGGTGGACTCACCGAGACACGAGTCCAGCTCTTGGTCATACTCTTCTGACTTTGCAGATCCAACATATATCAGCCTCCATTCGAGGTCTAGGTAGAACATAAGCTAAGGAATTCGGCGAAGGATGGACGTTCAAGCCAGCTTACCCTCCTGTAGCGGTGCGATAGCTTCAAACTTGATCCTGAAATGGTATTCATCATCGAATTTTGCTGGATTTGATACCAGTTCAATCTGCCGTATATTGACCTGGAAGCAGGAGCATCAGCGAAGTCGTCATGGGATGGCCTTTGGAGGGGTGGTTGTTGGGGAGCAGAGTTTGCCGCGACGATGAGCCTTGGGAGAAGGGTAGAAAGACTTACCATAGACTGTCGTGAGCACAATGAGAAGAAGCACGAGGTCCATATCAGCCAATGACAAACATGATATCAGGACTCGATGCTCACCATTTTGCAAGAGCAAAGTTAGACGAGGAGATGCGGCTTAGAACAGAAAGTAGTGAGGTCTCTGGACGTGTCAAGGGACGAGTGACGGATCGTAAGTATCCTCTCTGAGCTATGCCTCTCTGCTGCTTTACGTCGGGGGAATCTTGCTGGTGAGTATATGTCAATGATAGATATGATGAAAGAATTCCATCCGAGACGCGTTACAATGTAAGGACGCGGAAAAAGATCAACATTGAACATGACGTGGCATTCTCGCCACCTGTGCTGATCTCTATTCCTTGAATTCATCAGCGTCACACCTCTTGACGAGACACAGGTTGGAGAATCAGGCAGGCTCCACCTAACAGACAATATCGATGGTCAGGATGCATGTGCATTGCCATGAGAGACACTTGGTCATCATGCGTTTTGGTTTAGTTCACCTCACTCCCAACCCCAGCGCGTGTAATGTTCTGAAACAACGGAATCAAAATTTCCCGTCAAAAGATTGCGATCATTTTTCCGATTGACTGACTGCAAAGTGACCATTTGGACCTTGGATCGAGCAATTACTGACCAGGTCTGGGACAGATCGACAACTGAGGAACAGTCGTGCAGTGGATACCTTTCAATGCGCAGACATGTGCCTCTGGCCATCAAGAACCTGCGTTCCGGGTGGACAGCGTCATGTCGGCCTCTCCAGAGTGTCCCGCTGAGATGTTCTGAATCGACAATTGAATCAGTATCGACGTCTAGCTCGCTGGGCATTCCGTCCGACGAATACAATACGCGACCCATCGCCTCATCATCTCGGCTTCCCCCACCTCCCTCCATTCTTGAGCCTTTGACCTCTGACGACTTCACCAAGCCTCTGTACATCACCTCGCCGATCTTCGACGTTGACGGATGTGAGTCATAGCGTGTGGACGGGAATTTGAGAAATCGCACTGAATGGGTCTTGTAGTACCCCATCTAGGTCATCTTCACGCCTTGATCATCGCCGATGTGCTGGCTCGCTACTCTCGCTTACGATATCCTGATCGAGATGTCCGACTTGTAGTAGGGACCAACGAGCTAGGTCCTGCTGTCTCAAAAGCGGCACAGAAGGCCAAGGCCCCGCCCATAGAATATGCCTCGGTCTTGACGTCCCGATTCCGAGTAATTACATGCTATGAGGACATTCCCCTCTCGTTGAGCTGACATGCGTTACAAAGCTCTTGATGGAAGAGTCACATATAGAACCGACAGATTTTGTTTTCACGACCAAGAAAACACATCAAGCTGCTGTCACCAGTTTCTTGGTATGTCCCCCGGCTCTTCGCGTCGCCTCCCCAAAGACTGAAGTGGGTCCTCATAGGACATTCTCTCGGCTTCTGAAGACCTGTATCCAGCCTATCAGATTCGATGGTATTCCAGAGCTGAGGGTCGATACATCCCGAATCATCAGCTAGAGACCTCTCATGATGGCTCTACGACGCTTCGATCAACAGGAGAAGCCTTAGTCCGACAGGAAGTCAAGGTTTGGATGTTTCGATTGTCTAATTATCGAGATGCACTCCAGGCGTGGATAGATATGCCACTGGGTGAGTCATCATTCGTGTACCTTGGCGAATGGAAGACTGATCTGGGTTTCCAGCTTTACACCCGCCAATGCATAGAATCCGAATCCTCGGCTCGTTCCTCTCACTGAGCGACGTACCTGTCTCTCATCCTGCGGAAAGGGGTGAAACGGGCATACCAGTACCCAATGATCCCTCGCAGATGATTGATTCTTCGTTCAGCTCTCTGATCAGCTATATCTCTTCTTTGGGATATCCAAACCCATCCGAGGTTTGGCCTGCAGACGTCCACATTATAGGCAAAGGTCGATTAAAGTGAGCTCACACATGGTTTCAAATGAAACTCTCTCACCAAAGTCATTCAGATCGCATGCCCTGCTATGGCCAGCACTCTTGCTATCGATTGGTGTCGAGCCACCGCGCTCACTGCTCGTGACTAATTATTGGACCAAAGACGGCGAAAAAATGTCTCGGGAAGTTGGGAGACCTGTCGATCCGCGGACGTTATTACGCTTCTACGGTGTAGACGCTGTCCGTTGGCATCTGATGCGCTCGGGAGGTTACCTGAACAGAGATACAGGTGAGGAATCTGGCGGGTGTCATGATGAAAATCAAGACTGACCGGATTTCCTTGGCTAGACTTCAACATAGAGAGGCTTGAATCAGACTATGATTTCCTATGTTCAAATTACGGTCATTTGCTGAATCGCATTTCGAGTCGTGGCGCAATGGACAAGGCGACCGGGACATGGCTTATCAAGCGAGATCCGAATATGGAGTCCATGATTGCTCGAATCAAAGACGTTTACTGTCAGCACATGGACAAGCTGGAGCTAAGCAAGGCATGTGATCTCATCTCAGACTTGATTCTGCAGGTAAGTCTTGATCACTGAGAGCATCGATGACATTCCGCTGATATCATATCCAGGCCAATAAGACGTTCATTGCTCTCGGTCCATTCAGGCCATCAGGTACCGATACAAAGCTCAAGGCTCCCGATACGTCTTCGGCCATCTACTATGCCTATCATGCGTTGAGGATCTCTTCGATTCTCATGAGGCCCTTCATGCCGCTAAAGTCTATGGAAATGCTAGACAGACTCTGGATCTCAGCGAGTGAGAGAGGACTAGACGATGCAGTCATCACCTTTGCAAACGACTCGACGGAGATTGACGTACGACGTACAATCGAGGTCATGCGAGACGGCATGCAATTTGCCATCAAATGCAAGCTACCGGTTCTATTCAAGAGATTGCACCTGAAGAAGAACGAATCGATCCTGCATGGGCGATTGGTCTCTGGTCCGTAGTGTAGTCTTAAACGTACACTGAGATGCGACAAGATAGTAGCGAATCATGCATTATACTTCGCAGGGCGGCTGTCTGCATTTCCATTCGATTCGTCTACAGCAAAAAGTGCTCTCGAGGGATCTCTCCCTGCTTCAACAGAATGCCGCGCGAGATGTTTCTGTGGATGCGTCATTTGTGGTTCTGATTAGCGGAGGCGTTTTGCTCACTCCAAATGCTGGTGCATCGCTTGAGCGTATGGTAGTCTCTTGCCCTGATGAAAAGATCAGTGATCCACACTGAAATCGCTCGAAGGCTCCCTAGACTCACGGCTATTTCGCAGAAGTGTGAGAATTTTTGGGCACACTGCCGGGCCTTGACTGCCATGCTGTTGCTACGAGAGGACCTCTCCAGACGTTGAGCGAGCTGAAAGAGAGTCCGTCCGATACCGAGCCAATCACTAACGGCGAGAAGTGATGGATGTGCTGAGTAAGGCAGGGTGAGTGGATCCAGATATCAGGGCCAGCGCAGGTTTGGCCCACCTGAGAGATCGTCTCCACGATTGGTTAAAAACTCTACCGATTCCACAGCCTTGCTTGCGGAATCGAGCGCAGCCTCGAGACATCTTGCACTTTCTCCGCTGCCTTCGGGCGTGTCCACCTCTTCGCGAAGATAAACAAACATCATTGTACTGAATGCTCTGATGTCAGCAATGCGTAGTGGGACCCGTTAGACCTCGTGCGATCTCACTGACCCGTAGAGCCTGGTCCAGGCTTCGCTCAATTGCCCTATATCTGAGAATGGATCGGCAGATGACAGCGGTGTCAATGTTGCCATGTAACCAAGAGCGATGCTCTTCAATTTGACTAACTTTTCGACCTTGTAGATGCTAAGAGGAGTGTCGAATAGCCTTGTGAGGTATTAGGAAGGTCATCTTTGAGAAGAGGAAGACTTCACCTAGTCACTCGACTCATGAGACAGACGCCTTTGACACAGGCGCAGAACTCAGAATCAGTAGCGCCTGTATTGGCATTGCCCGCGAGAAAGTGGCTGATGGTAGTCTCGTCATTGAGAGCATCAATCTGCCGAGGAAATGAGCAATTCGAAACCCAGTACCGAGCGCGTCTCACGGAATTATAGGATCTCTGCGGGAAGGGCGTGGTGATTTCGTCTTCGTCCATGACTGCGTGGCACCGTCAGCGTGGCACCGTCAGCGGTATTGTCGGATCTTTCAACGCACGATGAGGTAAATTCCAGCCTGGTTCCGAGTCAGTCGTCACACCCCACTTGCCACACGATACTACTCACCGATGCTCGGAGCGACGTTCGCCAGATAGATGACCCAGCTGGGATAAATGAGCTGATGTCCTTACACGGAAACTCACAAAAGCCTGATACGATCTCCAGCCTCTTCTACGGAAGTGGGATTCGGGAACAGCATTGATCTGCTCCTCAAGATCTGCAATTTCTCATTTTTCCTCCGAGATTCTTCGTCCGCCTTGATCGTCCTAGCTGACCCTCCACCTAGTGCTTCTCGTATTCCGCCCATCTTGCCCAAACCCGTGGTCCACACTAACGACATATTGGTGGCATGCTCTGTCCAGCCTTCAAGCAGCCTCGCCGCTGCTGTGCACGTATAGGTTCGCATCGCCGTAGCTATGACCACATCGAGTAACCGAGCATCGACGACGTAAATTGCTCGAAGGCCATGGAGTCTTCCTGGAGTCTCTAGTCGCTTGGAGATGTTGAATACTGCTTCGGGACTCGACAAAGTGGACGAAGGTGAGTGAGGGAGCAGGAATGGGATGATTGAAAGCAGGAGGGAGGGGTGTGGAGAGGATGAAGATGCTAAGCGGCGGAGAAGATGGGCTGGAGAGAGTGCAAGATGAAGTAAGGGCTCCATATCGGCTTTGTTGTACACGGATAATCTAAAGGGGTGGCGTAAACAGCCGTGTAGAGACGAGACGATCTGGAACTCACAAGTGTCCGACAATTTTTTCTCCCATTCCTTTGCTCCCCTCCACTGCCTTGACAATCTCCAGCGCAATCTTCTCGTCGTCCATGCCGTCCCAAGGCCACGAGCCTGTAGCTGTTGCTTCAACTCCATCCGCTTCGGCTGCGTCCGCAAGCGTCATGAGGTCAGGCTCAGCGATGGCTGTCCCACTCTGTTGGTCCCCCATGCCAAAGAAAGACCAGGTCCAGTCCATACCAACAGTAGACGATGCACGTCCAGTCTCGACACTTGGATAGCTGGAAGCTTTGACGCTTGGCCCTGATTCAGGCGTGACCAATTCGGCAGTCATTGGCGAATCCTCGGTCGAACCTTGTTGACCTTTGTCCAATCTCTTTTCGAGCTCCATCAATCGATCCTCGAGAGTTCTGACTCTGCTCTTCTGCTTTTTCTGAGAATAGACGCACTGCCGTCCTGACCTCACGCAGACCGAGCAAGCTGGTAGCTCGGCAGTACATTTCAATTTCCGCTTCTTGCAGAATTCACAAGCGCCACCTCGAGTCAACATGTTTGCGCGGGAGGAGCCTCTACGTTTCTGAGTAGATGTACCGCCTGGAGTTGTCGCATCGGGTGTGTGACGAGATTCTACATCCAGAGAATCGGGTAAGGCTGGATCTAACTGTAAATTGATCTGCTCTTCATCGCCCTTTTCCAGATCATTGGCGAATAGACGACTAATCGCATCTCGTGTATCTTCGGATTCTGATTCGGCCAGGTTAAACGATTGGTGGGAGGAAGTGGGGGGATGGCTGTCATGTTCGCCGGAATGCAGGAATCCGTCAGGCGCAGGTCCTGTGCGTTTGTCAGCCTTTAGTAGAATAGGCATATCGGATCATGTCACCAAGGAAGTTGTTGTCAAAGTCATACGCGCCGGGATGAAGCTTGATCAAAGGTTCAGAGCCTCTCGGATCCGATACACTGTCATTCTGGTCTTGCTGTCCTTCTCGTCCTGCTGCCATGCGAGTCTGGTCATTGCCTGAGGCGTTGTCTGACGGCGTCTTTTCATCGGGATGAGGCAGCGGGCCTATTGGATTCCCGTCGTACAAGATGTCAAACTTGGACCGCCCTTTGTCTGACATGACTGGGTTGGGGGGTGTAGACGAGCAGATTCCCAAGCAGCCGAGACAGTGATCTGAACTCATCGTCAGCCCGTTGACATTGGCCACGTTGCATTCATTGGAGAGGTTGAACGATGATCGACCTAGGTCTCACTCACTCACAGACTCACTCACTTTCTTATCGATAAGATTGTAGATCTCACGGAGATGGAGAGAGAGCGAGGAGAGAGAGATAAACAAAAGGAGGAGATGAAGAGGTGAACTCCGTGGACGAACGTGGTTGCATCACTTATTCAATCCCCCCTTTTAGATGATGCGGCTATCGCCGCCTTTTACGGTCGCACCATATATATAGATTCCGGCCATCGTATGATCAGCTGGTCACCTGGCTGGCCGATTGTGCTCATGTTGCTTCTCATACCCTTGTGACCTAGAATGACAAGATCAGGCTTATCCCTCACCCGAAGAAACAAGTGATTAGCCTATCATGAGTGGTATAGGCGGTATCAACATTCCGTCGTCGACGGTGGTCGCCATTGGCGGAGGATTCGTCTGTTTGGCCTTCTTCATCATCACCGGCTTGTTCCTGCTTCGAGCGACCAAGATGGCTGCGGAAGGTCGTCGGCGAAGAGCAGCAGGAGAGAACATCACATTCAGGGAGATTTGGAGGAGAGATGGAGGGATGTTAGGCTTCGTGACGGGTTTAGGGGCCGATAGTGCACTGGTCGGAGCGGGTGGCAGGCGAGATTTGAGTTCATCAAGGGCGAGGGAAGAAATACGGATGTGGGCGTACTGGAAGAACCAGGGAGAGTTGATGAAGAGACTACCGAAATTATGGGAGATCGGAGTGGAGGAAAGCGGTTCGATGGTTGGGCAGGATGAATTGTCGATCAAGGATTGTCAGGTGAGTCGGGGCGGTTTCATTTTTGCGATGAAGACCTGGAGGGATGGTTGTTGACTTTGTCACTTAGCCCCTTGGAGTCATACCATCACAGCCGCCAGACGACCTGGATGACGAATGTGCTGATTATTCTCGATTGGACCCAACGCTATCTTTGTCAGTTTTGATTATCTTGCCGGCGCAACAGGAAACGCACAGGAAACCTTCTGACGAATGGTTGGACTTGCCAGAAATGATGATCGGAACGACACGCTTGGTACCATATGTGGTCGCTGGTCAAGCGACCGAGAGCAATCAGCCACCTGGGATGATGGAATCTTCGCTCAAGGAGGAAAAGGAAGCACTCGAGGATTATGCAGTGCCTGAACTCTCTGATCATGCAGCCGGTGGCGGGAGCAGCAGCGAGCACAGGGCGGGCTGGAGGAAGAAAGGGAAACGATGGGCTATCGAGGGGATCAATGACGTTTCGATAACATCGGACGAATGAGCAGTGTGGGTCTGGGCTGCGTGCGTCGCCCAATAATTATGGATATGACGATCATTGTAGCGACTATCTTTACATGTATGGGGTCTTGTCTGGTCATAACACACGTTTTGATGTGTTGCGCTCAGGAACCTCACCCCAACGGATGATATGAGAGGCGTTGCATTTACTGCTACATCATCCAGTCTCGGCTCCTTATCCACAGCATCATGCGCCATACCCGGCGACGTAATACTTCCATATCCCTATGAGTCTCGTCTGGATCCCTACCTTTGTGTCGATCGCAGGCCTCACATCGATGAAGAATGAAGATTTGGCTGGGTCGTTCGGATCTTGCTTTCCAGAGTAAAAATCAATGACATACCGGACGTTTGTCCCGCATCGATCAATGATCCAATCGTGTCTGTCAAATGGCGCAGAATAGCTTGAACGACCGTGTCAACCGACTTCCAAATCGACAACGCCGGCCCTGCGGCGCGCCCACTCACCCTAAAGCCATGTAGAGATAAGACTTTGGACTCCTCTTCGTTGGGATACCGGCGAAACTTATCAATCGAGGTCCACCACACGGTTCAGATCCCATCCCTTGTTCCCATAACAGAACCATTTCCCAAGCCTTTTCATTCACTGCATTGTGGATCCCCACCACGCTCCTCATATCGCCTTCTTTTGGTGAATGGTTTTTACGAGCCATCGCTTGGAAGAATTGTAATTCTGAGGGATAAACCCAATGCTTATCATCATCTGATCCTGCACCTTCTGAAGACCCAACATGTACAGGAGTAGTACCGATAGGCGCTCGAGGGATGGAAGATATTTCGCGGTCTCGCGACAAGTTGGCCTGACGGGATCCTGCGGCTCCTGACTGAAAGGAAGCCGAGCCAGAGCCAGAAGGTGAATTGGGAGGCGGGGAGGAGGACGAGGGTGAGGATGAGGATGAGGAGGAGGAGGTCAAATTCGCTAAGCTAAGCCAGCGAGACCTTGTTTTGTCATCTACTGGGCAGGCATCGGCTGAGCTTGATCCGATTGGAGGGTGATCAGAGGGCAAGTTGGGAGAGGTGACGAGGGGAGTTTCATTGTTGCTTGCGCCGACGTTGAAGCGCATTGTGGGAAGACAGAGACGATAAAAGACTGCTTTGTAGGCTTTGAGCACAGGTCCCCTATCCGCTTTATGCGCCGTCGCCCCCCTTATTTAACTCAGAGCTATGGTCAGGAAGGTCCAAGATGGAGAGAATCAATGTCCAATGTCCAAGAGAATTTGAGGATTTTTGGTTGAGATCGTATTCCGAAACACGGTCGGTCATTTGGCGGATTTCTGTCATTGACTTTTGGTGTTCTTCACTCTTTTACGACACAAGTCATTGGACTCAACGAACGAACCAAATAGACAGACAAGCAAGCAGGATGGACAGCTGATGGAGAGCAAAGCTCGACGCTCTCCTTAGGCTCTGGTGCCCACTTAACCACTTCCGCCAAGTCTAGAGCACCATCCGTGATCTCTCAGCGAAATTCAGCATGAACTTTGGTCGCTTTCAACGTCCATCAGGAGGATACGGCGCAACTCAACGAGATGCAATCAACAATGTGAAGCCTTCCAATGATCCGAATGCCTCTCGGTCTACCAATGCATCAACCACAGATGAAGGGTCACGACTCGCTTCTCCTGGTCCCTCGGGTCCCGCTCCTCCTGTTCTGACTCGTCCTAGAGCCGGCGCGCATATAAGTGGAAACCCAGGTCCAACGGTGGCTTTTGGTCCCAGTGCAAGCTCTCGGCTAGCTGCGAGTGCGAATGCTGGAAACAATGACGGGGCGACGATCGGTGCTGCTGGGAATAATGCGACTCATTCGGTTCTTGGACGAAAGGACTCCATGGAGACCATGGGGATGCAACAGCCTACGGACAGTATCAATTTGGGTCAATTGAAAGCTGCTGTTGCGTCTCAGCCAAAGCCAAAGGTGAGCAAGAGTCGCGCGAGATCATACGTTCGAGCGTGGGGCTAACGCTCGCTCACCGGTCCAGCACTTTACCTATCGCTATGATGACACAGACACCATCATGTCCGAGTTGGACGAGTTTTTCCCTTACGAAGATATGCAAAACGTAGGCAAGCGGCAAGAACTTTTTGCTCAAGACTTCAAAGGAGGTGAGTGGTCTTATGATGACTTGCGAGCGAGCTTAGCAGTCCTCAGCCTGGACGGAGAGCAGCTTGCGAAAGCGTAAAGAGTATATGATGGCACAATTGGAACTGCTCGAATCATCCGTCAAGGCGAATCGACGGGCTGCTCAATCAAGGCTGTTCTATCTCTTACAGGGTCAGTGGACCCTCACTTCACGCATAAAATCAGGATTGATAGTGTGCCTAAAACTGAAACTCCCTGCAGGATGCTTTGCCGAGGCTACAGGACCAGAGATGCAGCTTCATTGGGTCATTGAAAATGCCAAACTGTTACGCTCAGTCGATGGAGTCGGATCACTCATCATGGCCGTCAGGGACGCCAATAGACGATTCGCAGGGACAGCGTGAGTTGGGAGTCTGACTGTCTTGCATTCCGTTACGAGGACTGACCTGTCCGGCCGATCTCCTCAGGGAACAAGCTTCGGACAAGCCCAACTCTGCAGCTTCTAGCGGACCTATCCTTCATCCACCTGATCCAAATGACGAGACAAACGCGGAATTGATCGATTCACTGGGGATGCTGTACTTTGTCGTCGAAGTCTTCAGGACAGACGATACATTCGGCGATCAGCTAAGTGAGTAAAAGAGCGCGCCCGCAAAGGCCCTTTGGATCTACCCGTGCGATGAACTGAGATCTCGCTCAGTGGCTGCCCCTACGCCATTACCTCTTTTCTTGTTCCAGATGATTGCTGGACTAAAGGATCGTCTGCCTCGAGGTTATCCAGTCAAGAAGGTCTTGCTTTTGATGTGGAAGACGCTGTTGGCTACGCTCGGAGGAATGAAGGACGTAGAGAAGGCCAAAGGCCTGTCGAGAGAGCTAGCGGGATTACCGCCCGTCAAGAATGGTGAGAGTGACCGCTTTGCGCCTCGTTCTGACCGCTACCGTCACAGAATTCTTCACCAAAGCGTCTCCCATTGACATTACTAATTGGCGTCGAGACATGTCTGTCAAATATACGACCTTTTACTCGAGTTCGAGCACTGAGGAAAAGCTAGCGGAAGGTATCAAGCCTATCCCCCCTAAACCCAACTATCATTCTACCGAGATCCCATCGGCAGACGTTCATCGTACCAAGGCTCTTCCCCCAGCTCAACAAAATCTACCCCTTCCACCCGCCTCAGGTCAGCCATTACATACGAACCCCCTCTTGAATCAGAATGGTCAACAGAATATCCTGGGACAACCTGCCAAGCCCAAAAAACAGCAGTTTCAGACGGATCCCAACAGACCGTTCATCTTTCCATTCTCGTCCCCTTCACCGAATTCATTCATCCCTCCTTCACCCCCACCATCTTCCGCTTCGTCCTCCTCCTCCTCATCGGCATCGTCATCTTCCCGATCACGGTTCATCGACCAAGAGCCCGGTTCGTCCGCTGGTCTAGTCCCTTTCGCCATTGCGGAGGCAGACAAGCTCTTCGCACGACACGCCTATGTATCACTTGGTCTGTATCAAATGTGGGAGACGAGGGACGAATGTATGCGTGAAGAGAGAGGTTTAGGGAAGAGGGGCTTGATAGGGTTTGACGAGTTGTCGTTGGACGACGATCTAGATACAGAGGGAGATATGGAAGGGCTGAGACTGCAGTGGAAGTATGAAGAGGAGGAGATGGAAGCGTTGTCAAGGGGTGATAAGGAAGGAGCGAAAAAGGCGAAAGAAAAGATGATAGCGACCAAGAGGCTACGGAGGGTAGATCTAATCTATGTGAGTCGTCTGACCTGAGCAGACCACAACACATGCTGAACAGTCCCGGCCAGCGAGACACACTACCCATCATGCAGAGCTGCGTCATTGTTTTACTCAAATTTCTGCTGGCCACGGTAACTGGACCAGGAGCGGCACACATGAACAGTCAAGGTGGAGCTGTGCCTCCTGGATTTCAATCGCCAACGCAGGAAGCTCCTCGTGAGTGCAGGTCCCATCTGCTCGACAGTTGCCTGACACGGGCTTGATATACTGACTCGCGTGATCAGAAACCGAGCCTGAAATGCCTCCTCCGACCAAGGCAGAGATCGACATCGCTCGCCATCGTGAGATCACGACCAAAGCCGTATCTGCGATTCTCATCTTGCTGCTCAAGTGGTTCAAGGCGTCCCGTAAGTCATCAGCACGGGGTCCATTGTCTGTCTTTTAAACCGTTCCACTGAACCATGACGTCTCAGACGTCCTCAAATTCCATTATCTCGCGCAGCTCCTGTTCGACTCGAATTGTCTATTGCTCGTCCTGAAAATGTTTGGCCTCGCCGACGTCTACCAGACTGTACGGACCAAAAACGAATGCGAGGATCTCAAGTGGGTTCCTACCTGATAATCCATTAAGTTGCTGATGCTTTTGATCAGCTTCTTCCGATACTGTTATTTGAATCATTCGAAATCTCCCCCTCGGCCGGAGGACGCCATGTTGAATAGCACGACCTCGCCTAAACCTTCAGAAGCTGATGGAGATGTCGAGTACATTACCGACTATTCATGGCGCAATTTCTTCTCCAGCATTAATTTCTTAAAGATCTTGCAGAAAATGACGAAGCACCGGACGCACAGAACGTACATGTTGAATCAATACAAGTCGTCGGTGAGTAGGAAGACTGGACTAACAAAACTCTCAACATCTGACCGATCACGTTTTGCAGCAAATTCTCAAGCGTATGCTTCGCGCCAATCAGCCAATGCTGCAGCTCCAGGTGCTCAAGTTGATCAAAAGTCAAATGCCGTGGTGCGGTCGCAAGTGGAGACAGAGTGAGCAGATATGGTTCGGCTATCCGGAAGAGATGCTGAGCACGATTCCAGCCAATATGAAGACGATCACCTCGATCTACCTTAACTGTCGGCCTGATTTGAAGGATGACTGGCTTGCAGGTACTGATCAAGATACTGAGCTCGACGATGCGCTGGTGAGGGCCGTTCAAGAGGAAAAAGGAGAATTAAAGCTCACACTGTACAGCCCCAGGAGTATGCCCTGCGATCCCTCATTTCATTCTACAATCGCCAACACTATGCACAATCGCATACCAGCACTGGACATCAGCGATCCAACTCCATCTCCGCAATGACACTTGATGATCCCGCATTGAATCCTCCTCCTGGATCGACCCATCCAGCTCACGTCCGTCGATCAGTATCCTCCTCTTCGAATTCTGAGCGTGATGTGTTTCCACCTCGCAAGACCTCGGCTGGAGCGGAGGAAGGCTCAATGGGCATGGGACTGGGATATGACACGTATGATCCGGATGAAATGACGAATTACTGGATACACGAGTACGAAGACGTATTGATGAAAGTATTTGGAGGATCGTCAGACACTCAAGAAGAATGGCTCGACATGGACAACCAACAGGAATCTACCGGAGCTCGAGGTTTCACCAACGACAATGCCGCTCCTGGATCGATCACTTCTCAAGCCATGCGTATCTTTGGACCGCAGGCCTCGGATCGAGATGATGCGTCTTGGTTGAGATTGGAAGAGATCATAAGGTCAAGGAACGGCGGGACGGGAGCATCTGTGGAAGACGATGCCATTTCGGATTCGGAAAGTGTAGTGACTGTCGGGGAGCTTGGTGAAGATGCGAGGGCAATGGGTCCGGGTACACCAGGCGTGGGATTATCGAGCGAGGTGCCCGTGGATGTGGATGACGTCGGAGAATTTGCAACGCAACAGATGGAAGAGCCGGGATCAGGGAAGAATACGTGGGAGGTGAGTCGAGCGGGCGCGCGCGAGCGAGCGAGCGCCAAAGTGCGACGGTCTGGAGGAATACTTCTCTCCGATTGTTGGAACCCTGTACCGAACGCTCTTACTGACAACTCTCATCGCCCTTCTCCAGCACATGTCACCTACGACCTTGTCCCGTCTCCCTCCATCACCTCTCGAACGACGTCGTCGATCTTCTGCCGCGCGTAAAGGGGTTCCCGATCCCGCAGTTCCGACCACTGACGCCGCCACACTTGCCGCCGTCACCTCCGCAGGGAGAACAGGATCAGAAGGAAGTGCGGGAGTTGCGCGACGTCGATCAAGCGCTTCATCACCTCTTCGTCCTGTCATTCGACCTGAAGAATCATTAGAAAGGATAGATAGGAGGATGATGCGAGACAGAGACAGAGAAAGAGAAAGAGGAGAGAACGATGATCCATTTAACGATTTGGAAAATGTCAATATTGATGATGAGGTGGGTATACTAGAGGATGGAGAAGAAGAGGAGGACGACGACGAGGACGAGGACGAAGCATTCGACGTGAGGGGTCCTATGCCCATTGCGAAGACTCAGGATCAGAGAGAAAGAGCTGGAGCAGCAGTAGATGAAGTGGAATATGCGTATGGGGAATGAGAGAGGCGAATAGAGAGCGGAGCGAAGCGAAGCGACCGAGACGCAGGTGATATGGTGGAGTGGAGTGGAGTGTAGTGAGGAGGGCAGAGCAGAGCGCACAAATGTACCCAGTATCACTTGGCTGCGGGTTTTAGGCTTAACTCTGGCTTAGTTCAAGCCCACCACCGTTCCTTCGAAGAGGCTGCTGTGGGGCGACTCTGGTCCTCATCAAGATACGAGATGCATATAGACGAACGATGACACGAGATCGCTCCACATATCACACAAAAGACTTTCAAGTGGACGAAGAATGCACAAGACGTTGATATCGTAGCGAAGGGGGGAAGAGTATAAAAGTTGTCAACAAGATGTATGTAAAACAGTGGCGGTGGTGAAGGGGAAGGGAGGCGCCATTAAGTCTAGTACATGAAGATCAGACTCTCAGAGATCCACTCTGAGAGGCAATGTGCCGCGCGCTGTTATGAGCCGGTGAGAGCTGAAAATGAAGGTCAAGTATCTTCCTCGCCAAATGGATCGCGAGACACAAATGAAGAAACGTTCATTATGCTCTAGCTTCCTTCTCCCTTTGTTTGTCCAATAGAGCCTGCTTCTCATTCGCAGCCTATTGTCAAGTTCGAGCGCATCAGCTCGTGGTCTCACGCCATCTATTCCGTCCTCCCGTCTGACTCACCTGAGAGATGGTGATGTATGCTCTGGCGGGTGGACTATTCGTACCGTCCCTTGAACCCAACTGCAGACCTGCCGCTTTGATTTCCGCGGGATCATCAAAGATATTTTCGGCACTCGAGTCAAAGACGGATCGCATAAGGCTGAGGAACTGGAAGAGGGGGGGGTGAGTCGAGATCCATCAAACGAATGGAAAGGTCTTGGAACGCAACTCACTCGTTCGGTCTTACAGAACTGTAAGAAAGAGCAGGAGGAGAAGATTCGTCAGTGGATGTTGTACTGATTGACAGTCGCTGACTGAACCCACCTTTGGCACCGAATCCGTCGCCATCAATCTGAAGATATAATTTTGGATTCTCTCGTACAGCTTCACAAGCGTCTGCAATTGACTCGCTTGGACTGCTGAACCGCCAACCGCACTGGGTTCCAAATGCCCTTTGGACGCGGCGTCCTTGTCGGCAGTGACAGTGTTCATAAATGAGATGAGCTCGGCTCGGAGATTGTGGTCAATGTTGAGCTCGCACGGGGAAGCAGGAGCCAAGTAGGCTAAGGATTTATGTGTCAGCAGGATCCCCGAGAAGACACGCCGGGACACGACTATCGCCTCGCCGATGTCGCGCCACAGCGCTCACTATTGTAGATCACAAAGGCCATGGCGATCAGATCCTGATGATGCTTTTCCAGCGCTTGATGCCCTACGGCACGTTGACCTTTACCGACGCCAGGCATGGCGACCGCACTGGAAGTGGTGTTGAATCTTCGTCTGAAATCCGAGGTATCGAGCCAGAAACTGAGATTCTCTTCACAGAAATTTGCTCTGAGGAATTCCCTAAACAGACTTCGGATAGCAGGTTCCTCGAGAATATGTTTCAGTCGAGCAGTGTGTGAATCCTTGACGAGCATGTCTTTATCGCCCAACGTCATTTCGCTGAAATCGGATCTCAACCTATCGGTGAGAGAGGGTCGACGACCGAGTGCAGAAGGAGGCGTCGAACTGTCATCTGTCGAGTGCGATGGTCTCGGCGTCTTGCTGGATAGCTTGTCTTGAGCGTGAAGGTCGGATTTGGATACTGCCGCAGAGTTGGACCCAGGCGTCGGCTTGACGTGGCCCTCCCATCGGGCTACTGACATGCCGTCTCGGGTGACTTTGTACACCGCTTTGCACGTCGCACGGTACTCTGCTTCTTGCTAGAAAGGGGGGGGGGGGGGGGGGCAGTGCGAGGTCAGAAAGGATGAACAGACCGTCGATGACTCACCATGATGGCACCTGCTCCACCACCCGCTCCGCCGCCTCTGACAACCGCCACGAAATCGGTGTCTCGCATCCTCCCCGTGTCACTGTATAAAGCGATGAAACCATACCTGACGAAATGAGCGGCTAGTTCTGCAGCTTCGTCAGGTCCAACAGATGTCGAAAAGTCGAGTAACCAATCCACGGCCAAGAGCGCAGGGAAGATGTACTCGTCTGCACCGTTCCCATTGTTTCCCTTCTTGTCCACTCGTTTACGCAGGATCATCCCTTGTGAACTATCAATCTCTTCACCAGGGATGACAGATGACTTGGCATACCACCTTGATCTTGTCAACGCCTCGACGTCGTCATCGGAGAGAGTCGTTGCATTGGGCTCCCGACCGACGAATCGTCGCCAGAGGACCTCGATGACTGATTTCGTGATGATGATCTCATCGTCTGCGGATCTCCGTTCGAGGTGTAAGAGTTTCATACAGATGGGTTGCTGTGCGAATAATCGGAGGGTATGATCCGCATTGATTCCGTTCTTGGTGATGAATCGTTCGAGAATATGTAGACCCTTAGGCGTGATCATGTAGACGCCACGCTCTTTGAAATCGATCGACTTGAGATCCGCGGCGTTCTCAATGAGGTGAGAGTCCATGAAATGTTGACATATCCCCTTGGCCATTTCGCGTGTCATGGAAAAGGTCGTGGTGGTGGTCGTCGTAACGATTCGAGAGGGGTCTTTTGGATCGGGCACACGTTGGGATTGAGAGAATTTGAGCGAAGCGAGGTTGGCGGCCGCTTCATCGCTGTGGACAATAGGGTGTGAGCGGGTTGTGAAAGGGGTGGGAAGCGACAGAGCGTTCAGCCCGACTTACCAGATGAAGCTGTTGGGGTATGTTTTGAGGAAACTTCGATGATTCTCAAGCGGCAAGGAGATGATGAGGGTGGAGAAGAGGTCATGGGTGTCCTGAAGGGGGTGTGTGAGCTGGCTGAGTCGAGTGAGATGCAACTCACCTTGACATATGGTTTTCCCCTTCGGGTGGTCTTCATCAAGTGGGAGTGGGAGGTCGACATGGTGGCGAGGGGATGTGGTGGTTGGGGGCCTGGCCTGGATCCGAGTGAGGCGAGGCGAGGCGTGAAGATGAGATGTTGAGGATGGTGAGAGACGGTGGCGATGGACAGTACAGAGACGATGCCTTTATGTCCCTTTCAAAGGGGGTTGATGGAGTCGCTTGAGGAGTCAGGTCAAAGGAGCTTGGACCGAGGGGGGAAAGGTGCTTCGGAAGGGCTGTCGTGCAGGGATAGTCTTTGTATGTGTCTGTGTTCTGCTCGATGCGCTGCTGCAGAGAGTGAGAGAAGCTGTGAGGGTGAGATGGAAGACGGGACGTATGATCAAGCACAAGTGAGAGAGAGAGTGTGTGTGAGAGAGTGAGCGAGTGAATGAGATTGAATGAGTAGATGATGAAGTATCCTCCTCCCAATCTGAAACACATACATGTTTCCCCCTTTAGACGACGCATTGATCCCCCCTTCCCCTTCCCCCTCTCTTCCCCATTCCATGCACTCGCCCAAAAAAGCACCAGTGAACCGCCGTCAAATCTGTATGAAGCTGAAACAAGCTGCCGATGCTGAGCCATCTCCCAGAACAATAGTACACCAGTAGCTGAGATGATGTTTTTTTGGGCGAGGTGGTAGTTGGGGGAAGCGAGATCTGATAACGCAGAACAAAAAGGATAACCTTCTCTCTCTCCCACCTGGTGGGAGTCGTTGGCTTGGCTCTTGTGTTAGGTTTTCCGTTGGAATTACATATTAGTCCTTTTGGTGTTGTGTGGCGAACGTGGCGTGTGGCGGCCAGAAAATCTGCGGATGTCATGATGAACAGTGTCCCTACAGACAAGAGCAGGATGAGCGAGGCACCAAATCCATCACCAAAAGGAAGCTCTTGATGACGATCATGTCTATTCTGTTCGGACATCAACCATTTTTTTTCTCCCAAGATGCTATCCTGACGTACATACCTAACCTGTAGGTTATAATCACCGCCCTTCCGAGCCAGTCCCACATATTTGCCAAGTGGATCATATAGTTCATGACCTACACACACTACCGAGTATGTTCCCCATCAATGAGCGGATGGATGGATGGTACCTTTTTGCTGCAGCAAATCCCAGACGAACCTCATCTATCACGTGGTCTCTGTGCTCTCAGAAGGCGACGTAAGCACACACACACACACACATACCTATACACAACTCTCCGAGGCGGTCTTGGCCGTGCCGATGGGGCGACCGTCCACTCGGTCTCGTCGCGCCCCGAGGACCGCCCCCCCCCCCCCTGATTCGTCATCTCTCCCTTTTCTCTTCCATTAGGATTCAAAAGCTAATGTTCATTACAACATCGTCCCCATCCCCCCGGTGGATTACTGATCACCTAGTCCAAAGGGGGTCATTTCGCTGGAATCGTGAGAATCGCTGGAATCAAAATGACGGCATCCCCCATGAAGTCATACTCCCCCTCTCCCTCTGCTCCCCCGCCCGCCGCCCTCCCTCCTCCCTCCACCCACGATTCCAGCAAAACCTCGCAGTCTTTTTGAGACCCCATCTCTAGTCTCTTCTCTACTTTCACTCTCTCTTTCCCACCTCCTGTCTCGACCTCCACCGTCGCCACCACCCACCAGCTTCAGTATATATAGACAGAGGCAGACATCGACTCCATCGTCCTTTTGACTTCCTTGCATCCCCATCTGTCTCCTTCACTCAACCTACTGTGGGACACTCACTCTCCCCCGATCTCGCCCCCTTCTTCAGGACCTCCACCTCGTTCCGCATCCGACGGGGTCTCCTCCTCCGGGTATGGATTCATCCTACGCTAGACAACAATCCGCTCATCATCGATCTCAACTCACAACGTTACTATCCACCTTTCCATCCAGTGCTCCTCCCCACACCACTCAATCTCAAATGTTTCAAGTCCCTCGCGTCAACACCGGATCATCCTTGAACACGACACTCGGTACTTCCCTCGATGGACGATCGCTCTCCACTCATATCGCTACCACCAACCCTACTTCTTCTTCTCCTTCTTCCTCCTCCTCCCCCTTTGGGCCTAGTGCCCGATCCGATCGACCGAACCGATCATCGGGTCAACAACAAACCAAAGTCTCGAGAGACACACCTGATTCGCCTCCCTCTACGCATGTCGCTGCCAACGAACTATCCCTCTCGACTCAGGGCATTTCACCAACGTGTGGAAACGCCTTTTCCATCGCGACCGAACCTGGTTCAGCGATCACCTCAGGCTCGCAGTCCTTGTCAGGTTCATTGACAGGCACTACCATTGACACACCTATCCCTTCACCCGCTCCGCGACTACCCACACCACTCCATAAATCGCCTATCGACTTTATCGATTCCCTCAACATGGGTCTCAAGGGCTCACCCGATTACCCCTTGCCATCCCAATCCTATGGCGGTTCAGTCGATGCCAATGGCGTCTTCAACGACGCTTACACCATGCTGTCTCAATGGACTCCAGGTTACGGCTTTGGATCCCTCGCGGTTCCCCCGCATGGCCATGCTCCCCAGAACACGTTTGCCTTTGTGGCGGATTCACTCAACATGAACAGAACGAATGAGTAATGGCATGTCCTGGCTGGAGCTGACCATCTTTTCCTCTCAAGACGACAAGCCCATGCCTATCTCGACGGATCCCTATGATGCCCAACTGTTCCACCCTGCCCCATCTTACCCATCATCGTATCCTGGAGCTCGACCCCAGGCAGTCAGCGGGAAAGAAATCGGCATCGATCCAGGCGTCTTAGGTGGCTTTCACAACGTTTCTACCGGTGCTCATGTGGCAGATGACGCAGAGGTACGTGTAGTCGCCACTAGATCCTGAAAACAACATCAGCTGACTGAGTTGTGGCACCTCATCAGACTGACCCGGCATCCCCCGCACTTCGACCCATCTCTCCTCATGAGACGATCCCTGATCCGCCCGGCGTGCGACGAAGCTCTCGACCCAAACTCCGCCCTCGATCCGACTCTTACCTCAACAAGCTCAGACAATCTTCGAACAAGTCGATTTTGGAGGAGGATGAAGATCACGATGATGATGATGATGATGATAAAATCATGCGAGACGAAGCCGATTCGCCGGAACGACTCGAACCCATTGATATGGCTGATGAGGACGAGCTTGAGCAGCTCAGATTATTGGAAATGGGCGGACCGGCAATGAAGAAAGATAAAAGGAGGTGAGGCAGAGCATATCTGGCATCGAGACCCGACACACTAACAGGAGGCCACAGACTCCAAAACAAGCTCGCCCAGAGATCTTTCCGTGCCAGATCGAGAATTGTCCGACGAGAAGTGAGTTGAAGCACAGCGTCTCAGCCAGAATTTACCTGGCTGACTCCTCGACAAGGCCGCCAACCACCTCGCAGACGTCGAAGTGAAAACGGTCAATCAGATGGAAGAGCTCAAACTTCTCCGTATCATGGTTGAAAACCTGCGCAAAGAGAATCTCGAACTCAAACGAAGATTCAGTGAAGACTTCCCCATGCCCTCTCCCACCATCAGTAAGAGCGGCAGCGGCAGGAAACGAAAGGCCTCAGGGCCTTAGAGGTCGATATTCTAGCGGAACGATTTCAAGGTACTGCCCCCTTGATGCTCCACCTCGATACTCAAAACATATACTTTAAAACGTCGTCTCAAAGACGACACAAGGCATCATGGCGGCCGAAACGAAGCTTGTGTAACATCACTATTGTGTGAAAAACGTGTACGATCCTTGCAGGCGTTGGAATGGAAGTGGTCTCGAGGACTTGTCAAGGGATGCTTGGGCGTCTGGACCAAACAAGTGGTCGTCTCCCAGACTTACCTCCTTGTGAAGAATTTCAAACAAGGTCTCGACTGTAATGGGAAATGTCAGGAGAAGAGTCGACAGAGACGGGGGTTTTGACTTTTGTATCATGTTTGATGATTAGGGTGGGAGAGATGGGAGGGCCGAGCTGTATCTTCATAACTGTATATGCATATTGTATCCGATCAGCCATGATATTCAGCTCTGACCCTGCTTGTGCGTCTCATCGCTTGCTGTTGTTGCCATGTAAGAGCTCCCTTCCACGCGCAGAGAAATGCTTCATGACTTGTATCTCGCTCGCTCGGGCCTCACGAGCTGCAGGAGACAGGTCGGTCGTTGATACTCCGGTTGTCGATACTCCCGTAGTTTCGTCCGAGGAAGAAGAAGTGACAGCCTCTGTCTCTGTTTTGTTCGAGGACGCGGATTCGCCATAGCGTACGTTATCGGCGACTCGTTGAAAGACTTTGGCTAGACCTTCATAAGTATTCGCTACGGCCTCTGCTTCGTGTTTGTCGGAACCAGGGAGTGAAGAAAGAGCGGTGCGAATGAACGAGGCATTTTCTTCCATCTCACCTACGAACTATAGGGGGGAAGGAGCAATTGAGCAGTCAGCCGAAGCGCCTCCTGGTGGGTACTTGGATGGGATGGGGATGCGATGATGAGGGATTTGAGAGATGAAAGACGGTCGGAAATACCGACTCACCCTGTATGCTTTTGGTATGACCGCTTCGAATCCACTACTGAACCCTTTCAAAGCGTCCGGTCGAGATCTCGCTAGTTCCTTGACGAGGGCTTCGGCGGTTTCAGGTGAATGAGCGTGAGCAGCTGAAAGGTGAGAGAAAGTCGTCAGCGAGCAATCATGAAGATGCAACGAGCGTTCAGCCCAGCAGGGGAGAGGATAGACAGGAAACCGGCCCTCATCTAGGGCTCAAGTCTGTCTGATGGCTCGCTGGCCCCCCTTCCCCCTTTTCCTTCGCTCGACAATTACTACCTCACCTAACACCATCAACACTGCCAATCCCGTGGTCCCTTTATTGATCCCTCCATAAGCCATCTTGAGCGCACTGGCCGCACCCTGTCCAGCACCACGCATCACTTCGACCAAGAGTCCTCTGTGGCCCTCTGAATCAGATTGTCCAGATAAGACCGAGGCGACGTCCTGGAGGATACTCTCATGGGACGATTCGGTGGAAAGATAGATCATCGGATCGTAGCCTTCTTTCGCCGGTCCCCCAATCACACAACCATCTATGAATGGCATTTGATGTTCCTTCAACAACTTTCCAATAGATTCCACTGTCCCTGGAGAAATGGCATTGGCATCGATATACACTGGCGGAGGAGAGTCTTTGCTCAGAGGTGGGAGATGCTCGAGGACCGCTCTCGCCATGTCTAACGCAGCAGAAGGAGGTAAGATGGAGATAATGATATCTGATCGAGCGACCAGCTCGGATAACTCTACGTCGACGAGTCCGGCACTCCTAGCTCGATCTTTCGTCGCTTTTGATCGACCTGCCAAAGACGTCAAAAGCTCAAGGTTGGGCACTCGGGTATGAAGTGTCCAAGCCAGAGAGGCTCCCATAGCACCAGGATAGAGGATGCCGATGGTTCTGTAAGGCATGTTCAGCGTGTCAAGGAGGGTCCTCTGAATTCAAGGTAATGACCAGTGTATCGCTTCTTGTCCTGATGGATGAACGTAGATCCACTTGAATGCATATATTTTGCATCCATCCCCACCTCGCGCCGGGCCCTCTCTCCCGTCGCCGTGATCCCGGACTTGACCGTCTCCTGTCGGCTCTTGCCTCGATCTATCAGCTAGCTATTGGGGTTTTGGGTCAAAGTGGCCATTCTCAGGAGACAGGTCTTCAGAGCAAGAGCTGGCAAGGAGGCTTCTCAGTGTACCTGCAGTGACGATAGACAAACCTTCACTGAGCTACATAATGAGCCCTCTGTACAGCATGAGACTTGTACATAGCGGCCATACCAGAAACGAAGAGTCACGTGATCTCACACGATGTATCCAAAAAAATTCAGAAATATACGTTTCATTCACCATATCGTCACTACATATCAGTACTGCCATTTACCAACCACAAGCATGCGCTGACACTGGTCAAGCATCGACGCTTGTTGACATGACTGTCCCCGCCGAAATAACTGTGACACCTGAAGATGCGACCTTTCCAGGTCCATTCGAAGGTATGTCGACCCTTCCATCTCCTCCTATGTCCTTTCGAGTTCTACCTCGTCCTGATATCATTTTTAGGTCCTGAAAAACTCCTTGAAGTATGGTTCGCGCCTTCCTTCGACCTTTTACCTGAACCTTCAACGCCCTTGAAGAAACGTGTCCCGACCCATGAACTGGACAAACTCGACCTCTCGTCTACAAATGGAGAATCGGGTGATGGGGCTGCGACAGGAGGCATAGGAAGCAGTGTCAAACGAAAAGGTTTACGGATCGTCCCGCGTGCAGTATGGGAAGAAATGCTGGATATAGTCAAGTGCAAGGTCTTGAGTGTGGTAGAAGGTGATGAGCTGGATGCGTACTTGCTGAGGTAGGTCTATTAGATCTCCCCTCGACCGGCTCGCGCTGGTCCAGCGACTTTTTTTTTGATATATCATATACTGACCAAAAATCGTTTCAAAGCGAATCATCGCTCTTTGTCGCTCCTCACGTGTTGATCCTCAAGACTTGCGGAACAACGTTGAACCTGTTGGGGTTACATAGGATCATCGAAATTGCCAGAGAATACTGTGGATTCACCAACATATGGAGGTGGGCTCTTCGACCTCTTCACTCATCCTATGACCCTTGCTGATTCTTGTCAGATGTTTCTACTCTCGGAAATCCTTCTTCTTCCCTGAGAGACAAAGTGGACCACATAAGGATTGGCGGGACGAAGTCACCTTTCTAGATAGTGTCTTTTGTGAGCGAGCTGCGTCGTTGTTTTGGATCGGCGGAATGAGCTCACCCACACTCTCTACCTTTGCCCTTAGGCTCCGCTGGATCCGCCTACACTGTAGGACCTATGAACCGGGACCATTGGCTCTTGTACCTCACGTCCCCGGACACCCTTCCTCTCCTCCCTTCCGACTCTTCTTTATCCAACTCATCATTCCGACTCTCTCTCCCTTGCCCTGGCAGGCCACCACCCACGTATCAGGATCAAACGTTGGAGATCCTCATGACTCATCTATCTCCGTCTGCTCGAGCTCCATTCTTCCACGCAGAGGCTACATCGTCAGGATCATCATTGACAGGGCATGAGCTCGGCCTCGGTATCTCCACTCGACTAGGGATCGACAAGCTTTTCCCTGCATATGAAACAACGCTTGACAGTTATGGTTTTGACCCATGTGGATACAGTGCCAATGCAGTCATTGGCAGCGGTATGCCAGAAGCCTCGAGTGTGCCTGGTAAACCTGGTGGAGGATACTTTACGATTCACGTGACGCCAGAAGAAGGATGGTCTTACGCTTCATTCGAATGCAACGTTCCGCTACCTATGGCTTCGAGCTCCTCAACTCCCTCTATCACACCTTCCTCATCGAATGATTCGGTATCCCGACCTCACTTGACTCAACTGATACGAAACGTTGTGGGCATCTTTCAACCCTCTCGACTCAGCATCACCCTCTTCGTCTCGACGCCTCCTTCTTCTTCTTCTTCTTCTTCTTCGTCTTCAGGTACCGATCAAGGCCCAACATCAACAAGCGAGACGGAAGCTAGGGCTTGGCAGGCTTTCAGTATGGACTTGCTTGGGGAAGGGTACACCAGAAAGGATAGAATAGGGTACGAGTTTGACGGGTACGATTTGGTCTTTGCGTGCTTTGAGAAGAGAGGCTGGGTCGAGGAAAAGGTGCAGTGAGACCGGGCCCCGAGGCATCGCGCGGGCACATACATTTTGTAGCTTATTCTCTCGAGGGCTAAGGGAGCGGACAATCATTGCGTACCATAGATGGATACATAGATCATGGACTACGCCGCAGCCGAATAGTAAGACACCGAGACTCCGTGCCCGCCGCCCATCTGAATCAAACATCTGTGGCACCACCGCTGCCATGTCAACAGGTTTGTGCAACCAACCTTTCTTCCATTCGGATCCGAATTCGAACACCTATAAAATTCGAATGAAACGTCATGACAGTCGAGTGAACTGAAATTCTTCTTCGTGCTCATCCGTCTATACAAGTGTCTGTTCAAGTCGACCGAGTGCAGCTGCGTCAATCTTGTTTGGCTTAAATCAAACGAGAAAAGACAATCAGGAAGATTTGATGAACACCTGCAAGGTCCGCTGAACCTGTCACCATGTCACAAGATTTTGACGTCCCATTGTCGAACACTAGAGTGAGTGACTGAGGACCAAGAGTGCTAGCCAATCTCAAAGGCGCTTGGGGGCTCAGTGGGGGATCGAGACTGACTTTCTCCTTCGCTTGCTGTAGAACGTCACCATCGTCGCTCATGTCGATCATGGCAAGACCAGTTTCGCCGATTCCCTCTTGTCCTCCAACAACATCATCTCTTCTCGTATGGCTGGAAAATTGAGATTTCTAGATTCAAGAGAGGATGAACAGGAGCGAGGGATCACCATGGAGAGTAGTGCGGTGAGAGAAGATTTTCCCGTTCAGTCCTGCGAATTTCGGGTGCTGATGCCCCTTGGATAGGTGTCCTTGAGATTCGACATGATGAGAACTGGGTCCGGAGGATGTAAGTTCAACGACGGTCGAAAGGCGGGATTCGCCTCGGCTGACGCGTTCCACTCGGACCTCCATGCAGCCTCTACGTCTAAACATCTCTGCAACGTCATTGATACACCGGGCCATGTCGACTTTGCATCGGAAGTATCGACCGCCTCGAGACTATGTGATGGCGCTCTGGTCCTCGTAGACGTGTGGGAAGGTGTTCAAACGCAAACTATTTCGGTCCTTCGACAATGCTGGATCGATCGACTCAGACCCGTATTAGTCATCAACAAGATGGATAGATTGATCACTGAGCTCAAGTTGAGCCCTATCGAAGCGTATCACCATCTGTCAAGATTGATCGAGCAGGTCAACGCCGTCATGGGTAGTTTCTACGCTTCGGAACGGATGGAAGACGATCTAAGATGGAGAGAAGAGAGGGAAAAGAGATTAGCAGAGCGAGCTACGAGAGAAGGGGATGAACCAATGGACGCAAACGGATCAAAAGGAGAAGGAGAAGCAGGAGAGGGAGCCGAAGGCGATACAGAAGCGGGATACGAAGAAAAGGAAGACGAGGATCTCTACTTTGCTCCTGAACGTGGAAATGTCCTGTTCGCCTCTGCCATCGATGGCTGGGCTTTCCGACTGGGAAAGTTTGCAAGATTGTACGCGGAGAAACTCGGTGTCAAGGAAGGCAATCTCAGGCGAGCGTTGTGGGGGGATTATTTCCTTGATCCAAAGACGAAAAGGGTGGTAGGGAGGAAGAAGCTAGCTGGAAGGGCTTTGAAACCTTTGTTCGTCCAGTTCGTCCTGGAGAATATATGGAAAGTGTACGAGACGCTCCTGGGAGATTAGTAAGTGGTGGAAAGTCCATGAGCAGGCGTGGGTGAGATCACTCATGATCACACACTCAGCAACCCCGACGCAGTGACCAAGATCGTTTCCGCACTCAATGTCCGAGTCTCACCACGAGATGTCAAATCCAAAGACACGCGTAATCTCCTCACGTTGATCATGCAACAATGGCTCCCACTCTCCACCGCTACATTCCAAGCTGTTGTCGACATCATTCCTCCTCCAGATGTCGCTCAAACACAGAGGATGCCATTCATGTTACTTCCCGAGCTAGCAGTAGCTTCGTCGACGCCTTTACAGCCTCAAAACACGCTCGAAGAGGGACTTTACTCCTGCGTCCGGGACGTCGAGGCCCAGGTCGTAGGGTACGTCAGTAAAATGTTCGCAGTGGCCCGAGGAGATCTACCAGAGTTCAGAAAGAGGGAAATGACGGCGGAGGAGATGAGACAGAGAGGCAAAGAAGAGAGGGAGAAGAGAGCAGCCGCTGCGGCTGTATCGTCAGCCGCGGGTAGTGTGCCCCAGGCTCATTCCAACGGGATCTCAATCGACGGTATAGAAGGTCTCACCGGTTCCCTACAAGACTTATCCGTCGGTCCGCCCTCTGAATTACAGAAGAGTGACTCGGACCGAGCTCAAGATATAGAGATCAATGACCAAGCTGAATCATCTGAGGTACTCTTGGCATTCTCTAGGATTTTCTCTGGGACAATCAGACGCAATACGAAGCTTCTAGCGACTCTGCCCAAGTATTCGCCTGATCTCCCACCGGATCACCCTCGAAATATCAAGTTTGTGAAAACGGTTCATGTCAAGGAAGTGTACATGATGATGGGTCGGGAGCTTGTAGCTGTGGGTCAGGTCCAAGCTGGACAAGTGTGCGCCATCGCAGGCATGGAAGGTATCGTCCATCGGAACGCGACTCTGTGGGCACCATCTTCGCTTGGACTGCAGGAGGATACGCAGCCTGAGAAGTTGGTCAATCTAGCGGGAGTCATTACACAGGTGAGTGTGACGGGTCTCTCTCCGTGCAAGAAACTGAATCGGGACGTGCTTCGCAGGCTTCACCCATCGTTCGTGTCGCTCTTGAACCGGAAAACCCAGCCGATATGCCTAAACTCGTCAAAGGTCTTCAAATCCTGGACCAGTCGGATCCTTGCGCAGAGTATCTGGTACAAGAGACTGGTGAACACGTCATTTTGACTGCTGGAGAGCTCCATTTGGAGGTAAGCATGTCGCTTGGGAACCAGGACTTGGGCTGATTGGGCGGCATCGTCTACCAGAGATGTCTCAAAGACCTTCGGGAAAGGTTCGCAAAGTGTCCTATACAGCGATCTCAAACCATCGTCCCGTTCCGTGAGACTGCGGTCAGAGGCGTGGGTAAGTGTGATGTTATTCCCACGAGGAAATGTGAACTGAGGCAGTGCCACTCAGACATGGCGCCGCCAAAGACAGCTGGCATGCCCCGAGGAACCGTCCAGACTAACCTACTAGGGATCCTCACATATACGATACGCGCGATACCACTCCCACCCGCCATCTCGGAATTCTTACTTTCTCACACCACGACCATCCGACGACTGGTATCCCAACACACCGCTCAGGCCGACGACAGATCGGAAGACGATCATGCAGACGTCGACGTCGATGCAGATGGCACCGCGGAGCAGACTCACACTCAAGCGCAGGAACAGGCTCGATCCTTGACGCCTGAGCAATTCTGGGAAGAGTTGGAAGCGGTTTGTAGGAAAGCTGGAGGAGAGTGGGTTGGCGCGGCAGATCGCATCTGGAGCTTTGGACCAAAGCGTATGGGAAGTTGTCTCTTGTTGGATCCTCAGGACACTCAACAGCTCAGGTCAGTCGCGAGACACGCACCGTTGAACAAACGATATTGACGCCGTGTCGATGTCAGACTCCGAGGGCGCAGTCAGCTCATCGCCAAAGCAAGAGCAGAAGGAGCGACGGCGGAACAGGCTCTCGCCACGACTGAATCTGCGGTAGTGGACCAACAAATGGCCACGTTGGGAGACCATTTGGGATCATCTCCGGTGGACGAGACGACTTTGGACGAAGCGATGAAGGGTCAAGGCTTGCCAGCTGATGCCACCAAGGCTGATTTGAGATTATTACAAGATTTCGAAACGTCGATCGAAGCCGGGTTCCAGATGGCAACGTTTCAGGGTCCGCTCTGTGCGGAGCCAGTCGTCGGCATGGCTTGGGTGGTCGAGAAGATTGAGATACAGAGGGACTCTGAGGGTGAGTTGTGGCTTCGTACGACGATAATTACGGTGAGCAGAGATAGTTGATGACGCTCTCTCTCCGTAGGGAACAACAACAGCCGGATGTCTGCGGTCGTTGGTGCACTCATCTCATCAGTACGCGAAGCTTGCAGGAATGGAATGCTCGATTGGTCACCTCGAATCAAGCTAGCCATGTATACATGCGACATTCAAGCTTCTACGGATGTCCTCGGTAAGGTCTACGCGGTGGTTGCTCGTCGTCGAGGACGGATCGTCTCTGAAGAAATGAAGGAAGGTACATCCTTCTTCACGATCAGGGCCATGTTGCCCGTCATCGAATCTTTCGGCTTCGCCGATGGTGAGTCTCGATTGAGGCGTTTGTCCAAAGAGTTGTAGAAGCGGCGCCGGGAGAATAACGTGGCTGACGCCAGGATCTCTTCCGCCCCCCCTTTTTTTCTCGGATTCAGAAATTCGCAAGCGAACTTCTGGAGCTGCATCACCTCAATTGATCTTTAGTGGATTTGAGACGTTGGATCTCGATCCATTCTGGGTTCCAACGACTGTAGAAGAGTTGGAAGATCTGGGTGAAAAGGCTGATAGGGCCAATGTGGCAAAGTTGTACGTTGACAACGTGAGGAAACGGAAAGGAATGTTTGTAGAGAAGAAATTGGTAGAAGCCGCGGAGAAACAGCGGACGTTGAAGCGATGAGGGGAGAGAGAGATATGTGGGATGAACAAAGTCTCGGCGCAGCACAAGACATCCATGCCGTGCGCACTGTTCAGGAGTTTGAGTTGGCTGGACAAGGTATCAGTGCCACTGGCGTCATCATCCTGTCGGATTCGACCGGCGGATCCGGGACCGGAACTGCGAGAGGGAGAGATCTTCAGACGATCCATGAGATCGCCCAAGGGAAAAAGAGGGTTGGGGGGTTTTCTGCCTTGGTATGTAAGACACGGGCTTTCCAGATTTAGTTGGTAAATAATAAAATCATTCACACGATGTCCGTGTGCTTCGTCTGGGGATCGTATAGGGTGCAAACAGAAGAGAGTGGATAGCTCGGTATCACGTTGTCGAAAATTGAAGACGTAAGTCGCCTGGCACTCGCTTGGAAATGCGGTCAAGATCTGGCGCAGGGAGTGAGTGTCCTTCATAACAGTGGCGGGCATTTTGTTGCATTTGGGCTTTGGCTATTCAGTCAAGAGGATTTTGAATGTTACATGAGTCCTCCTAGCGGGTCGCGATACGCTGTGCATTTTGCTTGGTGTCTTCTCTCGTCACGACGCTGCACATCGCCCGCATCGTCCTTCCTTCTTGCTGCCTTTCTTTTTTTTAAGATTGAGTCCAGAGGTCGATCACTGATATGAGTGCACACCAAGGGAGGAAAGTAGCGCGGAAATTTTTGGCCTTAGGCACGTCACTAAAGGATGAAACCACGATGATCTGTCGTTCCCTGTGCTGATTATGTGTACAGTGTTTACGAGCACAGGATCACATCCAGTGCGTCCCCCCCCCCCTCCCCTCGGGCATCTTGTCGTGATCGACAGAACGGGAATGAGAAATGAAAAATGGGGTCCGCATCTGCGCCTCTGATGTGATGTACCTCTTTCAGATCTCCGACGAGTGTTGACCGCACTGTCTGCTTCTCTGTGTTTCTACCTCTTCTCACCCGTCAAACTATTGATTGGTCTCTCGTCCCACTCTATCTTTCGGACCAGTCAACCCCCTAGGGTTACTTGATTAGTCATACCTTCAGCGCCTCGCCCTATCCCATGGAAATGCCCTCCTCAGACCCAACCCCTGAGAGGCCACCATTGCAGATTACATCAAGGATGAGTGTGAAGGCGAAAGGGAAAAGGGTTTTGAAGAACAGGGCGAAAAAGGAGAAAAAAACGCCATGATGCGCGCGCCGAATCAATCCTGTTCTCATTTTCTTTCTGCCTCATAATAGACGCCTGCCTGACCTGCTTTGCCGGCACATCAGTTCTTTGCCTCTCACGCCGTGCTGTCTGTGTTTGCTGGAACTATTTGCGCCCGATGCACATCTCTCGCCTTCTTGCACACACGCAGGAACGCACACGTAAAAAGGTTTGTTTTTATTTTTCCCTTCACCTCGTCGCCTCTTTCAATCTAACGATCATCATTGTAAAAAAAGTTGCGCCGCTTTCGTCTGAGCTGATGCCGGGCTGCTGCTGCTGCTCACACACAGCCTTTCGGTCATCTCCACGAGCGCCATTGACTTGGCTCGTGTCTCACCTATTTTACGCCTTGGAAAGCCTTTCGGGCCAGTCGGTCGATCGCGGAATTTGTCTGCAAAGGGGCAGGAAGGGAGGGAGGGAGGCAAATGAGAAGATCTCTCTCTCTCTCTCCCTCCCACAGCTCTTGTGGCCACCTCCCCTTTTCTCCCTCACATCTACTATAATCTGCCTCTTTTGATTCCTTGCCGCCACGCCTCTTATGCTAGAACAAGTCAAGAGAGCATCGAGGTGAGATTACCAGAAGAAAACGCCTCTTGTGGATTTTCCTTTCCATGGGCATTATTTGTGCCTGCTTGCTGCTTTGGATCGTGCTGTATACCCCTTCCTCTCCCCCTTCTGAACGGTAGTCGTCTATAGCCCAACTATTGGGTTCAGCCCACCCACCCTTCTGTCAATTTCCTCGTTTTTTTTATATTTTCATTAGTTACAAACCCTCAAGAAACCCCGTTCAATACAGACAGTCCTGGGACCTGTCTATGACCGACATCCTGTGCGTGCGTTCAAAGCCAAACGGGATCTGTCAGACTGGGTCATCAGGTGTCCACTAGGTGACTAGGTGGGGGACCTTGACTTCAGAAGAACAACACAGGATACAGAGAAGGAGAAACGCCCGCAGAAACAAACGGACAGAGAGGAGGGACAGACGCTTGCTTTTTTGTTCGACATTATCTATTCTTGGCTCTTTACGATCAATTGGTCCATGCGACGCCATTCTGAGATTGTACCGCCCCACTATTGCAGCATCAGCTGTTGATCCCATCGACACGTACATACCCAGCGTACGTCTGGGCGTCACCCAAGTGGAAAGAGGCTCGGGGGGAAAACGGCAAGAGAGACAGACGGAGAGAGCGAGAGAGCGAGAGAGCCAGAGATAGAGAGAGGCACAGAATTCCTGTTGGATGGATAATCACCTAAAGTCCTCCGCCGACTGGGATACCCACAAAGACGACAGGGAATAGAGGAACTTCTGGTGAGACAGAACGACTCTGATTTCGGAAGCCGTCAACACCTGTCTCCCTGTATCATAACCCTTTGAAAGACATACCAGTCAGTGTCTCGTCTCTCACCTCGTTCGACTCAACATCCGAACCCAAACCCTGACTTCTCCCCCTTCGTCGATCAGATGATCAGCAGTTGATCTTCCTTCGGCTTATTTTTCCCCTAAAAGGTGTCAGACCAAAGCCATCTCCGTTGATCCTCCTTGGAGGGGGGTCCAGCTTTCTCCTATTGGTTTCGCTACCTCCTTGGATCTCACGAATTGGTAGAAACGGCTGGCGCCCATCGACGAGCACGAGTTGAACACTCCCCAAATCATTATTCAGCCTCGACATCCCAACATTCAATTCATCGTCCAAGACGCTAAAAAGAAGCTTCCTCCAAGCAAAGAGTGGATCAGGAACATTCCACGCACACCAAACGGAAGAGTCAGCATCTGTGTGCGTGGTGTAGCACTTGTGATCCATCCTATCGCCTCCACACCTTCCTTCCATCAAAGGGATCGTCGACGCACGACGACGCGATAGAGAGAGTAGCCATCGACAGGTTGTGTTGGCGAGAGATCTGCGTGAGTAGCATTTCAGTCACTCCCTTTCTCACGACGCTGATCTACTCTCTCTCTCCGTTCTCCTGGTCCTTCATCCACCCATCCATTCATCTTCAATCATCCCTCATGACGATCCACGCGATCCCCATTCACCGCATGCTTTTCCCTGTCGCCACTTACCATATCCCTTTGGCTCAACATGTCATCCATCTGCACCTCTTCCGGGCATACTCGTATCCCTTTCACGACTCTGCTTCTTTCTCGGCCCATCGCTCTATCCTCACATCCCTTCACTCTTTCGTGATCGTCCTTGAACCATTTCGCCCCTTCCTTACACCGTCTTGGCTCAACTGGGTCCTACCCTACCTTTGGGATATACCCATCTCTCTTCTTTCGTCCTCTAATCTACATTATCCCTTTCTCTTCTTCCACTCTTTGCCCCTGCACATCCCACGATGCCCTCTGCCAATGCCTCCGCAACCTCGCGCCGTCGATCCAGTAGCCGAGCGACCACCAAACCTAGGCGTGTCGAGGTCACCACTTCGGCATCCTCTACATCCAGGAAAAGGGCACAGCGACACCGCAACCGCATCGCATCAACATCAAGCAAGTCAAGCGGTACAACCAATCGGCATTCATCTATGACGATGAGCTTGATCACAGATCTACGACCTCGGACAACACCACCGCCCGTAAATTCGTCACCCATGACGACCCTTATCAGACCTTCCTCCTCCCATGTGCTCGACTCTCCCATCGACTCGCCAGTCAGCCTCGGTCCGGGATACAAACCCGGCAAGATGGCCAATCCAAGGCGTCAATCGAGATTTGATCCTATCGGTCGGGAGGACGATTTGGAGGAGGATGGCTATGATGAGTTGGGTTCAAGACATCCACTAAGAAGAATGGATGAGAGCCAGAGGAGATCTTCTGAAATCAGTCTTCCTGGAGTGAAAGCATTGTTCGGCTCCATCAACGGTGGGTCATGACGCCCTGCCTGCTGTGCACATGTCCGACGCTAACGTTTTCGCTCATCTCAGATCGCCCCCCGACTCCCTCATCGGCATCCCAATCACTTCTCTACGGCTCCTCGCTGCCTTCACTTCGACCTGACTCGTCAGAATCATCCTCCCCGTCAACCGTGAGGACAACTCGTTATACCTCTGTCGGATCCCTTAGCTCAGGTGTCGCGGATTCTTTCTCAACTATATCGTCCAACTCTGGATGGTGGGCGCCTGACTATGAACGGTCTGCATCCAGTTCTGGACCTTCGTCGGCGTCTGGGCCGTCCAACGCGCGAGGCTCTTGGTCGTCCACGTCGCCTCGTCATCGCATGTCTGTGTCTCATGAGCCCAGTCCATCATATCTCGATGAGTATTACGACAAGCGTCGACGATCAGATCAGACGTCTTCGCAAAAGGACCCAGAGGAGCTTGCCAGGCTCAAATGGGCCTCACAGAACAGAAATGCCTCTTATCCTACCAGTGGGTCGTTCAGTGCATCTGGACCACTACGTGCCATGTTACATCCTCCTCAATCCTCGTCAGCTGGCATGTCCACGACTCGGTCGACAGACCCTTACCCCCATCCATCATTTTCTTCGCCTCTCACTCCTCACAACGAACTAGGTGAATTCCCATTCGAGCGTCGTCCACCGGTCCCCCGGAATCTGTCAATTGTCGGTGGGCAACTCGCCCAGTCTTTTGCAGATCTGAGTGCATCAGAGAGACAAGAGATGCCCCCACCCTTGTCACGATCTGGATCCCGCGGTGGCCCAACAGATTCGAGCGCTCAATCTCCCCGCGATCCGATCCGTCACCATCAGGGCGTTGTTAGTCCTCGATCAATGACGAGGACGCCGAGCCATCAGCGACTTTCGCCTTTATCACCTCAACCGCCAAAGACTGCTCCGCCTCTCACCGGAAGCATATCTGATCAATCTGAACATGCTCGACTCCGTTCAGTTGGACAACCAGAGACACCAGGAGCCACACGACACGGTATTGATCGCCGATCTTCCTTGTCTGAACTAATTCGTTCAAAGACTGGTGATGATTTGGCCATGGCTCAAGGGCGATTCACACCGGGCAGACCCTTTGGACTGGCCTCCGATCCTTCACTGCCGACGATGAGAAGGCCCGAAGGTCCATCTGCAACCCCGCTGGAACGAGCGTCATTGAGTGATACATCCATCATCCTCACCGGTTGGAATCCAGATCACGAAGCAGACGAGGTCGATGAGCGACCTCATATGGGAGCTCGCAAGCGATCAGCCGACGAACGCGATCACTACGCTGGACCGTTTGACGCTCCTAGACCGTCGCCTCACGGTCCTCCTCGACAGAGCTCTTATACGCGGGAAAAGAAGTCGACGAGGGATGGAATGCGAGGCATGGATATTTTGGCAGAGAGCGCGAGGAGAATGTCGGAAGCGGAATCGAGAAGTGCATCGCCGGGCAAACGGAGTAGCCCAGTGAAAGCTCCTCCTACACCTGGAGCATTCACTTCGAGTAAGGTCGCCAATGGAGTCGTCCGTTCTGCTGGTGCGGGACCTCGTTATCCCTGCGAATTTTGCCCCAAGACATTCTCGCGTCCGAGTTCGCTGAAGATTCACCGTTTTTCTCGTGAGTCTAGCTCCATTACCATATCTGATCTGCAAACTGATCCCGTCGTCTTAGATACCGGTGAACGACCATTTATTTGCAAAGAGCCTTCGTGCGGGCGAAGCTTCTCGGTCCAATCCAATCTGAAGCGGCATGCCAAGGTCCATCTCCTCCAGCCTTCTGCTGGCGGGAGGATTCAACATCCACCATATACCTCGCCTCGCCGCGCGGCGGGTACTTTACCAGGGGCCCCGTACCCCGGTCACAGCTATGGCGCGCAGAGCAGGGATGGACGCTTGGCGAATCTCTCTCCAATGGCAGGTCATGCTGACGCTATGGACGAAGACGAAGTGGAAGATGAGGAGGAAGATCCAGAATTAGACGAAGAGTATGACGAGCTGGCGGAGGATGGAGAAGATTGAGGACACGTACGTGTATAGAATCGTGTCAAATTGGGTTATTCTCGATGGCTCGTGGGGTGGACGAAAGACTGTAGTATACGGATCAGGTCGATTGTGTCTAATCTAAAAAGAGGTCAATGTGACTCAAATGTCTTGATGTATCCATCCATGTATCGGTCTATGATCCTATAGCTGCTCAAGACGTGTTTACAAAGGAGATTTTGGTATTATTTTGCCACTCCGAGCTTCGGAGAGCTCAACGGAATAGCATTTTGCATCGGGCCAAGGTCTAGCTCGTCAACACTTGAGAGTGGACAGTGTGGACGAGTATCGCCGTGCGAGTGAGAGACACGCGCAAGATGTCGTGCGGCAAGGATCTCTTGCTGTTGGTCTGGGTCCACGGGTGAGCTTGCACAGGCAGATGTCGAGCGCGCATTCCGCTCGATAACGGTGCGATGGCCTTACCGTCCTGTCAATTGCGGTGGTTCTCATGTCGATTATCCGGCTCTAGCAAGCTTGCAAGAGAAGGCTGACTCGCTCACGACCCAGATTCAAAGGCAATGAAGTGACTTTCGAATCGTTCCCTGATCGTGAGCATCCCTCTCAGTTGGCTTTTCACCCGATCCCATCGGCACTCCTTCCTCTTTGTCCACCAATTTGTCCTAGTGAGCGAGGCTGACGAGCAACAAAGGCATAAAACATCTTCTCGAGACGACTCACCCATCTCTCAAGATCGTGTCAAAGGTTTTTCCAGCCTATCAAACACGGGGAGAGCTGGTCAGGGCACTACTCTGGATCCCCACCTGTACATTGCTGACTTGTGTCCTCTCCAGAATGCCGCAACGCTGGCCTTTGTAGATTGGTTGACTTCACTCGTCGTGGAGTTGGAAAATGATCATGGAGCTGGTGGAGGAGCGGGCAAAGCACGAATCGTGCTAATGGGCCATTCGTGAGCCTTCGGTCGCTGTCTTGAGATGTCGCTTTAACAGCGGCCCCTGCTCTAGTATGGGAGGACTCTTGATTGCCGATGCTGCGCGGGATATCGTGGCTAATACTAGACCTGGAGCGCCGCTGTGGCCTCAAATTATCGGCGTGATGGGTCAGTACTGAGCTACATTAGGGTGAAGGGGCTGCTGCTAACATGGATCATGACCTTCAGCATTTGATACACCGGTAGGTCCCAGAACAGAAATGGAAAGGCTGACCAGCCCATCAGTATCTTGGCCTGCATCCTGTGAGCACTATCAAGGTCATATCATTTGATGCTAAAAGTCTGCTCGTCCCCAATAGCATACATTTGTGAGTCACATCCACCACCTCTATGCCATCTCGTCGGCGCTCATTTCTTCCCAGAAACATGGATTGTCAACCGCCGCCGGGTACTATGAGCAAGCCAAAAACATAGCCTCCGCGGCCGGGATGCTATCCCCATTGGCGATTGGTCTTGGAGTTGGGAAGTGGGGAAAGAGGGAAGATTCGACCGAGACAGGTCCGACTAGAGCACAAACATCTGCCGGGACGTCCAAGACGACGAGTACAGATACCTCTATCCCGCAATCTGCATCTAGCACCGAGCCCACAAAGTCGAGCAATTGGACGATTCCTCGGATACCGACGCCATCCACAAAAGCGCTTTATGGACTCGGTGCGGTCGCTCTCGGCGCTGCGGCTGCTGGCACGGCTTACTATCGACGAGAAGACTTTTTGACCGGTTGGAAGTGGGGATACGAGCACATGACATTTGTGAAGAATCTGTGGGATGGTGAAGCCATGACAAAGCGGTTGGATGATCTATATAATCTGGACACGGAGCACGGCGTGCGGTTCTGGAAGTGAGTAGTGTCGTCCACATTTGCACAGAAGCCGATTGCTCGAATGACCAGACTGACGCCACGAACCTGTCTTTCAGCTTCTACACATATCTTCCCGCTTCTCAACCGAAGCACTTGACATCCCGAACATTTATCATTCTTCCGTCCACCTCTCATCCCCTCTATCCTCGCTTTAGACCAGCTTCTAATTCGCTCGCTTCGGACGAAGTCTCTGCCCATATGGGCATGTTCAACGCAAAGACCAACGATGGATTCTATGATCTAGGTTTGGAAGTAATGAGAGGAATGGGGGAACGCGTGGAGGAGGCCGGAGTGGGTACCAAGACACACACGGCGTGTTGGGGCGTCTCGGAAGAGCTGGAGGAGGCTTTGACAAAAGAGTATCCTTCTGAAAAGGATGCGCTCGGCAATGGCTGGAGAGTGGAGGATCAAGATGGAAAGGTTGTCTGGGTAGATGAGTAGAGTCTTGAGAGCATAATGTCATTTCGGGCTTTGCTTGAGCCAGTAAGGTGTAGAATCTCGCATTCCTGTAGGTTGCGTGCACGGCACACTCCACATCTTGGATGCTACATCAGGCCGCCGCTGTCACTTGGACTCCCGTCAGGTCCTCTACCATTCTTTTGCCCATCTCCGCCGAGATGCCATCTTCGTCGTCTTCCCGCTGACTAGATAACCACTCGTAAGCTGAGCTGATCAGGATGTCGGACAGGGGGATATTGTACATTGCTAAGATCTTGATGATGCTCGCAATTGAAGAGATAGCCTGTCGACCTTCAGGTGTAATGTCCTAAAAGCCTTCGTGAGCAATTCGTCCGTAAGAGTCACGAGCAGCTCTCACATCATTCTTGTTCGAATAGACACCTTCAGCATCGAACCCTTCTCCACCTTCTCTGCTCTCCACTGAAGTGCCGACACTGACCCAAATGAGTCCGTTGAGCCCGAGGATGATATCGACTCCGGAAGGACCACACGGCGGAGGGATATGATGAAAATGAGATTTGAGACGACGAATGAGTCGTGGCGAAACGGACAAAAGTTGGCCATTGCGAAGCTTTCAACTCAATGAGCATGTGATGGTGCTTTGTGGGGAAGACCGACTTACCTTGCCGTATTTCAGTGATCTTGTATGCAAAGACATTGCGCCGTCACCGAAAAAGGCTTGTACTTCAGCCACGAGCAACTAGGATGAGGTATAAGTCACTGCTTTCCATGGCCGACTGCAGGAATGTCACGCACATCACCTTCCGCTAAGAACTCTCGCATCTTCAGGGCGTCACTCTCGATCTTCCGTCGCTGTCCCATGGCATCAGCTTGATGGTCACGATTAACGCCATATTGGAGCTGACCTGTACACCTCCAGGCAGATTGACGCTTGACAGCATGAGGACAGCATCCTGTCTTGCATTTGCGTCCACTCGCCAACGCATAGAACCAACTTCGACGATTCGTCCGATCACCAAGTCTCCGACCTCCGGTGTATACCTGTATGATGGTCAGATATGAGTTCAATGCGCAACATTTTGTGCCCTTTCAAGCTGCGTGTGAGATGGTATCCTAAACTTACCTCTGCTTCAAGGCCTTGACAGAGACAAGCTTGTTAACTCGCTCAATAGTTCCGGACAGTGACGAGACGACTTGCTCCTCATCGACATAGGTTCCGTGCCCCCTAGACATCAGTCAATACTGATTCAAACCCTCGCCGCCCATCCCCCACCTACCTCATATACTCTTTCGAGCTCGTAATGATCTCTCCTGGACTGACAATACCGCGATTAGTTGACGAGCCCTCGCCCAGATCACCCTGCTGGTCAATGTCCATTGACTCGTAATCCGGGGGTTTCCTATGGGTCTCATGGGGCCGCTCATGCTCGCTTGAGAATGAAAGGGCGGAGATCGGTGGTCTGGTCGTAATGCTGAACATGCTCTGAGCAGTGTGACAACAGATAGCTGGCAAGGTGAAAAAAAGATCAACGAAATCTATGCTTTGCATACAAATTTCAATGTGGCGGCGGGAAAAGGCAATAGAAAGGTCTGTCTGTCTGTCTGCCTACGGGGTGCATCATGCGAACGGACAGAAGCCTTCGCTGCTCTCCAAGCCCTTATATATGCCTCAGAATAGCCTGCCGCCTAACCGCTTCTTCCATACTCCCAGAGTTCTTCGCCTCATCCTCTTTGACCTTGAAGTAGGCATTCAACAGAGGCTGCCCGAAAGAATAAGTCAGCCACGCTCCATTGTCTCCCTTCAGATCCTTGACGGCAGCTGCCAGGGTTTCAGGAAGCGTCTTTGTTACTCCGAGGGTCTTTAGTTTTTGATCGCGTTCTGCAGCCGAGCCACCAGCGCCTAGACGTCCTTCGCACGGTCCCATAGTCAATGGCATTTGACTGTGTATCCCATCCATACCGGCAGCGATGATGGCGGCTGCTTGCAGGTACGGATTGGACAACGCATCTCCGACTCGGGCCTCAAAGTGAGAATCACCAAAACGGCGAATCGGAGCTGCGTTGCCCAAAGACCACATGACTGGACCGCCTCCATACCAGAATCTGCGTCCTTCCTGATATGAATCATACCCTCCCCGCAAGAATGCCGAGACACTAGGGAAGTGATCCAATAATCCAGCCAGAAACGCATCGCCAGGTTTGCTTCCCTCCTTATCGACAGAGACGTGCCAGTGTTGTCCGGCCGTGGGCCACTTTCCAGGAAAAGCATGAGGATGCATTGTAACGTGATATCCGTGCTTGTAAGCCAGGTCTTTGATGACTTCGGAGGCGTAGATCATGTTATCGATCGTCGTTACTGGATCCGCCGGACCCAGGGAGATCTCATACTTACTCGATGCGCCTTCCTGGTGATATCCCCATACGGCCAGCCCATTGGCTTCGAGGACATCCACAGCCTCATCTACGACTTTGAACACGGGATGTCTGCTTGCTGCGGTGTTGTAGAGGGGCGAGCCGGTAACGGGAACTACCTCCTCGGCGTCTGGATCGGTCAAGAAGTAGAACTCGATCTCTGATCCCATTAGCAGATTATAGCCTTTGGCTTTGGCTTCCTCCTGAGCCTTTCGGAGTGTTGATATGGGACATAAAGCGAAAGGTGTCGAGCTGTTGATGTATTGAGTCTCAATCACATTGACCATGCAACTCGCATAGTCCTTGTACAGCGCGCATCGCTTGATCGTCGTGTAATCTGGAACCCAGAGATCATCTCCGGCTTCAAAGTCCATGTCCATATGACCAGTCGTTGCAAAGTTCCTCAGTGTCTGACACACGACATTGATAGCTTGACCTTGGATGGTAGACTCGGCGGCCATCTGACGGGCTCGAGCGACTGTTAGAAATCGATCCAATGTGACATTCCCATAGGTCTTGGTTTGGTATCGGATCTTCCGAATGCCAGGATTGGAATGGAGGAAATGGCTCAACAAGCCTGATTGATCCAGCTGCATGTTGGTTGAGTCGAGGTTGGGCAAGATGCATCTTCTCTGACCAACCTCGCTTTGCTGAATATTCACCGCGTGTGTACAGTATGATCAATGACCGAGATGTCCGAAATTATTTGAACAGTATTGGTTCCGAGAACCCGATCAGATCAGATTCCCGAGGTCATGGTCCACCTCGTAAGATTCATAACAGCAACCTCCAGATAGCTGATGTCTCGTTTTGTCCAGAACAGGTATATGTCCCGTCAGAGCCAGGATCAGCTCTGCGAGATGGCTTATGATTACAAGTTGACGCGCCACGCCCGTGGTTCGTCGTGGAAATTTGCGGGAGATGATGATTTCTCTGGCGTAAGCTCGCCGGTGACGGAAACCAGCGCTGCTCGAAATGCACCGGGCAGCACTTCAAGACGAACTCAGACTGGCAGCATCTTGCCTCATGGCAAAGAGTGACGGAGCGGGAGTAGTGCCCGGGAGTCAGTTGCGTTCATCCTAGGAGCTTCACCTGCCTCGCACACAGAGAACTTCAAAGCTCCACATTCCCCAAGCACATCCGCCAGGATTGCTCCTCAGGCAACGCTTGTATCCGCTCTCCTTAGGTATTGACTGCTAGACAACGCCTTGGGCTGCTCAGTCCATACCAACCCTTCCTGCATATCTACCACAGATTGTGCCACAAATGTCATGCTGACGTAATGAGCTATGTCATGTTCGTATAAGATTTCAGGATGTCTTCGCTCAATTCAGCAAGTTTCCTTCCACAACGTCTGCACATCGCCTCGGTTGCGACAGAGAAGGGGCAAGACCATGCTTCAAACGGCGTCGAGCTCTGTGACGGTTGTCTCTTGAAACCAAGTCAATTCGCTGCTCGATCGAATTACAAAATAGCGGAAATGGCAAGCCCTTCGACGCGTCGAGGGTCTTCCGCCCAGGTTGACGAATCAACATCCGATCCAGCGGCTGAAGGACCATCGTCTCAGGAGTTTGAAGCGCTCGGAATCCTGGATGAGAAAGGACCAGCAGGGTACGAAGGGCGATATTTGGTCGATTGGGCCCCTGCAAATGATGGAGAGCCCTTCTCGCCTTCGTGGGAGAGAAAGACCGGATGCTCAGAGAAACTAGTGGATGATTGGCTCGCGAGAAAGGCCAAGGACCCAAGTATCGTAGGCAGACATGGAGGCGAAGCGGAAGAGGATTACGAGAGGCGCAAGAATCGGCAAGACAAGGGAAAAGGCAAAACGTTGAAGCGAGTCCGAAGTAAAGGTGCGTCAACTTGGACATCTCATCGCTTGTATTGACCGAGGGGGTTGCTTTTCTCAGGTGGAATCTCTGCACAGGGCTCTGAAGGGACCGAAGGCAAAGATTCTCCTCAGCAGAAACGGAGACCAACGTCTCGGGTAAAGCATGGTTGGGATTACGTTCCCATTCCAAGTCAAGAACAAGCGCCGATCAGGACGTCTATCGAGAGTGAGATTCGGCGAAGGAAGAAGGAAGGCCTTCCACCACTGCAATATGAGGTGAACGTCGACGGAGAGACTGGTCGAGCTACTCGAAAGCGCTCTAGGGACGTGTCGGGATCCACCAGTACCCCACGCCCGAGACAACCTCGACCATCGGGAGCTGGTTCAACGGGTGTTGCTTCTTCGGCGAATAAGAATCCGTCATCGTCGGAGAGCAAGTCAACGTCAGGTAACGGTGGTCCTCGACAAGTTGCAAATAATAGCTCGCCGATATCTCGAAAACACCCCTCAAAACCCCCGGCTTCGCGTTCCGATGTCCTCACTGCGAAGACACCACAGGATGCAGGCCGCGAGGAGACCTCTGGACCTTCACATTTGCCCAAAGACGTAAGCGGGAATAGCAAAGAAGCAAAGGAAGTACCAGCAAAGTCGAAATCAAGGATATCTTTCGCCTCCGATACACCTTCGACGAGCAAAGCAGCGCAAAAAGTACCCACAAAGTCGACTTCAACGAGCGCTCTCAGGGACCAGTCAGAATCGTTACTGGAAGCCAGTAAGGCCATGACTGCGAAGTCACCGAACCGCCGCATCCCTGCGACAGCCCAGAGTCCCAAGACTTCCCGCATGGGTCCAGTGCCCAATATCACCGGCAGTCAGTTTAAGGCAATGGTCAAGACTGTCGCCAACGGAGAAGAGCCGGCTTCCATCACGCGCGATTCGCCGGCAACTTCCCAAATCGATGCCATCGTCCACTTTTCGAGCCCTGTTGAAGCCGCGAACCGCTCTTCCCAGATCCAGCCGGTATCTAGTGCACCTCCCGCCAGCAGCACAATCCGGAGAAACGCGAACTCAGCCATACCCGCAAGTCCTGCAGGCTCGTTGTCTCGCAAGACGGCCATCAAGAGTACTCCCGGTCGCCCGAAGCCAAGGTCTGCAAACATGATCGCCAAGACTCCAATGAAGCCAGGACCGTCGACTGCGAGCGGTGAAGAGAGTTCTCATACATCCAGTGGAGACGAAGTACCGGAGGGAACTAGAAGGATAGGGCCAAATGGAGAAGTGAATTTTGTTGCGAATACCGATGAGGAACTTCCTTCTCTTGATTGGACACCGCCTAGGTCACAGGTTACAGCCCAGAAGCCAAAGGATGCGGTCACCATCGAGAAGACAGCGGATCCGACCGCGACTAGCTCCACTACGTCTGCGAAGACGCCCGCCATCAGCTCCACCACATCGGCGATGGCCGTCGAAAACCCCACTACGTCTGTAGCCGAGCAGAGCAAAGCCCCGGAGGCGGAAGTGAACGCCAATGCGAACGCGAGCGAAGCAGACGCCGTTGAGAAAGAGCTCGTGAGTCGTACATCCTTCCAATGCTCACGATCGTCCAAAGTCTACCACAGATCCGGCCCTTTCGGCGCCGCTCGCATCAGCAGAGGCCGGACCCAGCAAGACTGCTGCCCCGGTTGCGGCACCATCTCGTCCTGCCACAGACACCGATCCGTCTGATCCTATCTCTATCGAGCCCGAACTTCAAGTCCTCAAAAGGCTGATCGAAAACAAGAAGTCTCTGGACGAAGAAGTGATTCGCCTTCGTAATCTATATAACAATTCCGTTGAGGACAACAATTTCCTGAGGCAGTCCTACAAAGACGCTTCAGACAAAGCCGTCGCCGAGGTGCGCCGAGGCTATGAGCTCGAAGCTCAGATCGCGACACTCAAGGGACAGCTCAAGTTTGGCCTGAAGCAGAGAGAGCTTTTCAATGCGGCCAAGGAGAAGAAGCGTGAGGAGGAGGTCATTCGGTTGAGGATGGAGAACAAGGTTTTGATGGATCAAGCTCGCCTTACCGACGACGATGTACGACGAAAGGCGTCGGGATATGGAAAGCTGAAACACGAGAGGGATCAACTACTCGTCAAGAACATTGAGCTGCATGAGCAGGTCACATCTCTTACCGAACGAAATGAAGAACTATATGGACAGTTATCGACTCTCCGAGCTCGACTCATGGGCGTCATTCCTAGCGATTCGGAAGACGACGATGATGACTCGGAATACGGTTCACAAGAGGAGAATGGGGCAAATGATGCTCTCAAAGGATCGGGAGAAATGGGGAAGGGCACGGATGGGCACGAGAACGTCGGTCCAGGTCGAGAGACCCCACCGCAATCTGGGGAGGAAGGAGACGTGTTCACTGCATCGCAAGTTATCTCCTCAGAATACCAAGTCAGACAAACTCAAGCTCGAAGCACAGATGACGACACGATCTACCGATCTGGATTATTCCGGTGCAAGTGGAGGGATTTTGAGCGATGTAATGCTGTATTTGAGGATAAGGAGGTGAGTTGTCGACAAACCCCCGGCTTCCAGGTTGCCGCTGAGCACGAACGATAGGCTTTCGGAGCACACGTCGAGGCACACGCAAATGCGTAATATAGTCGAGGAGAGAAAGTTGTACCAAATAACAGGCGAGACGAGGGATCGAATCGTTTGAGCACCCAACATGTCACTATATGATTCAGAGATGTTGTTCCTCTGCCGATATCAGTTCTTGAAAGGTTTGCGATCGTCTGCAAGGGCGTCATGGCTGCATCTCCTTTTGCCAAGTTTTGCGTGACCGTTGCATATCTCAAGATACAGTTTACAAATACGGCTTATTAGACCTAAGAGCCCTTTCATTCTACCTTTTGTTGACTTATCCTAGTCCGCCCCATGGCCCGCGTATACGACGAGCCAATTGAATATCCCTCTGCATGATTGTCACTCGCTTTCCATGGACTGCACATAGGTTTCTGCAGACCCCAAAGAAATGAGCATAGGAAAACCTTGTTGATTGTGGACTCAAACTTACGCGTCCTCGAACAGATGAACCAAGAATGCCTCTGCGGCTTCTTGTAAAGCCAACAGAGCTGTACTTTGCCAACGTAAATTTCCAGCATCGATCGAAGCCATGTCGTATGAGACTTCACGGACCTGCCCAAGAGGAGATGGAGATTCAGCACCACTATGAGCTAAGATGGGACATACCAAGCGGGAGAAAGGGAGTTTGGCAATCAACAGATCCGTCGATTTTTGATACTTTCTAATCTCTCTCAGAGCGACTGTACCAGGTCGATAGCGTCGTTTCTTGGGATCGATATCTCTGGCGACTTCGGCGACTGGTCAGAACGGCTTTTAGCAAACGTTTTGCTCCCAAGAATGGAAAGAAAGGGGGGAGGGGGGATCCACTTAGATTGTCCGGAGGTACAGGGGTACAAAGATCTGTGTTCATGACCGTTTGGCCCTACTACTCACCTGATAATCTCGGTCTGGGAGCTTTTCCACCTGTACTCTTTCTCGCCGTGTTCTTCATACGCTTTCCACCAGGTAGATTGGTGAGAGAATTACGGCCGCCCCCCTCGTTAGGGTTGGAAACGGTACGAGCCATGATGTGGATGGATGGGGTTTTGAGATGAGATGAGAGTGATGGAAGACCAAGGCCGTTCTCGTGCAATTGGACGGTACAGAGGAATTGATCTGCCTGAGTGGCTGGATCGAGGATCAGCCGCGCCTGCGGAGAATGCAGATGATATGCGCGTCGATATAGATGGGATCAACAAAATGTTCGCTCAACGCGTTCTGTGTCGTCGAGTTCGGCCTTCATCGAAGCCTGGAGCGGCTCTTTTCCAGTCCAACGTGGCGCCCAGCAGTCTACCTGGCGTGCTTCAGACTCTTGATACCGCTCAATAATGCCAGTGGTATCGCTCCGCTAAGAAAGTATGGATCTCAACAGAAAATGTAGAGAAAGAAGGAAGGATTTAAACGAGACAACCCCATCCTTGGACCCCCGCGAATATTTCAACATTGATTTTTCTCGTAATAAAATGGACCAGCCACGCCGCGAATTCATGTCTGCCTCTTGATATGAAGCCATGGTGTACAACTACTATCATCTACTCTAGCTTATCAGCTACGAGCTCCAGAATGTCCGGTATTGATTTCCCAACGTTGGCTAGATTCTTTGCTACGGCTTGCCAGACGGGTCCATGATGAGGTTGGGCCTCGACACATTTATCAATGACCAATTGTTGGCGTTCCTGAAGCGCGTGATGGTCAGTTTCACTCATATATCTCTTTTCTTCTTTCACAACAAACGGAGAGACCCACCGGCTCGCCATGCTGTCTCTCAAATTTCAACCACCAGCCCCATGCGTCGCCCCAATCTGCGTCCGCTGTGATCGCGTTCTGCATCCATTGGCGCGTCTTTTCAATCTTACGCTCGGCCCAGAATAATCGAGCGACGGCAATGATCACGGCGGGATGTTCTCCAGCCTTTTTGAGCGCATCGACCGATCGGCCTTTGCGTTGTTGAGGAGCCTCCATGAAAATGGCCAATGACCATAAAAGAGGGGACGTTGGACATTCTTGCATAGCTGAAGAGCGGGTCAGCACTGTGAAGCTTGTCGAGATGGAATAGGATTCACCTCGAGCGAGGACACTCTTTGCCTGTTGAGCGCTCCCTGACCGCTCCTCAATTTTTATACTCTCCATCCACAACTCGTCATTCTTGGGATTGTGTAAGCGAGCCTTTTCAAGCAGCGATCGAGCTTTGATGACTATTCCAGCTTTCTCCTCTAGACGTGCGGAGAGGATCCAGAGCGGTATGGATTTCGGACACGACTTGCAGCCCTGTGCGTAGGCTGACCGAGCCTCTGACGTCTCGCCCCGAGATTCGAGAATCTGACCTCGGATCATGTGTAGTTTGTCGAACCCAGGGTATTTGCTGATGGCCTGTTGTAACGTGTCCAAAGCGGCGTCCAGCATCCCAAGCTGTCTCTCCAGCATGGCGGACTTCATCCAGATCTGAGACAGGGATCATCAGCAGCCGATATGAAGACGACCGACGACTACTCACACGCTCCGTGTCGGCCTGGGCTCGAGCCTTCTGCAAAATCTGCTGAGCAGCTTCCATTTCGTTCGTCTCTGATGCCAACTTTGCGGCGGCTAAGAAGATGGATTCCGAATCTTCATTCTGCTTGAACGCATCGGCCAGGATAGCATGAGCACCCGGAATGTCGCCACCCATCCACTTTTCCTTGGCCGCCATGAGCCAGAGAACCTCGGCGTGTGGACAGTGTTGGACACCCTTGGCTAGAACCTCTTGCACCGCATCACTAAGCATCGCGTCAGTGTCTCTGCTCCCGCAAAACTAGCTTTCAACTCACGGAGTGCCATGAGCTTTTTCAAATTCGGCAGCTCTTCGCCAGACTGACGGCGATGTCGGATAAGCCTCCAGCAATTTGACAAAGCAAGCTCGTGCAACTTCGTAGAAGCCGCCCTTCTCTGCTCTTTCAGCATCCTCCAGCCATACGTTCTTCCTGTCCTCTTCTTCGACCTCAAGGTGAATAGTGGCTTTGACGATAGCCTGAGCAGTGAGCGGACTGCCATCCTGTTCGCATTGTTCAGCCTCTTGCAACCATTGCTCTCGGCCCAGGATGACTGAATTCTTTTGCAGTGACGAGACGGCCATAGCCATGACTTTGTCCACTTGTGCGGCGAGCTTTCGCTGCTGTTCTAGATCGTATTCCACCTTGACTTCTGACATGGCGGTAGGCGTTTGCTCTGCCAATCGACCGGCAGCAATCCAGATCTCGTGCGAGGTCGGAATGACTTTTCGAGCCGAGTTGAGAACCTTTTTTGCATTCTCTGGTGTCTCCAAACGGGCAAGTGTAAGCCACAGCTCGACCGAGTTCGGAATGACTTCGACAGCTCTGGTGAGAAGTATTCGCGCATCCTCGGGATCTTCCTCGAGATTCACAGTTTCCTTCCATAATCGGACTGAATTCGGTACAAATTCCAGAGCTGATCCTAATCAGCAAGTGATCTATGTATTCAGTGCCAGACCTACCCTTTCTCAATACACGTTTCTTGGCAGCCGGCTCAGACTCAAGGGACGCAGCTTTGAGCCAGATCTTGACGGATTGCGGTACGTTCTGAACAGCTTTGCCGAGAACGACTTTGGCGTTCTCAGGCGTCTGAGCATATAGGGAGTGAGCCAAGTCTCGGATCGAGAACTGAGAACAACTCACATTCAACTCGGCGGCATGGAACCACACATCCTCGCTCTTTGGACACTTTTCACAGCCTTCCGCTATGATCTTTCTAGCAGCAACCATCTTCTTCGCATGGACTGTGAGACGTCAGCACCAGCTCGGACACCAGTTGCTCACCCTCCAAGGACGCAGCGGCGATCCAACCTGGTGCGTGTTTTGGATTCGACTGGATGAGATTCTGTAGCAGCTGACGAGCCTGTTTGATATCACTAGCGCACCGTCAGCTCCATTCCCGTCCCGTTGAAGCAAGCGCGCTCACCCTATTTGCGCATCCGTCTGTAGGATTTGACTGTTCAACGCCGTCATATACCCTCTCGGATCTATACTAGTCGAAGAGCCATTCGCTGCATCCTTTGAAGCTTGATCCAGACGCAGTGATAATACCTTGTCTCTAGCATTTCCAATGGAGATAAAGTCCGTCATCGTACCGTCTCCAGCCGGAGTCTCCAAGCCTCCATTCTGCGACATGCCGCTGATCAGTACCCAAAATCACTCCACCGTGATGATATCGCTTGCTCACCTCTTGCTGCTGAGCATCCAATTCACCCAACAAGGCGCTCCTACCGGCCACATCTGCCAGGACCGAATCACTGACGGCATAACTTCTTGTGTTCTGATTCTCTTCCAATCTCATGTTCTGCTTTCTCCGCTTCCCAGTCAAATTGCCAGCTTCCGGTATATTCTCCCAATCTGAATCTTTGAGCGTCGAAAGGGATCGTTTGAGATCGGCGAATTGAGTTTGAAGTTTTGGATTCTTCGCTCGTTCTTCCGCCGCCGCAGCTGCCTCTGCAGCTTCCCTGTAAGGATCCTGTCAGCCCGCCCCCCAAGCCCTCCTGCAAGACATATACACTCGAACGTGCTCACCTCCTCGCTCTCCGCCTCGCATCCATTCGTTCATCTACGCTCTCCCATATTTTATCCGCTTCTTCGTCGTCCGCTTCGTACACTGTCCCTGCGAATAGATTCCGCTCATCATCTGGATCCTGAAGCGCATCTGGATCCGGAACATCTTCACCACGTCTGGCTTGAGCTTCGCTGTATCAGCCATCACGAGGAGGAAAACCCAACATCAGCCTAAAGATCGTTCAACTCGCCATCGCGATGGGCATCAAAGGGCCAAAAAAAGAAACTCACGCGACGGCTTCGGCACTTGGTCCTTCTCTAGCAGGTCCAATATCAGATCGAGTGGTGAATCCAGAGGCACTACAAAAGTGTTCAGTATATCACTCCCTCTACAACTGGGTTGGAATGACTCACCCTCGTCCAAGACCTGCTACGTAGCTTGCTGGTGCAGCTTGATTCAGGAAGTTGTACCTGATCTCCTTGGGCACATGCTTAACCGTCCCGATGGCCGCCATGGTGTGAGCTGCCCCTCTGTCGAGTCCAAGCCGTGGATGGTTCAAATACAAGGGACTGCAACGAGCTCTGGTGCACTCTGGCCACCCGGAAAAAAAAAGGAGGAGATATAGGCGTATCGTACACGCTAGCTGAAATAGGCGCCCAAGACTCGATGTTCCCGAGTGCGACTGAAGCTGCTGCATTGAAACATTTAAGTAACATTCCCTCAAGCATCGATGGCCAGCATCTCAGTTGCTGCGAGCAGCGGTTCCGCTCCAGGCGTCGATGTGAAATGTAAGGAGAAGACCACAGAGGGAGAGACGGTAGAGTTCCAGTCGCACTCTATGCGCATCACGTCCGGCGGGTCTATACATTCTTATGTCCGGTTCGCATTGAAACACCTCAAGGTGAGCTGAGCGAACGAGCATACGATCACTTTCGGTCCTGACTGGCACTGATATGGGCTCTCTTGGCTGATAGGATAATCCGGCGATACCACTCGTCTTACATACTCTCCCTTCGAATCTCCCTTCCTCCCCGTCCTCGACGTCGACCAAAAAATCAAGGACGAAAGCCCGTACAGAGTCTTCGGTTCAGGCTGCTGGTCCTGACCAACAAGCGCAAGCACAAGCACCTGTGACTGGGGATGCGGACGTCAATGTAGGATCTGTCTCATCGAAAATGTCTCCATCCCGCGCCACTTCCTCTCTCCATCCGTGTACGCTCACAGTGCCCCGATTGATATCAGTCGTCGAACTCATCAAGCGACAATACCTGCTGGAGCTAGATAAATCAGGCAAGGGTAAAGGTAAACATCGAGCGACGGGATTATGGCAGTATACACAAAGTGGGCTCTTATCTGATTCTGCCGACCGCGACCAGGCTGGAGGACCGAACCGTTTAAAATCCGATGCGTTCAAGGATCCTGAGGCGTTGAAGAGGGTTTTGGAAGGTTCCACAAGGTCAGGTCATCGCGTGAGATTTTTTTCCCTTTCAGTCTTGAAGCTGATGCATCTAACAGACCTAAAATGAGACATCGGCCATATCTCAAAATCACACTGTCCACTCGACCGCTAGACCTTGAGAAGCAGAAAAATACCACTTGTCAATATGTCCTCGTGGGACGATCAAGAGGAAAGACAAAGGGGAGAAGCACGGAAAACGGCGAGGCTACGATGGCTGAGGAAGCAGCAGACAAGCCGCCAGAGTCCGATGCCCCGACGTCCGGGCGTATGGTGGACGGGGGCGGGACAATGACTCAGCATAGGAAGGACTCAAATCTCAAGGGACAGAGTACCGGGAAGAAGCGCAAGGCTGGAGAACCCAGTAGTCAGGACGTGTCACGGACCAAAAAGCAGCAAAAGCAGCGGTAGACCCGTTGAAGTTGTATTTTAAGGATGCATATGCCTGGACATTGATGAGATGGGACTTGGGGTGATGTCGATGCTGAACTGAACTGTACTGAGATGATGTTGCAGCGCCACGAATTGCCGTCACCTCCTCACGGGCGACAGGTACCTCGTCTCCACAGTATCGGGTAACGGACTCATTTCGGGTAAAGCTGGCGGCAATTGAACCGTTGTGCCCTGTGCCAACAGCGACATCAGCAGAGCCTTCGTAATATCGTCACCCGACATGGCTCACGCTTGGATCCTGCCTTGCGGCCCAGCTGGCCCCAGGCATCTCTACTTCAAACTTGACATACAGATCCCCTTTATCTTCCCTCCCTATCCTGGGCATCCCTTCGCCTCGGATGAGCCATTCATCTCCAGGGTTGATAACTCGTTCGCCTCGACCTGAATCTATGCGGATCCCTCGTCCGTCTAAATGCACGAAAAAGACCCTGCTGAATCCTAGTAGTGCCTCTGAGAGGGATATACGGACAGTCGTCCGTAGATTGGAGGGATGAGATGGATGCGGTCGGAGGAAAGGATGTGTTTTATGGTGAATGTGGAAAATGACATCGCCCGGGGGTATGTCGGGCTAGAGAACGAGCTTGAGTGAGCCAACATGCTTTGATATAGACTCTTTCGCCTACTCACCGCCTCGTCACCCTCTCCTTTCAGGGCTATCCGCTCGCCGTCCTCGGTTCCAGGTTGGATGTGGAATTCGACTCTTTTCTTATCTCTGAGCACTTTGGCTCCTTTACACTTTTTGCACCTGTCAGACATGTCAGCCAAAGAAAAAAACGTTCAAACCTTAGATCAGGATGCTCACTTTTCCTTATCCCTCAAACGTGTGCCTTCCCCATGACAATCGGTACAAGTGACTTTCATCTTTCCCACTAGACCAGGACCAAGCTGCGCCGAGCAGTTCTTAGCCAAACCCCACTGTCAATTTTTGTGGTACAGGACTCACATGCCTATCCGCAATGACGGATCCCTTACCATCACACGTCTTACACTTGCTTGGCTTGACTCCCGTCCTGGCTCCACTTCCGTGACAATGGCTACACACACGATCCCTCTCGAGACCCATCACTACCCGTTTGCCCTTATATGCTTCCTCCAGCGTGACGTTGTAATCGACAACGGTATCAGGTCCACGGGTAGGTTTTCGACGGCTAGGTCCGGGACCTATAGAGATGTCAGCGGAACGTTCTGTGACCCCTCCTCGACGCAAGATGAACGCTTGTTGTCTCACCCGCTGAATCAAAGCTGAAACCTCCCCCGAAACCGAATGACGCCCCTCCAAACATTTCTGCAAATATATCGTCCATGTCGACTCCACCATCGAATCCTCTAGGAGCGCCATCCGGTCCATATTCATCGTACGCTGCGCGCTAGGAGAAGCTGATGAGCTGTCTGTGGGATGTATCCCATGGTCCGACCACCTACATTGTTAGGATCACAGAGCGTCTCGTATCTATTCTTCGTCAGCAAAAGGTTGAGAGAGCTAGCTCGAGGCCTCACGCGCGATCACTCACGCTTGTCCGATCTTCTGGAACATCTCATGTGCTTGAGGGTCGTCAGGGTTCTGATCTTTGGCATCAGCCGCAAGGCCTTCGTAAGACCATGGAATTATTCACCTTGTCCTGAACACAGTGCATCAGCTGTGAGTAGCTCGCGAGGTCGACTGCTTACTCACCGGATGATGCAGCATAGCCTAGTGACAATGCATGTCTCAGCATCAGGTGATCATGACATAGCCATCCATCATCCCTCTCACCTTCCGCTTGTAAGCCCGCTTGATCTCTACTTCATCCGCATCTATGGAAACCTCCAAGAGGTCATAATATGTCCTGTCCGCGACCACTACATGGGTCAGAAGGGGGCCTGGACTTTGGATACTTGCTGGCTCAATTAGACAAATCTCTCCGTAAGCGTCGATCCTGATTCTTGAGTCCTCTCCAATACACGAAGATCTACCAATGCTCTGCGAGATGATGATGCAAAGCTGAATTGCAGGTCCTAAAAAAATCGCGGAACGTTCGGAAAACGCATCAATCTCCGTGCCACGTGGGACGATGCTTGTCAGTGGAGGTGCAACGATGGTCAGTGAGCTATCAATGCATGTTATGTGGTCCACCACAGGTGCAAAGGTTGCAGTGAACACCCTGCGTTTGACTATTCCGTCATTGGCATTGATATTTCCGTGGTCATGACTTTGTCTTGGAGCAGTAACGATGATGAGAGCGTATCATAATACGGCCACCGGTCCGTCCTTCCGAAGTTGCCGACCGACCTCGAGGCTTTTTAATACCAGATGCAATGTGTTGTTGAGCCGTTTGACTATCTGACTATCTGTGCTTTCTAACCGGATCACAATCCAGAGCTTGCATTATGAGCTACCTTGACCAATTGTTTGGGCTACACGGCAAGACCGCCCTGTGAGTCTTACTCCGAAGACTGAACTGCTGTCCCGAGAGAGACAGGCCGTCCTCATTTTCTCCTCCATTTCCTGGCGAGGGTTCGATGGCGAGCGCGCGGGTGTGACTCGGGGAGATGATTACAGCGGATCCGTGGCTGACGATATCCGCCTACAGCGTCACAGGAGCCACCCGGGGTATCGGCGCTCGTTTGGCGCTTGCTCTGTCCAAAGCCGGAGCCGATCTGATCCTCGTTCAACGGAACGAAAGTAACACATCGACTCGGGAACAAGTACGTAGCTCAGGTGGACCCGAAGGAAAGGGAGGCAAGGCAGATATCGTCGTCTGCGATTTAGCAGATAAAGATCAAGTTGGAGGACTGATCGAAAAAGTGACAAAGGGGATGGGAAGAGAATTGGATATCGTTGTGAATTGTGGTGAGTTAAAGCTTAGGCGTTTGGCATCAGATGGATTTGCTGGATTCGATCGAAATGGGAGGACTCATTTTCTGCACCTCCACGCCATAAGGCTCGCCAGGAAGGCGGACTAGAGCTGACACTGGCGTTCCGCTCAGGCGGTATTCAACGACGTCATCCCGTCGAAGTATTCCCCGACGATGACTGGAACGAAGTTCTCCAAGTCAACCTACACACAGTCTTCACCATCACGCGAGACGCAGGTCGGCACATGTTGGAGACTCGAGGCGGAGTCGCGGGTCAAGCACCTGTACAGTCTGCAAATGGACAGAAAAAGGATAATGGGAAGATTATCAATTTATCGAGTCTCGTCGCTTTCCAAGGTGGTCTGAATGTTGTCGCGTACGCCGCTGCGAAGCATGGTGTTCAGGGCATCGTGAGTCAAAACCCTTTCCTTTGAGCTATGCCCTCCCCTCCCCCTGGTCCTCCCCCCTTGCTCCCTATAGAGTCTCGCTCACACAGCTCTGGCCAGGTCAAATCATTCTCCAACGGGTGGTCTTCAAAGGGTGTCAATGTCAATGCGATTGCGCCAGGCTACATCTCGACCGATGTGAGTTGATCGCCTTCTCCTCGTGAGGAGGAAAACAGGTGTAGGGCTGACACCTTGTCAATTCAGATGAATGAAGCGCTCATCGCTGACCCCGTTCGATCTCGTCAAATTCTCGAACGGATCCCAGCTGGAAGATGGGGTACACCAGACGATTTCGAAGGTGCCATCGTCTACCTCGCCAGCAAAGCGAGTGACTACGTTTCGGGAGAGTGTCTCGTCGTCGATGGTGGATGGATGGGAAGTGAGTCGAGAACGCCGCCGCGGCATCTGCGGGGTCCCAACGGGAGGTAAGCTGATGTGAATACACAGGGTAATGGCTGTGGGCTTGGACGGCTACCTGTGCTCGAGGACTGTTCTGCTCTCAGAGGCAGATGTTGGGCTGGAATGCATGAGCTGAATCTGCTAGAATGGGACCAGCCTTATTCCGCTGCCAAATCCACGTTCATATGTCCGTCGAGCGAGTCTCATCAGGGCATCTCGTCGAAGCAAGCGTATTGGGAGATGAGACCTTAACAGAGGCTCTGATACAACAACCCAATCAAGCTCAGAATATCCATGTGTCGGAAGTGGGTGAAAACGACTACGCTCACGAGATTCTCATCTGGCACATGAAGCGGGACTCAGGAGATCAGTAAGCGTAATCACGAGAGATGGTGCCGCAGAGTTCACACACCGCCGATCGTGTCCCTGCCGCTCAAGACACGACGCTATGCCTCATATACTCGGTCAGTGCAGTGCTTCGAATGCGTACCGAGAGAGGTTTGCACAGTACTAGCATGGTGGGTTCGTTAACGCTGACAGACGCTGTCGGGAAACGGGTCCTACTGAGTCGGGGAATGAGATTGACAGATTCATCTCCCGCAGCGCCTGTCATAATCATCTCGTCCGGAGACTCGAAGCTATGGCGCTTATCCAAGGACGAGCGTCGGCCTCCATCATCCTACACTATAATCACAAAAATGCTATAGGCAAGCTTCGCAAGAGCCTCTTTGTTCCTAGCCATCGAATGCTATCACGTCACATCATCTGTCCTTCGTTGCCCGGGAGCACACCACTCCCGACGGACATTGTTCCTCCCTCGGCTCCGAGCAGTGCACACCTTTATCTCACGGGAAATATACTACTCTCCCGTGCACTCCCGAAGAGATGTGGGGTCCCGACGAGACCGCTGTACGGTAGGTAACTCCCTGATCTTGTCATACACCTGGGATGTCATCGTGGCGTTAAACACCATACACATAGCGCCTACTTTTAGTGGGATACGACGATGGCGGGTCGGCGCAAATATGGCAAGGGAGTTAATGATGATGCTGATGATGATAATGAAGATCGTCCCCATCCCATCAGGTACGAACGACGCCACCATCCCCGACCGCCACCATCACACACTTTCCTCTCACTCACTGGCCTCAGATATTCCAGTCGCCGGGAGAATGGATCGTTGAAGAAAGAGAAAAAGCAAAACCACATGGTACCTCAGGTTCCCGCTAAGCGGGTGCGTTTCAATGGGACCTGATCTTCAAGATGGGACCTGGGCGTTTTTTTTGCGTGATCCTGCAAAAGACGTAACCTACGGTACCTGGCCAAAAAACTTTCCTGTGAATCAGTATGGAAATCATCATCGACCCCCGCTTGCTACGACTTTGGTGAGGCTTTGATGCGCCAGTGGCTGTGGCTCATACCTCTAGATAAGATAGCGGTAGGTATGTACAGCGGCAAGGAGATGGATGGAGGGTTTTCAAGTGGGATGATCCATGACGATCAGCGTCCATTGCAAAAGCTCCCATCCATCATTGCTCAATGACCCTCACTTCAGGGTGGATGGTCCCCAAACATTACGTCGATAGCTATAGGTTTAATCAAATACGTTGGCACAAAAAAGGTGCGCACATTGGGGGAGATGGACAAATAATGAATAATGACATTTTCACAAATCCTCCGTCCCTGCACCGAGTCCTTCAAGCATCACGTCACATCACCAGCCCGTCATTCTTTGACCATGACGATCTGCTCATTCGCTCATGGTCTGAGTCGTCGACAGGGGGGGGGGGGGGGGGCAGTGCCCGTAGTATGATGCTAACCCGGGTAGCCAAACGGGTACATGAAACTCTTGGAAGCGACGTGTACCTCATTTGCAAAGCCTAACGGTCAAAGTACCGTAGGGTTCAGGACATATAAATAGCATTTTTGGGTTGTTGTTGTTGTTTTTTTTTACAATCACCTATTATCTCTCTTTACAGCATGGTTCAGGCACCAGACCAGGCTCGAGAAATGTGTCACTTTATATGCCCAAACCCTTTTTAAAGAGTTGAAGTACGCGAGATAGCTACCAAGGTAGAGCTGCTCTCGAGAGATGTATTCCAGCTGGTGTTGGGTTGAGTGAGAGGGTGCGAGTGCCACGCGCCTCCTTCCACAATAACACACACATATCCGTGTGATAGCAATGAACGTGAGTGTGGCTGCTGATTGATTGATTTGATTGCACACTCAACCGGAGCACGGGTGTATCGGCATTACCGCCGTTCAAAAGAAAAGATAAGGGGTTAAGCGGGGAAAAGGGCGGGGAAGGGAGAGGGGAGGAGAGAGGGTGGGGAGAGAGAGAGTTGAAAATGAGAGACCCTGAATAGTTCAGGAACGGGGTCAAAGAGAGAAAGAAAAATTTAGTCTACAACGAGAAAGGGCGAAGAGAGGACAGAAGACGAGAACGATTTGAAAAAACGAGGATTCAATCTGGGCCAAAGGGGAAAAAGAAGGCACACTCCTCAGGGTACACTTTTCAGCCCTCTGCTCTGACGCCCATTGCAGATCAAACTGGGGGGATACAGGAACACACACATTACGTTATCTATATCAACGGGCAGCAACCAAGGGAGAGCATGTTCTCCTGCTGTGACGCCCGTTGAGCACGTTGCTGCTGCTGCTGCCCCTTTAGGTCCTGGCCCTGAATGTTACCCTTTCTTTTACGCAATGATCCCAACGGAGATCGAAAGAGGGCAGGGGCAGGGGCAGCAGTCGAGCAGAGCAGCAGTCGAGCAGCAGCACCCCAGGCTCAGCTTAATATCAGCACAAGGTCCCAGGTGAATGTGTGTGTCGTGTATGTATCGCGGTTCGCTGTCGCTGCCTGCCTGCCTGCCTGCCTGCCTGCCTGTTGCTCGCTGCTCGCTGCATTGGAACCCGGGGACCTGTGTAGATCTCTTCTTCTTCTTCTTTCTTCCCCTTTCGCCCCTCTTTTCGATCATATATCCTGATCCCTCTTCTCTGTTCCTCTCTTTATCCTTTTCTTGATCCCATTTCATTCTCTTTATTCTCTCATTCTCAATCAACATCATGGGCGATCAATCATCCATCATCACCATCTGATCTTTAACACTACAGAGAAGCTTTCGCGACGCTGGAAGAAGTCCCAAAACGACGCCTCGGTTCAATCGCAACTCCCTCCTCTCCTTCCCTCTCTCCCAACAAACGCCTCAGGTACCGCCGACCACCACCACCACCACCACCACCACCAACGCCGCCAAAAATCACACACACACACACTCACGCCTCTTTCCTCCGGTTCTTTGTGATCCTGTTCGCCCCCTTCCTGCTGGACAATTTACAACCCTCTCGCTCTCCTAAAACACACTCACACACATCAGTAGCGGAGTGACTCACCACACCTTGTGTACCTTCTTTTTCCCGTCCATCACGACGACGGCGAACCACCACCACCACCACCACCACCACATCATTTCAGGACGTGAATATTGCCAGATCCCTTCTCGCTTGTCGATCCTTCTCCAATTCTCTCCCTGCTTTCTGTCCACCCACCACCACCACCAACACCACCACCACTAGCCCATCCACACCCAGAGCCCATCGGGGGGAATAGAATGGAAAGTAAGGACGCCTACACTTCAAAGGAATACAGAGAACCAGTGAGTCTTTTGACTATTCCATGCGAAAATGTGTGCCCTGACAATGAATCTCTCTCTCTCTCGCTCTACTGTCAGCCAAACTATCCCTCTGGACATCACCCCGCTCCCCCCACCTCGTCCTCATCCACCGCCGCGTCCCCATTCGCTTTTGCGCCTCCCCCTCTTCCCATCAACTCGGTCTCAAACTCGTTCAGATCTCAAATGTACCTCTCCGACCCACCTACCGGAAGCTACCCTAAATCAATGGTCCAACCTTCCTCTTACCCGTACTCGTCTGCTCCCATGGGATTCAGATCTTATTCAAGCGAATCCGGGGCGCCTCCTCCCCACAAGACTTCTTCCAACTCGCCAGCCAGTTTAGCAGGCAGAACACCCAACATGGACATCGCCATGGGGTCTCCACTCAACTCTTCATTCAGCAGTCCCTACGCCTATGGAGGTGGAAGACAAGTTAGCAGTCAAAGTCCGTATGCTAGCAATCTGTCTCTCCCTTCACCTCAACCTCGCCCCGGTGCCTATCCTTACATGCAGGCTCCCGATATGCCGAGATCACTCACCTACCCTTCTTATGCTCAGCCATACGCCTCACCATCCGCTTATCACCCGTCCCTCTCCACTCCTTCTTTGCCCACGCAGAGCGGTCTGAGACACGAAAGCTCAGGTGCCGGACCCATCCGACAACCCATGGGATACTCATTTGCCAACCGATTGCCATTGGTCGACAAACCTTTCAAGTGTGACGAGTGTGTCCAGAGCTTTGTAAGTGGTCTCCTCGGCTCAAAACGTGTCCTCTCATCTGACGCCTCTTTCTTTATCTTCCTCTTAGAACCGAAACCACGACCTCAAACGACACAAGCGGATCCATCTCGCCGTCAAGCCTTTTGGCTGTGAGAAGTGTGGAAAGACGTTCTCCCGTAAAGACGCTCTGAGACGTCATTGGCTCGTGAAAGGATGCCGTGGTGACGAAGGCGCTACTGCTCCCATTGTCCCCATGTTCCCCATCACTGGAGCCGCGGTCCGAAATGCCAGACCGACTTCTCCTCCCACCCCACCCGGTCACATTACACCGCCCGAAACGGCTACCTCGGCCTCGTACCCTCATCCATCCGGTTCCTACTCCATGAACAGACCCGATGTTCCACCATTGCTCAACACTTTGCCCTCTCGCACACCTTCCGTCCGATCTGGCATGTCTCAGGTCATCCTCACCCCTAATGACATTGGACCCAACGCTTCCCTGAGCAGACAACAGCAGATGCCAGGTGGTGGCGGATCGATCCACCTCGAAGACCCAATCGTCATTGAGCCTTCCATGGGATCATCTTCCACGCCTCCCACGGGTGAAAGTGGTCAAAGTGGATACTTTGACATGAACTTGAAATCGGGTTCAGACTCAAACATGCTCAACGCTCCCATCCTATCACCAGGACAACAACACGCTCAATACAGTAACAACAACAGGTCTTACAGTTCGCTCAACTCGCCAGCGACTAGACCCTCTCATCACCCATACCGACGAAGCAACAACCCTAACACTTCACCGGTCAAGCTGTCACCGAGGACATCCACCACACTGTCTCCAACTACAGGTTACGCCCCGGGTCAGAGAACGTACTCGGGTGAGGCTGGTGCTCCATCCATCGGACCAGATGGTAAATCGGCATTTGCGGTCCCTTTCACACCGGATTACCAATCATCAGCCAACGGAGATATGCTCAACGTCTCTCATCCCCCTGGAACCGGTCACAGTTCCGGAAGCCCAGCGGAAGGCATGTCTCGTCAATCTTCTGGTGACTCTGATCCTTCCACTTGGCAAAGATGGCACAGGCCAAGCTTTCCATTCCCTCATTCCTCTGCTGGCACCGGCCCAAACTCGTCATCTTACCAATCCTATGACAATTCTCCGCCTCTCGAAATGACTTCTGCAAGTTATTCGCAGTAAATGGCATCTCTCACTATCAGTTGTACATCTTTCTCCTCTCTACCTTCTCTATCTCCCTCACTTGGATACTCTCTCGCCTACAGTCTCACTTTTTTTGGTTCAAACGCCATGGTAGTTCTTCATTCACGGTGCGGAATGCTCGGGACAATTATGGCACCTCGCGCTTTCGGTAATGTCATGCGCTTCGCCATCTCATACATACCCGGCCCTTCAACTCTTCCTTGCAGTCAGGACAATCATTTTTGGAATCTTTTCTCTCTACTTTTTGCTCGGTTCTTTTCTTGGGTTTTTTGCTTTTGGGAAAGCGTATACAACTTCGCTTACTGGGTCGAAAGTCACAATTATGGTGTAACAACAGTCGATGTTCAGAATCTTCGTTCTTTTTTGGGTGATCAGGAGAGGACTTACAAAAAGGAGGGGTCAAAGATGTGTGTGTGTGTCTGATTGAATGGGAAGCAAAATTCCTCCCGGGGAAATCCGCGGACTAGGGGGAACATCTATTTTGTAGTGCTGTCAAGGGGTGACTCGTCAAGGCAACCGTCACTCGGTAGTAGTATCTAGCCCAATACATGCAAAATGGTGATGATCGTATGCTATTTGCTGGTGTTTATGGTTTCTTCACACTAATTTTGGGTGCAGACTTATGACCACGTAAAGCTACTTCGAGAGCCCCCAGTGACCCCTTGCTGTTCCGCTAAAGAGCCGATTGCAGTAGAATACAACTCGCCAGGACGTCTTGTTCTTCCGCCACAGCTGTTCTTCTGGTCAGTATGTCGGTCGCGGCCTGAAGGTCTGGAGGCGGAGAACAAGTAGAAGACGACAGAGGTGGGTGGCAAACTCACCCCTTAGGACCACCTGGATCAATTTCATAGCTAAGACTGGATCATCCTTTTCCATCTTTTCCAACTCGTCCTTGGACAACATCCACAAGACACATTCTCGTTCCGCTACGACCGTGGCGTTTCGACGCGTATCGCTCAAGGTGGACAAATCACCGGCAATGGTTCCAGCAACCATGGTCTCAATAACATATCTGGGAAGCAGTCAACCCGGTCTCCACCACCACCACAAGTTGAGCAAGATGAGAGACTCACCTGCCATGATCCGCATACGCATAAGTCGCTCTCAATGCCCCACTTTCAATCAGATACAGTCCATCCGGTGACTCATGTTGCTTCCACAGAGTTTGACCTGTAGACAGGGTGACCTGGTGGAAATAAGGTACGAGAGCAGCATACGCTTCGAGTGGGAAATCAGTCGGGGCGAACGAACCCAACGTCTGCTCCAGCAGCGGTAGGGGTTGAGCAGCTGGTTCAGGCTCTTCAGGCGGAAGCGGTATGTGAGCTGTGAGATGGGTTTCCTCCATTCAGCAAAGAAGGACTTCATTTCACCGACATCTTCCAACTGCTCCCACTCACTCTTCGGCAATGTATCTGTCCCTGCGCGCGCCAGGTGACTTCTTCTCGGACTGTTTTGGAATGATTCGGCGAGAGTGAATGGCGCACGCGAGACTTTTGGAAAGTCTATGGTCCTAGAACGAGCTTCTTGTTGTTCTAACGCTTGCTGTTGCTCCAACGCAAGTTGGTTCTCGTAGTATGCGGTCCTGCGACGTGGTCAATTGACAACATCGTCACACCAGTCCAAATTTCGACCCACAAGTAGGCATTCTCTGTCCATTCCAAAGCATCATTCAAATCTTCAAACACTTCCACCTCGGTGCCTTCCCGGTCCGCCCATAAGCCGACACCTTGCAGTGCTGACCCGACCAAGCCATTGGGAGCCGCACCACAGAGGATCAACCTGACGTTCTTGGCTGAAAGCAACCGCTGCACGCGAGCGAACGCTTCGGCTGAGGAGAAATCGAGGGCCGCGACCAGGGCGAAATCAATAATGAGGAAGCGGATGGGATTATGTTGCCACTTGGCCAGGTCTAGCAATTTACGAATCTCTTCTTCGACGGCCGAGATCGTGCCGAAGAAAACTGAGAGCAAGAGGTCAACGGAGCTACACGCTTTGACTCACGGAATCCCTGGAGCTTCATGACATAAGTCTGGGTACCGACTTGCTGTAAAAAAGCCCGCTGAGGTCGCGGGCGCCTGACTGTGGATTTCGCCGTGGATCCGCTGAAGACTGCACGAATGGCCCGTCGTCGAGAATTCTGAACAACGAAGAAAACACAAGCTAGAATGATGCCGAACAGCAGACCGATCACAAAGTCCCATCTAACGAGCGGGGGAAGCGAATCGTCAGCGCGCAAATGAGGGCCTGGCTGCTCTCTGTACTCACACAGTCATACCGATGGCGATTGCCCAGATGGTAATGTACTCTGAGCGATTGACTTTATGCCTCGTGTCCCACACAGCCTCTAGCAGGAGGTCGATACCGAGCACGAAGATCAAGGCACCGACCACCGCAACAGCTGGCCGATTGATTCAATCAGCATGGCAGTCAAATCGGCTCGTGTGCAATCGCTCTCACGCAGATAGCCAATGACGCGCGGTCCGACAAACATGATTCCCGCTGTTCCCGCTGCCAACATTAACCCCGATAGACGAGAGCCTCCGCCGACTCGGTAGAACAAGACGGAATTGACGTATGTCAGGTAGTTTGGTACCTTGAGGGATCAAGACTCAGTGAAAGACACCGGGAAGATAACTCTGTAAGCACTCACCGTGCCTGTGAGACCAGCTGCGAGATTGGAAACACCATGCGCAATGAGCTCTCTGTCGAGTTTGACATTATCTTCGCAGAGCGTAACACCGAGAGCCGGGACCTGGGGACAGGGTCAACCAGCCAGCTGCCAGGCTTCACATTGTGACTCACGTTGAGAGGCACATGCAGGATGCCAAAAAAGACCAGAGCCAATTGAGTTGGCATACCGGCCCAGAACGCCCCCCAATCGGTCTTTTTGAAATCCTGCAGTGTATTGGTACGAATAGCACATTGTCGATAGACTCACAAAGTAGGTGTAAAACTTCCACCAGGCCTCTGAACCACCTCCCACATTCATCACCCATCCGAGCTGTCTCAAATGGTCCAGGTCAAATCTTCCAGCAAAGACGATGATGTAAAACACCACGGGGATGAGGAAAAAGTACGCTGGAAAGATGAGTTGATGGTGGAAAAAATGAGTGATGACCCGAAGCATGATGGCGAGAGCCAGTGGGATGGTCCACAGAAGAATCGCAAGAGGCGATTCGAAGAAGATTTTCAAAGTAGCGAGGTTGTACTGAAATCCTTCTTCCTTCAGTCCTCGGGATACCTCTAGGCCCGTTTCGAGGAGAAAGACACCGACACCACCGATGCAGCTGTGGGCTCGGTTCAGCACCTTCTGAGGCTGTCGGACAGTATTCCTCTCACCCTACTAATATATGCCGCGGGAAATACCCCACCAGAGTGCCCAGTCGGAATGCTCCGAGAGAGAAGAAGACGATACCTGATAGCATGAGCAGCGCACATACGACAAGCTCCTTACCAGTCAATATTGAGCTGAAGGCAAATGCCATCATAGTCGTGGCAATGACGGCTTGATCCTGCAATGTCCAATTAGCGAGAGACAGAGGATCTCGATTTCCTGCGTGGTCAGACTCACATCATCTCCCACTTCCTGCTGGATGATATTGACCAGAATGTGGAAGAACGGCACGGCTTCAATCATCATACTCCCGTTCCCGCCTGGGAAAATACTCCCCCCAAGGGAGAATACGAGCTGGGACACGATGCAACTGCAGCGGACGCGATCAGGAAGAGATCCGTGGCAGTCAGTCGCAGATGGAGGCTCACCTCATGAAAAACATGGACACGCCCAAGAGGCCAAAGTTGTTGAACACTGGAGTGGCCGGGAACCTGTTCATCGTTACATCCTCAGCACCGCCAGAAGTCCTTGCTGGCGAGGCTCACAAGATCATTCCGTAACTGACTCCATCCAGGACGTTCAGCAGCATCCCCAATATCACACTGGGCAACGTTTTGAGGGGATCGGCGACACACGCACTCAGGACTCCTTTCCAAGTCATCTTTCGCACCCTTTGATTCAGTTCCCATCGCGTCCGTCCCAATCGACCGGAACCGGAGCCGTGTTCGTGCGTTTTGTCATGTGCTAGACTTTCCGACCGACGTCTCAGTAGAGGACTGTTCTCGCTGCTGCCGCTGTTGTCGTTGTTCTCCTCGTCCTCTTCACCTAAAGTCTTGGTAATGTACCTTTGAAGGGTCCTAGCAGCGTGTTGTTCCTCCTCTTCACTCGGTTCGACAATGATCGCCGGGGCCATCTCCGTCCGGTTGGACTTTCGCCCTGAGTCAGTTATAGTAGGCATTGCAAGTTGATCGTCTGGTGAGTTTGACTGGTCCGGACTTGCAGCACCAGCGCTCAGTTGGACTGTGCTCTGCCCACGCGAAGGTCTCGGGGTCGTATCGTCAGGCAGTTCCACTCCTTCATGGATAGGAGAGTGTATTTTTGCCGACCTAGCCTTTTCAAGCTCCATCATTCGACTGAGGCCCGAAGGACCAGATTGACTCTGGGTAGGTGAGACGTCCTCCGAATTGATAGGTTCGAGAGGTACTTTCGGACTGGTCCTTGATAATCTTGGGGATCCATCGGCTTGAGCGACACCGCCTGATCCCGAAGATTGAGGACTGAGCAGTGTCTCATATAGATGACTGGGACCTGGAAGAGGATGGACAGGGACAGAATGACCGCTAGAGACTGAATGATGGTGATGCGTGAATCTGAGACTATAAGGTGATATCGAGGCCGCTTCGTTGGATCCAGATGTGAGAGATGATATGGAAGCTCGGGGTTTAAAGGATAAAGAGGCGAGACGATTTGAAGAATCTCGGATGGAGGCTGAGATCCGGGTGTAGTTTTGATCCACATCTTGACTCTTCTTCCTAGGCATGGACCTTGAAGATTGTCCTCCGCCTGTTCCCATTTCTTCATCTTGTACCAGTGGACCAGGTGGAGATCTAGCCATGCTCACTCGTCGAGCCCTAAAAGCAGGTAGAGGACCTTCTCTGAATTCTCTGGTAGGCGAAGCAAGGCTCGAGTACTGTTCATCGATGGTAGGTGGTGAGACTGCCATGGATCCGTATCCTCGCGATTTCCTCCTGGCAGCACCGTGTGAATTGGATTTTGGGGATTGAGCAGAAGCGGAGGGTTGAACAGGTGCAGTGATGGTTCTGGGAATAGAAAAGGTCGTCTTGTTGGGATTTTGAACGGGTAAAGTGGATGTCCTGGGGAACCCAAATGTCGTGGATGTGGGAGATCCATACGACTCTGCCTCGGTCGATGGGGATCCCGAACGACCGCCTGCATCCTGCGCTTGAGCGAATGGAGAAGAAGTGGATGTAGATGGGCTGGGTAGTCGAAAGTGGGTATTAGAATCTCGAAACGGCATGATGAGCTAACTGTAAGGCTGAGACTCCGCGCAATCAAGACCCGTAGATCCAAAGTGGCTCTAGACGTATGTCTAGGAGAGAAGAAGGAGACCCGGATGATAAGGGCTTTGCTGTATCGGTGTCGCAGTGTGATGGGTGTCAGGTTTGACGCGAGGTGATGTTATCCCTTTCCAGAACAAAGCCCTATGAATTCTCATGAACACATTGTCCAGTACGCTATCGCCAGCTCCACTTGGTTGTGAGTACCAGTCGACGACCCGTTCAGACGGAACAATTGAGAGCGTGACGACTGCGATAAGGAAGCGTCACTGGGAAGTTTAAAGGAATCAGGCGGATATCGCCGCAGCATATACCTACGGCCGGGTATGCTATGCTTCGTTTGGCATGCGCGGAGGACGTATGCATGGGTGTCGCTAGACGGGCACCGTGTGGTCTTAGCATGCAGCGGTCACTTCTGGGATATCTCAGTTTTGATCCTCAGAATAGAGACTTGAAAGACATCACGATATCACGACTGGTTACACGTTGAATTCTTGATTGCCCTCAATAGTGCCTCCAAGTAATGACCTTGGAAACCCCGACGAAGAGCCCAACCGGCATGAGCAAACCGCACATAAACTCTGAGCTATGTCCGTGGCGGTGATGCTGGCGAAAAACATCAGTCACAAAGCGCGAACCGCCAACCAATAGGACGTCGATCATTTCGTTCCTATATGAGGGCACCGTGAGCTCGGCCGAGTCGACGGACTCTAACGGATGTTTCGTCGCCACAAGTACCGCATAGCGGAGGAATGGGAGTGATCACTGGTAAAACACGAGATGGGCCTGCTCTTTCGGCCATTCGTAGTATGCCCGAGGATGTCAACTACATAGCTAACAACTCGACAATGATCAAAAAGGGGATCACGACCTCGTTCTTAGTAAACGAGACGAGGCTGTGTTTCTCCCATCACATGGCAATGCTTGAACGACCTTTGTAGTGGCAGCCTCGACCAAGTCATCGGCTTTCCTACTCTCATGGAATGCACTGCGGCAAAGAGATCCGGCGAAACTAGCGCCAACACCGGCAGCAGCTCGGAATCCGTCCTCAAAACCCAGTTCCGCAGGACGCTAACCCTCTGACTCATTTCCGCCTCTTACCCCTTTTCCTCTCTCACATGTCGATTTGTATCGCCTCGGTGTCTTGAACGAGGCTAGCCTTGCGTCATGACTGCATGTCACCGCCTCATCTTGAGTCCTTGTGGCAGAATGGGGAAATACGGAGAGAGATTGATCTACATCCAATGGAAGGGATGTCATCAATACAGCAAATTTGGGGATCTCGATCGTACAGTGGACGGGCAGTCTCGACCCCTTATTTGGTTCGTCCATTCGTGTACTGGCGCTAGGGACGGGGACCCCCCCTTTTTTAGTAAAGAGACAGAGCGTCATATGTCGCTGCGGGCCTTTTGATGCCTATTTGTGGAATATCTAATGTCCATGAGGCTTGAAAGGTGAGAGAAGCCATTCCCCTCCGCGGTGCTGCTGCTCAATGAATGTCGCTCGCGTGCTCGCTGCCAGCTGTCAGAACCAAACAACCAAAAATGCTTTTCTTTTTTTGGGATCTTGTGTTTGTTTTGTTGTGTTTCGGCGGAAATGAAAATGGTTTTTTTTTGTTGTTTTTCTCGATGATCCCGGTGTCCGGGTGGCTGGTTGAGAGCAGGGGAGGGAGGGGCATATGGACTACTGCTGCCGCCGCTGCTCCAGCAGCAGCAGCAGCGGAAGATCTGTGGGGCAACAGAGTGAGGCGCGGCAGCAGTATAGCAGCAGCAACAGTAGCAGCGACGTCCCGAAGACGTCGTGTATTGGCGACTGGACGTTGTTCATTTTTCGCGACTGTTTTCTCAGATGGGTAACTGTTGCGTCAAAACACTTGGTTGCTGAAGGACGACATTGACACACCACACAGCTTCGCCGCCCCCCATACTTGATAGCTGAGATCGTTGTTGGAACATAACCAAGGAGGATACCCATAAAATCGACGCTAGTCCCCGGGGACAGTCTAAACTTCAACGGAGTGCGCACGGTTCCTTGATCTTCCAGCAACTTGCCCTCTCTATCTCCCTCCCAACCACACTGGCTCACTCAGAAGATACACTCATCGGACCACATCGACCATCCTATACACTCTTATAATCACACGCCACGCCCAGCTGCACTCCTCTGGACGACATCCCTCCTCCTCCCCTCCCCGACTGACCCGCCTTTGTCCAGCTGATCAGGTGAGTCCTTTTTGGATTCTGGACTGTGGAGTCCCCCTGTCAACAAATAGACACTCTGATGCGTCGTGTCTCACACACACCTTGTTGGCGCTCTGTTCCCCCCTCCCCTTCAACCACTTCACCCCTCCGATGCTCTCGGATGTCTCTCCATGCTTTGACCACATGATAATTTCCATGAACTGACTCTCTCTTCGTCTTTGCCCCTCTCCTTCCCTGCTGTCCGGTGGCGATAGACTGTTCAAAGCGTCCAAACGTACACGTCTCGAACTATGGACCATTGACACGATCCTTGTCACCCATCTCGCTCTCTGTCTCAGTCACTGTGACAACCCCACACTCTTTTGGAAACCATCACATTCATTTACAACCCATTGACACGCGCCCCGCACGACCCTACCCATCTCATCAACCAGCATCATGAAACTGTCCACACCATCTGCTCTCGTTTCCGCCGCCTTGCTTGCTTGTGTCCCTTCCACCCTCGCACTCACAGCCGAGCAATGGAAAGGTAAATCTATATATCAGTGAGTGTAGAGCTTCCGCCTCCTCCTCATCATCTCCTTGCTGAGACGCTCTTCCAAGACTCCTCACCGATCGATTCGCCCCTCCTTCGGCCGATGCTCCAGCCAGAACCCAAGATTTACCGGCCGTATGCGATCCCAAAGCTCAGACATGGTGTGGAGGAACGTGGTTGTCAATCATTGACAAATTGGACTACATCCAGGATATGGGTTTCGACGCCATTTGGATATCACCCGTTTCGACCAACATTGACATTGCGACACCTTACAATTTTGCCTATCACGGGTACTGGGTCACGAATCCGACAACGTTGAACCCTCGATTTGGATCTGAACAGGATCTGCATACCTTGTCCAATGAGCTACACAAACGAAACATGTTGCTCATGGTCGACATTGTCGTCAATAACGTCCCATCCCTGTCGATCAACGATTCGCTGAGCACAGAGGCCCTTCAGGCAGCAGACGTCTTCTGGACAAACCCGGATCAATATCATCCATATTGTCCTGTCAACTTTAGCAACCTGACATCGGAGCAGTACTGGTGAGTCCTCAAAGAGCCTCCTTGCACCCAAGCTCACAGTTGTCCAGCTGGCTAGGAGACCTTAAACTACCATTAATGGATGTCGACACAGAGAATCCCTTTGTCATTACCACACTCCAGAACTGGATCAAGAATCTGACTTCGACGTACAACATCGACGGACTAAGAATAGATGGCAGGTGTGCATGAAGTGGCTCTGCTAATCTCTTATCAGCTGCCAAACACATTCCAGGGGTCTTCTGGCCAGGTTTCTGCGGAGCTGCAGGAGTCTTCTGCATCGGAGAAGTTTACACCGGAGATGTAGTGTGAGCTCAGTCGTGTGCACTGTTCTGTGATTGAGCTCATTCGATCCCAGCTTTGCCGCCGAATGGCAGACGCAAAAGTGGATGGACTCCATCTTAGGATATCCCCTGTACTTTTCCCTTGTCCAAGCGTTTGGCACTCCGATGGGAAACATGAGCAATTTCGTTCAGATCGGAAACGCTGTACTTGACATGCCTGTGAGTGGAGCGAGACACCGAGAGGTCAGCGTGTCTGACCTTCACACCTGCAACTAGGACCCAATGGTCTTTGGCAACTTTCTCGAAAACCACGATCTCCCTCGATGGCTCAACGCGACCGTCGATCCACAACTCGCTTACAATGCTCTCATTGCTCAATTCATCTTTGATGGCATTCCCATTGTCTATTAGTGGGTTGAGCTCGCACTCTTTTCCAAGGACAAGCCTGATGCCGTTCACAGTGGACAAGAGCAAGAATTCCACGAAGGCGCCGGAGATCCTTACAACCGACAAGCGCTCTGGCCTTCCAATTATGCCAATACGACCACTTACAACAGGATCAAGACATTGAATGCCGTTCGCAAAGCCGTCATGACGAACAACACGATGTACAATGGACAAAACTTCATAAATTCAAAGACCCAATTCATCGCCAGTACAGACTATGATGTCGCAATCCGCAAGGGACCATTCGTCGCCGTCCTGACCAACGTGAGTCAGGCCGAATTCCGGCGGACACGAACTGACTCGATGCTAGCGAGGGTCTCCCAGTCAACAAGTCACCTTTGGCGTCCCAAATTCCGGATTCGACAGTACCAGTGCGGTCATCGAGTACGTGGATAAAAGATGCGATCAAAGCTTCAAGCGCTGACATCTGCCAGCATCATGTCGTGCCGTTCTTTCAGTGTGGGTGCCAATGGCACCATCTCGGTATCGTACGCTGCGTCCGGATACGGAGGAATGCCATATGTGAGCTAGATCGTTTTTGCAGCTGACCGAGCTCACCTTCGTTACCAGCTTTTCATGTCGCAAGCCGATGTCTCGTCTATCAATTGGTGTGGACTAGGTAGTCAATACGCGTTCAAGTCGCCCAATGCCACATCATCGGCTGTAGTGATGAACCCAAGCATGGGCTTGTTAGGTGCTGGTGTGTTGGTCCTGGTCGCGGCTGGAACACTCGGATCCTGGATAGCATAGGGTTGGGCCTGATGGACCGGGGAAGAAGGAGTTGCACACGTGCACGATGAGGCGAAAGGGGCAAGTGAACGAGTTCAGAAGACAACAAAAGGCGGCCAAACGTGTAACTGATATTAATTGTCCCCACCGTACGAGCAAATCATTATAGTATCTGTCATTGGCGCAAAGACGTTTTGTAGCCTTGTACCTGTATCGTGTAACGAATAATGTCATGACTTTGAGTAATCTCAAGCTCTAAAAGGCAGGGCGCATCACAGGGATGTCTGATGCATGTCTGTCATTGGAGGGAGTGTCGAAAATATGGAACCCGTGTCCTTATTGCTTTTTAAGATTCGTCGCATTCAAAACGTCATCCTCGGCCACTGAGGCGAGTCAGTTGGGTCAAAGATGACATGAGGAGCGGCCACTCACCGTTCAACAACAAGCTCTTGGCGTCCAGCATCAATTTGTTTCCACTCTGGCTCAACGTCGTTGCAATTTCTCGCGCGGCTTCCAACCTTCTGAGCTGTAAGAAACCCTTGTTTTGCCTGACTGCTTCTCCGATCAATTCGGCAGATTTAGCTTCTCCTTGGGCTCGAACAATGATACTCTGTTTCTCTTGGATGGCCTGATCGACCAAGAAGGCAGCACGTTGAGCGATCTGCTGGGCGACTTGCTTGGCCTCGACGGCATGTGTGAACTCTGGGGAAAACGCAACGTGGGTGATGGAGACGTCGTCGAGGATCAGATTGAATCTTCTTGCTCGACGAGTCAGGTTCTCTCGTACCAGTCGAGAAACCATTTCTCGTTGAGTGATGAGTTGCGAGGCGTTGAATTGAGCAACGACGGATTTCAAGACTTCGTTGACGATGGAGGGGAGAACTCGTTCGTCATAGTCGGTACCGAGCTCTCGGTATCTACACGGTGGATAAGCTAGGAAGACTTCCAACAGCCGAAGCACAGGTTGACTCTACGCTTACATTGTCGGCAAATCGTTGACAGAAGGTCGAGACAAGACACGGCAGGTGATATTGACCTGGTGGCCGTTTCAGTCAGCGGGACGAGCCCTATGGTGAATAGCAAATCGACATACCATCTGCAGATCCTTCGTTCCCGTCAACGAGGCGATGTTTCTGGGTTTCGCTCGCACATCATAGATGATGGGCGTTTCGAACCAGGGGATCTGGTGCAAGTGTCAGAACCGGGATTTCGCGCTCGTTGAGGATCTTCAACGACATACGACAAAGTGAGTTCCTTCGGGGTAGATATCAGGCCGAATACCATATAAACGTGTATACTTGATGGCTCGATGACCTCCGTCGACTGAAGGGAGAAGGAAAATGATGGCGTCAGCATACGAGCGATTCGACAGGAAGAGACCCTCAAAAAGCCGATGGCGCAACGCAGATGATTGCCTCGCATCGATATCACCGAGCAGACTCTTATCCATGACTCACCGTTGTACAGTGAATAGTTCAAGGCGATACCTCCAGCAGCGAGAGCGATCAAAGCTCCACCACCGGCCAAGATGCCTTTCCCACCTGGCAATCCTCCTCCTGAGCCGCCGCTACCTCCTCCGCCTCCTCCACCCGTCGCTTGCAGCCTGGCTCTGTTGAGCTGCTGAGCAAGTCTCGCGAATGCTTCTGGTCCAGTTCTATTCATCGTCCCCTGTAGCTGAATAGCTGATGAAATCCGAAGGAAGACACGAAACAGGTTCAGATGTACAACGATGTTCCGCCCTTCTGTCCCTGGTCGATGCCGAGGTCGATGATGAGAAATGCAAACGGCTGACTGGGAGATTTCGGCAATTGGATTGATAGGATATCACGTGACTTCCAAAAGTTGGCCGCGGGGTTGGCAAAAAAGTTGGAATTCGAGCCTTGCAACAACTGCTCGGTTGGTATCTTGAAGGGCATCCTGAAGGTCGCCAGTAATCATACCGCTGTCTGGCAGAGGAGTTAGCAAAGCGGATGAACATTGGACCTTTATCCAATGGGAGCCGATTGTTTGGATTCATCCGTCGCAGCAGGCCCTTGTCGATCTCTGTCAGACACTGCTCAACCTCATCTGACGCTATGGACGTTCCGTACACTGTTCCACTACCGGGCGGGATTCCGCTCAATCATAAACCTCACACGGAGAGCAAGACGACGATATTGCTGCCCTCCGCTGGCGCTTTTCTGAACCCACCTCAGCAGTTCAATCGAGACCTCAGCGTCGCTGTCATCAGAGCTTGGAACGAGAGGAGGAAGGAGCTGGCAGAGGCCAAGTACAAGGCTAAAGCTGAGAAAGGAAAGGGGAAGGGAAAGAAAGGTAAGAAGGGACAGGGAGATGCAGAGCATAGAGCCGAGGTCACTGTCAACCCCGAGGGTGAGTCAGTGTGACACCGGCCGGACTGACCGAACAGAGATGACGGTGAATGGTACTGGAGAGGGCTCCCACGGACAGCCGGTCGCTGGACCATCGAACCCTGTGAGCTAGACAGGGATTCTTGAGCTCGGCAAACCGGACTAATGTGCGAGACAGAAACCCTTTCGACCCCACAAAATCACCATACTCGAAGCCCTCTCCGCCACCGGTCTCCGAGCTATCCGATATGCAAAGGAGATCCCGGATGTCAAGTAGGTTCATACTCAGCCTTGGATTTTCTTCGAGTTACTGCTGACATAGCTTGACATTAGGTGTGTGCTGGCCAACGATCTCTCCCCCTCTGCTTGCGAGGCAATGCGGATGAATGTAGCGTATAATGGCGTGGCAGAAGACCCCTTGAATCATCCGCCGAGCAAGGCCGGTCCATCAAGGACTGATGCTGCTCAATCGCAGACTGAGACGGAGGAAGGGTCTGGAAAGACTGCTCATGGCGACGCTGATAGCTCCGACAAATCAATCGATGTGGGGAGACGAGCTGGATGTGATGGTTTCGTCAGAGTGACAGAAGGTGATGCTTGGTGCGTGCAGTCTCTGTATCGCTGTTATCAAGCTCATGAAGCTCAGTGATCTGATGCTGGCTCATCGGCATCCTGTCAAACGCGTCGAGGTCGTGGATCTGGATCCATATGGTACAGCTGCCCCCTTCATCGATGCAGCGGTGAACGCCGTGGCGGACGGCGGTGAGTGCATGGCGTCCTAGAAAACAAAGCCCAGTTTGCTGATCCTCTTTCTTGTGCAGGTCTGCTCTGCGTCACATGTACCGACACTGCTGTCTTTGCTGGCAATGCTTATCCTGAAAAATCGCAAGTCAGGACACTCTACTTTGTCTGACCTCTTTCCAGATTCTCAAACTACGGAGGTACCTGTGTCAACGCCGAATACCGACATGAAGTGGGACTCAGGTTGATCCTCCATTCTGTCGCCAACGCTGCTGCTCGCTATGGCCGACATATTACTCCCTTGCTCTCCTTCTCCATCGATTTTTACGCTAGACTGTTCATCCTGATCACCACCAGTCCTGCTCAAGTCAAGGACTTGGCCAGGTGAGGGCGTTTGGACAGAGCCAGTCAGACAGTCTCACTGATCTCATTGACGCAGCCAAACTGGCCTCGTCTTTTACTGTCCTTATTGCCATGTCAATCAGATCCAGCCGTTCGGACGTACTATCCAGAAGGAGAATGCGCTTGGGCAATTGATTAAAGACTACAAATTGCCTCAAAAAGCTATCGATGGGGACAAATGCGTGGAATGCGGGACCAGACCAAACGTGAGCGTCTTGCAGGATCGGAGGTAGAATAGAAACTGACTTACGAATGCTAAAGGTCGGCGGTCCCATGTGGTTGGGCCCGATTCAGGATCCTGAATTCGCCCGCATAGTGTTGAAAGGCATCGAAGGGGACAAGGAGCAGTACGGAACATGGACGAGGATGCACGGCATGTTGACATTGGCGGAGCAGGCAAGTCGCTCGGGGAGGCCGGGCGAACCTAAGACTGACAGGAATTTACCTGGCAGGAGCTTCCCGACCCGTTCTACTTTACCCTGAACCGGATTGCGAGTCATTTCCACGCGACCAGCCCACCCAGTTCAACCGCGATCAACGCGCTCCTCCATGCGGGATACAATGTCTCTCGATCACACGCTACCGCTGGATCGTTAAAGACAAATGCACCTTGGAGTTTCATCTACGATATCATGAGGGAAAGTATCAAGACAAACCCGGTCAGAATGGACAATATCGCAGAGAAGAGTCAAGCGAGGGAATTATTAGCCAAGGCTCAAACGTGAGTCTGCGCATTTTCTTGCCGTTCGGAACTCATTCGGTCTGACAGGCACGAGATCAACTTGTCTAAACACCCTGAGACGTATAAACTGGACAAGGGTCAAAAGGTGGTCTTTTATCAGGAGAATCCGACTCAGAACTGGGGTCCAGCTAGTAGGGCAAAATCATATCAGAAACATCATCAGACCAAGCAGGGCCTGGCCGAGCACGTTGCGGAGCATACTACAGCGAGCGATGCTGCACCTGCCGAGCCCGGGGGGGAGAAGCGCAAAGCCGAACTTGAGGACATGGGCGAAGAGACAAATGTCAAGAGGGCAAAGGTGGGATCAGATGAAGTCGTTCCAGACGCCGAGTCGTGAATGCATCGTAAGGAGCAGTGATTGCGGTAATTGTGGGACTTGTCTACACCGCTCAGGCCTGGAGTCAAAGAGGTGAAACTGGGCACTCAGGTTGATCGCCGGGATTCACGGTGATGGTTGTGGTGCCACAAAGAGTTTGCTCGGGATGATCGTCTCACATTGATGAGCATATCATGATGAGGTCATGAACAATTGTTCATTGACCAAATCTGCTGCATACATCATCTCGACCTACAGACTGGAGCATTCTGGTCATCTAGACCTCTAGGCATTGTCGAAAAGGCGTCTGTGCCAGTCAATCACCACCCATCAGTGATAACCCATCAGTAAGGTCTACAATCTCACAAACTATATCGCATCGGTCCACTGCATTCATCTCCTCATGGCGGCGATCATCATCTTTCTGGCCTCGTTAGCAGCGGGCAAAGTCGTTCAAGTGCGCAGAGAGAAGAAAGACAAGGAACATAGGGTTCAGCATGGCCTTCCACCCTCTTACGATGGTAAGTCGACTTTTCGTTGTGCTCATACACAGTCCAAATGATACTGAGGGTGCACTACTACAGACCGATCCTATTCTTCTCTTGAGTCCTCTACACTGCCCACGACACGTTCGAAGCGGACAGGATGGCGCGAAAAGCTGAGGCGGAAGTCACATTCAGATACGACGAGGAATCACACGAGTACGGAGACTGCATCGCTCGCTCCACCGGCGTACAACCGATAAGGCGGTGTGGATACCCAGAGGATCAGAAAATGACCTGGAGACATCATGTTGTAAGATCGTTGTATACATTTCTACTCGTTTGGACTCAGCCGCTGGACATCTTGCTGTCCATGTCTTGTCTCTCGCTGTGTGGCCCATTGCACTCATTGTCCACATGACCGAGGCAGTGTCGTAACCGCGGGCATCCTATGGAGAAGACAATTTTCGCCAATAAGACCCTCAGATGCGACCACCAACTACCACCAAGCGCTACACTGCCTCTACTTGGTGAATCTATGGTCATACATCGCTGGCAGCCCCTTCGCTCCCATCCTCAATCTGCGTCATTACCATGTTCAGGGCGAGCTCCTTCCAGAGCGGAATTCTCCGCCGTCCTAACGGTTCGCCACCCGTTCAATGTCCAACCCAGCTGCCCTGGAATGTTTAGCTGTCTATTTGGCATATCATGAGCGAACACCCATTATCGGGCTCCCCGAGCCATCTCTTCTTTTCCCGTCCTCTTCCTCTCGATCTACTACCCCGTGTAGCGTTGCATCTCGCCAACACCTCTCAGCCCATCTCGCAGACCACTCTTGCAAGGATCGCGCGTTGTTCTAAAAAGTTATACTTGATCGCTCAACCCCTGTTGTACTCCACCTTTTACCTAGACGATGAGAGCTCGGCGTACCTCCTTGACAACTTTATCACCCTCGATCGAGTCTATGATGGAGGTGCCGACTTTCCACCGTACATGTTCGAGACGTTCCATGATCTTCATCCTATCGACATGCCTCCTCATCTGAGGATCCTGTACAATCTGTGGAATGTTCGAACGCTGGTCATCAAAACGACGCCATACGGACAAGGCACTAGTCATTTTGCTCGCATGGTTGAGCGCCTCAGTGCAGATCATATCACTCTGCTTCCCAAATTGAAGAGGATTGTCATTGCTCGAAGTGCGTTGGAGAGAATCTCTCGGGCTGAGAAGGTTGGCAAGAGGTTAGGCAGTGAACTCATTTCGAGCCTGTCCTTGGCCTCTCGTCCAGCTTATCTCTGTGTAGATATACCTTCCAAACCGCCTAGAGACTTCACTCTCGACGAGCGTGAGCCGGGCGCAGGTCCCAGCTTTCGATTCCTCTCACGATCGAATCTCATAATCGACATAAGTGAGATGAAAGGTTTGAAGCAATCGACCTGCCATCTGCACAGCGATATCACGGCGCCGATAGCCATTCGGGGCGCGCTGAACAACCTTTGCTTCGAGGATGATTACCTCAGCGAGCAAGCGTTTGTGTTCAATGATGAAGACGATGATGGCCGCGAAAGTGACATCTTTCTGCAGTCGGCTGCTGTGAAAGTCGTCGAGCAGATCAGACTGTCTATCACCCAAGCGATAGATCCTAGACCTCAAGTCGTTCCGATCCCGACCTGGATCCCAACAGCACCTACGGAACCTCCACCCGATGATGCCTCACCACTCAGCGAGTCGAGAAGGCAGTGGTTCGCTCAGCGTTTTCCGAATTCAGTGGATCCAGCTCCGGAGGCGCAGGCTGCGGTAACTGGACCGGGGACCTCAGATCCTAGGTTATCAGATGGACCTCCGACCACACAGACAATTGGAAATACTGGACTCACGGATGACGATCAATCGACCTCAACTGAAGAAGACGACGACGAACCCGAGCAAGACTTGAGCGGAACGTCCTTTGTCATCTGGCTTCCGGGTTGGATCTTGGTAGAGCCGATAGAGTCTATCATTAAGGAATGGCTAGAGGAGCGCTACAGCTGTTCACACGATGTCCAAACACTTGAGCAGCTCGTCACGTTTGTCAGCCGGGGCTCAGTAAAGGCGCAATGTGGCGCTTGTGATAGGGACTTGTAGTCGAGAAACGAAGACAGGGTTGACATTTGATCCTCAACCTGCCTAGCAATCTGGAGGTAGATAGTCGGGCTTGGCCTGGCCCTAGACATGCGAGATATCCCCGGCGTTAGCAACTTCAGACAAATTTCATCGTTTTTGACCCCGCCTGACGGATGCGAACGCCGGGGTGCGGACCGAAACACCGTAGGAGTATGAGCAGCACGCGTCAAGTTCTTGGTTTCTTCTCTGATTCTCTAATGAGCCCAGGAGGCCTCCGACATGCTTCAGATTAACGTCGTACCATACAATCCCGAGTGGCCTGCCCACTTTGAGTTCATTCGGGCTCAACTAGACGATGCACTAGCCGATTTCTTGCCAAAGGAGAAATATGAAATCATTCACGTCGGATCGACCTCTATCCCAGGTTTAGCAGCCAAGCCAATCATCGACCTGGACATCGTTGTGGATGCCGAGGACATTATGGAAGCCACCATGGCCTTGACAGCCAATGGGTACACATACGCATATGAAGCGAATGGGATCGATAGGATGGTCTTTCGATACGACAAACATGCCTTGGACAGCGGTGCATCTAAACCGACTGAAGATGGGACACCCAGACGAGCTGTCTACCTCAACAAGCGGACAGGTGCTGCTTTGCTCAATCACTTGATCGTTCAGAGGACTTTGATGAATGACCCGGAGCTGAGGAAAGAATATGGAGATGTCAAGCTGGAACTGGTCGGTGAACATTCTTCGATCGGCGCATATGGAGGAAAGAAGAATCCTGTCCTGTCGAAGATCCTGGAAAAAGGAGCGACGCCCGAGGAGCTGAGATACATTAGGTCAAAACCAAAGCGCAGGATCGACGAGAAACTTCAGGCTGCTAGAAAGGCTAGGATCGAAGCGGATGAGAAGAGGGTTCTAGCGGATGGGAAGGCCGAGGCTGGTCAGGCTGACGCAACTGCGAGCTGACATCCGAGTCGTTATCACAGGACATTGCTTTTGCATGGTATCTGTTCAAGCGGAGCTGTCTGATCTTGTGGCCAACTCTGCGCAGTCTCTCACAGGAAGACGAGATGGTTGCCCAGCTGTACAGCACATTTTGGGCCGAGGCAGTGGACAGTTCACCGGGCCGCATAGCCGAGTTGTCAAACCTCGGTATGTGGATAAGCAGTTCACCGCCTGTGCCTGGGTCCCAGCTGCCCAGCAAAGTGCCCGTCTTTGCCACTTGTAGACAGATACTGCAGTGTTTCGGCGTGTGGGGAAGATGCAATGACACTTGAGGCTTTGAGCGGTGCTTGACAACGCCACTAATGTTTACGAGCGAAGATAGACTTCAGCAACTACTCAGATATGTCGCTTACAGCGGTCAATAGCCCGAAACGTATCGAAATCTGCGAGTAACAGTGTCGTTCTACTTGACCTACTCAACGTCTCTATCGAAAACACAGCTCAGATCAGTCCACATGCGAACGCATGCGAACGGACGACCCTTCCTCCCGATTCCACACATCTTCTCCGGAGTCCAAGCAATCGCACGAGATACCTTGCCGACCCATGGATCTCAACGGGTCAAAGTTGAGCTCTGAGAGTCAGGGCGACGGAAATGTCAAGCTGTCCCACTGCAACATCAAGGGATCCTCGCGCGTGTTCGGGAATGCCAACCTCCAACATACAACGCTATCCGGGAACGCCCGTGTCAGCGACTCGGCCGATCTGTCACACTGCAAGGTATGCAACAATGCCACTGTGCTGGGTGACGCCTTCCTGAGGCACTGTACTGTTGGACAACATGCCGTGGTGGAAGGTGCAGCCAAGCTGAGCCACTGCAAATTGGGTCAACAGAGCAAGGTCAGAGGCAAGGCAGATGTGAATCATGCCATTTTTGGGGGTTTCGACCATCGTGGAAGGAGAAGCGAGAGTCAGCGGATCGAATTATCCAGGGTGACTCTCTCATCACGGGGGCCTCCATCGTCAATGGCAGCAATATCATCGACTCTGTAATCTGCCATGGAGCCGAGGTCCCTTATTCGAGCCTGAGGAAACAGTGGATCTGTGGAAAGTCATCCTTATCGCCAGCTTCGACAGCAGGGTTTATCGGCAAGAACGACCATCGGTCCGTGGCGCTCTTTGCAGCGGTGCCAACTTAAGTCGGCTGCCTTCTCAGTGGATTCAATGCCTTCTCAGTGGATTCAATCTCTGCTCTTTGGATCCGCCTGCACGACGACGTCAGGAACAATGATGCTGTCTCGCTCGCATCGCATGATGCATCATGTTCGGTTTGCCAAGCATGTATTTGTCAGGATGATCTCGTTCCAACCGGCCTTCCCGGGCAAGGTTTACAAATCATTGTGGCCCCGAAGACTACAAGAATGCTTGCGTTCTGCATGTCAACCGCTTGACGTTGTCGTCATCGCACGTCAAGCAGCAGAACATTCCAGCATGTCTTCCAGCACGCTTGCAGACGCTCTCGCCTCGTTGACCAGCCTGACCACCGCCACCGCACTCGCCACAATCCTGTCGGGCTTGGCAGTGTTATGGATGTCCAGGGAGGCTAAACAACGGTTTTGGTTCAGCTTCTCGAACCTACCAGGTGAGATGAGGAGGAAACAGCAGCTCAAGGTCTCTAGGTCCCCGAGCCGATTCCTTCATGCGAGGGTCCTTCCCCTCACTTTTGGCGAAAGAAACTGGCCAGACCACCAGAGAATGGTTTGACAAGTACGGTCCAACGATACAGTGGCGTTCATTACTGTACACGCCGAACATTCTCACTTGCGACCTTGGCCTGGCTTCTTATGTCCTCTCCCACGACGATGAATTTGGTCGAAGTAAAAGTCATGAGGCGGATTTCAGACGCTTGTTAGGTGATCGCAGCTTGATGACAGTCGACAGGTCTGATCATAAACGCCTGAGAAAGATCATGGCTCCTGCCTTTGGCGTAGGGCCCATGAGCGATCAATGGCCAATCTTCTTGCATCAAGCGAGACGCCTGGTGGACAAGGTTGGACCTGAAGGTAGGCAGATAGGTGCCTCGAGCTTTATGGGCATGTTCACGACGGACGTGATGGGTATGGCTTCTTCTGGTACGAATCTTGGGGCAATGGATGGAGCGCCCAACGAATTGTACACGGCCTGGATGGGAATCCTCCAGACGACGAGATTGAGGGGAGTCTTGTGGCAGATCAAGACAAAGCTTGCGATCCCTGGAACTTGGCTCGTGAGTAGCAGCCGCCCTTTCCAGGCCTGACATCTTTAGCATAGCGAAAGGGTTCTTGGCAAGTCCAAGGACACATTTCAGCGGATCGGTGATGTGATTTTTGAGATCGAACCCAGGCTGATGTTCAGGATATTGTGCAGACTCGAAAGCGGGAACTATTGGGAGAAGGACACGAGGTCACGCGCTCAGACTTCGGGTCAAAGAATGTCATCTCCACCCTGCGTATGTCAGCCCGTTGCACAGCTCTCGCTCAATCGCATAGTGAAGGCCAACATGGCTCAAGACGTCAAAGACAGCAGTCGTATGTCGGACGAAGAGCTGGTTTCGCTGTTGTCCACCTTGGTGCGTGTAGAGTTGTGGCACCTACTGACCGCAGATTCTCGCCTCTACCGTGACGACTACCTCCACCTTGATCTGGTGCCTGTCCCTTCTGGCGACACGTCCCGAAACCCAAGCCAGGCTCCGAGCGGAGGTAATGGACATGGAAGATGAGCCTACGATGTAAGTCTGCTATTAGTGCTTCGCCGACCTTCTAGGAACGATATCAGCAAACTACCTTTTCTCGAAGCATTCGTCAGAGAGCTGTTGCGCTTGAACTCTGCAGCACCAACCATCACCCGACACACTCACAAGACGGTCACCGTCCCATTGTCTACGCCCATCGTCGGCAAAAATGGCAGCCTCATACATGCTGTCACCATTGACAAGGGGACCGACATCAACATCGGTGAGTCTGAGCAGCCAGCATTCACTTATTCCCAGCTGTACCCAGCGTGAATACATCCAAGGAAATATACGGTCCCGATGCAGAGGAATTCCGACCGGAACGATTCATGGACGGCGCTGTCAAGGCAACTGGCTTGCCTTCGATCTGGGGTCAAAGCCTGACATTCTCCGCCGGAACCAGACCCTGCCTGTGGGTTTCTGTGTCATCGCTCTGAAGTTGACCTTTCAGAGGCTTTCGATTTGCCATCATGCAAGTGAAAGCGACGGTTTTTGCATTGCTTCGATCGTTCGAGGTGTCCCAGCCGGAGGGTCAAGAGGTCGTCAGAATGGGCATGTGAGTGGATTGAGAAGCTGAGCTTTGACACGCCAGGATCGCTTCGTCCAAGACCATCGTCAAGGGCACGAACAAGAGCGACATCCCCATCATCTTCAAGCCGTTGTCGAGCTAGACATACATGGATTATACATGGGGTGTTGACCCGTCTCGAGATGAAGATGAATCTATACTGCCGACTTTGCTCTTAATGCCAGTGAAATGTCCGTTGTGCGCTGTATGAGACCTTGCAGTATGCCTTCGGTGATGGATCTCCATATCTTGGCCGATGCTGTCTCGTTGTACCGATCGAGTAGGGGAAAGGTGGATACACCGGCATGTCCGTTGAATTCTATTAATCGTGGAGCTCCATTGGCCTCTGCTCCTGGTAAATCGCCTTTGGAGACCGCGTCCAATAGCCTGATCAGTACAGTGTCTATGGGCACTCTGCCCAGGAACTCTAGCCCATTCTGTCTGGCCATGTCTTCTCCGCCTCCTCGTCCGAAAGTGTCGCTGATTTCCCCGCAGCAGGAACAAGCATAGCCGGCCATATTCTCGACGAGACCGAGGACCGGTAGAGACAGTTTGCGGGTGAAGGAGAGGGATTTGATGGTGTCGTTAAGGGCAGTAGTCTGAGGTGTTGTGATGAGGATCGAACTGGGCGTTGTAGGGTTCTCGGAGGTAGGTGTGAACAGAGGGTGTAGATGTGTCATGAGGGAGATGTGCTCGTCAGATGTTCCTGCAGCGCATGAGCTTGGGAAAAAGGAATGTAACCCACCAGGCGGAGTGTCAACCACTAGGTAGTCCAGATCTCCCCAGCGGACTTCTGACAGGAATTGCCGGATCATTCCGTCCTTCTTTGGCCCTCGCCATACCACACTGTCGCCTCTATCTTTTAACAAGAATCCAATGCTCATACATCCGAGCCGGCGTTCTTGGTCCACATAGACCGGTACCCAGCCAGCCGAGGACTGATGAACAGAGGCTTCGGGTGTGTCGAGACCGACCATCCGGGGTATGGACGGTCCAGTCAGATCGAGGTCTAAGAGTCCGACCCTTGTGTTTGGCGATGTGTTCAGCAATGAGAGGGCGAGCTGCACTGCTGATGATGATTTGCCTACACCTCCTTTTCCAGATAGGACGATGATGATGTTCTTGACAGATTTGAGCCTGCGAGAGACAGCCGTGTCGAGAGGATCTGACATCTTGACAGCGTTAGATCCTCGTATGACCGCTGTCGAGACAGATGACTGCAGTGTTGAACATCCAAGATTTCTAAGCAGACCCGAAGAGTGGAGGTGAAATAGGCTCAAGTGGTTGAGCGCCTATTTTGTGGTCGCGGGTTCACTGCTAATTTCGAGCGACCGCGTTTCAACATGACTGCTTGATTGCTATACACTCTTACATATCGCAGAAGATGTCTGTCGGACAGATCGAGCCTGGACAAGCGGTCTATGCTCAGGACGAGGTGAGAAATCGCGCCAGCGAAACTCTTGAGGAAGCTCACGACGCTCTCAGAATGGTCGACCGTTCATCATTGTCCGGTAGGTCGAGGCGCCGTGGGTTTGATGGGTGAGCTTACCCCAAGCAGCGAGCAGGGCAAGAAGGTCAGAACGCACGGCTTGGAGGCTATAAGGGTGAGCTCGATGTTTTAGCTGGGCCAAGCTCACACCGCATCAGAGTCATATCCTCGCCGCGAGAGCTGGTCAGTGGGCAAGTCCAAGTTTAAGACATTGACATTTGACAGTTACGAACATTATCAAAACATCCCTTGGGCCGAGAGGTGAGAGGGGCGAGAGGGAGTCGCGTCTGACCCTTCAGGCCTGGACAAGATCCTCATTTCGCCGGATGGAGATATCACCGTCACAAATGACGGAGCTACGATTTTAGGGCAGATGGAGGTCGAGCACCAGATTGCAAAATTATTAGTGCAGGTCAGCTTCCCTCTGTCAGTCCTGGGAAAACGAGCTCATCTCCCACTCAGGTGTCAAAGTCGCAGGATGATGAGATTGGAGATGGAACCACGGGAGTCGTCGGTGAGTATGCCTCGCCGTGTACCGTCTCACCTGTACCAGTGTTGGCCGGTGCCTTGCTGTCATCCGCTTTGACCCTGCTTGATCGTGGGATCCACCCTATTCGGATAGCGGACGGATACGAAAAGGCGTGTGAGATTGCCATTCAGGAGCTGGATCGAGTTGCAGACACTGTGAGTGGAGCAAGGGGAAGCAAATGCTGATACCACGACGCAGATCGAATTCTCCAAGGACGACATTAGCAATCTGCTCAAGACTGCAAAGACGTCTCTCGGTAGCAAAATGTGAGTCAACGCCGCAGTACACGCTGACGGCACCTCAGTGTCTCGATAGCGCACGACAAGTTTGCCAATATTGCGGTTGACGCTGTCCTCTCCGTCGCTGATCTCGCTCGTCGAGATGTCGATTTTGAGCTCATCAAGGTGGATGGCAAAGTCGGAGGTGCTCTGGAAGATACGTCTTTGGTCAAGGGAGTGGTCGTGGATAAGGACATGTCACATCCTCAGATGCCGACCACTGTCCGCGATGCCAAATTGGCCATCTTGACGTGCCCATTCGAACCGCCCAGACCAAAGACAAAGCACAAGTTGGATATAGAGAGTGTGGAAGAGTACAAAAAGCTCAGAGAGTATGAAAAGGAAAAGTTTTTGGAGATGATCAAGAGGTGAGCCAGGACACGAGACGTCGCTGACACTGAACACAGGGTCAAGGACACTGGCGCCAACCTTGTCATCTGTCAATGGGGCTTTGACGATGAGGCGAACCATTTGTTGATGCAGAATGACCTGCCTGCGGTGCGATGGGTCGGTGGACCAGAGATCGAGGTGGGTTCGGACAAGTACATACTTGCTGATCACTGCCAGCTCATTGCGATCGCCACCAACGGTCGCATTGTCCCACGCTTTGAGGACTTGACTGCTGAAAAATTGGGCAAGGCGGGTCTCGTCAGGGAAATGACGTTTGGGACGACTCGAGAAAAGATGCTGGTCATTGAGGAGTGCGCCAATACTCGGGCCGTGACTATCTTTGTTAGAGGTAGCAACAAGATGGTGAGAGAGGGAACGGCAACAGTCAATTGACCGCGCTCTAGATTATTGACGAGGCGAAACGAGCCCTGCATGACGCGCTGTGTGTGGTCCGAAACTTGGTCAGGGATAACCGAGTGGTGTACGGAGGTGGAGCTGCGGAGATCTGTGCATCGATTGCAGTGTCCAAGAGGGCAGACGAGGTCAGCAGCTCTTGTGAACACCCTATTCTGACGCTTTACAGATCCCTTCGATTGAGCAATACGCCATGAGAGCGTTCGCGACTGCCCTCGATGCGGTTCCCCTTGCACTCGCGGAGAACAGTGGTCTGTCTCCGATCGATACATTGGCAGATGTCAAGAGTCGACAGGTGACGGAGAGCAATCCTAGATTGGGTATCGACTGTCTGCAAACCGGTGTCAATGGTGAGTCTTCAGAAAGGGGAGCAATGCTAATTTGTAGACATGAAGGAGCAACACGTCTACGACCCTTTGATTTCCAAACGACAACAGTTCCTGCTCGCCACACAAGTGGTCAGGATGATTCTCCGAGTAGACGATGTGATTGATGCCAGTCTATTCGCGGATGGAGCATAGAGAAACCAATTTTGTATGCATATTTTTCCCCCGCCCCCACAACCGCCGAGTAGCGCCGAAAAGCGGATTTCATGGATGGAGGAGTTGTGGTTCGGATGCCCCGGGCCGGAGCAGGTCGGGATGGTTGTGGGGGTTGTATGGGTTGTATGGATACACTGGAGGTCCGTCTGAAGAGCACAGAGCACGTACAGGAAGCAAAGACTTTGTTACCTCGATTCATTTTGTAGACATTCCAAAACAGTCTCTACTTTGAACGACCTTGACCCGCCGGCTCGGAGCATTTGTCTTTACCGAGATACGCACGAATACCTCGCAAACGATTCAAACACCTACCAAGAAAGCTCGATCGGAATCATCGCCTGTTCAAAACAAACCCAGTGCCTTACCTCACACTATGGCGACCGAACAAGAAGCTCCTTCCACCGACCTCATCACTCTCACCCGTCACATTCTCGCCCAACAACAAGCTTTGGGCGAGAAGGCCTCGGGGGAGTTGACCCTGCTCCTGATTGGTATCCAGGTGAGAGGGAGATGGGTTTCTAGGCTGAACTCCCAGGTCACCTCGAAATACATTGCCTCCCAGGTCCGAAAGGCCAGGTTGATCAACTTGGTCGGTCTGGCCGGAGACTCCAATGCCAGTGGAGAGGAGCAGAAAAAATTGGATGTCTTGTCCAATGATATCATGGTGAACGCTCTGAGGGCATCAGGGCAGTGCAGGTGGGTCATCGAAAGCTCGAAATCGATCACTGATAATCGTCCCAGCGTCATGGTGTCTGAGGAAGTGGAAGATGCCATCGTTGTTACTGGCAGAAGCAAAGGCACATAGTGAGGACATTTTCCACAGCATGGTGACTGACACGGGCTCAGCTGTGTCGTTTTTGATCCTCTTGATGGATCGAGCAATATCGATGCTGGTGTCAATGTAGGAACGATCTTTGGTATTTACAAAGTGGTCAGTTGCGGAGCGTTCTGCCGGCGATGATGAGTCCTACTGACTACCACAGGCGCCGGGGTCAAAAGGCAGCGTCGAAGACGTGCTTCGCCCAGGAAAGGAAATGGTCGCTGCGGGATACACCATGTAGGTCGCCCAGGTGACTTTAGGATGCTGACACCATGGCTAGGTACGGTTCATCCTGCAACTTGGTCTTGACAACTGGTCAAGGCGTCGACGGATTCACGCTGGATGAGGTGGGCCCCATGATTAGTTTGAGATGTCTAACACAGGCAGTCACTCGGAGAGTTCATCTTGACCCATCCCAACATCAAGATCCCTTCCCGAGGCAAGATTTACTCGTTCAACGAAGGCAACAGCTTGTTCTTCCACGAGCCGACCCTCAAATACCTCGAGTCGATCAAGTACCCCAAAAACAATAAGCCTTATTCCGCTAGATACATTGGCTCCATGGTTGCAGACGTTCACAGGACGTTGCTGTACGGTGGGATCTTTGGATATCCAGGGGACAAGAAGAACAAGGATGGTGAGTGCCATGGGGACACGCGAGGGCGCTAACAGTCAGGCAAGCTGAGAATGCTCTACGAATCGTTCCCAATGGCGTTCTTGACGGAACAGGTGGGTGGAGGGGGGGTTTTGGGGGGGCAAGATCGCTGACGTCTTTGACCAGGCAGGAGGTGTTGCCACCACAGGTTCCCGCCGAATCCTCGACGTCTCTCCAACGCACATCCACGGTCGATGTCCCGTCTTTCTTGGCAGTAAGGAGGATGTCGAGGATCTGCAAAAGTTTTACAACGCATGGGAAGGCGAGAACGGTGAAAAGGTCTGGTGATATGTACTCTAGAGGGGGACCGGTTTGTCACACTCATGCATTGGTCACCACCTTTAGAGGTCATCCATGTCATCATCGTCGACATCATTGTCCTGGATCATCTGAGCGATCTCTCTATCCCGCTCCCGAGTCTCGGCGGCGTTGTCAAGTTCTGTTGTCTATCAGCAAAGGATTTGAGACACCCCACGCTCACCCTTCCGATGAGCATTTGGAGGGTACCTCATCGCCCTGACCGTCTCATTGTATAGTCCGGTCAAGTGCTCCACTCGTCGATTGAACTGCTTGGCCGGTTCCTCCGTCTCGTACATGTCCCTGGCGACTCGAGATTGCATGTATCCCTCGACGTGATCGATCGTGGCATCAATGACTCCGTCTTTGATGGCTTTGGCGACGATATACTCTGTGTCTTCCTCGGAATCCAGGTGAAGCTTGATACAGACGTCGGCGAGAGATATGCGCGAGTAAGCCAGAGTGATGGTTCGGAGGGCAGTCTTGATGACAAAGTGTCGCAGTCGGAGGATCAAAAAGTGGGTTGAATCGGCCAGAAAAGTAGCCTCGTGTTCCTTGAATGCTTTTTGAAAGGCTGTGACATCGCCCACTCGAACGGCTGGAGAATCAGGAGACGTAGAGGTGGAGCTTCGACTCACCCTGGACGATCTGGAAGTACGGGACGAGGGCGTCGCGCAAGACAGGTTTGCGGAACATGGAACGCTCAGGAATGACACCGGTGAGGAGTACCACCACGATGAAGTATTTGTGGATCTGGAACAAGTGAGCAGTGTTTGGGAGGGATGACTCACGATCTGGACAAAGCCAGGTGCAACGTCGTCTTTAGGAGCGCGTCTGATGGCCGTCTGAAAGTATTCTCTGGCCTTTGTGTAGTTGAGCTGGATAGCTCTCAATCGACCGGCGTAGAACAGCCATCTGACAGATTGAGCTTGGTTGACTTGACCTTGGAACGTCGACTTTGCGATTAGCTTGTCGGCCTGGTCGTATTGCTTATCGGCGAGGTAAGATCGGAGGAGTAGGTTGATGACAGTGACTTCGAGGGTCTCGTCTTTTCGCAAAGAGGCGGTCTGACGAGCGGCGAGCAGTGTCCTGGAAAGGGAGTGAGTAAAGGGATGGAGAAGGGACACGGTAGCTGACGATCTGAGGTCGGACAATTTGCCTTGAAGCTCGTACACTCGCGCGAGGTAAAAGTAAGCCTTTGCAGCGAGCTGATCCAAGCTGCGCTTGTTGGCCTTGTTGATGAGCTCGATCGTGTCGAGGGCGAATTGCTGGGCCTGGTGGGGTCAGCGTTCCTGACCTGAGTGGGGTTTATGGCGAACCTCGTCAATGTGCTTTGCGTCGATCGCCTTGAGGAGGAGCAAGAGCCGCAGATAGACTGTTCCTTCCACTACCAAGTCGCCCGAGGCGTCCGTTGGAGGTGAAAACTTTTTGGGTTGCACGGCTTTGGGAGGTTCAGATGAGTCTGTCTTTGATACATCTTTTAGCGCGGCATCGACGTCCATCTCAGTGTCGGCTCCGGCTGAGTCGAGCTCGGGCGCGGACTCATCAGGGAGTGACTGGAAGACGGCGGACGCGATCAGCGATTGGCCCGTCTTGGCTGTAGTTGAGGCTCAGTATGGGGGTTCAGCGGGAGACACTCACATCCTGATGGATAAGCTTTCTCCAATACCGTCCGGAGAACCTTTTTTGACGTCTTCTTTCTCGTCGTGGTGAGGGTTCGCAGGACTCGGATGACGAAGCGTGGCTCCATGTTGGTCACCCCGCGAGCGATGAGTGTGAGATGGTGAAGGACCTCTGAGGAGAGGGTCAGCATGAACAGGCTGGTGATGCTGACTAAAGGGCAGCCCCTCAGTGACAACTCACCATCCTCAGGCGTAATCTTTGGCACCACCTTGACTTCACTCTCAACATCCCCCTTATGCTCCTCCGTCGCCCCGTTTGTCGCTTTGCTGTCTTTCCCAGGTGCAGACGACATGGCGGATGATGAAGAGAAGAGCAATGGATGAATGGACTCGAGACGCGCGGACGATGAAAGTTGTGGCACCTTTTTTTTTAATGCATGGATGGATGGATTCACATTCACTACAGCTCCTCCTTGATTCGGTCAGTCGCCTTGGCACCTTGGGCTTCCATCATGCTGATGAACGCCTTGACATCTTCCATCTTCTCCCCGGCAATGTCGCTCGCAGCATCTGCGATCTCTTCGACCTTTTTCTCAGCGAATGAGGAGAGAATGTTTGCCTTGATTTTCAGCTCGTCAATCTTGGTAGGAGCGAGGGCGGGGGACTGGAGCAGCCCAGCGATTCTGGAACACGTCAGGTGTGTGTCACATGGGCCAATCACCCACCTCGCCTGCTCCTTGGTCAACCAGGACTCTCCCTTGTCCATGATTCGTTCCATGGCTTTAAGGTAGTAGCTGGCCGAGGTGCTGACAGAGGAGCCGAGTTCGGCCAATGATTTCTTGGTCTCTGCGACAATGTCAGAGCGAGAAGGTAGATCGGCGGTGAAAAAGTTGGATGCGAGTTTGTCAAGTGTCAAGACTTTGCCAGCTTTGGCAGAAAGGGAACCTCCAGCGGTCCGATATGTGCCACAGTTTTCGTTGAGGAACTGGTGTGAGAAATGTCAATCGAAGTGTGGCTCACCTCGATGAACTGTTCCTCTGTCCTTCCCGAGCTGTACGCGACGGGTTCCTTTCCACCTTTGGGGAAGAACTTGATCGTGGGGAAGGACTGGACGCCGTATTGCGAAGCGATGGGTCGGTTGGCCTCGTCATCCGCGTTCATCTGCGCGACGACAACAGAGGGCTCCGAAGCGAACGCTCGAGCGACGGACTCGTAAGCGGGTTTGAGGTTCTGGAGAGTCAGGGGGAGAGGGTTGTCGTTTGAAGCTCACTTTGCAGTGTCCACACTGGGCGGCGTCAGTGGATCGAGAACACTGTGTAGACTCACCCAAGGCGCTGTGAAAGCGACGAGGACATCTTTGCTGTCGTTGAGAGCAATGTCGTTAAAGTTGGAGTAATCGAGTTCGACAGCGGCAGGAGGGGGTGGAGGCTTGATGTTGGATTTTACGCCAGATTCCCGGGAAACGCTGAGTGGATCAGCGTGGAGCGGGAGATGGAGGCACACACACTCACAAAGACGCCAAAGAGTCCAAGTCTCGTCCACCAGAGTAGTCTTGAGGCTCAAGCGAGCCAGCGGGAAACCATTTGAGAGCTGGGCGTTAGGTTGAGGAGGTGTCTTTTGGCGCTCACTTGGGAAACCAGTCACGCCGAATCTATTTCCGAGCTCTTTACCCACACCATCGGCATCGGTCTTGGCAATCACGACTTTGTCCTGAGAAGGGAGTCAGCTAGGGGCGTACCGCGTGGGCGGGGGATGGCAAGCTGACAGATGGGAAGGCGTCTGCAAGCTGTTCGTATGTAGGGGCAACTGTGGCTTTGTCAGCGATGATGGGTGGTGGGGTTACTCACGATTCTTGCAATGTCCACACCAACTGGTTGTTTGTCAGCAGGAGGTGCGTGGGAGGGATGAGGCATGCTCACGGAGCAAAGCTGTGTGTGGGGTCAGCAGGGAGAACAACGGGAGAGTCGAAACTTACAACTCGACCAAAGCAGGTTTGCTCCCACCGATGATCTGGGTGGTCAGCATGAGTCAGCGCGACTGGGTCTCACATTTTCAAAGTTTTTGGAGTCGAGGTCGACAACTTTGCTGGCCAGAGCCAAGCTCAGGAGGGATAGGGCGGAGAATGTAGCGGAAACGAATCTCATGGTGCTCGAGGAGAGATGCAGAAGTGTGCTGTTAGAGCTGGGACATGGGCTGCTGCCGTTGTGACGTGGAGCCCGCCGCAGAGAGGACGACGGAATCAAATTGGTACATGCATCCTTTCATGCGGATCCACCTTTGACTTTTGCTCCGAGTCCAAGTGTGAACAAGTGTGAAGACGTAGCATGTATGAGATGGCATAGTAGCTCTGCATCGTCCTTCGCGACCTCATTCACAACTCCTCACAAAGCCCGCCCACCCTGACCCAAGCTGACGTCCCTCCCCACTCACACCTGATGCCCGTTCCTGACCGCACCGTCGGTCTGCCCATCCACCTCCTGTACCCCATCATATCCTCTGTCCTGCTCGCTGTCGCCTCGTTCTCCAGCGCCGACAGCGTGTGGTATGTCAGTGCCAACACGCCGACGGAAACGGTGAGTGTGGTGTCCTCGAGATTGTAGCTGAGGACGATAAAGATCCGCTTCGCAGCTCAGAATTAGTGAGGTCAGTGGGTTGGTTTCGCTGATGCATCTAGCTGCGGATACAACGTGTCCAATCTGCAGATCACTGACAAGCTCGGATGCATCTATCGTGGGTGGCAATACCAGATACCTGATGGGTACTTTGGATTTGATCTGCCTACCGACATTTCGAAAAACTTTTCCAAGGTTGTCGTGACGAGCGTGGTCGGTGAGGCGGCAATGTTTCATCGTACGAGGGCTGATATATTCGGGCTAAGCGTTTGCGCTCGTCGTGGTCGCTGGCGTTCACCACGCCTACTTTATTCGATATAGCTTCAGGAAGATGCCAGAGCCAAACAAGGACAAGTTGTGGTCGCTGGCTCAACTCCACTTTGTCTCCATCGTCGTCGTGTTCTTGTAAGTGGCGGTGGCGTAACGTTTATAAATTGGATTGAAGTGTGTCTCAGATTCACTTGGATCGCGTTCATCGCTCAAGCTACAATTATTGGCAATTCCGTCGGTGGCGATCCTCAGCGGAGTGCGGTGGCCATATACTGGGGTCAAAGTACGTGGTTGGTGCTGGCAGCGGCGATACTGCACACGGGTTGGGGGTATGAGGCGGTGAGGTGGAGAGCGGCGATGTTGAAGTGAGTGCAAGGCGTCACAAGGCGGTCAGGCTTTGTGACGGCTTCGTACACTTTGAGGTGGTAGCTTCTTGGTCGTGGCAGTTGTATCCTGCGTCATTGTCCACCTCGACGCCAGCTATCCACAATGTAATGATGTCTTATTGCCACTGGAATCCAAGATGCCTCCAGACTTTCAGGCACGGTGCTACGTTCGAGGGTGCTGCGAAAAGTTTTCATCAGAAGAAGCGTCGACATCGTTCGCATCACGTCACGACGAGGGGGACGCTAGCACACTCGAGCTGCCAAGCAATTGAGACATTGATAGCCTTGGGGCATGTGGTTCTGCTGGGGCTCAAGTCCTCTGTGGTCGGTCCCCCTGTCGATCATACGCCACGGTAGTCCTCGCCTCGAGAGACGCCACGATGGCGACCGAATTGCTGTATCTGGACCACCCTAGAAATTGAGTTTACATGGACTCTCGCCACTGTTGTTTTTCCGAGCCAACCCCAGAAAAAAAATTTCCTTCTGCACGCATCTTGGCTCGACTTCGTCTCCGCTGGAGATCTCGAAATCGATGCCGTTAACCCCTGCCGTCAAGCGTTGTTCCTGTCCGATCTTGCGAGGAAGAGGGAGGGTCTGGGTCCAGTCCGAAGATTGGACCAGAGGCTGACAGGTGTATTGAGAGAAAAAGCCACAGTGGCTCCCGGAGATTTCCGGGTCCAATGAGATGTCGTTGCCCCCTATGCAGCTGGTACGGCGTCCGTGGGGAAAGTGTTATTGTACAACTCTCGACATGAGGGAGGGTAGCGGTCGGTCGGTCGGTCCAGAAGTGAAGGGGGGAGAAAAAAGTTCTGAACAGATATAGAACAGAATGTTTTGGACGTAACGATGCGTTTTCTTCCCCCCCTTCCATCCTCACCTACATATTTTCACGACCCGACCTGTTGACATTGGCAGCTAGACTGCGACAGACGACTGTGCAGCTAGACTGCTGGTTGTGACACTGACTACCTTCGCTGCTGGACTGCGCTGCGTTGTCAGAAAAAATATTCCCTTTTCCGGTTAAAAATACATATATTAAAAATAACAAACCCGCTGTGACCTCGATGCGACGACTCTTCCATTCTGGCACTGCTTCATCTCGACATTCCGACCTCGACGAGCTACATCCACGCAGCAGCAGGTCAAGACTGGCAGGAATCAAGAGCAGGATCTCTAGAGCTAATCCACCTGTCATCGGTCAACGAGAATCGTCCCTCTATACCTATCACAACAGTACCGAAGCCACCTTCACACCGACCAATAATGTCTCAGACCTAGACACTGCGTATGCTACAGCCACCTTGCGTCATGTCACACAGAGTACACCTTACAGACCGTTTGGATACTACTCGTCGATAGATTTGGGTCAGAGGATAAACAATCACTCTGTGTTTGATCTACACCGGAGACCGCCTCTGGACAACTACGAGGACGACGAGGACGAAGATCATCCATTTGACGCAGAAACTTTCGACTTTCCACTCCCGCCCGTGCCATCGGCGTTTGCGACAAGGTCGTTGGACATACTCCCGTTGCAGGTCGAGCAGGGTCGAAGGGTTCAGTATTTTTCGCCGCCGACCTATACTGCACCGCAGCCAAGCAAGGCGGGGCGAGGGAGGTTTTTCACCAGGGTGAGTAGTTCGGAATTGTGGGAGGGCATTCGTTGGAGGACACTTGTGCCTAGGGTGATTCGATGTGACATTGCGTCGCTCGTTTCCGCGGACCATCCATCAACGTTGCGGGGTGATTCGACATTACGTCGCTCGCTTCCATCGCACACCATCCATCATGACATTTCACTTTCTCGCCGCCCACGTCAACAAAAATCACTGACACATCTTGCAGCTCCGTTTACCACACTTTCTATCGCGCCGATCAAAGATGACCGACGCTCCGCCCATCCCTCCCCGGTCCGAAGCGAGACGAGGGCACCTACAGCCGCCATTCGAACCGAGACCGATGCATCATTTGCCCGTGGACATGCCTGCGTTTGAGGACACGCCATCATTGTCCTCGGGTAGTTCCTCGGATCACGAGAGTCCCGTCAACACTCCGTGGTCACCTGAGCCTTCGAGGAAACCATCTCGCGAGTCGTTCCTTTGGGGTCATAAGAAGAATAAGAAGAGTCAGGATCTGGGCAAGGATCCGTATAGGGTCAGGGATGGGGCGGAGAAGATACCACCGACCAGTGGGGTGTACACTCGTGGGTTTAGGATAAGGAGACGAGGCTGACAGACGTAGCGACCTCGTTTCCCGGTGCCAGATCCGTGTCAATGTTGTCAGAGGACAGCAGTGAGCAGAGGTCGCCATCGAGTACTGGCGAGCCATCGCGGTTCGCCTTTGTCCGCGGCAAGACATTTGAGCAGTTGAAGCGGGTCGCCGGGGTGACGTGGGCATCGTCGACGACGACATCGTTGGCACCGGCCACGTCATCATCACCAGCATCGGCCAGGGACAGTTATATCTCGTCACATTCCGGTTGGAGTGCGTCCTCCAGACAGTCGTCGTTTGGACCTGTTACACCGACATCAGCGACCAGACCGTTTGCATCGGTGGCGTATCCATCGCCGATGGGCGGGGGATTGGGTCTGGGATATGATCATCATGCCGGGGTATTGCCGGAACATTTCAGCAAGTCGGAAGGTAACACTGGGTCGATCCTGTTTGACGACTCGGGTGAGATCATCGGGGTCATCTCCCCACAGTCGACACCGATGGTGAAGGGACGGAGGAAGCCGGTACCGAGGGAGGTGGGTGAGGGGGTGGGTGAGGGGGTGGGTGAGGGGGTGGGTGAGGGGGTGGGTGAGGTTCATGTGATCCATGCGATGTAGGCGAAGAGTATAATGTATTGTCTTGCGGTGTTGAAAGGGCGGGCGGGGTAGAGGGGTGTGTCGTGAAAGCTGTGATAGGGGGCATCGGCCGGCAGGGCTGCAGGGCTGGCAGGGCTAGCGGGACATAGTGGCAGCCCGTAGGCACTACACCCACTCTTTTGCCACGTGGGACTCGCCGCCATTGGCTCCAGTTGACTGACACTGCGACTCTGCAGTCCTGTGTGATCAGCCGTTTCTCAGAGCGTACTGGCGACCGAGTGGCCAGGAGCCCGCCACAGTAAAAATCGGATAACATGGGTCATTCCAGTTTTATGTACGGTACATCATGACGCTCGGTATGCGCGGGACCATTGACAATATCATCGTCACGGCAAACTCTGCACAGAGGACACTGTCGACCGACATAGAGTCACGTCAGAATCACCACAAGCGTCAAGCAGCGATGCGATGCCTTGTGCCACGCTTTTTCGCATCCGGATGTATCATTATGGTCTAACCACTTTCTTTGGCACTTTACTTTTATTACGTAACTTGAGTTGACCAAAAGTTGCCACGTGGTGTCTGCTAAATCCTGGTATCATGGTCTATCCACTTTCGTTGGCACTTTTTGTTTTTTACGTAAGTTTAAACGTCGAAAAATCCACCACGTGGCAAGACCACTCGTACTGGTGATACACCTGTAACTCGAGAATGACCTCTAGAAGGGCTGATAGATCATGCAGAGCAAATAAGAGAATGAGTACGTATGCAGAGACCTGCCAGAGGTGCTTAAACCGCTTGATGAGTGATAACACGTCACTGGTTGCGACGCCTCATTTCGCCGGGTATACTATGGTCTATCCACTTTCGTTGGCACTTTCACTTTTTTACGTAATTTTAAACGTACGAAAAACGCAGACCAGAGGCTACATCCTCCAATGTCACTAGTCGATGCAGAGACGCCACTGGCCAGGGAAACCTTCACCGAGATGACAAGACGGTCGAACCGCGAGCATCTAGTGACCTCTGCAATGCAGACACGCCACCAATGCATGCACACGCATCCCGGAGATGGGGTTGCCAGAAAACATGATCTATCCACTTTCCACTGGAACCTTCATTATGGTCTATCCACTTTCCCTGGCACTTTTCTGTTTTTACGTAATTTTGAACGTCGAAAAATCACCACGTGCCACATCAATAAGAGGCCATGCCGTGGCACGAGTCTAAGGAGCCGAGCCGTTTGTCCATTTGCCTATTGCCGTTGTCTTACAGCCACTATCGCCGCAATGCCCTGATGCTAACGTTTTTCCAGCACGGAGATGGTCCCATATTCAATCGGCATGAAGTCGTACCTTCTCCATTATGTCCTTCCGCAAAGGACCAAAGAGCTCTCAGACAAGCTCAGACCCCGAGCATCGAATAACTAACATCAGTGCAATGATTCGTATCAGCTGGATCTCCCGCCCAATGGCTACATCGGCAGCCAAGGACTTCGTAGAATGCTAGGACTGCATGCTTGATCTACCGGTACACTGTGCCCGATGACTCCAAGACGCCCGACGTGTTGACTAAACTTAGCAGGGTGTCGATGCGACTAAAGCAATTTGCCCAATATGGTGGCTGGTGTAGACGCCTGATCTCCCAGACCCGAGAACGAACTTCTGGCTATCCTTCGTGTATATCGCCAGTCCAAGTCAGGTCTCCGTGTGCAGAGAAAGTGGGTGTTCTGAAACGTGTTTTCAAGAGTTACGAGATCATAGGGGAGTGCCACAGGAAGTGGATAGACCATATTTCACGGTTTTCAGGGTGTGGCGGAAATATGGCAGTCTGTTGCGAGGTTGCAGTCACAAGATTGCCGCGGCCCGCTCGAAAACATGTGCTCTGCTCGAGTAAGGATCGCGTGAGCGGGCCAGGGTTCGGAGCGTGTGGACTTATTTGCGCTCCCACGACCTGATAGTATAGCCCATGTCATCCGTTTTCAGGTTGGCGGATGCAATATGGCAAGTCAGCGTATGACTTGAGTCTGCTGCCTCTCAAGCCAACAGCACGAAAGAGTCGAGTGTCGCAAATCTATGCGATGTAGGTTGGAATGAGCCCGTAGGTGATGCATCTCGAAGGGCAAGGACCAGCGATTTGGGCAACTAAACGTCGGTTCACACAAGATTTTTGGGCGTTCATCAATTACGTAAAAAAAGAAAAGTGCCATAGAGAGTGGATAGACCGTGTCGGTCTTCTTGAGTGTGGCGGTTCAGTCGCCAGGGGGAGGGGGGGCAAGGTCTTGAACCGATGAGGGTTTGAGCTATGGAACAGGGTGGGTGGAGGTGAGGACTGACTGAGTTCTTGGACATCGAGGCATGGTGACAACAGTCTCAGGAGAGGTTATCGTTCAGAGCTCCCGAGTGGATACCACAATTTGAGTGGCTCTGAGTCGCCTCGCCGAAGTGCACACCGCAGCTTCGAGGCAGGTAATTGATGCAGCCCAGTGGATGGCCCAGTGTACTGCTCACTCGCATTTCGGCTGGGATCTGACGCGGACGCAGTGTGATGGGGTCGTACGACGTGACGATATACGTTACATCTAAAGCCCGTTCAGAAGGCCACGTGGCAATTTTTGCCGTTGCTTAATTACGTAAAAACAGTAAAGTGCCATGGAAAGTGGATAGACCATGTTATCCGATTTAGATGTGGCAACCGGCACTCGCCGATTTCGCAACGTTGAAGACAAGTAAAGTGGATAGACCATATCATCCGAGTTCTTTGGGTGGCGACCATATCCCAGTTCGGATCGATGAGTGGCGTGTCTGCATTGAAGAAGACAATCACATTGCCAAAGTCGGATAGACCATGTCATCCGAGTGTTTCGGGCGACCTCATTTTCGGTATGATGCGAGGCTGGATGAAGCATGCAAGCGAGTGGAGTATCTGCATGAAGAGAACACTAGTTGCTCGCGTGACATTGGAGGATTTAGCAACACGTCTCAACAGTTACCCACTCCACAGTGGAAGCAGAATACATCGCTGCGTCGCAGCTAGGGAGGCAGGTGATGTGCTGCGCACTAGATGTGATGACTTAAGATTGACTCCCAGATCGCCACGTGGCAATTTTTCGTTGTCTAAAATTACGTAATGAAATTGAAAGTGCCAATGAAAGTGGATAGACCATGTTATATTCTGACTGTGGCGGGTGTTACCATGTGGCAAGTTTTGGACGTTTAAAATTACGTAAAAAATCAAAAGTGCCAACGAAAGTGGATAGACCATACCGCAGCTTGGGTGGCGATTGATGTATCGAGTGACATTATAAAAGAACTTGTTTGGATGATCACACCAGTCATAGATGCTATCGACATCTTTCATTGCGCACGTCGTCGCTTGCACAGAGATGATGCGGTGGACTCAGACCACGTGGCGATTTTTGGCCATCTCAACCTACGTAAAAAGGGTACAACGCCAATGAAACTGGATAGACCATATGGTCCGGTTTCGATGCAGCACAAGGGAAAGTACGCCACGGAGAGTGACCATATCGCTCAGTGTGGCGAGATGAGTGGCAGAGTGCTCATAGTCTCGCTACGCCGCAAAACATTTCCACGTCAAATGCATGAGTCGCGAGGAGGACATGACAGTATGAGGTCTTATGCAGAGGCAAAGACATCGTCAGGAGAGAGTGGCTGCTGACCAGGACATCGTCATGAGAGAGTAGCTGCCGACCACGGTTACGCTGCGGGTGGGACGGCCCGTCAGAGCGCAAGGTGTGTCACCAGCACGGAAGCAGCCCGTCTGATCGTGCTCAGTTGCAACGTCTCGGAAGCCACGTTCGGCGACAGAGAGTGTGGGGTATGCCACGGTCAAGCCAGGGTGAGGTCACCACGCCACTTGAGGCCCGTTAGTCTTGCGTGGAGAATGCGATGAATGTCTTGGCGAAAGTGTGAGGTTCACATACACCTGGGACGACGGGTCATGCTTTACGGTCATCCTCAGGTCCGCCCAGTGGCAAGGGGCTCGGGTGACGTGGCAGCAGAAGGTAAGGTTAACGTTTGTAGCATGGGAGACTGGCGTCCATTTTCATCCACGTGGCGATTTTTGGACGTTTGAACTTACGTAAAAAAGTGAAAGTGCCAACGAAAGTGGATAGACCATAATCTCATTTTCGCAGACACCACGTGGTGATTTTTCCTCAGTCCAAGTTACGTAAAAACAGAAAGTGCCAACGAAAGTGGATAGACCATAATCTCATTCTGGCAGACACCACGTGTCACCCCGAGTTCCGAGCGTCCTGCTTTGGCGACTCAACTCTCGTAAAGAAGTACAGTGACACAACGGCCCTTGATGGTGACTGTTCTATGTATGTCGATGACAGTACACGGGCCCCTGGACCACGATCCACAGAGTAACACGTCCACTCAGTGTCGACCACGTAGTGAGGTTCCTGTAGATACCCGTAGTCCACTCCGCGGCACTGCCCACGCCTCGAGCATGTTCTGCAGCTCGCATGCATACTCTACATCGCGCTAAAGGCTTACGCTCATGCTTCGCCGAGTTATCATCCCGCTGCACCACACTACGCATTCTCATGCTGCACCGTCTATGCTGCACCGTTTGACCACCCACCTACGTCCCCCGACGCGTCCGATATTTCACCTTCATACCCCACCTGCCCGATGAGACCACGCAAAAGCTCTTCGACCTACACCATATCCTCAGGCTCCGAATCCGACCCATACGCCCCATCGCCTTCTCCTCCGCCTGCAAAGCGTTCCAAAGTCACGCGAAAAACGGCCAATGCCCCGGCTTGCGTTGCCTCGAGCCGTCCCCACGGGCCCGAGTACCACAGCACCTCCGATGTGATCACCTCCCAAGACGCCCTACTCGACTGGTTCGAGCAGGTCAGGTGAGCCGCCTTCCCTCACCACGCTCACCCTCCCCCTCCAGGGACAAACGCCGCATGCCATGGAGAAAACCGTACGACCCGGATCTCTCCCCTGAGGCCAAAGGCCAGAGAGCGTACGAGGTAGGTGAACACACTGTCCACCCACTGACAAGCCAGATATGGGGTAGGCTCACCACGACCTAACCCAAGCTCACCCCTCAAAAGTCAGCGAAGTGATGCTCCAGCAGACCCAAGTCTCAACTGTGCGTCCACCCTCTTTCCCCCCCCCCCCCCCCCCGCTGACCCCCAGGTCATCGCCTACTGGAACCGGTGGATCGCCAAGTGGCCGACCATTGCAGATCTCGCCAAGGCAGACCTCGAGGTGAGCCACCCGCGCATATGACTTTTGCTGACCCCTGCCACAGGAGGTCAACGCAATGTGGCGTGAGTCCTCCCACCCTCGTAGCCCCCTCTGACGCCAGGTGGACTCGGATACTACCGACGTGCCCGATCCCTCCTTGAAGGCGCCAAAACGATCATGAGCAACCCAAAATACAAAGGTGAGCCTCGACCCAAATATCCTGACCCCCAGGCCGCCTCCCTTCAGACCCCATCGAGCTGGAAAAGGGGATCCCCGGCGTGGGCAAGTACACTGCGGGTGAGACTCCCCCTCATCACCACCACTGACCTCAGGGGCGATATGCTCCACGGCGTACGGCACTCGCACCCCACTGGTAAGCCTTCCCCGCCTCCTCTTGACCTCACCCCCAGGTCGACGGCAACGTTCACCGCCTCCTCACCCGCCTTCTCGCCATTCACGCGTCACAGACCGGCCCCGCCACCATCAAACAACTGTGGAAATCCGCTGCAGAGATGGTCGACGCCCTTCCCGATCGACCCGGTGTCGCTGGAGACTGGAATCAGGCAAGGGGTCAGATCAAAGACTTTGTTCGCTGACAACACGTCAGGCGCTCATGGAGCTCGGTAGTCAAGTGTGCAAACCCACGGCGCCAGATTGCGGCAGCTGCCCCCTGCGATCATCGTGCAAGGCCTATGCCGAAGTGAAAAGGCCTCCTCCACAACCCACCCTCGCCTGTACCCTGTGTGAACCCATCCCGACCACCATCCCGTCCGTCTGCATCTTCCCCATGCGCAAGGAGAAAAAGACATCTCGAGAGGAGCACGAGGTCGTCTGCATCCTCGAATGGCGTTCAGACACTGACCGGCGGTGGCTCTTCACCAAGAGACCAGACAAAGGTGATTCCCCGACGCTCGCAACTCGCTAACGCCTGCCCTCAGGCCTCCTCGCCGGACTCTACGAGCCCCCAACCACACCCATCCCTCCCGACTCCACCTCCACCGATCGTGAACGGCTCGCACTCGAGTCCCTCTCTACATACGTCCAACTGACCCAATCGCCAACCCCACGCTACATCGCATCCGTCCCACACATCTTCTCCCACATCAACATGACCTACCACGTCGTTCACGTCCTCGTCGAGCCTCCCCCAGGCACGACCCTGCCACCCACCACAGGCATCTGGTACGATGCAGACACTGTCGAATCTGCCAACGTCGGTACCGGGGTGAAAAAGGTCTGGGCCGCCGTCTACGGTTCCTGGGGCAGGTTCGAGGCCAAGACAGCCCCTAAAACCATCCGCAAGGTCATGATGCCATTGATGCCTCGAAAATAATGCATGCCACACTGTTCTTGTTTTTGTTTTTTTTCCCGTTCACTCATGCACCATGCTCAAGGGAGGCCTGCCACGGTTCTACGTGCCCCTCCTGGAGAAGAGCCAGCCGAGAGACCTCCAATCGACCCCTCTCTCCTGCCGTTCCATCACCTCCAGAGCCCTCTCCGCGACCCTCCTCTTGGCCCTAGGCGTCATCCTCGGGTCCACCTTTTCAGTCTTCTCCTCCTACCAACCTCCCCCGCTGGCCGTTGCACTACCTCCCATCCCCACAAACACCGACCTCCCCGTCCCATCCCTACCACTCCCACGCGAACCTATCCCCAACATCGTCCACTATGTCTACGGGCTGGACCCAGACTCAACCCGGGAGGACTTTCCATACTATGCCTACCTCGCCATGCGCTCTGCCCTGGTTACGCTGAAGCCAGAAAAGGTGAGTCACGTCCGGTGTGCCCTCGGGTCTCATACGCCCAGGTCCTCTTCCACTGTCTCTACGAACCCAGAGGCTACTGGTGGTCCCGCGTCGTCAACTGGGAGGGCTGGGTCGACGACGAGGGACAGCGCAAAGGTCTCGTGGAAATCCACAGGGCGAGAGATGTCACCACGATAGGGAGTCACAAGAACCCAGTGACAAAGGTGAGAGCTATACACACACTGCCCCTGCTGAACCCCCCACAGTTCGCCCACAAGGCCGACATCATCCGTCTCGAAGTGTGAGCCCCTAACCCCCCCGCCCACCCCTAACCTCTCAGCCTCCTTCAACACGGCGGAATCTACCTCGACATTGACACGTTCATCCTCCGTTCCTTCTCCAAACACTCTCTCCTCGCTTACGACACCGTCATGGCCATGGAAGCCGCACAATGGGACCTCGGTGACTCGATGGACCCCAAGGGGCTGTGCAACGGCATCATCGTCGCGAGAAAAGGAGCCACCTTTCTCGAACGCTGGCTGGAAACTTATGAGACGTTTAACGGGCACAAGTGGGCTGATCACTCGGTCGTGAGTTGATTGTCACGCCGCACGTACCCCCTAACACCCCCCCAGCACATGCCCTGGGTTCTCGCCAAACTGTACCCCGAAACCATCACCGTGCTATCCAACAGGGCGTTCTTTTGGCCGTTGTGGATCAGCAGTCACATCAGCCTCGTGTACAAATCGACCGACTACGATTTTGAAGCCTCTGGCCAGCTAGCGTGAGTCCCAAACTTGCCCCCCAAAACCCCCTCCCTGACCTCCCCCCAAAGCTATCACGCCTGGGAATCCAAAGCCAAATCCCATCTCCGCGCTCTGAACCCGAGCACTATCCAATCCATCACGACCTCGTTCACCATCATGGCCCGCAAATACAGGGAGCACAACGAGGAGAGGAACTGGAAAGCACAGTTGTAGCACCAAATACCTTTTTATCATGTGTCTCTATTTTTGACCCCCAATTTATCCGGGAATCTTTCTGTTGATCGTTTTTTGTTGAATACTTTGATCATCCACTCAACACCATCCTGATGCGGCTCAACACCACACTGACACCCCTGTGCCTCCATGCAACCCGAAGCTGGACCCTCTCGTCCCCAGAGGACATCGCCGCATAGAATGAGTGGGCCGCCTGGAAGACCACGATGGGATAGAGGGAGACATGATGTGAGTCCCCCCCTTCTCTCCCCCGCTCATTCTCCAGCCCCGGGACCGGCCACGACCACCATTCGCTCCTCCAATAGGGCCCCGAGCGCCCCGATCCCAGACCCCGTCTCCCCCTCGCGGGCGGTATCACGACCCAGACTTTCATCGACCCCGACGGGATCGATACTTTGATGTCCGAGACAGACTCAGCCTCGACATGCCGTGGAATGGGATGGATTACGGGCCGAGCGAGTGAGTCTTGCCTGTAGATCAAACCCCTGATCCCCAGTGCGCCACGATCCCTCTCCCCGACCAAGTTGTCCCCTTCTCGCCATGGTACCGACCCCCCACGGATCAACTTTCTCGGTCGCAACTTTGCCAGAGCGTTGGAGAGGGACAAGTCGGCTCAGGCCCAGATCCATTCCGGTCCCGTCGTCATCTCACGATCCTCTGCCGTCCCTCGCGCACCTCGGATGATGAGGCAGTCCTCCTCCCCGAGCACATCCACCAGACCTCGCGAGTCCATCTCTTCGCCCTCTTCGACCCCTCATCGAACAGTCCCCCTGCCACCAGCCGATGATGATTCTGACGATCTCGAAGAAGGCGAGTTGGTCTCCCCGTCCAAGGCACTGCGTCGACCCCCACGTAGATCACCTACTCCCGAGATCACACACATCTCCAGTCCGACGACTTCTTTCTTGGAGCAGTTGACAATGACGCAAGACGAGCTCTGGAGGAGGGCAGTGGTCGAGGGAGTGGAGGAGCCAGAGGAGCCTGTGGAGGAGAAATCGGTTCAGTCGGACACTCGAGACACGCTCGACGTCGAGCGACCCGAGACACCGAGTGTTCCGCCGCCTCCGCTGACTCCAGGACCCGAGACGGAGCGCGAGCTGGAGGAGCGTGAGGATGTGGTGGCGGAGCTGGCTCCGGGACCTGCGCCGTCGACTGGACCGTCACCATCCATCAAGCCGCAAAGCGACTCGATCCAGCAACCACAGGCGCCGTCGCCTGCGCCGTCACCACCTATCGAGCCGCAGAACGACCCGATCCAGCAACCCCATGCGCCGTCGCCTGCGCCGTCACCACCCATCGAGCCGCAAGGCGACTCGATCCAGCAACCACATACGCCGTCGCCTGCGCCGTCACCACTCATCGAGCCGCAAGGCGACTCGATTCAGCAACCTCATGCGCCGTCGCCCGCGCCGTCGCCAACCAACGCCCTCGCCCCGCGAGCGACCATCGCCGAACGACGATCCGTACAACTCCCCCATGCCATCAACAAACCCCCATTCAGCAGACACGATCCACGCGTCGACACCCACGCCAGCGCAGAATCCATCGAGCTTGACCCTGGCCCCGAACCTCAAGTCTCGGAAGACATCAGACGGCTAAAGGTGATCGCTGCGATCAGACTCGCGCAACAACAACAACCCCTCCCCGCTCTCGATATCGACCCAGTTCTCAACGCCAACGCCCTCGTCGCGCCAGTCGCCAACACCCGCGTCTCCTCACACCCTTACGCCCCAATAAACCCCGCCGTGTCCCCTCTCGTCACTCGCCAAGTCGGCAGGGAAAAGATACACCAGGCCGACAAGGTCGCCCGTCTGAAAGCCGAATACCTCAGGATCGACAAGCAATGGAAAGAGCACTGCCGTGCCCTCGACGCCAGTATGGAGCTACGAGGTCCACCCCCTGCCGACCTCTACGCCACACCGAACGCCTTGCCCATCCTCACCCCCGCTGCAGGTCCCGCTCCGACCACACCCGGCGACGAAGTTTTTGGCTCGCGTGCGAACCGCCGGCGAGGTGCTGGAGACTCGGTAGCGACAGAGGCAGAATTCCAAGAAATCCTCCTCAGTCTCCAAGACACTGCCGCGAGAGATCCGACATATCGCGCCAGCAAGACGACCGCTGTCGTACCCGACATGATCTTGGACGATGAAAAGCGGCTCCTGTATGACGACGAAAACGATCTTGTCACCGATCCCGTCGCTTTCTACGACTTTAATGGCGACGCCGAGCCCGAATGGACCGCCGAGGAACGTGCCACCTTTCTCCGACGCTACCTCGCCTATCCAAAGCAGTTTGGAAAGATTGCCGATGGTCTGCCCAACAAGGAGGCCGCGGAGTGCGTCCACTATTACTATCGCACCAAAAAGTCTGTCGACTACAAAGGCATGCTCGCCTCACGACGTGGCGACAAGAAGAAACGTGTCGTACCGATCAAAAAGGGCGGCAAGAGTTCTGCTCTTCTCGCAGATATGGAGAGGAAAAAACCGACAGTCGACAAGACCCACCCGGGACCCAAATCGCACATCACCCCGGCTAAAAGTCGCGATCTGCTCACCGCCCGACAGCGCGTGCTCAAGGAGACTCCCGGTGGCTCCTCCTCCAAGGAGGGCGATCTGGTCGACTCTAGCGCTGCTCCCTCTCGTGCCGGTAGCGAAGGCCCATCGACCAAGTCAAAGATGCGCATGACGGTCAAGACCGCCACTGCCGCTACCACCAAGCGGCCACGCACCAGCACGGCGACCGAAACCCTTCCTACCGAACCAGCAACCCCCTCCGACCTCTTACCCCCCGTCAAGCGTCCCGGCAAGCGGCGCAAGGTCGATGCGGACCCCAATGCTCCCGACGACAAACCACCCTCTCGACGAAACGCCACAAACTCGTATTGGTCCGTCGAGGAGAAGCGGCGGTTCAAGGAGCTCTACAAGCGACATCAGGGAGATACCCGAGCCATTGCAGCAGAGCTCGACGGCAAGTCGGAGCGCCAGGTCAGCAACTATTACGACGCGCACAAGGATCAAATTGATGGCCCGGGGGAGACTGTGGAGGAAGAAGAGGTGAGTTCACGTTCATTGCAAACCTGACAACCTCCAGGTCAAGCCCCCACCATTCACGTGGAGCGGCGTCAATCCTCCCGGACCTCAACTCGGCACATTTCCCATCGTTGCCATCGTCCCCATCCCCCGTCCCGGTGGCATGCCACTGTCCGCCATGCTGAACAATGACGCCGCAGAAGAGTCCTCCCGGTATGGGCGCTTTGACACTGACAATGCTTCTGACGCCACGGTATCCGAGCGCGACGGGGAAAACGCAATGACACGACCTTCACCTAGATCCATCATCCCCTCTCTCGCGACGCCTCACGCTGCGCCGCCGCCGCCTTCCGAGGAAAGACGGAGGTCCAGCTTTGGAGCAGTGTACGAGCGTCCCGACCACCACACCACACTATATTCACCTCGACCGTGGCTACCCTCGCATCGACAACCGATCGATCCGGCATACCCAGCACCGCCTCCGCGACCCTCCACCGTCGCCCCGGCCAACCCCTACCATGCATCCCGAAACTCGCCATGGCACCCTCCATCTCTTGACAGGCATCTCGAATACCCGCGTCCCCAGCATCTTGTTGATCGGTCGCCGGATTCGCCACAGCAGTGGCAATATGGACCCGGCTCTAGGACATTGTATGAGGATAAAAAATAATAATAATAATAATGCATCATTTTTCTTGTGCGGGCCGAGGATTCGACGTTTGACTCACTCGCCATGGGCCTCAGAGCCATTCTTTGGCTGGCCTATGAGCTCGTCTCGGGCGTTGACAACTCTCCTGCTCACTTCACATGCTCCTCCTTCGTTCCGCCAGATCTATCCCCAAAGATCGATGCCAGCTATCTAGCCTTCGCCATTGAGCAATCCTCCGCGGTGCACTATGCAGTGGGTGAGTCCCCCACGCCCTGCCCATCTCACACCCCCACACCCAGAGCGAGACGGCGTGACGCCCAATGACTACTCGATCAACCTCTTCCGAGCCATCACAAATACGACCGGAGGCGACCTCCACATCCGCCTTGGAGGCACGTCAAAGTGAGTCTCAACCCCAGTACTCTTTGCTCATGCCCGCCGCCCAGTGACTATGCACACTACTCTCCCGGTCAGCTGGTTCCCGCTTTGCCCATCGCGGAGCAGAACCAGAGCCAAGTGGTCACGGTCGCCAATCTCTCACTCGGACCATCGTACTGGACGACCATGGCAAAGATCCCAGACGCCAAGTACGTCATCCAGATCCCACTCGTCCAGACCAACGATTCGGAAGCCGTGGCATGGGCAGAGTCGAGCTATGCGGTCCTGTCTGATCGCATACAATCCATCGAGATTGGAAACGAACCGAACAGCTACCCCAACGGACACGATGGACCGGGCTTTCTACCGCCCATGAACTCGACCTAGTGAGATACGCCTAGCACGAGACCCGCTGACCTCGAAGCTATGCCCAAGTCTTTGCCGACCGTGTCGATCTCATCACCAAGTCACTAAATCTCGACGGCAAGATCTTCCAAGCGATGGATCTTGGCGAGCCGCCCACGGAATGGCTCAACGCACCAGACTCGTTTGCCGCGGGAATCGATCGAGCGGGGATGATCAATCAAGCTGCATTTCACCTCTACCAGACGACCTCTGGGTCAGCAGACACCCTCCATTCCGGACTGATGAATCACACCGCCATCACCAGCCTTCTCGACCGATACGTCCCTTCCATCCAGCACATTAACAAAGACCAGCACCTCCCCTTCATGTTCAGCGAAGTGGGCAACTCTCTCAACGTGACACAAAATTATGCCTACCAAGCTGTCCTCGGCTCGGCCCTGTGGCAGATGGACTGGGAGCTCGCGGCGGCCGTCAGAGGCGTACACAGGGTATACTATCAGCAGATCATGCACGCGGGCTACAACCTCTGGCTACCTCTCGACTCGTCCGGTCGAGAGGCACAGACGTATTCCAATTTCTATGGACGCATGGCGATCGGCGATTTCCTCGGCGCCACAGGTGGTCAGACGAGGATAGCACCTGTACACGTAGCATCGAGCGCTGAGCTCGCTCACATCAGCGCGTACGGTGCGTGGGTCGAGAACGAGCTGGTCAGACTAGCCATCGTCAACTTTGATTACTGGGACTCGAGGGGCTCTCCCTACAACCCTCAACACCCAGACTCGCTCTGTACTACCTGCCCAAAGTCCCACAAACACCGTCCCGTGTTCACCATCGTTCTCGACGGACTCCCGTCCCAGTCGACGATCCTCGTCAAGCACTTGACTGCCGACTCGGGAGCTCATGCAGATGGGTCCGAGGTGACCTTTGGTGGTATGCAGTGGCCCGCGGCGACAAGGGGTCTACCAGTGCAGGTGAAAAGGGATGACAAAGAGGTCAGGGTGCACAAGGGCCGCGCAGAGATCAGGGTGCATGCCAGCAGTGCCGTGGTAGTACACCTGGGTCTGTAGCGATATAGGCATGAATAACTAGTACCATCTGAAATCGCTTCAAGCTCGGAGAAATCTTCCAGCACAACACTGCAGCATCGTGTGGGTCTCTTTGCGGATTGGCATGCATGCCGAGCTTTGGTGGGACTCGACCCAGATATACTTGCCTTGAGCCTTGAGGACCACAGGTGCTTTGAGCTCGACGCTCTGAGCCCAGTTGCAACTGCCGGGACAGCGCTCTTGCTGCTGTGATCAGAGCCATCCTGAGGAATAGCTCACGTACGACAGTCTCTGCTAGAGGTCAGAGGTGGGTCAAGATTTGTTGTCGAACAAGAAAGAAGGGGTATGACAACGATGAAGCAAAAAGAAGACAACGATGAAGCAAAAAGGACGTTATAGGACATACCAGGGATCGAACCTGGGTTTCGAGAATTGATTAAAATCAGAATCTCATGTACTAACCATTATACGATATGTCCAACGTTTAATGCACGAAGTATAGGAGGTTTCGCGGCTAATCTATATACACGTACGTGTGTGCTTTTGATGGAAAGGATGGGGATGCCATCGCGTACATCAACTCTTGTTCCTTGACGTCCAAGTCCCCCTTTATGGACTCAGGGAGAGAGCAATTTTTTGGAGGCCAAGTTTCGTTAGACATCAGGCGTGATTCTGGCAATATACTTGGCTACTCCGCCTATCTCCTATGGGGATCAAATCATCGTGTCCTCCAACTTAAGCGAGAAGTTTTGCTCACAGACCTGGTCAGGTACGCTCTCTTGGCGACGTTCCTACGCGGACACATTGCGGCCCTGTGTGGCTACCGTCACTCTAACATGAGCGGTGATCTGCGCTCTTCGAGCTTGCGTCGATGATTCAGCCCCTCGATACTCTCATCCATCGCAGGCCAGCACAGTGAAGTGCCGCTTTCTTCTTGACTTGGCACCGAGATCTTTTGCGCATGACGAGGGGCTCATTGCAAGATTGAAGCTACGGATCATAACGTTCCTGTATAGCCTTATTCGATGTTGTAGGGCGGACGTCGGACCCACAGAAGGATACACTTCCACTTCATGTACCGATGGAGAAATCACGCACGCCTCCGATCGCAAAGTCGACGTTGCTTTGCCCCTCGCTTCGGGTCAGTCAGATGACAGATGTGAGGAAAGATGGGGTGACCCGGGCGCTCGCACACACACCAAATCCGTTCGATACTCTGGCCAACGTTGTCCCTCTGCCTTCCTACTGTCGCTCCGCCACATGGGGCCCATTGTGGCCCTGAGCACCTCCAGGGAACTTGATGAATTGATCATGATGCCCTGCCAGCTCGACTGAGAGCATCAGAATTGGGCCCGGCACTCACGGACATTGGCATATATATCGTTAATAGCCACACGGGTTTCAGTCCCCTTGGATGTGCCTGAGAGATTGACGTTTTGCCGATAATAATCCCCTCGTTCTGGTTTATCGATTTCACCGCTTCTCACATCGGTTCGACGAATCATGCCCGAGTCATCTAAAGAGATGCCCTCCAAGGGCAAAGGTAAAGGCAAGATTGCCGTGGATATGGACGATGTCCTGTGGTGAGTGCGACCTCTCTCGATTCACCACTGGTGAGCTCACACCTTCCCAGCCAGACGAACGGCACGATCGTGGAGAGTGAGCTTTGGAACCTGAATTCAAGCTTCCCGACCCAGTACTGATGAGAACCTTCTCAGTGCACAACGAGATATGGAAGACTGAGCCTCCACTGGAGCTGGCAGATTTCAAGAATTGTGAGCGTCTTTCCCCCCGCTTCAATCAATACTTATCATCCGAGATCTATATTGGCAGAACCGAGGTTGGAGCAGTCCAACAGAGACCGTGAAGATGGTGGTGAGCTACCTCGAGAGTGACTCTCAAGCTCACGCATCTAGGCCCGACTGTTCGATGAGGGTCTATGCCACCGAGCTCAACCGATCCCAGGGGTCAAAGAGGGCCTCTTGAGGCTCAAACAGATGGGTTACAGGTATGTCCCCACCCCCCTCAGTCAGCCCCCCGCCAATGCCTTCATCAGCTTGATCATCGTCACAGCTCGAGGTGAACGAGAACGAAAGTGGACAGAGGATTGGATAGCAACACACCTGCCGGACATCTTTGACGAGATTCATTTCACCGGCGCATTCGCACACGTTTACACGACAGCACAGGAAAAGGAAGGTCACGTAGCCAAAAAGGCCGTCATGTCGCATCACAAGCGATCCAAAGCTGATGTGAGTTCTAAACTTTTAGACACGTCCTGACTCTTTCAGGTAGTTCACGAGACAGAGGCCCTGTTTCTCATTGACGACTCTGCTGAGAACGCCTTGGACGCCTCTCGCTCGAAGACCCCCTGTCAGGTTCTCCTCTTTGGCGATTGGCCTTGGAACAGGATTATACGAGACCCAGACGATCGTTTACCCGAAGATGTCATCCTCTACGTCGATGCCAAAGACAAGGGTCTACTGGATCGCGTCGAGTCCAGACGGCAAGAGCTCATCGAGCGGAACTGGATACCTCACGGCGTCGAACGAGTCAGTAATTGGGAACAAGTCATCGAATGGGTGGAGGATTGGGAAAAAGATGGATGTCCTCCTCTGCCTAGACAGCGTGCTTCTCTCTAAACGTCCCTCACACATATGTTGCATGCACGGGCGAACAGTACATATTATATATGTCTAAGGGGGGAGGGGGCAAAACAAACGGCATTGCAATGATAGCAAGGTCTGATGGGAATGCAGTCTCTTTCGGAGCCTGCGAAAAAATTATGCACATGCGAAAAAATGGGAGTGTGCGTTGGGTCGAGACAATGACACAGGACAGAGGGGCGGTCTATTCTGTAAATGGTGAAGGTCACCATGCAAAAAGCGAAGGGGTGTGGTGAGTGGGGACAGACGACTGGCGAATGACGAAATTCTGGACGATCTCGTCCGGTGTATGGGTTATCTTTGAAACGGGGTATATAGCGCATGACGAGCTCTCTAGGTCGAGGCTCGAAGTGGTCGTCGAGGGAAATAGCCGTGAGCCGAGTCCATGGAGAATTCTTCGGCTTCCCTCATCTGCTGCTCGTGTGGAGTGAGACGCATAGGCGGATCCTGTCGATGCACGTCGGCGAGAGGAGGACGAACGACAGTCACGCCCGGCTCGAGCTCCATCGAGGGTCGATGATGAACTTTTAAGCCGTCGGGAGGCGTCCAATGAGCTTGTTGAGGGACATTGTTTTCGTGATAGGTGTAGTTGGCAGGCGTACCAAGGGGTGCTCGGTGATAAAATACTGAAGACTGTTTGACCGGCGCTTGGCGGAATGGTGGAGTTGCCAGGCCATAATCAAAGCTCGACGATCGGTCGTGAGACCCTGCTTCCTGCTCTCGTCGGCGTCCAAGAGGCTCAGGACTTTGTGATCCAGACAACGAGCGTCTGAGCTCAGACATTGAAGGGAGCCATCGAGTCGCTCCGTCGTAATCAAGAGCCCACTCATCTTCTTCCTCCTCATCCTCGTCAATCCTCTCATCGTCGACCAGGGCAGACACGTTGCGGTGCTGCTCCTTGTCAAAATCGACCTCGTGTCTGTCGTACGAATACGATCGAGCAAACGCTCCCCACTCGCGGGCAAGCACATGGTCAGCGGTCATGTCGAGGGACGATCGTCGCGACGTGTCCAAGATAGCCAGGGTCGAAGCTCTCGGGTCGTTCAACTCGGCCTCTCGAGCCTGCGAGACCATATCGTCGAGCGTAGTGTAGACAATAGTGTCGCGGGCCGCTTCGTCATAGACAAAGGCCGAATAGAGATTGTTGACGTGATCAACCCAGGCCGACAGGGGAATATAGAGTGCCCAGTGAAAGTCTCTGAGCGCAGCCACCTCGAGTTGATAGATTTGGGTGACTGAGATTCCCGTCACTTCTGTCCACGACTTGTTCAAGAACGAGTTGTCGTCGAGCCATTTGCCGGCCAGTAAAAGTCCAAGCATGGCAACACGTTTCTCGACAGCTTCAACCTCGGTAGTGGAGGCGGCACGAAGAAGAGAACGCAGCTCGGAGCCCTTGGCCCCGTCGCTCTCGTGAAGACCAAGACCACCGAGAAACCACACTGCCGCAACGACGGACGTGTCATCGACAGACATTCGTACGAGAACGTCCTTGACAAAATGGACGAGCGAGGTGCTTCTGGTCGGCGTATTGCTCCAGAGAATGTTCCACGGATCATGAGGGGCAGATGCGGGCGATCGAGATCGAGGACGTCGAGCTGGCTGGACAGGCGTCGCCGTCATGCCCATTCTGCCCCATGGCTTGGAGTAGTCGGGGGCAGTACGTCCAACCCGCTCCCACGCAGCCAGTTCTCTACCTCGAAGACCCCAAATCTCTTCCGAAGAACCTCCAACACCAGGACGGAAACAGCCGGGCTTGACCATGAACGAGACGACTTGGTCGACGTACCATTCAGCTAGGGCCTGGAGGACGTCATCCCTGCTGGGCGGCTCCGTCAAGGGCTCCACAAAAGAGGCGGGGTATCGAAAGGTGTCGTGTGGAGTCGGCACACATTCATTAAGCAGCACATGTCGTGGTTCCATGACAGGCGCTCTCCAACCACCTGGTCCTGATTGATACTCGCCGTGAAAGGGCAACATGCCGTACCTGTCATACATCACAGGTGCTTGGAATGAGGGGTGCAGCGCGGGCATGGGCGAGCCTTGCCAAGTATCTCCTCGGCCGATGATTGGCTGGGAACCAAATTGTCGATGCTGTGGTGCATAATGAGGAGGACGAACGTTTAGCGGGTTTGCAAACCGCTGCTGTGCGTCACTTACCCTGTTGTAATGGACATGCTGAGCAGCTTCGTCCAATTGAACAAGGTTTCCCCACATGTCGACCTCAACAGTAGGTGGCATGTTGCCACGCTTGAGAGGATGCACCGACGAATACGTCGGGACTGGCTCAATGAAGGGCATGGTGAGGAGTGGTGTGGCTTCCCGAAGAACTCGGGAGCCGTCTCCGACGCTTAGTCAAGCGAAGGAGTGAGGACGCTCGCTGTATTCGACTGAATGACGAAGGAAGCGAAGCGAGGGATCCGTAAAAGTCCAAGTCAGGTCTTGCGATTATATAGACCTTTTGAATTGTGCGAAAGACGAAAAAATTCGCTAGAGATTTTTTTGGTGTGACCAGATGAATGGGATTCAAGGCGAGGAGCAGGTGACCAATCAAGGTTGCAGCCGCGTGACTGCGCTCTACTCGCAATGCTGCCCGTCAAATGGTTCTGGAGGGGCGTGAAAGACGTCGGGAAAGATTGCGTGAGACTCTGACTATATGAGCCGTGCGAGGAGTAAGCGGAGATCGTCGGAAGGCGAAAGGAGGTGAAAGGAGGCGAGCAAAGCGATCGACGCAGAGATGACAGCGAGGAGTTTGAAGTCCAAGGGTCCACAACGACGATATGCAGATCACGCCCCAGAGTGGCAATTGGACCGAGGTGATTGCAGTGGCAAGGCGCGTTTGGACGATGACGAGTTGAATTGATGGGGAGGATGGACAGTGCGGCGGGGTAAAAAGAGAATGAGAGAGACTTCGTCAGCGACTTTCCCTTGTATGATGATGACGACTCGAGACGTGGATGACGAACAGAGTCCTCGCCTAGTCCACCGACGGCCGCTCAAGATGACTCACCAAAAGGCGATGACAGCTCGAGCGCGCGAAAATTTGGTCTCAAAGAACCAAATCGTCTACTCGTTGATTGTCCATTCAACGACAAGAGCACCCGAATGTATCTCCAGACCACTGTGAGAGGTCTGTCGAGTCCAACGTCGTCTATTCCAGCCGAGTCGAATGATCGAAAACGCTAATCGATCTCGTTCTCAACTCTGACCAAGGCTCGAAATCGACACGCCAAAAGGGAAAAACGTGTCAGGAGCCTGGCTTTTGGGGGGGGGATGGATGGGGGGATGTCCCGTACCAGCGATGTGTGTGCAGGGGAGACGGAGTAGACAGGTGGTGGATCTGGTCAGAGTCGATAGAGAGAGTTCTCCCTTCCCCAATCTAGATTGAGAAAACAAGAAACCTTTTGACCTCTATGACCACTGATTGTCCAAAAGAGAATGTCAAAGAAGAAAAGGTCTGCTGTCTGTCTCAATAACATCATTTGTGGCACTCTCTGCTGCACACGGAAAATTTTCCCAAAAAGCTGGCTTGGGCTGAGTGGCGAACGGGATTATCATTGGATGTGGCACTCACTCACTTTGGGTCGATTGCGGAGACTCCACGGGCGAGCGCATCATGACACACTACACCTACTACTTCACGATGGCGAACCCACTGGATCCAGGATCACTGCTCGACCTCCTCACTGCCCTCCTACCCTCTACTACATCGTCGCGGTTGTCAAAACCCACAGATGCCCTCGCAGCTCTCATTCATGCCATACATACCGCTCTTGACTTTCGGCTAGTGCGGCGACCCGATGATGAAGCGTCGGCCGCCAGAAGCACGTCGGACGCGACAGGACCAGTCGAGGAGAAGGATATTGACGATACAGCCTCGGAGACTACTACAGCAGTGGACCAAGAAGATGAGGAGGAGGCCCGTTTCTCTGCCGAGAACCAGCTCCCATCCGGCTGGAGTGACCGAGGAGAAGACTCGTACTCGTTTGAATACAAGCACGATCAGAGCTCCATGACATTCAGGATCCGAGTGGGCAGGATGGGAGGCAGAATACAGATCGATGCGATGGCAGAGGTAGGCTGTGTCCAGCTGTTCCGTAACTGACAGAATCAGGACGGCGCCCCGCACACCATTTCCCTTCTTCTCACTGATATCTTGAATCCTTCCGCCTTTCCCATTCCTGGTTCCGCGACAGCTGGGACGTCGTCCACCTCCCAGTCGCCCGATGGTCCAGCAAAACGACTCGGATTTCAGTCACTGGCCAGGTACGTAGCTCGAGCGAGGGTCGCGCTCACACGCAGCGTCTCGGGCTTTGTCGAGCAATACAAGAAGGACATTATCGCGAAGCTGTTACCGGGGTTGAGAAAGGAGGGATACGTGGAGACGTGAGTGGTTGTCATGCCCTGAAAGCCTGACGCTACTCAGATCTTCCGGGTCTGGACCCCGGAATCCTCCTCCCTCTGCTCCATCCCATGTACCCTCTCCCGCTCGTCCAGACCCACTCATGGACCCTATCCACCCCAGTCGTTCATCAGGAGCTGTACCGTCCGCCTCCGTCGGACATCGAGACCTGGACCCATTCGCCTCGATGCAGCCTCCCGGCTCCTTCAACCCTTACGCTGGCGGCGACGGCGGAGGCATGTACATGGGTCCGAATCATCCTTTATTGTCCGGAAGACGTGACCCGACGTCACCCCTCGGACAAGGTGGTGGACCCGAAGGGTTCCATCCTCCTGGAGCCCGATGGGATCCAGTGGGACCGACCGGACCTGGAGGCTCGGGATCCAGATTCCCAGGACCTGGAGGTAATCCTCTAGGTGGGAGGGGACTGGGTGATGACGGATGGGGAGATGAGCTGCCTCCACCAGGTGAATTCGGGCCAGACATGGGTCGTTTAGGCGGGAGAGGAGGCAGAGGCGGACTTGGTGGACCCGGAATGCCAGGTATGGGGCCAGGGTTCGGAGGTGGATTTGGAGGAGGTCGTGGTGGTGGTGGTGGTGGAGGAGGGGGCTTCGGTGGTGGAGGATTCGGAGGCGGCGGAGGCATGTACATGTGATCCCGTCACTTTCATATTGTTGTACATACATTGCAGCCTTATCACTACGGTAGACCCGATCGCCATGTATCTCCCACTGTATTCTCGCCCCAGGCGTACGCACTCGAATCATGGACCGTCGTTCGCCTCATATCTCTGCGGAACTTGCCCTCGAACGTCCCACCTGTGACTCGATGCCTAGAGTTGTGAGCTTGGCCTCACGCCCGGCTGCTACACTTACATGACACATGTATTGTCCCACATCACGAGATCGCCAGGATCACGCCAATCCACAGACAAGATGTATTTATGCTGACTAGCGTGGTTGAGCAGTCTCTGTATCTCCGCTTGGCCTTGCTCCAAAGGGAGGTCCTGGACTTTGTACGCATGATTCGCAATGTACAGGTTCTGGAAAAGCTCAGCACGACATCCAAAAAAAGGCCGCCTCACGGTTCTCCCTGAGGGCTCATGAAACTGGACGAGCTTGTGTTTGCCAAAAGGATAGGACTCGGGCAGGAACTGTGACGTGAGCCTTTATCGCTTTCCCCCATTCACCTTTGGGTCGTCAAGAAACTCTACACCCGGATTGGCTTTCCGCCTCGAATGATGCTGCGAATGCCAAAGGATCCAATCTTGGATTCTTCGCTTGGTCGCTTCGTCCAGATCATCATAAGCTGTTCGGGTGTCTGCAAACTGGTCAGATTAGCAGGAGTTTTAAAACATCTGGGGCTGGGCGTACCTCTGTATTTCCACCGTGTCCCATGGGTGGAAGCTCGTGTGCCAACAAGAGGCTCTACAATGGCGAGTTCAGCTGGTCCTAGGATCTACTCACGTATCCTGCCCGGCGAGGATTGAACGCGCTATCGACATGGAAGAGACCGTTGCCTTTACCGAGTATCGCTCGTTGACTATCCGGTTGCATAATGTTCCCCTCTCCATCGACGTTACTGACGTCGAACAGTCTACTGCATCAGTCCGGCAAAAGCGCAACTACTCACTCATCATATTTGAGACGATTGATCCGTCCGAGCCTGGTATACGGCGTCACATCATCCAGTTCGCCAAACAGACGCGACATTGCGACGTGTCTATCGTCATCTAGACCGGTCTGGCGGCAGACAAGGACACCATACTGCCACGAGTCAGCCTGCCAGAAAGACGATGAGCGTATACCTTGGCCAACCCCTCCTTGAGCTGGTCGACAAGATGCTGGTCAGGTCGAGAAAAGTCGGCACTGGTCACTTCAGCTCCGAACGTCGGATGAAGTGGGCTGAACTGAATGGCGTACATGGTGACAGTCGTTGCAAAGGTATCAATTCGAGCGCCTTAACGAGGCCGCGTCCACCTCATGTGCTGCTGAGCGAGTTGCCTATCGGTCCTGGCGGGCCGGGAGCATCCATCAGGTCAGATTCGAGAAGAGAAGAAGGACAGATTTGCCACTCTCACGCTATGCGATTGCCAAAATGGTCCCATACATACAACGGAGAGTGCCGAGTTCACAGTCCAAGTCGGTGGCAAGTATGTCAGAGTAGAAGTCAGGGACGCCGACGACGATATGCTGGGAATGAGCAACCCCATCTGGATCTTTTCCTAGGTGCATCTGATCACTGCATGCGGAGGTACCCGTCGGTTTCTGGGCTTGAGGCGACTGCACCAAAAGGTTCACGGACTCGAGCGACCCTGAGAGGCTCCTTGATAGAATGCCATCTGGATAGGAATGCCCAGATCCCACGCTTTCTCAGTGTCTCTGCCCATTCACACGACCACAAGGCGATTCGATCCGCTTGGATGGAATGACAGCGATCAAATCTCTCCTCATCCGGGATGCGACCTCCGACGTCGGGATAGCTATGATAGTTCGCGAATCTCGATCCGCACCAAAATACGTCATGAAACCCCCAAGGGCATAAACAATTTCACTTGGACCGATGTCGGGCCGATAACCCTCCGGTGAAAATCACCCCCAGGCAGATGTTGCAGATACACTTGACTAACCCCAGCCTAAACACGCAACTTCACACCAGATCTACAATCGAGATCCCATCCCGGACGACTCCCTATCAGCACGACAGCCAGCCAGACAGACAGCCAGCGTTTCTTTTTTTCCCCCTTGCCCTTGACTGTCGATCAACGCACTCTCCTACCGCCTAATATAGCCAGTCGCCTTATCAGCTTCGACGAGGACCGCCACGCATCTGTCCCGTCTTGCTCCACAGCGGGGGTTCAGAGGGAACCTCGAACGAAAGAATCCAGCTTTTAGTGCCCTGGGTATCTGCCGGCGACACTACGCAGCGGTGCTAGCGGCAGCAGCAGCGGCATCACCCAGCCGACAGACCACAGTGACGACAATCTTTCCTGATATCGGTTACATTAGCATTGTTCACTTTGCCCCGGTTCATTTATTATTTAAACAACAACCTGGACCCGGGAAGCTATCAAAGAATATCCGGGGTATTTTTTTCTCTTTCTGCCCCCCCGCCGCCGCCGCCGACACACCTCCGCACTTTTTTTTTTTGGCCCCCCCCCCCCCCTTTCTCGCATCTCCGATCTTCCGATCTTCTTTCTTTCTTCTGTCTCTCTCCTGTTGTTGTCTTCTTTCACACGTCTACTTACATTCTCACAGAATGGAAGACCTCGTAGGAGCTCTCTCAGGCGGTATGCACGTCTCTCAAGAGAGACAGAATCTACAAGCCCTACAAGTGAGTTACGCTGCTGCCACCCCGCAACGCCCCCGCCCCCCCCGTCCGTTTATCCGCTGACACCAACCCCGCTCTCCCGCGCTGGCCCAACAGGAATATCTCACGAACACCATGTCATTCCCTCACATGCCTATGAATGGTCATCCTGGCTACCCACCACAGACGTCCAGGTCAGCATCGCATTCGAGGAATTACAACAATATACATTATCACCCATCATCCTCAGCATCAGCATCAACATCCGCCGCGGCTGCCCAAATCACCGGAATGATTCCTCCGCCGATATCTCCCGTCCTCTCTCCTACTACTTCGTTCCACCCCGCCCCTTATGCATCCCCAATCAACAACACAGCCTTCTTTCATTCGGTCGAGGAGCTACCGAAACCCGAGCAATATCCTCATCATCACGCCATGCAACGGTCTTCATCCTCCGGCTTCCCGGAGCATTCAGGGCTAGGCATGAGCTCCATTTCGACTGCCTTTGGATCGTCATCGGGCGGCGTCGGAGGAGGAGGCCACGGTCTCCAGTCAGCTTCGTCTTCCTACTCCACAGACGATTCAGAATCCCTCAGTGGGTTCGAAGCAGATGCCTTTGCACCCTTGTGGCAAAGAACAGATCGATGGGGACGAAAAGATGAGGAAAAGAGCAGTAACCCATGGGCCGGGTTCATCGGACAAGCATCCATCTTTGGGAAACGCAACGCGTCAGTCGAGAGCTCGGGCAAGAAGCCAATGAGGGATCAACCGTTTCGTGTGGACGGAATGCCGGAAGATCTGGACATGGACATGGATATGGGCATGAATGACGACCGCGAGCATGCCGGCGCGACGGGATCGCTTCAGATCATTACTGAAGCTGAGCAGCCAAAGAGAAGTCTAGGTATCAGCTTTGGAGGCTGGGATAGGGGTCGTCGGAAGCGAGCGCCGTGATTCGTGGATGAGGACTCGTATCGTATCGTTGTAAGAGTATCTTTGTTGTATTATCCCGCGACGACGTTCCCACCCACGACACCACACTTTTTTTCGAGATGTCTTATGCAAGGTATCAATGTCCACTGTGCGATCCTGGTCTATGCTACCGTTCATCTATACTGGCATTCAAATCCCTTGTCCACCTGGCCCCGTTCAGAGTCTCGCAGTCAGCTTGTCTACGGGCGTGTCGTGCCAGCAAATCTGATAGATCGTCTCGAATAGGGGATAACCCTCGATCCGGTTTCGTGAGTGCAAAAAGTTGTGCACATCTTTGGCCGTATGAATACCTTGTAGCTCTGTGAATCGTCAGCAAGAAAGTCGTCAATGAAGATTTACTTTGCCCGTTCAGCATCTCCTTTTCTAACTGATCAAAGGGCTGTGAGATCGTTAGTCGTGAAAGTCCATTTGGCACACCTTCTTCGTCTTGACAAACGCTTCTGCAGTCTTGCGATTTCTTCCTCCGAGACCTGATCCATATCAGGCCCGGATCTCGAGATAATGAATGGGCTCACAGGAGGTGATTAGATCTGCTACGCCTGCACTCTCTTCCAGAAACGTTTCCACCTTGACATCGTCAAAGAACTCCAAGCAAAAGTTTTTCATTTCTATGAGACCGATCCGCATAATGGCAGCTGTGCCGCCGCGTGTCAGCCGCCTGTAACGACTCCAGTCAAAAAAACGAGCTCACCCTTTGAGTTGTTTCCATATTCGAGCCCATCGACCAGGCCAGCAGCGACGGCAACAATGTTCTTCAGCGCCCCGCACAGCGACACACCAGCGACCTAGAGACGTAAGCTACATCCTCGTGGCTCCGGCTCACATCTGCGACAATGTTGACTCTGAAATTGGGAGTGGCTATTATATCATCAGCACCAGCATGGACTACTTGATTTGCCGGCCCCACCAAACAGCCTCTGCCACAATTCACCCTCCTCCTTTTTCCTGTACCCTACGGTCGTCTCTGAAAACTTGTCAATGGCCACTTCGTCTGCAATGTTCGCGCCACTGAGTGCTGAGCACGAGACGCCTAAACGCTTTTCGATGACATCGGCGTAAATGTGAATATCGGATCCTTCGACATCGACGCCCTGGGAGGGGGTGTTAGTTGTGAGTCGAGATCTGATGGACCAACCTTGATGAGTGAGATAGCTTTGACTCCTTTCTCAATCTTGCCTTCTAACGACTGCAGGACGCCGCCGAGGACTGACCTTCGTCAGCAAGATCTGAATGGTCTAAGGCTCAGCTCACACTGGTGGGGAAGGACGAATACCAAGGCTGTGGCATCCTTGACGGATTCGATGACGTCCGGTACAGCGACCACATTCTCTGGCAATTTGATTCCAGGCAGATATTTGGCATTAACATGCGTCGTGTTGATGATTTCCGTAAGCTTCTTTCCGTCTACCTGTTGTTCATGCCGTGAGACAAATGCGGTCAAAACCTATACCAAACCACTGACCTGCTCCTCAAAGACCCAAATCGGTACTCGCTCTTCGAAAACATCGGCATGTATCTTGGCATTCTGTCCAGCTATACGAGCAATGGCAGAACCCCTTCGAGGGACGAAATGGAATGTCAGTCTTACATTGAAATAATATATCCTGATTGGGGAAGGGACACACCAGTTGCCAGATCCGATGATGGCTACTCGTTCCTTGCCCATGGTTGAATTCTGAGACTGACTCAGATATCGGCGCGGCAGTTGTGAAGGCAATGGAGCGCTCGGCCGAGTAACACAGGACAAAGTTCGACCGCAGAACGATCCGAATCCCTGCCTGGTAGAGTCTAAGAGGCGCAGAATGGTCGCTGGGCAGATGCAGTCCAAGGTATGATGATGGACAGCGAGCTCTCTGAACTGACGTCGATTAGTATTTTTTGCATTGGGGAAAATTAGCAGAGAGAACATGAAACAAACGGGGTGGCAAATCATCAGGCACGTGACGGTCTGTGAGAGAGGCAGCTGGTGCGGGTTGTCGGCAGGACTACTTTGACTGCCAGACATGGCATGCATGGACGTGTGGAGAGACAGACCAGACGGTCTAAGGGTCACAGCTCTGCTGACGCGAGCGATATCACGCACGCCCTGGAGGAGAATCGCGCACGTTTCACGGGTCAGATGCGGTGAGACGTATGGTATGGTGTCTTGGTGGAATTTTGGACGAATGCGTTACAAGCCCTGTCGAAAAGCGAAGGCCTATATATCGCCTTGAAGGCATGATTGTGTCTGTTTCTTCCAGAGCTCTCAGCTCATCATCATCATAACAGGACCTCTCATATCTTCAGCAATACTCCTTCTACCGATCCCCGCATCAATCAAGTCAAGTGCATTAAGGGAAGGAGGATTGAGAACTCGGGGAATCGGACTTTGCCCATCACGATAATGCCAAATAGCGATTCCGATTCGAGCTCTACATCTACTATCAATTCATCCATGGAAGATTGTCTCGCAACACGCCTCGTCTGTGGTGATCTGCCTCCACGACGCAAGGCCAGCCGAAGACTTACCATCCGACAGAGCGCCATCCCTATAGGACCCAAAGTGGCAGTATCGATTCGGACCGAACCAACGGAACCGCCACCTCCTATCCTCACCGCACCGTCCACCGCTCCATGCAGACCTAGACGCCGACCAGGATTCAAGATCGATATCCCGGCTCCTCTGGTCAATGCAGATGCGCGGACTTCTTTGGGCTGTACACCTTTCGCAGAACATGCCATTGTGCTCTCCCCAGCCTCAATCATGGGTGATACGCCCGGTGGTGAAGGTGTAAAAACGAGAGCACCGAGATTCGAAGCGTACTCTATGGATGGATCGAATGGGCCACAGATGAATGGTGGCTCCATTGGTCAAGCGAAGGATACGGCAGCCATTTGGTATACGCCTCCAGTTCGGCAATTCGTCCGCCGTGCTTCAACGCCTTTCCCAAGGCATGACCCGGCTGATTGGCTCACCGCCAGTGATATCGAGAATCTTAACGGGGAAGACACAGCTGATGAGGGGACTTGAGGTGTGTGCAGTGGCGTAATGAAATGTTTGGATCTCATTGTACATGCTCGTCTCGGCTTTGCCTTCATTTACAACAGGTTTCATCATATGTATGTGTAGTATCCCGAAGAAGTTGGGGGATTCTTTCTGGTCGGAGTCGTCGATCTGCCGCATCTCTACCGGAGGAAAGACCACTCGTCGTCGCCTTCTCCAACTTCATCCATCTCATCGTGAGCGTGAGAAACGAATGCGGATGGCGTCATTTGTACACTGGTTACCGGTACAGTTGGGACGTCCGACATTCTCACGGCAGCTGGTTCCACGATCTGAATCGATGCCTCGCTTCCTGTCCGTGAGGGCCGCTTGGCAGCCGCTGTCTTCACCGCCTCACTAGTCTCCGGGACAATTGTTTCTGCCGCTTGCTCAGGTGATCCCTCTCCCCATTCATCTGCATGCGGTCGAGTAGTCGAAGGCTTGAGACGTACATCCCTTGCCATGCTGCTGTCCTGCTGATCGACATTGTCGTGCCAAGACGACTTTTTGGGGGACGACAGAGACAAAGACAAGTCCACGATCTTGAGAGGGCTCTTAGTCCTTTTAGAGGGCTGAGGCTCAGACCGGATCACACGATCTAAAGCCACGACATCCTCATCCTCTTCGTCACTCAACTGATGGACCTGTTCCATAGACGCTAGACGAGCACCCACGGCTCCATCGCCCCATTGGAACCCTTTCGGCGGATTGAGCGCCAAAGATGCGAATTTGCTGCTCGATTTTACCATCTTCAGCTGCTCGTCCGCCTGCAGCAGCTGTTGACGGAGTCGTCGAGTCCGAACAGGGATGACCACAGCTTCCATCCTCAGTCTCTGGTGTTCAGGTCGCTTGATCTCCTCATGTGCGGGTGAGATCGGCTTCAGCTGCGTGACCTGTCGAATAGTAAATGACTGAGACAGTCGAATCCGCTTGACAGGCGAGCCACTCCTACTCCTCGTTGAGGTTTCTGACCCATCTTGAATCGCAGTAAAGGAATTATGTTTCCTCGTAAAGTCCTCCATGGACGCCGAGGGGAAGTTGAAATTGGACGAATCGCGAGCCGCTTCTTTGACGGGCCGCTTCTGCTGTCGCTTGGGAGGAGATCCAGCGACAGGTACGGACATGTCCAAAATGCCCGCCAAAGTCCCAAGGGCAGGTGACCCCTCCACCAGCGCATCGGTCAGAGCCTCAGAGTGACTGTCTGGTGACAGACTGAGACGATAGTTTGAATCGTTGGCATCATCACCTCCATCGGGCAGGATCTGATCCAGCTCGTCGATCTCAGACTCGCCCTCGTATTCGACTGGCAGAGGGGTAGCTCGACCGTCTGGCGACTCGGGGATGATCGGGACTGGCGAAGGTGACACGGCAAACGGCGCACTACTTGATCCCTCAGCGTTGTTGGGCTCAGCAGCGTCCGCAGAAGGGCCGGTGCTTTGAGGCGCTCCCTTGGAGTTTCCACGGATGGCCGCACGGGACTCGTCGACCTTCATATGAACATCTGTGAAGGCGACGCCTTGCCGACTAACCATGTCATCCAGATCAGACAAGACTTTCCCTGCCCGTTCATTTTGCTCAGTGGGAATGTCAGCTGGAGGTGCATCCAGGATCTCCAAATTGTCGACCATAGAGATGTCAGGCATGGTGAGTTCATCAACCGTATCCTCTTGCTGGGTCTCGCTCGGTCTGATCCTCGGCGGTCTCCCCCTTTTCCGCTTAGGTAGCAGAGACAGAGGGGTCGGTGATGCAGGCAGAGGTGGTGTCGGAGAAGGAGGAGCCTCATACCATACTGAGTCTGGATGTTCCATGTCGAGTTTATCCAGTCCCAGTAGCTCGCGACGCCATGTCTCCAATGCGAAAAGGGCAGCTGCGTCTAGCGTTCGGAGGTCCAAGCGGAGCTCACGAATTCGTCGAGACGGGCCGATAGGCGGAAGAGGGTGGGATGCGGGAGGTGATGGAGGCTGTATGAGGGTGGCGACAGGGGCTGATGGTTCGACCATTCCATCCGCTGGGCGGCGCAGGTCGTCTGCGACAGGAGCAGAATCTCCAGCACAATTCAAAGCTGGCGTTGCATCCTCAACCCTGTGGGCATCCGCAGGACCCCCGGCAGATCCTTCCACTTGCGTCTCCAATGTCTCCGCTCCCAGATCTTCCAGCCTTGCCAAAAGGTAGTCCTCTTTTGACACGCCTTCCGGTAGAATGATGGGATATCCCTCTTGTGTCCTCTCCTCCTCGGTCTCAGCAGCCGCTAATCCATCGAGTTCTTTTGCGAGGGTCGGATAGTGGGCTCCATTGGTCTGCACCAGATCAGTACCCAGCCCTTGTATTGCCAGTTCATCCTTCTTCCCGTCGTGTTGCGCCTCAGAAGCCGCTACATCCTCGATTGGCAACGAGTTACAAGCGGCCTTCGCAGGACTTTTCGGCGGTAGTTCCGAGCTTTCCACGACCCTCACATCGATTCTATGGTAGCTTTTCGGCGTCCGAAACCGATCCAGTATATCATGTAGCTTGAGTATCCTATCATTCGTATCTATACCGGCGAGAAATTCAGCCAAGGGCGGTAATGCGATGGAATGAAGTGTTTCGTTATGCGTGAAAATGACGGGAGGTGGGAGGTCATGCAGTGTGAGCGTCATGATCGATTTTCATCCAGCCCAGTCTGGTCGACTGCGACTTTGAAGACCTTGTATGTTCCAGTCGGATGCTATATCATTGCGCTCATGACTGTGCGTATCGTCCAGGTGACTGAGTGCCTCCTTCAATCCAGTTCGCGTTGAGAGTCTCGCTCGGGGGCCACTGATCATAACATACATACGGCGATCGCCGCAATGGCCGCACGCACGCCGGTCGAAGCATGAGGACGTTCTTGAGCATTAATTATCACATGCTGAGTATCAGACAAGCAGCAGACGAAGGGGATATCTTCGAACGGATATCGAAAGCGAGATGGACGCTCTCTTTCCCCCAGATCGATCTCTGCTCTTCCCGCAATTCGAGACCTATCGCTTGCAACCTCTTGACCCAGACGAAGATGTCATTTCGTTTCCGTTACCTGGGCAAGGGGCAACTCAATCGAGGGTAGGGTACAATACTCATCTCTTGTCCTTTTCAGAAGTAAAGTCGAGGATAGAATGGAATCATTTGGCAGCTGGACAAGGCAGGAGAGGAATGTACGTCGACGCAGATTGGAATGTCATCGGATTCCAGCTCGAGGTGAGTCGACTTGAAGCGACGAGCAGAAGCAGCGCTGACTACGATGTCTCATCAGGATGACTACCAGCCTACCTTCTCGACGATAGCCAATATACGACCGGGTCCTAGCAGCGAGCCGAAACGTCAGCCCGAATACCCCAGTTGCATCCAGCTGGACAACTCCTACTGGGCCGTGGCAGATGGTGCAGGAGCCCTTCATCTGGTCAAGACCTCCTGTGCAGAAGAGCCTTTTTCAGGCGAGATTGAACGGTCTGAAGGACCAAAGTCATCAGGAGTCAACTCTGACGGAGCCGAGAGTCTCGACTCCGAGCCCTTCCTCATTCAAGGCGTCCGACGAGACGGGGATGGCAAATCCTTAGCTCTGCTCCTCAGCTTTGCTCATCCCGTCGGGAAGGCTCAAAAACAGCTTAGCAGCTCAACGGCATTTGAGCTTGTGGAATGGACTATCGGACATCTTGGCGGGTCCACGGCGAACGGGCATGCGAGGCTACCAAGTCACTTTTATGGATCCGATCTACCTATATCCGTCGACTGGAGTGGTGTGCAAGGCTCTCAAAGCTGGACAGTCTTATCCTCGAAGCAATATACAGAGCCACAAGCATGGGACGCGCAACAGTCGATGGAGATTGAGAAGAAACAAAGGGAGAACCTTGTCGATAGTCGGAAACCGGGTCTTGGAGCAAAGCGCAAACGACCGTCACCTCCGATTTTTGCAGAGGCTGAGAGCAGTCAAGCAGCGGTGGCGGCGACGACCAGACGGGAAGGTGCGAAAATCGAAGAGATGGACGAGTCTGCAGAAAGGGCGGGAAATGACGATAGCCCATACTCATGGACACAGACTGCAGATGCTTTCACCCTCCACCTGGATTTCCCACCGGGTACCTCTCGTCAGGAGATAACCATTTCACTTGACGACACCAGCCTGGACATTGTTGCTTCTTCAATGGCCGATACCGACACACCACTTTTCCGTTTCCTCAGGCGACGTAAACGCAGATGGTTCGGCGATATCGATGCGGGTGGATCGACCTGGACATATGAACCGAAGACAGGAGTGCTCGAATTTGAAGTCGTCAAGCGTGATACCAATATCCGCTGGCCGTCCCTTTTTGTTCCGAGTGACGACGACGATGATGACGATGACGACGAGACTTATGATGATATCCCGGAGACGTTCGATGCGGCCACTCTCGCAGCTGTGAGAGAATCCTTTGGACGGATCAGAGAGCGTAACTCTTCGGAACCTGAGGGAAATCATCCTGCTATTCCGGCACTATTGAGGGAAGAGATGGACTATGACCTGGACGATGATGAGGACTTTGATGGCGGCGGGATGATGTATGCGGAAAGCGGGGGAGGTGGTGGAGGAGGAGGCCACAAGATTGGGCGGGATGTTCTGGTGGGCACTCTCACCAGTGTGGGAGAAGCCAAATGGTCAAAAGCATCTTCGACAGTGGTCAGCCTTCCCATGTCCGGAGATCTCAACGATGGCATCATGATCAAGTCTGCCGTTGATGGACTCTTATTTTGCCCTCCTCAATCGGGTGACCCGTCAAACAGACCATGGTCCCATAGGACAACCAGTCCAGCTTTATCCTTCGTCCTCGGATCCAAACGGGATGTCAGATTCGTCAAGCACGTAATTCAGCACTCGAAAGACGCGATCAGAACTACGGTGATGGCTTTTGACTCTGGAGCGGTGCCTGGAAGTGGGAATGCTTACATCTATTATCCTCCTGTCGACAGGATGACGGCAAAACAGGGAGTGGTGAAGATCAGCGGGGGCGAGCGAGGGGCATTGCTGGGTGTAGGACAAATCGTGGTCAACGGGAAAATTGTCGTCGTGGCATTATGTGAGAAAGAGTTGGTAGTGCTGAGGTCGGTTTTGAGGGATTGAGGCCAGGTCACAAGGACGGCACCGGCATGCATCATCATGTTCCATCTTGCCACATCCCCGGCCACTGCCACACTCGGCGTCCTGAATACCGGCGATCGCCGCCTCGAGCCCAGCTGCCGCTGTCTTTCCTCAGCTGATGACTTAAGCAATTTGATCATCAAACAACTTACCTCAGCAAACAACCAATCTCATTCGCGCATCCCGACGCCCTCCACTTTGACGGTCCAGCCGTGAACAGCATATCCCGTCCCATAGCATCATCCATCTATCAGCTGTAGCACAGGCTCGCTTTTCGCCTCCCACGTAAGCTATTTCACCACAATGGGCTCTCCACCGCCTCCTTCGCTTGCGTCGTTGCTGGCTATTCCGGGGGACGGACAGATCAACACTGGCTCAGTTGAAGGTCATGATGAGGCAGAGTTGCTGAATTGTGAGATGATATTGTAGACCTCAGGAACCGGAGCTGACCATGTCCAGACCTCAAAGAGCAGTATGCGGCAGAAGATGGTAAGAGGAGTCTTCATCCAGGAGTATCGACTGATAACACGTCCAGTCGGGCTCGAATCCTTGTCTTCGAACCGAGGCAAACAATCTATTGGTCGTTCCAACGGTATAAATCCTCCTATTCCTCAGGTCATTCGTCCCAGATCGCTCTCACCGCCCGATACTTCCGTCAAGATTGATCCTGCTCTGGCTGAGATTGCGAGCCAAGCGCCAGCGGAGAACTTGCCCGAGATCCCCGCTCCGAGCTTCTGGCTCCCAGATCATCAAGGTGACTATGGAGCTCTTGGGGAGATGGGAGGGAAGAGGAAAAAGTTGCCTCATGAGAGAGCAGGCTGGAAAGAGATGGACGAAGCTGGCCCGAGAAAACGAGGGCCAAGGAAGAAGGATGCTTCTGCACCCAGTGGCAGTGCGGTTCCGGCGACTTCTGCGGGTACCACTGGGGAAATGGACGATGGTGCTGGTCATCTTGAAAGAGATCTGATGGAGGCCCATCGACAGAATGGAGGGGAAGAGGATGGAATGTATCAGACGATGGGATTGTACCCGACGACTGGGCTTGGATCGTACGCTGCGACTCAACCGGAGGGAGGACAGTCTGGAGGTGAAGACGGAGATCTGGACGAACAGGGAAAGAAGAGGAAGCGAGCGCCGTCAGAGTGAGTCGACCCGGAAGAGAGTGTTTTGGAACGGCGCGTGATGCTGACGAGCAATTGAAGAGCAAAGGAGGCTCGGGCCGAACAGAATCGAAGAGCTCAACAAGCGTTCCGCAGACGACGAGAAGAGAAGATGAAAGGGCTCGAAGCTGCCGCAGCTGCGCTTGAGCCGACTCAAAGGAGACTCCAAGAGGTCGAGTCAAAGCTCATTGAAGCGGCTCTGGTAGGTCGGCCGATCTCCACGCAAGTGGATGTACGCTGACGCTGACTCGCTCGACAGTCTCTTGAGGCATCAAAGATCCAGTGCCAAGCTTACCAGTCCGCTCTTCGAACCGTTGCTCAAGCTTCCGGATACTCAATCATCACTGACGAAGGGACTTTGGCCATCAATTCATCGATGCAGACCAAGGCTGGTCTGAGTGATGCGAAAGAGATTGATGCTGCGTGTGCGACCCTCGCTCGGCAGTCAAGAGAGCTTGCAAAGCAAAATCGCATCAGGAGGGGTTTCTAAAGGGCCAATGAAGCATTATGCAGGGTCCTTCTAGAAAGGTTGTTATTGGGAGCGATTGGATCTGTTATTGTATCATAGATGGATGTGTTTGCGGCTTGATAGGAGGTGGGTGACCGACGAACGATGCCTGAGCTCGAGTAAGATGTATGTAGCTACTTGATGATCTGCCGGGGGAGTCAAGCTGGCTTCGCGATGTTACCATGGCGTCTTGCCCGGAAGGAAGTCCAGCAGCACAGCGGATAGATCGAACCCTGTGCCACGCGCCACAAGATGAACCCGTCTCAAAGTTGAAGAATGCGAGATTCTGTTATTCATAGCCTGTCGACATTCTGACCTTATTGACTCTAGCCAAATCAGTCTTGGTGGACTTTGAGTCGTATCACTGCCCGATGCATAGTTAAGAGACCTTCACGTATCCTGCTGTTGGCACCCGAACGCAATGGACCGCCATCCACTCTCCTTGTCACTGTAAGTCCCGAGAGTCAGAACTGTCTCAGGTCTCTCTGACAATTGATAGAGCCCGACTGGCCCCACATTCCCTCTTCATTGATGACCCGGAGGATCCACCGCCACCACGTCCGATATCGTCTGCGCCCGAGGAACCGGACGGCGATATCCCAGCCCTGAGCATCACACACAATTACACCGGACCGTATCCCGCTGCTTCTTTGGGCGCAAACCTAGAGGTCGGATTGGAGTTACGCAATGTCAGCCAGGCAGGTGTCAAAGGAGTCAGGATGATGTGTGAGGTTCAAGGACCTGGAGGGAGATATAGACTGGGCGAGGTCGTTCACGGGCAGCAGGAAGAAATCGCTTCAGCAACCGTGCCAGAGACCAATGCGGAGGATAAAGCGAATATCAGTGACTCGACTACAAAGGCTGGAAGTCAAGACGGCGAGACACAGGGGCCGCTTGAATCGGATCCTGGCCCAGGATCCGCTGCTTCTGCTCCACCCCCCGCTCTCATAGACCCTGAACTGCCTGCTGGGGATCACGTCAAGCTGGATGTCGAGACCGAGATCAAAGAGCTTGGTATGCACATTCTCATCTGCTCGGTAGCTTGGGAGACACCAGATGGCCGGAGGACGTTCCAACGGTTTCTCAAGTTCAACGTGAGCAGAGTCAATCTCAACCCTCACAAATGACAGTAAGGTTGACAATGCGTCCAGGTAACGCCACCACTCGCCATCAAGACTCGAATCTACAACTCGCCTCATCCCAATACGACACTTGATCCCGTCGCTCGAGAATACATCTACCTCGAAATCTTGATGCAGAATATCTCCTTCCAAGGGCTGATGTTTGATCGGGTGGTGCTTGAAACGGTTTACGGGCTATCGACGCTTCCCCTATCATCTGAAGAAGAGAAGACCAAACACGGGGAAATCGGAGGAGTCCTCCTGCCTGGAAATACGAGACAACAACTGTTCAAGCTAGCTCCAACTTCTCCAAAAGCCATCCAAGGTCCAGCGGCAGATTCGGCTGCTAGTTCGTCGTCGACGAAAGCTTCCAATCTCCCCCACAGCTCATTCTTACCTACTCATCCTCCTGGAAGTATCCTCCCGCTGGGTCGACTGGACCTCACGTGGCGCGCTGGCGAGACGCACGACAAAGGCCGGCTGCAGACATCCACTCTGAATCGTCGAATACCAAATGCTCCTCCGCCTCTTCATCCTGCACTCCCCGGCGCCAATGCCACTGCTACACGGGCAATGGCTCCTGCTACTGCCGCAACGCCTTCACCGGCACACGCCAGTATCGCTCGTATGGCCAGTCCAAAGCCGCCTGTACTACCGCTGCAAGACGATGATCAGGCTCTTGAGTACGATCTGACCGTCCTTGGGGATCGTGACGTCTTGGTTGAAGAGGAGTTTGAGCTTCAAATCCGAGTTGGAGTCAGGTCTCCTCCGATAGATGATGAGCTAGATCAACCGACTCCTCCAGCACCCGTCCGCATTGCTCTGCAATACCTTGTCAAATCTCCGCCTGCACCACCACCTCCACTACCACCACCTTTATCTCCACAATCCCCTCCATCCCAAACCCGCTCACTCATACCCACTCCGTTGCTTGACAGCATATCCCGAGCATCAACACCGCTCTCGAATCGTTCCCCGGCTTTAGGTTCGGCATCAGCAATGGCTAGATCGAGTACTACCATGTCTGCTGGTCGAGGCGCCCAAGGCACGATCTCCGCTAGACCATTTTCACCATTGTCCAGTCCACCAATGACTTCTTCTGCGCCCATGACCCCCGTTCAGACTCAACTTCGACAAGCTACAAATCAAGCGCTGTATTCGCCAAAGTTGGAGGCGAGACCGGTATCACCACTGCCTCCAGCTCTCAGTCGATTCCCGCCATTACCGTTTGTCTCTGCAACCGCCCCAGGACCTTCTTTCCGGCCGTCATCAACCACTGGCGCGGGACCACCACCTCCAGCTCCCCAGAACACCCTTCTCAACACTGGTCGTATTCATTATCTGGGTTCGTCTCTTCAGATTGAAAAGAATCTCAAAGACTGGACTCTGGTGGAAGAGCGTATGGGAACGACGTATACCGATCCCACAGCACCGTCCAGAAGATGGGAGACTGTCCATATGTTCAAGCTGAGGTTCATTGCTCTTGATGAGGGCCTTGCAGAGCTCGGCGGTGTCAGAGTATTGGTCGTGGAGGATGAGAAAGGATTGAGTGGAAGTATAGCTCGGGAGTGGAACTCAATAGGAGATGTGTGGGTGACAGATTGACAGACTTGCATAGAGCGGTTTGCGGCTCGCTACTAGATCCTGGATGCAATCGTCAAGTTTGGCATTCCACTGCGTATCAAAGGGATACATAATCCGTTGCATCGAGCTACTAGATATCTGATGCCGGTTCTCTATAATCCATCGCCCATCGATACTCAAGCTACATCCAATCAAAGATCTACTTGCCCTCGAACATCTTCTTGATGTGAGCGGTAGAGAAGGACTTGGGGCGCTCAAGGGGCATCTAGTGACAGCGTCAGCGTGCGTCTCTTCATGGGTCTTTGAGCCAAGGCACTCACTCCAAGGGCTCGGTCCCAGATGAGTTGGGAGACAACGCCAAACGCTCGGGAGACACCAAAGAGAACGGTGTAGAAGTCTTGCTGGTGGAGACCGTAGCTGGGAATCGTGAGCGGACGCCAAGTCACGATTTCGCCTGAAGTGCTTACTAGGTGAGGAGGACACCGGAGTGGGCATCGACATTGGGCCATGGGTTCTTGGCCTTTCCAGCCTTGAGCAGGATGTCAGGAACAAGCTTGTAGATCTGTCCGACGAGCTTGAACAAGGGGTCGTCGGGCAAGTGCTTGAGAGCGAACTCTCGTTGAGCGGTGTAACGGGGGTCCTGGGATGTGTCAAACTAGGTTCGCCTCGTCATGACTCACAGTTTTTCGGAGGACAGCATGTCCGTATCCTGGGACAACTTGACCTCCCTTCAAGGTAGACCAAACGTATTCCGAGACCTGCTCGTCCGAAGCGTTCTCTCCGATCTGAGATCGCATCTTCTGGACCCATCGGAGGACTTCCTGGTTGGCAAGACTGGACCCAGTCAGCAGTGTCCTCGAATCAATCAGGTTTCGCTTACCCGTGCAGGGGTCCAGCAAGACCGTTCAAAGCAGCAGCGTAAGAAAGGAAAGGGTCAGAAAGAGCGGATCCGACAAGGTGACCAGTGTGGGCCGAGACGTTTCCACCTTCGTGGTCAGAGTGAATGGTAATGTACAATCGCATCAACTCGACGAATTTCTCATTGTCACCGTAACCGAGAAGGTGGGCAAGGTTGGCAGAGTAATCCTTGTTTTGGTCAATGGCGGGGAGTTTTCCGTCTCCAAAGACGTTTCGGAAGATTCGACCGGCAACGTTCGGGAGCTTGGCAATAAGGTCCATAGAGTCCTCAAAAGTGGTTTTCCAGTACTCTCGCTTGTGAACACCGTTAGAGTACGCTTTGGCGAAGGCGGAGTCGTGGTTGAGCTGAAGGGCAGGGTCAGTGGCCGATCGCAACGAGTTGTAAAAAGGGGAGACCGCGCCTCGCTCTACAGCCCCGGCATGATCTCGGCTGGAATGTACTCACAGCAGTGACGGCCAAGGAGAATTGACTCATTGGGTGGAGAGTGTTTGGGCATCGGTCGATCAACTCCTCGACGAATTTGGGAATCTCAGCGCGAGCAGCCCATTCCTGGGACAATACGTCGACCTGTTCCTTGGTGGGAACCTCTCCAGTGAGCAAGAGCCAGAACAATCCTTCGGGAAGAGGCTCAGATCCTCCAGGAGCGGTCGGCAATTGCTTTTGGCATTCAGGAATAGTGAGACCTCGGAATCGGATACCCTCCTCGGCATCGAGGACGGAGCCTTCCCAAATGAGACCCTGGACACCAACAGTATGAGCGATGGGTTCCACAGTGATGACAACTCTCTGGGGGCCCACCTTGAGACCTCTCATTCCGCCGTACATCTGATCCACAGTGTTCTCCCCAAAGCTCTTTGAGCCGTACTTTTCCCTGACGCTCTTGACATTTTCAATCTCTTTCGGGATCAGCTCTTCCAATCGCTCTTTCAAGCTCTGAGCTTGAGATGCTTGGGAAGACGCAAAGGTTCGAGCAAAAGCAGGTCGAACCTGTGAATGTTGGGAACAAAAGTGAAAATGTCAGTCCGAATGTTTGAAACTACGTCATGGGAGAAGCATCTGTGCAGGCGCAGTGATCTGCTTGTAGGGCGGAAGGTGACTCACCTGAGCTCGGAGAGCGTTTCTCGTGACCAACATGGACATGTTTTCTGCTTAGACACAGTGTTCTCTTGGAACGAACAAGGAGTCTGTAGTTGTTGAGGATGAGATGAGATGAGAGAGAGATCACAATAAATCCACTGACCTCTTTTTTTTTTCGTTTGGGGCAGAAGGTTGTGATTTTTGAGAAATTTTGGTTCCGCGGGCCGCCTTGTTCGGAACAGCTCGCATCCAGACTCCAGATGCATCAAGGTGTGAGGGTCATGGGGTACTCGGAGCACCGTCATGCTGTTGCTGCTGCTCCTCCTCCTCCTCGTCGTCATCCACTTGAACTCCATTGGCCTCTTTCTCTAAGCGCTCCTTCTCCTCCCTCTCTTCCATCTCGACTATCTCAATGTCCAGCGGATACGTCAAGATGGCGGCTATACCCGTCAATAGATTAAGCTGTTGACCTGACTCGTGCATCGAGGAAAAGATCAAGGCTTCGCCACCTCGAGCTCGGACAGCTTCCACCATCTCGACATATCGATTCCGGGTCACTGGATCACTGGACCTGTGGACCAGCGATATCAGTCATTCGCCAGCTAATCGCTTCTAAACCCGGAATGTCGGGAAAGAAAACTCGCCTGAATAAATCATCCGAGATCAAGAGAGTGCCGACGGCACCTCTATCTACGGCCAACGCGACATGTTCAGGCCCATACCATGCTCTCATTTCATCCGTAGCTAGCATCTTGTGGAAACTAGATATGCGTGTCAGCAGAAAGGCATCCATGAAGTCTCTGAACACCCACGCGTCCAGCCCCAACCCTTCACGCGCAAACTTGGCACCTTGCAGCATTTTTGACACTTCCGGAGCTCTCAATGCCTCAACTAGGGAATGGACATGAGAAGTGTTCGAATGAACCTTGATCCACTTTGACCGAGACGCCATGAGGGGCTTGTTGTTGGTCAAGGTCGCCTGGTGAAAAATGTAGTCATATAGCTGAGGCAGGGGCGTGGCGTCAATGACCTGTTACCAGCTTTGAATTCTAAGAATTCAAACTCACGGACTCTTTCGTAAAGCCTGGACTGGCGATCACAATCGCTTTGAGCGTCTGATATGGTATCAATCGGAGGACAGCTTGATAGACATTGGAGAAAAAGGTCTCCATTGCCTAGAATCCACTGTCAGCTCCCGTGTCCTCACATTCGTTGTACGGAACACACCTTGTCATGACCAGATGTTCCACCTTTCCGCTTTCGTGGAACAGCTGTATCTATACGTTGTCGAACGACGGTCATATGCTCCGACAACAGGCAGATTGCCGCGGTGCCTGATCGAAACGATCAGCTCCGACGCTCGTTTCGTCCAGGACCATCGTGCCCACCTTCTCCACAGACGACAGCTCCAACTTCAGCGCCTCTACCCTCTTTTGTACTCTCTTCTATCCTTTCCAGAGCCACTGAATCCCAACCAGTCGCTTTGGTCAGTCGAAAGTCTCTATTGGCTAGGGAGAGATCAGCTGGCGGCCTTTAGATGCGCCCACTTACCTTCCAAGTCGATAGTGTGAAAAGCTCCCATACGGACGTAGTCATTTTCCTGGATGACTTTGCCAGATACCTGAAGACTCGCTGTGGGTTCCTTCTTCTCTTGTCCACCGCTGCTGGTCGAGCTGGAAGCAGCGGGAGAGAATGTCGTCTGTAATCGATATATGAGTACAATTCTCCGGATCGATCCAAGGAGAGCGCACCTTGACGACTTGTAGAGTCAAGTTTACTCTGACTCGGTAGGAATCTGTCGTTCCCGTAGACGATAAAGTGTTGATCTTGCGCATAGTCAGAGCTCGGACTTCGTCCCCCTGGTGTATCTCTCAGCACGCTTTCCAAGAGGATCTAAACGGAGCGCACCTCTGATATCAAGTTGTAGACATGCCACATGTCTTCATCATCCTCTGGACGGAGGGTCACATAGCCCTGACAGGGTATCAGCACTTCCATCCTGTCAGGGAGCAGCTCGAGATTCAGCCTCACCGATCCATCCCTTTCGACGTGCTTGTTGATGAGCTTCATGACGATGCAATGAGATAGAACGAGATACGAATGGATCCGGAGCTCAACGTGGTTTGAAGCCAGTCACTAGTCGCACCCAAGATGTCTACAGATGAGGACGATGAATGGCAGAGGCAAAAGTCTTCACACTTGGATGAATGAGATGTGGATCATCTTTCGTGAAGGATGACGCAAAAAAGGAGAGGCAGAAAATAATGTGGAGGTAAGCTGCATTATACGAGTGTGATATATATATATTCTTGCTGTTATACTGAGACAGAAGGGACATAGTCGCTTTCGGACGACGGAACTAAGGGACAGGGAGATCACTTCCCGTCAAACGTCGTGATCAGAAAGCGACAGCTTGCTACCTGGTTACGCTGGCGAAAGCCTACTCCCACTCAAAATCCTCCTCATCTTCTACATATCCAATGTTTTTCTGCTTTCTGTGAGGCGCACCAGCACCACCCGCTCCAGATTGTACTAGTCTCTGACCTTCTAGACCTGTCCCTTTGGGCTGTATTCCAGCTGCAGATCGTGGCTGAGCGGTCATGGGAAGGGCGTGATATGTCGATGACCGGAGATGGGCCGCATAGGAATAGAGTACGAAAATGAAGTAGACCTAGGGTGGTGGTGTTAAGCCATTCCATTTTTGCAGTGCGATTGTGAGACCTGTAGACCTACCTTGAGAGCAAAGCCTAGGATCACAGTCCAAATTGCGAAGATCCTCTCCCTCTCCCAGATCTCAAGGGCCAACGCCGCTCGCATGCCATCTTGTCCATCCCCTCCTCCCCCTGCTGGATTACTGACCTCCCCTCTTGACACCGCTAGATCGATGAGATCTTGTTGAGCTCTTGAATTGATAGATCGACGACCATCGTGAGGTTGGAGGTACCAATAATCATAGTAGAACAAGTAATGGAATAGGGATTGGACAATGTGATCGGCGGTATAGAGGTGAGCGACTAGCACGGTCGACTCGGATGTTTCCTGAAAGGGTCCCAGTTGGGTCAACGTCTCCATCATTCATTCCATTCTGCTCGTCACGGGACTCACCGCTTTGACCTGCTTCAAAGCCCAGAGAAGGACGAAGAGCGTCACGATGGAATAGGCGTAAAAGGCGAGCTGGGTAAATGTACCTCCGACAACAATCGTGATAAATCCATAAACTCCAGCGACCTTGTTGATAAGCTAGGTTCACGGATAAGTCACAAATCTCCGGGTGAGTAACGGTAGCGAGCTCACCGCAAACAGGAGGATAATTTCGGCACCTGCAATATGGCCATGTCAATAAAAGCATATACCTCGCCAATGGCCACTTGCTCCTCACCCAATTTGATGTCCAGTATACCCAGAAACGAGTCGAACACGGCCTCCGGCCTGAGCCGGCGCAGATTCAGGCCCATAGCAGAAACTTAGTTGGTCATATACAGCTCATGGCAGTGATGTCAGCGCTGGCAGTCGTCCATAGGTGTCACTGGTTCACCATCATCAACATGCTCTGCGATTGAGAGACCGGCCACCCCCACGAGACCGGCGACCTCCGCTCTTCTTCTGCTGCTGTACATGAGCTGCCACACCGCTGAAACGCCGAAATTGAATCAAATTGCCGAATCAGCTTCCTTCCCAAAATTCGACCTCCCATCCGATCCTATACTGTATGCTGTAGAAGAAGACCTAAGGATACCTTGATCACTACCTCGACCTCACACTAGTACACAAAAACCTATTCACCACTATTCACCATGGCCACTTCCAGTCAAATGTCAAAGAAGAGGAAGTTCATCGCGGACGGAGTTTTCCAAGCTGAATTGGGAGAATTCTTGTAAGTCCCGAGGCCCATTGTCGATGGCCATCTTCGGCGTCGATCGAGATCAGGAGAGGGACGTTGGGCTGATCAGTGGTCGTCCCCCTCTCTCTCTTCTTTTCATGCCTCTCCTCTTGATCATATCCGTACTCGCCCGCTCGATTGGGTCGCCGCCTCCCTGGTTCATCCTATAGCACCCGAGAACTCGCTGAAGAACTCTACTCTGGATGTGAAGTTCGAGTGACTCACGCCCGAACTGAAATCATCATCCGAGCTGCTCACACTCAAGAAGTCCTCGGAGACAAGGGACGACGAATTCGTGAACTCAAGGCGTTGGTTGAGAAGCGATTCAAGTTCCCCGAGGGATCTTTGGAGCTTTACGCTGAGAAAGTCCAATACCGTGGATTGTCAGCCGTCGCTCAGGCCGAGAGTTTGAAGAACAAATTGTTGGGTGGATTGGCTATGCGAAGGTGAGCCTCACACTGAGCGAGCGCATTGCCACGCAGTGGTCGTCACTCGTCTCGTTCTTCCTCCCCTTCAATTTTCCGCATCTCCCCATGACACTAGCGCAACATCGCATCACCACTCGAGACCACTGCGCGTTCGGATCCGAAAGTCACCTCCGAGTCGATCACTGACTTCCATCCTCAGAGCCTGCTACGGTGTCCTTCGATTTGTCATGGAGTCCGGCGCTAAGGGATGTGAAGTTGTCGTCTCTGGAAAACTCCGAGCTGCCCGAGCCAAGTCTATGAAATTCACCGATGGATTCATGATTCACTCTGGTCAACCCGCTCGAGACTACGTCGACTATGCCGTCAGACACGTTCTGCTGAGACAGGGTGTGTTGGGCATCAAGGTCAAAATGTGAGTAGGGACCGCCGTAGCGCTATGGACCCTCTGTCTTCTCCTGTCCAATCTTTTTCTGACCCCCTCTCTTAGCATGCGACCTTACGACCCCGAGGGCAAGATGGGACCTGCCAAAAACCTTCCCGATGCCGTCACCCTCGTCGAGTAAGTCTTGTCTAGTTCCCCGAGGTACAATACTGACTCTCTCACCAGGCCCAAGGCCGAGGGCACCATCGAGATCCGATCCGAGCACAAGGAGGCTCCTGTTCAACAGATTCACCAGCAACACCAACAACAGGCTCAACAGGGTCAACAACCTCAGGAAGGCTACTAGGGAGTGTAGATTGGATCTGTACGATAGCACATGGTCATTGCATTGCTGTGATCTTTCCCTTTGCAAAGCATATCGTTTGATTCGTGTCTGCACGCGACAAGGCGTCATTGACAGTACAAACCGTCAGTGAAACATTCCGGACCTCCTCCTTCAGGCGCAACATGGTTTGTAATCTGCAGACACTTAGAAAAACGCGCCGATTTCACGCCTCATCTCTATCGTGGCTTCTAGTACTGCGACCACGTCAGCAAATGAACTTCTGAATACACCATTTACACTCACGACGTAGGGAATGATTTTGTACGGGACGAGCTTGATGTACTTAGAACCGAGTCAGCAGGGATCGGTCCATGGCTCTCGTGACTGACCTTGTCCCAATCATCGCCATACTTCTTTCGGCAGAACTCGTCATCTCTCATTTGTCGGCAGGTCAGCAGGAAAACCAGGAAGACGACGTAGAAGTAGGTAATAGGGGTGTCAAAGCCAGTGGGGAGACACCAACCAAGGCTATGCGGAAATGTCAGCAATGTGTTGTGAACGCTTGATCAGGTGGACGGCGCACGCAATCAGCCAATCTCCAAAGTAGTTCTAAGTCATTGTCAGAGGGCAAACGTGTACAGACAAAACACCACTCACGGGATGACGAGATCGTCCCCACCAGCCAGAGGTCAACAGTTTGGTGCCTCGCTTGGTCTGCATGAATGTGAGGTCTGCAGGCGGTGTCAATGATACTCGGCTGGTCATCTCGGATCAACTGACTCTTTGGGTTTCTGCCGTGTCTGATGTCATGCTTCTCCGAGTTGGACGTTCTGAAGATATACAGACCAGCTCCTTCGACCGCGAGGATAGCGACGACAGCCAAAGGACTGAGATCCTTGGGAGCAAAGGCAAGGTATCGAATGGATACGCCGTAGGTGAATGGAAGCCAGACAAGATCTCCAAAGGCGAGCATGAATCCGAATCCGTCGGTCGTTATGTCGATCTGGTTCAGAATGGCAGACTACAGAAACCATGCATCAGTGAGGGCTATTTCCTTCCCATCGCAGCACTCACCTCGTCCAGGTATGTGTCGATCACGTAGTAAACCTCGAACAAAAGGGCAAGGACCATACTGTTGGTCAATCTACCCAGACGGACGTATTGCTCGCATGCACATGAGATGTTGAGCAAGAGCCAGCCAATGATGCCAGGTCGAACTTCGTTAAAGGTCTTGATGTCGAAGTTGGGGAATCCGGGGAACGTGGGATTCAAGGGACGACCAATGAACCACTGATTGCGAGCAAGTGGGTTAGCCTTGAGTCGTACGCTATGCAAAACCCATCACTCACGTCATACACCACATTACCAGAGTTTCCACCTTGAGCCAAGAGCTCGCCCGAGAAGAAACTCCACACGTAGACCCAGCAAGCCTGCACAAAGGCCATGGCGAGGGATGCAGAGACAAGTGGGACCCATTTGTCGTAAATCCACGTGAACGCTTCAATTCCACCCGGTCTCATGAGGAAACCAGCGACGAGACCGAGAGTGAGGAGAACAGTGTAGTGACCTGGCGGGAATTCATGTCAGCCTTGTTCTTCTCAATTGTTTTGACGCTCGAGCCCATTCTCATCAAACTTACCGTTCATCCAATACTTTTTTCTCTTGCCATCGCGGAGGAGAGTCCCCTCGACGGGCTGCACAGGAAGCACTATCCAACAGACGATACAGTATACGTACCAAGCCATGAATGCTCCTGCAGCTTGCCAGTCCCACCATTTTCCAGCTTGAGAAGGCCAGTCGTTATTCGCTACGCGATCGTAGATTGTTCTCCATCCATTCGCCGTCATAGCGGGACATCCAGTGGTCTCATTGCACCCATAGTAGAGGAAGTAAGCGACGGTAGGGCAGAGAGAAGAGACTGCAAATGTTCCGAGAGGTCCAAAGAATTCTGTAGGTTTACTCTTTGGATTGAGCTCTTCATACGTCAACGTTTTCGGATGAGCTGGGAGGTCTAGCGTCGTGGTGGCCGTGATGACTGTGGTGGTCTCTCCTGGAGGTGGAGGAGTGACTTCGGGAGCACTGCTGCTCTTGCTCGCAGACTTGGGCGTCTTGGGAGCCATTTTTGGTGTGGATCTGGTGGGATGGTGTCAAAACTGTGTTAAAGAGAGTCGATCGATGAGAGAGATCAAAAGGAAAAAACGAGAGGAGAAATGATAGATGATGATAAAATTGGCGCGTCAGTGAGTCTCAGGGGAAGTGGTTTAGGTGGCCAGTAGTTTGTGAGTGGTACGATGCATATAGACAGACGATGCATGAGACGATGGGGGAAATGGCGTCGATGATTTGCAGTGCAGTGCAAGGCTTGACTTGGCAGGTAAGGGTCATGTGGCGAGGAGCGAGAGAGAGGGAGAGAGGAGATGGGCAATGTCATCCATAAGGCACTCGGATGCATTCTACCCAGTGTGTCCCTTTTTATGTGAGAACGGCCTCGCCGCGGGCCAGGTTGTACATTCGATGTGACATCCTCACTGAAACGGCCATACAAGCCTCACAATACCCCGTCTAACCACAGACACAGCTTTTTCTCCATCAACAGCAATATCCGACTGGCCATTGGATCGACCGATGTTCCTGAAGAAGCTGTCAAGCCGGGAGGAAGCGATAGGGAGAGGTGGATCTGATGGGGTGGGTACTTGCGAGCTAAGAGGGAGGTCTCAGCGGAGGTAACGTGCATGATGAGAGGAGCAGGAGCTGAGGCGCGTGTGTCGACATCGAACATCGAAAGGGGGGCCAGAGTTCCCTTTGCCGAACTCACCCAGTCTTTGAGACATGGATACCGCGATGGAGGTCGTAGATGTCTGGTAGATTGACGTAGAGGATACCGGAATAGTCTATGACTCTCATCAGTATCGTGTCCTCTCCATCCTCCTCATGTACATGTCATATCGCGGTCTACAGGCCAATGGCTTGTTGCTTGTCGAAGAAATGGAGCCTGAACTACTCACCCCTCGCGAAGGCATGGCCACGGCCCAATCACTGGCCAGCCTCCTTTCCATATTCGAGGAGCTTCCGGCTCCTGACTCAGGCTCATCTACCTCCTCGCCTATACGCTGCGATGTTGTCGTTCCAATCCAAATCATCAAGGTCCCTTTCAATCTCGTCAGGTGGAAATGGAATGTCGGGATTGAAGAGGATTCGCCTGCCGTCGATGGAGGTGGAACAGTCAGATGATGCGTTGTGATGCTTGATTCGAGGTCTGTCGTCATCTTGATCTCGAGAAGCGGGTGACAGTCACCTGAATAGGGAGTCAATATAGACTTGCCTCCATGCGATGGGGAGACGAACGAGACCAAGGTCAAAGTATCGGGAATTGACGTTGACTGAACGACCTCCACATCAATTGTCCTCATTAATTCGTTTGCTTGTTCTCCCTTTCCTACGCCATTCCGCACACCAGGCAAGGCTGCCCAGTCTATTCAGGGCCTCGATCCCTCCATCTCCGTCGAGCATTCCACGCTCACCATGTCAGATCTAACACCCCCAGCATCTAAGCATAATACCCCTCAGCGTGTCATCCCCCCTGAATCCTCCTCCGATCTCAACGTCGCCGGTCCATCCAGCTCACATCTAGGAGTCGAAGCACCAGCATCGCCGACATCGATGAGAGAAGATTCAGCTGCGCTAGAGTTGGACGCCGAGGACAATACCCCACGACATGGAGAGGATCCAGCTGAGAAGAGGGAGCAACACACGGGGTCGAGTGGTATGGAAGTGGATGCAGAAAATCTCACCGAGAGCGCTACGGACCGGGATGAAGACGAGGAGGTTGAGAGATATCCCGGAGATCATGAGGCTGCAGCTCGAGAGGTGAGTGGATTCCAAAGGTCTAGATCCGCAAGTCTAGAGCCCTGCGGTCCGGGCTGACCTTGTCGATCCTCACAGGTACTTAGCGATGGAGCAAGTCCTGGAAAGGCTGATGCAAAGTCCGGCACAGTAGACAAAGGCAAGGGCAAGAAAGTAGGCAGGGGAAGCGGAAAGGACGGAGACCTGTATGAGAGCGATATCGTTGAAAGGTGGAATCAAGGTGAGCGATAAGTATCAAGTCGGCCTTCGCCTCGAAGCTGAAGATCTTCCCACCCCCTCAGAGTTCGGCGACGTCTTGCTGAATGTCCCTGGCGCTAACAAGCCATGAACGATCACCTCGTGTCAACTCCTCTACGACCATACCGAATCGCCAAAGCCTCCCTACAGAAAACCTGAAAGCAGGCGCTGGATCCGAACTGTAGCATAACGACAACTCCACATGCATGAAGTTATTCTTCATCCCCTCCAGGACCACCATGATCCATCGCCTCCCGTGGGATGCTGCCGTTCTTGCCCCTCATTCTTCTGACTCTCACTAGTGTCCTGCGCGATCTTTGCCAACCTTGTCTCCTCGTTCATAGCATCAATGATCCGTCTCCTATCGCTCGCTGAGAAATCTCCACCTTCTCTAAGATACTTTAACCTCTGTCTTTGCTTATCCGTTAAAGCGTCTTCTTCCTCCTTTTCTTTCCTAGCCACCTCTGCTCGGACTGCTCGGACTTGATCCTGAGCGCCTACTTCCAATTTGTCCCGGACCATTTGAAGACCCGATTCGAGGGATCCCAGTCCTATAGCGAGTACGAAAGCTCGAAAGAACAGTGTACGGGGAAGTCGCCCTGTGCAGCCAAAAGGACCAGACATCAGCATCGTGAGTCCTCACGAATACGATCTCAGTCACTCAGCTAAAACTCACACAGCAAGCTGATAGATGCCGACAGTAGACCACCCGCAATGGCTCCATCGTACAATCTCACTTCACCCCTTCTCCAAGTGAATCGTCTCATCTCTTCCTCGGGGATTGCCCTCGGTACGACATCGCCAAGTCTGTTCTCCCTGTACCAGCCTATACTCTCGTCCAGAAGCGCATAGCATCCCGTAGCGATACTGAAAGCTGATCCATACCTGACACCTGTCAAGACTCCATTCTTGATCATGATGTAGTTTCTCGCACGAAGATACCAGTACTGGAAATCAGTTGAGAAAGAGAGAGAGTCAGTATTCGGCTGACCACTGAAGCCCGATGCATGTCCAGCTCACCCATCCCTCCTTGGTCTTTGGCGGACGATGAGCATTTTCAGCTAAGAATCTCAATCTAGCTCTTGCTCCTCCCCTCTTGGCCCCTATGATGAACCCGATCGCACCTGCTCCCAGCGCGTATGCACCGACAGACGATGGGAGAAGTTGCGACGCATCAGACACTGAGTGCACGTGCGTGAGGGGGTAGTCTGGAGGAATCCGAGAGGGGCCAGCGCGGTTCGAAGGGCCGTCTAAATCGATTGACATGATATGAAGATGAGTGAGGACAAGGTTTGAAATTTCACTTGGTCGATGAGTTCGAATTTTGGGCAATCTCCCATCCCATGTTCGGCGCGCGTGCCTGACTTTTGAGCATTCGACCTCAAGAGTCACTCAGCCATGGCAGTCAAGCGCAAAGCTGAAGCGCTGAGCAAGTCGGATGAACCATCGCTAGTCAAGTCTACCCAGACTTCAAGCCATGCACCCAAATACGAGCCTACCGATGAATTCCAGCAAGTGACTTTGGGATCGTTCGTCGAACCCTATCGGATCCATGGAATGGGTTACGGAGCCGATGTGTACTATCAGCCAGATGTGGGTCGATCGGCTCAGACCAAGCTGATATCCGCTGAATTTCCCGAGCAGTTCATCGAGCCTGCGACAGCCGACAAGTGGTACACCGAGCTGCTAGCCCTGGATACCTGTACGTCATGCCCGAGTTCGATCGACGATGCGCTGATTGGCAACAGGGTGTGAGAGGCATGCTTTGTGCGACAAAGCAACTGGACCTGACGGGACCGCCTTAGATCATCCAACGCTCAAGATGTACGGCAAGTCCTTCCCACAGTCTCGATCCATTGCAGCGTACTCTACGACTCCCGGAGCGACACTCAACTACTCCGGCACGAGTATCACGATGAATCACCCGTTTCCGCCTGTCCTTGAGAGTATGAGAGAAAGACTCGAACAGCATCTAGGTGTCAAGTTCAATCATGTCATGCTGAATCGGTACGATGATGGCAGCGTGTACATTGGGTGAGCTCAGTGCGAAGGAGATGGGGTGGGGATGATCTGATCTGACCTCACTCGTCCAGGCGCCACTCGGACAACCTCAACAATCTTGTCATCGCCAGTATCAGCTTGGGCGCCAAGAGAACATTCATCATGTCTCCGAGGCTTCCAAACAGAGCCGGGAGGAACAGGGGTTCTGGACTGAGTGATATCGATGAACTGTCCCTCCAGTCGAGAGAAAACAAAAAATGGACGTAAGCGGTATCGTACAGGCCTGGGGTTGTGTGTTGTTGATGCAATCTGCAGGCTGAACAATGGTAGCCTGGTCGTCATGCAAGGTCAGTCCATCATTATCTGACCTCATCCGCATACTGATGGGCGTTCTGCAGGGCGAACGCAAGAGTTTTGGAAGGTAATGATGCTTGCGTCGATCGGCGGAGAGAGGTACTGATCTAGTCCCCAGCACGAGATACCGAAAGAGCCAAAAATCAAGACCGGTCGCATCAGTCTGACCTTTCGTCAATTGGTGTAGACGCCTTCGCCAGATCACCAGAACCTGCCAATACATCAGCTCCTTCGGTACTCCGTAGATCGGCCCTACACTCGCAAGACCCGCCATAGCCCGAGAAACATCGTGAAGCCGCCGAACCAGACAAACGCCTTGAACACTCCAACTGGACACGCAGTCAGTGATCGACCAGCAAGGACGAAGGAGGCGTTTGGCTCATGTCTTCTCACGGATGACGGTTGATCCTAGTGGTCCAGCGGATCTCTCTATTCTTAAACGTCTCTGCTCCAGTGTGTAGTGGACATCCCCGAGGAAAGAGTAGAAGGCGTATGCCATCCAGAGGAAGAGGATCAACATGGGTCGAGCCTATGGATGGGAATGAGCTTCTGCGATATGACAACAAGAAACGGCTTACCGTTAGATTGCCTACACTCACGCCTGCGAGCAACGCCAACAGGAGCGTAGTATCAGATACTCTAGCGGGAGGAGCTTGACCCCACCGCAGCTGATCCTGTGAACATGTATGTTGCCCGAATATGGGCTGATAGTTGTCTCCGCTGTTAGGATGATCCCATCGCCAACGATTTTCAATGGCCGTGTCGTCACGGAGCACGTCGCGATAACCTCTGTGCTGCTGATGGGCTCGGGGAAAGTAATGGGGAGCAGGTGACGGAGATGCTCTCGTCCGCTCGTCCGGTGTATCCTCCCGTCGCCTCCTGGTTGGCATGCTAGTTGGATCGCGGTTCATATCCTGTGTCCTTCATCGTTATAAGCTTTGTATGAGTATCGCCCCTCTTGCCAACGGTTGATTGACACGTTCTATGTGCATTGAGGCTGTCCTTTCACTCTCTCTGGATTTCATCGCTAAAAGGCCGAGTTCTTCCATGTGATGCTTGTCATCTCATAGACATGTCAGATCCCTTCAACTGGGGAAACACGCAGCCTTTCAAGGTATACATTCACTCCCGACACATATTCTACAGATACTCCTCACGTCCCACAACCAACGTGTATAACTCCCGTTCATGCTCCGACTCTCAGCACTAGACACTGTCTTCACGGGGATACGAGTCTGAGACTGCGCTTAGGTCGGGCGACCGTCTCCCCTCCTGATCTCTGGGCAGGTTATTGAACCTTCTTCTTAAGCTCGTTTCCGGCGCTTCCAGGTCGGTTTCTGTCTCGGTAGAGGACGTAGATGAGTGCAATGAGACCGAGGACAAGGATATTCGCTGGTCAAGTTGTCAGCGAGAAGCACTGAGAGCCGTCTGCCTGCGGACGATCATCCTGGAGGAGGATTATGTATGGGACGAGGCAAGGACATTCAAAGTGGCGGTACAGGATGCTCGTGAAAGGGGCAGGTATGAAGGCCAACAGTTGCTGTCGGTCTCCTGCCGAGAGACTCCTCCATCGATGCTCGGTCGAGTTCAGGGCAGCGCTATGTACGATCATGATCTCCGGGCAAGAACACCCATCATCCGCGAAGGTCACACGACACTCACACGCTACGAAGTGAGCCGAAGCGCCGACCAGGTCTGCGATGCTCTCAAGGATGCCCCATACAGCTTGGAAGACACCGGAGAAGATGGACCAGATGACGTGGAAGATGCTCTGGATGATTGCGAAGATGGATTGGAAGAATCCCTTGGGTTCAGAATACATCAGTGACTGTCACACTCGCTTGCATCGATATAGCAAAAGCGGCTCGGGATGAGTAGCGAACAAGGAGCCGGGGGGACCGAGTGCGATGCTCTGCGCCTCTGGAAATAGGCTGTGTATCTTCACTCACCTGGATCAAGTGAAATATACCTTCGAAGAGGTTGGCCATATTTGAATATCAGTCGGAATGAGGTGGTGTTGAGCGATACAGCTACCGGTGGCAAAGCATGGCATGTATCCTTCTTAATTGTCGCCTCAGCCCATGACGACATGTTCAGGACCTGAATCTGGCAATACATTACGTCATCAGTCTCAACCAAAGGATTGCCGTTTCAGCTTGCTTCGCGAGATGTTGTGGCAGAAAGTTGTCTGGCCTCGACTCGCGGTTACTCATGTACCGTGAGCGTCCAGAAGTGGGTTACAGTGTCATTTCTGACCGATGACAGTCCCCGATTGGACCTGTTACGCCGGGTCATGACATATGATGGCTGTGGAAGCGATAGTCCGCAGACCGTCTGATGCGAACTGGACTGACTTTGCTGACAACTCCCGTATTCTCGAACTGACGGGCAGTGAGTCCCCCTCTAGGTTACTTCCCATGCATCTTCGACGTCTCATCATCTTCTACCACAGAAGCTGCACCTGAGGTTCAGGCAAGATGTTCTCTTTGGCCTAATTCTGCTCGTAGACCTCGATATTGAACTCGGGCGCTGTATCCGATATCCAATCCGTCCAAGCTTTCTTCGCACGCGTCTTGAATGTACTGGACAATGCTTGGAACCACTCACGACTCTCAACACTCTTCCTCTGCTCATCGTCAGCAGGGAGACTCTTCAGCTTGACTGCGATTCTGTTTACAAAGTCTGTCAACTCTCCCTCGACTTCCTCAGAGTGTTCAGGTCCAGCTGTGATACCGAACATATCTTCGGATAGCACAGACTCGTGTCCAGCTAGGCCATCGACGTAGACTTTGATGGTGATGCTGCTTGCTGTGGTGAAATCAGTCATGTTGGGCGTTGTGTTGCTTTATCGGTGTGGTGTTGCTATAGATATACAGTAGTCGGTAGACGATGCATTTCTTCCCCAGCCGAACAGCGAAGTATTTATCCCATTGGAGCACCTCCAAACGGCACGACATGTTGTCAGGACTGGGCGTCGTGAGAAGGCTCCTCAAAGGAAGTGCGGAGAGTGGGTCATTGATACCTCGCTCCGACCAGCTGGGACCAAAAAGGAGGGAGGAGTGGAGGCAGGAAACAGCCAAAGAGAACGCAGAAAGGAGAGACGCATGGAAGAGAGGAGGCCCTCCAGGACCCACCTCATGCAAGGGTTCGTCAAGTCCCTCCTCAATCACTCCCTCCGCCAAGAGATGTCTCAATCTCATTCAATGACATCCACCTTTATCAACTGTAGAGGTAACTCCGGCGGTGTCTCCAATAGGATGACAGCCTTTGTACCTGCCTATGGCCCCTGTCATGGAAACACTCCAGAGTCCCTGGGGTCACGGAGTGGAGAGGAGAAGGATACACGTCGAGCGCCCTTTTTCGTCGAGCGATCATACTGTCTGTACAGACTCTCTAGGTGATCAAAGGTGTGAGCGAGCGGTGCCAGTCCCAAACACTAAGCACCCATGGACAGAGCGCTTTCTTCCTTCTGACGGCACCTGTAGCGTTTGGGCCATCGTTGGGCCGCCCGTTTGGATGTACATACATAACGAGGTAACTAGGTAGCCTTCGGGAAATCAAGCAATGTGACTCAGCACATGAGGGGGAGAAATTCCATTACGCCAGCAGCGACATGCTATCGGACTGAGCTCGGATAGTTGACGGGCCGATGAGACGCCGACATAGACACAGGCCATGTCGGATGCCCGCAACGGGCCCACTTGAAGCTGCCACAGGATGTGCCACATGTCGAGGCACGGTACCGTTCCTAGTTACATTTTAAAAAGAACAAACTATGGATACGTAATGTTTATTAGCATTTAAAAAGATGTCTAATCTCCCATTACCCATGCCCGCCGGCGGTGACGAGCTCCGAGGGCGAGAGGGGGAGAGGCGCGCGGACGGGGTGACGTCAGTCTCAATCGACGATGACGGGTCATTGAAAAATGAAGCGCAGGCAGGCAGCGAGAGGAGAGGGGAAGCCCCAGGATATGTTCTCGACCCTGCGACACCCGTCATCCCCCAACCCGAGCTGCCACCTCAAACGGCTGAGTGGTCATTCTCTCTCTCTCTCTCCACCTGATTGTGTCCCAGCCCAGCTCATCATCACCTTCGCCCTTCGCCCCAGAGACGTCATTGCTTGGGTTTGATTCCACATCCCCCTCCTATCCGTCATCGATTCCAGCTATATTGAGAGAGGAAGGGCGGGTTGAATCCGACCCATTAGAGCTTGCGTTTGTCCGCCACGCAACCAATCACTCCCCTCTTTCTCAATCTCTCTCTCTCTGTCTCTCTTGTATCTTCTGTGACCCCTTTGTCGCGACGGACAACCCAAGCACGAATGGTCCCATAGCTTTCGATACTTTTGCTCTTCATTGTTTCCCCCGAGAGCCCTGTGGTTTGAGACGGTGACAGTATTAGCAGCAGTGAGTCTCATTCAGCCCACTAACCACACTCCCCCGCCGGACTCCAATAATAATTAAACCCCCCTTCCCCCTCCTCTTCGTTGCCATCCTACGTCATTATCGTCATTTTCGGGCGGAGACAGAGCACACACAGTTCCATCGACACCCACACCATTCAAACCATCACAGCCCATAACACTCGCGCTCACTTACTCTCGCTGTCCTCTCAACTCCACTGACACTGTATCACCAGCATTATACATCATTCCAACTCGGTCCATCACGACGACAAACGGACGACCATAGATCGATTCATAGACCAGCAGACAGACCATTCGATTTACTCAGCTGAACAATCCCGGACCAAGAAACGTCTACCACTAGGGCGACGCATTTTCTGGATCACGGCATCCCTTTGCGCATTTTCAACCATCGCCTCTAGACCTACCAACTCGGTAGAGCCGCCTGAACTCGACCTGAACCAACCCTTATCTATCGTCTCCACACTCATTTTGAACGAGCCTCGGCTTGGAGTTGATCCCAAATGCTATCGAGCTTCAAACGTGAGTTGTAACCCTCTTTGACGTCACAGCGATCCCGATACGGAGATCGTCTGGCACAAAGGATGTCTTCCGGGTTGCTTTTCCTCCTCTACTATCTCCACTTCTCCCTTAAACTAGCCAATCCCATCCGTCTGGCCTCTTTCTTCTTCCTCGAACGTCGATGCACTTTTGAATCGAATCGACGACAACCATGCCATATATCGACCCCATACGCTCCTATGGCAGAGATCCTTCCACCCCCTCATCCTCCTCTAAATCTCATATCCCATCGAACTTGTCGCTGACGACCGCTTCCTCTTTCTCTCTCCACGCCGAATCCCTTCCCATCCTCATCCCCAAATCCCAATCTCGTCCCGACGCCTTCATCTCCCCTCCCGATATCACAACTCTTCATCTCTCATCAGAGATACTACGTCACGGCAAACACGCCCAATCGCCGTCTGGACAAAGTCAACAGCAATCACAGGGCTCAACGCAATCTCAATCGCAAAGAAATAAAGCCTCAGCGCAGCAGCATCAGCAGCAGGCGCAACAACAGCAATACCAACAACAACAACAGCAGCAGCAACAGCAGCAGCACCAACAGCAACAGCAACAAGCTCAAGCTCAGGCATACTATAACAACGAGATGCCAACCCAAGGGCTTGCTGCCGGTGGTGAGTTGATCATTACATCATTCCTGCTGTCGATTGACCGTTATCGCAGCCGGCGCGCAAGGCAAGGCCGCCGCCAGCTCCCCCAACTATCGAGAGGAGGCCGAGCGTATAGTAGCCGAGGAACGGTCACAGGGTGAACGAATGCCTGTCTACGAGGTGCGCACCTCATCCATTCTAGTGCACTCCTTCTGACCTTTCCGCTCCAAGGGCTTGGAGGAGTACAACCTCGTCGAGAAAATGGGGGACGGTGCCTTCTCCAACGTTTACAAAGCGGTCAACAAGAAGACTGGCCAGAAGGTCGCCGTCAAGGTTGTCCGCAAGTACGAACTCAACTCGTCCCAGGTAAGACTTTGTCCTCTTGCTTTCATCCATTTGTAGCTGCCGAGATCACTCCCCATGCGCTGGCCACGCATGGGATAAGGGTGGTCGAGGTATTCTCTCGGTCTCCTTTTTTTCACTCTCGTCCACTCACATCACACGCACACCCCACGTACTAACAGACGGATAGAAAGGGCACAAGCATCTCAATGAAAACTTCAAGAAACGTCCCAGAGTCACAGAGGTTGGTCTTTTCCCTGTCATCGCCGTCTTCGTTTTCTCCCCCTGACCACCTATACCTTCGCCGGCCCTCGAGAACGACTTGACGTCCTGACTCGGGTGAATCACAGAGGCGGATAGGCATCAACCTACCTTCCTGTCCTTTGTTGATGATGCCGTTTTTGTTCTATCTTTCTCTATTTTGGCCTTTCTGTAGAATCACATTACTGACACGACCCTCAGCGCGCAAACATTCTCAAGGAGGTGCAAATCATGCGCGGGATCGACCATCCCGCGATCGTCAAGCTCCTCGGATTCTTTGAAAGCGAGGAACACTACTTTCTAATTTTGGAGCGTGAGTGGCCCGTATTGGGACATCTCTTGCTGACGTTGCACAGTGATGGAAGGAGGAGAACTCTTCCACCAGATCGTCAAGCTCACCTACTTCTCCGAAAATCTGTCTCGTCACGTCATCCTCCAAGTCGCCCAAGGCATCCGTCATCTGCACGAAGAACGTGGTGTCGTTCACCGTGATATCAAACCCGAGAACCTGCTCTTCGAACGAATACCCATTGTACCCTCGCGTCAACCTATCCATCGACCCTATGACGAGGAGAAGGAGGACGAGGGAGAGTTCCGACCAGGTGTAGGAGGTGGCGGTATCGGTCGTGTCAAGATCGCCGACTTTGGTCTGAGCAAGATTGTTTGGGACGAATCCACCATGACACCATGCGGAACTGTTGGATACACGGCTCCTGAGATCGTCAAGGACGAGCGGTATTCCAAGAGTGTCGACATGTGGGCCTTGGGCTGTGTGCTCTACACTTTATTGTGTGGTTTCCCTCGTGAGTCGAGCAGATCCATCCTTCAACCGTGCTGACCATTCCCCAGCTTTCTACGACGAGTCCATCAACGTGTTGACCGAAAAGGTCGCTCGAGGATACTACACTTTCTTGAGCCCTTGGTGGGACGATATCTCCCACTCTGCCAAAGACTTGATCACCCACTTGCTTTGCGTCGACCCTGCCCAGCGATACACCATCGACGAGTTCCTCGCTCACCCTTGGATCAAGGACGGCCCTCAACCCATCCCTCCGACACCATTGCGCGTGCCTGGTGTCGCCAACAATGCCCCCCTCGACTCGCCCTTACTCGCCTCTGTTCACGCGAGAAACAAGGAGGGCAGGTCACCAGGTGTCGGCGCTCTCAAGGAGGCGTTCGACATCACCTACGCTGTACACCGTATGGAGGAAGAAGGCGCGAGGAGACGTGCATACAACGGTCCTGGCGGTGCCGGTACACGTGGCTTCCTGCAAGGTCTCAACGAGGAGGATGAGGAAGAGGAGAATCAGATGGAACTGGAGGAAGCCCGCCGGAAACATGGGGAAGCCGTCGCTAGGCAGATCCAGGAGCACCAAGGCCGAGCGGCTGCCAATGCCAAGGCTGGAATCAAAGAGCCCATCGTAACACACTACGTCGGTCGTGGCGGAGCTGATCGTAAACAAGCCGAGGCGGTCTTGTACGATGGACGAGCTGGACAAAGAGATAGAGGCGGACGTGGTGGGAAGGGCAACTTTGAGCTTGACATGGGCAACGCGACATTACTGGGACGAAGAGGGAAGAAGATGGCTGCTAGTCCGCTTGGCCAGACACCGGCTACTGCGGGCTCACCAATGAGGTATTAATGGCAAAGTTCATACGAGGTATTGTAACCCAACATTGCGGAGGACGAGTCCAGGAGGAGGAAGTAGTACTTTTAGACGTTTGCGACTTTGGTAGTCGAATACTCCCAGCCGATCACACTCTACCACTAGTAGCGATGAGCGAGTATCTTATCGCTCTGCTTTCATCATCCACCCTCCCTCTCTGTGTATCATTCACTGTTCTTGATGGCATGGCGACAGCGAAAAATGTATCCATTTGCAGCAGCAAAGAAAGTATCGAGCTCTGCGAAAGATTCGGCTATATAACACGAACATTTGGGCCGGGCGACCGGACAAGAGGTTCTTCCTCATGTTCAGCAGCAAACGCTAGCATCTTGACATAACCTGCGATACACGCTGTCCGTCCGATCGCATTGATGAGAGCCTTCCAGGTCAAAAAGCTGGCCCATCCTAGGGATATCACGCTGTCAGTGTGCCAGTCCACCACACAAATCTGGCTCGCTTCACCACGGCCTCTAACCACTTTCTCACTGACGGCCGTTCCGTAGCTCCGACGATGTCCCTCCGCCAATAGCACAGAAGAGTCAGGTGATTGTAGATGTGTACGCAACTGGTTTAAATTTCTTCGAGTGAGCTTGGCGTTCCAGACTGAGCGTCTTCAGCCAACTTAACAGCTGAGGATCCGATCTGTAGCGTACTCCAGGCGCAAGGCAAATATCAGAGTGAGTCAAGCCCATGCTGAAGTCAAGGCGTTGAGCGCTATATCTGGCCACAGATCGCCCTCCACTACCTTTCATTCTCGGTGCAGAGCTAGCTGGACGTATAGCCGAAGACTCGCCTATTCCGAAAGGATGTCCATTCCAACCTGGAGGTGAGTCGGTCGGAGGGGGAGGGGTCCTCAGACGGCGCCCATGACAAGTATGGCTGAAAAATCATATTCGGGGGGGAAACACAGACCGCGTTCATGGCTTTGGAGCTGGAGCATACGCTGAACAAGTCGCTTGTGACTACAGAGCGTTGACATGGATACCGGATGGGTTGACCATGGAGGAAGCTGCCGTGATACCCTTGTCAGTCATCTGCTGGGTTAGTCGTAGTGTGTCGACTGACTGGATTCCAGGACATACACGACCAGCTATGATGGGCTTGTTCATCGCGGACAGATGAAAGAGAGCAAGTCGTGGCTTTTCGGCAGGAGGTATTGAGGGTCCAATGCTTATTCTTCGCTCTCTCAGACGAATGGGTCCTGGTCCACGCCGGTGCTGGTGGGGTCGGACTGGCGGCTTGTCAAATCGCAAAAGGTCAGTACGCTTATGGTTCTCAAATAGTGGATCGCATTGACATCGATCACCGCAGTGCTTGGAGCCAAGGTCATTGCTACTGCGTCCACCGAAGAGAAACGACGGATATGTAGAGACAAAGCGAGAGTGGATGCTGTGGTAGACTATACGCAGACTGGTTGGCAGGTGCGCCTCTAGGTCGTCAAGTCCTACGAGCAGGTACTGATTTCGGGATCCGGCAGAAAGAAGTCATGAAGATTACATCTGGAAACGGAGTGGATATAGTCTATGATCCAGTTGGTGAGCTACGAACGCATCTTCTCCCCCAGGACGTGACTAGCTGACAGACAGGCTCAGGCATGATCATCCCGAGTCTCAAATGCGTGAATTGGAACGCCCGGATCGTCGTCGTGGGATTCGCAGCGGGCACCATTGAAAAGGTAATTCGGGGGCATGGTAACCGCACAGAGCCCATGTTGATTCGTCTAGGTACCGGCCAATCTCTTGCTTTTGAAGCAGGTATCCATCGTAGGCCTGTTCTGGGGTGGGGGAACGGGTAAGCCCATTCGTATCCCGACGCCGATCATCCTCAGACTGATGCGATCCGTCTCAGAACGCGACCCAAGACACGCAGCGGAAGTTGTCCTATCCCTTTCTAAGCTCTTCTCGAGCGGTCGTCTGAAACCAATCCTCTACGAGCCGATATACGAGGGACTTGAATCTGTTTCTAAGGCTCTGACAGATCTGGACGAGAGGAAGATCTGGGGAAAGGGGGTAGTCAGAGTCATGAAGGAGCAGTCGGATAGGCAAGCCAAGCTGTGAGCATACGCCAACTGTGAACTCTGGTGGTGGAGACGGCCATGCAGAACCATGGTCTCCCACCCCTGTCACGTCTTTCGGCCCTTTGGGATCTGACCGACATTGACACGCTCTCATGCGCAGAATGAAGGAGACCCAGAGCTCATAGCATGTACTGACCTCACTGCCAAAGTCATCCTCGAGTGAAGCCTTGCTTCGAATGCCCATCCTTTGTTCTCTGTCTGGCTTGGACAAAGGATGGCACGAAATCGCAATAACAAAACTCTAGTCTGGTCGATCCGTCCTACCCTACAACTTGCGATGGCAACACCAACTTTACCGCGAATTTACCTTGCAAGCTATTCATCAGACCTTTGCAAAGGCTTTCTTAGAGAAGGGACAAGACCCCTCAAGCCCGATTACACGTTCTAGCATGAGCGAGTCAACAGTCTCGTTGAGCTATTCTGGGATTGATGACCAAGACGATGGATACGATTTGGTGGACTTGACTGCCAGCTCTGATGATGATGATGATGATGATGACTTGAGTCTTTCGGACGACTCTGACTTCGAGGAGAAGGGCGACGACCTAGAAGGCTCGGAAGTCAACAGCTCGACTGCTTCATTCACCGGGTTGAATAACCTTGGATCTCTAGCACTGTCTCCGTATGATGCCAACAATCAACAGAGCGTCCTTGTTTGTCCGGTGATTGACATGGGTGCGCCATTGGCATCAGAAGACTCGGACATGGACGATGAATCTGGCGATCGGACGAAGAGGTCGAGTGGAGTGACCAAGGACACGCGAACAGCCTCCTTCGGCTTCCCGGACCGGACGACGCCTTCTGAGATGTTGGAAGCCACGCTGGGCTAAGGCGATGGGCCCTCAGTATCAAGGTCCGAAAATGGAGATGTCCTTGAGTTTATCCACAGCCTGGACAGACACAAGCTAGGGAAGTCTGGCACAGGGGTCGAACAGATACACGCCCATCAGGTTAGCACGGATGTGGGTACAAAAGGAACCACCAATGAAGGAGGCGAGGCTGTCGGGGAGAATCCAAGGAAACCGGCTGTAGAGTCTGAAGGTGCAGTAACAAAGACCCCAGCGGGCTGCTGACTCCTTCAGGCTTATCAGAAGCGGGGTCACGGACACAACGACGACGTTCCGCTGACAAGGACCTCGGTGTGACATCATTCTCTCACCATGACTTTGGTACAGCTACAATCTATCCATCGCACCGAACTCGCAGAGTCGATCTCTCGAATGCCCTTCGACGGATTAGTCCCTTTGTGACAGAGGTCGAGCGATCGACAGAAATAAGTGGGAGACCGCGTCGTCCGGGGGTCTCTGAGGATCGTGACACACAGGTTGATGAGACCGATACTCAACTCGATCCTCTCGAGCATTTTGACCCCGAAGCGCGAGCTATCATGACCTCCAATTTCGATTCACATCTGCTGGAGTCCAACCGAGGTGTGGCCCATTTCAGCCGACTCAAGGAGAGTCAAGTGGCTCATGAGAGTCGCCACGGGTCCCGACACCGACATCCTCGCGATCAGAGTGGATCTGACTCTGCTCAAGATTTCCTGCTCACGTTTCAGTCAAATATCGCACAGGTGATGAGCGACGAAATATCTTGGGCCAAAAATGTCACCATGAACTCGCTCAAAGACGTCCAAAAGTTGGCGAATTTTTGGACAGAGGTCCATCATTCAGACACTGAACCAAGACGACGTGGACTCGTCTCAAAGGTAGACGCGACAATCAAGAGTCTGTCGTACCTCAAACTTCTGTATCGACTCGAAACAAGACTGCTAGAAGGCACAGCCGAAGCTTTTCATTCAGTTCATAGTCACCTGCACTCGTGATACAGTACATGCAGAACTTGTCTGGATTTTCAGAGCCTGGCGCGGCGCGGGCGCGCCGGTGGACCCGATGCTGCTGCTCTCTCCCGGATCTCCTACAATTAGGTTAAATGAACTTCGGCGTGGGGCTTCATCGGCAAGATCTCTCTTTGTAAGGTGCTGTTACCGCCGGTTAACTTGCCGCTCACGACGCCGCTGAATAAAGAGGCTGTCTGGGTAATAATTGCCTTCGGTAAAGGTTTAGCAAGCACATCGGATCGGAAGGAAGAGATCAGACCTTAGCTCACTTCGGCAAAAGTGGAATTGCGGCGGATCTCGTTTCTGCGCACCGGAGACCCCATCTAAATAGCCTATTAATACCCACCAACTCATCTCATTTTTCTAGGTTGCATGCTATATAATATGCGCCGTCCAACGATGTCAAGTCTCTCGCAGTCTGCACCACATCTTCCAAATGTTCGCGAGTCAACTTGCTACGGCAGCTCTGTTCGGGGCGACATGCGCTCTCGCTGCTCCTCTTAACTCTCAGGACGAGCGCTCCACGGTCTCCGACCTGGTCGGTCTCAGTCCGGTCACGCCTACACAGCTGGCCATCACCATTGATCCCAATTTCCAACGAGATTCATGTATCACCGCTACAAAGTTGATCGACGGAAGAGTCTTTTGGATCTGCAGAGATACTTTGAACCTCCAGAACGAGACTTTGAATGAATACATCGGATTCATCGAATCTTCTAGCGCAAGTTGGTCCAACCAGACAGCAGCCGGGAACGCTCCGGTTCTTACACCTGTTCCCGCTAGTCAAGGTCAGAAACCCGTGACTTCTGGGTTCTCTCAGCAGTTGACTCAGTACGGAGGACCATTCCCCTTGACCACACCGTATCTATACTACGCACCAGACCAATATCCCCCTGGAGGTGCTGGCCCCGATTTTTCAAGATACGAAGAATGGCCTGATGCGCCACTGTACATCACCGATGTCGCCTCTGACGGTACCACTACTGGCTACCTTTTCCCCACCGCCGCTGCCAATGGTGGAAACATCACCGATGAATTTCCTGGAACCACTCTGTACAAAATCACCTATACCCCAACTTCAAACCTCAGTACTTTACCAACTGTCGAAATGATCGCTGAACACTTCTTCCCTCGATATGGATTCAACTACGGAGCCTTTGGGGGTGTCATTTCTCCCACCGATAATATGTTGTATCTGTGGGGAGAGACCTACGCGTTCTACGGACTCTTTGTGCAGAATCCTGTTTACAACGTGTCTCTCGGTCTCGCCCGGGTGGCCCTGGATTCGATCGAGAACATTGACGCTTATGAGTATTATTACCCTGCGACGAACACTTGGAACGAGACCCAACCCAACATTTACAACAAGGCTGCCAACGTCACCGTGGGTTATATCACTGGTCAAGGCACATTTTTCTACAATGAAAAGGAGTCGGTATACGTCTTCGTGGGTCAGAACCAGAATGAAACCAACATGGAAGTCACGTACTCTGTCGCTCAGCAACCCGAAGGTCCTTGGTCGCTTGCGGCGCCTCCAGTCACACTCTCCAACGACTTCTCGTACAGTCTTGCTGCTCATCCTGAGATGGGAGATGACCCCAACAATCTCTACGTATCCTTCACAGCAAACTTTGATGACAGCACGGGCAAAAACCAGTACAAGCAGCCGCTATACCAGCTGCAGTTCGACTGGACCAATCTGGACGGAGTTCTACAGAGCCTACCTAAATTGACTTAAACCCATAGGGGAGAGCGGGAAGTTGAGATATCTACAAATGGGAGAGCATGCAAATTGTTTTGTACGACCTGAGGTGGTGGTTCATGAAATGACAATCGGTCTCGAGAGATAAAGACAGATACATGAGTGGACTGTTGATAATACAGGGGTGAGGCCAGGTCGTGATGTATCGAAGCAGAGTATAAGGGCACCAGGACTACTTGTGGTTTGCTTGTCCCTAAGCTTCTTCCACCAATCGATCTACCACTTCCATATTGTCACGAAGCACTTTCCACTGTCGGCAAGATCAGCAAGAGCGCCGCATACGTGTTCATCTACAGAGTTCACCCACTCACCTGTTCAGCGGTCAAACTGATCCCTTTGGAACCAGGCTTCATCTCCCCTGTCGCTTTGTCTCTATAAAACTGTTTCGACCATTGCATCAGTACTCTGAACCCCCGCCGCCTGATCCTAAGACGCCCACCTCTCGGACATCGACCAGAATTTTGCCTGAGTAAGGTCTAACAGTGACTCTGCGAGTGTCGCTCAACTATCGTCCGAGCGTCAGGTCGACAGCACATTTGAGCTCATCCGGGTGATATTCTTTCCTCTACTCACGTTGAAATACGAATTTTTGTCTGCGTTCTTGAGAACCTCTACACCTGCCCCAGTGGACATACTTGATTCGCCATTCTTGACAGATGGTTTAGCCTTCTAACAGTGATGGGCATGTGAGCTTCTCCTTCAGCTACCATGCGAGACTCTGCTCACCTTTGCCTTGGCCTTGACTGGTTCCTCATCTTCGCTAATACTTTCTACCTTGGATGGCCTTGCATCCTGTGGCGATCTCAGCATCCAAAGTTTTACCCTGACTCACCTGCTCACTTCCACTCTCTTCATCGCTGTCGACTCGCTTCTTCTTCGGCATCCTGCTCGGAATGGTGAATGTGAGAGCAGTAATGTCAGGATTTCATCAGGATCGGACGCTAGTCGCGTCGGACTTTCCGCGACTCGTTACGTAACTCGATTCCCCTTAAACCCGCTCTCGCGGGGCCTACGCAAATGCGAAATGTTGCCCACCATACATAAATGATACAAGAATCCCGCTGAACACAGTTACATCGAGTAAACAGTCATGTCCTGTCTTACGTTCGTCCAATCTCCATTCCTTCCATCCACAGTCTTGTCGCGTATGGCTTTAGCACGAAATAGATATCGCCTGCGATTGACTCACCGACACTGCGATGATTCTCTGATCATCCATCATGACTCCATTGGCTCTGACTCCAGCTTCTCTGACAATCTCGACGTATGGTAGAGCGCTAGTAACGTCATTGACGAACGAGTCGTGACCACGTAGCACGGTGGGCGTGTCGTGCACTTTGATTGTCACTTCTGGCGGATGGTCGACTGCATTGCGTGCTTTGCGAACACTAAACGGAGAGAAGTCGAGCAAGCGGAGATTGCGACGTCTGGGTTGAGGTCTTCGACCCTGTTCTGTGATCTCGGAATCTTCATCATCCCATAATGGCGTCGAGGAGAGTGAGATGAATCGATAACCAGAGCAAGAGCAGACCTGAAGAATCATCAGCTTTTCCGCATCATCGTCATTCAACTCACCCATGCCCTGTTCTTCATAGAAGCATTCATTAATCTTGCGTTGGTCACGCCCCAATCTTCCCACGAGAAATTCTCCTCTAGCCGCCATGGCGAAAACCTGTCGGACGTTTCTCTAGCCCTCTCGAACCTCGCTTCTCCATTCTTGGCCAAATTGACCAATGTCTCTCTCAACACAAACAGCTCGTAGGCATGCTGATGAATAAGTTGCGTTTCGTCAACCACGACGGTCTGTATATCGAAGACCAGTAGGCCTTTCTCTGGATCCTGCGTAAAAGGCTTTCCTTTACGAGGAGTGAAGGCGGGATCTGGTCGGACGTCAAAAGCACCGATCATGACACCGGAAGCGAAACGAGGCAGCTCCAATTGGCACACCAAAAACGGTCGAGTAGTCGTGTCGTCCATGTAATCAAAGTCCAAAGGTTGAACAGGGACGACATCGCGCTCGGGATCCGGGGCGAAGGAGAAGATTTGAATGACAGGTGGGAATACCGAAGCGATAGACCGAGGTTCTGTAGGTAAGACGGGAGAGATATTGGATGTCGAAGTGAGCATGAACGAGGTCGGAGTGAGTAAAGCAAAAGACGAAAACCATCCATCGTCTGGCAATTGCATTCGAGCCAGTACCTTTCCAGTCTTCCAATTCCAACAGACGATTTCCTCATCAGAGGTCGTACCGGCAAGTGCTGCACCTACGCCTGCGAGAATCCAAGGTGGAGCGGCGAACCGACAGACAAGGACGACCAATACATCGTCTAGGACCTGCAGAAGCTGTCGAGTCTGTAATTCCTCTTGAGAGAAGGGTGGAAAGTCGAGAACTGGCATGGCAGCCTCTGGATGAGGACCAAATGTGGATAGTGATAAAAGATGGTAGCGATGGGTAGGAGAGGGAACTCCGGCCGTCATGGTCCTGTGAAGGATGATTGAGCTCAGCATCGACTATGCGTTCATCTAACCCACCTGTGCTCGCTGACGACGATCAAATCCTGCGTAGGGTCCATTGTCAAGTCTGCTATAGAGAAAGGCAGCTTGTGATTATGAGTCTGGATCCGAGCTCGCGATCCCTTGGGATCTCGAACCGATGGAAGGGGGATCAAGCGAATGGACGTAGGCTACGATATTATGAGCTCACACTTCAGAGGATTCCGGGAGAATAGTCCACTCACTCGCCCTTCATCAAGATGAGAATAATCATTACACATCAAAAAGACACCCTCTTGAAGCTCGTATACGCCAGCAGGTCCATCTACACGAACCCGATCTTCAGTCGAGGGATCAAGCTCGAACCATCTTCTCTCCCTATCAATAAGAAGAGCAGTCTTCTCCCTGACTGACAGAGGACCATCCCGCGAGCTGGAAGAAGATGATGAATTTTGCGCATGCAAGGCATCTTGATCTCGTCGTACCGCCGCATATGATACGCCGGGCATTCCATCCGTCTCTGAATCAGAATCTGAGCCTCGAGCTGTTCCGGACGAGCCTTCCGCTGGGTCAGTCGCGTTTGGTGGGTGCCAATCAGAGTGACCTCCCTCGGGTATGTCAAGGTAGGCACAAGTCTCCAAGGTGAACTGATACTGTAGTGTCGAAGATTCTTCCCACATCTCACGTAAAGTCGAGCATGTCTGAGGGTACATGGTTAGCATGGCGAGATTGATATGCGAGACCATAGGCTCTCACCTGTAAGAGTCGTAACCTGTCTCCAAGCGCAAGGTTGAGGTAAATCTGTTCCAGGATCTCGGCGGGAAGATTGACGAATCGCCTTGCAGAGCACACAGAGTCTTCTGAGGAGCTTTTACAGCTAGGGTTATCCTTGTATATCATCGTGTAGGCGATTTAGTGAACAAGACGAGAGGTGTTTGAACGGGCAAGTCATATGACAGCAGCAGCAGCAGCAGCAGCAGCAATTATAAGCCAGAGCTAAGTCACGTGCTCTCTCATCCAATCGCGATCGAGCGTTTCAAAAGTCCTCCCAACTATTTTGGCATTCTTAAATGCCTAATCATCCTCTAATTCTTGAACCTCAATCGCACCATGCAGTCAGGTACAGCAGCAGCAGCCAGTTCATCCAAGAAGAACACAGTGTACGTCGCTGGATTCCCGGATGAAGTGAAGGAGCAACAACTCTTGGATGCGTTTGTGACTTTCGGTGAGAGTCAATGACAGTAGTCACTGGACATCTTTCTGATCGGAAACTGATACTCCGTTTTGTAGGGGATATCCTCGAGATAACACTACCATCCGAACCGAATGAGCGTGAGTACCTGTCCTCCTTGCTCGTTCATGGCTTCTTCGTAACTCGCTTGCTTATTATTTGTCACAGCTGAGAAACACCGAGGATACGCTTTCTTAACGTTCGCGAATCCAGCCGATGCGCAGGACGCCATTGATAACTACGACTTGAACGAATTACCAGCGTACAAAGGCCAAGGAAAGTTTTTGAAGTGTTCTTTGGCCCAGCCGAATAGATTTGGAAACGAAGCGAAAGGAGACAAGTTTGATAGGCCGGGTGAGTGATAATGGGTTAGAGACACGAGATCCTTTACTGATGGTTTCTTGTGCTCCAGTCTGGGAGTCTGAAGAGTGGTTGCAAAAGTACGATAAAGCTGGTGCGGGTGGAAAGGGCGATGGAGAGGAACAAGCCGTTCCGGAGGAGGAATAAGTTGATGACAGCGGTCGCGAAGATCATTTCCCCCGGGAGGGTATGTAACAACATGGGAGCATCAGTGTGACCTCGTCACTGGCTCTAACGTGGACATAGGGCAAAATTCATCTTGGTCGCACTATCAAATGACCTATGCCTGCCGCTTGACTCTCTTTCGTCCTCTATTCTGGCCCATCTTGCTCTTGACGCTCTGAACCAGTGAATCAAGCTCGCTCTTTGGCTTTCCACCAGATGCCACTGCACCATTTTGACTGGGTTTCTGATCGGATGATCCGGATCCTTCCTGCTTTCGACGATTCCGCTCGCTGAGCAACTCGCTCATAGCCTTTGTCTTTTGGAATCTGAGAAAGCATATCAGCGACGCACACAGCCCATGATATGCTTTTCAACTCACCTCGGGTTGCTCGGATCAATGGCAAAGTCTGGTTCTTCGTGTAGAGCCTTGAACCTCGGATCAGAAGTATCAATTTTCCATCCGTCAACTCCGAGCTCAACATCTCTCTCCTTGTCTGCATTCTTCTTCTTGGATCGCTTCCGCTTCTTCTTTGATAATTGATCCTTTTCAGCGCGAAGGATATCCTTCATAGAAAAGTGCTCCACATGGTGTCCTCCACCCACCACCTCGTTGAGACCTTCGTCGGCTTCTACGTCTTCGTCGTTGACCTCTGCAGAGTCTGCCTTGGTGCCCTTTCTTCGTCGTTGCTGCTCTTTGTCGTCCTCGTCTTCATCTTCGTCACTCGCACTGCCGAAGAAGTCGTCTGTCTCTCCCAAGTCCTTCTCACCCTCCTCCTTGTCGCCCTGACCAGAAGAGCGTTTCAGTTCCACCTTTTCCTTCTTCCTCTGCTTTCTCTCCTTGACTCGCAATTGATACTTCTCCAAAGTCGTCATCTCCTCTGAATTCGCTTGTGGCTTCGTACTGAGGGCTGGACGGAACGTAATCTCCATATCGCCAGCAGAAGGTTTCGCACCAGCATCAATATCCTTGTACTTCGATCCCCAAGCTGCTTTGCCCCAGACGTCCCCTACGTCATTGTCACCATTCAAGAGCAATCCTCGAAGCTTATCCTTGTCCCTCTTGTCACGTTTTGAGCCCACCGTCGCCCCATCAGCCCCGTTCGGAACCACGTCCTCTTCCTCGCTATCTGAGGATCCGACCAATGCCTTGAAATCCTCTTCTTCCATTTCCTCCTTTGTCAAATTACGTCGCGTGACCTTGATTCGATTCGGATCATCTTGATCCCATGTGAGCTTGACCTTGGAATGGCGAAGAGCATCTGTGACGAAATCGTTCCCTTTGTATCCTTTAAGTTCTTCGGTCGCTTCATCCCTGTGAACAGAGTCAGTCATCACGACTCCCACCGGAACCATCAGTGGCTATATCTCACTTGATGTCGTCATCTGCAAAATCCATCTCATCCGGGACGTAGCTCAAATCCAAGACATTGGCCGTCCTCTCAAATTCTGTCCCATTGCATTCTTCGACCACTTTCATGGCAGCTTGCACGGTGGAGAAGGTAGCAACGGCGTAGTAGTACCTGACACGATATGAGTTGGTTTCTCTCCGGAACGACCTGATCCTCTCACCTCAGACGCTCCAACTGATATTGGCGTAGCTTGTCCATATTTACATCACCTTCTTCGTTGTCCGAGACGTCGGACATGATTTCTAGTCCATCGATCTCTTTTGAGGCTCTGCCTTTGCCTTTTCGCTTGCTGATTGGGCGAGAGCCGACTTCTTCGTCGTCAGATTCGTCCTCGTCTTCGCCGCCCTCTTCTGCGTCATCATCCTCATCTTCGTCTCCCTCTTCATCTTCGTCCTCGTCCTCGTCCTCGTCCTCTTCTCCTTCATCCTGTGCCTCATCCTCGTCCTCATCAATCCCATCCCCGCTTGAATACTCGTCAACTTCGGCCTCATGCCCAGGCCTCGCTCCAAATTTCGCTCCGAAAATCCCTGCACTCGGACCCTCGACCTCCTCCCTTGCCATTCGTTCCTTTCCGAATTCACTGGGGTATATCCTGACATGTAATAATTTCCCCAGTGAAGTGGAACTCGAGCTCGAACTACCAGCACCCGCTTTTGATCCGCCAGCCCCTCTGAGCGCAGGCAATAGGAAGGAATTGAAGACCGAAAACAAGTCTGCCGCTCGAAGGTTGTCCCAGTCGAGATTGACAGCTGCTATCCGTTTGGTAGGTTCCGCATAGACCTCTTCGTCCTCGTCTTCCTCGTCATTCGTGCCTTCATCCGCTCGATCCTCATCTGACAGATCGATGTCCAAATGCGATTCCTCACTTTCACTCTCGCCGTCACCGTCTTCAATATCCAGTTCCGGGATCTTCCCGCGTTTAGGCTTGCCACCTAATTCTAACTCTTCCTCTTCGTCCGTCGACCCATCGCTCTGTCCATCATCATCATCGTCTTCATCCTCTGATCCTGAAGAATCCAAGACTCCCTCTCCTCGAGCGTAGTCTACGAATTCAGATCCTCCTTCTTCATCTTCCGGAGATGCCGAACGGAGTCGATAGAATCGTTTCAACTGATCAGAGTGATGTGAACCAGTCAGAGCCCGTCCGCGCTTATCGACTGCAGAGGGTCAGCGAAAATAAGTCTAGAGACCAGCTCGATTCCCGCAAAGACTTACCTCCTTTGCCTTTTCCTTTGCTTTTACTGCCTCTTCCTCCAAATTCTTCACTCTGCAATACATCCTTGAACCGATCATCAATCTCGACTTTGAGAGCTTTCTGCTTTGGACGTCGGAATCGCGGGTCCGTGTGGAGTCGAGAGAATCTTGGGTCATTGGACGGCATCTTTAAGTGAAAGATCTGAGGCCAGCCTTTGTGCTTCCTGCTCTCAACACTCTAGAATGCGTCCTCAGTCTGCTTTAGCAGATACAGCTGGTGCTTTTGAAAATTCTTGGGCCGAGCTGCTGTGGGTGGAGGTTCATTTTTTGATTCCGTTGAGGCGAAGTAAACGAAATTTCTTTCCTCAACATGGTCCTCTTGGTCTCTTCGCATTCATCCCATTCTCTGTCCAGCGTTGCGTGCATCATCTTCAATTTGTTGCCCGCCTCCTGGGAGATACCTATCCGCTAGGACATGAACACCTTTCTGACTGATATTTGATAGCCCAGCTAGCGGACGCAGAATCCGACCTCGTCTTGTCTCTAGCCCCTCCCCCTTTGGACCTCCTCTCACTACGCATTCCCGCTCAATGATGAGAATTGCCAACACAATAGAGTCAAGCTCGGAGTCTTGTCATATCCCAAAGCGGAGTGAAAGGACTATGTCGAGCGCTGGCCTGTTTGACAGTTTACTGAGAGCAAGAAGGCGAGCAAGCGGAGCAGTAGCGACCGATTCGAAAGAGGGGATGGAAAGGAAGGCTGCAGAGCTCAGAGAATGGATGGTCGATACAGACAGCCTAGACCCAAATGCCAATGCATGTTTGCCCTTTTGTCAAGAGAAATGATGAGACCTTTTATGTGCAAGAAAACCGATTTGTGGATCACCTCCGGATCTCGTGTCCTTTCCTGTTCCTATATTCGCCAAATAACCCAGATCAGACCAAACAAGACGGAGAATTGTCCTTATGCAGATTAACGTTTGACAAATAGAGAAGTCTACCGAGAGATGGTGAATGATTGAGAGAGCCCTAGATTCACGCGTCAGGTTTGATTTGAAGGTTGGCTCAACACGTTGGGACTCACAAGCGTCATAATCGCTCTCGTTAGTCATGTCGCCGAAAATGTGAAGAGCCCTCAAGAGGACTGCGATGGGAATCATTAGCAATGTCCACCTTGTGATGTTAAATTTTGTGCACCCACATCGGTAGTTTCCGTTCGGAATCGCTGTATTGTTGGTAAATGTCCCATTGCTCAACGCAAAGGTGTAATCATAGTTGCCCTCCCCATCGGCATTACTGGAGCTAAAAGTGGGATGTTTCAGCTACAGCGCAGAGCCCGCGATGCGCTCGACTCACCTCCTGGCGTTCCAAGTCTGTTGGTAGACGTTTCCAACGGTAGGCACGTTGGAGAATGTACCTTGGTTCTGAGGACAGTTCGGAAGTGGGAAGAAAAGGCATAACGTGTTAAGGATACCACCATTACCAATGGAGAGGCTGACGGAGACATTGAGACCAATGTTCCCAAGGTTGAGGTTCAACAAGTCTCGTTCTTCGGCGGTTGGGCCCTCATCCCCTGTTTCGACGACAGCATTCTCGACCTCACGCTCCAATCGAGACTTTGTCACTCGTCTACTTTGGTGGAGTTTCTCAAATGTTGACGCAGTAGCATCACGTTTCGAGTTGTAGTTGGGACTGAAACCAAGGTTGACATCGGCATCGACGAGATCGATCAAGACAACGGGGCTACCGTTGAGTAGCCTGAACACCACAGTCGGGTAATCCCCGTTGCTGAGCGAATAGCTCGACGATGCGTTCTGGATCGACGGTTGGTTCTGCGAGTCTAGGATCGGCTGGGAACTCATATCGGCCGCTACTCCGAGATAAGGCACATTGATGTTATCATTTCCACCTTGGATATTAATCCAACCAGAGTAAACAGGAAGCTGAGACGGATCGAGTCCATCGGGCTGGTAGAAGTTGACAATGACGGGAACAGAGCCGCCTGGCCAGACGTAAACTTCAGAGAGGGTGATCCAGACGTTGGCGGTAGTGCCGGTGGTGGGGACAGGTTCATTATTGAATTGTCCATTGGAGATAGTCAGAGCCGTATCAGCAGGGACGTGTGTGATGGTGTACAGCTGTCCAGAGTTCCCATTGTTGGTCAAGGTGATGGTTTGGAAAGAGCAGAAATTGGCAGTGTCGTTGAGCAAGATTTCAGGCGGCGTGACGGACAAAGCTCGGTTTGCAGCGTTGGAAAGCTGAAGTTTGCCAGATCCTTGCACTGCGACACTTTGTAGAGAACTGTCGGAAAGACTGACAGGTAGAGCCACGGCCGTCTGTTCGAAAGCTGACTTGATATCCCATGGCGAGCTACCGGGGTGTTGCTGGAGGTAAAGAGCGGCGGATCCAGCAGCAAAGGCAGAAGACCACGACGTTCCGTCTGTGATAGACCAGTTGAAAAAGCTCAAACTGGGGTTGAAGGGGAAGACTGAGATGATTTGCGTGCCTGGGATCATGACGTCGGAAGCCAAGAACAACTCATTGGTAGGTCCGATTTCGGAGAAAAAGGTCGTTGTGCCGCCGGTGAAGTTGTTAGGGACGACGACAGGGCTGAAGGCGAATGATAACTCCGGGTTGAGTCCTTGCGCAGCAGCTTCAAGCAGGTATGCTCCGTCCTCTGCACTGATCATGGCGTAAGGAATCAAAGGGAACAATCGGATATAAGGAGCAGTGTTCTCCGTGTTGATGATCAAGACGGCGGACGCGCCTGAAAAGTATGCGCCTTTGGCCTTGTCTCCGATCGAACATGGTCCATCGGCACTCAAAAGAGCGATCTGTCCTTGGAGATCGGGCGTTCCAGGCAAAGGAGCGCAGCCATCGTACCCAGTCGCATTGTTGAAAGTGTAAACAGGGACAGGTGTGTTGGCTGGAAGTGGGAATGCGTGCAAATTGAACGACTGGAAAGAGTAATATGTGATTGGAGCGTGACCTGTCGAAACGGTAGCTTGGTTCGCGGCTATGATCTCATTGTCGGATGATCCAGCGACGATGGTGCCGAATCCTGTTCCGGGTGCGAATGCGTAAAACGCCCCGTCCTGTCCCGAATTTCCAGCAGAGGTAGTGATGGTCGTTCCCATGGCGACGATTCGACTCGCGACGACACTGATGGGCGTTTCAGACCACCCAGAAGGTTCACCAAGACTGAGATTGATGACGTCCATACCGTCGTTGTAGGCTTTCTGCATGGCATCAATGACGATGGCATCGGTCGTGGCACCACTGCAACTGAATACTCGATAAGCGTACAAGCTGGCATCAGGAGCGACACCCGGAACACCGTAAATGTTATCGTTGGCTCCAATAATACCAGCGACGATCGTTCCGTGCGAGAAGCAGTTGTCGAAAGGGTCAGAACTGGTCACCGGTGTGTTGGATCCGTTGAAATTGTTTCCAACAAAATCGTATCCTCCTGCAATCTTGCAGTTACCACCGAAGCATCCTCCAAGAGCAGCTTGAGTGTAGTCGACACCACTGTCCACGATTCCAATCTTGATCCCCTGACCCAAGTAACCAGCTGCCTGCAGCTTATCACCTTGGAATTGAGGAAGAGTGGAGAAACCAGTGTTGCCGTAGGCGGCCGTCGGCGCGACTTCGACCGAGGTCTGTGTTGAAGTCGAGCCGCCGGAGCTGGAGCCGGTCGCGGTGGTAGTGGTTGTAGTTCCTGCAATAGTGGTGGTTGTCATGGCGCCAGTAGAGGAGGTGGACGCTGCTGCTTGACTGGAAGATGAGTGCTTGTGCTTTTTGCCATTGCCCTTGCCATTACCATTTCCGTTGCCATTCCCAAAGATCTGATCGAAGAGATTGGGGGATGGGCTAGATTCAGAAGCTGAGGCTGAGGCTGAGGCTGAGGCTGAAGCTGAAGCATCTCCTCCACCGAACAGACCTCCAAAGAGACCGCCAAACAGGTCTCGCTTGGACGGGTGGGACCAACCTGTGGGCTGCTGCACGACATCCGGGACGACGATCAAGCGGACCGGGGAGATGGCCTGTGGGGAAGTTTTGTCAGCGTGGTTCGTTTGGCGCAGGAATGATGCTCACCATGATTCCAGGGATGGAGGCTAGGGTAGTGAGGTCCTGTACAAACGATTGTGAGCCGCTCGTCGCGTCGGGGTCGACTGCCCGACTCACCGAGTCTGATGGGATGGATAGGACAGCACCGGTGAATACTGGTGAAGAGTATTCTCTGTCAACGTCGTATACCACACCACGTTTGGTCAAGCTTGCATAAATCTCATCGTGAGGCTGAGAGATGGGTCCGTTCATCAGTATACATGTATCTGACGTCTCTTCCACCGGCGACTCACTCTGACATTTCGTCGGCCGAGACCTGCCGCCGACATGGACGCTGAATCTTCGAATTCGACGATCCATTGTCCAGGGATGATGGTTCTGTGCAGCAAGGAACGAGTGTCAGAGGGGGCAACTCATAAGAAGTTCAGTGGGGGAAGGGACATACGATGATCCACTAGGAGGCGCCGTCTGAGCAATGACTCCGACAGCGGTCAGAGACCAAGCTGCCACAGAGAGCAGCAACTTCATTGTACGCGCAGAGAGAGCGTGATTTTTGTCAAACGAGTGTCCTGAGGGAAAGAGTGCTCAAGAATGTAGATGCTGAGAGAGACGATTCGATGGAGCAGATGGGCTCTTCCATGTACCACCGTTTGCTGCTGTCGAGTGCCTGTTATTGTTGTTGACAACACAGTCGAATGGTGAGTGAGTCGCCGAGAGCAGCAACTCTGGGTGTTTAAAAACAACACACCTGCCCAAAAAAAAAAATATCCCAAGAGGCGTTTTGACCTGAAGCAAGGGAGTTTGTATGACTCCAGATGTCCTGAAAGTGCGAGAGAGTGTGTGTGAGAGAGAGAGAGAGAAGGCGTGAACGAGCGAATGACAAGGGGCAGTCTGACAGAGAGAGAGAGGATTGAAGGGGATGTATATTATATAAAGAGACCCAGAGAGAGACAGACAGAGAGCGAGAGACTCAGAAGTGCCCCCCTCAAATTCCAAAACGCGGGTGGGACCGGGAGGGAAAATATGCGTTGAAACTCTATTTACCTATTACATTTTTTTTAATTCTCGTTATGAGACGAGCGAGAGAGAGAGAGGGTGGCAGACGGGTACCTCGTATTCTCATCTAACAAAGCATCCCGCGCTGGCTGTTGATTGAACAGGGCATGCATGTCATCGGCTCCGTCTCGGCGAGTGTTCAAAAGGGAGGTAGGTCAAAGGGGCGGGGGCGGGGGAACACCCCTTTCTCAACGTCCCTGGGACCTTTTGGAGGGGAGGTCCGTATGACCGCCTCTTCTCTCTCCCTCTGCTTGGCTATATACCGGATGAATGGACGCCATGATAATTCCAGGGTCCTGATGTTCTGATGAAACAAGAGGCGGATAGGACAGGGGTGGGTGGAATTGGGAGCCAGTATAGACGAGATGAGACGCATGTGGAACGTGGGCTCTTGTCTTATCGAGATGGAGACCCAAAAGAATAAAAGACGCGTGTCCTTGGGACAAGGTTCAGTCAGGCGGGCCCGGGGCATTCAAGCGGCGAGACGCAGGTGTCAATGAGGAAGAGAACGCCCCTCTCCCTCTCTATCTCTCTTTCACTGATTGAGCTCCCAGAAGACATGTCATAAATACTCTCTTGATGTCGTGTTCTCGACGCCATATTACTCGGTGTGGCGAAGGGCAGAAAGGCAAAAGGCGCGATTCTTACGCCGCCACCGCCACGAATGGTGGGTACGGTAGATGCTCCGATGGGGCATGCGTCAAAAGGGGTCCAGCCAGCAGTGGAAACCCTTCGAAGTCATGTCTGGACCTTTGCCAACGCTATCGAAGTCGACTGAGTCTTGAGGGGCCATTCGTCTTGGCAGAAAAACCCACATTGACGAGCAGAATTTATGTTATGAAATCATTGCTTTTGTAGTGCCGGCATACTCAAGTCGGGTTCGGACATGGCAGCTGTTTCAAGAGTAATGAACAGGCATGCAACGGCAAGAGCAGGTGATTGATGATTTCTTAAACGATATGAAGCTGTTTCAATCTCACGGGAACGCATCCGTCATGACGTAGCGAGAAGATCCTGCTCGGCGACATTCAGAGCCATGAATATGTTTCAATCCGAATCGCAAAAAATACATGCCAATAACATTGATCGTCAAAGAGCCTCTCACAATGCGAAAATAAATATATGGATGCCTCATCTAGTTTCTATGCCACCGATGATAAGACTCCAACACCAAAGGGATACAGCCGTCACGAAGACTGCACCACAGATCTAGACCTTGTCGACCATCCGCTTGCCATCTGCAGAGTGAAGCGCAGCCTGTTGCTCAAGGTACTCCTTCTTTCGCTTCTCCCAGAATTCGGAGTTGTAGTTGAACATCGAGCTGAGCTTGGTCTGAGAGGGGGGAAGAATTCAAGGGTATGGATGTCGGATGGACGAGGGGAGACGAGAATCATCAAATCGAATAGAAGCCAATGACATGGGCGGCGTGAGAGCAGGTGATGAGAGTTGACAGGAGATAGAAACACCTCTCGTCAGCCTCCGAAACATTCGCGTTCTCAGATAACACTCACGTTCTGGTCATACCTGACCTTGTCCCATGGAGCCCAGTCACCCTTCCTGTTCCAAACGACCTCGTTGCCCTATAGACGAAGATGTCAGCACTTTGCACGGTGACTATTTGAGAACCTCGAAACCCACCATAGCGAGCTTGTACAGATAGGCAGAAGCTCCGACACAGGCGATTCCAGTGATACTATGGAGCACATCAGCATTGAGCTACGGGTTTCCAATGTCCGCGCCAAACTCACACAACGATAGGAATGACCTCTGGGGAGTAATACTTCTTCCAGAAGTTGGCTCTAGCAGCAGCCTTGGCGGCTTGAGCACGAGCGGCAGCCTAGACATCCAGGATCAGCATGATCAGGCCAGTGGCGGATGCGCCGCCCTCTCCTGCATGACTCACAGCAGCGGCGACCATGATGGGTAGATTAGGGAATGTAGCAAGGACAGAGGGGGAAAGCGGTCAGATTATGTCAGATGTTTGGTAAGCGTAATGAAAGTGTACCAGAGTCCACTGTAGCAATATCCGTGGCCAAGTGACCGTGAGTGAGATGAGGGACTGGAAAGGTTGAGGATGTGTGGAGTTGCCATTGAATCTTTTGATCTTCTCTCTTTTTTATGTTGTTCCCCCGCCAGTCAACGGTTGGGGACCCTGACTTTTTTTTTTTCTTTTCCTTTTCTGATTCAAAACCACGTGGCATCGGGACAATCCGGTCCGCAGAGTTACGATATACTGCCACATCGCCCCCATTGACTGATCAGACTAAACATATCGCCGTGTAATGCCGGGAAGAGGGGCTTTCTCCCACGTGGTCTCCATTCCGCGACATCGGCTCGTTGCGAGTCGGGAGATTTGAATTGAACATACGGTTGCTTTGCTGTAGCGTTTGTTGAATAGCTGATACTTGTTGAGGAGCCACACAACTCTCCACCATGTCAGCGCCAGAGGAAGAGTTCGAAAAGACAGAGACTTATGGTGGTCCAGAGATCACCTTGACACCCGACCAGGAAGCTCAGTATGCTCAGCTCACTCGGAATTTGCAAGAAGTGACCAGCGCAGAGATCGTCCGAAAGGTGTTGAGCAAAGGCGAGGTGGTCAAATGTTACTGGGGTGAGTTTGAACGTCTCGGGGGCACAATATGGGACTGTGGCTGAAGTGGTATGTTTGCAGGTACCGCTACAACTGGACGACGTGAGTGATGTGCACAAGCTGAGGATGGATGGTCTTTGCCCTTACATTATCCTCTTTTCATAGCGCACATTGCCTACTGTGTGCCTCTGCTCAAAATCGCAGATTTCTTGGCAGCCGGAGCTTCAGTCAAAATCTTGCTTGCAGGTGAGTGAGCTAGAAAGCTTTCCTTACAGAGCGAAGCTGACAACCTATCTTTACAGACGTAAGTCACTCACTACGTGTGTCGACGAGATACACCTGACTCACCTGCTTTCGCAAGCTTCACGCCTTCCTCGATGCCAGCAAATCCACTCTGGAGACGGTCAAGTGGAGAGCGAAATACTATTCCTTCCTTCTCAAAGCGATGTTCATAACTCTCGGCGTACCCATCGATAAATTACAATTCGTCCTCGGTACAAGCTACCAATTGACAGCAGAGTATACTTTGGATGTGTACAAGTGAGATCCAGGCAGTGAAGCCCAACATCGTCTGCTCTGACACGTTACCCAGATTCCACTCTCTCACCACTGCGAAAGCAGCCGGACATGCCGGCGCAGATGTCGTCAAGCAATCTGAGAGTCCACTGATGAGCAGTATGCTTTACCCTGGGTTGCAAGCTTTGGACGAGCAATACCTTGATGTGGATTTCCAATTCGGCGGTGTAGATCAGGTGAGCCCGGCCTCCCACGTTACCTTACATGCTGCTGAGCCTTTGTTCAGCGCAAGATCTTCATGTACGCTGCTCATTTCCTGCCCCGTATGGGCTACGCCAAACGTGCCCACCTCATGAGTCCCATGGTCCCTGGATTATCCGGCGGTAAAATGTCATCGTCCGACCCAAAGAGCAAAGTCGATTTCCTAGATTCACCCTCCGAAGTCAAGAACAAGCTCAAAGCCGCTCTCTGTACGCCTGGAGAAGTGGAAGGAAACGGAGTCTTGGCATTCCTGCGACACGTCTTAATACCTGTCCAACAGCTTCGTCATGAACAAGCAGAAGCCCGGGGAGAGGAGCCGCCGAGAGGAGAGGGAAGCTTTGTCAAGCCTTCTGCACCCTCAGGAACCATCTTTACAATCTCTCGACCTGAGAAATTTGGGGGAGATATCCATTTTCCTTCGTACCAGGCCATTGAAGATGCTTATGCGAAAGAGGAACTGCATCCTGGTGATCTCAAGACGGGAGTGACGGATGCTATCAACGGGCTGTTGGCGCCGATCCAGAAAATGTTCGAGTCGGACCCAGAATGGCAGGAGTGTGAGAGGCTTGGATACCCGGATGCTTCGACTGCGAATGCTGTGGCTTCTGCAAAGCAAGGAGCCGGAGACAAAGCCCAGCCGGTCAAAACTGTGAGTCATAGTGCCTCATGCTCAGAGCCGTCGTCGCTGACTCGTGCGATGTCAGAAACCGCCTAAAGACGTCCGCCGCGCACCGCCGACAGAGGAGGAACGGGCAGCGCTCCGAGCTCAAAAGGATCAAGAAAAAGCTGTCAAAGCGCAAGCCGCCGCCGCAGCTGCTGGCTTGAACATGACGCCTGAAGAATTGAAGAAAAGGGATGCGACGGCGGCGAATGTCGTGCCGAATTCAGGAAGAGCCAACGCAAGTGCAGGTTCGAGCAGTAGTGCACGATCATCCGAGGCATTGACGACGACGGATATGCCTAGACTCAAGCTTTTGACAAAGGGCAAAGTCCGGGATGTCTACGAGCTTCCTGATTCGGAGGACAAGGACAAAATGTTATTCGTGGCTACGGACAGGATTTCAGCCTACGACTATATCATGGAGAATGTGAGTTCTCATACGTGTTACTTCTCGATCTGAGCTGACCACGTCCAGGGAATCCCACAAAAAGGAGCCACATTGACCACCCTTTCCCTCTTTTGGTTCCACAAGCTCTCTCATATCATTCCTAATCACGTCCTCGTCCCTTCCATCTCTGGCTCCAAACCGAAGTGCCTCGATCCAAGTACATCGGCCTGGGATGAATTTCCTAAAAGTCTGGCAGAGTACAGAGATCAAGTAGAAGGAAGGAGCATGATCGTCAGGAAATGCGAAGTCGTCAAGATCGAAGCGATCGTCAGGGGTTACATCACGGGTACGTACAACTCTTTTGAGGGTACTCGTCGCTTATGCTGGATGCCTCATGCTAGGCTCCGCTTGGGCCGAGTACAAGAAGTCCGGTACAATGCACGGCATCAAGTTGCCGGAAGGACTCGTCGAATCGCAAAAGCTTCCGGAACCAGTATTCACGCCGTCCACCAAGGCAGACTTGGGAGACCATGATGAGAACATTCATCCTGATAAGGGTGAGGATTGCCCGGCGTCTCTCTACACTTGGATGAGATGACTTTTTTGCTGATCCTCCGTTTAGTCAAAGACATCTGCGGTGAAAAGCTTGCCAAGCAGATTGCCGAAGTCGCCGTCAGACTCTACTGTAAGCTGATTGGCTGCCATTTTCTCGCCAGCTGACACGTCACGCCAGCCGAGGCTGCCGCCTACGCACTCGAGCGAGGACTCATATTGGCCGACACGAAATTCGAGTTTGGTCTCTTGCCCGATGCCAATGGCGAAAAGCAGCTGATCCTGATTGACGAATGTTTGACTCCTGATTCATCTCGATACTGGTCAGCTGCGACTTATCGACCTGGACAACCTCAACCTTCATTTGACAAGCAATACTTGAGGGATTGGCTCACTCAGAACAATCTGAAAAAGGCTGGAGTGACGCTGCCTCCGGATGTAGTGGCGGAGACCAAGGCAAAGTATGAAGATGCTAGAGACAGAGTGATGGGATTGGGCAAGCATGCTTAGAGGGTGTGGGGGGCTGTGCAGCGTCAATTCATAATGCATCAGGTATCACATCCATAAGAGTGCCTCAATCTATTCGCACAGTTCGTGCCAACTCTCCCTACGCTGAACTTTACAGCTTGTTGGCAAAGAACCAGGTATCGACTAGTAGCGGGTGATCAGTCCAGATGGTCCCCCCTCGCATCGTCCGCCCGCCCGGCCGCCCGTCCGCCAGCACTCACTGTCTGTAATGTGGCTGTCACCGCCCGGGCCAATGTTCATATCGACACTGGCCAAGAGCTCGAAACCATGGGCGTCCAAAGCCTTGAGGATCCCCATCATCAATTTTCTAGCTTGATTGATCATGAGGCCATCCGAAGTGTACCATGGTTGGCCCCTCAATTTGATCTGATAAGAATGGGTACATCGTTGTTTCTGTTGTTGTATACCGAGTACCCAGGAATTCTAAAAAGTCCCGAGCAACGAGAACGTCTCAGCACGCCAATCCATGTCATGCAAGAGCCTCGTTTTTTTTATTTGGGTTCTCCGACGGAGCGACTGCCTGCTCTGACCCACCTGGATAGCCTGGACGATCGCTTGTGTCACTTGTAGATTTGGACTGTCAATGATTCGGATCTTGTCACTTTCATGAAAAGATAGAGGGAAGATGTACCGTTGGACAGGGGGTCCAGCTTTGAACATGAGAGTATCTTTGTCCCATTCCTGTTAAGGGGGCAATTAGTAAAACTATATCAGCGCCATCACAAGAACCTGATAGAACAATATAAGCCACTCGCCTTCTTGGTGAGGCCTGCAGAGACTAGCAAATGCCAGCCTCTGACGCATAGCTCGTACAGTATTCCAGCGACCAGTCGTCGACTGTGAGTCCCTTCATCACCACGACCGTACCCTGATGAGGCATCATCTAAGCGTCAGTTCTCGGTCCATCCTAGGGCCTGTAATCCCAAATGTTCTCTCATGTGCTCAGAACACCCTCAGATAGTCTAGCGTCTCGCTTAATCCAATCCACGACACTCACATGGCCTCCCTGATAACTTCCACTCCCATCCTTCACCTTCATACACCCCTTTCTTCTGCACGCCCTGTGTCCAAGTCCTCGCTATGGCTGTATCGACTGCTCGCACGATATCCCCTCGTTGGGGAACGACAAGATTCTCAATTTGTCCGAGGAAGATAGCAATACACATGGGAAGAATGGACCTTGATGAAGTTGCCCGTAGCCTGGTTGAATGTCTGGAATGACGCCAGATCCAGAGGATGAAGCAGAGGCAGCTGGGTAAGAAGGTGGACCGGCAGGTTCGGCGGGTATCACCGCATCTTTACTCGCCTCCTCAGCTTTGGAGACACTCTTGTGATCGTGATGGAATAAGCCCATGATGAACAAGGTAAAATGGACAGAAGCGATGAACAGACAGCATATCATTGAAACAAAGAGCGGGATATCGGCTATCAGCCGAATTTCTTGCGTCATAGCATTCTTCGGACTTTCTTGGCGTTTGAGCTGTTGTGATCCACTCGACTTCACTGAACCTCATCTACTGGAATGCAAGCGGACCCTGCTCCAGCTGGGCAAGCAGTATAATCTATTAGCCTTTGAGCGCAGGGCATACAGAGCCCATCTCTAAATCTGAGATCATATGCATTCGCGTGATTGTCCGTGAAAAAGAGCGTGACGATCCCCCAGCACTATCTACGGCACCCAGCTCAAACCTTTCTGCTATTTCAGAATAGACTGCCCTGGTCAACGCCCCGGCAGACCCCCCTTGCCCCCCGCGCATGTCTTCACATGGGCCTCTGAATCCCATCGCCACCCAGACTTGTCCGACTCGAGCCCTGTCCTTGGCCCAAGAGGTCGAGGCTCGATCCGCTCGGTTCACCCCGCTCGAAATCAAATGACCCTAGATTCTCTCCGCTCCTTCTAGGCTCGTACGTCGATCTCTTGACGACAAAAGACGAAGTGGGCTGGGTAGACTCTGGAGGCGGAATAGCGGGTGGTGTGTACTGTTGTGATCGGCGGACTTTGAACGTCTTTTCACGCTCTGTAGAAGCGACCACCGGTCTGCTCCTAGTCACCGGGAGAGAAGTGCTTGCGGAAGCCCGCTGAGGCTTTGCAGCCTGATTCGGATCCACTCGGCTGCCCCCAAATTCTTCCAAATCTCCCCATAAACCTGCAGCTCCTTGACTCGTCCTACGGGGCGGAGCAGTATCAGGTGCAGCGCCTCTAGCAAGGGTGGGCTCAGAGGTCGGGTCGATCGTTGAATTCCTACGCGATCCGGCGGCCTCCAAAACTGGCAACGCAGTATACGATTCCATTGCTTCCGGTCTACTCTGTCCCATTCTTTTCACCCTGAATGAACGCTCGTTCGTCGTCGTCGTCGTCGTCGTCGTTGACGTCGATGCGCCTCGCAGATCACTGCTCGGTACATCGATAGAGACTTTCGGGATAGATCCAGAACTCGACTTTTCTCCTGTTGTGGCCAAACTGAACCTTTGAGGCGATTCTCGCCAGCTCGAGTACCTGGCAACTTTTGGTGCGTTATCTTTTCGCTTGACTGCGAAAGACGTCTTTGGAGCTTCCACACCCGCGAATAGACTTCCACTCTGAGCGGCGAGAGCATCTTTCCGGACCCGATTCTCATCTCTAGCCCGTTCAGACGTATCATCTGTTCGTCGTGTCAGGCCAAGCGCAGCTCGCCAACCGCGTTTCTGACCAAGTGGACTGGGTACAGCTTCGAAGGGTCTGGGCAGACGCCCTTGTGGTCCGACGCCTTCATCCTCAGATTCTGATGGAGACTCGGGTTCAGGCTGTTTTCCGAACCATGCTTTAGGACCAGACGATAGACGCTTGGCCATTGTTTGCTTCTTTTGAGAATCGGGATATTCGCTCGAAGGTGAGGAATCTTCTTTCAAGTCGTTGAGTGATCGTCGCTTGGGTATCGTGTCGAGCCGCGGCGGCATGAGACCTTGATTGTTGGGTCTCAGTCCCCGGCCCTGATTAGGGGGCAAGAGCGGCATAGGGGACTGCGAAGGCGTCGGGATTGCTGAAGCGGGTCGAGAGGATGGTCCAGCCTGAGGACCTCGCCCTGTGTCGATGACAGAGTAAGGATTAGCGAAGTCTGCTCGACCTCCCCGGACGACTGAGAATGATGGACCAGATGGGGAATTTGTGGGGGGTGAGGTGGGTGGGGAGACTATCGGCGGCCTCCAAGCATTCATGATCGGCTCATTGGGAGTGTCATCCTCATAGTGCCTTTCATAGTCAGGTCGAGGCGGAGGTCCAAGGGGAGGCTGATGGACAGGGAAATAACCTTGCGTAGCCTGGGATGGGTCACCAAAAGAAGGGTTCGAGGTGAGGTATGACAGTGCTCCCTCCGAATCCTGTCTGGGAATTCCCTGAGAATTGCGATCGAGCATTCTCTGTGTCGTCAGGGAACCAGCTGCAGTGACATTCTTCTGCAGCTGCTCTGATCCCTTCTTGCGCCGTCTCCGGGCTGCGGCCTTGCCACCTCGTCCGCCATTGAAGCAATCCAGATCCATGATGGCGGCGAAGAGACCTCCATCAAGTGGGCTAGTCGACTCGTCAAAGTGCACCCCACCGAACAGCCGGATGAGACCCTCAACGATCTTGGTGATGAGCATGAAGAAGAAATACGCCATGACAATGGCTTGAAGCAAGAGGATGACATAGGTCAACCAGTCCGTAACGGCAGTAGGCATGCCAAACTGAAATCCAGTCAGCTTTGAATACACGGCGCGCTGCGGACTCACGCTCGGACTGATGAGCATGGTCAAGAGGACGGAAATGACCCGGATGATCCCCATAAAGGCATTGGGGGCTCCCATGCTCGCCCCTTCACCCCAAGGATAAAAGAATGAGGCGAGAATGAGCAAGACCAGCTCGGCGACGATGAATATGACAGCCTGAGCCAAGCCAGACTTCTGTCCTGCACCGATGGCGATGCCCTCGATGAGGCTCACCAGCAACGGGTAGACTCGAAACATTTGCTTGCCTTCGATGAACACGTTGTACATCGTGCCTAGAGAAAGTAAAGTCCTCGTCGCGTCGTAAAGTTTCCCGCTGGCTGTCCTGAAGATCTTCCACATGATGAAAGTCGGGATCAAGATCGAGATAAAGACGAACGTCAATGCTGCCAAGACACGGGAGACGATGGAGGCTTGGGAAGACGAAAGCTGATAGATGGAGAACGCGGTGATGGGCAGATGGAACATCATGATCAGGCGCAACAGATTGCCGTACATTGCAGCCGCGTGGAAGGCACCGGCTTCCCCTTTGGGTCGGAATCTCAGCCAGACTTTGCGGGTCCGAGAGGGTCCGACCAGTTGCGTTCTGGATACATTGATTGGCATGCCATCAATGTCCAATCCTGCAATTGTTCGGGGCTCAAAGGCTTCCTTGCCCCCTAAACTTGCTCGGGGGCTGCTGCCGAGACTGGACAACCTCTTGCCGTACCCTGGTCTGGACGACGGAGGTCTGCTGGGAGACATGAATTCCAGCATCGCATGGAGTGACCAGAGCGCCATGGAGATGAGGACGATCGCAGCAGTGATGATGAGAAAGATGATCATACAGGTAGGAAAGAGATCCGTGTCTCTCAAACCTATAGTTGTTGCGAAAGAAGCGAGTCCAGCAGCAGAATCGTGTAGATCCAGGAGAGGGTTGAAAGCCAGAGGGTCAAGGTAGATGGGGAGAGTGACATTTGAGATCATTCTCGCGAATTCCGATGGCGGAGTGTAGGTAGTAGCGTAGCCAGAGACATGCTTGTCGCTGAGACCGGAAATGACCGTGACATCTGAGAGTGATCAGTCAGCCGTGACTCTCTCTCTGCCTTTTCATAGATCAATCTGCTCACTTCCGATCAGATCTACCCATGCACCTTGCGCCAAGATGGGATCTGGACCCAAATGTCAACATTAAGCGTAACAATGTGCTACCTCCACGACTCACACGCATATGCCGGCCAGGCCACCGCGATCATCCCCAGGACGGTCATGAATTGAATGTACTGAACAACGTCCCGGAGTCCCGGGGTAGCGAATCGCAAAAGTCCTCCACTGACGCTAAATCTCTCTCCGCTCAGTCCACTGACGACCATGGTTCCCCATTTTCTCATACGAGCATCTCGCTTAGCCGCCGCAGCGGCCCCGTGGCCTCCTTCCTTGACTTCGTACTCCGTCACGCCGCTTCCTACCACCCAGCCCGCTGCGAACCTCGCCAACCAAGTCACTATCCATATACCTATCGCGATACAGATTGGGAACCATCGGATGAGGCTGTAGTACCATGAGCCTTGGGTCCACGGTGTCACTTCCAAATCGTAGCACGCGAGGGTATTGGCCTCTGTATTCGTATCGACTATTCGGACCCTCGTGCGAAGCGTTGTCAAGGCATAATTATGAAAGAGAGGGACAGAAATATTGAGCGCAAAGTCGCCGGCTGGAAGAGGACAATATGTCTCGTTGGCTTCGCCGTAGGGCCTCGTGAGATCTGGAGGAAGTAGGGACTCGCACAGCCAAGAAGCGGATCGCCAAACGGAAAGATGAGCTGCCTCAGTATCGTGAAATAGCGTCGCTGGCAATGTCAAACAGAATCAGTCACTGTATAAGCCTCTCTCTTTTCATAACAGATCGGCGTCAGCGGCCAACTCACCCAACTTTCCAGTTTCGTTATTATATCCTTCGATCACTGTCCCCGTAGATCCAATCATATCTATCCGTAACACTTCTTGCTGTCCACCACCGATAAGGCCTAGGAACTTGGCCACATCCTTCGGGACAAGGTTGGCATACACATTCGTAATGTTCATCAAGGCATCTTGAGATAGATCAGAAGGGAATTCGTCGAGGCAGGAGGAAAATTGGACAGAGAGAGGATTGGCGAGGATCGAAGAAGCAGAAATGAGAAGGATGAACAGTCCGAGAGCTGACGAGAGCTGCTTCATGATGCCGTATCAGACCAGAACCTAGAGTACAGGAGTTCTGGAAGGCGAGGACAAAGTCAGCACATGGATCTGTTGGATTGGAGAGCCCCATGACATGATAGCGGGAATGGGGTAATGACATGAAGCACTTACCTCGCTTGCAATCAAATTGAAAAATAGTCCAATCCCAGATGTTGGCCATAGAATTGTCGACACTGACTCTACTCAGCCGCCTGTTCGGACGTTCATATCGTCGACCGTTATGCTACTGATGAAGTCTTCCCAGAATGCTATAACCTAGCTGCTATCAGGACCCCAACGGCTGTCTGTGACTTCATCGAATGAGAAAAAAAGAAAAGGGAAAGGCGGAAGAGGGAGGAGGGAATTCACCGAGAATAGCCGAATAGGAATGAATGCATCAGATGTCCGCCACACCTTATACCCTCTCTCGCTCGTGGCGTCCATCTCGTTGGACATGGCTCACAGGTAAGGTCACTTTAGCATCTCGAGGCTTGCACCATAGATCTATGTACATAAGAAGAAGAAGAAGGAGGAGGAGGGGGGCGAAGAGTTAACTGCAGACCGGATTTAGATATGCACGAGGCAGTATGGTACCTGATGGAGATATGTCAGCACACCTTGTATCGCTGTGACCCACCTCGACATCCTCATCGTTCTCATCATTGACCATGACCTCGACCAGGAGGTTCTTAACCCATGGTTCAATAGGCTTCTTACTGACATGCTCGACAAGCTCGCTCATGCGCATATTCAGTCGATCTGCAGTCTTGACGTAACGTCAGCAGTCGTCCATCTCTCAGTGGCGCCGCCGTACCTTTTTGGCTGGGACAAAAGAAGACCACAGCATGGAAACACCTTGAGACACCATTTGAATCTCCAGGTTGTGCTTCTCCTTGAACCAGTTGATGAACTCCTGGAGAGTCGGGTTACCTTCCAGCTCAAATCGGTCCCACAAGGTCCACTCAGTCTCGCCATACTAGCGGGAACGCATTAGCCAGGAGCTGAACAGTGAAAATGCGTCAGTCCATCTCACCTTCTGCTTGGCCGCCTCGATAGGCTCGGAGAATCCAAAGAAGGGCAGAGCAAGGTTGACGAAACCATTCTTATAGTCCTCCACCTTGTTCTTTCTGTCGATGATCTACTCCAGTATGAGATACACTTTCTCTCCGCGCACCTAGAGGGCCGACTCACCTTGTACAGCTCAAGACAGACCAGTCCCACGGCTAATGCCGTGGTCGTAGCGATTGCAGGGATGATCTTTCCTGCGATCAACTTTGTCTTGTGGCGATCAGCCTGAGTGATGCCATAATTGGCAGCACGAAGATTAGAAGCGCAAGTGATGAAGTCAATGTGATGGTTGCTGTCATCGTCCTTCTCAAAGTCGACCGGGACCAGTCTGAACCCAGCGAGGGACGAAGGAGGTGGGAGCGAGTTGACGATCGAGTCAATGTCCTCGTCTAATATCGTCAACCGGATGCTGAATATTCAGCCGCATCAGCTTACCTGGATTTGGCTCGTTAGAAACTGGCTCATTCTCATTGACCTGAATCTTAACTCCGCTCTTCGGTGTGAATTCGGGAACCTTGATACTCTCCAACACTTTGCGGAAGACAGCGGGGTCGGATTCTCCCTTCAATCCGTAGTTGAAGGCGTGCAAATTCGCAGCCGCCACAATGTATTCAAAGTCCAGGGCCTTGACAGATATGTCAGTCGGGTACAGCAATCAAGTCCCTTTAGGTCCCTTGCTCACATTGTCAACATTGAATTTGAGCGGGTCAGGTGCGCGCTTCGGTCCGGACCAGAAGGGGGTACCATTTGAGTTGACCTGTCACCATCAGTGCTGTCACGTGTATCAAAAATTCAAGCTAACCTGATCTTTTGGGAGGTTGAAGAGCAACTGTCGAATCTCGTTCACATAATTCTCCTCGTACTGCAGCCTGGCCCATTCGATGCACTGGGCGAAACTCGTCGGACGCTCCTTCACCAGGTACTTTTCAATCTGCTTCAATTGATCAAAGTGTTGACCGGAGGATTTGAGAGTGGATTCGACAAAGTCTGGCTGGGAAAGATAGAGGTTGACGGTCGTAGGAGGGTTGACAAAGAGCGAATCAAAAGCTTCTCTTGACCACTGGACGATGGCTCAGCGCAAGGAAGAGCGGATGAAAGAATTCACTTGCCTGTATGCAGTGCTCGATGGCATTTGGAAAGTTCTTGACGGTACATGATGGGATCGACTTCTCGGGGGGATCCTGAGATGACGAGTACGATTCGGTCAAAAACGGGATGACGACCTGGGTGTTGGCCTTGGTCCCCAGAGTTCCAGATTCGAGCAATGGCTTCTGGTAGAAGACACATCTTCGATCCATGTATTGACCTGATTTTGTGTCAGCTTTCAAGGCTCGCTCCCGAGCGGTCCACTCACGAGCAAGCACATTGTCCAAGGCATTGGTCACACCGTCGATCTTGGCGAAGAACTCGTCTCCATAGGTGCCTATTCATCAGCTGGGCCGTTTGTACGTCAGCCTCACGTTCAGTCTCTGGTCCGACTCTGTCCTGATAGGAAATGATCTTGCCTTTGAGCTCAGGGTTCATTTCGGCCACAGCGGCGGCAGCGACTTCAGCTTTGAACTTGCCGACATCTTTCGGTCGGAAGAGGAATTGCCGGTTCAAGTTACTCTTCTCAATGGTGTCCAGATCCGTGACGTGAATGACTCCCTGACTAGCCAGACCCATCATGCTCCAATTCTTGAGCATTTCACAACCGATCGCACCGGATCCAACCAGGAATTGCTTAGTCGCGTTGATCTTCTCTTGGAAAGCTTTGCCAAACACTGCAATCTGGCCATCGTATCTTGATCCAAGGGGTTGACAATCGGCTTCTGAGGGTAGTTCGTGAGGGAGCGATTCCAGAGAATCGAAATACATGCTCTGCTGCATGGGGTGGAATTTGGCCGAACAAGCTTTGAGAACCTCTTGAGCGACAAATCCTCCGATGACAGCGACCATGGGCGACAAGTCTCCGGTAGCTTGGAACGCCAGTGTCTCGATAATCTTCTCATCGACTTCGTCCTGTCCTCCATTTGATTTGTGAATATCCTTAGCGAGAGCTAGCACTGCGGAAGCATCCGATGAACTACGCGGTCGAGGCAGATGTCCATTCTTCTCGTAGAATGCGGAAAGAGCAAGGAATCCGACATGCAGGGTTGCAGGGCGATCGAATTTGGCAAAATCCGTGATGAAAAGTTCGGGCTGGGTCAAGGACTCTTTGAGGCTTCTCTGTGGAAGTGTAAGCTGATGCCCGCGGATCAAATTCGAGCTGGCTCACGAATTGGAGAATTTTGGGCATCTTGACCTGTGTGAACAAGCCACCAGAAACGTACTGTCCAAGGCCTTTCGTATCCCCGATCGAGAAGGTGTATGGCCCTGAGGGCGTGAGCTGGAGACGATTTGGGGCAGGACGTGAGCTCACCCTTAACGGTGACCTTCCTTGGCTCGCATCCATTCAAGCCTTCCATTCCCTTGATCTCGGAGAAAGTGACGTAGTCTCCATCTTCGAGACCATGTCTTGTCTCGTCCAGACAGGTGACGATAGCGTCTTCATCCTGAAATGCTGGTGAGCTATTGTCTTCCGATTTAAGCAAAGACCGCTTACCTCTTCCACCTGTACTATCATACCTGTCTGAGGCTGCTCTCCCGTCGCATCGACACATGCAAAGTCTTTCCCAAAGTCATTGAAGACAGCACTGGGTAGAGCGCATGAGCCCAGAGATTCATCCGATAGGACCAGCTCACCCGAAGAGTCCCCGTACATCTGCAGAGATGAAGTAGATGCCTTTTGACCGACAGAATTCGTTGATCTCGACCTGCTTTGTGACAGTCGTATTGGTGAGAACGACCACCTAGACGTGTGTCAGCGATCTCCTTCTTAAGCTCGCCTCGAGCCTGTAGCTGACCTGATACGGCGCAACCATGTCCGGAGTGATCTCGCCTGACCCCTCTAGTATTTTGATCGGTACGTAGGTGTTAAGTTCCGATAGTCGCGGAGCCGTGACGGAAGCTCGAGGCTGGCCTATGTCATTCTCGCGGAGGAAGAACTGCAAGAGGGTGTGGTGAGCTGGACAACCTCTGCAGACTCAGAGGATTAGAAGCTGACCTGTGTACCTAGATCGGCAATCTCTACCGGATTGGGATCATAGATAGTGACGCTCTTGACTCCTGCCAATGCGACATTCTTGGCTATGGCGACGCTTCAATTGAAGGGCTGACGACGTCATGCATCAACTCACCAATCTCAACGCCGAGACCTTTCATCCCAACGATGAGAACATTGGACGAAGCCATCTTCTTCATAGCTGAGAAGGGATGTCAGCTGGCTTTGACCAGCCTTTTCACGAACTGACCTTCATGACCGAGCACATAGCTACCGTAGTCAGTGGCTGCTTCCGATATGCATGAGATGGACTTACAGCTGTCGAGAGTATAGACCCTCTGAGAAGAAAGGATGTGTCAGCAAGACTTGGGCAGCAAAGTCGTGATCAGCCTACCATCGACTGAGAGGAAGTGTCAGTATGAGCATGGGAGATAGGTTCGAGCGCTTATAAGCCACTCACTCGGAACTCCAGGGACAGCACCATCCACCTCCATTTCAGAAGCCATGACGAAGAGCGAATCCAAAGAGAGAATTGGTGTAAATACAAAGAAGAATGGCAGGAAACCTCTGAGCCTTCTCTACACTGTCGTACAATGTAAGATTGAGTCAGACGCTTCTTCTCTGCTGAAGTCTTGAGCCTTTGAGGTGACCTCTTTTAGGATAGAAGCAGTGTTGAATTGAGCGAGCGCAAGGAGAAGAGTAAGATATGAGCGAGCTGCCATGAAATGAACCCGAATCCAACGAGGCGCAACCCTCCACCTATGACGGGAATGTGGCACTTCCATGACGCGGGGTCCAGTCAGGTTTGCTGCTGCTGACTTGAGAAGTTTGTGAGACACTGCATACAGACAAACGATCAAGGCGGGATCTTTCATCTATGTCTAATGTTGTAATGATACTGGTACAAGATGTGCAGGTACAGATATGATCGACAATTACCAAAAACGAAAGAGATGCGATGAATGATTTAGACCAGTAAGAAAACGGAGAGAAGGACGATGGCTAAGGCGGAGCCCAAAAATCCGACTGAGGACTCCTTGCTAAGAGGCGCACGGCCAGTCGTACTGTGCAAAGTCATCAGGAATGGTCGGAGAGAGTTCAGTTCATTGACTTACGTGGCCTTTGGGCTGGAGGTGACCTTCACAGTCAAAACGGCGACGAGACCGTCGATGGCGGGGTACCCGTTGACGGCAACTCTGCGAATGGTGAGTGAGGAGCCATCGAGAAGATCTCTCACGTCTGGTTATGGTTGACGCCGACTGCGTGAGTGGTCAGCATAAGATGTCTCTTCGGGGGGTGGTGAGAAACGCGCAACGCACTACTTGAATTCTGCAGCAACCCGGAAACATACTGCACAGAAGTCTGATACGTATAATTGGCGTACGATGTAGTTCCCTGGAAGGTCGATGAACTTGATACTGTACGAGGAGGGATGTAGGTTCCCGTGAGATTTCCGACAATCTCGTCCCGGCCAATGTTATACCTAGGCTCAATGCATCAGCCAGACCTCGTACGAAGCTTATGCAAGTGTGCTTCTCACTCACCCGTCAGGAGGGATATCATGGTATTCTGAAGCTGGTTTTTCTATACTGCTGGCGAGGAAATACGCGCCAGTATTGTTCTGTATCCAATATCGGAGATGTAGTCCACCATCGAGGGTTTCTTGGCACGTCCCAACGTAGGGATTGCCGAAATTCCACCGAAGTTCCTGAACTTGGGGAACATCTCCTTTCCCATCTCCAAGATTCGCCAATTGATAGGCTCCAAGATGTTGACCTAGACATTCTTCCCCTAGATTGGTAGATCTGACCGGGTCAGGAAAAGTCTTGATGGCTTCGGTGGTAATCACTTACAACATGTAGTTGAGGAAACCGCCATTGCTTGCTGAGTGAACGAGAACTGCAGCATCTGAATCTGCAGATAAGATTAAATTCAGAGGCTCTCCCAGTCCGGGCGGTGTCGTATCGTTCGCTATCTATCCACAATCCATTAGCGAGAGAGCCCGGGGGCCGAGGACAACAGTATGAATGGGGATGGTACGCACCGTGAGCATTGAACCTCCATTCGTATTTGGGTCTGTGTACCCATTTCCGTCCCTCCTATGCTGAGGGACGATGGCTGAACCCAGGGCTCTCGGAAATGCATCGGACGTCTCGCTTGCAGATACAGGTGAGAGATGCCAGAGGATTTGAGATGCCACAAGGAGCAAGATCGAGGTTTGGCGTGACATACCAGAGGAGGAAGGCCGAAAGGAGCTTGATACAGTGACAAGCATGAGCGTTGTCATGCACGTTATCTCCAGAAAGTCCGAAAAGGTGATCGTGTATGAGGGAAAGGTCAAACAGCTCTTAGGATGACAATAATTAACACAAATCCTTTCCCCCCAATAATGGGTCCGCAGGCGAGAGACCCTGAAACTGCGAGCACAGGATCGGGAAGGTCGAGGAGTCACAAGGGACGTTGAGGCGGGAGGGGACAGATACGATCGCAGCGACGTGTAAAGGTCCTAAATAGTCGGAGCAGCAGGATCTAGAGTACTCTGGACCTAGGCTCTTGTGGTGCGTTGGACATGAGATACATGAGACTCTGTCAGCCAAGCCGCGGTCAAAAACTGAAAAATAATCCATCCCAGAGAAGTTGAGCCGGACGATTTCCGACGGGGTGCAAACCGAAACTACTGTTATCATTAGCTTCTTGACATTCGTACATTTACTGCTATTCATCCAACTCACTCAGCGTAGCGACCTCGGCTGGAGAAGCTATCATCGCTCTTATCATGAGACCAGTCAACACACTGAGAGGCATCGGTCGAGATGTCCTGCAGATGGCGACACCTCGATCGAGAAAGATTTCTCGATTCGCTTCAACGACCCAAGCTTCTAACCCTTCTTCTCCGTCTTCTCCTTCGTCGCCCTGCCCCGAGCCAGTCTCCCACGCTCGACCTGAACAGTCTACACCTCTGAATGAGCCTGGACCTAGTCGACGGACGACACATTTCGGCTTCCGTCAGGTCCCCGAGGAGGAGAAAGAGACCCTAGGTGAGGAGCCAGCGGGAGACGATCGTCTCTAGACCTTGCCTCAGACAGAGCTGACCGATGTCCAGTCGGCGGAGTGTTCAGCTCAGTAGCTTCCAACTATGATCTCATGAACGATTCCATGTCGTTGGGAATCCATCGGCTATGGAAAGACTCCTTTGTTAAATCACTCGTTCCCCGTTTACCTCCTTCTAGACATTCTCCAGGAAACGAGATCTGGCAACCATCTTTCAAATGTCTAGACGTTGCCGGAGGAACGGGAGATATCGCTCTCAGGATTTTGGACCGTGCGAGGGAGCAGTATGGGAATAGGGACGTCGAAGTTGAGATTGTCGATTTGAATCAAGGCATGTTGGATGAAGGTCGCAAAAGAGTAGCGAAGACAATGTACTACAACAGTAGGTCTAGCGATGACATTGCTGTCACTGATCGATCCCTCAACTTTTCAGCTCCGCAGATATCTTTCACACATGGCAATGCCCAGTCCCTCCCCTCGCATATTGCTTCCAACTCCATCGACCTATACACCATTGCATTCGGTATTCGCAATTGTACCTCTCTCCCCGCCGTCCTTTCCGAAGCATTCAGAGTCTTGAAACCAGGTGGCAAGCTTGGCGTTTTAGAGTTCGGCAAGGTTGGGAACCCTCTCTTCGCACAGTCAGTCAATAGCCTCCTCTTCTCATCTGCCATGCTGAGGACCTCTGAAGGATCTACCGACAGTACTCGTTCTCGTTTATCCCCATCATGGGCAAAATACTCGCCGGAGATTCCGAATCGTATCGATATCTCGTAGAGTCGATCGAAAAGTTCCCCACTCAAGAAGAGTTTGCTACTTTGTCAGTATCGATACAGATGGACCCTTCTGAGGCTAACTGACTTGGGCATTCAGGGTCCAACAGGCCGGTTTCCAGACCGGTCAACTGAGAGAAGGAAAGGGCGGAGCTTGGACCGATTTCACAGGCGGTATCGCAACCATGTGGACGGGTGTCAAGGCATAGGTGTATATAACAAGATGACTTTTGCCTCCGTATGCATAGCTCGTAGATTCCAGGATGCCTGCTGCATTATGCCAGATCTGAGGTTTTCCCCGCCACGTGTACCTGCCACTTTCGAAATCCGGGTCCATTGACATCTCAACACCACTTTGACACTGCTACCTTCTTTGAACCTCCCATTCCCCCGTCCCTAGGCTCCATCCCACCATGTCTGAAAAGGCGAGAGAATTCGCAGACGTCCCTCAGCAGTTCATCAAGGAGGGTACTCAGGTGAGATAACGTGCACTTGATGCTTGGGCTTTTTTTATTGACGGAGAGTAGTTTGTCAACCGGTGTACCAAACCCACGAAAGCTGGTATGTCAAGTTCATCCAAACTCATGCGGGCTCCATACAACATGTCATGGGCTCCATGCTGCCACGATACCTCTATCTACAATCACTTCTGGTCCGCACGTCCCCTAACAGATGAGAGGGAGAAGCAACGAGTTTGGTGATTTATCAGGCTGACTCCATCACTACCTTAGAATACATCCAGCTGTGTCGCGCCGTTGCCATCGGATTCGCAGTCATGGGTCTCATCGGGTACTTTGTCAAGCTGATTCATATTCCAATGTGAGTGACTTTCGACTCCAAGAGTCCATCTGGTACCAGCCTCTGACCGTTCGCATTCTTCTATCAGTAACAACATCTTGGTGTAAGTCTCATTTCCCCTTATGACACTAGTTGAGAACTGACATATCTCCAGTGGGGCGGCTTAGAGATGATTCCACTGGGCATGTAGTGTGTTTGAACAGGTTTCTGGACTGTCAGGCTGCAGTGCTCAGATCAGTCCCAGTTCGGGCTGGCTCGGCACACTTTATCTGACTATATTTACTGATCAGCTTCATGGTACGATCGGCTCCTAGAGGTCTGTCCACATGCTTGACTGACAAAGAGCGTCATCATCATGTGCATTCATAAACAGTCACGCGCGACATGCGAACGGCTGTCCTCTTATCATTGTCTACCTGATATGCCCAAATATTTACCCTTCTGATTAACTCATTGTCTCACCTCCTCTCTAACAATCTACGCTTCTATCGACTGAAGTGCATCCGCCAGGTCAAAGTGGAAGAATGGCGTCGCACGATCTAATAACGAGACTCCAGTAGACCGTCGCGGGGTCTCTTCACTGTCTGACTTGGCGAGTTCGGCGGAAGGTTTTGGCTCTGGAGAGTAGGAAATGTCCTTGAAAGATTCTGCCGGAGACGATTGTTGGCTGTCGGAAGACTCGGTCGTTGGGAAGTTTGAGTCATCCCGGGGAACAACCGGTGCGACTTCGATCATATGTTTAGAGCTACTTTCCCCAGTACCGAATCCACCAGCGACCAAGGCTCTTCGAATCCAAGGGGAGAGAATGCCTGTAAAGTGGAATTCAACCTTTCTATCCGCCCATTTTTCGACTTCTCTCCTCGTGTCAATCAAATTCTGAACACCAGTGGTATCGAGATTAGCGACGGCTGCAAAGTCCAAGATGACAGCGCGTAATCTAGGCTTTTGGCCGTTGAGTTGTCGATCCTTCTCAGCCTGTGCTTTGGACGGAGCCGGGTCATTCCATGGTCTATCTCCTTTGGACACGCCATCAAGATGCTTGCCGTGTCGTGTTGTCGCCTTGACGTGTTCGATGATCCTGTCATTGATGTGTGACGCATTTGGGTAGAGAAATGATTCTTCGAACCGATAGATAATGATCCCCGGGGGAGGTGGCTCGACAACGACACCTTGGTTGGTCATTCCGCCTTCGTTGTCGAGAGGCACGAATACATCTCGGACGGTTCCTAGTTCGGGGTTCTCAGGTTGAACTCGCACACGTCCGAGGAAATGACCTTTTGGTCTGGCGATTCGAACGAGGAGCAGAGCGGCAGACGAAGCGAGAGACCAGTAGATACCAGCTTCGATGGAGTAGAAGATTGACCAGAGGACGGCACCGACAAAGATGAGGTACTCGAAGGGTGATACTCGCCAGAATCCAATGGATTGTTTGAGAGGCGTGACGAGATCAGCGACAGCATGTATGATTAGAGCGGATAACGCGGCATTGGGGATCCAGTAGAAAGCTGGAGCGACGGCATACAAGGCGACGAGGACGACAATACCGGTGGGGATACCGGCAGCGGGAGTCCTTACTCCAGACTTGGCTTTGAGAGCTGATCGAGAGAACGACCCGGTGGAAGGGTAAGCCGAGAAGACTGATCCGAGGGTGTTATTGACCCCGATAGCAATGAGCTCCTGATTAGGATTGATTTTGTATCCGTTGAGTCGGCCAAAAGACTTGGCAATGGAAATGTGTTCAAGCAAGAGGATGATTGTGGCGACTGGCAGATGAGGACCAAGAGCACCCAAGAGCTGGCCAGTGATGTATGGCTGTCCGACATGTCTCAATCCTGAAGGAACATATCCTACGAGAGCGATTCTGGGCTTCTTCTCGTGGACGTTGATCCTCCAGGAGGCAATGGTGAAGACAATGATCATGACGGCATGTCGGAGAGCCATGAGGAAAAAAGCAGGACGAGCGAATTTGGGATAACGTTTGGGGAGGTAGGTCAGAGTCCATTTGACACCGTAAAGAAATGCTAGAGCGGTGAGACCAAATGCAGCGTCCAAGCTAGTGTGTGGCAGATTCTTCAACGTGTTGATGATGACTTTGTACGTCGCTGCTCGAGTGTCGAGACGCTTTGCCAGTCCGAAGACAGCTGGGATTTGGCCAGCGGCGATATTGATAGCTGAACCAGTCATAAACCCAGAGACGGCGGGTTGAGGAACTGGAAAGGGAAGGTCAGGGAGGGACAGAAAGCAGGAGGCACACTCAAATTGACACTCACTGAATTCAACGATGAAACCGATCCTCAGCAATCCAATAGCTAAGACGATGAAGCCACAAATAAATGCCAGACAGACTGCGATCTGTGGCGCGCTGTATAAATCTCCAAATTTCTCTTGGACTTTGGCAATGATGTTTCCCGTCTCAAGACTCATGACGGCCACAGGGCCGATACTGACGTCTTTGGAGGTCGCAAAGAAAGCATAGGTCAAGACACCGATGAAGGAAGAGTATAATCCGTATTCAGGTTGAAGAAGAGCCAATTTCGCGTACGACAATGATTGTGGCACAAGGACCATGCCGACGGTGATTCCGCTGATGACATGTCAGTAGTGCTTTGGGATCATCTGTCAATGTGGATATGCAAAGACTCACGCTACCAAGTCTCCATAGAGCCATGTGAAGTTGTACCTTGGAGCCCATTGTATGAATGGAAACAAGCTTTTGAGGTAGTCTCGTCCCTGGGGATTGGTTGGCATCGATCGGGAAGTGAAACGCACGCCCAGAGAAACACTCACGACTGGACCCGCCGCTCGCGTCTTTGATCCTATATACGATGAGACTGTGATGGTCTCTGGATCAGATTCAGAGTACCCCAGGTACTCTCTAGTCTTTCTGACCACTTTTGACTGGAAATCTCCACCAGTCATGATGATGCCCAAAGCGGTGGACAATATGGTCAATGGCGAGGAATTCCAGATTCAAATTGGACGCAGGTCTACAACAGCGATCATACATATGATATTAAATATATATTAACCCGCCCGTCTCAGACTGACTCATTGGTCAGCTTTTGCAATGTCGTCAGCAGTAGCAGTAGCAGCAGCGGCAACAGCGGTAGCAGTATTTTCTTTTCTAAAAGACACCATCGATATCATCATATCACGCCATCGAATTCCACCAATTCAATATTATTATTATTCAATTCAGTCAGTCAATACTGTATGACTGTCGTGGCGACTGATCTCGTCAGCCTCAGCATCCTCGTGGCACTCATCATCATCGTCTGATATGGGGTCGGTTTGGCGACAAGAAAGGGCTGGGACAGTTTGATCACCTCCAAGCAGCAACATAACGTGAAACCCCCCGTGTGGTCCGGCCTACCTTGTAATTTCAAAATAAATACTCGCGCTTATCTATGGTGCTGCACGTGGCTTCCATCTCTTAAGCAAGAAAGTAATGCATCAGATATGATGATTCCTCGGCAGATTAGTTGGCGTGCTGATGCTGGCGGTGGTGTCACGAAGACCTTTTCCTACTCCCGCTTGATCGCCTCCACCTCTTTCTTCATCTCATCTACAAACTCCTCTGCCGATTCCTGCGTCTTGACTTGCAGCGCGTACATGGTAGGCTTGCCTTGTAAGTCAAACCCGACAAACTTGATCATTTTACCCTCCGCACTCGGGTCAAACTTGTCACTGACAGTCATGTTCTGAGGACAAGGGGTAAGTGCCTTGTCTTCACGTCTCGCAGACAGGACTCACCAGCACAATCGCTCCTCCGCCATCGGATCGCATCAACAATCTTCTCTTGATCTTTCCTCCGTCCACCACTTGCTTTGCCCTTTTCAGACGTATGACACCGAGCCCGCGAACTTCATACTTGCCATCCACAAGTTGATGCAGCTTTGTCCGCTTCTCATACACTGTCTCTTCATCCTCTTCTCCCGCACCGACAGCATTGGCGAGATTCGTTGTCGAACCCTCCGCAACCTCTCCCGCTTGAGTCTCTGAGCCAGGCTCAATGGAATCCGCTGCACCTTCCCCGGATTCCTTGGAGGCTGAACTGGAGGATGGCGCTCCGAAACTGAAAGCCGGCTTCGATGCATCAGTCGGAGCCGCAGTTCCAAACGAGAAGGCCGGCTTGCTGGCGCCGAAAGAGAATGACGCAGACGAGGATCCGTTGGTGGCGGGTGCCGTAGAAGCGCCGCTACCAAAACTGAAAGCTGATCCGGACGAGGTTGCAGGCTTGCCGCCGAAAGAGAATGACGGCGCACTTGATGACGGCGCAGCTGAACCATTAGAGGATCCAATACTGAAGCCAGCAGAAGGAGTGGAATTGCCTCCGAACTGGAATCCTACTGGTTTGCCCGGCGTTGAAGGACCCGCCGAAGCCCCACCGAAAGATAGCTGTGGTTTTGATCCCCCTGGACCGAATTTACCAAGCTTGGCTGGAGAAGCGCCTGTAGATGCACTCTCGATATTCTTTGACGGGGTGAAAGACTCGGCTCCAGGAGTCGGAGGATGCAGTGGTCCCGACGGTGCAAAAGAGAATAGGGGTGTTGACTTCGAAGCACCATCTTGGGTGGTACTATGAGATGGCGCTCCGAATGTGAACGGCTTCGGTGCCGGAGTGTCATTCTCTTTCTCCTCCGCCGTTGAGTCGATGACATTCTGCACTATCTTTGACGCCTCTGAAGAAGTCTGTTTCTTTGGGGTTTCAGCAGGAGTCGAGACGCTCGGGGGAGGAACAAAAGCCGGAAATTTGAAGGGTGAGTTGGCAGATGACGAAGACGAGGCGGAAGGTGTAAAGGTGAAACCGCCTGGGGCTGGAGCGGGAGCAGAAGTCGCAGGCTTCGGCAGAGAGAATGTGCCCACGGTGGGCATGCTCGGAGCAGACGGTGCAGAGGATCCATTGGCAGTGGCAGCAGCCGACCCGTCGCCCTGTTTCGCTGCTGGTGGCTTTGAACTGATCGGCGGCCTCCAACCGGAGCCAACGGTTGTGTCCAGATGCTTTTTGTATTGTTCACCTAGTGATGGGAAGACATTTGACAAGTCCACAAAAGGGTCAGACTCAAGGGTCGACGTCAAGAACGACAGGATTGCTACGTTCAGACCACGAATTGAAGTGAAATAGGAAACTTCTTCCTCTGGCGGTGGTGTGGGGAGAGAAGCGACAGGAGCACTTGATTTTGGCGTCTCGACCGGTTTGGGGGCGGCAAGTGTCGTAGACGCGGTAGCTCCAAATGGCGGAGCGGGAGTCGACGCGCTTGCCATGGGCTGCGGCGGTGTCGCGGTAGAAGCTCCGAATGAGAAGCCAGCGAATGGTTTCGGCGGGGCAGGAGCCGGAGTACTTGAAGGCGCTAACTCAGTGTTGGAGGTTGTAGTGCTGGACGGCGGTGCAGCTGAGGCTGTAGATTCAGGCTTCGACGCACCAAACGTGAATGGGGATGTGGTGGCTCCAGCTGGTTTCGCAGGCTGTCCAAAGGAGAAACCAGAGAATGGAGACGACGAAGTTGGTTTGCTCCCAAAGCTTGAGCTAGTAGAGGCAGAAGAAGGGCCAAAAGCGTTTGACTGTGTGCTGGACCCAAATGAAAAAGGTGCGGGAGCAGACGTGGAAGATGAGCCTGTAGACGAAGGTGCAGCCGATGCGGTGTATGGAAATTCATATTGACCTTCGGGCTTGGACCCGAGCATGTTCTGGGGGGAGCATCAGCGTCATCATCCAGAAGATAAGCTTTTGTGGACATACGATACCGCTGGGAGTCAAGGCATGAACTGGCGCGGGAACTGCTGATTGACCACCTCGTTTTGGAAGACCTCTGATTCTGCGTTGAAAAGCGTCAGCCTTGTAAGTCGAGGCGTAAGGTATGAAAAGCGAACTTTCTACCCTCCACAGGTGCTAGCGGTATATCTCTTACTCCTGGCTGTGAGGTGAGGTACAATGTCAGCCGCATGGTCCCATTCAGATCTTCTAAGATCCCCCTCACCTCTCCGACATCCTCTCCGTCCGACTCCTGGTCATCTTTCGTTTTTTGATTCTCTGCGGTCCTTTTCGCCATATTGGGGGTAAAGCTGCGGCCACAGTACGCTTGTCAGATAGGCTACCCTTGCCAAAGTGTACAAAGCTAAATACACGAAAAGCTGAGACTGCTTCAGTCAACGCAAAAGGTCGAAAGTGAATGGGAAAGGTGTTCGTTCGGATGTTGAAATCGAACAGCTTGCAGGCCACGTGGCATACTCCTTAGGGTCGGATTTGCTGGGACGTTGAATGAGAGAGTCAATATTACGCCGTGCAAGCGTGGTAGTGAGACACAAATCACTCTGGAAGATCTCTCTGGGAGCTTGGGCGACGACTCTGCAACCTGGAGAAATCTACGCATCGCCACCTGCTGGACTCTGTCCATTCCAATCATGAAATGGACCCAATTGAGCCCTCATCTGCGTGAGTATATAAGCCTGTTGATGGACGACGACGACGAGCTGATATCCAGCTCAGAGTCATCATGACGGCGGAAGAGACAGGAAGTGCGGCGCGATCAATGTCCACTGAGCCGACAAACGCGAATAGCGAGACGAAGCCTGCCGAAGCATCGTCATTGTCCGATTTGCCGACGCCCCACCGCCCTCCAGCATCATCCTCGATCAATGATCCTGCTTCGGCGATGGACTCCCTGTCAGACCTAGATCCAAGATCTCAAGCTGGATCATCACGGACGAAATACTTTGCTGCGCCGGTAGGTCAGCCGCCGTATGGTTCATCATCGCTCGCGGACCCAACCAGTGTTCATCCTTCATTCCAGCCCTCAGACGATACTACAGTCACAGTCACAGCCGCAAGCGATTTGGAGATGGATGAGTCTATGGAAGCTCCCTATAGACCACCGGAAGCTGTAGAAGAATCTCCAGAGGATCAAGTTCCCGACTACGTCCCGGAACTCATAGCTGAGCATCCTTTGGACGATAAGGAAGGTCCTTCTCGAACTGAATCATGGACCGAGCATGTCGGTGTCGGTCCTAGCCCCTTTGACGATTGGACAGATAACGATGCAGGTGATTGGGGCATGGATCTCGACTCTCAAACTGTGGACAGACCTCAGATCGGACCTGGAGTGCTTCCTAGACGGTGGCTCAAAATGGCTCATAAGCATGATCTCGTTCAGCCAAAGATCGGAACCATCCCAAAAACCGCTCTTGGGTCATTACAGCAACACAAACGCAACGAATCCACCGCATCAGTGGATACGACCGCCGCTCAGTCCGCCACGCGTGAACCTGAGAAGACTTACACGGCCGACGACGTCTGGGCAGCTTGTCCAGGAGGATTGGAGCATCACCATGAATGGTTCTTCTGTGTGACTTGCTGGGGATGGATCAGGATCGTCGCTAGCTTAGGTCCTCTCCCAGATCTCGTGGACACTCAAATTGACCTGTTCAAGCCATCCGTAAACTCTGACGAGACCATCGACACTCGACGCACGAAGGAAAGGGCTAGATTGAACGATCTTCTTTCTTCCAGGGCCGTCGCACCGGAAACACATCATCACCTGCACGAGTTTGAGACTTTAATCGAACCGACGAAGGAATCCCGAATCGAGAGGATCGACGTCAGCAACGACCTCAATACCTTCCCTCATATAAGCTTTGCGGTCGATGAAGATTCCGGATTGGAGACGTTCCCAGAACCAAATTCATCGGCAAGACTCTTCGCCAGTTGTTCTTCCGATTTGTGGATGGTCGTCGATCGCGGTATAATCCCTGGTCAACTGCCCATTGCTTTAGTCAATGCCTTTACGAGGGAAAAAGGAGATAATCCAAACCCAGGAGCGAGCTCCAATGACAGTGTTAGAGATGCTTGGGAACTCTTATCGACTCTACTGTTCAACCCGATATTCAAGGGTCAGCGAGGATGGGTCAAGCTGGAGAACAAGCGATTCCAGAACAAGATTGGAACCACCCTGATGTCGTCCCGCGTCCTACGGCAGATTGGTTTTGGCTGTCAGGAACAAGATGACACGCTTCGCGTCGGACCATTCAGCGCCGGCGAGTCGATCACCCCAGAGCAGGTATCACAGATGGACAAGTATATGATGCGGACTTGGGTTGAGATCGGAATGTATTTGGCAGCGTTCATCGCACGCAATGGTGAGCGACAAGGGTTAGGACATGTTGCTCATGACATCAGACTCTGCCCCGACTGCTGAGCCGATCATAACCATCAAAAGCGTTGAGACTGTCTTGAATTCTGATGCAGAGCTGTCCTTCTATCGAAAGAGTACGTATTTCGCCGATGATCAGGTCTGACCATGAAGCGTCTGCGCCTTATCCAGACTCGAAGAACGCGGCGTTCGAAAGCTTGGGCATCACCAAGCTGGACGAATGGCAGACGGTGGAAAAGGCCTACAAGATGCAGATTACGGATGACGCGGCGAATGTAAAGCTATACTTATCAGCGCTGGAGGAGGTTTCGACAGTCCACATCATCGGTCGAGATAGACTGCAAACGAAGGTCGCGACGGAGAGATCAATGGGAAGATACACTATCGGTGAGCAGTTTACAGATATCCTTCGATACTGAAACTTGCCCAAGCCGATTTGCGAGAAGCCTACTCGAAGATTGGTTTCACCCCCGAGTACGCATCTGAGATCACTGTCGAACCAGAAGAAGCTCCCGACAGTCATATCTTGGAACTGCACAAAAAGGCTTGCATGGCAGCGACGACAGCCGAGCGACGCGAGATCTCTCAAGCACTGGTACTCATCGGTCGCGATCGTGACTCTCAAGAATTGCAAGATCTTGGAAAGTCGGGCGAGACATTCATGTCTCTTGACGATGCCTATGCTGCTTTGAGCGCTCCCCGAGACTCGATTGACGATGGATTGATCATGCAATATCAACTTGCCATTTCAGATTTTCCAGGCAAGACGAACCATTATCGTAATTGCCTGGAAATCATCGCTTCTGCTCCTGGCGAGGAACGGCCCGCTATCAAAATGTTCTTGGAGACGGGCAAGACTGGTGAGTGGCCGGCTGAAGGGAACGGAAATTGAACCTCCGCAGAGCCCGACGTGCCAGTGCGAAAGGACATTCCTGTGGGATTGCAGAACATTGGGTGAGATACCATCGAAGCTGCACGCGGCATGAGCTGACAGCTCCCAAGGAATACCTGTTATCTCAACTCCATCCTCCAATACATTTACTCGATCAAGCCATTACGGGACGAGGTCCTTGCATTTGAGCAAGAGCCGGGATTTCAAGCGAAGCCTACAACGCGTGAGGAAGGGCGATCCAGGCGGTGTGAGTCGTGTCTTGCTGGTAGCGTTGGAATTGCGGCTGACACTCACTGGTAGTCGTCAGACAACTTCGTCTTCTCTTCCTGCAGATGTACAAGAGCGATCAATCGTCGGTCAGACCTGACGAAGAGCTCGCGTATCTCGCCATCACACGACCCGAGGTCGACCAGCTGGTTCAGCCAGCCGTCGCCGCGTCGTCGAGCCCTCAGAAACGGCAGTCCATACTCGACAATATCCCTACCTTGACATCGGGATCACCTTCGTCAACTCGTGTTGCTTCACCTGGACCTTCTCCCATGTCGAGTCCGGATCTTTTTCCTGCAGATCTCAATTCCGTACCGCCTAGCCTTGGTCACCGACAGGAATCTGTTTTGGGCAAACGAGCTAGCACGGATCGCGACGACTCTTCTCGATCCTCCATGGATCACAGTAGGCTCAAATCCGAAGACATCAGCCCGACGGAAACCAAGGGTGACGAAGGCCTAGATGAAGGTTATTTCTCGCTCGTCCCTCAGTCGTCTGAGAAGGCTCGTGAAAGGCTCGGGGAAGGCAATCCTCGCTCTCCTTCTGCCGTCCGAGAAATTGAAGCGCTGAAAATCGGTTCTCCGCCCGATGAAGACCAGAGGCCTGTCGAATCTCAATACTCTCCTCCAAAGGTCCCACCTCCTCTCCCACCAAGACCACACGTAGACAGACGGGACACTCTGGCATCAGGGCTGCGCTTTGGTGAGCTTGAAACCGTACACGTGGGTTGTTTAGCTTAGAAGATCACGTAGGGCTGCAGCAGGACTCAGCCGAAGTGCTGATCAACGTGTTGAGCCAACTGGAGATGGGCTTGGAGAAACCAGCGGTCGCAGACTCTGAGAAATTGCCCAACTTGATCCAACAATTGTTCTCTTGCAAGTATCGCCAACAGCTGTTCTACCAGAGCTCCGAGGGCTCAGCAGAAGGTCAAACTCCTGTCGAATCTGTCTTTGTTCACCCTATCATCGGCGTTGAAGAGGAAGGAAAGGATCTATATGATTGTCTTGCCGAGTTGTACCTTGGAGGTGCGGACATAGAGTACGAAGGCAAGAAAGGGTACATGATGGATCTTATGGACGAGTTCCCTCCCTTCTTGTACATCCAGATGAGGGTGAGCTGGACCATGCGTTGTTCGTTTCATCAGCTGACACGCTTCAGCGATCTCAATTCGATCTCGCTACTGGTCGGGAGCGCAAGCTGAATACTCACATTGGCTTTGACCAAGTTCTTGCCATGGACCGGTTCTTGGCAAATGCTGATGCCAGCAAGCGGGAGCAGTCGATAAACTTGACGCGACAGATGACACAAGCTCGTGCACGCTTGCAGCATCTCAGGAATCACAAGGTGAGGCCAGATGCCAGTTCATCAACCCCGTGGGCTGATTTCCTGCGGCTTCAGCCCATGTCCATCCCAGACACGATCAAGCACGTTCGAGATTCTCTCGGTTTCATCAGTGGAGATGCCGAGTTCTGCATCAGCAGTGACTTTCTGGAGGCGCTCGATGCTGAGGTCGAGATTACGACCGCCGAGATTGCGCAACTGGAGGACCAGATCAAGATCCTAAAACAAAGTATAGAGGGTATATGGACAGGCAGCCAAGACTACGAGTACGAGCTGGTCGCTGTCTTCATGCACCGAGGTGAGTCTTTCGCACCGCTCGATACTGGATCTCGGCTGAAAGTATGGACCAGGTAAAACCAGTGGTGCCGGTCATTACTGGACGTACCAGGCTCATTTGCCAGACAAGAGTGAGTAGCAGTCCAAAAAAAGGACACCCCTCCACGGTCTGGCTCATACCTAGCTTAGGCGAGGAGTTCTTCAAATACAATGACGAGACAGTTACGGTAGTACCTCGATCCGAGGTTTTGCAAGATAGAACAGGGAGCGACGCGAATCCTGCATTGTTGTGCTATGTGCGAAAAGGACGAAATTTGATTGATACACTGCATCGGGAGGTCCTGGAACGAGAAGAGGTGGGAGAAGCACCATCACCACAGGCGCTGGACGTGGGTCAGTTGAAAGTAGACGGGTTCATAGCCAAAGCCTCGGACGACCTCATTGACATGACGGATTATGACAAAACATAGATGTATATGGCATCGACGTGATAGCTGTAACATCTGTCTACACTGCTATATCCTTGAACAGTTGAGATATTCTGGTCCAAGCTGATCGATGTTCGTTACTCCGAGTAGTCTCATGGAGATTTCCAGCTCCTCTCTGAGGACTGAGTGTGGGCAAGTATTTATGAGCCAGCTTGACTTGGGTCCTCAGGGCAGGGACGAGAGCTCTCGACTCACTCATGATTGCTTTCTCTACGCCGTCTGGGCCCCAGCCCGCCGCAGCATAGATGAAAGGTCTGCCCAAGCCGACAGCATTGGCTCCGAGGCAAAGAGCCTTGAGGACATCCGTACCACGTCGGATACCGCCATCGACGAACACTTGAAAGTCTGGTCGTCTCAGGCACTGTGGTGCATTCTCGTTGAGATCGTACAAAGTCTTGAGAGGTGGATTGGCATAATCCAATTGACGACCACCGTGATTCGAGAGGACTACTGCGTCTGCGCCGGCTTGTTGCGCGAGAACGACGTCCTTGAGAGGATCGAGATGTCAGCTTGAGGAATGAGCAAAGCGGATACCTTTGACTCACCTCCCATGCTCCGACACCTTTCAGGACGACCGGTAAGCCTGGGGCATTCTTCTTGATCATCTGGATGTCTTCCCAGGTCAGATTCGTGTCGTGTCGGCTGTGACGGGTGAGCGCTTGCGCTTCTCGTGAGCAGGGCACTGATTCACGGAGAGAGCTGGAATGGAGGACCACGAGTGAGCTTTGTGCCATGAGGCGCCTAGACACTCAGCCACACACGCGGGAGAAAACGACTCACAGGCTGCTTCTCGACTTGCGTATATCGTTCTCGTGTCCGCTTGCCAAGCTGGCGGATTCGTGAATGACTTGCCATTCTCGCAGTAAAAATCAACCCACCACAACGGTATCGACTGTGAGCCATATTGATTGCGCGCCAAGCTCATATGCCTTCCTCACCTCTGCTGCGGCCACTTCACTGTGTCCCGGTATTAGTTGCAAGCTATACCTCAAGGCTCGCCACGCACCGATCAGGTTTCATGTACATCTGCCAAGCGACCTGTTGACCCTTGCTCCGAGCTTTCATGACCTCCTCGAGAGACTTTGACGCTACATGTGATAAGACCTGCAGGATACCGCCCGCGGCGGCGCCTTTCGTGACTGCAACCTCGCCCTAGATTGTGTGTAAGATCGGTGAAACTCCGATGTTCAAAATACTCACCATAGGCTGCACTAGTCCATTCCGAGCTGTTGGTGAGACGTAAAGCGGTATGGACGACGATACGCCGAGGACTTTGGTAGAGGTATCGACATCGCTGACGTCGCGCATGACTCGCGGTCGAAAGAAGACTCGATCGTAGATCGCTGAATTCTCCTTCATTGCTGAAATGGCTCCGATTCAGCTTCGGCCTCGTCTCTGATGATTCCAGCTCACAGTTTTCCCCCTCCACTCCGGTCGAGTAGTAATCCCAAGCTGATGCCGGACATACAGGCCTTGCGTACTTTTCAAAGTCATCCAGGACGATAATCGAGTCGATTCCCAATAGCGAATCTCTAGCTTTCCGTATCCTATCTTCTTCATCACCGTTCATTGTCCGAAATTTGGCAATGGCATCTTCGTCCAATCTTCCCATCCTTTGCTCTTCTCTAAGATTCTGCTCCAATGTCCCGGCAGGATGTATACCCTTGAACAGCTTTGTCACGTCCTTCCCAGCGTGATCAATCAGAATTTGAGATCCCCCGGGATGTCTTTGAACGAAATCCGTCACGTCCCAGACCTCCCCGTCTATCGCGACCCAAAGATTATCGTGCCGGTTGTGTTGTCCCAATTCGAAAGCTGATATCGATCTCTGATCACCTCTCAGCCGAGATGGACCGGCAGACGGATCCTTGGATTCAGTAAGAACGGGCCACGGCCAGCGTATCACCTCATGCTCAGTGGCGTAGAGCAGCGCGGCCCCTCCTGCCATGCCAGCCAGAAGCAAACCAAAGTCTCGAGGACGGGTTCCATTAGTGGATCTGTGACCAAAGATGGACAGTGTCCGACTCCGGTAGACTTTGTTAGACAGCGTACGGCCGCAGCCTGCTACCCATCTCAGGCCCCTCGACGGACCAGCCGGCAATGCCATCTTAGAAATGAGTGTGTGCCAAACGTAGAGCAACTCAACAGTCAGCCAGATCACAACTTTTCGGGATTTCATCATTCCGTTGATCGGCTTTGGCAGATCTCCCGGGTCCGTCTCAGGAATGCTGCCATGGAGCGAGAGAAAAGTACAATTAATACATCAGTCATGGCGCGTGTCTATGCTATAGAGCATAGCTCTCGCCGTGGAATACAACACCTCCTGCGCGGACTCTATCGCTAATGCTCAATAGCGAGATGACATTTCTAGCTTCAGCCACCAGACTCTCCGGACCGCAAGCAATGACTGCCAGTCCGCCGGAGGACACTTCTGCGCCACCATCTTCGACGTCCTGTCTGCTCGGAATTGTCACATGCTTACGTATCAGGTCCGGGACATTGAGCCTTGTGTCGTGTATGATGGTATTGGCAGGTAAGGTATGGTCGGTGGAGACTGCCGAGCTGCCACGAGCATGGATCTCGAGCGAGAATTCGATGCCAAGCCGGCCAGCACGCTCGCTCAGGTATGAGAAGGTGGACGACAAGCCCTCTACAGAGGCTGACTTTGGCGTCAGTGCAAAATACACATGGCCGGCTTCAGCTCACCAAATGTTGCGACCGTCCAGACCGCTGTGACCTTTGTGGGACTAGCACATCGATGACATCGCAACACTTCTTCCATGGTTCCCAGCAGGAATGTCACCCCGCTCCCACCAGCAATTACAAGGACATGATTCGAGACTGCGAGGTCGATCTTCAATCCGCCATAAGGGCCATCAATCATGACTTTGACTCGTTTTCCGGATTCATCGTACTGCTGACCGGATTTCTTCTCCAAGGCCAGGAACAGATCTTGCTCAGATTGCAGATCGTCTAAGTCTGCAAAGCCAATTTGCCGCTCCACCGCAGACTCGTGCAGACGTCGAGTCCAGTCGCCGGCGATACTCGCGTAAAGTACGATGCCTCGCGGACTGCCCGATCCGGGCCACGCCGCCGCATTTGTAATGGTGAAAGGATGCGACTCGAAGATGCCAGGTCCTCGGAAAACACGTAAGAAGACGTGCTGAGTCGGCAACCAGCCATAATCGCAGTCGGGGATGTAGATCTGACCAACATCAGCCTCTACCAGCTGCTTGTATCTCACAAGTGTCTGAATAGAATCAATGGCACTGACCACTGCGTCTTTGATGCGGAAACGAATGCAGCGGACGGCCACGCTAGCCTGTCAGTCAGGCGATAGGACAGTGAGCTTACTCGTAGGTGTAGAGAGCGATGCAGGGGTAGATCCATGGACGAGCATACGGCGTGTGATAGGAGATAGCTGCGAAAAAACCAACGACGAGGAGTACGCTTTGAAGATATGAGCGAAGGTACCACAGCTCCCCCAGGAGACTCACTGGGCTATCCAGAAGAGCTGATAACACATTCTGCGGACGGGCTTCAAGCTCGTGATGACAATACCTCCCAATAATCCATACGATAGCAAACCTCGAACGGTCTTCGTGGCAGTCATCTGATCCCATTGCCCCGTGCTGATGAATTGATTGCACCACAACCCGCCGTGCACCGAGATACACAGAAACAGCACACGTCCCGCCCAACGATGAAGAAAGTTGTAGTTTTCGTAAGACAGGCTTGGGAGAAAGACAGGTAGAGGTAGGGGCGATTTCAGAGAAAGCAAAAAGATCACAGGCAGCGTCGCCACACCAATGAAGCCTTATGAGAGCGCATTTCAGCTTGGGCATGGCGTCAGTGCTTCCTCCAAACTCACCGGCTCGGTTGGAATTGTTCCTGAGTTGGGCACCCGTTGTGAAACAGGCGACAACAGTGCCAGCATAAGCGAGGACCAGCAGCATCTGTGCCACCGAAAGCGACGCATATAGGGTCCGGATGGGTCGTTCGGCGATGTGCCGTTTTTTAGACAACCGCGGTAGGGGGAAAGTCATGTAGGTGAATGACTGCCACAAAGCCCCTAGCGTCATGACCATCCGGGAGGTTGAAGGTCTGGCTAGTGATGGACGAGACGAGCTATCTGCTTCAGCAACTCCATGACCCGGTATCCTGTCCATTCGCTCGCAGACTAGGAGGCCTGAGTACAATCTGCCCGACCGCCACGATCTAAGTATGAAGGGGATGGATGCAATGGTGGTGAATGCCAGGACCGATGTCCAGATGATTGTGAATTTGATCTGCCATTGCGGATCGATCAAGTAAGAGCTGAGCGGTTGTCAACACCCAACACCAGATGATCGAGGCTCTTGTACCTACTCGTAAATCTGAAACTGAGTAGGTATTTGAGGTATGAACCTCCCTACCGGAGGATAGTGGACCGTTGGAGTGCCCAGCATCTTGAGAGGCTTCACGTCCGGTCCTCGACTGATTGACTCATCCATGCGCGTATCTTGCGCTCAATGTCAATACTCTCGACGCCATCCTGGAAACCCTCTCCCCGGCTGGACATCCTCCTCGTCGTCGATACTCAGGAGGCGTCGAATTGCCAACATGATGAAAACGTATTACGCAATCAACTATTTAAGCGCCCGAAATGCCGCAAGACTTGAGGCCTATAAAGTTAAGTTGATGAGCAGCTATATATGGACAGCCAGCCTGAGCGGTAATCGTTACCCAACAAGGAAGCTTCAGATTGGTCTGAGCGACCGGGGGAGGGGATTGACATGGTCGTCGATCATCATCATCCAGTGGCGGACGCCATCGTCTCCCTCACAGGCGTCCTCTACTTCTCTGCATGGTCCCTCTCCTTTTACCCTCAAGTCATCCTGAATTACCGGCGAAAGCAGACTAGCGGACTGTCTCCGGATTTCGCCTACATCAATCCCCTAGGGCATCTCGCTCTCACCGTCTGGTCATGGGGAATGTACTTCAATCCTGTTGCACGACATCAATACCGGGACAGACATGGCGGCCATGCTCCGCAGGTCTCAAAGTCGGATCTCGCCTTTTCACTGCACGCATCTATCCTGTCAGCCATTACTCTCGTTCAAGTCTGGTACTATGGATACAAAAATCGACCACGTAGAAGGTCCAAATCGAACGCGAGCTCTGCGACGGCAGAATCAGAGCCATTACTGGGTCGTACAATCAGCAAGGATGTCTTCCTGCCTGCGGATCCTGTCATCCCCTCAAAAGTTGTCCAATTGGGGATCTACCTCATCCTCATCGCTTGTTTCGTAACGGCAATCATGGTCTGGGCAGGAAGACTGCAGCTGTTAGACTGGCTTTACTTTGTCTCCAGTATGAAACTTGTCATAAGTCTCGTCAAATACATTCCTCAGGTCATTCTAAATTGGCAACTAAGGAGCGTAGAAGGGTTCGCCATTGGGACGATCATTACGGTGAGCCTTGATCTCCAACGCAAACTGACATCGCAGGACTTCATGGGCTCTGTGCTATCGTTCATCCAACTTGTTGTTTCCTCTATCTATATCGAGCACGATCCAACTGGGATCATTGCCAATCCTGTCAAGCTTGGATTATCCATCATCTCTCTTGTATTTGATATCATCTTCCTAGTTCAAAACTACTGGCTTTTCGCTGGTCGGCGCATAGAACAAGCGAATGAACAGGAGGAGAGTGATTGACGAGTTGTGCAATGAATCGCGGATGCATGGTGAAAATCGTATCTTGTTCTCGTTTTATGGTACAACGAATCCAGTCTCAGTCTTTCTCGAAATGTTTTATACACAATTGGCCCTCGCCACTCCTTCGTTCACCGTCTACTCCAGACTGTTCTCGACGTCCGCCGCATCATCGCCTTCCATTGCCGCAAAGTTGAGGAAAGCGTTGGGACGATGCACAGCGCTCCAGAAGGCCTCGGGCTTGTCAAGGGTCATGTTGTATGCCACCTTTTCGGTCCAGCTCTGAGTGAGGCCAATACCGTAGTTCCACACTCCACCTTCAGGGACCAGGGTCATACCCAAGATCCTGTCGGATAGCAGCAATTGAACTCTATTGGCCATAGAGGGGTTGAAACCGGCGTGCGCACCGGTGACGTCTTGATTCTTGCGACCCCACTCGAATCCGGCGACAGTAATCTCCCAAGCATTGAGCGAGACTGACCCAGGAGTAAAGGCACAGGTGATACAAATGGAGTTTGGACCCCACTCTGGATGCGCAGCCATGATCTTGGCTTGAGTCGTGACGTCGGCCGGCGCAAGATGGTTCAATTCCTGAGTTTGTGTTTTGATCCATCCCAAAGGCTCCATGTCCTTAAGCAAAAAGTCGTGCTTGGGGAGAGCGACGGGAAGATCCACCGAGTTGTTTGTACCTCGCTGGGGAACCCATGCCAACGCCTTGATCTCCTTGACCTGCGGGTTGTCGGGAGGCGAAGATCCGTACAGGTAGGCGACGACCTGCGTTCGAAGATCCGCGCTAACGATAAAGGTCTTCAGAATGTTCTTGGGGACGACGTAGGTGTAGCTCGCAGCATCGTCCTTGACATCATCGTTTCCGACGAAGAGGTGGTTGATTCGAAGTGGCAAATTCGTGGCACTAATAGCGCGGACTCGCCAGTCGGATTTACTGGCAAAGGTCTGCTGCTCGTATTGGGTGGTAGTCACCACATTGATCTCGTCTCCGTGGATGTTGGTAGTCTTTGTTTGCAATGCAGTAACTTGCGATGCGGCTTCGTTGGCCTTCTCGAGCTGGAATTCACTTGTGTCAGCGATGTTTAAGATCGGGAAGCTGGTCTCCGCATGGACTCACTTCTGCTGCTTGCTGTCTTTGAACGCTTGGAGCACTGATCTCCATTCCAAGAATGATGTCTACAGACCCATCAGCAAGAGCTAGACGAAAGCCTGGAGGCAGTTCTCACCTCGAATTTCACTCGCGGTCAAAGACGCGACGTTGACACTGTTTCGTTTCCCAAAGTCCGCCAAAATGAGATCTTTCAAGGCAACTTCCACTGCCATCCATTGAGAGTCTTCCAAGGTCGGCCAAATGTCTGTAGGACTGTCAGCGGGCATGCACACGAATAATCGCAGGGTCAAAGGCATGAAATGGGAAAGAGCAGTGGCGCAGAGGCTAAGGCAAAGCAGAACCAATTTTTGGGCAGTGCCGGAGCCCGCACTAGCGTAGGTCTTGGATGCTGTGAAGCATCCCGGGACCCGTTGATGCACGGCAGCTACACGCCCTGCTCACGGATGCTTGTAGGAGGGGGCAATTCAAGACAGGGTACAGAGACCGAGAACTCACGATACGACTCCGTAATTGTATTCCGATCGGGTCGAAGAATGATCTTCGCCTTCTCCGAATTAACATGTAGAGCTCGAAGTAGCAGGATGAGTCGGGAGAAGGCCGTGTAGCTTGAGATGCTCTGAAGCCAATCATCATAGAGCGAGAACAACACAAGTTGTGGCTGCGTGGCCCGCAGGATGAGATCACCGAACTTTTCGATCTTGAGAGCCGCTTGGAAGGGCATCTGCAACTCTGAACCTTTGATGACGATATTTGGGAAATCCAACAAGTGTACCTCCAAGGGATCGAGCATACCCTTTCGCGTGACGATGACTTGCTTCGGCTGCTCTTCTACAGGGAGAGATCGGATAAGAGCGGCGACCTCTTCGGCAGTCTTCCACTTGGCAAGCTGTCCGAGACGCTTCTGACCTGCCCAGACGGAGGTGTGAATGATCTTCAAGAACAACTGTCCTGTTCGAGGGTTGAAGATGAAGATGGCACCATTGATAGGCTTCGTGGTCAGGTTACCCTCCATAGTCTTATGGATCGTCACTCGATAGACCTGCGAGTCGTCGACGAAGAAGATGACCTGGTTCGAGAAAAGTTCCGAGTAGTTGCTCGAATTGAGGTATGGCTCAGTCGGCTCGGAAGAGTACAGCTGGAGACCTTTTCGAATTCGTTCTCGAAGGACATACAGAGCTGGGTTGGCCTTCATGATCTTGGCCATCGCCTGCTGCAAAAGTGGCTTGAATCCAGGAGCCCAGACACCATACCCAGAGTACAAGTTATACGCGAGATCGATGGCGATCAAGACACCTGTGGGCGAGGGGTAAATCGATTGACTGTCTGAGCTGTAATCGAGGTACTTGGCTCGAGCGTATCGCTCAATGTCGTGCGAGTCAAAGTCTCCCCATCGAAGCTGAATGTCGAGCCAGTACTTGTTGCTAGTACCCTCGAGCACATCCTTATTGTCGGTAATGAGCGATGGTCGACTGGTTTGCCATTTGTAGGAAGAGAACAAGAGAATGTCTGAGGAACTGCTGTTCATCTTGTAACTCTTTCGAGGGTGAATGGTTTCCTTTTGCACTGTTTCAATCGCCAGGGACTCCAACTCCTGGTCGAAGATCTGACACAAATCCATGACAACACTCTCGTGAATCTTCTGCCACAAATGGGCACGGAAGATCTGAATGAGGGAGATCTTGAGCGTGGGGATCTTGCCGTGCATGAAGCAACCAGTCAAATCCAGCTGGACTTGGAAACCGACATAGACTGAAAGAAAACGTCAGCTGAAAGTGATACATCCACTGCACGGTCTCAATCATACCGTTGGCACGATTGATGGTCGGACTCCACCACATGGTGAATCTTCGGTTAGGGATCTGAGACAGACCGGATCGTTGGGCTGTGATCGAAGTCAGGTCATGGAACAATGTGGCACTGCCTACCGTTTGTCAATTTCTTGTATTTCATGGACTCCTCGAAGCCAGAGGATTTCTAAGTTTCATTAGCGTTGCCTCTGAGCGCTACGGCGCCACGCACTTCCCAGAAAAGGCCCTCCCAACTCGGGAATGCTGTAGCCGCGAACAAGCTGTGTTCAAGAATTCCTTCGACTCCACCAAGAGCAGCGATAACATCGACTCGGTACGAATTCAAATTCCAAAGTTTGCCATCGTGCCTGTTGTTGGTCCACATGAATGGCATAGCCCTGAGCCGATGGAACTGTTGGAAGTACTGTCGGACCTGCAATGGGGGGTCAGAGAGGGTTCATAGTCACCATCTTCGACTCAGAGAGGCTCGAAGACACAGTTTCCGACTTACACGCCATCCCTTGTCATAAGCTAGAGTGTGTCGATCCTTCTGGAACAGAGTGTTGATTCTGGGAATACCTCTGTCCCATGAATCTTCCAGATCTTCCAAGGTTAGTCGCCTGTTGGATGCGGTGGCTTCTTTACGCTTCATGGCATATTCGGACCAGACACGGGCCGAATCCAAAAATTCTGCTTCCCACGGAACCAAATATCGGTAAAGGTTCGGGATAAGTTGATCCTCCTCATGGGTCATACCAGATCGGAAATGGGTGATGCCACCGCTGTCTGTCTGCTTGGACCACCTGAGATCGGACTGAGGGATGAGGACGAAGCCCATAGACAGCATTCCGAGACCTCCCAACTCCTTTGGCGAATAAAACACGCACGGAGGGAAACGCGAGGGCATTTTTGAATTGAGACCGATCTTGACTCGGGTTTGCACCTTGTTCTCAGCCTTGACCAGGGCGTCGAGCAACTCGGGAGTGGAGATGACTGCTTCTCGGTAGTACGTCATGAGACCAATGAGGGTGGTGTTCCACTGTGACAGAGTCAGCAAATTGCTCAAAATAATTAAATGATCGGTTTTGAAGACGTCTTTAGTCTCCCACGGGCTCCAGAAGGTGCCCTGGGACCCAGATATCGAGGAGAGCAGTCGCAGCGACCTACTTTATTGATGATCTTGGCATACGTAGCGGAGCCCGATGACATCAGGACCTGCCTGATACGGTTGTTGAAGTCCTGAATACCCTCCTCGCTGACTCGGAGGAAGGCCTGGGCATTTCGGCTCTTAGTCGATTCTTGAACCAAGTTCCAAACGCCGTCCTTGAGCGAATAAGCCTCTCCGTTCTGCGTCCGGACACGGGGCAGGATGCGGACCTCGAAGCCGCACATGGAGAAGAGGAGTTGCGGATTGTCCTTGGAATACACAGAGACGAATGACTCGTCCCATTCGATGGTCGTGAGGGAACGAGGAAGCGAATTTTTGACATTCCAGAACACAGCTCTCCCCAGGTTGACATCGTGCTTGACCAAGCGCATCCTGCAGTCTCGAGGCCAGCATCGTCGAGTGTTGTAGCCTAAAGTTCGGCATCGTCAGTTATACAGCATTGTTGAAGGAAGGTAAGTGGGGCGAAGTTGGGGGGGGGATGCGGTCAAAATGTTAGCACTTACCAATGACGTTCTCATTATTAGGGTCAGGCTGCACCGACAAGTATCGTTGAATGAGATCTCTTGCTTCGTCGGCGGTAAATCTGAAAAGGATGTGCAATTTATCGACATAACGCGAATAGAATCTGATTGGGTGACGAGTCTCAGTTGCTTGGTCTCGGTATTGTAAGAAACCGTTGGGCATCGCTGCCGGTCCGGCGATCTCGGAGGCTCGCTGAAGACCAAGGATGAGGAGATCGAGAACCAATCCATAGTACTGGAAGACGAAACTTGAGAATTGGAGACCTCGTATCATACCCTGCGGAAAGGATCAGTAGAGCGCAAAACATATAGCTCGAACTTACATAGACGTTGATGTGAGACATGTCCTTGAAAGTCAACGCCGTGTTGTTCTTAGATGTCATGTAGTCACTCAAATTGGCGTCACAGACCAGACGAAGGAGACGGTTGAGCAGAGTCAGGTCAATTTTCTCGTAGACACGCGAGAGGGTAGTCTCCATCATGACAACGCATTCCCCGTTTTCAGTATCCCAAATGTCCGTGAGATTCGAGGTGGCCTGACACCATTTGTAGACCAGGAGAGGAGGGGGTTCATTATCGCTCGGCTTGATCCAGTTGGGGAAGAGGTGTCTTTTATCCGCTTCGTAGTGAAGCTGTTGGGAGAAAATCAGCGATCGACTGTTTGAGGGCAAGACTACTCACGTATTGATCCAGATACGCGTCGGTGATCTTCTCGACTGGCTCGATGTCGTAGCAAGGAGTAATCTTAGAGTAGGTGTCAAAGAACTCGATACCAGCCTCCTTGAATGCTCTCTGGGTCAACAACAATCGCTTGATACGCGAGAGACATTCGTGAGGGTTATCATAAGCTTGTTCGACAAGCGCCAGTTCTTCTCGTTGAGACTGATTGAGTCGTCCTTGAACAGAATACGCCTCCTTCAGCTTCTCAAGAGCGAGGACCAGCAACTTGGTGTCATGCCTGCCGTTGATCAGTGAAGCTCGAGAGCGAAAAAAAAAACTCACTTGTAGGAGAGGGGTGGGAACGGGATTGGGGCAAATTTACGCGACTCGAGCCAATGAACAGTCGAGGTGTAAATAGCCACAGCGGTTTCAGAGGAGACATACGGACCATCCTTGAGGTATCCGTTTTGTCGCTCTTGTTCGGCCTTGCTCCACAGTCGAGTGAGTCGACCAAGGTTCTTACGGACGACAGCCTTGTCAACCGTTGCTCCTCGCCTGATACGCTCCCGATTGTAGTGAGCGACGGAGGTATAGAAGTCGGACTTGGATTTGACGTAACGAAGGATGATGTTCTCAATGGCGGCCGGCATTCCAGGGACCTTCCAGGGAATGTTCGCTTTCCAACATCGCCATGCCTCGGATAGATGCTGAACGGCAGCGTAAGCATATCTTCTTGAATCAGATAACACGAGACGGATGAGGGTGGCACAAGAGCTGCCACTCGGAGTCGGAGAAGATCATGGCGGCATTGCCACATCCCTCCGAGTTCTGCCTCCCTCAACGCCCTACGGCAAGCCAGGGATATATGAAGAGCCCACTCACTTGCAAGATTGTTTTCGCCTTATTTCCTCGCAAATTCTCAGGCATCATACTGTAAGAATATTAGCGATCCACCACGAAGGTGCAGATACGGCAGGACGGGAGGATAGGGAAGGGAGTAGAAAAAGATAGACTTGGCATCCACTCACTCTAAGATGTCGTGCATGACTTGCGCACGCAATTCCAAGTCGTAATGACTTTCAACACGCTGCTTGGTGACCGTGCTGGCGGTTCCCTTGGAGTTTCGTCCTTCAAATTGTCTAGCCAGCAAGTTCCCAAGCCATCTTTCCAGGAGAGGCACGATACCACGCATGAAGAATAGCCAGACTCGCCATCCTGGTGCCCAGAATCCGACACCTGCTCCCTTGCCCACTGGACCCGTGTTGAAGCGGGAATAGATGAGATGCTTCAAGTCTTTGCACATTCGAATTTGCTTCATGAGCTTGTACTTGTATCTAGACGCAGATCAGCCTCATGTCGTATCGGTCGAACTTGACATACCTGTACATTCCCGTGAGCTGTCCGATGTGCGCGAACATGTATTGAAGACCATCAGCGAGCTGGAAGGCGTCGATGTTGCCCAACCGGAACTGAACATGGGCGTCCACGATCAACTTGGTGAGTCGGAGGATCTCTCTGCAAAGATGGAACGCGTTTCCAAACCTGGACTTCTTCCTCTCTTTGGTGGTAAGCGTTTTGATTGGTTTCAGGTTGAGATTGTAGTCCAGATGAAGATAATTGAGATTCTTTCGGTGTATCAGAAGGTTGAGCATATTGTAGCCCTGTCGACAGAGCTGCAAGCCGACTTCGACCCAGTCCAGTGTTGTCGACTGGAAGAACTTGGTGTTTTTGAGAGAACGGAACAGATTTCTTTTCGCCATGGCTTTCGGCTTTCGTTTGTGAAGTTCGTTCAAGACGTAAATCTTGAGAAGCTTCTGGTACGACACTCGAATCTTCACGGCTTGGTCTGGCGGGCAATGCTCCAAATAGTAATTCTTCACCAATGGAACATCCTGAGCTCGTCTCATCCTCCCACTGCGTCTGTTATAAGGGTAACCTGCCCAGTATAAAGCGATGGCATCCGCGGTGTTTTCGTTTTCCAACCCTCGCGACTTCATAAAAGGCTCAATCTCATCGGGGAGCTCGAAGGCATCGTCATCATCCTCATCCTTGCCGTGACCAAATACCTCATCCTCGTGTGAGACCAAAGAGGTATGGGCCTCCTGCACGACACGTTGAGAGATTGGGTTGATCAATGGGTCGAAGTAGAACGCCGGGAGATCGGGATCGTCCGTTTTGATGTAGACATTCTTTGGCTCATGGTATGCTCCGATGTGCACGGATCTGGGCAGCGAGTTGTACAAGTGCGGGAATGCAACTTTGTATTCTGACCTGATCATTCCTCGAATAATGACCTTATTGATGTCGTTGAATTCGTTCCAATCCTCATCGAAGGCTTCCGCATCCCTGTAAAGCGGCTCAAATTTGGGACCTCCGGGCAGAGCAATGTTCAACGCTTTGGCTGTGAAGAAGCTTTTCTTGTCAAAAAGGTATGAGGCATTGTTGTCCGAGTAATCTGACAGCAATTGTCGACCGATACGGTACAGGTTGGACATTTGTGGCAGTGTCAACTGGAAGAATCGGTAGCTGGATCCATTGACCTGTGGCGTGTCTACCAAAGGTTTTGGGTCGTAGAACCAGTCAATGATGGCAGCGTCATCCTCCTCGTCGAGCTCCAATTGAATGGCCTCAAGGGGTTCCACGTCCAACACATTGTCTCCATAGTCCATAGGTGGTTCTTCGTCGTCAAATGGCGGGAACCTCATTCGCTTGAAATGTCGCCTATCACGCTTCTCCCTTCGCATAGCTAGCCACATTGACGCCCATTGAGCATGATAAACGGGCTCGATGACCTTTGGTACTTCGTTCACAAAGGTAATGGCTCCAGAGATATGATACAGGACAGGAACTTCTCTGACCTGTTCCCAAGGGTATGGAATGTTCTCCAGCAGCTTCATCACTGCATGGGGCACGTATTTCAGTGCTCCAAGGTGAACACGTTTGTCGTTCCTAAACTTTCGGTTCGACATGTCTCCATGATCCTTGATGATCTTTCGAATATGCTCAGGAGGCAATTCCTGATGAGATCGTGATCGATCAGCAAAACACGCCACAACTGTGCTTCACGTCAAATGCCACTCACTGCCTTGCCAAAGTCTACTCCGCCTCCTCCACCCCGCCTTCTCTTCTCGTTGAATCTCTTCTTCTGAGTCGTTCTCCATTTCCTCGCCTTCTTCTCGATCTCAGCAGGGGCTAGCTGACCGAAAAAATTTCCGTCCATCCTAGCATCGTCTCCACCACTTCCTCCGTTAGGAAGACTTTGACCTGATGGGCCTGCACTCGGCCCCGAAAATCCAGGTGGTGCACCTCCAAATCCTGGAGGATACGACATCCTGAGAGTGTCTCTAGTGAGCCTTTTTGACACTAAAAGAGACTCGAAGCAGTGGCGATGGCGAAGACGAGGACCGTGATGGCCACCGGCGATATACCACCAAATTCTTCAGTGTGGCACTTGCCGAAAAAGGTCGGGCTCTGAACTAAGCACGTGACATGTCGGTTCAGTCCGATATGTGAGTTACGTAAGATTCGGCTCGAACTCCGATCTTCGTTCGTGACTGACATTCAGCATCGTTGCATTTGGTTGATCCAACGGCACCATGCCAAAATTGCCGGTATACGGCCAGAGGCCATGTGTCCTGCTCACTGTATGTCACAGTCTCATACAATAAAGCAGCCTTAATGTCGCTCATAGCTCATTGTTGCCCTAGAATGATGATGGTCCACCGTGTACTTCTTCGCCCAACATCTATGGATTCTGTAGACTGCTGCAGGAGCGCCTGGGCTGGGATGTGAGAGTGGTCATTCCAGATTGCCAGAAGTCATGGTAGGCTGCCTATCGTCTGTCCCTCGATGCTGGGCTAAGCGGCTGCAGGGTCGGCAAGGCGTATGCCATCAGCGAGATCATTTCAGTATCTTACTTCTACCCCTTAGGTAGAGTTTCCAAAGCTTGCCGTATCGCTGAGCCATGGTACAGCACCCGATGGACTGAATGGTGAGATCTGTACCCAGTCTCGGCCCCTGAGAGACGGTGAGAGTATGGAGTGGGTTCTACTTTCAGGGGTGAGCAGAGAGTTGCTACAAATCTCATTGATGATTCATTTGCAGACCCCTGCAACATGCGCGAATATCGCATTGCATAATCTTTACCCAGGGGAGATAGATTTGGTGATTTCGGGCCCTAACCGTCAGTTGCAACACAGTTCTGACTGCAAGTAGCCATTGACTGTGCGCAGACGGTCGCAATTGCTCGACAGCTTTCGCCCTGTCCTCCGGTACCCTTGGTGCAGCTCTAGCCGCTGCACTGTCTATACCCATCCCTGGTCCCTCTACTTCTTCAATATCACTGCACGAGCACCACATTCCTGCGATTGCCTTGTCCTACGGCGTTGTCGAGCGGCCCGTACCTGATATCACTACTCGGCTCGCTCACGAAGTTTCCCTCGAGGTCATTGAACGCTTGTGGGAGAATTGGGGACACGAAGATCAAGGCGAGAAGTTGGTTCAAGTGTACAGTATCAATGTACCACTTGTCGAGTCGCAACTGCAAAAAGACAAGCGCAGAATATGTTGGACGAGCATGCGCCGGAATGCGTACGGCCAGCTCTTCAAGTCGACACAGCTGTGAGTCGTGGCAGAGGTAGTGGGGTTCCAGAAGAGCATGTCTGAAACCTTGCAGAGAACCCTCTCTCAACTGGTGGAAGCAAAAGAAGCTTTCGGATGGCTCTGCGGCATCCACCACATCGTCGGCTGGTCCTGGAGCTTTACCGTCAGATCCTGCGACCCCAGTCGATACAGGTCAGACTCCTGAGCAGACAAAATTCCACTTTGCCCCAGCCATGGCGCCTCTTTTAACGCCCTCGCGTGACAATCTTCCATTCGGAACAGATGCTTGGGCGTTTGCAGAAGGTTTCATCGGTGTGACTCCATTACGGGCAGAATTTGCAGGATTGACAGATGTGTCCAGTATTGGTGGCCCAGATTCTTACGCCGGAAAGGAGTGGTCGGCATAGGGTCATTATTACATGCATCATAGGGTGACAGAGTGGGTCGTTAGAATGCTTTTTTGTGTATGATATCGGGATCCTCCTTGTATTCGTCGGCACTGACCCACATCTGCGAGGCGTTAGCTTGAGATGGGCTATAGTGGCGAACCTTTTTGAAGGTGCTCAGTCCAGCGAGGATGGACCCTCCTATCCAAGTAGAGTACTGTTTCCAGTTAGTCTCAGTAGATTGGATCGCGCTCACCTTTCGCTCGGGCGGGGCGTAGATCTTCAGCTTGACATCTTTTAATGCCAGCTTTTTCACTTCGCTCAGTAGACGATCGCCGAAGCCTGGCGCGCAATGAATTTCACCTCGCAGTGTTCGCTCACCTGTACAGAGCGTTGAGCCACCGGACATCACAATGTTGCTAAATAGGCTCTTGCGTAAATCCATATCAGTCCGGTTGATGGAATCCACGATGACCTGGTGCACTCCCGGATACTCCTGCCCTATCAGTTCTGGGTTGAAGAGAATTTCCGGTGCTAAGAATCGTTCTGTACCGAGCTGGAACGAGTCAGCATTATCCATGTCTTCCCAGGACCCACCTGTATGACCTTCCCGTCCGGCAGTCTGAACTCCTCCCACGCGCCACTGTGATCTTTTTCCTCTTTCGCCGGGTTGAGTGCCAGATAACAAGTCTTCTCCTTGATCGTCCGCACGACCTCTTTCTCGGCTGAAGTCTGGAGATAGTAGCCCGCTTTTCGTAATAACAACTGGAGGTGATCAGTCACGTCTCTGGGATAAGTTGACGTTAGTTGGTATCCAACGCGAACAAGAGTTCTTTGACGTACCTCCCAGCAAGATCGATTCTCTGTATGGCATGTGGCATGGAGAAGCCTTCAAAGACAGGCACCGCATGTGTCACTCCGTCTCCAGAGTCGAGCACGATTCCCGTAGTCCTCCCAGATGAGTACCTTGACAATGTATCAGTTTTATTGATTTGACGACTGCCGGACCTACAGACTGAGTACGGCCTGGACACTGGTGAAGAAAGCAGGTACGTTGAACGTTTCGAAGAATATCTGAGCGGCGACATCACGGTTCTGTCTCGGGTTGAGAGGAGCCTCAGTCAAGAGTACAGGATGCTGAGAGTAGGGTGAGTTCCGGTGCATCCGCCATACTCAACATACCTCCTCGCTCAAAGCCTTCAGACCCTCCGCGTAGACCCAGCCCCATATTCTCTCCATATCGTCCCAGTCCGTAACCACGCCGTGCTCCATTGGGTACATGATCTTCAACAAACCCCTCAAATCCTGTGCCTTCTTTCCAATGAACAGATTATCCTCTATTGCTCCCGCCATCACTCGAAGGTGCTTGGGTCGTCCGACACTGAGGGACGGCATAAGCTGCCATTTGACCTAGCCGACTCACAATGACGGAATGTAGCATGATGGCTGCTCCTGACCCGCGAAGCCCGCTTTGATCGTTCCGGATCCCTATTGGTATGAGCGAGTGAACCAATTAACCCTGCACTGAAGCTCACATTGTCAATAACGACTGGCTGATTTGTCAATCTGAGCGTCCTGTCAGCGCTGACCTCAGGCATCAACTTCAGACAGACATACACATCATCAAACTCTGTCGCCATGATGGGCACCTGGCCCTCCAGTCTCGAGTTCGAAAGTCAAATACAAATGGGACATGAGCTCCTGGACGGGATCGAGTGCTTCGCGACGCGGCGCGGAATCAAAAACTGTCGAAGCGGCAACATGCATCATCATCTCGACCTGACCGAAGTTGTCATGCGAGTCGGTCACGGTCGATCTAGTCAGGCGCGTCCCACTCACCGCGCATAGTCAGCGCATCCCAAAATTTAGTATGAGCCACCAGGCTCTCGGTATGCCTTACCATACCTACCAATCTTGTCTTTGTACATCACATGAACATATGCACAGATAACTGGATCGAATTTGTACATACTTGACCTTATCGCCCAGAGCGAAGGCAATTCGCCTTGACAGTAGAGCAACTGACCGAGCTGTCAGGAGATAACAGGCAAGATCGTGATCCCGTTAAGAACCTCGCGATGATCGTGTCGACCTGCTCAATAGCGAGGACGCTTGAAATCACGGTCGTAATCACCTCCTCCTCCTCCACCACCACCACCACCACCTCCTCCTCCAATTCCCGGTCGACCACCAGCAGATTGACCTTGGAATCCTTGGTAGCCACCTTGAGGAGGTCCACCACCTCCATAGCCCCCTCCAGGCGGTCCAGAGAACCCATTGCCTTGTTGTGGTCCACCGTAAGAGTTCTGCCCTCCAGGTGGTCCACTGAGCTCTATCAGCGACGGTAGATATTCAAGCTCGGAGGATGGCGCGCTCACTCAAAACGTCCCCCGCCCCCATTGTAGCCTCCGCGATCACCGCCGAAGCCTCCGCGATCACCACTGAAACCTCCTCGACCTCCAAAACCACCGCGATCACCACCAAAGCCTCCTCTTCCGCCTCCAAATCCTCCGCGATCGCCACCTCCTCTAAACGAGCCCCCTCGACCTCCAAACGATCCTCCTCTGCCACCTCCTCCACGGAAGCCCCCTCCATGACCTGACAAGGCTCCGCCTCTGAAACCTCCGAAAACTTTGCGTCCGAACCCTGTCTGAGTGTTGGCCGCCGGCTCGACTGGCTTCGGTCTGCCACCTAGACCTCCATCGAGCTTTCTTGGCTTCCAGCCTTTAACTGTACGACCACGCTCAACGTCTACCAGTATCCGCTTGTGATGGATCGGAATACCCTCTGCATCTTTGTACGCAGCTGCAAATATCTCAGCGTTGCCTCGAGGGATTGCTCACCCTTCATATCTCGTTCCCGTTCAAAGACAATGAAAGCATAGTTGCGGCTCTTCTTCTTGCGATCTCGAACTATGCGGATTCTTTCAATCGCGCCGTATATCTCGAATTCCTTCTGCAGATCCTCCTCAGTCGCTTTCCGAGACTAGTCAATGTCAGCAAGGCCATTTGATGAGCAAAGGGCCGCATTCACCAGTCGAGCTATGAATAGCGTTTTGTAAGGATCTCCGTTGATATTCGAATCCTCCTGAGGATTATCTGGCCCCTAGTGTCAGCCGTCTCGTACAAGCTCACACACCGTACTTACAGCTCTTCTCCAGATCCTTTTTGTACTGCTCTTTCCGCTTCGCCCGCAGCTCTCGCCTCATTTTCACAGCCTCCTGCCCAACTATACCGGCTTCCGCTATCTTGTCCTTCTTCTTTTTGGGCTGTACTTTCCCCTTGGCCTTGCCTTTGCCTTTGCCGTCCATTTCCTCAGCGCCATGCACACCGTTCTCTGCTCCATCGACTTCCATTCCATCAGCGTCGGGCTCCGTTTTGTCATTTCTCCTCCGTTTCCTCGAGCTTTCCTCTTCCGAATTCAACGCCGTCCTTTCTGATTTGGTCTCCGGACGATCTTTAAATCCTTCTTGGTATTCTGCCTCCTCGGCTTCATCTCTCAACTTTTTGACGAGTGTTGCACAGCCCGTGAGCGGCTTCTTTCTACGAGCAGAGTCGCTCCTGGTCAATGGTTTGAGGTAAGGAGGTGGTGGCCGAGGAGCGAACAGTCGGAGGAGATTGGGCGGAAGGAGCGCTGTCATGATGTATGGATCTCAGTCGACAGAATGATCTGTCGAGCGGTCCTGACAGGCTTGTCGTTGTCCTCGTTCGACGTGGAGGTTGGGCTGTACGTCGAAGCGTGCAATGCTTGAACTTCCAAGCCAGACCGACCACTGCCAACCGAGTCTATCGCCGCGGAAAATTCCTCGCCCGAGGCCAATGTGGCACTCGTGCATGAGGCACTTTTCGCGGTCTCGATTGAGCATTCCACCAGGTCATGTCGAGTCATCGTACCACCATTTGGAGGCTCAGCAATGACCATCAACATCTGGATATTGCTCATTGCGGGTAACTCTCTGATTTGGCCGCGGTCTGCGTTGTAAACATCATATATTGACACACCGTATTTACTTTCACACTCACTCGTCAGCTGACCTCGGGAGGCTGTCACTGAGCGACCCGCGGAGAATGCAAGTATAAACAACGATACCCGAGCCTGCAGACGCAGAGCACAAAGGTCAACCTTGTTGTGGAAGTGGAAGCGCCAGCTGTTTGTAGATGCTCGTGACACATCACTTGATATGGTTCCCATTGCACATACTAAGGGACCTCCTGCGCCGCCAATGGCAGTCTCGCAGAGGAAGCCATATCGGCAGTCAGAACCTGCCAATATACTTAGCTTGAAACAAATCATTAACATGCCTCTCAAATGACAACAAGCCAAGTACAAGCGGGATACTGACAGAGACGGGACCTCTCTCGAAAGACTACTTAATGCTCACTCGCTCTTCTCTCTCTTCCCACCAGCTCTTCCGCTTGTTCACTGCTGTGCCACCCACCTTGTTCACCTACATTCTGACATTGATTGTCTTTTTTTTTTTGGTGTTGTCTCTTATCTCTCGACTTCATAACTCTTTCTCCCCGATGCGATCTTCCTTCTGTCTTGCTCTGCTAGTCAGCGCTTCTATCGTCCTGGCTGCGCCGGTCCCCGACAACTCTGGAAACGCCTACACGGGCGTCGGAGGGCAAGCCTCTGGCGGAGACGTCTTCGCGCCCCAGTCGTGAGTTCTGCTCTGTGACAATTCTGTATCTGACTCTCCTTGGTAGCGGGTTATTGAATCTTGACGCCCTCAACTTCGGTTCCGGAAACGCAGGGGATGGAGGCAGTGCCAATTCTGGTAACGCGTTTGGAGGTAATTCTTGCGGGACCGGCAGTGCAAACAACAACGGCAACGCCTACACTGGTTCGTTACGAGCTTATGTTCGCCATTGACTGACTCTTCCCCAGGCAATGGTGGCACTGCCAACGGAGGCTCCGTCTTCGCGCCCCAATCCGGTCTGCTGAATCTGAAAGCTCTCAACTTTGGATTCGGAAATGCTGGCAATGGCGGAAGCGCCAACTCTGGCTCAGCTGTCGGGGGCTCATCAGGCTGCTAGACTGCATTTCACCATCGCGTCGACGGCGCCGTTTTGTTGGACATTTTCATCTACAATCTCGTTCACTTCAGACTTGGATGCTTTGATGCATGCACTATTTGGTTTCACATGGAACACGACTAGTCGTCAACTATGAATATAAACAACAACAAGGTATGGTACAGCAAATGCTGACGGTAGTTTGTAAAGCAGTACAACGATGCTTTGATGCTTGGTGAATGACATCGCGGGTAGCAAAATCGAAGAACAAGAAGAAGTCTTCACTCCAAATGTTCGAAGTGCGTGTGGTTTTTTGGGTGTGGTGCGACCGTGCGCCGAAATGTCCTATGGGCTGTAGGAAGGCGGGACTCGAGAATGATGCCTATTCCTCAACCAATCCGCAGCGTCGTTTTTGTGAAGACCCGCGGGGATCCAGTCACCGAGGTATTTGACGTTTGGGACGTGGTATGGGTCCGACCAGTTGCTGCTGGACTTTTCCCGTGGCATACGGATCAAATCTTTAAGCCTGTCGGGGAGCTCGAAGTTCTCGAGTTCGGCCTTGGAGGCTTTGGGTCCTTTGTCTTGGATCTTGTTCAAGACTATGGAGTTCTATCAGGACAACGTTCAAACGCGTAAGGTCAGACTTACCAAGTTCCGGGGTACGCGATACATTTTTCGAGTCATTTTTCAAAGTCTGGGTGTGGGACGAAATAGATTTGCGGTCGTAATGTTGACCAGTGGCAAGGGATACGATGATTCCAATGACTTGGTTTCGGCCTAGATGATTACCGAAAATCTTGAACTTGGCTCGCTCGCCAGCAAGAGGCAGCATCAATTGGGCTGAGTGGCAAAGTTTTAGTATTGTTCAAGAACGCGTCATTTTGAGTACTTACCCAATTCGTAGGCTTCTCTGGCTCCAGGGACATCCCAGACTCTCCCATTATCGGTCGAGGTGGAGGCAGAGCCTGAGTTTGACCTCACAGGCGTGGTGCGGGCCCTTTTAGTCGACGAGTCGGTAGAATCGGTGGACTCAACGGACAATTTTCGTTTGGTCGACTTGACAATGGGAGCAGGCGCAGAGGTCACAGGTTGGGTCGATGAGATCAATGCGAGCAAGTCGAGGCCTGACATTGCCGCCTGATTTTCCTCGTACACCTTCTTCGCCATTTCTAATGTGGGGCGAGGTTTGTCAATTTGACCCTCATTGGCTGGGTCGGGCGAGTTCGACGCGGTGGTCGAGATTGACGTGGGCGTGAGGGGATGTTCACGCCTCACCTTTTGGCCCTTGACGGGCGGTGGAGCCGTTGGCACAGAGGTAAAGTGTCCATTTTTAAATCGGAGGTGGATTTTTGTAGACATTTCGTCCGATGGATTGAGAAGGGTGTTGAGGGCTAATGGATGCTGCGGACGAGGGCAGTAGAGATGAAGGACGTTGTATGGATCGAAAGATGGAACAGGCGCTAGAGGCAGTGGAATCATCGGTTTATATCTTCCCTCGTCGCCGTAGGCAGAGTGCATGAATGGGAGCGACCCCATGACATGGCGATGGCTTGCCATGCTGGTCAGAACCGACATGGCACACGAAGATTGGGACGCAAAGATAGGTCGGAGTTACAATTTGCCTGCTTGCTCCTCCCGAAGGAGCAATTTTACGTACAGACCAGTCTGTTTTCGATGACGAAAGTTGTCCAGCTGAGGTCGAGCAGAGTCAAGTGAGCGCGCCAACGGTCGAAGATGAATGGGATTCCTGATCGTCAGGTGATGGATACCCCGAACGAAAAGGAGAGGGAAAAATCGGTAACTCCCGCTAATGTGCCGTAAACGTGATTTTCTTAAAGACCCGGCGGCAAGCTGATGACGGTGAATCAGGAATGGAGTTCAGTCTGACAGCGAGCAGGATGTTGGTTGGCGGTGGAGAAAATGTCCAGCGTAGATCGATAGAAAGGACCAAAGTGAGATCGATGTTGATGGTGATGAGTAAAAGTACCAGTGAGGTGAAAGAAGAAGGATGGTATGAATTCGATGAAGTATGTATCTACTACATCCAGCCAGTGATGGGTGAGGTAGTTCCACCCTCTCTCTCTCTCTCTCTCTCTCTTTTCAGCCCCTCTGCGGAATGGAGGCGTCAATGATCGAAGAGGAGAAAGAGGAGAAGATTGAGGGGTTGGTGGTGTTGGTGGTGGTGGCAGGGTTGACCAAGGGAAAAAAGAGGGAAGTGACAGAGGTGCGAGGCCCGAGGGAGAAGAGGTCACTAAGGAGTATGCAGACCAGCGCTATTCTTGACAGAGTATTTATTTTTTTTTGGATCAAACAGAAGGACACTCGAAAAAGTGGAATGCGAATATATATATCTTGAGGAGTGACGAAATGGAACAAGAGACGTCCGAAGCAATGATGATAGTATTGGATGAAGGCGGCAAGCGAATAGAAGAAAGGGATGGAACAGAAGAGACGAAGAAGGTATGCATGAATCAATTTCCCATTCTTCGTCTTGACCAATATATGATTCCTGGCTCCGGTTTGAATGACAAGACCCGGTCATGGTACGAATGTCTCAAAACGATCAGATCCCGTACAGAAACGTCTGTCCTTCCTCCATATGTTCCACGAGTCAAAACAACGGCCGAAAGGGAAAAAGACCTGATGATCTATCCCATCCTAAGAAAAAGCGACTCATCTAGCGCCTCACCCTCTTCTTGTTGCGCCCGTTTGGTGCCTTGCCTGGCCCGTCCGACGACGATGCGCTGGTTGCCGCACGTCATGATGTCAAATTTCTACAAAGTGTGATCACTACGCCACCCCTATTCCTCCCGATTGCACATATTTTTAGAGCATCAGGGAGCCGGCCCAGAGGAGTGGAATGGACGCCTCTTTGTTGTCTCGCTCAGCGTGCGCGCTGGACATGAGCAATGTCAGAGGTAAGCATGTTTGGGGGGGGGGGAGAGGAGGGAAGGCAGGAGCGAAAAAAAGCATCTCGAGGAATGCCAGGCATCAGACCGACGCTGTCTCGGACCAAGGAACCAAACAAGCACGGAATCAAAGGCAGGAAATAGATACGGGGAGGTAGGTGATCAGCGCAAGAGGGGAAGAATGAGGGATTTACAGCGGCCACCAACGGCCAAATCCAATTCATTCGGAAAACACGTCTCCGGGCTATGCAAAAAGCGGGACGCAACCATCTACCAATTTTCCGGTCCGTCTCTTGTCTGTCACAGATGGTCTCTCCAATCTATCCGAATCGGACCACGACGAACTTGGGAGGATGGATCCAAGCCCTCTTGGTCTCCGGCGTTTGCTTTTCGATGCCATCATGCTTAGAGCGACGCCTCTAAGATCGAGTCTAAGAGTGAGATTTTGAACAACCGCCAATTGCTCGATTGGGATCAGGTTTACCCACGGAGTACGCATCTTTGACCGCGACGGTACCAAACGTATTCAAGGCGGTTCAGGCTATTCAGTCAGGCGCGAGGGTCAGAGGGAGTTTCGGCGGCAATAGTCTATCCTTAAATACCTTGTGCTGCGGGAAAGGGCAACGTGTGGAATGTGGAGTCGACATGGGTGTTCCATGCATTGGTCACAAATCCCCCACCATGCGTATAGGCGTCGACTAGACATCGCCTTCGGGCGTCATGGCAGAACGGTCACGGAAGGCGTCCTTGTTGCCACCATCTCGCTTTCTACAATCGATGACCCACATCGAGTCTTCCGGAAAAGCACGCCAGGATTTTCCAAGACCATCTTGGTGTCCCTTCAGAATTCCTTCATCAGGTCGATCGATGCATTGGGAGTTTCACATCAGATCCCAGATCCGGGTGATAATCAGAAAGGATGAGGCTTAGGTAATTCAAATCTTTGGTAATCAGCACGGAATCAAAATCACGTGTCTGACCCGTGACGTGTCGAGATTGCATCGTTCCTGTAGATGCGCGCAGAATGGAGACCGATACATACCTCGTCATTGAGCAGAGGCTCTAGGCTGTAAGACATGGCAGCAACAGAGGAGGAGGCCGCCGCCGCCGCTGCTGCTCCTACTCATACGGCGGACGAGCAGGTCTCAAAACCTGAGATGAGCGTGACACCCGCGGCTCCGGCCATCGATGACTTGTTTGGAGGAGCTCAGGATGATGACGATCCATTTGCTCAACTTGGAGGGCAAGCGGAGACAATATCAGCTCCGGTCCTCCCTCCGGTCGAAGACGAGAAAGAAGCGATGAGTGTAGAGCAAGAGAGAAAGACCTCTTCAAAGTCGGAGGCAGATCCCGGGCCTTCCCTAGAGGATCGTGATTTTAGCGATCTGCTCGCTGAATTCGAGGCTGAACAGAATGGGGGTTTGCCAGAGCAAGGTCAAGTAGCCGAGGGCGAGGGCAGGCAGGACGAAGTCGCGCAAGGAGTTTCAGAAGAGGGAGGCGCTGAAAAGTCCCTCCGTTCGGCTCAGCTCGAGCTACCGACTGACGGATCTCACCAACCTATCCTCACCGTATCTGAACCTACACCAGTATCGCCGAATCCTCCTCCGGCACCCGTCAACGCGCCAGGTGGCTTATTTGATGATGAGCATGTGGATCAGAGCAGTCCATTCGATGACTTCTTAGCTGGATCGGCTGACGATCAGACGTCTCCCTCGGCCAATGGGCACAGCAATACTGTCCACCATGCTATTCCAGGTTCAGGTTCGGAAGATCCGGCAGCGATTGATCACGGAGACCGATCGATGATGTCGACAAACAGTGATTGGCTGGCAGATACATCGGTGGAGGAGTCGTTCCAGAGTCAGGATCAAGCCCAGTCGAATCGAAATACGGGTGGACCGCGGACACCGAAACGACAACAGACTGAAAACGGGGACGAGCCAGTCTCTTTCGAGGTACCTCAAGGGTGGTTCGACGATGATGGGAATTGGAATTGGTACACGGATGAGCAGCGAGAGCAAGTCAGGCAGACAATGCTCGGTGGTGCGGGCTGGGCAGGAGAGGAAGAAAGGAGAAACAGTAGTTTTGCAGCAGCTGGTGAGCAGAGATGCTCGTCAACAACCCCTTGGTCTCGCTGAAGCTTATCAGATCGACTACCGTCTCTGCCTGGGACCCCTGCACTGCATGCTGTCTCTGAGAACGCCGCTCGACGCACGCCGATGAAAGAGGTGGATCCGTACGCTCAGTCTCCTGTGGAACCCACGAATCCTTATGCTCCGAATCCTCAACCCACATCTGCTGCCTCCTCTTATGGCTCGTACCCGCCCTCAAGTCAATCTACATACAGTAGTCAGGCAGCTCCATATGCTCCCTCGCATTCGACGTCCTTTTCACATCCCTCACAGCCCGCGTCCTATGGCCAGGGTCAGACCGCTCCATATGGCCATGGTTCTCAACCTTCTGCTTACGCACCCCTGACTTCACCTACATCCCTGTACACTCCAGCTGCGCCTGCCATTTCCCCTTACGCTCCAAGCACATCGCAGCAGCCGGCTCCATACGCACCCGCCTCGTCTAGTAATCCTTATGCGCCTCCTGCTCAGCCCTACGGCGGCGGTCAAAATTATGGAGCCCCTCAGCAGACCTACGGATCTATCTCAAATTCAATGTCCATGTCCTCGTTTGTCCCGCCTCCAGCTGCGCCCAAGCCGCCACCTGTAGCACCTCAGCGAATGCCATCGACAGCTTATGATCCACCGATGTTGAAGTCTCAGAAAAAGGTCACCAGGTCGACGTCGGCTGCATCTGTCACTTCAGGTTTCAATACTCCCCCTGCGCCTCCTCAGCAGTCTTTCACGTCCCCTCCCAACGCGCCCAGTGCTCCCCCACCGGGACCACCGCGCCGGCCCAAGACTCCCGCTGCAGAACCGCCGAACCTGCCAACCATTCCTGACGAACCGATGCCCGTGAATCAGTTCGCCCCTCCGCCTCCTGTGAAAGAATCGGCTCACTCTGATGCCTATGCTCCTGAGGCAAAGCCTGCTGCCTTGGCCCCCCCACAGAGACCAGCTTCCTCGGCACAGTCCCAACTACCAAGAACACCGTCATACGCAGCGTTTGATCCCCCTATGCGGCCGGCCAGCACATCTCGCAATAGGGAGCCGAGCCGTAGATCGATTCCGTCCTTTGCAGAACCACCTCCACTACCCCCGCCACCAGCCCGACAAGAGCCTCCATCCCGAGTGCCTTCGCAAACGACCAGAATGCTATCTCCTCCACCTATGGAAACGCCGCCACCGCGAACATTGTCACCACAAATCGTGCCTCCTCCTGTCACTCACGATCAGTCTGCTGTCGGTCCCCCGACTGGGCCTCCTCGGACTGCGAGTCGCGCTTCGCAACGTAAATCCCCCTTGTTTCAAGCTCGTCCAACGTTTGAATCACGACCTCCTTCGCGCATAAGCAGCGGTCAAGCGCCTCCCAGGTTCACGCCGTCCCCGATATCCTTCCCCTCGAACGGCTCGACTCACCAGACAGATAATAGATCGATAGGGCAGCAATCGGTGGACGGCTCTGCTCCGGACACCAACACTGTGCTGACAGATGATGAATCTCGGAATGCTCCCAGAATCGATTCGTACGAAGGGGGCGATAATGACCGGGCTGCTGACCAGGAGCAACGAGAATCGACCCATCAGCCTTACGCTGCGTCCGGATACGCTCCCTGGGCTCATAGCGATCACGATGACCAGCGCCCGCAGGCTCCTCTCAGGAACCCAGAGATATATGGCGGAGAGTCGGAGATGCCAAATCAGAACTCGTACGCGCCTTATGCTCAAAAAGATGATCAATTGACGGATCCGTACGCGCCGACATCCTCCAATCCCTTGGCCAATGTGGGACGCATGAGTACTCAACAGCCATCGCCTATCGACCACCCTGCACCATACCAAACTCGACAGACAGATGAAACTCCATATGGCGCGCAGTCCACCACAAATCCATACGAGAGTTCCGGCCCGCAGCTGTCGCAGGCATCGACTACGTCTTATAATCCTTATGCTCCCGCCCCTCCAACAGTGTCTGACAAGCGTACCCCTCAGATTTCGCCCGAGGGACGACAACACCCACTGCCGCCTATCAGTCAGGCATATGATCCGTACGCCCCGACTTCACAACCTGCACAGGATCACTCCTCGGGATACGGTCAACCGAGCGAGTCTTATGCACCATCGTCGTGCGCCCCAGCATCGTATCAACCTCAGTCTTCAGACGGTCCCTACGGTGCTCAGCAAACTGCACAAGAGCGTACCTCGGGCTATGCTTCTTCACATGATCCTTATGCGCCATCTTCTTACGCTCCTGTCTCATATCAACCGCATTCCACAGATGACCTTGGTACGAATGCGCGGAATAACGTTGGCATATCACCGCCTTCAGGCAATGGGTTCATGCCTCTGCCTCCCATGCAGGACCATACATATACACCGTTACAGGTGCTGGAACAACGTCCAGTGAGCGAAGACCCTTTGGGCAGGGTCACACTAAACGCTCGAAATACACCTATCGCCGTCTTTGGATTTGGAGGCATGCTCATCACCGCCTTTCCAGGCAAGGCGGAGGATACTGTCGAGGGAGATGGTGACGGTAGGACTCCAGCATATGGGTATGCCTCAGGTAGAGGCAGGATCTGGATTAGATCTCTGGACGACATCAGCTCTTCGGGGGCTCTGCGTACTTCTGACATGGTCTTTCCGGGTCCCCTCATCCTCGATTCCGCGACGCCAAAAGGTGCAGCAGGGGACAAGAAAAAGCGGGAGGCTGTTCTCAGTTATTTGGATGCTAGGGCGACAGAAATCGAGCAAGGTCTCCCTTATCTGAAGACTTCGGCCAACCAGTCCAGACGAGAAGAAGAGGGCAAACTTGTACTGGTCAGGCTTCTGATAGCCATGATCAAGGGCAACGGAAAAGTATCGGGAAGGTCAGTACTAGTCGTGCTTTTTGTATCATGTGAGGGACTGACCATTCCTGTTTGTAGCCCGGAGGTCGAGGACGCTGTACGCACAGCACTGGCTGGATCACCAGAAGCGGGTAATGCTCCGACGGTGACGACGCCAGCGGCCGCATCAGCCATGTCTCCGGTTAAAGGCGGCGGCCTAGCTGCGAGCTATTTCCCAGGTCAAACGTCCGAATCGACAAAAGCTTCGGCCAATCAGTTGTCTCAGCTGTCGACAATGCTTCAACGGGGCGAGAAGAAAGAGGCGGCCCACTTCGCTATGCAAGGTGAACTTTGGGCTCACGCAATCCTTATCTCCAGCAGCGTGGACGCCGAAAAATGGAAAGAAGTTGTACTGGCCTTTGTGCATGCGGAGCTGGGAGCGGGCATGCTGGGAAATGCAGCCATGAGGACGGCTTATACTTTGTTCTCGGGTCTCAGTCCTGCTTCAGGTACGTTCGCCCATTGCCCAAGTCTAGTGCTGAATCGTTGTCCAGTCGAAGATATCGTCAGGACGGCGAATATCACTGCGGACGCATCCGCGGATCAGTGGCGCCAAGTCTTGAGCGCTTTAGTATTCAACTGCAAGCCAACAGACCTCGCTTGCATCGACGATCTGGCAGCGAAACTCAATGCCACTGGCTTAGTCAATGCTGCTCATGCTTGGTGAGGGACTGACATCGAGATACGAAGCCAACTGACCATCGCACAGCCATTTGCTATCGCCCAGTTCGACATTTTCAGATAACACCCCATCAGCCTTTGAACGCTTGATAGGACTTACCCAGAATCCTAGAGACGAGGACGCTTTGGTCTTTGCGGAAGTGGGCGAATACGCCAGGAGTCTTATACCAGTTCCCAAAGGTCAGGAGCAACCTGTACCCGGCTTGCCCCAGTTGTTACCGTATAAGCTGCAGCGAGCGTGGAGGTTGGCTGAATTGGGCGAGGTTGATCAGGCGAAGAGGTGAGTTCCGCGACCTTGTGCCCATCGCGCTAACCGGTCTCTTAAAGGTATTGTACGGCCATTGAAACTGCTTCGAAATCTGTCAAGAACGGTCCTTCTCTCCTTCCCTTTGCTCTGCTGTCCAGTGTGGAGGATCTCGTCGAGCGCCTGACGGGCACGCCTTCTGCCAATCCTGCGAACCTTTTGATGCCCAACAAGAAGAGCAAGACTGGAGTCGACAAATTCGGGTCGTGGATCGAAGGCCGTCTGACCAAGTTTATCGCTGGAGAGGATGACAATACACCCGCATCAGAGACCAAAACACTGCCTGCAAAAGCCAAACTCACTCCAAAAGACGCTCATGGGTCTACGATCGGACCTTTCTCACACTTCTCGACCATTTCGCCTGCGCCTTCAGGTCCAGTCACAAGAGCAACTTCCACAGTCGATTTCCACTCTTCGTTGAACGGACAGCTTGGGGTCTCAGCCGAGTCTGAGCGAAATACGCCAGCGACACTCCAAGGATCATGGGGCCAGCCTCTGGAGCCTCCTTCCGACACATCCTCCTATAGTGCGTATGAACCTCATACGACAGGATCCTCGTATAGTTCCTGGAACGACCAGCCCTCAAATCAGTATCAGCCGGCAGGCCCCACAGCACAAGAAGATCAGGACGATGATCTTGCCGGGCAAATGTCATATATGAATCTGGGGCCTTCGCCTGAAGCTGCGAGGGTCAATTATACGCCTCGGCCTGTGAATCTGAACGCTGCAGATGGAGATGATGACGACGATCTCGGATTCGGTAATTCTGCCTTGTCTCGTTCGAGGACACCTCGGCCGAAGGAGGCAATGTCGCAAGATCAAGCGTCAGCCAGTAAGGCAGGACAGACCAAGGAGGCGAAGGCAGAGCCTACAGATACCCAGCCACCCCCACTGAAGTGTGAGCCTGCCGATGTGATACTTGATGTGAAGGTCCTTGCTAACTTGAAGTCAGCCGACCAAAAGTCATGGATCGGACGTTGGTGGACAAAGAAAGAAGGCGAGGGATCTGGACCTGTGCGGGCCAAGTTGGGCGAAGAGAGCTCCATGGTCTTTGACAAGGATCTGAAGCGATGGGTTGTCAAAGGGGTGAGTTTGATAATTGCTCGGAACCGACCAACACTGACATTCATTTCAAGCAAAAACCCGACGCTGCGCCGCCCCCGCCTGCGCCTCCGCCTAGAGCTCAGACTACATCGCCAGCATCGAGCGGCATGTCGAAACCGAACATGCCCCGTGCATCTACCGTCGCGCCACCTATGGGGCTATCGATGACGCCTGCATCCTCTACGCCACCTCAGAGTCGATCCTTGCCTAGATCGACGACAGCGCCTTCAGGTCTACGTCAAGGACCACCACCAACGAATGATCTCAACGGCCCTGGAACAGCATCGGCCTCCTCCCTGAATAGTGATGGTCGCCCGCCACCTGCCGGTCTTCCATCAGTATCGACATCCAGCCAGAGCAGCGGGTCCAGTATGGCCCCGCCTCCGCCAGCTGGGCTACCGCGCTCGACGACTGGCGCATCGCTGGACGATCTCTTGTCAAGACCACCGTCAAAGCGGCCTTCGGCGGGTGGCAGGAAACCAATGAAGAGTCGGTATGTGGATGTCTTCCAACCAGGGCAGGAATAGGAGTAAAGAGGACACTCTTCGAACATGGTCTAAATCAAAGAACAATCATTGAGAATGCATATGACCCTGATGAGCCGCTGTTCTGAGGGCACGCATTCGAAGCTCGGCACAGGTGCCAACGCAACGATGGCACGCATATATATCTCATTAAGCAGGAAGGAGTCTGGCAAGTGGTGGGTGGGATTGAGCGAGCGAAGAATGAAAGAGACTTGAGGCTAGCCTGTCACACTGTCGGAGTAACGTGTAGTCTGAGATGGTGTCGTGGTGTTCCAACGCAGCTTCCATCCCGGCATACTAGTACCGACCACGAACCCATCATGTGGCCAAACGGGCAAATGCTCTCCGGGCCGAGTCTGTATCCCTGTCATGGCAGACTTGTGGCAAGTGGCTACATGATGGACGAGATCCTCAGCTGGCATTGGCTTAGGACATTGATCACTCATGCTTGAAAAGAATTAAGCGTAGCGCTTCACAGTCTCTCTATCGGGCTTGACCTGACTTGTCAGTTCGTGTCCTGACGACCCGATCCCGAGGGTTTTATCCAGTGAAATGGTCCTCTTCAGAGGGTCAATGGTGTAACTCCAGTCGATGGTCAGTTCACGCTTCGGGTTCAACCTTGATAATTCCGACGTGGCAATGTACCCTGGAATGGCCGTTTCCCAAACATCTGGCACTGTCGACATGATGAGGTAGGACTGATTTCACAAAGTCTGATGATGATGGTGATATGTGGGGACTGGGTGTAGGTGATCGTTGGAAATCGTTTCGTACACCTGAGGAAAGATAGGTCTTGACTCTCAAAGAAGCTTCCAAGGTTCGATCCATTGTGAGCCGCCTTCCTAGAAGATCTCCTGGCGGGGCCAGAAACGCAACGCAACGACATCCAATGTGAAAGGATACTACCATACTGAGACTCCTCGCGCGCAACGACCGGGGTCCATACGAGACCGGAAGAGCACATAGGAGTGATGCGTAAGAATCATTTCAACCTCGCGAGCGCCTAGGCCTTTGCGAGTCTTGGAATCAGCGCAGACTCCTTTATACCTTTCAAACGCTGAATACAATCCTTGTCGATCAAGCGATACATAATGCAAAGAATGTTGCTGGCTAGAACAACAACATGGGATGTGGTTTTGGACAAGTCTATAATAATATATCAAGAGGGGTGGTGGAAGGCGGTTTGTGTCTGCGGAGAAGCAACGCCACTCCGGATTTGGGAGGATGATGATGCAGAGAGGTGCATTGTCCATTAAAGAGACATGATGGTTTTCGGGTGTAGGGTTGATGGCGAGATGGGAATTGAGTGCCATGCGACCATTTTTGGTTTTTTTTTTTTTTTTTTTGGGGTCGAGCAAGAGCTCATGAGGGCATGGCGTGATAACGTTCGAGACGTGAGACAACAACGACAGGAGACAGAGACAAAGAGCAAGACCGAAGAGCGAGCGAGATGCCGAAATCCAAGACGTGAGAGACCAAGCCGACTCCCAATAGGACGGGACGGGACGCACAAGACGCAAGATTTACAGTTCCAGACTCGGGTTCACGCCCATTGGATCGGTGCCAACGGCGGAGAACAAGACGGCATCTTTGCCTCTCTGGGATGGTAACTGCGCCTTGGCATTGGGTATATCCTTGGCGGGAGTCGCAAGAGACGCTTTGCCACTGAGGGCTAAAGCACTTGGAATGGCGGGTTTGGTCGGGAAGATGCCCATCTTGGGTACGGCTCCTGGACCTGCGTTGACGGTGCGCATGGGACTCGGACTGATCGGTGGAACAGCCTTGTTCGGGACGGCGTATGGAGCCGCACGAGGTGTCGGTGTGAGAGTCGATGTGGAGGTCTTGGTCCCTGGTGTGGCCTTGAGATCAGTCTGACTAGCCGTCGGTGTGCCATTGCCAGTGTTGTTGGGTGTCAATTTCTTAGCCGATGGTACGGCTTGAGGCTGAGGGTGGGTACCGTTTTGAAGCATTCTCAACCCGTATTGTCCATGCTCGCCAGAATTGAGATAGTGGTACTGAACAGGATGTGAGCTTGGCATGTCCTGCGATGAATCCCGGGGCTCACCTTCAATCCGTTCATTTGCCTGTACCTCTTCTTGCATCCCGCTCCGACGGCACATACGAATGGTCTGGATCGCTCTTCGGCCTCCTCAAGAGACAGACCGAGATCTCCCGCATCCTGCTGTGCAAAGTCGCATTGACTGAACCCGTGTCAGCGTGGGAACATTACGCTGCACGGACAGGTAACTCACCCTTTCTGCTGATGATACCGCAACCCATTACTCTGCCTGTACGCCTTGTTGCATCCAGGATTCGGACATCGCCATGGCTTGTGCATGCTGAACAAGCTCGGAGCGGGAAGAGGAGGTTCAGCGCCCATGCCGGGTGGCGGCGGACCTCCGTTGACGACAGGTTGAGCGGTGACTTCTGAGCCCGGTCCATCATCCGACTTGGGCACCTCCGTCTTGGCATCTGTCTTTTGAGCATTCTGAAGAGTGGCTGAGATGTTACCGAACCCATTGATGGTTGAGCTAAAGAGGACATTTGGCGCAACGGCGATGGGAGCAGGTTTAGCTTGAGTGTTGGGTGATGTGCCAGCTACGACTTCGTTGAAAGCCCTGTCGAAACGTCTCTGTTGTGCGGCTGGTCGGGGAGCGGTGGATGTGGACCCTAGGAAGCCTGGACGAGCGGGGTTTATTTTTGGTTGAGCGAAGACTGGAGATGGGTGTGCAGATGTTGAGGGTGTTTGCAGAGCGTCGGGAGGAGAAGATGAGGTGGAAGCTGTCAAGGCGGCAGTGGTGATGGCCACCTCCCCATCGGGTGGTGATTTCAGGACATCTGAAATGGTCAATGGCGCGATCGGATCCGGTGACATGAGAGCGGGCGGTGTGGAAGGCTTCGAGGCTGTGGGTGGGAGAGGATAATTGGGAACGGGATTTGGGGATAGACTGGATGTGGATCCAGAAGCGGATGCTGTATCCCTGTCGTCCAATGATTTGATGCCCGAGTCTACACCCTCGAGATCGAGATCCATGGCGTGAGTGATGGGTGAGAAGCCGGAATGGCCGACGTGAGCGATATTGAGGCCCATATTGAGACCAATGTTGTCGGCATCTGCGAATGGATGGGCGTCCTCGACGTGCTCCAGCAACTGATGTAGTCCTTCGTGAACCTGTCCACAGCACTCGTACGCCTTTGTCAATTCTGCATCTGTCCGTTGAGAGGCCATCAACGAGTGGACGTGCGATTTAGAGTACGAGTTGCCCAGAGACATGGGTTGAAAGGACATGGAGGCGAAGGATGAAGAGAGGTTGCCAGCGTTGGATGAGCCTGCACCTCTAGCGGCGGCGGCGTACGATCGGCGTTGATAGGAAGATGAGAGGGAAGGATGAGGTAGATGGAAAGCGTTGGATGAAGTGGCGAAAAAAGATGAGGATTCACCCATGGTGATGGATGTGGAGAAGGGCTGGAAGGGTGATTCCATACTGAAGGAAGAGGTGTGGTGAGTCTCACATACTACCTCCAGGACATGCTGACTCACGCATCACCATAGAACCTCGCTCCGTAACTTCCGGGCGCGGCTCCTCCTGTGGCCCATTTGTTGATACTTCCCCCCCCACCACTGGCGTTATCCCTCCTCTTGTCGAAGGAGAAACCTCCACCATTTGTAAAGCTGATACCAGTCATCGGCGCATAGGAGGAGGATGATAATGGTGATGATCCCATCTTGACCGAAGCGATGGGTTGTTGTTGAGGTGGACCGAGGTTTTGATTGGATGACCGAGTTTGCGGTCTAGCAGGGACAGGTTGAGGTGGTGGCGGTGGGGATGGCATGGTGTGAGAAAGGGGGTTGAGTGGCGAGGATGTCCAGGTGGTGTGAGACCTCGCTAAACCCTCCTCCGCCCTATTCAAAAACGATCTATCTTTCTAAGCGAGAGTGGGTGGAGGTTTTAGGGGAGTTCGGGATGGGCCAATACCGCAGCAGAGCGAGCTGCAAGATGTCGGCAGCAGCAGCTGCTGTGATGATGATGAGCAGTAGCAGCAGCACGACCTGCTGTCAAATGGTGGTGATCACGAGGACTGTGCGACGTAGTCAGGAGACACAGAACGAGGTCAATGCTGCTACAGTGGGTTGGTTGCAACACAGACACAGACACCCCCCCAAGGCGAGGAAGGCGAGGCCCAAGGGCCAAGGGGTGTCGGCGGGCGGGACAGAGGCACAGGGTACGACCAACTTTTTTTTTTTCCACACTTTTTCCAACATTTTTTTATTACCCTTCGCTTCGGGGATTCGTGTTTTTTTAGTGTGTAGCGTAGAGTGCAGCGACAGGGGAGATAGGCGTGAGAGCAGAGGGATGATGATTTGGGTGGCGACTCACTGGGGGAAGGAGAAAAAGGATCCGTTAGCGGGAGTGAATTGAGTGAGTGAGTGAATCAGAGACGGAAGCAGAATTAGAAGGGGAAGGGGTAGTATGTCACGGCTTTGCTGCTGCTGCTGCTGCTGCTGTGGACAGAGCAAAAGCAGCTCCAATGGGTCAGAATATATGACATGCAAGTGGTAGGCTAGCTGGGGACTCTCGCACCGGAGGACATGCACAAGAGAAGGGTGGATGGTCACACACAAAAAAGGTACCACGTCATGTACCATATAGCTCAGCAATGCTATCACGCGGACCCATCCCTCCCCGTTCTATAACCATTTTGCCAAGCAGCCCCCCACCATTTTGAGTTATCAGCTGGGCTGATTCCGATGCCCGCTCACCCGTGAACCCCCGTGGATGAGACTGGCACTGACCCGGTCATCATTGAACCGTGTAACAGCTGCAGTTCCTCGGCGAAAGCCGCCTACAACTCTATCTCGATCTTTCTCCCAAAACCCAGTGTCACTGCTCACCCTCTCCCGATGATCATTCCATGACCTTCTCGGACGCTAAGAGGGATGACGCTACGGCCGAGGACCGCTCACGTCATCTCTCAGCTTCTTCGAGACAATCTGCATCACCTACACCACCACCATCACCACCACCATGGCGAAGCGCTCTGGGCCGAGCGTTCTTCCTGTTGAATTCATCGTTCGCTCATGTGTCAGGCGAGAATATAGCGAATGGAGCAAACGGTGACAGGTACCTTGCACTGTTGAAGAAAAGCTTTAGAGCGTATAGCGATATACCTGTAGGCAGTGATGTCTTGGTCGAACATGCATTCCCGCACGGATGCAGCACAAAGGAAATCGAATGGGAGGTCGACATTGTTCCTGCTAGAGGACTCCTCGAAGGCGATCAAGATATACAGTATGACCTGACTGGAGGGAGAGGGGATGAGTCCCCGCCCATCAAAGCAGGGTAAGTGTTTTGCCGTTCCAAGATCTTGGCCATACCTTGTGCGCGCGCGGGCAAAGCTCATAAAGGGCCTCCTCGATCTAGGAACACACGACAAGTATGCTGGAATTGTCTAGCCCCCGGCCATTCGCACACCTCTTGTCCTCAACCTCGGAATCACCTCCTCGTCCGAATCATGCGAGATAAATTTCTAGCTGAGAAAGAGTCCATGCCGACATTCGCAATACCCTATATGAACTCATACAGTGTCACGGATGAAGACAAGATTAGACGGTTGGACTTGGTCGATCGATTTGATCCTGGACGTGTCTCCAATACACTCGCCGATGCCTTGTTTTGGATCGATCCAACTTTATTGCGTCTCCCTGACGAAACACCTGGGGACAAAAGAGACCTGGAGGACGGTGAAGTGAGTGATGATTTTCCTGAGAGGGATCAAGTGCTGGAAATTCGAGGGATGAGAAGGAGAAGAGCTTGGCCATGGATCAATGAAATGGTCAGGTGGGGGTATCCACCAGGGTGGATAGCGTCCAAGGGTGGGTCCGTGCTCTCCAGCTTTGCGTATCGTCTCTCTGATTCTTTGCAGATCCCATGATAGAGGTAAAGAGGCGGATCCAACAACTACCAATATCAACAGGCGATGAATCAGAGGACGATGAAAGTGACATGCTTCAAGTATACGGCGGCATAGGATCGCCTCTCCACCTCGGAGATGAGGCGGCGAGGTCTTCTGCCTCTAGCAGCTCGCCGAGATCCATGTCGGCGTCCTCGTCCTCGTCATCATCCTCAACATCCAAACCTCTTCTTTCGCCGACACAGTCCGTTTCAAGCAACATGATGCTCTCCCCTATCGTGGACCCAGAGCCACTGCCACTGCTATTGCCGCCGCAATCATGTGACCAGTCGGCTCCACCTCAGCCCGAGGATGCTATACCTCCACCACCGGATCAATCAGCTACTCCTCCACCGCCCCCACCTCCCAATCTGCCACCACCTCTGCCTCTGCCAGTCTCAGCGCCTAGCGCTCCACGGGCTCAACGATGGGCCAAATACGATACGGACATGTTCGACTCGGATCGATTAAAGGCTTTCACAACTGCCCGACCGTTACCTCTGGGCTATTGAACAACTAACTTTCAATGAGCTTCATACAGGTGGACAAACAGGAGGACATCCCGACGTCCAAAGTCCATCCTTCACGATAGACGACGCAAACAATCCATATTGTACCATTCCTGTATGCATCAACCTCTCTCTCTCGCGCTCGTCATTGAGCTTCTCGACGCATCTTCCATTCTTCCACTTTGCGTCGTCTTTCTAGACGCTTGTCCTCGTCGTTGGCATTCGCGACAACGGGCAATCTAATGGGGCTCTGTCTTCTATCACCTTGTGAAGGAGGATCCCCCGGAGGTGAAGGTGGTGGAGGCGGTGGACTGTTTGAAGGTTCTCTCGACTCGCGATCCATTTGCTCTTCCTCCTCCTCATCCTCTTCCGCCTCGTCCTCTGGTTCATCACTTTCGTATCCTCCGACCAACATCCCCACATTCCGCTCTTCCTTCTCTTTGAGACCCGGTTCTACACGTCGCTGTCTCCTCACTTCATCCTTAATTCGTACCCATATATCTTTCCATCTCCCTCTGAGAAATGCGAAACGCTCGTCCGTTGAGTGATTGGCGAGAATTCTCATCTCGAGGAGTGAGGGGTTGGGAGATTTGGACAAGGACATGGCAGTGTGGGACATCAACGTGAGAATGGGATCTGGAGGCTGCGAAAAAGGGTTTCCAAGAGCAGCGTGAGTTAGTTGTTGCTTGCTCCTCCGTTGACATATGGTGACCACTTACCACCTCGTCATCCCCTTTCCACACAGTTGCACTCTTCGCCTTAGCCGTACTTTCATCTTCCCTCTCTCTCACTTGATCCTCCTTCGCTCTCTCTCTTAATCTCTCTTCCCTTAGCGCGTCTATCCATTTCTTCTTCTTCTCTCGCTCGTAGGCTTCAAACTCTTCGTCTGAGGATAATTCGAATGTCTGTTCGAGATCTGACGGAAGATCTGCCCATGAAGAGCTGAGAGAGTTAGAAGATGACGCGGTTGGAGAATGAGGAGGGTTAGGAGGAGGCGATCGTCCTTGTCCATGCCGAGATCTGGAAGGTCCAGAAGAGGGTAAAGATGGTAAGAGGTGGAGGATGTCGTATCTGAAGCACAAGGCGGATCAGCAAGTGCCCACAAGTAAGGTGACGAGTAATGCACATGATCATTCAGCAGTGTACATTTTAGGAGACTGGCTGACTTGAAACGCTGTATTTTTGAGACCCAAACGGGCCAGGTACTCGCACAGTCCGACCCTTACTTCATCTCAAGTCATCCCATCGTCATTGCCCATATTCGTATCTGGGGCCTTCAAAGTTGCTCCTCCAACGACTCCGTGCGGTAGGCGCATCTCTGCAAGTCTCCCCCTCACAGCAGAAGAAAACCTTTAAACCTACCTGTCGATCCAGATATCCTCCTCCCCTTCCTCTCCATGCCACTGGATCAGACCTCTTCCAGCTGATCGACGCCCATGGGATAGCTCTGTCGACTTTTGAGCCTGTTCTGTCGCGCGTTCAGGTTCATCCCATATGAGATTCGCTTCGTACGCTTGAATCGTAGCGTTAGACGGAGGGTAAGTAGGCTGATGCATGTGGAGTGATACAGGCGGCTCTCGAGCAGCTTGCGAGCGAGATCCAGAGCCACCTCGGCCACCGCTTTTGTAAGCTGATGCAGGCATCAGTCTGTACGAAGATGCAGAGGGAGGAGAGAAACGTCAAAAAGGGAGTTTGGTACATGTTAATAAGTTTTACTTCGTTGTTGCATTTTGCCCAGGGTTTTAATTCTTTTTGGGACTGCATTTGCCAGGAGCCTGGCAGTTGTTGTATTCAGAGCCCGCCCTCCTCAGCGCACCAGTGCAGACATGCAACCAAACAGACAGCACTCCAATCAGCCTCCGAGCCAGCTTCTGTGCTCGAAAGAGATGTTTGAATGATCAGATCACATATTCCACCACGAGCTCTTCCCTTTCTGTTATACATAACGTCTCAATCGCATTCTGCCAAGTTGACCCAACCTTTTCAAATCTCTGCCCTCTTGGGAATCATAACCCTTGGCTCAATGCGCTCCTTCACCTCCCTTTCCTTGACTTGACAATCTCGACGCTTCCCTCCTGTCCCATTCTTCGTATGAGACAATGTTCTCCTTGGTGGGAGTATACTTGGGTAGATCACCACGTTCACTCATTCGTTTCTCAGCTTCTTTCCGGGCCCATGGCTCCATGCTGAGTTGATGAATCGCAGAGAGGAAACGAGGTCATCAGAAAGAAGGTCCAGGCAGATAGATGTAGCGATGGGAAGAGAGAAGGTTGATTGACCGAACGTCAGCAATGTCCTGAATTCTGGCAGTAACACGACTCACGACGTATCGGGTCCAAGTTGTTTCCATGCGACCAAAAGGACAAGGGGCGTGATCATACCCCAGTGGAACAGGCGTCTGGGGAGTTAATCTGTCAGCTACGTCTTACGAGCTGGCAACGTCTCGAGAAGATGGGAAAAGAGGCTTCGGGCGGAAAAGTAACGAGACTTGGGATTCATCATTGAGAGAGAAACCACAACTCACTCCCAATTTTCCTTCTTCCTCCTCTGTCCAGGGGGAGGGGGCTAGAAAGACCGAGGGGGGAGAAAGCAAGTCAACATCATGGCTGAAATGACAAACGACCACATAGTGACACTCACCCTTTCTCCAAAGATCCATCCGGTTGGTGCGTTAAATCCTCCTCCACCGCCTGCGTGTCGTCTTCCAACAGTAGCAACGCCTGGTGCTGCTTTCAGACCCGTTCTGAGCGAGGATAAGGGTCGAAGAGAGGCCATGACTTGGATTAGTGTCCTCAGGCAAATGGATAGCCAGAGAAAAGGGAGGGGAGAGGAGGGAGAGATGCAGAGCAGGTCGGTCGAGCTTCGAGTTGTCGCATGGTAAATTGCGCCTAAAAGAGCACTGGAAAATAGGCGTCAACGTCCCGCGTCATAACGTTGCCGAATGCTTCGGCTTCCATTCATTATGCTCGTCTGCAGCGCTGCAGCTCGCTGGATTGCTATAGATCCCACGAACCACAACCCGGTAGCATGGGGGATACATATAGAGGAGTATCATGACGAGCGATCTGGAGCCATTTCAGCTATCAAATGTATTGACAGATTTGTATCATCAGAAGGATCTGTTAGACCTCTCCGCACCGGGTGAGTGACAGGGCATTCATCCTCGCTATCGTGGTCTACTCTGACTGATGATTGCCTCAGGTCCTTCATCTCCTCCCCGGAACAATGCCACACCTACAGGAGGGACAGGCTCTCTGTTCGCTTCCGCTTCGTCTATCGTCGGTGCAGCAGGGAGAAGAGCAGCAGCCGTCGCTTCGGGTCAAGGCTCACCTGCATCTCCAAGCCGCCTGGGCCGGTCGACTGGATTAGAACGCGACGATAGTGTTGACGGTACCGGGGGAGCAGATTCATCAAAGGGATCATCGGAGCAGAGAATAGAGATCAGATGTGTGGAGGCTTATGGGAGTAACCTGTATCTCGGCAGATCCGACGGAGTGATTGAATGGTGGACTTGTGATGGATCACCGGGGTCAAATCAGGTGAGTGAGAGCTCTGGCAAGACTTTGAGCTCGTTTCTCGATAGAACCTTCCTTCTAGAGTCAGAGGACTCATGCCCTGTAACTCAGAATAATCCCGGATGGACACTTCGCAACAAGCACACACTCTTCCCTCGACGTCCAATGAATCGCCTGACCATCTTACCTCAAGTATCGAGATGTTTTGCCCTCTCAGAAGGGACCATCCACCCATTATCCCTGCCTTTCCTCGAACCTTTACCATCTACGGTCGTCGCGCCACTAAGAGGCGTCGTGAGCGTGATTCTAGATGACGATGAGCTAGAATGGGACGGAGAAGGATCAGAAAATAATCGAACGGAAATGACAGTCGTGATCGTTCGCCGGAGAGGCCTGGGGATATATAGAATGGGAGGTAGAATGATACCCCAAAAGGTGTGACACAATGCTTTCTACTGCCAAATGTGCACTGATCAATTCTCATCAGGAAATCCCCCTACCTTCCCCTCCTTCTGTTCACGCTCTCGCTTCCAACTACCTCTGTGCATGTCTTCCACATTCTTCCACCTACGCCTTGATCGACTTTTCCGACGCATCCTTGACGGAAGTCTTGCCCGTATCTCAAGTAGAACCTTCGCAATTGGGTTTCGACCCAAAACCCAATATCGCCGTCGTTCCTGGAGAAGGCGAGTTCCTAGTAACGAGTTACACCGGAGTCAACACGATGGGTGTGTTCCTCAACGGTCAAGGAGATCCGGTCAGAGGAACTGTTGAATGGGCTCATCATCCATTATCTCTCAGTGAGCCGAAAAAAAAATATCCATGTTCGAGGTCGAAGTCCATCACTGACATGTCTCCCGGCCAGCCGTCGAATCAGGGTACATCCTCGCCCTGCTTCGCAATCACTCTATCTCTATTCACACCCTTTCAGACCTCGAAGCGCCGGTCCAAACCATCTCTTTAGACCCAACCACCAGCCCGTTTGCGTTCAGCTATACGCCATATGGCGTGGCCATCCGCAATTGGATCCGAGACGACCGCATGGCATCCTCACGTATGATCCTGCTCAGTGGCAAAGTCGCGCCATCCACCTCGTCAAGTTCGTCCAAACCTATCTCCATCCCCACATCTCAAGCGCCAGACTCCATGACATCTCCATCGAACTCTGATCCACTGGACGAGCCGCCTTCCGGCTCAGGATTGACTCCGCCATCTTCACCTCCTCCCTTCTCTCGCCGTCCTATCGCTCCTCAGCGGAGCTCCTCCCTAATTCGCGCCACGGCGCCCTCTGCAAAATCGCCATTCTCCACCACAATCACAGAGACTTTAATCGTCGGTCCCAATGGCCTTCAAGCGATTTCACCGACATCAGCCATCACAAAGCTTGAGATTCTATGCAAAGATGGCAAAATAGACGATGCGATGGTCGTCGTGGAGGAAGAACGGCAGAGAGGCAAAAAGGGTCAATTTGACGGAAGCAAGGTGAGTCGAGAAGGTATCCGACTCTTATCTCACACGTTGTCAGGCCATCCATCAAGGGACCATGCGATTCCTTCATCTCTATCTCGCTTGCTACTTGATCATGGAGACTCGATTCGAGGCTGCTGGTGATCATCTGTATCGAGGCAAGATTGATCCAAGGCTACTCGTTAGACTCTTTGCGAGATTGCGAGGCAAAGTGATCGGCTCAGCAGAGGAGATTGACGTGTTTGAAGGTCTCAAGCAGACCTTGATGGATATGCCTACCGTTGAGACCATTAGTGAGAACAGCTATCCCTCATTTTGCAATTCTCAGCAGCTGATCCGGGCGGCCAGTTACCACCAGTATCAAGCGAAACTACTCACCACACGTCTCACCCGACACTGCGCATGCACCTGAAACGATCGAACTGCGTCACGCTCTCGAAGACGAAGCCAATGCCATGTTGACCGAGTTCCTCCGAAAGACCCGGACGGCAAGACGCAAAGGTGGTGGTGCAAGGGGATTGGACTCTGCCAAGATCGACATGGTGATCGATACGACGCTCGCCAAGCTGTTAGCAGACGCAGGCACGACCAATGAGTTACTGGCTCTTTTGGCTGGACCGAACGATGTGGTCCTTGGTGAACTTGAGCCGTTCTTAGAAAAACGACCATACGTCTTGTCAACGGTCATGAGGCAGCAAGGCAAGATTGAGAGAACGTTGGCCATTCTCAAAGGGTGAGCCGTCTATGCTCTAAGGTTGGTGCATCTGCTGATGTGACCCACGCAGTATTGCTGAAAGTCCCGAGGGCGATCCATTGTGCGAGGACCCTGTCGACGAGATTGCTCAACAACTGGACGGGATGACGGATCCACAGCTTTTGCGTCAATATGCGCTCTGGCTGGTCGGGCGAGATCCTACAAAGGGGTTGGAGGTGGGTCTGAGTTACGACCCTTGCAATGCTGATCCGCGTCCAGATCCTCATTTCGCAGAGCGGAAACGGCGGAGTCAAGCTGGACGACGAAGAGCTCCTTGGTGAACTCCGACAGATCAGTGAAGACGCCGCCAATGTGTACCTTGAACACGTAGTTGTTCAGAAGCGCAGCCCCAGTCGACCTTTACACGAAGAGCTTTTGACCAAGTTGATCGATACGGCAGAGAAGCAAGGTGTGGACGATGGCATAAAGTATCACTTAGAAGAACTGGGTGAGCGTGCAATGTGAATAGCGGGAATTGGCCGCCTGACTTGTACTTTGCAGAGTCCGAATTCCGCCTCGGACCTGAATCTCAACCGTTTTGCGTTTTCTTGGCCGACGTCGCACCGCAGACACCAATCAAATTGACTCGTCTGAAGCTTCAGCTCTTCCTATGTGGTTCACCATTCTACTCTCTTCAAGCTGCCTCTGCGCGGCTCGCTACGATACCGTGGCTAAAATACGAACTGGCCATTGTCCTCGGACGACAAGGTAAAGACAAGGCTGCGCTTCAGTTACTGGCTCGAGATGTTGGTGACTCTGTCTCGGCACAAACATATTGCACGCAAGGGGGAGAGGTGATCCCGCCCAAAGTCGCACATGACGTTGCGTCTCACGTCCCCGAGCTTGCTGCTTGGGCGACCTTGGGTGACGTAGGGAGGAAGAGACGAGGGACAGTCGATGCGGCTGTCCAGGAGGGATTGGTCATGCACCTTTTGGGAGTTTACATGAAGGAAAGGTGAGTCATCCAAAGCGTCGTCAGATGGACCCCCAAAACTGAAAGGTACCAACTCGTTGCAGCAATTCAGCCAAGCAGACTGCTTCTCTGCTGAATGCTCAGTCACTCCATCTGGATGCACTCGAAGTACTCAAGCTGATCCCACCCGATTGGCCACTCGAAACTGTCTCCGCGTTCTTCCAACGCTCTCTCCGCCGACAGCTACATGATCAACATACTTGGCAAATCTTGAAATCCATCTCGGCTGGTCAAAATCTCGCTGTATCTGATGAGTTCCTGAATCAAGTCAGGTCGATGCCGCCAATATTGGATACCTCTGGACCTAAGAGCGACGGTTCAGGGGTAAGTCCAGGGTTCAGTATACCCGATGAAGGCAGTATACCAGAGTCTGAAAAGGTGTCAGAGAAGGAAGCTGCGGCGGGACCAGGAGGAGGAGGAGGAGGAGGTGGTGGTGGTGGTGATGATGAGAAGCTCGCTCGATCAGGAAGTGAAAGGACTTTGAATGGGGCTGAGGGTGAAAAGAGGCATACGAGCTTTTTCAGCCCTGAAGGGGTAGTCAAGGAACTTGCGGAAATCAGATCAGAGAGACATGCTTCGTCAGAAGGACAACCTAGGTCAATGGGATGATTGATGCATCGTGCTTGTTGTCACAGTGACGCCATTGACATCCTACCCCTCTCACTCCAGCTTCCACACTTGATGAGGCTTCAATCCGAGCTCCTTCAAGATCCCCGTCAATTCGCCTTGTTGAAATTCGGACGTCATTCGGCCGCAGACCGGATCCATCATGCTACATTAAAGGGTTAGCACGGATCACTCAAAAGGCTCCAGAACTCTGATCAGAGAGACGCTCACGCAGGTGGAAGAGAGACCAATACCATGACTCGTTCATCCCTTTTCAAGGGCTCAGATTTGGCGCTGCCCTTCCAAGGAAGCCAAGTTGAGTGATGATCAGGACCGTCGCCCATTCCTAAAGCTGAGGATATGCTGGAAGACGGCACGTCTCCTGAAGGGAATCGACGAACGTCGAGCAGTGGGCCGAATTTAGATTCGAGGCGGGGTATGCATCCTGTAGAAACTGGCCAATCGGCTTCCGCGTGATCCTCCGATGGCATAGCGTGCAACAGGAGGAGCTTTGGTAATGGTTGGGAGGGCGAGGATGAAGTGTTCAATGGATTTAAGTCGTCCCTTTCGAGATCATTTGAAGGAAATGGGGACGAGGACGGATTAAACTTGGAGAGGAATTGGAGAAATGGCGCTACGCCTGTACCAGTTGAGATCTGCGAGAATGTATGAGCTTTTGCATGTGAAGATGTGTGTGTTGTATATAAGCTCACCATGACTATACGATCGAATTGATACGGATTGATGGCGAACGTCGTGATCGGACCACGGACCCAGATCCTTTCCCCTTCTTTGGCTGAAAATACGATCCTGTTCGAACGAACAAAAGGTCAGGATGGAACCGAACCTTGAAGCGAGGCAGAAAACAAAAGGAAACTTCCAATCTCACCTTCCGACTTCACCTCCCTTCACGCGCTTCACCACCATTTTTAACAGACCATCCTCCTGAACATCATTTATGGGCGTATAACTCCTCTCGACTTGAATCGCGGGGCTCTTGATCGTTACATGTTGAACGGCCACCGCACCCTTTTCACTCTTTAGCTTTTCACCATCCATCCCCATCGCTTGATCTCCAAATTGCTTGCAGGACTCTGGGTCGACCGGTATCTCGATATACCTGTGTCGAGGGCTCAACCGGGTGATCTTCGATACGACTCTTGGCATATGTTCATCAGGTGAGAGTTCGCCAGAATCATTTTTCATAACATAAATGACCAGACCGACGTGCACTGCAGCTGAAAACAGCATGGACCAGCCTAGTATCTTGAGAAATCGGAGTCGTGCAGGAGATGGATTCTTCAATCTCTCCATGAGGGAAGGTCGAGCGGTCAGGGGAGGTGTTTGGGTTCCTTCGGCAGGAGTAGCATCAGGGGGACGTACCTCAGGACGAGGAGACACGGGTGTGATTCTCGACGACCCCTCCGAAGTGATTTCTGGAAGCTTTGGACGTCGACTAGGAGTTGAAGATGATGAGCGGTAGTAGAATGCTGATGTGACCGGTGGGGAACGAAGAAGCACACGTTCTGTGCAGAGCGTTCGATGTCGACATGGCAGTCTGATGAATGAAGCGGACGAGGAATTCGGGGGCATGATGCCTCGGATCACACCTTTTGAAGAAGATGCTACCGGAGTCAAGAGCGAAGTGTAGCTCATATTAGGTTATTGAGGTCGACCCAAGAGCTGTTCATCAAGACTCTAAAACTTTACGCGATCCAGCTTGAGGATAGATAGATATTCCAGACGTCCTGCTAGCTATAGCATTTGGGCCGAAAATTCGGAACCCCGTTCGATCGCTGAAGATCACTTACTTTTCCACGGTCGACAAAAGCCTAAAAAGTCAGGAATTGACCCATCTTCGCGCTCGGTAGAGCAACAATCACCAATCACAACTGTCACCGGATGCCTCGCTCTCCATCGCCTGAAGGGCGTAGAGAACGCGAAAGGTCGCGGAAATACGGCTTTGATGATGACGAAGATGTTGGCTCGAGCTCGAGATACCGCGAAAAGGAGGACAGGCATCGTCGAGAGGAGAGAGAGGACTCGGCAGCGCTAAAGGCGAAGGATCGAAGAGACCGGGAAAGGGACAGGAGTAGAGACCGTGAACGAGGGCGAGACAGATATGATGATGAGAGGCGGAGAGACAGAGATAGAAGGCGAGACAGAGATGATGATGATGAGGATCACGAGCGACGCAAACGAAGGGATAGGGACAGGGATAGGGACAGGCATGATGATGCAGATCGTAGCAGGCGGAAAGAGAAGCGTAGAAGAGAGTGAGTGGATAGCGACGGCAATGTCCCCGTGCCAACTACAGAGAAACTCATGTTCCGCAGCTCCCGTACACCGTCACCATCGGACCGGTCCCGACGCAAGGAAGCCAAGGCAGCTGCCAGAGCCGCCTCACGGCGAGAAGCTGAATTGGAACAGGCTCGAAAACTTGCCGAGTTGTCCATGTACTCTGCCACTGACAACCCGTTCCACGACGCCAATTTGGGTGAACAATTTGTATGGAACAAGAAACGAGAGAAGGAGAAGAAACAGGGATTGTCTCTGGATGACATTTCGCGTAAAGATGCACTGAGACGACAAGAGGCGAAAGAGGAGCTTGAAAAGCTCAACAAACGACGAGCTGAACGAGAGGTGGAAATGCAATTGAGAGAAGAGGAAGAAGCTCGCATGGCTCGATTGGCGGAAGATGCTCAAATGGCAGAATGGATAGCGAAAGAAGATGATTTCCAGTTGGAACAGAGTCGTCGACGGGCTGGTATAAGATTACGGGAACAGAGAGCCAAAGCCATCGATTTCTTGGCTATCAATCTGCGCTTTGCGGATGCCCGATCGCTGGGGAAACACACAGCTGCCATTGGATCTTTGTCGAATCCTAGAAAGTCGGAGATGGAGCGAGAGGAAGAAGAAGAGGGTTGGGGATGGGCAGATGCTGGATTCGAATTTGAGATTGATGAGCCTTGGAAAATATTCGAGGTGAGTGTCTGGTTGGCGTAAAGGAAAGGGAGTCTGACTGATTCGAGCAGAACCTCAACTTGGAAGATTGCGTCGAGCTCGAGCAAGATATCAGAATGTATTTGTCGCTGGAAAAATCGCCCATCCATATTGAGTTCTGGGAGGCGCGTTGACATTTCGCCGGTGATCCCGTCCCCTTGACTGACTCATCTTTTCCAGGCTATGATGGAAGTCTGCCGTTACCATTTAGAGAGACTGCGCGACCCAGAGCATGCCGAGGGCGGCCGTCTTTTCGATCGTCAGGTGGATGATGACGCTGGGAACATCGTATCTGGTCTCAGTCTTCAACGATTGATAGAACTGGAGAACAGGACGAACAATATGCTTAGAAGTGGCCAGCCTGTCGATGGAGAGTTCTGGGACCTGGTTCTGAAGAAGATTCAGGTCGAAAAGGCCATCGTGAGTGAATTCAAACCAAATGTGAAGGCCACCCACCCATTTGATCTCGCTCAGAGTAAACTCAACTCGATCCACGAGGTCGTTCTCAAAAATCGTCTGGAGCAATTCAAGAAGCGACAAAGAGAAGACGCTGCCAAAGTTCAAGCAGAACTCGGAGGGACCATTGTCACAGCTCAACCTGAAGCAAATGCCTTTGGTGGCGATATGCATGCTGAAGTCGGAATTCCCGATGATGCGGACGACGAAATGGATGAGGACGACTTTGTGGAGGATTACGATCCAGAGATGAGTCCCCCACGTTTGGATCCAAGGGAAATGCAATTCGAGGAACGTCGTCTGCCCATAGTCGAGGAAGAAGAATATCTCCGGGCTTTGGTATGTCTCCACTTCCCACTGTCGGTCTAACATTTTCTTTCAGTTCGCCGCTCGTCACGCCATCACCTCTGCGACCTTTGTCCCACGACACGTTGTTCATCGGCCGACCGCGCCTACTACCTCAGCATCAGTCATTAGACCTTCGGCGGCCGACATTGAAGCTGAGCGAATCTACCGGGAAGAAGCGCAAAGAGAGAAGAACGAGCTTGGATCTGATGAGTCTGAGGAGGAGTTTGGTGATTTAGACGAGACGCTCGATCTGGCGATCCCGTCGACGTACGATTGGAGCGATCGATATCGACCCAGGAAGCCGAGATTCTTCAACCGTGTGCACACTGGATACGAGTGGAGCAAGTACAATCAAACCCACTACGAGTAAGTCTTGTTCCCTGCGCCCGCTCGCGTCTCCCAACTGACATCTGTCATAGCACGGACAATCCGCCGCCGAAAGTCGTTCAAGGCTACAAATTCAATATCTTTTATCCAGACTTGATGTAGGTAATTCTATATCAATTAAGCTGAACGATCCACAGTGATAAAAGCAAAGCCCCGACCTATTACATCAAACGAATTCCTGACGATCCCGATACTCAAATGATTGTATTTACCGCTGGACCGCCATACGAAGACATCGCCTTCAGGATCGTTCGGCGGCCATGGGAGTATTCGCATCGTAAGGGCTTCAGAAGTCTATTTGATCGAGGTGTATTGCAATGTGAGTCGGTTGTCGCCTGTATGATACGGGCTACTGATCGTGCTTGCAGTGTATTTCAACTTTGGTCGATCATTCTATCGCAAGTGATTGTCGAAGATTGCAATGTCCATGCATGCATATGTTTCGGTCACTATACACCGCATCGCCAAGCTATACTGTTGTCCTTCTTCGTCTCTCACCCGCCAGCTCGGCCTAAGGTCGGTCGCAGAGGTGCAGAGAGACGTCTCTCCACTTTGGAGTGTCGACAAAGGTCGAGTTAACCATGACCCTGGTCACTTTAACAGTCTCGTCAAACAAGTCAATCTTCTTGTGTCCGACACTCTTCCCGCCTGAGAGTTTCTGCCATGACTTCCCTTGTCCTTCAATCTGGGCAAAGACGCCGTACGATCGGATGACCTGACCGTTTGTCTGGTCCTCCATGAGCACGACTCGGTCGATTGAAGTTGGCTCATCGAATGAGAATTCGATCGATCCGTCTTTGTGAATCTTTCGAGTGTATTCGACAGGATGATCATAGCATTCCCGGACGAACTGACCTAGCTGAGCGTACACTTCAGCGTGTTCAGGATCGATCAGACCATGTCGATTCGGTGAAACGCCAAGTTCGAGGAAACAGTTCCTACCGACCGTCTCGTGGTAGAGTTGGACCATTTGAGCATATGAACGAGCGGCGACTCCTTCGCCCCAGAACCATCGTCCGTTGGCGTAAGTCGCTGTATCACATTCGGCAGGGGCGAAGAATTCGCTTTCTGGATCTCCGCCATCATTGGAAACTCCGCTGGAGGGGGGGAAATCAGCTAGAACTCATCTAGGAGAAGCGACCTGGCCGGCCGGCCGGCCGACTTACGTTGACCAATTGTCGATAGGCGCGTGACCCTCTTCGGTACCGACCCATCGAACTGTCGGTTGAACTCAGAGAGAACGCCACAAAGATGTTTTCAAGAACATGACTCACTGGGATTGGGGGTGACACAAGATCCGTCTGCTCCGCATCCATTGAAGCAGACTGCATCGGGCTGATACTTGGCGAGTAATTTTCTCAGTCGATCTATCTGTGAGTCGACGAAACCTCCATCGAACCAGATCTAAGTGCGAAATGATAAGTTCATCATCTCCGACCGGTCAGCCAGCTTCTGAAGCCTCACCTCGGTCAACTTTCCATTACTCGACCAGAGTTCTTCAAGCTGAGCCATGACGATGTTGTCGTATGTCTCTCTAGTGATTGGCACCTGACCGGAAGCGAGACCGGTGTCGTTTACATCGAAATTGTAGACGTTCAAGAAGTTGTTATAGTCGAGACTGTAGTAGAACCCAGGATCAACGTCGTACCGTTTAGCCGACTCGGTGAATTGAGCGACAATGTTTTGACCAGCAAGAGGAGAGTGCTGGATCGAATAATTGTAAGGGACGATGCCATTACCATGCGTCGAAGGGAAAGAAATCTTGGTGGGCCAAGTGGTGAATCCGCAATTATGCTTGGCAACGTAGGTAGCCGTCTTTGCGCCCAGAGCAGTGATGGCTTCCATCCAATTATCAGTGCTCAGTTGATCAGGGGAGAAGATGTCCCGATCAGGGAGCAAATGACGTTGAAAATTGCATCCATCGCTCGAGATGAACGTAGCGATATTGAAATGGATGATCACTCCAATCTCCTTGTCCTGGAAAGCCAGCTGTTGAGGCGTCGGCAAGGCAATCTTGGAGCCGTCGATCGGTGAAAGTCTGTAATGAGGGTGAGAGGGGGAGGCTGAGGAAGACGCATCACCGAGGATCCATCTGAGCCCTTGAAGTGACAATTGAACGAGATTCTTCATTTTAGAAGGTGTATGTTGTTTTGTCCAGCAATGCAACAGTACAGAGTGTGAGAGATGTTGAAGCTTCAAAACTTCATGTGCTAGCTCAGCTCAGCTTGCCTTTTAATGGAGGAATATGGCTTCGGTCAAATGGCGCCGTCTTTGCCCCCACTTCCGGCACGCCGCTTTGACCGGAAAAGTGGCTTTTTATCTCGGGCTGTGTGGGATGGTCCGAAAGACTGTTCATGTATCAGTAGTGGCAGCCATCTGCGGCTTCCGAGTCTCCCCTTCCTGGGGAAAACGCCATCGGGGAACTCCCGGCGTAGACTCAACGCTATCTAGGTCAGAGGATGTTGGTCATTCTGAAGGATGGATCAGGTCGAATCTTAATCCATATAGTCGCTTCTTCACGAGAGATGGACATTGGATTGGCTCCGATCGATTGAGCGACTCGATCTATTCATCGGTCAAAGTCTTCGGACACTATGCGTTTCGATGCAGAAGTCTCTTGTCCCAGTCGGAAGACCTTTACTGACTGAATTTCTACACTCGTATGATGACCACTTGATACGCCACAACTAATCCGCAGCTGTGCCGCTCAGCCCGTCGAGCCGGTTCGACAATGATCTCACGGTAGCTCTTCGGCCAGGCAGTAGATCCATCGAGACGATTGGCCATCCAGACCTGAAAATATATATGGATGTTGGAGATTGGGTGACTTTGCAATTGAAGCGAGAGACGTTTGTACCATGGTTGTACGTGCGTATCTTGTATCTATCGAGGTACTGTGCATCCGTAGCTTTTTGTTCCTGGGACGAATGGTTGTGTCCATAATAGCGGCACTGATGACGATTGAGGCGAGGAGATGCGTGAGGCCGACCTGGTTCTAGACGGGAACGATCGACGTGATCACGGCACCCTCCCTGAATGGGATTGCTGTAAATTGCAAGCGACCTCTAGTTCCAAGAGATAAGCGTCGGACATGCGAGTGAGCGTCGGTACGTCCGAGAAAGAGGTACAGTCATCTTGTGAGACATCCGGACTGTGTGTTCTCAAGACGCAACTCCTTCCCACTCATGTATCGCATGAGCGTTTACTCCGGCCCGTTTTTGAGCTCTTTCAAGCCCTCGCTTTTCCTTCTTGCTCTTCTCTCTAGTTCCTCCGCCTGTTGTGATTGGAGCGGTACCAGGCTCGTCCGACCACGCTGCAATCTCATACGCGTTGGTGCGTTGTTCAGATAAAAGCATAGTGTTCATGTATCGTTGTCGGCGAAGTCGTTGATGGTATCGGATCCAGCCGGAGATCTAGAGCAGACATGAGCGGACGAAGCGTCAGCGTTCCGAATGCTACGTGGTAACGATGGCACTCAGTGGATATGTGACGCTCACCTTGAGAAACAACATCAATCCGCATAATGCGAGTACAATGACACCTGCCGCTACTGCCGTCTTGACGATTTTACTCGTCGCATACGAGTACGGTGTAATCACTGTCGTCGTTGGTCTCTTCGCCGACGCCGTACCGGACGCAGATGTAAGGTGTGAGATGGTAGCCACTCCATGCTTGTGCATTGTACGGGCCACAGCGGGCTAATGGCCGATCCCACCTGCAGTCTTTGTGGGTAGCGGGGCGAGGCGACACGCGCAGCACGGCCTTCGCCGCTCGCTGCTCTGGGGCTTAAAAATGCCACGTCAAACCCCTTCCGCTTCGGGAGATTATCACCTCATCCGGTGTCCTCCGCTCCATGAGTCCTGCTGCAGGCGCATAATTTTTGCTTCCGTCCACTTTGGGCAGCACGCGCCGAGTTCTTTTCTTTTTGACTTTTTTCCCCTTTCTCTTCCTTTACTTTCTTCTTTCGAACACCAAAAATTATTGTATATACTATATAAAGGGGGGAGGTTTGCTGCTGCTGCATCTTCCTCAGCTGTTCGACACCGACTCCACACGCTCCTTGCAACCCACTCACTCGATACAACCCAAGCATCTTTTTCACGTCGGGTAACCACCACCCTCACTTCGTGTTCACCGAAATAGCCGAACATTAGCAGCGCCTGTAGATTCAAGGAGCGCGCGTCCATTCAGATCAACATGACTCAACCTTTGTTCTTCTCTGGCCAACCTGGTCTGGGTTCTGGGTCGACATTGAAGCCCAAGCGAAAGTACTCTGGCGACGAAGAAGAGCCAGAGCTTGCCCAACAACAGCAGCAACAGGTGAGCCTAGAGATCAGTGGCTCCTCTGACACATCGCAGACTTTCTCCCTCCCGCCTTTCAAGAGGCGAAACACTGTCTCGGACTCATACGCTGTCCCTGAACTGGTTCCTGACCATTCGAACTCAGCTTCAGACGACGATATCGCCATGGACCAGGATCAAGGCATGGAATCGCTCGAGTCGCCTAATGAGATGGACAGAGATGGGTGTGGCATCGCCATGGGCAGGAATTACGCATATGAAAGCGGAGGGTCAGGAGGGTTCGGGTTTGGTCCGGGAGCAGAAGAGGATGACGTGATGGAGGAGGCGAGCAGTGGTCACTCCAGTGAGTCGACACGTCCTCTTTGGAGATTTTCCACCTGACCCGTCTTCAGCCAATTATCCCACCGTTTATCCTTCGCTCACTCCTCATCCCAACCCAAACCATTTTTCAAACCTCCCTCCTTACACTAACTCTGCCTCGTTCAACACTTATACTGCACCTCCTGAGAATGCCGTGTCTTTCACCGTTCGACCCAAATCACCTCTATCAGCCCAAGCATTCTCTACCACGTTAGCCCCTCCATCCCGATCAGCCGGTCTCCTTCAACCGACCATCAACGCTCCCCTTGGTCCCGACGCCACAGCCATAGAGCGTGTTCGAGCCGCCCATGGACCCCAGTGCAAGAGTATTCCTAGGCTCACCGTCAGCCCCTATCCGGACCCCATAACGGGTAGTCAGACCATGTACTCGATGTGTCCGGATTGCGGCACCATTGAGAAGGTCTGAGCCTCAAGGTAGTGTAATTTTATAGGAGCCATAGAGCTTCCTACCGGTGTTCTCTACGCGATGCGAGTCATCGTAGTTGTATAACTTTGTATTCTGTTTGATATCCGTTGCCAAAATTTTTCCAAATATACATGCTTGTATATACAATGTGCGAAGTGCGAAAGACAAATGCAAATAGTGTACAGATACAGTTAGTGGTCCTCCTCCCTACTGCTAGTCTAAGATCCTTCGTTCACGCGAAATCTTCAGCTCGTTTACGCCGTCTCTTTGGCTTGGGTTCTTCATCTGTTGCCGTGTTGGTGTCCTGTTGATCCCCGCTATGTTGGGATACCGGCTCCCCATCATCATCAAACACGATGTGTTGAGGGTGGTTACCCTCATCCGACTCCATCTCTTCGTCGTCATCTCCTCCTGGCTCCTCATCCTCTCCGTCTTCATCATTCTCAAGCCTTTGGCCCGTCTCGGCAACGAATCGAAACCTTCTATCCATCCCAGTCCTCTCAATGGACTCGGCCTCTTCAACCGCTCGCTTAGCTTGAGACTGAGCCATAGCCTGCGCAGAAGTCGAAGCGTGATGTTCTTTCTGACTCTTCGGTATGGCGGATGAGATGAAGCGATTGGCAGCTGGTACATCAATTTTCCGGCTGGGCTCTGGGTTATGGCGCAGCATTTATCAGCTTGAAAAGCTCTGTCTCCCATGAGCCGGCGCCACTCACGAGCTTTGGGCTCTTCGGCAGCTCTTATCTTGCCATAATATGTCTTGATACGGTCCTACAGGACCCGTCGTCAGCACAGTCGCCTGAATCAAGAATCGGATCCTCCACTTACAAGCTCTGTCGATACGTCGTGCGAGGCAGGATCAACCCCTTTGACCTTGAGATACACTGGCGAAACATGTCAGTACCGCCGTCATTTATACAGCCAGAGCGACTGGAGATTCCAACTACATCTGAGGCATTCCACTCACTCCAAACGAGGTCGTTGATCGCATAAGCCATCAATATGTCCAGCTTTGCCCTGTCCAAAGGATTCATCTGGTCAACGGTTTCCGTCCATGATGGTCTCGACAAGACAGCTTCGAAAGCTTGCTCGAGCTCTGGCAAGGTCTTCAGTAGCCCTGCTATGGATTCTGATGGATCAGAATCAGCCATCATGAGGTAGCAAGGTATTGGTTCAGCGGTGCTCTCATACTCACCATGCCAACATAATTCCCAACTTTTTCCTTCAGCACGTGACTCATTCTCATCAGATCAAGCCAAAAAAAATGTGGCCCAAGTTGTTCTCTCTTCTTTCACGCAACCCATACATACCTCATGGCGTCCTGAACGATACAAATCACACACGGAGAGACGACCAACACGGGCTTATTGCCAGAATACGCAGTGTGACTGCGTGTCCTCGTTTGAGGGGTTCTCGGTGAATGACAAAACGGCTCGAGAACCCCATAGTTTTGGACAGACATTCAAGACAGATCTCGGTCCTTTCATGTATATCACTAAGAGGACGAGCTCGAGTGGCTCGAGAGGCTCCCCGGAGGTGACTGCTTTCTTCTTGCTCTGTGACTGTTGGGACTCAAGCCGCGTATTCAGACCGTGGCGATGACTCATGATGGGGACTTTCTCTTTTTCCCTTCGTCACTCGTCTTTCCTTTCAATCATGCCCTCCCTTGTCGTCTCCGTGCTTTTGGCGTCTGTACCAAGAGGGCTGATTATGAGACTCGTAAAATGAGCGTCAGGCGTACGAGGACAGGTGGGCAAGAGGGCTGAAGGAGAGGGGTGATCAGGCAAGTGATTGGGTTCTTCCCCTCACTCGCTCCTTCCCCCTTCGGCCGCGGGTTTTACTTACCACCTCTCGTTGACTTACTGGCGAAGGCAGTAAGGTGGACTGTACCCTCATTCTCTCCTATTGAGCAATCAAGCTGAGCTTGCCCTCCTAATCCCTCCTCTTTATCGCACCCAAACTTACCTCGAGAAAATCTATTCTATCTTCAGGTCGACACTGACCCCCCTTCAATCAAGAGATTGTGGACCCCTTCGCTGTCAAAGACTCCACAGTCCTCTCTTTGTTCACTGCAAAGATCAACCTAGCCCCCATTTATCTCGTCCGGTCTACTTGCCCGACTACTCGACTGCCCGACTGCCCTTTCTCTCCCTGAACCGATGTCTCCCTTACAATCCCCCTCCACTGTCGGGTGCTTGACCGTATCTCATTTCCCACCCTACAGTGCTCCGAATGCCAATGCGGCACCAGAATCCTATGCACGTCTGAACGTCTCATCCAATGCTGGCCAGACCTCAAAAAGAGCTACGCAAGGCAACGCGCAAAAGCCACGAGCAAGGCGGTCTCGAAAGAAACCGCCCCCTGCTTCCCGCTCTCTGCAACAAGCCAGATCGACGAAAGGATCCACTCAAAACTATGAAGGCTCGACGGGGTACCCTCCATATACTGGCAGCTTGCAGACTTTTTCACTCCCCTTCGTGCCGGATACTCCTCATTCACCCCTCGATGCCAGCAACACCCACCATGACTTTCCTGCTATCCCTCGCCTTCTACCTCAAACGCCTCAAGTCACCGCCTCCCCAGTACGGTCTGTCAAAAGAGGCGAGTTTGACAACTCTTGAATCTCCGACAGACTTTCCCCCTGCGCTGTGATGCGTGTCTCTGGCGAGTCTCTTGCAAAGTCCATAATACACTGTCGGAGGAGGATCGGAGCTCGAAAACACTCCCGGTTGAATGTTTCACTGACGTCGGCCTTTTACACAGGCATCAAAAGTTCAAGTTCTCTTCCATCGCCACTGACCATCGATACGGGGCAACAACACCCAATCACTCCCAACACTGACCAGAGCAGATCAAAAGCTTCGTCTACCGTATCACCTTCGGCTCCACCCACTGGTACGCCGCAGACTTTTACTGAATCTGCTTCGAGAAATTCTTGTGACGGTCTGGCGGTGCGAGAAACGGTTACAAGCCTGACGTCCATCGAAGAGCAAGAACAGCAAGATTGGGCTAAGTATCAAGCTCTCGCTCGTTCCCGCCTTCCAAGTGCTTCATTACAGATCAAGGCAGAATCCAAGTCCTCCAGCATAGAGACCAAGCCCACACCGCAAGAGACCAAGACCGCCGCCCCGGTCGACTTGGAGCAATTCTGGGTGTCACACTGGCCGCCCAGAAACGAGAGGGAAGGCATGTTTGACAATATTGCAGCGATGTTTGGAGGAGGTCTGGGGGTCGGAGCGGCAGGTATGGTCTCTTTAAGCGTTCAAGGGGAATTGCAACAGCTCAAGAGTGCTCCAGTGCTAAATCCGCATTTTGGGATGGTGATCAAGTAGTGAGCGTTAGGGCGTTCGAGCTCAGTCATAGGTCGCTGACCCGCTTCACCCAGTCTTGATTGCTTGAATCGACTTATGGATGGCCTGGTTCTAACCATGGGTCCGTCAGGAGTCACGCCTTGGTTAGTGGAAGTTCAGACGTTGATACGATTACTACAGAAGAGAGTGTTTCAGCGAATGCCTCTGTCAGTGATTTCCAGCATACAATGGGAGTGGGGATTCAGTGTTGATGAGCGCCTCCTTAGGACTATGCCAGAGCGATCGGCTCTGCTTAACTTCGCGAGCTATTGGCGCCGGATGGTCCAGCCACCGGTGAGTACAGCAGTCCAGCCCAACGCTGACAGGTACAGTATGCTATGGGTAGACCGGAAGCTCAACTCGTCTTAATCACACTAACTGAACTCGCCTCAAAATGATCGATACTCTGTGCTGAAACACTAAAGTACTTTATCATATGCATGCTTCTTATCGGATCGACGGGGATCCCGACAGGGATTGCATTGTGTCATACCGGTCCCGGCCTGCTCTACGCCCTAAAGGAGGCCCTTGGGAGGTCACAGGTCCCTCGTCTGCGTTGCCCCTGTCTGCCACGCCTCTGCCACAAACCGCCGCTGATCAGAATATGAGATCCCCGCGGTTCCCCACCTCACGTGACGTCCACCATCTGGGTCCGGCTAAGATCCGTCGCTTGCAGATAGATGCATCCGGCTCTCCTGAATTCTAACATTAATAAAACCGGTCGCTGCACCATTGATCTTTGAACATACATTCGCCAATATGCCAGCATCACGAGCCTCAGTCGTGCGACTTTTGTCCGCTACCACACATCAAGGCTGCCGAGGATGCGGGAGGACACATGGATCTGCTCATCGCAGTCTTGCGACCCCCGCTGACATGCCCATCGGGATGCCACCGGGAAAGAGCGAATATGCTTTCGAGGTGAGTTCTTGACATGTTGAGAGCATGCACTGAAGGGGGATCAGATGGCTGCTTCAAATCTAAGATTCGGAGTTGGAGCGACCAATGAGGTCGGTATGGATCTTGCCAACATGATCAATAGTCTGCCACCTTCTGAACGACACAACGCCAAGATCGGAGTGTTCACGGACAAGAACGTAGCTCACTTAGCAGTCATGCAAAAGGTGGAGGCGAGTTTAAAGAGGGAAGGCTTGGACTGGCAACTGTTCGACAAAGTCTCTGTAGAGCCCACCGATGATTCCTGGAGGGTGAGTAGAGAGGGGGCTCGGAAGGAAGACTCCATTGACGTTTGGTAGAATGCGATCGACTGGACGAGAAATTCCAACATTACTCACTTTTTGGCCGTTGGAGGTGGATCTGTCATGGATACTGCGAAAGCTGCCAACCTGTTTGCCAACTATCCCGAAGCGGATCTCATGGACTTTATCAACGCTCCAATTGGCAAAGGTCGACCGATCGATAAAAAACTTAGCCCGATCATCGCCATCCCTACAACCGCGGGTACAGGTTCAGAGACGACCGGAACTGCCATCTTGGACATCAAAGCTAAAAAATTCAAGACTGGTATCGCGTCTCGAGCCTTGAAGCCAACTCTTGGAATCGTCGATCTGGATAACACAGCCACGTGTCCCAAACACGTAGCCATCAGTGCAGGTCTTGATGTCCTGTTCCATTCGTTGGAAAGCTGGACAGCCATCCCATACTCTGAGCGTTCGCCTCGGCCTGCCAACCCACTCCTTCGACCCGCTTACCAAGGATCCAATCCCATCTCTGACATCTTCTCGTTCTGGGCCCTGAAGCAGACCGTCAAATATCTCCCAAGAATCGCTCGAGATCCCGGTGACGTCGAAGCTAGACAACAGATGCTCTTGGCAGCTTCATCAGCAGGAATTGGATTCGGCAACGCAGGTGTCCACATGCCCCACGCGTTCTCTTACCCCATTTCTTCCCTCAACAAGGCGAGGGCAAAGGAGAGGCAATACATGCACCCTTCTTACGATCCCAACGTTGCTTTGATCCCGCATGGAGTAGCAGTCTCTTTGACCGCCCCGGCAGTCTTCGAATTTACAGCTCCTGCTTCTCCTCAAAGACATCGAGAGGCGGCCGCGGTATTCATGGGAGATCGAGCGGGAGAACTAGACAGAGTCAGAGATGAGGATATAGGAAGGGTCCTGGGAGAAGAAGTGAGGAGGTTCTTGGACCTCGTAGAGGTGCCGAGAGGCCTTCAAGGTGTTGGATACCTCAATGAGGACATTTCATCGGTGAGCGATTCGTCACACGTACTAGGCTGACCTCCTCCTAGCTCGTGCAAGGAGCGCTGCCTCAACGCCGAGTCTTGGACCTCGCCCCGCTTCTTTCTAGCGAGACTGCGGAACAAGTGGAACAGCTCACTGGAATCATTGAAAACTCTATGAAGTGGTAGGGAGAGACAGTAGGTAGATCCATCATACCAGATCTAGTCTATGCACTCGAGTTTGTCGCACCATGCAATTTGACTGCCATCGAGACACCCGAGCAAGTTGCCGTGGGACGGAAGCAAAATTTCTGATTCATGATGTTGAGCATTTGGTCGGGACAGACTGTCAATTGTTCTATGGCCTACAAATTCCAACATGGCTGCCCCTAACGGTCCACCTGGACCACCACCAGGCGCCCCGCCATCGTTTCCATCCAATGGCATGGCTAGACCGCCGGGTCCGCCTGCAGGGTAGGTTGTCGGCAGTCTGCTCCTGTTGATTTGACTGATTTTTCCTCCAGAGCTCCATTCCAAGCTCAACCTGGGATGGGATTTCCAGCCTACGGAGCATTTCCACCACCTCCACCTACGCTGATGCCTAATTTTGCTCCTCCTCTACCCCCAGGATGGACCGAACATCTAGGTGGGTATGCCCCTGAGTTGGCCCCCTGCTGATGTTATCAGCTCCAGATGGTCGAACGAAATATTACTACAACAGTAATACCAAAGAATCGACTTACACTCGCCCGACGTTCATCGCCAATGGAAACGCCGTCGCTTCATCCTCCACTGCTGAGGCTCCAAAGAAGAAGAAGAAGGAAAAGGCCAAAGATAAAGTGTCTATCCCCGGAACGACATGGCAACGGATCAAGACTAATGAAGGGAATGTGTTTTACTTTGAAAAGGAGTCCAAAAGATCAGAGTGGACGATCCCCGAAGAGATAAAGGTAGAAGTGGAAGCTCTCGAAAAGGATGAGCAAGAGGCCGCTGCTGCCTTAGCGAGGGAGAAGGAGTTAGAAGAAGAGCGTATCAGAGCAGAGATCGAAGCGGAGAAAAAAAGGATACGAGAGGAAGTCGAGGCGAACAGGAAGCGCAAGGCCGAGGAGACTGCCGCTTCGGCGAAGAGAGCCAAGACGGACGGGGATGACGAGGGCGGTGAAAGACGAGAAGAAGAAGAAGAAACGTACGGACCAGCAGACGAACAGGACGAAGCGGCTTGGATGAAAGCTGTCGCCGCCGAATTCGCAGAAGCCGACGCCAAAGCTCAAGAAGATCGGGCGGAGGATGCTCAACATACCAAAGAAGAGGAACAAGCTGCGGCTCAAAAGGTCTTTGCTGTCCCTGACAAGGTCAATGTGTCTTTAGAAGAAGGTAAAGCATTGTTTCGTGCTCTTTTGGCGGAAAAGGATATTTCACCCTTTACACCTTGGGATCAGTCCTTACCATTGTTCATCAACGACCCTCGATACATTCTCTTGTCGTCCGCCAAAGATCGACGAGAAGTTTACGAAGACTACTGTCGTGATGTCGGTCGAGCGAGGCGACTTGGAAAGGCCACGAAGACGACTGAATCGGACCCGGAGAAGGAATACAAAGCTCTGATGCGAGAACAGGTGACGAGTACACGGACGCGATTCGACGATTTCAAACGTCAGTGGAAGCGGGATAAGCGATTCTACTCGTATGGAAGGGATGATCGAGAGAGGGAAAAGACGTTCAAGGTCCACCTTCGGGAACTTGGTGAACGTAAACGGGCAGATGCTCAGCGCGCCGAAACGGATTTCAACGAATTGCTGGCGGAGACGGATATCAAGCCCGATAGCGTCTGGTCTAATGTCAAAAAGGGCATCTCGAGCGATCCACGGTACGATGCGGTGGGCTCGAGCTCGTTGCGAGAAGAGCTGTACAACACTCATGTGAAGAAGCTTGAGAGCGTCCCGGCAGACGAGACCCCCGAACAGGCCGCCGAACGGAAACTCAAGGCCAGGCAGGAAAAGGCCGCAGCGAGCTTGAAGGAGCGAGAGTCCCGTGTGAAGGAAGAGCAGGGTCGAATGGCAAAAGAAATGGACAAGAGTCGTGCAGGTGCAGGTCGAGAAGAGGCCCAAAGACTGTTTGGCAGTCTACTGGTGGATCAAGTCAGAGATCACGAAATCCCTTGGACCCAAGCTGTTCAATTTCTCTCAGCCGATCCGCGATTCAACCATCCATCTCTGTCTTCTCACGACAAGCAGCGCATGTTTGGCGAACACGTCACTCGCATTTCCTCTAAGCGGTCCAACGCTCTGCACTCATTGTTCGAGGCAAATTTCCCATCCCTCGACACGTCCTACGAATCAGTCTATCCTCACATCATTGATGACCCGCTAGTCAAGCGGCTACAGCTCTCCCCTGACGCCCTGGAAGCGAGGTTTGACGAATGGAAACAGTCCCGACTTGCCGATGCTCGTCGGGATTTTGACGAGATGCTGGGTGATAATTCGTTTGTAGACTTCTGGAGCAAGATGAGGAAAAAGACACTAGACGAAGAAGCTGCCAAAGTCAAAGAAGATGAGATGGACGATGGAGAAGGATTGGGGGAAGGTGGAGATGCAGATATCACGGCTCTGGGTCGACAAATCAACCTGGAAGAGATCAAGTCGGTTCTACGGGTGAGTCGAGTACGATACGATCAATGTTACCACGGGCTGAAAGCGTTATAAGCGGGACAAACGTTACAGGCAGTTTGACCATATTCCGGAGCAAAGAGAGCAGTGGATCAGGGTGAGCCTTCCAGGCATGCAGATGGTAGGCCGAGCTGATCCCCCATCGTTTCTGTATTCAGGACCATCTTGAGCAAGTTGAAGCTGCTTCTGGGTCCAAGACTATTCATAACGTGGGACAAAAGAGATGATCGATGGCAGTCTTCTTTTTTTGCCTATTATAGCTATTTGATATAAGGTGTGGCGAAGAGGATGTCTATGGTAGCGAGAACTCGGCCGGTGAACGTCGTATGAAAGGGCTCGCCCACCAGTCAACGCACGCTCTCATTCCATTTCGATACTGCTGCAGATTCGAGCTACTGTCCCACTGCGCTTGTCGAATGCGAATTGTGCCAGTGAACCGACAAGATCAGATCTACAGAAACGAGGAAATTCAGCCAACAGCCAGCCAGCAACAGCCAGGGGCAGCTGACCCGAGTCAACCCGATCTTTCCACTCAAAAAATTCCAATTCATCCGGAACAGCTAGCTGGCTCCCTCCCCCATCTCCCAAGCCAAGTCCATTTCATCAGATCCCACACTGACCCACCACCACTCGGGCGACGATCAATTGGCTGTTGGGCATCTGCCTCACCACCTTTGGCATACGACAAAAGGCTGAGCGTCTACCAGTGAGTCATTAGTTGGCCTTTTCACAAAAAACCCCTGAGATGCGTCGTTTGTGGGGATAAAGCCTGGCGGCGGATGGTGTGACTTATTGACGAAAGGATATACGAAGTTTATGACATGGTCGTTCAGCTGCATCTCGAGTTTAAGGAGGAGTCATTCTGGTGATCCTTATAGTCGCTTGGACCTCCTTCTGTGTCACCTATATACTCTCTGCCCTCCCTTTCACAGCGTACATTCTACAAACACCGCTGACGCAAGATTCCTCCCCCTTTCACAGCTCTCGCCTCTGTGTCAGAAACTCCTCGACCATCAAGTCACCCTCGACATCGGCGCCTTCTATTCCTCTTCTCTCTTCCCCCCCCTCTCTCTCTCTCTGTGTATCTTTAACCCCCTCTCACTCGAATCACCATAACACCCGCACCCATCTTCTCCTCTCCTTCCCCTTCTTCAGCCTCTGCCGCTGGTCCTTCTCCACGGTCGACCACTTCGTCCAAGTCTTCACCCGCCTCAAGTGGGACTTCGACAAGTACAAAACTTCGACCGCTCCTTCCCAAACCAGCGGCCGCTTCCACTACATCTGGTACATCCTCGGCGGTAGCTGCTAGAGCTGCATCAGCCAGTGTAAAGAAGCCTGGAAAGATGGAAAAGCCGACTTGGAAGACGGGACCTGGGTCCAAAAAGGGACCATTCACAGTGGATTCAGGGGGCGGAGGAGGTCAAGCAACAACGAGACAACAACCAACCCTGCCTGCTAATGTCGATAGTAATCATGTCAGAAGACCTACGCCTCGAGACGTCCCTCCACCGATGCGCCGATCGAACCCTCCAACTCCCAACATGTCACCCAGTGGTTCTCGAATGGGCAGTATGAATGTGGGATCAAGTAGTCGAAGCAGGGAAGGATCAATCTATTTCCCAGATCAAGCTTCCATCGCCACCAATTCAGCTCCAGTAACACCTTTTGATCTTGCCCTCGCGTCCAGTGCTGCTAGTAGCGGAGGTTTGTACTATACACCTGCTCAGGCTTCCCCATTGTCCTCTTCCTTTCCAGTGGTCTCCAAACCTCATCCGTTGTCAGGCTCTACCACACCATTGGACCCGCCCCCGTCCTCTTGGTACTTCCAGAATGCGCAGCCTCCATCCGCCGGCGGCAATCAGGACTGGATGAATACCCAGCTTGCGCCTCCACCGTTGGAAGATCCCGGACTAGACCCATCGGTCTTCGAGGCATTGGCGGAACTCGTGCGGTCTCAATCAACGGTCCCAGTGCCAGCGCCAGCGCCTGTCCCTGCTCCGCCCCCACCGCCGCCGATGCAGCAGCAACTTGCTCCTGGTTTATTCCCGCAAGGATCTGCCGAGAGCATGCTCAGTCGTTTGATGGCTCAGAAGCAAACTGAGCAGTATGTCCCGCCACCGAATCACAATCAGTTCCCCATGGCTCCAACCTGGCCCGCAGCTCCCGCTCAGACTGCTCAAACTACACCATCCAGTGTCCCCTCTTATGCTTCCAGCAGCACCCTGTCCAACTCCTTCAAGACACCTTTTGCGCCGCAGAGGGCTGAAGCGCCCACGCTGCCCAGTTCAGCTCATCCGAGTCCCCGTAGTTTTCACAACTCACCTGCCTCCTCTGCTGGACCTTCTTCAGTCCAAGCGCAGCCCAACCTTTTGGCAAATCTTCCACCGATCCCTGCCGGCTTCTCACTGGAGCAGTTGTCACAATTTGGAAGTGCCGGATTGGAAATGGCCATTCGAGTTGGCATGGGCATTGGCATGAGTCTTGGGCAACAAGCGCAACAGGCTCAGCAAGCCTTCTCGACCCAGCCGTCTTCCATCGCAGACACCACTCCATCATCCGTTGCGTCACCACCGAAACCGCGTCCACCTCCAAAGTCGAGTAATATTGTTTCAGACATTTTGAATGATCAACTGTTCAAGAAGGCTACTACACCGCTCAGCAGGCCAATGTCCCGTCGACCATCACGAGAGCGTGGTGGTAGTCCTGTTTTGACTTCAGCGCTGTCTCCGGAGGAAGCGGCGAAGAAGGATCCGCTTGCGACTCAGGTCTGGAAGGCTTACGCGCAGAATCGAGAGAATCTGCCAAATGGGGCGAGAATGGAGAACTTGACCTGGCGGTTGATGCATCTAACCCTGAAGAAACAGGAAGATGCCGCTGCTGCTCAGTCAATCAAGACGGAGGACGAGGAGACGGATGAGCTCAAGGCACTGCCAGAACAGGAGCGAGGGCGGAGCAAGGGGAAATCGAGAGTCGTTGGTTTCGGAGACAAGTCAGAGTGAGTCACGTTTGATGTCAATTGCTGACTTTCAGCTCGATGGAGATGGATTGGCGCGCACAGAGCCGATCTCGGTCCCGTATGGCAATGGACTGGCGAGCTCAGTCACGATCACGTTCAAGGCCTGCCTTCACAGGTAATCGCTCAGCCCTCGTGGCCGGAGATGAGGCGCACGCACACAATCTGTTGGCTCAGACCATGCCCAGTACAGCCCCATCGGCGTCTTGGTCACAGTCCACCATCACGCCATCAAGCATCAAACCTCAAATGCCTAACGTTGCTCCTTCTACGATGCCCGTGACGAACGCTTTTCCCTCGGCGGATCTCTTTGCAAGCTCGGCACCGGTGGACCAAGTCGAGTTTGGTGATCAGCTCCAGCAGCTCATGCTGTCGATGACTAGCAATCCGCTCCATATCGCACCAACTCTCCCCGGTATTTCCGGACCCGGTCTCTACTCTCAAACAGAGGAGAACTACCATCCACAGTATGGATACCTCCCGCGACGAGTGCGAAAGACCAGTTTCGATCACACTCTTCGACCTACAGAAGAGGACCTTATGCCGCCACCTGCAAATCCTCGGAAGCGTCATGCTGAGGCATCGCCCCATCGTCGTGCCGGTTCCGACTTCCCCAGCGCAAACTTTACGTTCAACTATCCGAGCTCGTACGATAATCTCTTCGACATGGCAGGTAGCGCGAGCGTAGCGGACTCATGGACCAGCGCACCTGCAAGTACAGTACCTTCGACTTACAATTCGCCAGCCCCAACCCTGGACCCTGCGACTGCCGTAGAGCTCGCCAATCAAGTAGCGAATCAATCCACTGAGAGCCCGTTCGACTTTCAACAGCTCATGCACATGTACCTCAATGCCAATGCCACTGCCTCACCATTCACTCACATCAACCCGTCTCAGATTCTCGGATCAATTCCTCCTCATTTACTGCCAAATGGTGGAGAGCCCAGTCCAGCCTCACCGCCTGTGTCTTCGCCATCGGTCCAGCCTACGCCTCAGGCCTCTGTCAGGCCACTGCCAAAAGTGCTCGGAGGCAAGCCTGTCGAGGTCAAGCGGCCCCCGCCAAGATCCAACAGTTCGCCAAACCTCCAGGGACTTCGAGCTCTGTCAAAAGCTGCCTCCCCTGAGGCACCATCTGACGATAGCCCGGGCAGTATCATGCATCCTGAAGGTAGTGGAACGATGTGTTCGAATTGTCAGAGTACGGTGACTCCATTGTGGCGACGGGACGCGGAGGGGCATCCGCTGTGTAATGCGTGTGGTCTGTTCTACGTGAGTGCGGTAAAAGAGTCTGCGCTGACCATGATCAGAAATTGCACGGCGTGGTCCGGCCGCTCTCTCTCAAGACTGATGTGATCAAGAAGAGGTGGGGCAAATTCAATGATTTGATGGCTGACATACAGGAATCGAACGTCCAATCCCAAAGACACCCCTTCTCGTCGGAGCTCGACCAAGTCAAAGTCGACTAGACCTTTGTCGATGTCTGCTGGGAAAAAAGTGCGACGAGTATCCGACGGTGACGACACGGGATCCGAAGATAATTCTGGACCGTCCTTCTCGATGACATCGTTATGATGGCTCGGCGTGGTTTAGTGTATGACTCTTGTATCCTTCTCTCAATATAGACGCTTATAGACGGACTGCTTCTTGGATCATTCTGCGTGACGGTTCTCATCGTTGTAAGAAAAGACAGTCGGATTTTCCTGGACTCTGGGTCAACCAATTTTACTTTTAATTTTGACTTGGTTCTCATTTTCAGAAAGTCTCCTCGCTGTTGTGATGCAATATTTGACTCAATCTTGACAACGAATTCCGAGTTGGGTCATTCAGCCATGCGTCCAGGACCTTCGCCTTTCCTCCTGCTCCGCTTGCATCGAGCGTCACTAGCGTCTCAACGCCGAGCAAATTCCACTTTCAATCCGAATCCTGAAGGATTATCGTATTGGGCACGGTTTCGACCAGCTCTCCCGACCGTCATAGCGTGGACGATTATCACTTCTCTCGCTGCCCAAATGTTGACCATCAAGACAACATCACTAGAATTCAAAGTGAAAGCGACGCAACAGATACACAGCTTGGAAAGGATGATTGAACGGGTCAGATTGGGTGAAGAATTAAGTGATTCTGAGATACGGCAAGAGTTGGAATTGGTTGGCCTGAGAGAAAGAAGAAAGGTGGAGATTGGTACCGATGGGAAGGCCGAAGAGTATAGAAAAGTTAGCTGGAGAGAAGCTCTGATGGGCAGAAAAGGAAAGAGGAAACAAACCAACGAAGAGGTTGAACAGGAGTTCAGAGATTGTAAGCGAGATTCATCGATCTCGGCACTGACAAACGCAGTCATGTCGAGCGTGGAAGATATACAGCCTTCGCCCAGGCCTTTCACGATAACCCCAGCTCAGGTGGAGAATAATGTCGGTCGAGATACACAGCCTGTTCCGTCGCCAGGCAATCGTAGTCGTAAAGCTCCAACGGGCATGTTCATGTAACATGCACTCTCAGAGCCGCTTGACATCATCCTTTCTGCCTCGTGGCCCGCTCGCTAAGCCAGGACCTAGTATGAATCTGTCCTCAAGACTTCTTCATCATCCTCACCTGTATCAGCCGCATTCTCACCTCAGCATGGACCAAATATACCGAGCCAAGCTCACTGCTGATCCTCCGAAACTGCCTGAAGTTCCACAAGTTACAATACGGTCCGTGCCCCCGGTCTCAAGCAATCCCGTAAGCTTGTCAATCAACTTTTCTCCCTCTGCACCGTTCATGCCCGCGGAGGAGATCAAGGGGGAACCCGTGACTCGCCAGGCCGAGCGCGAATCCCCCGCAAGACCCAAGCTCAGTACCGTCGAGCCTAACATGAAGAGATACTCGCGATACTTTCAGATTCACGGTCGGCCTCATCCTCTGCTCTGGGTCTGTCTCGCTCTCAGTCTAATCGCTTTGATCCTGGGAATTCCGAAAGGCTATCTGCCGACATTGACGGGACGACACAGGGCTTTGAGGGTTAGGCAGGAGACTGATTCGCATGCTGATCCTTATTAGCAAAAGGAAGAATTGTTAGCTCGGCAAGCACACCTGCTCCGACAGCTGTCTATGCTCTTGCCTCCGCCTCTAGCTCACCCCATCGACATGAGCATCCAAATGCCTTCCAGAGGCTTTCGATCGCCTCATGTTGCCATGGACGGCTGGAGATTCTGGACGTCACATGCTGCTCAACCAGATGGGGCCCGTTGGTGGTCGATCGAAGAACTGGGAGATGGAGCGAGTCTGATGAGAAGTCGATACGGGGAGCATGAGCGAGAGATCTGGATCTTATCGGAGGGCAATGATCCGGATGATGAGCAAAGTGAGCGAGTTTGAAGGCGGATTCAGTGTCATACTCGCTGAGCTGCATGTGGCAGTGAATAAGTCAATCATGGCCGCTCTGACGCATGCTCTGCTGCTACGAGACCAGGCAACACGCGAGAGGGATCAACTCAAGCTCGGCGCCGTCCAGCATCGCTGGGCGCAAACTTTGCCCGGAGACCTCGAGGATGCACAGGGAGATCATCTCGAGAAGGCGGTACGTGATCGGGAGTGGGATCGATTGGAAGAGGCGCGTCGGGAGCTGAAGCACAAGTATGAGGCGGTTGGCGAAAGGGAGAAGGATGTTTCTACGAGAGAGCAGTGGGTTCTAGATGAGATGAAGTGAGTGAACAGTCCGGAGCTCCGTGCTTAGAATCTAGACGAATCAGCGATAGGAGGCAGTCAGTCAACTTTGCAAGTCTTGCCTTGAACCAGCTGACACATTAGATTTCAGCGCGCACGCTCTCGAACTGAACCTAGAGGAGAGGATCACGGAACGTCTCAAGTCTTATCGGCATCATTTGCCAGATCTGGAGCCCGTTGAGGTGCCAGAGGCGTGATTTCGCGGATGCGGAGGTCTGCCAAACAGAGTGTCGACATACTTGGATCTATATATCACCTAATCGCTACATACATATCTGTCGTACGCTCACCGAAAGTATCGATGCCATCTTTATCTATCTGCCTTTTGACATTTGCCGGACTTGGTCTTCGTTCAAGGAGGATCCACGACCATGTGTTCTCTTACCACTTTCCGTAGGGGTTCGAGAACCAAGATATGTAGGTAGACTCTCTTCCACCGATCGGAGATTAGCTCCGCTCGCTGTTGGGGCAGAGGATGGACCGGGAGGAGGGAAAGATGCGAGAAGATTTTGGAAAGCATTTTCGTCAGGACCTGGTGTGACGACATTGTCTCGCTTCAGCTGCTTGACCTGTAGTGATCAGCAGGTGCTCCATCGGCACTTGAGCTCACTTGATCCCGCGTGAGTGTGAAAAGAGACTCAGGCAGTTTTTCCAGGAAGAAGCCTTGGATCATGCCGACCCAATACGGTAGGGACAAGATCAGTCTTCGCCCCTCTAGCCCAGAATATTTGAGAGTGAGTTTCATGATCTCCTTATAAGGCATGACTAGAGCGACGAGTCAGCTTGTACCACAGCTTGAAGTCAAGAAGCTACCCACCTCGCGGGCCGCCGGCCTCGATGACCTTTCCTCCGACTCGCTTGATCACTTCCGGGTCATCTCTACAGGCGATCTCTACAGCTCTCGCCACATCCCCCGCGTACACCGGCCTAGAACGTTGTAAACCGTCGGTGAGCGAGTTCCCAACTCACTGGAATTTTGTCGTTCCGCCTCCAAAGACGGGTAGGAACGGCAAGAACTTGGCGAGGGAGGCGAATCGCTAGAGCAAGATCAGAGCACGACTTAGTATTCAACTCACAGTGAAGAACGAGTCGCCTGGGCCGAATATAATTGACGGTCGAATGATGGTAGATGTCGGATCGGCGCTCAAGAAAGCCTTCTCCGCAGCTGCTTTCGTCCGGGCGCTTAAAGTCGATGAAGATGAGCTAGATGTTCGGTACCCTGATAGAGTGGAGTTGAACATACTATGGCGTTTCACCATTGCTATCTGAACCGATGGCACTGATTAATACCTTTCTCTTGACACCTTGATCCATGGCCGCTTGGAGCACTCGTTCAGCTCCACGCTGTTGGATCTCTACCATTTGAGATGCCGAGGCGGACAGTAACCCGACCATTGAGACTACGGCATCTGCATCCTTCAATACATCTTTCAACGGGGCAGTATTGGTCGAAGAGAGATCATAGGAGACGGGAGGCAGGATCTGGGACCCGAGATGGGTGAGGCGGTGATGGACTGCGAGACGATGACACTATTAGTCAAGCCAGACGATCCTTTACGGCATCTCACGCTTCTCTGGATGTCTTGATACCAGGACGATCCGATTCTTTGGATCTATGACCAGCGCCTTGGCGATGTACGAAGCTGATCTCTCAGATGTGCACATGTGCGATGCTCACCTAGGAATCCAGCGCCCACGAGAACGATCTTCCGACTCGATGATCGTCCTACCGCGGAGGTGGAAGCGAGTCGCCGAGACAGCATACTGCTGGCCATGGCTGCAGATGCACGTCGAAGGGATTCGAAGACGCAGATGCTATGTGATCGATGATGATCGTCATTAGAAATGACGTGAATGATTTTTGACATACCCGAGACCGGGATGTGTCTATAATATTTACAACCTAGATACAGATCCCCGCTGTGACGACTCATCTTGTCAACCTTCCGACCTCGTCCGCTTCTTTGCGCCTCTTCTCCGCTCTCATCTGTGCTTGAGTCGTATTTGAGGTGCCGAATCCCCTTGAGAGCTTCAATAAGATCGTACTGAGCCTGGCGGGCTTTACGGCGGAGTAAGAGATGGACCGGATAGAAGGCTCCAGATAGCCCGATACAGCGTCCGAGAGGATAATGTTGATGGTCTGGCCACGTCAGCGACGCAGAGAAGGAGATTACCCACCTGTTTGACCTCATCGAACACAGAATCCAGCTCTTTCCGGTCTAAACGCTTAATTTCAATCTCGATGAAGGACACATCGCCCATTATGCTGGCGAGAGCAGACTCGTTGTATCTAGGTACAGTTTGGCCACACAGAAGACCCTAAGGCATCTCAGCACCAGCCGCTGCGCAGCACTCACCATCAACCAATTGTTGATCCTCGAAAGCGCACTCTTATATGCTCTTGTCTTAATTGACTCGTTCAAACCGAGCAGGACCGAGTCCACATAAGCAGTCAGGAAAGTGATCATTTCAAAGACGTAGGTACTGGGCTCCCCGGCGGTCGATTGCGGTCTTGCTGGCAGCCAGTCGTACTCGGCGAGTTCGAAGAAGGAATCTAGCTTGGAAGCAATTACGGAGTCGATTCGCGACTCGGCGGTTGTGAGGGCAGACTTGAAAGACTCGGACGATTTCAGTTTGACAGGACCGCCTCGCTGTGTAGCTCTGGGACGATATCAGCTTGACGCGCTTGCAGAACCTACCTCAGGCCCATGAGCACCGTCTCGAGCTCGTCACACGCCGTCGCAAAGTGTTCGATGTTGACGACGATCTGGGCAATCTGCGAAAGATTCGACATCGCCGTGAGTCGTTTGATTATCTGTGCGCTGACATGATCTGTCAAGAGATCATCGAGAGACTAAAGATTCAGCGAGATTGGTGGCGGCTATCTCACCTTGCGCAAGACCTCGTCAATGTTGACGTGCTGTTGGTCTACTCCGTCCGTGAATTGATAGAATTGATCGACAAAATTACGAATGTTGATACAGCACATGGGATACGTCTGAGAGAACGGCATGGACTGAGGGAAGCTCTGCCTAACATGTCAGCTTTGCCCAGCGGCTGGCGCGTACGTTGCCAGAGATTCTGCCTCTCCAGTCGCAAGCCAGCAGACACTTGAGAGTTGATCGAACTCCATCTGATCGTTCACCATCATTGGCTGATTGTCGTCCTCCGTGACGATCTGGACGAGTAAGAAGACGCTCGCCGTTTGTGCACTCACTTGATCAAAGTCTATGCTGAATTTGCGTAGCAGAAGCTCGGAGTATCGCTCGAAGAGCGTGATCAAGAGACCATTCAATGCGTCCACCTCATACCCATAGCCCTAGGCTCATAAGCAAAAGCATCGTGAGCTGTGAAGCTCACCTCCAGAGTCTGAACGAATAGCAAGACATTCCCCTTGCATCCCAAGAACACCTCAGGCTCCTCACATCCCTTCAGACCTTGACCCATGATGTCGACTATCCGTTTACACATCTCATCCCAGAGCTCATCGACATCAAGCCGTGTCCGGAAGTCCGGAGACGTCTCCAAGACGTGATGTTCGATGATGAAGAATCCGACCAGTTCTTGCATCAAGGTCGGGAGGATGTTGACAAGATTGGCTGGCGTGACGGACGTCCGCGAGGAGAGAATGAGGTTGGCTTGGGTCTGGAAAGCAATAAGTCTGGGCAAATGGCCGCCGACGCACCTTTCTGTCCTCCTGATAGTTCTTCTGTAACTCTGACTTGACCCCTAGCGCCTCGTATATGTGCATACACTGGAACAGTGGCTTGAAGTCCATCTTGACAGTCTCATTATTCAGTGCGTCGACTGCAGTGTTAGCATAAAGCGACACTCTCAACCTACACTCTAATCTCTCGTTGTACACCATTTCCAACGCTCCGCCCACACGAGCGAGCTTGACACCGCCTTCTTTCTCCCTCTTCGTCCTCCATCGCTTTATCCTCGAGCTCATGTGCTCCAGAGCCAATTTGCCGACTCGTGCACCAGATTCTCGAACTTCAAATAGCCAAGATTTCGTGGAAGCTGTGACGGCATCTTTGATAGCGACTCGAAGGGATGGCAGGGAAGAGGACAAGTGGGTGTAGAACGGAGTCTGAGAGATGGATTGGGGGGGAACCAGCAGGAGATCATCAAGCATCTGCGAGTCATCAGCAAGTCTCAGGCAACAACCAGCCTAACCCTCAACGCTCCCCAATATTTGCCCTCACGGATCATCTCCCCGACTCTGTGAACCAGATCCAAGAGTCGTAGGCATGTCTGCAGGGTTTCTATAGCATCATCCATATTCCGAGCCACCTTCTTCTGCTCCAACAGTGCGCGTTTCTGCTCTCATAGGTGAGCCTCACCGCACAAGATGACACTCGCCTTTTCGCCCAAGGACCTGCCAACATCTCCCATCTGCCCATCAAGCTCCCCTATACGCCTCTTTATCTGGCCTGTTCCTTGACGAATTGTCAAAAGTGTTGATACGGACGATACAAAATCCTTCGAATGAGTCAGGCGTCATCGGTCGTCTAGTCGCTAGTCTCCCACCTCGTAATTGCCCTCGCATATCTGTTGAATTTCCTTCTCCTTCTCCTCTACAAATGTGTCCAAGCTTCTCAGATATATCTGCTCCGAGTCCGTATCTTGGACAGACTTGATCAGTGGTGCTATAGCTTCGAGATTTTCAGCCGTAGACGACGTCGGATCAAGCGTGATCTGGACATGAGGTCAGACAGGAAGTGGATGACCGCAACCCACCTGGGCGAGCTGCAGCTCCAGCTCTGCAGAAGTAAAAGTCGGTCGTTTCTGTCGTATCATCGTGCTCTATTTAGCATGTCTATCGTCCTTCACTTCAAGAGGATGTGAGAGTTAGGACTCCAGGACCACCGTGCAAATGACCGTGACTTCGGTTGTCAGGGATGCCGTAATCGCAAAGTTCGAGGTTTGACCGTGTTCTGTCTTTCTGTTATCTAATAGCGCACATCCAAGGAGGGGGTCCAAGACCAACGAGTCGATCGTGAAGACAGGCCGTATCCTTCTCTCAACCATGGCTGAGTCCGACTTTGTCCTGCTGGAGTCAGAGGACGGCTTTACATTCTCCGTGCCTCGAAAAGTCGCCTGTGCAAGCAACATTCTGAAGTCTATGCTGGACGAGGAGGGTGAGCGGGCCTGAGTTGTGAGGCTCGCGTCTTGTGGCCTGACATTCGCCCAGCTGCCTTCTCAGAGTCAACGACTAATTCTTGCAAGATCCAGTACCGGTACGTCCAGCTCGCCCGTCCCATCACCAATCTCGAGTGTCACTGACATCCCTCCCTTCTCAGCGGAGTCATCGTCCTCAAGATCGTCGAGTACCTCGCGTACAAGGTTCAGTATCAGGATGTGAATGCGGAGGATATCACAGAGGACTTCTCGGAGCGTATAGATCCATACATCGCTTTGGAACTGTGAGTCTTGCGGCGCAAATCAAACTAACCTTCCCCTCAGCTTGACCGCTGCAGATTTCCTCGATACATGACCATGGCATCCCAGCAACAGACATCATGTATCATTAGCCTTGTATGCCCTAAGGAGACTCTCCATATACCCAAGATACCGCTTCTACAATTGACCCGATCGCAATCTCGCCTTGACCCTCTCTTGAGCCTTCTCCCATTCTCTCCCTTTACTCAGCTCGTACCGTAACATCTGATCCTGCATCCGTTTCTTTTTCGCTTCATCAATGACCTGGCTGATCATGTCGCTTGGTATTGCTACGCAGCCGTCCACGTCGCATACAAGTATATCACCTGGATTGACGGTGGTACTTGGTGTAGGTTTGAATGGGTGAGAAGATTGAGCCGGTTGAAATGTCAACGGACAGGATAATCTCGCTGGACGGGTGAACGTGGATTGCGGGAGAGTGGAGTGAAAGCGTGCAAATACCTGAGGTAAGCGGTGAGCAGATCTCTCTAGATCTCGACCACAACATACTGGATAGCCAAGTTCTCGATGCTCTAGTAGATCCCTGGTGCCGCCATCAACAACTGTACCAAGCACCTTCCGTGAATGGGCAGATAGGGACAGATTCCCACCCCAGCAGGAGTTGACTGAGCCTGAAGTCGCATCAGCTGTAGTCCTTGCAGCGGAGTGGCTGTCTCACCTGGAGGAGCCTGGATGAGCATGATGTGGCCTGGAGGACATGCGTCGAGCTGAACGAGTTAGCGTGGGGAATAGGAGAGGGATGAGGCTCCTCCTACAAAGTGCTTGTCCGGTCGTTCAGGAGACGGATCATCCGCATATGTCATCTGCGTGATACTAGCTCAGTAGAGTAGGTCTACTTTCGTCGAACTGCACGACTCACGCGGACTGTAAATGCGGGACCAACGATCTTGTGCGTGCCTCGTTCCATTTCCGGAGAGAACATCTTTACATCTACTATGAGCCCACCGAGCTCCTGGCCTAAGGCAACAAGTGCATCGGAAATCTTGGTACCGAAGCTTGCATGAGTTCTCCCGTCATCTTGCGCAGTTAGGCGCTCACATCGCAGCTTGATAGCTTTTCGATTTCATGCAGAAGTTCTGGCGAGACTCCCATAACAAGAGTCCGGCGAAGCTGCGCGTCGCTCGGATCTGACTTGAGCTGATTCTAGCTAGGATGAAAGACACCAGTGAGCCGTGTGGATTATAAGACAATTTGACAACGTCTCTGTCTCTCTTGAGCTCATGAGAGCCATGCCTCTGACCGAACGGAGTGCGGAACGGGACAGAGCATCCCGAGGCATCGGACAAATTACGATGCCGTAAGAAATCAGTCACCATTGAGAGGTATGGCGACACACGACGTGGGTCTAGCAGCAATCCATATGGAGTGAGGATGAGCTCGTCTCGTACGCTTGGAGGTGACGATGATCTTGAGAGACTGGCGCAGAAGGTCGTTGCAAGGTACCATGAGTGAGTTCACCAAGACGATTTTCCCCGTCGCTAATAACCCTCATGTTCAGTACCCCGCCGGACAAAAGGCTCTTGGTATCCGTAGCAGGGTGAGACGTCCCATTCGAACAACGGCTTAGACGCTGCTCAGGATTCCGGGATCGGGCAAAAGCACTCTTGCATATCCCTTGACAGACCGTATAAACGCCTTGATATCCGGTCACGCACCTCTCCATCCATCTCATCTACGGCCTGACGAGCATATCGCCTCGCCGGACAAGAAAGCAGGGACGGGAAGCGACGAAGTGGCCATCTGTGTAGGACTGGATGGATGGCACTTGACGAGAGAGAAGCTGGACACGTTTCATGACCCAAAAGACGCTCATTGGCGCAGGGCGAGTCACCGCATTCCAGCCCTTTGACTGACAATGTTACAGGGAGCCCCGTTCACATTCGACCTCTCGTCATATTTGACGTTCTTACTGCATCTACGGCAGCCACTGCAGCCCAATCCCCCTGTGGGCATTCCTTTTCCGACATTTGATCATGCTCTGAAAGATCCACGACCGTCTCCTGTTCCCATCCTGCCCCGCCATCGAATCGTTGTCTTGGAGGGTCTATACACTCATCTCGCAATACCCGGATGGAAGGACTGCGCAGAGATGTATGACATTCGCGTGTGGGTGGATGTCGATCCATCTATAGCCAGAGGACGAGTCATCGAGAGGAACTTCAGAGCTGGGATCGTGAACGATCTCGATAGATGTGCCGAGCGAGGTGAGGCCGGTGTGCAGGCTCGATCAATTTGCTGACCAGTCCAAGTGGATGCGGTTGACATGGAGAACGCGAAGCTTATATTGGAAAACAGGATAGAGGCGACGGATGAAGTCCATCCGGAGGATGTACCGGGCAACCAGGACCCTTGATTTTGCGGCTGCGATCACTGTGCCTCGTCTTCTTTAAATGCATCAGTCTTAAGCAGCCCTCGATTGGGGAGACATGTCTTCTGAATCCTATTGCTTGCCCCTGTCCGTGATTACACAATGCTCAATGCATACCAGCGACCGCATCAACTCCCCTTATTATACCATCTTCAGAATCTCGCCCGTCTTTGGTCCGTTCTCCAAGACACTCGCCCTGACTTTGCCATTCCCCTTTCCATCCCAACCCTCCGCTCTAGACTTCTCCAGCATTTCATCCCACCACGGAAACAGAAGGTCTCTCGCGATGAGTCGGAACCAAGGAGTGAATGAGTTTTCTGCCACATAGCGTCAGGCGTCTGCAACAAGAGCACCTGTCACCTGTCACTCACGAGAGTCCGCAAACATGCCCTCCAGCTCTTCTTTTGAAACATATCTCGCATCGCTAACTTCGTTTGGGTTGAGCTCCAGGTCCACATCGGTCGAGCAGAAAAGAATGTAGTCGACTGTCGCAGCATGAGCTAGGCTGGTGGACTCATCACGGCTCACTCTCGTGTTCTCCCCAGAGGCCATCACTCGGCGCGAGGTAATGTATTCTCGTTAAGAAAGTGAAAATGTCCGGTGAGAGTTGAGAGGCTGGGATCCCAAGTTCATGTGGAAGTTTCCTGACAGCAGCCGCCCGAACGCCTGTAAGAGTTAGCTTATGTCGCTAGGTCCGAGACTCACCCTCTTGGTTCTCCTCCACCAGCTCTGTGCGCAGGTACAGTGGATGAGAGCAGCAGGTATTTGTCCACATGCCCGGAAACGTGATCTTCTCGTCGGCTCGCTTTTGAAGCAGTAAGCGTCCATCTGATGGACGGAAGAGGAAGACGGAGAAAGCTCGATGAAGCAGACCCTGTCTGATGGACTCCATCAGATGGCCTGATTCGACAAGTTTCAGCCTGGACCAACGCACCAGCGAGGAGAGTGAAACCTGGCGTCATTACGCTCACTCACACTGCTTCTTGCTCCCCTCTCCGTACGCTTCGTCCTTGTCATTTATCAAGATGCATCTCTCCTCCATCAACCTGACTTGCTCCTCATCATAGGCATCCAGATTGACCTGAGGGTTGAGGATGGTGATTGGCGGCTCGACCGCAGTCTGAGTGACGGTGGTGGACATGGCGCCTCGCTAATGGAAGCCCTGTATGATGTGGTGAATCTGAATGATTCTCTCGGGATGAAAGTACTAGTCGTAGATCTGCCAAGTTGATCCCAAGCTGTCAGAAGAGGTGTAGATAAATAGACAGATCCAGCCAAAAAGTTGATTCCCCAAAGTCAATAGTGATCTCGTGGATCGTCCCGACCCGAAAAATTTGCTTCCGTCTCGAGTGGCGGAGGAACGTAGGACCTTCGTGGCAAAGGATCCATCCAGCCGTGCGTAGGTGGCATGAACTATGAGCGCGCACCCAATCGTTGCAGAATCGTACGACACCGAGGAGCGGTGTCAATGAATCCCTGAAGAACGTCGAGTTTGACAGCAGGATTCGTGTTCACCAAGGAAGGCTTCGAGAGCTTAGTCTAAGAGAGTGAGTTGCACAATGACGCATCGAGTTCACCCAGCAGAATTCAGATTCGAAACAGCTTGCTCGAGCAGTCGCTCCAGATTGATACCAGGAAGGAAGAATAAGACATCCCAAATGAGAATATCCGTCACAAGCATCCAGGCAAAGATATCTGTTCCGTTGTCTTCTCCAGAGACCGGGCATCTGGCAAGGACAAGAAGAGAGAAGATGCCCACTCAGAAGACATGGAGCAGGATCGAGACATATCAAGCCTTCAAGTTCTCCCCGAGCCTTTCCGAGAAGAACGATACACCCATGGTGGGCGGCAACAGCAAGAGCACGACTTTGAAGGCGAAGGCACAGCCAATTGTCAAGTAGGAGACCCAGACCAGATCTGTGAATGTGGCACAGCCTATGCTACACCCGACTCGCTGAGCTTGATGACCAGAGAAAACGGAACGAGATCCCTGGCACCACAGAGTTAGTTCAGAAACACTTCAAGCAGAGCAAGTGAAGCAGTAAAATCTGACACTCCTCTCTATATCTACATCTATAAGAGGCCGAGCCCATAGAGATACCCAATTAGAGTGTACATACAGCTGCAATACCAAGTGCTACAGTAGATAATGCACAAGTCTCAGCCTTCCAAGAGAATCCGAGTTCGTCCCCTTTAATCATTCACCTAACCCAAGATCCACTCCACCAAACACCCCAGATCATCGCTGCGAAAGCGCCCACACCCATTCCTGCCCGAGTGTTCCCAAACCCGAGCAGAACCAGAATACACCACGGCCAGCCTATCAGCTTGTCCAGGATTTGTCCGATGATTTTTTGCACTATCCGCTGCTCATGAGGGGTAGCTAAAGGCCAGTGGGGATGTGGCGGAGGAGGTTGCGAGAGGATTGGGGCAAGGTGAGGAGATGCAGCCGAGTGACTGGGCTCGGGGAGCTCCAGGACGGCGTGTACAGGTTTATGATCTGACAGAGTTGTCTGCGGTGTGGAACCGAAATGCTTTATGACGGTGGATGAGGATGAAGGTGTGTCGTCGTGAGAGGCAAACAGAATTCTGTCAGTATAGCCCGGTATACGTTTGCTGCGTTAGGTTAGCCATGTTCAGATTATACGTAACACCGACTTACCGACTGAAACCATTCACCTTGCCTACGATCCGCTTGTAGGTTGGAATGAACTTTGTCAAGTCTCCTTCCCTCAATCCTCCGAATGCTCTTCCCATCTTCTGCTCTCGCTTCAACGTGTCTACTTCGACAAGCTTAGCCCTCTCCTTCTCCGCCTGCACACCTTCCCCTTCTTCATCAGGATAGGCACCACCCGGCAGATGCGTCAAGCGATAGTTCAAATCTCCCATGACGAAAAGATGGGAGGTCTCGAAGACTTGAGCAGGCTTGACCAGTGGGTCAGAACCCTGAAAGACGAGCGACGTGAGTATATGTCGATACTGAGAATTCCTTCTCGGGACATTGTGATCAAATGCTTCGAGATGAGCGCAGACGAATGTCAAGTTCTCCCATTGGCCCTTGTCGCTCCTTTGGACAGGTACTCGAACACCCACTGCGCCTTTGTTGGACAAACCGAACCAGTAAAGTCCCAGAGTTGAGGTGAGAGGCTTGCCTATCCTCCCTCGGGTGGTCGATTCCCTTGCGAAGACCCATAGTGCATTGCCACCGTGAGCTACTCTGGAGACAAGCCTGTAAGTCTCTTGTGATCCCGACAGCGATTTGGCGTGAGCAGAAAGAAGAGAGACTATGCGGTCTGTCAAAGCAAGCAGGACGGTCCCAGAGAGTCCAGCGACTATGACAGTCTCAGTTTCCAGATCCGTCTGTGAAGATGAACCCACGAGCGAGATGCACCGGTAACAATTCCTGCACGGCAATGGCATAAATATCCGGCACAGCTCCCTTTGGCAACTCTGGATCATTGGCCGTTCGATGAAGCACCGGGAGCAGCCATGAAGTGAGATCCTGCTCTTGAGCTTTGGATCCTTGCAGACCGGTATTCCAAGTCGTCAAGAAGATGGTCAGCGGTGCCATCGTGCCGTGGTCTGCAACGTTGTTGTCATCAGTTCCGAGTCTACCTGCGGCATCATCGATCCAGGTCTCAAAATTTGGTTCCGTTTCTCAATTCAAATGGGTCCAGCGTCGCGGTCCAGAAGACTCGGTGTAGAACACGACTGATCACCTCCTCTGGACCATATCCTCGGGCTTCTCATTGTACAGGAGTTGCCCATCATGGCGTTCACTCTGAGTGGAGGTCACTATAACCTCAAGTGTGAGTCAGTCGTCTTGCTCAGCTCGAGAGCAAACCTGATATTTTCTCCAGCTCTGATCAAAGCTATCCGGTCATGCAAGGTATGTCCCAATCTTTGATGCCCATCTGATCTCTGCAGACTCTAGCGGACGAGCGGCTGGTCATCTCGAAAGAATCAGCTGCGATAAGGGTAAGTCTGTCGACTGCTTTGACCATACTGACTCCCGCCAGACTTCTTTCAAAGAGGAAGATTCGTTCGCTCGCCATAACAATATCGCCAAACTCCTCTACATTCACATACTTGGATATCCTGCTCATTTCGGTCAGATAGAATGTCTGAAACTGGTGGCGAGTCCGAGATTCAGTGATAAGCGATTGGGATTTCTCGGAATCATGCTTTTGTTGGATGAGAATCAAGAGGTCTTGACGTTGGTCACGAATTCGCTGAAAAAGTGAGCCCACGAGAGAAGGAATATGCTGACTATAGTGATATGAACCACTCAAACATGTATGCTGTCGGTCTGGCGTTGTGTACCTTTGCGAACATCTCATCGGAGGAAATGTCGCGAGATCTTAGCAATGAAATCCAGAAATTGCTGGGCAGCAGTAATACGTATATCAGGAAGAAGGCAAGTCTCGCCTCCATGCAGGTTGCTGAAACCTTCAGGCCGCCCTCTGTGCCCTCAGAATCATTCGCCGAGTACCGGACCTCATCGATCACTTTTCTCTTAAAACGAAAGCGCTGCTTCAAGATCGCAATCACGGTGTCCTCCTAGCTGGAGTAACCCTGGCGACTGAGATGTGCGAGCTAGACGAATCGGTCTGCGCCGAGTTTAGAAAGGTGAGACATCAGGACGCTGCGTTGTGCTAACATGGAATCAGGGCACAGGACTACTGGTCAAACACCTCAAGAACCTCGTCTCCACCGGCTTCAGCCCCGAACACGATGTGGGCGGAATCACCGACCCTTTCCTCCAGGTCAAACTGCTGCGACTTTTGAGACTCCTTGGGCGAGGCGACGCGCAAGCAAGCGAGACAATGAACGATATACTAGCGCAAGTAGCTACCAACACCGACTCGTCCAAAAACGTTGGGAATTCTATCCTCTATGAGACCGTTTTGACAGTTTTGGAGATCGAGGCGGACAGTGGGCTTCGAGTCATGGCGATCAACATTCTTGGAAAATTCCTCACCAACCGAGACAACAATATCCGCTACGTGGCACTGAACACGCTCAACAAAGTTGTATCCATGGACACCAATGCGGTCCAGAGACATCGAAACACTATTCTCGACTGTCTGCGCGATGGAGATATCTCTATCCGCCGGCGTGCTCTCGAGCTCTCCTATGCCTTGGTCAACGAGTCCAACATCCGAGTCATGACGAGGGAATTGTTATCTTTCCTCGAGGTGGCAGATAATGAGTTCAAACTGGGAATGACGACTCAGATTTCCCTCGGCGCCGAAAGATTTGCCCCTAACAAGCGATGGCAGATCGACACGGTTTTGAGAGTGTTGACATTGGTGGGTCACGGCGATTTATCTTCTGACAATCAGGCCGGCAACTATGTTCGCGAAGAGATATTGGCTTCCTTCATTCGGCTGGTCTGCCATACGCCAGAGCTCCAATTCTACACTGCACAACGGCTATACTCTGCGCTGTCGAGCGATCTTTCCCAAGAATCTTTGACGCTTGCGGCTGTCTGGGTGATCGGAGAGTTCGCCGATGTCCTATTGCAGGGTGGCTCCATGGGAGAGGGCGAGGAGGCAAAGCAGGTACGCTCAAGCCGCCTAGCACCGCGCTCACTCCAGGTCTCCGATTCCGACATTGTCGATCTCTTCGAACTTGTTCTGAACTCTCCCTACGCCAACACGCTCACTCGTCAATTTGTACTTGTCTCTGCATCAAAAGTCTCCGCCAGATTGACGGAACTGTCCACGCCCACCCAGTCGACCCAACAAGACCGGATCGCCGTCATGCTCGCTGGCTTCAGTTCAAATCTCGAGCTTGAGATACAACAACGAGCAGTGGAGTTCGCTTCTCTATTCTCTCGAGGAGATGTCAAAGCTGGAGTCTTGGAACGAATGCCGCCGCCAGAGATCCGGGCGACTATCATGGGCACTGGTGAGTCTCGATGGGCTTCACTTGCACTAACCAATCAGTGAGCGAGAGGAAACCTGTCGGATCAACGAGGACAGACAAGGACACCATCGTAGATCTCATCGGTGATGACACCTCTGCTCCAGCTGTCAACGGCAATTCTTCTGGTCCGTCAACACAGGATCTTTTGGCCGATATTTTCGGCTCCAGCTCTACAGAGGAGACTCCAGCAGCATCCTCAGCTCCTTCTCGTAGTGCCAACGCGGACATAATGAGTCTATTCAACACGTCTGCTGCTCCCGCCTCTAGCTCGACATCTGCTTCGCTCTTTGACATGACAACGCCACCACCAGCCACCTCTTCAACACCTGCAGCTCCTGCTTCTGCACCGGTAAAACCTCAACTACAGAGCTATCCGGCGTACGACAAAAATGGTCTCAAGATCACCCTTACGCCGCGTGTATCACCCACGCAACCTGGCGTGGTGCAAATCCTGGCAAAATTCACCGCAGCGGAACAGGTCGAATCGGTGAACTTCCAAGTCGCTGTGCCGAAGGTGAGTGAGACGGTACTATGTCCTATTGACGCAGCAGACCCAGCAACTACAAATGCAAGCCATGTCCAATACGGACATTGCCGCAGGGGCCACAGAAACACAACAGATGAGGATTTTAGCACCTGCAGGAGTGAGTTGGGTCGATTCGTGGAACAGGCGTCGGCTGATCACTGCAGGCCCAAATTCGTCTGAGGATGAGAATAGGATTCACAAAGGGTGGTCAAAGCGTGTCTGACCAGCAAGACTTTTCAGGTTTCCCAGCAGATTTGACTGCTGCAAAATGAGAGGCATGCGTCCATGTGAATACGCCCGATTGATCATCCTCATTGTATCATAATAGAACTGCCTGCAAATGCATATGAGATCATAAGGCTGTTTCAATTGATTGTTATGAGCTTAGTCCAGTACGATCTCTTCGATCTGGGCTAGGAGACCCGGCCCCTTCTTCTCCGCTTTGGCGTCCCCAGAAGCACTCTTGGCTTTGAGCTCGGCTTCTCGTCTAGCTACTTCAGCGGGGTTCGGCGCAGTTGGGTCGATCAATGGACGGATAGCGGACGACAAGTCTGCAGGCTTGATACCTAGAGCGCTAGCCAATGAGATGATCTGGGACTCTATATCCGTTTGACCACCTCCAGAGCCGGAGCCAGAGCTCTGAAAGGTGTATCAGCAGGGAAAATCGATGCTATTCCGGGTCTACCCACCTTTGCCTTTGCCTTGGAAGCCGCTTTCGCTGCCGCGTTGATAGCTCCTTCGCTGAGTCTCGTAGCTGGTGCGTGTCTTCCTGTGATGAGGTTCCAGTAACCTCCAGCTTCTGCTGCCCAGACGGTGAATCTCCATCCGTAGAATGCACCAAGTGCAGCGAGCGCCATGACGAGGTATGTCATACTGTTCACGTATGTCAGTGGACTGTCGAGCCAAAAACAGAGGAATGGCCGCTATTAGGCGGATTCCTCACTTACAATCGTCCGAACGAGACATCGGCGAAGGGAGGCTTCACAGCTGGTTTGTTCTGCGGGACTTTGCGTTTAGAGTCTGTACTGAGGGACGCTCTGATTCGTGTCAGCGAGACGAAGGACGACCTTTCTCTCACGGGTTCTCAGTCTCGCCATCGGTCTTGTTGACTCTCTGTCGAGTTCCTGTAGCTTCTGGCGTGGACATACTGGTGAATGCTTGCGAGACCAATTTGTCGTGTGGACTTGATAGCAGATATAGGTAGACATTTGAGACCTGCCAGACCCGCGTCATAGCCGCCTGCCATCCATCCCCACTTGGCCACGTGGTATACCGTCATCCTTTGGTGGGAGAATTCCAGCAGATTTCCATTGGAATCATTCCCATCTTCAGTGAATATCGACATATCTGGTCACAGCCTGATATACACATGGATTGTCCAATGACATCCCGCACTGATCAATGTCCAGAGTGCCGGCTCGGAATGCTTGACCACGACGATCTGATCGTATGAAATCTGTCAAGACCTACTCATCGCGAAAGACCACTGGTCAAAAACTGATTGCTCGTTGACAGGCTCTGATGGCTGGGATCTCGCGTGGATCTGGTAGTGAAGTGATTCCTGCCTCTCTCGTCTCCCTCTCACAGCGAAGAGATCCAGGCAATCGGTGGAAGAGATCCAGGCATTTGGTATCCGAGCAGATGTTGATGGAAGTGAATTCGAATCGGACTCCCCACTGATATAAATGATGGTGACCTGACCAAGTCTAGAAGCGCCCACCTCACTCCATCAGTGTCCTTCATTCGAGCTCGCGATCTGTAACTGTTGTGTAATCACGCTCCCCACTCCACCATGTCCTCGATGACCTCACCGACCAGTCTCGAAGCTCTTGCGCGAGCGGCCATCTTCCCCCATAAAGGAGAGCAGTTGGGCCCGAACCTTCTAGGGTGCGCCATCGATCGCAGATGTGGAGTAGACCAAGGTTGACGCAAACACCACAGATACTTCCTCGATTCTCTCTTCCTGGGTTTCGAATTCATGCTGTTCGCTCACTGGGCCGCATGGAGCTGGAAAGATCGAGCCTTGATCCGGATCCTCGTCGTGAGCTTGCTTGAGGTCACCGCCAGGAGCAGCGATCAAAGCTGATCATAGGCTGCAGTGCTGCTCTGTGGTCTTCTCACTCGCCGTATCGTGTTTGTGAGTACCTCCAAGGTGAGAGGCAGCATCCTCTGACTCGTGCCAGTAATCTGTCTTGTCTTCTTCACCTTTTCGGTTTCAATTTCGGGGAGTATGCAAACTTCTTCAAGGCCGACTGTAAGTCGTAACACAACCGGTGGTCATCGTCATCGCTGATTCTCTGTAGACATTGCTTGGTTCGGCGTCCTTAGTGTGCTCCCCACCGTTTCGACCCAACTCTTCTACATCGACAGAGCCTACAGGCTCAACGGAAAGTCTCTCCTCATCGCCGTCCCGACTTTCGCCTTGACGTGAGTCGTGGTGCTTGTGATACTTTGCGGCAGCATTGCTCACAGGCATTTGCAGCTTGGCAACGCTCGCGTCAGGCGTCGGGCGCACCATCATCCTGCTTAGTACAAAGGTTGAAACGGGATACAATGTCCGCGTGGCGGTGCAGCAACCGGTGAGAACGGCCACCAACGATGCGGAATTCTGCTGAGCATTCATCCATACCCAGACATATGAAGCTATGAACTATCTCTGGGTCAGTAGCTGACGAACCATCTCTCCGCTCAGTCTTTCGTCTGATGTTCCCTGTCCAGATCATATCTACACTCCTGAATGAGCTGACTCTCGCGGGACTCATCGTCTTTGGACTGACCAAGTCCAAGTCTGAATGGCCGCAGACCAGCTCGACAGCACAAAAGGCGCTCTTGTGAGTTGACACTGTCAGGCATTTGGTCATCAGCTGAGGAGACTTCAGCCTCACTGTTGAAGCTCAGCTTCCTTCAGCACTGATATTTCTCATTCTTGCTCTTGTCCGCCTCATTCGCCCCACTTCGACGGTCGGTACTTTTTTCGAACATTGGCACACCAAGGTCTTCACCCTTGGCCTTCTGGTTAGATTGTTCAAACTTCTGCATAATTGTCAACTGACTATACGTCATAGGTCTTGCTTAACTCTCGTTTCTCTCTTCTCAAGACCAGTGATGGTTCCGAGAACACATGGAATAAGGGCGCGAGTCATCTCCACCAAGCCACAATCAACGTCCTCACCGAGACGTATATCGAGGTGAGAAGGATCTCTCTGTCGTGCTGAATGCAGACTGACTCATCTTCCTAGTCTTCCCGCGTCGATCCTCCCAAAGTCGGCTTGAATAGAGACTTTGCTCAGCGAAACTCTCTCGATGCGATTTCTGAAGACGAAGACAAGGATCCTCAGGGATACAATGACCTTTCTTACATGCAGAATGACTCGAGCATGGGTCTGACCACGAACTATCCAGAGGACATCAAGGTGGTATTGCGATAGGGCAGCAGGGTATAGCTGGTGATTCATTATGCACTTTACATTCATTCCTTGGTTCTTGTTCGTATCTTGCATTAGTATCTGAGGTTTTACGCTCTCTGATGCAAACCATTCACTTCATCCCCCGCAGTACTGTACATACTTTAAATGATCCTACCCTCTGTCACATGTGATTTGCCACCGGTCATTTCCGTGCGGTCGTGCCGAGGTTTCCAGTCACGCTCTCGGCGGCGAGAGAAAGCTATTAGCAGCAGCTTCAACAGCCCGTATATCATCGACGAGGGAGGGAAGCGGTGACATACCTCCTCTCTCTCTATCCTTCCTCAGACTAGCTCAAATCTCAAATACAAGCACTTCTTCGCATTCTTGACTCCTAGGACGGCCCCTCACCATGCCTCACGATCTGTCCTTTCTCGATCAGCTCGAGGAATGGCTCGAAGCTCAAGTACCGCGCAACATGCACGATTTCCCTATGAGGATGCTGGAGACGATGGAGAGGATGAGCAATGAGCTAAGTAAGTCTCAGATTCGCGCAGAAAGCTTGTGATGCTCATGCTGTCCCCGCAGTGGAGACGCTCAATATTCACGTCCCACCCTCCATCTCGATCCCTTTCCCACCCTTTAACGCTAAAGAGATTCCAGTGATCAAAGCCTGTTGTCATCGACCTCCACCTCCGACACTGTACCATCGTGCGAGCAGACTCGTTAAGGCTCATCCATATGTCGTCGGAGGTGGCGCAGCCCTCATCATGACTGTGGGTTTGGGCGTCGGTCGAATGATCATCCGACGTAACGTGAAGCGATTCGGGACTCGAGGAGTGGTTCAAGATGGCATGTTGAAAGAGACCATTGGTGAGCCAGCCCTGTCGCTCGCCTTAGCATACTGAATCCATATAGTGATCTTGTCACCATCGCCTATGCCACCCATGCTTTGGCCTTTGGCTATTTCTCTCCTCAAGGCGGGATACATCGTTCTGATTGCCGTGCCGCACATCGATGACGCCGAGCAGCTGGAGAAGCGCCTCGCACCGCTCGAAGAGAAGTCTGGCCTTAGGGTCCTCATCTACGACCCCGAAGACGTGAGTACTTTAACAATGTGCCGCAGCTGACACTTGCCCCATCAGTCATCTACGTTCCCACCCTTCCACCGATCGCTCCAGGCCACATTGACGCTGCGCTTCCCTGCCCCCAACGCTCAGTCGTCCGGCGATCCTTATAATCCAAAGCCAACGCATGTCCCTCACATCCACGCTTTCGTGTCATTATATCCTCTTCACCCAGCACCTCCCAGTCAGCCTGGTGCTCTTCCGGCCCTCCCTACCCTGCTCTCGCCTACAGGGGTCGGCAAACCTCCAATGCTAGTCACGCTTTACCCGTCCGGTTCCGTCGTCGTTCAACCTGACTTATTCGCCAGTCAGGTCTTGACGTCGACCCATCGTCTGCTCAGCAGCAACCTCGCTGCGTCTAGCTCATCGAGGATCATCTCGGTTTTTCTCGGACATCTGGACTTGCCACCTCTTCATCAGATGCTGACGAATGCCAAGTTGATGATATACCGATTCACTCTCAAGGACAAGTGGCAGCACGCTTCGGGTCTCGGCAAGGTTGCTGTGATCAAGGACGCCGCCGTTCAGGTCTTAAGCAACGTCTATACATTCGTCACGGGACGTCTCGGTATTGGGGCAGCGGCGAGAGATTACGCTCTGTTTGAGCAGCGATTCTTACGACTGCTCAAATCTCGACATGGAAACCACTGGACCTTCGGACAATACCCCTTTCTACCCTTCGCTCTCGCAAAATTGCCGCCGCCCATCCTACCTCGAGTTCTCGGTATTATGCCAGTGCTGCCCGGACCGACTGGACCCATGCACGCCTCAGTCCAAGGCATGCCAGCACCAAGCATGAAGCTGGGAGCCTCCTCCAGCGCCGCATCGTCGACACGACTCAAATCCTCGGCGGCAAATTCTGCTTCTAGCAGTGATCACGAAAGCGGAGAAGATCTAGCCAGCTCGATGCACTCCCTCCAGACCACTCAATCCCGAGAAACAACCAGCAGTACCGGGGAGCAAAGTAGTGCTAGTGGGCACGGTTTGGAGGACAGCTGGGCTCATGTCGAGAGATCTTGAACAAGCCAATCTGTCTGCCCTCGCTCGAAGTAGCAAATGTGACCGTACCTAGGGTATCATTTTCACCGTTATCGTTGTTCGCCCTCTTCTGAATTGCCCAAGAAAGAAAACTGTTCATTACTATAGCCAGAATGATTGTAGATTTTTGTATGTGACATTCCACCATTTCCCCGATGGCCCGCCAGCCACAAAGGCGGTAAAGCAGCATCCAATGACTGACCGAGCTGGCTGACGTGCATCCCTTCGGGTCCCGCGACGCTACGGACCGAGCGGGCCGCTCGCTCCGTTAGGGTGGAGGTGCGAGAGGGATAACAGCGGAAGCGATGGCGTTCGTTAGTCTCGAATCTTAGAGGTCCTGTGAAAGAGAGACAGACAGAGCAGAGGCACGACTTATGCTCAAGATATGGCTATAGCGCGGCTGCACCAAGTGGGGCAGCAGCTCCCTTACGGAGGGACTCGCAATAAATGCGTGCATATGACACTTCTTAACGAGTTGCCGTTTGCGACCAACATTGCTTCGGAACGACGCCTCGAAGCACCACCGAAACATTCGAGATGTGGTGGGGATCTTCACTGATACTCCCGCTAGTCACGCTTGCCAGTGGGCAAAGCACTAACGCCTTGACCGACGCTTCGACGAGCACCTCGGGCACTTCTACCAGCACTGCTGGTACATCTCCGACAGCCTCTGCGACGAGCTCTAACCTTTCTCCAGAGCTAGCGCTCATTCTTCAGCGTCGACAGTATGATCTCGCTCAGTTTCCTACGCCTCAATGGGTAGAAAGCATACAGACGTATTTGGACACTCAGAAAACGGATGGTACCTGGCCAGATGTCAATTACGCTTCGGGATGTACGGCTCGTGAGTAGGCCCTCGCCTGCTCCCCTTATGCTTCTCGCTCACTGGGACGTGATAGAACGAGCCAACTGGCCGATCCAGCTGCACTGGGACAGGTTGATCACACTTGCAGCGGCATGGACAGGACTCAACCCGGCCATCCCCTCCAACTGGACTCATGATACCGCTTTACTCTCAGCGACTCAAAAGGGAATGGACTGGTGGTTTGAAAACGACTACAATTCGACAGACTGTATTGGCGCTGGAGGTTCTGGTTCTTGTCCCTGTGGTACGCCGGGACTATGGAATACCAACTGGTTCGATCAGGTCATCTTGATCCCCCAGTTGATGAGCACTACATGTCTTTTGATGCAGGATCAATTGACCGATTTCGAGCTGGACGGATGTATACGCATTGTAAGCAGGCCATACGACAGGTCCAATGGATCCATAGCCGGTGTAGGTGTACTGACGGGTGCCAACGTGAGTAAGGACAAGGGTTATCACGAGATGAATGCTGACAGTGTTCAAAGCTCATCAACGTGATGCAAAATTCAGTCTCTCTGGGCTTGTACAGCAATAATGCCAGTATCATCGACGATGCATTCAATCGAGCGTTCGGAAGTGTGACTGTGGGTCATGCTTTACTTTGACCAATCACTCGCTGAAACCCAAGTTGAGTTCTCCAATGCCCAAGCGGAGGACGGGATTCATCAAGACGGTTCCTTCCTGCAGCACAAGGGAATTCTGTACAATGGCAACTACGGCAAGGATCTGGCGAGTCTCACACCACACTGGAAATACGGCACTTGACTGACCCTCTTTTCAGATCAACGCCTTTGTTCAACTCGAAGGCGAAGCCAAGGGGACTTCTTACGCTGCCAATGACTCCACCCGAGCGGCATTTGCAACCGACATCCGTGGCAGTGAATGGATGATATTTGTTGACAACAGCACAGGTAGACAGCTGTGGGACTTTGTGAGCAGGATGATACCACCTTCGCCTCGATCCTGACCAACTTTCACCAGAACGTTGTTGGGCGGTTCGTGGCCTTCCCTTCCTCTGACAATCAGGCAAACTCCGACATCAATTTCAACGTTTCGAAACTCGCCAACGCAGTCTCCGACTTTGAGGAACCCTACAGCCTGAACGATACGATAACGAGATTGGAGTCCAACGGGACGGAAAAGCTTAATGGGAACAAGGCATTCTGGGCCAGTGACTACATGGTCCATCGACGGGATGGTTTTGCTCTAGGGAATAAGATGTTGTCGAACAGGTCGAGGAACACAGAGTATACGAACGGTGCCAATCCGTATGGCTTCCATTTGGGTCAAGGTGTGAAGCTTCAGAAGGATGTCATTCAAACTCGTGCTGATGCTCTCACGACAGGGACTCTATTCACCTATATCAGTGGAGAAGAATACCTCGATATCATGGACGCCTGGGATTGGAACCTGATACCTGGGACGACGGCATTACTCAACTTTCCGACACTTGGACCGGAGAACGTGGACCAATCTGGCAAACGAGATTGGGTCGGAGTAGTCTCAGATGGCTGGGTTGGGACAGCCGTAGAGGATTATTTGGACCCTTATGATGGAAGCGTGGCGTATAAGAAGATGTGAGCCATTCAGCAGGATAGGTCAAGCTCAACGCCTCAGGTGGTTTTACCTAGACGACTGTGTCGTCATCGTGACCACTGACATACAGATGAAACCTAATGCCTCGTCAATCGTGCCATCCGATACACCCCTCATCACGGTCCTGAATAACCAAAAGGCGACCGCTGGCGGCGTATGGATTGACGGTCAACAAGTGGAACCTGATCCTTCGGGTACATCGTACAACGGCACCACTCTATATTATAGCAATAACGGTTATATCGCCCTTGGGAACGACACCTTGTCTCTCGTCGTGGCGGAAGGCAATAGGACTGGCAATTGGTCTGCCATCTCCACGTCGACACTGGGCAACACGACGGTGCCCATTTTCTCAGCTTATACCATCGTCCCGACTACGAAGACCTCATCTTATGCCCTGTACCCCGCCACATCGCCCGATGTCCTACAGTATGCGGCGGAGTATCAACCGTACACCGTCATCGATAATGCAGACGGAATCATTGGCGTAGCCGGCATCGAACGTCTTTCATTGGTCTTTTGGCCAGGCTCAGCCGGGAACACGACGTTGGATCTTGGGCTCATCGGATGGGCAGACCAAGGCCAGATCCAGATCGCTTCGTCTCAACCTGGCGCCTACCTCTTCGCCACAGGAGCCAATGATGACGACACATATCTAGTGGTGACCGTGGCTGATCCTAGTCAGTCCTTGGAGAGCATCGAGTTCAGTATATCAAGCCAAGCCTTGTCCGTGCAGTGCACGCTAGATGCCTGGTATGGGTGTCAGTCCACGCCAGGTGGCGTCGCTGTGAACGTGACATTGCCCAGTCGGGGGCGCGTCGGCTCGTCCACTTTCGTCCAGCTTAACTTGCTTTGATCAAAAAGAGGGAAAAAGTCAGGGTGACAGGAGGATAATTGGCACATGCAATTTGTACATCATGAGCACTACAGACAAGGCTCCTGACACAGATATAGGGCTTGGGCTTCTCGGCAACGAGCTCATGCGGCGATATGCGAGACGTCTCTCTCCCATACACGATGCTTCGCAACGCCGTCGATGAAAGTCTTTGCGAACTGAGCACCAGAGCCGACATTCACAGCTGTCACAACTCCCGTCTGGTCCTGTACGTCCTGGCTGACTTGAACATCCCCGGGTAGACACATGGTCGCGAGCCAGCCAACCATATTGCCCGTCGCTCCAACTGTCTTTTGGTGCATGAATGCTTCTCTCGCAGCGTGGATCAATCGACCATTCTTTGCAGATTTGAGGTAGGATTGGTCCGACGCTGGAGAACCAACGAACAAGACAGCATCAAAGTACGTTGATCGAGAGTTCTCAAATGTAAACTCGGCAGTAACGGTCTCGCCGGAGGATGACTTGACGGGTCCTGTCCCGGGTCCAACCTGACCGAGTCAGCACAATGTAGGGCCCCTCACTTACATATTTGACCATCATGGGCACGGCCTGCATAGCTGCTGAGATGGCGGCGATCTGAGAGTATTCAAAGCCTTCCATGACGTAGACGCCAACCTTCCGGCCTTCCGCGGTGAAGGCTGCAAGCGGAAGCTCAGCGCTGGATCGAACCCCTGAATCACCACTCACTCTGACTCTTGCCGTTGACCTGTGACAAGAATGCCGACTTTTGATTGTGGTACTTGGCTGGGGCGGGCACAGTGACACTCGTCAAAGATTCCGCAACGGCTTTGGCAAACTCGTGGTTGATCATGTTGAATCGCTCCACCGCGGCTTGCTGGACCTGAGTCTCGAAACACTTGGACAGCTCGAACTGCGCAGCGCTGATGATGTGCTGCTGTTCCGTCTCGCTCATCGAATTATAGAAGAGCTGGGCTTGGTTGATGAATTCCTGCAAGGAGTCAGTCTATCAAAACTTCCGATGGCTCACATTGAACTTTGGCCCGTGCATACGCTCTTTGATGCCATTGACCACTTCGGCATATGGTCGGAAACCACCATGCTGAGGTGCAGTGACAGGCAGTGCATCGTGTCGGTTTGGGTGGTAACGCGTGCGATTCTTCTTGCTCTGCGTCTGCATGTGGCCGTCCGAAAGGTTGGTTGCAAAAGGACAGACCGGCTTATTAACGGGAATGTCAGGGAAGTTGACACCAATCCGACTGATCCTGGCGAGAGCATGAGCATATGCTGGACACAAAAACCAGCAGTCCTGCTCACTGCGTGTCAAAGTACGAGAAGTTTCGACCGGCCAGCAAAGGATCGGACGAGAAGTCCATTCCTGGGACAATGTGTGAGGTGCAAAAGGCGACTTCTTCGACTTCAGTGAAGTAGTCATCCGGGTTGCGGTTGAGAGTCAAGGTGCCGATGTTCTTGACGGGAACGAGGTCCTCGGGAATGATCTGAGAAGAGTTCAGTGGCCTTACGATGATGACGTGTTCACCTTGGTTGAGTCAAGCAGGTCAAAGTCAAAGTTGTGCTCGTCTTCCTCCTTGACAAGCTGTACCCCGAGCTCCCACTTTGGGTATGAGCCCGCTTCGATAGCGTCGTAAAGATCCCGTCGATGGAAGTCAGGATCTTGTCCGGCGAGCTTCAACGCCTCGTCCCAGACGAGACTGTGGGTTCCGAGATGAGGTGTCCAATGAAACTTGACAAACGTGCTCTTACCGTCGGCATCGAGAAGGCGGAAAGTGTGCACTGAGAAGTGAGCTAGGCCCATGAGGTACAACTTACCACCGAAGCCTTGCATGTGGCGGAACGATCGAGGAATCGCTCGATCCGACAAGACCCATTGTTGCATGTGCGTGGATTGAGGGTGGAGAGACATAAAGTCCCATGCGTCTGGTTTGTCAGCAGAAGGGTTGCCGGACCACCCTCACTATCATGGGCAGTCTGAGCCTGAGGAATCTCGTTGTGTGGCTCTGGCTTGACAGCATGGACGAGGTCCGGGAATTTTATGGCGTCCTGGATGAAGAATACAGGAATGTTGTTTCCGACTGCCCGGTCAGCCGAGATACCTGGGATACGCTTACCAATGTCCCAGTTGCCTTCCTCAGTATACAGCCTTGATGCAAAGCCTGAATCACAGGGATTCAGCCCAAGATCGAGAGCTTCCCGATCGATCGACTCACCTCTGGGATCTCTTACACTATCTGCACTTCCTCTCGAGCCGTTGACGGTGGAGAATCTCACATATGCAGGCGTGATCTTCGAAGTGTCGGTGAGAATCTATGCGAGATGAGCATGGTCCACAATCGATACGCTCACCTTGGCTGTGGTGATGCCGGTCAAAGCCGTGTGCAATTTGAATTCACCAAACGCTCCCGCACCGCGAGCGTGGACAACACGTTCAGGGATACGCTCGTGATCGAAATGGCTAATCTTTTCTCGATTGTGAAAGTCTGCGCGAAGCTTCAGCACGTACGGGATCGCAAAGTACCCACCTTCAAGAACCGTCGGTCCTCTTGATCCAGCTCGAAGGGCAATGTCCGTGTTCTAGGTCATGGTGAGCTGCAATCGCTGGAACGAGTGTGGTTGTTGACTCACTTCAACCTTTGCTCCAAAGTATGTTGTCAACGGAGTCTTGGAGTTTTCCTCCAATCGATAACCTTCCATTTGTCGTTGTTTGGCATCGCCCATGGTGGTGTTGATGACTGGAGGGTTAAGTGTCAGCGACAAGGCTCGCGTTAGATCGGACTGACTCAGTCACTGACCTTTCTCTACGACTGCTGCTGCCATGGTGTTACTACGCTGTCGATTGTCTGTAAGCTTGCACAGAGACAGTGTTGAGGTAGAAGAGACAAAGAGTGCGGTGGCCAACGGACCCTCTACGTTTTGAGAGAGACTTGAGACTTCGATTTTGTTGCCAAGATGACATCAGCTTACGGGTCAGCGCAACATTTGAACCGCCTGTTCCCTGATTCCAGCGAAAATCAGAGGGACGATCAGCGTCTTGCGAGTCCTCATAGCAGCCCAGCCCATTTTGAAATGCTCAAGCATTGACATTGAAGGCTCGCCGCCTCCCTCCTACACTCGTGATACCGCTTCAGCTCATACTGTCCAGCAGCTTCATTCTCTCGCCCAGTACTAGTACCGACGTGTTGGGAATGTCAGCCATGAATGATGACCCGCTCGATCGGGCTGTAGATCGCCGGGAGTCGAAACTTTCTAATTGGAAATTTCCACATTACGATTGATTCAAGACGATTAGCGTTCTTTTTCCTAATCCCGGGACCATTATTCGCCACTCACTGCTCCTCCATCATCATCCCCAGCCAGCGTCTACTATCTTCTTATTCTCCCACGCTGTTGGTTTTTTTTTTGGCTGTTGACTGCCTTTGTACACAACCGACCGTGCGAAAAGGTCCCTCCACCAACAAGGTCCACCGATCACCACCAAGGTCCTACTGCTCGCAAGGCGAGTTGCAAAGTCCAGAGGTCTCGCCTCGGGTGCATCCTCGAGCCTCGCTACAATGTCCGAAGACGATCCCTCTTCCCTTCCTCTCGCCCCGCTAGACCTCTTACTCAATGCTATCGGCAATGACAGTCCCACCGATGACTTTATAGGGAGCATGTTGGGCACCGGATCGACTGTGAGTTCTCTTCTACGTCTATATCCCAACTCACTGATGTGTTATCGTTGCAGATACGTAAACGGAAGCGTGGGCTCATCGAGGTCAACATACAACGATCCAAGATCCAAAAGACAATCACTAAGCATCTCACGGCTGATTCTTTTGGCTTCTCCAAAGTCATCGTCTGGCACCCTAATACGGCTCAAAAGAGTTATCGTCAGGAGAAGAGGTCAGTTTTCGAAAAGCTCAATAATTCCCCTCTGACATCCTTGCTGCTCAGGATGCTTAATCCACCTCCGATATTGCGCGTCTCCGGACCTATCCTCCCAGTTCTCACTTCTGTCTCCCTCACCCCGACCATCGACTCCCTTCACATGAAGACTCAGACGCATCATATCCCGCTCTTAACGGAAGAGCCCAGATCGGAGGGCAAAGTCAATAAAGAAAAGATGATAAGGGAGACCGCTGCGAAGTCTGGATTCGGTGCTGGACTCGGGAGAGCCAAGGCCTTTTCAAGAGAACGTCAAGCACTGAGTGATGGACTCGCTTTCCCCGCCCTTTGGGTCAACGAATCCATTGGCAAGCTCAAGGAATTCAATCTCGAATTACTTCTAGGCAGTCCCGGTCAGGATCCTGAATCAGCTGCGCAAGTGGTACAGGAGCCCAGTCAGCTGCCGGCCGAGGAGACAGCTGCCGTCCCTGGTCTCGCAGTTGGGGAATCCGGTGCTCAAGACCAAGCCGCGGAAGACAACGCCCTCATCGATCCTGCCATTGTGGACACCGAACCTACTACTGCGGATGCACCACCAGTCGCCCCAAAACCTTCAGTCTGGGCGACGTTTCCCTCCCTCCCCCTCTCAGTAGTATCCAAACCCTCCCAAAAGACGGTCAAGGCTAGAAACATTGCTTCGTGCCTGCGAGACAGCGACTCGTTCGCCCTGTGTTGTCGGATTAACAGTCAGTCAGTGCGTACAAAATACCTCAAGATTGATGCCGGTCCTCGTCTCGCTTCGCGCACAGGTCAATGGACGCCATTCAAATTCGACGTGATCACGCGTGCTTCTCCGCCAGACGTCAACACCAAACGGCCTCGATTTGCTGGTCAGGTCGAGCCGAATGACGTCTTGACATATGGGAGTATTGTCTCACTGGTGGACGTTCAGTCGGGAATTCGCAGTGAGCCCATGAAAGTGGTCAAGGTCGAGCACAACGAAGTATTGGATGACCGTGACGGTCATCCCATCAGCGAACTACAGCGAGTTGCCTTTCTCCGTCAACACGGTAACGACGACCGGCCGAGGTGGTTCCTCAGTGCTCCAGGCGCCAGAGCGGGCGGTGGTGAACTCTTATCCGAACAGCCAGGTGGCAAGCGTCGGAAGAAGGACGAAGTACCCACGAACGATGCCTTGGTCGAACAGACCCTGAACGGCCTTGCAAGCGAATCAGACGACAGACTGGCCGAAGCTGGCCTCCCGGAAGACGTAAGAGAGGCCCTGATGGAGATGGTGAGCAAGGGGGAGCATCTGCCAAAACGACCCAAGACGAAACGTAACGCATTGGCCATGGCCACGCTAGCGGAGCACGAGGGTACAGGTTTGCAAAATGCCTTGGAGTGGATGCAAGCGAGTACAGAAGAAAGAACTGTCGAAGGTGTCACTCAGGAATTCGAGTCTGTTCCTGACTGGATGAGTTACATCATCACTGGGATCTGTGAGTAGCGGTGCGATAACCTTGCTGAAGCTCAGCTTCGTTCTCCTTTTCATTCTTTGACGGGATGCAATACGATATGCTGCCTCGTTTCGATATGCCTCTGGATCCAATCCCACGCATCCTCGCTGAACCACTGTACCATCACGATCTGCAAGTGGTGGATGTCATCTTGTCGGAATATCACCTCATGGATTCCCCTCTGGACGTTTATCTCGGTCCCATTGGACCGCTGTCTGTGACCATTTGGAGATCGACAGCTCCGCTAGAACGAATGATGCTCAAGCCTGGCCAGCAGCATACCGCGGTTTCGCTAGACGCGGAGCCTCTGACGACTGTCCAAGCGCCTTTATCTGATTTTCCCGGAGCAACACCACACGTCCTTGTTCGAGTGGAGATGCCGGATGCCGATACGATTATCAGCGTGATGAAATCCTGCGCGGCGGCCAAAGAACCCAAAGCGCCAGCGATCGAGGTGGAAAATGATGGATGGCCAGTGGACGAGACACAAGCTATTCAAGAAGCTCTGAAGAATGCAGAGGAAGCTTTCAATCAAGACCAAAACCAGCAGCAACAAGTCGTCGATTCAATCGACAGGGTTTTTGAGACGGAGGATATGCCTATCGATCCATCGATCATGGTGGAGCAGAGTACGGATGGCCAAGCGGACCCGACATTGGAGGCGACGGAGGCGATGGAAGGAGACAATGTGGATCAACCACAACACGAGATGCTAATTGACAACACGGAGCTGGAGGCAAGAAATCCAACTTCTTGTTCTACCATGGTCCAATTGAGTACCCCTGTCAAAGAGGAGAGACGGACGGATTTCGTACCGTTACCATTCTTGTTATTGAGGAGTGATGGTGTGGGTTTCGGAATGGGAAAGAGCGTCGTCGCGGAGAGATTTCCAGATGAAAGTCAGTCGAGTGAAACGGCCAGATGGGGTGAGTGAAAAGTGTTTCCCGGCGGGAGGTTTCGAGTACTCATTCCTGATTAGGTCTCCGAGTAGTACCGACATGATAGGCATGACATGCAATCTACAGTCGGGCGGCGGTGGGCTAAGCTCCTATAACAATTGTATTTGGGTGAATGTGACAGGGCTCCTGATGACACTTCACTGTATCTCTTTGTATGTGTAATGATATGTATCTCGATATTGAGTACGCTACATGTATTGGACGCATGTCCTTCATTTCGTCCATACGTATATCTCACTTCTCTCCGCAACGAGTCACGACGTCCATAAGGAATCTCTCACAGCCTTGAGAGCCGCCACGTCCAACTCGAACCACCGTTCATACCCTCCCTGTCCAGGGCCCGTACTTCGTCTAGGTCTTCCGGTTTTCTTACTGACTCGACTTTGGCCCAGAGCCGCTGCTAAGTCTTCTTCTTGTTCCAGTATGTCTTCCGCAGCCGTAATTGCCTGTATCATGGGTACCGTCTCGAGAAACAACGATGATCGAGGGAGGAGAGGGGCAGATAATGGGATCAAGGGATCAAGGAATGGAAGTAGAGCTCGAATATAGTATGCCCTGTGGAGATTCAGAGATTCAGCTCAAAGACTTGGTAATATGCTGGATTTTTGGGAGACTCACCTTTGTTCCTCGAGGTCTGAAGGAGGTGGTGGACCTCCAACCAGATCCATCAGATAAGCTTCAATCTCTGTAGCCTTGTCGAAGCCTATCAATACGGGAACCGAGTCCTTAATCCACGGTTTGACGAGTTGATGAACGCCCAATTCATCATCGGTGTTTGGTCGGTGCCGATCAATTAGTTCCGTCTGGTTGGGAGCCAACATCAGCCGGCGACGAACCATCTGGACGAGACGCGGTACCTACCTCTAACACATGCGATCCTCGAGGACCAACGAACGCATCGCAGAAGGACAATACTTCGATTCGTCGAAACTCGTCCAGATCGTCCTGTGGCTGTCGCTTCGATGAACGGCAGACCTTTCGGTCGAATTGGAGTTGATTGATCGCTCGTCTCAGGTCGAATCTCTTGATAGGTTCGCTACCGTTTGGCGGGAGAGGTTGATCCAAATGATTGACGACGCCACAGCTTGAAACGCAACATCCGTGGTAAAGGTCGACAGCTCGATTCGGAGAGATTCCATATTGCTGAGCCAATGTCTCGAGGAACGGAATAGCGAGGTAGGAGGGCGGTGGTTGAAAATACAGTACGGTCTGGAGAGGCAAGGTATCGATAGGTATACGGGATGGGTCTGGCAAGGGTCAAAAGTCTGTCAGGTTGGTGTCGATGTCGAGTTGATACCAACTCACCATTACATGTCAGGATGACCGGCCGCCTGGATCCCGCTACGAGTGAAACAATTGTCGGCCAAAACGTTTGTTCCTCTTGAAACAGTATGTCTGCCTCTTCAATTAAGATCAATGACTGCCGATACTCTCCACTCGTCGTCCGCCGATGTCCGTGGTGATTCTTCCTTGGCGAGTTGTCCATCGACCAAATCTTGGATTGACCTTCGACGCATCCACTTCCCACTGTCTCCTTTGAAGACTGCTGTACCAAATGATTCTTCCCTACGTCCCCTATCCAACTCATCAAACCTGCTCCTGTCCTCTTTCCCATCCCAGGATTCACCTCGAATACTTCCCATCCTAATTCTCTCGCGACGGCGTAAACGGCAGCCGATTTCCCCGCTCCATTCGGCCCACTCAGCAGTATACACCCAGCGAGTCGATCATCGAGAGCTGGATAACCTATCGGTCGCTCGTCCAACACCAGAGGGGGTTCGTAAAAGTCCTCATAAGCCTCCAGTTCGTCCTCTGTTCCGAATGGTTCGCCGAATAATCCAGCATCGTCGACTATCCACCCGTCCAACGCTTTTGTCCGTGAGACTTTACGAAAAATCCGACGTCGGGTTGAAGCGCTGGAGCCTGTCCCGACTGAGAGCGCTCGTAGCCATTCTAAGAGATAAGTTGATTCCGTCTCGTTGCCTAAGACTTGGGAGGCTGAAAGAGGAGCGAACTGATCAGCCCATGCTTCCCGGGAGTTGATGTGCCGTGAAAAGAGAGATTGGATAGCGGGATGAAGGGTGATGAATGGAGGTGTGGAGGGCTTGGTGGAAACGGACGAAACGCCCAATTCGAGATGCGGAGTATCAGAGGAGAGAATCGAAGAGCATTTCTTTAGCCAAAAGCCGTTCTTTTCTGAAGGATGTTCAAAGATGGATGATTTCGCTCGTGTTGGACGTTTAGACGGCCCTGCCGAGCTGAACTCAGCAGCTCCAATGTGTGTCGGACACTGTCCCCCCGGCAGTGGTGCCACCCATTCGCCGCCAATCTTCACTCCATGTCCCCAGCCGTCTCTCAATTGCCCAGGTACTGATCCGCCAGCCCCTAGTCCGTTCGAGAAGAACCCATGGACCGGTCTACCTTTAGAGCTCAGACTCGCTTGTGTTTCTTGTATCGGTGTCGATCCGTTCGGTGGTCCCACAGCTTCGGCTGCTCGTCGATGGAAGAATGAATGGGCTGCTTTCTGATCCGCTGCGAACACAATCTTCTTCGGACCACTCGGTACGGTCAGTTCGTCGACGTTGATGGGATCCCCTTTGGCTCCTTTGGATGATGACGTCGAATTCGCAGATAGGGTCCGAGTGAGAGCTTTAGCCTTGATCTTTGAGACGGAGAGTGCTGACGGATGTGATGAGGACTGGGGTATATCGTGGTGATCAGAGGAGACGAGATTGATGATCTCTTTATTGGTGGGTCGAGGGGCACCGGCGCCTTTACGTTTGCGTGGAGATTGATGGGGTGTAGTGGAGACCGATGGATTCGGACTTTGAAGAGGATCAGGAGATCCATCCCCAATATAGCTACTATCTGGCAAGAGGTTTCAGTTAGATCACTATCACCACTGCCTCGAGAACAGCTCGACAGACCTCTGTGAATAACCCCTGTGTCAGACGTTTGCTGCCCTCGTCGCCTTACGCCGATTCCTACTTTACGCCTGCTCCGAGCTCTCCCCTTCCCACGGCCATTCGATGCACCCCTCGTACCGTCCTCCAGGATCGAGTTCTCTCCACCATCCTTTCCACCCGTCTCGGCGTCAGACGTCGTCGTTGATGTCCCTTCGTTCCGCCTGGCGATGGACCAACCGCTAGATGAACGACTGATCAAGCCTTGAGCCACATCGTCCACCTTTTTACGCTTCCTCTTGACTTTCTCGCCTGATCCGCTATTTGCAGATCCTGTCGAAGGTCCAGCTGCGGCGTTGGCCTCTGTGCTTGCGCTCGTCGATTGGAAGAATGAATGGATCGGCTTGCCAGTGCTCGAAAGCTGACCAAGGAGGGTGGGGGCGATTGAGTCCGGGTTCGCATCTGTTGATTGGAGCCCAGAGCTGGTAAAGGAGCCTTCGTCATCCATCATCATCATCATCTTCGTCTTCATCAATTCGCCTTGTGTCGACTGCCAGACGTCAATCTCTCAAATCCCCATATCCTTCAGACATACTGGGCCGATTCCACGGCATTTCAGCGTTTATCCTTTGCGGTGTGTGCAACATTTCGGAGAACGCGTCGATCAAAGGCCACGCGACGAAGCGGAAGCAAAAAGTATCTGGGGGATCTCATCATCACATGCCGGGTTCACAAGCTGTTGTTGCAGGCTCAACAACTTGACCAGGTCCACCCGTGTAGCAAGAGTGCACTGTGGCGCACCCCAGACAACTCCGACGTCGAGGCTATCTAAGTCCGATATGCTCTATCGTCGTCAGGCTGGATCCTCCGGAACCAACCATATTCTCCATTCTCCTGTGGTGGACTCTCCCTCACCTCCACCGCGTAATGTGAATCAAGCATTCAAACCATTACGTAGGGAATCTGGGACGTTGTATTCTACTCCTTCTGGTCAAACTGGACCATCTGATCCATCTCGAGCGCGGTATCCCATCCCGTCCAGTAGTCCAGCGATCAATGGGGATGGAAATGGGTTCGGAAACGGTTATGGACACGGTTACGGTGAATCTGAGCCGAGCTATTTTCAACCTTCGTATGGGATGACATCTGGTAATATTGGACTTGGATATGGATCCAGCGCAAATACCGGGTCCTCCTCTCAATACGGATATGGTGGAAACATGGGTAGTAGTGCATTTGCCCCCGGAGACGATGCCAAACCGTTGTCCATGAGGAGCAAAGAAGAATGGATAGCTATGGTTCGTCATGGGCTGGACAACGTCGCCAGAGGGTTTGGCGATTCATCAAGGCTTGACAAAAGCTGGTCTATGGCTTGGGGGTGAGTATGCCAATAGATCAGGTCACACCGCAATGAGGCATAGCTGATGCATCTCTTATGGTTCAGAGATGTTGAGCTCAGAAGCTTGATTCTACGATCCACGTGAGTTCCACTACTGACGCCTACAACGTCGACTGATACTCTGTTTCCAGGCTCATCAACCTTGTCTCTCTCCTTCTGCTCTCCTTCTCACCCATAGTCTTGTCTCCAGCTCTCTCCTTGTCACCCGACGCGCAGGACAAGGCACGATCCGTCGGATTGTGGTACAACGTCCTTCTATCCTGGCCCGTGTTCGTCCTCTGCTTCTGGATCAATGTGAGCGTTTTCTCCTTGGGCATCGAGCTCGGGTGAGCTACTGAACGACACGTACAGGCATATTGGGGTCCCGCGATATCGAAACGAGCTCAGATACTCTTACATCCTGCGTGAGTAGTCTCAATCCATGCCGTGAGCTGATCCATCCGCCGCAGGTACCGACATCAACCTTCCTCGCCTATCCCCTCAAACAGATCCTCGTCATCTGCTCCGTCTGATCCTCTCGTATGGGTCTTTTCGACCCTTCAGCGCCTCTTGATGATCTCTGATTTCACATTGATGTCAAGGACCATCTTGCTGGTACCGGTGTTGGGGAGACCGACGGCTTTCGCCTACATGTGTATCATCAATGCTTACTATTGTTTCGAGTGAGTCAATATGCGCTTCTCTGTGAGGTTGTTCTGGCTTGAATGTGTCTTGTCCAGCTATACGTTCACCTCCCGTGGATGGTCTTTGACCCACCGAGTCATTTTCATGCAAGAGCGGACCTTGTACATGGTTGGGTTTGGTGAGGTTGAATTCGAGGGATTAGGGAATTTGCGACTAAGACGGTCAATCAATGTCAGGCTTCCCAGCAACATTCCTGTCATCCTTTTTCACACCACTGGTCAATATGGCCATTTTCGCGCTCATCTATCCATTCGTGAGTCGTTGTCTCGGGAAGAAAACGCTGAATCTGTTTTCCCAGTTTGTTCTTCAGGCTCTGCTTGCCAGACCACCCGTCCCTCGATCCAGTCTCCTCCCAACTACACCCTCGCCGCATTCTTCCCTCCCAGCATCACCATCTGAGCAGCATCCGTCCATGACACCTAACGCTTCGTCCCTGTCAGCGTCTCGCCCGACTTTCGGTGTCCCAATCTTTTTCTTTGCCAAATTCGCCCTCGCTGCGCTTAGCTATGTCGAAGCTGCGATTGGCCGGCATAGAACCGGATTTTCTGGGGCCGGATCTTCATTGAGAGAGAGATCTGGTAAGAGGGTGATGTAATTATCCGCCCACAGCAACGTATGCACCTTTGACGTGCCTGCACATGTGAAGCCAGGTACGTAGACAGGGTATCAACCCGCATTGCACCCTGGCGTGTGGCCCCCCGTGGCTATGCAGCAAGAGCCGATAGAGCCAGCTCATCCACGGCGTCTTCTCGGTGCAGAGAGCGGGTCATATTGTTATTATTGTTGACGATGATGATGATGACCTCGTTTCTGCCAACCCCGGTTAATGTATCCGGTACACGGCCAATACCCAAGGGCCCGGGGGGCGTCTTTTCAGGGAAAATTATGAAAAAAAGACGAGGGGGGGAGATATACATCATTTTGGCAGTGTGCCTGGTTCCTTGAGTGCCGACCGTGGTCCGTGGAGAAAAGGATTGTTGCCCGTGTCTATCTCTAGAACAGGTCGATGCAATAGCCGCAAGGGTGAGAAGGGCGGAAGCAAAAGGAGGAGGATGTTTGTGGTACAAATCATCCGTCTCACGCCTCATGCTCCATCGTATCATACACACACAAATAGGTTGTGGTGGTGGTGGCAGCGTCGTGGCGGCAGTGATTCTGCGGCGAGAAGGATGGGCCTTTCATGCGGAGGAGCACGTCAGGCATAGCACGGGATATCCGCTGGCTCCTGACATGGGTTCCATTTTGGCTCCGAGGGGCTAGATAGGTTGCACAACACACTACCTACCGTGGCACGGTGTTTTGAGTCGCCCTTATGTGCAAAAGCCGTAGGCAGAGGCTGGTCATGGGGAATGCGAATCAATGCATAGGATGGATGGTATTATAGCCTGAATCCATTCGAGATCCTTATTCCGACGGCATAAGCTGGTAGGCACAGATACTGTGATGGGATCTGCTAAATTTATGTATCGTATCCACCAATAAGGTAAGTGTGAATAAACTATAAACCGTGTTCCTCGTCACACTACCACAATGAATGCAGTCTGTATGTTGTATCAGACGAAAGACGACGACGACGACGATGACAAGGGCTACGACAGCAAGGCAGTCAGGACGTGGGAATCCCATGGTCAAGAATATTTTTCCCATGACATGCACATCCCACCCAGCTCACCTGCTGTCTGACTGGCTGGCTGGCTGACAGACCGATGCTGGGCTGGGCATGACATCCAAGGCACGGAATACCGGTAATAGTGCCGAAACTACGGTTAAATGCCAGGAATTGCACCCTGGAAACTGTGAATTTTGTCGCCACGCTCTCACTCACTGCCTGCTCCTCCTGCTCCTCCTCCTCCTCCTGCTCCCCTTTTTTTTTTCTTCCTCCTCCTGCTCCTCTCACTGCTAGCCAGTCCGTACCCCGCTCGCCGTGTGTAGTGCGCGTGTCTACGTCTCTGAGAATGGGTCAAGTGAGCAACAGAGCTATCAAGTGCCTTGCAGATCAAGAGGGCAGGGTAGAGCGAAAACAGGCACTATCAGACAGCAGGTAGAAGGAGGGGCGGAGGGGAGAGGGGGGCATAGGCGGGGAAATCGTCAAAGAACGCAGCAGAAGCAGAAGAAGAAGAAGGCTTTTTTTTGGGCAATGTGGTGGTGTGGAATGGAAAACGCCACTTTTGACATGGAAGCTCAAGTGTCTCTTATGACTTCTATTCCTCGCTCTCTTTCTCTCCGTGAAAGGGGGGAACGGGCAGCGGAGCCAAGGGAGCGGAGAGAACGGTGGCACTAGGAGAGGACCCAGTCGTCGGCAGCGTAGGAGCGCCTAAAATGGGTCAGCATGGCTGTGAGATGGATGTGTCATTTCGATGTAGATCATTGGGCCAATTGTCTTTTTGGAGATCTGGTGTTTTCGTCTTTCTCCAGGTCTTCTGGTTGACAACAAGAGGCAATTTACAGTGGATCCATCCATCCATCGTTTCCAGGGACGATCCTCGACATTCCATATAGGACGGACCTGAGCTTTTGGAGCAATCCCCGCTCACTCCACGCCCCCTTTCGAGTGTGAAAAAAAAAGAGAGAATCCACACATTCATTCGCCTTATTGTGTCTGTGGAAGCCCCTTTGGAATAGAGCGAAAAAGTATAACCTTGCTCGTCTTTCGCCCCCCTCCACCCCCTTGCCCTGACCATCCCCCTCGCCCCCTCCGATCTACGCTGCCATCTCCGACCACAAGAACACATCCACACATTCCTTCAAGATCGGCTGTGTGTCCGTGTGTACCTTTCTCTTTGTCGTCACAAAAGTTCCAAAACCGATTCCAGGGTAAAATTGCTCGACAACGTCAAGTGGCAGTTTGTGGCACTCTGCACCCCTCGCTCTCTCACCCGCCTCCACTGCCCCTATTACATACCTCATACCTCATACTTCCTTGTGCCAAAATATCTTTCAACCTTTCTTCCTTGCTATATCTCAACGTGAGGGCACTCTTGTTCGGTACCTGATACGGAGAAACTGTTGCTCCCCTTCTTCTTCTCCTTCTTCTTCTTCCTCCTCCTCCTTCCTTTCCATTCTCCCTCCCTTCGAAAACGACACCCACACACGCCGCACACACGCACACACAACCCATCCAGTGAGGTGATGCTTCTTCCCGTCGATCTTCCATCAACAAAAAGTTTACAATCGTCATTGGCACTCTTGACAGCGGCAAGGGCATCTAAAATAGAGAGAGAGAGCTAAAGGGGTCTTTGATCTTCAATGAAGGGGCTCGGTTGATATTATAGAAGGAGCTGTTAGCACTAGTATAATCGGTTCCCCCTCCTCTTCGCCATTCGATTTTTTTAACCCCCCTTTTACCCAACATTACCCTACCTCGCTTGCACCACACGCACTTGCACGCTCTCCCTCTCTCTCAGACCGGACCTACTCGTCTCAACACGCTCTTGGCCTGTCGTATACATGTCGTACGATCCTGCCTACCTTTACGGAGGTTCAGGAACCCAGCAACACCAGCAGCAGCAACAAAAACAGCAGCAGCATCAGCAGCATACACAATCCGCTCAGAGGGATCAACGCACACCCTCAGATTCCATCCGAGATTCTCCCAGATCTCTGCCCTCAACGACCAACACTTCCAGTTCGAGACCATCTCAGCAATCCCTACTGTCTCTTCCTCCTGTCTCGCCGTTATCCCTCCATCAACGGCACCATCAACCTCTCGCTTCTCCATCTGGGTCGATGCTAGTTCAACCATTCTCTCATGCTCTAGGAATGCCCTCTCAACAATCTCAAGGAACAGCTTCCTACGTCGATCAGCAGCCCGTCATGACTTGGCAATCTTATTCCGAGGCTCAATCCTCGGCCTCCAATGAAACGCTACGTCCACCACCTCCTCTTCAATCAACCCGTCAAAATTCCAACCTTTCCATTTCACTTCCACCTCAACACCTACATCCGCCTCTCCTCATCTCCCCACCCGGGTCCATGTCATACAGCTCAGCGACGGTCACTCCTCCCGTCTCGGGCTATCCACCTGCATTCTACTCGTCAGGTACTTCACCTTTCCCAAGTCCGAGCTACGCCACTCACCAATCACAAATTACACCACCCATCTCAGATTACTTTACATCTCAACCTCCTCCTTCCATTTCTCCTTCCGCTATGGCTCACCGTTCAGGTCACATAGGTCCTTCATCTCCCAACGGCAAACGATACGGTGGCGGTGGAGATTCCTCACGATCGGCCTCCATCAACTCTGGCAAAGCCGAACCGAGTAGTGGGAACAAATCTGGCGCCAAAACGTCAAGACAACAATTCACGGCGTGTGGCGCTTGTCGGCATCGGAGAGTCAAGTGTGATCTCAAGGACAGGCAAGAAGCGGCTGAAAAGCAAGCCGGATCAGCTGCAAAGAGGAGCGGCAAGAAGATCCGAGTCAGTTGCTCAAATTGTCTCGAACGAGGCACAAATTGCGTGTGAGTGGCGGAAATACGCAGGGAATTGTTTCGTCCGTCGACCTTTTTTTTCTGACCTCTCTTCTACAGAGATGAATTCGCTCCCATCAAAGCTGCAAAGCAATTACGACGAGGAAAGCGAATCTCTGAAATCGAGACGCTTTACGGTCGTTTGGGGCAAGACGGCGTCGATGCGTCGGATGAAACCGGATCTCAAACAAAAGACGACGATTTTGTGATACCCGAACTCGGACCGACGTTTTGGCAATCGCATTGGCTGAAAGATTTCCTAAGACATCGTGAGTCCTTCACCGCCCTGTGAATTGATTGCTGAAGCTCGCTCCAGGACCGATATTCGACCCTCAAGAGATCACTTCTGGACCTTTGCTCAATCGAGTCCTGTACGCGTGGGCCATCTCCTTGGGTTACGATGAAAATGGGCGACAAATTTCCGACGACTTGTTGACTCCCCTCGAAAGCTCCATCGATGATTCGGTCGAGCTCTCGAGACAGAACAGGACAGAAAATCTGAAATTGGTGCTCGAAATCATACTCAAACAAGTCGATCGGGGCGGAGTTCTGAGAAGACCTCAATGGGACAACGCGAGGGCTCTGCTTCTTCTCGTACCGCTAGTCTCAGGTGTGTACAGTCAGGAATCATTCGCTCAACCCCTTTCTCTGACACCGCTCGTAGCGTTCTTGCCCTCTATCGAATTACATTCTCTCCGTACGGCCGCCATGACGCAAATTCACAGCCTTTCCCTGGCGAGATTAAATTCGCAAGAGCCACCTCAAAATCTTTCTTCCGAACTTGCCACTTTCTTTTGTAGGTCGAGCCAAGAATGTCGATAACAAGACGGACTGACACATGACCAGATGCCTTTGCCGAAGAGAGCTTGACGTCAAGTCTGAACGGACTCCCGATTTATCTCGATTTTTCCCTCATGGACAAACTGTGCGCCATCCCCGGAATTAAACTCGGAAACAGCATGGATTATATCAAGAGTCGGGGATTGACAGCTTTGAACATGACCACGGCGGTGAGTGACGCAAGGTTCTTATTCTTTTAAGCTGACACAGATTCCAGGCCTGCCGTCTAATGCACCGAATTGTGACTGTCCCCGACGAGATCATGTCAAACGAAGTTTACAACCGAATCACCATTTTGCTTGACCAAGCCTGGCAGGAGACTGAGATCCTGGGCTATGATCAAACATCCTCGCGAGAGTGAGTGGCTTGAATCAAATGAGACAGAGTCGTGCGTTTACTGACACAGCCTTTCTAGACTCAACCTAGCCTACAAGCTCGACGTGCTTTTGGTGTACCAGAGCCTTTACGCCGGAATGAAAGTTCAATTGGGTCGGATTATGGCCAATACGTCTCCAGATTATCAGAGATTACGAGGACTTCTGGACACCACCCGATCGAAATGCACGACTTTGAGCAAAGTCCTGGTTGATCACCTACGGGGATCTCCAAAGTGAGTGAAGATCGATTTCGCCACTCGTCACGTCGATCTCATGAACTGACGCTATTTTCCTTTCATCAGGGTGCTTGATACAGGTTCAATTGTGCACGAAGATGCCGTTTACTACGCTGCGAGATGGTTGATGCGCTCTGGATCTCCAGACGAGGACGTGAACGTCTGCATGTCAGTCCTAAGCGTGAGTGTGGCGTGGCCCCTCTGGGAACTTTTGCTGAAGCGCTTTCATAGTCATCTTCATGGTGCCTCTCAAGAGCCTGGAGCAGAGTCACAGAGTGAGTCAGAGGCCCGTCCTGAAAAGGGAAAAATCCAGAGCTAACGCATGGCTGCCCTCTTCTCTCCCAAAGACTCCGCGACTTGCTCTCTCAACGGAACGTACCCATGCTTTCTGGCTGGAGCATCTCCCCGCCGATTTCAGCCGCTTCCACCGCTTCTCCATTGTACCCACCAGCAATGATCATGAGCTCCAGCGGTCCTGTGATCAAAAACGAGCCGGACGTCCAGACTGTAGCCTATCCCCAAGCGTACGGATACGAGTTCTACACCCAATGAGGAGGAGGCACAGGCGAGTGACGTCTAGGCCACTGCATACTGTCATCATCACCTGCCTTTTTGCCTTCGTTTTCTGTGCATTCATATCATTCGGCCACAACTCACCATGGACATTTGGTTACCATGTAGACAGGGGCTTGGTCTCATGATGAGACGTAGCTATATGCATTTATATTCTGTGACATGAGAGGGCGGAGGCGGTATGGCGGATCCAGAGATGACGACGACGCCATTACCTTTTCTAATCCCCCTGCTTCTTCATTATCAATCTGTTAATGGATTAGCATTTTGAAAAGCTCAAAAACCGGCCAAAGGGGACGCCGAAGCCCCCTTCAGTCGTTTTTTAAAAAAACTCTCTCTCTCTTCGCCGGGGCTTTTTCGTGATTCTTATTTGGTTCACCCTACAAACGATTTGGAACGCAGCGTGTGGGTGAGAAGGTGGAGGCAGTCCAATACGAAGAGATATATCCCACAGCGACATCGAGTACAGTGGAAGGAGAGACATACGGCTGGCTGGCTGGCTGGCCTAAGGGGAGGCCAATATGGACGCGTTGGATGTTGGTCCGGAAGATGGAGGACGAAGGGGAGGTGACGAGCCAATACCTTCACCACCTCGGATCCCAGATCAAGGTGCAGGAGTGAAGGAAGATGATGAAGAAGCAGCAGGGGGAAGGAAAAGTGACCAGACAGAGGCTCATGTCCTCATTGAAGACAGAGAGAAGATTCCGGATGACAGTACGCAGGATGGAATGGAGGGCCAAGGAGAGGAATCTAGTGAACGTCGTGACGAGCCTGCGAGCAGCGATATGACTTCAGAGCGACCTCTTGTCGATTCGCTTCCGGACGCGTCGAGTCTACCTGTTGACCACTCATCGGCACCGGATCAAGTCGATGTCATTGGCGACGAAAGGAGAAGCGATGTGGAAGCTGGACTGGAGCAAGTAGATGCTTCGGAAGTTCAGGCGGCTACAGAGATCGGTACCGATGACCTGACCACTCCTGCAAAGGGAACGGAGCATGTAGATGCTCTGGAAGTTCAGGCGGCTACAGAGATCGGTACCGATGATCTGACCACTCCTGGAACTGAGGACAAGGCTGCCGCAAACGTCATGACTGCGCCAAACGTTCTGCCAAGTCTCGGATCAACCCAAATTGGACACGACGATAAGACTGGAGGAGAGACTTTCCCTGGACCCTTCTTCATGTACCCTGGCTTACCAGTCACCTCTTCGACGACGGGTATGGGAGAGTCATCTTTACCATCATCATCGACTCTGCTCACGCCGACAGAGGGCGGCGGCAGTCTTACGTCGACAATATTGCCGGCAGCGGCCGACCCTGTGCCTGCTGCCTCTGCGGACTCGGCAGTTCCATCCTCCCTCACTCCCGATCCGACTCGACCCGCTCCTCCGTCTGTCCAACTGGCGGACGCCACCCCTCAGCCCGAGCAAACCTCATCCGCCTCTCAACCTGTTCCTCCACCGGTACCTCCTCCTGCTCAGCCGGCTCCACGTCCAGACGTTCAAACAATCGTTTCAGATCTGTCTGCTGCGGCTGCAGCCCAAAGACGCCTATCGAACGGTATGACCGTTGCGGAAGCCGCTGCCAGAATGGCCGCCATACCGGGTAGAGAGCACATGACGAGGGAGCAGCTACTGGAGGCCGTGCTGAGGAAGCCACTGGGACAAGAGTCGTCGCAGGGCATGGCACAGTCACCTACGATCACGACGACGCCCGGGGCCAACACCGCGCCTTTGAATGTGGCTCCCTCCAGCGCACCTCCTATACCCACAACTGAGCCGACAATCTCCACTCCTGCCCCCGTCCCGAACACTCAAACAGCTACACCCGCTCCTACTCCAGTCGCCGCTTCTACACCTACACCTGCTACCGCCTCTGCGCCTACTCCTGGATCCAGCACCACTCCCTCTGCTGCTCGCTTGGCGCAGCCTTCTACACCTGCTCAACGAGGTGCTTTCCTCCAGTCTCTGGCAAATTATCTCAAACAAGAGGGGATCCCTCGTCCGCCTGAATTATTCAACCCTTCTCGATTAGGTGCTATCCTCGTTGATGGAAAGGAGTTTCACGTGGTGGATCTGTTCTTGCACATCGTCAGAACCGGCGGAATAGCCAAGGCGAGTGCTCCCTTTGGAAAACGGGTCTGTTACTAAACTTTGTGCCTTCTCTCAGATCCTGAGAGCATCACACGACGCTCCGATATGGACAGATTGGCTAGAAGCAATGGGATTACCCCGAACCATTCCTCAGATCTCCCTCGTCGGATCCGAAACGGCCAAAACGACAGACACAGTCACTTACCTTTTGTCTCTCTATCATATCCACCTCGCTGGCTTTGCAACTTTCATGCAAAACAAAAATCGAAAAGCTACGACACCATCAACCCCTGCGCCAGTCAGCGCTGTTGCGTCCACTTCTAGCCCTGCACCTGCTCCGAGCCCTGCAGCATCAACTCCCAGCAGAGTCATCACCCAATCGTTGCCGGCCGCGAAATCCGGGTCCAACTCTCCGAACAAGAAACGGAAACGTGAGAAAACGGATGATGCTTCGGCTGCGACTCCGACGGAACCGGCAGCAGCCAGTTCACAGACACCTGTCAACGCGACTGGGCCCGGAGCCCCGACTTTGGAGCCACCTACATCTGCTCCGGGTGCACCGAGCAGGACACGCTACAAAGTCGCCTACACACCTCTGCATCATCCGAGTCCCAATCTCGGTGGATGGGATGATCGTGCAGTGTCATCTGGTTTTACTCGATTTAACCCACTACGACCAGCTCGATCCATACATGAACTCGGCGTCATCGACATGGAGGCCGTCCTCATGGGTCTACGATCCCGCATACCCCGAGAATTGGGCTATGCATTGACAGTCTTATCCATGCTGTCAATGGCACATCCAGAAGATCATATCGGTGGATTACACCTGCAACGCTTACACGAGCTGTTTTTTGATCTAATGGAGTTTGTGGAGAGTTCGGTGTTTGGAGAGGAAGGCTATGACGCATGGATCAAGCGTCAAGAACCGTGTGATCCAGTCACCCTGGCCAACCTCGAGCAATTGAGTCGAAACTTCGATTTCAGCATACGTGATCTTGGTGGATCAGCTCGTCAGGAGATATCAGGGGGACTGACCGATCACGCCCTTTGCGCGCTCAACATTCTACGCAACTTGTCCATGTTCGAACTGAATCACATCCAAATGGCCTCTGAACCGGCATTCTGTACACTCCTGTCACGAATCGTCGACCCGCGTCTTGCCAGACCATCCGGACCGCCAATCCCGGATCAGCCCTTTTCACTCTTGGAATTCGCTCGTGTCAGGCGAGATTGCGTCGTCATTTTGACGAATGTTGGCCGACACATCATGCTTCGACGCGTACCGTTCGATCATGTTCACGCCATCTTCCGGCTCATATCTTCTCATCTCGTCTCTGGTTTCGAGATCACATCCCGCGAAGGTCTCTATGGACCACCTGAACGACCACCGCCGATATTCCTGACCTTGCACAATGCCATGGAAGCTCTGAACAAGTTGACGGAACAAGATCAAAATCGGGAGGTCCTTGGCAAGATCCCTGAATCCGAATTGGTCGAGCTATTCGATGGACTAATCAAAATGTTCCCATTGACCAGACGAGCCGACGAAGCGATGCACACCACGGAACATGCTCTGGGTTATACGGAGTCCCTCGCCATGGCTCTGTATTCTCTGACTTTCATGTCGCCGTTATCTGCGCGAAAAGCTATGCGCAACATACCTGGGGCTGTGGGGATCATCAAGCGCTTGATCTTTGATTCCATCCATCGACGTCCTGAAGATTTCCGTCAAAACCCCTTCGCAGTCCTTACGCGGCGGTTATGTGAGGTCCTAGGGGTTCTGAATGGCACCGCTACGCCGGCTGGGGAGAGCGGTTTAGAATCTGTGGGATTCAGTGCCGGTGCGGGCGATGGAAAGGGTTGGAGGTGGGCTAGCGGGGTCATTGATAAAGGTTGGATGAGTGGCGATGAAGAGAGAATTGTTGAAGGGTTGAGTGTGAGAGGGATGGACGCTCATGCGTTTGGAGAGCTGGATGGGATGTGGTGGGGAGATTGAAGTCGAGTAGGCGACGACAGACTGCACTGTAGATCTGCAGCGTCGAAGAATGTATCCTTGTCACGACTGCCATTGTCCCGCCACACTCCTCCGCTTGACCTCCACCGAAAGATCCAGAAAAATGTCGGTCCGAAACACTCGCTAGCTGAACGTAGTTCGTCATAGAGTGCTTGTATCTGTACACCGAATTGTATTGCTGAGAAGTATCGACTATGGGCGAGCCAAAACCTCTGACTGCATATCAGCAGACATACCACTGGAGGGTGAGTTTGTTTGCGGGCGCTGAGCAAGGGACCCAATGCTTGCTGACGAGCATTCATGCAGAACAAGAACTGTGGACCTTGGGCTAGGGAATGGATTAAAAAGTCTGTACCCGGTATCAAAGTGGAAGATGGAAAGCAGAGGGTAGAGGTGGACGAAGTGACGAGCGTGTCTGGAGATTGTGATCTGGGACAAAGAAAGGGAAAGTGAGCGACTGCCAAGCTGGGTTTGCAATGGAACTACCCTCGGCTGATATTCTCTGACAGACTCCTGACGATTTACGACCTCGAAGTTGAGCTTTCGTGGACCGGCTCGGATGCAGAAGGGTCCGAAGTGAAGGGCAAGATCAAGTGCCCTGAAGTCAGTCATGAAGCCATCGATGGTCTGAGCGAATACGTCGTACGTCTAGTGTTTGCGAGGACCGTGTTCACTCCTTTTTCTCTCTCTGGCAGTACGAAATAACCATCACAACTCCTTCGCCCGCTAACTCTTCTGCCAACGCCTTGTCATCATTCGTTCGATCTGACCTTTTACCTCGTCTTTCGGAGAAGTTCAACTCTCTCCGTCCAGCTTTGCTAGAAGCTCATGGAGGACCTTCGGACGAAGCAACGTCAGGTGTATCTACACCTCAGAATCAACATTATTCGCCTGCTCCTCCAGGAAGCGCAAATGCCAGCAGCACCACTTCTGCCACTGGCGCAACGGCAAAGTCTGCTCCCGTAACATCTCCTTCCACTACCACTCCGAAACCCGCATTGACAGGGACAAAAGTCGTCGAGGTCAAGGCTGAGCTCCAGGCGAGCGCTGCGGATCTATGGGGCTTGTTGACGGATCAATCCAAGATCCCCATGTGGTCTCGAGCAGAAGCCAAGGTGAGCATAATTTCCCCCCGGATTCATGGCGTTCGCTAATGATGGACACCCCTTCTCTAGTTCTCTCCGTCTCCTGACTCTTCGTATACCCTCTTCGGCGGCAACGTCACCGGCAAAATTGTATCTGCTGAGGCGCCCACCAAGCTTGTGACGACTTGGCAATTGAAGAAATCCAATTGGCCGAGTGATCACTTTGCAACGATGACTATTGTATTGGACCAGGGGAGTAATTCGACGAATGGTAGGTGATCATATCGACTCGATCCATTGTGTCAGATAAAAAGGTTGACATTGTCACAGTTACATTCACACTTGACGGTGTCCCAGCTGGACAGGAAGGCGAGCTGGAAAATGCTCTTGATGGTTTCTACATCAGGGGGTAAGCTCTTTCTCGCGCACCCATAGAGCAGGTGATACTGACCATGAGCCTTACACAGTCTCAAACAAATGGGGTTAGTACTCTCCTCTTCATCCAGAATCTACACTCGTCCACGTCCGAAGAAAGCTTCCTCCAGTTCCAAGAGCAAACCGAAATCCTCTTCCGCTTCCTCTCGGTCTGTCTCCGAGTTGATAGGCTATGGGGTCGTCGTGGCTCTTGGGGCTGTGCTCATCGGACTGGTCGTATCTTCTTTCTCCACCTCCCCGTCTCGGTAGGGGGAATACAAAGGCGCAAATTTGTACTGATGCATTATTTCTTGTTCTTTTCTCTCGCAGGTTGGGAACGATGCTGTAGACGCACAACGGCAACCCAGGCGCCTCAGAGACTCGCATGGATACCAACAGAGAGAGGGATACATATTTATAGCAGCAGTGTGGAGAGCTAGAGAGAGCAGCTGCAGCAGTAGAATCAGCATCGTGATCATGCATGACTACTGCCATCATAAATTGCTTGCCCTTCGGCCAAGCCCTCGGAATCCCTCCCCTACTGGATTTTCGCGAGTCGGCCCGCAAAACCCCAATCTACTGAACTTCATTCTGGGCTACTTTCACTCTACGTGTGCATCTATAAGCTCTAACTCATCGCTGTAGGAGCTATTTGTACGTCTCGAAGCTGGAGCTCTCGTACTTGTGTATGCAGCGCTGAAGACATCCGAATATATAAACATGGCGTGAGTTTGTCGTTTTCTCTCCCTTAGTATCTATGGCTAATAATCTTCATTCCCTACTACAGGTCGTAAGTCATCAGGCCTCCCTCAGGCTTCCAATACAGGCTCTCATCGTTTATTGACGTCGCTGATGAGTCTTCCTAGAACATTTGTCAATTGGATCAAGTCCCCAGCGGGCAGACAATACTTTTTCAGTAAGTATCATTTTTCTTCTCCCATATACCGGGGTCTGGTCGACTGACCACTGGATTCAGGTACACATTTCTGGGGACCGGTGAGCGAGCATCCACGTCAAGGTTACAGGTCTCCAGCGCTGACCGAGTGTATCGTCTCTCTGTTCCTGTCTCGCTCGATGCTGCGCCTGGCTCGCACCATATCTCTGCTGTCTCCCGGCTCTTATCACATTCTCACTGACTTCAGCTGGCCAACTGGGGTCTACCAATCGCTGCGCTGTCAGACTTGGTCTACAGGGATGAGGAGACTATTTCAGGCGTCATGAGTCCCACTCTGGCCATGTACTCGTGAGTTGGGGAAAATTCCCTCCCCTTCGAAGTCGCTCCCATTCCTGCAATTCATTTCCTGATCTTGAATTTTGCCCACTCACAGAATGATCTTCATGCGCTTCGCTTGGCGAGTTCAACCTCGAAACTACCTCTTATTTGCATGTCACACGACCAATGCTATTGCCCAGACTATTCAAGAAGGTAGATTTATCAACTATCATTACTTTGGAGGCAAGGAGAGAAAGCTTGAAAAGGGAGTAGAGGGAGTTGCTATTAAGGCTGCAGAAGGCATGGACAAGGCCAAGAGCAAAGTCATGGATGCTGTCAAGCAGGTCAAGGGATGAGCGGTGGTGATTGGAAAGCTTCCGAAGAGGGCGAGGAAGGATGGTATGGAGGCGGAGAAAGACCCTGAGGCTTGCAGTTGACTCAAGTCTGATCATATGAGGTCACAGTGGTGAGATGGATGTATGATACATACATAGCCTTTGGGTGATTCTATCGTCTCTCACTGTGCGAATGGACCGAATGTTACAACATGAGCAAGAATGGGCAGTACAACAGCGATGGCAACGGCCACGGCGGACAATTGGTCTAATCGTGTGATTCTCTGAACGGCAGTCCGCGTGGTGATCTATTTGAGTGACGTCTGAGCTCCTCTCAGAGCGAGATAAGCCTGATCGACTCCGGGACCCTGTGGAATATCAGCCACAATCCGATTCTTATCCGTAGTCTTTTACTTGCCAGGTTGCGTACGACGTTCCAGACTTCGAGACCTTTGTACCGTAATTTTGTCCTCGGATCCGTGTAGCTTGCGTGCAGGCCCGTGATGTCGCAGTATTTCTTAGCAGGAAGCAAGCTTGGAGGAGCGGTGGGTGTGTGATCTGCGAGACATTAGCTCCAACACGGGGGACACACTAACAAGTGATGATCTCCTTCCTAGGTCCATTGTCCAACGCCATCTCAACCTTTTCTTCCATCGTCTCATCCATCACTGGCGTAGTCTGACCACTCTCCAAGTCTTCCGTCATTGGCGTCCCAGCACCACTTCCAACGACACTGCTGATCCTTGATCCTCTACCTTTCAAGTTGAGACCCCGCTTAGACAGCTCCGTCTTTGGCTTTTTCTTCTTCGTTCCCAGCTCCACGACCTCGCCTCGAGCCTTCGCAGCTGTCTGAGCGGCAGACAAGAAACCATCGCCTCCTGAGACTCGTTCTCGTTCAAGAACCAAGATCTGCTTGACATTCTTCTTGACTCCGGTGGTCGCGGCGGAAGCTGTCCGTGCGGGCAGCTTGGAAATAAACGTATGTGATTTGAATGGTCTGGGAGTATCGTAGTAGTTGAGTTTGTCAGCCAGAGTCAGCTAAGAAAACACAGTATCAGTGTGTTATCTACTTGAGCATCTAGAGTCCGACCTACCCCGTCGTCACCGGGACCCGGGGTGCTCGCATTGGATTTACGAGGGCCAGACCGGGATGGGGGAGGTACTCGTGGCCTAGGGCATGATCAGCAACTCCTTCAGCCAGCTCCAAACCTACATTTCGATGGGTCGTCGACTGTCCAGAGCTCAACCGTCGTCTCAGGTCTCATCAATCATGACCGAGCTCTGGGATAAAATGAAGATAAAAGTCACGGTACAGAAATATTATAAAAGATGCGTCTCAGAAAGTCGAGACTAGGACCATTACAGCTGTATTGCACATCATCCTCGATTTCCATTCATCATGGTGAGCACTTGAGGAGATCATCAGGCCCAACTGACCATCCGCAGGATTTCTCTTCCGCCAACGTACCCATTTCTCGTGAAACATGGGCTCCTCGATCCCCGCCTCGAGGCGCACCTACTCAACCTTCCGCACCTTCAGGCAACGGACATGCTGATGAATCGCGGGATGGAGAACGAGGGGGTTACGATAGCAGACCTTCTAGAGGCGAAGATTATGACGGCAGAGATTCCAGAGACTCTAGAAGGGACTACGACAGTCGGCCTCCTCCACCTCGAGACGATTCGTACAGGAGGGATGATCGTCCGTCTTACAACGGGTGAGTTGGATCGACACAAGCTCCCTTCTGCACCCTTCCTTTCACCGTGATACTACAGTGACTAGCGGGTTCTGTCTTTTGTTCGTCTCGTTCGCTACTAATTACTGACGCCTCATCTCTCTTCTTGCTGCGCTCCTTGCAACCTGAAATTTCTCACCATGTCCTACGATATCATTGTCCGCCGGTCCCTCACTCCTCGCGATTTTCCCCGCGACGCATTCGACAGTCGAGACGCAGGAGGTCAAGGAGGACCTCGTCGACCAGTTCATGCTCCTGCCAAGGTCGACCCCAATCCCGTCCTTGGTGTATTTGGTCTCTCCATTCGAACGAGGGAACGAGACCTCGACGATGAGTTTTCCCGATACGGAGAGGTTGAAAAGGTCGTCATTGTGTATGACCAAAGGGTGTGTCACAACAAATCGTGCAGAGTCGTTATGCTTACTGGCGTTCACCTTAGACTGACCGGTCTCGAGGATTCGGATTCATTACTATGCGATCTACTGCTGATGCTGAGCGATGTGTCGACAAGCTCAATGGGTTCATGTTGCATGGAAGACCCATCCGTGTCGACTTTTCCGCCACGCAAAAGGCTCATCAACCTACTCCTGGGCAGTACATGGGCGAAAAGAGGCCTTTGAGGGGTGAGTACCAGTCATCAATACATAAATCTAGCTGATGTTGGCGCAGAAGATGATCGGGGTTACCGACGATACGATGATCGACGAGATGACAGACGATATGATGACCGACGAGACCGAAGGTATGACGACCGAGGTCGCGACAGGTACGTTCCAAGCCGGCGCACTTGGGCCGTTCTCATCCCACCATCAGAGATTACTCGTCACGCCGAGACCACGATGACCCCTACGGCGGTCGAAGCCGTCGTGATGATGACCGACGAAGATCTCCAAGGTGAGGAATTTTTGTCTTCTCTCACATGCTTACCATGGTCAGTCCGCGACGAGCAAGACACTCGCACTCTCCAGATCGCCGCGCTCCTCCCCCTGCAAGAGAGTATGAAGCTGCTGCGCCTGCTGGTGATGCTTCAAGGTACTAGAAGTCAGAAAGCAAACGGTAGAGGCAAACTTCTACAGAAAAGGAAAACTTGCCAAAGCGCAACATGTAAAGATCGTCGTTCTCCTGCTTCCATTCTTCAACTCCAAAACAACTATTCTCGAGCCTCAACGCTGCAGACAAAGCCTTTTCCAGTCCTTCAACGTGTGCATATCATCCAACCGACACTTTGTTACAACAAGCCTTTTCATTCTTTGCTGCGCTCGTTCCTTCTTTCAGGGTCACCGTGAATACGGTCTTTTACCCACAGCTGGAAGAAGAGCAATGAAGTCTTTCGAAGGTAATACTTCCCATGAAGGCAAGGCAGAAGACTGTTGATTTCTCAAAAATCCAATACCTCTTAATACATGCATCGTAAAAACAGTCCTTCCGCGAGATGTGCGAAGAAAACAAGATCGTAAAAGCGAGCCTCGTGAAGCATGAAGACTCAAAAGTAGGTCTTCCGTTTCCTCGCCGTGTACTTTGAATCTCGGGGGACCCTGCGAAGGCCGACGGTCAGCCATGGATCCGCAAAGCCAACAGTGTAGGTCTCACCCTTCTTTGCCTCTTGTCCGGTAAAGATCCTTCTTCTTAAGCACCCAGTCTTTGACATTATCTTCCGCCTTGCCCTTCTTCTTCCCTCGCTTTAACGAATCCTCTTTCCGTCTCCTCTTCTCATTTCGTACTCCTTCCCTCATGCGCTCCACCTCTACAGCATCGGCCTCGATCCCTTTCGGAACCTCTTGCTGGCCGACCATCAAGCAGAGATACATCTTTCTCGCCTTTTTAGAGTTTGGATAATCAACGACCAGACCGCCTCCAAAACCAGCTCGTTGAGCGGCCGAAGTGATCATTTGAACTTGATCGTCTGAAGATGGATAGAATTGGAAGACGGCTCGTGATGGATTACGAAGCGCCGAGTGAAGTGAAGTGAAGAATTTTGCAAGACGTTGAGGTGGTAAGTGACTTGAGGAATCAGCATTGAGCAGCCATTGTATGACAGATATGCTATGTATGGGGTCAGATGGCTCGATCAAGTTTTCCTCATAGTTCACCTACCTGATGGCACCATCGAATGAACCTGGTCTGAACCCGAAGCCCTGTCCGATATCCTGTAGAAACAAGTCTCCTTCTACTTCACGTTCCAGGGCGACCTCTACAATGCATGTTAATGGCTTCAATCCACCTGTATGATTCAGACTACCCACCCAACATGCTCGGAGCGATGTCCACACCGACCCAAATGTGACCCTCCTCATCCAGAATCTCGCCAGACAGACCCGAGCCACACCCTATATCGAGAACGAAAGAGGCCTCATCTTCTGGTAAAGCTAAGAGCTCCAAAGCTCGATGAGTCATCTGCGATTGGACAGATTGGACCCGAGAGCTGTAAGAGGTCAGTCAGGTCTGGGAGAAAAGAAGGGTGAGATGCGGTCCTGACCCACTTTGCGGTGTACTTTTGCGCTTCAACATCACCATAGAACTGTTTCAAGTGAGTATGAATCTGCCGGAAGTCAAGACTTACGATCTCTGGCGGCGAAATCTCTTCTGGTCTCGACATCTCGACTGTAGATTGACAGGATAGTTAGCAATAAGTCTGTCGTGTGGTTCAAAATTGTCCCAACCATGCCGTAATCGAAAACAACCTTAAAACACGTGGCCTATATCATCCGATTCCAAGGCGCGTCTTCTCGCGAGATGAAATGCTGAACAATATTATTACTGTCTATTGCTACATCGCAGTCGACACCGACACAATGTCGCTTGCAGATGATGGTGGATCGAGAATCATGCGCCTGGAATCTCTGAACTTCCATGAGCCTCTTATGTCGCTGGAACTATCGACACTTTCATCGCTAGGACCTCTCTTTACTCTACCGAAGCTTGACGAGAATGCCGCTGGGACAGATAGACTGTTGTCAAAAGCTCAAGCAGTGCGGGTCACACAGGCGAAAGGGTCGAAAGATGAATCTATACCTGTGGAACAATCCAAGGGCAAGGAAAGGGCAGATGAGCTGGAGCCGACGACATCTAGGCTGCGATCGACTGCCTGGACAGATCTCTTGAATACTACAAGCAATCGAGTCTTCCAGGCACGTACCAGCGCTCATTGGACAGGACTAAGCTCATTCAGTTTTAGCCGCTTCAGACATGGGACGAGTTCGCGGCCCCAAGCTCCTCAAAGAATCCGGTTCTCTCCAGGACCGCACCTAGACTATTCGAGTCTTTGATCACATTGTGAATTGTCAGCGGGTTGTAAGATCCTAACGTGATCAGGGACGCAAAGGAGACCCGACTTCCTCATCTTCAGGCACGAGACGCTGCCGAAGATATATGCCAGTCCTCCGAGCTCTTACCTTTACTGATGCAGTCGACGCTCGGTCTCAATACCGCAAGCCAATTGGTATGGGATGAGCAGACAGCTCGGTTCCAATTGGCTCCGAATTTGATAATAGCGGATCTCAGTCATCCAGCGCTTCAATTGTCAGTATGATGGCTTTTATTGAGACCTGTCCGCTGAAAAGGCTGGATAGTTTGGCTAGCTCGTTCCTCGACGTTGGAACAAGCATCAGAAGACTAGAAATAGTCATTGATCGGCACGCCACAACGTGAGCAGATCCTGAGTCTCAGAACTCACAGATAGCCCAATGACCGCTACGCATCATGCTTTCCTGCACGCTCTCTCGACGTACCTCTCTCACTTGAAAAGGGCACTGTCAGCTACCGTGAACTCGGTGCCGCGTTGGCGAAACATTGAGCTCGATTCGATCTCTAGGGTCACACACCTGCTTTGCGATCTCGTTGGCTGGGTGAGCTACAAGTCCAATTCCCGTCATTGACTCGCTCAGTCTTTGGGATCGAGACGACCTACCTCTCTGCCGAGCAGGGCGTCGTATTTGCTCAATGGCATCTATTCGCGCCTTCTCGCCCACATATCAACTTCCTCCACTATCACCGAGGAGACCTTGGCTCTGGCATATCTTCTGCAGGAGTGCTCGACGCCTGTCCTCTCCCTCCTTCACTCGTGGCTGGGCCTGAGTTCCTCGGATGCTCTGCATGAGGACGAAGATCCCATCTCACAGCCTTGGACAGACATCGGCATTACTCGAAAGCGCCTCTCGGGCGGTAGATGGGAGTACGACCTCAAACTCCGGCATATGCCTGGCTTCATCTCAGAGGAGACCGCAGAGGAGATCTTCAACGCGGGCAAGAGTCTTCGCTTGCTGCGCGAGGCTTCGCCAGACCATCCATTGAGTCATGCGTCGTACTCACTCCCCGTCAAATGGAAGTGGGCCGAATCCTCCTCGTGCGTTCGGCTGCATACAATGAAGCTGATGCACAGATCACATCCTTCCATCCGTGATCGTCAGAGAGAACTCGCCGATGATGTTGAACATTGGCGACAGTCAAAGCGTCAGGGGTTCTCGGCCCGGCAAAAGGAGCGAAAACCTATGCCCCGATTTCTTAGTCCGTCATCCCCCGTCGCTATAGGCCCCACGGCTGAGAACGAATTACTTGAGGACTTGTCCGGCCCGCCAGGGAGTCATCTGCCACATGGTACATTGTGGGCACCAGCGCCAATGGATACCCTCGAGGCTTTCCTACGTCGCTTCAATGGACAGTCACTCCTGCCTTTCGACACCCCGACTTTGCCCATCTATGTCCAGTCCGTGATTCTTACGCCTTTGCTCACTCATGCAAAGCTGCTCTCCGCCAGTCTCGTCTCGGTGTATTTGGAAGATCTGAGTCTCCTGGACCATCTGGACGTCCTCTGGGCTTTTTTCCTCGGTGGCGACATAGGTTTCACCGATCGAGCCAACGCAGCTCTATTCGGGAAAGACCATGCAGGGGCGGGAGAAGCACTAGGTCTTGGACGACGAGCCAGGACAAGGGCCCGAATGGGTCTGACACCCGCTCGCAAAGGACAGGCTGAACCCCTCATCGAGGAGGCCGATTGGGGTATAGGATTGGGTTTAGGGCTCAGCGAGAGGAACCAGTGGCCTCCCGGTGGTGCTGAGCTGGCTTATGCTCTTCGTACGACATTGTTTGAAGAGACTAGACGGAAGGAAAGTCCTGTATGGCAGAGTATAGAGGACAGGGTATCATTCACATTGAAGGATCTTCCCGAGGAGAAGGATGGTGAGAGGGCAAAGTGGATGAATCCTCAGGGTGAGGGAGATTAATAATCCGGTCGAGCGATTCATACTGACCTTTTCATAGCCATAGAGTATGTCCGAGACTGAATGAGCCAGACTGACATTGCAGAGCGCTTGACTTCCTGTATCTGTCCTACTCACCGGATAGGAGCATCCGGCATTTGCTCCCAACGTCCCTCATGGCGAAATATCAGCGCATACACAATTTTCTGCTTCGTTTGGCTCGTGTCGAAACGGTCCTCCGATCCATGTACCACGATGTGACCCATCAGATCTCTTCCGCTCTATCCTCAAAGAGAGGCGTCGATCTCGTAGAGAGGCCTCGGGCCAGCACGCCAGGAACCACACGAGATCGAAAACTTGTATTCCCCACTCTACCGCGCAAAGAGCATTTGGTGAACTGCCTTCGATTTAGAATGACAGCCTTTGTCACTAATCTAGCACGGTATATTCTCGACGTGGCGATAGGCAAAAACTGGCAAGCCATGCGACGGACCTTGGAGAGGATCAAGAAAGGCTCAGTCGATCTTGACGCGTCGGAAACTGAAGAGGAGCCCATATCACCAACGCTTCAATCCATACATTCCCTAGAAACGTATCATCACTTGGTATCGGATCGTATTCTCCGATCGACCTTTCTCCTCATTCAATCACCTAGCTCGCAAAAAGCTTATGGAATACTGATGCAGCTGTTTGGCCTTGTGCTGGACCTCGGCAAGCTCTTGAAAATGGTTCAACTCGGTGCCGATGAGGATCGTGGAGCAGCGGATGTCGACAAGATCTTTGATGTTTGGAACATGACCGAAGCTGCTTTCGTGAGTTAGAAAGACAAGGACCCTGTTGAAGAGACTCTAGATGCACACTCTCGAGCGATTGGCGTGGCGAAACAACCACACCTCCCTTAGCCAGAATGAGGAGCACGGCGACTTGGCCCTGCTCACGGAACACGAGTCGAGCGATATCGGCCCGAACGATCTGGCAGACCTGCTCATCCGCTTGAGGCTCGACGCACCTTCAGCTCGGCGTGGCAAATGGGCTGCAATGACGGAAGAACTGTAGCGTATACACAAGATCATATTGTATCTAGCATAATAATCCACCGCATGAAGCCACGTGTGGCCGTCCTTCTCACGGCCTCGTGGTCAAGGTCAAGATGAACCTCTCTCCCGCGTCCAGATTCTCGGCCTCCTTTGCTCGTTTCTCCACTTGCAGAACCTCGACACGATCTCCCATTTGAGATTTCGGCATTGGCATTGATCCGAAGGATTTCATGAGATACTCCTCATTTCCGGGAATAGCGGCTCCCACGGCATCCTCGGAAGATTCTTCATCGTACTCGTAATACACGTCGAGTTTGTCGGTCGGCTTGACACCAGCTTCTTTTCTCAGTTTGTTGACTCGACTGACCAACGATCTCAAAAGTGTCATAAACTCGAGATCCGCATGTCTCCTGATATCGAGGATCAAAATGACGTCCTTGTCAGTCGCCGTGTCGTGAGTGAGCTCGCCCTTCGCTTGACCGCCTTCAACATTCTCGACATAACGAGTGATGACCAAGTCTCCAGTAACGAGCTCGATCCCCGCTACTTTGAGTTTGCCTTCCGAGACGAATGCCTTGCACTCGTCCGAAGTGAGTCCCGGGAGAGCGCTCCTGACCTTGGCCATGTCTTTTCGCAACTTTCGTCCAAGCACAGGCCAATCCGCTTCAGCCTTGTACTTGATTCCCACGGCAGCTTCGTCTGAGGTATAGACAATGTTGACGACGTTAAGCTCCCCAGCAATGTATGTCTCCAGGGATTTGACATCGTCCAGGTATTCTTGGTCGTGGTGGAAGACTGTCAGCTCTTTGAGAGGCATCTAGTAGACTGGTCAGCAGGACTCTCCCGGCTCCTCCGCTTCCGCCCACCTTGACTTTAAGCGTTCGCTTATCACGAATGAGACGACCAAGCTCAATGACAGCCTTAAGTCTCAGCATCTGTCGCTCGATGACTGGATCGAAGTATTCTTTTCGCGCCACGGGGAAGTCGAGGAAGTGGACGGACCGAGCGTCCGCCGCAGTCGAAGTTGGAGAGGTAGGTAAGAGAGCTTGGTACACCTTTTCAGACGTGAATGGGGTAAATGAGGACTGAAGGTAGGGTCAGCGTTTTCGCCGGTGGAATCACTAACCATTGTAAGACACAAAGTGTACAGAGCCTCGTACAACGTGTTGAGGGCAGCGCGCGTGTCGGCGGGTCCGTTTGCTCCCTTGAGTCTCGTCCTGTTGAAACGAATGTAGTAATTTGTGAGATCGTTGATGAGTTCCAGCAGGAGGGGGATGACAGTGTACAATCGGTATGCTGCAAAGTCAGCTCGTGTTTGTCCCGGCTCCACTCACCGGCCATTTCCTGGTCGATGTGCTGGATGAGTGTCTGACAAGTTGCAAGGATCCATCGATCCATGACATTCGTGCTCTTTGGCGCATTGTGATCGTGAACGAACTTTTCGCCTTCTTGTTCGAAGAGCTCCACTTGAGCCATGTAGAAATTGAGGGAATTTATCCACTTGAGAATGACATTGGTCAGAACTTCCCTGACACCGTCCTCTTTAAATCGAAGATTATCACCCCGGACGACAGGCGAGTTGACCAAGAAGAGACGAACACTATCGGCACCATACTTGTTGACTACTTCCATTGGGTCGGGGTAGTTTTTCAGACTCTTGCTCATCTTGCGTCCGTCCCTGAGATGTCAGCATGAATACAAGGGATATTCACTCACCCTGCCAAGACGAGACCTGATACAATGAGGTTCTTCCATGGCGCAGTATCGAAGAGGTGGGTGGCAAGAACCAACATAGTATAGAACCAACCTCTAGTCTGGTCGATACCCTCGGATACAAAGTCGGCGGGATATCGAGCCTTGAATTTCTCGTTGTTCTCGAATGGATAGTGACTCTGGGCGTAAGGCATACTGACACTGTCAGTAATGGAGCAGTCTCTATTTCTCACCTTCCAGACTCGAACCAACAATCAAAGACTTCTTCTATCCGGTGCAGTTCGCCGTTGCCCTTCTGGGACGGGATAGTGATACCGTCGACACTTTCTCGATGCAAATCCTTGATCCCAGTCTTGCCTGAGAGTCTCTCGAGTTCGGCGATGGAACTTATACAGACCACCTAGACTGTGAGCGAGAGATGAGAGAGTGAGACGCACCTCCGTCATGTCTTTGCTGGCCCAAAGAGGTATGGGAGTTCCCCAGTAACGATTTCTTGAAATGTTCCAATCACGAGCATTCTTCAACCATCCATCAAAACGTCCATCACTGACATATTGTGGGACCCATCTTGTCTTTGCATTGTTGGCGACGAGCTTGTCGGAGATGTTGGCAACACGGACAAACCAAGCTGGAATTGCTCGGTATATAAGAGGAGTGTGTGATCTATGATTGTCAGGAAAGATCGTGAACAATCAAACTCACCTCCAACAGAATGGATAGGAATGGCGGATGTCCGATCTCACAATGAGACGCCCCTTCTTTTGCAAGTCCTTGATGATCTGAGAGTCCGCATCCTTGACATTCTGTCCCTGGTACTCGGGAACCTGCGAGGTGAATCGACCAGACTCGTCCAGAGGACATGGTGGCATCTCGTCGTCCCGCACGATTTTGTGGGCCACGGCTATCCTGTGATCGTCTTCTCCGAATGCAGGAGCTTGATGAACGATACCGGTACCGGAGTCTGCTGTGACGTAGGTGTCTGCGAGCACACGGAAGGCGCGGTCCTCGTACTGAAACACGTGAGCGTCTTGTACTACATAGCGACACTCACTTGCTCAGTGAAATAATCAAATATGGGGACATATCTCCATCCAACCATGTCTTTGCCCTGGAACGAGCCAACGACGCGGAATTTTGGCTCCTCCTTCTTCTTCGGGTCCGGCTTCTTCTTGGGGTCATAGCCTTTGTACACTGTACTGAGCAAAGCTTCGAGCAGAATGAAGTTCTGATTGCGTTCAATGTCGTGGATCTTGATGTAGGTGAAGTCGGGGTGCACGCAAAGTCCCAGGTTTGATGGCAGAGTCCAAGGGGTAGTCGTCCAGGCCAAGAGCGAGGTCGATGGGTCATCCACGAGCGGGAAGGATACGGTAACTTGGGAGATGAGCAAAGTCGTACAAAGACTCGACTCACCGGCAGGATCGGAGACATCTCGGTAATCTTCACCAGCCTCAAAATTACTCAATGGCGTTGTGCAACCCATTGAATAGGGCATGACCCTCTGCCCACGATAGACCTGACCCTTCTCCCACAACTGTCCGAAGACCCACCACACACTCTCCATGAAAGTCGTATCTAGCGTCTTGTATCCAGTTTCGAAATCTATCCATCTACCCATCCTCTCTACTGTCGCTTTCCAATCAGACGAATACCGCATGACAATCTCTCGACATGCAGCGTTGTACGCTGGGATACCCATCTCCATGACATCTTCTTTGCCCTTGATACCGAGCTTTTTGTCGATCTCATGTTCGACCGGCAGACCGTGTGTGTCCCAACCGAATCGACGCTCAACATGATGACCCGTAGCGTGTGCATGACGAGTGACAATGTCCTTGGACATCAGCGCTGAGTCAGAATAATCAGCCTACCTTGATGGTTCCTGCGAGCAAATGCCCATAATGCGGCAGACCAGTGGCAAAAGGTGGACCGTCGAAGAAGCTAAACTCAGGTCCGCCCTCTCTCAGCTTCTGAGAAGTCTTGAAGGCATCAATCTCGCGCCAGAACTGCAAGACTTCCTGTTCAGCAGTCGGAATGTGTACGGGCACAGAGGCTGAGGCAACGGTGGGTCAGTGCATGCTGCGAATATCACTTTGCAAGTCACTCACGATTGTGCAGAGGAAATGTCATATTGGTGCGTTGGCGCTGCCCCCGATTTCTCGATGACGAGCTACAGGATCTAGCGACTGGTATTTATAGCTGACAAAGGTCGACTCGAAATGTTGTCCGACTCGACTTTGAGATGAAACAGCTGTCCGCTCGAAGGCGCCACAATCGGCCGGATCTTTGGAAGCGTTCAGAATCTTTTCAGCTGTCGGAGTTGGACTTTGTGCAAAGTCAAACACTCGCTGCTGGGATGCTTCGGCGAGATCGTCAAGACGCAGTGAGTGAGTGCACTCTATGCTACCGTAGCGAATTTGAAACCGATTCCAACTTTTGGGCTGAGAGCTTGAAACTTATTCGAGCCACAACTCGTCAACAAGGTGGAGGTTTCAAGATTTTTTTGCAATCGCTCATCATCATATGAACTCACTCTGCACATCTTGGATCAGAGTCAGCTTTAGTGAGGGAAATATGAAGGGGAAAGGTGGGCAAACTGGCCAGAATAAGGGAAGGAAGAAGATCAAGCCTGGTGCTGTGGTCTCCGATGGTACGGGAGAAGGCTCCTTGTCGAGAAGAGCGGCAAAGAGACGGCAGAAGAAGGGCAAAGCCAAGGCCGTTCAGCAGGATACTCCTGTAGAAGTGATCGACCTGACCTTCGATGAGGCGTCCAGGGCCTCGAGTCCCAGAGGTCACGCCCAGCATGGCCAGTCCAACTTCACAGGCACATCCGGAGCTGGATCATCAAAATCTGGTGCTCAGCAGATCTTCGAGTCGATTCCCCCTTCCATCCTCGTTGGTATCGATCAGACCGCAATTGAAAGCTCGGCACAAGATCATCAGTCAAAGCCGAACGCTCTTCTTGGGCTCGAAGTATTCATCGACGATCAGTTAGTGGAGTCAGGCCAAAGCGTAGATCGCCAGGCAGACGAAAGCAGCGCACGAGCCACCGAGGGCGATTCGACTGCCTCTTCGGCATCCTCGGTGCAACAACCCGCGACCCCTAGAGCAGCCTCGCCACTTCTTGATTCAGTTCCATTCATCAAAGATGCTCCTATGGAGCTGCTGCTTCCGGAGAACGTTTCGATCGATGCGACCAATCAAGCAGCAACGGAGTCGCCGCTCGATGATGGAGACATGGAGGGACTCCATTTCCTAGGCGACGAGACGACTAAAGGCGTGTCGCGGTACTTTGAGCCACCAGCGCCAGAAACGACAGAAGCGGAAGCCGCTTTCCTAGCTACTGCGGATCAGAGCAAGATCTGTACCAATTGCAAGAAACCAGGACATAAACGGCAAAATTGTCCCCATACTCTGGTGAGCGGGGGAGACTTATGACGTTGCGCCTTCTCTGACGCTTTTCTAGTGCCCAGTCTGTGGTGCAGTCGACTCTCATGAGCGACGAGACTGCCCTGTCAGCTTGGTCTGCTTTGGCTGTGGACAACGTGGTCATCGTCAAGCTGTGAGTGCTTCAGTGACGAGGACAGGGACGCATCGCTGATGAACTCCCAGAATTGTCCAGACCCGATGACAAGGAATTCAAAAAAGAGAGGCTGCGATAGGTGCGGAGCGCGAGATCATCCAGAGAATGTTGGCCAATCTCACCTTGTCATCGTGTGAACTGACTATCCCTAGAGCTGTCCGTCTCTCTGGCGAGTATATTCGTATTTCTCTGTCCAAGCCAGGACGACGCTTCAAGCGGTGAAGTCAGAGTCGTCCGGCTGGCAACGAGAAGCTGTAGGAGGTGATGAGCTGGACGAGTGGTGCTACAATTGTGCAGGCAAAGGTCATCTCGGCGATGTGGGTGACAAGCGTGGCTGGCCATCTAAATTAGCTCTGACATGCCTTTAGGATTGCCCAGAAAGTCGAGTTTCTGGAGCAAAATTATACACACCCTCTGCGTTCTCATACGCTATGCAATCTAGAGGTCCATACTTCATCCCCGGGCCCTCGGGATCAAAATCTATGCCTAGGCCGACACACAAGCGATGGACCGACAACGACGATGAGATTCTGCCGTTCGCTTCATCAGCTTTCGAAGGCGCCAACGCGGGCAAAAGGAGTCGAGACAAGGCTAGACAAGCGATGTCATCGAAGGAGGTCGAGGATGAAGATGGGGATGACTGGTTTGGAGGAATTGGACGTGGCGGGGCTGCAGGCGGAGGTAGAGGCAGATTTGGAACTCCCCGAGGAGGAAATCGAGGTCGTGGAGGTCTACCATTTGGCCATTCCCACTTGATGAGATCTGATCAGCGTCATCGTGGAGGACAGAACACGAATGTGGCCAACTCCATTGCGTTTGGCAGACTGTCTCTCCCCAGCGGTCCGAATGGTCAATCGTCTGCTTCATCAGGTGGATTGATAGGCAAGAAACATCAAGGTCTCCCGCCGTCTCTTCCGCCCAAACCAAAGTTTTCTACGCCTGTGCAATTTAGTAAACGTCATCCTATCGGCTCATCCTCCAGGAGACATCCCAGTCCTGCACCTGCAGCAGGTCCAGGTCCAGGATCAGGATCAGGCGGGCATAGAGATAAGAAAAGGAAGAGGGACTCGGGTGATAGAGATTGGGAGATGGAATGGCAAAACTCAGGCATATCAGGAGGCAGTGTGGTAGGTTGGGGCCGAGATCTGGACAAGGAGGAGAGAGCAGTGAAGAAGATGAAAGGGAAGCAAGGGCCTACGACATCTAAACAGGGTCAAAAGTCAAAGGCGCAGTCGAATGGCAAAGTAGGGAAGACAGGTCCAAACAAGACGTCTGGACAAAAGTACACTGGCGGATATTGAGGGCAACCGCACGATCACTCTTCACGCCCTCTTCTTCTGCAATGGCTACAATTTGCTCATGCATCTTGATAGTACTTGTGTTACAGTGTGTATTGGATGTGTGACGATGATGACAAGGCGATGCGTCGTACGTTGTACAAAGTATAATTGTCCTAGACTCTAACGCTTTTCTCACCGCATATGAGCCAGTGACGGACCACCAGGTGAGCTCCTCATGGTTTGATCGACATTATTCACGAACCGCTTGAAAGCATTTGCTGCCCTACTTCCTCCTCCGCCGATCGGCTCCAGCAGCCTGCTCCGTTCGAAAAGCGCCTATAGTTGCGTCAGCTAGGGGCCTTTCAGACGGGTGACTCGGCTTACATCCTCGCTCATGATGATCGGAGTCTCATCGATGATCCTCCTGAACACGGGAGACACTTTCCCACTTATGGGCATTCCGCGAGCTTGGCAGTCTGTAATGACGGAGAGGATCTCGTGAAAGCGGGCAAACTTGTCCCACTGTATAAAGTTGTCCGTCTCACGAATGTCTTCACGCCGGGTCGACTGAAGACGATTCACCATGCCCAAAAGGACCGTCCTGAACCAATGGTCAGTCTTTGGACGAGCAGAGCGAATAGCATTGTACTCACAAAAGCGGGATGGCGCTCTTGCCTTGAACAATGTCGGATTGAACCACACTCCGATATTGACTGTAGCCTCCACGGGGATCCATGAGTGTCAAGTGGTTCTGAGACTCTCGGCTCGAGGTGGAAGGTTGAATCAATGCGTGAGTTTGGTTCAGCCGATGAATAGAAGTCTCTTGCATCCCCGATAATATGGCATAAAGACCGTCGTAATTGTTCAAGCGGCGCAGATGGTGCGTGATGAGCATGAACCGCTCATAGATCCTGGCTCTGTATTTGGCCTTATGGTGAGCCAGGATCATGGTCGACGCCCATCTCGACATGTGGTTGAAAAAGTTGACAGACTTGTTCACCGGTGTCTCCTTTTCATTTCCAAAGTCATGTCTAAAGACGTCACGCGGCTGAGGCATCGGCGTCAGCGCTGCCACAACGGATCCCTGAGGAGCTCACCCTAATCGTTCTGAATAATGACCATTGAGCTCTGGTCAACTCTGCTGCGAAAGTGGCAGGGTCGCTATTGAGGAGATAATTGGCGGCCGCAGTCCACCTCCCAAAGCCTGCATCCTCCATCACGCCATGCCGATAGAACTCTGCTCGAGGTTTTGGATGTGCCACCTGCTCTCGCTGCGGATAACTGTCCTCGGGCTGGAGACTATGCGTCGATCGAGTATGGAACGACGGTGCCGGACTATCATTTGCAGTCGTTGGCAGCGTCCCAGTATTTGATTTGCCGACGGATGACTCAAAATCGTACAAGACGTTGTTATCGAGGACCAGCTCCGATGCTGCAGACAGAGGCACCGAAAGCACGTCAAGCGTCTTAGACATCCGATTGTCGCTGGACCAGGACTTGTCAAGGTCGATCAGATGAGGCAAGCGTTCTTCGAATTCGACCAGATCACCGAATATGTGGGCCATAAATAGATGTGAGGAGGTCTCATGGATGATGGTGCGCAGCTTCTGTTCGACTGCGAGGTCCGCAAAGTCTCCAGGGTATGAACGGGTCCAATCCACGAGACCACCGACGAGTCGCTGCAGTGCCCAGTGCCGGATATCAGTGGCCACGGGATACTGTTGGACTTCCGACAAACGCTCATGAAGGAGATTGATGAGCCGTTCAGGTGTCACGAAACGGCGATACGTGAGGAGGAAAGCGGCCAGGAAATTATCGTCTAGGCATATTTGGTCATTGATGGGCATGTGACGGGCTCACCTTTTGCGGAAACAATCGCCGAAAAGAAGCGATTCATCAGGGTCTGTTCGCTGAACCAGATACTTTCGCTTGGTCACGAATCAACGCACGAGCCTTCGCACGCACGTGAAACTCGAAACTTACGGAACCTCTTCGGTCTGGTGATTCTCAATGTTGAGAGATTGTGCCGATTGCCTTTCATCGAGAGGCTTTCCACCAATTTCTACCTCAGCCACCTGCGTACTGATCAAAGGATCCTTCACCAGCCTATGCAAGCTGCTCGAGCTTGACTGCGCGTCTGAATCTGTGCCCAGTCTACCAAGCTTCACGGTTCGAGACCACATGACGCGTTCAGCGCCAGAGGACGTGTCACTTCCCGTAGATGTGACACGGACGATCGGTGGCGACGTCTTCAACGGCGGTGAGGCTTTTCTGAGTGTTCGCCCTATGACACGTGAGAAGATTGATCGGCCCATCAGCTCACGTTGACGCTGTTCAAGCTTGAACAATAACCATCTCAACGCATTGCGCATCTTGCTCTTTCCTTCGGAAGTCATGCTGGACACTTCGATGAGACCTACGTTGTACGGTCGACCGAGAGCATCTCCTTGAACAGGTTTGACTTGAAGGTCGACACCTGGGTCTGATTTACATGCTAAAAGCACGCAAGGAAGGCTTTGAGATGCTAGTGCTTCTGTAAAGGATGTGAGACGCGATGGGCTAAAAAATATGCGAAGGGACCCGGAAGGCCACTCACCAAGGACGGCGGCCACATTGGCCAGCGACTGCTCCCGAGTTGCATCGTAGCATAACACAGCTCCAGATATGGGAGGAAGAAGGCTAGGGAGAAGCTCTCGCTTGCTCGGTCCGGGATCATCAAGCTGTAGCGCCTCAATGCTTAGTTCGAGGAGTTCAACCGTCCAGGATCGTTTGAGATTGCCTCCGGGCTGCACCATGGAGATGCAGGACGAGACTAGGGAGTCAGTGTTTGTCATTTGAGTGTTAGGCTCACCCCTGTATCCCTGAGGAGTTTGAAAGACTGTAGGCTCTGTTGCACCCCAAGCCCTTACAGCACGCTTGATCAATGTTGACTTCCCAACGCCACGATGACCCAGAACCGCGATGGTGTGGTCCACGTGGATGTTTTCATGGGTCGGCAGGTGAGCCGACTTGGGACCCACTTGATTCTCGGGTCTGCCGATCCTTGGCACACTGGGGCCTGCCTCTGACTGTGTCTCCATTCCAAAGACAGGCTTGGACAAAGTCGAACTTCTCGATCTCTCATGGCCCTGTCTGCCGAAGCTCGAATCAGTGTTGCCCGACCTTGGACTGAGGATGGAAGGGTCGCCAAGAGACTGTGAGTCACTCGTATCGCTGTACTCCTGCATTGTCGATCTGAGCTTTCGCATAGCCTCCTGATCCATCGAAGAGAGCTTCAGTCGGGCGGCTTGGAGCAGCATGTCCGAAGGCAAGTCCGAGCCCTCTTTCGAAGGAGGAGCAGGTGGCTCGCTGGACGATCTGCCACTTCGTCCGACCTGTAGACTCTCATCGGAGACGCTGTGTCGGAGAACGGAGCGAGAATCAACAGTATCGTGAGTCCGCATGAACGTGGATCGGTCGGGAACAGGGGGGACTATTACATGTCCGGTGAAAGCCGTCCGACGGGACTTGGCTGACAGTGAGAACGAGCGAGCTGGTGACTTACTAGGACTCTTGCCGGATGTCGAGCCAGGCGTGGTCATGCGAGCAGGGGTCGTCGAGCCGGAGTCGGCCATTTGATGAGGGAGCAAGAAGAAGCCAAACCAAGTTCAGACATGGATCAAAATAGGAACGACTAGCGCCAATGAGCGACAGATGAGGCAGCGCGTATACAGAGACGAATGTAGCAGTCAATGTAAAGGTGGTGTGTATGAGGCCTCGGACTGTACACAATAAGCCGTAATACACAAAAGGGGACGCTAGCGACATTACCCAGCAACATCAGGCTGTGGAAGGATGATAGGTTACTATCGGTACCTGACGGAGAGAATCACGCCTTCTGGTACACATGCCACCGATGTATCTCCATAGGAAAGGAAGGATATGCCAGATACGATATACATACACATGAGCAAAAGGACTCACAAGGTATGAAGGGAGAAAAGGATATCCGTTGTCAGGTGCTCTTCGGCGACCCCGGCTCGCCTCGTCTATGTTCCATTTTCTTGACGTGACGGAGGAGCTCGATGATTCATCTCGATAAACGAGCTCTTTGACTATACTCTGACTCCATCTGACGAGGATGGTTGTTGTCGTATTGGTTGACACATATTCGTTGAAAGTGGTCAGTGCGATTGAATTGTTTCAACAACAGTGGTCATCGCCGCCCACTGTCACGTATTCCGTGAACGCGGAGTGCCACATGAGACACGGTATGACGGCATTTCTGCAAACGCCGCCGCCTGAAAGGGGCTGCCTTTAGAATATCCCACGTGGTTCAGTTTCCGTCTCCCATCAATTCTTGGCAATTTTGGGAACTGGGAACCTGACTAAGCAAGGGGAAAGTGGCACCAATGGGGGAAAGGAGTGACTCGAGGCGATAGAGACAGCATCCACAACACTCTATTCTGAGATCTGGTGGAGTTGGTCTCAACGCCCTGAGCAAGGTGACGAGGGGCTCAGCTCAATCCCACATTCGTCCAAGCGTCCTGTGATCGATTCGCGTATTTGTTCATAAGGATGCCCCTTGTCGCCACAAGTCCGAAATGAGGATGACCTCGGTGGAGGAGGGGCGGGGGTCGGGCATGCACCAAGTAATCGTTCTGAGACTTGATGTCATCCAAGAAGGAAGCCTTCTGAGCCTGCTGCACAACTCATAAGATCCTTCTATACACCTTGAGCATTGCACTCGCCAGTCCCATTTGCGCTTGCTTTGATCTTATAAATCCTCCGCACGATAATAATAATTATATTTACTGCCTTTGGGAGATCTAGTCTAGACTCTTCCACCCGGCCGACTAGAGAATTTACACGTTTGACCTCCAACTGCATACCATTTACATTGGAAGCCATCATCACGAGGACCAACAGGCCGCCCATCTGCTGAGGGATCTGGCCAGACACCAGGCCAGCACAGGACTCGTCCGTCTCTCCCTCCCTCCTTTGATAGAAATTGGAGTTCTCCTTGACCCCGTCTCGGGCTCAAATCCCATCCCCTATCACGCATTTCGGGCATCCCATAATTTCTACAGAATCGAATCATCATGGACACTTCCACGCCTTCAGGCCTCCTCACCCCGAGCACTTCTGCTTTCCTTGCCTACCTCGCCTCGACTTATGATCCTCAACCCAGTCAAATTGGAAATAAGGCTACGACGACGACGACGGCAACGACAGCCGTCACCAACAATTCGATCGATCCGAGAATTCTCCCTTCGACCAATTATTTCAACCTGCCCATACCGGGTCGGGACACACCTGAGAACACACCATCGAGCAAGGATGATTCAGTCTCACCACCTGTCCAACAGCAGCAGAATGGACGAGGTGATGTGAAACCGCCTCAGTTGTCAGAGGATTCGGATGACGAAGGTGTTGCGGGTGGAAGGCGCGGGAGTGGACACGGAGTCTCAAAACGAAAGGCTTCACGTTCTCAGGCCAATCATCATCGAGATGAAGAGCATGACGACGACGAAGGTGAGTTGGATCAGATTCTGCATGTATGCATGTCACTAAAACGTAACAGATTCCGACTCAGACTCACCAGACGCTCACGAAGATAAAAAGCATGAGGCGAGGAAAGGAGGTCGGAAATCCAAAGGAGAGGTCGACGAGAATGGTAAACCCATCAAGGAGATGACCAAAGCGCAGCGCAGGAAAGAACAGGCAAGCGTCATACGCTCTGAAAGTGACAGCCAAGTCTGACATGTCCCTCTTAGAATCGAGCAGCGCAGAAAGCCTTCAGGGAGAGGCGTGAGGCGAAAGTTCGAGATGTGAGCCCCAATGCCGGCGCAACAGAGTAGAACTGACGTCCCTTGCAGCTCGAGGAGAAAGTCGCAGAGCTCGAGTCCAAGTCATACGGTGTCAACGTGGAGAATGAGAATCTCCGAGGCATTCTGAAACGATTGCAAGAGGAGAATGTTGCTTTAAAGCAGGCAGCATTCACCTTCTCCATGCCTGTTGCCAGTGGATCTGCTGCTCCGGCTCAATCCAGCTCCTCCGGCAAGGAGGCGTCTCTCGGAACCACTCGACAGCCAAGTCCCTATCAAGCGGAAGACCCGTTAAGGTCCATCAATGACCCACCTGCTCGAAACGATTCCCTTGGGTCGAATGCTTCGCCAGAGCCTCTCCGATCCGTCAATTCTCCGAATCTTCGTGCGGCCAATGCCTCCACCGATAGGAGCCCTTCGCAACCTCCTCAGCTTTTCAACGGTGCGACCAACGCGTTTGACAGCAACTTTCTCTCTTCGTACATGGGGAAACCTGGTTCTCCAAGTAACAGCATGAAGACATCTCCACCTAGTGTGCCTGCGTCTTCGCAGTCTGGCCTCACGCCGCAATCTACAACGAGCACAAAGACTGAGATCGAAGCCTTGTGGGCCAGCTTCCTCGATCAACAGGCGCAGCAACGTCAACAAGCTCAGCAACCAAAGACTCCGGGTACCTTGCTCAAGGAGCAGGCCTATTCCATGTTTGGTAATGGTGCGTTCACCGGTAATGGCTTTGTCACATCTCCCAAGGCCTTTGATGCTGGTAACGCGGGCACTGGCGCCGCACCGAGCTTTGATAAGATGGCCTTCAGAGACGATTCGTCCGGATCAGCCAAGAGTCAGCCTCAAGCACCTGTCTCCGTTCCAGCACCGCAGGACGGCAACAGAGATCCTTGGGCGGGTATGATGGACAGCAGCATGAAAGACTTCTTGGCTTCGCTCACCGGGGCCAACGAGGAAAGTGCAGAAGTCCCTCCAACCAAGTCACCGGAGGACGAAGACTTCAATGCGCAACTTCTCAAGCTTCTAGGAGCGGCGTCACCCTCCGCAGCGTTCAATCTGCCGGTTGGTACGGACAATCCTTTCAGCCCGACCAATTACCTCAATATGGAACCCTCCCCCTCCGCGAGCGGTTCCAACGGCATATCACCCGCTTCGATGGCCCAGCTCAGCTCCGTATCGAACTCTGCTTCTCCAGGCTCGTCTGCAGGTGATGCCGCGACTTCTGTCACTTCGTTCTCGCAATCCCAGAACGGCGATGGCTCTCATGGTCTCTCCGCACAAAAGCGACAAGACTCGGATGGTAAAGAATGGGTATATATCGTGGATCAAAGTGGCAATGTGATCAGACCCGCGGACATGTGGACTGATTTGGGATTCAAGAAGCAGGTGAGTCCCTCCGACGGATTGAGGGTGGACAGCAGAGGAGCTGACATGAGTCTTCTCAGGATGCGATGCACGAAATTCTGGTGGATGATCTGTGCGATCTGATGAAGACGAAGGTGACATGCAAGGATGGTGAGTAGATGGTGGACCCTTTCTGGCTCGGTAACTCACGCTGTACCCCAGGCGTTAAGTATATTGGTCAAGACGACGCCAAGCACGTCCTGGAACTGAGAGACGAGTATCTCCGGCTGCAGCGTCAACAAGGTGCTTCGGTGTAGAAATTGAACGTTTTTATGGTCCAAGAAGATGTCAATGGAAGAAGTGGTGGCTCCTCCTCTGATCTCTATTCTGTCCCCGCTGCTCTGACTACTCGTTTCTCATGTACTACGCTATGTATGATACGTGTACAATTTCATGCTAGGCCAGCTATTTCGATATTATTATCCATGGCGGAGGGAACCCTCTTACGGAAATTTGCCACGCTCACCGCGCGTTTGACTCCCACGCGTTTCCCTCCTCATATTCCGTCTGTTGATGCTTTCATGATCTAATCTTGAGGTATCACAAGGTTATTGCAATAGGCGCCCCGTGTCTTCGTCTCTTAGAGAGACGTATACACGATGCCCTCGGCACGATTATCAAGCTCTACGACGGTCCCGTTCACGCCGAAACCTGAACGGAGGAGGACATCAAGGTTGACGAGGGAAATTCACCAGGTTTGTTGACAAGATAATATTCTGCCGACTGGATGATTGAATCAGCATCGGCTGCTGCTATTCCATCCTACTATAACACATGAGCTGACTTTTGGCGTCACATTAGGCTGCCGAGACGTTGGCGTCAGTTCGAAGAGTTCGAGCGGACAAGATCTTGGAGGAGCTAGATAATTCCGGAACTGTGGATTCTCCGCCTGCCGCTGGACCCAGTATGTCCCTTGGGCTCCTGGCCATCCTTCTTGGGCATGCTGACCTCTCACAGTCGCTGAATCATCTCGACATGGCTCCCGCGTGTCATCACTCCACCAGTTGGACCCGGTCATTTCTCTGCCTCAGGAGGATCACCGAAGCAAGTACCGTCCATCGTCCTCTCGCAGTAGGGATGAGCGGACCTCTTCGAAAGACTATGAGCCTCGAATCCGCGATCATCGAGTATCTTCGAAAGAAGATGAAAAACGCTCCCGTCCCGTCAATCATGATGGCCTTTCAGGTCATAGAGAAGAAAGGGTCATCCACGGTCGGCACAAGGTGACTCTCCAGCATCACCGGCAGGAGACGGAGGACGGGCCAGAGAGAGTAATAGACCTGCGCATGGAGCTGGATGCCGGAGAGCTCGAAGCCGAGGAGAGGCTATTAGACAATGCGTCGCTGGAGATACAGGAAGCGTGGTTGTGCGAGGATCTGCTGTACACGCTGCAGGTAGGCGACCCCCCCCCCCCCCCTTATCTTCAACTTGGGAAATGGCAAGCTGACGGGCGGCAGGGCGTCGAGGGCTCTCTGATACGTTATGACGAGTCCTATGATCCTATGGATGAGGATCAAAGGTTAAGAGGAGTTAAATGGAAGCTCGATCCGTCAATCAGTGAGCCACAGAGATAGCACTTATCGCTGATGATACCAGGCAAATCCCTCCTATCCCTTGTGGAGAGACTGGTACCTCTTGGCACATACTTCACATCCGTCGAGGCGTACATGGAGCTAAGGTCAGTTCGATCGATCGGGCGTCTCAATGTGACAGCATTGACTCGTGCAGGAACACATCAGAGTACGGGATGGCTAGTCAAGCGCTAGGCAGTGGCATTCGAGCCATGCTCAAGGCAAGTCGGCTTGGTAACCTGGACGCAATCTGACACATGCTCAGGAGTACCGTGTTCTCGTGGCCCAGCTCGAGTCTCTGTTCCTCAACTCGTCAACATTCACCCTTCAGACCCTTTACTTCCATCTACATCCCACCATACACACCATGTCACTCCTCTCATCTCTGTGTCTCGCACTCGACACTGAGGATGCAAAAGCGCCAGGTGGAGATTCCGACGACGACGATGATGATGATCCTCTCGGCGGAATGGCAGAAGAGCTTGGTCTCGCTGGGGAAGGCTTGAAGGGATTGATGAAGAATCTCAAGGTACAGGATGGCGTGGGCATCTCGGGCGGTCCAGTCTTAGGTGGAGAAGTTTTGGGTATCATTTGCGAAAGAGAAGCGACGATGAGCGGGTAAGCGCCTCATTGCCCATGCCCCTTGCCATCCTAAGCCAGACTCAGGGACCCAACGGCGGCGACTTTACATTCGACATTACTGCTACATGCTTCGCAACCTTATTGCCGCATGCTCTTGACCTGGGTCACTACAGGATACCTCTCAGATCCATTCGACGAATTCATGGTTCGAGAAAGAGGGCACATCAACAAGGGTGTCCTGGAAAGCGATTACACGGATGAGTACTGGGAGCGCCGATACACTGTGAGTGCAAATGACGCAGCCCAAGATATGCTCATTTTGCGATCTCAGCTCCGAGATGGCTCTTCGCTCGCTTCGTCCTCAAAAGCCGCCTCGGGTAAATCCACCCCCTCAATATCTGCCGGTGTCCCACCTCCAAGGCCAGGAACCTCACGTCTCCCAGGTGGAGCATGCATTCCCTCGTTTCTCCAAGCATGGAAGCACAAGATCCTACTGGCCGGCAAGTACCTTAACGTGATCAGAGAATGCGGTATCGAGGTGAAGAAGCCGGGGGAAGTGGAAGAGTCGGCGGACCAGATGGTCGTCATGACGGATCCTGTGTGAGTTCGAAGACATTGAAGTCCTGCAGAGCTCACCTCTGCTCTAGATTCTACAAGCGCATTGAGGACGCCTATATCTATGCCAACAAGACGCTTCTCAAGCTCATGCTGGACGAGCAGGAGCTGATACCGCACCTGAGGTGAGCCTCTGGCGCTGGTGAGGTCGTCGAAGGCAGAGCTCACGCTTGAGTCAGATCGGTCAAACATTTCTTCTTCCTCGACCAGTCTGATTATCTTACCAACTTCCTTGACGTGGCTGCCTCTGAACTTCGCAAACCTGCCAAATCTGCGTCACTCGTCAAGCTCCAGTCATTGATGGATCTGGCTGTTCGAAATCCTTCCAGTTCGAGCTCATACGACCCATTTAAGGATGACCTCAAAGTTACGATGCAGTCTCAAGGCCTTTATGATTGGCTGTACAAGATTGTCAGTAGGACTGGCGGTCTGAGTGAGGATGGAGAATGGGACTTTGCAATGGATGACAGGGAGGACGAAGGAACAAAGCGTCCAGAGAAGGAAAAGACGCTCTACGGTGAGCAATCAGATTGTCTTCCCCAGTGTTCAAGCTGACGCATCTCAGCCATCGATGGCCTTGCCCTCGATTATTCTGTCAAGTTTCCGCTCTCGCTGGTGATCTCTCGTAAGACCTTGACGAGGTACCAGATCATCTTCAGATTCCTTCTCCACCTGCATCACTTGGAATCAGCCCTTGGCGCCATGTGGCTGGAACACAAGTCGACGGCGTGGAGATCACATTCAGGCAACGAGGATCTGGAACGCTGGAAGACCCGTATATACTCCCTCCGATCGAGAATGATGGCATTCGTTCGACAGGTCTTGGCATTTGCGACTAGCGAAGTACTGGAGACAAACTGGCGCATGCTGGAGGATAAACTGGCCAAAGTCGAGACGGTGGACCAAGTGTTGAAAGATCATGTCGATTATCTGGATACGTGCTTGAAACAGTGCATGTTGACCACGCCAAAGCTGTTATCGGTGAGTCATGCCTGAATTTTCACACATTCAGTCTGACGCTAGCTGGCCAGGTCTACGCTAAGCTAATGGCTACCATGTCTACATTCGTGGCTTACTCATCGAGCCTGACTTCGGCAGTCACCAAATTTGTGGAAGACCCAATGGCTGAGTCTGATGAGGGCAAGGTGAAGCAGAGATGGACCATCTTGGAGCGGTTCGAGATCAATTTCGATCACAATGCGAGGGTAAGTGAGATGGGTAATGGGATGGGTTGAGCACTATACTGACACGATACGCTCAGCATCATCTAGACGCTGTGACATAGTGAGTAATCATGCGACTTGTGCGTACACAGCTGATGATTCTCCCAGTAATGCGGGATCTGAAAACGTGGCCCTGTTGGCGCTGGTAACACGCTTGCATCAGACTACATTGCGTATATAATTAGATGCATCAGATGAGCAAAAGGATCTCTCAAAGATCATGCCGCCCGTTGATGTTGTGATGGAAAACAAATGTCCTTTGTGATTCGTTATCTACAGTCTACCCTATACTGTGCGAGCCCAGTCTTCGTATTCTGACCATTCGGCGGCCATCTGAGGACATGATGAGCCCGGAATGCAAGAGTGAGTCACATCTGTAGAAGACTCACCAAACACGCTCCGTGGCCCGGTCCGATGACTCTAGGATAACCACTGGCAATGTGTCCCTCTGCATCCTTGATATGAGTCGTGACGTTGAGACCCTCCGGGAGATCCACGATCCAAGTTGCTGTACTGGCCTGGGGAAGGACTCGGTCAGTATCAAATCTGCGACGAGCTCTTCGCTGAATGCACCTCTGGAATACTGATGACCATCTCTGCGCCGTCTACCCAAGCTTCCTGGTCCTCCATTGACAGGTTGAATGTCGGAGCGAGGTCTGATAGCGTCACGCTGAGGATATAAGGTCCGAGATTGGGTGTCCAGGAGAAAGTAGCGGGTTCACATTGGAACAGCTCGTCCTGAAGGAGAAAGGCCACCTCGGTCAGAAACCCCGAATTCAATCACATTCGCCCCAGACGCAAGACTCAACTCACCGGCGAGCTGATGGTAAGTACTGAGGCACCAAGGCCAAGGATAGCGACTGCTACTTCGGGGAGCATGGCGACAAGAGGAGAGTAAAGTTTGAAATAAAAAGTCAAGATTTGGATGCGATCCAGTCGCTGGAAAGAACAAGTACTTGGGGACAAAAAGAAAGAGGCAAGAACGAGCCAGTCGTCTGCAGTGTACAGGAAAGAGTGTGTGTGTGAGAGAGAGAGCGAGTTGATTGAGCGTATTCGTCTGACCCCGCCTTTTATATATACACTGTATCTATCTCGTTCTCTCTCCCAAGAAAATGATTCGTGCCGTGCCGTGCCTGAAAATCAAAATCCTTGAGAAAAAGAAAGAAAAAAAATCCGACGCGTCCTAAAGGGTCTTTGTTGTCGTTTTCCCTTTCTTCGTGTTCTGGCACACATGCGAAAACGCCTCCTGAGATTGCAACGAGGACCACAGCTCTGAGGATGACTGAGAATGGAGTTCACAGGGTGCATGAGAGTAAGGGGCGTGATTATCTAGTTGGGAGGAGGAGTTTGACTGGAGATTAACCCCACGTATGGGGAACTGCATCGCCACGGGCGAGGATCAAGAAATACATATGTCCAACATCCCTCCCTTTTCATCATTCTGGGATGTCACTTTTTATGCTTGTCTTGTCTAGCTGATGGTCCGTCCCTTCTGCCCCTTCGTCCTGCTTGATCGCCTCATCTTGTTAATTCCATTCGATCAGATACATTGGCGTCTCATAAGGGGTATTGTTGTACTGCTGAGTGTACGTGACATAAATGGCATTTTGTGCCGGTCCAGGAGTGAACTCTGGATGAGCTTGCATAGTGTACGCTCCGATGCCAGTGTAATTGCCAGGCGGGACATCAATGACATGACTTGGGCTTGTCCATGGTCCTTCCGGTGACGAGGATACCGATACGATGAATTCGGGACAGGCACATCCTCCAGGTTGACCTAACCAGACGTATTGATCCCACGGTTCAGAGTAATAGAATGTTCCTTGACCTCCGCCAGCGATATCAATGTAGGCCGAGGTATCGTCCACTGAAGGTTGATCGGTCGTCCATTCACCACCGACGTAGAATTGATATGCTGATTTTTCTTCGATATCAGCGATGGGGACTTTGGCCAAAGCGATATCTCGATTCTCATTGGTTGCGTAGAGATACGCCACATTGTCGACGACGAGATTGCCATAATGTCCATAGGCGAATTGATCGACCTGCCAAAATTCTTCATCGATCACCGAGACCGTGGGTAGAGCTTGTTGATCGTCCGTACCGGTGACTTTGTACAATGTCGCCGAAGGATTGGGAATCTGATTCGTCAAGAATTCAATGAGGGATCGTTTGACCCAAGTGTATCCAGTGATGGTACCAGATTGCTCCGTGACGAGTGGAGGATAGTCCTCCCAAATGGCATATCTCGATCCGTTGTAACAGTTTCCACCTTGATTTCCGTCTTCGCTACATTCATTCGGGAGGATAGTGTAGAACGATGTATTCTTGTTATCCCCCGTCAAGTCATATTCCGCAGGGTACTTGTAACCATCAGGTTGGTCCGAAGGGACGGGTGAAAAGGGAACAGAACCATCACTGTTGATAGCTCCGTAACTGGCTGAAGACGAGAAAAAATTGACGGGTTGATAGTCTGAATTGAGGTACTGAGTATCTCGATACGTCCACAGGGTTCTCGAACCCCATTTGACAGAGCCACCGGAATCACGGGTCAAATGAGGATCACTCGCGACTGCCACAAGCTTGGAGCTCTTGACGGTAGGGTTGGTATTGGCTCGTCTCACCGCTGCAGCCTCAGTCGAAACGAGGAGTGTGAATAGCGACAGAAGAGACAACATGGTGTATGGTACAGAATGTTGAGCTATATCAAGTTGACATAGGACAGTGAGATCAAACTCCTTCCTTTATACTCTTGAGACGTAGTCCCAAGGACCCTCGCGGAGCGACTATACGGTGCCACTCCCCCCAAATCACCCAGCACTCATCCTTCGCCGAGCCATTCTCTAACCCCCCGATCCAAACCCACCCGATGCCTGAAATTGACCAAAGGGCGCTAGATGCTTACGATGTACGCGCAATGCCGACTGGTTGCCCATATGCCATACATCCACTAGACCCAACTCTATCTCCGTGGAGCTTACTAGGTTCGAGCGGTACACCCATTGCCCCACCCTGTAATCAGCCTGAAAATGATGACTGCCGATCGACGGGAACTTCGTTTCCTTATGCCGAACAACCGGCGATTACGAACGGAGCCCGATACACCATGCATGTACAGGAGAAATTTGACAAGCAACCCATTGGGGGCTTGAAAGAGAAAAGTATACAGTAGAATGTATGCCTCAGCATCCAGTGGCAATACAGTAGACCAAGTATAATTGTTGAGGGATATACCCAAATCTTGACAATCCCAGATGCCTCAGTCACCTCACCACAAACTCGGCGGTCGTCACAATAATAAACGTAGCAATCCGTACAATGTCGTAAATTTTAAAAGCACTGCGTTTCTGATCAGTTCCAACTCTACGAACCTTGCACAATCAATCTCACCTTCATCCTCTGGTTCAATTTTTTGTTCACCTTTGTCTCCACTGCTCGATCCAGCTGGGCTCTCAGCGACGCGACCTGAGCGTTTGCGGCCATCAATGAATCCCTATTGTGCCCGCTCTCTTCAGACAGCTTGGCCATGCGGGATCGATGCTGATTGAGCTCGTCCATGTGTGCACTGCATTCCGCTGTAACCCGCTTGGTATCTTGTCGAGCATCCTCGAGATGAGCTCTGAGCTTGGAGCCTGGATCCCCGGATCAGATGACAGTCATCGCGGCAGAAACTCGAACTCACTAGTCTTCTTCGATTCGTGCAGCTCTTTCGACAAATCTTCGGTCTTGACTTTCTCGCTCTGCAGCTGCTTGTCCTAAAAGCCCTCTGTCAGGCACAGATCACACGGCGATACTCAGAGTGTCGCTCACAGCTTCCTGAAGCCTTGCGTTCTCCGCCCGGAGCTGAACTCTTAAACTTTCCCTCTCAGATACTGCCGTGTCCCTCTCCGCTACCACCTTCTGTACGACCTGTCCGATATTATCAGGCATCTGCGCCATGGCCGCGCCAATCTCCTGAATCGAAGTCAGCGCCGTGGAGCCGCTTGATCGGTGGGTCGACGTCGAAGCATCGCCATCGGAAGACCCGGGGCTTCTGAAGACGGGCGAAGGGAGAGCCGAGGCGGGTAGTGGTGGGAGCGGAGCAGAAGGTGGTGGACCTTGGGGTGGCGGTAGTCCCGCTTTGCGTGTAGAGTATCGGCTCTCCAGATCCGATGCGCGCTTCTGAAGCTCCGAGTTGGCGGAATCGAGCTCGGTTCTGACACGCTCCAGCTCCGTATTGACCTTTTGCAGTTCTGCAATCTGCCGTAAATCGGCATTGCGCTGGAAAGCGTGCTCGTCTCGAATGCGAGACAACTCAAACAACGATTGATCCGCCTTCATCTTGAGCTGCCGTCGTTGCTCCTCACCGGACGAGAGCGACCTCTCCAGCTCGCCGACTATGGCTTCTTGGTCCGCAGCAAGTTGAGAGACAGCGTCGGCATGCTTCTTGATCAGATCTTCGATCTGCATTTGATGTGCCTCTCGAGCCCCATCAACCTCTTCCTGATGCTCCTGTCGAGCATTCCCCAGCGCGGTCCGAAGATCCTCGATAGCAGCCTCGTGATCTCGTCGAAGGTTGTCGATGGTCTCTTTATGGCTCTGCAGCAGGCCTTCCAGCTCCTCTGCGTGCTGACCTCTAGCAGCTTCGAGTGCTCTGGATATCTCTCGACTCGGACTGTCTGGGGTCCTTGCCCTGTTGCTCCTCTCCGCCAATAGATCGTCCCGCTCTTGTCGAAGCTGTAACAGTGTCGTCATGGTTTCAGAAGGCTTCAGTGTCAGCTAGGGGTATCGATGTATGAGCTCACTTCTCTGTAGAGATCCTCCTTCAGCTTGTGATTTGTTTTCTGTAGATCTGCAATCTGGATAAATTGTTGGTCTATTATCTCCCGATGCGATTGCTCCTTGTCTTTCATCTCCCTACGGTCATCAGTCCCCGTCCATCCACTCTCGGCTCGTCACTCACTTGATCAAAGCATCAATGCGGTCCTGAGAATCTGCAGCAGGTGAAACTTCCGAGTTCTCTGCAAGTTCCTTGCGCGAACTTTGCACGGGAGTCAAAGGGACTATCCTGATATGTGGCGACGCCTGGGCAGACTCTGCATCGTTCTGCGTGTGGTGATCGGCCGGAGGCTGAGCAGAATCATGCGCATTTCGTTCCAATTGAGCAATGTATGCTTCGCGATCCTTGAGCTCAGCGTCCCGTTCCTCAACCACCTGCATCTCAGCTTGGAACTGACAGCCGCACTCACCTTGTGCAGGAACTTCAGCTCCTTCTCTAGCGACTCGCTAGATCTAGGAGATCGAGATAGAGGAGACTTGGTCGGAGAGGCACCAAGTAGTGAGTCTCTGGAACCAGTCCACGACATACGAGAAGCAGAGAGCAAAGGTTGCGCAGAGGATAGCTCCTGAGATAAGGACAACGGTCGAGACCGTTTGAGATCTGCCAATCCTCTTGTAGAACGAAAATCCCTCTTCTGTATAACCGATAAAGAGGACAGCGTGGGTACAGAGCTTCGGCGTAGAGGTGTATTACGAGTCGGCGATGGACTCTCGCTGGTACGTTTGGGTGTTTGGATCTGAGATCCAGCCTCACTCCTGTCGCCGACCGTGCCAGGAGTGAGAGGAGCAGGCGATAGTGGCATCACATCGTCAATTTCGGCTCGTATCAATGTCGCCTCGGAGAGTTGTGATGTGAGGTCAATCACTTTGTCTTCTGCTTCTCGGAATCGACTTTCCGCGGCATGGCATCGTGCCGCCAAATCCTCCAGAGCTCTCCGTAATCGAGCGATCTCATCGGACCCCTCAGCCGTCGCGTCCGCGGACTCTGTGATGCTAGCGTTCGCGTGTCGACCGTCACGATCCAAGTGCGTCGGCAGTTCTCCCTCGCCCAAAGCCTCTTTCACATTGCTAGCTGAGACACTCGACAAGTCTTTGAGATGTAAGGACGTGTCCGAGCTGGATTTGGAGATATGAGATCGAAGTTGACCTTGAATAGCCTTCTCCGCTTCCAGCGCTCCAATGAGCCTCGTCTGCTCCTCCTTAACATCAGAAGCCAGGGTTGCGCATTGGATCTCAAGCTCAGAGACCCGCTGGTCCTTGGTCTCCAATTCTTCCAACAGTAGCTTGTTATCGTGCATCGTGTCCAAGACTTCGATGTGTTTCTCCAAGTCTTTGTACGCGTTCTCGCGCTGCACCGCTGCCTTTTCTTGCAACTCAATCTGAGCTTCTAGGGAGGATCCTCGAGTCTCGGCTTTAGCCAAGCGAGCTTCGAGTTCGGTCGTGTGAATATTAAGCTGATCGTTGAGCTCCTTCAGTTTGGCAATCTCCTTGCGAAGATCAACGACCGCGGCAGAGTTCGAGTCTTGCTGCTCGGTCTGGGTCTTGAGACGCCCTTCAAGGTCTTGGACATAGACCTGAAGAATGTCAGGGGTAGATCTGTGTCATGCAGCTTACTTCACTGGCATCGTTGCGTTCAGTGAGCTTTGCCACACGACCACGTAGCTCCGACACATTTGCCTCGTTGTTGGCATTTTCAGCCTGCGCCTCTTTCAACTGAGCGCTCTGCTCTTCGTATAGCTCATTGATGGATGTCTGCGGCGAAGTCAGCTCGATGTGAGAAGGGCGGTGCTCACCAATTCCGCTCGAAGGCCGTCAAGCTGTCTATTGAGAGCAGACACGACCTTCTCATACCTTGACGGCGTCAGCCGATGATTCTCAAATAAAAGCAAGGCATTCACTCAATGATGACAGGCTCGACCGTCTCGTTGAACTTTGCCAAAGCGTCGGCATCACCTGGTTTGGCATTCTTCAATTCTGAGGTGAGTCTCATGCTCTCGCTGCACTTTGCAAGGTATCGGTCATATAGCTGGTGAAGATGAGTTAATTCCCATAGTGCGTAATTCACCTCTGTGTGCTCCCTTTGCAAATCCGCCAAGCGCTGAATGAGCTTTTCGTTACCCTTGCCTGCATCCTTGTGAATAGCCCTGCCTTCGTCTGAATCCAAATTGGCGAGCTGCTTCCGTAGTTTAACAACAGTAGCTTGTAAATGCTCTACATCGTCCCACCCTGCTTCGACAGCATTCGCTTTGGATGTATTTCTGATATTTCTCGCTCGAGAGGCGTACTTGAGCGTGTTGATAGTCTCAGCGACATTGTACTCGATCGGCGAGATGCAGGCGATCATGGTGGTGAGGGAATTGCCCCCGATTGAGTCTGAAATGATTGGCATGGCAACTTGAGGGTCTCTGCTCACCTTGCAGCATTCGAGTGAGTTTGGAATCTCGATAAGGTATATGGCCCTTGGATTTGATTGGATCGCCAACTACAGGTACGTCAGCTCGGCGAAGATTGCGACCATATGCAGCTTACGATGCGAAATGACATTGCCCAGAGCCAAGAGGCCGCTATTGATACTGATACCTTCCTTCATCCTATCTCCCTGGGCTGCCGTCCTTTTCAGTCGTTCTGAGCCAGCCAAGTCGACCATGTTGAATTTGCTCGTGATGACCAAGAATTCACCTTCAGATGATGACGGCGGGATACCCATGACAGATTGCGGTCTAGAAATACCTGTCGATTTCTGGTAGCTGCTTGGCGGCGGCCGACTTCCAGATGGTGTAGGCGAGCGACTAGAAGCAAATCCGAGAGTCGAAGAGGGTCGTTTAAGGCTTCTGGCACCAAACTCGGAGGAGACGGGCAAGGATGAGGATGCGGTGAGAGAAGTCGTCGCCCGCTTCTTTTGGACCAAAGTGAGAGAAAATATCGCATGACTTCTTGAGCTCGTAGCGTTCATTCCCGTTTCACCCGTCTTTCGTCGGGCAGATCCTTCATAAAGCAGTTGCATGACCTCTGCCAGATCCTTGACTTTGATCTCTCGGACGCCTGACCAGACAATCCGGCCGTCCCGTTCCTCTCGAATAGCGATGGACACTCCAGACCCGGAGAGCAAGTCGATGATTTCCTCGTTGTAAAGTTCGAGAAAGCTGAGACGAAGCTCAAAGGTCGAACCTGGACCAGCATCCGAACGGACCGATTCAGCTTGATCGAAGATTGCCTGGACGGTTCTTGGGATCAAACCAGTACGTTCATTCCATTCAATTCCGGTATAATCGGCATCTTCACCTGTCGTACCCATAGAGTAGGATTTTCCAGAGGAAGTCTGGCCATAACTGGAAGGTGATCAGTGTTTCATGAACCGGTCATGATTTTATATCTTACGCCAGAAATGTCACATTGTGACCTTTGAGGAATTCTCCTACGACGTCCTTCGCAGTCACATCATACAGGTCCACCTGGTTTGCGTTCTCCCCGAGAACATGATCAAAGGTGAACGTAGGATGCCTTTTGACCCCCGCAGCTGACGAAGTAACGGCATGACCTGCCAGAGTCGCCGGATCTACATCAACGCGGATGTCAGTCGAAGTCGTAGGGTGGACTAGGGTCTGGCGGAATCGAGGAGGGACAGAAGCATCGTCAGGATCGGATGGACGTATTCGAAGAACTAGGTCTCTATCAGTAGACGGACATGAGGATACGACGACGGTACACGTACCAACTCTGACATTACGCTGCTCTGCGTCTGATGGCGATGGCGCATCTTCGCTGCTATCTCTACGCATTCGGTGACCCGTAGCGGAGCTCGGGCGGGGTATCGCTGAACCTCCAGGAGAAGGGAGTGGCAGAGGTGATGCGAAGGACGACCGTCTTCGATTCAGTGTCATGGTGTTGGAAGTAGATCAAGGGAACGAGCAAAAGAGGTCGATGGAGGATGGGGATGGAGGGTTCAGATGCGAGGCTGTACGGATGTCAGTGGTGATTGGGAAATGGAGCTGCAGATGGGCTGACTTGATGAAGAGACACAGATGAGGGGAAGGGGGGTAGAGAGATAGATATCAAAGACATGAAAGATATCGGGGTGTGAGGAAATAACTTTCCAGTTACCGCTAGAAAGGATAGCGGAGGAAAAGGGTGTTGTGTGGGGTATAGGACCGAATAGCAGAATCTTGGACCCAGTCGGACCTCGCGGTCCAGCAAAATCGATGGAGGAGAGCTGAGCAAAGGAGAACAGGAACTCACAGAGCTTTGTCCGTCGCGCTTTGTCAGCAGGCCACGAGGAATGTGACAGTTGGGTACGTCGATAGCTCTGTGTTGGATGTGAGATATGAGGAAAGCTCCACCACCTCCAAACCACTGTCTCTTCCTTCCTTTCTATTGTTGATGTCGAGAGTTTGTGGGAGTGCACAGAGAGAGAGAGAGAGAGACGGGACAAGAACCAGGGTAAGTCATCAATAGCGATCAATGCATTTCCAAGTTTTCTATCTGGTCCAGGTTCGTGTTTAGCGTCGTATCGAGGCACAAGGGCGGAGAGCGAGATTAGGAGGGGGGTCCCCCAGCTGGAAAGTAGGATGTTTTAGTCGACGAGGAGGGGGGAACAGATGGTGGACGGACACGATGATAGGATGGACGGATAGATGGATGGATGGATATGGCTCGGATCCAAACGCTTCACTCACTCACCAAGGGATCCGCACGGATCACCCTCCCTCTGTCTCTCCCTTCTACCTTTTCACATCAGACCCCTCCGTACACGGAAAGGGCCATCGGTAATCTCCATGTCATTATCCTTCGCTCGTACTCAGACACGATGTAATGTGTATGATCCTTCACAGGTCAACTGACTCATATCGTCTCGAGGTCATTCCTTGCGGATGTCGAGTACGGTTTAGCGGGAAAAACACAAAAAATTAAACAAAGGCCAGGTAGAGATAGATGCTTTCATGTAAAATTATGGCGGGATGGAAAGAAGGAAAACCTAATTCCTTGTTTCAAGAGTGAACGCGTCGGGTATTCGAGAGGCTGTTTGGGATAGGTTTGCATAGCGATGCTCACTGTGATGCTCACTGTGATCATGATTCATGTCAGTGGGCCGTCGTGATGATGGAGTTCTCTGCGCTGCCAACGCCGTGAAGATCTCCCGAGCAGATCAGACATCGGTCCCAGGGAACGAGAGCCCGAGCGTTTTGGCGCCTGACTTGCCATTTCGGGCAGTTTGTCTCGTTTCATCGGTTGGGAACTGTGGCTCTTTCCCGGCGAGGGCGCAAAATGAAGGTGCATAAGAGTACGGATTGGCTAAATGTCAAGGGAGCCGCAGATATGATCATTAATAGTCAATGTCCATCTCGACATGCCTCAAAGAGCCTGATGCTCCCTGGCTTGGATCATAGCCCTCAGGAACAGTCATCCAGCAAGTGTGTCTCGAGTCTGTCTTGAGCTGCTTGAGAACACGATCACTGATGCACGAAGTCAGCGAACACGCACATTGCATGAGCCTCAGTCTCACGCTTCCACAGTCACGAGCAGACTATCGGGCTTGTAGAACTTCCTGTAATAGAAGCTGTATGAGCCGAGTGGCTTCACGCTTTATCTCACAAAACACGAAGATTCCCAGTTCCAAGCGTTTGTGACGCACTCCTTGCCCACGTATCGAACGAGGCATTGTTCAACAACTTTGATAGAGACTGCTGGGTGGCCAAAGTACAGAATGCCTCACTCTGCGCATAAGGGTCGACGCTCGCTCCCGAATCCATTTCAGGTCTCCCACCTCGCTTTCGTTTCGTTCCTTGTTCGACGGTCCAGGCGTCCAAGACGGTCAAGTCTTCACCAATCTGCGCAGTCAATCTGCTGTCAGATGACATGGAGTTCCACTAAGAAGCCAAGCCCTGGAGCGTCCGAAACTCTTCACTCAGCAGACATGCTTTGATCTTCCCCGCCTGTTCGACGGTCTTGACGAAGCAGTCTGTTCCTTGTCCGAACGAGAAGCGTACGAGGCTCGTCTTGTCTGAGACACTTTCCAAGTCAGTAGCAGCTATGTCGAGTATAGGGTCATCTTCAGTGGCTTCGTCTTGCCCGTCAGCAACTTCAACTTCGGGATCGTTCGATTCAGGCGAAAGTGAAAAGTTCGGCATTGCGAGTGCAGTAAAACAGGTTTGGGAGAGAGAAATCACACGGTTGAAGCTGTCCTCTGTGACCTCTGATCCTAGTCAGCATGCTGCGTTGATATCCCCTCCAACGGAGGTCCAAGTCCCGACAGACAACGGATGGCCTAGATCTGCGTTTCAAAGTTGTCGCCGAAGGACGGAAGTATAAAAATCCCGTTGCGTTTTTTTTTTCGGTCCAGATCCCCACATGGCCACCCACCTCAAACGACGATCAGAACTGGACTCGTCATTCGCGACGCTACAACCATCGGATCTTGATCGTGATCTCGAAGAGCTTTTGAAAAGAGCCACCGGATCAGATGGTGAATACGGTGCTATAGAGTGGGCCGAGTATTGGGATTCGAAGTCTGCCCAAAAGTCTTTTGAGGACCCTTGTCACCTCGTCCATTGGCAGATACATCTATACTGCAGAGGACCGATCGTAGGGTCAATTGCCAGGGCTTCTGGAGTTGTCCTTACTCCGAACACTCTCTCATTCTGTTCCGCATCTCATCATGGACACTGACGATCCTCCGCCATCGCCATACGGTTTCAAATCTCATATTCCAACGAGATTATCAACGCCAGAAATGGCCGAGTGGAAGTGAGTGCGAAACGCCAGGATGCCGGTTGCTTTTGGCTTTGAGTACCTCGGACCGAGATGTGCTGACTATATCCTTCTGTCCAGATACGAGATGCGTCGAGAAGCTCAAGAAGTCATTCCTGGTCTATTCCTCGGCCCATTTCAAGCTTCTGTCAATATTCATCGGATGAATGCCCTCGGTATCACCCATGTGTGAGTGGGCGCCCACGCGCGTACGACATCGCACGACGTCATGCCTAGATGCAATCTCTTGCAGAGTCCCAAAGATACAGCTGACCTGTCCTTCAGGCTCTGTATACGAGACCGCAGAGAAGCATCCATGATCTTCCCCCGATTCCCAACGGAATTCAAATACCTCACCTTGGACATAAGCGATACCACCGTGAGCTCTACATCAAGTCATGAGGCTGACCTTCGTTACAGGACCAAAACATCATATCCATCTTCCCACAGTGTAAAGCATTCATTGAAGAAGGCTTGAACCAAGGAGGCCGCGTATTGGCCCATTGTAATGGTGCGGCACTCGTTCATAAAAAGGAAAAAACCGTCAAAAACGTCGCTGACTAGTTTGACGACTTGTAGGAGGCATAGCCACGGCTCCAGCTATTGTCATTGGATATCTCATGTGGAAGTATAATTGGAAGTTCGAGTACACTCTAGCATATGTTCAGAGCAAGCGTTATTGCGTCAGCCCAATGAGCGTGAGTCGAGCCGTGCAGTATGGACCGAGTCATCGATGGGCTGACACTCATCGTCTCAGTTTCAGACCCAACTGAAAGAGTACGAGCCGATATATCTCGCTCAAAAGATGTTGGAAGCGGAACGAGGCTCTAACGCTTCGTCTTTTCAATCACCACTTAAAAGGAGTCACCTGGAGTGAGTCATCGGATAACGGACTCCAGGCATCAGCTGAACTTGGGTCCGTCAGTGACGAGGAAGACGACTATCAGAGACGGAGACCGGCACCGAGCACAAGTAGCATGATGAGTATATAATCTTTTCAAGGCCGGTAGATCAAGAGCAACTCGCAATCGCGCAGTCACACATGTTGTATCAGTAAGGCGTCATCGTCGAACCTTGTATTCACTTCAAGCATGAGCAATGGCTCGGCGCCATGCATGTATGGTCATCACGGATGATATCTCAATGTTTGATGCAGAAGAATGCGCCGCCCCCGTCATATCGATGTATGTCCAAAATAAAAATGCCAACCATATGCTTCACAACCACCCTCCCCTCTCTACACTCTTGATGCTACTCATGCTTCTCAAGCTATGCGAAGGATTAATGAGTCGAACGCCAAATTCAGTTGGCGATCTCGCTCCGAAATCTGGTCCTTCAACTCCAGGTAATACTATGATCCCTGCTCTCTTGTTAGGCGACAAACCTCCACTTGCAAGTTCGCCATCACCATTTTGTCGCCTGGCTGGGTTCGGTTGGCCGAGACATGCAAACTCTGTACTGTCCTGTCGAGGCGTGACGACCCGAAGCGATGGCTCAGAGATGCCACTGTCGCAACTCTTTTGCGTCACATTGCTGCCACTCCTATCCCGGAATCTCGATGTCCATTGACCATAGAACCCGGAAGTGCAAATCGCCGGTTCGTACATAGCTCTCTGGTCCATGGCCGCTCGGAGTCTGCTGGAACTGGCCTCGAAGTCCATGACTACAGGCTCTGTGCGGACGATATCGTTCTCTGGACTATCAGGAACGTTATCGGGAGGTGGACGAGGCAGAGGTCGTTGAGGTGCTCGTGAGCGAAGTCGTGCCGTTGTCGAAGCGGTCGAGTCATTCTGACCCGAAAGAGAGGGGATGGGAGAAGCACTCGGCGTGATGATCGGACATGTGCCACGTCTACCCCAAGGTATAGGCAACGTACCTCTCATCTGGTCGTCCGCTGCAGACTTGACATTGGCAAAGGAGAAGGACCTCGACGAAGGCTTGAGGATGGATCGAGGTGTCAATGGAGGTAAAAGAGTACAGGATTCTCCATCGCTCTCTTGACGATAGTGCTGATGATGGTGGTCGTGGTAGGAGGGCTCCGTGGCAGATCGGACGGGCGTTGAGGGTGCTTTGACAATTGTGGGTATCTCGAAAGGCTGATGATGACGATCGAGGGTTGGCGTGTCAATCTGAGACTGACACGTCTCTTCAGAGGTGATGGTATGCTCGGATGACCGGCGCGACGCTAAAACAGCGGGAGTAACCGGATCTCTGTTGGACGAACCAGATTCAGAGTGGAAAGATCCGGGTGAATCGTACTTGTTGAAGGATAGAGTTGGAGAAACAGTGGAGAGAGGCGAATAACTTCGGCTTGATGATCGGAGGCTGCTCTGACGGCGTGGAATCGCAGGCGCCATCTCGAAAGAGTTGAATCGGATTTCCGCCTCGGGAGTCCCCAAGACGGTTGGTCGAGATGTCATTCTGCCTGAATCATCCGTCGCTTGCTTGGGGAAGGCAGTGTTACCGCCCGCAAAGAATCCCCCCGTGCCGTTCCCTCTCCAGCCGCTGTCTCCATAAGGGCGACGAGACTTGGGCGGGGGGGAAGGCTTGATCGTCGGTGAATGAAGAGCTTTCCAAGTGGCATGACTTCGCCAAGGCTGGTTGACAGGATGGTCAAACAGAGTTGAGGATGTATCTCGATCAGCGACAATACTGGGGAACGGTTCAGGTGTTCGGATACCGTGAACGCTGATCTTGGATGGGGAGAGAGAGGAAAAGGATCTCGAGCGACGATGATGATTCTGTCGTGGTTTTGGGGCGACCACCGGCCGATCGTTCAGAGTGATGAATCCGTCGACCTGCTTGTGAAAGAGAGGGGAGGCCGGACGGAGAGGAGGTAATGGAGAGATGCTGGCAGGCGGTTGCTACATCAGAAAATCAGCTCAATGCTTCACTCGTCGACATGAGCGGGGCCAGAACTCACTCTGATCAAAGCCTGAGACTTTGAACGCGAAAGAATCCGCGCGAAATCCTTTGCTTCTTCATCGTCATTTTGAGCGGCAGGAGCGTTCTTCCTGCGAAATGGCATTTTGAGGTGCTACACACGCCTCTATGTTGAGGTATGCTGCAGTGGATATCGATCAGCGATCTTGAGTGATCGGGGTGTAGTGATGCTTCAATTGGCTCTCAATAGGTCCCAGCCTGTTGAGCTCGCACCCGTCGTCACGGGTGAAAAGTCTCGTCGCCAAGACGTGACGATCTCCAGGGAGTGAACAAGGTCGATAAGGGAGGGAAAAGGTCGTCAGAGATCTCGAAACAAGACTGTCTCAAAGGTGATTCCTCTTGAGGATGAACCAGATCCTTTCCAAGTGCGCCTCTCCTTCTATATGTAGATGAAAGAATGTCTGACCAGCAGAAGGTAAAGAGTGGGAATGTGATCCAAGTCTTGCTTGAAAACAGTCTCGCAGCTGTGTCACACTTTCTTTTGGTGCCTAGCTCCAGAGCCATTCGCTGCAGCTGATTATCCAGGAGGACCCTTTTGGCGTGGGATCTTCAAGTCATGTGATCCAAGACCAAAAGTCGAGACAGCAGAGATGGTTTGTTTCGTCTTCTTGTGCCCGGGAAAGGGTAGGGGGGGGGGGGGGGGGGGGGGAGGGGAAATTGGGCCTAGAAGATGTCGTTCGGCGAGTCTAGTGGAGAGGAGGGCAAGTATGATCGTGCCGGACGATGGGAGCAAATGGAGTTGTTTGATGTGAGGTTCTTGGATTCGACCTAGTTAAAGTTGGTATCGGAAGGGATGACCCAATGGAGGAGTTGACATGATCTAGATGGGTCGAATGATTGAATGAGAATGAGACTGAGAGCAAATGGTCGAGATGGGGAAGGCACGTAGAGTCGATTATGTCTTGCAGAGTGTCTTGCAGAGAGAGAGGTTCAACGCTAAGATGATCAAGGTGTAAATATCAAAAAAACAGAGTCACCATCAGCAAGTGACGAGACACCGAGAGAGAGAGACAGAGAGAGAGGTCATATGAGAGCAGCAGAGGCGTTGAGGATGAGAGTTTCGATGACTTGAAACGTGATCCGTGCTCAGCGGATGACAAGGATATGTAAAGTCTAGACCTAGCGTAGAAAGGAGGGGAGGGGGGGGGGGGGGGGTGGGTTGTGCCAAAAGAGACGGGGTACCTGATGAGCCTGACCTCTTCATCCTCCTTGTCCGTCCACCCGCTACGGAGGTCTACATATGACCCACCCCTCTGTGCTGTGAGATGAGTTAAGCCTTTAGGAACATGGGAAGAGGCGGCGGGAAGCACGAAGTTCGTTCAGCGGCTGATCTCATTTTAACCATGGATATCGGGTGCTGCTTGAGGCGACGAGAGACAAGTTTCAGAGGGAAAATCCTTTTGTGGGTTTACCAGTACCCGAGCAGCCCACAACCGTCCCGCTGGCACCTTGTCAATCCAGAGAATCTGACGCCAGCAATAGTGTTTCTCCAGTATTCCAGCGGGTGATCAAAAAATCCTTCTCAAGCCACTCACTGTCCCTCACTAAGGGGGTGAGAGATCGCATAGCGGGCGAAAAGCGGAACTCTATACGCCTGAGATAGATTTCACGTCGGCGTTTTGGCTTTTCCCGACATTTCCACGGAGTCGCACCGAGAGGGATGAGGTGAATAGGTACATGCGGGAGTGATTGGCTACAATGGAACATTGGAACAGATTGGACACGACTGTTCTATAAATGACATCAGGTCCGAGCCCGTTCCTAGCCCTAGACGATCATGGCAGCCACGGCTCCGATCACGGCAATGAGCGGTGTGGCCTTGTTGGATATGGCGAGAGGGAGAGCAGCACCACTAGTCGTCGATCCAGACGCCGCCGAGTTGGAACTTGAAGGAGTTCTCGAGGTACTGGCGGATGCAGGTCTAGATTGACGCGTCAGCGAGGACAAATGTATAGTGCTATGGCTCACCGGCTTCCAGAAGCAGATTGAGCAGCAACAGCATTGGCAGCGGACGCGGATGATCGAGAAGCAGCAGCAGCGGACGAACCAGACGCGACCGCACTTGAGACGACAACAGATCCAGCGCTGGTTCCTGATACAGTCGAGTCACCACTTGCTCCAGAGGCAGCGGCAGCACTGAGGAGATGGTCAGTCGATGTGTCTTCGCCCAGCTTGAGTCGACTCACCCTGCAGCGGCTCCGCCCGAAGCGTCGTCTTGACCGATACATGCCGTGGTGGATCCGGGCTCTGCTCAAGGGGCACACTATGTCAGCGAGTATAACAGTGAGGCAATGAGGCCAGAGACTGACGAATAGTGACCTAGTGATAGCAATCAGCACAGGTTTCGCGCTTTGCATCGCTCTCGCCCTTGCGACTCACTTGAGAATTATAGTTGACCGCTCCGCTCGAGTCGGTGATCTTGATCGTCACGCTCGTGCCCGCGGCAATATCGACGTCCCACGTGAGTTGAGTGCCAGATTGCTGCGGGAAGTTTTTGCTACGGGGCAGAAGGGGTTCTCGTCAGCTTCTGAACACGTTGAGCTTGAAGGGACGCTTGCTCTCACAGCGCAATCCCGGAAGGGTCACCACCGGGGATGACGGCCAAGAAGTACGGGGCTGAGAGAGAGGTGTGGTCAAAAAAACGAAGGTTCTCGGTGCTTCATCTCGCACTCACCCGTACCACCACTCCATGTGATGAGAGCAGGCTGACAGACGATCAAAGAAGAGATGGTGTTGACCAATAGCTGAGCCATGGAGGACCCTGCGAGGGCAGTGAGAAGGAGTGACCGAGCGAGCATGGCCGTTGTGGTAGTGTATGTTTTGGTGTTTTGACGAGATGAAAATGGGATGGAGGGTGTCTGTCTATCTATGTGAGTAATGGATGACTCTTTTGTTGAATGAATGAGTGACAATGGTCAGGAATATGGTCGATAAGTGAGATGCTGGAAGAGACCCAGGAGAATGAGTGATTGATCGTTTATAAGCCGTGTCCAAGGGGGGTCGTTGAGCTTCTAGCTCTAAGAGACTGCGCAGTGAAAAGTACGGTAAGTTGAAACAACACGTAGCACACTAGTGTGACGAAAAAGGGGTGGATGCAGTGAGGGGATCAGCAAATGATTAAGGGTCCAGCTGCTTTTGCTGTTGTTGGCTGTGAAGTGTCTTGTGGTCGTCATGACGTGTTGAGTCGGTCTGTCTGTCTGCGAGTATGGGGAGAGAAACGTGGCTGGAGGTGACTTGGGTCATACACCATGGAACAAGTCAGCCAGTCAGCCAGTCTACCTGCCGGCTGTACAAGATCCTAGTATCCAGCTGTTGTCTCTACCAGGAGAAAGTCTAGCCGTCGTGATTCCAGTGCAGTCACATCAATACTCAGGGATCAGATGGATGAGATGGATGGATGGAGTCGTTGCTGCTTCTGGCTCAGCGGCGTAAAAGAAAAAGTTCCAGGCCTAGCACTGGAAAATCACACACGCCCCAACCAACAAAAGGCACGGAATCAAATCTGTTGGGCCAGTGCGGGGTCTCTGCTTTTCGCCTTTATCCTATAGGATCTCTCTTCATTGACTAGGGTACCACGTACATGTTTCATAAGCTAATCGGTTGATACTCGCCTGAAGGCCTCGCATGCCCAACCTCTTGTACTCCATCTTCATCCTTGTCTGTCTCTCTCGGCAGACCCTGAGCATCAAGTCTCAGGTTAGCAGATGGCATCTTGCCTTTCCCCTGACGACGTATGGAGGGAGAATCCTCAGATGCTGATACATTGCCAAGGTTGCTGAACGGCGGCCGTTTGGGCGTGGCATCAGAGTATGGAGCAGGATCCAGTGCATTCGAGAGGCCCTGTGAGGTTTGTCAGGATCTTGATCAGGGAGATTCGGGAAATGTTGTCGAGCGCACCTGAACAGAGCCCGCATCCGGAACCTTATCGATCGGTGCTTGACGATCCTCGTATCCGGACTTGACCCTATTATTGGAGCTTTCTTCTCTGATCTCTGCTCTGAGGTCTTCGATGCTCCACCAATTCAGAGCACCAAACACGACGTTACGGCGGAAAAAGCCTGCGCCCGATGAAGCAGTGTCCACGGAACCCATCATGGCGTGCGCGTGAAGATGTTTGTGAGATGCAGAAGGATCCTCTACAGGCCAATGTCAGCTTATCATCACCACCAAAGAGCCATTTTCAGCTGCTCACTGATGACGCTGCCCACAAAGCCTATCCGGAAATCTAAGCCTTTACTCCCACTCTCCACGTCTGCATGTCGATGATGTGAGAGCAGTCGCCGAGATACGTCGATCATGTGGGACAGGGCAGGAACGTCGGCTGGGCTCTGGCCGAATAATCAGCTCTTAGCTTCTGCTATCACGGAGCCTCCCGACGCACCAGGTCATATACACTTTCTACATGTCGGTTCAGGACCACCACCAAGTGCTTCCCCTCGGCGCATAATCTCTCCTTTCCCGCTGCCACGTAAACGGTGATATCTTGGTCGAAATATAGCACATGCTTGCCGCCGATGACGAGTCGACCTGTCGAGTCGAGACTGGAGGATCGACGCAAACTATCGGGTCCTTCAGAGCTATCCATCATTCCAGCACTGAGAAATCGATTAGGGCGTGAAGGTCCGGCTGTGGCTCCACCTTCTCCAGCCTCTTCGGAAGACTCGCGACTACTGCTTGTTCGTGGATCGAGTGGGTCCGAAGGTAGTGAGACGATCAATGAGCATAATGTACATCCAGGATGGAAATAGGGATTCAAACCTCCGCGGAAGGGTCTGCTGTTTCCGCCAGGACCATCCTGAGACACTGGTAAAGGCGACGAGGTGCGGCTCTGCTCAAGGGCGAAGGATGTCTGATGGAGCGGGGTATGGCCCGGTGAAGGGGTCATCTGACGTGATAGAGCCATCTAGGAGAGGATATGTCGCTTGAAAAGAGAGAGAAGGAGAGAGGGCTGGAGTAGGCAGAACCAACGCTCGTCGAGAAGTCCGGGACCGGTTGACGAATCGATGAGCGAGATGCGGAGTCAATCGGCGGATAGATTTCTCGGGGGTCGGGGGACTTTTGTCAGACGTAGAGCCAGAGCTATCTACGTCGTGTAGTCGAGAGTCGGGTATGCAGTGTGTGTGTATGTACGAGGACAGCGCTTGGATGTGTTGATTCAGAGATCTGAGGTGAGACAGCCCCGTTCGGTTCAAGGGTTTATTCTTTAAATTGAGAACTCGTAGAAAGTGGCGTCATACACGGAAGATCCAAAAGATTGGGATTGTTTGTGGCGGCTAAGAAGAAGCATGGATCCTGCCTCTGCTCGTTCTTCATGAGTAGATGGAGGACACTCCTCGACTCGAAGAATGGAGGCATTGTACGAGGAGGATCTTTCTCAAAGCCTGGACCATCTATGAGTCATGCCTCTCTCACGACCTCCATTGCCTCCTTTGATTCACTGACCCTTGGCCAAGGAAGGGGGATCCTTTGCCCTTCCAGTGGATCGTTGGAGCAAGATAGACCAACCTTGGAGAGAGAGAGAGATGTGGAGCTGTTCGTGGGAGGTTGGTGCTGGTTATTCGAAGAGATCAGATACACCGTTGGAGGTTTGTGTCTGTCCTCGGACTTTCGAGCAATCGCTGCAATCAAGACCTATCGACACCGTATCACAGCATGATTGACGCAGAGTTGTCGTCTTGCGAGGAGATCAGGTAAGTAAGACGTTGTATAACATCCCTATCCACCATTTGATCAGAGCATGACACTCCCGAGCATTGGTCCAAATACGAGTGATCGAGAACTTACCTCGTCTCACAGGATCGAGCTGGATCAGCTATCCCAAACCCTCAAGTCGGTCCGAGAGCAACTCGCGCCTCCTTCGACCTTGTTTCCGAAGATCGATGCTCTATCCGTTGAGCCATCCCGGGTCCATCACTCAACGCCTGCGCCACTTCCAACCTGGTCCCCTTCTCCTGGCCTCACAGCCCCTAGTACACCTCGCAGGACCTCTCGAGATCAAATTGGATCGCTTCGACCTAAATTTAGTACGCGACTCTCTTCCGCCTTGAGACTATCGAAAAACCTCTCAAACATCGGCAAGAGGAAGAAATCATCTTTCCAGATCGAATCTCAAGGACTCCTAGCGGACCTCAATGATGCTTCTCCTCTCGGAACACCAAGTCCACCACTTTCGTCGCCTGGAACTGAATCAGAGCCCATTTCAGCACCGGGGTCGTGCCGGAAGCACTCTGCTGTTTCGGATACTACTCTCGTCGATCGAGATAGCGCTACGTCTCTTCTGGACACGCTTGCACCTTTGATCTCGGGCATCCAGCAGGCATCAAAGAGGATCACAGAGTCGACTTTTGACCAAATTGAGAATGAGGCAGTTGAGAATCGACAGCGATTTACAACCCTCTGCGCAGAGACCGTGACATTCCTGATATCGCTCATCGGTGAGAAGCGTTCTCCATGCCTCGAGATCGACCACGAGGAGGATATGCGTAAGCTCATGGTAATGGCTTTGGTCAAGAAAGTCGAGTTCGAAATTCAAGCCGTCAGTCAAAATCTGGATGCAAGCGTCACGCCCGACTTGCTGCCGGTAGCTTCTCCCAGTCTGCTGTCCACGCCCCCACAAGTCACAGCATTGTCCCGATCCAGATCCAGATCCAGATCCAGCTCGAGCGCTTCATCTTCCATCGCGGGGGATCATCCTTCAAACCCATTCGTGTTGCACACCACGTCCCTTCAGTCAGGTCACCATGCCAAGCCCCCAGCTCGTCAATCGACGCCTGGTCACAGCTTGGGTGTGGACAGCGAGTTGACGCTTGGCGGTCGTAAACAAAGTGTCAGTATACCTATTGGCAGTGGCGATCCCGCCGGAGCCAATGTGAATCCTCCAGCTCATCCTGGATCTTTCTACGCTTTTGTCGGTGGTGCGCAATCGAGTCTATGGGCAACAAATGTCAGATTGGCGAGTTTTCAGAATTCTCTGTTGTTCAGTCCAAGTCCGATCGCTGTGAGGAGAGTTGTAGGATACGGAGCGAGATGAAAGGCGTCCGAGCAAGAAGCGCAGGATGTTGTGTCGCTGGTCAAGGACGAGATGCATCGCCTTCATGTTGATCAGACCAGCGGACCGTCCCGGTCACCAGCATCAAACTTGCTCTCGTCAAAGTATGTCGCTCGCTATAGACGGCAGCTGGATCAGAGCAATCTCAATATGCAATGCATCAACTCACGATCTTCCCGCCTGCAAAGAACCGCCCGTCCAGCTCTTTGGTCGCTCTCCATGCGCCTGCCATACCGGAGAAGACGATAAAAATCCTCAGGCAGTCCCTGGGATCCTCGGGAGGCGGTTCGACCATGTGTAAAACGACCCGCTCGACGATACTAAAGGCACGTCTCAGCTTTTGGGGACGTGAACTCCTGGGATCGATCGCTTACCCATACTTGGAAGCCTCTTCTCCAATCTCCTCGGACAATTCTTCGTCAACATCATCAATGCTCTCGACACATCCGACGAGACAGATGATCCGACTGGCTTCCCCCAATCTCGCTTGCTCCTCTTTCGCCCTTTCGTCCTCGTTCGTATTGACGATTCTCCCTCTCGACGTGGCGTGTTGGACCCATTTCCGATTCTTATTCTTGGCATTCGCAGCAGCTGCTTTCTGCTTTGCGATCTGCCTCTTTGACAGGGGCTGTGATGGATCAGCGGGTTTCGGAGCCGCTTCCACGTGCTCAGCAGCGAGGGCATGGACCATACCGTCCCCGCGAGCTCCGAGACCGGTGCCTTCGACATGACCCCATTTACGGAACACTGCGAGCGTGAGACGAATCAACTGGGTGTTACTGAAACACTTACTTTTCTCGGCAAAGGTCCCGCTGGTGCTATCAGTCGTCAGCAAGGCGGGCGCGCGCGGGAACAGGATGCTCAGCTCACTCTTCGACCACTGATGGAGTTGGAACAGCCGCGGGCGCGGGCGGATTCTCGGCGGCGAGAGCCTGCAGTCGAGCTGCGATCGCCTGAGCAGCCCGCTTCCGTTCCTCCAGCATGGTGGCAAACTCATCGGAGGGTGCGACGGAAGAACCGGCGGGCTGGGCGGAAGGAGGCACTGCTATCGATGACCCAGCCTGAGAAGGGGGTAGGTTGAATGAGCCGAAGCCAGGGATGCTCGAGCCGGACGATGGCGGAATGTTTGGCGCATTGGCGGCGAGGTGTGTCGGTGGCGGTACGAAGGCATTCGAGCCAGATACAGATTGCGACATGGCCAGTCGTCGAGCATACGCGTCGTCACCTGATGCCGCTTGACTCATAGCGACCCGCCTTGCGTAGGCATCGTCTCCGCTAGCGGGTACAGGAGGAGCTGGTGGGCCTGAAGGAGTTTTAGTGACTGCTGAGTTGCTCATTGCCAGACGTTTAGCATAAGCATCGTCCCCTGTCACTGCATTCGAGGCGTTTGCCATAGCCGCACGCCTGGCGTAAGCGTCGTCACCTGTCTCGAATGGTGCTGAGGGACGAGGGGCAGGTGGTGGCGGTGGTGGTGGTACAGATGGTGGAGGGGAAGGTGAACGAGGTCTGGACGAAGGGGGAGGGGAGTACTGCTTTGGAGGTGCGAACATTTTCGGAGCTGAACGGGGATTTAGTTCCAAGGTAGGTGTGGTCGACTCACCGTCCCGACGCGGCGCTTCTTCTTCCGAGCTGTCGGTATAGTAGCTCGACCCTTCGCTACTTTCCCCTGCGTCTTTCCTCCTCCTGTCTTCAATGAGCTGAGCTCGGCGTTCCTCTCGTAGTTTCTTGCGGTAGTATTGATACTCTCCAAGATCATTCGGCTTATACGGGTCGTACTGTTCCTCGGGGTCAAAAGTAGGTATGATAGGAACTTGGACGCGCTATTGATAGAGCGTCAGCAGCCGAACCCAAATAACGTTCCGAATCCCATGTGGAACCCTTCTCACCCTCTTCTTCTTCTTTTTCCTCTTCTTCCCCTCGGTATTCTGCTGATCTCTGCCTCGACTACCGTATTTCCCCTTCGCTTTCCCCTTCTTACCAGCGTTCAGAGTCATCGCTGGGGCTCGAGCCAGCGGTCGTCCATCCAGCCCAAGAACAATGACATCCTCTCTCATGGGTCCACCAGCGCTGACTCCAAAGAGCTGAGGTTCAGCAGACCGGACTATATCAGGCTTGTACGTCCTCGTCTCGGTATTTGCACCTGATCCTGAGCCCTCAGAGACTTCATCTTGACCTTGGCCATTGTACATGAGTCCACTGGCACTGCTGGTAGCTGATGGAGGTGGTCGAGAGGGAGCAGGTTTGGGCTTTGGGATTCTGGGGGCGAATTTCAATGCCGCTGATGCCTGTCCAGAGACTTTGGCAGTCTTTTCGGGTACGGTCGATGCAGTCGGAGTGGAATTGGGTACTTCAGGAGTTGGACCTGGGGCCGCGGGAAATGACTTAGCTCACAGAGTATCGGGCCCAGTTTGTATGAGCTTACCAGGTTCGTCTATTGGCTGAACCTTCGCTGCGAGAGCTGCTGTGCCAGAGCCCGCGGAAGCCAAGCCTGATTCAGCTTGTTCACCTATAGAGAATTTGATACCACCGTAGAGCGACATCTTGTCTTTTACGCCTGCTAAGGCAGGCAGCAGAAGCACCAAAGATAAGGTAGAGAGATCAACAATATGACAGCCGGTCCAGAGAATCTCGGGCAATCTGCGAGGGATTTCATAGTGGCAACCGCCGCCGGCTAGTCTACACACTGGGGTTTACAGGGGACAGGTCTGCAGGATGCATGCGCAAGTCTGACAGCATGAGGCGACTGAGTTCGTTCGCATGCATGGCAATGCATGGCATGAGACTGCAGTTGATTGAGACCTGGACGCAAAATCTACAGCTCAGCTTGAGGTTCCATCGGGAAGGTCGGGCACAGGGCGGTCCTTTGTCATATGACTCTGCAAGTGGGCAAGACCGTCGTCAGTGAGCGGTCCGACCCTGTCTCATCTACGCAGCACCCACCTTGTTGGCACGCCAGTAGATTGTCCTTCCGACTCTTTCAATCTCATCTACATCCTCTTTAAAGAGATCTGGCAACTTGTCCAAGGCGGCCAGCTTGTCAATCCTTTCTGGTGTCGCTGTCGAGGTGACTGCGATGGCGTTCTTTCCCCGGATCCAGAGTAAGAGAACAGTATGTGGGTCAATCTCTTTACCAGTCTCTTTCGAGTATTTGGCGGCGATTTTCTCCAAGACTGGCTTGAGGGGTCCACCCGTCGGATGGAGATTGAGAGGTGCTTGTGGGCTATAAGCTGCCGAGATGATATTGTGTTCCTTGTGGATCGCGAACACGGCATCGAGATGCGACATGACGTAAGGATGCATCTCGATCTCTGCAGGGGGCCGGGTTGTCAGCAGAAGCGGGCGAGACGTATTTGTTGCGCAGGCCGTGCTCACGATTCATGGTTGGTTTGATCTTGCAGTGTTTGAGGAGCTCTTCCAGGTCAACCTCTCGGAAATTGGAGACACCCAATGAGCAACCCTTCAGCGTGCCATCTTCGACCAATGACTCCAGGATGGACCAGAATTTGACAATCTTGCCCTCTTCGGGGATGAACGGATTGTGAATCAGGTAAGCATCTGGAATCAAGCCGAGTCTTTCGACAGCATCTTGAACTTGTTTCTTGACATGCTCGTGGGTAGTCTTCATCCCTGGGAGAGACGAAGATCGTCAGCTGCGAGACAGTCTTTGGGATCTCAAAGCCTCACGTTGATCCATTCCGACTGTCGTTCACAAGCGTCAGCATCTAATCTGACTCATTGGTAATGGGATGCACTCACTCTTGCTGGTGATGAACACGTCCTCTCGCTTCAAACCAGATTTTTTAAACGCTTCTCCGGTTTGAACCTCGTTACGATACACTTGAGCAGTATCAAGATGCGGTATGCCCTGTTTCAAAGCATATGCGCCTCGGTCGACCACAATCGGATTGGGTCCAAACATTCCACCTGAAGCTGTGCCCCAAGCGACGCTCGGGATCTCTTTTCCGTCATTGAGCTTGATTGTCCTAACCATACTGAGAGAAAAAAGGTCACAACTATAGGGGATTTGATACACGGCTTGGATAATCGATCGAAACGTATGGCAAAGTATATGCAACCATTCGTCTGACCTCCACTCGAACGTCACCGTTTCCCCCATTCTGCCCCCCACCTCCACTTTTCCCGAGGATACACCGGGTCTGTCGGGTCGCGGGCCGTCAATCAAGTCACCGGATGATCGTCGCGATGCAATGCTTCATATACTGCTGTATGCAGGACATAGTTGACTCATGTGAGCCGAGCTGTACCGGGACATCTTGCCGCGGCAGTCCTTAGCAGGTCCATGATGGCAAAAACCTTGCAGATACACTCAGCTACAAGCGAGATCCTTGCAGCTTCTCTTCGACTATGTACGATGACCGCTGCACTCACGTGTTGGAGTACACTTGGAATCCTGGAACACGATATGTCCCATGATAGGGCCAACGCCAATAGTCCAAACGTCTGAATTTCTGGATCCTCCCCCATCCAATGACTCCCGACAGCAGTCTCTCACGGAACCAGGCAGGTAAGACAAGGCGGCATACGTCCCTGAGGCGAGGACCACGTAGGGCATGGCTGCAAGAGCTAATGGGATCGCTCCATCTTGAATCGCCTCGCTGCAAGTAGACAGCTTGCCAGTGATCGAAGCTCTGAGGCTTCCACAACTGGCCGAGGCGTCATGGGCCCTGTCAACGATCCAGCCCCTCAAGCTTTGGCATCCGGAAGAGACGCGGTCCCGACAGGACAGGCGAGATCGTCTCTCGATTTTGCCGGAGGAAAGGGTTCCGTAAGTCGGCTCAGGCTCGCACGGGTCAAAGCCAAACAGTGGTGCTGCCTTCTCCACGTCTATGTCTGTCTGCTCGGTCCTCGACGAGATGAGACTTCTCAGGGTCCTAAAAATCCCACCTTTCGACGATGTCGCTTGTGTGTCTCGCGACGATGCCGAGTGTCCTCCAGAGGTGGCTGCGACATATTTCTCGATGTCACAGAGGTCGTCTTGGCTTCCGGCGTACATATCGATAGGTGGCAATACGATAGGTCTGTGAGCAAGGGTAGCTCCATGTCAGCGTTTTTATAGCCGAATGAAGTCTGTGTGAGGCTAGCATACTTCCGTGAAAGGATGGAGCCGCGTCAACCGAGCTGGCTGATACTCTGACGTTTCATACATGGGACAAATAGGCGATTCACAGAAAGAAAGGAGCACTTGACATTCGACGGCTCGCTGCTCGTCGTCCTTTGTCTTTCGGGCATGACTAATGTATGTCTTTTCGATGTCATTCGGCGTCACATCAGACGCAGCGAACGCTGATCCTCATGAAATTGGAGACGAGGTATGCACCGATGCACCGATTCAAGCCAATTGGCTTGTAAGCAGCGGGCACGCGCAGCGTACTGACAGAACCAGCTGTAGTCTTTCGACGGACCGAGGCTATATCCAAGCGAGAGGGGCACCAATATCCTCGACGCCACCAGCTAGGGTCCCTCCACTTGACGCGCGTCCAGCCAAAAATGTGAATAGTAGATAACGCGTGTCGCATAGATAGATACAGGATATACGATCCCGGAGTAGAGCTATTGCCCTCGTTGTGGCCGGCTTCGCTCGAGTCAAAGACCCGTCTGAAGCCGTGAGACCCCTCTGTAATACCCAGGAGGCCATTCTTCGAATCATCACTCACTGTTTGACGCGCAATAATCGGCGGTGAACAACACCATCATGTTCTACACCGCCGATTCTGCAAACTTCGAACCCCCCTCGCCCCAGATCCCTCGGCTGTTACTAGCAGGTCCCCCCCGAAATGCGAACAAGCACCAGATACCGACCCCTCCCCTGAATTCAGAAGCCTTTCTGGTGACTGAAATCCGACTCCAGGACCTGAGATGGGATCTGTATATGCTCGTGGAAGATGTCAGCGGAGTACCCAATTGGGATCAAGAGCTGTATGAGTACTTTGCCATGCACATGCAAGATTGGACTCGCGAGATCCGGTTCTATATCAAGCGGACGACCCGATTATCTTCCAAGATGGAAGCCCTCGTGACGTTGACATACATGTACCAGCTCCTCTCGACCACTGGAAATCAATCGATGCTGTTCTGGATCAAGGAACATGATCAGGTTGGATCGTGGATATACGAGGCATTCATCGCCATTGCCAGTCGACTGAGAGATCAAGAATGGCATCAATGGCAGGCAGAGTATCCTGAGCTGTGGCACGTCGTCAACACAATACGACTCGGTCAAGATGGACCCCTGATCGAACACTTGTATCTGAACAAACCTGGACTGAAGACCAAAGAGACACGAGGATAGCGTTATCTAGCAGAAAGGTTCCCGGTTTATTACGAGCAGCAAATGTACCAGAAGGCGTTGGAGTCGGAGGCGCAGTATGTCGGAACGCATCAGGTGCTCTTCGGTGGAGCTTGAGCCAGGGTTGTAAGGGACCTCTGCTCAGTCAGTCGCTCAGTCAGTCTAGCAAGTGTGTATGACTAGTATGGCAACGGCGTTGAGCGCCGTGTGTATCTGAATAATAATGTATATGACCTTGGTTTCGGTTACTCGGACCGCTCGTTTCATTTTCAGATCATTCTTGATGGTTGTCTATACTCTCAACTTTCACTTGATATCACCGCGTTCTGGAGATTGCCAGATGTGATCCACGCATATGGCCATGTCACGAGATGACACCAAAAGATACCCTTACTTGCTGGCGGCTGCGACGGTCCAGTCCAGCCCATCGACTGGTACTTCAGGTGCAAATCAACTGGAGGAGGATGTAGACATGGATGATGAGCGAGTGGATGCTCACGCCCGCCCGGGTCTCGCGAGACCAACGTATCTGGCGATAGACACGAACATCTTTCTGGACAAATTACGGCTGGTGAAAGCGCTGCACACGTTTTTGAGCACGACTCTGGCGGGATGTATATTGGTACCTAGCGCCGTGATCAATGGTTAGTGGGGTCCCTTGGTCTCTCGCTGACAACATGACAGAGTTGGATAGTCTATCCAAATCAGACATCGTAGCTGGAGTATCGCCAGAAGGCGATGTACACCTATCCGACTTGGCTAGGGTTGCGACAGCTTGGTTGCTACAAGTCGCCCGAAAACCTAAAGAAGAGAGGGTGATCAGGTGTCAAAAGTGGTCCGAACGGCTAGACACAGAGGTAGACTACGGTCAGGCGAATCAAGCTAATGCTCGCAGCTAAGGAAAGGAGACGACAAGATACTCGATTGTTGTTTGTTCTTTGCCAGAGAGGCAAAGGTCTCGCTATGGACGAATGATCAGAATCTCTCCTTACTCGTGAGCTCAGTCGTCCGACACGTCTCAAGGTCCTTCAGGCGGAAACAAACGATGTTTGTACTATTGGCGGGCACGACGTCTCATTGCTCAGAATTGTCGAATCTTTTGGCGATCTCCAAGTAGGCGCTCCGACGGATCTCATTCGTCAGCTAGATCAAGAGGCGAGAGAAGCGTCTATCCTCCCGAAAGCTTTACCTGGGGAGGTAGATCCCAGGGACTCAATGGAGCTCGATGTTGACCTGATACTGGTGAAAAAGCCATCGACCTGGAAAAATGTTCAAGTAGCTGACCTTTTGACCCAGTCTGACATGCCTCGAGACCATCGACACGGTCCAACGATGTATACGCTCGGCCTAACATCAAGGGACTCGCCCATGTCCCGACCCTCTCGGTCTTCCTCATCTTCGCCAAGCAAGAAACCTACTCGATCATTCTTCCGAGATGACCCCTCGCCATCCGTCTACGAAGATTCTCTCGTACCTCCTGCCCACATGCCCCGCAGACTGACACCTCAGCTCGACTCGGCGTTTCGGCACGCTTTCCGACCCTTCTCCAGCACTCTTCCTGACCCGACGGAGCCGACGTCCGACCCTATCCGACTCGTTCGCGACTTGGTGGATCGACTCGACTCGCTTGAACAAAATGTTTCAACTCGGATCAACATTGGAGATCCAGACATGATGGACGATTACAAACGACTGCTTCAATGTATCTCTGGATCTCGCGATATTCTTCTCTTTCTCACCCCCGCCTCTGCTCGCTCAACCAGAAGGATCCGACCTGGCGAAGTCTGCTCAGCTTTGATTATCCTGGCCGATAATCTCCAACGTCTAGTTGGTGAAGGGGATCCAAAGGCCTTACTAGATCTGTCCGCACTTGTTCGCACGGTAGAGAGCTAGCACTTGTATACTATAGCAGAAACGTCATCAATGCATAAACACAACCTTCCGAAACCAAGGTCTATAATCATACAATGAGGTGCTAGCCTCTTTTCGTGTCTATGTATGCCTTGCTTCTCAGGCTAGGATGCAGCTGGGACACATGTCAGAATATCTTCATCCGCTTTTCACTCACAATTTGCTCGTGCAGGGCCTTTCCAGCCGGAACCATGGGGTAAACATGCTCGCTTGAGACAATGCACTCCATGACGATGGGTCGTGTCCCATCGTATTCGAGGAATTCTTTCATCATGACGGGGAGTTCTTCCTTGGTCATGCAGCGCATTCCCTTGGCTCCCATTGACTCGGCGAGCTTCACAAAGTCTGGGTTATGCATCTTGGTGTGAGAGTAACGGTTCTCGTAGAACAGGTCTGGAGTCAGCACTGCTCGTGCCCATGAGACTCACCTTGCCATTGTTCGACCATACCCTGGAACTCGTTGTTAAAGAGCAGCACTTTGACTCCAATGTTGTATTGATTGGCAGTCGCCAGTTCCATGGCTGTCATGGAGAATGACGCATCGCCATCAACGTCGACGACAATCTTCTCAGGAGCGGCAACCTTGGCACCAATGGCAGAGGGGAGACCGAAGCCCATGGTCTGGACATGTGTCAACACAGCTTGGCAACTAGGACTCACTCCTAGACCTCCGGAAGAAACCCATGATCTCGGCTCCGTCCAACGGTAGTATTGGCAGGCCCACATCTGATGCTGACCGACTCCAGTAGCGATGACGACGTTCTCCTCTGCATCGGGGTCAGCGACGCGCGTTTCACGATGCATGACTCACTGCCCATAACTTCAGCCTGGTCGTTCAACTCCTTCATGACCTCTTGAGGCTTGAGTTTGGCGCCGTTCTCGCTGGCAGCGTAGGTGAAGGGGTACTTCTTCTTGTTCGTTTTGCACCTCTCCAGCCAAGCGGTTCGATCGACGTCAGTCGTGAGTTGCGGAACGAGCTCAGCCAACGAAGCGACGACATCACCGAGGATGGGAATGTCGGCCTCGATGACTTTGTTGATGTTCTTGGGCTGAATCTCAAAGTGGATGATTCCGCCACGACCTTCTAGAGCAGCAGCGCGGGCCGTCGGCGCGAAAGCTAGACGTGAGCTGGGTCTCACACAGGGACTCACTGTCTGGTTTTCCGGTGACACGGTCATCAAATCGTGCTCCGAGAGCAATGATGACATCAGCCTCTTGGATCGCAAAGTTGGCGTAAGCTGATCCGTGCATTCCGAGCATGTGAAGCGACTTGTCGTCTCGCTCATCAAAGGCTCCAAGACCCTGCAGAGTGGTTGTGACAGGAATGTTTCCGATGTCGGAGAGCTGCTTGAGCAGCGCAGGACCTTCAGGCGAGGCCAAGACACCCGCTCCAGCATAGACGATGGGTCGCTTGGCACCGTTGATCAGCTTGGCGGCTTCGGCGATGAGAGAGGCCTCTCCTGGCTGAGGCGCCGTTGCGGTGACGGGATTGAGGGGACTGGAAGGGAGGTAAGGGGAAGATCCTGGTTGGATGGATTTGGCAGGGATAGGTTTACGCAAAATGGCGGCCGTGATGTCCTTGGGAAGATCGACAAGGACGGGTCCGGGTCGACCTGTCGTGGCAATCTTGAAAGCCTCATTTATCCTTCTCGGGATCTCCTCCACGCTCTTCACCATGACATTCCATTTTGTACAACTCCTAGAGATTCCAATGACGTCGGCTTCCTGGAAAGCGTCAGACCCGATGAGGTTGGTAGCGACCTGACCACTGAACACGACCATCGGTACACCGTCAGACAGGGCGTCCTGCATCGGAGTGATGACATTTGTGGCTCCTGGTCCAGACGTGACGAGAACGACACCGGGTTTGCCTGATACTCGAGCGTATCCCTCTGCCATGTGTCCTGCACCTTGCTCATGACGGGGAAGGACGAAATCAAAGTGGGGTGAGTTGTAAATGGCATCGAAAACTGGGAGAATGGCGCCTCCGGGATACCCAAAGACCTTTTTCACATCGTGTCGCATAAGCATTTGGTGGAAGATTTGACCACCAGAGAGGCCGATAAAACTGGGGTGTTCAGCGTTGTACGAAAGGGGCTCCTACTCACGAATGGTCCATGCCATCTCTGACATTCTCCAGAGGGTTATCAGATCGAGGAGCAGGAGATGGGAGTGGTGTCTGGAAGTGAGGTGCAGCTTGTGGTCTGACTGCGGCTGATGCACTAGAACCAGAAGAGCTCTGCAGCTGTCTCACATGCTTCTGCACGCGGGCCTTGGCTTCGAGAGTTATACCGCGGTCAGCTTGGGCAGTGGTGTGTAAGGACGAGGCACGCGGGAGGCGAGGCAGGGAATGGAGGAGTCTAGCTGGACGTGGCAGCATCTTGGGCGAAGGCGAGACTGCTAAGATAGTATGCGGGTTCGTCGTCGCTTGAGATCGAGGTCCCAAGAAAATGGTCGACTCGACGGAAACTTTGCCTCCACACGCGGAAGCAATTACCAGCCTGCTAGCATACCGCCCAAAACGCCGGACCACGTGGTAAGTCTCTGATGTGGCACCCGACCATCCGGGCCGAACGGTGGAAGTGGAGGTCATATTGTATGACCATCCCACCCTCTCTTAAGGTGTACTCCCTCCTCTCGTGCTGAGGCCAACTTGCAGACATAAATCTGTTCATCCCATACGTATGTCCAGACGGATCAGTCAGATTGTGGCGGCTCGTCTTGCATCTCGGCTGTCACCTAACACTCGCTTCGCCAGGTCCATGACAACATCTACTACCGGTGCGCCAGGCGCAGTATCTGCCGCCGCTCAATCCAAGCGGGATCAGCCTGATCCTGTGGACTTCAAGCCCAAGAGCAATCCGGGGTTTATCCTCCATGGCAAACTGTCCACGAGCTTTGAAGAGGTGGGCGTTTGCGCTTGGCTCTTAGCTGACTTGCAGCTGCCCGTGCCTGAGGTGGGACCCGATGAGGCTCTCATCGAGGTGAGGAAGACGGTGAGTGGATGGGTTGGAGGGGACTGAATGGTGCAGGGAATTTGTGGCTCCGATGTTCATTGTGAGCTATATGCTGGGTCTCGCAAGATATATGCTGGACCTCGCTAACGCACGCAGTTTACAACAGCGGCAGACTGGGTCATGTACATGTCTGCGGTCCGATGTGCCTTGGACACGAATCTGCTGGGATTATCGTTCAGCTCGGGTCGAATCTGGCTGCTCAGGCTGAAAAGGTCAAAGAGATGGCGAAAGGAGGTGATCGAGGGACCGGAACCGCTGCAGTCGGGAAGCGAGCCTTGATGCTGGGGGATCACGTAGCTCTCGAGCCGGGGGTCACTTGTCGGATGTGCGATGACTGCCGAGGGGGACGATACAATGTGAGACGGGTTTTGGAGGTCATAAATTGACGGCAGATCTGCGAGCACATGGCGTTCGCTGCGTATCCTCCGTTTGACGGGACGCTACAGAGATATTACAAATTGTGCGAAGCATTCATTGGATCACGCTGACTACAGACCCGCGGACACGTTGTATCCTCTGCCCCAATCGGTCGCGCTGGAGTACGGCGCCATGATGGAGCCTCTCTCCGTTTCTGTTCATTCACTCGCCAACGTCGGCAAGGTCAGAGCCGGGAACACTGTCTTGATCTTTGGTGCTGGGCCCGTTGGACTCTTGGCAATGGCAGTCGCCAAAGGTCTCGGAGCGGCCAAGATCATCGCGGTGGATATCAATGAGGAAAGGTTGAACTTTGCCAAGGGATACGCAGCGACGCATATCTGGATCCCAGTGAGTCAATCTGCCATGTGACGCTCATGCGAGCGACGCAGGGGAAGCCAAAGGAAGGGGAGAGCAAGCCAGAATACAGTCTCCGATCTGCAAAAGAGCTGCTGCTCGCGACCGGTACCCCGATACGAGGCCCAGGAGCCATCGATGTAGGGATGGATGCGACGGGAGCGGAGACCTGTATTCAGACAGGCATCAATGCCATCAGGCCGGGGTGGGGTCAAGTCCATGTGAAATCTCGCTGACTTTTAGCGGCACGTTTGTCCAGACTGGACATGGCAATCCCGACATTCAAGTGCCGATTTCACGAATCATCACAGAGGAATTGAGTCTGAGAGGATCATGGCGTTACTCGCATGGCGATTAGTGAGGCGAAGCCATGTATTCAAGGCTGACAGCAGTCCTATGGCGATCGACCTCGTTGCGAGAGGCTTGATCGACCTCAAGCCTTTGTTGACTCATACCTTCAAGTTTGAGGATGCTCTCGAAGCCTTTGAGATTACGAAGAATGGCAAGGACAAGGATGGCAAGTTTGTGATCAAGTGTGTCATCGACGGGCCAGAGTGAGCGGGAAAGGCGGGGCAGGCGGTGGGTGTCAGAGTCTTCAGTTGAGATGCCGATGGGTACGAGTTCCAGACGTAATGCATGCAGTTGCTGTTCAGGGTTGTGGAACAACCAATATATACTGCAACAGTTTCAGGAGCATAAGAGGTGAAGGATCTGAGCCATCGCCAACCATTGGCTCTTGTTCGACGCTTCATCTGCTCGTGATGAGGTTCATGGCGAGCGCTGAAGGCGGGAAAGGTCTCGAGCGCGTTGGCGGCGGAGCCACATGAGTCGTTGCAGATGAATCATCAGTGCAAAATGATTGCCTCTTATTCGATACTCCGTCATGTGATCATGGAGGGGCGCTGACGGCGGAGTAGGTGACAACGGCGCTGGAGGCGGAGCCACAGTGGTCGATGTATATAAGTCGTCTTCTCGATTTTTCCTCCCTTGTTTTCTTCTTGACCTCTGCCGCAGACATTGTTGCTCAAATAAGACACCGTTAGTTCCGAGGAGTCGGCTGCCCTCGCCTCGTTGATACCACCCACGTAATCTACTATGTCCCCTTCGAGACGTACCGAGTATTCGCTGGGTGAGCGGAACCCCAAATATTCGTCTGACCCAGTGATCATGCGATGCACAAGGAGCTTCGACCCCGCTCCCCAGTCCCAATGTCTCCCTCTGTGCTAGCCAACTTTTTGTATAAGGGTTGAGCGCCAGCCTGGCGATGGGCTAGGAGGGTCAGTAAGGGGCTCGGACGAGCCTTGACCTGACCGGCGAAAGCGAGGACACCTGCGAGGCGAACAATGGTCGCTGGCGTTTGTGCCACGTTGGCCTTCGAAAGACACACATCTCTCCGAATAGCCCATTTTTTTGTCATCATCCCGACTTGGCGGCTTTTCGTAGGTCCGCCGCGGTACCTCTCGCACCCGTCGCTCTCCCGGCCGACCGACGGCCTCGTGGTCTCCTTGCATTCTTATACTGCCGTTGGATCATTAGATCTCCGGACGAGTATGTCGATCTCAGGATAGTCCCGTTTCATCGCGACGGTCTTCCCCCCGAAACTGCGCGAGGCGTCAATTTCGGACCTGGCATAAAAACCTTGTCGAGGTGGCTGCTTCGACGGTAGACGGTGGAATCAAAGTATGCCATCGCCAGCCATATGGGGCTGTATGCATCCAAGTGGTGCATGGAGATGTATCACCCAACCTGATATCTAACCCTCTAGCTCAGCCCTCTTGTCCCCTTGCTGGATGACTCCCCTTGCTAGAGCCCCCGGCGTTCATTTGACGCTACAACGGCCTAACCCCCCACCCCCCACCTTTCGGCCGTGACGCGACGCGACTGGTTTTCTGGAGGCTTCGTGTTTGAAAAATTGTTCAAAAATCATTGAGATTTCCTCAGGTCCGAATAACCCGAGGCAGGTTTTGACAAGGAAATCAAAAAAAACGGGGATGGAGGTGTCGGGATGATCTACCACATAGGTTGGTACAAACAGCGTGAGCGTGAGCATGGCGTGCATGCTCTCTCATATGAGGTCAGCACGATGTCACGCTTCGTCGGCCGGGTCCAGAGCGGCGACGCGAGGGCAACAGCTTGAATGCCTCCCGGTGTGCCAGGACTAGTGTATCTTGCTTGCTCTGTGTTGGCCAAGCAATGACCCAACGATCAATTTCTCTGCCAACGACGCGCCGAATACTGACTATCGCCCCGTCTTCGACGTGTACTCGGCGACGTTGCTCCTTTTTCCCACGCAAGACATCGCAGGTCCGTTCAAACTCAAAAAAATAATGGGCTCTTGAGCCCAACGGCGCCACCACCCGCGGACCGTCTCAGCTATACGTTTGGACTCGATCGAGGCTCTATGATGATGATGATGATAGGTTGGGATATGGCCTTGAGAAATTTCAGAGGAGGATTATGATGGATAATTTCAGCCAAATTGCAACGACAGGTTGGAGGGCGAAACTGTAAAATTGCGGGGAGGATGACAAGCCTCTGACACGTTTAGGCGAGGACCGCTTTTTTTTGTATGTATGTAACCCGGGGATTTCTTTGCCCTCGTTTTTTTTTGGGTTTCGTTGGCAGCTTTGTAGAGCGAGCTGGTGTCGAGACAGGAGACGGACCCATCGCGTGTGTAGATTCATGGTGTCTCTTTGTTCATCGTCACTCATACAGCTCATCGTCGCATAGCATCTCGGTGAGTAAAAGTGATGCACCAATACACCACATCGTGTTGAATCTCGGTGAGTATGAACTATCCTCGGCGAAGAGCTACCTACCTACCTACACCCGTTCTCCCTCAGGGTCAGTCAGGTCTGACCTGTTCTGTGTCCCATTTTTTCTCTCTCTCTCTCTATCCACATCTTCTCATCCTCTTGACTCCTTCGGTCGCTGACTCGTGCTGTGGCCAGACTGGAATCGTGCTTAAGAGTCTCGACCACACCCACTCACCCCCTGCTCGCTCCTGTCTCAGATACGCTCATCGCACTGGACAGACGCTGGCGCTGATAGTCCACACTGAAAAGGTACGCCTTCACATCCTAGCCCTCTTTCGACGTTTCACCAGTTCAACGAATGACTCACCACGATCTCCCAAATCACGTTGCTTGACTTGTCGCCCCCCCGGGTACCTCGACCAACAGCTTGTCCGTGTCTCGCTTGTTCTCCTCGCACCCTTGTCATTTGATCACGAGGACAGCCTTTTCCCGGTAAGTCCTCAGACCCGGACCTGCATCCAATCTATCGAGCCAATTGAGCGAAACTGTTCAAACGCTACACCATCTCTACCTCTCTCCTCCATCTCTTTATCTCTTCATCTCTTCATCTCTCCATCTCTCCATCTCTCCATCTCTCCATCTATCCATCTATCCATCTGTCCATCTATCCATCTATCCATCTCTCCATCTCTCCATCTCTCCTTCTCTCCATCTCTCCATCTCTCATTCGCACCACACCCTTTTGTCCCCGGCTAACCATGAGGGACCCAGATAATACGTTCTTGACCGACGGGACGGTTTCGCCGCTCACCTCTCCTGACATGGGCACTCTCTACGCCCAGACGCAGGGGCAAGGGATGACCACCTACCCCCCTCGTCTCACCTCGCCGACGATTTCCACTCACCTTCTGCCTTTCTCACCTCGGATGTCTATGCCCCGTCGTCCGACAATACCGAGTACACTGCACCAAGCATGGAGGCGTACACCTTTTATCCTCCCCACGAACCGCCTCCAAGCTTTGACGATCAGACCCCCGTCGTAACCAACAATCAACCCCAAATCCCTCCTTCGACATTTCCAGCACCTCCCGATTCTCTCCTCTCACCCTTCAGACCCGAACCGTACATGCAGCAGTTCCAACCTATGTACTCCACCCAACCTGTCTACCCCCCGTTCTTCCTCCCGAGTCAGGAGGGATCGCCCACAAGTGTTCCCTCTGCAGGGTCATCACCAAAACCCACCCCTGTCCAGGTCAAACCACCCCGAGCAAAGGTCAAATTGACCCATGAAGACAAACACAATATCGTCCTCCTTTCGAGGTCCAACAGCTCCTTGCGTCAAGAGGATATCGCGAGGCAGTTTGGGTGAGTATGACCTCACAATTCGCCGCTGATGCATCTAGCGTCGATCGCAGCACGATCAGCAAAATCATCCTCGCCGCTGACCGATGGCAGCAGCCTGCTCAGCCGCACGCGCCCCCTCCACCCAAGGCAGGCAAATCTGGCAATGGCCGATTCCCTGGCGTCGAGGTCCTGTTACACAATTGGATGGACGTGGAAATTGCAGCCGGACGAGATGTCCGCGACCTGGTTGCCCGGGAAAAAGCAAAAGAGTTTGGCAGATGCATGGGCATCGGCGAAGACAGGTTCAAGGCTTCATCCAAGTGGATCGAAAAGGTGGGGGTGTCAACATCGTGAAAGAACCCGAACTGATCATTTTTCCTCCAGTTCAAAGAGCGCCGTAAGGCCGCTGGAAGGCCGCTCAGCTCGCCAAATGGTGCCTTTGAGACCTACCAGCCCCTCCCCTACGCCGATCCATCGACCATGTGGGCACCACCCGTCATCTCTCGATCTGGATCGACGACAACGTTTGCATCCTCTGATTCGAGTCAAGACATGTACCAACCTTCGCCAACGTCACTTACCTACATGCCCACCCCAGAAATCATCACGCCCAATCGAATCGGTCATCTCAACACGACGCCCGGTCGCGTCAGGAGCCAGTCTTCACCCCAGCTCCCTCTGGGAAGCCCCAGCTCTGGTAAAGCCGAGAGCAAGCACGCTCGCCCTTCCCCATACTCGCTTCAACGTCAAAACTCGTACCACGGGACGTCGCCCTCACCTCATCGACCAACACTCCTGACCCGAGCCAATACATCTCAAATCCCCCTCAGTCGTCGAGCACGCCCTACCAGTCTTGCGGCATCGGCCTTTGGCATCACCCCTATCATCGGTGATGTATCCCCCCTTACCTCTCCCACTCGCTCCCGCCAGCAATCCGATGTCTCTCTCGGGCCCTTCACTTCGTCCCTTGGAGGTATGACGATATCGCCCGCCATGTCTGATGGCTCGGAACACATGGTGATGCCTCTCGGCGTCCCTCCGCTCACGCCGGCCGCTCCTTTGGGCACCGCCACGTTCTCCTCCAACTCGAACGAGTATACCGAGACGCAGTATCACGTCCAAGCTCAGGCTCAGGCGTATCCAAAACAGTACGAACAGCCTCAGTACATCTACACTCAAGACATGACCTACGCCAACCAGCAGTCAAACTTGCAATAGGTTCAATCAATGTTTCCCTACATCACCGTAAATTGACCACGAGCATCTATATCCACTCTCCATCTACTGTATCAAAACAAACCAACTCAACACAATCCCTCTTTTGTTTCTTTTTGGGACTTTTATTTTGACGCTCCAATGACGACCCACACCTTGGTCCTGCGAGACGACCACCAACGTCAATCACTCTTTGGGCTCTTTTCTTTTGAGATCACAACAATTAGACGAGATGAAATCAGACGAATGTATCAACATACCCTGAGCCTGGATGTGTATCGATGCTACGGCTACAATGGGCGGCTCTTCAGCCACTCCGCTAACGATTCAGCTACAACCCTTGAATGTTCCAGGGCTTGATCCGTCAGCCGGCCCCGATGGTAGACCACTCACTCAGGCAGAAAGCGTGAGGGACCTTGTGCAGGACTTTGACTCGACCCCCATGAGGCCCGCCAAGTGCATCCTGGACCATTCGTCCCTCTCGACCGACCGACCCGTCCAATGACCCAGCTGACCAAATGCCATACACCCCTCGGACTGCCTGGGAGGTCTCTGTTGAGTCTGCGCTTTCGTACATCGCCTGTTCAGAAAACCATCCGAGGTCAGGATCTCTGATCACCTCCATCTCAGACACGCTGAGGTCCAAGCAGTGCCTTATGGTTATCGGTGACCGCAGGAGTGTCAGCGTCGTCGGCGGAAACGTCGTGAGGGGTAAGATGGGGCCTAGTAATGGCGCCAGGGTCGGTAATAACTGTCTCGTCGGCCAGCGGAAGATTGGCTAGAGGCAGTGAGCCAGGTGAACATGTCAATTGCACCCACCCACAATGTCCGTCCGTTCCAAGTCTCTGAAATCCACCCGACCGTCGGAAACAGCAAAAAGACTGCATCCAGAAGCTCTGGGAGCCTCTTTTTGACTTGACAGCTCAACCAAGCGCCAACCGAATGACCTATCAAGGACAATCTAGGCTTCTCAACTCCTTCCTTGAGTGCCCAGGCTGAGAGATGAGCCGATAAGCTCTGAACCAGCTCGACTTTGGACGCTAATTGCCCATCGAGGTCCAGGGGAATATCAGGGGCTTTCAAGTAAGGGGAGTGACCGATGTTTGAGGTGGATAGAATCGCATGGGTCGGAGGAAGTATGGAGTGTAGGTGTGACAGGAACGGCGGATAGTAGCCTAACAAGCCGGGATTGCCTATCATAAGCTGATGCGGTAAAGGGCGCTCACCCAATATGAACACGAGCAGGTGCTCTGGCGGCTGAGTCTTGCCATCTCGACGTGACCAGTATTGTACCGCTACCTCTGCTTTGAGAGGAACATGGTGACGAAAGACGTATTCTTGACCCTGCACTGGCTCAAGGGGTAACAGGAATTCCAGCCGATCGTCCATCATATATCTCGTCGCAGGAAGACTGGAGGATTTTGCGGTAGGAGTACCAGTGAGGTCATTTCACCTGGCCGGCTAATAAAATGACCCCTGCTCCCTTCTACATCATCCACTAGCCATACTCCATGTCAACGCTCCTCCGATGGACAAAGATTCCAGCCGAAGTGCTGCCCCGGTCCTCTCATTCCATCTCCGTGATCCAGAATTCAGCCTACATCTTTGGCGGGTGAGTTGGGGCGTGCTAAAGCTATCACCGTCCTAACCAATCATCAGTGAGATCCAGCCTCGTCAGCCTTGCGACAATGTCGTCCATAAGATTGGCATCCAGGACGGCAAGTACGAGGAGGTCCCCGGATCTGGCGACATTCCACCACCTCGCGTTGGACACGTTGCAGCTACAGTCTCTAATCAGATCTACGTTTTCGGCGGGGTGAGTGGTTCCCTGGCGGGTAGTCACTTAACCTCAATAGAGAGGAGGAAAAGCAATGACCCCTCTGGAAGAACAAGGAGCAGTCTACAACTTTGACCCCTCGACCTCTTCTTGGTCCCTGCTCAAGCCTACCTCCTCGAGCTTCCCCCAAGCTCGATCCTACCACTGTGCGACGTCCACTTCGACTCATCTCATCATTCACGGTGGATGTGGAGGAGCAGCCTCAGGTAGCAGGTTCAAGGATCTCTGGGCATTCGACGTCTCGTCCAGAGCATGGACCCAATTGCCGGATGCTCCTGGAGACCCAAGAGGAGGAAGTGCCATAGCCCATGCCGCCGGCAAGATCTGGCGGTTCGGAGGGTACAACGGCAAGACAGAAGTCGGAGGCGAGATTGATGTGATCGAGTTGAGCTTGACATCTGGCTCCTTGTCTACTGCACAGTGGGAGACGAGACCATTTCCCAAGGAATCAGTGGATGGACCAGCGGGGCCTGGGTCGCGATCTGTCTGTGCGTTATTAGCCCTGGAGAAATCGTCCAAACTCGTCACGTTCCTCGGCGAAGGCAATCCGTCACCCACGGGTGGACACGATGCAGCTGGAAACTTTTATGCTGATGTCTGGACTTATGACCCGAGCAACAACCGATGGGACGAGGTCAGGGTAGACAGGACAGGTGGCAATCCCGGAGAGCGCGGTTGGTTCGCCGCTACCGCTTCAGATGTCGGCCCAGTCCTGTGGGGTGGTATCGACGGCAACAATGACAGGCTAGGGGACGGATATATACTTTGTGAAGCGTAGAGCTGCACGAGTCCGCTCAGCCATGAACTGTACCCCATCTGCTACTGCAGCGTGACGCATCCTATACATATACTAATAAACCGCAAATGCGTGCCTTCAACCTGACTCCCATATCTATGAGAGCTCGTATGTTGGTCTCGCCTTTTCGTCGAGTTGCTCGGCATTCTTCTGGTCACCATCGGCGTATTCGATTTCGGTAGGAACGAATTTTCCATCTCCTGCAGCGGCCTCGTCCTGAACTCTGACGTGTGAAAACTTCCTAGCGGAGATCTTGTTTCCGAACAAGATGTCAAGTTCCGCATAAGACAGGTTGCGGGTCTCAGGGAGACAGAAGTAACACCAAATGGTGACAGTGACGTTGAAGGCCAACCAGAAGAAGGCGGCTTTGGGACCCCAGTTCCATGCTGTATCGGATACCATTCGAGGGGTCAATTGAGCAGTGGCATTGTAGACAATGCTATGGTAGGGGTCAGTGGAAGTGATCCAACAAGCAACAGTCTGACTCACTTGTAGAACGCACGTCCCCAAGCGACAGTTCGTACCCTCAACATGGTCGCAGGGATCTCAGGAGCAAACGTGTAGGTCAAAGGTCCGACAGATGCGTGGTAAACGAGGTTGATCACTGCGCAGCAAGCTCCGATACCGTTCCTCGTGGCTTTGGTTTCTGGAATACAACCAAAGATTCCAATGAGGAGAAGCATGAGGCCGAGGATCACGAGTCCGGCGATCATCAAAGGTCGACGTCCAAGTCGTCTGATGATGAAGAATTCGAGGAAACACCCAACCAAGTTGAGCGAAGCAATCCCAAGATTGAAGTTGAAAGCGGTTTTGGTCTTCATTCCCGCAGCCTCAAAGACTGGCAGCACGAGTTCAGCTCGAGATGCTCAAAGTGCTCGCGTGAGACTCACATTGTACTGCGTAAGCTGTCATGGCTGTACCGGAGAAAACGGGCACACAGCCAAACACGCCCATGACGATCAATGTTCGTCGCCTGTTGGTTCCTCTCCACATCTCCCAGAAGCTCGATGATTTCGCCTCGGTTCGCTCAATGTCGTCCGTGTGCTTGATGACAGCCACATATGCGTCAATGTTTCGAGAGTCCCAGTAGCCAGGTCGAGCAACGCGAGTGAGCACTTGCTTTGCTTCGTCGACTCTGCCTTGTCGGACGAGCCAGTATGGGGATTCGGGTGCAAAGTAGGCGAGAGGAAGGAGAAGGCATGGCCAGAGCCACTGGATCGTCAGCCATGTCATCAGATTCTCCTCTCACCTGTACGCAGTAGCCCATTCGCCATCCCCATTGGGATTGAACATCGAGCGCAGCTCGGTTCACACCAGAGGCAATGAAAGATCCTGAACCCCAGCAGAAAGAGATGAAACCCATGGCGTATCCTCGGAGCTGGATCGGACAGACCTCGGCGGCATAAGAAGCGGAGAGAGTGTCTACCAAAGTCAGTCGTTATCCTGACCCATGGTAAGCTCACTGAAGATTCCCCATGCAATAGCACTGACAGCCTCAGCAACGAGGAGCATTGGCAAGTTTTGGGCAAAGGCGAAGAGTGGCACACAGCAGAAAGCGAAAGCCATTCCACCCATGTAAGTCTTTCGACTACCGTATCGCTCTTGTGCCCATCCACAAATGTAGAGACCAAGGAAACCACCGGGGAGACCACACAGCTGAAGACCAGTTTGCCAATTGACATCGATTTTCTTCACGATTTTCCCTTTGACCAGAGCGTCGTGGCCAAAGTAGTCGAGAAAGGAGGGAAGACCAAAGTATGCGTTAGACACGGCACCATCGTATCCTGCCCACGTCAGAATTCCATCTACATTTTTCCCTCACCATCCATAATCAGGGCTACGGACAACCCCATCGACCATAGCACTGCCCTCCAGTGTTGTCGGAAAGCTTGTCTAAAGTGTGCCTGCTTCTCAGCCCCGATGAGCTGGAATCCTTCTGCCAGCAGGTAAGGGTCGACCTCGGTCAGGCCCTCTGCCTGGAACGCGGCGAGTCCAACAGTCTTCTGCTCAGTCTGAGCCATGATGCGTGTGTGTGTGTGCGTACACTAGAATCAATCCAGTGATGAAAGGGGTCCACGGGGTAAATAGTCAAAACACATGCCAAACTTTTTATGTAGTCTCCACATGCTCCATCTAGACCGGAACCTGGACCGAGGCATCCGTACATCTTTTTCCCGAGAATCCAGCGCATACCTTCCACCTGGGTGACGGGTGAGAGATAATTACGGGAGATCTGCGGTCCGGTGAGCCGCCAGGTGGTGGTTGGTCTATTTTTAGCTTCCCCCGAGAAAACTTTCGATCGCTCTTGGCCTCTCCTTCTGCCTGCGCATCATGAGAACTCTATGCATGGCTTTCCCCCGAGAGGAGCACCGAAGCTACTCCGGACGGGGGAATTCGATACTTTCGAATTACGCAACCCTATCATACCACGTCTCTGCCCGGGCTGCCACATCGTCCTCACATGGTGCCACCTTGACAGCCCCAAGCAAGTCGCACCAACCATCGAACATGCCAAAGCCCGGCCGATCCCCAAGGACGAAGACCGCTCTACCGGTCCCTGTTACGTCTGCAATATAATCCCCGCTTGATCTTGCGCAAAGAAAGGTTATCCATCGATAGACGAGTCCCTTCTCGTGATGGAAGACCACGCGATGCACGAAGAAACCGCCGTGCTTGACGAAAAGCATCCGTTTCGGATCCAAATCGAGACCCGCGCCCTTGCATCCGAGCTCAAGGGCTCGTTGATCTTCCGCCGGAGCCGATGTGAACGATTCGAGTGTCATGGTACCATACCCAGGATCGTGATAGATCCCCACGAGATCCTTTGGCTGTGTCTCATGATCACGAGCCTCGAATGCCGGCAGATCGGGCAGAGGTCGAGCTGGAGGGTTTGCTGATAGCTTTTTCAGTCTCCCTTGGTCCGAAAGACCGCATACAAAGTCCAATATAGTCTGCCAAAGCGCAGGTAGAATACTCGCTCCAATGCCCCTTTCATTGACATATGCCCAGAGCCCGAACTTGAGAGAGCGGGAGAGTACGAAGACCGAGGACTGACCGACCATGCTGCCTGGGTGCATCGCAATCTGATCGCCTGAATGTTAGACCAAGTGGAGCATTGCCCCGCCGTACGATACTGTCGAAAAGCCGGGTATCAATGCGATATGGGACGGAATGCAAGTCAGCGGAGTCAAGATGCTCTCGACTGCAGCCTTGGGCAGGACACGAGGGTCCAACAGCTCTCGCGTGAAGATGACAAGGTCATCTGCCGTTGTGGAGATTCCTCCACTGTAGAGCCACTTGCCGTCAGTGTCGGTCCACCAGCCGCTCGACTCTGGCAAGCCGCGGGTGTACCCCGAGTCAGAAGCCACCAAACGTCTTTGGTATCCGTCAGTGGCAATGATGGTGTGGCCTGCCAGATTGTAGAACCCAATGAGAGTCCATGCCCGTCGATCGCATACCAAGGGCGTCGAACACGTGTTCCTTGACGAATTCAGGGTAACGAGTCCCGCTGAATACAGTCACAATATGCGCCAACGCATAGATGCTCTCGTTGTTATAGAGAAACGTCTCTCGCATCTTAGCGAACGAACGAAGATGTCGCTGATTTCGGAGGGCAGCTTCAGGATCGATGGGTCTGCTGTCAGCTAACGCACCCAAAACACACCACATACCTCCTAGCGGCCAGATGTATAGGCATACCAGTCCTCATCCCGGCGAGATCTTGCAATGTGGCATCCTGCCCAGTATCGTACCCAAACGCTTCACCATCCTCTCGATACGGTCCGATACCCCACCACGGAAGGATACTTCTGACCCTTGTCATCCACGAGAGTTTCGTTCCATCCGCGATCTTTGTACCCCGATCAATCAACAGACCGACACACAACACAGCGGAGAATTTTGAAATAGAACCAATCCCAAAAATGGTCTAATCAATCAGCTTCGCCTCACACGGAACGTCCTCACCTGCCCATCGAATCGATCCCCTTGATCATTCCTACGACCCCAAGTCTCGATCTGGGAATTCCATCGTATGCCATCCCCGCTGTCCTTGCCGTGAACTACAGTCAAGGCGAGTCCTGGAGTCTGAAGCTTTTCAAATGCTCGTTGGATGCGCCCGAGAAGCTCATCATTGATCACCGTATCCGTCATGATGGACTAGTGCTGCCTGTTCCAGAGATGCATGAAAGTCGTGCTGAGTATAAAGCCTGGCACCAAATATCAGATCTGGGCCACGCAATCCATACAGATCCCGTGATGTAGGATGCTAACTCTGTTCTTGTTTTGGCTGACTCACCGGGCTCAGATCTGAAAATCCATCATCGCACATTGGTGTCTTGCACGCAGTTGTGCTCACGCCTCCAAGGCCAACGATGCACAGGACCGCGCAGAAATAGCGCAGCGTAACGGGATCCGCATGTTCGTGTAGCAAGAAGGGTTTTTTTGACATCATCTGTGCCTTTCGCCACCCCTTCGCCCAAGCATCTCACTCCGTTGCGCTCACACACCTCAAACCTTGTGGAAAAGGGCCTGGCTCTCCCCCTCCTGCGTGTGCCTCCTGTCGGGTTCGTATAGCCCCGGTCGACCCTCGGCACATAGTCCCGAGAAGAGGATAGCTTGCCGCTCGAGCGGGCGGTTCTCGCCGCAGATTTCCAGTTGACTCTACTCTCCCACAGTCACATTTCAATATTTTGAGACGCGCCGGACATGAATCGATCTGCGAACCAGAGACGTGGTGGTGAGCTCAAGTGCTCAGTCCCAGAAGCGACGACATGGCTGGGTCGGCGCCAGGAGATGAGCCAGCCTTGTTCTTTCCCGTATCATCCGATTCTGAGGATGACACACCCGTTCCAACTTCATCCAAGCTCACCTCTACCAAGCCACCGACTTCATCTGTAGAGCACTCGGCGGGTCCATCCTCCTATGTCAGCAAGAATGGAGCAGAGGCAAGCCCTCTGTTCTTCGGGTCTCCAGAGCCAGAGACTGTTCCGGCTTCGACTTCTTACAAGTCTCCGCCCAAACGGCCAGCCTTGAGCCGCCACACATCCTCGCAAAGGAGCAAGTCCGTACCATCAGACTTTACTGGATATCTGGGAGAGTTTGTCTGCGAAGGGTGGTCATTATCGAAAGGGAAGGGGTACTGTGTGCCAGGTTCCAAAGTCGTCTTCGAACGCCCGAAACCCAAAAAGATCGTCGAAGAGACGAGCTCTGTTGTTGAGAAGATCGGCCCAGCCAGACTTGTTAATGGCAAAATGGTCCATAGCAAGGCAAAGTCAATGGCGGGAAAGCAGGTGACGCTGGGATCCATGGGGGTAGGCAAAAAGGCCACTGTGGTCCCGAAGAAGCCACCGTCAAAGCCCATTGTCGATCAGATCATTCGATTCCGCAACGATCGTGGCTTTGAGATTGGCCGGTTGTCGGTCGGCGAGGCTGGCTTCTTGGTTCACCTGTTGGACACTGGCGTTATCGAGCTGAGAGGTCACGTCATTGACTGTCCTCCTGTGCTTTCTACTGGTGCTACCATCTTGCTCAACGTCAAGGTATACCTCACTGCGAAGGCTTTTGAGCAGGTTGACAAGGACGGCAGGGAAGGAGTGGGCACTTTCTGGCAGGAACAAAAAGAGACCGAGGAAGAAGAAGCAATGAGGAAGCGCAAAGACGCCCTTGGCCTGCTGTTCGGTGAGCCAGCCGACCGACATCTGTGCTAATGGTTCTAGGTCGCATTGGCGTCAAGGCCATCCAATCCAATGCCCTGCTCATGGCGCAAAAGAAGAATGGCTCAGCAGTGATCAACGAGGCATCGCTGAAGCACTTTGCTGCACGAGCTAGCTCCGGAGCCAATACGCCTTCTCGTCGTAGTCAGTCACCATCAAAAGCCAGTTCCTCCGGTAGCGGCAAGGGTAAAACGAAAGACAAGGGTTCCGCGAGGAATAGCGACGATGATGAGGGCGAAGAGGACAGTGGCGATGAAGCGGAGAGGTTGGACGAGGAGCAGATGAATGAGATTGACACAATCTATCGAAAGTGAGTGGCACATTGATGAAACTGCTCATTCATGTCAGGGCCCAGATGGGCGACACCAAGCTCGAGGAGACTGATCCACCTAGCACATTCCTTTACACGCTCCGACCGTACCAAAAGCAAGCTTTAACTTGGATGAGAGCGAGAGAGAAAGGGGACGAATCCGTCAGGGAGCAGAGTCTACATCCGCTGTGGGAAGAGTGAGTCAAATCGCTTCGAGTGTCGCTAAGCTGTCAGGTACGCTTTCCGTACTGAGCACGCGGCCGGCGAGCCGATCACCATCGTAGACGATGATGATGAGATTGATCCTGGCCGAAAATTTTACTGGAATCCTTACAGCGGAGAACTCAGTCTGACCTTTCCTACGAGCAAGACACATTCAAAGGGAGGGATTCTGGCAGATGCCATGGGTGGGTCATGGCTCGTCAATTGTGAACTGATCGCATCAGGTATGGGCAAAACCTGTATGATGGCATCACTGATGCATTCGAACCGTGTCGGAGACGTTCCAGCTGAGAGCCCAGCAGCCGACCCCGACGGTGAACCTGATGCCAAACGACCAAAATTCAAGCAGGTAACTCTGTCCAACCAATGGCGAGCTGTGGCCACAGCTCCGAAGACTCCATCCGTAGCCCCTCGGGCCACACTGGTCGTGTGTCCTGTCTCGCTTGCAGCGCAATGGCATGAAGAACTGGGCAAGATGGGAGAGAAGGGAAGCATGACCAGCATGATGTGGTATGGCAATGAACGTCAGGATATCGACCGGATCTTAGGTCAAGAGGGAAAGAAGCGAGTGGATGTGGTCATCACCTCATATGGGACGCTTGCGAGCGAGTTTCAGAAGTGGCGCAAGATCAAGGATAAGCCGTCGTATGAGGGCGGTAGCATCTATGATCGTAAGTTGCTTCACCTCCTCTCGCTGAAGCACATCACAGACGAGTTCCTGCGGATCGTCCTGGACGAAGCTCACAATATCAAAAATCGGACAGCACTGGTGTCCAAAGCTTGCTTTGAACTCAAGGGACAGCGGCGCTGGGCGCTGACAGGTGAGCTGACTGCATTGGACAGCTAATCAAATAGGCACGCCCATCGTGAATCGACTTGATGATCTCTACTCCTTGTTGTGAGTCCCGGTTCAGTGAGCCATGACTGACAGCAGACACTTTCTGCGATTGGAGCCATGGGGCCATTATTCGTCAGTCACGATGTGATCCTGAGCTGATCGTTGCTGACACTCCTGCAGCTTCTTCAGAAGGTGTGACTGTCCAGTACACGTTAGCTAATAAAACCCAGTTTCGTCACCGTGCCATTCCTCAATCATGACCCGAAAGCCCTCAACGTGGTGCAATATATTCTGGAATCCTGCTTGCTCCGTCGAGAGAAAACAATGCGCGACAAGGACGGTCGCCTCATTGTAGAGCTGCCCCCCAAAACTGTACGTTCGTATTCAGAGGACAGTCCTGAGACCATTCAGCTCGATGTTCAAGTATTGGATTTTTCACGACCAGAAAGACAGATATACAAACGACTTGAAGATCGGGCCAAGCGGCGTTTCATCCAGCTTGACGCAGAGGGCAAGGCCATGTCGAACTATACTTCGATTTTGGCAATGCTCATGAAGTGCGTTCGAACGCCACGAAATATCGCTTACAGAGTAGACTGCGTCAATGTGTCGATCATCCTCTTCTTGTCCTCGGCAAAGGTGCAAATGAAGAGGAAGAGGGCGATCGCCTCCTCGACACGGCGAATGGCGATGCAACTGGCTCCATCAAAGAGATGATCGCCATGTATGCTGGAGGCGTGGACGCGAAACCGCCTGGCGAATCCGGAACGGAGACCGCATACGCACTCAAGGTCTTGAAGGAAATCGGTGAATCCGAAGATTCCAGCGAGTGCTTCATATGCGCCAGCGAGATCTTTGACGAGGTCCTGTTACCGTGCTATCACAGAGGGTGCGCAACCGTGGCGGTGTAAGCACTGATGCGTTTTCAGGTGCCAAGACTGCATTGTCAATTTTATCGGCTCTTGCGAGGATAAGGGGAAACCTGCAAATTGTCCGATATGCGGTCAAGGACCTTACAAAGCTATGGATCTCAGATCGGTTCAACGCCGAAGGAAACGCCTGAACCCCATCACAGGGGCCCGGGCGGAGGATGGAGACGAAGGATCAGTGTCTTTGGGCAAAGTGGACCTCGTGTCGAGTACAAAGCTTCGTGCCTTGGTCCGGAAGCTCGAGACCATGCGCATGGAAGAGGGGGACTTCAAGGCTCTGGTCTTCTCTCAGTTCACTTCGTTCCTAGGTGAGCTTTGCCGAGTATGGTATGAGCTGACCGTGGACCAGATCTCATCGAGCCGGTCTTGACTAAAGCGGGTATCCAATGGCTGTGAGTGGGATTTGATACAACGATGGCTCACATGGCACAGTCGATTCGATGGATCCATGTCGCAGGCTCAGCGTGCAGCTACCATTGACGAGTTTGGCAAAAAATCCAAGGATCCCGTAATTTTACTGATCTCGCTCAAAGCTGGAGGTGTGGGCTTGAATTTGTGAGTTGCGTGTTGTTTCGGGACGATCGCTGACATCTCTTTCCCAGAACAATGGCGAATCGTGCGTGATTTGCTGTTCTCTCATACTGACCTCACTAGATGTGTTCATGATGGACACGTGGTGGAATGAAGCGATAGAACAGCAAGCGATCGATCGTGTGCACAGGTTGGGTCAAAACAAGTCAGTTTACATCACGCGGTACATCATCAAGGGGACGGTTGAGAAGAGGATCATGAAAATACGTGAGTGGCTTGGGCGATCTGGCGAGGCTGATCTGATCAAATGCCTCAGAGCGCTCAAAGACAGCGCTGGTGAATGCTTCTCTGTCGGGCGGTGCTCAACGGGACAAGTCGGCCACATTGGCGGATATTAAGAAGATTTTTGGTTTGGACGAGGAGGACAGCGAGGACGAGGTGTACTAGGGATCATAACATTGCAGCGTAGGCGCGTCACGAGGTCCGCAACATTCTTGTATCATAGCCATTACGCACGCAAAAGCACATGCAACATCCTCACATGTAGCAAGATCCATACTTATACATGATTTAGGCACCGACCTATTCGGCTGACTAGGACGTGTACAAACGTTAAAGAGACCTAGTAAGCAAGGTTGAGAGCGGCCGTCTCGTCTCCCAAGATGGTATTGAGGATAGAAGCTAACCTGATTCCACCCATTGCTAAGAGCTTTTCCAAGGTCTTTTCACTGTCGATTCTACCCAGGTAATCTTTCGTATCCAGCTCAATGTGTCTCCCTGGGACATAGTTTTTAGGCCAGACGATATCGCAGTTGAGTTGATGGATCGGTTTCGACCAAGAAAACGGACAGGCAGGTATGACGGGTTTGATCAATTGAGGATCTGGGCTCAGAGTCGACACGACTGATCCGTTCAAGATGGCAGGATGCGTTGACAGCAATTGATCTGCAAATCCATGCGTTTCGTGCATCTGTACTGGATACTTGAGCTGAAATGGGATGGTGATCCAAGCAGGAAGGACCGCGTTGAGTGCTGAAAACGCCGTCCTGGAGATTCTGTTCTTCAAATAGTCGGGCGTCGAAGCGGGGATATCAGAGATGGACGAATGAGGGAATGGATCCCCATCCGCTGGACAAGTGAGCCATTCGGGAAGCTCATCCCGCCACCATTGACGGATTCCTTCCCAGACTATCCAACGGACGTAGGGGTCAAAAATGGCTCCGGGGAGCGCGTCCTCGATCTGGCGCCTGGAGAACGATCCATAGTTAGCATAGATGTACAACGGGTAGTTGATTGACGCACGAAGGGAGAGGACTGGTGTAGTTACTGATCTCTCGGATCTTCTTGGTGATGAGGCCAGAGTCCCAAACGGAGTGGAGACTGAGAATAAACGTCAGCGGTAGCGCAGGGAGGTCCAGCTAGCTCACTTTCGCTGATGCCCTTCAAACAGGAACATGGCTGATTCAAAGCCATCAGCTGTGAATCGATGATGCATTGGTCATCGCTCACCGCCATTGCCTCCCTTGTCTCGACCTGTCAAATGCAGGGGCTGGTGCATGTCACCCATGAAGTGGACGAGGAACCGCAATGGGATATCACTGCAGAAGAGGTGTCAGGTCAATCCAAACACTCTAGCTTACCCCTGCCCAGCCATGATTCTCGCCGTTTCATTCATGATCCCCGTCAAGACATTGACGTCTTCGTTCAACCAGCCGTGCTCTCCGTATTCACAATGATCGGATGGGTGATCCGACATGGCTACGGACAATCCATTCAGCAAGGCTCCCTGGGATGCCTGACAATTCTCCGACAGGCAATCAGCACACTCACGATTGATATAGTGCATAGGTGCCGTCTCAGGATAATACCTCCTGACCGTATCTGCCCACGCAGCTACGGTCGCCAAGTGACATTTCGACCGTTCAGGGAGGATCTCACAGAGCCTTTGACGGGTAGAAGGATGAAGGTGAATTTGAGCGATAGTAGCGACAATCTCGTGGCCTAGATGGCGAGTGGTCAGCTGTAGAAGGGACGCGTTCGACTGTACACACCGGCTGCACCCCAAGCCAGCGCGCCGGGCAAGAGGTAAGCCGCCGCGAAGGCCACAGTGAAGGCTTTCATGGTGATACTGAAGTGAACAGGGGACGAGGAATCTCTGCACGTATGTATGGATGCTCGACTCGAACGTCAAGCCTGCTCTAAGAGCTCTGGGGGGTTCGTCACGAGTGGTGCCGAGACAACAAGAGGCTCAAACGTGCAGCAGTGAGACAACGAGCAAAATGACGTTTGCGGCAAAATAACAGTGGCAAGCAGAACTGGCTGTCTATAATCTATGGTTTGTGCATACCCGTGAATGCTATGCCTCTATGTATCCCCTTTCCACTGCAATCTCGGCATTCATGATGCTGCTAGTGGCCGCCCCCAGCCTGACATTATCGATCAAGCACACAAACTTGACATCCAGTACCGGGCACGGTCTGACCCTTCCCACACTGACACAAGCTCCATTCTCCAGATCCCGATCTAATCTCGGCTGAGGCCTATCTGGAGCGTCAAGATAGACAATGGCGCGTTTCGGAGCGGATGGGACGCCTAAGTCTTGGGCCTCGCATCGGAAGTCCTTGAACGCCTGGATGACTTGTTCTGGACTCGGCGGAGGATGTCTCTTGAATTTGACCGAGACACAGCCAGTATGCCCGTCAATGACTGGCACTCGATTACAAGATGCTGAAATCTTGATGGGATCCGAAGCGTGCAAATCGAATCCTTGTCCATCAGACGTGACGCCCCCGAGAATCTTTGACGTTTCCCATTCAATCTTCTCCTCTTCACTACCGATATAAGGGACGACATTATCCATAATATCCAGACTGGAGACACCGGGGTACCCGGCTCCAGAGATTGCCTGCATTGTAGTGACCATGACGGTCTCCAGTGGTCCAAATGCTTTCTCAAGAGCATACAGAGGGACAACAAGGCCTGTGGTGGAACAATTGGCATTCGTCACGATGTATCCCTTCTTCGTCGGCGGTGACAGAGTCGTACGCTGGTGATTGACGACGGAGAGATGGGAGGGATTGACCAGTGGGACCATGAGGGGGACAACGGGGTCACGACGGTAGTTCTTCGCATTAGAGAAGACAACGAGCTCAGCAGCACGGAATGCGAATTCTGGAGGTGAAGAGAGGGGGTATCAAGTGGGGAGATCAGCCAGAGACAGCCAAACGCGCAGGTCAAGTGAGCGAATGAGAGGGAATCAACAGGTCAGCAACTCTTAAGCTGTTTCACGTTCGACCCACCTATTTCCCCAGCGACATCGTGATCTAGCCCTGAAAACACCACACCGCATTCCGCGAATCCATTTGCATCCGGTCTACACTCCTGCACCACCATGCCCTTGACGTGCTCTGGGATCTCAGTGCCCAATTTCCATTTGACAATTTTGGAATATTCGTGTCCCGCTGAACGGGACGAAGCTCCAAGGGCGTGGATCGTAAAGTAAGGATGGACGGCGAGGAGTTGGATGAACCTTTGGCCAACAGTGCCTGTGGAAGCGGTCAATAATGAGACTCTGCTATGGGTGATCATCGGTGACACTGACCTGTCGCCCCTAGGATTCCAACCTTGATTGGTGAATTTTGGGATGGCATGCTGCGCAGCTTAAATGCGAGATTCGAGAATCGAGGAGCGGTCGTCTATGAGGAAAGATGTAGAGGGTGCAGCTCTCTTGTATGCTTTGCGACCTGGTCGTAGTCTCCTGCGACTGCTTGCTGCAGCCAAGTCTCTAGGAATGTATAGCTGCTTGAGTCGAGAAGTCAAATCATCTTCTCGGTAAGATCACTTACGTAAGAGCTCCTTGAAAATCACCCGGTTTTCCGGTTCAGGGAGTTCCATCGCATTCTTCGTGGATCCACCTTTGCTCACATTCTGATTCATCGTCTAGCAAGGTTTCTCAGCACCATGTCAGTCACTGCTCCCATATTCGACAAGGCAGACCCAAAATCCAAGCAGTGAGTCTGTTCTCCAATCCATGACAGTGTGTTGCTTCCTGTCTGGCTTGCTCAGACTGGACCATCTTCCATCCATCTAGAGTCGGGAAGATGATCATGCTGAGATCTAACTGGCAGATTGTTCCCTTACCACCTCCCCTTGACTCAAGAATGGGCAGAAGAGAAGTCGTTCTTCGGTAACACCATGATGATGGGATCAGGAGCTGGGATGTTCTTGAAGAACCCACTGTGAGTGTGGCTTTGAAGAACATTGCATGATTCCACGTGTCCGTTTCCAACACACGCAGGATCGTCTACGCTGCTCTCATCATCTCTGTCATCACTCTGGTCGGCTCGTCTCCTCTGCGTGCGCCAAAGGATATGCAATCGCCGCTCATGGGTATCGGGTGAGTGGTGGACCTCTCAGACGACGTCCTGGAAATGGCGCTCACGATGGAATCTCCAGCCTCGGTCTCATGGGTCTGATCACTGTCAACCTCCCCCGACTGATGAGCTAAAGCGTGATAGGCTAGATCCGGATCAGAGTCGCAGACTCGAATATACCTTGTATTATGGGCAGATGGTTATGCAAAATCTTGATTTGAACGACGTAGCTCAAACATGCAGTTCGGCTCTGCCTGGCATGGACGGATCGCTATCGATACATATTATGTAGTACGAGGACAACCTCAGTCTACAACTCTCGATTCCGTAGTGCGTCGACGATGTTGATCTTATATACAAAATAGTAGACTACTCCCAATATACGGCAGGAGTTGGACCTGTCCAATCTCCAGAGGACGATATATTATACAACGCATGTTTTGTCGCAAGAAACGTTCGAAATGTTCCACTCGTTGAATGGCGTGTGGAATCAGGAGACGATGGGACCTCGTGTGTCGCCAATTGTGTCGATGTATCGTACAACTTAATCGGAGTGAGAGAAAAAAGACATGTTGAGCGGAAATATCGTATAAGTACAGCCTTGATTTGAATCGCAGTCTCATCAAATCCGATAGAGAGAACGTCCCGATCGCATTTGATGATCGGATCGCGTTGACTGCGTAGATCACATGAAGGAGTTTGAGGCTATTGTCCGGCTGGGGCACTGGGAGCAAACTTTCTGCTCCAGTCACCGACCCACCACTTGTCGATACCGTGTGCTCCCCATCCCCTTTCGTGTTCGAGGCTGGTCGAGCGTTGCCTGTGTGTGCCGCGAGCTGAGCCGTCTTTATCGGACTCAGGGACGAGGGACTCGGACTTGGAGATGGGAGAAGAAGAAGACGAAGGACCTGTCCGAGAGGACGAGCAGGTGGAGGATTGAGAGGATGATGACTCGAGGGCGCTTGAAAAATGTGTCGAGAAGTAGGAGACGCGTTCGGCCAATTCGGATTCGCGCTCTTTGGCTAACATTGACTCGCGGGCTCGTCGAGCGGCTTTGAGATCTTCGACATGAGAGTAGCGACGATTCTCGTTATGCCCTGAGATCGGTGTTAGTGTGTGACAATGATCCTCTGAGGGCGTCGAACTCACAGCCGGAGCTACAGTACCGGCTGACAGTGGGATCAATCACAAGGTTGCCACATCGGTTTCCATCATCGTTGATGGCGAAGCATGAATGCTGAGGACGAATGTCAGCGAGTCCTTCTTACATAGCTTACTCCCGACTTACCACCGTACAGTAGACACTTCCCTCGCTCTGCGGTCTGATACAAAAGCCATGCTTAGGATGGTGGCACTGTGAGACACAAGTCAGCTCGATCCACTGACGGACGTGTGGTCATGCACACAAACGGGTGGCGAACAAGGCAAGAGACTCAACGTCCATGGGACAAATCCGACTCACGATGTCATGCTGCCAAGCGAATCGCTGAGCTTCTTGAAGCTGGTAAAGTCTCGAGCGAGCCCGCTGCTTGTTGATAGGTGCAGAAACGGCCAGAGGTGGACAAGTCGCCGAGGGGGAGATCATAGCGGACAGATCATGGTCATGGTCTGATTCATCAACGATCCGAGGTCCGTCAGCCTGTCCTTCTTCGACGATCAGGGCTGGTCTTTGGCCAAGGCCGGTGGAGACCATGATGGTGCTCAGCGAGGGCTGAACACCAGGACGAGAGGCAGAGATGGAGGCGGCTGGATGATACGACATGACCCAAAGATTGAGCGAGGTGTCGCGGGGTGATTAGGCGGGAGAGTTGGGTGGCGACGCGAAATCAGAGGTAGCTGTGAGAAGAGACCAGTATCAGCCGATTCGTCTAGGACCCGCCGCGATGCTCTGAGGATGTAGCTGATACAGTGGTGGCAAGAGGATAATGGAGAAAGGAGTCGAGGTTGGAACCAAACAAATCCTCTTAAAACGGCCGATTTCGGGGGAAAGAATAAGGAGGGGGTCAATGTGATCAGATTTGCTTGGAGAATGAGACAAGGGATGAATGGGAAGGAATCCCCTTTCACGATTCCACTCTTGAGAGGGGGGCCCACAGAGATACGAACGGGGATCGGAGGGGTGAAGGATGGGATTGAGAAAGTGAAGTGGCGAGGACGTGGAGACAATCACTGGAACCCCACAGACGGTCCAAGAGATCCAAGAGCGGCAAGTTTCAAAGGGGTAATAAGACGTGTCATTGAAAGGATGATCATGTGTATATGGGCTGACTCCTCGGAGCAGAAGAGGATGACCTCTCGCCTCGTGATGACAACGAGGGCAATGCACGGCGTAGGATGACGGGAGTGACACGCTGGAGGTTTGGGATGTGAAAGTGGAGGAGAAAGGAAAAGGGGGGTTTTATGTAGAGGTCGATGTTGCGGATCTGTTGACAAAGAGTGATGCTCACCTTGGAGGGAGAGTGAAAGATGGTGACTGAACGGCCGTGAGAACGGTAGCCTATCGAATGGTCTAATGAAAAGGATTGGCGTCAATTCAACTCTCCAAAATGTGATCCTTTAAGAAGGATGATTGCCACGTCTACAGCTATATCGGTGCGGGGAGCGCAATGAAATGAGAGGGGTGTGGGGGTGAGTACGACGATGAATCCTCTCGTATCCCATGGTAATCAATACTGTGTGTGGGTAACGTCCCCAAGTGTATATCATAAAAAGCATGGAGTGACACCATACGACCACGACGCGAAGATGACGACTCACGACGGGAAGCCACAAGGAATTGTCAGTCGCTTGGGCGACAGAGAGGTTTCAAGGTACTATAGTTAGAAGTGCCCAATGGGTGTGTTCTGAATGGGCGTCGCGCTGAGACGACGTTTTTGAGGATGTTTCGTAGTCAAGGGGAGTGAGTGGGATTGGGGGTGAGCGAGAGAGAGAGACGCGGTTGAGATTGGAGAAAGGGAGTGAATTGATTGTCGATCCAAGGTTGTATATGTCAATATAGCGACTACGGCTCAGGGATGTTGGTCATGGCGATTATAGCCATATCATGGACTCCTTTGGGTGCCTAGTGGAGTTTGAAACGAGGTTGTGGTGGTGGTGCTGGTGGTGGCTGTAAAGTTAGGTCATGCTAAGCGAAAGAGAGAGATGATATGATCGAAAGGGAGTGTGTCTGCTACGGGAAACCACAAGCAGACTAGTCCAATCCCTCAATTAGGAGCATAGCTCTGCTCATTATCAGGTGAGGAGGAGGTATGAGGAGGTGAGTCGAGAGTCTTCAATCCTTCTGTCCTGGTCGTATGGTCATGGCTTAGATGTCAGTGAATGATTGCCGCTGCACAGTGATCCCAGCAAGCCTAAGCCTGCACGCCAAGACAGCGCTAGCGAGCAAATGAGCCGAGATATGACCCGTCGACCTGTTGAATCTGGCTCAACATGTCAACAGGTACTCAATGACCCGGATGTAAAGGAGTGGCCTTTGGGCATAGGTCAGGATAGGAGCACATGGTCACGCTAGACTTACGGACCGGCTTTCCTCTAAAATCATGGCCTTTCGGGCTGGAGGAGGGAGGGATCCCAGCGGAACGTCAGCATCATGTCAGGATGCCCAAAGTGCGGGGAGGTTACAGCCTGGAGCGTGATGGAAGCCGTAGACAGGTCGAAGCGGAGTCGTGTTGCATGCGAGTGCCTGTAGCTGGCAATATAAGGGATGCGTCTGTGGAATACAACAAGGGTTAGGCAGTTTCGTTGTCTGATGGCTAAGACGAAGACACGTAGAAGTGGATTGTTCCCACTCAAAGGAAGGGAGTCTGCTTCGCTATCTTCGCATGGATTTGCTACACAAAAGGTCAGCAGCTCCTTAATTGTTCCAGCTTTGGAGAAAGCTCACTCTAGCATGACTCTCGCTTCGTTGACTTTTCCAGCTAGATAAGGTGATCCACCTCTATCTGGATGGTTGGCCAACATGAGTCGACGATGGGCCTCCTTTAAACGTTTCTCAGTGATAGGTTGTCTGATAGACGTTTGACAGAAAGAAGAATCGATTTGGAGAGGGGCCATCGCAGAAGAGAAGGTGACGGAGACCTCAAGTCAGCTAGGATTTCGTACAGCACACAGTAAATAAATGAAAGATGGCTCGGCTCGAAGAGTCCGATCGGGGTGGCATCACAGCGTCCTGAGAAGCGCCCTAGTACCGTCCGAACTCCCTCCTACCATCCTACGCGTAAACCATTCGACGCCTCACTCACTTCAGCCCCAGGACTTGCAAAGCCTCCGATTCATCCATCTTATTCTTGAATCCACCTCTGACAAACTGTTGACTCGCTCCCCGCGAGAGATACCTCCACGCTAAGCGTCCTCCGAATCCAGCAGTCAGAAGACCGAGACCTACGACCAGTCCTGATGCCATGATGGGAGGAAAGTGCAGATGGATAGCCGTGGACAGGTGAGATTGTAGGAAAAGTCCTGCCTCGTCTCAGACAGTAGGGAATCTCGGCTGCTTGCTGGGAGGCGAGGATCGTGGGCGAAAAATGGTGCATGACGTGGCATAATAACTGTCACTGTTCGAGCCTCTTACCATGGCATGTAGACAGCGAGCGACAGCCAACCTGTCCAGCGCTGTCTACATTCATGCCATTGCAGAGCACTCGCAGACTCCATGCAGCAGACCTCCCCACATTGCGATCAAATTGTAAGAGCTTTCTGATGAGATGTGGCGATCATGGATTATCCTTTGATGAAGGGATCTGCGTCAAAGGAGAGAGGTATCTGAATGTCTGGCTCACATATACGCTGACTAGGTCGTCTTGCCACCGCTCTCCACATCGTTTGTCTCTTTTACGCGCTTGACAGACGTTTGAATCAGAGCATACTCACAGGCGGAACCTAACAGCTTAGGAGCCCAACGGGACAGGGCCTACCTCAACGACCCTACCCCTCAAGGCTCTCATTGTACAAACGGTCAGAATCAGAGGCTTCATCTTTCGCCACTGCCCACATATCACTTCCGCACCATGGCGACTACGACAATGTCGGCTCCCACAAGCGGCACCAAGACGACTATCGGGGACACTGTCAGTTCTGGAGCCGGAGCCAAGATGGACGCATCAAGTATCATTGATCCGAGATATATTGCTCAGAGCCACAATGGCAAAAGCAAGAAGAGTGTCAGCTTTGCCCCAACCGAGAGAACACAGACCTTGGCTTTGGCCAAAGACCTAGGCTCAAAAATCACCCTGCCACCTGCAGATTCTCGCTCTGTCATCGCACAGTCGTCTCGAGGCGGAGATACCAGCACTGCTGATACCGCAAGCTCCTCCGCTGTTGCAGATACAGACACTCGCGCGGGACCCAAGAGTCACATGGAGGCCTTCACCAACTACATCGGCTGGAAAGACAACATGCAGGATATCATGACGTTAGCTCGTAAAGCAAGAAAGGATACTACGGAAGAAGGGACCGCTCGAAACTACATCCTGAGCCAACTGAGGGATGTCTGGGAAGCTGCAAATCCAAAAGCGGAGATGCCTAGTGTCATGTCATCAGCTCGAACCGTTGATCCTAGCACACTGAACGAGGAACTCATCAATGCCACGAGCGCAATCAAGAGCAAGCTCATGGCCAAGGCTCCAATGATACACAAGATCGATCAAGTCACCGGTGTCAGCTCGAAAGTGGCCGATCAGATCAATGGGTACTTTGCACATATGAAGAAACCTAAATCTTCCCTGAGGACGCTTGACAGGACTTTGTCAGAAGATGGGACCAGAGCCAAGCGCACAAGGAACCAAGGCGGAGGGCAGACAGATGCAACTTCAGCTGGTCGAACGTTATCCGAGGATATGGGGAGAGACCGAGGCGGCGGTGTCGCTGCGACGGCAGGAGAGCATACGACGCAATCCTCTGGCGGAGGACAACAGACGACCGAATCATTGACTGAAGGCCAAAAACGTCTTCTTGCAGCTAAAAAAGCGGAGCTGAACGATCGGTGGTTGCAAGCTCCCACTGTAGCGGGGTCCGCTGCTGGGTCGGCCATTCAATCGAGGATTACCGACTTGCATTCCAAAGGGGACAAGGATGGTCTCAGAGGATTCATCAAGAGTCTTCAGGGTGCCAATCGAAACTACGGAATCCAGGTGGCTAAAGGTCTGAACGAGAGAGATCCGATCGACAAGCGATCAACGTCAAACGCGTCGGCGTCTCAGACGCAAGGACGAAGCTCTGGTCCAGCGACTACAATGACGAATCAAGCATCGACCACCAATGCTCCATTGACACAGACGGAGATTTCCAGGCGGATGAAAGAGACGGCCGATCAATGGGTCAAATCGCGTCGAGGCAAACCTCAAGGCACGCCATGGACAACAGAAGAACAAGAAACGTTCAAAAGGGAAGTATTGCCTAGTCTCCTCACCGGCATGTCTCAAGCTGTCGAGACGGAATTGAGAGCCCAAGCCTGGCAAAAGGCCGCTGATGGAATCGCCAAGGTTCTTCAGAAAGATGATGGTACCCGAGGGTTGGAGACCATCGATACGTCTGGAAAATACACAATGACCACCTACACGCCGGCCAAGGTCACGCGAGAGGGCTTGACCAGTTTGGTATCTGATATACCACCAGATTTCTTAGGGCTATCGACGACTGGTGATTCCAGTTCAAGAAACGAGGGGTCCTCGCCGGCGTCAGACAAGCCGTCATCCATGCTGAGCAGATTGTCGTCGTATCTACCTGCCAGTGTGCAGAGGTCGGTCGGAGGAACGGCATAGGAAGCAGTCGTTGATGTCAGGTAGATTCAGCTGCTTAGAGTGAATTACATAGCTCGTCCCCTCGCATGCCGGCTGCTTGCAAGGATGATGCAAGACGCTATCCTTGCTTTTTGTGACGAGGCATGTGCCACGCTCAAGCTGCAGCGTTCTATTCCGCCACATTATTCATTTTTCCATAATTCCGCAAAATGCCGAGTTTCGACTGCCCAGCTCCCAAAAGTCCTTTTCGTCGAATTCAAGGTCAATTGAACGGTATAGCTACCAACCCTTCCCCATCACCCTCTCCCACTGGATCACCATGGCTCCCGTCAAGAAGTCCAAGTCTGCAAAGACTTCCGAGAACATCAACTCGAGGTTGCAGCTTGTTGTCAAGTCTGGAAAGGTGAGTTGGAGAGTGGACGGATCTAGGCGATTCGGTACTGGCATGATCGGTGGAGAAGGTGGAAGGTGGAAGGTGGTGGAGACAATTCACGCTGGTGCTCGATGGACTGCGGAGGCCAACATCAGGATATGAGAGCGGTCGATTGCTCTTGGTCGAGGTGTTCCATGTCTATGATCATGTCGATGACAGAGGTGCACGGAAAACGAGAGCTGGAAGGGAATGGAGCTCGAGCGGTCTATCTCTCTGATTGGACATCGAAATCGCACTCAGAGCAACTCGCTGACCCACGCGTAGTACACTCTCGGCTACAAGCAAGCCCTGAAGCAGCTCCGATCCGGCAAGGGTGAGCAGTTTTAACGCTTGATACTATCGCAGACGCTAAATAGGACTGCTCTCCAGCCAAACTCATCCTCATCAGCAAAAACTGTCCTCCTCTGAGAAAATCCGAAATCGAATACTACGCCATGCTGTGTGTGGTCTTCCCGTCCTTACGTGTGATATTTTAGTGTTGACGCCGTGAACAGGTCAAAGACCTCGGTCCACCACTACGACGGATCCAACGTCGACCTTGGAACTGCTGCTGGACGTCTTTACCGAGTTGGAGTCATGTCTATCCAGGATGCCGGTGATTCTGATCTCGTAAGTGGTGCCTTGTCATTAAGCACTGCCCTCGTCGCTGACGTTTCCTGCTCAGCTCCAGGTTGAGACTGCTTAGAGAGAAAATGCACATGCGTGGATGCATTGTATTCGTACAACAGGATGCGTCAGGGGTTGTCTTTTGACTGTGAATCATGCGGAGACAATGTGATTGAACCGTGGGACGCTAGGCATGCCTCGTGTCTGTCCATGGATGCTTCTGGTCACTTTCAGCAGTTGGTCGACGATTTGTGGATTCGCATAATCTCGACATCACTGCCTTGATCGATACCCGAGTCCCAGAAAATTTGCTCTGCTTGCTCACATGGCGGGATGTTGAGCAGCGTGATTGACATTCCGGCTTCCTCTGTTGACACGCCGCCATTAGCACGATCATATGTGGTGTCGAACGACCGCTTTCTCACCACAGCTCGACCTGAAGAAATCCAGGGTGGATCTGTTCCTGACTGTCGCGGCTATGATCGCTTGACCCCAAGGGCCATCGTTTTCTGTATCGATCAAAACCTGTATAGTCTTCACTAAGGCGGGCACAATATCTGGATCATATATCTGTGATGGTCTCAGCACGTGTGTAACACTTCAAGCGCGTCAACTAACCACATCTGCGGCGACAACTGTGCGAGATTCTTTGCATGAGTCGCGCCAGATCTCTGGTCGTTCCGCCTCAGGTTTTAAAGCGTCCATCCAATCCAGATGCGATACACTGATCTGACTCTGCATCCCATCTTAAAAAAACGTCAGCCAGTCCTCCCCTGGAGACTCGGGACGGAGCAAGGGAGCCTCACTCAGCTCTACGTTGTGTCTGAGTCGCCGGAGCGGCGCCTGACGGACCGGTTCGTTCTCTTCCAGACCGCCTTCGACATCGTCCCCCAGATCCGTGGCTGACACTCGCGCGCCAAGCTGAGCCAAGAGGATAGATAAGAAGCCTGTCCCCGCTCCGAGTTCAACGACAGACTTTCCTTTTAGGCTCGTGTGGTGACTGGAGCAGAGGATTGAAGGATGGGAGAGAATAATTTGTCCAAGATGCAGACTGGAGCATGTGCTGTCAGTCCGAACAGCACAGAGTCAATGAGAGTTGGGCTATCATACCTTGCGGTCCTGTGTTGGGTCAGCCAGTCATCTTTTCCCTCCGAGCATCACATCATATACCCACCATGTCCGCAGACCCGTACTTCCACCCTGAATCGCCATTTGCTCCTCTAGCAGCGTTAGAGCATGCTCATTTGGCTCGTCAGGTCTGTCGAATATGAACGTCCTGAATGACTGCCCTGGTCTGAAGATGAGCGAATCTCGTCAGCGAGTACGAATCGCCTCGACCTTTTCTCCACGCACAGGTCAACCAGAGATCCAGATTCGGTCGCTGTACCGGAAACCATCAGGTCAGATAAGTGGGTATAGATCCTCTCATCGATTTCGACCTGTCCATCCAGAGCAGCAATTGATACATCAACAAAGTGTTCGCGTGAAGGGTACGAGGAGCAACACACACATCTATCTCTCCACTGCCTTCACTTTCCCCTTGAATCTCCTTCACCCCGACATCTTCCAAAACACCCACGATCCTCCTCCAGAATCGTCGCTCATAGCTTGCATCAGGACGATATGGAGCTATCACAGGGTCCTCCATGATATGTCTGATGAGCCACTCTTGACTGGTCGGAATGACGAGCTGGTCGGCTGGGGGAATGGACAGCTTGTATACTGGATAAAGAGCATGATGCTGTCTTCGGAGAATCCGAAGTGAGGTCTCCAGCTCCACAACGTCGCCGCAGGGAATCTTCATCTTAGCTGCGTCGTGGCTCTGTAGGTGAACATCGTAACGCTTGTTGCTGTATACAATCCCGACCCACTAGACTGATGCCAGCTGGACGCGCTGATTCTGCGTTGGTGCGGTCTTTGTGCGATCACCACTTTGCATTTCGCACCAATGTCTCAACCCGATTTCATCATGACACTTTCCGCAAAATCCACGCAGTTTTCTCGGCCCCGCCACCAGCCACTGACTGGCATACATATATATAACCGGTAGATCTCCAACTACATCATCCTCTTACCTTTGTCTACGCTCCACATATCACTCAGCTCAACTCGATATCGGTCCAGCCTAGTCTAGTCCAGATCTCACTCCCACTCAACATGTCTACGTGAGTACTACACCGCGCATCGTCCCCAGCTCTGGCGACGCCTCGGGAGCTCGATGCTCCGACGCGCGCTTGACACTCCACCGAAGTACACTCTCACTGACAGTCTCTCAGCTCCGCTACTGCTCCTGTTCCCGCTAGCTCTGCCCAATGCAGCTGCTCCAACAAGACTGACGGTCAGACTTGCGGGTGAGTTGCGGATACATTGTATGCCACTGTATTGGCTGACAGTCGCGTTTGCGTATGCCGCCCCATCTCAAATCCTCTGGACTCGACCAATGCTGTCATGACTATCCCTTCCACCCTCTCTGCAACTTTTCGACGGCCCGTACGACCCACCTCACCTCCCTTAATGGACCTCTACTCCCCTCCCCACAGATGCCAGCAAGCCGGCGAATGTCAATGCTCCCCCGACTCGTGCAACTGCGCTAGCTGCCCTACTCACAAGGGATCCAACGCTTGCGGGTGAGCGATGCCCCTTTCTCTCTCTCGCCTTTGTTCACATACTGACGTTCATTGCTAGAGGTAAAGACGGATGCACCTGCAAAGCTGGGGACTGCAACTGCGAAGACTGCCCCAAGTCGAACAGCAACAAGACAAAGACCGTGTGCAAGTGAGTTGAAATCAGATCATCTGCAATGCTGTCCTGGCTAATCCGGGTTATCTGTTTTTCAGCTGCGGTGGAGATGAAGGCGTTTGCAAGTGCGAGAAGGGCAACTGCGCCTGTGCCAATTGTCCCAAGTAGATCGAGCCCCGAGAACATGCTCTTACAAGCAACAAGATGATAAGTTTAGTCAAGTCAGAGTCATTTCAGTAGTCCCACAGTCAAACAGTTTACAACCATGTAGTCCAAGGAGAATTGATTCTTATGCAATTGCCTGCATGGCAGAGTTGGACCGGACAAGAACGAGACCTCAAGCACCGCCTTGATTGTCGGAGGCAACCCACCGACGCCCACTTCACATGCTCGCTACCACTCAGCCGGGCCTCCCATAAATCTTTCATTCTCTCCCTGACATTTTGCTCTCGCAAATGACTGGGTGAGATCAGGCGATCGTATGTGACCATGCGCAGAGCACAAGGTACAGGGACGATGCAGATCCTCGGGTGGGGGTCATCATTGTGGTAGCTGTTGAGAAGATAGAGTGTGGAGGAAGGAGGGCATGCGGTCAATGTAAATGGACAGATAGTGTTGAGGGACTCGGCCTGGACAACTTGATCAGTTGAAAAATGTTTTTGGTGAGATCTCGGTCGATGCCAGGGTCAATGATGGATGACTGGGTCAGGCCAACCATCTCGTCCGTTGGTATCTCGGACAGAGTCTCGAATCATCAATGATACATGAGCGGGGTGATTATCTCTCAAATCCAAATACACCTGAGGGAATCGGGTCAGCTCGATACAGAAAAACATGTTTGGATCTGCTGACTGACATCTGTCCAATGGTTCCCACACCCCCTCAAGCCAGCGGTGTGATGAGCCTGTCCGAAGATGTCAGCAAATCTATTGAAAATGCCCTTTCGGACCCAGAACTCACTTGATAAGCGATGGCTGAGGAGACGAGTTTCTGTATCCGATGTAAATGATCATAGGGATCCAGCCGACAGTGACAATGGTCTAGAGGGAAGGAACGAAGTCGAGACGTCAGCAAAGATGGACGCAAGCGCAGAAGTGTTACTGAAATCGTCAATATACCACCAACCTTTGCGACGCTAAGCATGATTTGTCACGTCAGCTCGCATGAAGGATCCGAGACACAGTATATCTCACCCCACAGCTGCGTTGAACCTGTCCTTCGTCTCGTCTGAGAATGGCATCGTGTCTGGTGATGAAGATGATGGCTCTGGAGGATATCGAGTACGAAATTTGAAGTCTTGGAGAACTTCAGCAAAATGAGACAAACATAATTACCTAAAGAGGGAAATCTCTCTCATTTGCTTGTCGGATGGCAGTCATTGCATTTAGATGCCTCAGTATCGCTTTACAAAAGGTCGCGGACTACAGCCTACTGAGGCCCAAAGGTCCTGACGGGCCTCTGAGCCAGGCATCGCTCCACACTCAGCTCAAAAGGCGTCTTCCCTCTCCATCCCCCACCCTTAGCCACGATCATCGGGCCATTCTTCCCACTGACCATGCCCACTCCAACACCCATCCCGTCCTGAGCCATTTCTCCATCGGCACCGCCAGCTATCCCTAAACCAGATCGCGAGCTTGTCACGTCTCTCGTAGTCCCAAGCAGCGATTGATAGCTCAGACGCCTCGCAGCTTGTTTCGTACTCGTCGTGCTGACGCCCAGCTCTCTCATCGACCGGATCAAGCTCTCATGAGCGTCTCGGTAGTCTCCTCTTGATAGACCGATACCCGAGTGCTCGTCGAGATTATCGATACTGATCTCCCACTGTGGTCTCGTCGCCTTTTTCTGAGGTAAGAAACGAGAAATCAAATGGGCCGTCTCGGCAGAGGTCGATGAGTGACCCAAGGAGTGATGGTAGAGTACTGGGTCATTGGTGCTCTGAAGCTTGGACGCTTTAGTCGTCACTTCCAAAGCTGTCTGACGTCGTCGCGGAGTCGTCAGTGTCGCTGACGAGGTCGTTCTAGAACGCGGGTGCGAGGTGGTAGAAGAGGATGGCGAGGGCTGAGGCCGAAGATGACTTTGGAGACTCTTTGTGGAGGAGATGGATGCCTGCCTCCTCTCCATCGGTCTAGACTTGGCCGGTGTTGACGATCCACTGGATCCATTTGGTAACGTCGCGCTACGTTTCACGGGAGTTCCGAGCTCTCCATCTTCTGGGATATCCCATCCATGTCCCGTTGCGACCTCTCGATATACCACAGGTGGAGCGATTGGCGGGTGATGCATCGACGGCCCACGCTCTTTGACGGGAGAATTGGACGCCGTCCCCGATCGTGATGGCGGGAGACCGGAGCGGTACCCAGTGGGAGAGTTGAGAGGGTGGGGTGGAGCACGGAGTGATTGCAGTGATCTGAGGGATGAATTGGATGGGCGATGGCGTAAACGATGAGTTGAATTGGCCGCAGAAACATGACGTTGATGCGGTCGTCCACTCCCAATAGCATCAGCAGGTGCAGACTTTCTCATTCGGCTGGTTCGAGGCGTATCATCCGTCATGGGTTGTGATGTCGGAACTGGCTCATCCCGCTTGCCAATGGTGGGAGCTTTCGGACTGGATCCATGAGACTTGTTGATGAGAATCTGACCATCCTCATCATCTTCCTCTTCTTCCTCGGTCTGATCCATGCTGCTTTCTGTCACTCGTCGATTCATGACAGGCGCGTGATGAGTCCCGTTGGAGACTGATCGCGTTCTTTCACCTCCACCTTGACTTAGCGCTGAGAAACTTTTCTGATGTCGAAGTTGATGAGCGGGCATGACATGGGTTGAATCGTTCCAATGGGGCATCATCTCGTTGATATGTTTCTGAGCATTCGTCTGAGGATCCCCGACCGCTTGGGGTCCTGCAAACCCGAGTGTTCGCTGCCGAGGATGTAACGGACCTGAGGATGCTGATCCATTGGATCCTCCTGACCCAACGAGATCACCGCTACCGATCGCCTGAAGAGCCAACGGAGACGTGATTATAGATCGAGAGCGAGAGGGAGGTTGAGCCTGCGTATCACTTTGCGTCCTTCTCATTGGCGTACTGGCCTCAGCAGCGACAATCTTCGCTTTGCCTTTAAGCTTGGTCGATGAGGCCGAGGGTCGGACTGGAGGCTGAGCTTGCTTTTCATCCCCACTCTCTTCCCATTCTTCTTCAGATGATTCGACGGGCCGTGAGACTGCTTCACCATCCTCGTCCACTACCTCTACAGATTCTCCACTCCGCTTGCGGTCTTTGATCTTGGGTCGTACAGCGAGAGCTTGATCAGATGGATTGGATGTCAGAGAGGTTGTCCGAGACAAACGAGGGAGGTGTGTGTCGGATCGAGAGGATTTGTTGAGGGGTCTCTGAAAAGAGACGAGCTCCATCAGCTACATCGCAACACTGTATAGATCTTCTCGAGACTTACATCACTCGACACTCTTCGCTTGCCTTTCCCGACTTCTGCTCCAGCAGCTTCCAATGCATGCATGGCTAGACCTGCCGCCAGAGCTCGCTTCCCTGATTCCGTCTCACTCCCTCTCCTTCCGCTCGTGTGCGCTCCAGTGGACGGCTTGCGTTTGGCATGATGCCCATGAGATGTATGATGACCGTGAAGACCGGACCCCTTACGTTGAGGTGCAGGCGGATGACGATGCACAGTTGACGTTGCAGATGGTGAGATGAGAGTCGTTCCTGATGAGACAGACATGGTGTCAGGGAGGGCGGCGGCGATAGAGTAAGAGGTCAGGGTGAGAGGACTGCGTTGATGTGATATACACTCCTGGTAACGTGCGCTGTCTCTAAACCTCCGGTGACTCTGCTTCCATACTTGTTTGAGCCGTCAGACGATTTAGTGCTTTCGGTGTGAGGTCAAGATACACTCCACTTGGTATTAGACTGGTGTCAGACAGCGGCATTCAGCATTCGGTTCCGCCTAAAGAGCCGAGAGTGAGCCACCATCAGAATGCCATGACGTGGACTTCGAGTGAGACCCGGTCTTATCAATTTTAAGCATATTATCTCACGCGACTGCTGTTGCCTTATCAGCTATTTGATCGCCTCTTCTCTCTTATCTATAGGTGGGATTTTTCTTTCCGGGCTCTTTTGTGTCCAATTCTGGACTAGCCTCAATTGAGGAAGGGGGGGAAGGGGCGGGGGTGGCGGGTCCGTGGCTCTTAAGAGGAGCGAAAGGGGGAAGGAATGTATCCCTTGAGAGCGAGAACCCTCTACGTTCCCTATCGGCGGGGCGTCTGTCTCTACGCCGTGGGGCAAGAAGAACGGATGACCCGACGTCTGAATTTCGACTATGATAAGCTAGTCCGTCGTGCCTGTGCGTTGCTGATGATATTCCACACCTGCATCAGCTGATTGGTCGGAGGAGTATTTGAGGTGTCCGGAGCATTTCACAGAGGTACCATGTTATCTGTCTTCAATTCTTGGCTGATAGGAGAATATGATAAATGACGTCTCATCGAGATTACTTATAGGCTTGAGGTCAGATTTCCCGTACTCACATGCTATTCATCACCGTGTATCATTTGAGCCTTTTCACTCGCCTTGAACTCGACTCACTCTCGGCTCACTGACATGGCACCCATCTTACCCCGAGGAGCGGGGTACGGAGTAGTCGTGAGTCTGTCCAAGAGCATTCCTCGTGTCTGACCACCGGGGCATAGGTGGGAATGGGATTGGTCTTCAGTCTGGTCATGGTCGGGTGAGGAGATGCGACAGTAGATCGACTAGTGGAATACTTACCCTCTTTATCGTAGGTTAAGCAAGATCCAAACCAAATACACGTCTCACAAAGTCACTTCCACCGAAGAGTTCACCTCGGCCAGTAGAAGGTAAGCGTCCCAGTCCACATCCAAAAATCAAGACTGACTATGTGCATTTAGCATTCCACCTGGTCTGATCGCCGCCGGTATTGTCAGTGCGTGGACCTGGGCGGCTACCCTGCTACAATCCAGTGCTACGGGGTCGGTCTTATCATCCTCTCATGTTTTCGTACGCCATTGACATCTGCAAAAGGTACAAATTTGGAATCAGTGGACCGTATTGGTATGCCTCAGGGGCAACTATCCAGAGTTAGTCTGTTCAGCTTGACTCGCGTAGCCGTCAGAGATATGTTGCTGATTCCTCGCAGTCCTTCTTTTCGCCATGATTGCAAGTAAACTGAAGCAGAACGCTCCAAATTGCCACACGTGAGCGCCCGGGAGCTGTCCTGAGCTTCGAATGAAACTTACAACCTACCAGCTTCCTGGAGATCATTCGTGCTCGATGGGGAAAGGCAGCCCACTTGACATTCTTGTTTTTTGGTCTTGCAACCAACATCATCGTCTCGAGTGAGCTATACCGATACCTTGTCATGATGCCGGCCTGATCCTCACAGCCATGCTCATCCTTGGAGGATCCGCTACTGTCACCGATCTTACCGGGATGAACACCATCGCAGCCTGTTTCCTCATCCCACTCGGCGTATCAATCTACGTTCTAGCCGGCGGAATGCGAGCCACTTTGATCGCAGACTACTCGCACACCCTTGTCCTCTACTGTATCTTGATAAGCTTTGCCCTGGTGGCATACGCCACTAGCCCAATCATCGGATCACCAGCCAAGATGTGGGAGATGCTCAAGATTGCGACAGAAAACCACCCGGTCAAGGGCAATGCGGAAGGGTCGTATCTGACCATGAGGTCAAAGAGCGGCTTGATCTTTGGTGTCTTGAACATTGTCGGCAAGTGAGTGTGAGCGAGTGTCTGAGTTCTCACAGCTAACATTTGTTCAGCTTTGGAACGGTCTTCAATGGTAGATCTCGTCATTCAAACCTGTACCATCATGCTGACAGCTCGTCCCAGATCAGGCCTACTGGCAAAGAGCCATCGCGTCACGTCCGCAAACCAGTGTCAAGGCTTTCCTACTTGGAGGTGTCGCCTGGTTCTCAGTCCGTGGGTATTCAATCACATGCACCTTGACTGATAGGCTTTGCAGCGATGGGTATCGCCACTAGTCTCGGTCTGGCCGCCGTCGTTCTCGCTCACGGTGACAATCCACTCATCACCCTGACCTCGGATGAAGTATCGGCAGGCCTGCCAGCAGTGAAAGGTGAGCCTACAGAAGGGCATGCACGACAAAAGAAACGCCGTTGACGTTTGATCTCAGCCGCCGCTGCACTCATGGGTCAATCCGGCGGAATCGCCATGCTCATCTTGCTCTTCTTGGCCGTCACTTCAGCTTGCTCCGCCGAGCAAATTGCTGTCTCATCGCTCTTGACGTATGATGTCTATGGGACATATGTGAACCCTCATGCGTCTGAAAAACAGATCCTGAGATCTTCTCAACTGTGTATCTTGCTCTACTCCCTCTTCATGGGTGCCATTGCCACAGCCTTCAACTATATTGGCGTTTCCATGGGCTACCTCTACGAACTGGTGAGTGTTGTGTGGTGTCGTACTGTGATTGTTGATCAAAGTATTTCCCAGATGGGGTGCCTGATTGGCTCAGCGGTCGTTCCCATTGCTCTATGCATCACTTGGAAAAAGGCCAACGGTACTGGAGCGATAGTCGGAGCCATTGTCGGTTTCTGCGCCGCCATTGCAGGCTGGATCGGTATCACTGCCAAACTCAACAACGGAGTCGTCACTGTCGACACGACTTTTGGGGATTATGAGATGCTCACCGGGAATCTGCTTGCCATTGGAATCGGAGGTCTTATCACCGTTGGATGGTCGATCATTCGACCTGCCAATTTCGACTGGGAAATCACACGAGCCATTAATACTGTCCAACATGGTCAGGTCGACGTTCATTCCAGTACACCCTCTGGAGCCGCGACGCCTACTCGGGAGAGCAAGGACGAATCTGGTGCATTCACGCCCGGCGAAAAGGATGGATCAGGTCTAGCTGTAGCGACACTTCCTGTCGTCGAGGATTCCGAAGAGGATCAAGATGCGAGAGATCTACAAAAGGCTTTCCGATTCGCATCTTGGTCTGCTTTGTCACTGGTGCTCATCTTGATCATCTTGATCCCTCTGCCACTGTTCTTCTCTTCATACGGTGAGCTAGCCACCTTGTTATCCTCCTGAGCCTGGTCTGACACGCACCACAGTATACCCTCAGCATGGCTTCACCGCTTGGGTCAGCATCAGCTTGATCTGGTTATTCGTGGGCTTGGCCCTAGTCGGTATCTATCCGATGTGGGAGGCCAGACATGGTTTGAGGGATATTGTCAACGGGATATGGAGGGACCTAAGACGCAAGTAAGGGACAGGGGCTGTCTGAAGACATTGACTAGGATTTGAGTTGTCCAACTAGGTAACATGTGATGCACAAGATGGCGTCATGCTCAATCGGTCAACCGGGCATGTGCCATTTCAGTTTTCACTGCCAAGCTTTTCTACATACCTTATTTGAAGATCTGTGGCCGCGGCGAGATAGGTTGAGATAGAACAACATAGCACTTGTTCACAAGTTCGTCTCGTCACGGCTCTACTACCTCTTTACATCCATCCTTGCTTGCTTCAGCTTCCTCCCTAACACCCCCCTCGCAATGCGATCGCTGCCCAAGCTTCTGCCAGCGTTCGCTTTGCTCGTCTCCTCTTCTGCCAGTGTCGTGCCGCGTGAATCAAGCAGCACATCATGGTATAAGACTGACAAGTCAACCCTCCGACCCGAAATCTACGAGTACATCGAAAAGATCAGCAAGAGTATGGATATTCCTGGATTTACAGTCGCCATTACCAGTCCGAAGGGTGATGAAATCTGGTGCTTTGGGAGACGGGATATTCAAGGGACCCCCGTGGATCCAACGGTAAGCGAGCTAGTGATGATGAGGAAAAGTGGTTCAAACTGCTCACGTCGACTTTCTGCAGACCTACTTTGGCCTCGCGTCGAATTCCAAGTTGATCTCTGGCGTCACGCTTGTCTCTCTTATGGAACAGGGCTTTGTCCTTGAGAATGGTGAACGCTTCTCTCTCAACTCCAGGATCAAGGATGTGGATCCGACATTCAAGATGGTGAACCAGACTGCCACGGAAGAAGCGACAGTATACGATTTCCTTTGTGAGTCTGGCGCATATCTCTGAGACGCCTCGTTGAAACGAGCTCCTCATAGCACACTATTCTGGGCTACCAGGACACAACTGGTCTCTTCAGCCGAATGATACAAACGAATCTGCCTTTGAGCGGTTGTCCGTCCTGGAACCGAACCTTGGTTTCCGAGAGCTGTGGCAGTACTCCAACCTCCACTACGTTGCAGCAGGTCACATTGTGGACAAGGCGACCGGTCAAGACTTTTACCAGCAATCAGAGGACCTTGTCTTCAAGCGACTCGATATGGAAGCTACGTGGAACGCCTCAGAGGCTCTCGCTACTGGTCGACTGAGTCAAGGTTTCCTCCGTCAAGCTGTCAATCAGACTGCTTGCGCAATCGATCTATACGCTCTCGACCAGACTTTGCCAATCATCGCCCCGTTGTTCATGGCCAACGGCAGCTCTTCTTACCCTCTTACCCTAAACTCGATGTGGCCTGAGAGCTGTCATGGCAGGCAGGAGTCTGTGGTGTACTGGACCAATGGCACTGGACGGGAGTGGGGAGCCGGTGGTGCATCGGTCCTCACTGGTGAGGCTATCGTGAGTCCAGCGGCCTTCCCCCCCAGGTATTTGGTTGATCCTCGTGCTCAGCTCAAGTGGATAAAAGAAGTCGTCTCGCCAAAGAAGATCTCCCCATCCGTCATCGAGACGGTCAACACTGGACACGTCAACACTTCCTTAGCTCCTGCGCCCGACCAACCACCCACCCAGTACGCTATTGGCACAATAAATCTCTTCTACAGAGGTTTCGACGTCAAGACCCATGATGGTGATCTCCCCGGGACCAACTCTCAGTTCTTCCGTGTGCCCAATGAGACAGTCGGTGTGTTCGTCGTCACAAACGAAGACTACTACAATCAAGGATGGTCCAGTCCCGTAGCTCAGACGATCCTGGACGACCTACTTGGACTCGAACCCGTCGACCATTTCACCGAGACTTTACCACTCGTCGTACCTCTTCTTCCCTTGGTCGCTCAACTGGCCCAAGCGAATGGCTCAGACGTCGCTACGCCTCAGGATCTTTCATCAACCACACCCGACACTTCGTCAAATCCTGCATCTGCATCCATCGTCAGGCGCCAAATGACCCCAGTCGACCTCGATGATTTCTTGGGACAAACTTTCTCCTCACCAGGTTACCTGCCCTTCACCTTGGATGTGTTGAATCTTACAGACAAACAAGGCACTCTGGACAAGTACGGCTTTCCAGCGGATTTCCTCATCACCGATATCGCTACTCTCACCTATATCAATCTGACCGGACCAATCCTCATTGCCGAGTACGGGGCCAGCTTCTGCTCTCACATCGTTTTCACTCAGGCAGATGGACCTTATTGGAACGTGACCGGTGCCAAGATCTGGGATCGCGTCCGAGGTGGGCAGGATGATCAAGGAGATAAAGTCAGTCCAAAAATCGGCAAACTGACTGGAGTCGCCCCTGCTGTCTTTACACAAGATGGAATCGGCATGTTTGGCAATATCCTCACCACGAATACAGCGGCAGGTATCGTACTGCCCGTCCTCGAAGACGTCAAGGAAGTGGCTCCGCTCTTCTTTCATCGTGTTCAGGGGTGAAACGAGAGCTGAGCGAGCTGTCCTCCACGTTTGTATAATTCAGAGACATTGATGATACATTATGAAGCGCGACGAGACTCGTTTTGACCAATTTGATGACACGTAACATGCATGACTATAGGATCTCTGCTCGCGCCAGCGATGCTTTCGCCGCACTGCGATTCCGCCACAACGTCTCTGTTGGTCTCGGGTATCTGATCGACCGGTCTCCCGGCGACCTCGCCAGCCGATAAAGTGATCGAGTGCTACCTAGTGAGAAGGCCAAAAAAAAAAAAAACCGGGGGGCATGTGACTCAAGCTCGTTCTGAACTCAGCATGTGCAGCCAAATATGGGTGCACTTTACGACACATTCACAACCTCATCTCCCCATTCATCGTCGCGGTGACCAGCCGACCGTCTCTCTTGGCAGACCCCTTCCATAGCAGTCCTCTGCCACTTTGCATGAATGGAACCACGCAGATCGTGACTTGTGGCACACTGTCTGCTGATTCCCCTCTGGAGGTTTCACAATCGTCACACAAAGATCACCTCTCGTCTGCAGCGTCATCCGTACAAATCTTTCTCCTATTCCATTCATCCAGTCGTGAGCTGCTACAACTGTGTGTGAGAGAGAAGGGAGCAGTGCGGTGAAGTTATAAGCAAGCGATTCTGCTCTTGATTCTTCTTCTTCTTATTCAATTCGACCTTTCACAAACTTGCTCTAGCTAGCATAATATCGCTGTCGATTCCAAATTTTGAGCCCCATTCGCCCTCAAGATGCTTACAAGATCAAAAAAACGTACTGCCGAGTTTCAGCTCACCAGAGAGGACTCGGTATCCCCCGTTGCTGCGACCGCTCAGGAAGCGGAGGGATCTGGGACGAGGGCTTCGCTGGAGCCGGTGGAGGGAAGAGAGTCAGTGAAGACTCGAGTCCCTCAATTGTGTTGCTGATAAGTAGCTGTTCAGAGTCCGACCTCTACCTAGGGCACAGGAGGCTCTGATCACTGCCCGGGGCTTGAAACGAGGAGCATCCGTTCAAATCACGAAGGACACCCCGGAGGAGACTGCAACAGAGGAGCCTGAGACGCCGGTCGTCTCAACACGCGAAGTAGAAGGACGAGAGTAAGTACCAGGAAATGAGATGCTGTAGACGTATTGACAACATGAACTACAGAGTTCGACCTCTTCCTAGGCGAACGAGAAAGACAGACAATGCGAACGGCATGATCACTCTCAACGTCAATACTCTTCGGACCCTCAGCTCGAGGTTGGAAGCAAACTCGCAGGCGGACATCTCGGAGTTGTTACTGGATCTCACCAAGGCATACAAGATTGGGCTACGAGCAGTTCGAGCAAGAAAGTCTCCTGAGTCTTCGAACTCAGAGGACGAAGAAGGGAACGCGATGGCTGGGCCCTCCAATAGCGTTGATAACGGTGTGGAGAGTAACATCCGTGCCCTCTACCCTTCGACGCCACAAAGGTTGACTGGTCCAACAGAGCGGCCAGAGACTCCCGCAGGTCCCTCAAATATCCATGAACCGCCCTCGACAGATGCGACCGCCACTAGCACTGGCCTTCCTCAAACCCCACAGGCTACTCAGCCGGCTGAGGAGGAACTGACAGAAGCTCAAGCGGCTGCTTTGGAGGATGAGTTGTGGGGAGGCCCACCTGAGATTCCTCCTCCTTACAATGAAGCTGGAGGGGAAGCAAATGCCGTCCAGCTGCAGGCCGCCGCACCACCGGACCCTCCCCGTCACGGTACGAATCTCGAAAGGGATATTTTCAACTTCAATGCTCAAGCCGGTATCACCGATCACGACCTGTTGCCTGTTGAATACGACATCATCCGACCAAATTGTACGATGAGATTGCTGGAGGTGATGACTGGACTTTGGCAGCCAATGGGAACGGGGGTCTTCAAGATCCAGAAACGTGGAAACACCCGGTATCTCATCTTCGAGAATCTTGATCATCGATGGCTGATGGTGAGTATCTTTTTCTTCTTATGGTGACTATGGACCCATTTGCTGATTTGGTACAACCATCAGCGTTACAGAATGGACCGATGGTTTGACATTTGGAACGAGAGCCCACGCGGATTCACCTTCGTCGGCAAAGACCTTAATGAGCGGATCGGTCAGTATTGGATCATACTGGATAACGCTCAGAACCTGGCGAGGAAGCTCAAACATGAGCACATGCTGTTCAAGGCAGGGCGATGAGGGGATGGGTAGCTGAAGCGTAAAGGGGGGGGGGGGGGGGGGGAGGGGGATCCTGCAGGTGGGTAATAGCGAATGCGCCGAGCGATTTCACTGACACTTTGCAGGCTGTCAAGTAGGGGTCGCGGTCGTCAAGTCATATTATTTGAGCTCGAAGGTTACAGATGGTCTTGCAATCAGTCTCGGATGCACGAAACAACACTTGGGATCTCAGATGTATAATGAATCGCGAAAAATTGTGCGCCAGATGTCGGAGGTAGGGAGATGCAGGAGCGTGCAGGGAGAGCAGGAGGTCACCGAGCTTCCTTTCGGATTCTGGTGAATTTACCGAGGCGATGAGGGGTTGAAGTGAGTGCTCGCGCGCCTGCTTTGGTATCTGTTCACCAGCTGATCAACGCAGGACCCTCACGTTTGGGGCACGAGAGGTTTCGCTAGGCAGTCGAATAGTGACCAAGCCACCACGACACGAAGCGATGGGAGCTTTAAGTGGGCATTATCCCTTGGCCACTGCTGACGTGTCCCAGGACTCTCACGCTGCGCTGATTTCGTCTTGCAAGCGGGAATCAAGGCGCTTTCAAGTATACCGTTGAGAGGTGTAAGTGAGAAGAAATGATCCACGGTCGATGGTTGACGACGGCAGGGCTCTCATGTAGCATGCAATTGGCTTCCAAGATCTCTGAGGAATCGAAGAGTGGAAGTCAGTCCAGTGTGAGCATTGAAGCGGACCATCTGACAGCTGTCAGAATCTCCCTCCAAACCTCAATTGGCATATCAGTCGCGTCCTAGCTTTTGGCGGCGGCTGAATTTATGCTTCATCCGACGGCAGATCTGACCTGTAAATCATGATCAGGATGTGTCTTCAAAACCGTCAGAGATTCCGCACAATGGATGTGATTGAATGATGCTTCTGCATCCCTTTCTGAATCTTTAGCCATCACAACGTTGCAGGTTCAACGAAATGAGATGTTATAATGTAGATATGCAAGCTATGGTACCCGCACGCGAAACCAGATCTGAACTGATTAGCCGGCCGGAGCTAATAAACACCATGATCGCGCCCCCCGCTCTTGCGCTTAATTTTGATGATTGATTGTCTGATTACGCGCAGCTAAGCATACCTGGACGTTGCATTCGACCTCTTGCGCAAACACTCACGGTGATCTCTGGGTCTCAGCGAAAGGAGTGTACTTGTTCCATACATCCTTTCACCTCGTTCGGAATATCTAAAGCCAGGTGGACCGCCTTTGTGAATGGTCTCAAGGTGACTCACGCCTCTGCTCGAGTTTCACTTCACGATGATATCATCACCGCTGCGCCGGCCGCTTTGTCAACATGCTCGAATCATAAGATCCAATAGATGGCTCACTACAATCGGTATCAGAAGAGAGGATCCAAAACGGATTTGGGAGCGCCGAACTCCGTTGACGCCCGCTGCGGTCTCACTGCTTGCTCGTGCTGGGGAGGTCGAGGTGGAAGTTGAGAGTTGTCAGAGGAGGTCTTTCCCGAATAAAGAGTACGAGAAAGTGAGCCATGGCGTCGATAAAAGGACCACGAAGCTAAATGTGTATTCCAGGCCGGAGCTAGGATAGTACCTTCCTTGTCGCCTAAAGTGGACCTCGTTTTGGGCATCAAGGAGCCGCCAGTGTCTGAAGTTCACCGATTGATTGATGCTGAGAAAGGCCGTAAGAGGACCTGGATGGTCTTTTCCCACACACACAAGGGACAGGTGAAGGATGAGCTCCGTCATGACTGAAGTCTGACTGACCTTTCTCAGAAATATAACACTGGCTTGCTTTCCTCATTCCTGGGCACAGACAATCAACAAACGTTGATCGACTATGAGCTGCTCACGAGGGAAAAGGCGGATGGAAAGGGTAGGGAACGTGTTGCTGCTTTCGGATGGTATGCTGGAGGTGAGAAGGCTTTGGCTCGGATCAGAGGGTCAGCTGATCAGAAGCAGCTGTCGGGGCAGGAGAAGCTTTGACATTGACTGGATTGGCTCTTCTTCGAAAAGGAATCGCTACATCATTACTCGTGAGTTTGAAGCGGAATATGGCAAAGTTGTGCTCATCTCTGGTCAGAACCTGTCTAGACCTTACACTTTCAATTCTTTGGACGACTACAGGGCCGCCGTTCGTGAAGCCGCAGCGGCGATCGCTGCAAATCCACCGCCTGAACCAATTGTCATTGGTGTGACTGGGTATGTGGAACCTTTTTGAAGCTCGAGACTGAACCTCTTCTAGCCGAGGAAAAGTGGCTACAGGTGCAATGGATATCTTGAAGGAGCTAGATCCGGTTTGGGTCGAAAGTGATCGCTTGTCAGAGATCACAACGGATGGTGAGTTTCTGATCAGAGTGGACTCTGACTCCGCTTTAGCATCATCATCCTCCAAGGTCATTGTGTCAAATCTCGATCCCGCACACTATATGCGTGCGAATGGCAAGGAGAATTCGTACAGTCGTGTGGGATACTATGCCGATCCCAGCAAGTTCAAGAGCCATTTCGACGAGGTCATTGCCCCCCACCTGACAACTCTCATCAACGGGCAAGGTTGGAGTAAAGGATTCCCCAGAATCCTTGACAATGCTCAAATGGAGGCCCAAGTTGCGAGAGCCAAGAGAGATGGATCAAAGCCGAAGCTGATTGCGGTTCAGGACATCACTTGCGACATCAATGTGAGTGGCTCAAGTAAGACTTTTCAACTTGCTGAATCGACCAGGGCAATTTGGAGTTCATGGATAGATCAACGACCATAGATCAGCCGTACTATGACGGACCTGGAGGCGTCATGATCAGTTCAATCGACATTTTGCCGTCCGAGCTACGTAAGTTACACCTTGTGCAGTGTTTTATGCAATTGACGATTTCCCAGCAAAAGACTCGTCTGAGCACTTCTCAGACTGCATTATCCCTTACGTGCGACAATTGGCGACAGGTGCCCACGATGCTGTTCTTGAGGACACGTTGTCACGTGCTACCATTGTGCGGAGCGGGACCATCACCGAGAATCACAAAGGTCTTATGCCTCGTGTCCAGCAATGGAGAAACGAGAATGTGGGTTCTGGGCGGAGAGCCATGTCAACAGCCTCCCGCGATTCGGGCATCCATCGGAAAAAGAAGGTTCTGCTTCTGGGAAGTGGACTGGTCGCTGGTCCTGCTGCACAGGTGCTTGGGTCTCGATCGGACATTGTGGTCCGCCTGGGTGAGTTGACTCTGCTCCGTATGTGATTGTCTAACCCATTGCAGCGAGTGTCGATGCTAAGGCAAATGATGCAATGAGCGCAAAATACGCCAATATGTCGGGATTGACACTTGACGCTACGAACGATGCTGCAGCTAGTCAGGCTGTTGAAGAGTCGGATGTTGTGATCAGGTGAGTTCTGACAACCTAGACAACAAGCGCTGATCTCTGCCCGTCCTTAGTCTCCTCCCTGCGCCCATGCACACACTCATTGCCGAGCATTGCGTCAATCATCGCAAGCATCTGATAACGGCGAGTTACGTCTCCGACGAAATGCAGGCCTTCAACTCCAAGTGAGTTGCTCTCCAGCAGACAAGGGCAACTGCGCTGAAGCATAACAGGGCTGAAGACGCCGGCATCATAATCCTCGGGGAATGTGGCCTGGATCCTGGGATCGACTCGATGGCAGCCATGCGAATCATCGATAGAGCCAACAAGGAGGGCAAGACCATTTCCTCTTTCATTTCTTGGTGTGGTGGATTACCTGAGCTGAGTGCCAGCGAGGTGAGCATGCTTGCGAAACTTGGGGCTCCTCTGATAGTGGACTATCAGGTCCCGTTGCGGTACAAATTCTCTTGGAGTCCAAAGGCCGTTCTGACCGCTGCGCTGAATGATGCCCACTACAAGCTGGATGACCAAGTGAGTCATAGGTATCGCCCCGGCGATAGCTCTGACATTCGCTTAGATCCATCACGTTCAAGGCGATCAATTGTTGGCGCAGCATTTCCCTTCCGTGGGGCTCTGGGATGGACTACCGCTCGAGGGATTAGCGAATCGCGACTCATTGCTATACGCTGAGAAATATGGTCTTGGAACGGTCGAGGATCTGTCGAATCTGTTCAGAGGGACTCTCAGGTGAGCTATGTTCTCGATGGTCTAGACACGACTCAAGGGCGTCTACAGATATCAGGGTTTCTCGCGTCTCATGGACTCGTTCCGGCAGCTGGGTCTGCTTAATCGCGACGCGCTAGACCAGCAAGTGGAGAGCTGGACAGACTTGCTTTTGCAGAGCGTCAAGGTCTCCCAAAGGCTTCCGGATTCGACCCGTAGTGAGGATCTTCCAGTGATCGTTAAGGATATCGTCGATTCCAAGGTGGCGGACGACACTCTGCAAGCTTTAGAATGGTATGTTGCTGCAAACCGCTTCCGGTCGATGTGGCTGACCTTCATAGGTTCGGTGTCCTTCCTAATGGCAAGCAGAATACAGTGTCCAGACCAGTCACTGCGTCTCGCTCAATGGCGCCAATCGACTACTTTGCACAATTGTTGTCGAACAGACTGAGTTATCACAAAGGCGAAAGGGACACGTGTTTGCTTCACCATGAGTTTGTGCTGCATCCGGCGAGTATGGATGCCTCCCAAGGTGGTCCTGGACAAAAAGTCACTGCTAGTCTGTTGGCTTACGGGGACGACGATGCGTCTGCGATGGCTGTCACGGTCGGCAAGACACTGGCTTTTGCCGCTCTCAGAGTTTTGGATGGGAAAGTTGCCGGTCGTGGTGTCAGGAGACCTCTTGACAAGGATGTGTACGAAGGTGTATTGGACGATTTGGAGAGTGTCGGGGTCAAGGTTGCCGAGAACTGGGCATAGATTCGTTTGCATAATCACACATTCATCAGCATTGGGTCAAGTTTCATGCATTTATTCATACAACAAAAGCCAAGAAAAATTGACAGCGCTGGGCATCGTGGAGAGCTCTGTCGATCTTGGTGTCTACAGCTGCCAGATAGAGATGAGATCGCGATACCAACGTGTTCCACCTGATGCTTGATCCGCTTGATCATCCCTGACGATGCCGAACACTAGAGCATTATCTCCGGAAGATTCTAAGTTCGCTACGGACTCGATCAGCTCCTTGGCCAGACCTATCGGGAGGTTTTCCTGCGATGCCAATTCTATCAAGCTTAAACTTGGCTCAGAGGCAACTTCGGTAGGTGACGTAGTCGTCTGCGACAGATGTGTGTTCTCTGTTGGAAGATCCGGTGGAGTCAGACGGTCAACCAGGCGACTCAGAAGATTGACCGGCTCGAACCGTGGCGAGTAGAGAACCCTCATCTGGGAAGGCAGAACGAGTGTTCGGATAGGGGGCGACGTGTTGTCCGGTAACAGCGGTAGAACAGAGATGAGACTTGAAGGAGGTAGCAGCGCTAGCAGATGTCAAAATCTGTGTCGAGCAGAATAACACATTAGTGCTCACCTATACCTCTCGCTCGCATCCACAATCCCCAGACTTCATCCAGAGCGATCACACCGCGTCCTTCATCATTTGACATTAAGCCTTTAGAGCCTCTTGAACCCGTCAAGAGCTGCCCAAGTTCTTGAGCCAGCCCCTGTTGGTACTTTTTCTCATCGCGAACCATATCTGCCGTGAGTGCAGGGGCAGATAAGCCTAATTGGACGAGCGAAGAACGAATTAAAGTCGCATCCTCCTCCGCGATTGCTGCTGATGTCCCAGAAGCTTGTTGGGCCGTGAGCTTGGCGTTCAGGGATTGAGCCATTTTCACCTGGCTTCCTCATCAGCTTGCATCCATGACACCCGCTCGCATCGACTTGCCATTTCTCCAGCTCTGACCATGAGAATCTCAAGGTCTTTGAAAGCGTCTTGCATGTGGCTATCCTGGGCTTTGCTGTCGAGGCTGATGGATTGCATGATGTGGTCTACACCAAAAGAAAAAGGTGAGCGATCCATGGGCAAAGAAAGCCAGTCTACCCACCGATACCAGCTCCAGCTCGTGGTGTGCTTGGTCTGTCTGGCCCTGCAGTCTCGCTTGCCATGATTTTGTGTCTGTCACTCTTCTGAATGTAGTGTATGAGGCTCGGCTGCAGATCTACCAACATACCTGCTGCTCCCTCTCCCACACTTTGTCACTAAGGATATTCTTCAATCTCCTGTAAGCATCCTGGACCCCTGTCTTACGGAAGCTGAGCCGGACGATATCGTACCCGTCACTCGTTCGGGGAATATAGCTCAGATCCGGACTGTTGGCTATTCCACTCGAAGAGTCTTTGGGCTTGCCGGGCTTTCGAGGAAGCGGTGTGGAGCAGATCTCGCAGTTGCGTAAGGAACGATGATTCAAAAAGGTGCAAGCTGGGCATGCTATACGTCCTTCCGGATCGTCATTCATTGGCGCGGATGGCGGAGGTGGTGTTTGAGGAACGGGTGTGGATGATTGACCCAGGACAGGCGTAGCGGCACCTGAGGTGGGAACAGAGGAGCTGGAAGCTTGGGTTGGAGTGTAGGATACACCACACAGGGAGCATCTAGTGCTCGATGTTGGGATGCCAAAACCTCTGATGGGATTGACGAAACCGCATACTGCACATGTCCAGTTCTGTCCGATATCCACAGAGCTGGAAGTCTCTGGTGTATGGTTCGCCGCTGGAGGATTGGAGACGCTGTCTCGTTCTGGACCCGTCCCATTTGTGCTTGGCTTGCCCATTGAGAGTGTAATCTTGGGAGAGGACCTCATGAATCCGTTGTAGAGCTCTGTCTGCCGGACATTTGACAATGAGGATTGAAGCGGGGCAGCGGGGCGAGACGTAGACGTTGATGACGGAGACGAGCTTGGAATGACAATGAGGCGATGAGTCGTGAAATGAATCGTTGTCTCTTGGTATCCAGGGATCTTGTTGCTCCTTTACACGGGTCAGTGCACTGAAGCAGACATTGAGCGACTTACCCTTCGTACAGACCCACATTATCCCATCCTCCAATCCAGGTCTCTCCAGGCTCAAGATCAGCCGATACATTCTCCCCACGAGTAGACTCCCATGTCCTCCAGAAAATCGGAGACAGTCCAGGAGGGAGCTGAGACGCCATACTGCATCGATCTATGCTATATCCTCATGCTGCAGCAATCTTGCAGGATGGATTGAATGAAGGATGAATGACGAATTCATGTTGTTGATTCGAAAAAGTGATCGACGAACCGAAATGCCGTTCAGTTCCAAATCTCCTTCCTCTACTCAAGAGGCCCGGTTCGCAGAACTCGCAAGTACGGAATCCCTTGCTCGAGATCAACGGCATCATCAGGCAGTCAGAGGCTCACGCCATGTACTTCATTGAAGAATCGCGCTGGCGCGGAGTCTCGGAGCAAGACGAGGAAGATAACTTTTGGGACCTCCCCGCACCAGAGATCCTCCCTGTTCGAGAGATGCTGGAGTCCTTATTAGGAGTGAACGTCCTTGCTCCCTTGGTCCGATGCTCCAAGTTGCCTTTTCGACACCTTTGCTCGCTATACGAGACGCACATCACTCATACGCCCATGATCTTGGCTCAAGAGTTCTCGAGATCCCAGTCGGCTAGAATGAGCGATTTCTCTACCTCAAGCGATGAGCGAGGGGTCTTCTGGATGGAGCCGAAGGCATCAGCGTCATTCTCTCGCGAAGTCGACGAAAATCGGGGTTCCAATGGATCGACCAGTTCGAATCGAGGTCAGAGGACCTATTATGAGCCTGGACCGTCAACCCGCCTACCTCCAATGCCGATACCGCCTACCAAGCGCTCTCGCCTAGTCCGAGGAGCGCTCGTTGCTCAATTTGCATCGCCAAATGCTGAGCACCTGGCGGACTCTGCTGAGCTGGTTGCAAGATACGTTGATGGCCTGGATATCAATTGCGGCTGTCCCCAGAGCTGGGCGTACAAGGAAGGGGTCGGATGCGCTCTCTTACGCAAGCCGGAGCTCGTGCACGATATGATACGGCAGGTCAAGGGTAGAATGGGATGGAATTGGCCAGTGAGCATCAAGATCAGAGTGGATCCTGAGCTCAAGTGAGTCGAGCGAATGTGTATAGGGTGCGTGGCTGAAGCCTTCAGATTGACCGATCAGCTGGTAAAGAATGCTCTTGCAGTGAACGTATCTCACATCACAGTTCATGGAAGGACGCGATTCCAGAAATCTTCCGACCCAGTCTCGTTGGAAGGCATAAAGTTCGCAGTCGAGTCGACCAGCGGGCAAGTCCCATGCGTTGGTAATGGTGATATCTGGAGTTATCAAGACGTGGCGCGGATGCGGGAAGCGACTGGTGTGCATGGAGTCATGGCCGCTCGTGGCTTATTGGCCAAGTGAGTGCAGGCTCGGTCTTGCTGCCTTACTGATATACGGGCTAGTCCTGCGTTGTTTGCAGGCTACGAAACCACCCCGGCTCATGCTGTAGAGCAATTCGTCAATCTTTCCGTAGATTATGGCTTCATTTTCCCGCTCTTGTGAGTTGAAGGGCCGTATAGAAACGCCCGATCATTCCTCACTCATTGTTGCTCCAGCCAGCGACACTTGGCGTACATGATGGAGGCTCACCTCCTCCGAGCAGAGCGAACATGGTTCAACTCGCTGCCGTCCACTATCTCGACGATCGACTATCTTTCTGGTCGAGGTCTCAACGTTGGGAGGGCTCAAAAAATGTCCCCCGTATGGGATGCCCGACGAGGCCGTACACTGCATTCTGTATGATGTCTCATCTTGTATGTTATGCATGGATGACGATGGTTATCCTTTTGGTTGATATGACTATGCGAAAAACAACAGATCGTGTGACAATGCTGAGCCCACCCCAAAGGGCATCGTTGCGGAATTTTACCTATCGAAGACTCCTGGGCTTCCGGACCGAACTCGAGTCATCTGCAGTCCATCCTGACTCCTTTCTTCCCGTACTGGACTCGACAGCCTCACTTCTCTCGGTCTACTCCTGCCTCTACTTTGTGATCGGGATTGATTGCGCTTGATTGCCAACTCGAGATCCAGATCAGCAACGGCTGTCCGAGTCTCGGAGCTGGTATGTGAAAATGCGGACTTCCCTCGCGGTCCTGACGCTTTCTCATCCTCGATCGGCTCTGCAGGTGATTTCGTAGGTGGACTGTGATGCCGAGTGGGAGGTTGAGTGCTTGGGTCAAAGTAATTGCCTTCGAGATCCCTCTCGTGGTAGGCGTAGTCTGCCACGTATTCTCCAAGCTCGACTTCATCTTGACCAACAATCTCCGCCTCTTCGCTGGATCGGAATTGCAGACCGGGAATCAAGTTAATGATGAACATGATGAGGTAGGTGACAACAAAAGTCCAGCTACAGGTGACGGCGCACCCTTGTTCGGCGTCAGTCTCACAGCAGGACGTCACGATTGAATAACTCACATGCGAGCTGTTTGGCGAGCTGTATATAGTTGTGATCCAGCCAGCCACCTGCGATCTCTGAGAATCCGTCATTGGCCGCCACCGAAGATTGCGCGAATCTACCACCTCATCAGTTCCTATTCGACTTCTCTGGTGCAACGCTTACAATCCAGTCATCAGCAGTCCAACGACACCGGCCAAAGCGTGGACAGCAAAGATGTCCATTGGGTCGTCCACGCGCATGGATGTCTTGAGTCTTGTGCACATATTTGACACGGCCGCGGCGACAACTCCAATCAAAGCTGAAGCAGGTGCTCCTACGTATCCAGCAGCGGGCGTGATGGCAACCAATCCTGCGATACCGCCTGTACAATATCCAACGACCGACCACTTGCGTTCCAAACGGAAATCCATGATCATCCATACGATTCCGCCAGTGGATCCAGCGAGATTGGTATTGAACACCGCATATGCTGCTTTCAGCGATGCAGCAAAGCAAGAGCCGCCATTAAAACCAAGCCATCCGACCCAGAGAAGGACAGTCCCAAGCACGACTTGGCTGTTGTGAAAAATCAGTCGAAGCCCGTGCGTGACATGGAAGCAGAATTCTCACCTGACGTTCGATGGCTTGAATACCACGAGCTCAGTACCGTATCCGCGTCGCTTTCCGATGAAGTAGGAGTATGCCAAGCCACCGACTCCCGACGCTATCTCGACAGGACCCCCACCGGCGTCTGTGGCGGTATTAGATCAAGTGTCTCCTGTGAAAGCATGGGTCACGTACAGTCGTATACGCCCCATTTATAGGCCCAGCCATTTGAGCTCCAGATCCAATGCGCGATGGGGTCATAGACAAGAGTCGTCCAGCAGACGATGAAGACCATCGCAGGAAGCATCCTGCTTCGTTCTGCGGCTGCCCCGAGAAGAACTGAAGGGACGAGGCAGGCGAAACACTGGTCAGAGTAAGCAAGAGACAGCAAAGGGCAGGGGTCCAATTGAACAACTAACCATTTGATACATTGCGAAGACGATCTCTGGGATCTTGTTGTTGGACTCCGGGATCGGTCTCTCGAGCACAAGTCTAAAGCCGACATTTCTAGACTTCATGTGAGCGAAAATACATCGTCTAAAACGCCAACGCACCTCCCGTTGCCCAGAAACAGCCCGCCCGTCTCGGAAAACGTGAGGCTGTAGCCAATCACCCACCACTGTACGGAGGTTATGGCGAGAGCGACCCAGCAGATGAAGATGAGCGACAAAGCGTTCTTTCGTCTGGTGAGCCCAGAATAAAGATAGCCAAGTCCTGGCAACTGGAAATCCGAAAATTCAGCGAATCTCGGATTTTTTAATTGCCGAGTGCCACACTCAGCGCACGCGACTCACCATGAAGATGATGAGAGCTCCGCAAGCTAGTACCCAAGCAGTGTCGCCAGGAGATAGAGCTAGAGGGACAAAGATGAGCCCAGGAATCCTGTGTGTTGTATTTCCACGCACCAACTTGCTCCCCATTATAGTCGACGACCATGTCGGTGCCCAATGGGTCGACCTGGACAGCCCCATTGGCATTCTCCGACAGGGACCCGTAGGCGAAGCTTCCCATGGTTATCCGAGGCGAGAGGTGTTTCTGAGAAGTCCAGTTGAGACCCAGGTGCTGTCTTCCTCAACAAGAGAGCTCTCTCCCTATTCGCCAATCCTTTCGTGATCGTCGCTCACTAGCGCAGGTCGTCCAGTTGTTTGTGTAGCCGTTGATGGCGTAGATGACCTGAGACTAATACCGGGTCATAGGTCTGACCTTGATTCAATCCAGGGTGTCTGAACTGGACCACAGCGACAGGTGTTTCGAGACAGCAGACTTGATTTTGAGACAGGTTGTAAACTACGTTTGCGTCCTTGACATTATACTACTTTGTACTTGACAGCCAGCAACTTTTGCCTTGTCTTCCGTCAGAGATAGTACAAATATAGATTAGCCTGATTCGGGAATTGGCACCAAAAAAACAGAGATATTTTGGAGCAATCTCATTGGTTCATACATCATACACACCACGTGGATGTGGGTGATCAGCATGCTTGCGGGTCATGCACGAGTCTTTGACCCCGACGCAGACTGCGACCAATCACTGTAGGCCTGTCGTAGACTGTGCTGTGGGCTCATTGTCTCTGATGTGCTGCGCGAAATACGTGAGACCATGTCGGACACGAGAAAGATCAGCTCCAGGCTTGTTTGCATTCCTCTAGCAAGTGAGCAAAAGACCTGGCACGCCTCAGAACGGCCTGCCTCATGTGGCCGCCTAGGATGTCCTTCGTATGGTGATCCACATGCGTGTGGATGCTCACAAGTGGACATTTTGGCTGATTCGGGCACACGCAGCCATTACGTCGGACCACAAGGCACATGGGGAAACGCCTGTCATGGATCAGTCTATAACATGCTGGGTCCCTCCAACATGTCAAACGTGACACCGGTCTCAGCGCCGGATGTTCAGGCGATCAGGACAGGCTCGACTTTTGTACTGTCCTGTGGAATGCAGCATATCGAAAGGGTCAGGTACGAAAATCTCGGAGAATTGAGAGGAACGTGTTAAGAGTGGCACTATGCTTTGACGCAAGGGGCTGATTAACTGGCCGTGATCACCCGTCCATACAGACTGTTGCAGGGTGGAATGCGTTCTCCGGATCGCCGTGTCACATGGTGCTACCGCTGCAGCATACATGGTCTTGACCAACTGATGCGATTCGAACACACTGACCATGATGTACAGCAAGACCTGTGGCGGACTCACAAGTAAACAACTGGTTGTTGTGGCATCTACAAAAGGCAGTCTGACTATCCTCTATCCACCCATGCCCTCAAACACTTTGCTCACCTGCCAGCGACCGCCATGCTGAGACTATTTCTCGTCGCCTTACTCGCAGCGCAATCCGCTGTGGCCATCACCAACTTCATCGGGTGTGCAACTGAACTTCTCGCCGGTTGTATTGCGCAGGTAGGAATCACCGACCAGCCTACTTGTGTTGTGAGTTCCGAGGTCCGTGTATAGACTCATAGCTCATTGTGCCCCTCCCCTCCTGGCAGGACAAATGCGCTGCATCTGGTTACAGATATATCTACTATCAGGACAGCCTCGACAGCCCTTGCTATTGTTCTGCTAATTATCCGACCGTGAATGACTTTACCCCGTCCTCCTCTCCCTCCTGCGACACCTCCCATTACACTGTAAGTCTTGTCGTTTAATGAACTCGTGTCGGCGCTCTGAGCTGACAACCTGCATGTTTCTAGGTCGAACGAATTGTCGGTACTTTCACTTACCAATTCTGTGCCCATAACGTTGGCGGCACTTCATCTTTCTCCGGGACCGTTTCAACCATTGAAGATTGTTTTTCATCCTGTGGTCCATACACCTGGGCTTCGTGGATTAACAATGGAGGCACGTTCTGTGGCTGTTGGGCAGACAGTGCGCCCTCTTTCACCAACGATCAGACCTGTACCTATCCAGTGTACAAGCACACGGCTGGATCCACAGATGCTTCCGGCATCTACCGGAAACGAGATGCAGCCCCCAAGCGGATGTTAGCCGGCAGCAATGGCGTTTCCTGCCCTGGTAATCTGCTCCCTTGTTTAGTCGCACCCACATCGGACCCTTCATGGGAAGACAGCTACGAGGTAAGGCATAAAGATTTTAGGATTAGACCTCGCTGAAATACCGGGCTATAGTGCTTGGACACCGTATCTGACCTGGAAGCTTGCGGGGGGTGTCCGTACGGCCTTCACCCTGCCGCATCTCCCTTTATAGGATCGGCCGTAGACTTCGGTCAAGAGTGAGTCATCGCGTATGATTCTGCCCCGATCAAGCTGACATGTCTTCCAGCTGTTCAGCTATTCCTGGCGTTGCGCTCGGAGGGGTGACTTGTGCTGCCAGCAGTTGCGTCGTGACAGCTTGCAGGGCTCCGTACGAGCTAGACAACGGGATTTGTGTCTAGGATGGGCGAGAGGCATATATATCGATCTCACCACTGTCTCTCACTAGATATATGTCCGACTGGTAGAGATTGGATTCTTGGGCCTCATGTATTCGATCGAGGTATCATGCGGCGAAGCCCGCACCCGTGTAACAAAAGTGGCCGTTTATCTTCGACTCTCTAATCATTTATAACTGGATGAGCGTCCTGTGAGCCCGCTCTTTAGACCTCTCTGTAGGTCCGCTGGCCAAGACATGTCCGGCAACTCGAGCCACAGCGGATCATCACTCGACCATAGGCTAACAGGCATCCTCGACGATCGAAAATCCAAGAAGCGGTATCGCTCGCTAAAGGTTTTCGATGACCATAAGTCTGGTCTAGTAGATTTCGTGAGTCGTGTATAGAGACATCGAAGGCCCAACGACGTACTGATTGGATTATCAATACAGTCATCGAATGACTACCTCTCCTTGACGGCCTCAGCTGAGCTACGCGCAAATTTTGTCGCTCGCATTGCAAAGGCACCTCTATTTCTTGGCTCGACGGGTTCCAGACTTTTGTCCGGAGCAAGTCCATCGCACTCAGCCTTGGAGCAACGCTTCGCAGACTTCTTCCATGCCCCGAGTGCCCTCTTGTTCAATTCTGGCTGGGACGCCAACGTCTCATTCTTTTCCACTATTCCTCAACCTGGAGATTGGGTCGTATTTGACGAGCTGGTGCACGCCTCCGTCCATTCTGGTCTGAGGGCATCGCGTGTACACCCTGATCATAGGATAGCCTTTGATCACAATGATTCTGAATCTTTGGGAAAAGTCCTAGACAGAATCTCCAGCAGTCCAGCGGCAAGCTCTCACAAGGGTCCTGTGGTTTTTCTGGCACTGGAAAGCCTTTACTCTATGGACGGGGACATGGCGCCTTTACAGACATTCCTAGATGTTCTGGACAAATATGTCCCGCGAAGCAGGCAGTGCATCGTTCTAGACGAGGCACACTCCACTGGTGTCTACGGCCCCCGAGGACGAGGTGTTGCATATGCTTTGGGAGAAGAGGGAGGATGGGAAGAACCCAATATGAGCCAAGGAGCTGGAAGAATCGGTGTGAGACTCATGACCTTTGGCAAGGCTGTCGGGTGCTCAGGAGGTCAGTCCTTCGGTCCCATACGTTTGTGCCCCCGCTGATGGTATCATAGCCGTTCTTTTATGCTCTCCGACTATTCGCTCTTTCCTCATCAACTTCGCCCGTCCGTTCATCTTCTCCACAGCCCTCCCTCACTCGTCTCTGCATGCCCTGGAGGCGGCCTTTGATATCATCCAGAGTAAGGATGGCGAAACCCGTCGTCAGAAACTTTTCGCCCTCTGCCGTCACTTGCATGCCCAGCTCGATGCGCTATTGGAGACTTGTCCCCGGAACCTTCTTCGTCTGCCTCCGAGACCGCCCAGCGTCTCCAATCCGGGCTCCGAAAACGCGGATATGAGCTCAATAACCCCCATTATCGGCCTGATTACTCCGAATCCACATGCTCTCTCCGCTTTTCTGCTTGAAAAAGGCTTTATTGTTCGACCAGTCGTCCCGCCGACAGTGCCCCCAGGCAGCGAAAGAATTCGACTTTGTCTCCGATCAGACATCCCTCATAGCGTCGTGGATGACTTGTCAGCTGCTCTCAAGGAATGGATCAATCAAAAGCAGGGATCCGAGAGGTATGGATCGATTGTCGGGTCATCAGTCTTTGCAAAGGCCAAGCTATAGGCTTCTAACGAGTCCATCATACACACACAGTAAGGATGTGTTTATAAACCTCATCGGATACCCCGCATCGGAAGTTATGCATCATTTACGACAGAGTGGTACAGTATGTTCATGATGCAAAGCTCTTTGACCCATGTTCACAAGATCAGCTCTTGTGAGGGTCGTAGGTCCCGCGATGCTGGTCGGAAACTCGGGCTCTTCGACCTTGATCTACGCTCTGTATGAATCGGCCGAAATCCGCTGCCACGTGGTTGATGCCGACTCGAATTTTTCGGCCGATGAGTCTTTGGTGCTGACCCTCGACTTGATTCTTATTGGCTCCGAACATTCTTCGTCTCTATACCCATCTCATTGACAACTCTCAGAGCACGAGTGAAGCCGAGTCATAGCAAGACGCTTTTCAACTCAGAGAGCTACTGGTCTTTTATCAGAAGACTGTCATTGACAAAGTCATTCATTTCTACAACTCCACCATGCCTGCCCCAAAATCTCCACCCCGAACTCTTTACGACAAAGTCTTCGACGACCACGTCGTGTATTCAGGAGAGGGCGACACTTTACTCTACATCGATCGTCATCTCGTTCACGAAGTCACCTCTCCGCAAGCTTTTGAGGCTCTGCGAAATGCTGGAAGACAAGTGAGAAGGACAGATTGCACCTTGGCCACGGTCGACCATAACATTCCGTGCGTCTTCTTCGGCGCCGACCTTGGACTCCGTCGATCCGCTGACAATCCTCCTAGTACTGTGTCTCGAAAGAATTTCAAAAATGTCTCATCCTTCATCGGCGAGGCGGACAGTCGGGCTCAAGTCGTCGCTCTGGAAGAGAATGTAAAAGAGTTCGGTCTGACTTACTTCGGAATGGACGACAAGCGTCAAGGTGAGTTCATGGCGGTCTGATCGCTCCCGCTGACTGACGGACTTCCCAAGGAATCGTCCACATCATTGGTCCCGAGCAGGGTTTCACTCTACCGGGAACTACCGTTGTCTGCGGCGACTCCCATACATCGAGTGAGCAGATTGGATCTCGCAGTTGTCAGTTACAGTCCTGACTTGTTCCAGCTCATGGCGCATTTGGCGCTCTTGCATTTGGAATCGGTACCTCCGAAGTCGAACATGTGCTCGCTACGCAGACTCTTCCGCAGGCAAAATCCAAAAACATGCGGATCTCTGTCGATGGAAAGCTCGCCGAAGGTGTAGGATCAAAAGACATTGTGCTGCATATCATCGGCCTCATTGGTACGGCTGGAGGCACGGGATGCGTCATCGAATTCGCAGGGTCTGCCATTCGAGCGCTGAGCATGGAGGCTAGAATGTCCATCTGCAACATGTCCATTGAAGGTGGTGCTAGAGCTGGAATGATCGCCCCAGATGACATCACTTTCGAGTACCTCAAAGGCAGGCCTCTCAGTCCTCGAGATGACGAAGAGTGGGACAAGGCCGAAGCGTATTGGAGAACCCTCAAGACCGATGCTGGCGCAAAGTACGACGTCGAGGTGGAAATCAAGGCAGAGGACATCATACCCACAGTGACTTGGGGAACCTCACCACAAGACACTGTTCCTATCAATGGTGTCGTCCCAAATCCCGAGTCTTTCCCAGAGGACAAACGAGGAAATGTCGTCCGGTCTCTCGAATACATGGGCCTCACTCCTGGGACCCAGATGGAGGAAGTGAAGATCGACAAAGGATTCCTTGGATCCTGCACAAACGGCCGAATTGAAGATCTTCGATCAGCCGCTCGTGTCATCATCGCATCCGAGAAGAATGGGGGACCCAACAAGGTTGCCGATGGTGTCTACGCTATGATTGTCCCCGGATCTGGACTGGTCAAGCAGCAGGCAGAGGCTGAAGGCCTGGACGTTATATTCAAGAAGGCCGGATTTGATTGGAGAGAAGCTGGATGCTCAATGTGTTTGGGAATGAATCCTGATCAGCTCAAGCCCCAGGAGCGTTGCGCTTCAACATCCAACCGAAACTTTGAAGGTCGACAGGGTGCCGGCGGGAGGACGCACTTGATGAGTCCCGCCATGGTCGCAGCCGCTTGTCTCACGGGTCGACTGACCGATGTGCGCAAACTGATGGGAACCCAAATCGGCGAGGACGGTGGGCTCAAGATCACATCCTACTTTGATTACCTCACACCGGTCACTGTTAGTGCTCTGCCTGAGCACCCGACAGAGGTCAAGCCTGAAGGACAAACCCCTGTCCAGGCCGCTGCTGCCGCTTCGGCTGGTCTACCGAAACTTAACATTGTCAAAGGTATTGCGGCTCCATTCTGGCAGTCGAATATCGATACCGACAAGATCATCCCCAAGCAGTTCCTGAAGACCCTACTGAGGACTGGTCTTGGTTCGGCTCTCTTTCATCCGATCCGATATGATCCTGCGACTGGAGAAGAGGATCCTGAATTCGTGCTCAACAAGGAGCCGTTCAGGAATGCAAGTATCTTGATCTGCAAAGGTCCCAACTTCGGATGTGGATCTTCCCGAGAACACGCGCCTTGGGCTATCCTCGACTTTGGCATCAGAGTTGTCATGGCGCCTTCGTTCGGTGACATTTTCAAGACAAAGTGAGTCGCGCATTCAACGCCCTTGGAGCGCCGCTGAATCCCATGTTAGCTGCTTCAAAAACGGTATGCTCCCTCTCGAACTCCCGCAAGCAGATCTCGATGCTCTGTATGAGGACGCCCTGTCAGGTCAAGAAATCACTCTGGACTTGGAAAACGAACAGGTCATCCGACCCGGCGATCACCCTGCCATCAAATTCAGCATTGACCCCTTCCGGCGCCACTGCCTCCTCAATGGTCTGGACGACATTGGTCTAACACTTCAACACAAGGAGGATATTGAAAAGTTCGAGGAGAGACGAACGGCTGTCTGGCCATGGCTGGATGGAGTCGGGTACGCCAAAAAGGGCCAGAAGGTCGTGGCTGTTCCTTCGGGACCGACCAAGAAGAAAATGGAGTGGTAGAGAGTTTCATGACCATGAATGCAGATGTGACGAGATCAAACTTTTGTGCACGGGAGGAATGGTTTGCATACAATATCGATCACGCCGGACGTGCATCGAGGGATTCTTCATCACGTCTCACACCGGGGACAAGCGTTGGCATGTCTGCAGAACGAGGAATAGATTCAGAAATGGTGGCAAGGGCAGCCTTGTCTGGGATGCCAAGGATCGCGCGGAGAGGTGTCAAAAGCTTATGTCCTATCTCTTCACCTTCTCTCAAAAGAGCCTTGCAGCACAATTCAGCCATGTCTACGGGGAAAATGTCGAGCTCACCAGGACTACCTCGACAGCGATGAGGACGATAATGATGACTTCCATACGATGACCCGATGCCTGAAGTCTGTCAACACATGCGAGAAATTCTCCGCCCACCTCCGTAAGTAACGCCCTCAGAGTGCTTTGAATCTCTTGAGCATAATCGCACTTCTTGTTGAAAGTTTCTATTCGCTCCTTGATCTCGAACTCGGTGGCAATCCAGTCGAAATATTCTAGTTCATGTCAGTTGCAGCCCGAGGCTCAATAGTCACCTTCTAGCTGAGGCTCGGCCCAATATATCTGAGAGATGATTTAGCAACCTGTTGTAAGGGATCCAAATGTCCGGACTCACGTCCGGAGTGTCCTCTAAACCACCTCCCCACGTGTTCACCGCCATGCGCAACGTCATCAATTCGCCAAGCTTCCGAATGACTTCCCTCCTCTGCATAGGCTGAGCACCTGACCTTTCCAGTGCTCGAGGAAGATACGAAACAGAGGCGATGTGGTCCTCGAGTCTCCCTTCGAGGACGGATAGTGACGATGATCTGGAGAGCGAGAGGGAAAGAGTGTACCGAGCGAGCAGGGCTGCGAGTTTAGGAGAGTCGGGGAACGAAGACAAGGTCGGCGGAGCTCCTAGTAGAATCAGATTGCCTCGAATATCTGTCTGACTGAAATTCGTCAAAATGAACTGCGTTCAAACAAGCTCACGCATCGGGATCAACGATAAAGTCCATCTCCTCAACCTCGTACTCCCTCTCCGGCAGTCTCTGTACCTCAATGTTTGCACTTCGACGTCTGATCACGTCCGTCAGAAAAGCTTTGCCCTCCTCCTCTGTCAGGCCCCAGGTCACAAAGTTGCCCGAGTTGAAGACCCAAACCTCGCCCCGTTGACCGAATTCAAAGTCGTTGACCAGTTCAGCATCTTCCTCATCTCCGGCACCGTCGGAAGTCGAGTCCAACAGAGATGACGATGAGATTTTGGCGACATCTTTACCCTGAACTAATCGCTTTGCGCCTCCACGACCTTTCCATGGTCCAATGACGAAAGCTCGCTCCCGGTCGCCCTCTGGGACTTCTTGCCATTCTACACCTAGATCCCTCAACACGATCCCTAAGTTGACCAAGTCGTATTTTTCTGCCGTCGTATGGGCTATGCACTGAAGCAATGGGCCACGAGTAACGGATGGAGCGTTTCGCAACGGCGCAGATGCAGCTTGCAATCGCCGTTTCGGTGGCTTATGAGACGCCGGCTTGGGCTTCGAAGGTTTAGGCTGCCATTGCGAGGACGATGATGAAGAAGATGCTTGTCTCGATAAGCGGGAGGGACCGGTCCATCTAAGTCTTGACCTTGGTTCTGAAAGTTCAAGCTGATCGAGTGGCTTGTGTTGAGTGACAGATGTACTTAATGGACGTCTGTCGAGGAGCGTGAAAGTCTCTGATGGCTGCCTTGAGACCAGTGGCCTATAACAGGTACCACAGAGGCGCGAATGAGGAGCACTCAGCTTACTGACCAGTCTGCTTGGGAGTGTAGCCATCGTGCGTGACTGAGCGACAAGCTTTGTGATGGACAAGATAGATAAGTCCACTGTGGTCGGTCAAAATTCACAAATTTCCGGCCCATCGGCCAACGTGGCAAAGGCCTACTGCAGCACTCTCAGCAGCACCCCATGCATCGCTGATGCGAGCTGGTGTATCTCTCTGCATAGTATCATATTCAGCCTTATATAAACTTTAGCTGTCATCGTACAACTTGATTCTTATTATCCAAAGCCCTAGCCATGTCAGCACAATTCCCTTCGATTGTGAGGCGGCCCAAGTAAAACCCATAAAAGAACGCCTCGAGACCCATCCTCGACCTGATATATACCACCTGCACCAGAACATCAGGTATTTCTGATTGGCGGAGGTCTAGCAACAGTGACCTCCGGCAAAACCACCTCGTCTCGCTCATTGACCTCTACATCTGCTTTGGCTGCTTCCCAATAACTGGCACGATCCATCGGTATATCATTCTTGGAGTAGAAATCTGGGCCCCGAATGGTTGGTAATCGTCGTCTGCGACGTTGGCGATAGCAGAACAAAACAAAGCAGGCGATCGCGATGAACCCCACAACTCCGACAATCACGCCAATGAGGTCATTCGTACTGAGGACAGTGCCGCTTGTAGATCCAGGGATCATCAACTGGTCGACATTGTAGTTGAAGTCGCCCACAGCGAACCGCGAGCCATCCGGCCCCAGGAATGTGATAATCATCTCGTACTGCTGCAATGTGTCTAAACTGGTGGCGTATAGCACAGATCCGTACTCTCGCCATTGACGTTTGGCAGTGTAGGTCGTTGTCGCAGGCATTCCAACTGTTGCCATTCCATACCAACTGATCGTCCCTGGTTCTCCGGCGGTTACTCCAACCTCCTGCAGGGTCACAGAGTAGTTGCCGGCATCAGGACCTGCGTACCCGCTGAACGTGACAAACGATGCGTTTGGTGGCATATTGTAAAGCAGCGAAGATCCCGGCGTCCATGTCGACTGATATGATGAGGGCGGAGTACCAGTGAGCCAAGTCCCATTGGCGGCGACTTCATACCCGGAGGCGCTGGTCACGTTCGGTAAAGTATAGGGCACCGAAAAACCTTCTTCCAGAGGCGTAGCACTGTAGCCCAATATTTAGCTGGTGAAGCCCTTAGCAGGAGGCAGCAGGCTCACTGGCTAGATCCTGAGAGGTAGTTCAGCCCAATGCTCGACAAGTTGAGCCAGTCCTTGTTGAGCTTCAGAGTGATCTCGTGATAGTCGTTAGATAGCTGACCTATGTAGCCCAGATATCCGTCTTCTGGCGTCTGCCCTAAGCCGAAACCCGATACGGTGAGCGCGGAAGGCGACGCTTTATCAGAGTTACTGTTCGATGCAGTCATCACTTCGTTGTCGACTGTAACGCTGAGCGTTTCGTTTTGCTGCGCTGTGTTCTGATTCGCAAAGGATCCGAAAAAATATGCGGAGCTCCCCACAAAGGAGAACGTGAAGGATGATCCAGGCGTATCAGTGAATGCCCAAATCTCAGACCCGCTCAGCAGTCCCGTATTTTCCCATTCCTTCCACGACGAGGCTGGTGCAGAAGTATTCCACGCTGATGAGGGCGGAGGCAAACCCAACGAAGCGTTATAAGACCAGGGGACCAGTGGGGGATCGAAAATCAGGAGCGGCGAGGTGGGGTCAAGGGTGACATACCCCCCTGATACGGCGGTGTATCCTTGAGGGGAGGTGATCGTCGACATCTCAGATGTCTACCAGGTGAGCAGAGCAGCCTCTGGCAAAGCTCTCAAGATGTGAGGCAAAATGCGTCAAGAGAGATGTCCCCCATTTATTACAAGTCAAATATCCGCTGGACCGCCATTTTGCCCCGCCTCGATAATATGCCATCAAAACCATGTGCGTCCCTCAGGAACGCCGTGTGACCTATAAGCATTTTGGTTGTAAAAATAGCCCGTGCGGCTGATTATAACCGTGCGCTGCTGACGTCGGATTTAAGTATCTTAACATAATTCCGTGTAGAGATAGACTCATTCGTCATCTTTACCATATGCACGAGCATCACGGGTCTAGCTATGAGCGTACGAGAGGTGCTGATAGGTCTTACGGATCACACACTGTCTTCCTTTCCGACTGTGCTGCTCTTAGTGTGGATTGTCTGGATATCCTGATTCGACCTTTCAGGTGCCTACTTGCTAGGACACCGATTCGCGTCCGTCGTGTATAAGCTGAGAATCAGGAAAAAAAAGCCTGATACAGGTCTCACGTGTGGCGAAGGGGGTCTTGCGGGTGTGGAATGCAGTCTGATCCGTGCTTCTGGCTTATGCTGGGTATTGCATACTTCAGTGACCGCAACGGAGACTGTCACTGCGGATCAAGTCTACTACAGCATCGCTTTTCTGACCCTGCCTCTACTTCTGGGGTTCGTCGTCCAGATTGGACTCAAAAAGTGGGCTCGTGGGCCCCGTGCGTCCAACTGGCGGGTTGCTTGCTCTCAACGACACCATGAGAGTCTGGATCTTTATGCTCGATAAGCTGCTTCAGCCGCCCTCCTGTCTCCCAATATTGATGACAAGTCTGGAGAAACCTACGTGTCAGTGCGACGAGAGGGATGAATATGCCCAGTATGCATGCCTCTGGCACCCCAGTGTGTGAGTTCCGGAACAATCGAGGGAATTGTGCCACGCTCGTCTTTGTCGGGTAATGGCTCAAGATTCTGTGCCGGAAAAATCGCGTGGCCTGCTTCCTCCCATCACCTTCCTCTGCCCATACATACAGCGACAACGCTCGACAGTCTGATTTATACCTTCATCTCACCGTCGCTACACCATGTCTGCATTAGCTTCTTCTCTCATTCTGCATCCGTCTCTGAACCAGTCACTCGCGGTACTGGCGACGACAAATGGACGGGACAAGGTGAAGTTTGGGAGTTTCTGCACAAAGTATTCGCTAACATCCCGACCAGGTGTATCGACTGATCCAATATCTCTCAAGATTGATCGCGTGGTCATACCTCCGTAGGGGCTCCCTGGACCATGCTGCAAAGTGGGAAGGGTTGATGAAGGGTATGGCAGCGGGTAGAAGGGGTGAGTCAAGCACTCAAACTATGTGAACATGAGAAAACTTGGAGACTGACCCAAACACTCAGTGATGCGGCTCTTCAAGCCCACCGAATTTGTTCAGGCTGCGTTGAGACTTGCTCAGCGGCCTATGTGAGTCAAATGGCATGTTCAAGTCGCTGATGGTCATTAGAACATCACTCACCGCCCCTGGCCAAATTGCGCACCTAGCCCAGATTGGACGCCAGATTGGCTATGCTGGATTCCTTGGCAGTGATGGTCTCGTCTGGCTCGGTGGAATCCAATTTCTTCGCTACGACAAGGAGTGAGTGCATGAGATGATGCGTTTGCGATCATCAATGACGTTGCTGCTCAGGAAGATTGCCCGACTTCAGCGGATCTCGTACAAATGCTGGTTGACTGGCATTTTCCTCTCCCTTGTATCAACCGTTGCCTCTCTCGCCAAGCTCAGAGCGGATGGCAAGCGTTTCGCGTTATCAAACAAGATCGCCAGGCGGGAAGCGGCTACTTCTGAGAAGACGCCGGAGGAAAAGGCGAGAGATGAGGAGGAGAGGCGTCAAAAGGGCAGGGCACTGTTGGCGTGAGCATGTCTTTTTCCTACTCGATATCAGAAATTTGACACCCCTCACAGGCAACGGCAAACTCTACTGAGCCAATTGGTGATGGATTCTTGTGATATCTGGATCCCGGCCACAAATCTAGGCTATACCAGTCTTAACGACGGCGTCCTTGGCATCCTCGGGTAGGCGTCCTGGCCTCTGCTTGTGGAATCTCGACTGACCTCGCACAGTGCTACGACGTCTTATATGTCACTCCAGACCTTGTGGGCGAAGCACAAGGCCGCTGGCATCAGCAAAGTTTAGATTGCAAGGACCTCAATTGGGCTAGACGTATCGGCTGCAGGCTTTGAGAGCGATCGCCTAGTAATGACAATTCAACTCTTGGTGTGTGACGCGGACGGCCTGTATATGCATCTGAGTATGAGATTCCGGTTCTTCATGCTTGCCAAATGTTGGCTCTGCGCTTAGAATGCCCCCATTCCTACTACGTACTATTTCGAAACGACAATAATTACGAGAATTCGCGCCACCTGACGAATGAAATTCTTTCCAACGTCATGAATCAGATCTTCTGTGCTATTGTGACACATCGACCTTCTGATAAACGAAGTCCTGCCCGTCCACTTTGATTCAAGCTCAAAGCTCCCGTCGAAACAGATTGAACCGCCGCGACTTCCACCATTTTCCGCGTCTCAGCCAGCGGTGTCCGACCAGCGTCACACCCTCAGAGACCGTCTGCATCTTCTATATCGCTGCATAGGCACTTCACCTTCGCGCGCCATGTTCGGCCGTCTCACCAGACTCACTGTGGATCTAGTGGCCATCTCTGTCCTGATAGCGGGAGTCAAGAAGTCCACAGGCTATGCGTGAGTGAATTATACTCGGCGGAATCATTGACTGATCTATACTCTTTGTTTCTCGTTCATCTGCTCTTCTCTTGGTTTTCTCACGCTCCCTATGTATCAAACCCATCTTGCCGCTTATCACCACCTATGCTCCTTATTGCTGGCCGCATCACAACACGACTTGCCACGCTCCGGCATTTCACAGACCCCGAACGGAACGGATCAAAGACACTGCCCTGAGGAGATTCTTCGATTCCTACTTCGCCTTGGGCGACACTGTCTTCGGAATGGTCTGTGGTTTCGTTGTGAATTCTCGCTACTTTAAACGGACAATAGAGCCATGACATGTGCTCCACGGATGGGGAGAAAGATGCTTATTGAAGCTGCGTTGTACTGGCTGTTGGATGCCAAACTGTCGCTGTATCGACTTGGATCACCTGCTTCACACATTCTTCAGGGTTCCAAGCCCTTCTGCAAAAGGCGATAGATAACCTTTGCTTAAGTGAAAAATGTTTTGCAGGAAGTCGACGCTCGTCAATTGCCTTTTGGAGCGAGGCGAAGGACTAACAGCCCCCAATCTCACATGACCTCCCCCGTCATGATAAACGATGAGGACTCGTACAAGCTGAGACGGGCTCCCGGACTATCCCGGACAGAGGGCTGCGAGTGGTCGGAAATCGTTGGATGTCTTAATGCACCCAGTCCCGCAATGCTGATACTGAAATCATTTCTTGCCGTGATCCTTGGTATCGCATACACTAAGCTTTTCCTCACTCATGGCGCCAGCTTCTCCCCAAAGAAGCTACCGACACGGAACTTCCATTCATCAAAGCAGAAGGGTACAAAAGAGGCGGGCTTCTCTGACCCTTGGAAGCTTCTACGGCTCCATAGAGCTAGACTGATCATATACTAAAGTCTGGAAACACAAAATCGGCCTTGCTCCGGTCTCAAATGGCAATCTCACACCTATTCCACATTTCGGTACCGATATCGGTCCAATCACCATCCATCTCTCAAGGACCATGCTCGTGCAATTGCGAGTCTTGTAAGTCGACTTCTGTCCTCCTGAACCTCCTTGCCGATACGTGTCGCTCGAAGAGAATATCCAGCTCGCGATACGTTCGTCCTTTGCATTCGGGAAGCCGGAAATAGGACCAGATCCAACAGAGGACGCAAGAAACAAACTGTGAGAAAGCTGTCAGTTTCATCTTTTGGGAGCTTCAATGGGCTCTTCTCACCCAGAAGAAACCTGCGTATCCCTTCCAGCCCCATGCGAGGGGGTTCATCATGCTTTCCAGCATGTCAGCCTGTCCTCTATACACAGGACGCATTGCTCACTAGGTGTTGAGAATTCCAGCCACTATTCCAACAATATTGTAGGTGATTCGAGCCAAGCCGACAGTTTTCACTCGCAGCCGAGTGGAGGACACTTCTCCGACGATGCAATACGCCACAGGCTGTTTGATCAATCGTCAGACGCTGCTCATCCTCTATCTAAACAACTTACGCCAACTGTGAAATCATAGGTGAAGACCCACATCAAAACGAGGGCAGCTTGTCCCCATTTCGCGCCGGAGTCTCCGTGAGCAGAAGGCACAGCAAGACCACCGATGAGGATGAGACTTGACATGGTCAGCATACAGGTGCCAGGTTTCTGAATGCCCATAAGTACTCACAGCACAGCCAGTACTGAAAGGCCATACAGGTAGACAGTCCGTCTTCCCACATACTACGAAAAGCAATCAGTTCTGCTTCAAGGCCAGAATGCGTCCACTCACTGTCATGGTGAACCAGGAACCTACGGTACCGCAGAAGCCAATCGCGTATTGTCCGAGATTGAATTTGAAGGCATTGGCAGTGCTGAGTCCGGCTTGTTCAAAGAAATAGGTTCCTGTGTATGCCTATCAGCGGCGAAGAGGGAAAGCTCGTCAAACATGCCTTGATTGCCAAACGAAGATCCAGACAAAACTTGGATGGCCCAACCGATACAAGCAATCTCTGTGCGACGGAGATCTGATCCACGGAAGCAGTCCTGTGAGGCAGAAAAGAGTGTATCAGTGGGGATCCTGGCGGTGGCGGTGTGGTCATACTTACAAAGTAGCTGACTCCAGGCTGATTCTCCAGTTCAAGCTGGTTCGTCCTGACCATCATGGCTATGACCTTGTCTGGATCGGTGTCTCCGTTGCGCTTCGACAGGCGCATGACGGACTTCTTGGCTTGTTCAAGTTTGCCTGCGCGAACCAGGAGCCAAGGGGACTCGGGAGCGAGAGTGGCGAGGATGAACAGAGGGATCGGCCAGACCTGAGGGCTGTGAGTAAGTAGGTGACACATTGTGATGCTTGTTTTGACTCGCCCATTGCACAGCAAAGGGGATCTTGTATGACCACTTGTCTGGTCGATTCTGGACACCGAGCAACACTCCAGCACTAAAGTGTCTCTGGTCAGCCAACACTGGACATGACTCAAAGTCAGTCGCACCTGATGAATTGCCCAATGACCCAGCACTGGACCCGCGATCAGCTTGAGCATCACTGCTTAACACCGACAAGCTTACCAAGTTGACGTAGGTCGTCAGATAACCTCGGAGAGCGACAGGGGTCACTTCGGAAGCGTAGGAGACCGCGGACTGGCGAATCAGCTATGCCTCAACCAAAATACTCACGCTTGAGAAGGCACCCCAAGGCAAACCGCAGAGGAGCTACCTTTGTGTCAGAGGAGGGTACGACGCGCAATTCTTTTATGCTCACCTCGCCAACGAAGAGGACTTGGACGTTTGGCGCACTGACGATGGGTCAGCAGGATGCAGAACTACCCTGCCACTCACAAGAAGACGATGAAGACGAATGCAGCCATGAGGACCAAAGAGATCTGAATGGTGTGCCGATATCCATACCTGTCCTGAAACCACGAGGCGACGAAGATACCACTAGGTTTGTGTCAACCCTGGCACGGCACATGCGACTGTTCCTCCTCACATGATGTTTCCCACTGTCGATGCCTGACCGATAGCCGTCTGCCACCTGGTTGCAGGTCAGCGGGGAGAGGGATGGCCTTGTGCTGTGCCAGAACGCGACTTACGCTGGCTCGAGCTGGTAGCCATCTGCTGCGTTGCCGGAGTATTTACCATACTTCTCCCTGTATGGCCAGTCAGTGAAATGTCTTTCCGGCAAGATCTCCACAGCGGACTTGCCTGAAGATTGGCAGTCCAGTGATACTCCCGAGCACTGCGATCGAACTCAGCTCTCAACCTCGCTGCACAGTCACTGTCCCCGCTTACGAGCAGTATCATATCCTTCCATGATGATACAGAGACTAATGGCGAAAGACCAGAAGATGGATTGAGGATAATCTTTGAACGCCTGTCGCCATCCTTGTTCACGCTCTTGACGCTCTGCAGCGATAGCATCTTGGATCAACTGGGCCCACTCCACGGTATTCTTCTCGCCGGCGTTCTCCAAGCGAACTGGAACGCTTCGCTCAATGAAGGTCGCATCGTCCGCCTTGTCAGCGCTGCTCTTGCGCTCCACCCCTGACATGGTCGCTCTGATTGTGAATGATTTGGCTGGATCGTATCGCTCAAATGTGGACGCTAACAGTTCTTTTGAGACCAAGAGAAGTCTGTTACTCAGCACAGAGACCCATAGCAGGACCTTCGGGCAAGTTTTGTTGGGCTCCGACGAGAGGCCTCTGTGTCTACGCATAGGATACATACGCTCTTTTGCTTGCCTCAGTTCTCACACGTCTACCATACAGTTCCGCGTTCTCAGGCATTGATGGATCAAAAAGGTTATTATTGACCCCACGATTGCACCTCGGGCTCCCACCCCTCGGATCTCTTCCCCGCAGTCTCTGGGTCATGCCGAGGTTTTTCTACCCCATATGGTATGTCAAGATCTTGACCGCGTCCCAAGAGACCGGATTTAGCCATGGCAGCCGCCCCCCATTCGTCACAGACAATAGACTTTGCTACGTCTGTGGCGCACGGGAATTGTAAATTCGGTCAAATCCGAGAAGTGCGCAGTGAATGGAACGACAATATCTGGCACAAGGGTATCCATGGGAACTGTGAGTAAGGCTCAGAGGGGCAAGCGTCCTTCCCTTGGCAGGTCCGCTTTGTTGGGGGCATAATCTGACGCAGCCGTCGCCTAAGTCTTCGCTTATATTCGAGCGCGGAGAGTTCGAGGTCTGCGGACCGCAGAGTATACATGAGCGTTACAACTTGGATCTAGTTACCTTCTACCGCGCCTCCTCCCAAGAGTCGCTCTCGGACGAACTATGTCCATCGCTACGAGCTGCTGATTCAGACGCACCTGGGTCTTCTGTTTCGGTCTCCGTCACCTCCGTCTCAGTGTCAAGTATTGGAGCAAAGCTTCTGACGCGACTTGGCGCAGTCGTCTCTGACTAAAAAGGAATGAGTGATACTCCATCTGGTAGGACTCACCCCTCCGATCGTTGAAGTCCGCTTTCTTTCCTCCGGCATTTTTCTCAGGCCTCCAAGCGCACTCGACTCGACCTCTTCCCACTCTCTCCGCCGCCTTGCTTCCTCCTCAGAGGCTTCTCTAGCTTGTCTTTCTTCGAGCCGAGATGCCTTCTCAGCCAAAAGATCAGCCTCAGACATTCCTGTCGGATCAGTCTGCCGGGAAGATCGGGCAGCTTTGGGTCGAAACAGGAAAGAAATAAGGACAAAAGCGATCAGAGAAGAGGATAGCGTGAGAGCGAGCGAGATCGGCGGTAGAATGAGAAGCGGCGGGATAGGATGAACAGACAAGAGCCATCGGACGCCTGTTGGTCTGGGCGTGAAACGAACGACGACCCAGCCGGTCGTTCGAACTTCACGAGATTGAGGTTGGCATTGTTGCGCTGTGGCATCGAACGTGTCGGCATCTTCGCGGCCTGAACACGAATCAGCGCTGACCTGCACGTCACTGCCCACCTATGCTGACGAACGCTGAGCCAACAGCCGTGTCCCTCGCTCGACCTGGATTGACCACAACGCCCTCCATCAGATTCTTCCTCAATAGCACCACATTTTTGTCTCCGACCGGATGCCCCAAGCTGCCTTTAGCACGTCGTCTTCGGATGCGGCGAGTAGACTCGTCTGCGTAACCAAGCACTCGTGAAGGGCAAAAGGCTCGGAACGGCCATGGGATGATGCACGGTGGAAGAAGATGGGTCGGAAGGGACGGAAGGGCGAAAAGTGAGACTGAGAGGGGGGGCGGAGGTAGGGACTGCAGACATTAGGTTGATTCACGGGGTGATGTATTGGGCGCGCACTCACGGGCTGAGCTGCACCGAAGACGACGAGGTCTGAGTCTCGAGCAGACAAGAGTTGCAATGTCAGCATGAAGTTTCCTGGTGTACTAATCAGCCAGAGGACAATGAGAATTGATCTCCATCACCACGCACCCATCTCCTCGGATCCCCTTGTTGGTCGAACGAGCTCCATTTCCACCTGAACATCGTATCTCAGTTCTTCTTGAAATCTCTCTATAGGCAGATCCAGCGTCGTATGTGGGGCTCTCATGTTCTTTGATCTAAACGTAATCTGACGTGTCAGTGTTCGTAGAACGTGTACTTGCAGCTGCTGCTTGCGCCCGGCTACCTTGCCTCACCCGTAGATCAACCATCCCTCCAACTCGACTTCGCCCCCAGTTCCCCATGAATACCAAAACGCCCCGGTGGCAAGGATCGAGAACACAGAAGATCCCAGAAGGAGTACGAAGAGGAGCAGGAGTTTGAGGACGACGCTGACGGTCAAGGGAGAGGCGAGAATATTGTGAATCCATTTGAGTGGGAGTGTGACACTACAGGAGCGGGGACGATCAGCGTTACACAATTTATGCGGGTAGACAGAGCGTAGCTGCGATATAGGGATTTCGCCAATGCTGCACGCCAACGACTCACGGCAGAGAGAGCGTACGAAGCAACACTACTAGAAACTCGAGAAACTCGTTCTTGCCCTTTGTCGAGTCTTGTCGTCCTATATCCCGGGACAAGGTCTGGCCGGAGCCGGGACCCTGCGACATCTGCATCGCTCGAGCCCTGAGGTAGGGCTCTAGGGATGGCTCGGGCTGAGAAGCCATGGTAGCCACAAGGTATACAGGCCCTGAATGACCTTTCTGCTGGGATGAATACCGTATCTGAACAGATATGTTGTGTGGAATTGTGACATCAAGCAGCCGACGCCAGCGCTGATTACGAGGCGAGGAGGATGGTTAATCGGGGATTCGCGAATCCTAATGACGATTAGGAATTTCTAAAATCCTAAGACCCCCCCTCCCCCCTTGTTCCGGGTGAAACGTGCGAGACGTCATTTCCAGCAAAGACGAGAGATTTTGCTGGCACGCCAAGGCTGGCTTTTGAACGATTCAACCTCATTGCTGGATCACCATGGACACATCCCAGCATCCTCGAGTAGCGCTTCTATCGCCATCGTCGTCCCTGTCAGTTGATCATCATGTCGCTTCCTCCAAATTGGCATTGTCCACCGCCGATTCGAAGCCTACCTACTTTCAAAACCCTTGGAGATCGTATCGAGCTCCCTCACTCAATGATGCCTGGCTAGCTTATCAGAAGGGGGCAGCAATAGCTTTACCACCTCACAAGACTCCCGCACGTCGTCCATACCTCGGTACAGGGCCGGAGGACGAGAGTGCGCCGCTGGCCGTGGATCCCGAGGCAGATGATGCGGATGATCCGAGAGATTCATCTGGTGCACTCTGGTCCGAAGGAGGATGGTTAGGTAAAGTCTACGTCAGGCCGGAATTCGCAACGGTCAAGGATGAAGTAGAGAGGGAGCATTGGAAAGACCCACCGATTGAAGTCATCGAGCCAGACTGGAGGGAGTATGGTGATCAGAGTGAGACGGGAGACGTGACATGGTTAGGACATGCTAGCGTTCTAGTGAGGATACCTTGGAAGAGAGATGGGGAGAAGCAGCGTGCTGGAGCTTGTGGTGTCTTGTTTGACCCGATCTTCTCTTACAGGTGCGCAAGATAGTTGAGCTACGATTGGGTCTAATTGGCCGCTTTCAGGTGCTCGCCTTCGCAATACGTTGGACCGGCTCGATATCTGCCTCCGCCATGTACAGTTGCGGATCTGCCGCCAATACACATCTGTTGTATTTCTCATGATCACTGTGAGCCCTTCAATTGCCTCAGAGCTCGATGTTGAGGAGCTAGACGATCATCTTGACTACTACACTATTATGGATTTATGGAAGTACCATCAAGCTACGATACATTTTTTCGTCCCAATGGGTGAGACAACGTGAACAAGTCAGATGCACATAGTAATGACATATATCAGGACTGAAAGGATGGTTCACAGCTTCTACGATCCCAGAAGACCGCGTGACGGAGCTTGACTGGTACCACGAGACGCTCCTCAACTTTCCCTACCCATCCTCCGGCCAAGATGAGGGAACAGTTTCCGATGATGATGGCGATGATGAGGGTCCAAGTTACTCAGCTCCGGCCAAGGTCGACCCGGAAGCAGCACTGACCCTCAAGATTGCTTTCACACCCGCACAACATCGGTCAGGTAGGGGCATCCTCGATCACATGACAACATTATGGGGAAGTTGGTGTATCGGTGTGGTGGATGCGGATGACGCCTTGAAGGCTACGGATCTGGGTATGAAAGGCTGGAAGGGCTGGCGAATGTTCTTTGGAGGGTGAGCGATGACTCTCGCTTGATTATTAATGTTTACAGAGACACTGGGTATCGTTATGCCACTGCACCGGAAGACGACGAGGAGGCCGTATGCCCGGCTTTCCAAGGTCAGTATAGGAATTCTCCCGATCCCACCGATGGCTCATGACTTCGTACAGAAATCGCATCTCTATACTCTCCCTTCGATTTCTGCATGCTTCCTTTATCGACCGGCTCGTCGCTCCCCTTTTTACGCACTGTCCTCTCCCTATCACTGGATCAATACACCCTCACCTCGTCCCAACACTGTTCACCTGGTGATGCACTAGAGATTCATCGGATCATGAAAAGTCGTCGATCATTGGGTATCCACTGGGGCACTTTTTGTGATGCCGACGAGGCTCGGGGTACGCGTATAACGTTTGCTCGGGAGAGAAGAGATGGAGCTGTATGTAACACGTGGGAGGGGGAGGGAGATGGAAAGGCTGAGAACGGGAGATTTGTCATTTCTGACATTGGCCAGATCCTGACGTTTCCGCAAAAATAGGGGAGAGCAATGAAGTATCAGCCGTCAATACACACGGTCAACATAATCCAGGGTGGGTCCTCGCTGTTGTAAAACCTGGTAATATCATATATGGGCTCGTTACTCGGCATGTGCGCAAAGAGACAACAGGGGACAGAGCGCAAATTCTCATTAGATTGATCCTCAGCAGGTCACCTCCCCTTCTGCCGCTTCATCTCCTCCTTGCGTCTCCGTCTCTCAGCTTCTTCCCTCTCCGCAAGTTCATCTTCTCTCCTAGCTATCCTCGCTGCTTGCAATTCCTCCTCTTCGACATCACTTAACCCCGCTTCCATGTCGCTCGACCCGTCACTGTAGTCATCATACTCTTTTCTCGTTTGGCCTGGCCTCCTGAACAAAGCTTGGATTTCTGCAGATATTGCAGATTGGGATGGCCCGCTGTGACCTCCTCCAAACCTCTCTTTACCTCGAGGTCTGTCTAGATCCGGTCGAGTTCGTTTCGCAGGTCGATCACTGTCCTCGGACGTCGTTGTTGAGTCGTTGGAATCGCGACGTCTGCGAGAAGGGTGCGCGGCGGCAGCCTTTCCAATGGTATTCCGTGGTCCGTTGCGACCCATCCCATCGGCCTTTGGTCTCAAAGATGGGTCTTCCCTCGCTTTGCCATTTCCATTGATGTGGGATGCAGCGACCTTGCTTGACCCATTTGATAGCTTGCTAGGAGTAGCGGCTGATCGAGGCAAGGATCCGGAAGCCAACTTGGGCGAATTGGATGGCGAAGCCGCCTTATCCACTATTGACCTGACTGAAAAGACGCTATCAAACTTTGACGCCTTGGCGGATTGGGCGAATGCCAGTGCGGCTTTGGCCTTACGACCGAGAGGCGGAGGCGAACCTTTACGCTCTGTATTTCGTTTCTTGGTATCAGAACTCTTTGTTCCGCCCCTGTTCGCTCGAGAAGTCGATGAGGCCTTTTGGTCGTTCGCAGCCTTTTTCGCTTCGAGTCTCTGTGTTTACCAGTCTCAGCAAGACTCTATGATGTACACGTGTGGCGGCGCTCACCTTGATGAGTGGCTTCTCGAGGCTGAAACTTAATGGTCTTGGCCGGTATTCGTCCTCTGCAAAGGGATTATATTCAATCTCCTTTGCCTCACTTGCGGAGGGTCTACCAGCAATGGAAGGAGCGAGAGACGATGAAGCAGATACTTTCGAAGGACCAGCTTGACTCGACGGACCAGCTTGACCTTTTGACGCGCTGGCTTTCACCATCGCCTCGTTGGCACGGAGCAGTTCCTTGCGTCGGAGCTCCTTACTTTGAAGTTCTCGCTGCTTTTTACGCTGGCAGGAGACATCAACTTCCGCTATGCTAGGGATTGTAGATGCGATAAACCGGCCGGCTCACCTCCTCCTCTTCCAACGCAGCTTGCTTATCCTTTAGGCGCTTCGCTTCGAGCTCAGCTTGAAATTGGGCCTCTTTCTTCCGTTGAAGCTGCTCCGCGAGCGCCTTCCGAGCGAGATACTGAGGGCAGGTGAGCTACCATGAATGAGAGAAATTGTGAGCTCACGTCAGACATGATGCGTCTCTCGTCCTGTCTCCAAAGCTGTAGGACCAAGTTACAAGAAGGTGGCGATGCAAAGCCAGGAAGTATATACGTCAATAGCCGAAGAAGAATGCCAACGAGAATTGCTCCCTTTGCCAGTCCTTCTCTCTCTCAATCGGATCTCATATACCCATTGTGGGTCTTAACTGTCTCTCTCAAAAGACGATATGGGTTGCTCTGACAAGACACGAAAGGTTTCTGTCTCGTGCGCGACGGGGATGATGGCCGAGTGAGAAAGCAAGTCACTGACGAGCTCAAGCGTCGATCGCTCAGAACGGAAGCAAATTTCCGCGAGACTCCTCAACGCGCATTCATGCCTGACAACTCAACTCGTATTACATATCCAGCACTTATTCATCGATCGTTAGAGCTGACAAAGCAAGATCAGGCCAGTAGATAGGACAAGAACGCTTACTGGACATCGATACCTCAACTGCATATACGACTTCCTCTCAAACAACACGCACATCGCTGCTTCAGGCCGACTCGCGAAGAATCAGCGAGAATGGACAACGATATCATGCGGCTGCTGCAGCAGCTCCAAGGCGGAGGACAACGTGAAGCTCCGGCGGCACAGACAGTCATAGCGGATAAGTGAGTAGCTAGTCCACCGGCCTTAGGCGTCCAATGCACGCCACTGTCAAGTCTTGTCGCTGATAATTGCTAGCGGCGAGACGGTGCATATCTCCTCTTTGGCATTACTAAAGGTTAGCTGCGCAGAGGATCATCGCCATGACAAAGCTGACACGAGATTAGATGCTCAAACATGGTCGTGCGGGAGTACCGATGGAAGTTATGGGATTGATGTTGGGCGAATTCGTGGACGATTATACGGTGAGGGGTTAGAGATGCTGCAATTCGCAGCATTGGCATTGATCAGGAATCTGTGCTGATCGGCTCGCATCAGATATCATGCGTCGATGTATTCGCCATGCCGCAGAGTGGAACGACCGTGACGGTAGAAAGTGTGGACCACGTCTTTCAAACGAAGATGCTGGACATGTTGAAGCAGACTGGACGGTGAGTCAGCAACCTGCCTACCCGCCTCGAGGTCTGAACCCTGATGATCTTCTGCAGACCGGAGATGGTAGTAGGATGGTACCATTCACATCCTGGATTCGGCTGCTGGCTCTCATCAGTAGATGTCAACACTCAGCAGGTGAGTCATCTGTGAGAGGCTCACATTTACTAATCGTTTCAGTCCTTTGAACAATTACACCCTCGAGCCGTGGCCGTTGTCATTGATCCGATCCAGTCTGTCCGAGGAAAGGTCGTGATTGATGCTTTCCGATCCATCAACCCTCATGCCGTCATGGCCGGTCAAGAATCAAGACAGACAACGAGCAATATTGGTCATTTGAACAAGCCGAGTATACAGGCTTTGATACATGGTTTGAACCGATACTACTACAGTGAGTCAGATGCGAATGGCAATGACAAGTAGCCTCGAGATCCAGCCATGGAGATGGCGCAGGGCGCTGACTATCTGTCTCAGGTCTGGCGATCGACTACCGAAAGACGGAGGGCGAGCAGGGCATGTTACTGAATCTGCATAAACGAGGATGGACCGAGGGTCTCAAGCTGAGAGATTTCGACGATATGAAAGAGGGCAATGAAAAGGCCGTCAAGGTGAGTCATCTACCCGCTCTTGCGTGAAACTACACGCTCATCTTCATCAGGACATGTTGTCACTCGCCTCAGCCTACAACAAATCGGTGCAGGAGGAATCAGCCTTGACACCGGAGCAGCTCAAGACGAGGCATGTGGGTAAATTGGACCCGAAGAGACATTTGGAGGATGCTGCTGAAAAGGCAATGGGGGAGCAAGTGACTCAGAACCTTGCCATGGGAGTATTGGCAGAGTTGTAGAGGTCCTTCCTGACAATTGAACAAGCATGTGCATGGATATCGGTATGCATAGTCCAAAGTCGGGGTGGGTCAATACAATGAGGGATAGGAATTGTACAACATTCGTCTAATCGGCACGAGATGAAAATGGGAGGGCGGGATGGCACCAGGGGCCATTGCCTAGGTCGGCTCGCCAGAATGATCCGCACCGCATTCTGTGAGACTGGCTCCGCAGAACTGAGCTAACAGGATGTAGAACAAAAGCTTGGCCAATCACGTCAGGGATTGTACTTTCACTGAAAACATATACATCTTCGATACTCACCACGCAAACGACGCCCGTCAGGACAGTGATCCTCTGATTTCTCCACCATTGTTGTCTCCTGACGCTCCTTGCACCTCGACGGAAGGCGTATGCCTGACCAGCCAGTGTATCCGTTTTGTCCACTAATAAGTCTAGTCGTTCACCTCGTTGGAGGATCGAGTCAATGTTCTGCACCATTATATCTTTGCTGCGGGCAGGAAGCGTCACGAAGGGATCCAGCGAGCCAGACCGGGAGAGAGAGAAAACTCACACGTTGTCGAGATCCGTCTTGGCCTGTTTGAGTGGATCAGACGGCGGGTTTGCAGTGTATTGATCCATGAGCTAAGGCGAGAGACGTGCGTTAGTCAGAGCCGGATATCGAAAGACCAAATCAGCTGCAGATGCAGCTGCTGTTGCAGCAGCTACTGACCTTTTTCAATTCTGGCTCAAATTCATGATCCAAGCTATGCCCTCCAGCCGAGATCACCATATCAGAAGAAAACATTGAGGTGAACTGGTAGTTTTCATATCGTCAGCTCGAACTCGAAGCGAAGAAAGGAGGAGACCCTGGTACTGACCTTGCGCTCGACCTCTGCTAAAAAGCCAAATGGCATTCTACGGCCTACTGAGTCGTCCGCCATAACGAGATAGATGACACCGTCCGAGGAAACATAATGTATGAGTCTATCTTGCCAAACGTCTAGTAAACGCATGTCAACGAGGTCCAACAAGAGATCGGAAGGAGATGGACAACATGGCAAGTGGAGCTGTGGCGATGACTGTACACTTACACGTGAGTTTACTGTTGTTCGGTGGGATCTTGGACAAGATGGTAATTTGAGCAGCTACGAATCGCTCAGCGTGTGTCGCTCAGTAGGTCGATAATCATCGCTTGCTATCAGACGTACCGGGTTTCAGCTCTGCTCCTCCCGTGGCGTGTTCCGCAAGGACGGTGGTCCCGCGAGCGACCAGGGCATGTATGAGAGACATTGTGAACTGTTGTCAAGCTTGGAGACGAGAGTCAGTGACGTTCCAGAGCCAGCCGAAGTCGATGCTCAGAGCTCGGTCGTGTCGTAGACGCATACAAAGACACAGCGATTGATAAGCGCTGAGCCGGAATCGGGAAGACCAACGACGTCAGAGGTGAGAATAAATACCACGTCATACATCTCTCCATGTTGTCCAGCCACGAGAAGCGTTCCGGGTCGATTTGAATTCTCGGGTCGATCTGGCGACTGTCTTTTTTCCGAAATCAACCCTCTCTGGGACACCTTCATACTCAAGAGATACTGCGTGGAAGACATCATTGGCATCCTCAACGGTGGCGCTCTGCTGAATTGGCCTTCATTCCATGATCAGAGACCTCGCTTGACCTCTTTATCAGGGATATCCCGCGGTTGGGTAGACCCAAAAATGGACTACGCCATGGATTCGCCCACGACTCGAAGCAGGACCAAGAGGGGTTTGGAAGAGGCGGGAAGTGGCTTGTCATGGAAGCACGAACTTGATCTCAGGAAAGAACTCCTCGAGTCTGCTGAGCAGGGTGAGCGCGAGCATGCATGTTGTGTATACGATGAAATCATGTTGACTCTGCCTCTCCCACAGACAACGCCAGGACGACTCCTCTACCTTCACAGAAAGCTCGACCGGCATGCTCCCTCTTGGCTTTTTCACCATCCCAGCGTCAACTCATAGCATCCACTTCCAGAGAGCCTGGTCCGAGCTCCTTGGGACCGAAACGCAAACGTCCGAATCGATCGCAGAGGGCAACCAATTTTGATCCAAAGCGGAATACAAGCAGTGCGCCTGTGGTCTCTGGCAACTCTAGCTCTAGGATTGAGCTTGCGAGTGTCCTAGGACAGCTGGATAGAGGAAGAAGAAGCTTGCGAGCCAGCTTATTTCCCTCACTGATTGGAGAGAATGTAGAAGTCGATTCTCTTCGGACCCCTCGAAATAATCATCGGAGGGATGTGGATTCGCCGACTCATGGTGTGCTAGCTGTACGATCGTCCAATCTTGCTTTGCAGGACGAAACCGCCCTAGACGATAGCGCAGATGGGAAGAAAGATTCGAAGCTGATCACCGCACCGACGACATCCCGTATAACACCCCAACGCCAATCCACCATCCTCCAACGTCATTCCTCCAGCTCTTCCATGTCGTCTCTAATCTCTAATTGCTCGCTCAAAACTCCCAAATCGCCACGTACCCATGGTTCAGGCCTCCGCATAGGGCTCCGAAGTGTGAATGCCAAGACGCCAGGCAACAAGGCGGCCACATGTCCGGCAAACTCAATATTGCGACCACAGCTACCCATTCCCCTACAAGCATCAGCGTCACATCCATGTGGAAAACTGCCAGCCTTTGCACCGACCATCAGCCCTCATTCTGCCGCACGCTCAAGAAACAAATCTGGCGAACTGGCCACTCGGATCCCCGCTCCTATGTCGGCAGACCTACATCAACCCCCTTTGGTAATACCCATGCCTGCTTCAGACGACTCGGATGGTCTCGGAGATGACAGCTTTGATCTGAGCGAAGTAATTCGCAGCGGCGATGCGAGCGCTGCGGAGCTGCTGAAGCTCGTCGATGGGATATGAGAGAGCACGAAGCTCGTACTCTGAAGGACGTCGACACCAATCCTGTCAGTGGAAGTTATCGCTCTTATCTGTGCAAGCTTGTGCCGACTGCTTGTCTTATAAGGGGGTAATTTTTTTTTTGGGCCGGGGGACTATTGCTCTTGTCTTTCAGCACACTGCACTGTATACCATCCATAACACGTTGTAATATTATACATGAACGCATGTCATTCGGAACGTATTGGGACTAGCATGGTCACATCGGCGCTGAGTATTGATTACATTATTTGGCCGTAGTCTGCCGAATATCTCCACCTGTTGACTCTCAAGATCCGGTCGCGGAGCCTCTCTCCCCACTGACTGACCCAAGCACGCCATTCGAGCTCGATGTCTTATGCCTCAAACAGCTCCACAGTAGCCACACGAACAATGCTGACTTTTTCTCTCATGACATCAAAGGTTTTGTCAGCAAAACAAGATCCATCGCCACGTGTTCCCATCTTTTTTATGCTTATTGATCATCATCCGAGAAGATCGGAAAGTGATATATAACGAGGAGGTGGAGGGGGGCATCTCACATATCTGAGTTCTCTGAAAAGCACTTCAGCAAAACACACTCACTTCAAATCCACTCACCATGCCTCGTAACACTGAGAACCTCGCCCCCTACAAGAACGAAGGGGTAAAAGGGTACCATGAGTACATCGTCCAACAACCGCGACCCATCGGTTCACTCCTCCCCTCCGACAAGTTTCCCCAAAATGCTCACCCTCCGAAGTTGTTTGAACCATTGACGATCAAGGGTATAGAATTTGGCAATAGAGCTTGGGTCTCGCCCATGTGTCAATGTACGTGTTGATCCATATCATTCGAAATGGCATTTGTGTGCTGATGGGACCGACCCCCCTTGACAGATTCTAGCGACAATGGACATGCTACAGACCACCACTTTATCCATATTGGAAGTATGGCGATGCGAGGATGGGGTAACATCATCATCGAAGCTACTGGAGTGGTCCCGGAAGGAAGAATCTCTCCTGAAGACGCAGTGGGTCAAACTTGACTCTTATGATGCTGTCGGAGACAAAGTGCTGACACCCACTTGCTTTGCTTCCTTCACAGGGATTGTGGACAGACAGTCAGATTGAACCTCTTAAACGACAAGTAGATTATGTTCATGCTGTTGGAGGCAAGATCGGTATTCAACTCGCTCATGCGGGCAGAAAGGCATCAACTCTGGCGCCTTGGGTGGAGACCCGAGCCAAGGAAGAGGGATGTAAAGGTATTGTGTCGACGGATGAAGTTGGAGGATGGCCCGAGACTGGTGAGTTATTGTAGAAATATGGTGACGTCGTAACTGAACCTGAGCTACAGTCATGGCTCCCTCGGAGCTCTCCTATCATGATGGCGAATACCCTCTTCCAGCGGAAGCGAGCACAGAGTATGTCAAAAAGGTCATGCAGGCGTTCGTGGATGCCGCCGAGAGGTGAGTCGCGATCCAAGCAAACTTGGTAGTGTGCTGAACGGCGATGGCGTCAGGTGCAAAAAGATCGGATTTGACTTTATCGAGATCCATGGAGCTCATGGCTACCTCTTCCATGGTGAGACTTCATTACACTGTTTGCAGGACCGGACACTGTCTGACGGAGGTCATTTGACAGAATTCTTCGACCCCGTTTCAAACAAACGAACGGATGAATTCGGTGGATCATTTGAGAACCGAGTCAAAGTCGGGGTAGAGACGGCTGCGGCGATTCGAAAGATTTGGGACAAACCGTTGTTCTTCCGTCTAAGTGCATCTGATTGGTTGGACGAATCACTGGGACCAGAGAAGGATGCGAATGGCGAGTGGAGATGGTGGTGAGTGTGATTTGAAAGAGTAGCAAACAGATCTCCGTACTCACAACCTCGTTCCAGGGGTATCGACCAAACGACGTTGCTCTGCCAAAAACTCAAAGACGTCGGTGTAGACCTTATCGACGTTTCCTCGGGTGGCCTTGATCCCCGACAAAAGATTGATATCAAACCCGGTTACCGTGAGTCCTTTAAAGGTTATCCCCGCACAGTAGTCTAGCCGAACTGATTGTGATCCTGTCCAGAGGTCCACTTCGCAACTCACATCAAGCAACACGTCCCCGGTGTCCTTATTGGATCCGTCGGACTCATCACTGAGCCAGCGCAAGCCAACGATATCTTGCAAAACGAAGATTTAGACGTCGTCTTGTTCGCAAGAGAAGTCTTGAGAGATATTGATTTCCCATTGAAAGCCGCTGAAGAGCTCGGATGCGCTGTTCAGCCAGCAGTCCAATATGAGCGGTGAGTGGCGGGGAGGCCGCAAGGTATTCACAGATGATCTGTACTGAGATATGTTTTGTTCAGCGCTTGGACTCGAATGGTCGTCAAAAGGGATAACCTAAAGGAAGCAGCGCATCAAAAGGCAAAGGTTTGAAGATTGGTGTAGATAGATTAGTAGAGTTGCGTGTATGCAATGCGTTCGTCGTCAGCCACAAGCCACATACATGGCATTCGTACCTCAAATCACAGTGATGCAATGTCAAAGCCTGCGCTGTTTGTCCATTCGCCCAGGTAACACTCAAATTATAAATGCATGTTCAAGATATGATCCACTCAAACTCCTAGTTGACCAACCTGACGACCGACACATGGGGCCCCTTGACAGGTTTGAACGCCTCTGGACCCCTTTCCAAGGGGAAAACATCCCTCACGACGGGTCTAAATCCAACCATCGCAGTGTCCTCCAAGACATCTCTGCAGTCCATCCCAGAGGCATCTACCTCTGGTTCTCCCGTTCCAGCCGGAGCGAGGTATTCGAACGAAATGAATTTTGAATCCTTGCGCTTGTTTGCAAATGCCATTCGGAGGGCTTTGAATCCAGACGTCCGATTATGAATGGGCGAAACGGCATTGACGTCGTATTTGACCGTACTGACCAATCTCGCTCCATTCTTTAAGATCCGCTTCGCAGCTTCATATACTCGTTGACCACCCGCAGTATCGAAAATGAAATCCCATCCACCTTCATCCAAACTCAAAATGACAGCTGCCGGTGATCCGATCAAGACACCTCGCGCGCCATTCGCCATACATGCCGTTTGAGCTTCGTGTGTGTCTTCTCCTCCGGGGATCAGCGCAGTCACGTTGACGCCGGCTCGACTCATTTCTTGGCAGATCAATGCGGCGATACCGGCATTGGCGTCCATGATGAGAGCCCGAGAGTTGCGGACCAGTGCCGCTCGAATCAACCGAGCCGCGGGAATACCTTGCAGGGGCAAGAGAGACATCTGTTCCAAGGTCAAGGAAGTAGGGTAGGGAGCTCGCGCGAGTCGACGGCGATCGCACAGGATGTATTCGGCCAGTGCACCGCTCTGAGTGATCAGCACGACCGTCTTTGTCATCTGCTCTCACCTTCTTGATATCCAGCAGGCCCACAACGATATCACCCCTGACAATGTCCTTTTCGTCCATCCCAGCACTCAAGCACCGTCCGACGAAGCTTCGGCCCGGAACCCACTTGTGCACATCGGCCTTCGTCTTGTCGTCAAGCGCCCTGATATCCGAAACGTCGACAGCAGTGGCGTATATCTGCACCAAAAGTTGACCCTTGCCGACTTTCGTGGGAGGTTTGACATATGACGTAAAGTCGACGGGAGGGTTCATGGTACGAAGATGGAGTGGGGTATCTCGTGATGGCAGTGTGGCCAGCGTAACGGCAGCCATATTGGCATGGGGCATACCGAGGATTCGAGCATTGATCTCGGATGCACTCTTGGTAGGATCGGCAGGCTTGTATGCTCCGGCAGGCAGAACGAGACCACTCCTGGACAACGAGTCAGCTTCAGGTCGATCACACTCTAGCACTCACGTGTAACCTCCGACGCTATCTGAATCTCTACCATGAGACTCCATCAAGACGCCCTCTCCCGCACTGCTACCTTCCCAATCCTGTTGACCGCTGTTTCTGAAGCTGACTGCGGATTTCGCCTTGCGGATCGGCAACAACTCGCCAACAACGTCCTTTCTCTCCTCCGCATAATCCTCAAATTCGCTTTTGGATGCTCTGGAGCGGACACTGAAGACGCTCGCAGCTCGCTTCACACTGCCCTGTTTTCTAGACGGTGGTCGGGGTATCTCCGGCGCTTCGTAGGTTTTGGCGGAATCTTCTGCCGACATTTCAGGTAGAAGAGTCAGGGTGTCTGGGTTCAACATGGATGGCGGCTCGAATCCGACTCGAGAGCTAGGCCGAGGTGGACCACTGAATTCTCGAGTGGGTGACATTGGGCGATCAGAGTAGGATCGAGTGCTATATGGCATAGAGAGGTAAGTGGCAGTCTCGGAAGGAGCAGTTTGACTTCGACGTGATGATGGACGTCCGTCAGGGCTCGTATCTGTATCGATTCGGGGAATTGTAGCGTAAAGCTCGGATCGGGAGTCCGGTCGTTCGGGCAAACCGGGGTGATTGATCGGGCCATTCCCAAGGGATATTCCTACCAGCCGTCTTAATGTGTCCTGGTGCCAGGAACTGGGCGAATCAGGCTCAGATTCGGGAGCCAGACGGGAGGGTTGGTGAATCATCAGTTGATCTAAGCGCTGCTGTTGATACACTTCGGGCGGGGTAGGTGCGCTGTTGGAGCTCGGTAGACTGTGCGATGGTGAAGGATCGTTTGTGCGTCGAGCATAGGATCGACTCGGTTGAGGGAGTTGATCATCTTCATCGTCTGAGCTCTCGTAAGAACTCGGGTATGACTCTTCTGGCGGTTCTTGCCGATCTTGTACGCCGTGCACAAGTCGATCAAACGTCTGAGGTTGAGATGCTGGAGGGAGGGGAGTGAATTTGGACTGTCTGGGCGGGGGATGGAAATCTGCCCATCCATCGTGTCCATTCGTAGGCATGTACATGCCAACCGGTGAAGTGGCACCAGAAGCGCTCGCAGCGGCGGCCGCCCAACCGCCTTTGCCGTACCCGCTCGTGCCGCTGACAGAGCCCTCGCGTCCGGATCGAGCCGATCGAGCCGATCGACCTCCTAGGGAGACCTCCGATCTAGCATAGGACGAATCTCGTCGAACGACCACGAAATCATCATAATTTGATCCTCGTGCCGAAGCTCTAGATTTAGGCCTAGGTTCTCTACTCGAGTCCGTCACGGATGGCGGTCGAGAACGGGATCCCTCGATTGGACTAGAACGGGCAGAATCCACTCGACTAGGGGCTCCAGGGGAGACACGTCTGCTTTCTAGCTCCTGTGATTCCTCAGCTCCAATCTCACTCGCGCCGCTCTCTGCGTCATCCGCATCGTCGCCTGTCGGGTCGACAGGTGGAGGCGCTTTACGAGTGCGTCTCTTTGGTGTTGGTGATTGGACTGAGTCCCTTGAACGTCGAGGTGTGACTTTCTCGATTGGATTGTCATTCGGATGCAGGGTGGCGGAGACAGTAGAGCTCTGCTCAGAATGGAATGGTGTCTCGTCCGGCTCTACAGCAGGTGTAGCAGGCTGAAAGACGACGGCAGGTGGTGCAGGTGGGGCGAGTTGAGCTGAAGTAGGAGGTTCGACCATGGTTGATCTGGCGGAGTTTGGGTCAATACTGGTCTTTGGTGTATAGAAGATGTCTTGCTCGTCCCCGTCGTCATCCATGTGAGTGGCGCTACCAACAGATTTGCGTTTTGGTGACTTGATAGGTCGTGTAGGGAGAGGGGCAGGATGTTCGTTTGGATCCTCTGGGCCAGAGTGATAATCCCGATGTCTAGAATTTGAATCAGATTTCTCTGAGATAGGCGGAGTCAAGGGAGGTGCGATCATCGATTCCAGAGGGGTCGAGATAGGAGCAGGTTTAGGCTTCCTTCGCGGCAGAGGAGGAGGAGCCATGGTAGATTGAGGAGAGGATGCGGATGAATCGACAATGTCGTACTCTGGTCGAGGAGTCCTCGACCTCACAGACGATGAGGGTTTCGGATGAGCCAGGGTCGATGGAGCGGATTGATTGGTACGGCGTGCTGTTGGTGTCCGCGATACGCTGGAAATCACTGATCCCACTTCACTTCCACCAGGTTGAGACAATGTCTTCTTCTTCTTCTTTTTGACTGTCCCTGACCTCGTCACTTCGGTCAAGTCGTCAACATCATTCGACGTGACGACTACCATGGTTCCTCGTACGGAGACTGTGCCACTTGTCCTCTTGACGGGTTTAGGAAACATGGTCCCTGCACTGGGTTGAGTCGAACCATCTCCAGTTTCAGTGGCGACAGACGCTCGGGCGACACCTGCTCCTCCAGAGACTGTTGATCTCCTCTTTGACGAGCCGCCTGCAGTCGCATAACGTGGGTTATTGATCTCTGTGTATCCCAAGTGGACCCCATGATCCATATGCGAGGTATATTTTGACGGCGCGGGCGATGCAGACCTGTATGAGTCGTAAAGACTATCATCGTCATAGTCTGCATAAGGATTTCGGTAATTGGCGCTGGCGTAGGATCTGGTGGGTTTCCGAAAGACAGTTTGGATGAGGGTTGGTTTGGGCATGTCGATGGATTGGAGAGGGTGGCGTGGGGGCAATGAGCAGGAGAGGGAATCTACAGCCAAGCAGCAGCACGCAGATTGAGAGAGAGAGAGAGAGAGAGAGAGATCTGATCACGACGCTTGTTGATGTTGCAAACAGGATAAAAATCAAACGAGACAAAAGGTTTTCCTTGGGACTTGTGTCGATCACCTTTTCAGCCTACTGTGACCTCCCAAAAATTGCTGTTTCCAGTAATTTTCATTGATATTCAACTGCCCTTCCCGGCTAATGACTCAATAGACGATGGGACAGATGATGTCAAGCCCGAAGACGAAGACGACGACGACGACGACAACGGCGCTGATGACGAAGCAATTACAGCCACCACGACGACCACGCTGCTGAGCAGGAGGGAAGAGGCGGCTGCAAGTGAAGCAGCAGCAGTAGCAGCAGCAGCGGCAAATGACCAAGGTGATCACTGAATAATGATTCTGCCTCAATAATGCATGGGATTTGCCATTGACATATGACGCAAAAGAAAGGCAATGTTTCAATCACAGAAGATCGTCTAGGGCTGGCTGGTCTTCAGACTCACTGCCACATATACACAGATGGAATGCCTCGACATAGCCTCTGCATGCTATATGGAGTCCTGACGTGCAGAGTGTGTCGGACGACTGCGTCGATTGAACAGTCTATCTGCAAAGGAGGCCTGGGGTGCAAGCCTGCATGATGCCAGAGGAGCGGCGATCGCCGCCATTTCATCTTCGATCATGCAGCTGTCCATTCACGGTCAAAAGTTGAACCGACGCAGCTCTGTAATCCTGATCTTGATCGCTGCTTCGGCCGTCCTCATCGTCTCCCCCTTCTCGTCTTGCATGTCTAAGCTCACTCCACCATACTACTTCTCCATTGTTGCGTCGTGTCTGACCTTCCCACCCCCGCCCATACAGAGCTCATCTAATCAGGCACCAGACCCATTCACTGAGGTCTTGTACCGAGGATCCATCCCGCTTGAGCGGAATCTTTCCTTCGTCCAGCAGAAGCGTATCAAGACCTTGGTATATCTATCTGCCGATGAGGTGACCTCGGCACTTCCACTTGGTTCGTGGGCCAAAAACAATGGTGTGGAAACAAAATGGATCAAGGCAGACGTTATGGGTGAGGAAAAGCTGGGTATAGGGAAGACAGAGGTGGGAGAGGTATTGAAGGTGTGCCATGAGGTCGATGTCCCGATTATAGAGCTTGACTGATATATCCTCTTTTTAAGCTCATCCTCGACAGATCAATGTACCCACTGTACATTGCTGATGTGGATGGGATATCACACACCACCCTTATCGTCGCTTGTCTTCGGAAACTTCAAGGATGGCACATGGACAGTATAATTGATGAAATGTGTCGCTATGAACCGGATCATGAAGACTTTTCCCTCGTCCCATTCATCACTTCGTATCTCTCTTCGTCCGACTCCACGTTCACTCTCCCAGCTCTACCTTATCCTTCTTGGTTGTGGCCAAGTCCTACAACAACACCTGTAGGAACCAACAGTGGCATGGGCATTGGCGCTGGCACAGCTGCACCTCCGTCGGCGTCTCAAGCGCCATCTATCCCTCAGACCGCATCACAACGACGTGAACGTGATAGGACAAAATCTGAACCTGCTCATCCTAAATCTTATTTGCCCTTTCCTCATCCTCTTCAAGCTAGACGCCATCCAACCATGCGACTCAACTATCCTGCCATACCACAAGGCTCAGGTCTCTCCCCCTTACTACCCGCACTGAACAATACCACCCTCTCTCGGACCTCTACACGAGCAGAAGATAGTCGGACAAGTCCGAACATGCTTGGCTCTTCACCTCATGGTATTTCCGGAGCCGCAGTCATTGAACTACCGGATGCCATCATGGGCTCGCCGACTTCTCAGGCGAGACAAAATCGAGCAGTCAACTTTTCACGTACCGCCACCCTCGAGCCCGTCATGTCTATACAGAGCGTCATGGAGAGCCCACATTCGACAGTTTTCAGCCGTTTCAATACGATTTCCTCATCCTATGCTGCTGGAAGTACAGATGGAGAGGTGGATAACGAAGATAATGGTAGCACAACGCCGGAGGAGGTACTCATGGACGGAGAATACGATGATCAGGAGGGGCAGGAGGGCATCATCGAGGAAGATGACTACGAGGACGAAGAAGAGGACGATTACGACGAGGATGAGGATGAGCAGGAAGAGGACGAGTTCCAGCCTCAGTCGCAGTATATCAGCGCCTTGGACCTGGCGGGTTTTACATAACACGCTGTCCGTAGGCAATTACCAGAGTCATACTTGCATCAGCGATATCATGCATCTTTTGCATGCGTCTGGGCAAAAATGTATCCAACTCTACGCCTGCTCGGCAGCAAGGTTGTGCATATATTCTGCGAACAATTTTGTGCCCTGAAAGATGTCGTCAATGGTGCGATTCTCTTAACAGTCGTCGCACTCGCCTGAATGTAGTTTGACGTGTCCAACTTTTCGTTTGTCGAGTGCGCACCGTCATCTCCACGTCCGACAGGCAACAGACAAATGTTGACGCCGAGAATGTTGGCGAACTCCAATGTGATCGGAATGGATCCTCCCTCTCTGGTGTAGTCTGGCGCTTGTCCCCAGACGGTTTCAGTGGCTTTGTGAGCGGCCCTGAAAGAGTAGTGCTGGACAGAAGTCAGCTTGCGCCATCAACCAATTAAAGTGAACATAAGCTGACGTTTGGGTCGGTCTGTAGGACGAGATGGTCAGTCGCAAGCATTTGTCACACAACGCCTGATTGGCTCACGATCCAGGGCTCTCCTCCATGTGTCAGAACGACCTGACACTTATTCTTAGATCCAAGCTTCATGAACTCGTCGTTGACGTATTTGATGACCAAGTCGGTAGTGTTCTTAATCCCGAGATTGGGGACAAGACGGATAGAGAACTTGCCTGGAATCATGTCAGCGGTTGTCTCGAACTGAAGTAAGGACGAAAACGTCACTTACCCTTGACAGAGCATGGAATGACGGTCTTTGATCCGACGGCAGCTGACCATGAGCTAGATGTCAGGCATTTTCGACTCACAGAAGGCTCCCTCGATACCGTGCAAGGACAGACTGGGGTTTCCTAAGGAGCTTTAACATCACGATCCACCGAGAGTGATCGCAACTGACTCATTCGGCCCATCAACTGAGATACTGGAGTCAGCCTTGCACCATCTCAAGCTTCGCGCAGCTCACAGTCTTGACAGTGTCATTGGTCAAGGTCACGTCTCCTCCAATAGCATCGTGGATATCCTGAAATTGTTCAGCCTTGTGTCAATGCTCATTACTCACTTTCATCTCAAAGTGAATCGCCTCGAATTTCTCCTGTTCGTCTTTGGTCACAGGAGCAATGAGGTCCTTGACTCCGGGAATAAGGATCTCTCCCTGAGGCGAAACGAGCTTGGACACTGCAAATATCAGCCGGTGTCATATCGAACTTGACATTCGTAGACTCACTGAGGCTGATTAAATCAGTCATCGGCTCGTGAATGGCTCCCCCGAAAGCACCGGAGTGGAGATCTCTATCAGGTCCAGAGATTCTAATTTCGTAGTAGTTGATTCCTCGCAGACCGTAAGTCAAGCAAGGGGTCTTGGTGTCGAGCCAGTAGTTGTCTGTGGAAGAGTTATTTTTCAGTGCATGAGGACTTTGAGCCGGTGCCTCACTCACCCGAGATACACATGCAGTCTACTCCGGCGAAGAACTTATCCTTCTCGGACTCGATAAACTTGTCAAGACCATCAGAGCCATTCTCCTCCATACCCTCGAAGATCATTTTGAGGTTGACCTAGCAGGGCTCAGCTTTGAATCTAGATATAAGAGGTCCTAACCCACAGGCAGTTCCGTTCCAGTTTCCTTGTGAGCTTCAAGAGCGTTCAGCCATCCAAGAACAGGACCCTTGTCATCGGTTGATCCTCGTCCGTACAATTTCCCAGAACCCTCAGGGTCGACTGTGAGAGTGAAGGGGTCAAACTTCCATCCATCCTCCTTGAGAGCAGGTTGGACATCGTAGTGACCGTAAATCAGAAGGGTTTTCTGATTCGTAGAGGAAAAACGTGGAGGTTATTAGCGTGGGGATGAACATGGCCGCACACTTGACCCACCTTGTTGGGGTCGTTTCCGATATGTCCAATGACGACGGGCGGGAGGTCGACTTCCTTGCCGTCAAGCTGGTGCTTTCCAACTGGTCGTGTCTCCGCTTTGACCCCGAGTTCAGTCAATTGCTCGATCAGGAACTCGGCCATGCGCTCGACATCCTTGATGTAGCTGCGAGCGAGAGGGGTCAAGCGTCAGCATGCGACCGAGCGAGGCAAGCTGTCAATTCCTACGCACGCAATATTGCCAGAGACTCTGTTGTACGTAATCAGCTCGACATGACCATTGTTCACGCTCGCTCGGCCTCGTCCAACTCACGAAGGGATGCCGACAGCCTTGGCCAGTCTGTCAATGAGGTGAGATTGGTTCTCATCCACCCATTTATTGATTTTCGAAGTCGCCATGCTGGAGTAGGGAATATGTGTAAAAGGTCTGACAAATGACACGCGTTGTAGTCTCAAAGGCCTCTTTGCGATGATATTTGAAGTACTTGTAGATCTGATCAATCGTCCAAGTGTGAACATGCGATAACTCTTTAGACAATATCGCCTTCACACCCCCTCGGGTCGGAGCTTTCGACCGATTTAAGCGCTGGGATGAGCCACGTGGATAATGGCGGCGTTGACCGCTCGAAGACCTCCACCTGCTTGGACCACCTTCTTCTTATACTTAGAGTCCCAAAGCTCCTTGACCTCTTCTTCTTCTTCTTCTTCGCTTCATGTGCTAGCCTTCTGCCTGCTGAGAACTCCCTCAGTATTCTACTTAATCCGACTGCACTAACGTTCTAGAGTCACTCGCGTGTCCCTTCGCCACAGCCATTGTCCGATCACTCGGCCAAACACACCATGGCGATTACACTCTCGCTGTACCTGAACGAGTCGACGCCGCTTGATCCTTCGATCAGATGCAAGATCTACGAGTCAGTCCTGCGTAGCAAGTCACAGTCGGATATCAAAATAGATTCGCCATTAGGCCAAGATGATCTCCAGGATACAGTATCGGAAAGAGCGAGTCCACCAGAGGAGGCGACAAACAAAGCACAAGTGGTGAGTAAGGGGCAGCACCGTAGTGCAATGGCTGCCGATTACACTGTGATTTGGCATGAGGTTAAGTGTATAACGGAATTGATATCTTGAAGGTTCACGTGAGACGACGCAGAGCGCCCACGGTCATACTCGGCCCCTTCTCACCTCAACGACTTGAAATCTCATCCAACAGCTCAGACTCGTCGGATCGATATTCTCCGCGTCCCCTTTACCGCATGACACGATCCGCCTCCGTCTCCCAACTGATCACTCCGAGCAAGTCGCTGGTCCTGAAGACGGCTCAAACCGCCCTCTCCTCACCTGTCTGTCAGTCTTCCGAAAAGTTCGATCCTGTTGCATACTCTCTGCCTCTGACCGATCCCGACGGTCACTCCGAGCACAGGAGCTGCACGAGGAGCGAGAAGAGCTGGATAGCTCAGGAAGACAGTGATCATCCTGTAGTAATATTCAGTGACGCGTCTGCAAGTGGAATTGCTAGTCGTGTCGATACGGATATCCTCGTGAGTCCTTGTCGTCTACGTTCTGGCATAGGAGCTATCTGACTCGCCTCGAATCCCAGTCCAGATTGATCCAAGACTGTTTCGGGCCTCCTCAAGCGATCGTCAGATTACCCATACGATACAAGACACCACCACCTCGACGCGTCCGAAGAACCGTGCCTCACCCGCCGAATAATCGATGCCAAGCTCGTGATCGTTGTCTGCCCGATGAGACACCGCCTTCACCGCTGACGCAAATGCGACTGCGAAGAGCCTACCTACCTCCTGTGAAGACCCTTGCAAAACGATCTCAAGTTTACAATAACCGTTCAGAAAGTGAAGATACATCCAGTGACATTAGCGCTCTCGGAGGAGGATGCGCTGGGTGCGGACGAAAGAGGAATGTATCAAACTGGACGATGATCCATCCATGCGGAGTGAGCGGAGCATAATAGGTCTCACATGAGAGAGACCCACTAACTGATGACAGCACATTCTCTGCTGGACTTGTTTCTCCGCTACGATCGCTTCGGTAACTAAGAGTCACGCCGCATCCAAATGCACAGCTTGTCAAGGCGATTGTCTCTCAATCAAGAGACATTATGGACCGGTGCCGAAAGACAATGGGCCTGAACATTGCAATGCAGTCAATCCTGGCGCGTCCACCCCTTGTTGTAGTGATACAATCGTTCTCAGAATCGACAATGTTGCATGGGTCAGCTTCTCCCGTATCTCCCTCGTAGCTAACCTCCTCTAGGATGTCACTCCCCAGATCGTTGAGAACTTTCTGCCTAAAAATGTCCTGCCACAGGAACACCCTCAGCCCATACACATCCTTATTGACCGATTCGATGGCAGAACGAAGGACTATATGGTGAGCTCGACCATCCACAGGTCATCAGCTCACAATTGGCCAGTATATTGAAGCGGCGAGTGATGTGACAGCTCGTAAAATTCTCAAGAAACGACAAAATGGGATGATGCCTTGTGGAGGTCAAGATGGCAAGACTCGAGCCGTAACTATCACCAGAGTCACGCATCATGAGCTTTCGGCAGAGGTGAGGTTCATTGTGTTTCTATTAACGACTCAGCTCACACTGATTCAGCTTCGACCTAAAGGTCCACAAGAATTAACTGCCCTGCTGGCCTTGTGTCAAGCTGCAGTCGCTTTACCGAATCGTGCTGATCGTGACCTATGCCACTCACCATCTGTGACTCGCAGCGGCCTGGCACACTTTGTCAAATCTCGTCATGGCCCGTTCTATGCCATCATGTCCATTCTGACAAAGCTTCGAGGCCCAGAAAGCCCAGCCTATTGGGACCTGTTCAGTGAGTCAAACTCCTGTATCAAGAGCGATTCTGTCCCGCTGACATCTGCGTCAGATCTAACATCCGGTATTTACACCGTTTATCACTGACCCTATGCGGAACCTGACCAGCCTCTCTCCTCAGGGGCCATCGCTGCACTTGCAAGAGCCTGTCGAGCTCCTGCATCAAGGAAGCGTGCGCCCCCGCCTAGACACACAGAAGATGAAGAGATGCTTGTCAAGCTTCAGAAGATGTACAACAAGTGTTTTACCTTTGCAGAGACCTCACCGTGAAGACGCAACCGCCCCTTCTCAAAGATCAGGGGAACAAACTATTCGAGACTCAAAGCACAGAACATTGGTTTCTTCAAGCTTGCCATTTCGTCAAGTCCTCCACATCCTCCGCTACTTGTGCGATACGTTCACCTATACCCCGCTACCCCGCTCCAGATTCGCTGCGCCATCCTAAACGTTGTATTTTGCAGTTGTTCATCTCAAGTGGAGTCAAGACCTCGGAGGCCGTGAGACGAACAAGCAAGCGAGAGACATTGTTTATATAGACCCTACAATATATCGATTTTTAAGCAACATGCATCAATTCGAGCATGTAGATTCCCTCTTGTCTGTCACGCCCGTTAAGAATCATTACTGGACATTAAAGCCTTTTAATCGTCGTTTATCCCGTGCTCGAGTAATCTTTGGTCCTTTCATAATGTCGTATTCGATGCCCTCTAGACCCCATCGCCAGATCTGCGACTCGCTCAGCGGACTCCGCGTGAATGCCAGTGGGATCTCACCAGATAACGCCGTAATTCTTTATCTGTTGGTCTGACCGCTCGCCACTCTTCTTCGCCCTCTTCTTCTTCTTCTTCACTGAGACATTCCCCGACGGCAAGGACGTCTAGCAGTTGCATTTCCTCAGAGGGTTCTTCGCCTAGCTCATCAGGCGCGCGGTGATCTCTTGACTGAACCTTGTGCATACGCTCTATCGCTCGAGATCGCTTTGATAACCATTTCGCCTCGTGATGCGGAGCACCGAACCCAGGTAAGAGATGACTGTAAATCCTAAAGCTGTCCGAGGCGTACCGTCCAGCTCCTCGAAAGACGTAAACGTCGAGAGATTCAGGCAGGTATGGCGGGATAGGCAATGGTAGAGATGGAATTGGATCTTCGTACGGATTGCAAGGACGCGATGGAGATGAACCAGTGAGAATTGGCCATCTCAGATCGAGGTATTGCTTCGACATGATCTTGAGGGAATTTGCCCGTTGGATAAAGAGTCCGATAGGGTACAGAACGTCTACGAGGTCTTGCATGTCGGCTGCGTAGAGAGGAGAATGTTAGTTTCGACAGACGCATCACATTTGGCGCATCCTCACCGTTTGCCAAGGATTCCGGGTCCGGCCAACGCTTCAAGATCTCAATGAAAACCGGTCTTGCAGCCCGACCAGACGTCACATTCAGTAAGGTAGTCGCTACAAGCAATTTCCAAGGATCATGTCGGACTCGCTCTGATGGATTAAGTGAGTGTGGTGATCGCTCGAAGCATGACGGTATGTGAAACTCCCTCACCTTGTATCAAGAGGATCTTATCCACTGGCTCAATGATCCCCGTCTCAGCTTTCGCTACGATGATTTTGGCTCGCTGAGATGCTCTCCTGACGGGCGATGGTGTCTTAGGCGTAGGCGGCAAGGCAATGATGACTTCTGGAATCCGTTTCTGACGTTTTGGTGTGGTGATCTTCCCTGACCTGCTCCGTTCGCTCACTCGTCTGCTAGAATCTGGGGAGGTTCCAGGAGTAAGAGGGTACACATCCCTCGGCTTGACTCGAGACGGCTTCCGGACGGCCAGGTTGTGGGTCGGAGAGTCCAACACCGTTACTTGGGAGGTTCGTTGTCTCTCTGATCTTCGTCTGCTCCTGGGGGTGATCGCTCCAGCTATACGCAGCGCCGTCAATTCTCCTTCGTCCACGGCCTTTTCTAAGGATGATGATGATGATGACGACAATCTATTGACCTCGTCTATGGTTTCCTTCTGCCTGGCGCTCGACCGAGTCTGTCGAGTAGATCGAGGTGGAGTCCAGTATGGAGACGGGATCGACTTGACAGGCGTGAAATACGGCGACCCAGAGATCGGACTGGAACCAGCAGCTCCCTCTGCAGGTGGAGAGGAGGAGGAAGAGGATGATTCAGACACCATGCGGGCTTCGACTATACCCAAGAGTCCGATAGCCCTAATCATGGCGTGCGTCTAGTAGGGCAAAAGAAAAGCTGAACATCGAATGCTGTCGATCACTTCATCCGCCGGTTTGCCGGTCATCGCCGGAGCCGGCAACAAGTTCGAACGGGCCTGGTCACTGCGGACGAGAAGCTTGAGCACTATGCATATCTTCGTGTACGATGTATCAGGTTCAACACTGACTGTTGCAGCCAAAGGGAAAGAACATGAAGCCGACAACTGACATGGATTACTGGCCTCCCCCATTCGAGTTCAAGAGCCATTCTGTACACTCCTTCCAACCCGCCACCACTGCCGCTTGGTCAGGATGAATAGACCGCGAGATTTCCTCGCCCATTGGCGACAGGTCTTTCAGCAAGAGCACATTTACACCTTGAGTAAGTGTCTGTGACACCCGGTCGAAAGCACTTGTCGTATTCAGTATCAATATGGCGGTACTGTCGGCAACAATCTGAAACGGGTGACAATCAGCTACGATTGCGCTCGAGCGACCTCACTTGTTGAAGAGGGTCGACCGGAGGTGATTCTTGACCGCCTCTGGTCGGTAGCTCCCATACTCTATCGACAACGCTTTTTGACTGCGTTACGGACACGACTTGGTCGTCTTCTAGTAAGAACGATGTCGCCTCCTTGTCTTTGGTCCAAATATGGATCGAGTACCCGAAACCTTTCCAAGCGAATAGCGTGGCGCAGAGATTCGTAGTGGCGCCTGGAACTTGTACCAAAGCATCATAGTCAATTAGGATCGAGCCTCGAGCAGGCAGAGCAGGAGCAACGACATCTTCATCGATCTCTTGTGCCATGTCCCCTTTGTCGTTTTTCCATCCATGTTCGACTGTACCTTGACGCTTGGGTTCGAGAGTCGCCCTCTTGCCTGCAGCCAAGTCCTTGAACATCTGGCCCTTGTTGTCAGATGTCACGACAGATCCTTGGACTGCAACGACTGAAGGATCGACAGAAGGAGTATGAGCAGTTGTAAGGGCTGAGTTGATACCTGGACTCTGAGTTGCGATATCGGCAGGCGTGCCTAAGTGATAGTACCCATACGCAAATGCCGTACTCGTAGGTGATAACGGCGAGAAAGGCAACTCGGACGGAAGTGGCGAGATACCAAGTGATGAGATTGAGTATCGGAAGAGATAGACTCGTGTTTAGAGGGCAGAGTTTCTCTTCGGGTGTGAGGACCAGGTTGTTGTGAAGGGGTAGTGGGTTCGACCCCTCGATTCGTCTCGGTAAGAGTTGGCATATTGAACATGGTGGTAGCTGGAACAAGTATGGGCCTGTTCGAAAAGCGACAGGCGACATATGACGATGTCCAACCCTCCAGATAGCTCCACCTTCATCTCCTTTCACCAGACATCCTTTCTGCGTTCACCCTCCAGATTCTTGTCTCGTCGCATATCAGCCGTTCCAGCTGATTGTCACATCAATCTCATCATATCTTGCGCGCCTGTTCTTCCTCGTCCGTCATCCGAGGTCTTGGAAAGTTATTACTGGCTCTCGGTTTTCCCCTGTCCTTTTCCCTAGGATCGTTCTTCTTTCTTTGAAGCATTCCATAGAAAGCGGCCGTACCGGCTGCGAGCAGACCCACAAACAGGAGGGGATTTGGACCCTTGGATGGAGGTCTCGATGGCATGGGAGCGGACATTGCGACGAGCGAGATGGAGCTGAATCACTTGGGTGTAGTCTACGGTGTTACGAAGAGAGGCAAGGTAATTATTATAATTTCGACCACGATGAAATTTCGTCATTCTGCGAGAAATAATGATAATCGTCGAGCCGAACGTCCCATGAGTCTCGAGTCACCTGCGCAGAGAGTTCCGAGCACGAATTCGAGATATCTACAAAGCTATAGACTCGGTCATGAGGGACGAAGCGGAAGCCTGATCGTGAAAGCCCTTCAAACCGCTTGCTCAGGGAAAAAGCAGGTGCACGCGAGAAAGTGCTTGCCTCTCCGAGCGAGAATCATATGGTATTATACATGATGAGTGAGGTGATTAAGATGCTATGAGGGTTTATCCGTTGGATCTCGTACCGTTGCTTCGACTAAAACCCTTATAAGTCTTCGCACCTCCGGAGAAAGATGGCCAGACTCACCAGCACTTGCTTCGGCCAACTTGGCCTTTCTATTCTCCCTGACGATATCCAGTCGTCTAGCCGTCAGGTCTCTTCGGGCCCAGATGAACGCAGCGACCGTCGCTGCGGAGAGTGCCTATGAGCGCCACGGTGTCAGCGAAAGTGTCTCTGTCTTTTGTCTAGGTTGGCGGGGATCGCTGCACGCCCGAGATGGATTGGAAGGAGACAATCAGGAGCTCAATCGACTCACCACCCAGCCTGCCACCTTAGACGATCAGCCATCATATCGCGAGCTACATGGAGAGATGCTCACTATGACTGGCCCGGAAGCCTTCTTCCTCATGGTCTCACTGTCATTGACAAGGACCTGCTTCATAAACCCAGGGCCTGTACACTACTTCGGTGATCGCCGAATTTACAGCACCTGCTGCATGGGGCGGGGAGGCATCGCAGTCTTTCTCACTTTGCTCCCCGAAATACTGTAGTACAACCTTCGGCCTGCGCTGTGTTGCCATGACAAGTCACAAGGCATATGCCTCATTTCTGGGATTCCTCCTGTTGAGCACTGTCAGAGCGGCCGTCGAGGCTCCATTGCCCTCCAAAAATGGGCGATATATCCTAATCACCGCCGGACCCGCTACGGCTCCCTGCCTCCAGGAGTCATTCTATGGTCAATACGCTAGTGCTCTCGGCCACTCGTGGCCAGAGTATTATTATCTGCCCTCTGCGGAGTGTTCAGCAGACCAATCTGCATTGGAAAACCTAAATGGAATCATGCTTCCCCTCGATATGGATCTGACAGACCGACGGTTAATCTGGATCGGCCCTGCTGGAGTCGCATCCGAGATTAATCCCAATCATTTCCACTATGTCGCCAGACTTGATGCCGACGAGACGTTCGGGATGATGAGGAAAGCGGAGGAGTACGTAACGAACACCCTTGCGAATGGGCAGAATAGAGGATCTCAGAGGTTCTATGGCCTCCGCGACACGACATCTGATCTGGCACCATTGGAGATCATGTTGTCCGCAGACAACGCAGGAACCGGTCACGTTCACAAGGACTTGTTACCTATCCTCGATCTCCTTCTCCCAACCCACATATCGGTCGTAGCCTTACCAGAACGCCCCATGCCACATCCTAAAGCGAGTTTCGACACTATGGACAACGATTGGGGCGTCCCCCACAAATACGCGATGCGCCTTGCGACATTCACCGATCAGTTGGAGCACGACCCTTCTCTGGCCACAGTGGTCGATAGCATCAATGTAGATACGCTTCGGCGAAACGTCCGGTGGTTGACTGGCGAGGCGCCGAGCGGAATTGAATCGAGGCATTCCTTCACCAAGGGAGCTCTCCAAGCCGCGCATTGGATCAAGAGTGAGTGTCTTGTCGCATCTGCATAAGTAGTGTGCTAATCCAAATCTTTCAGAGCAAGTTCAAGAGGCTGGGGCGAGCTGCGAGTTGATGCACTACATGGAGGGTTTTGCCCCGAATGTCATTTGCGAATTCCCCAACAATTCGTCGGAACATGTCGTCCTGTCAGCCCACTACGACTCGAGGGGATCATTCGGCATGACCAGAGCACCTGGAGCTGACGACGATGCCTCGGGGTCAGGTCACCTTCTAGGCGTAGTGGATGCCATCAAACGATACAAAATCAAATTTGACAAAAAGGTCATTGTGGCCTTTTTCTCAGGTGAAGAACAGGGACTCTTCGGGTCTAGGGCATATGCTGGTAGGTTCTCGGTACCTCTTGATCCGGCGTCCGGAATACTCACGCGACTGCAGGACATCTGAAGGATACGAATCGCGAGGTCTTGCTCCACATTCAGGCGGATATGCTGGGATATCATGTAGTAAGTGGTAGTGTCCACTCTGTCCCAAAGCCCATTAACATTCGACCTCAGCCCGGAGAGCCAATGCAGCTGGCGTTGCCCGCTACGTAAGTGTATTCGGTAGATAAATTCACGCTTTGAACTGACGGATCCTATCAGTATCCACTTACCAGAGGCGTCCTACTTTGTAGGCAACGTATCTAAACTCTATTCCCCCGAACTCGTGGTCGGGTCTACGCAGGCCTGCTGCTCCGACCATCAATCTTTCCTATCTCTCGGTTTCCCAGCGACTCAAGTTTTCGAGCGAAATGGTCCCATTGCCGATCCAATGTACCACAATAGTGGAGATTTGTCTTTCAGAGAGGGTTACGATTTTGATCAGATTGTTGCTATTGCCAAAGTAACGATGGCGTCTATTATGATAGTTGCTGGCTGGAGCCAAGGTCAATGAGGGATTGCATGGAGGGAAAGTAGTTGAGAGAAGTGCTCACGGGATCGCTCGGAATATGTCTGGAGAATGCAATTGTTGTCGCTATGCAAGGAGTGTGCAACTGGTGCTACAAGAAGAAACCTTTGTACAATGACTGTCTTTTCTGACTTTTCTACATGGTTCTGTGTTTCACTGACTGTCGACTTTGATCTACTCGTCCCCCTTGACATCCTCCGGCTGCTCATAGCCTTCCAATACAATATCGTTCAGTCCCAATTCTTCATTCTGCTCGTGCGTCCGTGTGTATTCCTCTGTGATCATGTTTGGATCTGGATCCGGAGCGTATAGATTCTGGAGGTACGAGTTGCTCATCGGGTCGTCAAGAATGATAGTGAAAGGCTTAGCCGCCGACATGCAGTCCTTCAAGCCTTTTAAGAAATCTTCAAACTTTCTCTCGTCAGAACCAACAGCTGACATGCCTTGCTGGCCGATGCCGGAGGTGGTCGAATCTCCAGTCCTGAACACTTTTGTGGACAACTCGTTGTATATTTCGTTGAGCAGTCCTTCCAGCGTGGTGAATCTTCCCCCAAGTGTTCCAGGCTGCAAGACGAGGTCGATCTCCGGGATCTCAAGACCAGCTGTGTCCGACTAATGGATGAGTCAGCTTGAATGTTGTCCACCGTGATGATCTACTAGCCTTGAGCATATCTCTTGACAAATCCTCTTCATCCTCCACTTTCAGCGTGATCTTCTTGCCCATATCTGACACAGCACCACTGGATTTCACCTCGTTGTCTCTGTATCCACAAGCAAAGCAGTTTGTAGCCATGATGATAATATTCTGCATTGCATAAGCTGATGACTCTCAAAAAGAATTCGCCAATGAACTCACCTGAAAGTAGGGAATGTTGACCTGCTGCATCAAAGTTTCGAGCTCATGACCACAGCTTGAGCATGTACTTGGGAAGCTGAAAATCTCGTCTGGGACCACTCCGTTGGCACCCTCGCCGAGCTTGTTGAGCATCGGGTTCAACCTCTGTTGCACTTCCTGCAAACTCTGCAACTTGTGATCATCGGGTATAATCGGCTGTGACGCCTTCTCCTTCTCGTCTGACATGTTCTCTGGACGCTGAACAAGTCCAAGCTCGACGTTCTGTTCCAGAGTCCGGCTGTAGGCTCGCATGTTCCATTGAGGATCGCTGGCCGCTCCGACGAATTGGAAAAACGAATTGCCGGATGGATCATCCAGAGACATGGAGAATGGCTTGAATGGCTTCTCGACTGCCTCTTTATCGTCGGCATGTTGTGTGATTTTGCGCTCCTCATCATCGTCCCTGCCTACACCGCCGTCGTCGTCCTCCTCACCTTCCTCGATGCCAATGTAATCCCTCAGCGTGGCAAGCATCTCGTCGATCTTGGTCGCTGTAGGTGGATCCATGACCCGTCGAACCGGCTGGCTCATGTTGAGGTCACGGACGGTATCCCTGATGAGGCCCTCGACGGTGGTCAATTGTCCTCGCCCCGGCGGAATGGTGAGCTGGACTTCGGGTATGGTGACAGTAGCGAATGAGGATTTGACAATTTGCCGGTCAAGATCGGTTCGATGTAAAAGGTGGACAGCAAAGTTTACGCCCTTAGCTAGATTGGACGTGAGTCCCGGATCAGATGGACATTGCGTCCAGGTCAAGCAAGACTCACGCTGAATCTCTCCAGCACTCTGGATCTCGGTATCCCGATGCCCGCAATGGTCGCATCGGAAAGACGAGATAACAATCTCCTTGAAGTAAGGAATAGAAGTGAGCAGGAGACGCGTGACTCCCTGCAGATCAAGATTAGAGAGGTCTGCGTTTGAGAAGCGAAGCGTCTCACTTGATCGTGACAACGCATGCACAAGCTCTCCACTTCTTGCATCTCTCGCTCCTCGCCTTCCTCTTGCTCCACGCGAGCAGGTGCATCTTCCCCTAGCCGGACATCATCGTCTTCAGGTTCGGGAAGGGCTTCAGTCCTCGATGCGATGTCTCCAACGGAGGGAAAGAGATTTTCCCGGGGCTCGTTGCTCATGCTGAGTTCGGTAAGGACAGTACAGTAATCGCTGTGGTTTCCATTGTCAGCATAGCGATTGTTGTTCGAGCAGTGAGGAAATCGGGCGAGTTGGATTTGATATCAGACCGTTGTAGTTTAGGCATGTAAGAGTTTTCATACGCCAGTTTGGCGCTCAAACGCAAATTTTGATCATCATCGAAAGACGGGGTTGGGATAGCAAGATCCCTGGAAGGTATATAGAATAGCTGGACTCACCGTATGAGAGAACAGGCTCCACAAACGCCTAGCTGATGAGAGCCTAACTGTGGATCGAACCCGCCGCTTCCTGACCTTCCCAGTCGCTCCCTATTGGTCTTCCACTCTCGGTGCCAAAAGGGATCGAGTATAGAAGAATGATAAAATATGGAGCTATCATGAGGAGAGAGAGAATTTTGGGATGAGGGGTGATGATACTTACGTAATGCCGACCAGCGGCACGAGCAGCTAGCATCTGGTCAAAATGCCCAATGTTGTGTCAAGTCGCGTTGTCGGCAGCATTGCGCGAACAAGATGACAGCTGATCATAGTCGCAAAGCTCCAATGGTACTAGGCACCAAAGTGCTGCCGCACATGATTGCTCCTTCTGCGAGAGGAGGCGTTGCGTGGAATCAGGACGGGCAGTGTTTGATCTTGACTAAACGAGGGGTAGTTATCATGGTGGGTGTGCAGCGCGCACTTACCTAGAATTGCCCTCATGATGGTTCATCAGAGCGCTCTTGCTGATATAAAGTCTGTTCTAGACTCCTTACCTTTGCACTACACTCCCTGGTCCTCCCAGTCATCTCGAAGCAGACCTCAACCTTGAAAACCCCTCGTCGGCCGTCATGCGAGAGCGGAGAGCTCGTGCCAAAGCGGAGGAGGCTATGGACCTGGATTCGCCTTCAGAGACTCCTCAGCCTGCATTTGAAGTCTCGGCCGAGGCTGGACTTTCTCGACCGCGCCGGGTGTTGAAGCCAAAAATGGGCGAGATCAAATGGTGGACCACGAGCTTGGAAGTGGACAAAGACGGCAATAGGGATTTGTACTATGACTGGATTGATGTGGGAGGTATGCATGGCTAATGAGATCACTCGAGGGCTGATCAGCGTAGATTCTTATGGAGGCGTCCTATCTGGACGGGAAGTCCTAGCCAGATCTGCGATATGGTCACCGTCTGGGCTCAGCGAACTTGGAGGGTGAGGCTCCTTCGAGATTGCGAGTCAGCTCATTGCTGAGACGAGACCAGGTCACTGATCGCGATCATGACCACCGCTGGCCAAGTTTCAATCTACGCGCCACGGACTGAGCCGTACAGCAAACAATGGGATGAGGTGTGGCTCGTTAGATGCTTTCGAATAATGACGGCCTGACTCTTGGCAGATTGCCGACCTGACTATTCTGATGAAGGAGATGCTTGATGTGAAAGACGTCACACCTCCAATCGCTCTTCAAATGAAAGCTACGAGTGAGGGATTCGTAGACACATGTTGCTGACGGAGAGGCATGGCTTGGTCCGCTGCTGTACCGGCGGTGGAAATGCTCGGCAGAGATGGGAGCCTGTTGGCGATGGGGTCCCGCGCAGGAATGGTTGCGCTGTGGACGTGAGTCAATGTCCGATACCTCAGCGTCAAACTGAATCACTAGCAGTTATGGCGAGGAAAGGCGCTTTACTTGCGATGCGTATCTCAAGGTATCAGACGATGCATGGGTCACGCAAATGTCCTGGTCATCATGGGAGCTTACAGAACATTCAAAATGTGAGTTTTCTGACCAGGTATGAATTGGCTCATGGTCCTATAGATGAGACACACCTTGCGATAGCACTTTCGGATGGATCCATTGCTTTGATCCCTATCTTCCGAGAACGTCACGCTGGCGATGCATGGTCACTCTCGTTCGGCACGATGGAGTGGGTCGATGGAGGAGACAGGAGACAAATTACGGCTTTGCAGTGGATTGAGGTACGTCTGCTCCCTCTTAACCGTGACTTCTGACCGTAAGCAGTCTGTCCTGGTGTGGACGAAATCTAGTTCTGTTCACCTGTGGTCTTCTCGCGAGGAATCCGTGGGCTGGAAAGGCACAAAAATCATACGGTTGGATCGAGTGGGCAATTGGGCAGGTGCCAATCCCTTGGGAGCGTGTATTGGTGCGCCGGCCCTTCTTCAGGCGCTTGGCTCATACTACTGCGTGTAGGCATCGAATTACTTGACCCTGATCGGCTGCTCATCACACTCTCCGCTCTCACACAGCACGTCATTGTCAACTTTCGAACTTCGCCAACATTAGCAGATCCTCAGACATCTCTCGCAATATCTCTGGCCGCCAGACATTGCGTTCTCGATCTTCAGAAGGATGATGCGAAATTTGGAAAGGACGAACGACAGCTCAGTGTGGTCACTTCGAGTATCTCTGGCATTGGGACGCCACCCCATTTCCTTTGTTGGGCCTCAGAGTAAGCTTCTCTATGTACGAGGGATTCGGATAACACTGGGCAGGGTTATGAACTTGCATAATCTGGATTCAGCGAATGAATCGGTCCGGTCTATCATCTTCGTGCTTGCCGATCTCGGTATCACGTCTGTTGAGCAGGAGGACCCTCTGGCAATCCTGCATTCCATTCTTCAGAAGTCTCCTCGACGTAAGCCTTGCGATCGACGGTTGTGCTGACATTTCCCGACAGTGCTTCATTGTTCCCCTCTCTTCGCACTCATGCCGTTTATGCTACGTGTCTTGACCATGCGAGATCCAATGAGCCCCGCGTCAGGAATCCTTGAATTGTGCGAAAACCCGCCAGGGACCAGCGAAAATCCGTCAACTTTAGGCCAGGGCTCTGCGAGTGCTTGGAGCGAACTGATGAGCTCACTTTGGGCCAATGTCGTCCTAGACAAACTGCGATTGAGTCTCGTGGTCGCAAGGTGGTCTGCAGTGAGTTCTTAGGCTTGTGTGTGGCTGATAATGTCAGATCACATTTCCGACATTAGCGCCTCAGTTTGAGACTTTGTGTGCCACTCTGAACTCTCAGATTCAGGATATCATCGCGACTGCCCTTATTGTCTGGATACTGGCTGAGGTCAAAAGCGAAGCCTTGGAAGGTGAGCTGTTGCCTGACCATGGATCTAAAGCTGAGGTCTACTTGCTATAGATCTCAGCCCAGATGATCGCGCCTTCATGGGACGCCTGGCAGCGCTTCCTATCGATGATGCTGTGACATCCTCGTTGAGGACCATGATGGCGGGATCATCATTCAATCACACGTGCCCAGTATGTTCTGCCCCTGTCGACACGGGCAAAGGCGGGCAATCCATTTGTGCGAATGGTCACGAGTGGAGTGAGCGTATTGTGGCATGTTTTGGACACCAGCTCATAAATTCGACAGCACCATGCTGTGTGACACAATCCCTCATCACCTCTCCAATTCATCGTCTCTGCACCGTCTGCTCGGCGGCATCATTGCTCCCTGACTGTCACAAGCCTTATCCGATCCCAGTCAGCCCGGAAGGCCAGAGTCTGGACTGGACCAGATTTCAATCAAGCGATGGGACAGCACCGTCCGGTCAGCCTAGCGGGAAACGGAGAGGCCTACAGCAAATGGCACTCGAGGCCGCTATCGTCTGCCCGCAGTGTGGTGGACGATGGATCAGAGTAGCATGAATCGCATGCATCGCTCATCAGTCAGTCCAGTCCTTCTGATCGTCACCAATCTCCGACGCCGTCGCCCTCCGCTATTTGTATTTGCAGGAATCGATAATGCCTCAAATGCCTCGGAAGACTCGGAAAAATTCGCCCTTGAAAACAATCCGCCTCAGTCCGACAACTCCGTGCAACGGCATTTGCCATCTACCAATTGAGACTACATGTCGAGATGCCCGCACTCATGGATTACCACCAGGCGTATGGCAGCATGATCGTATGGGCCAGAGACAGAGGGTTAATCAGCAGCCGAGTTCAGCTGGCGCTTCAGGCTCGTCAAAAACCCCTCTGACGCAATCAGAATTCGATGACATGCACATTCAAAACCTTTCCTACGCTTGAGGATATCCGCCGCCGACTCCGTCGCGGAGTTTTCCGATTCGTCAACATTCAACGACAAAGGATCGATGCAGATATAATAGCAAACTTCAAAGGTCTTGTCACCCACCGATCATCACACTGCTTCTACAAATCACACTCCGAATATATATCAACACCGTCATCATGGCACTTGTTCGTCAACCACTTCGACCGCTGGTCTGCGGAACTATTGCCCGATCCTCCACTATAGCGTATCGAAACTTTGCCTCGACAAGCTGGGCAGGCCACTCAGCTCGAGTGGACAACAAACCTCGAGATGACTCTGTCTCCCAGCGATCATTCCATCAGAGTAGGGCGGAGTTAGATAACGCATCCACGGCCCTAAAGCCCGAAGTCAGGAAACGAGAGGCTGAGAGGACAGTCGTCGGGGAGGAGACTCAGGGTTCAGAGGGTCCGCATTATAAAGGTAGGCGTACTTGCTACGGAATTCATCGAGTGGTGAACCTCATACATCCTGCAGATCAGGTCATGCCTATAGCCAACGCAAGCCCTTTGACATCTCAGGGCTCTTGGACAATGATGAACCCAATATATACTGACGAGGTATGATTGACGGTGTCGAGACGGTCTAGACGCTGACTCGGTACTCGTCTCTCCAGGAACTCAACGTTGTCAAGATAGTCAATCGCCCACCTACGACATTCAGCGATAGGTTTGTTCAGCGGCTGGTTAAGTTTTTGAAGTGAGTCTGAGATGCTCCAGAGGGATCTGACGATCCTAGACGTGGCTTCGACTTTGCAACGGGATACAAGTCCATCCCGATCGATGATGCTACACTGGCTCTTCGTCCGCTGCCCGTTGAACAATTGCGAGCGAAAGGACAGCTCTTGTCGGACAAGAATTGGTTATTGCGGATCATCCTTTTGGAAAGCATTGCCGGTGTTCCGGGTATGGTTGGCGGTACGCTCAGACACTTGAGAAGTCTTCGGCTGCTCGTGAGTCAGGGTCCCCGTTTCATTGTCGAGGCTGAAAGTATGGCAGCGACGGGACGGAGGATGGATCGTGAGCGCCTTCGATACTCGTGGCGATGAACTGGAATCTAACGAAAGTGACAGCATACGCTCCTTGAAGAAGCTGAGAATGAACGGATGCACCTTCTGTGGGCTGATCCGATTTCTCTCATCCGTAGACTGCTGACATCACGCAAGCACGTTCATGACCATCGCTCAACCTTCCTGGTTTGTTCGAGCTCTGGTACTGGGTGCCCAAGGAGTCTTTTACAACGCGTTCTTCCTCACGTATCTCGTTTCGCCCCGGACCGCTCATCGCTTTGTGGGTTATCTTGAAGAGGGTGAGTCTGAGATGTCCTTCATTGAAAGAGCCGCACTCATCATTCGATAGAGGCCGTCCGAACATAGTTAGACTTCCGCGAGATTGTTCGTGGCCAGTACTGACCGGTCATAGCACCCACTGTATCTCTGACATCGAGAAGGGTCTGGTACCAGAATGGGAAAATGTACCAGCTCCAAGAATCGCTATCGTAGGTTTCGCTCCATTGTGAGCTCCTGAACTCATTGTCGTACAGGACTACTGGCGCCTGCCTGAAGACGCGAAATTGCTCGACGTCATCAAAGCTGTCCGAGCGGATGAAGCAACTCACCGTTTTGTCAACCACAGCTTGTCCGACCTGGATCAGAAGCGGGACTTCAACCCTTTTGCTTTAGGTGAGGCGGATGCAATTACCCGAGGCACGACGTTTGGGTGAGTGAACTCCGCGGTCCTCAATCTGATGAAACAGCTTCACTCGCGAGCAATCAGCACAATTCGTCAAGGAGCAGCAGCAGAAGCTGCAGAATCAGGCCAAGAGATTGTAGACTACAATGCAAGTGAAAGGCCAATGAGCGATGAGTAGGCCTCTGGATGGAACAACCATTCATGACATATTATTATAATGACCCTCGTGAAAATACAACGCACAAGCTCCCAAAGATTTGAGGTATGATCATTCCCTGGATCCACCCGGAACGCTATCGCGTCTGAAGCCAAAGGTCCCATAAGAGCCTTCTCCACTAGAGCTCTCCCTTCCCCAGCTTCTGGCTAACAGCCTCGCACTCCGGGTTCGACGTACCAGAGGTCCGAGTACAGGTGAATCATCATTGAGCATGCTGTCAAGTTTTGCAGTCACGCTGAAGCTGGTCGGAGGTATGATTCGTGCAGGAGATTGGGCGGGAGGTAGGTCGATGATGGATGATTCGGAGATGGACGAGGCGTCCGACTCTTCTTCCTCTTCCTCCTCCTCTTCCATCAACCCTTCTCCATCATCGCCTTCGGGATCAGAGGGAAGACTCTGAGGAATTGTCCTAACAGTCGCTTGACTCGGGAAACGAGTGTGATAACGCCTCGTAGGTGATACGGGTTCATTGTCCGCCAGGATCTCTTCCTCGTCATCCTCGTCTCCAGATCCCTGTGTCTCTCTTCCAGACGTGCCATCGTCAACGTCGGTCGAGTATTGGAAAGCGGTCGGCGTCTGAATAGCAGATCGAGGCAGTCGAAGTGAGAGAGGATTGAGACGGTGTGAAGGTGGCGAGAGGCGTAGAAGAAGGACAAAAACGAGCTATAGGAATGATCAATGAGCGTTTGGGGCACTTGAATATCATCAATGAAACGCCTCACGTATTGAAGAATGGCCATGGTAGCGGTCTGACACTTTCGTATCAGCTTTCTGAACCTTGGATGGACGTTTATAGTCAACGACGCACCATGATCAAGAAAGCCGTATCAGAGGCCTCGACCCCATCACTGGCTGCAGGATCCAATCGATCCTTGCACACTTCCCAGACTGTGCCTAAGACCGTTACAGCGGAACAGACAGCAACCCAACCTCCTCGCACGCGCCATCGTGTACTTGAACCGATAGCGAGAAGCAATATGAGAGTCCGACCGATGGCCAGAGGCAAGAAATGACTTGCGACTCTACGGTTCCGGGATGCGTGTATAGTATAGGATAGATCCAAGAGAGAGATGATGGGGATGGGATAGGGATATTTCAGGCGCGGAGGAGGCCCCGGCGGACGAAGTAGAGCAGCATCGCTAGACCTTGAAGGACGTATGAGAACCGGAGTGTAGGATCCTGTCGACTGATATCGATGATGCGACATGGAAGTCTGGTTGACCTATGAAAGGTCGAACACTTGTCGATCTCAATGGTCCGAATGAGGAGGACCCGGCCTGGTTAACCCACAAACAAAAGTGGCGTTTCTTTCGTTGGCTGTTTCATTTCCCAGCTCCTTGAATGTCCTTTGCATAGTCCGGCGATATTGCTCATCATGTACAGACAGATGTAGAAATCATAATGCACAAGGTCTTTCGACATCAAACCCTTCCCAGCTACAAGCGTCATCGCCACGCCGCCCTTGAAGTATCTCCAGCATCCCGGGTCGAGTTGCCCATGGCATTGAGCCTAGTTAGCGACGGTTTCGATGTCAGACTAGGTCCGCGAGGTAAGCTTGGTACAGCTAAAGATGCTCTCGGACCAGACGGAGCGCCAAGGTTCCCGCTCAATGACCGCATGCTCCATGACACAGTAGGCATCATGGATGACCTTCTGTTCTCGTCCGACACGCTGATGGAGGGTACACCATCAATGTGGTGTTTGTCGACCGTGAGAGATACCGGCAGACCACTTGATGACGTGCCCAATGATGCGTCCAGAGGGGTCCTCGACGTTAGTCGCTCAGACTTGGACATGTACGGTCCTTTTGAGTTTCTCCGCTTTGCCTTGGAGGCTGAAAGAGGCGGTTGCATCCGTCCATTCGACACAACTCGACGAGCCGGCGAGCCTAGCACGTTTTTGCCATCGATCTCAGATTGAGATCGTACATTGATGGATGACCGAGAGCGAGAGGCGATGGTCGGTCGGAGAAGATTGGACATTGTCGAAATCGAGGGCGAAGTGATGGCCGGAACTTGATGTCGAGCGTTAAGCGGTGGTCGATTCGTGGAACGAGCAGGTGGGCCCAGGCCCTTTTTAGAAGCTGGCTCCGGCGATGAGCTACTCTCTCTAGCTTCGTCCAGCGAGGTCAGATTTCCCAACGAGCTCACACCCAATTTTGCGCGTTTCCAAGCCGGTACAGGTGGACCAATGAGACCTGAAATGGGAGGTATTGTTGCTGCCGGTACAATCTTCTGAATGGGCGGAGCGCTGTCCGAATCGTCAGGTTCATCCCTCCATTCGTCGCTTGATCCAATGGACGCATCCGCCTGTAAGGAGGCGTCCTCCCCCGAGCTGGAGAATCTCGGCGCAATGGGAGCGGTTTTGATATCATCTATTTCACCTTCTCCAGCTTCGTCTTTCCATCTGAATGACTTTTTTGGCGTGCGATTCTTCACCTGTCCGACCTTGAAGGGTCTGCTGGAACGTTTGGCGGGAGAATCGGCTTGGGAGGGTAGAGACTTCCGGCTGGGCGTACCCATTGGAGCTCCACTGAGACGCCTGGGTCTGAGAGCTGATCGCAGAGGGGCGGCCGGCGCCATCGAGAAACGTCGACGGCTTGCTTGGCCCGTCATGGATACACGAGGTGGTGGCAGGGTAAAAGCCTTGGGTTTGGGTAACGCTGGCAGGGTGTATTGGGAAGTTTTGTTCGTAGCGAATATCGACTTTCTGCCAGTCTCTAAGGACTGCAAGAGGTCGTCGAGCTGAGCGATGACCGCAGCCAAACCCGGGCTGTCTTCTGTCGGTAGTTCCCGTAGGGCTTGCGTCTGCGCCCTTATTGTCGAGCTTGTGCTCGCCAGCAAGGAGATCATGGCCGAGAATTGCTCCGCGAACTGCTGAGCTCCCTCGCGATAGCCTTTCTCTCTTGCCGCAGAGACAGCAGCCGCCAGTTCCAGCTCCATGACTCGGACCTTGAGTTTGAAAGCGTCCTGTTCCGGTGGCTCAATAGCGTCTCCAAAGGAGCGAGACGCAGTCGATCTGAACAGAGCGTCCAGCGCCTTGCTCTTCACTGACTCGTCCTGGACCATAGCCTGCACAGAAGAGTTGCCGGAAAACGTGTTGGTGATTTTCTCGACCATCTCGTTCAATCGTGTCCTCTCTTCCTCGTCCTCCGGCTGGAGCACGGCCATCCGCCCTTTCAATGCCACATTCTTCATCTCAGCTTGATCCCATAATGCTCTTTGTTTCGCACCCTCGATGATAGTGGGGATGGCCTTCTCAAACTCTTTGCGTAGATGATCCAGGACGGCTCTGGCATCTTGCCTAGCAGATTCCAACTTCTTCTTGGCATACATGGAAAGCGCCATGGTCCCTTCTTCGACCTTTGATTCGAGATATCTGATCCTAGCTTCCTGCTGAGATATTGTGGTAAGGTATTGCTGAACAGAGACTTGAACACCAGCGGTGTTTCGAGTGATTTTTGTGGAGACATTCTTCGCCTTATCTGCCCAGACTAGAGTATTATGTGTGTCCTCGATATCTTTTGAGCTTGGGGAGACGCAGACAATCATCACGGTCCGACAATTGCCTCCCAATGAGAATTTGAGCATCCGAGTGAGTTTGGAATTCCGGTATGGTACGTGAGGTCTGCGTCCTCCGATAGGTCGTTGGCAAAGAGCAGAGATACAGCTGCTCAAGGCCAACAGGGACTTGTTGATATTCGCTCCTTCTTTCATCCGTGTACCCATATTCCGAGTCGCCGACGCGCGTTCGCTGCCTGCCAAATCAATGATTGAGAGCGTCGCGGAAGAAGTACACTGTCGGACGACAGCTTGTTCGAAGTCGACCTCGTGACCCTTGCTATTGCGACCGACGTTGATTTGGAGAACAGCGTGCGATCGAGACGACACGGCATTGCTCTCAGTGTATGAGGTACTTCGTCGCTGGTTGCCTAGAAGGACCAAGGCCATGACTTCGTCTGCCGATGCAGGCCGTTTTAGAGTGACACCATCCACGGTTACTCGCTCCTTCTCGTTCTCGAGCAATTTGAGACCACCGGTCGGACACGCAGGAAAATTGTCGCCCAGCAAGTCGCGAATGTTCTCGTTGTAGATCTCCACCATGGAAAGCTCTACGTAAGTGTCGAAATCATCCTTGGATTCTTCAATCATCTCAAACAGCTCTCGCATGATCCGCACTGTGATGCCTGGATCCTCAGCCGTTCCACTGATAGTGTGTGTCTTGCCGCATCCAGTGGCCTGAGCTAATCAGCTGGAGCTCAATTGGGAACATAGCGGCGGCCTACCCCGTACGCAAACACCGTAGCATTGAAACCGTCCAACACGCCGCTCAATAGAGGCTTCGCTGTCTTCTCGAACACAGCCTCTTGTGTCGCATTACGTTGGAAGACATGGTCGAAGATATATCTGGCCGGCGTAAGATGGATAGTCATGCCAGACTAGCGGCTCACCTTCTGTTTTTGTACCGCTTTGCTCCAGGTTGACCGCGCCGTGTCTCAGAGCCAGGTTCAGGTTTATCGAAATCGAGTTGACGGTGGTCCATCACCTCTGGCAAATTGTGAGCTGAGGACTCTATTAGCTTCCAAAAGCTTACCAACGACTTCTCTCAATGATCCCGAGGTCGTAGGTCTTCTAGGCGACATGGCAAAATTGCCGTCACCGAGGAAGAAGGCCTGTTGAGCGGGTTGAACGACGAACGGCTGCTCCTTCTCTGGATGCCACGGCCGAACTCGCACTTCATACAGTAAGCAAGTGACGCTCTGGAAGCCACTTATGCTCGATCTCACCGCATATTTGAATGGCATTGGCATCAGACTCCATGTTGAGGATTCTCCCTCTAGGCGGGGTTGTAAATACACACTACGCCTTTAGCTCTTCCTCGTTTGCCGACGGAGACCCGTCACCAGCACCTTGCTAGAGATTGAGGAGATGTATGTAGAGGTCGTAAACATGTGCTGACGCGAGGTCGTGAACGTGTCGATGTTGAATGTAATGTATGGGTCAAGATCAGATTCCAATGTTGTTGTTCATTCAACGCCGAGACAAGATACACACAAAAGCGGAATCAAATTTGTCAAAGACAAAAACTTTAACGGAAAAGCAGGCGCCAAAAAGTCGAAAGGAATTGGTGGCAGCGCGATGGGGGATCCTCGCCGTCGAGTGGCTTTTTGTGCTTCATGATACCACATACAAAGGCGCAGACCAAGGACATTCCCACAAACTTTCTCGACTGTCTCTGTCTACTGAAAGACCCAATGATCCGACTGTTGCTCTCACCTCTCAGCCTCTACGCTCACAGCAAGGTGGCGGGTGTGGCGGCCTTCTCCGATTCTGTGATACTAGGCGTGTACTCTTCTTTCATCGCAGATTTGGCCGCCGCTCCACGTACAGACTTGGTAAAGATTTCGTCGTCCTATAACATCCTGTATCAGCGTGACCGTTGATTTGAAATGAGGCGAGTTTTGGACATACTAAGAAATTTTGCCCTTCAAACCTATTGGAAGGTGGGAAGACGGCACACAATCCAGCATAAATCACGAATGACATGGCGACGCCGACCAAGAAAGTAATGTTGAAAATTCTTGTCCAGTTGTTCGCTATATTAGGGCTGATCAAGCTCATCAAGAAGCCAGGAAGGAACAGCCAGATAGTCAGGAAGAATGTCGCGAAAGCTCGCCAATGAAATCCTTTCTGATACCAGTAAACTGATTCTGGTGTACCCAGGTAAAGATGTTCGATACGCAGTCTTCGTTTTCGAACGAGGAGATAGTCACATAGTAGGATGCTATACGCAGGTTCAGCCTTGTCCACCGTTTGAATCTTGGACATACCCTGTGTTTGGCGCTGTTGTTGTTCCGAGGCCAGAAACGACTTTGAGAAAAACCGACGCAGAGGCGAGGATCTGCCAAGGATTGGAAGCAAGTCCGAGCTGATAGACCCGGAGTTGAGTTACAACCACCGGTTGGCAGCGAGACTTACAGCAGCGAGGATATAAGCTCCACGTCGAATGTTGAGATACCTAGGAGCCAGACCTGCCATATCCATGCCGCATGAAACGGAGTTCAAAACCACGTTGATGGAGAGCTGAGCCATGGCACAGCCCAGTCCAGCGAAGAAGACCGCTGCTCTGACAGCAGGCGATGACTCGTAGTAGTCTTGGATCTCGCTGAGCAGTAGGATAGGCGACCATATGATCTTGCCCAAGACCTTGGACGATGCGGACGTCACGACCACACCGGCGAGAGCACAACAGGTGATCATGGTTGGAGCTGCAACCATTTGGGATAAGAGAGGGTAGTACCGCCGCTTGGAATAACGGACCTGCCAGAATCAATCGATTTGTTGCCTTGCGGCTGTGGTCTCTCACCCAATCGCTTTGACCGATAGTTCCACCTCCCCAAGAACTGAGAATGCTCGTAATGCCCAACATCATGGAGAACGGTGTAGAGTCGGCAGTATTCTGTGTATGGAACAAGGGACCCCCGCCGCCTGCATTGGACACGGACCAGGCGAGTAGGCCGATTAAGGTACATGCGAAGGCTGCGGATGAGATGACGAATGGTCTTTGTAGTCGCTCAGGAGGTATCATGACCAAAGGTATGTACATCAGGTACCAGAGGACAAGTCCGAGGAATTCTTGGTGCGTGTTATTGGCGGTTGCGGGGAATTTGCTTGGTTGGTGTTTCCAGGAAGGCGACATGGCGCCGATCATCTGTGCTGATCGGCACAGTTCCAAGTGCTCATACTCACCAGATTTACTGCTTGTGCTCCCCAGTATGCCTGAACACATAGTGAGCAGGTTTCGCGTGGCGTCGACCCCTGGACTCACCTGGATGCCGAACCACCAGATAGTGGTGAAAACACGAACACAGATAGGCTATGGTGAGTGGACTCTTAGCATTTCCAGACCCTCCAAGGACGCTGACTCACAAAATAAGCCCCTTTCATCCCCCAATGCGATCGAGCCAAAACAGTATACCCAATATGGTGCACCTCTCCTGCAATGCCACAAACGCATGACAAAAGTCCAGTGATGATCGCGCCAATGACAACGCACGCCATACTTTGCTGTGCGGTCAAGCCTGAAGATCCCTTCAGCATTCACCTTCCTTTCAGGATGCGACAGACTTGCCATAGGCTAAGAGGGAGCTTCCGGTGGAGTACGCTGAGATGCAGGCGCCTGAAACGAACCAGTAGATCTGCGATGAAGGCTTCAGTCAACGCTCTGCGTATCCTGTCTCACAGCGAATGAAGCGATGGTGTACGTTCGCCTGTCAGGTGGAATTGGAATCAAGTCTCTGTTGGTCCATTTGTCATTCTCATAATCACCATCTTCGTCAGTCGGACATTCGAGGCGCTTCGCAATGGACCGCCACTGGATCGCCATGTTGGAGACTACAAAAGGTACAGGATTATGAAAGTTGATGGCGAGAAGAGATACCGTGCTGTGGATCTCGAATCTCGGACTGATAACCAAGTATCTCAAGCGTCCAAGTATCTCTTGTGTCTGCCGCGGATGCCATGATAAGCTGCCGGATGAGTCGGAGCGGGGAAATAATAAAAGCTGTAATCGGACTTGGCCTAGCGCCAAGCTTCGGAGAGATAACGAGCCGAGATTCCCGACACGCCGATAGGGGATAAGCGGGGGAGCTCCATGGCCTACTCGGAACGGGTGAGCGAGCTCGACTTCCTGCATAACACTGCTTCGCTGCACACATTCAAGATGACCAAACCAACAGTAGAGATCCCCATCATTGATTTCGAAGGTCTTGAAGATGGCAGTCCAGAGGTTGGTCCAAGTTCAGAGCTCCTCCTGACATTTGGCTAGATCGCTGCGGATATCGGACGCAAATTCTACGCTGCATGTCGAGAAGTGGGATTTGCCTATATTAAGAATCATGGGATCCCTGAACGAGACATTCAAGGGATGTTCGACTATAGTCGACGATTCTTTGCTCTACCGTATGACATCAAAATGACGGCGCCCCATCCTCCCGCTGGAGACCATCATCGGTGAGTGCAGGCTTCGCGCTGTCTGTGTGTGTGTGAATGTAAGGGCCCGACGTCTGATGACTCAGGGGGTACTCTGGCGTTGGTATGGAGCAGGTCTCGCAGATGGTCTTCGACGAGGACAAGTTGGAGGCTATGCGGAACGGCAAAGGCGGGGACTTCAAAGAAAGCTACGATATGGGTAAGTCAAGAAAGGGACCGAGTTGTGGCACGTCTGAAGCCAAAGCGAAGGGAGCGAGACAGCGACGCATAACCCGAATATCTGGCTAGAAGATGATTACCTGCCTGGCTTGCGAGCTTACAGCGTCGCTTTCCAGGCGACTTGCCGTGCTCTACAAATGCGTACGCTTCGAGCTCTTGCTCTAGGTATGCCGGAAGTCCCTGAGGATTTCTTCGAGCGATATCACACGGAGGGAGACAATCAGCTGAGACTGCTGCATTGTGAGCCAAAGTGTTGACAAGCTATCAGCCAGCTGACTGGTGCAGATCCATCTGCTCCCCGAGATGTCTTTGATTCTGGGGAGAAAGGACGCATAGGTGCACATACAGATTTCAGTACCTGTACATTTCTATTTCAGGATGATTGTGGGGGATTGCAAGTGGAGAGCCCAGTACGTCGTTTGAACAAGCTTGCAGCAGCAGGATTCCCTGAAACCTTCTCAGCGCTCTCCAGGCGTCTTCATTGCTGCCCCTCCTATACCCGGAACCATCATCTTCAACATTGGGGATTTCCTCATGAGGTGGTCAAATGACAGTCTCAAATCGACATTGCATCGCGTCGTAGCGCCGCCACCAAGGGAGGATGAGACGGGAATGACACGAGAGAGATACTCGATTCCTTATGTGAGTATGATTGTCCAGCATCATGTATTACAGTGGATTAATTGGGGCAGTTCTGCGGAGCAAACAAATCCCTGACGATTGAGACACTCCCTGGTACTTGGTCAGAAAGCAAGCCGAAGGAGTATGCACCGATCACCGCTGGCGAATACGTAAACATGCGATTGAATGCCACATACGAGGCGGGCGTGAAGAAGCTCAAAAAGGAGGCATTGGTGTATTAGGCGACTGCCGACGAGGCTATGGGGCAGTGGGGCAGTGCAAGCACACTAGCTTCGAGTACATTGAAACATGATCAATGCACCTTCCATGTGCGAATGATCCTGATCAGCCATCGGCTCAGCACGTATCAGGTCATCCCGTCAAGCGATCGGGCAGTGTCTCGATGGGGCTGTGGTCAAGTATATCGGAGTGTTCAGTGAGCGATACTCAGTGAAGCAGCCCTTCACACTCCAATATGCTGCCTTGATTTAACAAAAAGCTCGGACTTGGGATGCTTCTCACTGACTTTTCAGTTTCCAGTGCCACATTCCAGATACCCTTTACCCGTTGACACGGGCGAGTCTCAGCCTAACCCCTCCCACCCCCTGACGTTTCAGAATTGGTCAATGCCACTTTTTGTTATTGTATTACATTCCTGTGTTTTGATTCCGAGGTAGGTGGGTGGGTGGTGGGAAGATAGGAGGAGATCAGTGCTCGTTGAGTTTGCAAGAAAGGTGAAACAGAAAAGGGGGTGGACAAGCAGAGTGTATGGGGGGCGCATGGGCCCAATCTCCTTTCCAACCAGCTAGCTCTTTGGCGAACTTTTGGCATTCATCCTCACTTCTCATCCTCCTCACTTGCTGTTCAGGCTCATCACATTCATCATCCTCATCCCTCTCTGTCCTTCTCAGCCTCTATTGGCGCACACCTTTCCCCCCCTTTAGCTATACATTACCGTTTGGACTCGATTCCCAGCTCCTTCTTCATCCGAGTCTGATCTCTGATCATCCTTCCGCACACGTCCCTTTCCTCTCTCTCTTTCTCTCTCCATCGCTGCAGTTCACGCCCTCCTCTTGACTGTTCAATAGCTATCTTTCTATTCTCAGAAGCCAGTCCATAGACAGACTCATCTCCAGTCACTTTCAAGACGCTGCACATCACTTCTCAGATCGTTCTTTCAGCACCTCCTCAAAAATGGGCTGCACGCAGTCAACGGAAGATGTCGCGGCCAAGCAGCGTGAGTGGGGTCATGTATCGATTGCGAGATAATGCTGATGCATTACCGGCCCTCCCCTGCCCTCATCGACTACGCCATTCACCCAACGTCTTGCGAATCCACCTCTTCAACCCCCCTTCAACCCCTCCCCACTTCACCTCCTACTCCTGTAATCCACTGACTGCGCACCCTATTACCACGGTTTCCACCCACAGGCAACGATGAGATCGAGGAGCAACTCCGTAGAGATCGAGCAAATCTCCGTAATGAGATCAAGATGCTGCTGCTGGGAGCTGGAGAGTCAGGTGAGCTGTTGCTTCCTCACGACATCTCTCGAAGCTTACGCCTCATCAAGGAAAGTCGACCGTGCTCAAGCAGATGAGATTGATTTACAACAAGTATGGTTCAGTCACCGATTCATCCAGCTCATGCTGATATTATTAAGGCCGTACGATGACGACGAGCGTGATAGCTATCGGGAGATCGTCTACTCCAACACGGTCCAGTCAATGAGGTGAGCTGACTTCCTGCTGATCCGGCTATCCCTTTACCCTACGCCGAGACCCCTCCGTCCTGCGTACGAGGAGCATAGCACTGACTTTCCCTCCCAGAGTATTGCTCGAAGGGGTTCAGCTCATGGAAGTCTCCATCAACCCTCAAAATCAATCTCGCTGGGACATCATCATGGCTGCTCCTCCTCAAGTCGAGGGAGAAGCCTTTCCGCCAAGATTGGCAGAAGCAGTGGCTGTCCTGTGGCAGGATCAAGGTGTAAGGGAGGCCTTTGACAGGAGGAACGAGCTTCAACTGAACGACTCAGCGCCTTAGTGAGCTTTCGCGAGACTTGTGGCTCAAAGAGCTCACAATTTGCCAGCTACTTTGACGCTATCAATCGGATTGCTGCGCCAGATTACACACCTACCGACCAGGATATTTTGCGAGCACGAGTCAAGACAACGGGTATCACGTGAGTCTGCGGAGACCAGGGTCACGCTGACATGTCAGGGAGACACACTTCAAGATCGGAGAGCTGACCTACAAGCTTTTTGACGTCGGCGGTCAAAGATCCGAGCGAAGAAAGTGGCTCAATATCTTTGATAGCGTCAGCGCTCTCGTCTTTCTCATCGCCATCTCAGAGTGTGAGCTATCAAGATACCACGGAGCGACGTCAGCTCACCAACTCCAGACGATCAGAAGTTGTACGAAGATGAGACGGTCAACCGAATGGAAGAAGCCATGACTCTGTTCGAATCCGTCGCAAATTCGAGGTCAGTACCAACATGCAAATCTGAAGTTCCTCCTGAACGCTTCCCAGGTGGTTCACCAAGACATCAATCATCTTGTTCCTGAACAAGATTGATCTGTTCCGGGCAAAGTTATCGCATTCACCTTTGGCCAACACCTTCCCAGAGTATCGTGGGGGTGCCAACTACGATGCTGCTTGTGCCTTCTTGTTGGACAAGTTTGTTGGCCTGAACAAGAATCCTGCAAAGTCGATATATGCGGTGAGCGAAGCTTAATCTGGGAGAATACCCTGCTCAAATGCCCTCCTTCAGCACTACACTGACGCGACGGACACTCGTGCACTCGCATTCGTCATTTCAGCCATCAACGATGTCATCATTCAGGGTTAGTTACCCCTTCTGTGCCCTCTGTGTTTTGACTGACATTTCTCAGTCAACCTCCGGGACGCAGGTCTCTTGTAGACTGGGTCTGAAACTCCTTCGTGCCTTGCTTTCTTCTCTCTCGATGTGCTTGTATTTGAACCAACATAATGAGTGGCCTTCTTTCCGCACCTATGATACTAGGCGACGCAGATGAGGCCGATGCATCGGCATACTCGCCAATCAATGGCGTTTTCGGGATAGACTAAACATGCGCTCTTCTCTTAGGATCCAATGACTGTGTTCAGCCACGATGGCGCCGAGGGGTTCCACTGCCAGATCATGACGCCAGCGTTCCAGCCTTTCGATTCGGCGAGTTGATAACACGGGGCAAGCTGCGAAGCGGTCATCAGACTGCAAGGGCGGAAAAATGATTAGCAGTGACCCGTTTTGACACCAGTTGGTTGCGCGATGCTTACCCAGTATTGGAGACGTCTGCTTGGTTCAACGGTTTGCCGAGCACAAGTTGGTCCAGTGGGATGCCAGTATTGTTGGAGATTTCAAGAAGCGAAGTACCGTAAGCAGAGATCACGATTTGCTATGGGTCAGAGATCAGTATGATGGAGCATGAAGACCTTTACCTGACAGGTCGTATAAGACAGACTATTGCCTTGATTGTAAAACTGGACCTTGAGACCGGGTATTAGCCTGGGCCATCGAAGGGGCCTGTGAGAAAGGCTCACATTGTACCAGTCTATATCGTCTCCGACTTCCTGATAGATCTTGGCATACCCTCCATTCGGGGTGAACTGTTGTCCTGGAGGAGTCATGTAAGGAGGCTGAGGCGCATGTGAGATGAGATAAGGATGTGGTAACTGTCTCCGGAGTTCAGCAGTGAATTTGATGAGCCACGCTTCAGCGGTACCAGCTACAAAGGCGTTGGAGTCTATGGATACGTCAACATTTCGTGTCTATCTCTCTCTCCATATTTTGTGTATGTCGTCCGTTGAGCAAGGGACTCTCACCTTCATAGTCAATATCTGCGCCATCTAGGTTGTTCGCCTTGACGAACGCAGCTAGATTTTGAGCCGTCTTGATGGGATCAGCACCTGATGTCGTTGGGTAGTCTGTCAAATTGAGGGGGTTTAGCTCGAGGGTATCTAGCGATGTCCATGAAAAGGGGCTGACCTGTGGCTCCAAAGGCAGAGACCATCAGTGCGATCCCGTGGGAGTGGTAATCGTCAAGGACAGCCTGACGAGCACTAGCGGACAAGCTACTAAACTGTTCTGCCCACTGTATCGAGCGTCAATCAGAATTCTTTTCGCTTAGCACTCACGTCCCAAGCGCCTTCGGTCAGCCAAAAGGCCAAGAGGAATCGGTTCCATGGTGCTAGTTGCGCAGCGGATGGCATAGGCGTATTGGTGTCTGATGAGCGTGTGTGAGTGGGTCGACCATTGGCGGGAAGAAGATAGACCCACCATCGAGGTAGACAACATAGTGTGGGTTTGTATATTGTATTTGAGGAGCGGTCCCGTTTGATGCAACAGGCGATGGACTCGCAGAGGGTTGAGCACTTGCAGCCGTAGTAGGTCTGGGCGACGCAGAGGCAGCTGGAGCAGGCGACGGTGATGACAATAGGAATGGTGACTCCGATGGCGACGGTGTCGAGGTCGGGGATAACATGATTGACTGAAGAACAGCCGAAGGCACCTGTTGAACAGCTTGTACTTGACCCACTTGCTGAGGACTAGGAGGCCAAACGCAACCGGGGGAGGCATCCGGATTGCTCGCCCTGGCACAACGCCATTTTCAGACAAGAGACTTGTGGATGCACGGAGAGAAGGGGTACTCACACACAGATCGTATTGATACCGTCACACATTGCCATCTGGACCCATTGATCGTTATCGCAGCCTGCGACAGATTAGAGGCAACGCGAGATGCAACTCACGCAGCAGTTCTTGTCCTATACATACCCATCCTCCCACTGGGCACGAAGACTGTCTCTCGTCTAGCGAGGGATCCTCAACTGGCACTGGCGCTGGCCATTCTACCTGTGACGGCACTGGCGAAGGTACAGGAGCTTCGGAGGGTGATGGAGAAGGAGATGGAAAGGGGGAAGGGGAAGGTGAAGGCGAAGGAGAAGGAGAAGCTTCAGGGAGCTCCGATGCTGATTGCGAGGGAGCCGGTGATGGAGACACCTCGGGTGACTCTGCCGTTGACGGGGAAGGAGATGGAGACGGGGAAGGGGACGCCTCGGGCACGTCAGATGCCGATGGAGAGGGAGACGGAGATGGTGAAGGCATCTCTACCGGTGGATCTGAAGAGGACGGTGAAGGCGAAGGCGATTCCACAGGCGTATCAGACGTCGATGGCGAAGGTGAAGGTGTAGGCAATTCTGACGACGATACCACTGGCTCTTCTACAGGTGGTTCCACCGGCGACTCGGCAGGCGGCTCTATGGGTGATTCCATGATTCTCCAAGTCGAGGACGACGCATCGTGCACCTGTTCCAAGTAGACTTGAGCAGCTGCTAGAGGTGGAGGGTACCGTCTGTGCAGAGATAGAGGGATTCGGTGGGAGGCCAAGGCAGAAGAGGCCATCAAGGCGCTCGTCGATGTAAACAACAAGAGGTTGCGGAGAAGCATGGTGAGGAGTGTGTAGAGGAAGGAGGGCGGGAAGAGAAGCGGAATGAGAGAGAAGAAAGGCCAGGACGAAGAAAGAATGTAATGCGCTGAGCGTCAGCGAACGGACGGCGAGCTCGTCAAGAGCGTAAAGGAGGGGCAGGGATTCTGAAGATACGACTGAATCAATCAGTGGTCAAAAGATCAGATGTTCAACATCAAGTGTAGAGATGTAAGATTGCTCTGAACCGAAACATGGGGGGACGAGTCAGATGAGGAGGGACCCTCTCTAAGGCAATGGTACAAGCTGGATCAGTGTCGATTGGCTTGCTACTGCATCGTTGCCCTTACGCCATTGAGCCAGAACTCAAAAAAGATAAAAAGTGGTTCATTTTCAAGATCACATCTCACATGAGTCGATGATGTCGAACTGTCTCATCCATTGACTAGGGTCTCAACTTCGTCCTAGGTCCTTGTTCGACTTGTGAAGGAAGTCCTATAGGAGTCCAGCGAGCCAGTGACCAGCGAGGAGAGGATCATAGTAAAAATGTTTTAGTGTCAAGAGGCTGATCATCTTATTACTTGACAGCGGGATCCCGGCTCGCAGACCACGTGGCGCAGTATCTCGCTCAGCGGTATCTACCGCCTCGGATCCGATCAAGCTCGTTTCAAGTTGAGATCCTTGGTGATGCTGGAGGATATGTGTATTGTGATGTCCATGAGACATATGCGATGAGTACCAATATCCAGGACTATGTCGAGGTGAGCTGCCCATTTTACAGCTGTAGACACGCTGATATGCTTGTGCGTTTCTCGCAGATCCTCAACGCAGAGCAATATGTGCAGGTCGAGAAACTCGCCGAACATGCTCGGCATGGGATCACACCAAAAGTCCGAGGGGTGAGTGAGGCATCAGATTGATCGCCAAAGTAGCTAGATGCTTTGAGTCTCAAAACTTACCCTGTCATGAATCATAGGAAGTCTGGCTGTACCTTCTCAAAGTGCTCTCTGCAGATAAGACATCTGAGATTACCTCGATCATCTCCATGAATTCTCTATATCAATCGCTCGAATCGGATTTACCTTCAGATCTCCAAATCCTCTTGACGAAGACGGCACTGGCTCATCATGCTAGACGATTTCACCAGCCAACCTACGCAGGCTTGATCAGCAGTATCACCGCGGAATCTTCAAGGGGGTCCAACAACAGCAAAACATCTGCTCAATCGGCCGGGAACGGCTTGAAAATGAATACAACGCCAGCTCAACCTTTTGATCAGGGCAACAATGGGGCGGGGTCGTGGATGGGGAACGAGCCCTCTTCCTCTTCCAATAGGAGTAGAGGATCAACAGTCGCATCTCAATCCCGGCCCTCTGGCTCAACGAGCCAAGGACATAGTCGAGATCCTTCAGGCAGAGTACACGTACTGGAGCAGTTTTCTAGTACAGCCTCCCAGCGATCAACGGATCATCCGACCGATAAAAGTGAGAGAAGTGAACGGAGTGAGAGGGTAGAAAGACAAGACAGGGTACAGCGTCAAGATTGGATAGAACGGACCAATGTGGGTCCGGTAGACGATGGAACGACAACACTCCGATCTCAAGTCTCAAGATTCTTACCTCCGCCTCCTACGACGCCTCCGACACGACAAGCGTACCTGTCGACCCTCATCGAGGTTTTTGGTGAGTCGTTATTAGACCTCATGGCTCGATGCTGAGAGAACTTGACTATAGGCAAATATCATAATTCTCAAAGGGCTAAAGGAAAAGACCGGGAAACACGTCGATTGTCTTCAGGTTTAGACGATACAGAGGCTAATTGGGTTTACCTCGCTACCCCTTTCATATGCTGTCTCTCGAGACCTACGGCAATCTATCTGGGATTCGAAAAGCTGGCCGAGAGAATGGGTATGTGTGATGTCTGTGGAAGCCAGAATAATTATTGATTGAATCGGCCTAGAATCATTTCCTCCACTGCCTTCGCAACTCGCCAGTCTCCTCCTCCTTGTTCGCCAAGCCCTACCGGAACTATTCTCCTTCTTCGAGGATGAGCAGGTCCCCTATGTTCAAGTCGCCATGGGCTGGCTGAAGAGTCTGCTCTCCAGAGAGATGTGGTTGGGAGACGTACTTAGACTATGGGGTAAGCCTGTCGTCGGAAGCAATGGTTGATCAGTATAGACGCCTACCTTGCAAGTACCGACATGTTCGCTCTGCACTGTTATGTGTGCGTTGCCGTCTTAGCGACGTGCAAAGAGTGAGCATGCGGTCAGTGGGTGCATAGCTGAACATGCCAGGACATTGGAGGAGCTAGACGGATCAGAAGTCAAATTGATGTTGATGGATCTTCCCCCACTGGACGTGGACAGGGTAGGCGAAACACTCTAGACGGCCTCTCTTTGGTCAAAAAAGCTGATGTATGATGATAGCTCTTGCAAGACGCTGCGAGTCTTCGTGTATCATTCCCTCTTCCTGTGCCAGCTGCGGACGACGATGCATAGGCGCTGTCGCAGAGTCACTGGACTTCTAGACACCCATCGGACAGGCTGAGTTCGACTCTCCGGATCCCGAAGGCGGAGCCTAGGAGCAAGATTACTCAAGCCGACCCCATGGAGCCAGATGCCATCAGCATGTTGCGTTCACGTCCGGAAGCCCCAACGTGGTACATGCTTTTACTAGCAAGACGCTTCCGCATGCATGCCTTGAGTTTTGGCGCTAGCTGGAAATTACATAGGCCAAACCCGTAGGATCGGCCTTCAAGCTAACGGGCCGGTGGCAGGGCATGTTCGTGAAGGATGCAAACACGAATGCAAACAGCTCGACAAGGCATGTATGCAGATTCAGTCGGTATGGAGGTCGTTGACATCGTCTTCATTCCTCCCAAAGCATAGTCAGTGTTCTGCTCACGCGGTCATCAATACAGCCAGGTAGTCATATTTCATTGGATACTTCCACTGTGCCAGCCACCATGCGACTCGGCTCAAACACTGTGCTAATGAGCATGGCAACGCTCGTCCTTGGCGCCCGTAGAGATTTTCCACATCATAGAGTGCTCAGTCGACAGGCGGCAGGTGTAACGGGGCAATCGATCATCCCTGATCTCCTTGAAGGATTGGAAAAAAATCCGGCACTCGAGGTCGGGATCGGGATCAACGTCAACATCTCTGCTGATCTCGACCTCGACCTCGGAGGCTTCCAATATGGTTCAGACAAGATCAGAGGAGTGAATCTGGGAGGTGTGAGTGCTGTCCGTAAAAGCTAAGGGAGTGTATTGAGCGTTTTCAGTGGCTCGTCCTCGAAAAGTGGCTGATGGTGAGCCTCCTGCCACATGACCGCGGTAAAACGTTTTGTGCTCCAGCCTGAATTGTTCAACGAGACTGGCAACGCCAGTATCATCGATGAATGGACTTGGGGAGAGTATCAACCTCGAGACCAAGCGGAATCTCTGATGAAGCAGCACTGGGAGACTTGGATCACAGAAGATGATTTCCGACAGATCGCCGGTAGGTCGCGAGGTCTAGACGTCTATTTGAGGTACATGCTTATATACATGGGCCATACATAGCACTTGGACTGACGCACGTCCGTATACCTATTGGGTACTGGGCCTTTCAAGTCGGGCCCGGCGAACCTTATATCACGGGCCAACAGACGTACCTGGACAAGGGGATCGAATGGGCGCGCGAGAACGGGATCAAAGTCCTTATTGACCTGCATGGGGTACCTGGATCTCAGAATGGGAATGATCATTCGGGTCGAGCGGGACCCATCGACTGGTGAATTCCAAGCACTGATTATGAGATCTTGAACTCTGCTTACGTCCGTATCACAGGTACAACAACGCGACCAATGTCAATCGGACTCTGGAGGTGGTCCGTCAGATCGCTCAGAAATACACCTTACCGCCATACAGCGATGTCGTGACGATGTTCGAATTGATCAACGAGCCTTCCGTCTGGATCTCACCACTATTTGCTACAGTCTTGAAGCAGTATTACCTTGACGCGTATGAGATCGTTCGAAGACCTTTCGGGGAATTTGGACCGACGACAGATATCATCGTATTGCTTCAGGATGGGTTCCAACCGATGACTTGGTGGGGCGATTTCATGACCCCAAATTATAACGGAGGGGATTATGAGAGGGTATGGATGGGTGAGATAGAGATGTTGTGTAGGGAAGGAAACCCTTGACGCTGACAACCCGGATGTCAGACAACCACTATTACCAAGCTTTCAATCCTTCTTATGGTCTATTGGACGCCGCTGGGCATATCAATGTCCGTCTTCCGCTGAATGTACTCCTCCTGATCCGCAACAGACCACATGTAACGAAGCTGGCGTTAACTTTGCCCAAGCTCAACTCCCTATCGTTGACGGAGAATGGTCCATGGGACTCTGGGGCTGCCTCGCCAATGACGGCGTGGCACAGCCAAATGTAGGTACCTGCAATGATGCCGATCCAAACTTTGGCTCGTAAGTGATGCTTTGATATGCAAGGGGTTTATGCATCGACTGACACGTCTCCAGTGGCTACGTCCGATTCAACCGAGCCTACTGGGATGTTCAGACACAAATCTACGAGCAAGTAGGTAACGGTCAGGGATGGTTCTATTGGACATGGAAGAATCATATTGATTCACCTGAATGGGGATATCAACTTGCCGTCCAAGATGGATGGTTCCCTCAAGACGTGACGGATCACGTCCACACTCGAACAGAGCTATGCCACATTGTCGTTATCAGGGACGAACCACGATGAAGCATGAGTGTGTGCCTCGGAAAGACGCCTCTCATCTAGGACTTTTATGCATAAAACGATAGCCTACATGTATGCCCAGGGAGGTTGCCGCAAGCGGTGTTCATCCCATTTTTTGCCCGCTCTCTTAACCGGGCATTTCCTTCTTTTGATTCCGTCATCGTTGGTGGCCATATATGAACGGGCTCATTATACCATAGGTTACTCCCCCTCTACCTCTCGATCACTTCCAATCTTATATAACATTCTGACGCCTGTAGCAGCAGCATCTGGTGGATCGTGGTGCTCACTTGGAAGCCGAGTGGACCGATTTGCCCCTGTCATCTCTGCTTACAACCTTCAGTGACGGCATAATCACCTTCAGCACCGCTTCGCTGGCTGACTTTTTTTCCTTCTACCCTTTGGCTCCCCTCTTCTACAAACCGTTTTATTATTATTTACATCGCCTCTCGGGACACACTACAGACAACGCTCAAGACGCCGGACAATCGCCTCGCCTCGCTCCCTCGCACGAGCGAGCGACCGACCGACAAGGCACGACAACGAAAAAGCTCTTGGCCCGTTGGAATAGGTGCGGAATAATAAAAAAAGCAAGGAGGGAGGCAGAGGAGGGAGGAAGGAGGATCTCAATCACCACCATTCCACTCACCAAAAATCTCCTCAACGCCCACCCGCCGGATAATATTGCCATAGATAATCGAATCCATTTGGGAATCTGGTGGGATCATACTGTCTTCTCGGTCCCGGTTCCAAGGAAAGGTTGGTCAGCAGGCAGCTGATCATCGATAATCAGACCTAAAAGCTGGTCCATCACATTATCCCGCGGGCCGATTTCCCGAACACCTCTCTGCCCCGTTCTTGACTCTTTGCACCATCCGCAGCTTGCTTGCGGATCTGTCAACGTCCTGATCCCACGGAGGACGGGGCGTATTGAATATTTAAACGCCTCGAACGACTCCGACCAGACTCGTATCCGAGAGCCTTCTTCGCTCAAGGGGTGGGGGGGCTTTCCCGCCTGATCTGGCGCCATGTCTATCCCTTCTCCATCACCGTTTGACGACACCTTTGACACCTTTTACAACGCCCAACAAGCTCAGCGTCAATCCTCATTGGCATCTCAATCGTCCAACTTCTCCATCGAACAGCGCTTACATGATAATGGAGACCTCGTAGAGGAACCTCATTCGTTGAGTCGGAGAGGGTCGAATGCCAGTTTGACAGAGCACGGACGACCGAGGTCTTCCAGTCAAACGGGGAATCAACAACAACAACAACATCATCATCATCATCATCATCCCCCAGGCGCTGGTTTAGGGACAGAACCTTGGAGACAGGAGTCATGGCCTTACGACCCGACGTCCTCCTCGACCTTGATCGCAACTGCACCACATCATGGTCCAGGACCAAATGCGCCAAATATGTACGCCTCATCCTCAAGCAATCCCCAATATCCATCATCCCAACCTCACGATCAATCCTGGCAGATGCCAATGACCGCTACGGGTCAATTTGATCAGTTTCACCAGAACCAACCGAGCCCGTTCTCTATATCAACCGGGACACCTGGGACAGATGGAAGCGCTGGGTACTCCACAGGCGAGGGGTATCAGGGAACTTTTCAGGCTCAACAGGCGTCCAGTGGTTGGGGTACTGAATTTGTCAACAGTCAAGAGCCGAACGTTGACGGGTTCATTGACGAATTGGATAGAATGTGAGTGACCCACAGCGTTGGCTCCCACTAACGTACTAGCATCTCAACTTCAAGTCATCCATCTCGCGAACCGTCCCCAGCGCCATACCAGAACGACATGCAACGCAACGCCATGCAAATGGCTTCAACATCAATGTTGGATCAGCCCTACGAATCAGCCGTCAGTTCTCGATCGGCCAGTCCGATGCCTCAGAACATCATTATGCCACCACCCAGTACTGTACCACATCGTGCCTCTTCCCCTAATTCCTCATCACCGTTCTTCAACAAACCACAATCTCCACCTGCCCTTATCATACCCAGCAACAATCAGCCATCCTTTCCCCCCATCGTCACGACGTCAACGGACGGAGTGACCGGCCAAGCGCAACAAAATCCTCAGCATGGTGTCGGTCTGCCGAGACAGAGTATGGGAGGGTCTATCGGATTAGGGAATGTCAGCGGAGGTCTACAGCCACCAGCCGATCCTGCTCTTAGGGGTCTGACGGGAATGGACGGGATCAGTCCGATAGCTGCGAATTCGGATGGCCCAATGATCTTTGTGCAGCCCAGTACGCCAATATCGGGGCTAAAGGAGGGTCGAGGATTGTTTGACGCCGCGCTGCAACGCCAAGCACAGCAGAACCAACAGCGGACAGGCCAGGCTAGCTCGGAGTACAGTGGACGAAGTGGACAAGGCCAGGCATATGGGCAGCAAAATCAACAGCAGTATGGACACGACGATCAGGCAATGTACCAGAATCATCCTGGGCAGTGGAACGATTCTGAAATGGCTTGGAACGGTCTCAGAGCTATCAACACGGCGCGTCCGCGGGCAAAATCGGACTCGTTCATGAATAGTCCGACGGGTACAGGCTTCAATCGTCAAGCGTTTTTCGCCGCCTTGGGAGGTTTATCGAACGGACAGCCATTAGATGAGAATCAATTGAGATCAGTCATCGATCACTGGCGCGCGTCCTCGGCCATGATGGGAGGAGATCAAGATGGTTCACAGCAGGCGCCTGCTCCGACTTTGGACCCTCGTCGATTGCCCGGTGTTGAGGGCAACAATGATAATAATATCCTAGATCAGGCCAATCTCGATCAACAAATGTCAGCACTGCAAGCTCAACGCAATCGATTACCAACGTTGAACACCTCCGGGATGACTGGAGCGAAGATCCAGCCTGGACTAATATCTCCAACCTCCATGGCTTTCTATCAGCAGCTTGGCATCACTCCCCTGCAGGCCTCTCAATTGGCTGGGACCGAGTCTGCCCCCTTCTTTCAGTCGACTTTCGAAAACATCCCCCAAGGTTACTATCCTCAGACTGCTGCTTTAGGCGGGCATTTTCTCTCGCCGGACATGTCTGGACTTGGACCGCGTCGGAAATCTTTCACTGAGGGTCTGAGTCATCCCGCCGCTGGGGCTGGTACTCCGGGCTACGGCATTGAATTCTCCAGCGCACCATATGGAGGTCAGAGTCCAGGTCGGGTACGTGGCGTTGGCGGTACATCTGGTGGTCATCGAAGAGGTATCAAGAGTGAGGATTGGGGAGTCGGAGGAACAGGCTGGGGCGTGGGTCAGGGCGGCTCAACGTAAGTGAACGAGTGCGGTCTCGTCTGACTCCGTGTGTCACAGCGCCGACTTCCTTAACTCCATCACTGCCAACGACGGCACTCTCTTGCCCCCACGTGGCCGCTCACACTCCCGTCATTCTTCTGCATCCTCAGCCAGGTCTGCTTCACCAGCCTTGTCTGTTTCTAGCCAAGGCTCTTCCTACGGTGGTGGATCGCCGCGGATGGAAATGCCTGAAGGCGCTCAGGTACCTGGCAAGCTTGCCAAGCTCAAAGTCACCAGTACGGCGACCGAAGTTGCCAGTACGAGTCGAAGGACAAACGAAGGTGTCTATAAGTGTCCAGGTGGGTCATCTGCTGCGCATCAGTGCTGATCGATCGCAGTACCCGGTTGTGGTAGTACATTCACGCGTCATTTCAACCTCAAAGGTCATTTGCGCTCTCACAACGATGAACGACCATATAAGTGTCTCTACGATGGATGTCCAAAGTCCGTCGTTGGCTTTGCCAGGCAGCACGATTGCAAACGTCATATGCTTCTACATGAGGGTCTGAGACCGTTCGAGTGCGATGGATGTGGGAAGAAGTTTGCGAGATTGGACGCATTGACACGGCATCGTGAGTGCGAGTTCCAGCACTAAGGACTAATGACATTCAGATAAATCCGAGCAAGGTCAAGAATGCGCCATCTCGCATCCACTTCCTGTCAACCCGGACGGTACCGCCATGTCGGAATCTCAATACAAAGCGTACAAAGCGGCCGAGAGCAAAATGTCTGGAGGGGCTTCTGGTGGAGGAGGATCGGGGAATGGTCGTGGACGTGGGAAAGGTCGCGGAGGATCATCATCCGGAGCCAAGATTAAACGGGAGCAATCGCATTCTGGCCTGAGTGCGTTCAGTGGATCTGGGGCGGAAGAGGATCACCCACCAGGTTATGGGAGCGGGATGGAGGAGTATGATCGCGTCTGAAATCTTGTTGGTTTCAGGGAAGTCTAGTGCTTGTCCCTCACCGTGTTAGAGTTCTTCTGGAGTGTGTGTGAGACTGAACAATGGACAATAGCTCACTCCGGCGTTGTAGATCATATAAATGTGTGCAAAAGTCTTTATCTTGACACCGGTTCAGAGCCGGGGAGATAAGTCCGATATCTCGGAGGATAGGCGTCGGGTTGGCAGCTACCGTTCACCTGTATTGTTCATTGCATGAGACTCACTGTGTGATGTCCAAATCGAGTGCAGGGCCTCCCATCAGACCTCTCCCGGACCATCTATCGGAATTTGTGGAAGATTTGCGGGTAAAGTATGGCGTATCGAGTATAGGCGTAGCTACTGTTCGCAAGATCTCCGAGGGTGCGAGCGGAGAGCAATGGGAACATGCAGTCGGAGGGTTCGGTACCGCCAACGCTCAACGAGATCCAGTCACTCCCGATGTGAGTTTATATGTATCAGCCAGCGAGATGTGACCAATGTTACACAGTCACTCTTCTCTATCGCTTCCAATAGCAAATTGATTACTGTGATTGCTCTGGGACTGCTGATCGAGAGCGAGGCAAAATTACCCGATGGTTCGATTCTGAGATGGGACAGCAAGGTGTCTCGCATCTTCCCGGACCTGAAGCTACAGGATGAGCGGGTCATGCATATGCTGGATCTGACTGATCTCCTCGGTGAGTCTAGCTGCTCATTTGGGCGATGCGACGGGGACACAGCCAGTGTGGCTCATCTTAGATAGGGATGCGCTCTGGCTTACCTGGACATGACACTGCCATAGGGTACGCAGGGCCTTGTCGTCAGAAGCAGCAAGCTGATGTGCTATCTGCTTAGCTTGGTCTCGCCGTCAGAGCTCATTCGCATAATGAGTCATCTTAAACTCTCAGCGGAGATCCGACAGACATGGCAGTATTCCAACATGCACTACATTCTCGCAGCAGCCATCATTCCTATATTGACAGGCATGCCATTCCACGACTATGTCCAGCAAAAGATCTTCAATCCTCTGAGTATGAAGCAGTCGTATTAAGATGATAAGGCTGCAGAGAAGACGGAACGATGGACACATGGATCTATGCGGCTCGGTATTGATATTGAAGAATGTCGGCGACGATTGGACAATGGTCAGAACCTGGATCAGAGCGTCCTGGGTGAAGTCAAGAGATTTGGTAGATGGACAGAGGAGAATACTTTACATCGAGCTGGTCCCGGCGGAGCAATCATGAGTTTGAGAGATATGGTGAGCGCTTCCTGGAGGACGCGGACGATCTAGACATTAATAAAACCCCATTTAGACCATTTGGATGAGAGAGCTCCAAGATCCAAAAATCATCCCTGCCTCCCTGTTGAAGAAAGCGGAGCATCCACTCTCAATAGTGACGGCTGAACCTAGTGATCCAGAGCTCGGAGTCTCAACTTATGGACTAGGTCAAATGGTCTACACGTATCGGGGCTATCGGATCACGGGTCATTCTGGCGGACTACCTGGTCAGAATACCCTCATGCTACGCTTGGATGACGGTTACGCCATCATGGTCGCTACGAACGAGGTATGGGCGCGATTGCCAATATTGAACGATGTAATATATCGATACATAGATGATCATCTTGGACTGAAACCGCTGGATTGGACAAAGCGGGCTTTCGAAAGACTTGTCAGAAATACTCGGAGAGATCTGGTGGTACCGAAAGACCCGGTCCCACCGCTGAGCTCGGAAAGGATCAAGGGCCGATACACGAATCTTGCGTATGCCGACCTAGTCCTAAGTGTACTACCCCTCGACACCGCAGAGGACACACCATTCCACGTCGACTCGAAGCTCTTTCTGAACCTCTTCCCCCATATCAAAGGCACAAGATACGGCTCACCGATGTCCAAAGTGTTTGTCGACTTTATAGGCTTCATTCCTATATCTGATAATGTCTATCATTGGGTCTGTCTGACGACTAGACCGATATTAGACGCAAACGGTGAAGAATCTGTACAGCGGGGAGTGGTAGACTACGAAGTGGGGACAGCTATATTCACTGAGGATGGTCTGGGGATGTTCGGCAATTTTTGGGGCGCTGGACCGGACGTTCCAGTCACGCAGGCTGACGTGGGCATGGAAGAGGTGAAGCGGAGCGCGGAAGTGTTCTTTGAACGGTCGAGATGAGATGTAATTTTGCACCTGCCAACCACAGTCTCTCAGTCAGTCACCCGCCGCCAATCTTTGCATACCTTTTGCCCCCACGCGATCGGCCTTCGGCTTCCGATCTTCCGTTGGAATCCGTCGTAATTAGAAGAAGCGAGCTCAGCGCTGCATGTGCCATTTCTCACAAAAGGTGTTGACTCGCTGACGCGGCCTTCAGCTATCAGTAGCATTGGCAGACTCTCTTTCACCATGCGCTTGATACATGCTCTGAGCGTGTTGTCACTCAAGCTCTCCCCGTGGTTCGGATCGAGCCACAGCATGGTCGATCGAGAGCAGGGTGTTCCTCATGACGTCAAAGACTTTGCCAGACTCCCCGAGCACATGTCAAAGTATGTGGAAGAAGTCAGAACAGAACTTGGCGTACCTAGCATCGGGATCGCCGTAGTCAAGCGAGTGAACGATGATGATGGGCATGGCAGCTGGGAGTCAGCCATAGGGACGTTTGGAACTGCCAATGTTCAAGGCGATCCCGTAACAAAGGACGTGAGTCCCTGTCCAGGTTGGCCAGATCCTAAAGCGGGTACCACTTCTTATTAGTCGCTCTTTGCAATCGCTTCGAATACAAAATTCTTCACTGCTCTTTCTGTGGGCATGTTGATCGAGAATGGGACAAAGCTGCCTAGTGGAGAGCCATTAAAGTGGGACACGAAAATCAAGGTCATCTTCCCTGGTATTCAGTTCCCCGAGCCCAGTCAGACGGATTTGCTCAATGTCATTGACTTGATGTGTGAGTGATGTCTTTGCAGCAGATGACATGCTCTGGACTCATGCCAGTGTGTTTGCAGCGATGCATTCGGGTATGCCGAGACACGACTATGGCTTTTAGTGAGTTGCTCACTCACGGCGTTAAGAGTCATGGCGAACGAAATCTTACTCGCACAATCTAGCAACTCGGATTACAAAGAGATCATCAATGCACTCCCTCATCTCCGAGCGTCTGCAGAGATCCGACAAGCATATCAATACTGTAACATTGGCTTTGTGATTCTGAGCGGGATCATCCCCGAACTCACCGGTACTCCGTTCCATGAGTTCGTCCAGCAGCACTTTTTCGACCCTCTCGATATGACCTCGTCTTATCTCAAAGCGACGGTCGCAAGTGCTACGGGCAAATGGACAGATTCAGCCTTGCGGATCGGTATCAACAAACCTGAATGTCGGAAACAGTGGACGGAGAATAGGAAGCTGGACGCTAGTTGTTTGGGTCAGGTCCACCGGTTTGGACCTTGGACAGATACCGATTACCTCGAGATGGGAGGCGCCGGCGGTGCCATCTTGAGTCTGGTCGATATGGTAAGCTTCAAAATATCCTCACTGGCGTGATCGCTGAGCTGAGTATGGCCCAGACTAAATGGATCAAGGAGCTCCTCGACCCTCAAGTGGTCCCCGCCGACCTCATCAAGAAAGCTGGTCATCCTTACACCCCGATCACGGACCCGACCTGGCCAGAATTAGGTGCTGAAAGTTACGGCCTGGGCCAAATTTCATTCTCTTTCCGAGGTCATCAAGTTGTCACGCACAGTGGCGGACTGCCCGGTGCCACTTCTTTGCTGCTACGATTGGTCAATGACGATTACGGGATCATGATCGCCACGAATGAGGGGGATCTCTCCATGAGCGTCCTTTATGGTCTCGGTCATCGATTCTTGGAAGATCATCTGGGCCTTGAGCCTATTGATTGGGTCGAGCGATACACCGATCAATGGGTCAACAGAAAGAACGAGAATCAAGTCATCGCACCGAAGCATCCGAAACCTTCACCATCTCGGAAAGAGGTCGAAGGAATGTATGAACATCCAGTCTATGGCTCCTTCGACATCCGAGCGGTCGAGCCTCTGTCCGTCTCAATGGACAGCCTAGACTCTAATGTTCAGGCTCTGATCACTGAACAATTCTCGGACCACCTTGAAGGTATCTACTTTGCGCACGTCAGAATGATCTTTGCGAATTACATTGTATTCACACGCGTATCCGGCAACGTCTTCAGCTGGACGGCACTCGATCTCTATCCTACGCTCAACGAGGATCGATCAAAGTCCAAGGTGTTTGGCAATGCTCTTGCGCCTGCGACCGGCTCAGCGTTCATCAGCTCAAAAGGAATTGGCATGTTTGGGAATTTCTGGGGTGCAGGAGATGCTGTGCCGGTTGAAAAGGCGGAAGAGGATATGGACTATGTTGAAAAGCGGGCAGAAGTATGGTTCAAAAAGGTCGAATAGGTCGGGGGGATAAGAAAAGAAGTGAGTGTCCTGGATTTGCAGGGCAGGCAGTAGTGGGTCCATCACGAGAACCGACTGGCCAAAGATCAGAGGTCAAAGGTATCTCTGAAGGTACTGTATCTTCTCGCATATTTATCGAGAGTCTAAGAGAAGTATGGAAGGATGAATGCAAGCTTCTTCTTGCCTTCTTCATTTTGAGCCTGTACTCGGTATCAAGTCAGCGCTTCCGACCACAAGGGCGTTCGTTCACTTACATCTGGACTTGTAATGGTCGAGAACCGCATAGACCCTTTAGCTTCCGTCAAAACGTTTCCAGCAGCCACTACATCATGGACATCCTGCAATAAACCCGCAGCGACCGCCTTTGAGTTTCCAGCATTGGTATGAAGGGTCTTGACGACTTCCTCTACAGTCACAGGCGGGAAACCCGTTCGCCAGGCATCGTAGTCTGTCGATGTACAAATCAACGTGTAGCTGGATGGAAAAGAAGGGGATATGATCAGCGATACGACCATTGTGATGGCTTGACTAACTCGATCTCCGCCTCTTTGGCAAGCTTGGCTTCTGGAATGACGGACATGTTGATGATGTCTCCTCCCCATAAGCGATACATGAGGGACTCTGCTCGAGTCGAAAATGCGGGACCTAGAGAAGGTGTCAGGCGTTCCGGACCTTTTGAGTCAAGAGTTCGAACTGCTCTCACCCTCCATGCACACGACAGTCTTGTTCTGATGAAGCTTGACGGGTCCACCTTGGATCTCGCTCAGGATTTTCTCTACACGAGGTGAGACAAACTCGTTCAATTGAGTGCTGAATGGGTCTCCAAACATTGTATGCCCAACGACTCCGATTCCGCGAAAGTATGTTTCTTGTCTGATACCTTTTGTTCGATCAATAATCTGCGAAGGGATGATAAAGTCTCCAGGAGCGATCTCTTCCCTCAACGATCCAACAGCTGAAAAGGCGACAATGGCTTGTACCCCAATATGCTTGAGCGCAGCAATGTTCGCTCTGGCAGGGACTTCAGAAGGGGAAATATGGTGACCTATTCCGTGTCGGGCGATGAAAGCTATCTGATCGCCAGAGGGGAGCGTCGAGATGGTGATCGGGGACGAGGGTTTGCCCCAAGGCTAGCAGGAGAGAGAGAGAGAGAGATTAATACGGAATTCCAGAGGGTTTTGATAGACCGACCCACAGTATCAACTTCAATGGTCTTGCTGACGAATACATCAGTATGAATAGTTCTCACAAGACAACTTTCTTGAGCCAGAGCCGCTAGACTCAGCTCTGCTACTCACACCGGCGTCAAGTTGTCGAGGTTGTACAGACCACTTCCGCCAATGCATCCGACGAGGACTAGAGCTCTTTCAGCGACGTTCCAAGCTCACCACACACGAATCGTCCTCACCTTTCTCGCTGGACGACGACATGCTTCTCTGGTGACGCTGGTGCTGTCTGACAAGTGACTGTAGAGGTCGACACAGACGACAAGCTATGGGCATGCAAATGTATATAATAAACGTTTTATTTAACCTCATTCTTGTACAAAAAGCACGTCAGATCTGCGGAAAAAAAAAGTTCGGCCATTCGGGTGATGGAGGCGGCCGAAAAGAATGCATACAGAATGGCGAGGTCCATCGACTGGCAATCTCCACACCCGACAGGGTCCGGCCTCAGGCAGCCCGCTGAAATCTTAGGCTTTGGCGCCGGCGTCCCGTTTTGCCCTCTTGACGTTACGTAGTGCCTTGGCCTTGTTCGTCGCCTGCCTCTCGCCGAAGCCCGTATCGTGCATTTCCTGAGACATTGGCGTGAGCCGATTCATCGCAAAACACAGGGGAAGACACGACAACTCACCATGGTCGCCACACGCCTCGCTACAGAGACAGAATTGAGACTCTCCAATACTTGCTCCTCGGGCAAATCTAATTCCTCCATCTTGACCCCCACTTCGGATTCTATCATCTGAACGAGGTCCACGTCTTTCTCCGTGACGACGGTGACGGCCACACCGCCTCGGCCAGCTCGAGCAGTACGTCCTACTCGGTGAATATAATCATCAGATCGTCGAGGACAATCCCAGTTGATCACCATTGCCACTTGAGGTATATCTAGTCCTCTCGATCCAACGTCCGTGGTGACTAGGATAGGGACTTGCTGAGCTCGAAATCGGGCAAGGGACTCCAGCCGATGCGGCTGTGTGAGGTGCGAGTGTAGCGGCACGGAAGGGATCTCCAATTGGTTTAACAGGAGATGTACGAGATGAGCTGTGGCACATCGTTGAGTGAAAATGATGGTAGAGGGTATAGGCGGTAAATCATCCTCAGATTCTTCACTCTCGCTCCGCTGTCTCCTTTTCCGTGATTTAGTCATATTTGCTATGTCTTTGTTCGGCTTCGCCGTAGTACGCAGAATCGTGTCAATGTCGGAAGGCGGATGATGAAGCAGGTAAACGAGGTACGGATCTCTGATCTGACTCGGGATGAAGAGGTACTTTTGCTTTAGGTCTAAGACGGTTTTGGTGCTGCAGGTGCTTCAGTTGAGATTCTCTGAACGTGAGGCTAGACTCACTCCGATTCGACGCGATACATGAATGGCTTTGGTCTGCCTGGCTGAGCTGGCTTCTCGGCGAGCTGCAAGATTGTGTCGTTGATAGTCGCGGTGAAGAGGCACGTCTGGCGATCTGCAGGCATCTGCGAGAAAAGGTACGCGAGATCAGGCGCAAAAGTCGGTGTGAGCATCCTATCGGCTTCATCGAGGACCTAAGAGATGTGCCGATTAGCTCTCTTGCTGGGAACGGGCCGAGAGGACCGTCTCACCAGGACTTTGGCTCTTGACAATTTGTTGACACCTCCAGAACTACTCCTCAGTAGATCACAGAGCCTTCCAGGTGTAGCAACGACAATATGAGGTCTTTTTTCCAACGCTGCAGCTTGACCCATCATATCCATCCCTCCTACCACCGTGATCGTTTCCAAACCCAAAGGTTTCCCAACAGCTATGAATTGCTCTGCCAGTTGATAAGCCAGTTCTCGAGTAGGCGTTAAGACGACAGCCCAGATTCCAAAAGGATCCCGGGCAATGCGTTCCACGATGGGCAGGGCGAATGCTAGGGTTTTACCACTTCCAGTCTTAGCGCCGCCGATACAGTCTCTGCCTGAACAACGAGTCAGCACGCATATTCATTCCACCTCTAATCACAGGCCCACCTTTGAGGATCTGAGGAACACAAGCCGATTGGATCTCCGTGGGAGACCGTATGCTGATTCCAGCTAACGCAGTGATGAGTGGTCTTGACAATCCAAGTGATTCAAATGTCTCATTCTTGGACCCTGCCGAGGAGAAAAGCGACGGCTTGGGCTCGTCGGCTGAAGGTTTCTGAACTCCCCGAGTCTTACCAAGGCTAATCCTGGAGACCCCTAGAGCTGTCAGCCTCTGGTTCGGCGGCGAAGCTCGTCGAGATGCCGCCCAGGAGGATTCGGCCTCGCTGCTCCCGTCGATATCTGATTGCAAGCGCCGCGGGCTGCGAGCTGATAGGTCGTCTCCCGGCTCAGACACATCTTCAAGCTCGATATCGTCCTCCGAGTCGACCCCATCTTCTCCATCCGAGCCCTCTGAGCTTGTCTCTCGCTCTTTTCCTTTGGACACCTTTGCCGCCATCATGGATTTCAAAATCTCAGATTGATCCAAGAACAACGATTCAGGTGTTTCGGTCGCTTCCGAAGCTGTTCTTAGGTCGTTCGACCTTCTTTTGACCTTCATTGACGCCTCTCCGTTGCTTGTTGAGCCAGTCTTCACCATCTTTTGTAGGTCCTGCTTATATTGTGAATGCGATTGTAAGGACCTCAAACTTTTGATTTTGGAGATTATCGCAGCGGCAATCGCCGCTGAATATGTTTTTCCGGCCGGTGACGTTGCGAGGCGTATAGAGTGGTCGTTTGGATCTCTTCACACAACTGCACGACTAGCAAGCTCTTAGAACGGACTATGGAGCCCAGTTGATCGCTGAGTCTGAACTAAACTGTATCATCCGAGACGAGAGTCTCGTAGCGAGCTCTCCGGGTTCAGTACTGGCCATCATGCCCACGTCTCCACCATTGCCAGCGGCAAATGCGGACCCGCCGGCGATCCCATCTCAGGACGTGGTGGAATCACTGCCTGCTCCTATTGTCCGACTCTTGCTCATCTTTTCTGGGCCCATCCGTGGAGCTAGAGTGTGTCTCGAAGTTGCATGTTGGCGCAAAGGCCGTCGGATGGAGAGTTGGATGATTGTCGGCGCCTGGTGGGGGCTCTGTCTAGGAGCGAAATATGCTTTTAGGTAGGTAGCGGTTTACACCAATACTTGCTGATACTCTATGCAGATATCTGGCTCCCGCTATCCTTTTCCTTCCGCTACTGCCAATGTCTAGGCTATCGCTCAAGCGCAAGCCTACGCAGGGGACGACAACGATTCACACTCATCAAACGCTTCTTCTGACGATCTCCGACCTCCACGCTATCAACGCACTGTTGCCTCCCTCTCCCATCCCGAATGTTGCAGATCTATACGACCGATTCAGACAGCTTGGTCCGCGAAGACTCATACGCGGCTGCGTGGTCATTTGGTTGGCGTGGATCATTCTGGGCCGAGTGATAGGCTACCGAAGCCTTCTCGCTCTCCTCGGTTCCATCATATTCTTAGCTCCCAGCCCACCTTTCGCTCATCTCGTTCACCTCCTCTCTAGATCCCTCATGATCCGTCGGCTGATCGCTCTGCTCTTCCTCGTGGCATTTGGTAGTCCTCCAGATCAATCCGTTTCGGTCAGAATGTACTTTTCGCCCGTGTCTTGGGCTAAACAGAAATGGGCTGTATCCCGTCGATCTTCCCTTGCATTCTCGTTCCAGACGAAAAAGACCAACACCGCTACCATTTCTGATTTGGCGATCATGGACGATGATGATGACGAAGAAACAGTGGAGCCTGTGTATTTCCGTTTCGAGGTCCACGAAAATCAGCGATGGTGGATGGGTCTCGATTGGACTTCGGCATTATTACCTCAAGAGAGACCGAGCTGGTGTGATTCGCATCTACAACCTGTATCTCCTCCCGCATCATTCTCCCTCCCACCTTCCTCCTCGGTCATTCTCCCCAACGCCGGGAAAGAAGGGGGTCGAGTCAAACGTACAGCAATCTGGAAATGGTACGATGACGACTGGTCCATTGTCAGGGCTGGAGCCAATGCGCAAGGATCTCAGTCAACAGCCAATCCAGTACCATCACCTTCAATCGACGAAGACGGCTCCCATACCACATCGCTGGATTCCAAGCGACGTTCATTCTCTGGTTTGGGGACGAGTCCGTCCAATTCAAATCTTGATGATTCGATGGCGGGAAGGGCGCACAGCATGGCCGAGCAAGCCTTCACAAAGGGCTTGGAGCGTTTAAAAGCTCGAACAACGAGTCCAGCTGGACCACCGAGCCCGAAAAACAGTAGTGGGGCGACACTGGCCGCTGGTATGACTAGTCCAGGACGGACAAGCGGAGAGTTCCAGCGGGCGAGAAAAGGTAGTCAGGCGAGTGAAGATGCCAAGGACAATGACCCGACGCAAGGCGGTGCTTCTTCGAGTTCCGGGGCGGCACCTATCGAGACGATTGCAGAGAAAGACGATGTGAGTGCTGCGGGTCGGTGAACGGACCTGCTGACTCTTCATAGGCTACAGATGCGGATGGGTGGGTGTATGGTGATAACAAATGGGAAAATATGGGACCCAAAGGTGGATTGGGCCGGGTGAGTGGTTGCCGAGCCTCGATAGGTCTCAGGCTCATTGTACGTTTCAGTTCACACGTCGTCGACGGTGGCAACGCCGGGCAGTCTTGACAGAGACAGTGCAACACCTTGCCCCGGGCCCAACAGATGAGCCGACACTGGCCAATCTGAAATCGGGACCTGCAGCGACCGTCATCTCGGAGAAGCAGACCGTGGTAACAACAAAGAACAATCATCTGAGCGAGGTTCAAGACGCGCCCTCGCCCATCCCTGAAGAGTTGGAAGATGAATCCGATTCCAACGGCACACCCCGTGCATTCTCGGATATAAGGATAGATCGAGTGGGACTCGGAGTCATTCCCGTCGTGGCGGAGGGGTCCATAGCCAGTTCTACATCCACCAATTCGAGGGATGACGCCCTGAGGATGAGATTGAAGAAGGCCATGGGAAATATGGGCGCTTAATGAGGTGATTGCATGTGATTTCTTGGTTCAGATCTGCACATGAGCGCTTGCGCCTCGACCACAGCAGATGGCTGGCATTGTTCGGCGATAGCCACGCAGTGACATCAAGGATAAAGCAGGCATAGTCTGACCCGCCTCGGCTCTGCCGAATTGGTGAGACCAATACTATAAACAAGAACCGACTAATAAAACGCAAGAAGAGAAGTATTCGGCCTCCGGTACCATTCAGAGTCCGACCAGTCGCTTGATCATGACTTCTTCCTCCCATTCCCGCTGAGCCAATCCAAATCGGCTCGAGTCCTCTCCATTGTCCAGAATGCTCTTTCTGACCGCTGCGCTGCGTTTCTCCGCCTTTCGTTGAGATCGTCTGACCTTACGTTTCCTGTGACGCTCGAGTAAGACAGGATCAGCCAGATTCGACATAGCTCTCTTGCGTCGTGCGCAAGTGGATCCGGAGCCAGAGGTCGAAGAGGGCGTAGACGTGGATGAGGAGGTCGAGATAGAGGAAACGGCAGTATTAGCAGTGGCCGCTGCTTGCTGGTTATTGACAGAGGATGCGGGAGTGGAAGTCGATGTGGTGAATATCGATGTGGAACTAGGGTGGTTCTGCGTCTCTGGTGATTCGGAAGATTGAGGCGATTGCGACGTGCTAGATTGGTCAGGCGTGTCTGAGGTGGTAGAAGTGTCGGACGAATTGGCAACGGTCGCAAATAGGTCCATCTGAGCACCATCTGCAAATCCGTAGTCATCGTTGAAAAAGGGAGGGTCGTATTGGCCCTGAGGGTTGTTGTTGCCTTCTGCCTGGTACCAGTAGTGAGGGAGCTTGGCACCGACAGTGCAGTTGCTTTTATCAACAGGACATTTGTTGGCTGTGCGAGCTATAACAAGATGATCAGGAATGGATCCCTCGCTCCCCGTTTCTTGGCTCACCCTGCGGTAGAGGCCTAGTTCCAGTCGCTCCCTCTACGGTACATCGATAAGCCAAGTGGAACAACTGTTCACTACCAGCATCGTCCGCGTGGATCCATTCCCAAAGACAATGGCATCCACCAGGAGGACAAGGAGGCAGATCGCTGGGGATTTGGAAATCGATGTCTTTGAACCAGACACATTTATGATTGACGCTGATGACTGTGAAATCTTCAGGTTTGATCTTGGTGGGATCACTCTCGTAGGCAATGGCAATGGCACAACCTTTTAAATCGACGGGATCAGGTGAGTTCCACTTGTCGGAGGTGTGCATAGCTCCGATGCCGCCTTGGTCTGTCGGTCCATCACAAGCGTAGATTCCAGTTTGTTGAGCGGGATTTTGTCCATATTTCGTCAATGCTTTATTGCATGCGACCTAATAAATTGTCAACGCTGCATTCAGGTCGATCCGGAGTGAACTCTGCTCACCTGGCCATTGTATGTTCCGCCAGAAGGTAAAGTCATGAATTTCCCTTCTGCGGGTGGAACATTCATGTATCCATGGAACCACCATTGGTCAAATGGGAGGTGCATGAGTGGTACGACCGGGTCCCACTGATTCGGGTCATCCGTCCAGCCATACATGGCAGGGTCCCACAGGGCAATGTGAGCAAGAATAGGGGTGAGAAGAGTGCTCAAAGCGAGCAGACGAGTCGTGGAAAGCATCGTAAGGGAGCGTAATACTAGTCGTCGTCAAGGTAGGAATGGACAGTCATTAGGCGAGCCGCGCTGGGATGTCGTTGGGTGGCAGATTTGGAGATAGGAATAACTGGCAGGGACTGTCTGAGCGTACCCTCTTGATCCCGGTCACTCTGTCAACCCTCTCGTCCCGCGATGCGGCCAATTGATCAGATAAATGAGCGTGTGGAGCTAAATGAATGTGGTGTTGGATCGTCACAATCCAAAGGGTTTCGAGTCCAGTCGTGGATGTAGGATGAATTGATCAACGCACAGCGTCCTGATCAACTCTCTGAGAGGATGGTGTCGAGGTCGAGAGAGAAGAAGAAGAAGAAGAAAGGAGCGATGGATGAGGATCTGTGTGCGTTGAAAATGGAGAACAATAATAACGTGGGGATCCGTTCACTTTTTCCTTTCTTGGCGGCTTTGAAACTTTTTGACGCGTCCGGGATGAAACGCCACGGGACACCCTGAACACGGGAGCGGGGGGAGGGGGGGGGGGGGGGGTTTGTTTCACCTTTTGCAAATCACGTTTACCCGCCCATTCCATTCCATCGATGACATGCTGATAACCATACAACAGCAGATCTGCTATCACCAAGACAATTACCTCTATAATGCTTGGAAATTGATGGCGTGTAGAGCACGGCGACGCTCAATCTCATCTTCACGCTGACCATGTGTCAGCATAGTCGTTTGCCGGATCACACTCACCTTTTCCCGTTCGTTCAACCAGATGACTACGAATCCCAGTGTACATACCAGCCCTACCACAGCTGCGCCGACCCATGGTACCCAGTCACCAGGAGACAAGTACAGCTCAGATCGCCATCCTGAAGATCGATACTTGACAGGTAATGAGACGTTTGCGCCCTCATCGGGAGGAGACGGTGGATTGATGATGATTTGAGAATTGGGGACCAGAGACTCAATGTATGTCGTATGATATGGTGGATACAGCGACGTCCCGACGTACAAACGCTAGTGATGGACCGATCAGCGAGACCGCTTGAGCAGCATTTTGAACCCACCTCGACATAGTTGTTCGTTCGACCTAAACCTATGAAGGAATACGGTGTACCTAGAGCATGATATCCCGTTTGAGGCAGTTGTGCAGCTGGTCAAGTCAGCATTAGTCTTTCGAGCAATTTGCTACGACTTCACCTTGCTGGGCAACCCGATGACCCAAGGTATCCAAAACGGTAAACTTGTATGTCGCGCCAGAATAGCTGACACCAAGCGGCTTATGTACAGAGTCAGAAAGCGCAATGATCCCCGGGGAGGGGGGGAGGGCGGCGCAAGTTCACTCACGCTGTATTTCGGGCCGCCTGCGGACGGTACACATTCTCGTTCGCACGCGCCATTCAACACTAAGCGAATCAGTGAATGGCTCAGACAATGACACTTCAAGTTGTCACCTTGAGCCTTGAGAAAAAACGCGTCGTGATAGAAGTTGTTCTGAATAAAAGCGACCTGCGTCTTGTCTTGATCCCCTGATCGCTGCACCATGATGTCAAGAGTGCCCTGGAGCCAAATCAGCAATCAAATCTTTCTCTCATCGATCTCTCTCACGTCATCATCAATGTCAATCCAGCTCGCCCCTTGAGCATCCCAAATGTGATCCAAATCGCCGTACCCTTTTCCATTTCCCACTGCGAAGCCTCTTCCCTTGTTCGACTTTCCGCAGCCCGCAACGCCACGGGCACACGGTACATTCTGTAGGATCTTGACCTGCGTGCCGGTCGATGAGCCGCCGAGCACACCACCATGAGGCACAGCTGAGCTGTTGGAAACCGTCAACAGGAGGTCCGGAAACCCATCGAGGTTGAAATCGCCAGGCCGAAGTGGTAGAGGGATGGACGGAGATTTGGCAACGTTCACGAGTAGTTCGGGGGTATCTTTCGGCCATATTGAGCTGAATGGAATGGACAGGAAAGACTAACGAGACTTCAACATGCAGGACTTGGCTCTCACTCACGTCGTGACCGAGAGTGAAGGAAAATTCAAAATTGTCATCCGCGATGCAGAGCTCCCCCCATCCTCGACATTTCAACGTCCCGTTGATTTGTCCTCCAACAAACTCCGAGCTGGATCCGGAGCAAATGGGGACTTGACGATTGTACAATACGTTGAGGGCTGCACCATGACATGCGCCGGTACTAGTTGAAACTCTCGAGCAAGTGGGGAAAATAATGTCAAGCGTTCCATCACGGTCTGTACGCAGCTTGTCAGCGAAGGAACGGGAAAGAGTAGTCAGGGCTGGCTTACTCATGTCAGCGAAGGAGAGTGCTCCCGCTCCAGAAGGCAAGTTGTAAGATTTGGCAAATTGGAAGCCCTCAGATCCTCTATTCAGCCATATCTGAATCGATCTAGAGTCCACACGCGCATCTATACAGTCCAAGACTAGGTCCGCCAGACAATCTCCATTGATATCGACAAAAGCGCTCGAATGGGGGTTGGAAAGATGACAGACAAGTTCAGGTTGTTGAAATGGCACCGATGCACTGGGCCAATCTCAGTTGGGCTTAAGCAAAAGACTCGTCCCAGCTCACAGTGACATCCCGGTGCCCGAATTCAACCACGCGGTGATCGGATTCACCTCTCCCCTAGATTGTGATAGTCTACCAAGTAACGATGGCCGTAACGATCCATCAGCATCGAATATCATCGGCTGGGATCCAGATGAATCCGGCATGGTCCATGGTTGAGTATCTTTTAAGGCAGAATCGGTCAGATATCATGGGATTGACCTCATCTCTCTGGACCTACTGAATCCTCCTTTTCCGTCTGCGAGGTATACTTCCATGGCGATCTTCTCAGAGGCTGAACTCCACCATCCACCTTCGTCTTCTCCATACATGACAAGTAGGTCAAGATGACCATCGCGGTTGAAATCGTTCGGAACGATGTTACCTATCTTCCGAGAGGTAGACAGAGTTCTAACGAGCTTGTATTCAAAGGCGTCTAGAAACAATCAGCGGAGACACGGCGACGTTAAGACAGCTATAAAAGATCTTGAAGGGCTGTAAGACCCTTAGCACTCACCGTCATCCCATATGTGCACGTTGACAGAGCTCTGATCACTGCTCAGTGTAAAGAGGTCAAGTCTGAGCGAAAATGTCAGAGTCCATCGGCGTAAATGTATGTATGCACGGAACGCAAGAGTGCGTGTGATGTGAAGGAGGCTGTCCGACCCACTTTTGATCCCCATTCCAATCACCGACAGCCACCACCCTCCCCTGCACCTTGTCAAGGCCCAAAGCTCCCGCATTTACGAATGCTTCACTCGTGAATCGTTTTCCAGAACCAAAAGGCCAGAACGCGAGAGTTGGGCCAATGTGCAGGAAAACGAAGAGAGCAGCAGGTGACGGGCGCATCGTCCGTCCAGATTGACCCCTCGCTGAGAGATGCGAAGCGCTACAGTGGGAGATGCTGAGTCTCGACAGATTCCCTCACAAGAACACGACATATTGACGAGCCACGTGGCATTAACTTCCCGGGTATGAACCGGCTGAAAGTTATCTGATCGTCACGAGCACTGAGAGTGAGTCCTGTTTGTTGCCAGTGGATAGGACTAGGGCCGGCGGAGACTCTACACGAAGATCTGTGGTCGGGTCTGGAATCATCCATAAACAGCCCTACCCCTCGACACACCTCCCCTCTTCGCCATGAGCGATCGACCTGGTCCAGCGGACGCTGGTCCGCCCTCGGTCCCCTTTCGCCGACCACTGGTCCCAAAAGTCAGTCAAGTAGACGCCGAAGCTCTGGACGAATCGCTAGTGGACATGTTAAGTGAGAGGGTGGAAAGATCACTCGGAACGATCACCGTATGTTTTTCTGCGCAGAGCTCCCTGCCGAAGCGTTAAATGTTGATGCTGCTCCCCAGTCCAATCTATCGTTTGACCTGAAACCTGAGATCAACTTAGCTCTCAAATTGATCATTTTCAAACATGGCATTTGGACTTCTCTATCATCTCCAGGATCCGACATGGTCAACATTCGCCTCTCTTCCGCCAAGCATGGCAGACGTAAGTTCAATAGTCGGTACTGAGTCTTTCAATCCTGACCGTCTTGCTAAGCCTCGCGGCGAATCTTACTGTTGTACCTGCTCCTCTCTCCGCCCATCTTTCCAACTTACCTTCTCACGAGGTTCAGAGAATATGCCTTATCTAAACAATGGCCAGACTTACCCCGCCGAGATCTCCGAAAACGTATATGGAGCCTCATTACCAAGCTCGAAGTCGCATCGAAAGCTTGGGAGTTGGTCGGTTGGATCTGGTTCTTGATAGATCCTAGGCGAGTCCAGTCAATGCCGAGATCGTCACAGCTGATGGACCGACACCAAGATATCCCTCCTTGTTGATGCGAATACTCAAGCTACAGTATACCGCTTCGTCGGACCATGTCGCCAGACTTGTCTCCTACGAGTTTATGAACCGTCAATTGGTGTGGTCAGTCTTCACGGTAAGCCGCTGGTTCGATGTACGAGTCCTCAGCTCATATCATTCTCAAGGAATTTCTCATGTACTCCATCCCCCTCCTACCATCCGTCCCTCCTTTCCTCTCTCCAGCTACCCTCACTTCACACATCAGCCGATTCTTTCACCAGCCAACAGGAATCAACTACCAATCTATTCCTCTCCTACCTGCATCATCTAAAGGCAGAAAAAAATCTAGAGCCCTTACTGGTGTCCTGGCGCATCTCCCAAGGACCATCTGTCCAGTTTGTCACCTCCGTCAAACAGCCATTCCAGTTCCATTGTCCGATACCCAAGCTGGTTCAGATATCCCTCTTCCTCCACTACCCATCTCTGCGGACCCTACGGTCCCTCAGGACATTCTACGAATCACGGAAGATAATGACGAGACGGTCATTTTCAGCCCTGCTCGGAGCGATTGTTGGGGAGAATGCGCGTATTGTTACTATTGTATAAAGGGAGAGCTCGTCAAGCATAAGATGGCCTTGGATCAGGAAATGGCCGTCATCAGAGACGAAAAACAGAGGGAAGCGTGCAAGGCACGTAAGTGGTCATGCTTGCGATGCGGAGGAGAAGTCAGTAGAGCTTGGCGCGTGCTCAGCGCAGTAAATGGAGATTCAAGCGTGTCAATCGACGCGGATCAGGAACGAGATCCAGAATCGTAGCTTGCAGAGCCTGAGGGAGGGCACGAAGGCAATGCATCGAGTTCAAAATCTGATTCACTCGTCAAGCTCAAAGTCATAAGCCATGACGTCTTTGGAGAGGCCTTCAGTTTGGGGCAACGTCTGAACACTCACCCTCGATATTTGGCTTGACGTTCTCCGTGACGACTTTGACATGCGCTTCCGAGACGGTATACTTGTCCAAGGCTTCACGGGATGCAAAGACAGAGTAGAGACCTGCGACACCATCAGCGCTGCTCCCTACAGGAGGCTGGGGTTTTCTTACCCCAGTTGAAACCTTTAGCTCGAGCGTCAATCAAAGGAGGACCAAGTTGCATCTGTTTTTCCGTCAGACTATTCGTTGCCAACATCCATATGTGCAGAACTCGAACGAGTGCAGGCGCCTGAATGACACTCACCGTCTCTGGCCCAGGGACCGTCTTCAATGCCGAAATGGCTTGAGTGGCTGCTTTGTGACCTTCTGAACCGGCTGATGCCGCACTTTGCTTGAGCTTCCACATGACAATATGGACGACCTCTGGATTGGACGGGCATCAGCGTGAACAAGCACTACTTTCGGAGGGACTAGAAGGGAGTATCCAGTGCTTTATGATGAGCGGGCCGCCCGCCCATCATTTACGGAGGGCGTATGACAGATGGATCCGGTGACCATCGAGGGACTCACTTCCCATCTTGATCGCTCTTTGTCCCTTCCTGATAAGCCAAGATCTTCGGGTCTCGTCACTTCGTTCGTTCGTTCGTCGAGATAATGAACAGCAACGAGGAGTTCGGACATTTCAACATTCGGTCAAAGTTATCCCGGTGGAGGTTGACCAAGGAAGTGAATGAAGTCAGGCACCTTTTATCCCTCCCTCCAACGCGAGTTCCTGAAGCAGAGATGACACTATCTGCCTCTAGAGCTTCTCCAATAGCTCTTCCAATCTCTGCGCTTCTACCTTCGTCGGCCAATGCCCCGCCGGATCCACTGCCGTTCCCGCACGCAGCGATCCTGGGGCCGCTACCGCCCACCGCAGCCCTACACCTCGCTCTAGAGTACCTAGCTTTGGCAGAGATACCTGCATACGACGGTCAGCAATGGAGGGAGAACGGTGACGATTGTACATCTGAGGCCTCATATGCTGCTTCGGCACCCGCCAGAGCCCTGATCATTAATTGCGCCAAGACCTGGGCTGAGGACATCGAAGAGGAGGATGAGGATTGGCTCAGGGATCACGGAGCAGAATACGGCGTGCTGGACATGCTATCAAGGGTGGATATGAGGTGAGCAAGGGCTCTCTCGCGGGGCTCATGGCTGGTAGAAGGAGGAAATTGCCAGAGCTGAGTTTCAATGCAGATTCTGCCCTTCTCCAAAACACTTGATACTCCTGTTAAATCTCCTCAGTACAACTTCCTCCTCGCCAGCTTCCGGCCTTGCGCACGAACTGCCGACCACGCCTGGGCTTGTCATTCTACAAGACGCCGCCAGCATGTTTATGCGCACAGTAGAACAAGATGAGAACCTCCCACCCGCAGTGGACGAAACAGATGAGCCACGACTGCGAGCATCAGGCGTAGAGTTTGAACCGGGGTACGAGAACGGTCCACGTTGAAAGCTAAGGCTCTGCAGTACTACGATTTCCGACTATCTCGATCTCATCAGCTGCGCCAAGAACACGCTGCATCATTTTGCATCGACAAGCGGGTAAGCGTGCGGATCGCATGTCTAGCTGATTATCAATCCAGTGATGGTATCCCACCTCAGCTCGTAGTTCTCGAGCCCCATCTCTCGTCCACAGACTCATATTTGCCTATCCTGAAGCCAGCCGCATCCTTGGACCAAAAGGGAAAGATGGCAACACCAACGAGAGAAAAGCGAATCAACGTGAAGGATGCATTGGAATATCTCATCGGACAGCCTAACGTTGGCGTAGTCGAACAGGAGGGCAAGTTGAGATTGAGTAGGGTCATTTGCTGATTATCCTGCACCTTAGCTCCCGATCCCGATGCTACGCCTGATGATCCGCCTCTGTACTCTTTGACATTGAGAGACGAAGCGTCCTATCGTATGACGAAACGGCACTGCCAGCGCCATAGTTGGGCTAGGGCCACACCCGTCAACGAGGAGAGTGAGATGGTACAGGAGGATCCTGGCGGTTGGCGCTGGGAGTGGACAGTGTAGATTGTGGCCAGCATATTCGGTTGTAACCAGCCTATTCACGGCTCCGTGTTGTACGTTTACGCGTCTCAGGGCCGAGCTGGATCGCCTGGCGCCTTCATGGTTTTCTCGCAGACCACCAAGATTTCCCATAACTGACTAGTACCTCTTCTCCCTTTGCGATGCCCTTCTTGAGAGACCAAATCTCCATCCTCAGCTCGCCTGCCGCACCGTGACCCAAGCAGAATTCCGCATTGGGCTCACTTGAGATTCCTCGATAGTCATTAACGAATCGCGCTGCGTTTCCCGCATGAGCGGCGTCCACCCCGATGGAGACGTGATATCCAAAGAAGGGGCTCAACGGGTCGTGGGCGGAGATCCTTACAAGAGACAAATCGTAGTCGGAATGTTCGTGCTCGTCCGGGATCACTGCGATGGTGGCCACGTCTGAATCTGCATCTGCGACTAAGGAATGGTGTATCACCCCTAGGTACGGGATCACCAGCTCTCCGGGCGGGATCTTCCTCTTTGTGAACAACCCAGCCTGCCCATTGGCAGGATGACCAGGATCCTTGATGACCTTGATGCTAAGGTGAGAAGGATGGATTACAGGCCTTGGATTGTATCTTGCCGCGGGAGACGAGACCGTGTTCTTGTCAAAGAGGAAAGAATGTAGGGCAGAGGGGAATGTAGGCGAGAGTCGGCATTTGACGAGGTATGAAGTTTCTGTAGGCCATGATGCGGGTGGTTGGGCGTCGTGCTTTACGAACGGCATCGACGTCGACTCTGGCCTCGGAAGAAACCAGTATGAGGCCAGCGTCCCACTCCAGCCTCGTACCGCCTTCTCACTGGGGGCCGGTCCAACGCGTAGTTCGTCACTCGAGGGAGACTTGTACCTCTCAAAATTCTGGAATCTCGGAAGAAAGATCTGCCGGCGGAAGGCCGATTGCTGTCTATGTTCTTGAGACATCTCGAGGTCTGCCGCCCTCTTCGTTTCAACTCTATGGTTACAACATCATGACCTCTGCTATTCCCGACGATTTCTCTGACCACGTCTTCGCGACGAAACACTCCGTCCCACTCTGGCTTCGAGTATATCCCGCGCCGTCCAGCTCGTCCACCAGTAAAGGGCCAAAACCATGGCTCCTCTGGATTCACGGCGGTGCATACTGCTCGGGTCAGCACTATCAACTCCGCAATTGGATCTTGCCCCTCTTTCACGCTAGAGGGTATCATGTCGTTGCGAATGCATATCGCTTCATGCCGTATGTCGACATGGAGGACATGGTTCAAGACTGCCAAGACGCGTTCGAATGGTGTCGAGCCAATCTCGCTGATCTACTGAAAGATAAAGGAGAAATCGATCTGGATAGATGTGTAGTGGGAGGTGATTCTGCTGGCGGTGGTCTTGCGACCTTGCTTGTACATCTTATACCCCGCGCAAGACGTCCTCGAGCAGTCATCAATGTTTACGGTGTGGTCGACCTGGTGATTCAGCAGGACAAGTACGATCACGAGCCTGAGCCGACTGAGAAATGGGCAGGAGACGTCTCAGAAGAGGCTCTGCAGGCATTCTACACCGATCAAGATCCTAGTCACGCCGTCACCGCGACGACAAACATGTGGAATCTCTCCTTCCTGCCTCAAGATACGGTTGACAAGGGTCGCGAGGCGATCTACGCAGCCCTCAAAGATCTGTGGAGAGTCTCAGACGAGGAATGGGTCAATGACGAGAGAGTGCAGCGGCAATGGGATATCAAAGGGTACAACGGGTACAAGAAGGAGATGGTCACGTTGGCCTTGAGAATAACAGGAGAGACCAGTACAGAAGAGCGGGTGGACAAGTTGAAAACGTATTCATCGACGTATCTTATGGACAAAGAGGAAAGTTACCCGCCAACAGTGATGCTGAGCGGGACGGGAGATAACGCCGTACCGGTTGAGGAGTCCAAGAGTTTGGCGGAGAAGCTCAAGAAGAAGGGCGTGGAGGTATTGGAGTTGTACTGTCCTGGTCAGGATCATGGGTGGGATAACATCTACACGGTAAGTCGACAACCCGTCCCATGGCTCAGAGCTGATGACCAGTCCAGAAAGTCGGGGACCAAGGCTGGGATGAGTATATTGAGCCAATCGGCAAATTCCTAGATGGACGCCTCTGAGAATGGTGATGCAAGAGCCGTGTCGAGCCGCATCCTGGGAGAACTGATCCCGTCTAATCAGTCAAGCCGAATATGAGTGATGCATCCGGTACATCCTCTCCTGGATCAGATTGACTGTATGGTCAGGGCTCCTGATCAGCTGGGAAGCATGCGCATAAATACCGTACATGTATATCGTTCATCCGAGATCCCGATTGATAAGCGGCAAGCGGCTGTGTGCGGGATTATCTGAACCAATGACATGGACAGCAGCCTGCAATATACAGCCTATTCCAAGCCTCTTCTCGCACAGCGATGCGATTGAGACGACGCACTTCAAGTATAAGCTTGGACTCAGACCTCGAAATGACGACGACGGAGGCCGTTGAGGTCCAGCCTAAGCTTGATGCAAGATGGGAGGTGAGTGCAGAGCGCAGCGTGAAACGGCCTCGCACTTTGTGCTGAGACGAGGTATGTCAGGTTGTCGGCCCCTTCCCTGCGTGAGTGATAAAGCTGCCCCCAGTCATTGAGAACGATCGTCTGCTGACTGAGTGAAAGTGGGATGAGAGAGCATACGATATTTGGGTCGCCTCTACATGCGTTCCCTCCTAGTTCCGGGGAGGACGTCGATATAGATTTCGCTCGACGGCCATTCAACACGTCCGACACCTGGCCAAGTGAGCTTGCTGTCGGAGGACATGTGGAGTGGTCGACATTCGAGATGGAAGAGGACGGCAAGCTGGACATCGCATTCCATGGTATCAAGTGAGATTCTAAGAATTGCTTTCGTGCAAAGCCGCTGAACCTATTGCAGTTGGAAGCAATACAGAAGCGATCATGGTTGGGCATCACTTCAACATCAAGTTCTGGCTCGTGGTCGTTTTCATCTCCCTGGCAGACCTGACGAAGGCGACGTTGCATTCAAAGTAGATCTCTTGCAAGGTGTCGAATATGCTTTCGTCCCCGTCGAAGGACGCGTCGATCTTCCTGTTAAATGGTACCAAGGGGATATCTATAGCTTCGGCACCACTCCTTCCGGATTGAAAGATGCAGGCCAGACTTCCAACTACTCTCGAAGTCTTGCATTCCCGCCCGGAGAATACATCATGCTCATAAGAGCCATTTACGAGATCCGCTTGTTTGGTGATCCGGGCTTGGACAAGGTGCCAACGATCAACCTGACCATTCGAACAGAAAGACAGGCCCAGAAAGTCGAGCTGCTCACGGGGCTAGAGATAGTACCTAGCGTAGTTGAAGGTCGGATGATGGGTCACTGGATATCCATAGGTGTTCGCGTGCCCGCTACCGGCGAGAACGTGGACGTGACAGGCCTGAGCGAAGATCAAGGATGCTCTCTCGCAACCGTGTCTCCGACTCGGATCGCATCGGGTCAGACGAGAATGGTCGCATTGAAAGTCAAGACCACCGGAGCCTTACTTCCGGGCACAACTTCCATCTCGGTCACCCTACAAGTCAGAAGCATACAGACTGGCGGGACGGAAAGACTCATATGGCAAATCCCGATCGAACACAAATCACTCGCTGACGTTTTGAAGATCACCTTTGCTGCTCCGGAAGAACCGATCCACGGTCCACCTCATTCAGTAGCTTATACCATGATCGTCCCACCGTCCCCAGCTCCTTCAGATCTAAGGAACACAGCCGACATCCCGGTCAACCTCGCTCTGCACGGAGCAGGTGTAACGCCGGAATGGGAAATGTGGACATCTGCTCCACCTAAGAACGGAGCCTGGAGCGTCTTGCCTATGGGCAGGACAGAATGGGGCGAAGATTGGCACGGAGGAAGCATGGCAGAGGCTTGGCGAGCAAGAGAGGTATTTGGGGAGATGGCAGCGGAGGTCGGTGTCAAAGTCTCAGAGAAGACGTTGTGAGTGCTGTGATTGGAGTAGTGAAGCAATGAATGACGTTTCTTGCTTGCTCAGGTTGATCGGTCATTCAAACGGTGGTCAAGGTGCTTGGCATTTGGCTGCGAGGTATCCCGACAGGATCATCGGAGGTGGGTTGAAGCCGTTGTTGTCCTCTGAAATAACGTTTTGCTACATAGTGATTGCTGCCGCTGGCTATACAAAGATCCAAGACTATGTGCCATACACCGAATCGTGAGAAGGGGTTGTTTTGCAGCATCCTAACAACGGATAGCTTTTCCAACCATTATGCGGATCCTGCTCTCATGGGTATCCTTAATTCCTCCCTTACACCATACAACAACGACCTACACCACTCGAATCTCGTCTACACTCCCAAGCTAGCCCTTCATGGCTCTGCAGACGGGAACGTACCGCCGCGTCACAGTCGCCTTCAAGCATCTATCATTGCAGCTTGGTCCGGAGACAAGGATGCAGTGAAAGTAGTCGATGTACCTGGCAAGGATCACTGGTGGGACGGCATGCTGAACGAAAAGCCAATTCTGAATTTCATTCAGAAATTGAGACACACGACACCGCTGTCCTGGGCAGAAATGAGGAAGAAAGGATTCACTTTGACATGTGCTAATCCTGCTGAGAGTGGCAGTATGGCTGGAATCCGTATAGCAGACGTGCTCATCCCGGGACGGTGAGCTTCATAACTCATGACTGTCGTGTTCATGTGCAGGCTCGCTCGGTTGGACGTCAACACGCAATCAATTCCGGGTCAACGAGACGCATGCTTGGTGCTCCTATCTACCAATGTGAAGCGTATCGAGATAACTCCCGTGGCCGGATGCTCCGGCAAAGTTTTCATAGATGGCGTCCCAGTGAATGTCGTGCCAGAGACCGGTTCAGTCCACAATTACATCTCAAGTGATCGGCCCGGGAGGGGTTTTGGCTGGGATCTCGTCGTGAGTCCTTTCAAATTCAATCACTCGTTGTTGACTTAAAACGACAGGATCTGAGCGAGCATTCGCCGGTGTGCGATTCCCAACTTGGACTGCAGGGACCTGTTCTTCGAATCTTAGCTTCCAGAGGACCCATCGTCATCGCCCATGGGAACGACGATCGCAGCCTCTCTCTGGCTAAACGAATAGCGCATGATCTCTTCGTTTATCACCGGATTGATGCAGAGATAATCACTAGCGACGAAGCATCAAAAAATGAGTATCATCCTGTCAGCGGCCAAGGTAACATCATCGTACTGGGGAAGAAATGGAAAGATCCTGACGAGAGCGAATCCACGAGACCTTCATCCGCCTCTCCGAGTGAGTGGAAATTTCTGGATCTGTGCGATCCCATCGCTGAGGCACTTCAGATACAAGCTCAGACGAGGGTCTGATAACATTTGCAGGCCGCTTGATCGAGGAGCATGGAACCGGCGAGTCTCTCACTGAAATGAGTTTTTCCATTCCGTTTATCTGACCCTTCCTCTAGGTCTCATTGCTCTGAGGCCGATCGTTCACGGCCATTTTCGAGGGCTCCAGCTTCATGTCGTCGGAAACGATGATGTCGGACTGGAACTAGCTGCTCGTCTTGTCCCAATCCGAACGGGTGTATGTGTGAGTATCACTGCCTCAAAGGAATGTGGCACGGCAGGAATCTGGTCAGAGCTAATGATCTCTACTTGCTTTAGATACCCGATTGGGCTATAGTCAGCCCTCGGTGTCAATGGCAAGGAGCAGGAGGGCTCATTGGGGCAGGGTAGGTTTCATACTGCTTCACCAGTGACTTACTCTACGTCTAGTTTCTGGAACGCAGACTGGACATTCAGCGAAGTCATGTCATGGCTGGATCGGAGTGCCACTAGAGTCCGAGCAGACGGTTCATATCGTTGAACATGTAATTTTTGCTTCCGTGTCCCAAGGCCAATCAATTAAGCTTTGGCCTCAAGCACTTAACCTACTATTCACGGGGCTCATTCATACCTTTCATTCACATCTACATCCATATCTCAGTCTTGAGGAGACATCACTCCATCTAATCATACAGCGTGGTCCACGTCCGTCCGACGAGCAATCGGCTGGCCAGAGGGTAGAAGGATTATCCGAGACCTCGGTCTTGAAACACTCGAATCCAACTCTCACGCTCAAACTTGCTAGCAACTTTCGCATCCCTGTCATACCTTTTCTCGTGCTTAGTCATGTCCAAAGTGAGTGACATAGGACAAATTATGGCCACAGACTGCTTCTGGGCATTCAATCCACTTCGGAATATCCTGCTGAATCGCTTTCTCAGGCTCAGTTTCTCAGAGAATACAAGCTCGTTGTTGTCGGAGGAGGAGGTGCGTCCGTGCTCTGCTGCTGAGTCCTTTGGCAGGATTACGGGGATGTTGGACGGGGATGGCAGAATTCCCTCTTCCCTCCGATCATCTGACGGGTCACCAACCCGTGGAGGGGCCGGCTTGCGAGTCTTCGGGTCGCGTTCCGCTCATCTGGGATTTAGGAACATTTGACTGACGCTGGCTTTTTACAGGTGTCGGCAAGTCTGCTTTGACCATCCAGTTCATACAGTCACATGTGAGCTCGACATTAATTCATATGAGGAGAGCTGACCGTCATCAAACAGTTTGTGGATGAGTAAGTTCGCAACAGTATCTCGTAGAGAAGCATAATACTGACCTCCTCCTCAAGATATGATCCCACTATTGGTAAGCAATTCCTCCCATCTGATATATCGATCTCACCACTGTATACTCGTAGAGGACTCGTACCGCAAGCAATGTATCATTGACGAGGAAGTCGCTCTGCTGGATGTACTGGATACAGCTGGACAAGAGGAATATGGAGCCATGAGGGAACAGTACATGAGGACTGGTGTGTGTCACCGCCCAGACGCCGGCAAGAAGCGCTGACTTTTGACCCAGGGGAGGGATTTTTGCTTGTCTACTCAATCACTTCTCGTAGCTCGTTCGAGGAAGTCTCCACGTTCCACCAGCAGATCTTGAGGGTTAGTCCGCCTTTGACTGAAAAGCGCTTCGGCGCTGATCTGCCCCTCAGGTCAAGGATAAGGACTTCTTCCCTGTTGTTGTTGTGGCCAACAAGTGTGATCTCGAATTTGAGAGACAGGTTCAGCCTCATGGCGAGTTGCCCTGTGCAAGATCTGGGCGTGTGAGCTGACGTCTCCCTCAGAGGGTCGAGATTTGGCCAAGAGATTCAACGCTCAGTGTATCGAAACGTCTGCTAAACAGCGAGTCAACGTCGACGAGGCTTTTATTGCTGTTGTCAGGGCCATCAGAAGGTATCAGAGAGTGAGCGGGAATATCGTCTATCCGAGACTCCATTGACGATGCCTCAGGAGTCTGGCCCACCCCAGCCTGTGGCCGCACCCGGTAAATCCGTACCGGGAGGTGTTGGTGGACGAACAAACGAGAAAGCCGATGAGAACGTGGACAAGGGGTGCTGTGGAGGCTGTGTCGTGTTGTGATCGGGCGACTGGTCCTTTATGGAGCGACGTTAGAGCTGTATAGATATCGCGGACGATCTTTCAGATGGGGAACGTTGGATGTCGGACGATTTCACGGAATGACTTGGACGGGGAAAGAATCCCTTCTGGTGCTAGGTGACAGACGTGTCCTTTTGTTTCTTCTTGTGCTTGTTTATGATGTTTCTGACGCGGGTTCGAGGAGCAGTGCATGAATAATGTGGTGGGCAAGGATGCAGCATTTTATGAAGGCATGCCCGCCCGAAATGTCACGCGCATAGAATGGTTCGAAAATCAAGATACGATGTCATTGATGAAGGCAAACATCTTTCACCTTGACCAGCTTCCAATCATGGCACTCGCCTGTAGCTCGAGAATGTGCTTCAGCCCCGCTATGCAGCCCTTGGTCCGCCGCTCAATCCGTCGATACGCTTCCTCCTCGCGCTCAAGATCTAGCCTCGGCTCATCCGCGACTGGGCATCCCAGGTCTTCTGCGAAACCTCCTCCGCCTCCTCCCCGCCGTAATCCAAATGCACGTCCTTCCTCTCCTCCGATATCAGGCAGAACTGGTCGTCATAAGGCTTCTGATCACAATCCATCGGCGACAGCAGTACCACCTGAATCTGCACCACTTTCATCTCCAGCTGCCCCTCGCTCTCCCGAGCCAGCGAAGAAGGACGACCCGACCTCTAGAAGTTTATGGCAGTCATATAAGGGTGAGTGGGTCAGACTTCTCCCCCCTCAGTCTCGGTCTCGGTCTCAGGGTTCGAGATGCATGACTCATCGTATTGAATGCTGACATTGGGGTCCTTCACTCCTTAGGACTGAGACCGGACGCTAAGCTAATATTTGCAGGAACGCTGGTCGTTGGTGCGGGATTGATCTACTGGATAGACGGGATCTACCCTGAGGACGAAACGGCGGAGCTGTCGACTATTTTGGATAGACCGCCAGAGACGAGTCAGACTCGACCGGCTTAAGCGAGGAGAAGTACTAAGAGACTGGAGATGGGGTGGGTGTCACACTGCTGAGTGATCTCGGTCTTTAGAAGTCGAAACATGTGGGTGTCAGTACGCCTAGAACTCTTCTTTAGATCTCCTCCATGAGCTGACTCTTCATCTGAGCACAGGTGTAACAGAGACAACCACCATGCAGCATCAGATACTTTACAACAGGACTTGCCATGTCTGTCCTAGATCCAACCTGGGTACCTGGTACTTCCGCCTCCTCCTCCTCCTCCTCCTCCTCCTCCTCCTCCTCCTCCTCCTCCTCCTCCTCCTCCTCCTCCTCCTCCTCCTCCTCCTCCTCCTCCTTCACGTCTGTAACTCAAATCACTTTCTCCACCATCTGCTCTCCGCCTATTCGCCTCTGGTGAATGGTAATAGCTTGGCAGCCAAGTGCTCTGATCATCTTCATCATCCCTCCGCCCTTTCCTGTGCTTCTTTCGCCCAGATCGCTCTGCACGAGGATACAGTCTATCATGTTCGGCCTGTTGCTTCGGTTCTCGATTCTGCTGCTTGCGTCGATATTGGCGTCTTGTTCCGCTCTGACCAACTGACGGCTCATCGCCTCTGTCCCAACGCTGAGGCGTCTCACCACGGACGACGAGAGCCGACTCTCCTGCTGATGAATCGGACGATGTGCCAGTGATTGGATAAGCCTGTCGAGCTTCTTCGAATGCCGGCGGTTCAGAATACCTCAAAATGTGAGGAGGTCTCACCATCCCCATATTGGCCAGTCCTTCCTCGTACGTCACCATGACCATGTCTTGACTTTCAGGTCGATGAAACGAATCGCTCGGTGAAATACCGTTCACCATTTCTCCAGCTGCTGCCTTTCGACCTTTTGTCTTGTTCCGAGTCTTGGGAGATCTCGGGCTTTTTGCCCGTACCACTGGAGATCCCGTCGTCTTTTTGAGCTTGTTAGATGAAGAGGATGCTGGCGTCAAAAGACTCAACAAGCCTGTCGAAGGTGATGTACTCGGACCAGGTGTGAGACCCGGCTCAGGATTCAGCGGTCCAGAAGAAGGAGGCGTTTGGAGAGGACAAGAGGGATACGGGGGAGTGAGTCCCACGCCAATAATTCCTGTACCAGCTGGAGAAGGTGTGCCGGCTGGCGTTGAATTCCACTTACTGAAACCCCAAGCTTTACCTGGAGAGCCTCGCGCTCTGGACGAACCAGGTGAAAGCTGATTCTTCGATTTGATCGTCCGACGGCGGCGGATCGAGTAGACGATGAAGATGATGACTACCAGAACGGCCGTGCCTGCTGCTCCTATGGCTGCAATCTCGACTGAGACACCGGCGTCAGCGAATCCGAGTGCCGAAGCAATGCTAGACTCGAGCGCCGTCCTCAAAACGCGACCGACGTCTCACGCGTGGAGAGTACTCACTCGCTGTCAATTCAAAGCCCATACCTACTCCGCTCGACTCCCTTTGTGCACTCCCATGACCGGCGCGAATGGATCAAGCCGTCCGGACTGATCCAGTCCCAAGTCGTGGCTATGCAGCGGACAGTAATTGACTGATGCGACTCAAAAATGACTAGGACTCGAATTCGGTGCGCGAGATGGTTGGCAGTTATCGAGGTGCTGACTTCTCCTTCCCTTCTGCCTCGAGCTTCACGGATGGTCGACGATCGTAGGTGCACAAAGGTAGGATTATCACGTCGACGACCGTTGGACAAAGGGCTCGGAGTGGGAGTCGTGATCGCTGTCGCCTTGGTGAGGTATATCGTGTAACGACTAGAAAGAGGAATATTAAGTGTCTAGCAGATGCTCAACTATTGTGGTACACATACATTGTCCTCGCTCATTTCGTCCTCTCCGCCCCTGCTAAAGTGGATCGACGGCTTGAGGCGAAAAGGTCGTTCCCTGGCATTCAAAGGTAGTCATTGATGTGCTCAATGGGGGTGAGCAAGTCCTCCCGTTGGAGAGATTATGGCTACATGGCACAGGTGGGTTCGGCAATTGCCTCTGTGCGAGAGAATCGATCTGGTCCTCCCCAAGCCATGAGCAAAGGAAGGTAGATCAGGGGTACACCAATGGATGATGGGAAAAGATTTCGCAGTGTGGGGACCCAGGTTACGCCGTTTCAATCTGCTTGTGCAACAACATGATTCATAACTAGCATTGATTCTAAGAAGATCTCGAAGCTTTCGTGTCGAGTTCGTGTATCGCTCATCCGTGTCCAGACAAGATAATCATGCGGGTCCTTCTCTCCCTTGCTTGAAGACTCAGACAATTCAAAGGACCATGGTCCCTCCAAGAACAGCAGCAACGGTCAAGACCATGCCTCCGACGAGGGTAGGCATAGCGGAAGGAAGGTTGTAAGCGGATGCCGCGGCACCGTGGGTGCTGCTGGAGCTTGATGAGCTGCTTGAGCCTGAAGTAGCAGCGGCAGACGTGGAGACAGCCGATACGCCGGTCGCAGTGGCAGACGCTGAAAGTGAAAGATCATCAACCGGAGCCACATCGAGCAGGATGAATTGAAAACATACAATCAATGAAGCTGCTTCCGCAAGTGTTGCTCAAGTCCTTAGCAATAGCCGAGTTTGCGATTGAAGAGTTGGCATCAACGGCCTGCTCGTAGATGCTAATGCATGAAGGTGTCAGCCACACTTCAGGAGAGTCAAAAGATTCGCGCTCACGTCTTTACACATCCAGTGCACAGCCTTCCACTTGAGAAGGTCTGCTCAATCTGCGAGAGACCGTCTCCAGATCCAGCCAAGAGGGATGTCAAGAAGGAGGTGGTGATTTGTTGTCCGGTCGAGTTCTGGACTTGGTAGAGGGTGGAAGTGAGACAGTATTGGTTCTCACTGGAGCAAATGAATAAGCGTACAGCGAGCGTTGCACACCTCAGCCACTTACGTGCTGTTCTTCGCACATCCAGCGTCGTAGACGTTGTCGTAGTGCATCAAGAGTTGTTGCAAAGCCTCTATCTCAGTGGCATCGTTGCCTCCTCCGCTGAGGTCAGAGGAGCAGGAGTTGGTGAGGTTGCCGTTGGCGTATTGCAGAGCAGAGGAAGAGCATCGAGGAGTGCTAGAAGAGCAGATTGAGCTCAAGTACGAGTTCAGACTTGGGATCACGGATCCAGAGCCCTAAGGACGAGGAAAGATTAGGTTTAAACCTTTTTGGATGGGTGCATCATCGACGGGGACTCACTGAAATGACTGGCAGCAAGCTTGTGAGTTGGAGACACTCCGAGATGGGACCTGTGAGTGCCAACAAGGCCAGCTCAGAGGTACAAGAGCTACACGGGGCTGTCAATTCATGCACATGGTTCGATGATGCATTTCGCCGCTTACCCGGACAACCTGAACATGGCGAGGTCAGCGAAAATGTTCGTGGTCAAAAGATGGGTCGTATAACTCACGCATTCGCACCAGCCAACGAAGCAAGTACAGCGGCAACAGCAGTCTTTGAAACAAACATGATGGACAAGGGAAGTGGATAGATGGAGCGGGAAGATGCGTCTAATATAGGTTCAGTCCAGCCAAGAGGTCAAAAGTGGCTTGGCGAGAGAAGTAGTCTGATCTGTCTGGTTCAGATGCGACGATTGAGATACTGGTTAGGAATGGATGAGAGAACGAAAGATGTTCACAGATGCGATCCTCCTGGACCCACCTTGTCTTTCTTTATGTAGTTGACCACCACCGGGGAAGGGGCACACGCAGGACCCAGATGACCAGCAAAAGGAAAATCGCAACCATGACGTTCGCCGTGACTCTCCTTTTTTTTTGGAAAAATGCACCGGTATACGCAGTTCTCCCACCCAACTCTTCCACTCCAACAACCCCGATTCCAGGCCTCACAAAACCCGTTTCCATCCCGACAGACGCAGTTCGGCTCCATGCATACTTTCTTTGTCGTAGCCTTGGTTCAGCCTCTGCCTCTTGTGCCCCTAGACCTCGCAGTGGGCCTACTCATACCTCCACCGCGTTTTGCCGTTTGCCGCGGTCGAAGAGAGAGATCGCCACCGCCACTCGCAGATTCCGACATGAAAGGATAATAATCATGTTCAGCTGATGCTACGCCGTCGACCGCGCTTTGCAGTATCAGTTGAGACCCTAGAACCTGATGAAGGCGTTGCCCTCTTTTGTCCACTCGTCCCGGTAGCCTTCTTCTTGCCCTTCGTCACACTTCCTTCAGGCGGTGGTGGTACATATGAATCAAAGCTCATTTCTTCCACCCAAATCGATTTCACTTTTTTACCCTTGCCTTTGACTCGACCTACATAGGTCGCAGTAGAGGAGTCGACGTTGAATTCTTCTTCCGCAAAGGCTGGTAGTATCGCTGGGAGTGGCGCATCTTTAGATGAATCGATGGTACTCTGGTACAGCAGTGATCTCGCTTGCATATTGGCGTAACGAAGGGACTTATAGACAAGGTTTCTCGGCAGATTGCCAGCCTGCCTGACGTATCCGTCTGCACTCAAGATGATGTACACTTTATCGCTGGGTCGCAATTCGTCCGAGAGCACCTTGCCATCCTTGTTCGCCTTAGCGGCCTTCGTAGCTGCCGCTTTGGTCTTCTTGAGATCTTCACGAGCTTGCCGAGCCATGTAGCGCTCCCTTTCCGGTCGAACGGTCCAGCTAGACTCTGGAATGACACTTCTTCCATTCGCGTCCCGAGGTTCAACCCAAAGTCGCACGGTCTCATCTTCATCAAACTCGAGCTTGATGAAAAATGGTACTGGCTCTTCGTGGTCCGTGGACTGGACATCTACATCGTCTCCAAGCTTCTCATCGTGTGTCCAGATCGAGAGATAATGGTCGTACTCTTCATCTACCACCTTTATCGCTGCTTCTTTGGCTTTCGCAAAGGACGGGTAGGAGCTGTCTATGCAGGTTTACCCCTGTGTATGGCCCCAAGCATCTATGTAAACCTCTCGGATTAGGTCGAACGACATGGTGAAGGTGTTTAAAGCTGGATATGAGCGGAATGATGGATCAGTCAAATGGGAATCGTGCGCCCAGTTACGCAATGGGGATTAATCAAAGTCGCGTCACCTAACGTTGGGATAGATATGCACTCAATCGAGATTCGATGGAATTGATCTGGGGCATCATTCGTATCCAAGTCATCCACCTTTTGGTTGCTGCCTGCTGCTGGTGCTTTTGATAGCAGTAGCCTCGCCATGATCTGCTGTTCCACGCATTACCACCCATGTAATGGCGATTGCCGGCGGAATAACTGCCAGCGGTGATGGCCGCCTTCTACCCGATTCGGGTTATAGGTCATCTCCGAAGTTCCCGATGAGTGTGGAAGCCCATCTCCCTATCTCGTTGTTCACTTGTCCATTGCAACCAGCAACATGGACAGCAAGGAACCGATTCAAGTCGGTCTCGAGCAAGGTCTACCGCTTACGAGGGCGGAGCCTAGCGAGCGAGGCCGATCGAACAAGATGACCAAGGGGCTGCTTGCTCTCGCATCCCTTCTTTTCCTCGGTTGGGTTTGGAACTCTGTCGAAGGACATTCATACGTCCCTTCTCTCTGGAATGAAGAGTCAGACTACCGATTCGAATCGGTAGCTGAGCCATCTACGTGGAAACACAAGCATCACAGCCATGGCAAGCACAAGCACAAGGGGAAGCACGGAAAACATGGCAAACATGGCAAGCATGGTCATGGCCACGATGGAAAGCATAAGCACGGGGGTTGCCATTCCCCACGGGACTCTTTCCCAGCCAAGAAGGTCGAGGAGGTTTTCCTCTCCGTTCCTCGGAATGACTCAATCCGAAAGTGAGCTCCGCATCCTTTGTGCTTAGGCAAATCTGATATACGGAATGACTTTCCTCAGTGCTCTTCGGCGATACACCAAAGCTGCCCACATTGCTGGCAATGGCCAAGACAAGCTCGACGCTCTGAATCTTAAAAACGAGTGGGAGAGACTGCTAGGAGTGCCTGTCTCAGGACCCGAAGAGAAGCTGTACGATGCGGGAAGTGAAGAAAGTCAGCAGAGTGTGCGAGGAGGAATGGACAAGTTGGACGTCTGGGTGGACACTGTGAGTTGATTGCCCATCTTGGTCTTTCAAACTCATCTTCACCTCAGTACTACCCCATCATGACGTATCCTGTCACCTCTTCCGTCACTTTGCTCTCGGATCCACCTTTCAAAGCCAAACTTCAGGAAGACATCGTCGAAGGTGATCCCGACTCGATTCTGCGTGATGAAGTCAGGCCATTCCACGGTTATTCCGTCAGCGGAGACGTCCAAGCTCCGATCGTCTACGTGGGATACGGACGCAAGGCTGACTTTGATCTCCTTGCCGAGAAGGGTGAGTTCCTGCAAGTCGATTCGTAGTGGTATGCGCTAATGCCTTTTCAGGGATCGACATGAATGGCAAGATTGCTCTGGTCAAATACGAGCATGTTTTCCGAGGTCTCAAGGTCAAGGGTAGGTTCATCAGTTCGCAAATCTACTCAAGCCTAAGCTAATTTAACGGATCAGCCGCTCAAGAAGCCGGCGCTATCGGTTGCATCATCTTCACGGACCCTGGTGATGATGGAGAAATCACCGTCGAGAACGGCTATGAAATCTACCCCGAGGGTCCGGCAAGACAGGTGACTTGGGCTACGAGACTTTGGTGAATGAGTAGCTGACAACAGCTTAGCCCTCTAGTGTTCAGCGTGGAAGTGTACAGTTCGTGAGTGCCCCCGACCTGGACCCGAGCCGTCCTGACCACTACCAGCTCTCGAAGTACCCTGGAGACCCGTCGACTCCTGGAGAGCCGGCTTATGCCAATGCGACTCGAGTCGAAGGAGGAAATCAACCCTCCATCCCCTCGTGAGATCTTATTCCGGTACTCACTTGAGCGCCCTCGGCTGACTCCGAGCAGCCTCCCTATCTCTTACGAAGATGCTATTCCCCTTCTTCAGAGCATGAAAGGTCATGGTATGCTTGCTAAGGACGTCAGAGCCGACTGGGTCGGAGGACTTGAATTCCACGGGGTAGAGTACTGGACAGGACCTAGCGAGGTCGATGTACACCTTGTGAACGAGGTCAACACGGTAAGTCAGACACAGCATTTTATTGAAGACTCTCGCTGATTGTCATTCCCATAGCGCGTCAATCCTATATGGAGTACGTAGACAGATGCTAAATCGACGCTTGCTTATCATGGTCCCAGATACGATGGCGACAATCCCTGGTATGATACACGATGAAGTCATCATCTTTGGAAATCACCGAGATGGTATGCTCTACCAGCGACGATATCGAGCCAGCTGACGAGATTCTACAGCATGGGTCCTTGGTGCCGTCGATCCTAATTCCGGTACTGCAGTTCAGTACGAGATGATCAAAGGTATCGGCAAACTTTTAGAACAAGGATGGAAACCTCTCCGAACCATCGTGTTTGCCAGCTGGGATGCCGAAGAATATGGACTGGTTGGAAGTACGGAGTGGACCGAAGACTTTGGTGATTGGCTCAAGACAGATGGTGAGTCAATCGAGTCTTTCTGCTTTACCCTCCCCTCGTCTGATTCCTCTGGTCAGCTGCTGCGTACCTCAATCTCGACTCTGCGGCTTCAGGACCACTTCCTGGTGTCTCTGCATCTCCGGTGAGTCACGATTTCCCATAAGATTTGAATCGTCGTCTGAGCCGTGTCTGCAGTCTCTCGCGTGGCTTTTCAAAGACGCTGCGTCGGAGGTCCTGGGCAAACAATTCTTCACTACATCTACTGAGAACAATGCCACCGTCGGCTGGAAAGCTTGGCGAGAAGCCAAATTCGGTGCAGACGAAGAAGATTTCGAGAGCATGTTCGGCAGCGATACTGGAGTAACGCCGATGGGGTGAGTCAGACTGCATAGAGCATCGTGACTGATGTTGTACCCAGATCTGGCTCAGACTTCACTGCATTCCTCCAACGCTACGGCGTAAGCTCAATATTCTTCTCAATAAACTCAAGTGGCTTATTTGCTTCCAGATTGCTTGTGCGAACGCCGGATTCGTTGGCGGCCCTTCCGACCCTCCTTATCACTACCACTCAATCTATGATTCGTTCCACTGGATGGACAAGTGAGTTGATCCGAATTTTTGCGGGGAAGCATGAGATTGACAGTCGAGCAGCTTTGGAGATCCAGGATTCAAGTCGCATCTGTATGCTGCCAAGATCAATGGATTGGCGCGTGAGTCTTGACAAACGTCCAAAACCCGCTTTCTAACATACTCAATCTCAGTCTTGCGTCTCGCCGATTCGCACATTCTCCCATTGAACACAACCCAGTACGCGTTTGATATGGAGCGATATCTCGCCAAGTGAGTGGCACAAGGCCTTGATTCCTAGATACCAAACTGACACATGCTCAGGGTCCAGCACATTGCCGAGTTTGCTGGCGTCGCCGAGGTGCTTCGACTTGAGCCGCTCAAGAAAGCCATCAAAGACGTCAAATCTGCATCAATGGATCTCGACATGCAGCGTGAGAGGGCCCTTAAGAAGATGAACGACCTCGTCCCGGACCTTGTAGAACGAGGCGCTCGAGTCTGTGTTCCAGGTAATGGCCACAATGGTTGGCAGAGCTGGGCGAGATGGATCAAATTCCATCTCGGAGGAAGACGAGCAGGATGCCACAAGGGTAGGAAGGATCACGAAGACCATTCCGGGGACGATTCTGAACCTCGGCTGCCTTCTCGTCTTCCCGTCATCGACGACAAGACTGTCAAGGCCTTGGGAGCCATTGCGAAGGACATCAGGGTGATCAACAAGAAGTTGCAGTACTTTGAAGGTGGTTTCATCTCCGAGGAAGGCATTAAGGTGAGCTCGTTGTCATGCCTCGAAATGTCACGGGCATTGATCTCATACCTTTTTCAACCTGTAGGAACGAGAATGGTACAAGCACAAGGGTGTTGCACCAGGTCTCTGGCTCGGATACGGAGCCACCACCGTGAGTAAAATCTTGGCCAAGGCAATTACAATCATCGCTCATCACTTTTTCACTCAGTTCCCCGCTTTGACCGAAGGTTCGTCCCTTTGAAATACCCAGCGATGCTGTGTAGCTGACCATGTCTCTCAGCTCTAACCATTGATCACTCTGTCGAACTCGCTCAGGCGGAAGCGGACGAACTCACCGAGATGATCACCAACATGGCCAAAAACCTAAGGGCATGAAGAGCGGACACTAGAACGTCAGCAGAGATCCCTGAAAGGACGCTTTTGTCGATCTGGGTAGCGTGAGGAGCGCAATCTGAAGCGTAGCATATGCAAAGGTGCTCGCAAAGTTATACAACCATCTCTACTCATACTGAATGTAATCTATCCAAACCTCGATTTGAGCCCTCCCTCTGCCAACCACCGGGGATCCGTCAGGGCCGGATTGACAGTTCTCTTGTCTTCTTCGTGCCAGCCCGAAGGATCTATCCAACTGGGGAACTGTGGCCGACCCAGAGATGCAATAATGATGTTCGACACGATCGAATCAGATGCAAAGGGGTTATCTGGTCGTTTCCCGACTGAGAACAAATTTCGAGACGCCGACGCACGAATCTGATAAAATGGCGTCAGCTTAGGAAGGTGGCTTGGGACTGATTGAGTTCACCTGCTCTACTGTTGTCAAATTATACAGAGTCAACTGGACAAGTGTCAGCCTCAACACACCATGGCTGTAAACTCACTCTTGCATGGTACCAGAGCAAGAAAGATACCGGTGGAATGGCCAATATACCCAATAAAAAGCTGACGGCGGCTCCGGGGCTGTTCCGCAGGGCCGAACCAAAGGAAATATGGTCGTGATGGCAGAGTAGGGCAAAGTGTATGGCGGAGAAAATGACGATGTAGATATCGCCTATTAGCTGAGTAGAAAGAAAGAGGCGTCAGTCAGATAATCCACGGAACACGGTCGGGCAACCCACCGCTGAGATGAGCAAGACAAGAAATGATAGGTAGTTTCGTTTCCCGACGCATGTATGGATGTAGGAGCAGTGATGGTCTGCTCTGGGTCAGAGATCTCCCCATGTAAGCAGTCAAAAGCCTCACCGATACCGTCTACACAATTGCCGCACTATCAATCATTAGCTTCTTGTGATGTTACGTCGACTAAGATGCTCACAACGCGACAATGACTGGCCCTTGGAGGTCGATACGAGTTGCAAGTCTCGCAATATTTGACGGGCACGCTGACAGTCAGCAACGGAGCTCGGGGCATTCTCTCACGCTCTGTTATTGATAGCTACTTCGCGGTTGTCTGGTTCGTAATATCCATCGAATTGGGTGACTGGTGGTTCGGGATCAAGATTGCGGGGAATTATGCCTGCGACACAAAGTCAGCCAGAGTAAATGGTTCTGAGCCAACCTGGATCGCGAAAAGCCGAGACCAGTGCAGAGCTGAGCACGAGTCCGAAGATGTATCTGGTGTCCCTCAGCTCGGCTCCCCGGAGCGGTGTCATTCCACGTACACAAAGACAATGACAATAGCAACCCCTCCTCCCCTGCCCAGACCATACTCTGAGCCATGTTTCCACAGCCAAACACCTGTCGTCCCTAGCCAGACGCCAGTGAGACCGAGTATTATCACTGCCGTGGCGATGGCGGAGAATGGATTATCTCCTCCAGTCACGAGGTGACCTCCGAGACAGAATGTAATTTGGGGATTGCCAATTTTGTTGTATCGTCTGACTCGGGCAGCGGCAGGTGGTATACGCGTTGGGCCATGTGCAGAGTCCCACGTGCGCCTGCGAGACGCTCGTGGTGACAAGGCGGAAGAGGGAAACCGACCTTCAGCTTTCGGTAGCCTTTCACTTGCCCCTTCCACCAAATCATCAGAAGATAGCTCGCGGTGAATGTGAGGTGGGGTCGATGTCTCTGCCAAGCTGGGACGTAGGGACGTATCGACTCGCGAGTATTTAGCTTCCTCTATTCTTCCCAATGTATTGTATTCCGGCTTCTGCGATGTCAGCCCAGTGATGGCGTTCGACCCTAGGGAACGCAGAGAAGGGCCAGATTGAGACACCGGAGGCCCAAGCGGTGGTATAGGTGAAAAGTCACGAGTATGAGAGCTTGTAGCAGAGGCTGGCGAAGCTTGGTCCGAGGTTCTCGGAGACTGTATCGAAGGCGTGCCATGATGCGATTGTCTTGCCTTTTCACGTTCGATCTGTTCCATCCGCATCGCTGCTTGTGGTTTCTTAGGTGTAAGGAATGCCCGAGGGGTTGGTAGGATAGTCATGGACCTCCTTGCTGAAGTGATACTCCCTGTATCTGGGGATGTAGGACGAGTATAGGTAGAACCTCGGGTGGTTCCTGATATCCTAGAATCTGACCTTTGACGTTGAAGTCTATCGCGTCGCAGAGACCCATTGTCCTTTGCGGTCGAGCTGGAGGCGGATGGGTGAAGGCCGTACTGAGGAATGTGGTATCAGCTCTATGCACATGGGCCATGAGGACAGTCAATGCGACTCACAAACTCTTTGGTCTTCTCAAGACTGTCCTTTCTGACTAATCCCGTCGTTCCAGTCCCATCTTCCTTTTGAGTCGGCTCTCCCGTGACCTCTACATTCCTGCCGTGAACGACGACACTGGCAGGTCTCTGCGGCAGGCTGCTGGCGCCGGCAGATGCTGTCGATCCAGCAGACGGAGACTGTGGACCATGAGTGTTCGGATCCTCCATCTTGACTCCCCGAAGCTGTCATGAGAGAGGATCATCCATCTATAGATCGCTCATGAGCGAGTGAGTGAGTCCAAGCTGAAACCGTTGGCTGAGCTGCAGCCTTGCTTACAAAAATAAGCTTTGACTTTTGGGTGATTTTCCAGACGCGCCACATTCATTTGACTATACCGGCGATATATAAAGGCGGGGGGGGTGGGGCGTGGTGAGCAGCTGCTCCTGCTTTCATCCACTGCTGCAATCCCGTTCAGTCGTCTGCTTGTATCATCTCAAGCTCTGTAACATAATGGGTGAGCTGAACACAGGAATGATTCAAAGCTCATTCCCCCAAGGCATCTTCTCTGACGACGCTGAGCACGATGTTACCGTCACCGCTTCGTTCCCGGAATCTAACCCATTCGGCTGTGAGTAGAGCTTCACCCATGGCCGACCGGCGAGGACAAGAAACTGACTATAGTGCATCAGTGATTGTGAATGGAGAACAGACGGGCTTGTTCATTCATTTGGACAACACTGGTTCCAAGAATTACACTCTCGTCTCTGCAGCAGCTAGTTTCCACAACGTGGAAAACAACTGGGCTTTGGTGAATTCAGATCTACAGGCACAGTTGATGGTCCTTGAGCTGATGGGATGATGGACAGATCAAGAATGCCTCGACATTGAGATACAATGTCAACTTGCTTTCGGGATCCAACCTGACAGCTCCGTATCAGGTTTTTAGCGAGTGAGCCAAATCCACACTTGGTCGTGTGCATCCGAAGTTCGGAGACAGATGCTAATCCTTCCCGTGTCACCTAGATTCCGCCCACAGGAAATGGGTCTCACTGTCTGGGTCAACCTCGTGGATGCTTCAACAAAGGAAGTCTCCCGAGTGACAGCTATGAATCAGACCATCTCCGTCGTCGAACAACCAGCCTCTTGGGCCGATCCACAACTCCTTCTCCTGTTCGTCATTCTCGGCGCCGCTCTCCTCGGAGGAGCCTATGCCGCTTACTCTAGTTTCTTCGATGCTGGCAGCAAGAAGAGCAAAGGAACAAAGAAGAGGACGACAGTAGTCACCGCGAAGGAGAGTGCTGTTCCCGGTCAACCTGCTGCGAAATCGTTCGAGGAGGATTGGATTCCAGCTCATCATCTGAAAGCCAAGAGTAAGCCCAGGAGGAGAGATGGAGGAAACACCAGTGGAGGAGAAGACTTGACAAGCGGTGGTGAAGTCACAAGTGGAGCTGAAAGTGGACCGGAAGGAAAGGTCAGGAGGAGAAAGGCCAAGAAGGCTTAGGTGGCGATGGTCCGTGTCGCAAGTCTGTTGTCATTGCGAGGAGATCTGGTAAGAATGCATCTCCTCAGTGTCCTCCTCGGTCGTCTGGTATTCTTAGGCCAGGCGAGGGCGCAGGTGAGGCGACGCCCCCGAGCTCAATATACGGACTACCTTAGCTTCTAACCGAGCTGGGAAGACCGAGTATATCAGCTGCTGTCTTGAACTATGGGCCCGCGTAGGCACCGTGATCATTCAAATTCATCGCTCACCGTTTAACTCACGGGATGAAGACGGGCGAAAATCGTCTGAATTTGAAACGCGGATGATTTCTTTTTAAAGCAGGTTCAACTGGTTACAGTATCCAACTTTCATCTCTCAACCTCCTCCTCAGGTGCTGGCACCCCCCTTCTCACATTCTCATAACTCCCTCTCCTCGTCATACACTCTACCAAACCCTGTTCACACCTGGCTCGACGCTGGCGTCATTCACTAGTGTCTCTTGCACCAGCGCTCTCCACCTCCATCATCATGTCACTCTTGCCAACCCGGCATCATTCTCAAAGGGGGCGTGCCTTCAAGACCGCTCAACAAGAAAGCAGACCTCCTGAGAGACCGAACACTCCAATTCCCCGCTACGTTCAACGACGGCTCATCTCCGGATCTCGTAATACTTAGCCCTCCATCTTTAACGGTTGCTTCCGGGTTCTTTCACTCAAGGAGAACTACCGCCACTCAACCTCGATCGTCCCCTCACCAGAACCCATGCCCAAAGGACATCGCGTCTGTGGGAAGCTTCCATCAAGATTGTGGGGATGAATCTGGCCCTTCGATAAAAGAAGCATACAGCCGTGGGGATGAATCTGGCCCTTCGATAAAAGAAGCATACAGCCAACCACCTCAGCACAGCTTTGTCTTCTGGATCGGGTTTGGGTGGATAGAGCCTGATCTAGTGCAGTGAGTGTCTGCTTGCTTTGATGTCCAGGGGAGACCTCTGGCACAATGCTCACATATTCTCCGTAGTCCGAGATGGATGACCCAATCACATATTACGAGGTTGTATGAAGTTCAGCTCAACGTCCAGCGACGAGAAGCTTCCAGGTTTCAGAAGCTAGGAAAAGAGTCGAGAGACATCGGAGATGGCAGGTACCTCAGAATGGAGGTCAGTCAGGATCGGATAGAGCGAAGCTTGCTGATCCATCTTTGGACCCTCAGCCAGATTTCTGGTCTCACACTTTCACCACTTCTTCTTTCGCTGACGAAGAGCTTCAGCAGGCTCTCCTCGGGCTTTGCGATGCTGGTACCAGCTTTGACTACACCTCTGCAATGGCCAATCTAGAATGCCTGCTGTGCTCTCGGCACCATTGGATACTGTCTCCGAGGGACACTGTAGCCTCTCGCACCACAACACTATTCGAAGCTGTCTTTCGCATCTACCTCTCAAAGCACGACGGACTCGAACCAGTCTCCAACCTGACGGATGAGGTCGTCTGCGAATTAGCACTGCCGGAGCTCTTGATAATGTTCATCTACGGGAGTCCCCCCTCAATGCCTCCGATGCTGCTGAATGTGGTCGATGCAATATTCAAGGACAGTGACTTCCATCATCACTCAGCACTCCATCATGCTTTACGACTCCTGAGAGGATTCCTCATGTCAAGGATGAGGATGGAAGATACATGCCCCGCTCCTGTGTTTGCCCAATGGCAGTTGAGACAAGTCGCTTTGTTCAGGTTAAACGGGAACAGACTCAGCTTGAACACTATCGATGTCCATGCTCAGCTAGCAGACATCACATATCCTCGCCCAGCATTCTGGAGAAGGTGCTTACTGAAAGGGATTCTGGGGACAGAGGATCCACCGCTCCCGGTACGTGACTTGGGTGGGTTGCACGTCATAAGCAACAGATCCGTGAACGCCCACAACTGACTTGACGCCCAGCGACAGCAGTGATGATTGGAAACCGGGAAGAAGAGTTCATCAATGTCTCCAGTCTATCTCGACCACCACTCGGCCTGGGATCCGGGGAGCTGGACTACCCGTTTGATATTTCAGATTCGTGGCATGCGACACTATGGGGGTTTGTGTACGTTTCGTTTAGAAGCTTCTGGGGATGAGCAGAGCGTGTCGAACTTTTGCGTTTCTTTGAGGAGACTGTTCACACCATTGTTGTATCCTTGAGACTGTCCGTCTCTCTTATCTCAGCGTTGTAGCAATAGTGCATATCATCAAGCAAGATGTCGTCTGCATCACTCGAATTCTGACGCGACTGATTTTCTTTTCGAACTCAAGAGGTGAAGAATTGCCACAGTCACTTATGAGTCTTCACTCAACGTTCACTTTGGTCTTCCCTTCAACTCTCTACCTCCATCCTATCCCTAGCCCTTGCAAGACGACATCACTCATCTTTGTCTCAGGCTTCTATCTCCTTCCTTGCAATCTTGGCACCAACTCCATCCATCAAGCTCCTGCCTTTCCCCATCTTCATTCTCGCCTCCTCAGCCCCATGATGCCGATTCGCCGTCGATCATCAGAAGCTGGTGCAAGACGTCCATATGTCACGCGTAACAAAGTACGATCAGCGAGCTGGAGCGACATGCACAGCATACCAGGTAAGACCTCTCTCAACGCCAGCCTAGCACTGTATACCTGACTTTACACAGCGTATCAATCTTTAGCCGTCGCCACCTCTGCAGGGGACTCGTCGCCAGCCTTCTCGCCAATCGTCAGCCCAGTGATCTTCGATAACGGGACATCCTCACATGGTCCAGTTATTCACATCGAGTCGGATCCACTGTGGGTCCGTTCGACTGCCGATTCACCACCTCTACACGGCATTCGGCTCGATCTCACTCCTCCTTCACCATCATTTGTGGACATCGTCGTCCAACTCCCCGCTCCGCCGCCTCGGACACCAAAAGTTTATGGTCCCGGATGTAATCCATACGCTCCCCCGTTCCATCCTCAAAGGAAACCTGTCTTTGTCTCGACTTGGTGGGAAGACATGGATGCGGCGGAGCAACTCCCAACCTACAGCTGCCTCTACGACGAGCAAGGATACTATCCATACATTGCACCCTTCCTCGACAGTCACCCAGGAGGTCAAAACGTCTTCGAGCCTGACTGGTCCTCCTCACCATGTTGGATCTCAGAGTCCCAATTCTTCCCAGAGCCGATGATCAACGCTTACTATGAAGAAGAGTGTCCCGTCTTTCAACCGACGTTTGTTGTATCCGAAGGAGTGAATGTCAGGCAAAGTCAAGAACAGCCCACAAGACGTTCGCACCGAACTGAATATGAGCTCTCCCGAATATCTTGTTCACCAGCTTATCGTCCCGTAACTCTGGCGATGGACCGGAAGTCTCATTATTTTAGCCTGGAAGAAATGTTCCCGGGGCAGTGTAATGGTCGAAAGGGCAGACTGGTGAAGGATAGGATCAGAGATCGCATTGTGAGCCTTCCAGTCGGTTGATGTCTGTCTGTCATCTGATACTTCGCGTACAGCGAAAATCAAACGTCAGAACCAATATCCCAGACCCAGTGGATGTCAAATTAATCGTCTCACCACTGCTGTGCGATTTTGGAGCAGCCATAAACGACGCTGAAGCGGCATCCGCTCTTCTCCGATTCGCCATGGCGTACCGAATTCAAGTTCGCGATCACAGGGCACCGCTCACTACTCCCAGGCTGTGTGACAGTTTAAAGACCGTGATAGAGCTACTTCTCCGGCATTACAGCGACCATATCCCAATGGAGCCCAAGTACTCGGAGCTGGGCAAGATTACGCCCCCAGACATGCTATGGATCCTGGTTCACACGGCTCACGACAGCATGCTCCATTTTCTGGGCTCTGCGCTGCAGGCTATTGCATGGTCATGCGAGGGAACTCAGCGGGGCGTCTGCACCGAGCTCCTCTACGCAGTCGTCTCCTGTCGGCTCAGGGGTGTGCTCAAGACCAGTCGGCAATGGCGGACGTTACAATGTGCCAGGGCTCGGCAAAATGGATATCGGTCCGGTTTCCAGGAAGATCCAAGGGACCTACAGAGAGTCACTTGGCGACAGGTACTGTTCCTCCTTGGTCGGACTTCCGAGTGGAGAATTGAGAACGATGACTATGCGTATCCTCGTGAGTCCCACTATTCTCATCATCCGGACTGAACAAATCTTCAGCTACGATAGAGACGAGCTTTTAGATGAAACCCGGCGAAAGTCAGAATCCTAAACGAGAATCGCCCCCGTGGATCACAGTCACTCTGGGCTCAGTGTCCTGTTACCTTCCATCACTTGTTACTTTCCGTCTCTTGTTCTATCCTACTAACCAAGTAGCTGTGTCTTGTACCGTTGTTGTCACAAGTATGTAGCCTTCCTGTGGTCTCCTCAATTCATTTGTAAAACTCGGATGTGAAACGCATGCCGACATTGATGTGATTTCGCCGCTAAATGGTCGATAGAATTCCTTATCAGATAAAGCACAAGATACCGAATTTGACTGTTCTGTCTGGACTACGATGCTAGTAAGAGGTATTGACAAGAAGGCTTCAACGCCACAACTATGCCTCTCGCCAGCCGCCAAGAGTTCATCCCAACGCTCACCGTCGCAGTCAGACATCCCAATAAAACCCTTGGTGACTCTCGGTCACTACGAAAGGAGTAACGCAGTTGACCATCTCGCTTTGACTGGACCTATGAAGTCATCCTCTCTGCTCCCTTCACTCATGGTAGTCAGGCTGGGTTCTGGGAGAATTAGAATTTACGTCTGGCACGCGATGGCGGCGGTGGACTCGAGCCGATTCTCACGTATGAACTTGATGCCGCTGCCCGGTATCATTCTCTCACGGTGGTGCTCATGCAGAGTTTCTCAGTTGGTTTCTCAACCCCTGTAGTCCTCCTGGTCTTGATGCGTGCCTCATGACCCCTCCGCTCTGGTCTGGGATCCGGGACGGTGTCCCGACACTCGGCTTCGGATCCTCGAGTCTGCCTAGACTCAAATTAGATACGAGACCGTGTTTCACCATCGAGTTCGTGGAAATTCATCACCTCGATTCTGTGGAGAGCTGGCGAAGGAGCTTCATCAAAGCCAAGGATCAGATGCGGACGCCAACGAGTGGGGACAACGGCCATGAACTCGAGCCGGGCATTTAGAGGGATCCTTCATGCACGCTACGCCCGAACCTCATCGCAAGACCTCTGATCGCCAGTTTTGAATGGTGCATGTCGCATTTGTTGGCACTTTGGATTTTACGCTTAAGCTTCAACGAAACCTTTGACCTGGTCCAACCAGTTGACATAGTCCTGTACAAGATCAGGGGTCAGCACATAATAGAAGGCTATGGTTGTAGACCTTACCTTTTGCTCTTTAAGCTCAGCGTATGAGACGACGAAATTGCCTGACGGAGTATCAGCATCTGCTAAGCTTTGTGAGGCACTCACCCAAAGCCTCGTTGAGACCTCGCTCCTCGACGAACGATACAAGGGCAGCCTGCAGTTCCTCATCCAGCTCATGGTGATCTGCATGATCAGAAAGGGTTGTAAGACAATGTGGATGACTCACGAGGACCAGCGTAAGCATTGCCTCTAACATGGTCACCCTCGGCGCCTTCCTGAACAGCGACCTTTTTGTCCAAGATTGTCATGTTGGACACGGTCACGCCATCTCGTCCGGCATCAGCTTCAATGTACATGGCTCCGGGTGCAGAGGATTTGGAGATGACAATGGTGATTGGGACGGTCGAAAGCCCCTCGGCGTCCTCCTCAGCCATGCCCGCCTCATCCTCGGGGGTGATGTCCGCCCAGTCGGATACTCGGAAAGTCACCTTGATCCTGAGTAGCAATGAGCCGCGCGCGATACTGAATGTCTGTCAGCTACTTACGATTCGTTGCCGAATTTACGCGTCAAGTTGACAACGTCTCCACCGGGGTGATCGTTGATCTCCCACATCTTTCCAATTCCAACCTGCTCAGCCAGAGTTTGCCCGTCCTCGACGACGGACTCCTTCTCGAAGTCCTGCTCCTGGCTCAAAGCAGTTATAAGAGCTTGGTCATCTGTGGAGAAACATATTTTCTCAGCTCAACGCAACAACGACGGCGGTGCGACTTACTCTCACCGCTGCCAAATCGAGGAACCGATGAAGTGAACGAGCGGGAAGCCAGCACTGGCGCAGACTGGAAAGCAGGAACAACGCGCTTGGCGGGGACCAAGGTCACAATGTTCTTTGCCAGAAGAGATCGAAGCGCGGGTCGAGCAGATCGTAGGGATGCCATTGTGAGATGTCGCTGTGTGATGCGAGACACGTTCAAATGATTCAGAACGCGATGCTGCAATGGCTCGAATATTTCTGGATAAAAGGGAAAGAAATAGAACAGGAAAGAACTCTTGTGGCAGGCCGGCAGGCTTGCGTACATGCATGTGGCGACTCTCCTCGAGATCACTCACAAGTTGGATATCCTCGGTGAACCGTGAGAGACGGCGAAGAACAGTTGTGCAGTGCAAGTCAGGATGCAAGATGTTGGCTACGTTTCTGATCATCGGGACGGTATCTCCGGAAGACTGCAGACATTCGACACAAATCCATACGCATCGTCAGAGCCACTCGTCACCTTGGAAATTACGGCGCTAATCGTCTTGCGATGAGATTCTGCCTCCCCGTGAATGCTCTTGTCTCCTCTTGAGCCTCCCTTTCAACCATAGGATCAAAGGTGAGGTGTCTTGTGCAGCCTCCTTTGGCACGAAACTCCTGAGGCATAATCTTTCATAAGCCAAGGCAATCGTCCGAGCTGAGCCACTATACTTCCCCTGCTGGAAGGCTGCCAGGTGCAGAGGAGGCAGCCGCGATCTTCTGCACAGAGATGAGGATCCTATTGTGGCAGATGCTGCTTATAGCCCTCCGCATATTACCTTCGGCCATTGCCCATGCTGCAACAAATCTCGCCCCACGGCAGGATTCGTCCAGCTCAGATACCCCGTCTACGACAGCAGTCAGCTCTGAGGTCGCATTCTTGCAGACTCTGCAGATGGCTCAGATCACTTCCTTCTCCTGCGTCATCACACTGGTCAACATGACGACGACTCCTATTGGTAATTGTCTCGGTCTGACAACACTTGCCCAACTTATTCTGAATCCATCAACGAATGCGTCATTCTCGACTCAGCTCAATACATACCTGGGAGGAGTTTGCGCCAATGGACAATGCTCCAATCAAGCTATCGCGGAAGCCAAGGGACAATTAGCAGGGACTTGCCAGTCAGGGACGAATAATACCCTTATCTCCGTCCTGGATGCCATACTGGATAATTACAGCAACAGCTACTTTACTTTGGCCTGCAAAGTCCATTTGTGCGTGCCTGTTCACCGAGGATCCAAGAATTCGCTGACGACCCTATGAAGCAATGGCACAGCCGATCTGTGCCTACCGGCGTCCCTCAACACTTCACAAAACGGTAACAATAACGATTTCTTCAACTCCCTCGTTACTGGCGACAATCTCGACGCATATTCACAAAGCGTATTTGGCAGTTCGCAGTGCACAGGATGTATCCATGAGATGTACAAGGCAGCGTGGGTCAATTAGGCGCGATGATAGACGCACTGACTCTCCTTCTTCTTAGCGTCTATACGTTGTCAAAAATCCGTGGGCAGCCACTGACCGAGTCGTTCGGCAACCATTTACAGAATGACTGTCAAGGTCAAGGTGGAAATATCGATTGGACAAATGTTCAGGACCAGCAGATTCCCGATGCTTTACAGGTACAGCAGGCAACTCCAGGTCAGAACGGTGGAAGCATTAGACAGTCTGTGGTGAACGTTGCCATCTTGTCACTGGTCTGTCTCGTGATAGGAGGCAGTGTCCTCTGGTCTACTGATTTTATCTTCGGCTGACCCGGGAGGGGCATGCAGTAGATGCATTTCTTGTTCAGATGATCCGCAAGCTATGACATAAGCTGTGGTATACAGTATCTTGCCTCTCCCATACTCCGTCTGACAGCTCACATCCTTGTTCCATAACACTCACTTCACAAGCTATCATGAAACAGAATAGACAGCATCTCAGGACGATTAGATTTAGCTCGATGTCTCTGATGGTCATACCTGGCATATGTATTGAGAGGCCCTTTTTACGCTTCCTGAGAGCCGTCGTACAGCTTCGCGACACGAGGGATGTACGTTATGGCTGCCCTTCTGTGCGACGCGTGAGACGTAATCTCCCTCCTGCCTCCGAGAACGCTCCGTTGACCATATCATGCTATGCAAAGCCAGCTGTTACAGGGATGGCCCGGAATCTGGAATCTGGGGGTCAAAAAGGAGGGCATGCTAGTCCAGACGGCCCCGCCTTCGTTTTGCTTCAACTAGTCCATTGGCCTCCTGTACTGCTTGTTCCCCGCAACGGTTCCAGGTCGTCACCCCGAAGTTGAATCGATGGGCCGAAGTCGCTGGTCCTGCCGCTCCCTTATCCTAAGCCAAGCGAATTCCCCTAAGACACGACATCACTCTGAATACAGTGAAAGGATTGTTATGAGCCTTCGTGAGCTGCCTTGTAAGGCGGTACGAGAGACCTCTTCATTTCCCGCTGGCATATATATAGGGGCCCTACTGAGAATTGATGGAAGGATCGTCTATCCAGCATCGTAAGCCTACAGAAACTTCACGCATACAGACCTGACTGCCGGACAACTTGACATCGCAATGGCTCAGCAAAGCACCTCCCATCCATCTGCTGAGGATACAACAGTCCGACCTTACATCACCTTCTTGACCTCATGCAAGCGCGGAGGCGAAGAAGGAAGTGTCGTATACGTGATCTCAGGTCTTCCGCAGCCCAGAACCAACCAAGATCACGATGCACACCGACAGGTCACCGAGAGGATACTCCAGAATCATTTTCAAGTGCTCGAGACTCGAGAAAGTATTCGGCATCAAATGATGGGGCGTCCCGCTATCATCGACCTCGAAGAAGAAGTCAAAGGATACCAAGATTCCATGCTTCTACTGCTCACTGATTTACAAATGGAGTATCCTCAAGTTCACGTGAATCTGAAACTTGACGCCAGTGCATCCCGAGCAGCATATGAAGATGTCGTGTCTGCAAGTGATACGCGAGACACCGCGGAGCTATGGCGCCGGGTCGCAGATGAAGTTTATACGGATGAATTCAAAAGTCGCCGTGACTCTAGGACCTATCACCGTATGTTCGGTAATTCAGGCTCGAGGACTCTGCAGCCGCTTGAATTTGTGATCTCCCAATGACCAGGCATCTTGCGCATACACAGCCGAGTCAGAGTCGACGATTGGTATTTTAAATGCACGTAGCTACTTGCGCGTTCTCTTGAATGCATACGAGCGCACGTCGCGATCCACCTTGGAAATGATCTGACGATTCGTGCCATGGTTAGTTATATTTGATGGCTCCCAATGACTGGTGAAAGTGATGCTCTGACCTTGAACTTATTCTGCAAAACAGCAACATTCTGTCAGCCATAATTCACGCAGTCCAGCTCAAAGTCCACGAGGTCAGCTCTGGCTCTGCGCAGACCCGTGAGGGATCAAAAACCCTTGTGCAGAAGACCGAGAACAGGCAGGTCCATTGTTCTGAAGATACATTGGAAACCCTGCTCTCGATGATATCCAAGTAGGAAAGGGGAGATGTTTTAAATCAGATCCGCAATGTAGCTCCAAAACGGTTGATCGATAATTGATCCATCTCGCCCTTAAAGTCTCTCCACACCGCCCACCATTGACTGCCGGGGTCATCTTCTCCAGAACGACCAGGTAGAGAGTGCATCCATTGTTCCGAAATCAAAGTCCTCATCCACCTGAGGACTTCGACCACGATTTCAACTCCCGTTGCCCCAGATAGAGGGTCCATACATTTGACGAGATACTTCTTGACTTTAGCTGCGTCCTTCGCGGCGGGTGGCGCTCCCTCTCGACTTTCGATCCACTTTGTGACTGTTTCAAGCACGTCTGGTAATGTCGTCGCCGTAAGCAATGTAGGCTTTGCAGGCAAAGATACTGAGGCTAAAGGTTTCCCTACAGGTGGTATCGAACCTGCTCGGGATGTCCTTGATGGTGAGAGTGAGGCGGTTCGAGTGTAGCCCGTTCCGGTGGCTCTTGCTCGAGCGCGGGAGGTATCTGCTGGTCGATGGAGAATCTTGCGTTGCTGGACCTTTCTCCGCTCCTCTGCAACAATCTCATCCCTCATGTCTTCTGGTAGCTCGCCGAATACTTCAGGATCGATCCCGATCTCACGCAACTCGGATGTTCTGTATCTCCCAATTGTGGAATCCTCTTCTTCGTCACTGACTACAGAGACAACTTCCTGACGGTCCTGCTGAATCGCATCGCTGGTGGGCTTCGAGGCCTGGTTCGAATCCTGGTTCTTCGCCCACGCACCGTACAACTCGAGATCGGCTATAGCAGAGGCTTTGAGCTGGGTCTTAGTTTTCGGGCGCAGCTGCTTGGTGATATGGGCAAACGAGTTCTTTCCCTTCGTTCTCGCAGGCACGGGTGCATGTGTCGGTTTCGGTGCAGGAGGTTCGACTGCTCGTGCCGCTTGTCGAGATCGCCCAAAGTCCCGTTTGACCTCTTGCCTTAGCTCAGGCGGCAAGGCTGCTAAGAATTCAGCATCAATGCCGTCTGAAGACTCTTGGAGACGAGACGGCCCAGCTTCGGCATTGTGGTGGTTTAAAATTGCAGATCGCCTTCGAGTGAGGGGCGGTGATGGGTTTGCGGGCCTCGCAGGGTGATGCTCGGGACTGGGCGATCTTGGGTCATGAAAGATTGAAGGTGATTCGGCCAAAGGACTTGATCCTTGTCGAGTCGGCTCGTCAATCATATTCGGACTAGACTCCAGATTCTCTCCCTTGTTTATGGAGATTTCTCGATCGGGTGTGCCGGGTTCCGACTTGGTATGCACTTTGGAGCCAAAGCTTAGTACAGCCTGTCCAGGTTCGCGTTCTACTGGTTTCTCCCCGTCAAGTTTTGTGATCTGTATACCGACCCCTCGAAGCTCCGCGGGATCCAGTCTCATCGCTCGCAGAAGCTTGATCGCCTCAATTCCGAGGATCTCGGCATCGTCTGTTGCGGACCCTCCCTTGTTATGAATCGGGGAGGACTTGTTGTACGTCTCGCACCAGCCGTGGCCGAGGAACTAAGCCACTAAGCTTAGCGCTGTTGTCCAGACTCACCTTCGGCGGCTCGATAGGGGCATCGGGGTGCCTTGATAGCAGTTTCAATGTGAGCAGTTTGCCTTTGGCATTAACCTGTTTCATTCGTTTTGACACTTCAGCGGCGAGGTCCTTGACGCAGATCTCGGCTTGCTCTTGATTCTGGAAACGGATGCCATACTATGAAGGCGCTCGTCAGTCTGCACTTGCGCCGCCGCCGGCAGCACTCACATTCATCTCAGCACTGATACTCTTCCGCTCTTTATGCGGCTCCAGTCTTTTGTTGTCGATACCTCTTAGATAGCCATAGACCATCTCGCCAGTCTTCTGACCCAGTAGAGCCTTGAAAGCCCCTTGAGAGTGTTGGAGCAACTCTCCACACTTGGAAGTTCCAAATTTGTCTTCTATTCTTCGACGTATGGAGTAGCCGATGGAGGGAAAGTCTTCGACGTCTAGTGGGGCAATGAAATCGGGAATTTTGTCAGGCTCGAGATGGAAAACTCCAGCCGGCTTAGCCTTTCTCGTAGCTAGCTTGGCGAGTAGGATGTTGTGTGCGATACCGATGCTAACTATGACATATTAGCTGAGCGCTAAACGCTGGACTCACCTTCGCAGCCGTCAGTCAGCTTGCGGACTTCATCCCTGATATGCTCCGCGATCTCTACGGCAGGATCTCTGAGCCGGCGGATGCTACTGCTTGTATCGTCCGGAGGGAATGCCTCCTCAGGAACCAGGGCCCTCGCAGCGACGGCGGACGTAACATCTATCAATGCCTCGTCCACACTGACTGCTTGGAGCTCATCCGCATACGCCATGAGAACGGTATAGAAGGCGAGGGAGAATTTCTTGTACGTGTCGAATTCATAGCTGTGATTGTCAGTGCTTGCAGCACACGAGGTTGAGACTCACGGAATCGTTTGGAGGTCGTTGCCAACCAATGCTCTCGCTCGACCCAAGCTCATACCATTCTGAACTCCCTTCGCTCTGGCCTCGTAGCTTGCACTGGCAATTTCCGACGTGCTGGAAGCGCCCTTTCCAGCTTGAGAATGACAAACGACGACGGGTTTGCCCTTCAGATGCGGACGACTGGCAATACCACAAGACACAAAGAAACAATCAAAATCGACGTGGAAAAGAATCTTGTCCCTAGCGACAGGCGAGATTTGAGCAGTACGGGGTAGTGTGGATGTTGACAGTGTATACGGTGACAACGAAGATGTAGACGGCTTGACTAGAGATTGCTCTTCAGATTGCTTTTGAGCAGCAGCAACGAGCACTTTGAGTTCTGCTTTCCATGTAGACAGATGATGCAGTCTTGGACAAAGCTTAGTTCTTGACATGCGTCCAATGGCTTACCGACTGTTTTGATAATATCCGTCAATGAATCCGCCCTCGTTCCCTCGCTCGGCTGTGTTCTTCAACCGCCACTCTTGATCCTTCATAAGTCTCGCAGCATCTACGTTGGAGTCTTTTGAATAGTAGTGTTCCCAGACACCCTCCGGTTTGTGAATCTTGGTCAGGACGGGTTCCTTGGCGGGAGACTCAGGCTTGATGGCACCTGGACTGATGGGGATCGGCGTCGCTCTGACAGGTCGCAAGAGACTCTGAGTTGCTGAGGCGAGTGCAATGGGCTCAATGGTTTTTGCCGCGTGCGGATCAACCTCATCCTCCGTCTTCGGGATTGGAGCTGGATTGGAAGGCTCGAACTCCTGTGGCTTGAGATCCTCTGTTCTGACAGCCTGACTGCCGCCCAAGAAGCCCTCAAGCCCTTTCCTACTACTCTCTTCCCAGCCTCCCTGAACTTGCAATTTCCACCTTGACCAATCCAGCAGCTTGCCCTCTTTGCAACTCTCCGTGATCCAACCTTCACGAACTACCTTGTAGTTTTGGAAAAGCTTGAACTTCTGCAGGGTAAGCATTGGCGCGATGATGTATTTGACCATTCCCTTGCTCCTCAGAACCGGTCTGACTTCGCCGCCACGTTGAAGGATCATCTTGCGGAGCTCTTCCATCGGCGGATGAGTATTCCCATTGATATAAAATGATAGTCCAGCAAAGATCTGTGGGGTTCCTTCGGCAGCTGATGCCAGAGCTATGTCCCTGTTCTGCGTTTGAACCTTGATCTCCTTCTTTCGCATATAGTCACCGATGTCACCAAATGCATTCGGTGCATACTCTGGATTCGCGAGGTAGGCATGAGGATCGTCTTGAATGAATGGACCCAGTCGATTCGGAAGATACGAGAGAGTAGTCGTGGGTGAAGGCGAGCTTGACCGAGCCCTCTTGCTTTCGTGCAATCTTTCTTTTGACTCATCCCAGCCTGAGTCCGCTACGACCTCTTCACTTGCTTCTACATCCACGAGACATCGTTTGCCGCTCTGTGTCGATTGATCCCAGAGTGGACTCGCAGCTCTGACAGCCTCGGTCCAAAACGTAGGAGAGGATATCGGGAAGGAAGAGGATGGTTCGTCGCTCCTGTGCCTCCCTTCCTGCGACATGTCGACATGATGTCGGACCTGCCCTTGGTCCAGGTGTGATCGAGTCAACAGAGCACAGACGAGTGATCCGGCAATAGCCATACCGCAGGTCGATCAATGCCACGTGGGCTGAAGCCTTTCATACATTATCGTCATCATCAACCTCTTCTTGCATGAGACTTAGACCCAGTCCACGCAACATGATCGCCTCAGCTTGGTTGTTGGGCTGTCTCACAGCTCTTCTTCGCGTTGCTACAGCTAGGGATTGCCCTCACATCCTATCGTGCACTGTCGGTGCAGAGCAAGCCGATCCATGCTGCGTGCCCTCCCCGGGCGGCCTCATAGTTTTCCGGCAGAGATTCGAACCGGACAAGGGAAGTGATGAGGGCACTTGGGGAGTAGATGGTCTAGAGGTGCTGGAGTGAGTCGAGGTTACACAGAGAATTCATGAGGGCATGCTTATAGCTTGCGGCAGTTGCGCTGGTCAAACCTCTCAAGATCTCCAGCCATTCGGCCCAAGCTATCAACACGAGGAGATTGCTTCTTTCTGCCTTCGCTCGGACGTCTTTGGTGGACAGAGAAGTTTCGATCAAGCAGAAGGAGAATGGGCGCAGAGTGAGGTCGGGGAAGGCGTAGAGGAAGTCTGGGAGCGTTCGGTAAGGGTTCACAGAGTGAACAACGGTTAATGATTTCTAGTGGAATACGGCGGGCAGATTCATCTCGACCATAGGGCCTTCGTGTATGCCTGCCGGTCAGGGAGTAAGTCACTCATCGCATTTTAAGGTGACTCTGACGGTTTCGTCAGGTTGCCTCTTTCTTCCATACCTTGCACAAGCTTCACTCCGCTTTTCCTACGGCCGACCTGCTGTCCAATGCCGACGTGAGTCGGCGCGTTAAGGGAAACAGCTCATTTTGGGCTTAGATCAGTCCGTCGCCTGATACTACGTACACGTTGGCAGAAATCCTGGACGCCTTGAAGTTCAAGAGTCATCAGCCAATTGTGAGTCACCCTTCCTTGTCCATGCCCATTGGGCTGATATCCGATTCCCAGGTCGAATGCGATAACATGACATTATCATCCGTTCTGTGGCCTTTGCAAATCCAGGACACGTTCCAAGGCGGTTTCGTCGTCCCCTCTTTCTTACTGGAACGGAAATCATCTTGTCCTGTAGAGGGAATCATGTGAGCTTGTCCTGCCACTCTTCATTAGATGATCTGATTTTCTTGTGCAGATTTCCTCCAGCCACAACTAGACCAGCGCCCACGACGTCCCACACATGGGATCCTATAACGCGACCCACCCCTCGAGCCATCAGTCTAGACCATGACGACAGCAAACTCTACTTCTTGCCAGAACAAAAAGTACCGCAACATGACCCAAGACGGCTCGGGGTGTTCAAGGCCGGTGACGAGGACAGGGAAGAAGACAAGGAAGGAAGATACTGGAAGAGATATAGACGGGACGAATTATGATATGAGCAGAATCACTGGGATCCATCTTGGAGTGCAATACATGCTCAATTCATCTGTCCATCGAGAATTCCTCTTTCATTCACGCTTTTCCATCGTTTGTTCCCTCCCGCCAAGGCGGTAGGCCGGCATTCTTTCTCTCCGTTGATGCGATTGAGGACCAATCAAAGTGTCCCAAACCCTCGTCCTTCAGAGTGGAAAGATTGTTGCGCGCTCTCTCGATCGTCGGGAGGTTGACAGGATGTCCAAGCTCTTCTCCCATTGATAGGATGTATGTAGCGTCTGTGGTCGGTCAGTGAATGGGTCCATGACAAGGCTCACCCTTGAGTCCATTCTCGACGGTAAAACCGGCGTGCCCGAACTTTCCTTGAGAGATCTTGTCACTATATGGAAGGAGAACAGGTGAGTTGAATAAGGTGGCTATGAGAGAAAAGTATCAGCATACCCCTCAAAACGTTGTATATTCCTTACAATGAAGCTCATGGAAGACTTTTGGATCCATTCCTATAGCATCACCCAAAGCATAAGCCTCGGAGTAAAGCTGCATCGTGCCAAGGATGATAGAGTTGCCCATGAGCTTGAGTGCGGCCCCTGGGAGATTCTCAGTACTTTGATGCCTCGGTATTCACGAGACACACCGTTTGCACAGTCCTGTCCGGCGTCCAGCGTGTAGCGTCCGATAAATTCCATCAATGGCTTCACCTTGTCTTTGGTCGCCTTGTCACCCGCCAACGCGACGACAAGTTTCCTTGCTTTGGCTGCGTCTGGACGTCCAAAGACAGTACCGGTGAGGTAAGACCCGCCAGCTTCCTCAATTTGGTCCTTGAGCTTATCTGGGAAGAAAGGCAATGTTAGCTGAGTGTCCAAAGTCATACCTGGATGGACAGCTCACTAGCAGTGATAGGCTTGATGGTGCTCTGGTTGACAAAGACGACCTTTTCTGATGAGTTGCTCGTTTTCAAAGCCTCAGCCATAGCGCCAAAGACCTCTTCGCAAGCTTGGTCATTGGCAAGACATGCGAGAACGAGATTGCAGTCCTTGACGACGTCTGCGAGATCCGAAGCGTAACGTCCACCGTTAAGCTGGTCTTTGATAGCGGTGAATTTGTTTTCTGACCTATTCCAGAAGACGACAGGTTCCAATCCGTTCTCATGAGCAAAAGCTGCGACGTTGGGAGCGATAGCGGATCCTAGAGCTCCGAGACCGACATAGCCAATCTTGAGAGCCATGATGAGTGTCTGCTAAAGCAAACGAGTACTCGATGATCCGGATGCCTCCGTCGAGGTGGATAGAATGATTTGCAAGCTCTTGGCTATCGCCCCTCGAGCTCTCGGATGTCAGCAATGTTGATGACTGAGCAAGAATGTGAAGCTTGACTGAGATTGACTATCCATTCTGGAACGGTCGGTTGATAATTGGCAGCTTTGGTTCCGACGGAAGGTTACGAAACGAGGATGAATTGCCACTTTGGGTCAACTGACTCGGTGCACCAGCATCCAGTGGTTCTTTGACACTTCAACCATGACCAGAGCATGGGAGTGAACGGCTAGGATTCAACAGGATAGGTACAGACGTGGTGCTCGCATCCCAGAACTGTCCGAAAAAGCCGCCGTCATGCCCTGGGTGCGCCGCGCCAGGTTCGCTTACCTTAATAACCACTGACTCGCATGCCTTGCCATTTATCAGAGATCAGATCCCTTTCAAGCTGCACCTGCCGGCTTCTCGGCGCCGACTCCTTACAGATCTCGTACCGTCCCAAGAGCCTTCAATACCCCCTTTGCAGATCGTGCTCGAGCTCCGAAGACGAATACGGCCCCATGGCTGAGCCCTTGGTCCGCCACAACCGGGACCTTGGAGGCAAAACATGATGCCTACATGGTAGGTCTGCCCAGCGAGCGCCTCGGTAACGGCCCGTCAGGAGTCTCCACTGGTGCGCAACCGAAAGAGATCCTTCTCGGAAGTTGGCGGCTTTCTGAACGACACATCACCTACGCCGGGTAGCCATCCTGCCCAAACTCAGCAGGAGGGTCAAGAGCTCGCTTTCGACGAGAAGCACTGGGAAACACCAAAGCTGGGAAACGATACTCTATATCATCGACCTGAAGAGACCTTCTCGGATGACAAGCACACACTGCTTCGCATCAAGTCGATGGGCACGTCCTTCTTTCCCACCACCTCGAATACTTCCAAGCAACCACAATCTGATCATGCGTACAAAACGCCTCCTCGACAGATGATGCAGCCCGCCAGCAAGCGATCAAGAACAATCGCCTACTCCTGTGGCAGGTGTGAAGATCTTCAAGAGGACCTCAACTCGATATGTCAAGCTCAAGACAGGGCAAAGCAGAAGCTCAAGACGGAGAAACAACTTCGAGTTCAAGCTGAAGAAAAGCTCAGAGATGTCGAAGCCAAGGCTCAAGACCTCAGCGACCAACTGGACGAGCTCAAGATCTCACTGCAGCAAGCGCAACTGCGATTAGCAAGAGTCAAGGAGTTGTGCGATGAGCATGTAGAGGAGCAAGCCAAGGGAGAGGAGGATGCGGATTTGGTGCCTTGTAGCGAGCATGAGGAGTCGCTTTCGCTCGACTGACGATGACGAACGCTTGGTACAGAGCGTGCGCTACGTACCTTTAAGAATCCATGCCATTCACGATACCATGTCTTACCTTTTGAGCTCCGCCACATCGCCGCAAGGTGGCGGGATTATTTTTCCAGCATCAGGAGCATTTGAGGTCTGCCGACGATGACTCACTTTGAGATCCTTCTCTTCCCTCCGATCATCTCTTTTGTAGTGAACAGTGCCCAGATACATGGCTTCGAGGGGTGTGTCAAGCCAAGTGACGAAGCAGCAGCTACAGTAGCAGTGGCGATCGCACAGTGAGACTTTTTCAGGCCCGCTGCTGGACGTGGTGATCATCGATCCCTTGCATCAGCATCGCAGGCATAGTAGGAGTTCGACAACAGACGCCTGACTTGCTTCATCTGTCTCTGATTAATCATTGCTGTTTGCTCTGACCGAGAATAGCTCTCTCATCGTGTCCTGCCGCTGGTCACGAGCGGACTAAAGCACGTCGCTGGCTCGAACTCTTTGCCGTTTCAACCCTTTGTACCCATTTTGACTATCATGCGACACAACTAAATACAACTCTTCTGTCTCTCCTTCGTCTCGCCATGTCATACCCGGGCTATCAACCGCCCTATCAGGGCCAACCGCCACCTTCTGCTCCCCCTCAACAACCTTTTTACGGTCGACATCCTCCACCCAATCCCCAAGTACTCACACCGAGTTATTCAGGCACTCAAACGGTTGAGCAATTCAGGATGGAATATGCAGGTCGATTGAGCACACTCACGTTCAATTCCCGTCCTATCATTCAAGATCTCTCCATTCTAGCCATGCAAGAACGTGATCGGAGGGATTGGGCCAAGATGAACGTGGTTGTTCAAGAAATTGAGGCTGCAGTTCAGAGGGTGAGCAGGTGGTATCCGAAATACTGACATCGCATCGACGTGACTGATGCGAACATCCTCTCAGGCGCCACCGCATGCCAAACTTCCCGTGCTTTACCTTGTAGATTCAATCTCGAAGAATGTAGGAGCCCCATTTACAACTCAACTCTTGCCACACGTCATGCCTCGCATGTTTGTCGCTGCTTACCGCGAAGTGGATGGGGTGACCAGATCCAAGATGGAGGAAATGGTTGCGCTTTGGCGCACTAGTGGACCAGATGGAAGTGATCTGTACGGACGAGAAGTCAGAGAAGCCGTAGAGAGGGATCTCTTTGGTTCCGGTGGCGTCAGCTCACGAGGCCCATATCCGACTCGAGAACGAGTCTTGCAGACTCTCCATGCGACGTTGGAGATGAAGCATCGGGAGATCACTGCTCGTCCATGGGACCCGGAACCCAGCAGACAAACGGAGACTCTCAAAAAGATTTTGATGATGATCACTACTTCTTCGGTTCATCCACAACAATTGGGACAAATCATGGAGACTTTACAAGCCATGGTCCCACCTGGACAATCTGCTCCGGTCTCTGAACCTCCACCACCATCACGGTACGCTCCTCCGGTGACAGCTTGGCTGCCGCCGACTTCCACTCACTATCCTCCACCGCCTGCCGGCCCGCCTAGCAATCCAAGTATGCCGCCCTTTCCTCCTCAGCTTCCTCGTGACCAATATGGTGTTCCTCTGGCACCTACGATGGGCACTCCCCAGCTACCTGTGCCCACTCCTGATCACCACCAGCGCTCGCTGACTCCTCAGCCGGGTCCAGCGAGCTCCGCTGCAGCTCCTGCATTCATACCGGAGAACGTCGCTGCATTGATCCGGAATCTCAATACTGCCGGCATCGCCGGTCTTGGCAGTGCTCCCCGGACTCCCGAGAGCGAGCCAATGAATCTGGGGAAACCGAAATCGAGTCTCAATAGCTACGAAGAAATGATCCTCAACCTAGATGTCAGGCTTGAATCGTTGGACTTGAACAAGTGTGTATTGACTAACAAAAGTGCTACTTCCATTCACTGACATGCTCCTTCCGTATCTTAGGATGATCTCTTTGCCGGTTTCTCATCTGCCTCAGCGTTGCACACAGTGTGGTATGCGTTTTTCCGATGCAGACGGAGCTATGCAAGCACACTTGGATTGGCATTTCAGGCGAAATAGAAAGCAGCGGGAATCGGAGGGTCGAGGAGCCCATCGAAGATGGCTGCCTCGAGGCGAGGTGAGCTTTGAACCGTTTGACACGAGCTGACTGAGCAGGAATGGATTCAGCAATCCGTCATCACGGTCGAAGCTGGACCATCAACGTCAAACGAAAAGTCTTCAAAATTGACAGCCGAACGTATTGCGCAGCTGAAGAAGAAACGAGTGAAAGTGCCCTCTAATTCAGATATCGCGGCTCGTCCCTGTCCGATCTGCAAGGAGCTTTTCAAAGCTGAATGGAGCGAAGAGGATGAAGAATGGGTCTGGCGCAATGCGATTGATATCAACGAAAAGGTCAGTCTTTGCGCTCTTTAGTGTTTGTTCCAAGCTGACACAGTGTAGCGGACTTCTGGTGATCCACAGATTTACCATGCAACTTGTCGAGCGGAACAGATGGCAGCTCGCGTCGCGAATAGGCTTCTGAAAGACGGAGATGGTCGTCGCACGAATAGCAAGAGTCCACGCCTGACTCCCGGTGTCGAAAGCAAAGTCGAAGGGTCTAGATTCGGCCACGATATCAAAGTTGAGCATCAACTGGCAGAAGATTCTCAACAGATCAATGGTAAACGGAAAGCAGAGGAGGAATCGACAGACTCTAAACGGGTCAAAGTGGAGCCTGGTTCAGAAGCCGCAGTGGAGGAGGTACCGGCGAAGGATGTCGGATCGATAGGAATCGACGATGGACAACAAGCTGAGAAGCTTGGGCCGAACCAAACGGTCGACCCACCGCAGTTGTCGGCCCAGGTAGTTGAATCTACCGCAGGTGATTCTGCTTCCAGTGCGGCCGTTGCCACCCAGTCAGCTTGAAGACCTAGCCAGTATGTACCCATAGTCATTAGAAGCAACGTTTGTATAGGGAGAACAACCTTCCATGCATAGCAGTACATCGAACGAGATCCTCGCATCACATGCTCAACTATTGATTGTCCGTTCTTTCCCACAGCCAGCTATCATACTGGCCAGTCTATCTCCCTGCACCGTGCCTAGACTTTTGAATCCTTCCACGACTCCATGCCAATCCCCATCTTCTCGCTCTTGTGACAACTTGAACCGTCCTTCCATCCTTGTGACCTGTATCTCGATTCCGATGACCGCTTTGCGCCTCAAGGCAAGATACTGCTCCGGTGCATCCGACAACTTCCATTTGTCCCCCGGGACGGTGTCTTCACCCCATGCGTTGAGATCCAGCATTTGCTGATGGATGAACTCGTCTGACTCTCGCGTCGAAGCCTGATGGACCTTGAGCTTGCCGTACACTTGGACAGCTGCGTAATCCCAGGTCGGTACGACTTTCCCAGAAGTAGGCTTTGTACTCGTGTAGAATCGAGGTGTGACGTACCCGTTGACGGGCGCATTGAAAATGATCAAGACTTCCTCATCCAGCTCATCCCTTCCAATGGACCGCACGAGATCGAGAATACTTTTCGACTGAGGATTCGCTCTGGCTATGTGACCTCTCAGGCGACCGGCCGAAGAGGATTCTGGATCAGCATGATCCAGGATGAAAGGGATGTGCGAGATTTGCAGAGTCGCATGTTCAGGATGAGGGATGGAAGTGGTGAATAGTCCGAGAGGATTGTCGCGAATGAATCGCTCGAGCGTCGGGATGTCAAGAACGGCATGTTCGTGGCGCAAGTGCATGATGCAGAGTGCGAGCTCGGGTACAATTATAGGCAGGGAGTGTTGAAAGCGGCTCGATTCTCTGGGCAGATATCCAATACGACTCGCTCCGTGACGTGCCTCAGCTTACTGAAATGGTCTGCGCGGTAAATGAACACTTCGTCTCGCAGCGCTATAGCGTGATGATTAGGGATATCGTGATCGAACGGCCGACAGAGTCTGAGATGGTCTGGCAATGCCTCAATCTCACGTCCGGACTGCCGATCCAAGCTCTCTTAATTAGAGTACCGACTGGTGAATAACCCTGCCGCCGTTGGGCCTTCGGCTCTTCCGCATGTCCTGAATTATTTGCCGTCGCTTAGATCAGCTTATTAGCGCGTAAGTGCCGACCCCCGACAAGCAGACGGATACCGGATGCAAGACAGGCTTTGTCAAGGCGCCAGAGGCTCCTAATACTGAGAGACCTCTTATGACCTGATTTGGCTTCAACTAGGGATTGACATCTCTCAATGCGAACACAGCTGGTCCGTTCTAAAGTACTCTGCACCCAATACTATTTTTGCCTCTGATTTACATACAAGCGCTTCTCCTTCCTATCAAAAGACTGAAGAGAGCACTGCATCGGCGATACGCGGGGATGCGCTAGCACAGCGATGCCATCATCAAATGACTCAGTCTCTCCACCCTTCCGAATTCTTGATGAGTTTGTAGATGAATCTTGTAGTATTGAGATGGCCGTCCAAAGGCATTCTCTGTGAGGTATCAGATACCGCCCTGATGCACTGGGCTTAATGCTCACCTCGTCCACGGTGTGGACATGGAAGTCGCTCATGACAGATGGGGTGAATCGGTAGAGATTCGTGGTGAGATTCCACATCATGCGGGTATCGGTATTGGCTGGGTTTCGATGAGCTGAGGAAGAACGAAGTGAATCCGAACTCACCGTACATCCCGGTCGGGGTAATCAAAGTATCTTTTCCAAATACCGCTTTCGTCGTACCTCCCATCAGCTCAAAGCTCGGATCCTCAGCCGAGGTGATCGGAGCGGGCTCCAGGCGGCCTCTGCCATCGAGCTCGAGACTGACATGGCGAATTGATGATTTCCTCGAATTGTCAAAGGGGGAAAAGGTGTAATTCAACGAATCCACAACCGGTTTGATGATCTCCACCAGGTGCTCAAGTGTCTCGTCAACTGATGAGGTGCTATTGCACAGTCAGAGAGGGCTCTTGACGCACGACTGATCAACCTACAACGAAATCCGAGAATTGACCTGGGCTAAGGGGATGAGCCGTGTGCATCACATGTGATAACTCACCTTCGACATATTCTGGCAAAGCGTTGATCTTGACACCACCGCCAATGATATCGATCTTCGAGATATGGTCAGGATTGTCACAAGGTAGAACGCCCCACCGCTTGTGTAGTAGCCAAGTAACTATTCATGATCCGGTCACCTCCAGCCAGATCCCGAGCCATTTTGTCCCACTTCTTGGGATTCTTGAGGTCCTTCTTCAGCTTTGATGGAGCATCCGGGGCTAGATCAGCAAGACACGAGAGGTGCTTGATGAAGGGTCCCATTGGGTTCAACTCAGGTCGGAACGGGTGTGCTTCCAAAGCGGTGAGGATGAGAGACATGACTCCGACTGGGTAGATCCAAGTCAGCAAGCAAAATCTAAATCACGACAAAGACTTTGCTTGAACTCACTACCGGTGTGTTCCGGTGGGACACTGGAATGACCCCCTGGATTTTCGACTCTGATGACCACGTTGATCGCTCCTTTCTCGGCCATGCCGAAAGATGCCACACTGGCCCCATACTCAGTTGAGATGCCTGAAAATCCTTCGTCCAGAGCGAAAGCGATGGAATTAGGGCCATAACGATCTTGCATGACCTTTGATATCGATTGTGCCCCACGGAAACCGCCAACCTGGGTTGCCGCTCAGCTTTTGCGAAAGGGAGTGACACACCTCTTCATCAAACCCATTCGCAATCAGAATGGTCCGCTCTGGCTTGTAGCCTTCTTGCACAAGCCTCTCCACAGCGTTGAAAGTGCCTAGTAGCTGGTTCTTGCAGTCGCTTGAACCTCTTCCCCAGATCCACTTGCCTGGTGTGTCAGGCAGGACATCAGACTCGATCCTCCCTGACCAAGGCTCAAAAGTCCACTGGTCCAGCGTGGCGGGTAGAACGGGTACCGTGTCGGTATGAGCCATCAACAGGATAGGTTTTAGCTTGGAATCCGTACCCTCCCAGGTGAACAAGTGTCCATGGGTGTTGACGTATTCGTGCTTGAGGGGCGCTTTGAAGAGGTTTGGGTATTCGGATTCCAGCCATTCAGACAACTTGTAGTGCTTATCGAAGGCAGAGTCGGAAGCGTCCATCGGCATGTTATCGAAAGAAACGGTGTCTATCTGTACAGCTTTGGAAAGTCGCTTCGAGGCGAGTTCAATGAAAGCGTCGTCGGTCATTGGATTCCAGTCGGATCCCTTGTCCAAGAGTGGAGGTTGAGGAGGGCATTTGGCAGCGGTCAGATCGGATACTGAATACTTCGTGCTCGGTTCTTTATTGAGAGCCTCAGAGACACCTGGGATCGATATCCAGCTTATTTTAGGTAGGCTATTCCCCAAGAGGAACACCACCGCGGCCAGGAGAACAGTAGATGAAAGACCCAGTCCACCTCGCTGTCGAATCGGTGTGCGATCCGGGAGATTATGATACGAAGGATGTTTTTCCGCCATGGCGCTCCAGAATCCTCAACCTACGAAATGGCACTACTGTATTTGAACTTGAAGAACTGAAGTTATCAGCCGACTCTGTTGTTAGCTAGCTAGCTGTATGAACGTCATGAAACGGCTGGACGATCCGAAAACATAATCGGCAGTCTCCGAAGATGGAAGTCTGACCACATGATATAGACACCACTTCGGCGGCGAGGTCCGACATATGTTCGACAACGAGCTCCTCAAGTACTTCTTACCCCAAGCACTATCATACCTCGCTCAAGAAGCAAGATGTATCGTTTGGACTACACCTTGAATAATCCCAATAAGTGAGTCGCATGCGTCAGCTCCGATTGAGCAGCCAACACGCTGCCCATGATGATCTACGATGTGAAGCTGACCTGCCATGCCCTCAGGGGGTCTATACCTGATCCGCCGGGTTTCCTCAAGGCTCGTTCAAAGGAGACGGTAGCCGTGAGCTGATCTTCATACGTACTGTGAATCTCGCTGACTATGTGTAGATTGATGCACCGACGACTGATGTGATCGCGAAACGCACCAAGAAAGCTACAGAGCTGAAAATGAAGCGAGCTTGGGATTTGGCCATTGGGTAGGTTGTTCCAGTGAGATCTCACAAATCTCCACTGATGCCCCTCGCCAGACCCGCCAAATCGCTACCTATGCAAGCTGTCATGCTTTACTTCTCGGGAAGTGGTATTCAGATCTTCTCCCTTGGCATGATCTTCATGCTGTTGACCGGACCAATTGGAGCGATTTTCAATATTTTGAAGAGTGCGTCAAAGTCGTATTGGCATGAGAGCTCTCGCTGAAGGAACCCTGCGCATGTACAGCTTTCGAGCAGTTTCGCCCCACGCCCTTGCCTCGTAAAGATGGAACCATCGGAAGTCCTTCGTATATGCCACTAATCCTTCCCATGCTCGCCTTTGTTGGATGTCAAGGCTTGCTGTGAGTAGAAAGCTCGTTGACGGAATTTCAACCCACGCGTTTCTCTCAGGTTCAGCCTGGGCCTATATAAATGCTCTACAATGGGGGTCTTACCTACAGGCACAGGTGATTGGTTGCAATTTGAAACGCGAAATGAGGTGAGCTACCCCAGTAGATCCGACCTTAACCCTGTCTCTAGCCGCCAGAATGGTCCGCAGCGAGAGCGTCTTCACTAGGATAGCAGGATGATGCTTATGCAAATGAGACCAGACTTTCTATGGCTACAGTACATCCTTGTCACTGACTACCGAACGACGGGACTTGATCCGTGCGATAAACTGACCGATCTGGAATCTGCTTGGCTGGGATATACCATTGATGCCGGATCGCGATACTCTGCAACCCGCTCGTAGAATAGCATGAAGACAGCAGCACCAGCTCCTTCAAGAGCCTCTGCTCCTACCTCTTCCACCTCATCGTCGCTGACGTTGAGCCAACCTTTGCCCGGTATGGCTGGTTCCCTCACCTGTCCAAGGTATATACAGTCCTGACAGACGCAGCCATCGGGACACGACTTGCGAGCTTTGCTCGGCTGACCGTAGTCCACCTCGTTACCAGGAACTGGGACAGGTTTGCGTCGAATACAGACAAAGTGTCCCGATGACGACGTATAACCGTAGTGTAGAATGACACTTTCTAGTCGATAAAGAACTCTTGGGACCGTTTCTGTGGGTTGGAGTCCAGCTGCGAGAAGAGATCGGATATCTGAACGCTCCTCCCACACACCTCTGGCGGTGAATCGAGTCATGTCAAGAATGAGCGGAATTGCGACCCTGGCAGCCTTCTTTACCATGTGACCATACGGGGATATCCCAGATCGAGCAACGTGCAGTCTGAGTGAACGAGGCGGACGGGTGATGACAGTCTGGCGGACAGAATCGGCGTTCACAGTCTTCCACTTGATAGGGAGAGGAGCAGTGGGTAGGGATTCGGGCAGTGATGGGAGCGTGGCCTCTCCAAATCCAGCAGTCGAACCTGTCTGGACCATCTGCTCTAACCTAGCTCCAATCTTCTTGGCTTCTTTAGCCTTCCGTTTCCTCCTATCGGACATGTCGGCTGATGCCTCGGAATCCGGCATGTGCTCCAACGCAGAGAAAGATCCGGATGCGGTGTGGACAGTATCAGCATGACCATTGAGATGTGCCTTATTTGGCGGGAGCGCCAGACGAGCCGCTTCTGAACGATAAAATTCGAGGGTCTCTTGGAGAGAGCAGAATTCGCAAGTAACTCCACTCAGCAATTCGGGGGCGAGATATTCTGCCACACAAGAATCTAGCGTGACATGACCCTTAAAGGATGCTTCAGCTCGCCGAACTTGCAGCTGTGATCTCCGTTAGATCCGGGACACACCTGAAGCGGGATCGGCAGTTCCATTCCACCGAGCGTGTCCATTCTCACTTCGCCTTTCCATCCGCATCGGCGGCAAACCCTTCGTCGGGCTATCAGACCCTCCCAAGGTTGAGCTAGACCTCGGGCTCTCTTCCGTTTCTGCTTAATACCATCCTCCAATTGCGCGCTAAGGGGCCGTGAAATGGGCATTCTCTCACCCTTGTTGTAGCAATACGCCTGCAAGGAAAGCAGGTCGGCAAAGCCTCGCAGCTTGAGCACTTCCGCTGCGACCTTGAGCGATTCGTCCGATATAGCTTCGGCAAGGACAACGAAGAGCTCGTGAGCGTCTTGCTGTTCTCTTGTTGCAAGCAGACGACGGATCTGAGGGAGTGGTTGCAACGCGGCAATGAGATTGTGGGGTTTGAGTGCTCGAGGCGGCGAGGAGTGGGGAGTGTTGAGATCTACATGGATTTCCGTGTCAGCTGGTAGACGACGTTGAGCATCACTATCTCACCTGTCAGGACGTCCGTGAGAGCGTCAGTCACTGGGGTGGGGAGATCAGCCTCAACGGCCAACGTGGTAATTCGCTCCAGATGTGAAATCAGAGATGTGACTGAAGCTAGAGACTACAAACATGAGCTTGAATGATCGGCACTGAGCTCGCCTGCAACACCGAATTCATGTAGCATAAGACACCGCTCAGATTCACCATGCCAGGGTAGTATTGTAGATCTGCGGGACATGAGGTTAGTCACGGGCACCTGGGAGCGCCCGAGTCCGATGAAACTCACCTCCAACAGGTCCATCTTTTCTCCTCCTCCTCTTGACTTTCTTGCTGGGTCCTTCATCGCTACGTTGAACAAGAGCAATGGATTCCGGCAGATTGGCGGCCGGAGACCAGAGGTTACTCAAGCCTAGGACCATAATGCCGAACCACTCAAGGAGAAGCGACACAGAGATGCCAGAGAAGGCAGTGCACAGAAGACGATAGCAGTAAATGATTCGGCCAGGCAAAGATGGCGCGAGAGTGTGTGTGTCTCGAGCAAAAGTTGATTCCACAAGTACAGATGTCGACTCGTCACTATCAGAATCGCTCGCCAGTTCTGATATGTCTTGATTTGCTGATGCTGTGATGGTCTCCTGCTGTTTTTGATGCGCCGGACGTTTACGTCGTCCACCCTTGCGGCGTCTCATGCCATCCAATCAACGCGAGCACACGGGTGAAAGGAGTGACCTGGGGAGAGATGACTTGGTACAGTGTCAAAAGGAAAGCCAAAACCGATTTGTCGGGTGTCCGAAAAGTCAAAGCCGGGCAGCTCACGTTGTACATTTTGACCTTTGACCTGTTCGTACTGACTGGGCAGTGACGGTAGATGGCATGATGACCGAGGAGCTCCGGACTCTTCTTTCTCATCCTCACGCCCCGCCTTTTGTCTTTCTGCACCACCCGCATCACCCCGTCACCTCGCTTAGACCAGATCTACCGGCCAGGTGCACAATATTGCATCTAGACCTGGTTGAGCATTTCAACGCGCGTATCTTCTATTCTTCAGCGGTCAGGCAGCTGGACCCAGGACAAACCGGAGACATCAGTAGCTGGGACGGGTTTGTGCAGGAGCTTTCAGGCGCATGGCACCGGCGCCAAGGCTCCCGCACCCTCACAAATGGCACCTCGAAAACTGTTGACAGGAAAGGCAAAAGCAAGGCCGAACAGCCCAGTGGAGAGCTGGTGAATGGACACGCGGAGGAGGAAGACGGCCAGATAGTCCTAATCATTTGCCATGCGGAAAAGCTTCGCTCAGTCCTTGGCTCTCATTGGCCGGTCGTTACTCGACTCCCCGAGCTCGTTAGCATTCCAGTCACAGTAGTTCTCCTGTCAGCTATTCCATGGGATGAGCTTCGTTCACCCAAGGGGGATACGCCAGAGCCCTTGCATCTGTACCTGCCAGGTAGCAGTCGTGAAGGCGAGCTGGAGACCTGAGGAACGATGGAACCACTGCTGACCTTGTTGCCGTAGATCTGATCCGCTCATTGACATCGAGGTCGAAACATCCCCTCTTTCCTCGCTTTCTGGACCTGTTAATGGCTACGCTTCTTCCTATGCTCTCTTCTCCGATGCAAGACCTGGGATATCTGGCTGAGCCTCTATGGAAGATATACACCTCTTCGCTTCCACCACACGCGGAACAATTGATGTTGGACATACCGTACGACGATCCCAATAATCCACCTCCACCTCTTCAGGTCACAGTCCGACTACTGACGGATCTCAAGCATCAGATGACAATTCCCATAGCGGCAGCCTGCGAAGATCTATTGACTGGTCAACTAGGACGTGACGACTTCGTGCAGAGCATGCTGGCTCGGAATCAACAGATCAGATCTCCAAGCGGTCGGCAAGTGGTCAATTCCAGCGATTCACAAGAATTGTCTGTCGCTGCTAAATTTGTTCTTGTGGCCGCTTATTGCGCAAGTTACAACCCAAGCAAGAGTGATGTCCGTCTCTTCGGGAGAGGAACCGGTCCGGATGGGAAACGGCGGCGAGGTGGAGGAACTAGGCGCGCAGGATATGGCAGAACACGTGTTGGCAAGGTGACTATACGCTCCGCTTTTGAAGGCTGAGGTTTGTCCAGATACCACAGCGTCTTTTGGGCCCAAAGCCGTTCCCACTGGATCGCATGCTTGCAATGTTCGCGTCTTTGTATGCTGAGCATGCGACTCGACCACCGGATCTAGAACCTGCATTTGGAGATTGGGACACAGAAGACTTGGACGCAGAGATGGACTGGCTGCCATCTGTCGATAGATCACGCAATCGTGAACAAGCTCGAAGACGGCGAGAACAAGAACGAGAAGAGCTTTGGGAGGACGAAGTGGATCATTTGACAATGTCCGTCAAGATGTGGTCGATGGTGAGTCCGCGGCGCCGTCCGAATTCCTATGGTTGATAGAGTCGTTCTGCAGATCGCTCAGCTCGAAACACAAGGCGTCTTGCGCCGCATATCACCTGTTGATAGGCTGGACAATATCATGCTTCGCTGCGAAATGGACTACGAGACCACGAAGTCTCTAGCTAAGGATCTCAAAATAACTTTAGATGAGTATTTGTATGAGAGCACATGAGGAATCCCATCGAGTCTCACTACATGCACTGTATAGTCCCTATGATCTCCTCCAGTCGAGATATCCTCCCTCCTTGACTTCACATAACCTGGAGACCAGGTCCTTCACTTTTGCCTGCATCTCCGTCTCCCTAGGGCCCCCAGATTCGCCCCTGTCGTCTAAGACTCGATCTATCAACTCTGCCTCAGTGACCTTGAAAGCTCCAGCAGAAGGAGCGTATCCCTCGACTTTCGCCATGACCTCCAATTGGGACGGCAAGCCGTATCTGCCAAATTGACCCCAGGTAGAATCAGGTCCCTTGGTCTTCTCAGACACGGATGGCGGTTGCAAGTCTAATTCTGGTCTGTGCTCTTTGATTTCTCCCTTCAAGTCGAAGAATTTGGCCTTGATGTCTGCCGGCGACACAGCAGGATCGGAGATGTCATTTGGTTGCCAATGTGGCCGGTCCCTGGACTTCTCAATTAGGAGAGATGATACGCCTGTAACAAAGTCATTCGTCGAGCGATTCTTGCCCTGCGCATACATCAGCGAGTAGGAAGCAGAGTAGAATGGCTGCTTACTGCGAAAGCGGTAGCCATGCTCATATCTACGAAGACAGATCAGCGAGGTTTTATTTAGCTCGCAAGATCAACCCACCATTGTCTAGCGTCACATCTAATCGCTTTGCATTCTTGGCCATCCTATATCCCTCAAGAGCCACAGCCATTCCAGTCGGAGATCTCGCGTCCATGATCGTCTTCTGTTCCCGAGCCCAAGCTCGGACCTCCTCGCTAAGCTCGAAGTCGTTTGAGGCCCTGTCCAGCTTTTCGTAGATCTCCTTGATAGTCTCGCAATCAAAAGCTCGATCCAAAAAGGCCATGATCTCTCCCTTAATTGGACTGTGACCGTCTCTAGATTCTTTCGATGACAACGCAGCAGATCGAGGAGGTACAGGCGAAGTGTGATTGGCAATGATATTAGAGACTTGAGTGAGATTAGGGTTTGAGAGCTGTTGAATTTCCTGCACGATGGAGTCCAGGGCCGATTCCGAGACGTAATGCGTTGCAAGACCGAGCTCGCTGTGGAGATTGATGAGCAAGAGTGACTTTCTGATTCTCTGTGGACATACTAGACGGCTCGACCGTACAGATCGTGGCCGGTGATGGCTAGCCATGCTCCAAGATTGCCGTCGAGTTGAGCCAGATAATAGTTGACACCAACGTCCGGTGCGTAACCGATTTTCGTTTCCGGCATAGCAAAATGTGTTCTCGGCGTAGCAATGCGTATAGGAGCAGGAAGAGCGATACCGCAACCACCGCCCACTGAGAGGAATTAGAAGACGAATCTGCAATTTCACGGCGACCTTTCACTCACTGACAATACCGTCCATCAGAGAGACATATGGTTTGCCCAAACGAGCCAAGAGCCAGTTAAGCTCAAATTCGTCCTTGAAGAAGGGCAAGGCGATGTTCTGAGCTGCATCCCCCTTTTTTAGGTCTTGTATCAGACCTGAAGAAGGACGTCATAGCTAAGCTTTGCCTCGACATTAGATCCTTGAGCTCACTTTTGACATCACCGCCGGCACAGAATGCGCGCTCGTCTCCTCGAGCGACAATGACTCGGCACAGATCAGATTGACGCCATTTCTGATTGGATCATAATCTGCTTCAGAGCGTGTCTTCGAGGACCGGTATCACCTCACCTTGATTTCGGTCCTCAACGAAGTGATCATCTCGTGGTTTAGCGAGTTGAGCGCCTTTGGCCGGTTGAGCCTATAAATCCGCATCGAATCTTGGCTCTCGTATACCACAGGCGCCTGATGTGGTAGTGAGCATACCGATACATGCGTGTCGGCTCACATCTGAGGGAAGCTTGACATCGTTGGTCATCTTGCTGTTCTCTTTCTTGGAGCTCATGTGCCGCGAAAGAGTGGCCAAGCGTGTCGAAGCGGTCAATGACGATGATGGGCCGGCAGAGGAAGACTTGGCTACCATGCGGGCAGGCAGCCTGATGAAGGAGGTCATGGACAAGAGCGACCGGCTGCTTCCAAAGAATGACCTTGATCCTTTTGCAAGTCGTTGCGGTGGAGTCGTGAAGAGTTGTCACAACTTATGGCCCGCTCGAGAGTGAGAGATATGATTGAGTTGTGGATAGCAAGACCAAAATTCGGCTTTCGACCATTGCCATGATCCGGTCAGAACTCTCAAGTCCGATGATTTTCCCACGGTCGCGCCAAATCCCTGCGTCAAGATCGTCGTTAAGCAGCGGAATCTTGATATGGGTATCGTCGAATGGAGGTATTGACTTGAGCTCAGCGAGCTGTCCAGCGGCGGGGACATTCTCTCTATGGACCTCTGTGAAGCTAGAGCACCGTCAGAATGGGTGTCAAGGGCTTATGGTCCTTGCTCAATCCGGTCGCAAGACCGGTCCAGTGAGTCGTGTCAAACGGCGTAACGGAAAGGGACTCATGTCATGTTAGGATCGAAAGCTTGGAAGGGAAGAAACTTGCGATAGATAGCTCCATCTGGCTCTATCAGGTGTGTTTAACACAGTGAAGAGGGAGAATCGCTGATACTATTCCAGTTTCAAGCTACCATGAGAGACAAAGATGGACGGGTTTTGGTGAACGCCCATGTATTAGGTATGCGAATATGGGCAAGCTCAGCAGCTGAGAGCATCAGGTTTTCTGCGGCGTATAAACAAACTTCTATTCCACGGCATCAAGCCCGTCTTCGTCTTTGATGGTGGTGCGCCCGCGCTCAAGCGAGCAACGATCGTAAGCTGCACATGATATCCAAAGGCTCAAGGAATGCTAGGGCGAAAGGAGAAGGAAGAAGACTGGAGCAGCTGCGAATCACGCAAAGACAGCGGAGAAGCTCTTTGCTGCGCAAATGAGACGCGAGGCCGTAAAAGTCACCCAGGCGTGCGTGTCCGGACCATTGCTTAGGCTGACCGGAGTAGAAATCGGGAGGCTAGGGCAGCTCGAGAGGAAGCTGCAATGGCCGCTATGGCGGCGAGATACGACGATGAGCAAGGGGATGAGATTGCCTTCAACGCAATCTACTTGGAGGATTTGGAGGGCCGTGGGGAAGGCAGCCGACCACCACCTCGACCATTTGCGCCACCTGGTCCAGGGAGTTCAAAGATTGTCGCCCCTGTTGAAGAGCCCGACCCCGCTGAGCAGCGACGAAAACGGTTTCGAAAACACGACCCGTACAAATTGCCTGCAGCTTCCGTGCCTGCCATGTCCACAGAGGAGAAGCCGGATGCCAGATTGGCTACAGAAGCAGAATTAAAGCATTTCATCGACGAAATGCACCCCTCCGATATCGATGTCGAGTCTGCCGAATTTCGAGCGCTCCCAACCGAAGTTCAGTATGAAATTATCGGTGATCTTCGAGTACGATCCCGACAACAGTCTCATCGCCGTCTGGCGGATATGTTGCGAGCTGCTCCTACCGCGCTGGACTTCTCGATGGCTCAAATTAAACACCTGAGTCAACGGAATGCCCTGACTCAGCAGCTCCTCGAGGTGACGGACATGGTAGGTCATGCACACCTTACTATACCCGTCCGAATTGCTGCGGAGAGGAATCGCGAGTATGTCTTGGTGAAGCGAGGAGAGAGTGAGGGTGGCGGCTGGGCCTTGGGTATCCGGGAGGGAACAAAGGCGAATCCTATCAAGGTGGATGAGGAAGGTCCATCGAGAAATGGAAAGACTAGCCAGTCTGCTTCATCAGAATACGACTCGGAAGACAACAGCGACTACGGAGATGATATCGAGGAGGTCTCGGGGTGGGTGGGGACATCGCAATTCGGGAGATTTACTTATTTCGTCTAGTCCTACACAACCCAGCCTGGCCGCTCCTCCATCTATTGACCCAGACCTCAGGGAACATCGGCGCCGGGAGGTTCTGGACGCGATCGCGGCACGTTACAAGGGCACGGGTCTTTCGTCGATATCGATCAAGAGGGGGCTATCTTCTCGTCCGGTTGTTGATCGGGATCAGCCCAAGGTCGAGCCGACTGCCAACGATGAAGCGCTTGCCCTGGCGCTGCAGCAGGAGGAGCTCGGCTCAGACGAGGATGAAGCAGATCCCGAACTAGCGAGAGCGTTAGCGCTCAGCCGGATAGAGAAGGAAGAGAAGCCAGCGGAATCTACAAATGTGTCGGAAGATGGAGAACAAGATGACATCAAGTTGTTTGATAGTGAGGAGGATCTGCCGGCTCTCAAGCAAAGACATGCGGATTCCGATGAGGACCTAGAAGAAGTCTCATTAGTGCCATCAGGTCGTTCAACCCCAGGGAATCTGTCGATCCTGGATATCTCAGGTGCCCCGTCCCGCGATATCGAAGGCAGCGAGGATGAGATGGACATTGTAGCTATTCCTCCACCCTCTTCTGCGCTACCACCGAAGCCACATCTCGCCATCGGTCCCGCTCAAGCAGCGCTGGAACATGTCGATGATGCTCTCGAGGAGGCCCTGCAAACGAATGATGTTGGTCATTCAGCCTCTGTGGTATCGCCTCCAGGTCCGACCTTGGCCATCCGTCCAAGCAACCGTGCTACTGTTCGTGCAGTCAACACGATGAGTACTGCCCCCGTCCGTTCGCCACCAACAGATGTGGGCAGGACGCCGGGAGAGGCCATATCAGCCGTACCAAAGCGGTCGGAGACGATGTCAAAACCAAGCGTTGGGGCAACAGCATTGACACCGTCACCCCGCGCCTCCCTACCTGTCAATGTCAAGCCAGGCACCGACAAGGCCCTGATGACGGTCAGTCGTTCTCAGGCACAAGCTGCTCTAGCCCGTGAAGATCGATACAATTCTCCAGACCTTGATCACGACGATCCCTTGCCGGAGGATATCCGGAATCAGCACCGCCAGCATGCGGATCCATTACTGGCTTTCACCCGATACGATTTGGAGGAAGAGTCTCTCCCTGATTTGCGACCCGCCCGCTCGAGAAGTGCGTCGAGCGGGCAGCTAGTACGTATGGACGACGTAGACGAAGAGGACACCGATGAAGGAGAGGATGAAGACGAGGGCAGAGAGCAGGATGAAGATCGTTCAATTAGATGGTCAAAATCGCCATCGCCTCGACCACGAACTCGACCACCACTTCAGACGGAGCAATCAGGAGAGACTATACCATCCGAGGTGGAAGAAGACGACGGCGATATGACGCGCGGGGATATGGTGGCCGAGGAAGATGACTATGCCAGATTTCTCGCCTCAATCAAAAACAGAGATCTCAACGAAGTCCGCACAGAGATTGACGACGAGATCCGTGTCTTAAATGCTGCTAACAAGGTTGCGATGCGAGACTCGGACGAGATATCCCAGGCAATGATCGCTCAGATTCAGGTGAGTACCTAGCATTGCGCATAAGCTCACCTTCAGACACTCCTTCGCCACTTTGGTATACCATACATCACAGCACCCATGGAAGCCGAAGCTCAATGTGCCAAACTCGCCGAGCTCGGCTTAGTAGACGGGGTCATCACCGATGATTCTGATGTCTTCCTATTTGGTGGCAAGCAATGCTTCAAAAACATCTTTAATGATGCCAAATATGCCGAATGCTTTCTGTTATCAGATATCGACCGAGAATTATCCCTCACTCGAGAAAGACTCATCTCCCTGGCGTATCTTCTTGGATCCGACTACACTATCGGCTTACCAGGTGTGGGCCCCGTGGTGGCTTTGGAGCTGCTGGCCAATTTCCCGGGGGAGAAAGGCGTGGAGGAGTTCAAGACTTGGTGGATGAAAGTTCAGCGGGGTCAGGATAGTGAATTCGAAACGAACACCAAGTGGAAGAAGAGCTTCGTGAGTCAGACCACCTGCGGCCTCGCTCATTTTTCTCAGAAAAAGCGATATTCCTCAGCCATCTATCTCACCTCAGACTGGCCGAACCCACTCGTCGTGAGTATCTGGAGACTGTCCGGCTCTGACAAGCTGCAGCGCGAGGCTTATAAATATCCCACGACCGATGACTCGGAAGAGCCATTTCACTGGGGCTTTCCGAAGCTGTCTGCATTGAGGGCGTAGGTACTGAGGCCTCGGTGCACTCTGACTTCTGCCAGTTTCTTACACGAGGAATTGTCGTGGTCCATCTCCAAGGTCGATGACGAGCTCACTCCGATTGTGCAACGTATCGCCAGGCGTGGCAAAGTCGGTGCTCTGAATAAACAAGCCACCCTGGATCCCTTCTTTGATCTGTCCGTCGCTTCTGGCAATTATGCGCCGCGGCGACGGACCACCGCCAATGTCAGTAAGCGTCTTATGACCGTGATCAAGGAGTATCGAGAGGCCGAAGCAAGGATCAAAGGTCAACAGCCTGAGGGGTGGGGAGAAATGCTCGCCGATATCGATCAAGAGGATCCTCGCGGTGCGGCCTACGCAAGAAAGGGGTCTTCCCGTCGCATCGGAAGCGAAAAGGCACCATCGAGGGGGTCGCTCAAGCCTAACGCATCTGAGACCTCACTGGCAGTCTCAACCCAGGATGATGATGCGGTCATCGTGGACTCAAACGCGGAAGGGGACAAGCCAGCTAAGAAGCCACCGACGAAGAGAAAGCGCAAATCGAAGGCTGCCGCGGTGGACGGTAGACCAGCGGACCCTATGGGAGAGAGCACCGGTAAGGAGGAAGAGGACGGGGATGGAGACGAAGTGTATGTTGCCAAAGCTGCCAAACCACAGAAATGGAAGAAAGCTCGAGGGTCAAGAAGATGGGTTGGACCTCGCTGGGATGTACGAGAGAAACCGGAAAATTAGTCTATACCAATGTTGTCGCATTCCTCATCGCATCGCAAGAGCAAACTGCTTGCAAGTTGTACTCATTCACACTTGATGTATCGCTAATCCTGAGACACTGGACCACTTCCTTGACTTTGGTGCATATTAGAGTCTGCCAATCACCTAATATTCACTCTTCGTCGTCGTCTTCATGCGTCTCTGGGTTCGGATGATATGCTCCTCCGCCATATTCCTTCTCGAGGCCATTGTAAGGGTATTGCCTTGGAACGGCGGAACGCTCCGGCATGATCTTGGTTCCAATGTATCCTATCAAAGCAACGCAGGCGGTAGCGGTGAGGATCTGAGAACATTAGGATGAGCGCTGCAAGTAAGAGATACAATATCGACCCACCTGAAGAGTAGCTCTGAGGCTTGACACTGCTGGCTTGTCTGGTCCGAAGATACCGAGCATGTCGTTTTCCTCGTGTAGCTGAAGGGATTTCATTAGTAGGCATCGAAAGCCGGCAACGGCGTCGGGGAAAAATCAAGAGGGGATTGGAGTGCTGGAATCCTGGAGTTCAAGATAGCCACCCACCACTTCTCCAAAGTTTCTACGGTTCTGCCTGTCCCACCAGCCCTTCGCTGGACGTTCTTGGGTGAAAACATAGGGGAGTTGGGGATATCCTTGCACTAAGGAAACAAGTCAGCACGCCTTCAACGTGAGCGTTCCACCATTTCAGCGAGGAGAGCCACGAGCAGGCACTCCCATGTGCTATGGGTATCTTCAAATTACTCACACTGTGGATCGATCTCCTCCCCTGGCTGGAGTCGGGAAAAGGCTGCATCCTCTGAAGCTGGGGTACCAGACGATCCCGGAACGGGTCGACGGGTCGATGCGAACCTCAAGCCTGTGACCGCTGACCTCGAGGAGACATTCAATACTCCAGGTGTGCGCAGGGCGCTTGTGATTGATCTAAGCGCTGCTGTCTTGTACATGGTGACCCAGTGTGTAAAGCAAAGATGCTGCAGGACTGTGAGGTCAACGACGAACGAGCTAGTGTTGGACTTTCCGCTTATGTAATCAATATTTTTGGACGTGGTCGCGGGCTTTCATGTTGACAAGTTCATCCTTGTCTTCTTGAGCAAGACACGCTGCATGTGGGTTGCAGGACCCAGAGAAGGCCTTTAAGAGGCCAAGGGAAGCCTTCTGGGCTGGGCTGAAGATCTTACGGCCCGCTGTGAGCATTCATCATGCTCCGTCTACGTGAGTTCCGCATTCCGTCTCGCGATCTCATTCTGACAATCTTTCAGCAAGTAGTCAGAACAAATTCAAGCCCACCAAGCCTGCAGCCAGGCGATCCGGTCCAAATGTGTCTCACCCTCCCCCGGCATCGCAAGTCAAGCCCGTCATCCCCGGTGGTCCTCCTGCATCTCAACTCGCCACTCAGTTACGATCATCAGAGCCTGAGAGTGAAAATGAACTGCCGACGCCTACCGCAACGCAGGAGTCTTCCATCCAGCCTCCCTCAATCTCTTCAACACAGGCTACTATAGGCTCTCAGATACCGACTCTAGCCCCGCCAACGATCTCTAGTCCGGTTCTCCCTCCCGCACCGGGCTCGCTCAACGTTGAGCCAATACCTGCTGCCGATGTCGAAACCACCGCCTCCCCATCCAGACAACAACGCCAGACGTCTATCGCACCGAGTCTGAATACTGTGTCCTCAGTCAATAGAGCCGGTCGCCCAGCTCTGATTCAAGCAGCTGCGGCGCAGGCGGCTATAGCAGTTTCCCCAAAGCGGGTTCGAGGAAGGATCCCATCGAGATCAGCTGTATCCAATAAGGATAATCGCGCCATGTCAAATGACCCTTCTGCGAGCCAGGATGTGCCGATTGCCCTTCCCCAGTCCGTAGGAGCGGCCGACTCGATCGCTATTCCATCGGAGGAGCCCCGGAGCGAGGTCTCAGCTCCTGCTCCACCGGTGATCAATGTCACAGGTCCATCAGAAACTGGACTGCCGCCATCGATCGCATCTTTCATCTCATCTTCGATCAGTCGGGCAACTGAGCTCCATCGGGATCGTGGACCTGAGCATGCTTCGAGCAGTCGCCAGCCATTAACATCCAGACAGGCTGATCTATCTCGAGTAGACGAAGAAGAGGAAGGACTTCCCGCATCGAACAAACGGAGTCGGAAAGCATCCAATCGGATTGTCGAACGACCGATACCCGATATCAATGGTAGTAATACCGAGACGCAAGGTGCCGAGAAGGCGAATGGTGAAAATCGCCCTCCGCCTCCCAAACGCAAAGCTCCGGCAAAGAAACGGACAAGCGGAGAAGCAGGTGATCCGAGCTCTGTTCTAATGCCTGTCAGAAGACCTCAGCGAGTCCGACGACGAGCGTATCTGGATCCACAAGGAACCGACCGAAGTGCAGAGGGAGACTTCCACATCACCCAGAAACGTGTGCCGTACAAGACGAGAGGAGTTGCGGGAACCTCTGCGGATCGGCGACTTGGCGCCAACAAGCAGAAACGAGGGGAAAAAAGCATCCCCGTCAGTATCAGTGTCCTCAATGACGCGCAAGCCGGAGATCATGTCGGCGAAGAGGTGGTCGTCACAGAGACCACAATGGCTGCCTTGGCTACTCATACGACAGCCGGTAAAGTCTCGGCGAGAGGTTTAGTGCTGCACGAATATCTCAAGTCTGTGGAAACGACAAAGAATAAAGAGAGGCCGAAACGAATCGAGGATGCATGGAGAAGAAAGCAGGCCCAGCGCCGAAAGTTGCGAGCCGAGAGGAATGTCCAGCGAGCGGAGCGTCGGCGACATTTCGAAGACATGGGAACCGAAGCCAATGATGTTGTTTCGGAGGACGAGGAGGATTCTGAGGAGGAATTCGAAGTTCGGCCCGAGTGGTTAAGAAGTCTAGATGACGAGGAAGACATTCGACGGGGGAGGCAAACGAGAGATGCAGGCCAAGATGATGACGGGCAGGAAGACCGAGACAACGAGGAGCGTCAAGAGCAAAGTGAGGATGATCCAATGGAGGATCACGAGGTCCGGTCCCATGAAGACGAACACGACGCCGCGTTGCGAGCCTCTGGATTCATCGTTGCGGCGACCGGCAATGGAGAGGAAGGGGTTGGGGATGATGGGGACTCAGATGACGAGGAGAGAGAGGATGGAGGTGAAGATGATGGGGACGGCGTCGGGTACGATTTGGAAGAGTATCGTCGCGAAGTCGAGGAGCGTCGCCGTCGGAATCTGGAGCGGATCATGGGTCAAGGCGTAGTTGAGGAGAACAATGAGTTGAAAATGGTCAACTCGTCGACATATGGACGACGCCCGGTCTCCGAGCGTTGGACGGACGCAGACACGGAATTATTTTTCATAGTGAGCAGCATCTAATCGGTGGAACCACTGCTCACTCGTATCAGGCCTTGTCAGAAGTTGGTCCGACGCCAAGCTACCTCCTCGAGTACTTTCGGGGTCGAACACATCGGCAACTGAAGAACAAATTGAACCGAGAGGCTGAGCTCAATCCTTTGCGTTATAAAGCCGCTTTATCTCGCCGCAAACGTCCAGGTGAGCCACATGATGATGTTCGCTGTTCTGATTCTCGCAGACGCCGCCTTTCTGAACGAAAATCGTGGCATTGACCTCCATGCTCCTCATGAGGCCGAGGTCGAATTGTTCGAGTCGGCAGCTTTGGGTAAAGTCAATGCTCGACGACGTGATCTCGGCTTGCCTGATGAAGAGGCCGAAGAAACCGAGCGTGAGATACCCATGGCCGAAGATGTGATGCGAGACGACGACGATGGCGACGATGATGAACAGTGATGCTCGCAGACGAGTTGTACACCGGATGGATTTGTGCTCTGTAGCGACGACCCGCTTGCGAGGTGGCACTTACCATCAACGTGCCGTCTAGGCATTCACCGCACTGATCTCCTCTAATCCAAGGGGATCCTATCACACTTGCTGATCTGCTCATCATCTCTTGGTGGTCTCAATATCTTATCGTCATTCTCTTTCCGCGAATTGATCTATTCTTGACCTCCGCACGCGCAAGAGAAACATAAGTGTACTTAGGTGCAGTACACCTTGACTCACGCACGACGCATCTGTTGAGTAGCCTTACACTCAAATCTTTTTTCACCTCTTTGCGACTCCAGATTCTTGTGGCCATCATGTACTCGTGGTCGACTGGGGACCCTGCTGTCAGCCATTCTGGCCAGTCATTGATGAGACATCGTCAGATGGGACAGGACTTTCGACGAACAACAAGACGCCGACGTCAAATCATCGAATCAGATCTTGAGCCATCCGATGAAAGTCCCGATCCCGTTGATCCGATGGTGTATGAGACCGGACACACGACAGCGATCCCTCGAATGATGGCGACATTGAAGCCTCATCAGGTGAGCATATCTCCAGACTCGAGACATGATCTTCGCGACTTACATCGCCCGCACTAGATTAAAGGCCTCGAGTGGATGCAGGGCATGGAAGCGAGGGAGGACACTTCAGGCGGTGTTCTCGCGGATGATATGGGCTTGGGCAAGGTGATGACGCGGGAGCCATCCTTTGTCTCCTCTCCCTATTGACCTGCATATACAGACCCTCGAAGCCCTGGCGTTGATTTGCAGCGACGTGCCCGAGAAGGGACAGCCCAAGCCTACCCTCGTCGTGGTGCCTCGAATACTGGTGAAGCAATGGGTAGACGAAATCAAGCGTTACACCCATCTGAAAGTTGGATTCCATCTTGAGACCAGGAGTGAATTCACTACCAATCGCTACAAACGCAAATACGACATCGTTCTAACAACCTATACAATACTCTCTAGTCTCGTGAGCTGCAGATGATCGACAGCCGTGACTGTAGATACTCAAATGAGAATACAGTACAGGGTGGCAGAGTCATATGACCGGGAGGATGTAGAAGCCACGATCCGCGACTTTGTCCTCTTTGGCATCGAGTGGCGCCGCATTATCCTTGACGAGGCACATATGATTCGGACCATCGACACAAAGATGTCACTCGCTGTCCGAAAGCTTATGGGCCGGAAAAGATGGTGTATGACGGTGAGCGTGATTGAGACAGAAGCTCGCTGAATGCCACCGTATGGTAGGGCACCCCGATCTTCAATCATATTGAAGATATCTTTCCCTACTTCTTCTTCACAAACGAGATGTCGTGGGAGGAGTTTCAGGATCAGATCTTGGACCAAGCAGCAGTGCCCGGGTTGGCGAAAGCTAGAGTAGGTCTGTCAGTTATTACGCTGAATCCTGCGCAGGAACTACTGGCGCAGATCATGCTTAGGCGGCGGAGGGAGGAATGCTCCGAGTTGAAGCTTCCAAAAATGTCTCAAGAGGATATCCTTGTGGATCTCGGCCCTGAGGAACAAGCAATATACCAGAATATCTACTCCGACGGCGTCATTTGTGCCAATCCATTTTTGCCGGAGGGCACAGTCCTCAAGTCCCTCGACTTTTCATACGCCCGACTGACATGCCAGAGACAGGCGGCATGCCATCCGGCACATCTCGTCCTTAGCTCAAAGTCACAGGCCCTTGAAGGCCCTGTAGTCGAAGCCGACAGGCCGTTGTGCATGAGAGAACCTTTCGAGCCGCTAGAAACAGTACACCTCACCGAAGATCTTGCTATGGAGCATGGACTTGAGTGTTACAGACAGGATCTGCCGGTGAGCAGAGCAATCTCAATTGTCGGGTGTTGTTGATAGGCCTGATTGCAGGACTGCAAGCTTCCTATCAGCTCAAAGATGAGAGAGATTGGTGTGTGATTCATCCAAGTTTCTGCGCGAGTATGTTGATGAGGTGTGCTCATCTCAAAAGGCCGGATCATCGATCTGATCCATGCCGGCGATCCAAAGGATAAGACTCTGGTCTTTTGTAGCTGGCGCTTGATGCTCGACCTAATGATTCATTACTTGGAGGGACAGGGAAGAAAATGTCTCAGACTTCACAGCAAGACAAACGAGCTCCAACGAGAGGCGATCCTGCAGGGTTTCAAGCGCACCAAAGGTCCAAACATCCTGCTCATGACTCCATTGATGGGTGGTAGTGAGCCAACTTCATAGGATTCCATCAAGTACCTTTCATGTGCAAAGCTAATGGGAAGAAAAGTTGGTCTCAACCTCGCCGCGGCGAATCACGTCATTCTGGTCGACCCGTCTTGGTCTCCCTCCACGGAAAGACAGGCCATCAGTCGAGTCCACCGATTGGTGAGTGGTCCGTTCCTTCCGCACAGTCTTGTGACATTTACGGGGGTCCCAGGGTCAGAAGAGAGAGATGACGGTATGGAAGTTGCTAGCTCGCGGCACCATTGACGAGGACATTGTAGAGAAGTGAGAGCAGCGCAATTTGACAAGGTGACTGAGTCATCGCCCTTAGACAACAACGCAAGAACTTGATTATCTCTCATGTCGTCGAGGGCGAACCCCTTGGAGCGGGCTCAGTTCCAGGTTTAGAAGATTTGAGCAGCTTGACCGTGAAGGATATAGCTAATCTCTATGTCGAGACACCCCATGGTACGACGAGCGTCTCTCAAGACGATCTTTGAGCGAGAGTTAGACTAGGGATGCAGGAATGTGGTCACACTGAGTTCTCCTCCGCTAGCGCCTCATCTTATCCCGTCGTCTCAGTCTACCTGTTAGAGATGCTATCAAACCCTCTGACATGCTCAAAGACAACTGAGGTCGCCCGAAGTCAATGAATTCACCGCGAGCGCCGTGCTGGCTGGCTCCTCCATGAAAAAAAGGATGCTGGTGCATTTCAAGAGGTCGATCAAACCCGCCGTATGGCTGCCAATGCCCCATCTGGGTGGTGGTGGATCGTTTCAGTGACACTAAAGCTATCATCACCAGGCTGTCGATGAGCCTCGCATTGCCATGAGACTGGTTTGACGATAGCTAACAAGGTCATCATACCCGACGCAGGACGATCTGCAAGGGAGCAACAGCATTCCCTGGAAGGCCTTGAGTCGTACGCTCCATAGATGGTGGATTATAGCTCTAGAGACCAGCTTACAAAGTACATCGAGCCTCTCAAGCGGTAGCGAGCTCATCTTGCTCTCTGCCACATGGATTTTGCCACACTCCCAGCCAAAATGTGACATTTCACGCGCGATGGTTCACGCGTCTGCTTTTCTTCCGGGGCTGGCTCTCTCCATGACGTTCAAAACCAAGTTCATGATATGAGCCTCTATACATCTTAGACTCGTCCTCAGCATCGACTCCGACTAGGAACCCGGTGATCATTCTGCACTGCAAGACAAGCGCGAGGAGGCCACACGACAATTAGCGGTCCAGATCCACCACCAGCTTCATCTCGATCGGCAGAATACTTGAGTCCAGCAGGCGGACGTCAACAAGAAGTCTACCTCGACTTTTTAGCTCCATTCATAGGTGCAACCGACGGTCTGGTTGACACTTGATCTCAATACGCTTCCTCTACCTCCAGCACTTCTTCTGCCGCCATGACGATTCACACGCTTCCCCTCAACGATATTCTTGCCTCAACGGATCCCGCAGACTTCTCCAAACGACGAGCTTTGAGCGACGTATCGAGGGCTATAGCGAGATGCAAACGGTCTGTTGTGATAACGGGTGCAGGTATAAGCTGCTCAAGCGGCATACCGGTGAGTCTCAGTGCCTTCCATCTAGTAGAGGCTGGCGCTGGCTTTCAACTTCTTGGAGAAATTTCCAGCTATGCCCAGGGAAGAGCGTTGGCTGACCGCGCAACAGGACTTTCGGTCCGGTGACGGTCTGTACTCCTTGGTCAAGGCCCGGTATCCAGAAGCATTTGTGACCGGCAAGGATCTGTTCTCATCCGGTCTATTCAATGACCCCACGACGACATCTCTCTTTTATACCTTTATCGCCGAACTCGCGCTCCAATGCCTCAAAGCTCAACCGACGAGAACGCACCACTTCATTGCCAAACTGGAAACTAAAGGCAAAATGCTGCGATCCTACACCCAGAATATTGACGGACTGGAGCGGAGACTGGGTTTAGAGAGCGGTGGTCGCGGAATGGGATACAAGAAGAAGGCGACGAGAAACGTCGAGATGCACGGCGATCTTGGAAGGGTTAGATGCATACTCTGCATGACGGACTACGAGGCAAGGTCGGCTTGGATGGCGATGTTCAGGGAAGGCGAGGCTCCTGACTGTCCAGCATGCGAGGAAAGATGTAGGTCTATTCGCCCAATCAGACTGAGTAGGCTCACTTTTCGTACAGGCTCAGCTAGGCTTTCTCGTAGCGCTCGGGCATTACCCGTAGGAACACTGCGGCCTTCAATTGTCCTGTACGATGAGCCTCATCCGCTAGGCGAAGACATTGGCAACCTGCAAGCATACGATCTTTCTCGATCACCAGACCTCTTGCTCATTATGGGGACCTCTCTCAAGGTCCACGGTCTGAAAAAGGTCGTCAAAGCCTTTGCCAAAGCGGTTCACGCTCGTAATGGTATGGTCATCTTTGTCAACGCAACACCACCTTCTAAGGAGTGGGAGGGCGTCATTGACTATCACGTTCAAGGCGAGACGGATGTCTGGGTAGACAGGGTGGAAGAGGAGTGGAAAAAGCTGCGTCCACAAGACTGGCAGACGCAAACCACCCTGGACGGCGGAATGGAGATTGTCAAGGACATCAAGATCAAGAGCAAAGCAAAGGCTGCAGCCAAAAGTCAGTACATGTCCTGCCAGAGAGCCGCAAGCAAAGAAGCTGACACAGGTTCCAGACTCCAGCCGGTCCAAGGATCACCAACAACCCGTCCAATTACCCACCCCTCGACCTTCGGAGTCCCCGGTCAAAGCAAGCCTTCCGCGCTCCTCGGCTTCTGCCGCCTCTTCCTCTTTGTCCCCTGCGCCTCTTTCCCCCTCCAAACGACGAGCCAACATGCCGCCGTCACCGATATCTGAGATTGGCTCCCCAAGCAAGAAGCGAGCCATATTCTGCGCGCCCAGTACTGGGCTGCCAGCGACTCCCGGGATGGGCAACCTATTCGCCAGTCCTGCTCCACCAACCGCGGACAGCAGCACCTTTGCCATGGAAGAGGACGACGCTTTCGGTACTTCGCTGAAACCCGCCAAGCCGACGAACGCCAAGGGCAAGTCACTTTCAAGAACTGTCCGACGTAATACTGCACAGGACAAGGAGAATGTCAAGCCGAGCGGCAGAGTAGCCAAGACCCCTGCTGTCCGAGCTCGACCTCCGATCAAGTTCCAGTGATACAATCAGACTGCCACAAGGCACAAGAATGGATTCGACGCAATGGATTTCGACATGTCTTGCAGCCCCAGTGTGATGATGAGCTGCTTTACGTCTGTCAATGCTTCCGCCGCCCTCGAGGCGTGTCCCTATCGTGTTGTATTTTGACGAGTCCTAATGAAATATATGTTCCCTGCCATACTCCTCGTAGGCTGCGTCCCATGCCGCTTTAGCCCCCCCATGTCTCGCTCTCTTTTTTTTGATCCCGTTCGGGGAGATTTTCCGGGAATCATGTGCCTGTGTCGACAGACCTCTCTTCTTGATCAGTGTCTACCTCATTCATCCTTTCTACGACGTGACCGCGGTTCAGCTCGCGACGAGCTGATGGAACAGGAACCTGAGGCTGTCGAAGGCCCTTCTACCATTCCCACTTCATCGGTCGCAGGCTGTTGATCGCCAACTCAAGCGACTTCGGCGTCAGCAGATCGACTCACCAATTAGAGTTTGATACCCCTTTCCCCCCCCCCCCCCCATATTCGCGCATTTGGACATCATAGCCAATCCTCTCGGATCGGGTGGCCATAGCTAGGTGCGGAACAGCTCATCGTGCGCATATTTGTTCCTCCTGGCGAGCGTCTTGTCGCATCTTTATTGACAATCGACACATCGTACCTCTGTCACTGCCCACGACGTATGACTTGACCCACGCAAGGATGAGCTTTTCTGCTGGAACTTCGGCGCCGTTAAACGGTGAGTCCTTTCTTCTACGCCACCGATCTTTGGTCGTCTCTTCCAATCATCAACTGGACGAGAGTATATACGTCCATGCTCCGAGTGCAAATTGGGATCCTTTCTTCCCTCACTTTGATGGCTAGTCTTGCATTTACTGCCTTGATTTGTCAACTTCGTATCAAATCGCTCTCTGAAGCCGTTTTGACTTTTTACTCTCGAGGACGAATGATCGAAATGTTGCGTGACTGACCTCATGCTCCTCATAGCAACTTCCCCAGCCATGGCAACCCCTAGGCCTGTACCTGCCAATCTGACCTCCCTGCCCTCCCTGCCTTTTGCCAGCTCCTCCAATTCAAGCCACAACGCTCATTCGTCTAAGGCCGGACAAGCGGAGCGATCCATGCAGGATACAAGCCTCCAGTCGAAATCAAGTACCAATGGGCACATTGCTTTGGAATCTGAAACCGATGGGTACGTGAAGACCGCTGAACTTTTCATAGGAAAGCACTGACCGGTCACAGTCGCATGACACCGCTTGCCAGCGAATCGGGCGTTCTCGCCGGAAGCGATTCAAGCCAATCAGAGATTCGGCCTTCTTCCCCGCACTCGGTCGCTGTCTCAAATACTTCCCTGCCATCCCAGCTCTCGAAAGTCTCACTCAGCAGCAATTCATCAAATTCAGCACAGACTGGACTCGGATCTTTACAGACCGAGGAGCAAGTCAGGATCGCAGCATCAGGGAAAGACCGGATGTTCCTACTCCTTCTTGCTCGAGAAATCGAATCATTCATCACTAAAGTGGTGCAGAACGAGCAGCCGTCAGTGACTATACCACCAGGAACGGCATCATCGTCCGCTCTCGCCGCTTTGGGCCCGTCCATGATGATCAGTAGCAGCTTCACCAGCAGCAAATATCAGAAAATGCTGGCATATAAAGTGGCCGAGTGGTATGGGCTGAAGGGAGTAGCGGGACCCGATGGGTCGATCGTCATCGGCGTCATGGGCACACTTAACCCTAAGACGTAAGTGCAGGATGCACATACGACGGACCTTGCCTAATTTTATTTCCAGGCCAACTCTACACCTCAGTGACATCGCGCCCAAGCCTCCGTCCCCCAAGCAAAGCTTCAAAATCATGCAGAGGAATCTTAATGGGAATGATCAAAATGGCAGTTCTCGAGCGAGTTCAGCAGCAGGAGATGAGTCCACGAAGCGGAAGACTTTGGAAGAGCGAGAGGCGGAATACGCCCTTGCTCGACAGCGAATATACGGAGATACTCCAGAGGCAGCGCAGCCGCCAGAGGACGCAGGAGGCGCAGCTTCACCATTGAGAAATGCTGCTTTGGGCGACGAGATTGATCCTGTACCTCGGTATCCGACAGGGATCAGCCCTTACATGCCTCCCGAACCAGTCTATGCCTCTCTTGGTCATCCTCCTAAAGCGGAGCCAGCCATCTCTCCACCAAGTCAGCAGACTCGGGCGTATGGCTCGCCAGATCATCGTGCTTTCGCATTCTCGACACCAACGATGCCCTATCCAGAGTACGGGAATCACTCGATGCAACCTTATCAAGTACCCCGGATGAACCATAATGGTCATATGCCGAATCGGCACGCCGTGCAGCAGATGCCATTTGGGGGCCAGATGGGTCAGTTCGCCCCGCAGACTGGTGGCGGCTATGGTAGTCCATACGGACGGTATGGATGGCCCCAAGCTGGTCAGGTGCCGTATGGTCAACCACCTCTTCGGTCGATGCCTGAACACATAGCTATGCAGAATACGATGGCAATGTCACCCATGGTGATGAACGGGACCCCGCAAGCTTGGTATGGAATGTCTTACCCAACGGGCCAACCCATGCCCATAATTCCCCAGGGAGTACAATATATGGGTCAGTTCGGCGTAGCGAGCCATCCCTCAGGACAGATGTATCCGCCAATAAGCGAGCCAACGCCGATGCGACCCAATATCATGTCAACTCATCAGGGCTCTGCTGGATCATCCTTGTCGTCCAGGTCGTACCAGGATTTGTCCAGACCGCACTCAAGGGGTTCAACCACCAGCACTCGGTCCGCAACCAGCAGCGCTCGAATGGGATACATGTATCCCGCTGGGCAGATGCCAGCGGGTTTTCGCCAACACAGCTACAAGAGCTCGACCTATAGTGGCGTGTCAAATCTGGGCACATCGGAGCGACGATCGGGTCGAGCACACAGCCCCGTGAGTCAAAATCGAAGCATGGAGCTGACCATTCCGCAGTCATCTACCACTACCATATCCTCTAGATCTTCTCGGGTCGCTTCCATCGTTCTTCAGCCACCTGCTCCGGGGCAACACCAGCTCCCCCAACGTCCAGACTGGGCTGCCAACAATGTGCCATACCACCCATCGCCGATGCCGTATCAAGGCGGACCAATGCCGTCGGGACAGAACGTGTCAGACTTTCCACCACTACATCGCTATGCTACCATCGCCGAGCCGATGCAGGTGGAAAGGGCCAAAATGCGGGCTGCACCGACCCGTAACGGCTCTGGTGCATGGAACGGCCTGGTCAACGGGCCGCCGAACGGAAACAGGGACGTCCATGCCAACGGGAACTTGAACCAGTCGCATGATGTCAAAGACATTCCGGTCTCATCCAGTACGCCTCAGCCTCGACCGATGGCTACCATCGATCTGAGTACGCCCGACACACAGGACGAAGTTCCTCGTCTCGCCCCAAGGGCTTCGTTGCCGCAGCCGAGCGAGTTAATGGACGAAAACACCATCGTCGCCAGGAAATCTGACAATGAGTCAGTAGCGGTATCGACCGGTACGGCTGCGGATGTGGTACAGCAGGACCTCAGCCATGAGGCAATGTCACCGCAGGATGTGATCGAGGCGAAGCTTGCAGCATTGTCGGTCAGCGCGGGCATCAGTATTGGGCCGCCACCAACCAGGGTCCCGCCTCAATCTTACGCCAAGATTGTCAAGCGCGATTGAGGAGACGCCAGAGACTTCCTGGGTGTGACCGGAGTCTGAGAAGTAGCTTTCAGCTTCATAGCTGTATCGCATGCATTACATAGTGATAAAGATTGGATCGTTGGCCAAAGAAATAGGCCTGCCATACCATTTCTTTCATCCAGCGCCTATTTCTATTGTTATTGCCGTTCAACCGAATCGTCGCGACTTGCCATTTGACTTTTGGTCTACAATTAGCTAGCAAGTCATGGCCCCGAGGGCGTCTAGGTCGAAACGAGGCGCGGCACCTGCATCTAGGGGACGTCAGACTCGGAACACTGCGACTCCCCGTGACACTGCATCTCCGCGACCTACGAGCTCACTGTCCTCTGCGAGGTCTCCTCAAGATGTCGGCGCTTTCGAGATTGGAAACGAGGCTATAGAAGAGCAAGAGGTACAGCAGGATGATGCTGAGCAGGAAGACGAGGATCAAGATGAGGATGAAGGAGACGGAGAAGATGTCGATGTGCTGGAGGAGGAGGCTGAGCCAATGACCATCAACCCAATGGCATTCTTGGGTCAGCCTGCTCCTACTGGTGGGTCTCTTCCGGCAGTAGCAGGCACTGCTGGAGATAAGGAGGACGAGGAAGAAGGAGATGAGGAAGGGGATGAAGAAGAAGGAGATGACGACGATGATGAGGAAGAAGATGACGAGGAAGAAGATGACGATGACGAAGAAGAAGGAGATGAAGATGAGGAAGAAGAAGACGGAGATGAGGAGGAGGATGGAGACGATGACGAAGAAGAGGATGACGATGATGATGATGAGGAAGAAGAAGACGACGAAGGAGAAGGTCCAATTTATCGATATCCCGCTTCTGTACCGGATTGGACAGCACTTTCCGATCGAGAGAAGCGATTCAAGTTGGCTCGATACTTTCCCTGTGCCATTCCTGGTTGCAAATGCCCAGGTCTGTCACCGCCCAGTGGATCCACTGTCGTCCTTCAATCTCGAGAAGAAGCAGACGCTGATGAGAGGGATGTCGACATGGACGGAGACAATGAGAACCGGACGGAAGAGGGATGGTGGAAAGTGTGCGGAGAATGTGGTCATGGATGGGAAGATGCTGGACACGTCTTGCCACATGGGTTGGATCAGGATGAAAAAAGTAGACGAGGGAAAGCGGTTGGGAGGATAGAAGAATTGTTGCAGGTAAGTCTCAAGAGCGGTCTCGTCTCATCTCCAATTATGCTGATCTAACCCCGTATCGCAGGAGGGAGATCTCTTGACCACCTTCCCAACCCCTCGACCGCCCAGCCTCACATCGCTGTTTAAGCAGCTTCAACAATTCCAGCGACCGACTGGTGGCAAGAAGCCTGCTGTTCCACTACCCGCTGCTTTCGACATGACTGAACCTGGGACTCCCTTGACACCTGCCGAGGACGGCGAAGAAGGGTTGGAAGATGGCGATGATCGGCCCAGGAAACGCCGGAAAGGCTCTGCAGAGGCTGAGGAAGGTGAAAATGAGGAATCGGGAGCACAGACAACCAACCAGAAATCTGGCAAGACCACAGCTGGAAAGGGAACGAAGCCTCGAGGCGTCGTCAGAGGCTCGAGAGGTCTCGTTCCGACTGAAACGGACGCAGATGGCAATGTTCATATCGGAGGAAGGTTACCTGACAGTGCGATGGGAGACGGTGAGGTTGATGAAGCCGGAAGTGAGGAGGGCGTGCCATTAGCCAAGCGACCCGAGCTGGATGAAGGTGAAAGGCGGCGTCGTGAGCTCATCAAAGAGAAGGCCAAGGAAAGGGAGAACAAGGTGTTGCGAAGGATGAACAAGGAGGCGGACGGCGTTGAAGAGGAGGGCACCGAGGAAGGTCCAGGAGCGGGCGGCGACGTGGAAGTGTGGGAAGGAGTCGAATTTGCAAGTTGATACGGCTTGACTGGAGAGCTTTGGCTGACTATAAGACTTTAGAGAAAACTTCCGCCCAGACCTGCTGCCATTGAAGAGTCGAACCGAGAGATTATGCTCATAGTCGTTTCATCCCGTAATCCTACGCCAGTCGCTTCTATCCTCCTGATTGGACTCAAGAATCTCTTCCAACGTCAATTACCCAAGATGCCTCGAGAATATATCACGCGACTGGTGCTCGACAAGAATCACATCAGTATCGCCATCGTCAAGCGAGGCTGGAAAGTCGTCGGAGGAATCTGCTATAGACCGTTCGAGAGTCGAGGATTCGCCGAAATTGTCTTTTGCGCCATTGATAGCTCGGAACAGATCAAGGCAAGTCTTTAACCTTAGGCCTCTCGCTGATCGTATCAGGGATACGGCTTTCACCTCATGAACTCGCTCAAGGACCATGTCCGGAAAGCTCATCCCTCCATCAATCATTTCCTCACGTATGCCGATAATTACGCCGTTGGGTATTTCAAGAAGCAAGGTTTCAGCAAAGAGATCAATTTCGACAGGGAACGTTGGGTTGGGTATATCAAAGACTATGAAGGAGGAACCATCATGCACTGCAACATGCTGCCGAAAGTGCGTTACATGGAGGTTCAGCAGATGCTCGCCGATCAGCAAGCTGTGAGCACGGTGTTGATGTTCCCCCGAGTCTTGCTTGCTGACTTGGTTCTAGGCTGTACTGGCCAAGATCAGGACTATCTCCAAGAGCCATGTTATACATCCTGGGATCAAAAAGTTCAAGGACAAGAAACCAGGCCAGGAGATCAAGCTCAAGAAAGAGGATGTGCCGGGTCTTGGTGAGTCAATGCTCAGCCTCTCTGACGACTTGCTTACGATGGTCCAGCTGAGAGCGGTTGGAATCCGGACCTAGACGAGATGTGAGTGGTGCCGCCTGCCGCGTGAGGTTTTCGCTAATGACTCGCGCAGTATCCGTCAGCCCAAGCGCAATCCCGATCACGTATATCTTCAATTGGTCTTGGACGATATGCAGAACGAACCATCAGCGTGGCCTTTTATAAAACCTGTAGATTCTAAAGTCGTCGTGGATTACTACGATGTGATCAAGGAGCCCATGGGTGAGTGGCGGCCGGCTCAGGCTGCAGCGATTGCTGACACACCTCGCCTGCAGACCTTTCAACCATGGAGTATAAACTCGAAAGCAATCACTACACCGGGATTGACGACTTCATCGCTGATGCCAACCTCATTTTCCAGAATTGTAGACAGTATAATGGCGAGAAAAGTACGTACACGACTCAGGCAAATAGGCTGGAAAAGGCTATGGAGAGAATATTGAAGGCGAGAAAGACAAAGAGCGGCTGAGTTAGGCCTGTAGGATGTCCAGGCGCATATTGTTGTTATGTTGTTGTACTCAAAGCATCATTGCATCCTCTAGCTTGACATGGCTCATTCTGTGCCTGTGAAAGGGTCATTTCTTTGAGCCGTGAGGCTAATAAGCCAACCCGCCACTGTCTCGCTGCTCCTTCTTTTTCTTCTTCTTCCTCCTCTTCTTTCGACGCTTACGACTTGTTCGCACCGCCGAGGATGCTCGCTATGGAGCCGAAACGACTTTCTTCTGGCTTGGTCGACAGGCCGCCCAACGAGTTCGGCGTCGTTTGAGAGGCCTGACTCGAAATGTTACTGGGTTGCTCAGTGGGCTTGGTTGATGAATACTGCATCTTCTTCGGTGGTTCCGTGGAGAACGAGATTGACGTTTTCCTGGTGAACTGTGAACCTCCTTCTGAATTTTCAGAGCTCTCCGGCATGCTGACTGTTTCTGTGTCTTGGTACTAATCTCGAAAGCAATATCAGGGTCTCGCAATGAAAGTTTATGTATGCAAAAAGATGTCGAACAGAGCGAACCGGTGGCCACAACCTATATACCCCTATTTGTCATGATGCCTTCTCAGCAGAATCCGAACAGTCAGCATGAAAGGATGCCTTGGTGAAAGGCTTTTGACCTCTGGAGACGCACTGTACGAACTGTTTCAGACTTGAGCCTCCTGCAAGGTTTTAGTCTGTCGTGACTCTGCTGCGACCGTTTTTTATCGTGTTTGGACACAGCTGACAAGCTGTTTCGACGTGGGTTTGAAAGTGAGGAAGACCTCGGACCAAGGGATGAACGGTCCCATTGGATTTGACCTGATGCTTCACGGTCAAATGTCAAACGCCACGCCATTGCATGCAAGTACGGCCTCAAAGTGCGCCACCACACCCTCGTCGTGAACCATTCAGTCCTCGCTACCTCATGCTCAGACACTCATGCGGTGTTCGTGCGTCGAGACCGTAGTTGATAGTCTCTTCGCTCTGCACCCGCCACTTCTGATTTCTCCCCAGAAACCCCTGTTTCCATTTCTTCCCCAGTGCCATCATCGACCTCGGCCGGATCAGTATCAGTATCAGTCAACACCTTGTTGCGAAGCAGCACATTGTACCAGGTCCCAAAACGATCGGGTTTACCCTCTGTCTCGACACTAGCTTGAACGTCAATCGTTATACTCCCATTTCGCACCGTGTCGATTTCCAACATTCTCATCGAGCTGCGAATCGGGAGCTGCTCTGTGCCCACCCTTTCAATTGCTGAGTAGACCTCGCTGGCCATGTCCTTGAGCTCTGTGCTCAATGTTTCGATGCTTGCCGGAGTCAAGTAGTCAGACCTGCACGTGGGCACCGTCATGAAGTATCCCAAGGAATTGATAGGTAAATCAGGTGGGTCTTGACCGTCAGGATCATTTGCGGAAGAATTGTTCACCCGACAGATCCAACATTTGGCGACTGAATTGGGGTCGTCCAAGTCCCATTTCCCGTTCACATGGCTTAAGAGCCATTTGCGCGTACCATTCTCATTGGTTTCTTCCAAACATTTGAGGTCGATACCGTAACGAAGCTTTTCGACCTCTGGCTGCATTGTTCCCTGTGTAGTGTTCATGGTGAAAGATGACATTGTCGTGGAGAAGGAGGGGAAGGGGGGGGAAAGACTTTCTTTAATACCTGATGTCGGTTTGTCGATTCTCCTTATCTCTCGTCAGCTCCGATCCAATCATCAATGTGTTTAGCTTCAAAAGGCTATTTAATCGTCAAATTGGTCAAAGGAGAGGACGAGAGGGCGAGAGAGCGAGTGAGAAAGTATGAGAGGAGAGTGCTCGAGATTGATGCTCTCAAGAAGATGACCAGACTCCGCATCATTTCAGTGATCGACCGATCGACCAAGTAGCTACACTCGCCCCGTCGTATTGTGCTCCTTTGAGGAAGCGTTATACAGTAGTCTGTCGCGGAAACCCATCCCAGGGGCCATCAGCCATCCTCAGCCTCCGTCGTTCTTTGATGGCCTTTACGAGCAAAGGAAGTATAAGTTTGTCAAGGATGATACCACAAGAGAGTTAGAAGCATCCTCGGTTGTGATCTGGAATTCATCGAGCATTCGAATGCCAAGACAGGTAGGTCACCATGTGGCCCAGGCGAGCAACGAACCAAGTGTCACACAAGTTGGCGCCTCAGAACCAGCGCATGAGGTATGATACATGTGGAGAGGAGCCAGTTCGATACAGTGTCAGGAACTGAGAAACTTCGGGAATCGTCCCCCGGTGCCCGAGCTTAAGCCGATGGAGTGAGATCGCCAGGTCAGACACCCTTTCCAGGTACATCAAATCCATCCTTGGCGAGCTTGGTGATCGCCTCATGATTGTTTGCCTGAATCGCCTGGACGATCATGTTCCTTAATTGAGTGTTCTTCTCCGGAGGCACGTCCGTAGCGTCCGTATCGCTCTTGCGTCGGATATAGATATCTATACCGGCGGGTGTGAATAGCGTCTTGGAGAAGTCTGAGGTCAGAGAAGAGCGAAATCCATTAGAGAAGAGTGGAATCCAGTCGACGGATACGCAGGTGGTGGAGAGGACGTTCAGTTGCGGACGAAACAGGAGGAACAACATTTTATGAATAAGCCTTGCCTCTGTATATGATTGATTCCACACTCACACGTTACTGCCCATTCTAGACCTGAATCCGGATCTGTTCCGTATCCAAGGACTTCCCAGTGAGAATGGACAAAAAACAACATGCCTGAGCCTTTCCAGTCGAACGTGGCGCCATTGGCTCTGTGTCGGGGTACAGCACGGCGGGAGCGGCATCAGAACATCAATAGCAGCAGCGAGGCAGGCGAGTAATGAGAACGCCTCTCATTCAGCTTGCGATAACCATCGGTGATAGGGCAGACCGCCCACACCCTCACACGTACCCTGTCGACAAAGTCTCCGTACCCTTGACTAGGAGGTATCAGCCCAGTTTCGTACCGCCCAGAAGCTGCCCCGAAGACTCACCTGTACTCGGTGAGCTATCTTCTCCCGCTGTCTTCTTGTGATACTTGACAACGCTCTGAAACGTCGTGTTGATCTTGGATCCAGAAGCTACTGGCTCATACTCGATAACCACATCTGTATAGACTGTCAAGCAACGGCGAGCTGGTTCTCATGCGCGCACACGCATACCTCGTTTATCCTTGGGCACAGTGTGAGCCTCTATAGCGACTGACATAGCATAGCTTCGGATCGCATGCGCTCACCTTCCACATGGGCAATGTGCTCCACTCGACTCTCCATTGACCCATGAACCATGTCCTATCGAATCCGGTAGGCCCATCTGCCAGCGAGGGATGGTCCGAGCCAGGCGTATGGATGATTATACTATCTGATGCAGCCGGTGGACTTGACATGTTGGTATGTTGTTGTGTTCTCGGCTTCGAAGTAAACTTCCTAGCCTTGGAGTGTTATCATGAGCTTTTGAAGTGAGTCATATCTGAAACAATCGATCATGAATTACCTAAAGGAGTAATAAATCCAGGATCTCGAAAGCACAGTGTCATCGTCGTTGTCCAACCATAAAAACAGGTCACTTACCCTCATCTAGCTGTACTAGCCTGTCGCTCTCACAAGCAAAGTCCAACCAACATGGTCCTAGTTCTCGTCATTGGAGACCTGCATATTCCAAATCTAACACACGATCTCCCTGCAAAGTTCAAAAAGCTCCTCGTGCGTGTTCCCCTCCATATGTTGTGATGCGCTTCTCGAACTGACCACATCAATCGTCAGGTCCCAGGAAAGATTGGTCAAATCATATGTACCGGCAACGTATGCGATAGAGAGACGTACGATTACCTACGGACTATTGCGCCAGAGGTTCACGTAGTCAGAGGAGAATTCGACGAGGTGAGTGCGGGTCACGAACATTTTGCCAATTTGCATCTTCATCTGTTGCATCTGTGGATTTCATGTTCAGTCTGATGTCTGATTCCTTACGCGGTCTATCCTACTTTGTATCATCTCCTTGTACAAAATTCTGCTGACGCTCTGACTTGCCTAGAACACTCACTTTCCCCTTTCCCTCACTATCCAACATCAATCCCTGCGCTTAGGAGTTGTTCACGGACAACAGATCGTCCCTGCCGGAGACCTGGACATGCTGGCAGCGATCGGGAGGCAGATGGATGTCGATGTATTGATATCAGGAGGCACACATAGGTATGTTGTTTGTGAAGGGCTGCGACTGTCGGAGATCGGTCTGTATGAAAGCAGGCTGTTCTCCTCGTTTTATCACCCTCGCTCTCCAATTCAATGACGAAGTGGATAAGTCTAGGGCTGACGTCAACCCAGATTCGAAGCGTTCGAAGCGGAGGGCCGATTCTTTATCAATCCAGGCTCAGCGACTGGCGCATGGAGTGGATTATGGAACGGGCAAGTCGCCATCGCGGCCATTTGACAGATGGGCTCCCCTCAACTGACCCCTTCGGTCCAGCGACGCGACACCCTCCTTCGCATTGATGGACATTCAAGGTCCCGCAATCGTGACATATGTCTACCAACTGGTAGCTGGCGAGGTGAGTCATGTTTGTTCTCGGACTGGATTCTCCTTCCCTCTTCTCGTTGTTCTGGTACGATGGACATGGCTCACTCATCCTATGCTCACAGGTCAAAGTGGACAAAATCGAGTACAGACGACAAGAACCTCCAAGGGATCAAGAAGCCATGTCACCGAGATTGAGTGCTGGCGCAGGAAGCAATAGAGCTGAGGTGGCCGCCGGATGGTGAGACGCGTGCGCGCGCGCAAAAAGAGAGAGAGAGGGACTGCGGGCAGAGACCATCAAAGTTGTATATGCCAACCAATTTGCATGATCAGACAATAGACGCAGGATGAGGTGTAGCGCTGCAATAGAGACAGAGAATCGAATAAAGTCGAGACGTCGTGCACGACACATTGGACACGTTGACGCATGATATGATTTCCAAGGCGTGTGGGTTACTGTTGGCTTTCGCCAGTTCGCAGTCTCAGAATGTCCCAGACCTCAGGAAACCTACATGATGCAGTCCATGACCGAGAAGCCAAGCGAAATTCTGCCTGACAAAGGGCGGACGAGGTGAGCAGGATACTTGAGACTTGATCTGGATCACCCTGTCGCTGGCCTTGTGGCCGGCCATCCAGGTCCAAAGACCCCATCCGACACGTTGAATCCTGCGTTACCACTACACGGCGCGTCTCATCACACGGACCTCCGACCGAAGCAATAGGACCCTTTCGTTACATGATTGGCCCCCAAAATCCCACCGCAGCTCAACCTCCCGAGATCGCAAGCCACAACAGACCTCCGAGCTCGGCGTGCCGACGAACGAGCACCGGTGAGTTTTCTACGTTTAGTTGACCTTTGGTCTGTAAGATCCGAGATTTCACAATGATACACCGGCGTGTTCGGTGGCCGGCCGGTTCGGTTGAGTTCAGAGGGGGTTGAGGTTGTTTCGATGCCCGTGGGACATAGTTAGAGAACCGAATATCACTGGAAGGGCCCCTCTATCTCTACATTTGAAGGATATTCCGCTCTGATTCAACCGACGAGTAAGCCGCCGCCACTTCTCGCCTGATAAAACCCACACGGATCTGGAGGGGAGGAGCGGGGGGGGGGGGGTAGACAACCGGTTGATTTCCCCGCACATCCAATGAAGCCCCGCGCCGTACGGTTCTCTACAAACTCAACTCTAACACGTCAGTATTTTTGAGACGTTGCATTGCACGGTGGTGGTGGAGCTTAGATCTTTGGTGGGGATCTGATGGTGTGTTTCCATTAGACGCCGGTTCTTAGCAGGCTCAAGGGGAGCAAGTGGCGGAAACAAAAGATAGCATAACATCCATTCAGCTACGAGATGCATAGCACGCTGCGTGTCCCCTCCAAGTCCAGACTCAGCCTGAAGATTCCACGGTATCAGTAAATAGATAGCAGCAACCCCCTCCTCCCTTCGCGAGAACAGAAACACACGGTCTACATATGCCCGGCCCCACAACCCGGACGGAGGAACCGGCCGACCGACCGAGCGGCCTACTGTCTCTGGGATCGTAATTTGATCATTTAGTCCATTTTGGTGGCCATTGACACTACCGGGTCTCCGTACCGAGTAAAAGAAAAAACGCCGAATTGAAACTGGAATCAAACTAGACTACGACGCAGCTAGATTGAGGAAAGAGTCGAACGAAGCCTGGAGAGACAACAGGACACGAGGTTCGACGTACGTTGACCTGTATGCGCTCCTCTTTTTTTGTTGAGCTCTCATGTTGTTTTTTTGCCAATTCCCCCTCTTTCGCGTTTGGTTGAATGTGGCGAAAAACAAAGCCCGGTATCGGTGAGTAATGCATGAGCGGCAATGAGCCGATGGGTACCAAGCGAATGCATCGCCCAGTCCCTATCTCCCGAGCGCTCCAAGGCCTTGGCGTAGCCTTGCATGCCATCGTGGAGCGTGGCCGTGTCCATTGTTTGAGCTTCATGTGGGCTGTGACGGGTCAGTTGTCTCAAGTGATGCAGAGGATCTTTGCAGTACCCCTCAAAATCAGCCTATCATCCAATCTCTTATGCCTGGAGATCTAATCAGTCAATGAATTAGCCTATGCAACATCGCTCATGCCTGAAGTACTATCGAATGCTCTGTTTTGATCACGGCTCGTTCAGTGCAACATGCATGGTCGCACATTTGGTCATTACATACAAGCTATTTGGTGTAAACTTCTGACAAGCTAAATTATTCTACTTCTACGCCGTTGAAGAAGAATCAAAGTTTCTTTGAGACCTACAACCGAAGAACCGTTCAATCCTCTGTGCATTGCTTTTTATTCAGTCAAATTATTGCACGAGCGAACGGTTTCGGAGTCGTCTCTTCGTTCTGAGGTATTATGATGATAGGGATGTTGAGGAATGCTAGATGTGTGCGCTCGAACACACTTGTGGAGATTTAGAGAGGTTTATTTACAATTGTCGAGTGGGTGATTTAATTGGGTATTGTGTCCATGTACAACGACTTTTTTGAGATGCAGAATTACCACTCGGCAACGTATCGGGGATCGGAAGGCCACCTGGTCATATCGACTGATTTCATGTGATCCGAAGGTGCACCGCCGAGAGCGACGGGGGAAGGCGTCTTGCAATCCTCACTTGCGGGTGAGGATTGAAGGGAGCTCGAGGCGGAGAGGAATGTGGGGACAGGCGGTGAGAGGGTTGCGGGGGATGAGCGCATGTATTGGGAGTGGGGTGAGGCGGGCGGTGAGGGCAGACCCGAGGCAGTGTAGTGTTGATGACGGTATGATGGTTTGGATCGGACTTGTCGGACAGGTCGTGATAGGCCGGAAGGCTCGGGAGTGGTCTCGGGAGTGGGGTAGACGGTAGTCGGTTTGGGGGTGGGGTTGACGAGGGGGATGGACATGATGTCGGCAGAGGATGATGAGGTGGAAGATGATCTGGAGTAGATGACTGCACGAGGTCCATGTTCGTATCGGACCTGTCGCTCGAATTCAATCGCTTCGGGGCCAGAAATGTTGAGATTCCAGTCGAGGTATCCACACATTTCCCTCTCCATCTGGTTGATCTCCTTCAAGGCAAACATCTTTTGAGCGACGATACCCCAAGATTGGTTCGAGTAAGTGTCGTCGCAGATGACCTTGGAGGCGATCATGAAGGCCGAGATGAACAATCTGTGACCTGATGATCCTCGGGCGGCGGGGAATCGAGATTTTAATCTCTGCAAGAGGAGAAGAGCGGCAAAGGTGACGACGGGTGGGAGTCGGGTACGGTGCAGGCCATAAGCGACAAAGTGGGCGAGGGTAGGCGTAGGTGAGCCAGGAGCGACACCAGTGGGGATGTTGGGGCAAGCGAAGAGGGAGGTAATCTGAAGCGGTGCGCAGGTCAGATTATGAATCACGATCACGCCTAGTGTGATGATGAATGACTCACGAATCGAGCACACAACACGGCAGTCTCTTCATGACCGTAAAAGGGGTCAGAGCGTGTCGTAGGTGGTCGAGAAGAAGGAGCTGAGGCGGTCGCAGAAGCCTTGACGGCTTTGCGTGATGAAGAAGGAGAGACCGGGGTCTCAGCCGCTCGGACGGTGACGGAAACGGGAGGAACCATGATGTTCAATGGTTTGTAATGTGAATGGGCGGTTGGAGTGTCGAGGAATACGAGTCGATCGATGCGAGATTGATGGACTGGTAGTGGAGGAGGTGGCGGTGGCAAGCGAGCAAGAGGAAAGGTATCTTTTCGTCGAAAGGACCGAACCGATTTTAGATTGGATGATGAAGTGGGAGGATGAGGAGGAAGCGGTGGAGCAGGGTGTTGAGACTGCTTGGATGGATTAGAGGGTTTGCGAAGCTGCTAGAGAATGCAATGTGTCAGCACTGAGTATGCTTTGAGGGAATGAACAGACGGTAGGGAGTGGGAGACGAGGCATCATTTATAAAGCGGTCACAGGAGAATGAGAATCCGGGCCGGGTTGTGACAAATGGATTGATGGCCCCTGTTGAACTGGTACCTCGTTCTGTACCGCAAGACGGCGAACTCGGAGTGCGAAATGGGGTAAAGAAACAAGAAGGGGAAATGTGATAGGATGATAAAGATGAAAGATGAAAGAGTGGAAATGGGATGAATATCAAGGAATTCCCGAGCGAGGTGGAAAGGAATGGGGGGGTAACAATAAGAATCCTTCCGGTATACCTCGCGAGGTTCACAAGGGCAGATACACACACACACACCGATAGACACCACCCAGACTAGGCAGAAGATCGAGACCCTAATAAAGCGTGTCCCTTCGGGGTGCTTTGGGTATATATGAAAAGGGGGAGAGATCGACCAGGACCAAGAACATCGTATGCAAGGAGGGATGAGGGGAGAGTATACCGCGGAAGAGGGTATCGGACCAGACGGTAGACACGATAAAGGGATACAATCGATGAGGAGTATCGGTGGTGGGTGGGAAGCGACGAGGGCCAAAAAGGGGGAATTGACAGTGACGATTCATCCCCCTTTCTGCCCTCGGGCCGGACCCCGCCCAAAATGACACATGTCCCCACTGAAAATGACCGACTGATTCGGCGGTGTATATTCACCGCGAATTGGTCGAATGAGAGATGTTTCTGTTGTTGGCGTCGCCATGGATGGACGTGGTGACCATGCACCATCGATCCACATATCCTCCATCGCGAGTATCCCTCATGATCCGTCCTGATACTCCAATGCCTCTCTCTCTCCATCGATCTCCACACCCAAAAAAGGTGCCACTCGCGTGCGAAAAAAGAGAAGGAGACAGGAATCCTATGCACTGCCTACTCACGTTGTATGCTCATCATCCAGATAGATCGAGTCGCTATAAAGACATGATCCTGTAGTGTTGGGTGATAGGTGGCGATGGTTGAATGGGATCTTTGATGAGTCGACGACGGATGTCTGTTCGGGAGAGTAGGAGGAAGGGGGGATTTCTCTCTTCTCTCTTCTTAAATAAAAAGGCGACAATGTGGTGTGTGGTGTTGTTCGGCGGTATCGGAAGGCGAATTAATCTTCCTTGTAGCTGTAGCTGTATTGCTCCCCTCTCTAAGAGCGCATCTCCTCTTTTTTTTTTCCCAAAAAACGGAAGAAAAAAAAAGAGGCTCCCCCCCGGGTGGTGCGTGGGTGCGAATAGCCATGTGCGGCTTCACGCACCTGGAAAGAAAAAAAAATGCGGCGAAAAACCCAGGCAGCTCACTACGCACTCTGATCCGGACCGAAGGTAGCCGACACACCTACCTCTCTTCCTCCTAAACCCCACCGCCCCACCTCACCGTCGTACGTCCGTCGACTTTGCCGCAGGATACTACTAACTAATCAAGTCTCATTCAGTTAGAAAAGCTTCCTAATCACCATCTCCCCGGAATCCCCGGGTTCACCTCTCGGTAGATTCGGTACTGTTACCGCTCCTTTTGAGACACCACTCGCAACTCCATGCCACACACACTCCACGACTCCCCGATCGGAGATGCGTAAAACAGTGACAGCGCGTGGGCATTTGCCTGATTACAATTATTCCCAAAGCACGAGCGGCGCTGGGGTATCCCGTTCGTCCTTCGTTGTCGTGTTTCTTGTTTTGATCCCGTCAGTTCTGTACCGTAAGATTGGTATGCATTCCTTCCGAGAGCAAGGTAACGGTAACTCGACTCACTTGGCAACGGGTGAGCTTGCTGCCTGCTGAGCGCGTGTTTCTCGGGGTCCGGAAAATCGTCTCAAGCGATCCACGGTCGGTGAGACACCACACGATTTGTTTCGCATTCATTCACATTTCTCATGCGTCGCGTAAGGGATGCATCCATATCATTCGCCGTGAAGGGTTGTCTTTGGGACAATAAGGGAATCATCTCACCCAATGGGGTCGATGTCACGGAATCAATCCATGGGAATCACTTTCTTTTGCCACGAATGATAGGTGCATCCGATTGAAAACCCCCTTTTGTTGACATCTCTGGCTCTTCTTCACTTGGCACGCACAGTCTCATGGACAGCATGCACGTTACGGCCGTCCTTGTCCCAGACGTCATGTTCCTACAATTGTCCAAACTAAAACTCAAAAAAATGGTATCGAGCATGTCTATGATCTCGGACGAGCTCACGAGCGTCAGAGAAAAAAAAAACAAAGCTCACACGTTAGAGTTTCATCCTCACCAGCTCACCCATATCGGATAGCTATCGGGACATGTCCCGAAAGGTTTATCTCACTCCCTTGATGCAACGTGCAGGGGGGGTCGTGTCATGCCAAGACACTCGCCTACCTCGATCAATCCGGAGCTAACGGATGGATGGACTAGAGTCCTTCACACTAACGGGACGAAACGACACCATTTTTTTGGGGGGGAAGGGAACCAGACGTCATGATGGATCGGTGCAGATTCCGGTCGGACGGGTAGGTGATTCCAATCACATTACAAGCGACGCCAAGCGATAGGACTCGGATAGGAAAAGGATCCGAGAGAGGGTCGGTCTTTGTTGTCGTTCCGCGCGGGCTCTAAGCGACTGAACCTTGTGGGGATGCCATGCCAGTGGTCCCGTGAGAGGCAGTGGCACACTGCCTCTCACGAGGAGAGAATGCTTGTCAGACGTCATGAACATGGACACGAGGAAAGCGAGGCGTCGTGATTGTACTCCTCAATAGTCCGTTCAGATAGTCAGCGATTTGTCAGCATGCGATACGGTCAGAAATCTTGCCACATTGCCACAACCAATCGATCCCTCCCACAAGCGCACCCTTTTTCTCATCGCAGTCTCTGCAAAGTCAGCCTGGACCCATGCCAAATTTCATTGGGGACATGTCTCGAGCGTTGGTTGACACGCGGTGATCGACTTGGAACTGCATGGACGACGACCGGTTATTGATCGACCATACCAACAACCGGGATTCACAGTCGCATGCATGGGAATAAATGTCCATGTGAGAATGTTTCACACAGAAGGGATGGGATGGATAGAGACGGAAGGGTGGCGTCATCCTAAAAAGGGGAAAAGGTGGGTGATCGGGAGAAGACGGAGAAACACCGGGAAACAGTCACCGGGAGTAATCGTTTCAAAAGAGCCCGGTTTTAGCGGACGGTCTGTTGGGCGAGGAAGATACTACTGACACACAACGGTGTCTCAAAAGACACCGTCAAATCCATACATTTGAAACGCTGAATCAAGTTTTTGACTCCAGTACTTTGACCACTTTGATGCTGTGTTTGAGTCATGAATGCCATTGTCAATCATCGTCTCGAATGATTAACCAGTGCATAGGAATGGTTTCTGCCATTTTTTAAAATTCCTAATTGCCAGTCCCAAGAGTTACACTCATCCCCCTCCGCCGACGCCGACGCCGCTGCCGCCACCACCACCGCCTGTCACCCCTCCCGCCTCTCCTTTCCACCCGGTCGGTCATCGGATCTTTTCCAGCCTCCGGGAGTGAAAACGAAGATGCAGGCGATACACCGAAACGTGTGGATCTTTCCTTGGAGAACAGATCTCGGTCAAGAGTGGGGAGGATCTGGATGCCTCACTCAGGCTTCGGACTCCAGGATACGGTGTCATTTAGTGGAGCATTTGGGCACCGATCTCCAGTCAGAGTGGACCTCGAGTGTCGACTTGAAGAAAAGCAAGCGATCAACAAGGCTCTTTCTTTCTGTAATCCACCGAGACGCCCCGACTCTGTCGGCGATCGGTATATCCACATTAGTTTCACAATGATTCTAGCATGCTCGCCAGCCATGAGGGGTTCGAAAAAGCTGACGTGGCGAGGCAAGTAGTAATCCCCCGGTGAAAATGCACAGACATGCTTTCCCTTTCTTCCAGTGGCTTCTAATTGCACCGGAGCATGTATATGTATGGGTCAGGGACGTTCACCAAATCTGGATCCGATTGGGGGATGGGATAACCCCCTGTCCCGTCCCGTTTGTAATCCGTATACGGGAACCCCACCGGACGGGGATATTGGTCTAGAAGGAAAAAGATAAAAAGAAAAAACGCCAGCCTGTTGAACAACCGCGATTGAAACAACCGTAAAGGATCAAAGATCCGGTTGATTACGGTGATGGCCCCGCAGTACACTTCCATGCCATGCCATTCCTAATCAATCAAGCGATCTACAGTGGTATACAGATTATCGGATGATTTCGAACCATTGTTTATGTTTTTTTTTCCTGGCATTCTGGGAATTTGGCTGGCTGGCTGGCTGGCTCGCCGGCTGTTAAGCAGGCAGATTAGATCGAGATCAGCGAGATCTGTCTCAGTGAATTATGGATCCCACTGTCGCCTAATAATGATAATGTCAGAAGGTTCAGTCTAGGATGCGGCAATGGCGAGTCGTTGTCCCTCACCGAATCCGATGATCAATTAGAACAGACAGGATATCTACCCGTCTCCGTTTAGGCAATGCCGAAACACCCAAGGCGAGGAAAGGTAGACGGATCGTGGGGGGGAAATTAGCCGTGAATATGCGGGGACTAGACACGAACCAGGTGGGAAACTAAACCGTTTGAACCGAAATGCAAGTGATTGTTTGAAATGAACGGCATGATCTGAGTACCGACCGACCGACCGATGCGCAGCAGGTCCTCGCTTGAATCATGCGAGATTGAACTACCGACTCTTTGACGGGGTACGGTAGATTCAACACCATCAAGTGCGCAGCTTTCCTATAGATTCATCTCGCACGTGGATGCAATCCATTCTCAGTGAATGATTGACCTTTCGCCGTTGTTGCCGGAATCAGCTCATCCCTTAGAGGTAAGACCAGGACCGAGTTTTAATTGAGGACTAGCTTGTCGAACAACACAATAGGGAAGGCGTCAGATGAAATTGCCTAATAAGGCAATCGACTCAGGGCAAGTGGGCGGGGATGTTGCGCAGGCCGCGTGGGGGAATGAGAGTAGGTCACTCATCAACCTATAGCACGAGGAGAGTCAAGCTGAGATAACGTGCTTCGGCATACGTGGAGCTCATTTAACGGTGTCTTAAGCCTCCTCGTCTTGCTGCGAGGTGGGGCGCAGTTGAATACTGGTGCATCGAGTTGAAAAGCAGATGTCAATTCATTAGGCCGTTGATGACCGCCAAAGCGATCAGATTCGGCGACTGGCACATCCTGCAGCGTTTTGGCGATTTGCTTGTGACTCAAAGGCCGCGGATCCGCCTAACCATCCGCCCAAGACGTGTTGCGCATCAAGAGTTTTAGCATTGAATACTCATGACCCCATTTACTGCGCCCAGGTTTGCGAGAGGAGTATGTAGAAGCCGGCAGAAGGTCATTGAAGTCTGCTGCTGTATATTGGACACTCGAGCTCAGTTCTGAGGAGCCCCGAGGTCTTTCAGACCTATCTTCGAGATGACTTTCAGTACGGCTGTGGGCCATGCCACCGGTCGTCAGCTAGCGGCGACCGCCGCCTCTGTTGACAGCTAGCAGCTCGGTCCGCTGTCCGCGTCGGGTTGGACATCCTTCGCGAAAGCTGTTTTGAGTCTAAGCTGGTCACCAAGATCCCATCAACTTCCAAATGTTCACGCCTCGTCCCGCCAAGATTTCTCATGCATCCTCCTACGCGAGCTCAAGCCATAGCAACAATGCGAGCGGGACTGTCAGCGGGAGTGGTTCTGCTTTGAATGAGATCTCTCCATTATTGGCTGCCGAATTGGGTCTAGAGTAGTGAGTCCAAAGAGGCTCAGGGACATCGCGAGAGAGCGAAGCCGAGGATGAGAGATGAGCTGATTCGTGACTAGCTCATCGCTCCGAGCCATTGGAAATTGCCCGACGGGGATGTATGTTACGCCTTCCGCCGAGAGCCTGTTGAAGTGGTACGGCGTCTTCTTTGTGCACAGAGGTGAGTGTGTCTGAATGGCCCATAGTAGAAGGGTGCACCTGTACTATGTCGATATGTTAGAGATCCTCGGACTCCCGTGGCAGATGACAGGCTACCGTTAGCTGCTGACACTGACGCTCTCATATAGGACCCTACGCTGGCTCTGTGCTTCGATTCACGCTTTCATTCCCTCCTTCTTACCCCCAATCAGCCCCTGTGATCCGCTTCGATTCAGATGTTTTCCACCGTGAGTCAAGTCACTGTCCACTCCCATCGATCTCGGGGCAGATCGAGGCCTCGCATCGCCACGTCCCTGCGCCGCATGCTCATATACCCGTGTCCTTCTAGCCATGGTGGATCCCAAGACTAAGATCTGGTCTCCGCGCGGTCGCTTGATTCAATGGCAGTAAGTTGACTTGACTCCCCGTATGGGCTGGCTTCGCTCAACAACGACAATGCCAGGCCTCGGATAGACCATGTGCCTCACCTCTTACACAGTCTTAAAGCTAGTTTCAAGACTCAAGCCTTGCAATCCATCACGGAGGATCAAGCTATCAACAAGCAAGTGTGGTCGTGAGTTTCTATGCCGGCATGGCATCGTTGATCAAGCGACGACCATGAGTTTCTTTTGAAAGGAAGGACAAAAAATCCAGGATGAACATTTCTTTCTGATCCTTTCCCCATAGACTCTACCATCATTCTCGTCAGACATTCCTCTCCATGACATCTCAACGGGCCCTTCACTCGACCTCACTACATCATCTCTATCCATCCGCTCATCCAATTTTATCCCCTACAAGTCCAACCAAAAATCTCCTGACAGTTCCACCCCCTATGAGTCCGACCAAATCGACTTACCGTGGTACCAATGCTCAGCCTTCGACCCAATCACAGACTACTACTAGCCTGGCGCCTATGACTCCATCGCGTCAACGAACCATCTCGGGTGGAAGCATGAGCATCAAAGCAACTAGTCCACATCATGATGGACATCGGAGGACAACCTCCATCATGTCTGCAGTGTCAAATATTGATGAGGGACCTATCGTGTTCAAGGAAATCAGTGAGGAGGACAAGGCGAGATTATGGGCAGGATTGAGGCGGAGCTTGGGGGAGGAAGAGACCATTTGACCCGACAGATGTAGGTGTGCATTAAATTGTATCAGATTTAGATCCGTTGTAATGCCTAGATTCATGGGCATGGAGTATGACAGCGAGGATAAAGCGTAAGGAGGCTCCCAGCATTGGCGTGAGGTATCACATCAAAGAAGTAAAACAATTGCCACCATCGTGTGTATCCGTCCGGTTACGAAATCCGTGTCCGGGAATTCTGAAGCTGAATCGCTGTGTGCCCTAGCTTGATTCCACTACGTGCTTCAACGCGCATCACCTCACGACATTCCCGTCATGCCAGCAGGTCCACCTGGGTCCAGCAGTGGACAGCTGATCCTCGAAGAGCCGCTCATCAGGGTGAGAACCACCTACTGCGACATAGATCTATTTCTAAAGGCCTGACTCCCCTGTAGACCCCGTACGAACTTCTCAGGCGATCCCATAGAAGCGCTCAGAGACAGGTTGAGAAGGACTTCAAGATCATTCAGGTGAGTCATTGAGCGTGATCAAAGAATCTTAGATAGCGGACCGGGCTGATCGATCCTCTGACTCAGTCCGGTCTCAATGATCTTGTGAAACGAGCATCCACTGCTGAACCCGGTCCATCCTCCCACGATTCCGTGATCAAGCAGCTGGACCAAGTGGGAGAGCGAGTCAAAGGGCTCAAACGAAAGGTGAGCCATTGTCGTCCTTCTCTCATAATCCCCCATGTGCCCGTCGTTAACATCGGCCAGCTCGATGATCTCCAACCTCGAGAAGATGCTCCGTCCGTCCTGAAGTCAAGGCTCAAGTACGTCGAATCGCTAGGGAAAGGAGAAAAGACAGCTTCCGAGCATAGCAGTCTTGCACCTCCGTACGTTCTACGCTCATCATCATCATCATCATTATCATCACAATCGCCTCGAATATCACCCGCTGACATGTCTCCATGCAATCCAGTGAGACGGAAGCTGGAACAGATAGGACCTTGGACAGGTACATTGTCGATTACCTTTTACGCACAGGAAGAGTCAAAGCTGCTCAAGCTTTGGCTGTGCATCAGGGCATAGAAGTGAGTCCTGATCTGCCCGAAAGAGGAGGGCGGGGTCGCGGGTGTTTGTGCTGATGGGCCAATCTACAGGATTACGCCGATATCAAGCTGTTCGCGGAATTGACAAAGATTGAAAAAGCCCTCATTGAGCGTCGATCCGTCACAGAGGCTCTGGCCTGGTGCGGTGAGAATAGAGGTACTTTGAAAAAGACAAAGGTGAGTTTGGGCTCGGGTGCTACAGTAGGACAGAGCTAGAAGCTGATCATAACACTCACTTTGTTCCTCTCAGAATGACCTCGAATTCGCTCTCCGACTTCAAGAATTCATCGAATTGTGTCGCCATCGAGATGTCACTGGGGCCATCACGTATTCTCGCAAGAATCTAGCTGCGTGGGCACCGACACACATGCAGGAGATCCAACAGGGAATGACACTTTTGGTATTTGGAGAAAGGACCGGCGTCAGCGCCTATCGAGTGAGTCAATCAGAGCTCATTCCGATTGTTGAAGTCGCTCATGGGGGTCCCCGAATGCGATAGAAACTATACGAGACGGAACGTTGGCAGCATGTCAGACATCAATTCCGAGAAACATTCCTCAACCTCTACGGTCTGCCTACTCAACCTCTCCTCGCTCTAGCTCTGTCAGCAGGTCTCTCCTCCCTCCGACTTCCATCCTGCGCACCTCACGTCAAACCGTCCACTTCGCCTCTATCTCCGAAATCCCCTACAGTTCCTCTCTTACCCTCCGCACCCTCTCTACACGATCTCGAGCAAGTTCTCTCCACGATCGGAGCAGGTATTGACCACCTCACTGCCCCCATCGGTGGAGTTCCTACGTCTCCAGAAGATGACATGCACGAACATCCTGAAACGCTCGTCGGTAATGTGGACTGTCCGACATGTGGAGAAGACATGAAAATCTTGGCGAGTGAAGTACCCATGTCGCATCATGTCAATTCAACAATCGTCTGTCGAATAAGTGGAAAGGTTATGGATAGTCAGAATGAGCCCATGGCGTTCCCAAACGGTCATGTATACTCCTCAAAGGTGGGTTTGGAGCCCTTACTTACTTGAACTGGAATGTTTTCCGTGCTGACGTCTCACTCGCTCGCTCAGGCTCTCGAAGAAATGGCAAACAGCAACTTTGGCTGTGTGACCTGTCCAAGAACACGACAAACGACTGTATTTACGCGACTACGTAAAGTGTATATCTCCTGAAGGGCAATTAGAGCGGCCACGTTGTATCTTCCTCTATGCAATTTGTACATGTTTTGATACTTCTGCTACAGTATTGTCCCGTCTCATTCCTGATCTCCAGCGAGAACCAGCATGGTGAAGTTGATCTCGTCACTCTGAGCGATGTACTTGTCCTGTACGATTTTGGCCACGTCCTACATAGTATGGTCGTTTTAGCTCGGGGAACAGGCTCTGTACTTGCAAGCTCTCACTTTCAAGAGATCATTGCATAATCCTCGGTCAAAAGGCCCATTCCTCCCTCCGTCGAGTTCTACCACTCGCTTTTCCCTTGCATCGCGTCAGCGGTGGTGGCCCACTTCGAGAGTCTTTGACGCCCAAATGTCAATACGCACCCTTTACTGTTTTCAGCTTCGATGAATGTGATGAAATGTGTATCTACGTCCACATCCTCGCCTTGAGGGACAGCAGATTGACCGGATTGAGCAGCGACCGTATGAGCAGCTTCGAAGAAATCCGCCTTGTCCAATAATTTGGCTCGGTCGAGAGCTACTCAGGAGGAGAGACACACATGTACTTGCATCAGCACATGCCGTCATCCATTGTGTGAGGAGACCCCCGATTGTGGAGATGGGACGAGAACGTAACGTTGGGAAAGACCTACGACTGAGAGGTACTGACGCCGTCTTGAAATGGATCAATGGAGAATCTTGTTTAAGGGCATATTCTCCAGAAGAAGGCAAGTTCAACAGAGCATGAAGAAGTCCAATGGAGCCACAAGCATTTGGGATCTGAAAAGCCAGCGAGATCAGGGGCGCGGGGGCGGTAAAGGCACACTTGTCCACTTACGGTCTGCTTGATGTACCACACGTCTCCATCCCATTTGCCTTCACCTCGTTCTTCCTCTTCTTTCCTCGCTTCTGCCAGTTTGCCTCGCTGAGGGAAGAGTAAAAGGACAGCCTTCACTGGCTTAGGGACAAATTGGAGGAACTCTTCGTCCAGTGAGAAGAGATCTTGAAAAGATAGTGGAGAGTCAGGTAAACCGAGAGATCGCGACCACTACGAGAGTCCAGACGAGAGAAGGAAAAATGAGCTTGCTGCGAGAACATGGTAAGATCAACTGACCTCGTTAAAGACCTGAATGGGTCCTCGAACTCAGCTAATGTCGACAAATGATAGTCCTGCTTACATCTGGAGAGGCCTCCAATGGGACCCACTTGGACGTCATGGTGAGGGCTAGGATGCCGAATCGCAAAATGACCGCTTGAACGGGGAAAAACTGGACATGATAACCGGGAATTGGTAAGGGACCGCGGATTACAAACGACCAGATGCTGACATCATATCCACAAGCATGCGAGTCATGACATACAGAGTGTGAGATAGCATTATAAAGAGTCTAAGGTGATAATTGTCCATTGTGTCCATATTGTCCATATCCGACCAGCGAAGGGCTCATCAGCAAAACCCCTTCCTTTCATCGTCGCGCGCAGGGGGGCAGCCAACTAGTCGCACTGTTGCACCTCCTTACTTGAGCTCGAGAGGATCGACCCATCTAGATTCCGGGACAGCCAGAGCGACGGGCTTGGGTTCGGCTCGAACTTTTTTATCGACATTGATAGAACCCTTGGATCCAATTTTGATTTGGTCTTTACCAATACATTTCCCACCAACCAATTTGTATCCCGACTTGCAAGCTGAGACCTTGCATTGACCCTGAACGCAAGACACGGCAGAAGGATCGACACCAGCCAACGCGGTACAGCTGATGGCGTGTCAGCATCTTGACACAGAGAGAGCCCGCGATCCTTCAGACTCACTCGACCCCTACGACGCCATCTTGGAATCCGAATCCACCATTGATGCATCCACCGCACGACTCGAGCTCTTGGTTGACGTCGAGGCACTGAGTGAGGAGGAATCAATCAGTCTCTACACTTGTCTCATGCTCGTCACTTTTTTACTCACCTCAAATGACAGACCGTCACCGTCAATGACATTACATGGCGTCAAGTCGACTGGGCAGACCGCCTTGACTTCATTCGCTTCTCGCTCCAACCTCTCCTTTTCTCGCTTCTTGATGTAGCTGCTAGGTCCGGGAGACCCAGGCGTAGTAGCCCCAGGCATGTGTGTATAGAGGTAAATAGAGTTTTGATCACAAGTGACCGCATCTGACGAGGGTCAGTTGACAGGACTGATAAATTGACCTGCTTCCCGTCCGTGACTCACTACCTGCAGGCGCGAAAGATTGTCCTGATTCTGGGCAACCACATGTGCCGATCGTCTCATACTGCTTGTTGTCCGTCATGAACACTGCCCCGGCCTCTGCACCACAGACCTGGAAACATTGCTCCAGTGTCAGACCAAAGTGTGCGAGGGCCTTGTTGATAGGCATCGATGACCAGCTGGCGAAACATCCTTCGAATGAATACGTCGACGCAGTCACGTATGCCTAGGGTTGTGACGGCATCAGCGGATGGTAATCGACCTCTCACTTCAGCTCCGACTCACGGCGTAAGAAGTCTGCGGGCAGTCCCCAGACGAATCGAGAGCTGTACCGTACATTTCAGGCGTGATACCCGTTTCTGCACATCCGCAGACATTCCCAGCTCCGGCGTAATACGACCAGATGTATTTGGTGTCCATAGCGAAGCAAGAGCTCTGAAATGATATGAATCAGCTGTCTGGAGGTTTCGGAGAGAGAAAGGCATCGTTAACTCACCGCACATTGCATGGCGGACATCTGGTTCTTTATGAGCTGATAAGATCCGGAATTGGTGTTCTTCTGCTCAACGCATCCTGCAAAGACAGGCATAGACATAGACATGGCTTGCACGGAGCCGGCAGCTATGATTGTAGCGAGGATGAGACTGAGCATCTTGATGAGTGATCTCGTTTGGATTGCGGTTGTCGGGGTTTTGAGGCCGTCCAGGAGATCTTGAGCCGGAGCCAGTCGTCGACCACTGGTTCTTGAGGTTTGCTTCTTGACGCAGCAGGTAGGGGAAGAGAACTTGTCATCCTCGTCAGAAGGGGAGTCAACTTATCTGTCAGATAGGGCCGACCCATGATCAACACATGCTTTGTTTACGTCCAGGCCCATCCAGATGGCAAGACAATCTACACTGACGAGGGATTCTGGGAAGGGACAGAAACAAGCTGACCATTGTATGGGATTCTGCAGGTCGTGATACAGCGAGCTGTGACGTTTTCATGATTCCTAAGGAGATAGCATTCGTCCTCCATAGAGCTATATGACAGTCGTAGAAAGGAAAAAACAAGCGCGAAAGCGACTGGTCTTGCTCAAAAGTCCAAAAGCACGGCTAGCGCATTTTCGACATTAGCTCGTCGAGATGGGCCGGGATGGATCTCCTTCGAGACAGCCCAATAGCGACTCATGGTCTCATGATAAGGGATCTCTCTATACCCTGTCGTGTCAGCACTAGCATGTAACAATGTGTAGTGAGGCGTGTGCATGCACGCATAGAAGCCCCGCAGATGATTTCATCAAGTGCGGCCTCTATGGACGGGTTTGCGACGGTTTGTGGCGGAGGCAAACCTGCCTGCTCATGATCGGCCTTCCTAGTGTTTTCTTATCAGGTATCCATTTGTCGACTCTCAACTGCTATGCCAATGATGCGGGTCGGACACTTTGATTATGCCAAGGAGTATGGAGAGTCAGGAGAGGCAAAGGCCGGTGAAGGACGTTCGAAGCATGGTTCCTCCGTCGGTGAGGTTGATCGGAGGACAATGTAGGAACCAGCCGTACCAGCAGAGAAGGCGCCTTGGAGTCATCCTGTGCCATTGCGACCTCTTGAGCTGGTGAGGTATGTCGAGTCGCCGCATGCCAAGCTATTCCAAATCTCATGCACTAGAGACGGGGGGGTCAGCTTCACCTCTTTCGAAAGGAATAAAGACGGGCTCTGCTTGTAACATGTGAACTCTGTATGCATGACTAGTCCCGTTTTATCGATCCCCCAACAGCCAAATTCAAAGTGGAAGGAAGTTTGGTTTCTCCTACAGTGTACAACAATGCGACGCTTCCGATCGCAAGGATTGATAAGAGAAGGGTGGAGAAGACGATGAGGATGAAGGGGCTGAAGAGTGTCAGTAAAAGCTCAGTCGGTGGAGCTGTCCTAAATCAACACACGTGGAGTAATCGTTCTTTTGACAGGTCGTGCCCGCATATCCGCTTGAGCATTTGCATCCCCAGCACTCTCCGTTGTCGGTCTTTGATTGCAAAGCACAAGATCCTCGCCCGTTACATGATGTGGCTGATTTGCAGTCATCCTCTGAGGCGTAGCATGACATTGTCGTATTGCCAGCCTCTTGACGGGCTTTGAGGATTGGAGGCAAGGCTCGAGCGTAGAGCCGAGGAGAGGTTGATGGCCGGATAATGAGGAGCAGAGGAGGAGAGTCCGGAGTAGTCATCTACATGTGCGCATCAGTACATTGCACCACTTCTTCGTTGAGTGTTTAAACGTACCGCGGCCAATCCCGCCTGAACGCCTTTCCTGCCTTCTTCCCATACTTCATCCTGCTTGTTCACATGACTCAGACCATGGATGGAGATTGCCTCCCAGGTGGACGAATGCTTGACAGAGTCCAGCCACGGGATTGAATCAGCCATGGCGGTGAGACACTCGAGCTCGTGCCCGAGAGCAGTGGCGGCGCCTGATCAGAGCAGGTTAGACGATCCCTTTATCGTAGTACCGAGGGCTCTAAGACTCACGCGTTCCCGCCAGCTCAAACGTGTCTTTAGAACTCTTCGTCCATTCGGGCAGAGACTCCAAAATGTGATCAAGTAGGTTGGATGCGCTACGAAGGTATGGAGCGAGTAAGGAGGAGGTGGATGACCCATCCTCGAGGTAGAAGGAAGGAGAGGTGGGTAGTGATGTGGGCAAGACATCTGAGTCCAGAACAACAATCAATGGTTTGGGAAACCTCGTTGCCCTCGAGCTCAAACTCACCCTGAGCTGTGACACCCCCTTCGATGATCACCACTTTGGCCTTTGTCCTCCCACTCCCGCTCGCTTGACTTAGTCCATGACCTCGATGGTCCCCACTCCACATATGCAACAAGTGACTCCATAACCCTTCATCAGAAGGGATCTCCTCAAAGTCTCCGATGGCTTCACCCAGATGATGCGATAAGACAGCCTTGGCTTGAGCGGCCGTCAGGGTCGGAGCGGAGGCGAGAGGCGAAGCATCGGATGGAGTGGGATAAAGATAAATCTGGAATGGCTCTTGTGCTTGATATGCCAGCGATGTCGAAGCCACCGCGAGCAGCGGTATGGAGAGGTGATTGAGGCGCATTGTGTCGTCCAATGAGTGAATAGAAGACTGCTGGGGGATCGATGATTCAAAAGTCAGGTGAAAGGTGCGAGCGAGCGAGGTTTAAACGGGAGGCTCGCTTAACATTATCCACTGGTAGGCAGCGGCGCGGACCGTCGGCAACCGGATGTCATGAAGGCGGACCTCAGATGTGACATACCCAGAACTCCAGTGTTCATCCTGTGCTTGCGAACTAGCCCGTGGAGATGTCGTCCAAGCTCGGAGACGTCGAGTATGTCATTTTTGACGTAGATGGTCTATTGAGTGCGTTCCGTGTCCCCACCGCCATGTTGGACTTGACACAAGCTTACTACTCTATGACACTTGACTTTTCCATATAGTGTGAGTTTTATGCGTTCTACCCGCTCTCGATCTACGACGTCTCGTGTGGGGTCTGGTGCTAATGCGTTCGCAGTGACTCTGAGACTATATATACCAAAGTGACAAGTGAGGTGCTCTTCTAACGGTCACCTCCAGCAGCTCATATCGCTGCTTCTGCCCAGATGATATCCTTGCGCGCTATGGCAAGACTATGACTTGGGAGATCAAGGCGGGGATCATGGGCAAAGGTGGGTGGGGTCCAAATAACCGAGAGAAGAGAGCTAAAGGTGTCGTCTTCTAGTCCAGCGTGAAGCGGCAGAATACATCTACTCCTTCTTTCCCGGACTTGAGAACGAGTTGTCAGTCGATGATTATCTCGTTGAGCGGAATGCTCTACAGGACGATTTGTTCAGAAAGGTTTTACCGCTTAGAGGAGCTGTTCAGCTCGTCAGACATCTAGTGAGATACGGGAAACTCATACCCTTCATCAAGACAACAAGGTCTGACCATGAAGGTTAGCATGACGCAGGTATCCCGATCGCCTTGGCGACAGGCTCTAATGCCAGGAATTTCAAGCTGAAGACTGTATGTCGTGATTCCACATGACTGTTTGACGGCAGACTGACGAGTGGGACCGGAAAAAAAAAGGATCATCTTCCTGAAATATTCGCTCTCTTTCCATCGACGCGAATCCTCACGGCTGATTCTCCACAAGTCAAACCGGGTAGAGGCAAACCCAATCCGGATATCTTTCTAGCTGCTGCTCAATCCCTAGGTGAGGTGCCCCCTCGATGTACAGATTGTTCAGGTGTTTATACGTGTGCAGGGTACGATGTCGGAACTGCTACGGACTGTAGTGATCTGCAGCGAGCTCAGAGAGCAAAAGGATTGGTCTTTGAGGATGCTGTGCCAGTGAGCTTCCCCCTTGGCAGCGAGGACTGCCGCAGAGGACTGATACTCTCCAGGGAGTCAAAGCGGGGGTTGCTGCAGGCATGAACGGTGGGTCTTCCGAACCTGCACTCGAGTCTGATATCTACAGTCGTTTGGGTACCCGATCCTCAACTCAGGGCACTGAATCCTTCCGAAACCTATGGCGCAAAATTGATACTAGAGTCATTAGATCAATGGGACCCTGTAGCTTGGGGTTTGTCGCCGATGAAAGTGAGCCAGCCCTCGCTTGGAGTTGAAAGTCACAGCTGAAGGGTATCCAGACAACAGAGACTGATTAACAAGTACACTCATGCATCGGTGGTGTCTCTGTTCTCTCACAGACGCGTCATGGTTTCCCTTGGTATCCCCGCAGACCATCAACGATTCTCCAGACACCCCACGCGCCGGGATCAGGCACGTCACGTTTCTTCAAGTCCTCTTGATTGACATAGGCTCCTCTCCCAGCCTTCGCTACCAATTCCCTGGTCTTGTCCGCAGCGGTGTGGGCTTTGTCTGCAGCTTTCGAGAGCCCCAACTCAGGCAATGCCTGTATGAACGCCTGCAGGGGGTCCACGAGCGTTCGAGATGGGGGTCTAGCTCGAGTGTCTAGGAAGATCTGTCAGCTCAATGCTCGCAACGTGCACGATCCTTACACTTGTATAGGATGCTCAGTGCTTCTTGTGCAGCCTCAGACCAAATTTCAGATGTCGTCGACTTTGATCCAGATTTGGCAGCGTCTCGGAGCCCTTTTCCTAGACCAGAGAAGAAGATGGAGTACAAGGCTCCACTTGTTCCGCCCATCTGATCCTGAGTCAGTCCGAGCTCGCAATGGATTCACTCACATCCTCTTCGACAACCTCTGCAATGGTACCGATATCCCTGATGACGTTCTTCCCGTCAATGTTGCCCGTTTCGATCGCTTTAAGGATCCCTTTGGCTCCCGCTTCGAGGGTGAGACCGGCATCACCATCACCGGCGATTTGATCTTGCTTTGTTAGTTCTGGCCCGGCTTCAATGACGGAACGACAGGCTCGAGTGATGGCGTCCAGGAAGATTTGAGAATCCGCAGCTGAGATCAAGCGAGCATCAGTAAGGGGGTTTGATCGATGTGCGATGACTAACGAGCCAGGCTAGCATTGTCTGCAACTGTTGTGCTCGCTGGCTGCTTATCCTGGGTCTCCAAGGTACCAGGCTCCGAGGCGGTCCACTTCCATCCTGGGGCACTTGCAGGTGCGTCCAAAAGCTCCAGGATTTGAGCCGAGGTGAAAGGCTCATTGGGACCGGGCAAGAGCATCAGAGTCAAAGAGAATCCAGGCATGTTGAGAGACGTCATGAATGTGCCTGAGATAGCTCGTCGAACTTTGATGCCTTTCTTGGATAGCCATTGAATGGCTAGAAGCGAAGGGTCGCTCAGCCATCAGAGTTCGCGAGCGCTTACGCTCACCTTCATTGGCTATGCCTCCCAGTTCCAGCTCGCTGATACTACCCAGGTTGTTGATGTACAACACCACCTCGTCGGTCCCGTCGTTCCTGAATGGTACGAACGATCGGTCCTTGTCTGTCGTATCGGTGATTTTGGACAACATTGAGGCGACAAGTTCAGAAACACTCGACAGGTCGTGTTTCGAAGTGCCAGGTTCGTTGTGAATCCCCATACCCTAAGTATGCAGCTCACTCAACAAAGGCATCACAATACGCCCAGATCCCTCACCAGCTCGTACTGCGAGGCTCCGAGATGTGATTCGCCGCCTTTGGTTCCCGGGACCTGTGATCTCTTTCAGCTTGCCCCCCCATTTTGCGGCTGACGGATTGGTCCTAACGTGGCAGTGTTCAAGTCCAATTCCAAGTGTTCCGATCCTTGCATGTACGTACTTGGCAACGTTCTCGACTTGATCCAAGTCATCTCCACGATCCGAAGCTGCACTAGCGATCTTGTAGACCAAGATGGTCCCCGCGAGCCCTCTTCGCCCAACTATGCTTCCTTGTTCTCTTCCGACGGCAACATCATCTCCAACCATGAGGACCCTGACATCCCCTTTTCCACCTTTGGATCTGTACTGTTCCGCTGCTAGTCCAAAATGGAGAGCATCACCAGTATAGTTCATCACTACGATCAAGAGTCCCTTGTCACCGGTGACGAGGTCGATCCCGCGTCTGATTTGAGCCACATTGGGAGAAGCAAAGATGTTTCCGCACACTGCTGCGTCGAGCAGACCTGGTCCAACGAAGCCTGCATGGGCAGGTTCGTGTCCGGATCCTCCTCCACTGAGCAATGAAACTCGGTCGGAGGCCGGAAGGTAGATCACTGCGGAGGAGGCGGAAAACGGAGTGTAAGCTGAATCCAGCAAACGCCAGGGGTCGCCCTGGCTTGAAGACTGAGGAGGGAGGCTCACCTCTTTGCGCTTCATCAAGCCTGATCTTCGGATTCAGCCGAGCAAGTCCCCGCAGAGACTCGATTACAAGGTTGGACGGGTCATTGACCAAATGCTTGGCTTAAAGTAGGGCTCGTCAGCGAAGGACCGGTGAGAATTTTGGACTCACCACCAGAAGTCATGCTGGGAGTATCGATAGTGAGTTACCGTCAGCAGTGCGGAACTATCAGGCGAAGTAAACTCATGTATACATCTCAAACTCCGGCCAACGCATCAAGCCTTGGCCATTTCGGAGGGTGGGTAAGGGGTGGGGACGGAGAGAAGGCAACTTTGCATGGCCCGATAAAACTCCTTTCGGCCCGATCTATCCGTGGTCGTCATACGGCAGGTCATACATTTCTAGGTATGTACAAGAGGCTCTAACGGTTTCGTCCGACGGACGCAGAGATGTATGGGAGCTTGGTGCAGCATGACACACTCGCCACACTCATTGACGAGCGCCTCTGGCTCGAGCCTCTACTTCTCCAGCCCATCTGATAGCCCAGGTCTGTGAGGCGTGAGCTCAAAGGACCAAATCACACTGATCGCTAGACTTCGCCCACTCACAAACTTGTACGTCTTCATGGCGTCTGTGAACGTCGAGCGGACCGCCGACTGATTCGCTTTGCCTTGAATAACATCCACGAGGTCCGAGAATTCGTTATAGTACGGATCGTCCTGAGTGACGTGACAGAGTGTTCAGCACCAGAACATGGCTTGGGAACGATGAAGCAGCTCACGTTCTTGAATTCTGTCATGGCTGCCCAAAGGTCTCAACATTGCAGACCCCTCGTATAATGCGCCGCGCCCTTCTCACTCACTCTCTGATGTCGTGCCGGGTCGTCGGACATACAACCTCGGCGCGACTCCATAAGGATCAACCAAGCGTAATTTCCAACCATCGGCCAATACAACGAGCTCGCAGTCGTAGTCTCCCTCTAACGACGAGTCAACGGACTAACTCCCTCTGTTATACGACCCACCGTGGATGCACGTCCCATGGATGATACTACCAGTGGCCCCACTCTCGTACCTCCAAATAGCATTAGTGATTCGTGGAATCTTTCGATCGGCCGGCAGCTCAGATTCAGCTTTGATAGTCAACTGGGACAGTTTTCCTGGTTTGTCCGAAGCTTCCACCGTATGTACACGGATCGAGTCGTGGACTGGGTCAGGGCAAAAGTAGCGCGAGAGGTCGACAAGGTGTGTCCCTTGGCCAACGATAGCTGAGCCATCGAAGCTTCAGTTCTGGAAAAAGCCCAAAAAGTCGCGCTGCGCTACACTCACGGCCAAGCTCCCCGTTCATATCCCAGTAGTCGATGCTCTCGTCTCGAAGACCTGCGTACTTGCTGGAAAAGGTATGAGACAGGCTCAACCTGCTGTCTCGAGTACTCACTACGCCATGAGGTATGTCGCTTGAGTACACATCACCGTGAGGTTGTTCTCTGCGATGATTTTCTTCATCTCCGTTACAGCTGCCAGTACATCAGTACGCCTTGACCTGATCCAGACTCACCTTGAAGATATCGTAGCATGTACCCGACGCTCGTCAGGCCACCCTTCTGCAGCTCCTCGTTCGCTTGTGTCACATCGTCGAGTGAACCGGCACTGATGGGTTTCTCGATGAATTGCGCGGCGGTAGGGAAGAGCTTGGCGACCTGAACATCCAGATCATGATTCGGGATCGTCGTGCCTCTATAGTTGGCAGGAAGACCATTGACCACGAGCCTGAGAATATGTTTAGAGACAGTCGTCACTCCACCTCGACCCACTTTGGCATCTCTTCTTCGCTTAGACCGGCCTCTGCATCAGCGACCGTCTTGAAGACTTTGGTATGTTCGTAGCCGACCAGACCCTCAATAGCCCGCTTGGAGGCGATGATCTTCTCGGCGTATGCCACGTTGATGTCGACCAGACCGACAACGTTGAGCGCCGGTCCCAGTTTCTTTTCGAGCCTTAGGGAATGAGCCCAGGAGGCCTCGGTCGAGCCTGGAGGGAGGGGAGGAAAGTCAGCTGCGGGACACATTACACATGCTTACCAAAATTTATTCGACCAGCTCCCAGAATCAGGACATTGAATTTGTTGCTCATGGTCATTCAATAGGACCAGATAAAGACGATAGTAGAGTGTTGAGAGGGAAGAGTGGATAATCTGACGGAATGTGGGCCCGTAACGCCAAAGTCTCACGGCTCGCTGAGGGTCTTTCAGATCTATGTGATGGCCAGGCGACTGGTGTTGAGATTGTGTGTCGTCTATACAGGCCGTATGCTGACACGGCGTTTATATAGATGTAATGAGAAGGATGATACAACGGAGGATTCAGTCTGGTCGGAGTTGTCTCGGACATTAGCCGGCAATGGCCCTTCCGAAAGCATGCATGCTCAGTAGCCTTTCGGGACCTAATTCGTACCCGGCCTGACTGGTCATAGACCTTCGTGGAGGCTGGCTGGAGTCGAAAGCTGGAGCATGCCACTCGAGGCGTCGATGAGGTACTGGTTCAGAGCATGACAGTGCTGAGGTGAGGATAGCTGAGGAAGTCGAGCCTGCTTCGATGAGGCACAGGAGAGTTGCAAAGACAGCACGCGTCGTGCAAACGGATCGCTGGATCTCTCTCACAGGCGTGTGGAGTGACGTGATCTGCGACGACGATGACACAGAGTCCTTCGCTATCCTCTAGAGTCTTCATACGAGAAGGCAGCCTTGACACTCTGGGGGCAATTGGGTCGCATCAGTTGACAAACCCGCGTGCTGCACGAGGCAACGAGCCAGACAGACGATACTCCTATTCTCACAGCACGCAAAAGATATCACACGGTATGCACTGCATGGCTCTTCCGGCGACAAGCAGGAGTCCGACATCAATAGCGACATAGCTGCCGAGTTAAGATCACGTCTCCGGTCCTAGGCGCACGTGGCATGAGGCGGTTGTCAGCCAAGGCACGACCACCATTTGGGGCTGGCTCGGCTGCGATCACGGCTACGACCAAGCCGAGTAGATCTATTCGAAGAGTCAATGATCAGAGCTAGCGTGATAGTGACGTCCTAGATCGCTCGAGCTATGTCCCGTGCGCTCATTGAAGGCTTTGAGAAGATCGTACCTTTCCCGCCGGCCATAGGAGACGTTCAAAAGAACAAACATGCCTTCCCATCGGCAGCTTTCGGCTCGAGATGGGTTGCCAAAAAGGCTCCGAGCTTTATACTGAGTCTGAGCGAGATCCCACGAGAAGACACGATCGCACGGGCTAGAGGTAGTCTTCCACGGCACCATCAGTTCTTAGGTCTCTCTGATTTTAGGCATGGCATGCCATCTCGTCCTCGTGCATACCAAGCCCCACATGTCTTCTTCCCCCTTCTCTTGGTTTGTCTTGGATGCTTAGGTGTTTTTCTTTCTCCTTGACACCCCGCCCCGTGCCCCACGGTCTTGGACTGGACCCCAAGCAGCTAGCTATAGAAAAGCACTGTTATAATAAATTCTCTTGGCTCGGTGGTCGTCGCAGTCATTCCCGCCCTCTCGCTGCCGCGGCCTATGGGCTTGTTTGAAGCTTTGCCCGTGGAGCAGGGAGGAGGCAAAGTATGGCCACGACTCGAATGGGCGAGGTGGGCTCGGCAGCGAAAGATTAGGATGGAAAGAAAAAAAAACGCTTAGAATATCCTAAAGTGGCAATAACCCAACACACACACACCAACAAAGGCCCTCGGTCATAGGGGACCGAAGCCAGCGACGGGCGGGGACGGGGACGATGATCTCGGCACTGAAGTCGCTGATTGATTTCCCCGTTGGCCGATGACAAAGATTTCATGGCAGATATGCATTGAAAATACAAAAAGGTAGACGAAGTCGACCTTGGCTCGCTCTGTCATCCCTCCATCCCTCCACATCGTATTCATTCACCGATATAAGATACTTGCCCAGTCACCGTCGTCTTCTATTCACAGCACACAGCTAGGCTACCATGACTACCATTGCCCGTCCATCCACACCGTTCCCTCACACTGCGAGTCTGAGTCACTCGGCATCCGGTAGCAATCACCACAAAATGACACTGCCACCCACATACCACTACACGACTCCTATTCACTTTGCTCCCAAGGCTCTGCCTACACCTACACCTCCATCCCTCCTCGCAAGGACATCGTCTACTGGAAGTAATTCCAGCGGTCATTACATTCACCTCAGACGATCCTCTTCGGCTCGTCAATCTCCTGCCGGTGAAGACCTCTCTCGAACACCTTCCCTCGTACCCGCTTCACCTCGCCGAGGCTCTGCGTCTTCCAGCTTACTCGTCCTCACTCCACCATCTACCTCCACTTTACTCTTACCCGAGGTGGAGGAGGACGCCGACGCCGACGATGATGTCGACGACGTTGAAGAAATGGATGCCGAGGAGAGCCCTGAACTACCAAAATCCAGGTCTGCCGGATTCGCACTCCCTCCGCCGACGTACAATTGGTCAGACAAACCGATCGAACCAGACACCACGTTCGATTTCGACAGCTCCTTTTCTTCCAGCCCCGCATCCAGACTAGAAAACTGGATCACTACATCCAACTCGGTCACCCCTTCTAATCCTTTCCGACGTCCAGCGCTCAAACGACGAGACACTCCTCGTCCAAGCATTGAACAAGCGCCAAAATCACTCAAACGCCCCGCTTTCAGACGTCGAAGCACGCCACCACCACCACCTAGCTCCCGAGCTTCTCATCTGCGTTTAAGTCCACTCAAGGAAGTGGCGGAGAGCTCGCTTTCGACTGGACAAAAGCTTAGATCGGTCATCACTGGTTCTCAATGGGTCGTCGTTGACAGGCAATGAGTCTGAGTTGTCACAAGGGTATATAGAGGGGGATCTTCACGAAACAACACATTTCTTCATTGTGTACGAATAGCTTTGATTACACCTTGCAGTGCCTTGTAACATGTCTGTCGCTATGAATCAATCACATGACTGTTGCATTCAGACCCTGCCGAATGAACGATGCCGAATTGCCGCGCTCATTCGGAGAATGTCGTTGATCATCGGCCGAAAATGTCCGCGTCGGCCTCCCTACTTTTTATGCCCCCGAACTCTGACTCATCTTCTGACTCATAAAAGAAATGCAAAATATGTATGAATCATCATTTGCGGAAAACTCTTTGTCGTAAGCATTTGTATGTGATCCAATGAGGAGCATGCGAGCCAGTGTCTCCACCCCTGTGGGGGTTCCGGACTCTTCACTTCCAGTCCAGGCTTTCTATGGTTCCAGACCAAATCAGATGGAGCACGACCTCCAGTGCTTGGAGTCGGAAGAGCTCCACTGTCGTGCGGTCCATCGTGAGATGCCTTCAAGTGACTTCTGTTCTGTTCTTGGGACGACATCCTTGACTATTGGTGAGATGCCTCCGAAGAGCCTTTATCGGGCACCGCAGTATCACCATCTGCCGTATCTTTGAGGGTCCAGCCCCATCCCATACGACGATCAGGTCCGGTTGTTTCCGACAACGGTGGCACTGAGACACGTACGGGCCTAGAATGCTCGACTTGAGATCGCTCGACGGACAAGCCGGGCTGACCGTTGTTGTACCAGACTCCATTCTTCAATAGACCAAAGCACGGCAGGTCTTTGCCGTCCGTCCCTAGGTGCACATCCGAGCGCAGAGCGCCATCCTTGGATTCTTTCACTTCCTCAAACCCACGCGACATATCTGATATAGCGATCGTCACACCGGAGCCGTTCGGCGCATCTCCTGTTATTTTCCCTGTATGATCCCGCATCCAAGCACCCATGCGGCTCGGATCACTTGGCTCGGCAGCCAGCCCGCCAGGTGCAGATAAACCCTCTTGATTCGCGTTCCAGCTTACCGGATCCCTGAGTCTCATGAGACTAATCTTCGACGCCGGATTGAGGAATCATCTCATTTCAGTCGAGTTGTCTCTTCAGGATCGATTGGAGGGATAGGAGCCATCCTATAAGGCTCTGTGAATTCGAGAGGGCCATTCCTCTCTATGCTCAACCCAGCTTGATCCCCGTTCCATGCGAGTGCACTGTCGTGTTGATGAGCGTGCGTTCTGAGTGGTGCGAACCGAGAGTCCATAATCTCCTCCGTCTTGCGCTCCAGCCTGGAACCTGCTGTATTATTTGTTTGCTTCTCGACAATATAGTCTCTGAGCCAGGGAAGCATCATGGCGCTTTGAGAGCTGGAGGTCTCGTCTGCAGATGGATGTTTCGATGGAACGTCGACCTGCATCGCGTCTAACTTGGAGAGGTGATTGGTCCGCACAGCCGTGGCGCGGTCCATCTTTGCTTCAGTCGTTTTCTCGACGTTGATCGGAAGGTATCTGCTGGATGAAGGATCGTCTTGAGTCTTGCCCAAGCCCGGTTGGTTTCCATTCCAGCGAAATGCACTTCGTCCTTCGAAATCTGCCACTTTTTCAGGGTCGAGTAGGGGAGGTCGTCGGGCTTGAACAGAATCAGAAGTGATACCGTAGGTGATATTTGGGTTCGGGTGGGTGCCAGGTCCGAGTTCGCGAAAGACACGAGCTTCAGCGAATTTAGCCCGGTGCATCACTGCCAGGTCTTCGACGATCGTGACAATGTCTCGCCAGTCCGTCATCTTGCCGGGTCCTGAGGTGGGTGAGCTCATACTGTGCGGAAGTTAGCATCGCATGATCCCACCTTCATCACCGCAAGCTAGTTTACCACCGCCCTGAGGTCCCGAGACCATGTATCCTAATTTTTCCTGAATGAGATTGAGATGGTTCGCAGTCAATGGATGAGAGTACATGTGTGTGTTCATAGCGGGGAATAGGATTGTCTGGGTATCCGGTGATAAAGCGCGCAAAAGAGATGTCTTGTTTGGCATGAGGTCAGCGACCTTGCAAAAAATAGTCTTGGCAGCGAGAGCTCACGGCGAGATTGTCACAGAGACCTCCAGCGATCTTAGCCAGCATGTCGGCACTACATGGCGCGACGAGCACTAAATCGGCCCAGCGTCGTAACTGGGACAGGAATAAGCACGAAGACAAGCGAGAAGCGAGCTACGGGCTGAGGATGCTCACCTCAATATGCAATATGGGATCACCGAGCTGGTTCCAGTCCTTTTTTTAACGTCAACATCTCGTTCAATCTTGTGCGAACTTACCGACCACTCATCCTCGTCGGTCCAAACTCGGACACCTGTGGAATCATCCGCCAATGTAGGGTTATCGGTAACTGATTGGGAGCCTGGTCCTAAAACGCGGCGAACAGCTTCATCGACCTTTGCCTGGTTATAAAAATGCAATGAGGCTTTCGTGGCAACGATTTGAAGGTCGATATTGTGGTTCTGCATGAAGATCAGCTACTGCAAGTCATGTCCCAACAAAATCTTCCACTCACCCTGCTCAAAGACCCGACAATATCAGGTATCTTGACGCTAGCCACGCTGCCCGAGGAGATAATGACCACTCTAAATCGTCCATCGGGTCGTTGGGGTTTGTGGTCTGCGCAGACAAATGGTTTCCGCGCCGTGCGAGGTAGGCGAGCGGTGTGATTCAGTCTCGATGGTCCGGCTCTCCCTGCTGGTGCACTGTAAGTTGCTTGCATGACCGTTGTCAAAATGAACCATTGAATGCTTATCAGATTCAGAGAGAGAGAGAGATCTAGAATGGACTCGGCTCGCCCGGAACCTCGTGGCATATTCTGGCAAAAAGTGGCCGATGCCGTAATTTCGGAATTTGGAATGACGTTCCCTAGGATACATGCTGCTATTATTATATTATTGTCTGGCTCATGCAAGGTGGGTCCCACTTTCCTCAACAGAACCCACCAACAAACATTTGTGCGACCAAGACAAAGACATATCTGATATCTTGACAGTTTGCATCCATCAGCGCACCTGCGCCCTCTGACCCACTCAGCGAAGGATTCAACAGATCTCGCAACCATGGAGAACTTTACAGAGTGAGTGATCAACGTCCACGCAAGTCTCAGGTCTCGGATCATGAGTGCTAACGTCACCATCAGTATGACCTCGGCCGCTATCAAGGCATCTTTCGATAGAGCTGAAGAACAAGCCAACTCTCAAGTCCACCCTCTTCACCTCATCTCCGTCCTGTGGGAAGACTCGACCGCTTCCGAGCCCACGGCTGGTCAACCCACCCTCTTGAAGAGCTCGCTTGAACATGTCGGAGGCAATACAACACAATTCAATCGAGCACTCATGAGTCGGTTGAACAAGTTACCAGTAGTCGATCCCCCGCCCGCACCTCCTCTTCCGCTCACTCAATCATACCACGCCGTACTAAAAGAGGCACAAAAGCTCCAGAAGGAAGGAGGCGATCAATTTGTGGCGGTGGATCATCTAATCCTTGCGTTAGCTCGTGTAGAATTGTCAGAGATGAAGGAGCTCTTGAAAGCTGCTGGGACAGATGCGAAAGCCTTGGAAGCGGAGGTGAAGAGAAAGAGAGGAGGCAGAAAGGCAGATAGCAGGAGTGCGGAGAATTCGTTTGACGCGTTGAACAAATGTGAGTGTATAACGCGCGAGTGTTTCTCTCTCGGTTCGGAGAGACTCTATCAAGAGAGGTTCCGATATCCAGATGCTGACGAGACGATCCATAGACTGTACCGACCTGACGGCCCTAGCGGAGCAAGGCAAAATCGATCCCGTTATTGGCAGAGACACAGAGATCAGACGGGTCATCCGAGTCCTCTCAAGAAGAACCAAAGGCAATCCCGTACTTATCGGAGAGCCTGGTGTCGGTAAAACAGCGATTGTAGAAGGCCTAGCACAGGTGAGCTGTGAACCCGGAGTGTATTCTGTCAAGTTCAAGCTGACGCGTTTTCGAAGCGAATCGTCGATAGAGATGTTCCTGCTTCACTGCTGTGCAGACTTTTGTCCTTGGACATGGGTGAGTGGTCATGATAACGTCCTGTGCCGAGAGCTGACATCGAATTCAAGGATCACTCATGGCTGGAGCTAAGTGAGTCATTTGATGTAGAACGAGGTGTTCAGCCGACTGACCATGCCTTGAAGATACAAGGGAGAATTTGAAGAACGTGAGTCACCACATTTGTGTTGCATACGAGGACTGGGCTGACCCGAACCAGGCGTCAAGTCCGTTTTGAACGAAGTAGAAAAGTCTGGCGAGGAGGGAACGCAGTGTATCCTCTTCATCGACGAAGTGCACCTTCTCCTGAAAGGAGGAGACTCGAGCGGCGGCATGGACGCCGGAAACTTGCTGAAGCCAGAACTGTGGGTCCTCATTCTCCGATGTTCTGTAGAATCATCTTGACCAATGAGTAGGGCTCGAGGCAAGATCAAGGTCATCGGTGCCACGACATTGAATGAGTACCGCGAGGGTATCGAGAAAGGTGAGCGATAGCGGCAAAAGCGATGGATCACAGCATGGACTGACAATCACAGACTCTGCACTCGAAAGACGCTTCGCTCAGGTCTTTGTCGAAGAGCCATCAGTCCCAGCTACAGTCAACAGTAAGTTCCACATCGATCGAAGAGATATCACAGGTTTTGCTGACCGTCACAGTCATGCGAGGCATCAGGGAGAAATATGAGACGTATCACAACGTCAGAATCCAAGACGCTGCTTTGGTACTTGCTGCCAAGCTGGCCAAACAGTACATGACCCAAAGGTGAGTCGCTGGAAGGCCGTCACATCCCTGTTTGACTAATGCCGTTCAATAGACGCTTGCCAGACGCTGCCATTGATCTCGTCGATGAAAGCTGCAGTGCTGTCAAAGTCGCTCGAGAAACTAGGCCCGAAGCGATCGATATCCTCGAGCGCAAAAAGCTGGGACTCGAGGTGGAGATTCACGCACTGGAAGTGAGTGATTGGAACGCCGATGTAGATTTATGGCTGACAATTGTCAGCGAGAGAAAGATCAAGCCTCTAAAGAGCGTCTAGAGACCGCAAAGAAGGCTATCGCACAAGTGGAAGACGAGCTTGGACCTCTGAAGAAGGCATACGAGAATGAGAAGAATCTCAGCGATGAAATCAATGAACTCCGACGTCGAATCGACGAGCTGAGATCCAAAGCCGACGAAGCTGAACGTCGATACGATCTCGCGACGGCTGCCGATATCCGATACCAGGCGATCCCACAACGAGAATCCAAGCTCAGGGATTTGGAAGCGAAGGAAGCGGAACGTGGAGCAGGAGCCGAAGTGACTCCAGAGATGATTGCAGAGGTCGTAGCGAGGTCTACGGGTATCCCAGTGACCAACCTGGTGGAATCGGAGAAATCAAAGTTGCTTCGAATGGAGAAGCTCATCGCCAAGCGGGGTGAGTCCATGATTGGTGTGTAGAACAGGGCACTGATATGCATGCAGTGATCGGACAGCCCGAAGCTACTCGCAGCGTGTCCAACGCGATCCGATTAAGCAGGAGTGGATTGTCCGATTCCAACAAGCCAATCGCCTCTTTCCTGTTGGTTGGACCCTCAGGAACAGGAAAGACGTTGCTCGCAAAGACCATTGCTGAGGTCATGTTCAACGATGAGAATGCCATGACTCGGATCGACTGCAGTGAAGTAAGTATGGACAGATTGCGGGCAGACATGCCGAGGGGAGACAATCATGCTGACCCGCTCTCTTAGTATTCCGAGAAACATTCAGTCTCTCGCCTGGTTGGAAGTCCTCCTGGATATGTCGGTTACGACCAAGGAGGTCTACTGACAGAGTCCATCCGGAGAAGACGTAAGTCGCGCGCGCGATAGCTGTCGACCATTCGACAATTTACTGACGGTGTATTTTAGCGTTCCAGCTCATCCTCCTGGACGAGATTGAGAGTGAGTTGGGAGTTTTTGCACGGGGGACCGAGCCATGCTGACGACCCTAAAGAGGCCGCACGAGAATTCCACCAAATCTTCCTTCAAGTCCTGGACGATGGGCGATTGACTGACGGGAAAGGTCGTCTGGTTGACTTCAGAAATACCATCATCGTCATGACCTCCAACGCTGGATCAGTCTTCCTCAATGAGAATCCATCCGAAGGGCCCATCAAGAAAGACGTCAGGGAGAAAGTGATGGGTGCCATTCAGGCTACTTTCCCTCCAGAGTTCCTGAACAGACTTTCGGTGAGCTGCTTAAAGATCGGTCCCACGATCGGAGCTGACGACGCTGCTCAGGATGTCATTCTTTACCGATCACTCAGTCGAAAAGATTTGCATCATATCGTTGATTTGAGACTGGCCGAAGTTCAAAAGCGTCTCGATAATAACAACAAGAAAATCAAGTTGGAGGTCGATGAGCCAGGCAAAGAATGGCTTGGAGCAGCAGGTTATTCACGTAAGTTGTTAAGTAGAGCAGTGAAAGAATAATTGCTAACAGATTGTAGCCACATACGGTGCCCGACCGATGGCCCGTCTCATCCAGACTGAAGTCCTCAACCCTCTTTCCAAGCTCATCCTTCAGGGTCGAGTACGCGAGGTTGAGACGGCTCACGTCACGGCCGATCTGAGGCGTAATCGACTCGTGTGTATTCCGAATCATGAGCAGGATGTCACGCACCCTGATGAAGACGATTCGGACATGGACATGGAGGAGAATGATGATATCGAAGTAGAAGAGATGGATTGAAAAAGGGCTGAAGGAGGACTGTTTCCAGTAACAAGATTCGAGGTTGTAGTATAGTAGAATCTGGTAGCATACGTTGGTACATACACTCATATGAACAAAGATAGCATCTCTTATGATATCCCCAGGACCGGGGGCAGGGGAACCCAAATCGAGCGCTGACTCGGACTTAACATACGCCGAACAGAGCGAGGTGATCTTTAAGCGAGCCACTCGCGCTGATAGCCCTGCGAGATCTGGCATGCAGGGCATTATTGGCCTGCGAGGAGTTGCTGAGCGGTGTAATTCCGTGCCAGCCGATGCTCGTAACATCACGTCCGTCGCTTTGACGCTTCATTCTGACTCCTGAGCTCCTTTATTACCTCCTGATAACAAATTATGAGCTTGGACACGAGTGAGTGCTTGATAAAAAGAGCTCACGGCCAAAGTCTCGGGGTTAGTGCCAGCTTCGATCATCCCCGTACATATCGATAGCGTTTGCTTGTCGAGTCCTATCTCGACATGAGCTCTAGATGATCCCCCAAAACAATTATGCGTCAACGTACCAGTCTGCAGTAATTGAGAGAGGTCGTAAAGGGCTGAGTCACGATCGTAAGCAACGATAGCAGGCTGAGCCTCACCATCTATAGTCTCTCTGGCGCTTTGTAGCCTGGCTTCGTCTCCTGTGGGAGCCATGATTGATTACATTGACACTGCAGAATGCAGGGGTATGTATAGAGAGACGCAAGTTGGCGCCTCTCGCCTCTCCAGAGATTTCAAGTCGCGTCCAGGAATTCGAATGACGTAACGTGTATTAGGTAAGGTATCTTTCCTGTTGATGATAGGATCTCTTTGCGATTATTGTGTTCTTCGACCGGGGTAGAGCAGATACAACACGATACTGAACGAAATTACTCAAGCTAGTCCTGCACGGGTCGATAGAGTGTTCTTCAGGTCTGCCATACGCTTTCTTGGACCAATAGGAACTCTGTTGTGGAGTCGCTCGTCCTGGTTGCTTGATTCTCGACCATCGAACCTACGTCGCTCGTGACTATATCTTTATCACACTTCGACGCCATGACTCAGTATCAGAAGCCTCCTCCGCCTGGAATTAGACGAATATTATGGGCTGTGAGGTGAGGGCGCGTTTTGCCCTTTCCTTCAAAACGTATCAGACACCCGTTCGATGCTGACCCACTGCTGTTGAAAGGCTCAAGTTTGAAGCTATGACGGCTATTGCAATGTTGGAAACTTGGGAAAAGCTGCTCGTATGTGAGTCACAAAGTCTTCATAGCCCACGTTCAGGTCGTAGTATTGATGCAACTTTTCAGACTGTCTCTTGTTCGGCCTCATTTGCCTTTTCTGGTGGTCCTTCCTGCATTACTCGCCGAGTCATTACGCATACTTGTCTCGCCGGTGCGCCTACTACATCTGGGGCGACGAGTCATTGAGTCCAGGACACGAAATGCGTACATGGATATGGAATCATCTGGGAGGCGCGACTGGTAGAGCCGCCGAGCCAGTAGCAGCTGTCGGCAAGGGAGTCAAGATTGATTTGTGATGTATAGATTTGGATCGAGGCAAGTCTGAACGATGTCGATTTCCATTCCGGGACTGACTCGAGGACAGGCGAGTCCAGTGGCAACATGTATAGTACCCATCATGCATAGATTCTCGCGAACGAGAGAATGGAGTCTACAAGCTACAGTCGGCGACTTTAATGATACAGGTGCAGTCCCATCTACAATTTAGGATGAGCAACTGTTTCAGCCAATTCCGGAGCAGTAGTGGCTCTCGCTGTGATCCACTCCGCGACGAGTTTCTGGACCTCTGACGGCGTCGGCTCATATTCATGATGCAGCTCGTGACGCATTCCCTTGGGTCCGACTTAGCTCACAAATACGGTCTGGGTCTGAAGTATTGACTTACAGGGAAGAGCCTGATTGTCTTGTCTGTGGCTGACAATTTGTCGTGAAATTCTTGCGAAGCTCCGGGAAGGCACACCGGGTCATCTCCACCGTGGTACATCAGCAGTGGCATCGTCTTTGGCCACTGAGCGATGACATTCGGGTGGAGTAATTCCTCTCCGCGGTTGACGAGGTCGGCCAAGAGCTTCAAAGATCCTTTTTGTTCACACCATGGATCATTATTGCACGCCTCGGCGACAGCTGGATCATGTGAGAGTTTCTGGACGGTCGTCAAAAAGGCTCGGCAAGAGCGACTCACATCCATGAGTGGTGGTGAGGGGATGACCACATCACCTAGACCGATCTTGGTCGCGAGCGTTCCCGGGAGCATCTGTGTCGGAATGAGCTTGATATCGACATATTCAATAGCAGGCTCACCTTCCATGCGGGTGCCCGTTCAGTCAGGATGATTTCTGGACTGGAGACAATGACCCCCGACAACAGATCCAGAGTGGCTTTCGCAGGCGGAGGAGTCGACCGAGTGAGAAATCCAAGAACTTGTCCTCCACCCTGTCAAGAATTAGACTCTTCAAGCCTTCATCGGCTAACACCCACCATACTGTGACCCCATAAGAACAGTCTCTTCCCCACTGCTTTTGCCTGCTCCGCTTCATGTTTGACAAACCATTCCATATCTGGCAGGACCTTTGGCCAACCTCCAGTCTTGCGTTGCGTATTCAACGCGAGCTTGACATGCTTGCCTTGCTTTTTCCACGACTCGACCTCGGGTGATGAAGCGGTCAATGGAGCATATGCTGTCCGACCGTGACCTCTTTGATCGTACGCTGTGATGTGGAGATTATAAGGAGCCGAAGAGAGCCCTTCAAAGAACTTGTCATAGCGTGCGATATGTTCGGCGTAACCTGACGAGGTCAGGTTGGGCTGAGGAGTGTGATAGCGAACCCACCGTGGACAAAGAGAACGTAGGCGAGGGGATCGTTCTCGGGTGACCACTAATCGATGATTCAGCGTCTAGAGGAGCATATCATGGCTAGACTCACGGTGCAAGTGTAGAACGGAGTGCCATCTAAGCCTAGAACCCATTCCTCGTGCTTCACCATGGTGGCGAGGAATCCAGGTGAATTGAATTATAGTCGAAAGCAATGACGAAAAATGTCAACAGGCCTGTAATCTCGCTCGGCTCGTGCCTTTTGCCCGATACACCGGGCGAAGAAGCTAACTACTATGTGGCGGAAACCTCGCCACCCACCCTGCCTTAACCCAAAAAAAAAATGAATGACAACCAAAAAACGAGTTGGTGATCACCCGGCTCTCCCTGCGACAATCCTACGACAGTCCAAACCTCTTGGAGCAACAATGCCAAATCAGCCAGAATGATCCGTAACCGGCCTATCTGACATCTGCAGAGAGATGTATACTGAGATGATTACCGAGTTAAAACTCAAAGTAGTTCACAAAGTCATGAGACTTCGGTGAGACTCGAACACTGATGCTAGAGGAGACGATATTCGTACAAAGGGGCGCGCTGAAGAGAGGTGTTCCGTGAAAGAAAATGACCACCTTCCCAAGAGCCACGACGGCGAAAGAAGGTTGTGGGACAAATGTGAATATGATTGCCATGCATGACATCACGCGTAACCGATAATCGTGGAAGTTGACACTCTGAATGCTTTCCTCCTGACTGACTTCCGTTGCGTTTGATTGCGTCTCCTCGCACTCTATAGTAGCTTTCAAGAACGTTTCTTTTCTGACTCTGCACAGCTACTTGCTTGCCGCTTGGACAACTGTGACGCCTCTAGTCTCCTTCGCCAGCCCCCGTTCCTTCTCCACGATGAACTCGCTCAATTCCTTGGGCAACAGGCAGATTGCCAGTCTGAACGCAGATCTAGCGAAGATGGAATCGGGCGAAGCGGGACCAAGTGTACAGGGTGAGCTAGCTCTGTTTGGCCACGCTTCAGTACCATTACGCTCATATCTCCTCCAGGCCAAATCACCACGACGCTCGGAGCGCTGAATCGCTTGATCGACGATTATGATTCCATGGCAAGAAAGGAGATGGTCACGGCGGCCCGGGAGAAGGCCAATACGTTGGGTGTATGATATTGTTCTCAATCACTGACGTCTCTCAGCCGCGTCGCAAAGCTCAAAGAAGAGCACAAGAACCTCAAGCTGAGATTCGAGCAGGCAAAGTCTGAAGGACAGCAACGGGTAAGGTGCCCAGATGGCACATCGTGGTACGGCCGGTCAAATGTCCTGACTACAGCCTCAGAAACGCGACGAACTCTTCTCTTCCACTTCTTCTACCTCTCACTACTCCTCTGCCAGTGGTTCTGCAACACAACGCAAAGCTACCAACCCAAATGCGCCCCCTTCACCCATCCACGAATCCCCCTTCGCTACCAACGCTTCCACTCACTCTTATACTGGTCCATCCGCACGTGAAGACTTTGCTCTGAGAGAACACACCTTCTTGCAAGAATCGGAGAATTCGATCGACCAGTATATCGCTCAAGGGCGTTCGGTTCTGGAGAACCTGGTGGAACAAAGGGGGATGCTCAAAGGGACCCGGAGAAAACTGTTGGATGCTGCGAATACGTTGGGTCTGAGTAGAGAGACTATTGGCTGGGTGGAGCGGAGAACGTGAGTGTTATCCAAGGTGCTCGACTCGGTACTTACCCTATGCAGAAAGCAGGATGCTTGGATCTTCGGGGTTGGGGCGACCTTCACTCTCTTCAGTTTCTGGGTCATTTGGCACTACTTGGGATAAGAGGGGCTGCAACGTCTTGCATGTACGAGCTACGAGGTATACAACTCCGACCATTGGCAGGATAATCAACCTCCCAGATAGCCTATTCGCCCCTCATTTTCTTCACCTGGGCCGCGTATCGTCAATCTTGCTTGAGAGGAAATGTCGTGACTCACCATGGCCTTGACGTGAGCCGTGATACCCGGCGAGCCACGGTACGCAAGTCTGCCATCCTCCTTGATCACCTTCCACATGTCGGTCTTGAGCAGCTGCATAGCAAGCTCGATGAAGATTGCATCCTCCTGAGGTGTCCACTTTCGGATCACCTGCATTCCATGGCCTTTAGAACAGAATGGCAGATAGCCTTCAAGCTTACCGTCTTGCCTTTTGGACTCTCGCTAGAGGTCTTTGTCTTCTTCCTCTTCGGCGCATCATCGTCGCTGGGATTGTAATCGGGGGAGGAATGTGTGATGTGGTCATCGTTGTCGTCGAAAGATGCTGATGACGATCGCTTGATGGCCATGATTGCTGCGAGGTAAAAAGGCTTCGTTGAAGAAGAAGCTGGCGAAAGAGCGTTCAGAGGTGTGCAATGCAACGTTGAGAGTGAAAATGACGAGACAAGAAGCTGATCTTGGACCTCTCCTATCAGGACTCATGGTCCTTCTTCTTGATTACGCTAGATGACCAGAATACGGTTGTCAAGCAAACCCAAATCCAAGGACCCCTCCGGGCCTCATTGCATGGCAACTCGATTAAGCGGTGAATCTCTTATCACCTCCTTCTAGCCCCCTTCGCTGATGTAGGGCATGGTGCTTTCGTTGCCCTGCAACCCAGGCACGCCGAAGTCCTCCCCTACCTGTGCGTCTGCAACAAAGTCTCGTCAGCACATCTCTCGACCTTTCAACCAGATTGAGCGCCGCAGTATACTTTCCCGATGCTGTCGGGGGACAAGAGACAATTTGTCGACTGTTGTGAGCTCGTGAACGAGGCTCCTAGATGTTTGATGGTGGGAGCTGCAATGACAGACGAGGACAAGCGAAGGTTGATGGACAGAGGAGCGGTAAGGGATTCGAGAACGCGATGACTTCTCGAGCTATAGACCGTGCTGACGCTGACCATGACGGTATGCGAAGGCTACGGGAGAGGGGTCGGTTGAATAGCAGCCATAAGAGACGCGACACAGCTGTATGCTTGACATACAGCTTCACCATGAACTAAGTCTTGTTTCTCCGCCACCCCTGTTGACGCCACAGTCATTGGGTTGACGAGGCCGCCAGGACCCTAGCGCGATGCTGCATGGTCGGATCATTTGAGTTGACTGATTCACCTTCTTCCCAAGCTATTTCCAAACTCCACGCTCGTGCATGCAACAGACTACTGACGGCCAGCCATAAGATCCTCCCTTGTAGGGTCTGACCTCACATCTCCTCATCGTCCTCTTCGTCCTCCTCCTTGCCGCCGATCGCTGCGCGTATGGCGCCTTCCAACTTGGGCTGTAATTCACGAGCCGAAGTGAAGGAGACGGTCGCTTCTGTCCTTCGATCTTGCTTAAGATAACACTTGGCGAGGAGAAAGTGAATATTGGCTTCATCCGGGGCAGTCTTGGCCAAAGACTCGAGAAAAGTGATTGCTTCCTGGGAGTGGATGAGTCTCAAGAATCGCCTGGGGTTGCAGAACTCACATCTATGCGCTGCAAAGCAACCAACACTCGAACTCGCTTGTAAGCGACCATCGGGCTGTCAGGTGCATATTTGCAAGCCTGGTCGTAGAATGAAAGCGCTTGCATGGTGTCATCGTTTTGCTCAAGCACCTGTACATTGTGTGAGCACACGGATGAGAAACGTGACCCACCATGCCGATGCACGTGAGCAATACTGCATTGGTGGGATTGATCTCCGCTGCTCGGCGGAAGTGGTGCTCGGCATACTTTGGCTTGCCGGTTTTGAGATAGACCAGACCCATTCCGTACCTAAGCGGTTGAGCATCTGCCCGGACCGACAAACTCACCAAGCATTGTAGTGCCTTGCATCCGTCCTTATGGCAGTCCTGTAGAATGCCACGGCTCGCTCATATTCCTCCATCTCAATGGCCTCATACCCGCACAATGTCCAAGCGTACGCGCATCCCGGATCGACCTGCGTAGCTCGGCGGAAACATCGCATAGCCTCATCGTGATCCTTTTGCAGCGAAAAGCAATTACCCGCCGCGATCCAGGGCTGGGGAGCGTTCCTATCGATCGAGATGAGCTTTTGCGACAGAAACGACAATGCAGGCGGGTCGCCCAGATGCCACAAGAGGGTGGAGTACATCTCCATTGACTGCAGAGCGTATGGCTCCACTTTGAGCAGAGCTTTGAACGCTCGTCGAGCGAAAATATAGTTTGCCATTTCGTAGAACGCTCGGGATATCATGTCCAGAGCCCATGGCGAGGCTTGCAGTTCTCCAGGCAATGTGTCGATCTCCCTCAGCGTCTCTTGGCAGGAATATGTGGAGAGTGCACGATACGCTCGAGCGCACTTTCGAACGATATCGCGGAGCCAATCATCAGCGTACGCTTGTAGGGCAAGCTCTTGCGATTGAGGTGAGGGAGGATTCTCGATCGTCGCACCGGATGTGGACGATGTTGCCGAGCGTGACCGGGTTGTCCGTTTGTCTTTGGCACTCTAGAGAGATTAGCATCGCCGAGCTGGTCGCACCCACCATTGACGACAGACCAGGGCCGCCACTCTTTAATCTCGAGCTCCGCCTCACAGGCGCACCCTCCTCGCCGTTTGGCTCTATGCTTTTCAGATCACGACCATTTGGACGAATAGGGAGTCCAATCTGCGGTGCCTCGGCTGGCTTTCGAATGGCATGCCCACCACGAGGCCGTTTCATGGCGGGAGGTTTCAAAGGCACCGGATCTGGATTTGCGGGTGTAGAAGTGGATTGAGAAGAATGATTAGCTCGATAGCCAGGGAGAAACGCCGAAATAAGATTGGGCAGAGGTTTGCGAGATGGTGCGGGTAAGTTGTGTTCCTGAACCATGCTGAAGGGGGTTTCAACGGGTCCAGATGGTGTTCTGAAAGCCGTCAGATTAGATTGTTGACTGAGCTCACTCTATTATGCCATGGCGTCCCATCATGCCAATACGTGGGGGAGGACCGGCGCCACCGTCGGGTGTGAAGAAGCCCGTCGCATGTGCACCATTGGTGCCCGAAGTGAGAGGGCTTAGCTGACCTCGACGCGGTATGCCTGGCATTTCAGACGCAGAGCTTCGTGGCATGGGATTCGGGGAGAGAGTGGCTGGGCGAGATGCGCGTGAGGATGACGATTTGGTGGGAGCGGGTGGGTCGGGAAAGACGAGTTCTGACGGTGGAGGACAGCCTGGATTGGTGTCAATTGGGCCCAGAAGGAAAGCTCTCACCGATATCACAAAGTCCAGTGAAGGCTTCCCAGAGCCAAGGATCCTCCTGCAAGGCTTTGGTATACGCCTCGACGGCCTGTTCCGGGGCTTTGCCCTTGTGGGATAGTCTTGCGAGCATCAGGTGAGGAGTGGCAGCTGATAATGAGGGACTGAGTGAAGGCAAGTCTGGATTGACTCCGTCAATATAGGCCATCTTTGAAGGTCAGCCGACACTTACTCATTGGAGTACTGCTCGCCAAAGCTCTTTCAACGACTCCTTTGCCCTCGCTATACCTCGACAGCCTGTCGCAGCATTTGCCGACGATCATGGCGCATCCATAACACCCCTTGCGTCGACCAAAGCCACTTGATCCCGGCCGAGAAGGGACGAGCTCCGGTTCCGCATCGGCCAAGTCTCTCACGAGATACAAGGCGGAATAAGGCTGATCACATTGTAGAAAGCACAAAGCCAGGACGTGCAGAGCTTCGTGGTCGCCGTCGAAGGGTGCAGAAAGAGCATACCATATCCTTGCGTAGAATAGTGCTGTGGCTGGAGGAGATGATGTGGTCAGCTGTCGCAGTCGACTGCTCAGATGCGACGTTGAGGGACGAGGCATGCTGATGAGCGTGAAGACGAGGATTTGATGACGAGAGCAGTGAAGGGATCAATAATTGCTATCGCGAGCCAAGTGTGAAAGATGCCGTCCTGCTTGAGAGGACCGCCCACTCGTCCGGCGTGTCGCAGCTCCTTCGTTGATTCTATAAAGCTAGATGTTGAATGATTCACCGTCGATCGTCCAAAAGCCAAAACATCAGTCGGGTCGCGTCACCCACGTGGCCAAAATAGTGACGTGGCAAACTTTTGTGTATGGCTTTAGACTCCCGAGGAAGCCGCGTCCATGAGACTTTTTCACCTTTGCCAGCATTGCAATTGCAAGAGACTGCGCTGTCGTCTATATCCATCGACACCTGGAATCCGTAAGAAGGCTCGGACAGCATGCAGGTGAGGCATCCTACCATTCAGACTATCAGGTACTGATGCATCTTTCTCCAGGCTCCAGGAGGCCCAAGCGCTGCCTCATACCCCAATCTCGACCCTTATCCTCAAACACCGCCTGCTCAAACATCGGTTCCCTCCGTCCCTAATGGTCCACCACCATCCTCGTATCCATCCGTACCAGCTGCTGGACCAGGCTCAGGATTTTCCGCTAGATCAGGACTAGCAGGTATGCAGCCCAATTCTTATGCTCCTCCGCCAGTGATGGGAGGTGGAAGAGGAGGTATGCCAGCTGAGAAAAACGTGGCGGAGATGGTGAAGGAGAACACCAATATCTACGCGAGAAAGTTTCAGATGCTCTTGGATAGGTCAACGCCACATGTCATGGAGAGATGGCTGGTGACGTTGGGATTGTTCTTATTATTCTCGTTGAATGTCATTTTGAGACAAGGCGTGAGTTTTGTCCTCGCTTGGAGGTTCCTGCGCGAGCTTATGGTGTCTCAGTGGTACATCGTCTGCTACGCCCTCGCGATCTATATCCTGAATCTGTTCCTCGCGTTTCTTCAGCCCCGATTCGATCCATCCCTGGCGGATGATCTCGCTGCTGAGGATGTCGAGGAAGGCGCCCCAGGTCTACCTGGTGGAGGATCCAAGTCTCCAGGTGGATTGAAAGGCTTGTTCTCCGGTGGAGGAGATGACGAAGAGTTCAGACCATTCATCAGGCGTCTCCCGGGTGGGTTCAGCTACAGGGTAAAAGGTCTGTCCAGTCTGACATGTCCTTGCAGAGTTCAAATTCTGGTACTCCGCCACCAAAGCCACCGCTATTGCCTTGACGTGCACCATCACACGTGCTACTGACGTCCCCGTGTACTGGCCAATCTTGCTCGTCTACTTCTTGACACTATTCGCGCTTACGATGCGGAGGCAAATCCAGTAAGTCATCCCGTCTTTCGACCTGAGCTTGCCAGCTCATAATTTGTTTTAGGCACATGATCAAATACCGGTATATTCCGTTCGATCTTGGAAAGAAGAAGGGATACGGAAAGAAGTAGACAAAAGAAGGCAGAGACGACAGATGCTCTGCTCCGACTCCGAGATTCACAGTAGTCGGGTTTCCCATCTGATCCTGCTGCAGCAGAGCACGAGAGGCACTGCGCTGCTTGTTCTTGTGCCATAGATTCCTTACGAACCGGTATACAATTGATGCATCTTTTACACCCTCGACACCCTCGACACTAGTCCCTCAAAGCAGCCTTCTGTCGGTCATGACCCTGACGATAGCGCCGATGCCTGCAACCTCAACGAGCTAGAAATGGGCGTAAGGCGGTGTGCTGTCGCAGTCATCTGACTCACCTTTTCATGCCATGTTAAGAGGACCGATCCGCTCTGATCACTGCCTTGACCGAGGCCCTCCATTCCCTACGGTAGGTCAAGACTATATTGTGGCGGGGCCCTGGGAGAACTGACCTTGTACAAGTACGCCATGAGATGACCCTGCTGCTCCTCGCCTAATCCTTTCAATACGCCAGCGATATCAGCTGATCGAGTAGAGTTGAGAATGGTCAAAAGGGCACTGGTCGTGGTAGCCTGGGTCGAGTCAGCTTGAGAACCATGGAAACAGCTGTTCGGAATGCTCACCTTTGCATCATCGACTCCCTCCCCGTATGGCGGGTTACTCAGTATAGCATTGAGGGCTCCAGCGGTATCACCTCTGCTTTGGGTCAGCCTCTCACCGCGATACATCACACCCTGTCGTATGCTCCGATTACATCGTGTGACTCACTTTGATACCAAATTCCTGGCTTCTTGGGCCTTTTGCTTGCTTTCTGCTGTGACACCGTCTACACCCCTGGGATCAGGGTCGTATAGGTCGGAAGGTAGCAAGACATCCTCATCAAAGGCATCAATGTTGATCTTCCGGAATGCAGTGGACATGACGAGTCGATGGCTGGACCTTGGTCAACCGAGTCGCAGGAGAGATACTGCTGATATTGAGAATCGTCTTTAATAGAACTGTGGTTGCAATGGCAACGAGGTAAACGTCACTGGACTCTCATCTGAAATTAACGGGATGATCGAATAAATCGTCTTGAACTCGCCGCCGCGAACCCGGGTGGAGGCTGTCGCTTGAATCAATACTTTGTGATTTTGTTACTACAAACCGGACATCGGTACAAGTCGAGCTTTCGAAGTCATCGAGAAGCTGCGTCTCCGCTGTTGATTGGGACTAGAGACTAGGACCAGATGGCCAAGAAGTCTGCTAACCCCGTTGATGCCTTCCGTGAGCTCCCATCCAACGAGTTCATTGAGCTCACTTTTGATCTCAGGCAAGGCTCAGCGAGCCAAGGAGCTCAAGAAGGTGAGCCGCGTCGTCGGCATCGGAGGATTCCATTCTGATTCAGGAGCAGAACAAGGAGATCAGAAAAAAGTCTCGAGAGTCGCAAGCGGTAAAACAAGATACCAGAGGTGTGCATCATCAAGTCGTCACGCTTGCCTCACTGCCGCTGATATCACGCAGAGCTCGAGTCCGAGATCAAGCAGCTTAAAAGCGAAGGTTGGCTCATGGTCCCGGAAATGGTATTCAAAGCTCACATCCGCCAGGCAAACTCGGCGCGAACGCCCAGACTCGTCTAGCGGACCTCGAGAAGGAATTGGCCAAGATCAACAAAATCAAAGAAAACTACGTTGCAGAGCACCCCGAAGCGAGAGATAGAGTCTTCAGAACACACGAGAGGAGTGCGCCGAAAAGAGATGAAGCTACCCAGGAGGTACACAATGAGCTATACGATGATAGTGGGAGACTTAGGGATCCAACGCGGAGTATATATTACGATCCGGTCTACAACCCTTTTGGCGTTCCTCCGCCGGGAATGGCATACAAGGAGAGAAGTCAGTAGAGGAAATTCTTCTCTACTCGTGCTGACACAACGTAGCACCGGAGATAGGAGCTGACGACAGCGAGGACGACAGCGAAGAAGAGGATAGTGACGATGAGATTGTGCTCCCTGCTGGACCTCCTCCTGGCCAAGATGATTCTGATTCTGACGATTCTGACGACATTCCACTTCCTTCGGGTCCACCTCCACCAAGAGTCAACGCTCCTGGTCTGCCATCTCAGCTTCCGATACCCTTCGCTGGCCCACCGATATCCATGGGTTTCGGGGTTTCTCCTCCATTCCCACCTCAGACCGGTTTCAGACCTGAACCACCTGCTCCTTCCTTCCCTCACAACGCTCGACACCGACCTCCTCCGAATGTCCAAGATCCTCTATCTGATGGTCCTACTCAAACCTATCAAGGCTACAGAATGGCCAAGCATGACCTCCCTGCTCGACCTTCTGATCCGGCCGGCCCCAGTTCTAGCTCTGCAGGGATCATAAGCTCGGCCCCGCAGATCAACATTGCCGCAGCTGGCCAAAGCAAGGAATCAGCCTCTGCCAACGCAGGATCAGGGGAAATCTCTGCCGCTCCTGTCATGCGGGACCTGCGCAAGGAAGCGACTGCCTTTGTGCCTCGTGGAGTCAAAAGGAAGAAAGAAATTGGAGGGATGACGGTCAATGCTGCTCCCGGAAGCGGGATGTTGGATGCGGACGGCGATGAGATTCGAGTCAAAAGAGAAGAAGTTGGCGGCGGGCTATTGGGCAAGCTTAAGGGTGTTCTGTCAAATGGTCAGCAGAGTTCAGTATCTCCCCCGAAGAGCAAAACCAATGCTCGGGTCGACGACGATTATCAAAAGTTCTTGGATGGTTTGGGAGATCTAAAGTAGCTCCTGTATCTGTTGTATCACGCACGACCTGCATGTCGCCTCCGCTGATTTCGCGTGGCCTCAATCATATTTTCCGAATTCCGTCAATTCGGGTCAAAATTGCTAGTGTTATCCGATGACTGCTGTGTGACCTTGACTCTGTCAGAACAATCACGGTGATGCCTGCCTCCAGCTCCAAAGCTCCACTCGTCTTCGTGACGGGCAACAAGAACAAGCTCAAGGAAGTGCAGCAGATTCTTGCCTCGGGTACTGGCGAGCTCCAGATCACCAATCAGGACGTTGACGGTCTGTCTCTCTTGTGGCTCCCCTTTATGCCTAGCGCTGAGACTAGCTGCAGCTCCGGAGATACAAGGAAATACTCAAGAAGTTGCCATTGCCAAGTGTCGTTACGCTGCGGACAAGGTGAGTTGGTATCGCATCGTGTTATCAGTACCTGACTAAGCGCTTCAGCTTGGAACAGCCTGTTTGACGGAAGATACTGCCCTGTGTTTTGAAGCTCTGGGCGGACTTCCTGGGCCGTACATCAAAGACTTTCTAAAGACGCTGGGCCATGAGGGTGAGACGACTGATGTAGCATGACAACAAGCACGGAACAATGGCTAAGATACAACTTTCATATAGGTCTGAATACACTCCTTGTAGGATTCTCAACGACCAAAGCAACCGCTCTGTGCACATTCGCCTACTCTTCTGGACCGGGTCAAGAACCCATGATTTTCGAAGGCCGAACTGAGGGTCAGATCGTCCCTGCCCGGGGACCGACGCATTTCGGTTGGGATCCGATTTTCCAACCTGACGAAGGGCACGGTCAGACATATGCAGAAATGGATGGAGCGGAGAAGAACAAAATCAGCCATCGGTATAGGGCTCTGGAAAAGCTGAGCGCTTATCTTGCTGAGGAGACAAAGGGAGAGGCGGAGAGTCGGTGATCTCTGGATTCGCCGTCGGCAGGAGAGGCAGGTCGGGTGAAGTCGGTGTGCGGGGACTCGACTCGTCGGAAGGTGCAGTCTCGGGAGATGGTGACGGAGGCAGTGAGGGAGTAGACGGTGTCAGGCGCATCTGTGCCGGATCTTTTCGGGTCATTTCCTTTTGAGTCGACGTATTGATGCCATGCCGCTCAAACAGCTCTACCAGTTCGGCGGCCGCGCTGGGATGTGTGAAGGTTTTGAATAGATGTGCCTAGATCCTTTAAGCTTGGTCGACCGAAGAGATCGTGCGGAGAATCTCACCGATGAGCCTTGACTGTGAATCGTCTCGTCTAGCCTCCGCTTGTCGGCATCATCAAAGGTCTGCAGCCAAGCGTCCCATTCCTCCAGACGCAGCCTGTCCAGAGGGATCGAGCTGAAAATCTTGACCAGCTCGTTCATCGACCCATTCGACTCCCAAGCGTGCTTCAAGGCATCTTGCGCAGAAGTCTCCATAGTTGCCTTCGGCACTTCTTCACTCTTGTCCTTCTCTTCCTCCATCGGCAGACACCTCAGCCTAACCCATTCCCTCCGCCTGACATAACCATTCGCTCCCAATGACCCGGCGTGACTCCTCCAACCGGTCTTTTTGAACCAGACATTATATCGCCAACCAGCTTCATCTGTCCCATTTTTCATGTTGACCATCCATGGTGTGACCCATTTCCAAGCTGGAGACGGCGTCTGAAAAGTGTCCAAGGTGTAGGCAGTGACGATGGATCTCTTTTTATCCTTTTGAGAGGTATGAGCATTGGAACGATCGGCTTTGGTTCGTCGGATCGTACTCTCGTTCGACAAATGATTGGAGGGCTCTGAGACCGTAAATGACGATGCTGACGGCAGTGAACGGCAAGGGAGGGTGAAAGGTGAAGGGTCGGCGGGGAGCAATGTTCGAGAGGAGAAGTATGCTTTGCCAAGCAGGAAGATACTGTGGACGGTAAGCTCGAGGTATGGAGGACTGGCAGATAGCTCACCCTCGCTGATTCTCAAATAGGACTGCGATGATCAGCGAAGAGTAAGACAGTCCGCGAGACCACTCACCATCCCAGACATAGCCTGGTTTCTCAAGAGCCATATTGACGGCTTCATGTGTCCATTCCTCACTCGACTTTAGCTCTTCCCCATCTTTGATCAGCACTATGCCGTCCACCTTATCTTGAGCCTCCAACGCCTCTATGCCTGCATGGGTCGCCGGACGTAAGTCCCGACGCTGCTCTTGTATGACCGGATCCTGAACACCTTCCTCGATTTCTTCTTCTTCTTCGCCGTCGTCCACCGGGTAGCCCCTCTGAGCTCTGTGCGCCTCAAATCGAGATTTGACTTTGTCCTTCTTTCCCAATAACGTGTGATAGATACTCCTTTCTGTCCTTCTGGCCTCTAGACTCGATGCAATGGATTCGAAATTCTCTTCATCATATTCCGTGTGAGGAGGTACGACGGAGGCCGGTGGCGAGTATGGCGCCTTTGATGGGCCCGCTTCAGCGTCCTCGGACCCATGCTTATGGTCAGGGCCAGACATGGCGTCTCAGCGCTCTTCTACAGGGTCGCTCAGAGCGTCACCTATAAGCAACTGTCAATGTACAGGGGATGTGCACAATGATAATAGTATTCTCAGCCTCTTTCTCCCTCACCGCAAATGACGTCTTGGAATCCAGCCAAAAATGAAAAATAGTAACCTCGGCAAATGTCACGAAGAGACAGCACTTTGAGCCTCCCGTACAGGCTACATGCTCATGTGGGCTGTCTGCAGTGGTCTTCCTGCCTTCAGCGAGGAGCATCACGGTCTAAAATGATCCCAAGATACGATGTAGTCCCCACTGAAAGCGTCGGACCATTCCAGCTGGGTATGTTCACTTTGGTCATCGCGTCTTGCCGCCCGACTCATGTCCCTGCTCAGGCGATAGTCTCTGGCACGTCCTCGAGATCTTACGACTGAGCAAGGTTCATTATCCGAAAGTCGAGGTCGCATGGGATGCAGATGTGAGGCCTTGGCCGATGTGTGACAGCTCAAGACTGACAAGCGATTCAGAATGCCGCCAAATCCGCCGTCACTATTCACCTGCCGCACCTCGACCTCTATTTCCCTGCTAGCATACATCAGACCTTGACATTGATCTTGATCTCCTCACTGGCAGACGTAGTTCTGCTGTACTCTGATCGGGTCCTCTCTTCGGCCACAGAGCGACTCACACGAGCACGCGTAGCCAAACTATTGGGTCCAACCCATGCTGGCGGGTCAAGTGGAAAGATCTCGTACCCCGGCATAGAGTTTGACTTTGGGTCGGGATCGCTGTCAGGTCGAGAAGACAGAGTGCAGAGAATCAAGCTGTCCCCTCGGGAGGATGACAGTGAGATGGTGACTATCAATCCTATCGTATCGTGCGTGCTCAGGGTGAGCATTGTTGATGACGAGGAGGATCTGTGGTGGCTGAAGGCTCGTTAGCCAGGCAAAGGCGTCACGATATTTCTGCCCGACCCGTTGGACATTACAATTGGCAAGACGACCGCTGTAGACCTCAGGACTGACCTTGGGACGCCAACGGGGAAGTATTGGAAATCAGATGATAGATTGGCTAGAATGTGGGGATCAGCTGGATCCATTGAACTCAAGGACGGATATCGTGGGGCGATCCTGCAATCCTGTACAAGGTTCGTACTGATAGGAAGCAGGTTTCTGGAATTACTTCCAATACGGCCTCGACTTTCTGCTCGATCCGGACAGCGTGGTCTGCAAGATCATCTGCCATTCAAATCTGGTCAGTAGGGTTGATGCCGTGCCCTTTTTGAAGCTGATCACCGGTATGTAGCCCGGAACTCCCCTATTCCAACGCTATGCTCGATGCCCATGGACTTTACCATCCTCGATCGGAGATCTCACATTTGATTCGCCCATAGTCTCCTTCCGGTCCAATCTCTCGGCCAAGGCTCATGCGTCCTATGTTGATGAAGTCAGGTTATCCGTGCCAGATAAATCTGTCAGACCAGTATCTCCGGGTAGCACCAGCTCAAAAGGGAGTGAAAGCGGAAAGGTGTCAGCGAAGCGAACCGAATCAACAAAATCGACGGCGATGAAGAAGAAAGCTCAGTCACAGCCTGGACGAGCAGAAGTCATCGATTGGAAGGAGGACATCATGGTGCTCGATCGCTTATCTGAAGAAGGGTATGAGGGTGTCAACGGAGTCAGCCCAAGTCGTGTGTCGCCTGTCTCTAGTCACACGGTGATAGCTGAACCTAGTATAGGTCTCCTGGGCTTTGACGGAATCATCGTTGAAGAGGACCAAGCCAGCGGCGGGATATGTTCCGTCTTAATTTGGAGAGATGATCAAGGCTACAGCGACCTCAAGATAACATGATACACAGCATCCATTACAACATCAGACTGGTTTCTAGGTGCTCTAGCGCAATACGACCTTTCGCTCGCCTCACCAAGCCATCCACATATCCCTTGACAAAACTGAGAAACGCTGAGCGAGGCTTCCAACGTCATTCTGACTCACGCTTTTGCATCGCCCTCCAAGTTGCAAAGCTGGTGGTGCCCTGCCAGTCATCACGCAGAGTAGTGCTGTCGTTCCTGCTGAGGAGAAACAGCGGATTGCTCCAATCCTCGGGACCTAGCAGATCGTGAAGAGATATTTCGTTGTCATGAAATGTACTGTAGACGTGGGACCTAGCATGTACGTTTATCATCCAAGAGCATGCTATCGGGAACTCACCTGATCCTCGATCGCTGGATGTCGAGATGTGTCGGTGGGCGAAAGGTCAACAGGGGAGAGTAGGCCATCTGCATAGTTCAGTGGGAGATCCTCGTCAGCTTCGATACCTACAGTACAGAGGATCACCTTTGGCATGATCAGCTGAGGGTCAGATCTAGACAAGGCTTGACTGACCATGTTTACCACCTCAACAATTTCTCGAGTTGGCTCAACGAATGCTCGACACTGAGTAAATACCGAGAGAAGAGTTCTGATGATGGATTTGGATGAAGGGCTTTGGATGATACTAGCGACGTTCTTCATGAAAGCCAAATGAGCATATCTTTACGAGGCTTCTTGACTCACCACTACCACTATCCCATCGTCTTCGGTCAAGCTGATGAGATCCTCCCAGAATTCTTTGGTGAACACCTCGCCAGGGACACCACCTCCAGTAAAGCAATCATGTACTACATGACTCCATTTCTGCAATTGGCCACTGGTATCATTATTGACTCGTGACAATTCCGATAGGTATACTGAGCCATCGATGATGTTGACAGTGTCGCTCTCCGAGGGAGCTCGAAGTCCAAAATGATTGATGGCTGCTTTGTATACCACCGGGTCTAGCTCTGAGAATGCGTTCAGCAACCCGTCACAACTTTCTCCAACCCACCAACAACATCAAGCGCTAGACCCCGCTGCGCAAATGTGGAGGCTGTGATTCCGATGCCGAGTCCACTGCAGCGAGGATCAGTGCTTGAATCAGTCGAACGCGTACAACATACATGATGAGGGCTCTTTGCTGTTCTTCACCATTTTCTTCTGTCGCATCTGCTATCTCTGGGACAATCTCAAGATCCGTCGTCAGCGAGATGGTGCGCATCAAGCTCTCAGACGGATCGGAGCGATGAACCAGGAGACCGATCTCTTGCATGGGGAACGCGGCAAAGATCCTGTGCAGACGATGAGCAGAAGACATGGGAGAATGGGATCAGAACTAACGAGTCGCCCATGGTTATCGCTGCTCTATCCGAGTCATTCGGCACAGACCTGATCCACCTGCCACCCAGTATACTCGCATCACATCGGAGGAATCTATAATCTCGTTCGAGATTTTCCGCAACGACAATCTGACCTGTGATCCCCCTCTCAGAAGACAGGATCCTGAGCGTACCGCTCGCAGCGACATACGGGGGCGCGAGTCGCAGGAAGAGCTGCTGACGAGTAGAGAGGATGAGAAGTGGGATCCGTAATAGAAGCAATACAGGGAAGAGCTGGCTCGGCAGGAGCGATGTGAAGCTTTCCAGATTACGAGATGATTCGCGAGATAGCCTGAGGCGGCGCGAAAGGAAGGCGTGGACTTTCTGCGATAAACTTGATCGACCTCTGGGTGGTTGCATAAGGACCGATGTGCAGGTAAGATAGAGAGATATAAGCAGGATCTTGAGAGTTGTCAGTCAAGACATCAAATGGGGCAAGCTCACGCTCTTTTCCGGGTGCTGCACGATGAATGATGTGCTACCTCTTAGGAGACGAGTCCAAAAATGGTCCATGATATAGATGTGGCCCATACAGAAAAGTGACCTTGACGTGACATTGACTAAGTTTACGGCGGGGCTCATCGATCTGCGTCCTGGAGAGACGGGTAGAGCATGATCCTGGAAGTGATCGATTAGAGACTGCAATAACGTGTCTCGGGTGTCCTCACCAGACATAACAGACAGAAACCTCCAACTCCACTAGCCAAGCACGTACACAAAATGGTACGAGATACCACAGCTCCCCACTGGGGACCGCCGAGAAGTCCACAGAGACTGCCAATTCTCCGACCCGATACCGCGACCGCGTCTCCAGCCAGGGCAGATACGTTTAAACAGACACGGGCACTGATGATGTCTCGTGCTGATCTGAAAGACGTGAGCAGCCAGTACACCAGGGCCAGGACTATGGTGGCTGCTGCATAGACCATCGGGGTGTGCAGTGTCAGGGGGTAGGAATTGTACAAGGGCGTGAGGAGTATCGTGGTCAGTGAGACCATAAGGGATGCTGGAATCATGAAAGCCACCGAGACGAGGTCTGCGTGCTGTCAGAAGTCAGATCCCATTGATGGTACGTACACAAAGAGATCAGTCGAATGACATTCTGTCCCATAGTCCTCGGCGATGATGTCCTTGGCTTGTCATTGAAATGAACGCTCTTCTTCCTGTACAACGGCTTTCCAGGAATAGGAGAGATGCTGGAAGGAGAACCGGAGGACAGGGAGCTGGATGAGAACGGAGTTTCGGGACTTGAGTCTGTAGCTGAGGAGTTCATACTTGAACCCCCTCTTCGTCTGATGGTGAAGCTTGTTTGAGCTTCTTGTCTCAGCTTCGAGGTTGAGGAGACTTTGATTGGGGAATGAACGTCCGAAGATGGGCTAAGATCCCCCGGCGACGTTGGGCTGCCCCACGACTTCTGCCGAGGTTCGACGGTCTCGCTGGTGTGTGATGACTGCGACGAGCGTGAGTCGGCAGAGTGAGGTGATTTTTGTGCAGTCGGGCTGGCGGTCGACGCTTCAGAAACTCTGCCATCGCTGTCCATCGGACTTGCAGAGTCATATTCGAAGACTGCCTCCCCCTGGTCTTCTCCACCATCAGACGCACTCTTGCTCGACATCCTACAGGAGACTCTGAGTGCTTCAACGGCTACGTACCAATCGGTATGTATCAAGTAGCGGACGCTCAGCTTTCCGAGATCGTGCTAGGTCCAATGCAAGTTGAACAAAGGAGGCCCGGAAACGGCTCATGTCCCAGGGTCTCCGGTTTCGTTATGGGTCGTCGTCTGGATACCCGCTTGGTGCCTATGTGATTATCTGCATCCGAAATGTGCGACATGACCACGATGCGATGGAGGCGATCGCATAGCGTGAACGTACATTGCTAAGCCAACGAAAGGCATTTCGAACCGGAGAAGGTCTCTTCGGCTCGGGTTTCACATTTGTCGAGTGGCACCCAACTGAAACAGCGAGATGAACTTCCCAACCTGCACACGGTGAGTCCGTTGGTGTATAGAGGCGACTTTTGACAGCTATATGCATCGGACTATTCATCCCTCTCTGACGAATACAGGCATGCAATCGAGCGGGCAATCAACGGTCACCTCTTTGCCTCCCTCGAAGCTATCTCCTTGCTTGCCTTCTGCCGAGACTTGATGCCAGTTGGCGCCGCTGGGAAGGTACAAGGTTCTCTGTTTGACTCCAGGTTCGAAAATGGGTGCTACGAGGTACTTGTGACCAAACATGAACTGATCTTCGACGGACCACGCATGCTTATCGGAAGGGAATTCAAAGAATAAAGTTCGGATGATTGGATCACCTTTCTCGTGCGCTTGTTTCATGAGATCCCGGACATAGGACCTCATGGATTCACGCAATGCCAGATAGGTTTTACAGATCTCGTAGACCTCCTCGCCGTATGTCCAGATCTCGTTCGGAGCGCCAGATGGACAATCACTGCCCCCTGTCGTACCGTGTCGAGGCTGGGTAGGTTCACGGTTTCCATGAACTCGCATGACGGGCAAAAAAGTTCCCCACTGATACCATCTCACAAAGAGCTCGTGGAATGCGGTGTCATTGATGTTCGCCCCGTGAAATCCTCCGATGTCGACAGTCCACCAGGTCTGTCCCGCGAGACCTGCGTTGAGGCCGGCGGCAAATTGACACTTCATGCTCTGCCAAGAACTGTTGACGTCGCCAGACCAGAGGAGAGCGCCGTATTTGACGCTTCCCGTCCAAGCACATCTGACCAGGTTAACGATGTTGTCTCCAGCCTTGTCTCCGAGCTCGTGAGACATGCCCTCGTGGAACATGCGAGAGTAGTGCTTGGGATACGCATTCCCAACCATTAGATTAGGTCCAGTATGGTATCGATGATTGTCAAATGAGTAAGTCTTGTACTCCGGTTCGGCGACATCAAGCCAGAAGGATCGAATGCCCTTGTCCCAGTAATTCTTCTTGCAGATATTCCAGACAAAATCCCTCGTCGCCGGGTTGAAAGTGTCCATGAATTCAATCAGGTGTGTGGTCGGGAACTCCATGCCCACAGGGAGACTACGATCCTGTTGAGCGAGCATGCCTTCCCTGGCCATGTGGGGGTAATTCTCCGCTTGAGTCTCAACTGTCGGCCAGACAGACACAACGACCTTGGTCCCCATGGACTGAATCTCCTCAATCATTGCGTCTAGGAGTAGTGTCGGCAGGGTATCACCTACTCGAAGCCCTCACTCACCTGGATCAGGCCAGTATGTCGTGTCAAATTTCCACTCTCCCTGTTTGGGCCAATGGAAAAAGTCGATGACAATGACGTCCAGCGGGAGCTTACGTCTTTTGTATTCGTGAACAACACCCAGAAGTTCTTCTTGCGTCTGATACCTCAGCTTTGACTGCCACAGACCAAGACCGTATTCAGGCATCATGGGCGGTCTACCAGTGACTGCCGTATATGCGCGGTGGATGTCCCTTGGTGAGTCACCGACCACAACCCAGTAATCGATTGTCTTGGACGAATATGCCTCGAAAGACATTTGGTTCTTGCCAAATACGGCTCGTCCAACACCTGCATTGTTCCAAAGAATTCCATAGCCCAGAGAAGAGATTGCGAACGGGATAGAAGCTTGAGAATTGCGTTGAGCCAATTCGAGATCTGATCCCTTGAGATCGAGATTAGGTTGTTGATACTGTCCCATCCCGTAAATCTTTTCATTTGGATCAAGGGATTCAAATCGAACAGTAACGTGACTCGAGTCGGCTCCGAGTTTTCTCTTGAACTCTCGCGAGCTAATCTGAAGCGCACTGTTCATGGGTTCCTTCGGATCGGTGAGATCCCTAGCGAATTCCTCCAGCACGACCGCACCAGTTGACTTTTTGATGAAGACGAGTTTACCATTGGGTCGGACCTCTCCTACAATGTCTCCATTGGTGATCTTGTAGGTCTTCTTGTCAGCATCCTCGACCGTCTCGACATGCGCATGCGGCACGTGTTCGCTCAAGGCCGATTCTGGGTTATCAAAGGAGTGGCTGATGGTGCATTGGACTCGTAGAGCGTTGTTACCCCATGCACTGATCCTCACTCGCTGGTGAGAGAGCTGGAACTCAATCTTGTTGTCGTCACTGACATCTTTCGAGGTCCTCATCGTCGTCTAGAGGATCGGGATCGTTGTGGAGTGATTGCAGGTGTAAAGCGGGGATGAGTGCGGGGCGTCGGTTTATTTGACTGATCATTACGCCGAGCGGCTCCCGATGTCGGAAGACTCGGAGCGAGACTCGGCCTCCGATGAACGGAGAAGAGTGAGGGAAGGTCTGTGTACTCGCATGCATGGTAGTCTGCAGCATTAGGACTTTGTAACCTGAATACGATCGGGACTCTACTGTGACGATCCTCCTGCTTAAACATTCTTCCTGGAGAGAAGCCTTTTCTCCTGAAAGAAGGGCAGCGTGACGCGTCAGTCAGAAAATAAAACAGCATCAGACTACTGAGTGCATTATCACCTCACCAGTGCCTCAATATGCGACCTGATTCCGTTCGCTCCCCTGTACATGAGAAGTGGATCATTCTTGACCTTCTGCCACATGTGATCTTTCGCAATCTCGATCAAAGCCTTGATGAATCGTTCTTCTTCGTCGTCAGAATACTTTTTGCCCAGTACGAGCGTCAGCTTTATCGATCATGCGAGGTCAAGCATGCTCACAGCCGACTTCCTGACTGTCTTCTTGGGTGGTGGTGTCTGCATAAGAGACGTGTCGCTTTCGACCGTAGTGGATTCTCGGATCCTCTTCGTTGGCATGCTGATGCGATGGTCGATAGTGGTATGATTCGGAAGAGTGGCACTGCTATTCACAGCAGCGATAGAAATCCTCAGAGCAAAGACAAGAGAACGGTAGGGAGAGGTTGCAGGTTGTGGAAAGAAACACTCATTCCCCAAGGACCTGTTACAATATATCTTTCATCCCTATCCTGTCCCACCCTGTTCATTCTGAGAACATTCCAGGTTGCTTAGCAACGGTCAGGGACTATGGAGCGCTATGACGAGATGGACACGACTCCCCAAACAACGCCTTGAGATCGCTGTGGAGGCGTTGTCTACTGTCATGCCAGCCGCCTCAAATCAGAAGGGGCTAAGCGTCCCTTAAGGCTAATCCGAGTAACTAGGAGACAGTGGATGACAGTGCTTGAAATGTCTGCCCTGCAAGCATCCTCATCAGGCCCGAGGCGGCCAAGGAGCCGTGTCATTACAAGTCGTGAGAATGTCATGTTGCAATGCACAATTCAAATGCTCTGCAAAGCTTCTGTGTCACTTCAGCTTGGTGTCAAAGAACGCTGCATTTCCCTGTAGCACGTCGTTTATGCAATTTTTCTCCTTTCAGACCCGTTCAGGCTCAATGATGGATGATGCATGCATGCATCAGGCTTTGTTTCTCCGTACATCGTCTCATCGAGAATCTTACATGCCCTCACACAGGTCTCTTTCGCTTCTTCGTCTCTGCAGCCTGGTCTGTCTTTATCCCGCGCTGTCCATTCCCTTTCACGACTCCTTGGCTGAGTCCATGATCCACCGCCAGCTTCTTGAGAATCTGCTCGACCTTACTTCGAATTCTGTCGGCTCCATGTCCGTCGACCTCGCCAGCCAATCCAGGCAAACGATAGAGTTCCTTCTTGTGTAGCATGACGAGATCAATGATGCCCGTGATGAGGGTCTCCTATGATACGTCAGATGAGGGCCTGTGCCGATTCATCACTCACACTATGTCGATCTTCCCAAGGGTAGAATCCTGGAGTGTCAGGAGAGGCGTTTTTCATCGATGTCGGCATCGTGGAATGAGCGTGTAAGGCTTGTGTGAACAGTTCGGAGAGCTCAATTTGATTGGTGTTAGACTTGTTAGATGGGAATGGAGGGGAGTCAGCAATAGGACATCGAGCGGCCTTTTAACGTATCAACCTCTCGTCATCGCTTCCGCGTCCAACACGAGGCGATCTTGACAACCAAAGGAACGTGGGGTTCCCAATGTGGACGGCTGGGTGGTGCCATGACTACGGTATACCGCTACAGTATGTTCAAGAACAAAAGCGTCTCTGCAGGATTCTCTGGGACTGTACACATATATTAAGACCGAGATTATCCGCTCGGTCCTTTCCACCTCCTCATCATTCTTTCCAACTGCCAGACTCCCGTCACGATCTGCGGCCCTCACCATCCTCACTTCTACCAACCAACCGTTCACTCATTCATTCGACATACAACCATGACACTTGCTCATCAAGCCTGCAATCCTTGGACGGACGACCACAATGTGTGTCATCTACCCGTCAACCTCGCCATGGGGCTACCTGCTGACGCCACATTTTTCAGACCTTCCTCGTTGACGCGATCGTGCAACTCGTCATGTCAAATCGAGCAGTCCTTTACAGCGATCCCCGATTGGTACCTGTAGCCAACAATGGTGGTGATAGGATCAACAAGAAGACTCAACAGCTCCTCCGCAAATTGACGGATGGCATTCCAGGAGGACATGACATGATCAAAAATGCCACTTCAAAACCAAAGTCGTCGCCGAAAGGTGCAAAGCAGGGCAAGGGGGCTTCGCCTGCGAAGATGAAGAATGGTGCGATGCAGTCTCCTACTACTCCAAAGAAGCGAAAGATCGTGAAGGACGAGTCGGACGATGATGAAGGCAAGGATCAGTTGGAAAGCGAGGAGGAGTAGGAAGTCAGAAAGCAACACCAGTGACTGTGGCGGAGTAATCTGGAGATCCAGAGGCAGGAATCAGGAGACCTGTAGAACGCTCTGGTCATCGAGACTTTCATGCATACCAGCTTTGTTCGTCGCCTGTATGAGCATCATTCCTATACCTGATTCATGTGTCATTGAATGCAAATGGATCGACAATGGAGCCGTTGACTTGGAAATTGTGTGATATCCCTCTATGGTCCCTTTTCGTCGGTCTCTCGTCAGCTTCTGATCTTCCCCGTTGCTGTGCGTTCAAACCTGAATCTTGACTAACTCAAACTTATCATCATCCTCGAAACGAGATAACCGATTCCAGAACCACGACGTCTCAACAAGATGACCAGCGAGTACCAAAGTGGCGCCCCATGGACAGACAAGCACACGGTGAGCTTCGCCGCCGCGCTCCACTGTGATATCGAAAATCGAGGACGGGTCCAGTCACTGACGCTACTCATTATGCAGGTCGCTCTGACACGAGCAATCGTCTCCCTTGTCCTGGCCAACCGCACCACTCTATATACCGATCCTGAGCTCCTCGAAGTGGCCAACAATCACGGTGACCGAATCCGAAAGAAGACACATCAGATCCTTCACAAGCTGGTCGATCGCGTTCCTGGCGCTGAGCAGATCATGGCGGATGAACTTACCAAGACGGCAAGCGTTCGATCACTCAGAAAGAAGGCAGGCCAAGGGAATGATTGTGGAGTGGCGAACCCGGGCCTCAGGATCAAGAAGGAGCTGGATACCCAACCTATAACCAAGAAGCGCAAAATGGTCGATGACGAGATTGCGGAATGGCTAGACTTGCCGGAGGACGATGAAGAGTTGGCTGACGACACCTTTATCAAGCTGTCGTGATGCATAGGGGCGGTTGACGGGTGCTGTAAGTCACTGTCGTTGGATATCCATGCTCATCTCGACAGCTTTGAACGTCCTGAGCGATTGCGGAAATGGAGTCCGACAGGCGGGTCAGACACGTACATGCATGCGTATGGTAAGCACGGTACAACGAGGTACGAAAACGGGTGGACAGTGTATCCTGAGAGATCGTCCGGGGAGAAGCACTGCAATCACCACGGTTGCCCGACGAATTCCCGCAGACTGAAATGAGCGGATGGTCCGACGTGGTGCTTCCAGTACTGCGGAAGAAGGACGATAAGCTAGTGTGTGACGGACGCATTGAGTCTCAGTCACACTCACCGCAAGCAAGACTTCTCGGCCCGTCTCAGGTTCTTTCCAGTTTGATGGTCTGGGATCTACGCCCCGCTGAGAGATGATTGAATAGATGGCGGTCGTTCGCCGAGCGCAATCTTCCAGGTAAGATGTCGTAGATAATCCTTGAGATTCTACACCAGAATGAGCATTAGACAAATGCGAAGAGAGTTGGCTCGCTCACTCAATATGGCTCGATTCACTTGATCCGCCAGAGCTATCCTTCTATTTTGGTCCAAGAATCCCTTGAGTATACTCGTCTCTGGATCCGTATAAGCGAACAATGCTCCGACATCCTTGATCTCTTGTAAATACACAGCTCGAACTTCTGGCGGTAGCTTCTTCGCTTCTGTATGTAGTCCTTGGGCCGCTGTGAGAGCGTTTATAAGTGTTATTTTTGGACTGAGACCTGATCCAGATGCCCCGAGGGCGTTCCCGTTCGATGTGGTGGTAGTACCATTGGTTCCGGGAACAGGGAGATACATGGACGAAGTGAGAGAAGTGATGGAACTGGTCGATGAGGAAGGAGAAGAAGGAGCTAATTGCCTGAATGACTCGATAAATTGTTGGATCTGGAGATTCAAAGCGACGTGAGATGGGGTTGTGGAAGTGGGGAATACGGGGATGGTGAGGTCTGATGAGCCTGGTGTTGAAGAACCATTACTGATCGATCCGGAACCAGGAGTAGAGGTCCCACCCATCCCGGATGGAGGCGGCACGTTCAATCCCAAAGTGGTAGTGGTGGAATAAGCGGGTTTGGCAGGCAAAGCCGAAAGGGAAGAGGTTGAAGCCGATGGACTTGGACTGACTGCCCACGGATTGCCCATTGGTCTGAGGGAAGTTGTTGGAGATGCAGGAGCGCTGGTATCGAGAACGGCTGGAAAGTACGTGTTGAGCGCTTCGACAGCTCGAATGATGGCTCCATTCAGAATGTAATTGATGATGGCTGGAGCGATGCGGGGATAAGCGATGTCAACGAGGATCAGCGTCTCAAGGTAACCCACCACGACGCCTTTCAATGGACTCCAGTTCTTGATCGGAGAGCAGACAGGGCGTATCTCCTCCATCTGAGCTCTCTACATCTCCGACATCCATGGTCACATCTCCATTCGTGGGCAATCCGCTTGTCGATCCTGACATGTCCACATCTTCAGACTCCAGTCTTCCGGCATCCGCCGACGATCCATTGGTCGTACGTCCGCCGTGTCCAGACGCCCTCTGATGCTTAGTCAGAGCTTGAGCCGTGGCAGAGTAAGCTTGGTTTGAGATGTAATCCACGACCACATCGTGCTATGGAAGAGTCAGAAGCAGCTACAGGTACAAGACACGACACAAGCTGAAGAGCCGAGATGGGCGGATCGAAGCGTACATGTCGGGCGGGAGTGTGAACAGACTAGATTCGACTTACCAGACACGTCGGAGCCTTTGGTTTGCCTTTCCCTTTGCTATCGTAAGCCATGTTGGCTTTCCACTTTACCGCGTATGCCTTGGACGGTGATGGAGGTGAGTGCTAAATATCTTGTATCGCCTGACCGGTAGAGGACCGAGACAGCGGAATCAAAATGGAATCTCGGGGTGGGCGCCTGATTTCTGTTTGGACCTGGTGAAACGGGTGGGACATGGAAGATGGGCAGATCATACAAGCATGATGAGAGCATTATAAGGAACAGTAAGAGCTACGTCGTTATAATAGAAGACACCCATAGCAGAAAGGAAAGCATGCGAGAATGTCCAAGGTGGGGTCGAGCTGACAGAACTTGCAATCAGGCCACCGCCGCGAGTCCGAGACCAGCACAGAGCAGGCCAAAGGAAGAGAACCAAGTGACGTGGCTCGCTGCGCCAGTGTGAGAGGTACTGGCCGCAGAAGAAGTGCCAGAGCCAGAAGGAGAGGCAGAGGAAGAGCCTGAAGCTCCAGCAGACGTAGCGGCAGCAGCTGCGACTTGAGGTGGGTAGTCTGAGCCTATGGGCTTGATCTCGAACGACTGGGATTCAGCGTACACATCTGTGGATGGAGGCATCAGCTCTGCGGTGGACATCCGATAGTCAAGGAGAGCTCACTGGTCGAGTTGAGGGTGTCGGTCAATTGTATGGTGTATCCAGTCGCGGGTGTGATATTGCCTCTGTGTCATGAGTGAGCTTCACTGGCATTACGCAATAAGTGATCAGCTCACGGGTTGACAGTCTGTGACATGTCATAGTATGGTTCTGGGGAAAAACGAGAAGGTCAGCACGATCTGGTGAAGTTTCATCTCACCGATGGAGATCAAGGCGAGCTTGGACGTCTGACACGTTCATCAGCTTTGGTCTATGTCTCTGAGAGTCAAGGGGGGAAAACCCACCAGAATCTGCGGGTTGGGATTATAGAGGAAGACAGAGAACGATGTGGGAGGGTTAGATCCTCCTCCGGTCCAAGCGACAGTATTGTCAGATTGAGCGATCCCTGAGAACGGGCGATGCAGTCAGTCGACGAACACACATCGTATTAGGGTCCTGCTCTCTAGGAGGAGATTCGTCAAGCTCCCATCCCCTAATCAAGCCATTCTGATTCTACTGAAAATCACGCTCGCCAGCTCGCCAGCTCGCCAAGCACGCCTGATGGCCTGGACGACTGTGAACAGTGGAGTTCACTCACACCAATGATCAGTCGTCGGTTGTGTAATGGTCAGTTGCTGTGCGAGCACCGCAACGGCTCCGAGGAGTGATCCGACCGTGTACAGTGGGCGGACCATGGTGAGGTCAGTTAGGTTACAGGTAGGAAGAGCTAGCTACAGAGTCTGTGGTTTGAGGACGGGATCCAGCGGTGAGAGAAAGCGATGATGGCGATGTGAGAAGAGACAAAGATGGAAATGTCGGTGGAATAGATGCATAGAGAGAGGCTTGATATAGCTCTTCTAGTGTGAACAGCCTCCTCCGCTCGTCCCTATGGCTAATTTGAAAATTCAATTGTCACGTGGATGGCTGTTTCAGGATAGATGATGACGCTGATAGTGGCGAGTCGTTTCAGCAGCCAAATGCAAAATGCAAATCGATTATACGGGGTGCGCGATGCCACAAAATATACGACGAGACTATAGACTTCCCCAAACTCCCACCATCTCTTTCTCATCAGCCGCCTCGATCCCTCTGGCTCTAGCTCTCAATCTCAGATTACGATCAAACGTCACCATCAACACTTGAATAGCGCCTCCTCCTTCAGCGTTCGACCCTGCATTCGATCTGAAATGCTCAGATTGGAATGAAGCCACGTTGAGTATCAGATCATCCATCGTCGTCCCGTCTGTACGTCCCGCGTCATGGTGAGATTCCGCGCGGATCGTCAGATCAGACAGGTAGTTTCCCTTGGAAGTTTGAATCTTGAGGTTACGCGAGTGAGATCGTACCCGTGCTTCAAGGTATGTGATAGCCAGGGAGGCAGATTCGCCTAGAGGTGGAGGGTTACGAGAGAGCCCGTCCAATTCAGTGATGACTACAAGGCGGGTCAGCCAGCACATCTGTAATAAGCCAGCATTTTAACCCACCTGGAAGGGGCACGACGACCTTCCACTGTCCGCCGTCGATGACTCGCTTGACAAGCTCGAGGGAAGAGAGAAGGACATTGGTATCGAATACCAACGTGGTGTAACCAGGCATAGCATGGAGACTCTTCCGAGAAGACTTTTTCGGTTTGGAAGACGGACGAGGCAGTGCAGAGTCGAGCATGGACCGCAAGCGGCGGCGGCGTTCCTGGAAAGAAGAAGCGGTGTCAATGTATTTTCGCGCCTTGCACGATGTTGGACTCACCCGCAGAGCTGCCATTTCCGGATCTCCATCCTCAATCTCCGACTCGATCTGTTCTGCAATCTCCAGATCCTCTTCTTCTTGTTGTCTCTGCTTCCTCCTGAACATCGCCTCTTCCTCTTGTATTCGTTGTATCTCTTTCATGCTGGAAATATCATCCAGTCGTCTCTTGAGCGATCCCGTGATGACGACCTTTCCATCGCGTAGCTCCAGGCCATCCATATGCTTGACCATAACGCCAGCTGCCCAAGCGACACGCCGCCATCGACGTGCATTCACTGCAGTGGGTCCGTCCGTCAAATCAGTGTCTTCTGCCTCTTCGACCACGCCTTGACTGATATCAAGCGAGCTGTCAAAGTTGGCCAAGAGAACGTCCATCTCACTTGCGAATCGCTCGCCTGAATGAGGTTGAGCGACACCGCCAGAGTTTCTCGAATTAGACTTGGTCTTCCAAAAGCCTCTCTCATACACTCGTCTTCCGACCCATTCCATGCCTCTCAGAGCCCAGTCTTCAGGCAACGGAATATGAGAGACGAGTTTCGTCTCTTCCTTGATCTCTGGGGAGTATTTGTTGAAGAATTCGACGAGGGGATACCAGGGCACATGAGGGAGGAGCAGATCACCGATGTGAGTCTGTCTGAATGCAGTGGCGATGAATGTGAGCAGGCAGGTCAGATACGGGTTGAGAACCGTCTGAAGACCTTGTTGGCGGAAAGGGGTTGAGAGAAGGAAGGAGAAGACTTCCATGGTCATTTCAATCGCATCGGTCAAGACCATTGGCATGGTTGTCGATTCTTCAGGAATAGCTGGAGGAATGGTCACCGTCGAATCCAGGGTACTTCCGTGATGTTGTTCATCGGAGCCTTCAGCCCGCTCGGCATCGTCTTCCCCCTCGTGATCGTCCTCTAGGACGGCATGTGCACGTCGCCGCTCTTGACCTTCCATCGCAAAGGCTTTACGGATAACTCCCGTTGGCGAACCGTATTGCAGCATGGCAGCTAGATTGACACTGGCCATGATCATCCAATCGACCTGGGAAATGTTGGTCGGTCGATTAGCGTGATCCAATCTGGCATCTTCGTCCAATCGCTCCATGTATCGAGACATGACGGGTTTGAAATTATCGAGGTCAATCTTGGTGAACAGCATGCCGTGTAGTCTGACGAAGAGGTCCACGGCCTTGGCTTCGGGTAATGATCGTTGAGATTGAAGTGCCGAGTCGAACAGGGGGAGTATAGTTTCACGAGATGTGGCGTATTCGTGAGTGACGACGAGACTGACGAGGTCAGCACCACAGTGACAACGCATCAAAAAGGCTTACCTTTTGGTAAAATGATGCAGTGCTCTGGGCTCAAGACCAGGGACATCGCGGCAGAGCAATGCCAGATGATGATGCAGTCTCCCCTCACCGGGTTTCTCCGTCACGCCCATCGAGTACCAATCTCTAGCCGTAGTCCTCCACGTCTCTTGATCCTCGACATCCCATGATTCAGCCACCTCCGCTCCGATACTCGCGCCGCTACTCTGGGCAGGTCCATCGAGATCGTCACGGGAACGTGGGCGATAATCTGTGCCTCGCCTAGAATCCAACGCCCCGCCGTTCGAGGAGACGTGCGATGCGATATTCATCCTGTATCGGGCTAGGTCGCCCAATGCTTCGATCCAAGCGGTCCGGAAATGGGACATAGCTTGATCCTCCAACAGATCCGTATAGAATTTGTACGCGTCATACACAAGATCCGTGAGCAGATCCAGCGCAGACGGATGTGCTGTCATCCAAGCGAGTCGAAGTCGTTCAAGAATGAGATGGAACGAGACTTGCCATAAGCGAGAAGGGATATTATATTTGACGGCAAGTTGCGAAAATGTAGATGGGATCAAGGGGTCAAATACTCGAACGAGAAAGAGATGATGCAGATCGGCGAGTCTACAACTGTCAGCAGATTGGCGAAGATAGGACCACTCACTCTTTATGTTTGGCAATGAGATCCATCCACGCTGCCGTGTCTTCGCCATGTGCAGATCGATGGGTCGTCCCAGGCTGCATCAGGACAGATATCCCAGCCGATGGATCCAAAGCCATCTTTCGGTGCATCTCGTTGAGCTCCGCTTCTAGCGCTCGGATCTTGTTGTGGACGTCCTTCAGGACCGCTTTGATACCAGTGTCGCTGATAGCGGATCAGCTTAACAGGAATACCTCGAGCTCAAAGCGTGTGACACTCACCCCTTGCCTTTACCACGCTCTCTATCCCTCAAACTCTCGCTTCCATCGCTACTCCGACTCTCTTTGGACCTCGTATCGCTATCCTTCCTCTTACTGTGCAAGCTTCCCCTCTCGCTACCCTCTCTCCGCCTCCTCCTCTCCCGTTCCCTGTCCGCTTCTTCCTCTGGCGTCCGAGTACTTCCTCCAGTCGTCCGACGAAGTAACGAACGACCACTGGACTGTTCAGAGGGCGGTGCATAAGCCTGCTGAGGATGAAGATGCGTCGTTGGAAAAGATGATGAAGATGGTCTGCTAGATGGTACAGGCAAAGGCGAAGTTGATCCACTGAGATGAGGCGATCGATTGGCAAAATGGTGTGGATCATGAATGTCGGGTATGAACAGCTTCTTGTTGGGATCTAGGCGTCGATCTGTGCGTGATGCTTGGGAAGATGTAGGGTGAGATGGGTTGAGATTGGATATTCGAGGGGAAGGAGGCGAGATCCTTGGGGTAGAGTGGGCGGAATATTGATCATGGCCGCCGCCCCTTCGAGCATCCCCATTGATCACTCCATGCCTCTCCTTATCCATCCTCGCTCTACTTTCTTCCTTTTCCCTATCTAAGCGTGGATCTTTCGGCTCGTATCGTGGAGGTGGGAGAAGTCCATTGGCGATGTCCAATCGATGAACAGGGGGAGCAGAAGGGTCAAAAAGGGTCTTCTTGGATGGCCCCGCTCTATCCACGCCTCGATTAAACTCGTCGATGTCCTCATAGGATCTCACGGGGAGTCTGTGTATTGAAGCGTCAGCTTGGATGCTCTTCCTGAGTAGTAGCAAGAGTCACACAGGATCAAGATGTCCTGCGCTTCTCCAGCAGCAGCACTCTCGACTCACCTTGTTGGACCAGTGGCACTTGCATTCTTCCTTTGAAGAGCGACTATGCGACTCGCCACATCGTGAGGGGATGGATCTAATCGTCTTCGTGTCGAGGCTTCAGGATACGCTTCCATCCTATACAACCGCTCGAGCAGCAACAGTAGTCCACCCCTTTGTCTGCGATCCACTTGTCCTCCGCAGAAAAGGGTGGTTCTGGCTCGCCCTCGCCGTTGATGACCACAACAATAATAATATTGTTATTTTGATCCAAGCCGGACCACCATAAAGGAGGAGCCGCTCTCCTCAAGCTCCCTCTCGTTCTGCGTTCACTACCAGCTGGACACCGTCGAATCCTTTGTGCGATGTTGCTGTCCGACGAAGTCGTCGCGAGACAAATGTTGAGATACTCCTGAATACGTCCACCACGTCCCCTTCTCTCTTTTGCTCTTGACTGCGATTCGCAGCTTTTAATTGGGATTGTCACCCAAAATGCGCAGTCAGCTGCTGCTGCTGCCTGGAGCTGGGAGATATAAGCTTATATCACGTGACTCTCTGATGCATGACGTCTATTTGATTCCGTCCGTCCAGGTCTCGGTTTCAGCTTTGATTTTCGGATGGGCCTTTTGGACTCTTTTTTTTTTGGCTGTACACTCTTTGCATCGATTCATCGAGTCCCCCATCGACTCGATTTTCTGCTCCCTTGTCATCATGGAGATACCCACAAGTGGTCCCCAGACGGAACTACCGAAATCTGATGTGGCGCCTCGAAAGGTCAAAGACACAGAGCTCTACGATGTCCTTGGCGTCGCCCCAGAAGCTACGGAGCTGGAGTGAGTGCTTTATTGGTGGACTCATCCGAGGGCGTACCGTACGAGACTGATGTATCGCGTGTCTGCTGCGCATAGGCTCAAGAAGGCGTATAGAAAGATGGCCATCAAGGTGAGGTCTTCAAGGATCGTTGTGACGCGTCAGATCATTGACACAGCTCCATCAGTGGCACCCCGATAAGAACGCCGGGTCTCAAGAAGCCGAGCTGAAGTTCAAGGAAGTAGGGTATGTCGTGTGATGGATAGCGCATACAACACACAAATAATAATGCGTGTGATATAGAGAAGCTTATCAGATCCTGTCGAATCCTGATCAACGAGCCTTCTATGATAAAGTTGGCAAGGCCGGTATGAAGCGCCCTGAAGAAGGTGGCGAGGTGGATCCCCAAGAGATCTTCTCACAGATGTTCGGCGGGGGTGAGTCGGTTGATGATTCCTTTGGGATCGTGCTGAACTGTATGCAGAGGCTTTCTTTGATTATGTGAGCTAGTTTCACTGACCCGATTGTGGTGGACTCTGACCTTGCGCAAAGATCGGCGAGATATCCCTAGTCAAAGGTGTGTATGCTTAGGCATATTTTACAGCAGTCGGGGCTAATGCCACATTTCAGATTTCACATCCACGATGGACGTCGTCATGACTCCGGAAGAACGAGCCGAGATGGAGGCTGCGAAGAATGCCGAGACTGAGAACATTCAGCATGAAACTTCTGGCGCAGATTCCGAGACGACCACAGCTACTGCTGCTGCTTCCACGACAGCAGGCACTGTTCCCGGCGCCTCGATGACGGCCGCAACAGCGGAGAAATCATCTGAGGCCCCATTGTCAGGTACTGCTCCGGCGCAAACAGAACAATCCGGATCATCTCTCGCACACCACTCGTCCTTTTCCTCTAGTAACACGCCGACCCCGTCAGCCAGCTCCACGGAACTTGGTAAAGCGTCACCTGGACCCAAAGACAAGAAGGGCAAGCACAAGTTATCGCCTGAGCAAAAGGCTCAGTTAGATGCGTTGGAGAAGAAGCGTGATGCGGAGAAGAGTGCGAGGTGGGTTAAGTGGCCGTTATGGTGATTGACCTGTGTTCAGGATCGAGGTTCTCAAAGAAAAGCTTATCCAACGGATCCGTCCGTTCGTTGAAGCTCGCAATCCGGGTGACATCAATGATCCGGAGACCAAGGCGTTCGAAGCGCGTATCAAGACCGAGGCGGAGGATCTGAAGCTCGAGTCATTCGGGATAGAGGTGGGCGAGCAGCCGGCGGTGAAGGCTATCATTGACCGTCTTTCTCAGCTTCTTCATACCATCGCCGGGGTGTATATTACCAAAGCGGGCAACTTTATTAAGTCTAAAAAGTTCCTCGGAGGCGGGTTCCTCGGTAGACTTAAGGAGAAGGGGGGTATGGTCAAAGAAGGATGGGGTTTGCTGGGATCCGCGTGAGTTTGGCGGACATGAAAACCACTGCGAGGCTAACCCACACCTAGGATCGGCGTTCAAGCGGCGATGGAGGAGATGGAGCGGTTGGAGCAAAAAGGAAATGCTACGCCGGAAGAAATGGAACAGTTGGCTCAAGAGGTCTCTAGCAAGATGCTGTTGACGACCTGGAAGGCAACCCGCTGGGAGGTCATCAATGTAGGTCGATAGGGAAGAATGCCTCGCTGACGCTTAGGTCCTCGGAGCTGTGCTTGACAGAGTCCTGTATGAGCCTGGGTTATCGAAAGATGCCGGACTGCGCCGCGCAAAGGCCATCATGACAATCGGTGGCATCTTCAAATCTATAGAGGCGGACGAGTCGGACGAGGAGAGAAGAGAGCTGGAGAGGTGGGTCGAGGAGTGCCGGTGCCGGTGCCCGCGAAGTTGGCGTACTGACAATGGTCGATGTGTTTTTCAGACTTGTGATGAACGCGGGAAACAAGAAGAAGAAGGCTGAAAAGGAAAAGGAGCAAGCAAAGAAGAGTGGTGGATGGGGATGGGGCAAGGTGGACACGAGTGCACAAGGTGCACCTGCGAGTAGTGCTGCTGGTACTGCGCCCGTGCCGGGAGAGAAGGCAGAAGCGACGAGCACCGATGCCAAGGTATAATTTGGAGATCACGGCGGAGGCAGGATTTCATCACGGAGAGCAACGTGCAGTGTGCTTAATTTGCAAAGATCATTGTTTCAAACGAACAGCTTCTCAATAGACGTCCCAACGATATACTTGCATGACGAGACACATCTATCCTATGACCCACCTCTCAAAGTTCGCGCTAAACTGCCAGTTCCGATGCACGCTTATTCTCCAACCCTGTGATGCTCGCTAATATTCTCGATTGATGATGAGCCATGGCCAATTCTGCCCCTTTACTTTTGAGCGCCTCGTCCCTCTTCCTCTGCTTTTCCTCTGCATCTGCTTCGGTGGTATCTCGTCGTTCTGCCCTTTTCCGAGGTCTGTACTTGCAGAAGTAATACCAGATCAATGTAGCAATGAGGATGAACCCGATCACACCTGGAAACAAGTTTAGCGAGTGTATCACGTTGTAGAAGGGTCGAGAGAACAAGTGCGAGATACCAGAAAGAATCACGCATGGAGATGGTTCACACTTGGAAGCGGGCAAAGCTCACCACCGATGACGCTGACACAGGCCTCCAACGTCATGTTGTTCCCGCATGTTTTCGCACTCTCTTTCGCGTCGTCGACATAGTCCATGATGAGTGGAGTGAAGGATTGTAGACAGGGTCGGTGAGAGGCCGCCACAGGCTTGATCTGACGCTAACGTAGAGTGAGAGGGAGACACGTCGAGTCGAAATATTTGTCTTTCAATGGACGATCCGACTTTTGACTGTAATGAAAACAAACGATCTGCTAAACTGGCAGCAGAAGCATGGCAAGAGTGAGTGTGTGTGTGTGTGTGGCTCTGATGACACCGGTGAGATCGATACGTTGACGATGGTCAGAGGAGATCAGTCAATGTTCACATCTCGTCTTTGGAACATATAATCCACTAGAAAGGATTTCCCGAGTCCCAGAGGGAGTTTAGAGAAAGGAAGGTAGGTGGAGTTTCAGGGGGGGGAACAAAACACCAAGCCGCTCCAAGCGATCTCGAGATCAGTCCGATGCTCGTGTCCTGGACGAGCCCTAGTGTTGATACATGTTCAAAGTAATATACAACGTACGTCGTGGAGCGATGCTCAGGTTGAACCGGGCTCTTCAGTCGAAGTGTATGGTATTCTGACGAGTGTCGGGATAGGCTCTGCTTCTTCGTCTGCCCGAGTCTCGCCGGGAGGTTTGTCTGATGGCCAGAGTCTCAGCAACCTCTTGTTCATGTACCTCGAAGAGGTGCAGATGCCTCCATCCGATCCGAATGGGGAGTACTCACCAAACAGGTTGAGGATGCCGAATACATGAGGCCAGTTTTTCATCACTTGTCCGATAGCTGTAAACCAAACGATCTCAGCGACGGAAATCAAGCGATACCCATGGAAACAGATGGAGCATCATCCGAGACGCAGATACACATGTCAAACCACCGAGCCCACTCACCCTCCCCGCCATCCGCCATGATATGATTCATCTCTGCCAATTTTTCGACCCTCTCCAATAAATCTTTCGAGGCATCTCTCAATTGTAACAGACCCAAATGTTCACGCTGTTTCTGAAGCAGCAGCTGATGAGCTGGCGGTAGGGAGCTCGGGTCATCCGCTTGACTCGTCATGATGTTTGGTGTGGAAGATGTGGAAGATGAATGAAATGTTGGGCCCCCGCGCCCCGTCTTACGCTCGGCAGCTTCTGGTTCTGGACTATAAGGACGAGATAATAATGATACGCGTCGACACGGCCCAACGCGCAGAACCCGCAACCCCGTGATCCGGACGACAAACCCCCATTTGTAAGCAACGGGGTACTCTGTTCAATCTCCGCACCACGTGGCTTTACCATCCACACCTTGGGATTGCTTGGATTTCGCGCCAATTGGCTTCTGCTTCTTTTGCAGGACTGATTCTGACCTCTGCATCCATCAACCAGTCATGAGCAACTGCCACATGAGCCTCCTTGACGCACGTTAGTAGGATGATTATATCGCGCAGACAGTGCTACCCATTCAACTCGTCCTTCGGTGACCGACACCGGCGATGAATGCCAAGCGGTTTCATGAGCCCGTCTCCCGGGCGCAATTTGGCGTCGAGTCCGGCGAAATAGAGAGTGTGTGCCGGTTTATTAGCCGTTGTTCTAATCCCCCGCACCTTCATTAACAAATGGTATTAGCAAAAATCACCCCCTGGGCGGGCTCGCTGATTATGTAGTATTGCCATTGGTTCCTGAAAAAGTTCGCTGCTTATCGGGCATGAGAGGTGGTTTTTTTCAAACAAAAGCCCGCGTTCCTTTGACCGGCGACACTTACGTCTTATATAAAAGGTGGGCTGCCTCTCATCATCACTCCTTGTACGTCCTCTTCTATACAGTGCTGAGCACCTCGTGCAAAACATCGTATACTTCACCAATTTATTCTCTCGGAAAGCATGTCTGAGAAACCCATCGAATCCCCGCCTGCAGCGACCACACGCTCCCCATCCCTCGATCCCACATTACACTCTTCTACCGATGCTGAACTGGGTGTCATCGCCATGGCGGCTGGGAAACCACCGGTTCCAATCGATGGAGAGGCTTCCGATGATGATGCTCACCATGTTCATCCTCTGGCTCAACTGGGAGCAGTGAGGAAGAACTTTCTCCTGTTCATCTTTGCCGTTGCAACCTTTGTCGATGGTGAGTGACAAGCTCACACTGTCTTTTTACCTCCGTCCAAGCTCGCCTTCACGGGCATCTCGGTCATAATGCTCCGGTCTACCTAGACAAAGACACTGACTCCATGTGCTTTCTTTTACCACAGTGTGCAACGTCTCCGGAGTCGCCATTGCCGTTGCACAAATCGGCATGGACACCGGTCTGCACATCTCACAATTGGTCTGGGTGAGTTTGTTTTTGACTCCGGGCATGCCGTTCGTCCGGTCCGAGGAATTTTTGGACTGAAGCCTTCCTTCTGCCGCCTCGTTCAGATCATTACAGCCTACTCCCTCTCATTCTCCGCTTTCCTCCTGTTCGCAGGACGACTGAGTGACTTGTTTCCCGCTTCCGTCATCTTTGAAGCTGGTTTCGCCATCCTCGGTATATTTTCACTCGTCACCTCCTTTGTCACCAGCGACAAGTATGGATTCTTGGTCCTTCGAGGCCTTGGCGGTGTATCTGGAGCCATGACCATCCCTTCAGCTTACCACCTCCTGGTTCACATGTTCCCAGAACCAAATCAACAGCAACAGAAGTTGGGCATGTTGGGCTTGGCAGGTGCATCGGGAAACGTGTTGGGTCTGGTCCTGGCTGGATTGTGCATGTTGGCGAGCTACAAGTGAGCCAAGAGCGCAATAGGGCTGGAAATCCAGCTGACATCAAACAATCTTCACAGATGGTTCTTCAGGCTCATGGCTATCATCTGGTGAGAAAACGATTGGCCTCCCCGCTTTGCTCGGCTGTTTCATGACTAACAATTTATCCAGTATCAGCTTCTCCGCCATGACTATCTTTCTCTTGCCTTACACCGGCTCATCGTACGCCCAGGGCAAAGACTCAACCCCACGATGGAAGCGGATGGATGTCATTGGAGTCTTGATTCTCGAGGGAGCTTTGATCTGCTTCATCCTCGCCTTGACTCAAGGACCGATCGATGGATGGAACAGTGCCAGCTTCATCGCCCCATTCATCCTTGCTTTCCCTCTTGGTGTTGGATTTTTCTTCTGGGGTCAGTCGATCGGACACCGACTGAGCGAGTACCGCTAACCGAATCGCTTCAGAGAGCCGAATCCCACCCAAGTCTGCTGTCCTGCCCAGCTCGGTCTGGAAGATCACCAACGTCATCATCAGTTCACTCGCTGTCCTGTTTCCCTTTGCTTTCTGGGCAACATCGTGAGTCAATTCTCAGTGTGGCATCATCTGAACCCCCATTAGTCAACTACAGTATGCCACATTCTGGCAAGAAGTACTGCATTGGAGCCCTATTCATGTCGCCGCTGCCATGCTTCCACAAGGTATCATCGGATTGATCATCGGTGGATTGGCTCAGCCGATCCCCGGTATCATCAACAGACCTAGAATCTCGTTGCCCATCGGCGCAGTGTGTGAGTCAGACCCCTTCCTGCCTGGGCGGAGCTCTGTTGGCTAACGCTCCGACACAGTAATCATCATCGCTGAGATCCTCCAAGTGTACTCGGATGGAGGGCGTGGGATGAACTATTGGAGATACTGTTTTCCCGCGTTCATCATCGGTTCAGCTGGTGCCATGATCACCTACTTCGCTTCGGCGATCAACTTGATCTCGTACTGCCCTCCAAGCAGTGAGTCTCTATGATGCCACACTGTCAAATAATTTCGGACGAGGCTGACGTTAACCTTTAGTGTTAGTGGCCTTTTTTTTTTTTTTTCCACCACCAGATCTTCCGTCCGACATCTCTTTCCTCTCGCAGACCTCCATGCGTATCGTTTGCGAAATGTTGCTGACTTCCGGAACTTTAGGGCGGGCGTGGCTGGGGCATGGTGTCAAGTCTTAGGTGTGTGCTCGTCGTCGTCGTTGTTCCGGACGATCCCTCAGCTCACGATCGCTCAGCTCAGGTCGGCGGAGCCATCTGCCTCGCCGTTCAGGCGGGTTTGCAAACTGACGACTTGGCCGACTGGAAGAAGTCCTCAGGCCGTGCCTACTGGTTCATGGTCGCCTGGGTGGCTGTCCTCTCGCTCCAGTACCTCATTCTATACAGGAAGCCTGCTTCCGTCGCCGAAGAACATGAACGAGCGATGCAGAGAATCAGAGATGCCGGCAAGGAATGAAAGAGAATGGCAAGAGAGTGTTCTGAACGTCAACCATGTCATATCACGTCCCATAGAGCTCTATAATCCCTGTGCATGTGTATCATCTTGCTGACACAAGCGCTTGTACGAAGGTCGAAGGAAGATGAGGTGCCACACGAGTGGGGTCAAAGTTACGTAATTATCGCCACTTGGCTCGCAAGACTTGACCGGTGCCAATCCCCTTTCATCTCGACAGTGAACTGCTATTTCGTCAGCTAGCATAGATTACCGTGTACGCATCACGACTGCCGTCACACGTCTCATTTACGATGGCGATCTCATTCACGTCTGATCAGCAGACTCAACTGCAGGTGAGCGAGTCCGTCAAATGAATTCATGAAGTAGCGCTGATTTACTCATCTTGTCCCCTTTCGTTGTGGCTCCCCGCCTACAGTCCGAAGTCCAAGCTGAACTTGAGCGCCGAGAATGGGCTGAACCAGATGACAATGTTATGGCGGAATATATCACCGTCTTATTGGCGAATGGGAACTCCCGAGAAAAGGTGCATACGGAGATGAATGATCTCGTTGGATCAGATTTCGATGAACGGTTCCTTGAATGGTTGTTCGACACGGCGGCGGACATCACCCGGACTCCAGGGTCCAGACCTTCTCCCAGTCCTGTTCCGGATCGTCAGAGGCGTGAACCGGCCTCGGCCAATGGTGTAACGGGAGAACGACGTGCTGCTGGCGACCCGAGTCATGAACGACGAAATCGATTACTCGACAGTGCCCTCGGAGATTTACATCAGGGCGAAAAACGCAAATCTGGAGCTGATGGACGGGACGACCGAGATGGAGCTGGAGCTGGAAATAAGAGACGTATATCTGATCATGGTGCGCCTTCTGGACCCCGATCCATGGGAGGGAGGAATCTGGCAGATCGGATCGGAGGTCGTGGACCACCAGGCGGAGGCGGACAACGAGGCATGCCAATCAGAGGGATGGGTAGAGGGGGCATGAATGGAAATGGGATGGGAATGAGTGGCAATATGCCCATGGCTCCAATGGGTGGGTTACAAGGGCTTGACAAGAAGATGAAAGCTCTTTCGCTGAAGCTCATTCGTGCGCCCGTCTTTAGGCGGTTTCCAACCGGGCATGATGCAACCTGGACCCAATGCCGGATTTGGATTCTTCCCGATGCAAGGTCAAAACGAGATGATGGCTCAGATGATGATGATGCAAGCAAACATGCAACAGATGGGAGAAATGATGGCGAAAATGGCCGAGGTGAGCACACTTCATCGAGGATCTATCCAGAGATACCTTTGGAATTGACACACTCCACTCAGGAACGAGCAGTCGGCCCGCAAGCTTCAGTCCGGCCTCCCAGACCTCCTGCTCCGGCAAAGATTCCCCCCGGAACCAAACTCGGTGCTCATTCCGTCTCCATTGTCCCTCCCAAACGATCTTCTTCACCGGGACCGATCCCGGATAAACCAAGTTCAGCAGCCTTGTGCAAATTTGGTGTCGGTTGCAGTAATTCTCGCTGTCACTTTTCTCATCCTTCACCCGTGGCGGATGAGAAAACCGGCATGGTCCTCAGTGAAGAAGCTTGTGAGGCTGGGAAGAATTGTAAAGACCCGGAATGTACAATGAGTCACGTCAGCCCGGCCGCCATATTAGGTGAGTGACATCCCTGGTGACTTGAGCGGAAGGCTGATTCCGTTGTCATGTTAGGTAACTCTGCTGGACCCAGCCGAATGCTGTGTAAATACCAAAACTGCACCAACCCGTCCTGCGCGTTCCGACATGAAGACGCCGAAGGAAATCCCGTTCCTCCACCTGCTCTCACCGCTATGAAATCCACCAAAGGGCGCCCTACCAAAGTGGAGCCGGCAAAGACGACCGGCGCTACGTCCGACGGGGAGGATGGTGAAGGAGATGCGGAGGACGTCGAAGTGGTCGTTTCGAGCAAAAATTTAATGGACGGCGCGTTGGACGATACGAAGGCAGAGAAGGTCTGCAGATACGGAGAGAGGTGTACGAGGGGTGAGCAGTAGAACTGATGGATGGTGCTTCGACTTTGGACTTTTTTGACTGACAAATTATGCTTCTACCCAGCCGACTGTTTCTTCAAACACCCTCCTTCACGACCTTCACCTCGCGGAGCGAAAGGATATCGACCTCCTGGACGACTGGCACCTGGGGGAATGAATATGAGTAAAAAATTTGGTGCTAAGCCTAGTGGAAAATTGGATCCGTCTGCAGGAGAATTCAAGCCCACTGAAGTGGCCAGTTGAAGCGTCAGCAGTACGAGTTGACAGTATGAAGAGCAAAAGTCGTCGCATCCAGACAGATGTATGCATTTCCATGCGTCAACCTCATTTTTGATTCGAGTGACCGCATCCCATTATTCGGCCAAGATCCGGGTTGATCGGAACGAACGGCTAACCGGGTGAGATGAAATGCTCTATAATGTACCATTCTGAGGCCATCCTCCTACGCATTTGTGGATTTGGCGACTACTCAAACTTCTTGAAGCATATCAGGGACCCCCCTCTCTCAAGATGCTATGGACTTTGTCACGAGCCAGTAGGCTGCTGAGACCGAGCTGTACAAAGTCTTTGCCTGGGCCTGTCCTCCGAACTGCCCCCTTGTCGCGAAACCTGCAAACCACTTCTACCGCTTCTCCACCTCCTCATGCGTATCTCGAACCGCTCGACTTGAAGAATCATGAAAAGCCCGAAGAACTGGAAGGAGCCATGTGCCTCGTTATGAATAGAGAGAAAGCCAGGAACGCTTTAAGCGTTCAAATGGTTCATGTGGGTGTCTCTTCTTTTTGGGTTTGGTCTCGAGCTGGACCCAAGTAGCCAAAGTGGATCGAGCTAATGATGGTTTCAACTCGTTCCGTAGGAGATGCGAGAGGGAATAGCGAAAGTGAATGCTTCGACGAGGTAAGGTCTTGATCTTCTGTCTCTCTCTATCTCTCTCGAGATAGAGATGGAAGATGAGAGAATATCCAATCGAGAGGTTTCACAATTCGCTCAACTGACATTCGCCTTCTTCTTGCCTTTGCTCTCTCTCGCTCTCTCTAGTGCTCGACTTCTACTCCTTCACACACCGTTTACTGGGATGTTCTGCGCCGGTGCAGATCTACGAGAACGAGCTACCATGTCACAAACTCAAGTATCAGATTTCCTGAACGCTCTACGAAGTATGATGCAAGAGCTGGAAGGGTTATCCGTTCCAACCATCAGTGTGGTAGATGGATTCGCCATGGGAGGAGGGACAGAATTGGCTCTCAGCTGTGATCTAAGGGTCGGGGGTGAGTTGAAAACGGAACGGATCGGCATCCGTGTATCCATGGCAGTGGGTTTGTAAAACAGGCAAGCGAGGCGAAGCGAAGCGACACCAGACCGAGTAATGGACGAATACTTCTTCCGCCCATGTGTCTGTCTGTCATCGCGCACCCTCAGCATCTCGTTCAAGAGCTCGCTAGATGCACTGGACTGCTCTGCTTTGCTCTGGGCTACGCTGCACTCTGCTTCTCGCTCGCCTTTTAGCTGACACCCCAGTTCAGGTCCAAAAACTACCATGGCCCTCCCGGAGACTAAACTCGGAATCATCCCTGGAGCAGGAGGAACCCAACGATTGACCCGACTTGTCGGTGTAGCCAAAGCGAAAGAATTGATATATACAGGAAGGAGAATAGAAGGGATAGAAGCGGAGAGAATAGGCGAGTCTTTGCTGTTCACCAAAGAGGACGTGAACGGCCTGGAAACTTTACTTCGGGCCATTAAACCTCGCGATGACGATGAGCTAACGTATGCTTCCCTCTCCATCTAGGTCTCGTCAACCTGCTGGCTAGGGAACCTAGTTCCGCTTGGGATGCGGCTTTGGCACTTTCAAGGCAGATCCTCACATCGGGTGAGCTTCTGTCTTCGAGAGTTAAAAGAGTGGGGGATTGCTCTGCTGACATCCACCGCGCGACTTTCTCAGCTCCCCTCGCACTGCGTGCTGCCAAGATGGCCATAGATTCCGCTGTGGATCTCCCATTAGAACAAGGTCTCGATATGGAGAGGAAAGCCTATGCCACATTGTTAGATTCCGAAGATAGAAAGGAAGGTCTGAGGGCATTCGCAGAGAAGAGGCGGGCAAAGTTCCAGGGGAAGTGAAAAGGAAGGATTAGATGTCGACATGCATGTCGGGAAAGCTATTGTGTTCGCTTCACACCATTACACGAGGCCATTTATAGAGGCGTCTGCGATCGTCGTCGTCGTCGCCGCAGCAGCTGCGTCTGTCTCTGCAGCTGCTCTGGCCAACTTGCGCTTCTGCCTTCTCTCCACCTCCCACCTTTCAGCCTCCAGCACCTCTCTTGACCGTTTCGCAGCCTCCTCCTCTTTTGTCCGCATGAATGCCAGTTCCAATGCCGCGTCAGGATCTGTCGAAAGGGTGCCGACCAATCGATCCTCTCGACTAGCTTCAAACACATGTTCGATACTTGCCAGACCTTTCGCTGCTGATCCACTGATACTGCTTTGTACAAAATTCCTGTATGCCGAGTCGGATCTCGAGGCTATAATGGGGAACGGCGAAAGTCGGTCGAAGAGAGATGAGGAGGGCTGCGTATGGCTCGGGACGTGAGGCAAATGCGTGTGAGGCTGGCACATCAGAACGTAAGCGAAGACTGAGCTTGGACAGGGATACAGAACTCAGACTCTCACCTCGTAGACGGCTCGAATGATACCTGGTTCCCAATGTCCCAATCCCCAATTATACTTTTGATTATACCCAGCGGTCGTCTCTTGGCTTTCCACGATAATCTTCCCACCTGGCGTCCGATCCACACGATCGTCCACATGATGATCACCTGTTTCTGAGAGTTGCTCTGACTCCGTCGCACTCGGATCACTGTTCATTTCTTCATCTTCATCCTCTTCTCCTCCGGCCCCATCTCTATACTGCTCCTCATTGTCCTCCTCCTCGTCACTTTCCATGGTAATCTCTTGCGCCAGTGCACTCCTTTTACGTCCCTGTATCGGCGGCCGAAGGAGATGGCCGTTTCCATTCGCATGTGCATGGCCTTTATTTTGAGAAAGACCCTGTGCATTTACCAGTGACGATTCCCCATCCCGATTCTCCATGGCGTAGACCCATCCCGTCGTCGCGTCAACACCTTGCAGCACTTTGAGCCTCTCCTCTCTGTATTCTCTGAGCTGCTTGTCGATGGCCCTGCTCTCTTCTGCAGTGCGTAACATCCAATCGTCCTCGCTTACACCTATACTCCGCAATTTGGTTCGTTTCCCTCCCCAGCCAGCATCAGACCACGGGTCAAGACCGGATCCTCCAAATTGAGTCGTCGGACCTCCAACAGTGTAAAATGGAGTCAACGCAACTGCCCTAGCAGTGGAGGCGTCGATGCCACTGGTGAGAAAGGAGGTCGATGGTCGACCAACGGGTTGAAGGGTCGAGACGGCATTGGCAACGATTTCATCCTCGTGTGCCGGACCATGAGGTGTCCATCCATTTTCCTCGCATTTGGCCAGTGCATCTTCCTCGTCGTAATCATCGGTGACCCACCTGCCATCTGGAGCGCCAAGTGTCAATGACTCCTGCTCCGGCTTTTTCTCTCTACAGACTCACTCTTGATCAATCTCGCGCCCATGAGCTTGTACACGTTCCGCATAGTCACGATGGTGACCATTCTATTCTTGAGATTCCCAGGGACACGTCCAATATTGATCAGCATCTCCCGCTCCTCGGCATTACAGCTCAATTTCAAGATTTGGGGACATCGACGAAGAAAGGCGAGGGAATCAGAGTACCCACACGCTCGAGCGACGTCGATGGTGAGGCCGTACACTCGGTCAGGATTTCGTCGTGTAGGTGAATTGAACGTGTGGACTTTCCATTCGCGTCCTAAGCAGATGAATTAATAAGGATAATCTATCGTCATTCCACTGGACACTAAACGACATACCTCCTGTGAGTCGTCCGAGAGAGTCAATCTTTGCATCCCCTTTTTCGTTATCCGGCAGCTCTACCTCGTCATCTCCAAGCGTATAGTCGATGCCCTTGAGATTGATGGTAGACCCGACTGTAAGATGTCAGCAGGATCCGTGCGCTCGCTGTCCAACAGCTCAACTCACTCTCGTAAGTTTCTAACGCCGCTGCACTCTGCCTGGGTCCTCCTGCTCTCCGCCTGGCCCGATCATCATCATCATCGTCACCACGTTCCGCTTTCTCTCGTCGAACTTTCGCCCATCTCGCTTTTGCAGCTGCTGATGCGGCTCCTTTGACTGAGAATCCACCTCGACCAGAACCGATCTTTTCGAGCGATTTATCTGGCGATTTGGCGTGAGTTGGAGCTTTGGATTGAGGTGTAGATGGAGCTCTCAGCGATCGGCGACGTCCTGAGATTGAAGAGCAGAGCTTTCAGCAAATCGTCCATCAGGGAAGCAAATGACAGACCTACCTGAATGATCTTCTGCTTCTGGTTCGTCTTCGACCTCATCCCCTTCATCATCATCATCTTCCACCTCATCCTCTTCATCCGCATCGACCGGGATCTCCTTATAGCCCACGCTCTTCTTCAACCTTGTCCTCTTACTCGGAGTCTGAGGAACATCATCCCTCTCATCATCATCCATATCGGGCGTCTCAGCCTTGACTTGTTTCCCACTTCTACCACGAGCCGAACGAGTGGACGTCGATGCAGTCCGTTGGATTGAAGCGGCGGCACGGGAAGTTCGAGACGATACTCGCGAGGGTCCAGCTCGGGGCGTCTCCTCTTCTTCGTCTGCGTCCACAACTCCCTCTAGCTCCGTATGTTCATCTTCATCATCTTGTATCTTTGGCTCCGGGTCAGGCTCGGCTTTCAATCCTCGTGTACTTTTCCTCCGAGACAAAGTGCTCGACTCGGCAGCAGCAGCAGCCGCTGTGCTTGTAGACGAAACTTGGGCAGCAGCGGATCGTCTCGGTCTTGTTGATGACATCTCGATGCGTGGGACAAGCTGGGGTCCACCTTGCGCCGATGTGGACTGGAGTGATTCTTGCTTCGTGTGGACGTGGTTATCGGTTTTCTCCAACCGCGTTCGTAATTTATTATTTACCATTTCTCATAGCTCACAGTTTGTGGCACTTTTTGGAGGGGGGAATTGGCATCTCTTAGCAGGATGAAATGCATGCATGTGCATATGCAGTGGGCTAAAGAACTGAGGTATCCGCCAACAAGTCACAGTAGCTACTACTCGAGAGCTTCCGTTGGTGAGTTGCTCGACGCTGCCAGTCCCATAATGTGATCAAGGGCATGTTCTCGGGTCAATATACATTGGCGGTACAATCGTCGTATTGCGATTACATCCAATTGACCTCGGGTGGTGGTCTCTCAAATCAACCGTTGAGATGACTTGGGGTCCATCCTCGCAGTCCCCGCCACTGCAGCTCCTTCCAAGCAGCCAGCTCTCACACACCACCCTTCACCTATCTCTGCCAACCCCAACCCCCCTCCTCAACGCGCGTTTTTTCTTTTCGCTCCCACTGCTCGCTCAACGTGAACGCCACCAGACGTAAAAAAAATCGCCTGAATATGATTTTTTGCTTCTCCTCGGTCGTTGCTGAACGTGTTCTCCCCGTGTCGTGTTCCCATAAGCATCTGAGTACGGGTGAGCCCTCCTCCAGCAGCAACAGCAGCAGCATCAGTCATGGATTCATGACCGATCGATGGTCTACCATGCTGGACCTGTATCCTCGTTGTGTGGGGTTGGATGAAACGTTTGACGGTAGTTCACATCCTTTGAAAGGGGGACAAAGGGAGGAGTTGTGGAATGTCGAAAGTGTTGCCAAGGAGGAGGGGGGGGAGGGGGGGGGGGCGGACGCGAGAGGGTTATCCCGGGAACCGGAGGGATCACTGAATGCATCTGATCCTCATTGTCTTCTCACATTCCTCTCTTCATCTACTATCGTTCGCATCTACCACTGTCATTCACTCTCGATTGAAATCATTCTGCTACAGGGTCACCGTTCATTGGCTCTGCCCCTACTTTGCGACGCTCGTCACGGACGCTCCAGGACGCTAATTTTCAACTGAACAAGATCATTGGCTTATCATAGCTCACCACATCCTAGTCCGACCTCGATGAGGTCTTCCTCCCTCCCCTCCCTGCTTATCGCCTGGCTATGCCTCCTCCGCAACATCGCAGGTCTCTCGACGTGGTACACTCCGCCTGGCGGACCGCCAACAGGGTCCACTGTCGGGGATAAAGTCAGAGGGATCAACCTTGGAGGATGGTTCATCCTGGTGCGTGGGGACTCAGAGAAAGTTTATCTATGTCGAGCTTACGACCTTTGATCGCAGGAGAATTGGATGATGCCCGACTTTGTCTCTGTCCCTCCGTTGGATCAATATGACATTCCGGATGAGGTGAGCTAGCGACGCTGAGAGGCTGTCCCTATCTCACGCCATCCCAGTGGACCTATTGCTCTGTTCTTGGTAAAGAGGAATGCTCGAACCGCTTGACACAACATTGGTCCACTTATATCGACGAATCAGATTTTATCATGTTCAAGGAGTAGTGAGTTTGACGCTTGTTTTCAAATGACTGGACATTCTCTTGGCTGACGCATTCCCTACATAGCGGTCTGAATACCGTCAGAATACCGATGGGCTATTGGGCATGGATCGATATACTGGGATTCGAGCCGTCAGTGCTTCCTCGTACCAGAGAAGGTTCCCCTCTGATCACCTCACAGGTACATCAACGGACAAACAACCTACCTTGATCAAGCTTTGGAATGGGCGAAGAAGTACAACATAGATGTCCTCATGGACATGCATGGTCTACCAGGTGAGGAGCGGTGGTCCAACAACGGTCGACGGTCGACTGACATGACTGCCTCGTCTCCCTAGGCGGTCAAAATGGTCAGGACAATCAAGGCTACAAAGGACCCATAGAGATGCCAAATAACAGCTCGAACACTGAACGTGGGCTTCAAGCCATCGAAGCAATGACGAAGCACGTAACGGACCCCAAATTTGGTGGTGTCGTCAAAGCCATCGAACTGGTCAACGAAGTGGGTTCACGAGCATTCCGAGCTGGACTCGTAGGCTGATAATCAAATCCGTGACACAGCCACATTTGACCCCGATGTATGACAATGGAATGAGTTGGGACTTTTATGCCGGGTTCCTTGTACAGGCTTATCAGGCAGTCAGAAGCTCGGAGACAGTCATGCAGGGAAATCATGAAGTCATGGTGGTCGTCCATGATGCTTTTCAAGTGCGTAGACTATTTCCTTCTCGTGGGCCTAGCCTGATATCTCATAGCCCATACTCAATTGGCAATACTTCTGGAGTGAACCGAGTCTCGGACTCAACTGGACCAACTACGCTTTGGATAGTCGTAAGTCTTTCGAGAAGAGATTCGCGGTCCGACTGAGTCTGCTATCAGACTACTACGACGCCTTTGGCGATGCCGCCAACAAGACGTACCAGGAACACCTAGACTCGCTCTGCGCGTACATATCAGACGTGACCGAGGCGCAAACTCATTACCCAGTGGTCAGTACACTTTTTAGAACCTCCGTGGCTATGCTCACGCTCGTTATCAGATATTCGGCGAGTTCTCTCTGTGAGCGAGGATGAGTCATTGAGAGATGCTGTGACTGATTATTGTCTAGCGGAGTCAACACCTACTGTGTAGACTATCAATCATGCGTGGGCAAAGTGAGCTGCACAGGGTCTTGGTACCAAACATTGCTGACCTCTGTTCAAGTCAATATGGGACTATATCTGGCAGCTGCTGCCACAGGATGATTCACTCTTCCTCCGCCAATTCTGGGAGCTCCAAACCAACGTGTTTGAAACGGCCTCTGGATGGATTTTTTGGGCCGCGAAGAATGAATAGTGCGTGGTGAATCCGCTAAATCAGTCGTTATGATCGCTGAGATTGGGTTGCCTAGTGGCGCTCCATGGTCATGGCAACAGTCCGTGGCCCAGGGCTGGATTCCGAAAGATCCGAGTGAAAAATTGTGAATCTCAGACTGGATGATCCCTAGAACAGGGGGGCTGACTTCGCTCCAACCCACAGGTACCCTTACGATCCCGCTGCGACGTCATCCTGTCTGGACATTTGGCAACCGAACGGCTCGGAACCTACATTCCCGGATTATCCAGTCAACCTTACAGCTATGAAAGTCGATCTCGTAGCTGCGACCCACATCTCGGTAAGCCTCAATGTCACCGCCAGCGCGACCAAAGAGGTGAAAGGGACAAGGTCGCAAGCTGGATCACCGACACCGAGTGCGTCTCAATCGATTGGACAATCAGGGACCAAAGCAGAGCTCGTGGCCAACGGCGAAGACTCAGGATCACATAGTTCGACTGGCCGGGCCGGTAGATCAATTGATGTGGGCTTGAGTGTTCCTCTGGGATTGGCCATCTTCTTTGGACTGTGGAGCTTGTCATGAAGACTCTGGGAGCAAAGGGGTCAAGCGGGCATTGGCGGGGACGATGCAGTGCGCAGCGAGACGAACAGATCACAAGGGAGGGATACTTCGCGATAGACACTTGGTAGTGGCATATACGCTGGCCATATTAGACTTAATCTTGCTGTATACATAGCCACGAGACATTCACGACGGCTTTCAAGCCATGCATGTACCATACCATGGGCAGGGTTAGGAGGATGGGATCAGGTGATTGATTCACCAAGGCTCAGGAGAGGTGGACGGCGGACAGCGACATACCGCCGGGAGATCGTTCCGCTCGATCGGATTTCGGGATGCCCGGCAGATGATCTTGTCCAGGATTTTAGAATCTTCAGCGTGTTCCTTGTCCGCACATCGATCATGCTGATTTTGGTCGATACCTATAGTGCCCTGTAGCCCACTACCCTGGAGAATGTCTCTGCGTCTCTCTCGGGCCGCATTCAAAGCCTCGATCGGCGTCCAGGAACTCGGACATCACCTCGTCCAAAGCAAACTCCCCTTTCCGCTCCATTTCGGCCGGGAACTCGTATCGCACTGGTCAGCTTTGACTACATGGACACTCGACGATGACTTGGAAGGGCTGAAAAGGGACGTGGGAATCGACAAAAGTGTCGAAGTGGAGCTAGGGAAGAAAGGTAGAGGATACTTGGACAAAGAGACCAGTAGAGTGTCCATGCCATTCGGTGAGTATTTATGCCGGATCTTGACTCGGAGCCTTGAAACACTCATTGTCCCTTAGGACTGTTCATCGATGCGTTCCTTCTTAATCGTATTCCATCTGGTTCTTCGGCGACGGAGATTCCATCAGCTTATCTCGCTCAGTCAGATATACTTGACTCGTCACCTGGTTTATTGGACCGAATACCACCGCTTGAACAGTACGAATCTGGACCTCAGGCATCTCTCTACAGGCGAACGATGTGGATAGGTCCAAAAGGGAGTTTTACACCCTTTCATCGGGACCCATACCATGGGATATACACGCAGAGTGAGGCGAACACTCCCCAAGCAAGCGGGAAGGAGTGCTTCACGCTCATGAAACGAACTTAGTCCTTGGGAACAAGACGTTTCACCTCGTACCGCCTTCTGCGGCGAAGGACTTGAAGCTCAGTACGAACCCATTACAGAAGAACACCTCGACCGTTCCATCACCTGTATCAGAATACTTTTCAACTCAATCTCCTTCAGCTGAAGGCGAAATACAGATAGAGCGTAGAAGGGGCGATCACTTATCCGACACCACCGACGCCCTCATAGAGGCACTGAGATGCGACGGGTCTTGTGTGGCTCAACTTGGACCTGGACAGTCTGTACTCATACCCGAGGGGTGGTATCATTCGGCGGAAGGTGGTGATGGACCAGGTGTGGGCGTGAACGCATGGTTCAGGTGATGCCATCGGCGTTGGGGTCTTGCGATACGTTGCAATACACGTAGACCCTGTTACAGAGCCTCGCACTCGATCGATGCTTGCTTTCGTTGTCACTGCTTGTAAAGTCAGCTTCAAACGCCTATAATCCGTTGCAACTGGGACCTTTCATTGCATATGCATCTGTCTCGTACATCTGTCTCTTATCATTGTTACAAGTCACCCATCGGTGTGAGCGCGAGGTATAGAGAAAAAGAAGAAGGCACCCGAATTATTCGTCCCCTCGAGCTTGGAGGAACCGTCCACCTTACTTTCCTGCACTCATCTAGACGAAGAAAGCGAGCCAAATAGACGACACGGTTGTCAATCCAATCACAGCATAAGCCCCAGCGTACACTCCCTTAAGTGTGAGTCCTGAGAGCACGGAGACGAAGAGAGGTCAGCCATGACCATCGTTGTGCAGAATATTTTGAATGTCACTCACCGTAGCCCACATCCCAGAGAAGATGTCTGATTCCATTAAACGAGTGGAAAGTGAAGGGAAGGGCGAACAACATTTTGATAGATCCCTTGAGCCAGACTGGAGAATCATGTACCAATTGGACGAGGTGAGCTGAATCCAGAGCTGGGAAATAAGGGTGTGTCAAGTATGCCAGAGCTGAAAGATAGAGTCCTCCAGAGAGAGCTACGCCGGTCAAACGGTGGAACATGGAGGGGTACCATGTCATCTGAAAGGCAGGCCGAGCGTTAGCAACAGGAAATGAGACTTGGGGATGAAGGGGAAGGAACAAGTGTGATTGATGGTCTCACCTGAGGTTGGTAGATTGAAAGATGTGGACTGATGGGTCGTTTTAATCGTTGATTGTTCAGGATCGCAATCTCATCTTGGCTAGACACGGCCTCGGTCGTTGCGAATCTGGCATGCAGAAGTCAGTCCGACATCGTACGTGGAGGATCGGAGGTAGAAAAGAGAAGAGAGTGAAAGCATGACAAGTGGAAGGAGTGAGCAATGCCAGATAGTTGTCATCTTCACTCGACATCCGACTCCACGATGTCCCAAGATTTCCCTCCCTCCCCGTGAGAACCAGACGAAAGACTAGGCTCGAGCATCTCGTCTCTCCGCAGAACAGCCGACCAGCTTGACCCTCCAACTCACCTCTTCTGACAAAGCAACAAAGAAGGTGCACATCTCAAGGTAGGAGCTAGCAAGATCGTCAGCACAAAAAGTCCAGCGTCATGCTCTCCCGCAGGAGGGGAACCTCCCTCTCCGCAATCTAAACCTACCCGTTCCTACAGCTTTCAGAATCGATCTCCGAGCGAATGTACTGCTTAAGCTGGCCATGACGAGGACGTGGATTACAAGCTGGACCGAGAAAGAACGATGACAGACGAGCGATGTAAACGTGAGTCTGATGCTTCAGAAACCCAGCCATTCGATTTCCACCCACCCCCTCCTTCACGGGTCAAGCCGGAGGGATCCGAATAATTCCGGTAAAATGTGGCGATTGAAAGAGTGGCACCCCAGACTGCATTTAGCCTAGTATCACATGTATCACATCCAGCTTTACAGTTTTCCAACTTGCATAGAGAGTGTACTCAATATCAACGCTTTGGTCAAAAGGTGTAGAAGAAAGTGTTGAGAAAGAAGTCCCAACAAAACAAAGAGCAACTGGGCTCACACGCGCAGAAATGCGGCAATCACCTCCGTGCTGTCACCTAATGCTGACCCCCTAACGCCTGCCTTACGCTCGCCCTCAGCGCAGCATGATCTGATCCCTGACTTCCGACAACCTGATCATCCGTCGTACCTCCGGTCTTGTTGCTAAATCTAGACTGATCATTCCCTCCAGTGCCATCCTCCGTGAGATCCAATATTCTCCGAGCAAGGCTTGCAATTTCACCTTCGCCATCTGCATCCATACCGTCATCGTCAAAGTCATCGTCTGTACCTTCTTGACCTCTCTGACCGGCTCTCGAAGGCGGTGGTGAGGACGCGAGTTGACGGATTGAAGCGATGAGGATAGAAGAGTTACGGATGTTTGCAGTCAATTGGTCGTCCTCAGCTTCGAGGAGCTGGACAATGGTCTGAGTGACGTCAGCGTGGACCTCAACCTTGTACAGACCAACTCACCCAAACGGCGATGTGCTGGAAGGTAATGTCTGCGCTGCCTAAGAATCTGACCAAGTACGCGTGCAGTCCACCATCAGGCTTGTTCCAGACTGCGTTGAACGGTGCATAGTCCTCGGCGGCTGCAAGAGTCAACCGTCTGAATCTTGTTCGCCAGGCTCACCTTTCGAAGAGAGGTTACCCAAAGCAGCAGCACTGTTACCCTGAACCTCAACACTTGGCGAATTGGTTAATGGGATCAGAACCTCGCAAATGCCCATCTCCAAAAGCTGAGGCTTGAGGTCGTCTGAACTAATTTCAGCACGTTGTTGTGGCCCGTTCACGAGCCATGACTCACCGCTCAGAGCCAGCACAGCCACGCACGCCGTCATTTCACTCTGGACGGCCAGTGGAACCTGTAAGACCAACTCCTTGATCCTCTCAACAGCGCCGGCCTCCACGATTGCACCTTTATTCCGCTCACTGCTCGCGGCGAGATTGCGTAAGGTTGAGATGGCATGGCATTGAACCTCCTCATTCTCGTCGAATGACAAGAGCTCGATGAGCGGCTGGAGGAATCCAGAATCAATGATGGGTGATTCGTTTGCGGGATGGATAGAAACGTTTCGGACACAAGCAGCAGCGGAGAGGATCAAAGGGAGATAAGAGGAGTGGAGAAGTCTAAGCAGGGGTTTGAGACCGTCTGCTTTGACAATCTCCAGTTGGTATTTTTCTATGCGATGTCAGAAATGATGACGCACACATCCGTCGAACTCACCGTCACTGGCCAAGTTCCGGAGAGCCAACGCGGCTTGACACTGAACTTTCAGACTCTGACTGTCCATCAACGCCACAAGACTCTGAACGAGCTTTTGTTCGCCCTGGGCGAGCTTTTTACGATTTGCAGCTACAACCCGTCAGATGCCTTTAAAACAAGCCGATCATGATTTCTCACCATCTACAGCAATGTTGCTCAACGCTGTGGTGCAGTAGTACTGCACATCGGTATCTGGCGAGTTGAGCAAGCTGACGAGGACAGGAATCGCGCCGGCGTTGACGAGCTGCTGACGGTTTTCATCTTAGGACGACAGTCAGCTTGACTTTCCTGAGGAAACGACCCAGGGAGCCCAGCTCACCCGAATGTGTCATGTTGAGCAATGCTCCGGTTGCGTTCCGCTGCACTCGCATATCCTTTGATTTGGCTAGTCGAGTGAGGGGTACAAGAGCACCAGACTTGGCAATCTGAGTCTTGTTCTCGTCTGTGGAGATTCAGCCTGGAAACAAAAGCCCTCGCTGGCAGCTCACCATGTGTCGCAAGGTTTGTGACACATCCCACGGCATTGCATTGCACTTCGACGTTTGGACTGAGCATCTGTCGGATAAGAGGTTCAAGACCGCCCAGAGAAACGATGAGGAGTTTATTCTCCGCTAAAAAGATATGGGAGATCAGCGCAATGGCCGTGTGTGGTCGTGGTGTGGCCGACCCACCATTGACTGCCAAGTTGCCCAACGCCGCGCTGGCCGCACGTTGAACCTCTGAATCGTGGGAAGTCAAGAGGTAGAGTACTGGATCAAGTGTATCTCTTCCGACTTCCCTCACTTCCTTTTCGGTGATCTCTGCGAATGCAAGTGCTGCTGAGCGTTGAAGATCAACATTGTCGGAGAACGATAAAGTGGTAAGAGCTGCCAAGGGAGATCCTGTGAAGAAGTTTGTGGTACTCCGGTCTACACAGCGATCGTGGGATGATGAGTGAGTGAGTGAGTGAGGACGATAGCGAGTCACCTTATCAGCGATGTTATTCTTCCCATGGAGCACGTCCAACTCACTCTCTAGATATTGTAATAAATCCGCGACTGCTTCTCGTTCCGTCTCCAAGAGTAATGGTTCGTAGCTATTCTTCCGCCTCGCGCCGCCTGAACGGACGCAAAAGAGATCTCAGCATGGCCCGCATATGGGGGCGTTAGAATAGTTTCTAACTCACAGCAGGAGCTCAGAGCCGCTCCCATGTTGAGTCTTAAAGGATCACTTGGCCACTCCTAAGACTGATGATCTATGACAAAGGGCCAAGTTGGAGGAGCCGAGCAGTACTGTGGAGTGTGACGGTGACGGTGCGCGCGAACAAATCGTAGATGCTGAACGGCCAGCAAATTAGCTCCTATATATGGACACAGCTCGTTTCTACCGTCTGTCAAGGTGCACTTTGTGATACAATGACCGAGTCAAGGGGGCCAGGAGGTGGGGATTGAAGTGATTGTGACTTGAAATTGAGTGACGAGCGACTTCGCGTCCTTCAAGAACCCAACACAGAGGAATTACCCAAAGTGGCGAGAATTTGATTCCGTTCCAGAGATGTGCCTCTTTGTCCAAGTCATTGGATTCTCCTTAACGCTGCTGTCGACACGGTTTGTAGCTTTGACGGGTCATGTACGACGGACCTATACGAGAGGGTGAGTACGAGCATATGAACTCTCTTCAGAGACGAATGGCTGATGTCGAAATCGCAGGTACTCGGGGAGGTGCTGGAGATTTCCGGTAGGAAGCTGCTCCATTTCCTGCACAAAAGTACAAGCTGATCGATCCCCTTGCAGGTGGTCGCAAGTCAAGGATGACAAGCACCGAGGTGAGTCTCGGAGAGGATGTGGATATTAAAAGTCTGATCCACATGCTGATATCGTCCAATTCAGAGAATTACCTTGGACACTCAATTCAAGCGCCTGTCGGGCGATGGCAGAATCACAAAGATATCCATTGGTACAACAGAGAGGATGGACCGTCGTCCTCTGAGGCTGCTGCCCAAGCCAAACGAGAAGAGATACGAAAGTTGAAAGAAGCGGAGGAAGAAGCTTTGGCCGTCGCGTTGGGATACGCTCCGAGGAAGAAGGCTGAAGATGAGGGAGCGGAGGGAGGAGGAGCTGGAACAGGGGCAAATGCTGTGAAGGTGGAAGGTGGAAGAGCGGAAGAAATCGCCAAGTTGGAGAAAGAGGAGAAGAAGAGGGAGAAGGCGTGAGTGTTAAGCTGATTGTCTGCCTTCAGCCGTGACACGTCCGTCATGACGCTGATCCAGAACGAGAGAGAGAGAGAGCTTGGCTGACCAGCTTATTAGTCTACGGAAAGAACAGAGAGCACTCGCGCGTGCCGAACGAGAAGTGAGACGAGAGGAACGACATAGGGATCGGGATTCACGGAGACGAGACGACCGGTACAGAGATAGAGACAGATCCAGGTCAAGGTCTTATGATCGCTCAGATCGTGATGATCGATACAGGTCTGAGAGATACCGTGATGATAAGCCAGAGAAGGATGACAGGCGACGAAGTGACTGGGACCACAGGGACGACAGGCAAAGAGAGGATCAGAGGGATAGGCGGCGTAGTCGAGATCATGAGGACAGGAACATGGACAGGGACAAGCATATGGATGGTGATGATCCGCGGGATCGTCGTCGTGAGAGACACGATCGCGATAGATCAAGAGGCAGGGACTAGTCTGGCTGTGTCGTGGCTCATGATGCGCGAAGAGCGGACTTGGGTTCGGATGCATATTCGAATGCCTCATAAATCTCACCCGCGCTCATGTCCGGGTGGCAGCCGAACGACAGGGACGACCAAAGCTTTGTTCTCGTGAGACGCTGAGGTCTGAATGCATCAGTACGATCTTCCAATTCATAGGATCTACACGTTACGTGGGGGAGCGCAGACGCCATCTACGTACGCCTTCTGCGCAGTTGGCCGACATTCGTTCAGATCTGTAGACATTCCCCTCTATCACGGATTATTCGGCTCCAGGCGGAATACTGAGAGAGTTTTAAATATAGCCGAGTGATGATCTATCAAATGTATGCGTCAAACGTTTCGCTACCATTCCCTAAAGTGCTGCTGCCGCTTGCTTCTTGGGGCCCTCTGAGCGGTGATAAACAGTGAAGGAGGAGGTTCTGGACAAGGTTATCATAGTCGAAAGCCAGTCCAGCAACCTCCTTCAATGGCCCAACAACGTCCACTATCTCACCCGAAGAATGGGCAATCGTCTTCGAATCGAGCAGCTGGAGTGACCAATGGTACGCAGATGAGGCCTGAGATTGGTCCAAGTCATGTCGGACCTCGCGGGGTGGACGACCCGACTAGACCCATACGGTATGGTGGTCAACCCTCCAGTACTGGCCCAGATCGACCTCTCACACTCGAAGCTGCTTTTCCATGGCTCATGTCTCAGCTTGCCAAATCTCCGACGGCCGTCAATGCTCCTCTCACTTCGCCAGCTGTACCCACTCTTGGTCATGTTCCCACCATGTCACCGCCTCTCGATAGAACCTCGGCACTACCGACAACATACGAGGATGAGCTCGCGTTTCTCTTATCTGAACGCCCGGATCATCCAGCCCAACGTGCTTCAGATCCCATGGGTGGTGTCTCACATGGTCCTCCAATATCCTCACCGTCCATATCCTTTCCGTTGAATCTAGCATCGCCGAACCCTTTCGAGATCAATCTTCCTTCCACATCTACAGCGCACGATAACAGCAACAACAACGCTCCTGGAGCTGTAGGCGTATCGCCTGTGAACGCCTCACCTGGCTGGAATATGTGGGATCTGGACCTAGCCAACGGTCAAATACCAATCGATCAGGCTACTCCGGATATCTTTCCGCATAATTACATAGCGGAACCAAGCTCAAGCACAAGCATGCGTTGGCCCGTACCATTGGCGGATATCCCTCAGTTCGAGGACCGAAGAAATGTCACGGGTCTTTCATCACTTGAGCAGCGGCCAAGTTTAGGTGGACAAGGTAGATCAGAAAGCTTGGGCATAGCGATCGACAGGCAGACTGAGGATGAACCCGTTAGAAAGAGAGGCAGGAATTCTTTCAGGAGAGACTCAGATGCGGGCACCGGGAGTGGGATCAGGAACGACCGAGTCACACAGAGTCTCGGTGGAGGCGAAACGTCCCCGAAAAGGAGATCAAAGTCAAAAGTAGAACCGAGGGAGATCATGGAGATTCGGTCAAGAAGGTGAGCAGACCTACCCTTTGAGTGGTGCGCGACAGCGCTGAGCGCCTCGATAGGTTTCGTGATAGGGCTCCGAAAGTCATAAAGGAGAGAGGTGGGTCCAACTCTGCACTTTCTGTGAGCGTTGATCTGACCCCACTATCGCACACAGTCCACAAAGTCCTCGCTCAACGGATGGTGAGGGGTCTAGGATCGCTTGCTGTCTTCGCAGTACTGAATCGTCTGTGCAGTACCTTCTCGACCGGGTCGTTTTCAAGGATGCTGAAGAAGCTCAAGAGTTCACAGTAGTGAGAGCATGTCCACTCGAGATGAACGTCCCGCTAATCGCGCTTCATTAGATGGGTTCGAAGGGAGACAAATCGGTATGTCTCAGCACTATTGCGCATGGCTCTCATCTCACTACGTCGACAGGTCGTCGCGATAGACCATGAACCTCGATGCGATTGTCCAGATTGGCAAAAGGGCAACGCTCCATGCGAGCATCTCATTTACGTCTTGTGAGCTAATTGTCCTTGAGCCGAGAAATTACTTTTCCGCTATTGACTTCATCACAGTCTAAAGATCTTGAAGATACCTGAGCAGTCGTATCTCTGGTTTCAGAAGGGTACGTAGATGCCTGATAAAGGCTTCTTTGACCCGGAAGCTAATAGGGTGCGACAGGTCTGCTCAGTCATGAACTACGAGATATTTTTGAAAACACTCGGAATCCTACTGAACTTCCGCCGACACTACTGGCATCCATGTCGCAGCACTTATCCACTCAGACTGCTTCGGGCGAAGTCGATCGCGAGATGGATGGACCTCTCGCACCCTTAGTCGGGACGGACTGCCAAATGTGGGGATCCCGTGCCATCGTGAGGAGCAGACACTGACTGATCGCCTTTCATTTACAGATGCTATGACGCCTTTACCGCCGAGGACATTCGTGCAGATCGACTAGCGTATGATGAGGGTATACAGCAAAGTGAGCTTGGACGCGGTCGCCGGTATCTCTATACTAAATCCGATCCCCCCCAGTGGTCCACAAAGTGTGCTTTGACCGGAAGAATACTGCCAAGGTCACAGGAGAGTAGCACAGAACTTTCGTCACGGAGTTGCTCTGAATGCTTGATCAGCTTGATGTCTATAGAACAAGCTTGTAAATCGTCTGTCTACCTCAGTCGCTGTAACTTGAAAATGTTGGAATATATCCAAAGTCCTCCAAAGCGAGCCGCCACCTCCCTTGGGCCAACCAAAGCGGCAAGCGCACGTGGCCTGAGACATCTTTAAAGACGTCACCGCGCATCCGTCAGTCATCACGGACTCACTCACTCACTCCCTCTCTATTTGACATACGTCAAACATCGCGTCGACGACCACAGTCGTAATTACTACGAAGCATCATCCCTCCTCTGAACTTCCAAGATGTCCTGGTTCAGGTGAGTGCACTGCCGAAGTTTTTGCGCTCTCCGTGAACTGACGGTATCTTGCTCTGCTCTTACTACCTGCCAATTTGAATATGGCTTCGTCCCCACATGTTCTGCAATCACGACCCTCCATAATTCCCATCGCTGAAACTGAACCTATGCCTCACCCACGATGACTCATTGACCATCTCTCAGCTCGAAGTCTGAGAAGAACTCTGCAGAGTCATCCGGAAAGCAAAACTTTTTCCCAGTCACTGCGTCTCATCACGGATTCGGAGCCCTCACCGAGCAAGATACGACGGTAAGTGGAGCTGATCTTTTGACCTCACAATATATTGCTTACTCCCCGTTCTAGTGGTCATGCGCGAACAATCGAGGATTTCAAACTGAGACTCAAGTATGGTATTCTGTCTTGGGAGATGGGTCTCTTCTCCTCGTTCAAGTGATCTGGACCTACCTAGGGTGGGTACAAGTTTCATCAATTTCAAGTCAAGAGATATCGCTTAGCCAGTTTCGTCAGAGTATTCGTCGTCCCTGCCACAGCGCAAATGACATTCAAGTACTATAATCCACACACTAAACAGGCAACTTGGAAAAGTATCAACGCCTCGGGATTCAAGCCTCACGGAAGAGGATGCAAGTCGGATCAATTTGTGCGTCGGCCACCTCTGCCATCTGAGAATCCCGCGCTGATCCGTGCCTCCCCTATATAGGAGATCAAACACACGGGTACACCTGAAGGCGAAGAGAGTTACGAAGTCACTGCTTCTCTCGATAAGAATGTCCAGATCTCAGTCTCTTTCAACCGCCCTGCCAGTGCTCCTGGATTCAAACTTGGTTCTGGACCTACGGGCGGAATCTCCACGTTTGGCACGCATGTCGAGGATGGAAAACGAGACGGTTTTGTTGTCCAGTGAGCCGAAGCATCAGCCTCGTCAGGCTGTGTACCACGACTCATTCTCTCTGTCAGCCGATTCCACCCCATGTGCCAAAGCACTGGATCCATCGTGATTGATGGTGAAGCCATTGACACAAAGGGAGAAGCGACGTTCATCCATGCCATTCAAGGCATGCGACCTGACACTGTATGTCCCCATCATCCAAGCCGCTTCTCCTGCTCACTGTGACTTACAATAGCTCGCAACTCGATGGAACTTTGCATTCTTCAGCAGTGGCGGAGGCAAGGAAGAGAGCAAACTTGGCAGCGTTCGGGCCGTGCAGATGGAGTTCGAGACCACCGTTAGTCGCTGCAATGCTAGACAGTTCCTTCGTACTGATCGGCCTGCAGGACTCGTACGGTCTGAACGGTGCAAAGTCCGGTAGGGTCAAGGTCAACGTCGGCGCCATCTACGCCTCGGCTCTCAATCCTCAAGCATACCTTGTCGTGGGACAAGCATCTTCGGGTCCGGCTTCAGAGTCTACCCCTGAGAGCTCCGAGATCTGCAGCGCTCAACACTTTGGAGGCCTCAAAGATAGCCACACGGGATACTCAGCACCTACTGCTATCGAATACAAATGGTCCGGAGCCAGTCGAGCCGAGAAGAGCACCCAGACATCCGCTCAGCTCAAAGTTGAGAATCTCACCATTACAGAAGGTGAAGGTGGCTTGATTGAAAAGGTCAATGTGCTTGCCGAAATACCATATGTCATTAGAAAGGCCTTGTCAGCCGCCACCGGGACGAAGCCATACATCTACCAGGTGTGTTTTCTGCGCGTAAAGATTCGCAGCGTCTTCGTACTAATAATTTCGTTTCCCCCTTAGTATCTCAACCCTGCCACACTCAAGGTGGACATTGCTGGCGAGTCGACCGATGTCCAAGGATGGTTATTCAATGAAGCGAGCTTTGTCTCTCAATAGGCCCGTGCATCATGTTCGTCACTCTCAGCTTGCTCCTGCTCTCTTGTTCGGATCACACAGTGCTTGTAGTCGATACATGTATTCTTTATCATTAATGATGAGAAGCATTGCTTCCGGGAAAAATGCAATTTGAGTGCCACACGCTTTTTTGTTCCAAACGCCGTGAAACTCCGGAATCGTTCTCATCCGACACTGTATTGGAGCCTCAATGCTCGAATTCGGTTGTCAAGCTCGTTGTACCTGCATAGTAGAAGACAAGGTAAGTCTAGGCCAGCTATTGACTCGATCACTTGAGCTGATCTAAGCGCTCTGCTGTTTGAAATCAGTCTTCGCCATGCAGATCTTCGTGAGTCTTCTTCGCCCATTGATAATTGTTTGATGTGTAACTGACGATTTGTGTTCTAGGTCAAGACGTGAGTTGAGATTGTGTCCCGTTTCATCCATCCAAGCCTTGTTCTTCCGCGGCAATACTTCACTTGTGCCATACCCTGCATCGAGGAGTAGGAGACTGCGGTTAGAATCTTGGATGTGGAGGAGATCAAGAATTGGATGACAATGAATTGGAATATTCTGCTGACTCGGCCGCTTCCTTCAGCCTCACGGGTAAGACCATCACCCTTGAAGTCGAGTCTTCCGACACTATCGACAATGTCAAGTCCAAGATCCAGGACAAGGAAGGAATTCCTCCCGACCAACAGCGATTGATTTTCGCTGGAAAGCAGTTGGAAGACGGACGAACTCTTTCCGACTACAGTGAGTTTTCAAAGGGACAAGGAGCGACGTAGCGGGCATAGGGGGAATATCAGGGTCTATTTGGCAGGCCAAGAGACGCAACCAGGTGGATCAAGATGGCTAGAAGCGGAAAGGACCATCATCATCAATAGTCATCGCATCCGACATCAGAAATGAGGATATTCCCCTGCCGATCCGCTGCGTCGCCAGGATTCTAGCTCCAAAGTGTCAGGCCCATACTTACGCTGTACAGACATCCAGAAGGAGTCCACACTCCACCTTGTCCTTCGTCTCCGAGGAGGTATCATTGAGCCCTCCCTCAAGGCTCTTGCCTCCAAATACAACGTAAGTTTTCCCTCCTTCTTGCTCCACGTTTTCCAGCTCACGCCTTCCATTCAGTGCGAGAAGCAAATCTGCCGAAAGTGCTACGCTCGTCTTCCTCCTCGAGCCACCAACTGCGTGAGTGGAACGACAGAACGATATGACTTTCTCTATCAGCTCACTTTATCTTCAGCGAAAGAGGAAATGCGGTCACTCTTCCCAGCTCCGACCCAAGAAGAAGCTGAAGTAGTGGTGTAGAGTCTATTGTTCACATACGGGGACGTGGACTTGTATTTGGTAGTTTGGTATGCAACCAGTCTACGCGTGATAGGGTGTTTAAAAGGTTGATTGATCACGTCGGTTTATGAGGAAGCTCCGCTTGGTGAGGGGATGAACCAGTTGTCCGGAACCCGAACCCGATCATCGTGCATGGATCGTCCTGAGATGATGAGCCTGAGCACCTCTTCGAATGTCTAGCAGATCTGCGAGTGCCGGCCATTGCTTCTACTCTCCAAGCTGTACTGCGACCATAGCATTCGGTATTGCATATCGGAGACAGCCCTTTCCATCCACCGGAAAGTCAAAATTCCATTCCAAATGCCTGTCAATCGGGTTTTGTTGCCACCGCACATTCTCATACTTCACTGTAAGCCCCACTGCGAGCACCATGGTGGACAGTACCAACAAGGGGAAGAGGAAGGTCTCGCCTTTGCCAAAGCTTAGTCCGTTGCGATGAGTTCTTCATATTGACTACTGAGGCTGAATTCACTTTGTCGTCCAGACGGTCGTCTGCTCTGCCTAGGTATCGAAGGTTCAGCCAACAAATTCGGCTGTGGAGTCATCGCGCATTCGCCAGCGCCATCTGCTGAACCCGAGGCAGGCGAAGGGAGCAGCTCGACATCTGCTCACGCACGTCACAAGAATCCAGCAACGATCGTCACTGTGCTCTCAAATGTACGACATACTTACATCACTCCGCCGGGTGAAGGGTTCTTACCCTCTGATACGGCACGACATCATCGGGAATGGGCCATCAAGGTCATAAGTGAGGCTGTACGCAAGGCTGGTATCAGGATCTCAGATCTGGATTGCATAGCGTATACGAAGGGTGGGTTGCTAGAGAAAGCCTCTTACAGACTCGACTGATTGTGGTTGGTCAACAGGCCCTGGGATGGGTACACCATTACAGGTCGGATCCCTTGTCGCTAGAACTTTGTCGTTGCTGCATGGGATACCGCTCATTGGAGTCAACCACTGTGTTGGACGTGAGTCGAAATATAGATGTTGGCAGAGATTGTACTGACCACGGCTTAGACATTGAAATGGGCCGACAGATCACATCTTCACACAATCCCGTCGTCCTTTACGTCTCTGGCGGGAACACCCAAGTCATAGCCTACTCTCAACAACGGTACAGGATCTTTGGCGAGACACTAGATATAGCCATCGGTAATTGTCTGGACAGATTTGCGAGGATCATACGGCTCAGGAATGACCCGAGTCCAGGTTACAATATAGAATTGGAGGCGAGAAAGTGGGTTCAATGAGGTCTTACCTACATTGGACCACTCGGCTAACGTCGTCTCCCCCTCCTCCTCTCACAGAGGTCGTCGTTTCATTCCACTGCCATTCGGAACCAAGGGCATGGATGTGACGCTCGCTGGACTCCTGACGGCTATCGAACAATTGACCAAGGATAAACGTTACCGATCGTGGGATAGTCGAGCATCACGGGCTCAAGGCCGAGGCAGTGCCTTACCACCGGGAGAAGCATTAGTTGTGGAAGAAGATCAGGATAACCATATTGCCAATGGGCAAGAAGTAGCCACGGAAGAAGACGTCATTACACCTCAGGACCTCTGCTTCTCTCTCCAGGAAACTACCTTCGCAATGCTCGTTGAGATTACCGAGCGAGCGATGGCGCATGTGGGCGCGAAGGATGTCTTGATAGTCGGAGGTGTGGGCAGTAAGTGTCAAACACCACATGTGGGGGGAAAAGACCGTGCTAAGGCTCCGTCTAGGCAATATGAGACTACAAGAAATGATGGGCATAATGGCTTCTGAGCGGAATGGCAGGGTATTCGCAACGGACGAAAGGTGGGTATCAGCCAATCAGAAAAAATTCCTTCAGAGACTGACAAACTGTCAGCTTTTGCATCGATAATGGAATCATGATCGCTCAAGCTGGCCTTCTTGCTTTCCGAATGGGGCAGACTACCCCAATAGAAAAAGCCACGATCACACAACGCTTTCGTACAGACCAAGTGCACGTCAGCTGGCGAGCGTAGACGGGCTCTCACACCTCATCGGCGAGATTATGCATGAGAAAGAGGATACAAAGACAATGCACAGAATCTGTTTCTCGGTGGTTCTCATTCTCTTCTACTTTTTGGCTTCTTCTTCTTCTTCCTCCTCCTCGTTTTCTTCTCGTGCGTCGAGTCCTTCTCCCCTGTCCTCCTCTGAGCACTGGGCATGCGTCTTTCGAAATAATTACAAAGGTCAAGATGCGCATTCTACCCGTCCATGCCAGCTCTTACTTATATGTCGATTGGATAACCGATCTCTGAAAACAGAACGTCAGCCAGATCCTAAGATGTGGCGGTCGGTAACTCACTCTGGAAGATCAAACCTAGACTCTTCAGAGATACAGGCTTGACCAAGCTGGACCGCCTATCAGCAAGCTTACTAAGCACAGCACGGCGACACTCACTACCCGTCCACACCACTACTGAATGCCTCGCGCTTGTCGTCAGATGTCGCTAGTCCAGTAAGTGCAAAGATCTTAGCGCGACTTTGCAGGATCTTGGCGGGTGGCAATTTGATCTGTCCGGTAGAGTGCGGAGCAGAAGAAATGGGCTTGTGCTGAGTCGACCCAGAAGCAAGAGCAGAATTGGAAGACACATCCGGAGGAACTTCCGAACCCGGAGTTGACGCTTGTGATCCGGAACTCGGTCGTCGATTTGCTTCGATTTTCCGAATCGCTCGAGTCGCCTCGTGCCCGTTCAAAACTGGCATCGAAATGTCCATGAGGATCACATCCCAGTAGTTGGCGGGGGAGTTTTCAAAGACTTCAACTCCAGCTCCACCGTCGATTGCTTCTGCATACTCGATGCCCTGAATTTCATGTCAGCTTATGCAACTCAAACTGCGCCATTTACGACTCGCCTTCTTCTTCAGGAATGCTCCCAGAACGCGACGGTTGATGGCATTGTCCTCCACGATCAACACCCTCGGGATCCGCTCTCGTCTTGGAGCATTGATGGGTACCGTAGCCGCCTTCAACATGACGCCTCCATCCGCCAAGGAAATTGTGGATATGGCAGATCCAGGGGACCCAGGTTGAGGAGAATTGCTGATTCCAGCTGGCGGCGAATCATCAGGTTCATCAGATTTCTTAGGAGGAGACGTCTGTGATGTCCTTCTACTGGATGGATGGGCGGGGTGATGATACGTCACACCGCGTGGATGTAGGGCTGGCCGACCAATCTTGGTCGAAGGATCCATGCTGGTCTCGGCTGAGCGCCGCCGCAACAACGGCGCCCTGTTGGCTGACCTCTCGAACCGTCTCTGTGCCAGGTCGCTAATTGTAGCGTTGGACTCTTGACTGGCACCGGATGAGCCCCTTGAGAATCCAGGTCGATCTTCAAATGCGGCGGCGTGTTGAGATGACCGACGTTCAGAGTCGGGATCACGTTCGTCCAAATGATCAACGGCGATACACAATGCTTTACGGAAAGCAGCGGGTCCAATAGGCTTGTACAGAATCTGCAGTGATCCGGCATTCTTGCGCATATTGTCTCGGATGGAGCTTGCTTGCGAAGTTCGGCCGGGGGTGATGAAGATGATCGGGCGACCGTAAGATTGGACTTGTTCCAGAATTTCCTCATCTTCATGAATGACATAAACATCACCTTCGCCATTCTCCTTGAGCTCGAATCCTGCAGCTGCTGCGTAGGCACCAAGGACTTCCAACGACAACATTTGCCCTCGATAGTCTTCGGCAAAGGAGAAGAATGACAGCGACTTGCCACGCCCGGGATGAGAGGCCATCGACATAGCCGACGACACTGATGAGGTGTCTTCATCTTCCTCGACGACCTCGACATCGAAAGAGACGCGGATTTCGGTACCCATGCCTTCCGAAGACCAGACATCGACTTTGCCGTTGACACTTTCGGATCGGACAATGCTGTTGACAATAGCCAATCCAAGACCTGTTCCTGTCTGAAGGGGATTCTCCTGTGAGAATGGGTGAAACAGTTGATCCTTGAGGAACTCCTTTCCGATACCCTTGCCAGTATCAATAACGGCGATCTCGACTGGGATTTTCCGAGCCCCAGGTTCATGCGGCATTTCTCGGAGCGTCACTTGAACGTAACCGTCCTGCCAAAGCAATGTCAGCTCGATCGTCTCGTCCACAAGGCATGCAACTCACAGAAGTGAACTTGAGCGAGTTTCCAACCAAGTTCATGATGACACGACGTAGACCGCCCTTCTCGCATCGCACGACCCATCCCTTGATTTCGTCAGCAGAGCAGACACTCTTGAGACTCACCCTTTCCCGACTAGCGATGTCAATGACGGTCTCCACATGAGCAAGTCGACTAGATACTGAAGCTCGCTGCGCTCGAGGAATCAGGCCATGCGGAGCGTCTGGCGCGTAAAAGCTGCCGATCTCAGAGTCACCATGGAATTGCTTGGCCCGCTGGCCAATCCAACAGCCTTCAACTGTTTGCTCTACCAGAGTCGCAAGATTGACTCGGGAGAGCTTGATGGCACCAGATGAGCCTTGAGACGAGCCGCTGAGCTTGGTAAAGTCTAGGACGTGGTTGACAGTCTCGATTAACGAGTTGCCGCAAGTCTGCACGGTCTTGAGGAAGGACATTTGGTTCGCATCCAGGGTTGTATCGCTAAGTAGCTCGGCCGCGGCAAGGATTCCGTGCAGCGGGGTACGCAGCTCGTGGGAGACTGACGAGATGAGGATGCTTTTGGCCTTGTCCGCCATAACCATTCGGCGCCTCAGAACCGCAGATAGGATTATGACACCGATCGCTCGAAGGAATTGCAGTTCGTAGCCCTCAAGGGACTGACACGTCTGCTTGCAAGTATAGGTTCCCAGCAGAGCAAAAGGCTGATTGTCCACTCCGAAGATGGGGACTAGCAATCCGAAGCGCAGATCTTGGGGGAACATGTATCGGATCCAAGCAGGAGCAATATTCTCATAAATCCGGCCATCCTTGTGATCTCGGAGGAATTCTGACAACCTCTCGTGTTCGTCAGGATTGAGTGCCTTTGGAACCTGTTTATCGGTCGTCGAAGCGAAGACGGGTAAAGCATTGACACTGCCAAAAGCTTCACTCCTCTCGAAGACCGGCGATTGACCATCAGCCGAAATGAAGGGATCCGCACGATAGATTGTCGTTTTGCCAGTCGGTAAAGTAAATTCCATCATCTCAAATTGACTAATGTCCAGGATGAAAGCGCCCTCCATGTCAAGAGTTGAGCAAACGAGCTGTGTGGCTCGATTATACACATGATCCATCTTCGTGTTGACCTCGTTATTCGGCTTTGATGCAGAGCCGTCCATTTCAAGGCATTCTCGAGTGAATTTCTCCATCGAGACTTGAATCCTGTCCCGGAGGCGAAGTTGAAGCTATGCAGCAAGTCAGCGACACGTCCATGGCCTAATAAGATCGGCATACCTTGTCTCTCCATAGCTCCATCTCCCGCATGACAACGGACGCAAATTCCTTTAGGATCAATCTCGATCGAGGCGTGAACTCTGGGCGTGGCTTATCATCGATAATACACAGACTGCCAATGTTGTAACCATCCGGTGTTTGGAGCGGCGCTCCCGCGTAGAAACGGACGTGCGGGGGACCGATAACCTGAGGGTTATTGGCAAATCTCCAGTCTTTGAGCGCGTCCAGAAGGACGAATGGTTCGCCAGATCTAATGATCGTTAATATTCGTAGTTTAGTTTGTGCTTACTTTGACAAAATGGCATGACTGCACAGAGACTGCAGTCGTCCTGTAGTCTGGATGCCAAGACCAGACTCTGCCTTGTGAGATTGCTCTTCCGCGTCGATCAAGGCGATGAGTACGATCTTCGCAGAGAAAACCAGTTTAGTCATGTGGGCGATCCGGTCGAAGTTGACGTCGGCAGCGGTGTGCAAGATGTTGTAACGATACAGAGCTTTCCTCCGGGCAGCTTCATGGGGAGGCAAAGGCGCCGGTAACCATCCGAGCTGTTCAAAGAGTGGCCCGACTTGTGATGGCTGGGGGACCAAAGGAATGGCAGGTGCGGTCGGCGCCAGAGGCGAACCAGGTAACGAGGCTGAGGTCGTCTCGGCACTTTTCGCCTTGGCCTGGGTTGTAGGCGTTGCGGTCACCGTCGTACCAGTCTTTGAGGATGAACTCTGTGACACGTAGCTGTGATGCCTATCGTAGTTTGGCGGAGAGTCCACCAGACCGAAATAGTCCGTTGCACCGGCGACCTCGACGCTCCTCTCCAGGGGAACCGAAGCTGCTGGTATCCGATGCGCAGGCACGAAGACCCCTCGATGAGGTGGTCCTTGATGATCGCGCAGGGAGTTCTCTGGTGCCTTGCCTTTCGCTCGGCTTGGTCCTTCGTTTGGCGTACTAACAGGGCTCGCAGCGATGGTAGGAAGCAACGTTGCTCGGTCATTCGTGGTGGGATATGTTGTGGACACGCTTCGGATTAGTCCAGACCTAGATGTCCCAGGGTCCGAACTTGCACTGGAGCGAGGAGCAGCCGGATCCGGAGACACGACAGACGCCATGGGATCTGTGAGCTCTCGCTCGGGGCTAGGGACGCCCAGAGGAGCCAGGTCGGATTCACGCAGGTGCGACGAGGCCAAGCGGACTGTGGCAGCTGCAAAGTTGTAAGAAGGTAAATCAAGCTTATCTGGCCGTGGAGCGCGGGCTGTCTCTTCCTGCTTGTGAGGCGGCAAGTGTTCAAATTCGAAGGCTTTTTTGTTCGCATCAAGCACGCCAGAGATGTTGCGTTTCTCTGAAGTGGACATGGATCCGGATTGTTGCGATCCACCAGATGACGGTGTAGTGTCGATTGTGGTTGCGGTAGGGGAGAGGGTGGCTTTCTGTGATGATTCACTCGTCGATCCTGATGGCGAGTCCCCACGTACAAGGAGTCTGGCCGATCGAGATGGAGATGATTGGGATGAGCCGGTGCTCCGAACCGCCTCCAGTAGAGCATTCGGAGGATTCGGTATCCGGTTGGGATCGAAGAGACCATGAGCGTATGATCGGGCGAACGTCGACCAGCTCAGTCGCTCCCCAGAGGAAGGGGATACACTAAAGCTTGGAAGAGCAGATGTCGACGCAACAGAATGAGCTAGAGATCCGGAACGTCCGATGATTTGGGAGCCCCCAGACCCAGACGATATCGTCGACCCTCGTCTGGATCTTCCGGAAGATCCATCATGTATATCCACGGGCGCAGATTCCATTGCTGAAGCCCCGTCCGATGTTGCATCTGCTGGTCGTGCAGAGCCTAGAGACAGCATACCCATCATGTTTGACGCTGAAGAAACGTCTTCGCGCAAAAAAACTGCGAGACAAGAGTCGTCCTCTGCGGAGATCGCGCCTGTCTGCTGTCTCGGCGCATCAGATTCTTGCATCTCTGGCATCCCTTGAGGAGTCTCCGTAAGGGTCGGGCATTCTTCTTCCGCCGCCAACTGCGGTAATTGATCGTCAGGCACATAACTTGGATCATCCAACGATATTCCATCATCGTAATCCACGTCCTCTGAGAAATGACGAGAGGATGCACCGTGAGGTGGAGCTCCTGAGACTTCGGAATCTGAAGCAGAAGTGAGAGGTCGTCGACGCCGAGATGGAATTCGCTTCAGGCCTCGAGACGGTCCTCCTACGTTGTCTCCTGCCATCGTTGAGCTACGTAGAGGACTCTTCCGTGTTGACTGGTCTGCAGGCTGTTGTCCTGCTCCACTCGGTCCAGTGTCGGCCGGAGCAGCAGAGGCTGGTTTTGAAGGGCTAGCGCCGGGAGCTCCATCTCGTCCTGTGCTGGACCCCGAAAGAGTGATATGGTGAGAGGATGGATCGGTGTGAAGATGGTGCAGAAAAGCTGCGGAAGATCTGATGGCTAATGGCACAGGGGTAGCTGGGTCACTCTGCTGCCTGCTGGGACCAGCTTGGTTTTCGCCATGGTCAGAGGGTTTCTCCATGGTCTAGAGAGGACATGGATTGTCAGCTCTGACACGTGATCTGAGTTCGCCAGGCAGGGCTCACTTTGACCGAGCCGACCCCGGTAGATGAGACGATCAAGCCAGGATGAAACGGTGGGAGGACCCCCGGGTAATGTTTCTATTTCAGGTTTCGTGACTCAGCCCGCCAAAAGCGCCCAGTCACCTCTATCCCCCTGACCTCTGTCTCCGGGATGGAAACAATGAGAGACGATCAAGGGTACGTTGACAGAGTCACCAAGAGTAGGCCCACAGGATGGATTGACAAGGTATTGCTCGATCTAGACAGACGAATGTCATCAACCTGCCCTCCGGAGAAATTGAGATCCCTCCCACTGTTCCGAACGCCTGATGTCTTCCACAATGCAGGAGCTGATATCCTGAGGTTCCAAGTGTTACAGAGAATTCTCCAGTGGTCACCGTGTGTCCCAAGGGCAGTCCAGAAGCAGAGGATAAGAGAACGAGTACAGAGATACAAAGACTCCTAGCACCACAGAGAATTATTCGGGAGCAACGGGGAGGGGAGTGAGGGGCGACGACGAGCCCAGGTTCAAAGGTACGAAAAGCTCCACATTCGCCGAGTTCAGAAACGTCACGTGACTTATCATTATATATCGTCATAGGCCTTTAGCTGAGGGCAATTATCATCCAATGCTTACCTACACCAGGTTGAGGTACAGGTCATCAATAACGCTATGCATATGCATCACTCAGTGACCCTCAGGGTGCATCGACTACGATATCCTGCGTCGGTCGACTGCAGAGCCATCTCTACCATTTGAAAGCCCGGAGCCTCCACGGCTACCGATGACCGCAGTTTGGGGCATCATCAAGGCGGCATTCTCTGGCGCCGACTGATATCGAGCACCCTTGTCGTTCATCGCAGGAGGCATCTATACCAGCTTTCTTCCCGGGTTTTCCGGTGACGGGTTCTGTGCTTGTCGTGCCTGCTTTCCTAACTGCTCCAACTTTGAGCGACTGGCCTGCAGCGCATTATACAGCAGTAGATCTGATTGACCTTCGTCCAAACTAGGGTCGTCGGCAGTAGCAGCATTATTAGGTGTCACGGAAGCAGTCGCTTCCATTGAATCTTGCCGAACCAACATGGGTGTAAGGGGGATAGAGAGTCGACCGGCCGTTGACGTTGATGCTGTGGGCGGGGGTAATGATCGCCAAGAAGAGGGTATTCGAGGATTGGCAGGAGGGCGGGAGGCTGATAACGAAGCAAAAGCTTCGACGAGGAGGTGATTGGCGTTTTTCTACAGGAACAATCAACGTCTATGCGCTATGGATGGTCTGAGACTGCGAGGTACAAGGGCCTCACTAAGCGGGTATTGATAACATCGAACAGTGACGGTGCCAAGTAGACTTTGCCATCGAGGATGAAGAACATCCCATTGATGTCCACTCTTGAACCATCAGATTGAACTTCACGTCTTTGTATGAGGTATAAGGATGGAGCTCGACTGTGAGAAACGACGTATTCGAAGCCTCCACGGAAGGACGGGAGGTCACTGAGGTTTGAGCTGGGGGTCATGAGCTTCACACCCACAGTCGCTCCTGAGCAGCGCCATATAAGGGATCAAACACTCTTCTTTGAGTCCGTAATGCGTGATTGTTCGACTTGACATCCCAGAACGGGGACAATGCAAAATAGTCCAGGCTTACCGGCGGTCAGCATGCAGCGAGTCAGAGAGCTGGATATCTTACGCCTCATCAGGGTTTGAAAGTGTCCGGGTTGGAAGATGCTGTTGTACGTCAGTATTGCTGGACGCCCGGCAGATCACCCACATATATCCATTCGGGTGACGACCTCATCGTCGAGTAAGCATCGACATGGCTCTCATGTTCCCCACACGACTCACCAGTGGATATGCGACAGATCTAGCTCCGGTTCTGTCATGATCTCGACAGCGCAGTGATACTGGGTTGACCGTCAGGCATGGATTGTAGAGGGAAGTAGACGCGATGCCGCAACGTCATTTCGACATTTTCGGGAACGACTGATTTCTGCTACGCTCCGTTGACCTACTCACCGAGCATCGACCTTACCCGTCTGGGGAGGATAAGAGATCTCCGGGACGAGAGCAGGCAGTGGCCGGGTTCAGTCTCACGTCAGGCAACCACCATAATGCTCGGGGATGCACTGTTCGAAAAGCTGGCATCCGTAGCCGGTGCACCCATTAGTCAAATCAAGGTGGACCACATTTGCATCCTATGCAGAGTCCGACAAGCTGACGTTGTCCTCAGCTCATCAGTATACTACTAGTATCCTTCCCCATTGCCTCTCTTTACGGAAGGCTTCCCGCGAAACGTTACAATGTGGCCCACCTGTATTCGTTGATCGTATCCCTCATCTACCTCGTGCCAATCCTCGGCTTAGGAAGAGGAACGTTGCACCTATTGTTCAGCTGTATCGGCACGTACCTAATCGTAGTCATCCTGAGAGGACCCCTCATGCCCTGGACAGCGTTTATGTGAGTGCCTGTCGAATGTGGGCTGAAGAACACTGCTCAATATGTTGCCCAGCTTCTGCATGGGCCATTTGTTATACAAGTAGGTTGGAGCAGTTCAGACGCAGACCTAGGCTCATACGATCATGACAGCCACATATCACGCCTAGTAGCTGGTACACCAACATCAGAGATTGAGATCACGTTTACTCAAATGGTCTTCGTTATGAATCTAACAACCTTTGCTTGGAACGTGCATGATGGCAGGCGAAAGGTCGAGGTGAATAGCTCGCAGGGAATCCTCATGACTTAACGAACAAAACCTTAGGATCTTGATACGAGCCAACGAGCAACGAGGCTGGACCATGTCCCCACTCCACTGGCATTTCTTGGATACTGGTGAGCCAGAAAAAGATGGCCAGACGTCAGTCTTCTGACTATAGGATCGCTGCCCAGCTTCTTCTTCCCCTCAATGCTTATTGGCCCGTCTTTTGATTACGCAACCTACGATGCTTTGATCCATCGAACGCTGTACCAGAATCCACCATCCACCCACGGTGCCAAGCAGGACGTCAAGTCCACCACTCCCCAACGCAGGCCCTATGGAAGGAGACGGGTTGCGTACCTCCACCTCCTGATTGGACTGATATTCCTTGGCTTCTACTCGACGTACGGAACACGTGCAGGCTACGATAGAGTCCTCACTCCTGTATGGAAGCAGTGGACCTGGCTACAGAGATTCGGATTCATTCAGTTTGCAGGTTTTACAGCAAGAACCAAATACTATGCAGTGTGGAGTCTAGCGGAGGTGTGTCGATTCTGAAGCCCTGATTCTCTGCTGATGGTGGACAGGGCGCCTGCATCCTGACTGGATTGGGCTTCAACGGGTATGATCCGAAAACCGGAAGGTCGCTTTGGAACAGAGTCCAGAATGTCAACATACTCTCCATCGAATCTGCTGAGAGTTTCAAGGTCCTGTTTGACAGCTGGAACTGCAGGACGAATGTGTGTTACAAGCGAAGAATAAAACATCAGACTACCGACACTGATCAAAACTTATCAGGTCTGGCTACGTGACTGCGTCTACAAGCGTCTCACTACCAAGGGAAAGAAGCCGGGCACGATTCAGAGCATGGCAACTTTCATGACCTCTGCACTTTGGGTGAGTCCGGTTCCTTTTTTGACGATTAAAACACTCGCTGAAGTATCCCTTCAGCACGGCGTAGAGCCTGGATACCATTGTAGGTTACAGTGATCCCGACTTTTGCTGACTAATGTAGTGGCTTTTGTAACGGCTGGCATGCTTACATCTCTGGGCCGCCAATATCGTCATTTCGTTCGACCATACTTCCTGCCCCCTGCTGGATCCAGTTCGAGTCTATCTAAACGTGTGTACGATCTCATCGGCTGGTTTATGGTTCAGAGCAATCTGAATTACGTCGTGGCACCCTTTATGTTGCTCTCGTTCAGGAACTGCATGACTGCCTGGTCGAGGATGGGGTGGTATTCGCACATCATCATTGCACTCTCCATGGCTTTCTTCCAGCTTGGGGGACGGAGACGCTTGCGGAAAGGCATGGAAGGTCGACAAGCAAAGACGAAGCCGTCGTTCAAGCTTTCTCCACCATCACCGATGGTAGATGAGAAGCAGGAAACGGATTTCAAATGGGTGAGACATGCCTTGGAGAACCAGGGAGAAAAGGGTGTGCATGCGGATGGAGGGTTTGTAGACCGCGTTATGAGAGGTGCCGAAACACCAGGGACTGAGACGCCGAGAACGGTGGATGAGGAGCCGTTTGTTCACAAACAAGAGTAGAGCATCGACACTGAATGAATCAGGCGGGAAGACACCTATCTTCGTAACTCCGGCGAGCTTGACGAGACCGCATGTGGCCCATGGGCCGTGTTCGAGGCTGATTCACGTTGATTGACCCATCCCCCATGGCTGTTATCGCTGAAAGTTTCCAGTCGGTTACGTGAGCTGGTCCGGAGTGGTAAATCACTTCGAGGTGCTGGAGACATACCCTTAGGCGCATTTGGCATTGCGATGGCCAAATGATTTCTGTGGCGCAAGTCCGCCCCAGTTGGCACGGTCTCTGAACGGGACGCGAGCGATTACTGTCGGTCAGGTTGACGAACTGCCTTCTACCCGGAGATGAAACATTTCCGTGTCGGTGAGGGGGTCCTCGATCATCATTTTCCAGACGATACCATTTCTGAACCCTCCTCGTCGATCACTGGCCCGTTCTTCCACTTTGTCGGAGATGACAAGCGAAGCTGGCCCTTGTGCTTGCTTTTGAGGAGCGGATCCAGCTGTGGGATAGGGACAATATCCGAAGGCAGAGGCGGGCTTTCTGGTGGGACGGCTGGCCGTTTCGTCACGGGGTCAATAGTCCACGTCCCATCCCGGACCCAGCCTGAGTAAAGGGATCAGGGTCAGGGCAATGTGTGTGAATGCGCCGTCTTACTACATCTTAATACCTTGATCTAGTCGTGATGTAAGCAGTGATCCTTCCGCGTTGAGTCGGCACGCTCACCACCAAATTCAGTGGGATCGGGGTAGAAAGATGCCGACCACAATCGAGCATGCTCCAGACTCTAGAGACGCCGTTATCCCACGTTGACTTGTCTCCTATGGCTCGTTCATTCTGTAGCAAACGGTCCAGTCTCTGAATCGAGGGTGTCTCTCGAGAGATAGACTTGACAAATGATTTAGGCTGTGGATCCATTGCGGTAACAGTGTACGTTAGCGGCAGCTCAGAGCTGGTCGGTTGAGGATAAGCCTTTCCTGCTAGCCATAATTTGCGTCTGTGTTCAAAGAAGTCGACCCCTACGTATGCTTCAGCAGGAGACACTGATGCCTTCTCTCGACCCGACTGACCGTAGCTGGGAATGTTCGTCATCTGCGCGTCTGCCTTGGGCTTTTTGGTTTTGCTCGATTGCTTCTCCACCTGGGCCGAGGTCATAGCTATGAGTTCTTGCTCAATCGTCTCCGAGACTCTTCGCCGATCCTAATGGGTCAAACAGCGAAGCCAAAATTATTATTTCTGGCATTCTGGTAGTTGAATCGGCCGCCGACGGCACTTGCCAGCCGAAATGCCATGTCTAATGTTGATGGCTCATGCATCCGATGCGCCATTCCGCTATCGTTGTAGACTCCAGCTCCAGCAATGCGATTCACCATGTTATGACACCCTTACTTCACTCAAAACCATGCGACCTTCTCTGCGCCTGCTGTCGACAACAACGAAAAGTCGATTCGGAACTTACACTTTGTTGTCCCCAGATTCCGCTCTGACATCCTATCCGAGCCCTCGACACGTGCCGGGAAACATCAAGCGGCCTGACTACGTTCCCAGAAATTTCTTCACTGCGCCTTGGGGTCATCACGATCCACCGAAGGAGAGTCCAGAGGACGAAGTCGAAGGCAGGAGGATCCGTAAGGGAAGTGAGGAGGAGTCTAGAGTCCGAGAGGCTGGCAAGCTGGCTGGGCAAGTCCTTGCGCAAGTGAAAGCACTCATCGTAGTGGGTGGCGTGCTTGAGATGTATTGTACGATGACTGACGGGCCCCAGCCTGGCCGAACAACAGACGAGATTGATCAAGCGGTACATGGAATGATCGTCGCTGCCGGCGCATACCCATCAACATTGGGCTACACAAGCTACCCGAGAAGCTGCACAGTCGCCGTGAACAATGTCCTGGCACGTGAGTGTCCAGACCTTGTGTTAGCTACGAGACCTCCCTGAAAGTATCACCGTAGATGGTATCCCTGACTCGTGAGTGTTCGAAGCCTGACCTGGTAACGTCGCCGGCTTACAGGCCTGATAGGCGACCACTTGAATCGCACGACCTCATCAATGTGGACTTGACGGTCTTTCTCAATGGCCATCATGGTGACACATCAGCTACATTCGCTTTGCGGAGAGTCGATGACCAGGGTTTGGAATTAATAGAAAGCACGAAGGAGGCGTTGGAACAAGCTATCCGGGTCTGCGGACCAGGCGTACCGTTGAACGAGATTGGAAGAGTCGTCGAGTGGGTCCGTCGTCAATGACCCTTGGCGGCTTCTTTTTAATACAAGCCAGGGAACTCGCTGAGAAGCGTGGATTATGCGTCAATCGACAATTTGCAGGACACGGTATCGGCAGAAGATTCCATCAACCGCCTTACATCTTGCATCATCGTAAGGCTGGGTTCATCACGTTTGAATTGGCCAGGAAACTGACAATCATCGAGTCAGGCAATGACGATGACACGCTCATGCGGATCGGCGATTGTTTCACCATTGAGCCTATCTTGGTTCAAGGGCCAAATTCCAGAGGTTTCATCTGGGACGATGGGTTTACCATGTCCTCTGAGGTGAGCGCTGTCGATGCTCAAGCCACGCCGCTGACGCTTCAAGCAGAGCGGGGCCAGAAGTGCACAGTTCGAGCATCAAATCTTGATCACAGACGACGGCTGTGATGTTTTGACACGCTCGATCACCGACTGACACGGGACGTATTTGAAGTGCGAAGGGGATACATTCTGTATGACAACTATGCTAGACAAAAATGTATTATTTCTAAGATCTGAGTAGTTCAGCAAAGCGAACAAGATATTCCTCTGCGATACTGGAGAAGTAGAACTCGTGAGATGCGTTGTGCGCAGATTCTGTCACGATGTCAGAAACACGGAATACAATTCGCATCATGATGCTTACCGAGATTGTGCGCGAGCTCTGAGCATGTTCGATCAGCTGAGCCCCATCTTCAGGCGGATGAGACTACTCACCGTGAGCGATGCTGAAATACCAAGAGATGAAGGCATCTCCTTTGACCCCATTCTGGACCGGACCATCGTCTGCAAAGCCAATTAGGCAGGATTTCGTGACGTTCCACCACACTATACTCACGCCACGCTGAAAAATACCGCCTGAGTTGAGTCGTCAGCCAAATGTATGACAGACGTCGTTATATCGCCTCACGCATTACAGAATATACTGCCGGCCCGGTTGAAAGCTATAAGCGGTCCTTCGTGGTCCCAAAAGATGTTCATGACCCCAGGTGCGAGCTGCCAGTGATCAGCTCATGTCTTGGGATGATAACATACGTTGTAAACATTTATAATCGGTAGCAAAATGTCCGCGCAGAAGCGTTGACAGATTGCAAGTTTATCTTGTAGAAATTGACCATGATCAGGGATGTCTAATGATGTGTCAGCGTCAGGCCAGTACCGCACACCAGTCCGCACCTCTTGGAACCCAGATCTTAAGCCCATGGCGTCCTGGATCGATGGCTGAATCGACAAATCAAATCAATACCCTCTCGTGAGACCGAACTGTCTCACCAAGTACAATATCTGCTTGCGCGCTGGCGTCACAGTACTCTTCCTGACTTTCTGACACGTCGCGAACAGCCTGCCGACTGTCACGGATTTGAGTCCCCATCTCGGGTCTCGAGGCATTGATTGCTTTTTCCACGGTATTACCTGTGATCTCATGAGCAATCCTGTGTGGCGCAGATTGTAGGGGCTCTTACGAATAGACTGAAGGTCTGTGGGCTGCGGGAACATTACTTCCTGGTCTATCTACAAATGCCGCCACACTCACCCGTTTAGTAGTTTGCGTGGAGGTGCCGCCACCATGCACCGCAGTGGCCCCGTTCATTGCCCCGCTGAGCCCAGAAGGCGAAGGCAGGATACCCGACATGCCTGGAAATGCGCCTGGAATATTACCAGCCTGGAGGTCCTTACTACCTGATCGCTTCAACTTGTTGAGTAGAGATCGAGTCTTGCTAGAATTGGAAAAGCTCTCTTTGTCGACCGCCGTATCGCGTGATTCTGAAGACTTGATGGACAAGTCATCACCGTTCGCATTCGGCGGAGGTGGTCGAGGAGCTTCTGCAGCTGCGACCGCTGCCGCCTTCTCCCGGTCTCTGGCAGATTCTGCTTTGAGTCGTAATTTCTCCTCTCGCTGCTGATTGAGAATCCTGTCGACATTGAATCCTCGCTTCTTGAGCGCCATAAGAGGGGTAGAGAGAATGCTTCGATGGCTCAACCGGGCACATATAGAAGCATCAATGACTCACGAATAAAGTAAAAGCGCATCATCTGCTTTGGGCGACTTCAGCAGAATACTGCACAGTGCCGAGGCGATACTGCAATGAGGATCAGCTAGATCAGAGACCCTGTAGTGAATGACTCGCTCGTAATCATCTGGCTGGGCTGTGAGCGACACAGTCAAGATGATGCCCTTTCCTCGGGCGTGCGTCCACGCAGTAGCGTATAGCATCTAAGATCCGTAAGGCTGAAGGCTGCTAGAAGAGCGAAGTCACCAACCTCTCGATGATTATATTCCCGCTTGCCCTGCCTGTATGTATATCTTGCTTCCAGCTCTCTCACCTCCGCCACCTGGAAATTCCCATCCTTGCTGAGCTGCTCCACACTGTAATCGGAGTGTTTCCGTCGAGCCTCAGCCAAGAAGATGGTGAGGCGTTCGAGGACGTGGCGGCAGAGCTGCTTGGCTTGGTCGGACGTATTTTGGACGGGATGATGGGGAATGTATTCAGTCTTGACTAAAGAGCTGAGTGACTTGGCTCCGAGGTGCTCGTAGAATGTCTCGAGTAGTTGCTCCTACATGATGTCAATTCTGAGGTGGGTCTGACACACACCTCTGGAGCGGCCAGTATCTGCTTTCCAAAGTATTGCATCATGGTGATGTTGTCATTCAGTGCGACCTGGAAGGAGTTGCTTCAGCTTGACGGCCTCTAGGCGTCAATTCCGTGCTCACATCAGACGCTTTGGCTAACACCCATTCTCTTGAATATTCCTCTTCGCTTCCACCCCAAGAGCCGAACATTTTCTTGCTCTGACTTTTCACAGGAACTCGTTGCGATGCGAGAACGAAAGCGGCGGACTTCATGGCCGATCGAATACCAAAATCAAAATTCGTCCAATTAGCAGCGAGCAGTCGAAGCTGGTCGAGGTATCTAGGGGGTCGTTAGTGTTGATCGCATGGTAGAGTTGTCGACTGACTTGTCCGGCGACCCTGCCTGCTCTAGCATGTGTTGTGGATCACGAAGCAGAAGCCGGGCGACGTCTGGCGCATAACATCAGCAGGGATACAGGCATTTCCTCAACTCCGCTCACCCTTGACGGAAGGCTCCGACCTGACTCCGCAGTATCGCAGGAATAGATTGCCTCGCTCTCCAAAGTCGACAAAGGTGAACGAACTTTTGTAAGGGCTTTCACTGCCGTCTTTGGGAACGAAGTAAACCTCAAAAGGTTTTGCGAGGTAAACTCCCTTCTCAGATTTGACTGGTATAAAACTCGCGCTTTGCAGGCGCTCAATGGATGATTGGACAGAGTTGCCGATTCTGGTGGACAGGTACTGGAGGGAATGTTAGCATTTGAACCCGTACTGGAGTGCTTCGGCTTGATGTCTCACTTCGAAGACTGCGCGCGCTTTGACAATGTCTGTGATTGGCGGCGACAACAAGGCATTGACAAGCTTCTCCATCGGCGGGTCAGTTGCAATGCGGAGTTTTGCTGAATTCTCTGGAGTTGCGATGAATGGCTCGGCTATGGCGAAACCGAGGATGGCACATGCTTTATTCGAGAAGACCTGTCGAACGCTTGAGCCTGCAATCACAGACCAAAAGTGTATTCGAGCTTACCTCTCCAGGCTTAGCGAGAACTCTGGCCCCTGTGGGTGTGGTAGCCGGTAAGAACGCCACGCCAGCGAAAGCTGAAGGATCAAAATTGATGTAATGGACATTCAAGTTCGCAAGTAGATAAACGAGAGCTCGTTCGCTCGTAGGCGGACGACCCGCCGCTACTCCCAATAGCTCATCAATAGGAGGATATTTCCTCAACCCTAAGGAAAATAGCATCTTCGCTGAAAATCATTCGCTGATTCAGCAGCGGCACATGAGCTTCTACTCTGGCGAACCCACCTTCATCTGAGTTAGATCTCCATTTTCCATCGCCCCAATCCAATAACGGCATTCCTAAATTCCGCATGGCTTCTGTCGGCTCGTAGAGCTGATGCGGTTTTCTCCTGGCGATAGGAGCCTTGTCCTGGCCCTCGACTGTCTCCACTTCCAAGGGAAAGGCTGCGGTCTGCCGCAGCCTTGCAAGCTCCTCGCTGGTCAAGGTATCTTTGACCGAGACAAGATACTTCATGAGATCCTGACATGTCCAGGATCCTCCGCCAACGAGTCGAGAAAAGACAAGTTGTAGATCGACAGTCTTGCGGACACCGATTCCGAGAAGCATTTTTTCCATTCCACCACGGATGGCCGTATTCTTCGGGAATGCCAACGTAGGTAGATCGTCAAACAAGAGGTTCTTCTCAAAATATGCTTCGCTAGGTCTTTTGAATCCCGCCTTGGTTGGAATGCAGGCTACGTTTTTAAGCTCCAAAGCAATGGCCGATTGTTGATTCGCACTTATGGACTGCCACGCTCTGCCCATCAATGCCAAAACTCTCTCAGCAAAAGCTGGAGATGCTCGAATATCCGTCTCCGGGTTTGCACCAGGAGCCTCAGACATCGGAGGGGTAATCAGGAAAGTGATATACTGCACAAGAGAAAGCTCCGTCCAGCCAAAAACGTCATAAATTGAACTGCCTTTGAGATCTTTGGTGACAGTGTATGGAATGGTGTGCTGAGGGAGTGGCATGTCGGTAGGGATTGAGGAACTCTGCGGTTTAATGAACGTCTGGACGATTGACAAGGGGACGACTTTGCCACTTTCCTGGACCATGACCGCTGCATCCAGCAGCCTCGCTCGCATCGGAGCGTTGTATCCGTCGACGCCTGCGACCTTTTGCCACCATTTGAGACACAACGTCATCTCCTCCTCTGTGAGAGGTCGAGCGGATAATTGTTTGACCACGTCTTCGAGAATGACATCGCGGAGAAGCATCTGATCTCGAAGTCGAGCAACTGTGCGCGAGGCTGCTTCTACGGCCCGAGGGGTGATGACCGGCAAGTCCGGCAAGAAAGCTTGAATCTCCGCGTTGGGTAAGCGGACCTCCTTCACGGGCAAGACTCCTGCAGTCGACAGCATCGGTAAGCTCTTGTTGTCAGTCGAGCAGTCAAAAAAGGCGGATTCCATGCCTTGCCCGACCATAGCTGACGGTGTCGTGGGTCTGAAGGAGAAGAATCGCAGAGTGTGTAACCCTCTTGTTATCAACTGCTGACGCGTTTCTTCATCGCTGACAGATGTTGTTGACCATAGCAGTTGCAAGTCTTGGAATTCAAGCTCGTAGACTAATCGACTGAGATATCCTCCGATCCATAAAAGTTCCTTATTCCATAGGGATACATGTCTGTCGACCAGATCGATGGATTCTCGTTCGACTGTCGGGATGAATCTTGCCGCTAAATGACCGCCAATACCTGTGGTCTGACTCGTGGCTTGTCCTATGAAAACTTTTGCTGATTGATCGCTGTCGAGCGAAGGGCATAGACCCTCAAACACACGTCCAACGTCTTTCGCAGGGGCGGACGGACCAGCGTCATCGGGAGTCGGTTGTTCTGATTCTCCTCGCGAGAACACGAGACTCGCTGGCATCGTTTTCGGCGGTGGCTTCTTTGTCGCTCTTTCCAACTCTCGCCCAAACGATGTCGTCACTGAGACTTTGATCTCCGCTTGATAAATTTGGATCTCTCTGTGAAGTGTTGTCGTTTCCATCGGATCGTGAACGGGCTCGGGCGGAGCCGGCGGAGGAGCAGGAGCAGGAGCAGGACTAGAACGGCTGAAAAATGAGGATGATAGGAAATTTGATAGCGCTTTAGTAGGCTTCGAAAGACTCGGCAACGCAATGGGTGCAGCGATAGGAGGAGTGAATCCAGTGGCTGGGCCATACCTGTCAGCGGGGCCCGTTTCCTCTTCTGAATACTTACCCGCGAGCCATTGGCGAACCTTTGCCTTGATGACCATTCCCGTCGCGTCGACCCCCGTGATGGTCATCATACCTCCCGCACTGCTCGTCTTCAGACCCCGTTTGATCACTCTGTCCTTGCCTTTGACATCTTTGGCGACTTCCAACACCTTGATATCATCGACAAGCATGTCAATCTTCTTTACTGTTCGCATGAAGGTAAGACTGGTGATCAGAAACCTCGCGAGATCAAGCGGTCCTTCAAGGAGGGTCGGCTCCCTCAATGTCATGATGAAGGTTGTCCATGGATGACCGGTAGACGAAGGCTCGACTTTGGATGTCGAAGGGTCCGGCGGCAGATCACCGGATCTCGCCAGAAGCTGGTCTTTCCCGTCCTTCCAGTAGAATCCCATCCATTTATCGCCTGATTCGACGAATGGATCATCTGCGTCCTTCAGCCCCAATCGTAAGAGGCTCCTTCGGCTCACCGCAGACGCTCCACAGCGAGTAGAAACCAACTCCGAATCTTTGTTGATTGTTAGATATGGGGTGTTGACACGCCAACTCACGCTCCGATCTTCTCCTCATCTGGATTACCTTCGGCAATTTTCTTGAGCCTCTGCCAATCTTGTGCACGGAAAGGTATCCCGTCGTTGCTCACAACGTATCGGACGATCTGGATTGGTCAGAACCGTGACATTCCTTATAAAGCTGACACACCTGATCCTTCTTCGCATTCGGCAATCTAGATGGTCCACCGCCGCCCTCTAAGGCGTCAAGGCAAGCTTGGGTGTAAAACTTGACTTGGACGTGCTCCGCCTACCGTACATCGTGAGTGCTGACTCTGAAGAGGGTCGAGTAGCTCACTCTTGCGTCATCTGCGTTTTGAAGGAGTTCTCGGAAGACTGGACAAGCTTGATCAGTCCTCGACGTCTAATTCTGACAAATCGTTGCACTCACTGGTGTGCTCGCCCGAGTAACGGGCCAGGATTTCTGCGATATGCAACAGTCAGAACGGACATCTTCGAAGACTTGTTGAGATTTCGTTCTCCCAGAACTTACTGTCTATCAACGCCCGCTGGTTCACTTCGACCGTCTCGTCCACACCAGAGCTCCAGAGATCGGCCCTGGGTGGCGGCATGTTTGATTGCAGTTGAACCGGCTGGAGAGACAAACAGCTTTGTTTGGCTGCTGCTTGCAGTCTTTGCAACTGTTTTTGAGCCTCTCGACCAGCTATTCAGGCCTGGGTCCGAGTTGCCAAAGTCCTCGAGTCTGAGACTCGCGTCGACTGAGATTGTCCTCAAACGCCCAGCTCCGGGCATCTCAGACAATGACCTCCACCGGGTGTTCCAGGATTGATAACGAGCTTCTGACTGACACCTGAAAACACCACGTCATGGCCGTGGTTTCGCGTTCTTGAAATGTTGAAAGCGTGCAGCGACGAGCTCGGTACTGTAGAGTTGCACACCCTCAACGCTTCACAGCCGCAGCGACAAGTAGAAGTAGCTCAGTCGCAGAGAAGGACCTGGATATCCACTCAAGATGCAGGGAAGATTACCGCAAATGGTGCGTTTTGGCCAAGGTCACCATCAAGCCGTACTGACCAGTTTCAACAGCAACCTACAGTGGTTCTGCTGAGAGGTGAGCGGAATCGACTCATATAGCCTTTGGAGCCTGCTGATCAGGCTGTAAACAGAGGGAACCGATACCTCTCAAGGAACACCTCAGCTATTATCCAACATCTCAGCGTGTCTTGCCGTTGCGCAGACTATCGCGACGACGCTCGGACCAAGAGGGATGGATAAGCTCATTGTGGACGAGCGAGGCCAGGCGACGATATCCAGTAAGATCCATCGCGCTCTCCTCCTCCGTTGAGACTTACCACGAGCAGATGACGGCGCCACCATTCTCAAGCTTCTGGACATTGTTCATCCTGCAGCTCGTACATTGGTGGACATTGCTCGCGCTCAGGATGCTGAAGTAGGAGATGGAACAACCAGTGTGACATTACTGTGAGCTCGCTCCATTAGTACCTGACCGTGGCTCATGTGGACACAGCGCTGCAGAGATACTGAAAGAGGTGCGGCCATATGTTGAGGAGGGTGTCGGTGTGCATGTTATCGTCAAAGGCTTGAGGATGGCGAGAGATTTGGTGAGCTGCCTTTTTCAACAGCGATGTTCACCTGCTTACTCTGCGGTAGGCGATCAAGAAGATCAACGAGATAGCTGTCACTATCGACAAGTCCGACTCCAAGTGCGCAATGTCTAAGGACTCCTACTGACGACCCCACAGGAAATTCCACGAGCTTCTTCTGCAATGCGCATCCACATCTATGTCATCAAAACTCATCCACTCTCAGACTCCCTTCTTCGCCCAGATGGTCGTCGATGCCGTCATGTCTTTAGATCAGAAGGACCTCGATGAGTCTCTGATCGGTGTGAAAAAGGTGCCCGGAGGCGGAATGCAAGACAGCATGTTGATCCGTGGGGTGGCTTTCAAGAAGACTTTCTCATACGCTGGATTTGAGCAACAACCGAAATCATTCAAAGATCCCAAGATTCTGTGCCTGAATGTCGAGCTGGAACTCAAGGCGGAGAAGGACAATGCCGAAGTCCGAGTCAACGAGGTGTCAGAATATCAGGCTATTGTGGATGCCGAATGGTCCATCATCTACCGCAAATTGGAAGCCATCGTCGCCACTGGCGCCAAGGTTGTCTTGTCGAAACTGCCGATTGGTGATCTAGCGACTCAGTACTTTGCAGACCGGGACATTTTCTGTGCGGGGCGGGTCACAGCGGATGACCTGAAGAGAGTCACTCAGGCTGTCGGCGGTTCCGTCCAATCAACTTGCTCTGATATCGAACCGCATCACCTTGGAACGTGTGGATCGTTTGAAGAGAGGCAGATAGGAGGAGAGCGTTTCAACTTGTTCACCGAAGCTTCAAAGACCAAGACGTGTACCTTGATCCTGAGAGGAGGAGCTGAGCAATTCATCGCTGAAGTGGAGAGAAGTTTACACGACAGTATCATGATCGTGAAGAGGGCAATCCAGAACAACCATGTCGTGGCAGGAGGTGGAGCTTGCGAGGTGAGTGACCTGGCTGGGGAGATTAGCGTGCAGACGGCTGACTCTGGTGGGATAGATGGAGATCTCTAAATTCCTGCGGAACCACTCGCGCACAATCATGGGCAAGCAACAACTCATCGTGGGATCCATGGCCAAGGCCTTGGAGATTATCCCGCGACAGATTTGTGATAACGCCGGTCTGGATGCCACAGATATCTTGAACAAGCTGAGGATGAGACACGCCCAAGGGGACGTCTGGGCAGGTGTGGATGTGGATGCTGAGGGAGTCGAGGACAACATGAAGCGATTCGTTTGGGAACCCGCGTTGGTCAAAACGAATGCTTTGAGCAGTGCAGTCGATGCTGCCTGTCTGATCTTGAGCGTCGATGAGACTGTTCGGAACCCACAGAGCGAGGTGAGCCAGACCTTGTATTCCCGTGCCTCGCATCGCTCACGATCACGGTAGCAACAACAGGCCGGTCCTCCTATGCCTCGGGGTGCTGCACAGAGGGCTTTACGTGGTGGTGCTCGTGGACGTGGTATGGGAAGGAGATAGACAGTGTACAGAGTCGAAAAGCAGCATTGCATGCATGTGCCATAGCATTAAGAGTGTGCTGGGTGGCACACACTCCGTGGATGATATCCGGCCGACGGACTTTAGGGATTCGGTCCAGCTCTCAATGTTAGATATCCCCCCCGTGTCTTGTCGACAACACCCATGAGGGACGAGAAGACGGGACGCAGGCCGTATCGTTATCTGGCGTCTTCGTTGTAAGGGTGCCTTTCATCAGGGTCGTCCTCCCTCGAATCTCCCTTTCGTTCAACGCGTACCTAGACGCCGAGCGAGGTTGAATCCAAGACCTGTACCATGTCAACCGCAAGGGACCTTTGGAGAGCGCCTGGGAAAGCAGAACCGAGACAACGATCGCCTCCAAAGCCTATTCCGATGGACGCGCCTCCTTCCTGGGGTA